CATTGATCCGCTTTTTAATTGTAGTAATCTGGCGCTTAAATTAATATAGATTTTAAGGTGTTTGTAAGTATGAAGATTGCGAATTGTTTGATCGACTTAGAGAAGGTGTTAGAGTTCAAAGTTGAACTATAAGCTTTTGATAAATATATTTCAGATTAAGTGGTATTAACCCTATTGCTTTGAAGCTATTTTGAATGTTCTCAGCTTTATATGCTATTATATGAGCTTCTGGAAAGACTGTAAGAAAGTTATATTTATTAATATGATTGAATCCAAGCTGTATATGTTATTCAACAAGCTATTCATATTGTCGTTTTAAAACTAAAAAATAGCTCACATCAAGAGGCTGTAGGAGATATGATAAATAAGATGGCATATATATTGAGATAATATTATTCTCTACATATATCTGGTCAAATTGAGCTGTTAGATGGCTTCTATATCCATTAAGAATAAGCATCCGATATCTTCTTTTTATATGGTTTGTTGTATAAGGAATAAAATGTTTTTGAAGCTATCTAATCCTAATCTCATCTATAGTTCAGTCATTTTTATTGATATCAATTTTTCAGTTCTATGGAAGTGTTTTAAATCAGCCTTATTGATAAAAGGTTGTTGTCTTAAAAATTATATACGAAGGCAAGGCTTATTCTATAGAATTAACTATTTTAATTGCTATAACCCATTTCTGGTTATCAGGTTATAATAAATAAGGCCTACTATATCAATCACTATCAGTAATAATCTTTGCAGTTGCACAAAGACTTATAGCAAAGCTGGTCTTATTAAAGTTATAGATATCTTTAGATAAGATTCTATATTGTTGTATAGTGTCTTATATATGATCAAAATGCTCTTGGATTATCTTAATATTCTTATATTTAGCTCGCTTATAGTTATATCTCTATAAAAATCGCAGCTTTATTTCTGGATGCTGATTAATAAATTAATAAATCCATTTCTCATTGATATGCTCATTTCCATGTTGAGTAAGAAGGAGATTAGTTATATCTTATATGAGAGATGGCTGGGGAAGTAATCTACATTTATTAAGATTAAGAATCTATTTTAGAAGAGATTTCTCTTTATATTAAGTCAATTTATGACTATTAGTGTGTTTTTTAGCTCGATATTCAATCTCGGTAAGTCGACGGTGAAGAGTTGTATATAAAATATTATAGATTTATACAGCTTCACAAATAGATTTGATTCTTTCATTTTTTAAATTAGATATAATAAGCAGTATCTTACCTTTCTACTCAGCTAATTTTTGGTGTTTTTCTGTATGATTTGGTGGCATTATAGCGCGTTGAAAATTGGTGTATAGAAATATTTGAAGTATTTTGACGCGCTCTGGGGGGGCTGATCCGCTCGGTGTCCGATTACGTTATAACGGACGCTATTACATAAGCACCTAATAAGATTGTATATATGCGCCATATATATATAGGATAAGTGTAAAAGACAGATACTAAGTGGGGACTGCTTAGAGAGTAGTAGTGGACATGATTGTTATATAATCAGGAATTGTGTATTGATGCTTTATTCCAATATATGTTAAGCACGTGATCCAATAAAGTAGAGCTTTAATATATAGAAGTATAGCTTCTATATAGTGAAGTAATAATTCTAGATATTAAAGTATAGTTTCAATATCCTTTAGTATATAAAGATATTTATTTATTATTATATATTTAGTTGATTATCTTTTATCTTTATATCAAAATAGTATACTATTATTTAGTATTTAATAATCTTTTTACTATTACTATTATTTTTGATAAGATAGCCTATTAATATTAATTTTATATGATTCTTTTATTTTATGTTAATAGAATATTCTCTAAGATTTCTAATCTAAAGATGAGTTATTAATAATTTTTTAATAATAAAAGATTTTTATAATATTTAAAGAGTTATAAGTAAGTAATATTGTCAAAAAGTTGTCAACAACTCGTCTCAAGATCGGAGATCTTAGAGGATATTCTGCTAACACAAGATAAAAGAATAATATAAGATCAATATTAAAGAGCTATCTATTAAGAATAATAATAGTAGTAAGAAGATTATTAAATATTAAATAGTAGTATACTATTTTGATATAAAAATAAAAGATGATCAATTAAATATATAATAATAAATAAGTATCTATATATACTAAAAAATATTAAAGTTATACTTTAATATTTAGAATTATTACTTTACTATATAGAAGCTATGCTTCTATATATTAAAGCCTTACTTTGTTAGGTTATGTGTTTAGCATATACTGGAATAAGATATTAATATATAATATTCTTATTGCTATATTAATAGCTATAGCTAGGCTAAGAGTATAGCCATTTTTAGCATCATTTCTATAATATATATTTATACTTAATAATAATTTTATTTATTATTACTTAACTTCTATTAAATACTTATATAATAACATTTATTATAATATTTATTAACTGTAATTTATTGATTCTTATAATAATTCCTTCTTTTAAAGGCTGACATCCTGATAATATAATAAATAGTCAGCTATATCTATATTTTTAAATAAGTGTTTTTATTTTACAAATTCCTATATTTATAATAATAGTCTAATTATATCTTTAAAGAAACTATCTTATATCTAAAAATCGAAACTTACTAATTACTTAAAGAATAAGAGTTTTAAAATGATTATTCTCTATATTTGTTATATAAATTTAAATAAATCTTATATAATAGTTAAAAGATTTTCTTATTATAATAAATATATTTATTTAAATTAAAAATATATTAAATTAAAAACTTCTTTTTTTAATAAAGAGTGATAGCAGCTTATAACTGCTTAAAATTAAATCTATATTTAGAAGAAAGAAGCTTTTAAGAAACTTTATTATCTAAAACTATAGAATAATCTTCTTTAGAAATATACTGATAACTTTATAGTAAGGGATATTCAAGATATTATTAAGCTAGAAAGGTTGAAGAAAAAAGAACAAAAAGAAAAAAAAAATCGAAAGTAGAAGAAGAAGCAAAGAAAATTAATTGATCAATAAACTAATAAAATAACTACTATTATCTTCTAATCTTATTCTAAATTATTTAAAAATAATTTCTTTGACTTCTTACTCTTTGAATTCCTCAATAATAGAAGATTCAAATCTTTTCTAAACAATTCAAATATCTAACTAATTTCTATAAATTATGATTAAATCTATACTTTATCTATCTAATTAAATAAAAGATTTTTCTCTATTCTAACTTCTATTTTTTAATAAAGTCGACTTTGAATTCATTATTATCAGCTTTATCTTCATCGTTTTCTGGATTTTCTATAAATTCTAATAATAAGATATAAAACACTAGATATATTTTTATTTTTACTAATAATTAGAATTTATAATTATCATTAACAAATTTTTTTTTAATTTTAAAAGATCTATATTTGATTATATTAAATTTATTATTTAACCTTTTATTTAAAATATTAAAATTCTTTTATTCTATAGTTTATTATAAAAAATAAACTTTTTCTCTTTTTTAAAGATTAATACATTCTTATACTTTCTATTATAATAGATTTTTATTCTTTACTCTATCTATTTGATATCTTGTAAAATTGTTTGATAGAGTATTTAAAGATTCTTAATTTATATTATTACTATCTCTGATAGTTCTTCTCTTAGTATATCAAACTATATTATTCTTAAATAGCACCTAAAATTTATAAAATATAATACTTATTTTATAATTATATTTATTATATTATTCATTATAAATTATATTATTAATAGTACTTATACTTAATCATTTTATTCTTAATCTATATAATTCTATAAGTATTATTTAACTAATTGAATTATTCTTTTAGACTAACTATCAATCTATTAATAATTTATTATTAATAACTTATATTCTATTCTATATATTTTTATAATTATTTGCTAATAATTTATTATGAATAATTTATCTCTATCTATAATAATTTCTTTTAATAAACTAGTCCATAAAAATACTTTTTACAGTATGAAGCTTACATATTGTCTTACAGTCATATTTTTTAATATTAGTTATAGAATTATATATTTAATTAATCTATTAACAACTATTATAGTGTTAATATAGGTTATTCTAAAAATAAGTTTCTTTAATCTTAGTAATCTTTAGATAAAATCAATAATAATACTTTATTATACTTCCTTTAATACTTTAGATATCTATATTTTTCTATATAGTTTATATATTGACAGTTTATTTCTATTACAGTCTTTATAGTATTTAATATAGTCTTTAATCTTTTTTCTAAGATATAGAAAGTAATATAATTGATTTATCATTTTAATTATTTTATTGATTTCTTAATATTCTTAGCTGAATAGATTATAGTGCTACTTAATAACTTTTATAATTATTATTTATAATATTCTAATTATATCATTCTATACTACTAATCTATCTTATAATGTTATTACTCTATTATATAATTCTTATTAAATTTGCTTATCATTTTCTATTTCTCTTTTTAATTATTTTCTGAATTCTAATTCTTTAATCTTAATAACTACTACTAGAATAATATTATGATTATATTATAGTACTCCTAAGTCTTATTTTAGAATATTTATCTTTAATACTTTAATGTCAATTATATAGTCTAATTGTCTGTTTAATACATCTATAGTAATATTCTGCTTTTTTAATATATATTTGATTATATACTTATATTATGATAATTCCTTATATTATTATATTTGTCTCTTTAATAATTCCTTAATTATTGCAAAGTATTTCAGATTCTTATGATCGATTTTCATAATAATTTCATATCTAGATTCTTAGAGATAATGTTATCATTATTAAAATATTTCAATGATTGCTAGTAACTCTCTATTATATATATTATAATTGAGTTTAGTACTAATATATTTCTTTAAATAAAATATAACAGTATATATTTTTCTATTTTTAACTTATTTTAGGATTACTTTAATTATATATTCTAATGTGTCTATTCTAATAATATTCTATAAGTCTAGATTATATAACTTTAAAATTGATATATATTTAATAAGTTCCTTAATCTTTCCAAATGCTTGTTGATGTGCTATTGTCCATTCAAATAGTTTATTCTTTTTTATTAGTTCTATTAATAGGATTATAATAACAGTATATCCTTCTATGAATCTTCATATATAACTGATGGCTCTTAGAAATAATTATATATCTATAATGTTTATTAGAATTAACCATTTTAGAATAATATCTAGTTTTTCTTTTGATATTTTAAACCTATTTAGTATATAAACTATTCCTAAGTATTTAATTTATGTGGTATCAAATTCATATTTCTTGATTTTTAAAGTAAATTCTGCGTTTATAAATCTTATTATAACTTTTTAGACATATTTATTATATTTATTAAGATTCTTTAAGAATACTATTATATTATTAAAATATACTATAACAAAATTGTTCAAATATTCTCTAAGTATATACATTATGTATTATACAAATTATATTAATAGATTTTTTAATCTCATTAGAGTAACAATCTATTTATAGAATCCTTTATCTATTAAGAATACTGTTTTATAGATATTTTTTTTATATATTTTTAGATTGTAGTATCTCTATTTAATATTGAATATTATTATAATTTTTATTTTTTATAATAAATCTCTTTTTTATTCTTGGTATAGTGCTTTATTTATATTATCTATTATTTGATTATTAACTGATTAATAATTATATACTATCTATAATATTAAATCTTTTTTTGGTATAAAGAGATTTAATATTAAATTTACTACTTTAGATTCTTAAATATATCTAACTAAATAAAATTTATTAATAAATTTATCTTTAGTTTTAAGCTTCTATACTGATTTCTATCTCTATTTAATTTATTTTAATACTAATCTTAGCTTTAGATCTATTATTACTTTATATTTAGATAGATGTATTAGTAGTTAATATTCTTTTTTTATAAATAATTTGATATAATTATAATACTTCTTTAATAGCTTTTTAAGTACTTTTATAAATTCTTTTTTATATATTTTCTTTAACTTTGATTAAGTTAGTATTATTCTTTACTTTATTTTATTAATCTTAGTAATATTCATTTTAGATTATTTTTCTGTATTTTTATTTATTTGTAATATTATATTATTAATCTTTAATATTTATCTTTTCTAATTAATAATTAGATTCTGTCTTTATAATTAAGTCATTCTAAGAATTATATTATAGTGATTATAGTTTAAAGATAAGATTCTAAATGTTGTATTTATAATATATTTTTCTGATTTTAAGATTATATTTTTAATTATTTGTAGATATTCTTTATTAAAGATAGTTCTATCTATGGTAATGATTATTTATTATTATTATATTTACTTTGTTAATATTTTATATTTTTTAATAAATTCTTTATTAATAAAGTTTGTTGATATTCTTGAGTTGATGAGTACTTTTGCTGTCTTTTTATAAATTATAGTTTATATAATAGATATATATTCTATTGATTTATTATTAATAGCTACTATAATGATAACTTTCTTTATATATTATAGATAATATCTTTTTTATACTTTTTGAAATTATATCTATTCTTCTTTAGTCACTTTTATCTTTTTTTAATGTATATAGTAATCATTTGTTCTATATTTAATACTTTTGAGATGATTATAGCTTAGGTGTCTCATCTCTTTATATATGTATTGGTAATCTTTATATCTTTTAAAGCATTTAAATATTGGTTAGTAAAGGACTTTCAGTGATATAAAAAATCATTTATATATATTTTTATTTATTTAATAATATATATATACTTTATTAAAATATAGTGTCTAATATACTTCTAAATGGCTAAATCTATTTAATTTAGAATAATAATGATAGATATAATTATATATATACTCTAATATTTTACTATATAAATATATTCTTTTTAAATAAAATAGTTATTCTATTTCTTTAATTAACTTAAGATTATTCTTACTATAAATTAAGTATTCTTTGAATATCTATTCTTAATATTTTTTATATATATTAATATGTTATTATTATATCTAGAATGATTCTTTCTAATATATTGCTTTAAAAAGTATATAATAACATAATTCTTTATCTTCTATATCTTCTATAAACTCATTTTAAGTTTTTATAATCTTATATTCTATTTTTAGAAATTTTTCTAAGATTTCTAAGATCTTTTTTTCTATTTCTAGAATATTTTAACTTAATTCTAGGTCTATTATTCTGTTTTCTAGGATTTTTTTTTAGTCTCTCTTATTAATGTTAATAGATCTCTATATTAATCATTTTTAAAATAATTAATTGATAGATTCTACTAATTTTAATTTCTATAGAATATCTAATTCTCAATTTGAGTCTTTATAATTTATTATCTTTTAATTATTATTTTAAAATATTAGATTATGTTAGGTTTTATTTTTGATAAAGAATTATCAATATTCTAACTGATATTATACTGTTCTATTGATAGCTTTAATCTATAGATAGGTTGATATTTAGTTTTATTTTTCTGATAAAAGTATATTTCTTCTAGATTAGTATCTTTTTTCTAAGCTATACTCTCTTTAAACATCTTTTTAATATATCTATTAGATTTCTTAAAGCTTCTTTATTATTTTATAATTAATATATATTTCTATTTAAATCTTTATTTAATAATTCTATTTTATGTTTTCTTAAGATTCTTTTTTTTTTTTTATTATTTATCTTAGTGATTTCTTGATATAGAATAGAAAGTTATAAGTTGATGATTGCTGCTTTCTAATAGCTAATATTATTAAATTTTTATTTTTATTAATATTCTTTTATAAAGTGTCCTTTTTATCTGCATTTATAATAAGCTTTTTTTTTATATCTTTATTCTTTTTCTTTTTACTAATAATGGTGTTAAGCTGTATTTTAATATTTCTATTATAGTTATAGTAAGGCTTTCTTAACTGTAAAATATTTACTTATTAGCTTCTCTAGTATTGGTTTTTCTTTTTTATAAACTAATTATATTATTAAAAGTTAATCTATAATGCTATTTTTATCATTTTATAGAAGGTTTCTGATTAAGAATTTATTATTAAAATTATATTCTTAATATTTTCTTTAAATCTATTATAGTATTAGTTTTAATATATTTAATTTTTATAATAAAGATTATTTATAATTTAAAGATATACTGATGTATATTCTTCTATAGATTAGACTTATTAAATATTTTGAATCTTATAGATTATTATAAACTCTTTATTAATGACTTTATAAAATTATTTAAGCTTAATAATAAAATATCTATAATTTATAAATATTAAAATTATTTCTAGATCTTTCTATTCAATGCTTACTTTAAGCTAATTTTTAATATATAATATAAATCACTTTATAATATCTTTAATTAAGAAACTAGATATTATTAATATTTTTACTTTTTTAATATTGATCTTCGTAATATTATTAAAGAAGTAGATTCTTATTTAAATAAGAAATATATTAAATGTTTTAAACTTTTTTAAGAATAGCTCTATTTTATTAATTTTTAATCTTTATTCTAAGCTATTAATATATTATTAAGCTATAATATTCTTAAGTTTAGTAATTCTAATAAAAGCATCTTTAAACTTAGTTATTAAAATTTATTTAATTCTATTAAAAGATGAATGATTATTATTTATTATTGTTAGAGATAATATTATTTATTTATAACTCTTTAAATATTATAAAAGTCTTTTATTATTAAAAAGTTGTCAATAACTCGTCTTAAGATTAGAAATCTTAGAGGATATTCTGTTAATATAAAATAAAAGAGTAATATAAGATTAATATTAGAAAACTATCTATTAAAAATAATAATAGTAGTAAGAAGATTATTGAATACTAAATAATAATATACTATTTTAATATAAAAATAAAAGATAATTAATTAAATATATAATAATAAATGAGTGTTTATATATACTAAAAAATATTAAAGCTATGCTTTAATATTTAGAATTATTATTTTATTATATAGAAGCTATACTTCTATATATTAAAGCTCTACTTTGTTAGATCATATGCTTAGTATATGCTGGAATAAGATGTTAATATATAATACTTTTATTGTTATATTAATAACTGTAGCTAGGCTAAAAATATAGCTATTTTTAGTATTGTTTCTATAATATATATTTATATTTAATAATAATTTTATTTATTATTGCTTAACTCCTGTTGGGTGCTTATGTAATAGCGTCCGCTATAATATTCATTGGCTGTGACTTATCGATTCTTGTGACAAATATCACCTCTAATAATAATAGAAAATAGTTATTTATTTTCTGATAGAATTAAGTAAACTTTAGTAATTAAGCTTAAAGATATTTTTACTAGAATTATTAAATTTAAGAATATTATAGTTTAGTAATATATTAATAGCTTAAAATAAGGATTAAAAATTAGTAAAATAGAATTATTCTTAGAAAAATTTAAAATACTTAATATATTTCTTATTTAAATAAGAATCTACTTCTTTAATAATACTATGAAGATTAACATTAAGGAAGTGAAAATATTGATAGTATCTAGTTTTCTAATCAAAGATGTTATAAAGTGGTTTATATTATATATTAAAAACTAGTTTAAAATAAGTATTAAATAAAAAATTTAAAGATGATTTTAATATTTATAAATTATAAATACTTTATTATTAAGTTTAAATAACTCTATAAAGTTATTAATAAAAAGCTTATAATAATCTATAAAATTCAAAATATTTAATAAGTTCAATCTATAGAAAAATATATATTAATATACTTTTAAGTCATAAATAATTTTTATTATAGAGATTAAGTATACTATAATTAATACTATAATAGATTTAAGAAAAATATTAAAGATATAATTTTAATGATAAATTCTTAACTAGAGATCTTTTATAAAATAATAAAAATAATATCACAAATTAATTTTTAATAATATAATTAGTTTATAGAATAGAAAAACTAATATTAAAAAATTATTAAGCAAATATCCTGTAGCTAAAAAGCCTTATTATAATTATAATAAAGATGTTAAGATGCAGCTTAATATTATTATTAGTAAAGAAGAGAAAGAATAAAGATATAAAGAAAAAGTCTACTATAAGTATAAATAAAAAAAATATTTTATAAAAGAATATTGATAAGAGTAAAAGTTTAATAATATTAATTATTAAAAAGTAATAACTATCAATTTATAATTCTTTATTCTATATTAAGAAATTACTGAAATAGATAATGATAAAGAAAAAAAGAATCTTAAGAAAATATGAGATAGAATTAGGCTGTCATTTGGTTCGGTTCTGGTCCTGAGTTTCTGGACCAAACCCAAAAGTGGGTCGGTTCGGTTTGGTCCTTATTATTGGAACCAGAACCGAAAACCGAACGGTTCTGGCTCTTCGAACCGAAACCGAACCATGTTAAAGAAGAATTACTAATTATGGTTAGATCGGTCCGAGTCTGGTCTGGTTTTCATTCAGATAACCGAACTGTATTAAAGAATTTTTAACTATAGTTAGATTTTATTCTTAAAAATATATTAAAATCTCTCTAAATTTTAATGAATTAGATAGATAAATAATATAAAAATTAAAATTAATTATTTAAATTATAATTATCCATCTGATTATTGAGATAGGCTAAAAAATAGATAGGTAATGATGAATACCATAGAATGGGTACAGAAATATATATATATATTTTCTCTAATAGATAGATTAGCCGTACTGTCACAAGAATCGATAAGTCACAGCCAATGAATGTTATAGCGGACGCTATTACATAAGCATCCAATGAGATTTAAGCAATAATAAGTGAAATTATTATTGAGTACAATTATGTATTGTGGGAATGATGCTAAAAATGGCTACATCTTCAGCCTAGCTACAGCTATTAATATGGCAATACGATTATTATGTATTGATGCCTTATTTCAGCATACACCAAATATATAATCTAATGAAGTAGGGCTTTGACATATAGAAGTATGGCTTCTATATAGTGAAACAATAATTTTAGATATTGAAGCATAGCTTTAATATCTTTTAATATATATAGATACTTATTTATTATTATATATCTAATTGATTGTCTTTTATTTTTATCTTAAATAGTATATTATTATTTAATATTTAATAAATCTTCTTATTATTATTATTATTCTTAATAGATAACTATCTAATATTGATTTTATATTACTCTTTTATCTTATATTAGCAGAATATTCTCTAAGATCTCTAATCTTAAAATAAATTATTAACAACTTTTAATAATAAAAGACTCTCATAACACTTAAAAAGTTATAGATAAGCAATATCATCTTTAATAATGATAAATAACAGTTATTTATCTTCTAATAGAATTAAATAAACTTTGATAATTAAGCTTAGAGATACTCTTATCAGAATTACTAAATTTAAGAATGTTATAGCTTAGTAATATATTAATAGCTTAGAATAAAGATTAAAGATTAATAAAATAAAACTATTCTTAGAAAAATCTAGAATACTTAATATATTTCTTATTTAAATAAGAATCTACTTCTTTAATAATATTGTGAAGATCAACATTAAGAAAGCAAAAATGTTAGTAATATCTAGTTTTCTAATTAAAGATATTATAAAGTGATTTATACTATATATTAAAAATTAGCTTAAAATAAACATCAAATAGAAGAATCTAAAAATAATTTTAATATTTATAAATTATAGATATTTTATTACTAAGTTTAAATAATTTTATAGAATCATTAATAAGGAGTTAATAGTGATCTATAAGATTTAAAATATTTAATAAATCTAATCTATAGAAGAATATACATCAGTATATCTTTAAGTTGCTAATAATTTTTATTATAGAGATTAAATATATTATAATTAATATTATAATAGATTTAAGAAAAATATTAAGAATATGATTTTAATAATAAATCTTTGATTAAAGATCTTCTATGAAATGATAGAAATAGTATTATAGATTAATTTTCAATAATATAATTAGCTTATAGAAAAGAAAGACTAATATTGGGAAAATTAATAAGTAAATACTCTACAGCTAAAAAAGCTTTATTATAACCATAATAAAGATGTTAGGATACAGCTTAATGCTGTTATTAGTAAGAAAGAGAAGGAATAAAGATGTAAGGAAAGGGCTTGCTATAAATATAGATGAAAAAGACATTTTACAAAAGAATGTCAATAAGGATAAAAATCCAATGACGTCAGCTATCAAAAAGTAGCAGCCATCAATTTATAACTCTTTATTCTATACCAGAAAATCACTAAAATAGATAGTAAAAAAAAAAAAAGAATCTTAAAAAATATAAAGAAAGTTAATTAAATAAAGATTTAAATAGAAATATAAACTAATTATGAAGCAATAAGAGAGTTCTAAGAAATCTAATAGATATATCAGAAAGATATTTAAGGAAAGCATAACTTAGAAAGAAAATACTAACCTAGAAAAAACATACTTTTATTAGAAAAATGAAGCTAGACATCAATCTATCTATAAATAAAAGCTATCAATAGAATAGTATAATATAGATTAAAATACTGATAGTTTTTTATCAGAAAGTAAAATCTAATATAATCTAATATTTTAAGATAATGATTAAAAGATAATAAATTATAAAGACTCAGATTAAAAATTAAATATTCTATAGAAATTAAAATTAATAAAATCTATTAACTAATTATTTTAAGAATGACTAATATAGAGATCTATCAATATTAATAGAAAAAACTAAAAAAAGATTCTAGAAAATAGAATAATAAACCCAGGATTAAATTAAGACATCCTAGGAATAAAAAAGAGATCCTAAAAATCTCAGAGAAATTCTTAAAATAAAATATAAGATTATAGAAACTTAAAATAAGTTTATAGAAAATATAAAAAATAAAAAACTATATTATTATATATCTTCTAAAATAATATACTAAGAAGAATCATTCTAGATATAATAATAACATATTAATATATATAAAAGATATTAAGAATAAATATTTAAAAAATATCTAATTTATAGTAAGAATAACCTTAAGTTAGCTAAAGAAATAGAATAACTATTTTACTTAAAAGAAATATATCTATATAATAGAGTATTAGAATATATATATAATTATGCTTATCACTACTATTCTAAGTTAAGTAGATTCAGCCACTTAGAAGTATATTAAATATTATACTTTGATAAAGTATATATATATCACTAAATAAATAAGAATTTATATAGATAGTTTTTTATATTATTAGAAATCCTCTATTAACCAATATTTAAATGTCTTAAAGGATATAAAGATTATTAATATATATATAAAAAGATAAAATATTTAAGCTATAATTATTTTAAGAGTATTAAATATAGAATAAATAACTGCTATATACATTAAAAAAAATAAGAGTGACTAAAGAAAAATGGATATAATTTTAAGAAGCATAGAAAAGATATTATTTATAATATATAGAGAAAGTTATTATTATAATAGCTATTAATAATGAATCAGTAGAATATATATCTATTATATAAACTATAATTTATAAGAAGCTAGTAAAAATGTTTATTAACTCTAAAATATTGATAAACTTTATTAATAAAGAATTTATTAGAAAACATAAGGTACTGACAAAGTAAATATAATGATGGCAGACAATTGCTATTATAGATAGAACTATCTTTAATAAAGGATATCTATGAATAGTTAAGAATATAATTCTAAAATTAAGAAAATATATTACAAGTACAACATTTAGAATTTTGTCTTTAAACCACAGTCATTATAATATAATTCTTAGAATGATCTAATTATAAAAATAGAATTCAATCATCAACTGAAAAAGACAAATGTTAAAGATTAACAATATAATATTATAAATAGATAAAAATATAGAAAAGCAATCTAAAATGAACATTACTAAGATTAATAAAATAGAATAAAGAATAGTACTAACTCGATCAAAGCCAAAAGAAATATATAAAAAAGAACTTACAGAAGTATTTAAAAAGCTATTAAAGAAGTATTATAATTATATTGAATTATTTATAAAAAAAGAATATCAATTATCAACACATATATCTAAATATAAAGTAATAATAAACCTAAAGCTAAGATCGATGTTAAAGCAAGTTAAATAGAGATAAAAATTGGCATAGAAGCTTAAAGCTGAAGATAAATTTATCAATGAATTTTATCTAACTAGATATATTTAAGAATCTAGAGTAGTAAATTCAATATCAAATCTCTTTATATCAAAGAAAGATTTAATATTATAGATAGTACACAATTACCAATCAGTTAATAATCAAACAATAGATAATATAAACAAAACACCACATTAAAAGCAGAAAAAAGATTTATTATAAGGAGCAAAAATCATAATAATATTCAATATTAAATGGAGATATTACAATCTAAAGATACGCAAAGAAGATATCTATAAAACAGTATTCTTAACAGATAAAGGACTTTATGAATAGATTATCATCTTAATAAGACTGAAAAACCTATCAGCATAATTTATATGGTATATGATATATATGTTTAGAAAATACCTGAATAATTTTGTTACAGTATATTTTAACAATATAATAGTATTCTTAAAGGATCTCCATTAATATGATAAACATATCTAAAAGGTTATGATAAAACTTAAGGATGCAAGACTTATCCTAGGAATTAAGAAATATAAATTCGATATAATATAAGTCAAATATTTAGAAATAGTTTATATATTAAATGGGCTTAAAATATTAAAAGAAAAGCTAAATGCTATTTTAGAATGGTCAGTTCTAATAAATGTTATAGATATATAATCATTCCTAGAAGTCACCAGCTATATACAAAGATTTATAGAAGGATATACTGCTATTATAATCCTATTAATAAAACTGATAAAAAAGAATGAACCATTTGAATAAATAATAATGCGTTAATAAATATTTAAAAAAATTAAGAAACTTATTGAGTATATATTAATTTTAAAATTATATAATTTAGAATTATAGAATATTATATAAATAGATATATTAGGATATACAATCAGAGTAATCCTAAAATAGATTAATAATAAAGAAACATATACTGTTATATTCTACTTAAGAAAATATATAAAAGCTAAACTTAATTATAATATATATAATAGAGAACTACTAACAATTATTAAAATATTTTGATAATAGTAATATTATCTTTAAGAATCCAAGTATAAAATTACTATGAAAATTAACCATAAAAATCTAAAATACTTTACAATAATTAAGAAATTATTAAAGAAATAAATATAATAGTATAAAGAACTATTATAATATAAATATATAATTAAATATATATTAAAGAAATAAAATATCACTATAGATATATTAAGCAGATAATTAAATTATATAATTAATATTAAAGCATTAAAAACAAACATTCTAAAATAAAACTTAGAAATATTATAATATAATCATAATACTATCCTAATAGTAGCTATTAAAATCAAAGAATTAAAATTTAAAAAATAACTAAAAAGAAAAATAAAAAATGATAAACAAATTTAATAGAAATTACATAATAGAGTAATAATACTATAAAATAGATTAATAGTATAGAACAATATAATTAGAATATTATAAATAACAATTATAAAAGTCATTAAATAGTACTATAATCTATCTAGCTAAGGACATTAAGGAATTAATAAAATAGTTAAAATAATAAATTAATTATATTACTTCTTATATCTTAAAAAAAAGATTAAGAATTATATTAAACACTATAAAGATTATAATTAGAATAAATTATCAATATATAAATTTTATAGAAAGATATAGATATCTAAAGTACTAAAAAAAGCATAATAAAGTATTATTATTAATTTTATTTAAAGATTACTAGAATTAAAGAAATTCATCTTTAGAATAATCTATATTAATGCTATAATAATTATTAATAGACTAACTAAATATATAATTCTATAATCAGTATTAAAAAATATAACTGTAAGACAATATATAAGCTTTATACTATAAAAAGTATTTTTATAGATCAATTTACTAAAGAAAATTATTATAGATTAAGATAAACTATTTATAACAAATTATTAGTAAATAATTATAAAAATATATAGAATAGAGCATAAATTATTAATAATAAATCATTAATAGACTAATAACTAGTCTAAAAGAATGATTCAATTAATTAAATAATACTTATAGAACTATATAGATTAAAAATAAAATGATTAGATATAAGTACTATTAATAGTATAATTTATAATAAATAATATAATAAATATAATCATAAAATAAGTACCATATTTTGTAAATCTTAGACACTACCTAAGAATAATATAATCTAATATACTAAAAAAAGAACTATTAGAGATAGCAATAGTATAAACCAAAAATCTTTAAACACTCTATCAAATAATCTCATAAAATATCAAATAGATAGAGCAAAGAATAAAAATCTATTACAATAGAAAGCACAAGAATGTATCAATCTTTAAAAAGGAAGGAAAAGTTTATCTTCTATAATGAACTATAAAATAAAAGAATTTCAATATTCTAAATAAGAAACTAAGTAATAAACTCAACACAATTAAATATAAACCTTTCAAAATTAAGAAAAAACTTATTAATGATAATTATAAATTCTAATTATTAATAAGAATAAAAGTACATTTAGTGTTTTATATCTCATTATTAGAATCTATAAAAAACCCAGAAAATAATAAAGATGAAGCTAGTAATAATGAATTTGAAATTAATTTCATTAAAAAATGAAAGATAGAATAGAGAAAAATCTTTTATTTAATCAGATAGATAGAATATAAATCTAATTATGATTCATAGAAATCAGTTAGACATTTAAATTATTTAGAAAAGATTTAAGCCTTCTATTATTAAGGAATTCAAAGAGTAAGAGATTAAGAGAATTATTTTTAAATAACTTAAAATAAATCTAAAAGGCAATAGTAACTATTTTATTAACTTATTATTTAGCTAATTTTTGCTCTTTCTCTTATTTCTTTTTCTTTTCTTTTTTTTGTTTTTCTTCTTCCAATCTTTTTAGCTTAGTAATATCCTATATATTCCTTACTATAAAATTACTAGTATATTTCTAAAAAAGATTATTCTGTAGCTCTAAATAATAAAGTTTCTTAAAGACCTCTTTCTTTTAGATATAAATTTGATTTTAGATAATTATAAACTGCTGTCATTCTTTATTAAAAAAAAAGTTTTCGATTTAGTATATTTTGATTTAAATGAATATATTTATCATAATGAGAAAACTTTTTAACCATTATATAAGACTTATTTAAATTTATATAATGAACACAGGGAATAATCATCTTAAAATTTTTATCTTTTAAATGATCAGCAAGTTTCAATTTCTAGATATAAGAAAATTTCTTTAAAAATATAATTAGACCATTACTATAAACATAGGAAATTGTAAAATAAAAACACTCATTTAAGAATATAAGCACAGCTGACTATTTATTATACTATCAGGACGCCAGCCTTTAAAAAAGGGGATTATCACAAAAATTGATAAGTCATAGCTAATAAATGTTATAATGGATGCTATTACATAAGTATTCAATGAGATTTAAGCAATAATGAACAAAATTATTATTAAGTATAATTATATATTATGGAAATGATATTAAAAACAACTATACCTTTAGCCTAACCATAGCTATTAATATGGCAATATAATTATTATATATTGATGTTTTATTCCAGTATACACCAAGCATGTGACTTAACAAAGTAGAGTTTTAACATATAGAAGTATAGCTTCTATATAATGAAGCAACAATTCTAGATATTAAAGCATAGCTTTAATATCTCTTAATATATATAGACACTCATTTACTATCATGTATTTAGTTAATCATCTTTTATCTTCATCTCAAATAGCATACTACTATTTAGTATTCAACAAATCTTCTTACTATTACTATTATTCTTAATAGATAGCCACCTAATATTAATCTTATATTACTCTTTTATCTTATGTTAGCAGAATATCCTCTAAGATCTCCGATCTTGAGACGAGTTGTTGACAACTTTTGACACGTACAACATAATCTGAAAAATATAAATAAAAAGTAGAAAAGGTATCATCGTCATCTGGATAATTCCTAGATTATAATCTAAATATTAAGAATTTATTATAATATTTATAAAAATATTCAAAACAAAGTCCTAATTCAAAAAAATAAGAATTCAACTCATGAAAAGCTGCTTCGGAAATGATTATCTAATCAATAAAAACTATAAAGAATTAGGGTTAACCCTAAATTATTAGTATTATTAATGGTAATCCACTAGTATTCAGATATTTAGATAAAACCGAACTGAAAACCCAAACCGAACCAGACCCAAATAGGCCCCAAAAAACCATATGGTCCTGGACTTGGTGAACCGAACCACATCGGTTCACTGTATATAGGACCAGAACCGGACCATTCGGGTTTCAGATCGGTTTTGGTTCGGTTCGAACCGAACCAAATGACAGCCTAGTTAATATTTAAGGTGTTATAAGAAAAGGCTCTATAATATCTAAGAATAATTTTAATAGACTATGAGAAAAAGAATAATTATTTATTATATTAGAATTGTCTTTATATATTTAATAATAATGATTTAAAAGCTAAGCTATTATAACTTTATTATAATAAATCTATTTTTAGATATCTTAGATATTTTAAGACTTATAAGCTTCTATTCTAAGAATATTATTAATTTAGAATATATCAATATATTATTTAATAGATTAAGAACTGTTATATTTACTGCTATATTATCCTGTCTTATAAAGCTTATTAAGGAATTCTCTATCTACTGTCTATCTCTGAGCGAGTCTGATAAGATATATCAATGGATTTTATCATTTATCTATCTGCTAGTCTAGGATTCAATATAATATTAGTAATGATTAACTATCTAATTAAAATGAAATATTTTATTCTTTATAAGGGAATTTGTAATATTAAAAAGATTATCTATTTATATATCTATTATATCTAAAAATTATATAGAATTCTAAAAATTATTATATCTGATTAAAGAGCTATATTTATTAATAAATTTTAGAAATATTTAATCTATTATTTAAGAATTATATTTCTATTATCTATAGTCTATTATTTTAAGACTAATAGCTAGACTGAATATATTAATATAATCTTAGAATAATATTTATATATATATATATCTTATTTATAAAATAAGAGAATTAACTAGCTTCTTCTAGTTGAATTTATATCTAACTTGATCTATTTAAAGATTATAAAGATATCTCTATTTTATATTAATTATAGATTCTATCTAATTATAGGATTTGAAGCTATTCTAATTTTTAATAGATTTGCTAGCTATAATATTAAAGAGTTTATTTATTATATAGAAAGAATTATTAATTTTATTTAAATTGAAATACTATTTGTATAAGCCTGTTATAAGACTGCTATGAATAGATATTACTAATCCATTTATTGGTATTAAGTAAGCTAGAAGATCTAGCTAGATATTAAGAATATTTAAATTCTCTAATTATAGAAGAAGCTAGATTAGAGAAATATAAAATCTTTTATAATTATTAAGATTATTAATCTGAATATATATTGACTAAATCTATCTATAAGCTTAAAAATATATCTAATATTTAATGTTAATTTATTTTATTTTATTAAAAGAATTTTATCTCTAGATAATAGTAGAAACTATTTTTATTTATTAAAATTAATAATATAATTAAATAAAAAATAAAAGATATTCTAGATTTCTATTAAAAAAGATAAAACTATAAATATCTTTATCTAAAGTATATTATTAAGTAGAATAATTATAATAAATTAATTAAAGAGTCTATTAAATACTTAAAAAATATATAAAAATTGTTACTAACTTCTATTAATAATATTCTTAGAAATTTAGATCTAATCTTGATAGAGTTTAGTCTTAAGAGAAGAGATATTATTATAATGTTAGCTTATCTATTTAATCTATTAATCTACTCCTCTGATCTAACTGAATGTAATTATAGTTGTATTTTAATATGATTCTAAAAAAAGCTATTCAACTATAAGAATCTTATTATAGCTCTTTAAGCTATATCTTATTCTTAATTCTGCATTCAGCCCTGCCTGTCTGCCTGTCCGCCTGGTCTGACCAGTCAATCGTCAATCCTTGATCCCATCCGCCTGCCGCACCTTGACAAGTTTATATCTTAAATAGAATGATAAAGCCAAAGTAGATTAATTCTATTAAAAATTAAAAAATAAATTAAAGATAAAATAGCTAAAATATTAATAAAATTAGACAATCTAATAAATATAATTAATATAATAATCAAACTTAATAATAGACTCTATAAATAGTAATTGTAACTGCTCTAGGCTGTCATTTGGTTCGGTTCGGACCGAACCAAAACCGATCTGAAACCCGAATGGTCCGGTTCTGGTCCTATATACAGTGAACTGATGTGGTTTGGTTCACTAAGTCCAGGACTATATAGGTTTTTAGGGCCTATTTAGGTCTAATTCGGTTTAGGTTTTCGGTTCAGTTTTATCTAAATATCTGAATACTAGTGGATTTCTATTAATAATATTAAAATATTTAGAGTTAATCTTAATTCTTTATAATTATTATTAATTATATAATTATTTCTGAAGCAACTTTTTATAAATTAAATTCTTATTTTTTGAATTAGAACTTTATTTTAGATATTTTTATAAATATTATAATAAATTCTTAATATTTAGATTATAATTTAAGAATTATCTAGATAGTAATAATATCTTTTCTATTTTTTATTTATATTTTTTAGATTATATTATATAGCTAATCTATCTATTAAAGAAAAAATATATATATTTTTATATCTATTCTATAATATTCATTATTATCTATCTATTTTTGAGCATATTTCAATAATCAGATAGAAAAATTATAATTTGAATAATTAATTTTAATTTTTATATTACTTATCTACTAAATTCACTAAAATTTAGAAAAATTTTAATATATTTTTAAGAATAAAATCTAACTATAGTTAAAAATTCTTTAATATGGTTTGATTATCTGAATGAAAACTGGACTAGACTCGGTCCGATCTAATTATAATTAATAATTCTTTTTTAGTGTGGTTCAGTTTCGGTTTAGAGAGTTAGAACTATTCAGTTTTTGGTTCTGGTTCCAATATTAAAGACCAAACTGAACCGACCCACTTTTGGGTTTGGTCCAGAAACTCAGGACCGGAACTGAACCAAATGACAGCAGTTACTGCTCTAATCTATATTTATTTATTTATTCAAGTTTTACGACCTTACCAGCTCTAATCTATATATTAAGAATGATTTTTTAGTTATAGATAATATTATATTATCTTTCTATACTATTATATTATTTAAATTGTATAAATTTAGATTTAAATGATAGCTAGAGAAGTTAATTATTTTTAATCTAATTCTTGGCCATATCTGGTCTGCTTTGGGCAAGGAATTTCAAAAATTCGTTCCGCAAAGACAAAGATGCTCTTCTTCTTATAGTGGCCAAGAGGCATGAATATACATTACTGTAACTTGAAAGACTCTACAAGTGTAGGTAGTACCTAACAACCTTTTAGAATGCAGACAACTTGCTCCATTGCTCATATTCCAGGATAATTTCACTCGTCAATTGGCTCTTTACTCGTTCAAAAGCGCTATCAAAGTGATGGCGCATGATATCCTGCGATTGTCCACTTTCATCTTCATCATCCAGAGCTGCCTCACCAGCAGTCTCACAGAGACTTATAATCTCAGCACCAGAATATCCTTCAGTTTTGGCGGCGAGTTCGTCAATGTCAACATCGGGGCTAATGACTGATTTTCCCATCCATATTGTGAAAATCTCCTTCCTAGCTGCAAAATCCGGAGGCCCAACATATACAATATTATCCAAGCGCCCTGGGCGCATTAATGCGGGATCCAATACGTCTGGCTTGTTAGTTGCTGCAACAACGAGTACGTTCCTTAACTCTTCAATGCCGTCCATTTCATTCAACAGTGTCGTGAGTACATTAACGCCACCATGGGACCCTGTGCGTTTTGCGGCAATGGCATCGATTTCATCAAAGAAAATGATGCTAGGTCGAGCGCCACGAGCCTTTTGAAATATATCTCGAAGGGCACGTTCCGACTCGCCAACATATTGGTTAAGTATCTCGGCACCTCTGACGGCCAAAAAATTGAGTCCAGCCTCTGTAGCCAGTGCTTTTGCAATCAATGTCTTTGAGCAACCTGGTGGCCCATAGAGTAATACACCTTTCTTGCTTCTGACATTCAGTCTCTGCATCTTCTCTGGGAACTACAAAGTCATATATTAGACAAGACATATATACGCGGACATTTTTCGTATACCTTTAAAGGTCGTTCGATCACCTTTCGCAGGTGCTTTTTGAGCTTCTGTTGCCCACCAATATCCGACCATCTCACCTTTGGCGTCTCAAGGAAAACCTCTCTCATTGCAGTGGGCCGAATTTCCAGCATAGCTTGGGTAATATCATCTTCAGAAATGGTCAACGGTGTAGCGTCTGGAACAGCATCTCCTGCCACGTCATGGGAGACTATCTTTGGGTTCAAAATCGAAAGATCATGAACAAGTCGGTCTCGTGCTCTGCGGCATGATATTTGGAGAAGAGCAAAAAGATCAGCACCAACATAACCATGCGTCTTCTCCGCCATGAGGTTTATTAGAGCATCGCTAGGCTCGGCTGAGCCGTCACGTATGGCAAGCAGAATCTCTCTTCTAGCTGTAGCGGTCGGCACAGAGATCTCGACCTCAACACCTAGTCTATGTGCAGTTCTCAAGGCATCATCAACGTTGTTGGGGTGACGCGTGGCTGCCACAACTAGAACTTTGTCTTTCCCCAATGAATCAATGCACTCGGAAAGAGCATGCGCCAACGAGAAGGCTTCTCGGGACATTCGTTTAGGGGCGATTGATTCAATCTGGTCGATAATAACAACGCTGGGTTGTGAAAAAGATGCATCCTTGAAGATTTGCCGTAATTGTCCTTCACTGCCACTGGAATTTATATCTAGCATGTTGGAACTAATGACAAATGTATTTTTCCAACCAGCAGACTGAATGCGTTGCAGCAAGGAGCTCTTACCTGTTCCTTTCGGACCATATATTAGAATTCCTCGGTTTGGTCTGTAGAAACCAGGCATAGTGGCTAACAGCCCCTCCGAATTGAAATCCACCAAAATTTGATTTAATTTGCTGATCTGACGCGATAATCCGCCCAAGCCTGATCCTTTAACTTCAAGGTTAACTGGATTCTCCACGATTTCCACATCGTCGCCAATCTTGATGGCAGAACGTTCTGTGAACCGAGATATGGTCTGAGTGGCAGCGCCTGACGTCGAGATATCAACGATTTTAAAGCTCCTACGTTGTCCCTTGAGTTCAATATCGAAGCCAAGGCCGACAGCAAGAATTTCACACTGTAGCAAAGGAAACTCTATTGACCATTCCCAATGTCCTTTATCGCCGCTAGATAACGGTCCATATTTCGATAATTTTTCTGAGCTTGTGCACTCTTGTAATTGTACCCTGTCCGCTATCTTAAGCTCGGTTTCCACTTTTGTGATAGTAAGCTTATCACCCAATTTGATTCCATAACAATCTTGAAGTGTGCTTGAGGCCTGGACCACGGTGTTTTTGATATCTCCGACGGCATTCCATGCAATAGCAGTCTTGCCGGGTGCCCCTTCCACATGAAGTAAACATACATTCCCAGGAGATAGCTTAAGGTATGCCAAAGACGTTGGTGATAGATATACACGAAACGACTCTCGCAAATCGCTCCGTGGCTGTTTCGCCAACGGCCGTACAGTGAAAATACGAGCCTCACTCATATTTTCAAAATTGTGCTGAACGGGGCTTTTTTTCTAGAAATATGTGAAAATCCATACATGGATAGTTTGACTGCGGGGCTATAAATTGAGTAACCTAGGGAAGGGATCTAATATAAGTTTCAAATTGTGATCAGGGATTTGATGATTTTATATGTGCTGTTCGAAATTTGTACTTGTGGAGACAATGCAGCTATTTGATTGGCCTTAGTGGACAGTCTGTACTAAACTCTCGTCATGTAATTTTCCCTGTATTCGTAATTCAAGGCACCATTATTACTTTCTCACTTTTGGGATACTTTGTGGTATTCGGGTACCAAGGCTTTAATAACCACCCATTGATATCTGTATTCTCACCTAAGGTTACTAGGGAAGCAAAAGAAAACGTTCCCAACAAAGACATATGATGACACAGAAGTAAAAGAACAAATGACGAGGTCACTCCCAATAACAAAATCAGCGACGATTGTATAACTAGCGCGACAAATGAAAACCATCAAGAAAGTATTATGGACAGGATGATAAATGAAAAAGAGCCAAAGAAAGCATTCCCAGTCCCTTCATCAAATACAAGATCTATAGCAATGGAAGAGAAATAAAAACAGGGAGAAAGATGTGCATCCACCAAAATCTCCCTGCTTAGAGTCCACAGCCGAGCCCTCAGCAGCACTTCCCCCCGAGATTGCTGTTCGTGCCAGTACTATGCTGATCTATGTTCACTCCTTGAGCGCCGGCTTGTTCCGCCTTTGAGCTATCCATAACTTTCTTGATATCTGTCGCTAGACTGTAAAATGCCTTGTCAACGTTGATGTTGTTCTTGGCGGAAACTTCAAGGAAAGGAATGCCTAATTCGTCGGCAAGTTTTTGGCCCTGCTCGGTTGATACTGCTCGTTTCTCCTCCCAGTCGCATTTGTTGCCAATAAGTATCTTATGGACGCCTTCGCTAGCATGTTGTTCCACGTTCGAAAACCATGTTCTGATGTCTACAAGCAGTCAATATTTTCGCAAGCTTCTCATATATCTGGAATGCTCACTGTTGAAAGATCGTTCATCCGTTACATCATAAACCAGAAGAATTCCCATTGCTCCTCTGTAATAGGCGGTTGTAATGGTTCTAAATCGCTCCTGGCCGGCTGTGTCCCATATCTGTAATTTGACGCGCTTGCCATCTAACTCGATCGTGCGAATCTTGAAGTCGATGCCAATGGTGGTGATGAAGGATGGAGTGAACGAATCCTCACTGAATCGCAGCAAGCAACATGACTTTCCGACGCCGGAATCTCCGATGAGTAGCAGCTTGATCTATAACAAAATCGGTGAGTAGAGTGAAGAAAGAAGGGTCCAAAATCCGAGTATCCTTACCAAGAAGTCATAGTTTCTCGTGCCCGCCATGATGGAGGGTATGGGTGGGCTCCTTTGGAGACGATATCACCGTGGCCTTTAGTGACGAGGTAAGACGGATCGGGTCAAAAAAGCGCCCGTACTCCGATGCCAGGGGGAAATCTGGCAGAAGGGATTATTTCTGATATTTCTGATATTCCTGATAGTGCTGGTTGACGAATCCGACGAGGCTTGGCTGGTCCTTTCCCAGGGGCTCTCAAGGTTTCGAATGACTAACCAAGCGCAGGAAGTTCAGATCGGCAGGGTGTATCAATACCCAGAGAGATGTATCGCAGGATCTGTAACGCGGCGGTAGGTACTCGTGGATCTAGAGTGGGATATTGCCTAGTGAAATATAGAATTGGGGTATGTTGTAGCCTGTGACAGCAGCTTGGAGATATCGTCGATAACCGGATTTCGGAAGGTCTTAGCGCCTGGGTAGGTGTGACCGACAACCTTTAAAACACGGACACGCGGACAACTCATGCGCAACCAGTCATATACCAATTACTATCTACACTTTATTGCCCGCATCAATTTGGGCCAGGTCTTTTTTTGTCTTTTGAGATTGCGATACATGCAATCGCTTATGATGTTTTCATACCATCTCAGCCTAAAACGCCTGCGGGTAAATTCTTGAATTTGTACGGACTGTGAGGTGGGAGGTAGTTCATGTCATGTTTCATTTTTTTGATTTTTTCTACAGAGACAAATTAATCGGTGTTACATATGAGCAACAAATTGAGATGACCTCTTCTTTGAATGGACATCAGATCCACCTGGAATACATCCATTGAATGCGGCCCACGACGTTCATTTGGGATTTCACCCCTTTGCCTACATCCATGAGGTCGGCTAGATCTTGTTTGAAATCACCTAAAACAGATCTTGGAAGCGTATATTGGGAACTTTGGCTCATGACGTATGCTTCGGATATGAACAATCCGTAATCTCTGTAGGATAAAATGCCTTTGGGTGTTGACGAGGCTTCACTCAAGATGCGATTGACATTCCTTTAGAGGCGAGCAAGTTAGCATGCTATGATCTACGTAATATATTGAAGCCGGAAAATCATACCGAATAGCACGCCTGATCCGTTGCTTCTCAGTACCGGCTCGGAAACCCTTTCTGTTACCGAGAAAGCTTCCGATTCCTCGAAGAGTAGCATACGACACGAGTATACCAGGGGTCAAGCCCACAAACCTGTAAACTGATTAGCTTTTACGTGAGAATATGACAGAGAACTGGAATTACTGACCCGAAAACAAGCTCCTGACTTTTTAGTAATGCGTCAATCCCCCCCACGGCTACTTCCACATCTACTTTGGTCTTCTGAATTTGGATGAGAAGGGCGCGAATAAGATCGCCCCTTATAGTGCCAACAAATGGTTTGCGTAGATCCCTTTCATAAGCCTTCAAGACAGCTGTCAAGTCGCCTTCTCTCACCTGCGCCGTTATCATCTCAACATCTGGCCCCGAACGTTCACTTGATGGAAGATGGTCAGAAACGAAGTCCACAACCATCCTTTCTAAGCTTTCCTGGTCTGCTTTCAAGCTATTCCTACTCATAATAGCAATCTCGCTTTGCTCATCGTGTCTGATGGTTCCGATAAGATCCTCAATCGGTTTTAGTACCCAATTCCCCCAGAAATCGATCAGGGTAGCTCCAAATTCGGAGATCCATGTCAGAAGTTCGGCTTTCCGGCTAGTAATAATGCGAAGCAAAGTACTCAGCGATAACAAAGCGCTTGAGGCTGGTATCCAATAGCGAACGATAGGAGACGGGCGCCCATGTTGACGCACCAAAACATTTGTTGATGTAGCATTGTCCTGAATTCGCACTTGCAATATAGAGACCAAGCGCTCGATAATATTGAGTGGTTGCAGAGTATTATTCTTCGTGGTTATATGTTGCTCGTTTTGAAATTGAGCGGCGATATTATTTGAAACATTACCCTCGAATTCTTTTAGGGAAGCATCGGAGTTTTTCAGGTGTTGAAGGACCGATTCCATTAATATTGTGCTTCTATGCACACTATTACGCCATTCAGAGATATTCACAGTTGATTTGTCTGAGAGTTGGTCTCCATTACCCAAGGCGAAAGATTCCTCTAGTAAAATACCAATGGCGCTAGCATTGAGATCCTTGAGTAGTTTGAGAGATTTCCGTTTTTCCCTAATTTGGGTTCTGCAGCGGGCAAAGGGGGATTTGACGGCATTTGTTGCATTTTGTGCGAAATTTTCTTGGACATTACGCTGCACCAATTGATAAAATTGGCTCCATACTTGAGTGACAGTCCTGGAAGACTGCCTAGTATCCAGCAAGTGAGTGTTTCTGAGGCCTACATACACCTCATATGCCCTGGACCACGCTCTCGAAGGCGCGGTTTGAAGAGTATAGTAACCAGTATAGAAGTTTGAGGTCAGAATTCCATCCCAATAGTCAATCTCATCGTCAATGGTCGATAAGTGTTTAAGCAATATATTCAGAATTACACCGAGAGTCTGCGCTGCAGCCTTTCCGGCAAAGACCCAGACAACCTGATAGACACTAGCATCGTCTGCCACAGCCTTATCATAAAAGATATCTTTATGAGACCGCTGGGTTTGAGTCAGCACGCCTAGCAGTTTGCGATGGTTAAGCAAGCCCTTGGAATCTGCTGATAAGCTTTGCACCAGGGCCTTGAGCCTGTTTATGGTTTGTATTGACGTATTAGGGTCTGGTATATTTGCATAGGCCTTTTCAGAGGACCCCCTCCTAGCCTGTTCGGCATCTTCGTCGATAAGCTGCAATTGAACTTTGTCAATGTTGACATCCAGCCGAGAAACAATCCTGTTTGTATCACATGTCAGATAGGTTGGACAGCACTGAAACAAAATATGTTATACCTCTCGACTATAGACATGGTCGGCAGACGTCGGGCTGTTAATTGGCATTGCTATCATTCAACAATGTCCCGTGGTGGCCTGATGGTTACACCTTGGTCGCCGAATAACATCATGTCATGGCCGCATCAAGGCAGTGCAAACGCTGCAAACACCCTTTGAAACCATGAAGGATGCTTTTGCGAACGCACAATTGCTTAGTTGTTATTAGTGTTAAAAATTAGTTTGCTGGAACAGGCTATCTCATATGGAGATCCATGGTCTCGTGTAGTATCCAATATATCTCGGTCTGGCATGCGATATGACTGACATATACCATGTATATGATACGATACTTCTCAGCTGATGCCGGAAAGCGCAGTGCCGGGCGAATGTGGGACGACGCGGAAGGAGGGATAATCCGCGCCCTGCACCTGCCCTGCGCGCTCGCACCACCCGGAACTTTGGAGGCAGACCATGGGCGATCAGGCACCTGCCAATCACGTCGCTGCTAATTGCGAGGTGCGGACTCGGCCTCCTTTTTCCCATAAAAATCTTGCCTTCGATCGACTGCCTATTTAATACTACTTCTCCCTCGCTGCACTTTGCCTCGCAGATAAACACGGCGATTGACTGCACATGTCCATCCGATTATTATTGTCACCCCTCACCTTTGCATTCGATTTCTCTCACAATGTACGAAACGCATTTCCCTTGCTTGTCGAGCTCTGTTTGCTAACTTTCTACCAGGAACGCCACCACACTCATGCCGGTCGCGGCGTCAAATAACTATTGGGACTCTTTCGACGAGGTTTCAAAATACAATGTCCACCTGAATTTCGCTGAAAAACTCTGGGCCGCTTGGTACGCCTACATGCAAAATGATGTCCTTGCAACGGGTATTATGTCGTTCGCGATGCACGAACTGGTTTATTTTGGCCGGTCTCTTCCATGGATCCTCATCGATAGTTTTGGACTTTTCAGGCAGTATAAGATTCAAAGTGTAAGACTGCGTCTTTGATACACGTCCAAAATCATGCTTATTCATTCGTAGGATAAAATCCCTACTGCAAGAGAACAATGGAATTGCGCAAAGTTGGTGCTTCTCAGTCATATTACCGTCGAACTTCCTCAGATTTGGTCAGTATCATTTACAAGATTAGCAGCTCATAGCGTCACAACTAACATTACCCAGGCTTTTCCACCCTATGGCTCAATACTTCGGACTCGCTACAACAGTTCCATTCCCATCTCTCTGGACCATGGCATATCAGATTGCAGTCTTCTTTGTTTTGGAAGATACATGGCACTATTTCTTACACCGAGCGCTACACTGGGGGCCGCTATACAAAGCTATTCATAAGATCCATCACCAGTATTCTGCCCCCTTTGGTTTGGCCGCTGAGTATGCTTCTCCTATCGAGGTGATGATCCTCGGCTTCGGAACTGTTAGCTGCCCAATCCTCTGGTGCGCGATTACAGGTGATTTGCACATCTTGACGATGTATATCTGGATTGTACTACGTTTGTTCCAAGCTATTGACGCCCATAGTGGCTATGAGTTTCCATGGAGTCTTCATCATTTCCTGCCATTCTGGGCTGGAGCCGACCACCACGATGTTCACCATGAGAAATTCGTTGGGAACTTTGCCAGCAGCTTCCGTTGGTGGGACTATGTGCTTGACACTGAGTATACTCCCGAATCTGTGAAGCGATGGCGCGAGAAGAAACAAGCGAATGCTACTAGCAAGAAAGCAAACTAGAGAGCATATTTTGTTTTAATATTTGGGGCAGTGTTGACGACCAGGAGGTCCAGATTATGCCAATACTTCATGGTGAACGAAGAACTGTACTAATCGTGTTGTGCCTAAGTGCACAAAAAGCTTCTATATTTTTTGCTGGTTGATATGACACCAGCCCATAGTCATTAGATTAATACGAATTAAATGTACATATGCATTTTTTGATTCTTGTTGCATATTCTTTGCTTCATTTGGGCTGACATACGTAAGTTTTTATAATGTGAAATATTTAAGAATGACAAGTCCTTAGGAAAATAACATGCTTATATCTTGTACCGTTGAATACCCCGGTAATAAACGTAATTACAATCCAGGCATTTTGCTAGCGGCCGGTGCGAGGCTCCGCCTGCGACGCATTTGGCACCAGAGCTCTTGATACATTCCTTGGTGTCACGAGCTTATCACCACCCCTTCATGCTGTTAACCACAACCCAACTCGCAGTCTCAATAGACAGGCCAATCCAGTCGAGTTCAGTCGCGTTCAGTGTAATACATAAGCAGTATGTCAGCTCGGTCGCCTTCTCGGGACTCACCGCGCCGATCATTGTCACCGCGTTCGCCCGCCAAGCATAGTCGCAGCCCAAGCCAAACACGCAGCTATGGAGGAGGAAGGTCTCGAAGTCGCTCGTTCTCACGAGATCGTGATGATTCACGAAGCCCTAGGCGTGGGGGTGGTCGATGGCCGCGAGATCGAAGTTACACACGAAGCCCTTCTCCAAGAAGTCCCAAGAGGAGCTCTAAGGTGAGTCTTTGTGTTTGCTGTGATTGTGGTTTTCATTACTGACGTTCCTGGGATTATAGATTGTTGTGGAAAAATTAACTAAGAATGTGACTGAAGGACACCTGTACGATATTTTTGGGACCTTCGGGACTATCCAAAATGTCGACCTTCCTCTGAATAAAACATGTAAGACTGCACCCATCGTAAGCTTTTGAGATTACCATTGACTTTTTCCTGTTCAAGTCATGACGAACAGAGGCACCGCTTATATCCTATTCGAGAATTCCGCAGACGCTGAGGTAGCAGTATCCAGCATGCACGAAGCGCAGGTTGATGGAGCCATTCTGAAGGTTTCTATCGTCTTACCTCGACGAGCATTTTCAAGGAGTCCGCCACCTGCGAGACGGCCTGCCGCGGACGATGGGGTGTTTGCGCCGGGTAGACAATCATTTCACCATGACCATCATGCTGGTGGATTTTCTCGTGCGTCACCACCCAGGCGACGGTCTCCAAGGCGCCACGCTAATGGCAACGCACCATCACGACACGGCACGTACCGTCCCCCGTCGTTGTCACGATCTCCGTCCCCGCGACACTCGAGACACCGGTCTCACTCGCCGGCCTCTAGCCCTGGGTCTCCTGCACGAAGAAGAGACTCCAGGAGAAGCCCAAGGCATCGCCGGCGGAGAAGTCCGAGTTACAGTAGCTACAGTGCGAAAGGTGGCTACAGCAGTCTCTCCGACAGAAGTCGAAGCCCAAGTCGAAGCAGAGGACAGAGACCAGCTCCCAGACGGAGATAGAGTTTACTTCTAACTTTCAAAGGAATGATCCTAGGTAGGTATTGGATCAAATCTCTGGCGTATAGGAGCGCCAAACAATCGAGAATTCTAGTGCATCCCTGACTACTCTTTATCATTGAGATTCCTACGTTGATGCTCTTTGATAAATGATTGAGAACAATCTTCTATAGATTGTGGTTCTAAAAGTCTATCCATCAGAAAAACGCACACCAACCAATATACATGGCAGCCAGGTTCTTTTTATCCGTGGCTTGTATTATCAATTCATCGACATGGCCATCAACAGACAGTGGAACTGACTGGCGAGGCAATAACCCCCTTAGCTTGTTTCTGATGCACTCAAGCACTCCTTCGGGTGTATCTGGAACATCTTTATGGGTTTTTCTCTGTATGATATCGATGCATTAGTGAATGAATAGTAACAAATGGACATCAAAAAAATGCGGTGGTTTTCAACTTGCCTTTCTCCCGATGAAATCGGTTGTTGGGTCATATAAAAATGTTTCAAGAATAGTCATGAGTGCGTCCTCGTTCTGACGTAGAAGGCCCAGCGTTATTTCACAAGTCTTTCGGAAAGGCCCTGAAATGAAATTAGTTTGCTATCTTTGTACGATGTATATCGTCTCAACATGTCAAGGGGTTAAGATAGCTAAGGTGAATAATAAATTACCATTGTAACCATATGCCCCAAAGGCATCCACCATGTTGTGAGTAAGACGAAAGGGGACCACCTCGGGTTTATCGAATGTCAACCCCTAATCACATTATTAGCTATTCATATATTGCTTTCGGTTATACTTTCGAGGTTGTTACCTTGTCGAAAAGACAATTGAAGTCTACATGCAATACGCCCCCGGTGCCTTCTTCGAAAAGTATGTTTTCACCATGACGATCACCCAGACTAAATCGCATCCTTTATTAGATAATTTTTAAGGCATTGTGGCTCGATATACTTACCCAAGAACATGCCCGACCATTGACATGACAGCACTGGTACGGGTGTATCTCATCCTCGCTGCCAACCAAGCATCTGGATCCGGAAACATTTCAACAAACCACTCATGCAAAACTGGTGGAAACCTTGACAGTCATGTTAGAAACTGGGTTTCCTTCCTTGAAAAAGTCTTTGTGATGAGGCACTCCTTACTTTGCTAATATCTTTGTTGTAAAAACCGGTAAGTTTTCCTCGTTGGAACAGGCCTCATTCAAGTAATGTCTGATCTCATTGTACTGCCAGTGCAAGTTAGTCGGCTGGCTACGAAAGATATACGCCAGAACTCACATTTGGTGCAATCCCCCTTTCCCGCAGAAGCTTGGTTACGATTTCTCGAAGCGTGCGCAGATTATCAACCCATTCAATAAGCCCACATTCCTCATTCAATGGTGTCACGGCGTAGGTTTTAATGTCTTTTAGAGGTTAATTGTGCTTTTTGCTAAGCACGTTTAAGGGGTGTAGTGGACTCTTACACATTCGTCGTTTGAGTGATTCACCATTTCTTTTCAGAAACCCATTGATCATATTGTTGAACTCCATAAGGCGCTGATCTTTTCGGAGGTCATCTTTGGGTTTGCATAAAAGGTTATATACTTTTCCGTCCGTGCCTTGAATGCTGATTTTGCGAGGCTTTTGCAACGAATTTAGGACTGTTGCATCATCCAGAACCTCTTTATAGCTTTATATCAGTACTATGCTCAATGCATAAGCTGCCATTTGCAAGGAACACTAACTCTCTATGCTGACAACGTCTCCTGGGAAAGGACGAAATTGTGACAGAAATTTCTTGTCATGGGAAGGAGGTAAGATTGGCGTTAGCATAGTTTGAAACGGAACAACAAGACGGCATGGAGCCACTTTGTGATTGAAGCCCAGGGATCGCGCCAAGCTGATCTTCGACACTTTTTCTTCTACCGGGGCAACGCATAGCCTGAGTAACTCATCGGAGAACTTTTGGCCTTGATTTACCATCGACCGGATCTCAGATGCTGAGATGCTACCTCGATCTTCCCTCTTAGTACCTTCCTTTTTTATGAATTAGTATATTTCAGAATAAGACAAAGGTTGTATTTAAGGCCATGACGTACCACAATCTTTTGAAGACATGCTATTCCTTTTGAGGCGCGGTCTTTTGAAGATGACTTGACCAAAGCTAGAACAGTCCAAAGGCCCTGGCGCGGAAAGTGTGTGATGGTTTTGACTACTATGCCGGTCAATATCTCTGATACCATGGAATTAGAGTGGGATATCCGAGCGACCACTTGTGCAAGAACCGTGAAGAGCTAAGTAAGGGCGTCAGCAGCAGTGACACAAGAATCCCTCAAAAGTTGCTAATGAGGACTTACCACTTCAGCAGGTATGCGAATGGTATATTTTTTCAGTTGCGCATGCATGTCCTTTAAAGTCTTCTTACGTTGAGTAGAAACCTGTCTTTGAAACTCGCTAGTAGCCTATCAGTGATCACGCTCCAAAACCCCAGACACAATTTTCTTACGCGTTTTCACCTCTCCTTGGGTCAAAGGTTTGATCTATATTAGATGCATGTTCCAAAAACAAAGTGAGCACTTTGGGCAAAGTTTGGAAAACAAATTTGTTTCCATTGGCAAGGGATCGCAGGTAGTTATCTATGGCAAGTTTCGAAGCTTCGCCGCTCAGACTAGAAATTCGTTAAAAGAAATCACAAGAGATGTATGGAGTCTCACTCACTAAATCTGTGCCTCCTTTCCTGGTGGTTTCGCCCTTTCAGACTCAATTATCTTGTTGTAATGCTTTCCAAGATAATAATGAGCCTTTTCCCACCTGCCGAATGTTAACCTTCATTACTGGGTAGATGTAACATGGTCCATTTACCTGGCATACAATCTGATCGCTTCCCGATATCTCTGAACTATAACATCCGAGTGAGTTTGTCCAGATCGGTCCGTCCATTTCGCAAGTAGCAGATGAGCCTTTTTTTTGTGTCAATAGAAGGTGTTTATAAAATTCTAACATACACCTAGAACAACGGAACAAGGTCACATACCTTCGCGGCAGGAATATTTTCTTTTTGATGACGATCTCTAGTGATTGAGATTGACTCAGAAGTTGATAATTCGTAGTCATGAGCGATGAAAGCGTTGGCATCTATTGCACCCTTCAAGTCCTGAATAGCTTTGCGATGATGACCATCCTTCCATAGGAGACGAGAATGTTCAATAGAAGCTGATTTTGCTTTCAACTGAGCTGCGTGCATGACAGAATTATAAGCAGGTCCTATATGGCCATTCTTTCGAAAAAGGCGAGCACTTGTAAGCCACACAGCAGCTATATCCTGTTCCGAGAATGCATTCCTATTTAGAATTAGCGTGTTGAATGCTTATTAAATAATGAAGGGATGTTACTTACGAAAGCCCCATAGCGGCCCGTCTCAGTCCTAGAAGATATTGTTTCTCCGAAATGTACACACCTAGTAGATCTAGCCGGTGATCTAGAGCATCCATAAGCTTGGTTTTGGCTTTTGCTGTTTTGATATCTGCATCCACGATGGCCTCAACTTCCGAGAGAGCATGAAGTTGGAGCAACTCATCATGGCATGACTGTAAAGACATTGTTGAAGAGGTCGACATTGACTTCGTTATGTTAAGTCTTAAATTTTTGAGGCTTTCACGAAAAATGTCTTTCTGGCCATTCCGAAGAGCATTTAGTGCGGATGCTATGCCAACAGTAAAATCGCGGGTGCTTTCTTGGACAGAAAGAGTCAGATATTCGTCTAGCTTGGCCCATTTCGCGGACCAGAGAGAAGCTTCAACAGCAAATGGAAGGAGCTTTCTTGAGTATGTTTCTGATCTCCGAAATGTCTCAAATTTATTGAGAAGTGCATCTACCAAAGTTTGCATTGTGAGCGTATCGAATATGTACCAGGAAAGGAAATTTTTTACCTTGCTGCCCAGACTCCTTGAGGCAGGTAAGTAAGTTCAGTTGCGCCTCGCTGTTGTCAGGCTCCTCGTCTAGCTGCAATTCATACCAGCTTTGAGCAGCTACCAATCTCCCCGTTTTGCGGTACTCCAAGACTTGTTGGTCGACATTAAACACATGCAAGTGCGTGGAAATTCCTTCTATGCCATCCGGTTCGTCGATTTGCGTATATATATCTTGAAGCCGTTGGTAGAGTGATTCTAGCTGTGTGCTACTAGAGTCCTCATCAAAGCTGCTCCTGTGCTGTCGAATGTACTGTTCCCAATGGAGTAGCGCTCTGGAAAATGACTTGCATTCAACAGCTCTCTTTGAGATTACCTCAGGAGGTATAGAAGATAGAATTTGCTCGACGTTCTTAATCTGTATTGATGAGAGTTCAAGCATCATTTCTGCTTGGGCGCGATTTCCAGAGGAATGACTAGCTAATATAGCGTGCTGCTTCTTTTTCCCTTGCACCCATCTCGACAAATAATCTATAACGCTGAAAACGTTCTGCCAAATTCCATTATGTTAGCTGAGACCATATTTCCATAAATGGTGATCTGGCTTACCTCACTGCAAAGAAGAAGATTCTCCCTCATACTGGTATTGTTTTCAGGTGATGGGAAAGACAGGATGCGTACCAGCTCCTCCCTTACTTCTTGTCGATGCTGCTCGGGGCCATCAGCTGCAACATTCAACACGGCAAATGGTAGAAGAAAAGATGGGATTCTTATGTCTTGACCGCGAATAATTCTAGCACAAACTGAAAAGATAACTTGCACATTGAGACTGTACCCCTTGTGCAAAAGATCTGCTGTGAATTTACGAAGCCAATCGCCATAGCTCATGTTGGGCTTAAATAGCGGGTATTTGTACTCGTCTTTTGCGGCGCCTAAAGTAATGGCATATCTTGACGTAAGAAATGGAGTGACTGTATTTCTCACGGTTTCAGGCAGACCAAGCCACTGCTGGTGTCTCTCGTCTTTTTCGAGATCGTTAGATGGTGCTGTGATTTCCGTGGTAATTTGACTGGCGCTCATGAGAGCTTGCATGCCATAGGCAAGAAAGCTTTGAGCACGTGTATTGGATGCTGATAAAAATGCATCGACAAGAACATTTTGCAGAAAAAACATCGTGAATCTGAAAGTTTCTTCTGTTCGAGCAAAATTTGATAAAACGACGATGTCACTTTTCTCACCGATCACTTCGACCCTATTCGGGTCCAAGCATCCTATCAATCCAAGAGCACGCGCCGTTAGCATGGCGATTGTGTTGGCGTTGGATTGAAATTTCACACAGCAGTCAAGAAGAGATCTTGTCAAGCGCGAAATGCCATTATTATATTGGCCATTGACGAATGTCCTATGCAAGAGCTCATCATTATCGCGCAAAAATGGAATAAGTTCTCTGAGTGATTGTTCAACAACTGTCGTACATTCACTCTGACAGCGGACACTGAACGTTACTAGGCGCTCACTTATGTCTACATCACCTCTCAAATTAGTTATTTCGTTCTCAAAGTGAAACATCTCAGGAATGGTTAGGAGAGATGGTAATGTCTGAAAGATTTCTCGTAGTTGGTAATTGTGGTGTTGAAGCAAGTGGTCGACAAGGCTTACTGCCTTTTGTTTGCTATTCTCTTGCATTCTTTGCCAGTATTGGAGGATGATTGCAATAGACTGGTCAGTAAGACTCTCAACTACCTCAGGTTGGAGGTAGGTGATGAGAGTACACCAAACCGAGAAAGCATGGTCACATAGCTCCTCGACTTCGAGGGAAGATCTGAGACAAGCACAAATCTAGATCATTGTTAGATAACGTCTTGTTTCTTTTTATTCGTTGCATGAAATACCTGGGGAATGGCAGCATTGACGTGATCTCTAGCAAGCTTTATCATCTCTCCAATGGCGATAATATTGCGTTTCTTCTCTATGACGGGGTATCGCGCGTGTAAATCATTCACTGTATCCACAAAGTCTGCAATGAGACCGAAAAGATGCTCTTCTACAAATGGTCCAATTTCAGAGGAAGCCTTGGAGCTTGAAGAGCCTATGCCTCGTCGTTTAGGGGTCAGGTTTGCAAGAAGACCGAGAGCGTTATCAAACTTTAGTATTTTAGTGATTTGAGTCAACAGAATGTAAATAATGGAGAGGGTTTACCCTTGAGTCTTGATTACCACCAGCATCACCCATATTTTTCAAAAGCTCCCGAGTGATAGGGATAGGTTCAGTTTTAAGCAGCATAGTTACTGAAGTACTCTGGAATCTAGAATCAACCTGCACCAACAAGGAGTATATCATGCCCTCATGATCTTGTGCAAGCTGACTGAGCAAAAATGCTATGATCGACGCTAAATTGTTTCGTTCCATACAAAGTTCAAAGCATGATTTAGACGGATAGGTAGCTGCGATTCTTGCAATAATGTCCTGTCGGCGGGTGTACACAAGGTATGGCAATGTATGAACTTCGGTAAAACGAAGAAAGTTATCGACTGACATTCCTAAGAGGTCACAAAGTTGCTCTACCATGTGTGGGCGGCTTCGGAGATTCTTGATCACTGTAATTGACAAAGATCTCCAGAATGGACGAAGCAAACTTGCAACAGTGGTGGATAGCCTTTGCGCAACTTTTACAAGCTGCAGCCTGCACATTAGATAATGAACTTCAAGGACAGAGAGATATATGCTTACCTCCGTATAAGCTACTGCGCATATATAGGGGTTCGTATGTCCGAAATATTCGAGAAGACGGAGAAGAATAATGTTAAGCTCTTCGTCTTCAGATACTCTACTATAGTTAGAAAGCAGGGCAAAAAAAATTGACCGTGGAAGTCATTGACGCACTCTGCCAGTCTGCACAGTGTAAACACGCAAGTTTCTTGAGAAGGTATATCTGTCCGCTCAGAAACGCTCTTCAGACACTCAAGAATTATGACGAAATTTTGCCGTCGAACCTCGGCATCCACAGGCTTGCGAAGAAAACAAGGAAGGGTATATCTTTCTACATATTAGAGTTCTGAAACAGGACGTGGAATGATCGTACGCACCCGGCTACGACCCGCAATTCTCTGGACGAGGCCTTTAGCGAATGAAGGCACATCTCTCCCAATACCGAGGATTTAAGTGACAAGCGTGTGGTCTCAGGTTCATGGTAAAGAAATCTCCTGACCGCAAGTAAGGACGCTATGCGTAAAGCTGAGTTACGTGATACCGTGGGTATCAAATCTGAAAAGAGACTTCGCAACTCGTCGGCATGAGTGCTATGCCAAGGCGTAGAAACTTGAGATATAGCTCGCTCGGAATCACATATTTGGCAATGGAATGAAGTTGGTTCTGCATCAGCGATTGTAGATTGATCCGATTGATGCCAAACTGCCGCGCAGGGTATATTTGCAATCAAAGTGAAAAACTCTTGTTTCAGATCCTCGGAAAGATTCGCATAATTTTCCCTTTTCACCTCTCGTCAGATCTAAACAAAAGTTGAACAACAAAGAGAACGTACCTTGCATAGCGCATAACAGTTTGAAACTCCATCCACTCACTGCATCCAAAAAGTTCGGAGACTTTCATCATGGTTTTCTGAAATATGGTGATTTCGTTGAGACATCCTTGAGACGCCGAAAGTCGAATGCGTTTAGCTGCTCGTTTTTGAGGCTCATTCCCTTTAATATAAGTAAGCATGGCAGCGAGAATACAGAAAGGTAATGTTGTTTTCACCTTGTGCATCACTTGCATCACCTTCTTTATCCAATCCATGGGCACTTAGAATCGCTTTAACGGCATTCTGAACCGTATATAGTTAGAAGAGGCTCAATCAGTGGGATATCATGAACAAATCACCTGAATTGTTACTGATGTATTCAAAATAGACTCGTTGTCATCCAATAAAGTTGCAAATTTAGGAAGGAGAATGTCTTCAACATCGATCCTCATTGCCGTGGATGTACTTTCCAATTTCAGTACATCATCAAGGCAACTGGATAGAATATGCTCAATTTCTGGGTCTTGAAAGAGAAGCTTCTGAGACATGCATGCAACGAGACATTCGCTGAGCATTTTGCTCGCTTGAGCCTCGAGGCGTCCTATATTCGGGGTCGCCAGGAGCCTTTTCATTGATTCCCCGGAGAATTGAAGAAATTGTGCAGCTATGTTTCTCACCTCCTGCCCCTTGCTCACTCCAGTATTTCGCAACCAAGAAGAAATGCAATTCCAAGTTTGACGAGATAGATTTAGCGCCGTTACAGAGTCTTGTGTGATTCCTGCGATGGAGAAGTTGCTTTGCTTCACAGTAACACTTGGGATCATAGCATTGAGAATGCAGAGAAGTGTGTGTGTTGCCTGACTGAAATCTCCAAGGGAGATGGTTGTTTGAAACAGTTGTCGAGGTACACTCAGCTTCATTACTAGATCTTCATTTATTGGCCCGGTCATACTGGGTAGCACAATGCTGGCCGCGTTAGATACCGGAACACCGATCGCTTCTAAGGAGCTTAGGATATCTAGAATAAATGATTATCTCAGTTAAATGTTACCGAATATATACTGTCTGCCTACCTACCAGTGGCCATGACACGGAGGATCGTAGAAAAAGAATTCCGAGGAGAAAATGATCGAGACATGTCATGTTGAACAAGTGTCATTAACGAAAGAAGGTCTCTAATTTTCCCTTCTACACTAGTAAGTCGCACTTTGGCGCTCAAGCTGACTAACAGTACTGCCAACCACGCATAGAAGGGCAATGGTGTATCTCGACCTAGAACCTCCGGCTCAAGGTTCTCGAGCAAAGCACGGGGAGAGCTTTCAACAAGAAGCTGGACAATATTCAAGCAGTCAGAAAGATGTCGTTCTGTCTCACTTCCGGTAAGTATGTCTCCAGGGGGGACATTATCAGAAGCAACTTTCAATGCAACACATATCAAGGATAGAGTGTCTTTGACATTTTCACCAAGTTTTGGAAGAGCACCAGAAGTTTTCTCGATCAGCTCTTTTCGTAACTGTGAAATAGTATTATGTGCATCTGACGAGAGCCGATTTGATAGTCGCGCGTTCAACATGGAAGAAGAAGGCTCTGCAGAATTATGAGGGTTCCTATTTCCTCCGTCTGGCTCCCGCAGCCTTCGTGGTGCAACCCCGGCCATGTTTTACTGTTACTCGTTTCCATGAAGCTCTCATACCATTCAGAAAGCCGATGACGAAGAGATTTACAGTCTCATGTTGGCCATTCTTGAAATATAAAGGTCAACGGGGGCGCTAAGAGAGTAGCTGGAGAGAGCTGCAAAGGCCAAAACAAAATAATACTAGCGGGGAGAGCGCAGGGTGGAGCCTGGACCCACCTGGCTTTAACCTATCTGGACTATTTTGCAGCATTTATTCTTATTTTCTGCACATCACAACATAATGATTTTGTGGTTAAATTGACCGATTAAGCATATCTCAATTCATTTGGACAATGGCGAACTGAACTTTTCACTTGGCTTTTCCCTCATGGTTTGGGATTTCGGTTTTCCTTGTACAGCAATACGGGATTGAAAACCTAAGCAGCCGTCCTGATATTTCTCAATATTTCTCTCCGGATAGACCGTTACGCACGGTAGTCTGTATACCCTGACCTGTATATTGAATAGGAAGGAACGTACAAGATGGATCTACGAGAAGAATATGAAAATGGTAAAGAAAACAGTGATGATGTCGGGAAACATGAATTTTTCATGAAACAAGCACTGCTCATGGTACTTAGCCCATTACCGTGTAGAATGAAACACCAACTTACTATGTGGCCTAGGGCGAGAGAGCTCTGGAAGTTGGAGAGACCCCCGTGGGGTGTGTTTTAGTGTTGGATGGCAAAATCATTGGCTCCGGGATGAATGATACTAACAGGTCCATGAATGTAGGTCTACTATGTGAGGGAGAGATATAGTCCTTATGTTCATCTATAGAGATATACTAATACGGTGATTGAGTAGGGCACGAGACATGCAGAGTTCTTAGCGATTGAAGAAGCACTTCAAACCTACCCCCAGTCTATCTTTTCAAAAGTTGACCTTTATGTGACGGTTGAACCGTGTGTGATGTGTGCATCACTTCTGAGACAGTATAGAATCCGTCAAGTTTACTTTGGCTGCGCCAACGACAGGTTTGGCGGTAATGGAAGTGTTTTGTCCTTGCACTCGGAGTTAGTGATCTTACGAGCATCAACTGGTGTCGAAGCAAATTCTGACGAAGAGCCTCAATTAGTTCTAGTGTAGATCCGCCTTATCCAGCACACCAAGGAATCTTTCCCAAAGAAGCGATTATGTTGCTCCGACGATTCTATATCCAAGAGAATACAAACGGTAAATTCAGTCAAACAAAAACATGCTATATTCGTGCTGATGTTTGTGACACAGCACCTAATCCGCGACCAAAGCGAAATCGCGAGCTAAATATGGACTTCTCAGATGAGGGTTAGGAGAAAACAAAGATACGGAGGAAAGAAAAAACGCGACTCCACTATTGCCTAGTAGTAAGCCGATTTTTAAAGCGTTGAGAAATCATGTGATTCGGACATGTTGTTATATAAATACATGCGACAATAGCTGGTAGCCTGGTTGATTTCTGAGAATGTCACAAATTACAGGCTTCACTTAGCCAAACGCTCCGATTCAAGCTCCCTCTCGGCTTGCTGGTAATATTTCGCTGTATCTACACCGTGCTGAGGGGAGAAATTAGAGCAGAACACACAATATCACACAGCAGACTCACCTGATTGTGGTTAACAAGGTTGAACCATGGAATGACGTGAAGAAATAACCCGGAGAAACGAGAGTTGCGGGTAGCGACTCCTTGTAGATATTCTGATAATTGGGATGTGCCGTATAGCGGTTCGCCTTTCTTGACCTTGTCCACCATTTCGCGCATATCAATTTGAACCTCTCGTGCGTTTTCTGTGAAGCCGTAGAAGCGATCTTTGGCCAGCCGTTAGATACCAATGTGGACCAGGGGAGGCGAAGCGTACTTATAGATCTCTGATAAAAGATGTGCAGGCCTCCAAGAAGACCAATTGCCGTAGCCAGACGCATAACTGGCGCAAAGCCTCCTTTTCCAACATGAGACGGGCTGACTCTCTCCATCACCCAGAAGGCAATGGGGGATGCGGCAGCCATGCTTCCACCGACGGCGTAATCGGAAGGCCTGGCGTAGCCGAAAACTCTTTTGATATGTCTATATGAGGTCAGAATGTATCAATTCGGTACGGGAATCGTTCTCTTCGTACGGATCAGAATCAATTAACTGGATGGAGGTTGTCAGTATAAATCAGTCGGGACGTGTGGATTGACTTCTAAATTACCGGGTAGTCGGTCTTGGTCCCTTTTGGGGGGACCAAAACCTTTGGTGGTTGGGTGGCCATTGTGTTCAACAAGTTTGCTGGCCAGGGATTCGGAATAGGACTGCAAAGGGCCTCGAAGACACTGAGCGTATCGTGAGGGACGGATGCTTCATGCAGTCTTGTGGTTTGGCTTCTCGTCCCGGCTACCCCCGATTGGGGCTAGCTCTTGTGCTAAGCTCGGTCGCAGACACTAACCATGTATAGATGCGCTTGCCCAGTTAGGCTAAATGTCGCGTCGTACGCCGCCCGTCGCGGGTCCCTGCCACAACACGAACGATGTTCCATGGCAGGATCTGACAGAAGCCAGAAATGAAGATTCATGGCAGATTAAAATACCGCCAAAATGTCTGACGTTGATGATTTGTTTGACTATGATGTTGGACTGGACGAAGTCTTAAAGAACTTGCCAACTGTTCAGAATAACGATGCCTCGAATGCTTCGAAAGATATTGACTTGCCTGATTCCGGCGCAGTGTTAGGTCTAGACGCAGACTTGAAGGTCACCAAGCAAAGAGCACCAGTGGCTAAACTTGATGCAGCTCGGTAAGGATTAGAAATGAAGAACAATAGCAATCACTCAGTCTAACATTTTATACAATCAACAGTCTCCTCTCACAGAATGGCATTCCTAAATTGCGAAAGAACGCAAGGTCTAAATTGAGACTTAAAGGCAAAGGCCACGAAGTCCGTCTCTACTTTTTATATATTTATCAATAATTTGCTGAATTCTCTAGTTCTCCGACCTAGGTCGCCTCCTCAATTTCTATCAGCTTTGGCTGGATGATCTATACCCACGGGCCAAATTCGCAGATGGCCTTGCTATGATCGAAAAATTGGGGCACACTAAGCGTGTTCAGATTATGCGTAAAGAATGGATCGATGAAGACAAACCTGATCTCAAAACCTATACATCCCCGTCACAAACTAGTTCCAACGAACCTGAAAACACGCGAAAAGAGGATGGACCAGGAAATGATATCGATGACCTTTTAGCTGAATTGGAGGGCCCAGAAGACCCTAACGCGTTATGAGCGAAGATAGGAAAGCTTTATTGAGAACAGGCAGCTTCTACAAGCTACGCAGCCAAGATGAAAGATAGGGCAGGGGAGTTACTCCGAGAGATTTCCTACATAATTGTCGGAGTATTGGGATAGCCTGGGCTCCTCTGCGATGAAATCTCGTATTGGTGGAGAACCATCATGATCTACACAATCATCGAAGTGATGCTTTGGGCTCGCGAATATGTTTCAGGCAACACATGAGTATTTGGTTTAATCTAATCTCAGAAGCATGCTTCTCTCACCATCACATTACCCAACAAGTTGTTTACAGGCCGAACAATCATCATGCATCTTTACTTGTTGTTCCATGTCCCAACCACATCGTCCACCAATCCTCTATACTCCCTCTGTTTGAAACATTGCTCGAGGAAAACCTTGTATTTCACAGCAAGGAGAGCCTTTTCATGGGCATCCGTCGTGGGGGAGACCTTTCTGCCTGGTTTGCTCATCTTGTCCATGATAGCCCACAAATCCTCAGTCCTGCCTTCTGCATCTGCACTCGCGGCTTTGGCGCCCAGCATAGCAGCGCCGTGGCAAACTGCAGCCTGAACGTAACGTGGGATCAGGACAGGAACGTTGCAAGCTGACGCGATGAGTTTCACCAGGATTTCATTTTGGCATTGAGACCCAGACATGAATATAGAATTAATGTTATGGCCCGCGTTGTTCAGTGTTTCCACGATCTGTTTGGTTTGTAGTGCAATGAATTCCAATGTAGCATAGTAGTAGATGGAAAGCCCGTCTACGGATTTGTCACTCGAAAGTCCGATAACAGCTCCCGACATGGACGGGTCAGCGATCGGAGAGCGGTTCCCAAACAGATCACCGTAGAAGAAGAAATGACGACCCAGGTATGAAATGCTTGGGGCTCCCTGATCTTCCATCATTTCCTTCAAATGCTCATTGAGGTACTCGTAGATATTTGTGTGGTACGACTCAGCAATCGAGGTTGCTTGATTGAAGGCGGGATGTGTTTCGATGACGTGCTTGAGTAGCTCTCCAGTAGCAGATTGTCCACCCTCGGCCATCCAGAACCCAGGCAAGATAGTGTCTCGGTACGGACCCCATACACCATTTACAAACACAGGGTTGGGGGACATAGCGAGATGACAAGTTGAAGTACCGGCAACGGCTGCTAGACGGCTGAAGGCCTGGGTACGGTCGTTCGATGCGACTTCCGAGTCTAATTGATCGCCATCCAGGTTGACTTTTGCACCAACAGTGCCAATCCATCCTGCATATGCATCTATGACACCGCTACCAATTGCGATTCCAGAGGGAAGCCCTAGATCAGCAGCAGCCTTTTCGCACAAGGTACCCACGAGTTCTCCGGCACTCAAGTACTCACCATTCTGAATGACATATATGAGTTAGCTTCTTGGTGATAACAAGAGAAAACAGCGGTCGATCGAATATGTGCATAGCGAAAGAAAAGGCTCACCACCCCGTTGACTCCTCCCATGCGCTTGTAATCCTCAGCCACGAGATCTTCAAGGCCAATTTCGTTGAGGAAATCGTCCTGCCAGCCTTTTACACTCCCATCAACCCCAACTGGGACGAAACCTTGTTTACAGACAACACTGCAGTAGCTTCGCTTCTCGTTTCCAGTGGCGATATGAGTCAAAGCATCAGCAAGGTCGTAGAATTTGCATTTGTCGAAAAGCTCCTTAGGCATGTTGTTTTTCAGCCATAGAACCTTAGGGATTTCCATCTCAATAGACATTTTCCCGCCTACGTAGCGAAGAAGGTTATGCTCTGTTGCATTGATCTTTTCTGTCTCTTCGACGGGACGATGGTCGAGCCAAAGAATTACGTTACGGTCAGTGTCAAAACTGGGTCCTGTCACAGATACAGGCTCGTCAGTCTCGGTAGAAAACACAGCCAGCGAGCAAGTAGCATCAAAGCCAATGCCACGAATCCACGACGGGTTGATGTTATGCTGGCTGATAGCTCTCTGCACCGAGATACAGATGCATCGCCAAATATCAGATGTGGATTGCTCCTAGATAAGAAACACTAGTCAGATATTCAAGTCGAGAGACCAGTCTTGCAGATATCACGTACATAATATCCTTGCTGAGGCTGCCATAAGCCGATATTTTCAGAAGCCAGTCCAACAATGTCGCCCTTGTCGTCAATAATACAAGCGCGAGCACTTCCAGTTCCAACGTCGATTCCAATGTAGTAATCCATTTGGACCTGGATGCCGTTTCGATCATCCATAGAAGCCTGCCGCGATGTCTGTCTTGACGGGCGACGATACGGAAGAGAAGCCATGGTTTAAGACTCAGGAAGTGACGGCCTAGTAGTACGAGTCCACGTAGTTGATGTCGACACCGACAATGGCTTTATTGGTGAGGATGGGAACACAAAGGTGTGACAGGGTGTGTAAAGTAGTTGAGATAGCAATTGAACAATGGAAAGTGCAATAGGAACTCCGAAAAGCTAAGTAATCCCACGAAGTTGAAATTTAGTGGGCATCCAGAACATATTTGGCTTAGTTGAGAGCAAGTCGAGCCGGAATAAAAAAGAACGAAGAAACAAAGCCAGGATGCGATGCGGTGAAGTCATGTGGGCTGCAGAGCAGATGAAAAGTGGGTTACTGATCTCCGTTTTCCATCAACGGCTGCGTCATTGGCGCAGCTCGAGAGCTCAACGACAGCCGATAAGTCGCTGTGAGTAAGCTTCTGGCCCCCTTTCGATACGATTATTAAGTGTTCCGCAGCATGCTCCCACACCGAGTGGTTGTATCCCACGTAGAGTGGGTGTAGTAAGTCAGATGGACATCACTTTTGCTCTCTCAGAGTGCCAAGACCTATTCGTTAGTAATATTCTGTTAGAGTAGAACGCCTGAATACACGATAGTACTATCAATTGGCAATGCTATTGTTTCGACTACAAATAAATGCCCTTCCATGCCACATGCATAATTCTCCTATACCTGTATACCATTCCCTACGAGCCAGTATTAGAGCGGAGAATATTTATAGTTAAAGTTTTCAACCTAATCTTGAAAAGCATACATCGTATTGAGAATGCATTGAATAAGGATGTTTTAAACTTCACTAGAGTCAGGCACAGCTGCAACTTGGCCTATATCTATAAAGTACGAAGTAGAATTACATGGCTGCTCAATAGGTGCATTCGAATAGCCGCGATTACCGACCAAATATGGGCCTGGAACACGACGCCAAGCGCCTCCAAGCCCGTTCCCTGTTCACATTGCAGGTCTACTTCCAGACCTTTCCCAGACTCACTTCCTTATCGTCGTGTTTGTTGAGGATCTTAGCAGTAGCTAGATCAAAATCCTCCTGCGTCACGTGAACGCGTCGTTCACGCAGAGCGTACATGCCCGCCTCTGTACACACACCCTTCAACTCAGCCCCAGAGCATCCGTTCATTTTTTCCGCAATCTTGGTCAGGTTGATGCCGCGAGTCAAGTTCATTGACCGGGAATGAATACGTAAAATATCGGCGCGAGCTTCCACCCTATAGAGTAAGAAAGATGGGTTAGCATAACACGGTCAGTGGCTCAGTAGAGATATTAGGAACGTACGTGGGTGGTGGAAATTCAATCTTTCGGTCAATACGCCCTGGACGTAAAAGTGCTGGATCGAGGATGTCCAGACGATTTGTGGCCATGATGACTTTGATATTCTTGGTCGGCTCGAACCCATCAAGCTGATTAAGAAGCTCAAGCATGGTACGCTGAACCTCTGAGTCTCCGCCGCTGCTTCCCTCCACTCGACTTGAGCCAATACTATCGATTTCATCCATGAAGATGATGCTAGGGGCATGTTCTCTTGCCATCACGAACAGTTCACGCACCATTCGGCTTCCCTCACCGATATACTTTTGCACCAGTTCGGAACCGCTAACACGGATGAATTTGCAGTCTGCATGGTGAGCGACGGCTCGTGCTAAAAGGGTTTTGCCTGTTCCTGGAGGACCATATAGCAGCACTCCCTTAGGCTGGGCGATACCTAACGATTCGAAAAGCTCTGGGTGTTTCAGACCAAGTTCGATGACTTCCTTGATTTCCTTGATTTGTTGGTCGAGTCCACCGATCATATCATAAGTACTGTCCGGAACCTTCTCGACCATCATCAATGAAACAAGCGGATCGACAGATGATGGTAGCATCTTTTCGAGTTTGTATGTGTCCGAAAGCAAGGAAACACGTTTCCCGACCGTCAGCTTGGAAACATCGACACTATCGGCAATGTCGACGACTACAACGAGTAGGTAAAGTTAGCAACTTATGACCAGAGAGCATCATGAGCATCCAAATAAATCCGACTTACCATATTTTCCCTCTGGGTGGACCTTCACAAGTACCTTTTTAGTACCCATGACTTTCACTACTTCACCAACGTAGGATCCGGGCTGTTGTAACAACCCCAATTCTTCTCTTAATAGGCGGACTCTTGAGTTGTAGTCATTACGCTGAGCCTCTAGCCGCCTCAGAACAGCTTGACCTTGAATGATTTCGAGCTTCATGCTCTCGATCTTATTGTGGAAATAGTTGTCCAGCGCCATGATGGGTAGGTAGCAGAGGAAGGAGACTGGCGCTCCTGTCTTTGGCCACGGTAAATCAGGATGACAAAGGATGCAGGAAAAAGGAAGTTCAAAATAGAGCGGTGTCAGAGTAGACAGAGGAGGACACTGCAGATGGACGCTGGGTCTTGAGATGTTGATGGAGCTTAGGCATGGTGGAATGACGGGGCGACGGATGGATCGATGAGCTTCGACAGAAGGCGCACTAGCCACACTGGCTCGCTGGCGGCTGGCAACTGCTGTGGCACAGGCTCCCCACCCAGGAGCTATCATCTGCAAGCTAGCATTCGACTGACATCAACAATAATTGCGGGAAAGGTCGTGAATCGTGTATTTCAAAGATGATAACTGAAGATTTACACAGATACACGCTGCTGCTGTGATAAAATCAACACAGCGGCGAAGCTACAGATGCGCTGAATAAGTCTTAAATACAGTCAGCCCACCTTCAATGGTAGAGAGAAGAGACGCGACCGAGCTCTTCGACGTGTAGTACTCCGAATATAGCAGCGATGGCCAAGTTATATAGGATATATTAATATTAATTCCAATATTGCCCATAATCCAAGGCCTGTCGTTAGCAGTAGCGTTGGTAGAGTCTCATCCCGTGAGGCATGCACATGGCCAGGTGATGAGCTACCATGCCTCCGCTTTGCCCGTTCAGCCTACTTCCCCTTCACTCTCTTACCTCCTAGGTCGCAGAGATCACACTATGCTACGTCAGAAATATGCCCAGATAATCGCAGAAGGGATACACTCCGCCTAGATTACTAGCGGGAGCTCTACGTGTCACTCCAAAAAGATACGGGGTGGTGAGTCTCAACTGCGGTTGTAGCCTACACACCCACCTGCGGCGTAAGTCGCGATGGCGAACAACCCTGCAAAAGACGGCTCTTTGCGGTCTCAAGACGATCCTAGAGGCGAAATTGAGCAGTCGACATTTGTTCCAATTATCGAAACGGATGAGGACTCATCGCAGGAAACACTGCGGCGCTCTAGAGTAACTGGGAGAGGCGGTTATGGTATGCGTCGCAAATTTCACTCTTCTTTCACCTTTTATCACCACATTGATGTATACCTCTAATATTCACTGACTGTAGGAACAATCGACGTCTCTGAATCAACTTCCGCACGAATGCCTTACACGGAGGAGGACGAACCTGCCTCAGGCAACGCCGAATCTTTTGCAACGCTGCGTTTGGTCCCCAGTGGCAGCCAGAGCGATAAGTCCAGAAAACCCACGGCCATTCGACGTATGTCATCAAAACGACCAGCTCCTTATCGTGGCCAGGAATTCTCAGTCGATGATGACCCGCAAGAGGTTGAGCAGGACAACGCCTTACAACAAACAAGTAATCCCCCTCAGCCATCTCCAAGGATCACTCCTCAAGCAAGGGGAACATCTACTTTGAGAAGGAGAACAAATGTGGCGACCTCAACTCTGTCTCGTAAGGCTAGTTCCCAGGACGACGAGGATGACTTCATGCTTCCAGAACCTGGACCAAGCACTATTGTCGAAACCGATTCGCAAGACCAAGGAGAAGACGACGGTGCCAATGATGATGACGATGGGCTTAGTGATGCGGAAAGTTTTACGTTGCGAGACCGCCAAGAAGCAATCAATGAAACTCATCCATTCGGTATCAGGATTTGGAAACCTGCTTTATATAAGAAAAACCGTTCAGTTGAAAAGACAGCGGAAGGAGATATTCACTCCTCACCAGGTGGTCGCGTTAGCAACATTCTATTTTTTGTTAATATTATGTGGACTTTAATTTTTGGGTGGTGGCTTGCGGTCGTTGCTATGTTAGGTGCTATAGCTTGTTTTATTTGCATCTTTTCGCCGCAGGCAAAGGATTATGGCAAGGTATTCCTGGGCTTGTCCCGCTACTTGTTATACCCATTCGGATCCTTCGTTCGACTAGAGAGTGACGAGCACTACTTTGAAGAGGATGAAGGAGAAGGACGAAGTATCAGCGAGTACGAACAGTGGCAGAGCGGTGACTTGGAACACGGGCGGCTGTTCTTTGGCCCCTTGAATAATCGGTCACTTGTTGGCCGTCGGCGAAATAGCATTGACTCGGGCTTTAGTGAGCACGACAGTCTCCTTGGACGGACTGGTAGAACTTCTGGCCGGGGTAGTAATGCTACCAAACCAAAACGGCGGTTATTCGGTCGAGGAGAATGGAGCTTGCCTAGAGTTGTTTTCTATGCCTTCTTTTATTTCCTGACAGGGCCGTTGATGCTTCTGGTTTCACTAATTTGCTGGCTGCTTGTCTTTTGGATACCGATGGGACGAGTTATGAACATCCTAGTAGACCATCTTCGTCGTCATCCCCTTGCTTTATCTTTTCATTCCGATACAACCTACACTCGACTACCTTCTGGCTCTTCTTCATCTATTCTTCTTTGCACTTATCGGGCAGCTGGTACACGCTACTGGAAATACACAATCGATGGAACTAATATATTCTTCATCAATCTTCTCAGCATCGTCATATTCGCCATTTTTGACTACTGGGTATTGGATGTGGCTCTCGGTGTCAAATCTTGGATCACTCATCCTGGATTTATTTTCATTCTTGCTCTCTTTTCGATCATTCCGCTGGCGTACTTTATCGGTCAGGCAGTGGCCTCCATTTCAGCCCAATCTTCCATGGGCTTGGGTGCCGCTATTAATGCCTTCTTCTCAACGGTTGTCGAAGTGTTCCTTTACTGTGTGGCTCTTGGAGAAGGCAAGGCGCAGTTGGTCGAAGGTAGCTTGATCGGTAGTATCTTCGCTGGTATTTTGTTTCTCCCAGGACTATCGATGTGTTTCGGCGCGATCAAACGTAAAACGCAGAGATTCAACGTCAAATCGGCAGGAGTCACGTCAAACATGTTATTGTTCGCCGTCATCGCTGCTTTTGGACCAACCCTATTTTATCAGATATATGGCAGTGTAGGTTTCAGTTCTTTGAAAACTTCAGAGTGAGTGGCTAATAGATACTAGCATGAATTGATATGCCGATCATGTGTTCACATGGCAGGCGAACGTGATTGTCGTCGATGCTATTTCTCTCAAGTACCCGCTGTGAATGACAAGTTTTTCCAAAAAGCAGTCCAGCCATTTTGTTGGTTTGCGGCATTCTTTTTGTTTCTGTCATATGTCATCGGTCTCTGGTTCACACTGAGGACCCATGCGGCCGTCATCTGGGCAACTGAGGCAGACGATAAGAAAGTAATTCAAGCCACACACGAGAATTTCCCGCCTGAATCAAGGCCAGCAAATTTGGTAAATGGGCCGAGTATCTTTGGTGCTGACTTTCATCGGAGTAGCATCCGCGACTCACAGCTGTACAAACGGATCTTAGGACATTCATTACAACAGGTTGGACTGTCGGGAAATTGGGATCCGACCGATAGCAACCTCACTACGGATGGAGTACCACCTCACGCTATACCTCCTTTGCAAAGGACTAACGACGATCCAAATCGATTGAATCTTCGTGGACTTACAGAGGAAGATAATGAAAGCCTGGCCCGCCAACTAGCCGAGGTTGCAGCAACTGCAGCAACAGTAGCTGCCCGCGACTCTGCAAGGTCCTACAGAAAAACATCGGTTAATCCTCAAGGAGCTGTACGGACTGAACAAGCTAAGCATACAGCACGGCCAGGGCATAATACCGAGGAGCAAGAGGACATGGGTGTGCTAGTGGAAGGTTCACACAACAGTGGTGGCCATGACGCACCAAACTGGAGCAAGACGAAGAGTTCGGTCATTCTTCTTTCAGCCACAATTCTTTATGCAATCATAGCCGAAATGTTGGTCAACACCGTTGACGTCGTGCTGGATAGCGTGGACATTGACGAAAAGTTCCTTGGGATCACATTATTTGCGTTGGTTCCCAACACAACTGAATTTCTGGTATGTGCTTCCCCAAGATGATCTTTCTAGTAACCTCTACTAACCTGTGTAGAACGCAATTTCTTTTGCTATGAATGGAAACATTGCTCTTTCCATGGAGATTGGCTCGGCTTATGCTCTTCAAGTTTGCTTACTTCAGATCCCTGCTTTAGTACTATACAGCGCTATGAATGCCCAATTTGTCGATCCTGCTGACCTCGGCAGTCATTCCTTCAAGTGAGTGCACCCGCTAGACTAAACTGTTTGATGGTTGAAACTGATCTCAAGCACAGTCTTATCTTTCCTCAATGGGATATGGTGACTGTGATTCTTTGCGTCTTCCTGTTATCATACGTGTACGGTGAAGGAAAGAGTAACTATTTCAAAGGCTCGATCCTGGTCCTCACTTACCTAGTTGTCGTGATCGGCTTCTACTTATCTGGTTACAATGACCTCGAAACCCTAGGCATCGATCGATTTGACACTCTAGCCCTTGGAAGCTCGGAAAAATTCTTCACAATCGGACAACGTACAAACGGTGTCGCCTTTTCTCCGTCAGAATAGGGCTTGAAATGTTTTAGTTGCTGTCTGTGTACTTTGTTGTTTAATCTATGCGTATACGTCGTGGTTGACCATAACAGGCTCTTTGCTTTATTATAATTATACATGCCGCTTCATTTTGGACTCTGCATATAGTTACCCTTTTGCATAAGTTTGGTGTTCATGATTTCCCTCGTCTTGTAATTAGAGGCTATGTCATTCGAGCTTGACAAATTCTGGATTTCTCTCGTAATCATATATCGACATATCAACGAAGTAACTAGTTTGTAACTTCTTCTAGTTCATAGCATATTTCACCCGCGAACAGCGCACCCTAATTCTCGTATAAAATCAGCATTTTGGGGCCCTTGATATGATACACCACTATACCATGCTTACTGTTTATGATTTTGGTATTTTCCCCGGGTTCTAAAGCCCCGGATGTTCTTGCTGGTCGCAGGTTTTTGTATCGCATAACAATGAAACTATTTCCATCCATATATATATATCCAGGAATTCTTTTATGCAGAAGATACCTACTTTCATATCCCTCCCAATACGTAATATATCCCAATTAAAGCACCAACAATGGGGTGAGCTCTATACATATTCCCATGCTAGAATGTATCATTTATTCCAAAAATATTATTTTCTTCCACACAAACCCCCATCACCATAAATCTAATACATACATTACAATCAAAAAGCCCCAATTTCAGCACCAGCGCGCGCCAGAGTTTCATATACCCGAGGCTGTAATTTATACCTAATCATGCCGGAAAATAGCATCAAGTCTTTAGCCATCACCAGCAGGTCTTCTGCTAGCGATTCGCGGATCGCGTTCTCGTATGCACCAGCGTAAAGCCGCTCTCTCTCGCGGCCGATACAGGTTATACTCCAGATGATTAAATGGCCAATGTTGCGAGAAATCACGCTGGGTAGAGATGCGAAGGCCTGGGTTGCGTTGCGAATATATGGGACAGAGCCTTTGGCGCGCAAGGGTAGGATTTGCAGTCCGTGGATTGCCTTTTTAGAAAAAAAAGTCAGTAAGAGTAGGATATAACGATAGAAAAAGGGGGAAAAGATTACATCTAATGCCTGAGCCCAATTTCCAGCTTCGATTAAAGTCTTTGCTTCCATCATTCGCAGCAAGATGCCGCATGCGTCACGGTTGATTTGGCGGATTTTCTGATAATAAAGCGCGTTGCTGTTGTACAGGCTAATCATGTTTTTCGCCAAAGCCACAGGGTCGTCTACTGTAGTCAGGCTGAGACTGCTACCAGGCTCTGATGAGCCCGAAACCTGACCCGCAGTTTCGCCTTGGCTTACTCGGGGTTTCAAAGGCTGGAAATCCGATACCGATTGACCTAGATCCAACGCAACAGTATTGGATAGTGCGCGGTTGATGATTTCAATAACGTGGTCGTAGTCTTCAGCCAGGTGATAAAGAAGCACGGCGTCAGCAACCAGTCCTTTGTCATCTGCCACGGCTGCGGCTTGCACTGTAATAGTCCTTAGGAATTCTTCTTGGTCTACGAGTTTGATGAGTCTCAGGCGCCGCTCAATGGCTCCTTTGATTCTCACGCCATCTGCACGAATATCGCCGAGCAGCTTGGCGAAATCGCGGGTCTCCAAGATGAATTCTCGCAAAGCCTCGTGGCATACAGAAGCTTGGGACTTTCCAAGAGATCCAGGAAGATCTGCATTTAGGCAGATGAGTGCAAAATAGTCAATGGCTGCCTCAACATTTCCTGTACGAAATTCACGAGTGTACTGTGTGATTAGGTATGCAAAGTTGATCTGAGGGAATTGCTGCGTGGTAAAGGATACTTATATCAAGTTAGTAGGTGTTAAAAGTAAAAGGTTTTTTTTTCACTTACGAATCTCTTCGCCTGCTGCATAGAAATCCGAGACACGCAAAAGCCCGTAATAGTCAAGTGCGACGGCGAAATGTACGGCGCTGACTGGGGCATGGGAACCAAGGTAGGAAACGGCGTGTTCAAACATGCCACCTAAGATTTGCAGCAGGAAAAACGTTCCGTACCCCCCTGGTGAGTCTTGGCCTTTTGCAAATACTTTTTGGCCAATTTCAGAGATATCTGTCTGAATGTCTTCTAGACCAAACACATCTCCAGCGATTTCTTCAACGCGATCGTCTTCTCTAGCAAGAACAAATTGCAGCCACATCCAATCTTCCACATCTTGACCGACACCATCTAGTCTCCTGCGTACAAGATCGCAGCGGCCAATGATTTTATAACAGGCCATACGGTAAGGATCGACGGTGTTCTCTGGAGCGTTTCGTAAACGTTGTTGATACTCCCCGTTGATCTTTTGCTGCAAATCTCTTGGTAATCTCCTATTTTGGGCATATGTTGTCATGTAGGTCACAAATTTGTGGTCGAGTGATCGGAAACCTGGATCCGCACTGACATATTCCGCAGCTTCGTTCACAAATCCGCAGCGTAGAAGGAAAAAAATCAATATCCAACAATAGTCGTCACCAACAATCTGCAGCTCTGTTCCATCTGCGGCGAGGTCTTTCCTGGCAGCACGTAGACGAATGTATCCACGTATCCTATTGATAGTTGAAGGGATTCCACCGAGTTGGGCTTCCCGTGGGTTTTTGGCTATTGCGGCTTCGACTTCCGAATAAAATGACGCTTCTAAAAATTGTCTCGAACCTTCGACTATTCTCTTTCTCAGGGCCGTTGCACCTTTGGAAGTGGAGGTCTCATTCAGATAATCACTAGCAAATCGCCTTTCCTTCAAAGCACCGGGGTCAGCGAAACTGGTGACATTGTTTGCTTCTTGGGTAATTGATATCAAAGCGCGATATGCGTCTGCCAGTTGTCGTGGTACCTATTGATGTTAGTTTATAAATGATGGCATAGAGAATTATTTTATAAGCTTACATCGCCACCAGCATGGTTTTCAACTTCTGCAAATTCATGAAGAACTGAATACGGCCGATCTTCAAGCCGGGCTTCGTTGAGACGTCGTACTTTCTCGCCAAAAATACCCATCTTTTCCCGTAGAAACCGGTTGTCCGGACTCTGTGATGATGGGTCCCCGCGGTCATTAGGGTCGGCAAATAACTGGGAGCTAGCAATTGGATTTCCTGGTAAACCAATCACGGATTTTTCGAGAGCAGAGCGCCCAAAGACACTTCGAGTACCTGATGGTCCCGTAGGCCTGACTTGTGTAGACCCACGGCCAAAGGAGCTCCGATTTGGCTGGTCACCACCCATGTCGTCTTTAGATGAAAGACCGAAATGATGGAAAATCCTACGGCGTTGGTCATCCCAGTTCATGTTGACTTTCTCCTCTAGAAATGCATCGAAATCACGATTGACGCGGGCGAGACTCTCTGCAACCATGGCCTGTCGCCCACGCTGCTGTATAGATCTCATGAACTTTTCATTATCGGGATCAAAACTATCCATTTGTTTTAGAGAAGCGGACGTTGAACTCTGAGAATCGAGAGCTCGCAAGTCGCGTAGAGCGTGTCCCGGGGATATCCCAGAGGCTGCAAGTAGGTAATGTCTTTGATCGCAGATCACATCAGAACTATGAATAATATGGCTTTTTGCGCGTTGAAGCTTGACTCACGCTTTATGATCCCTGCCTCCACTCTGGGGTTGTTTGGAGTCGGACGCACCGAGCTCCCTGGCTTTTCTGCGAATATCATCGAGCCCTAATTGAAGGCTTGGCAGGTCTCCGAAACTGGTGTCATGCGAAGCTGAAGCAGCGAATGATCGTTTTTTCCCTCTTTCAAGCAAGCCCTTAAAATAGGCAGGCTGTGTGTTTTGAGACGACTGCGACAAAGATTGTTGGAAGCCTTGGCTGATGTCTTGCGGCTGGTTTGAAGGTCCTATCGTGGAAAATCCAGAAGATGCGGTCGGGTTGTAAGATGAGAATATGCTTGCTGACGGTTGCGGCGCTGTTGAGCCCGTAGGACCAGCAGTCGCGCCGAACAACGAGCCAGAAAACGAGTTGGAAGTCATTGTTATTGCTTAACTGAACAGGTTAAAGAGAGTTGCGGTGAAAACTTTTTGTGTAGGTGAATGCCCACCAGCACGGCGAGCTTGCAGCACTGGACAGCAGCGTATTTGGAGAGTAGCAAGACCACAGCCTTGAAAATGCAAACAGAGGCCTGTGATGCTGGGCGATCTTGAAAGCTTTCCAGGGCGGCGGATCATTGATTTGCCGAAGTCTGTAGAGTAGGCTTGGCAGTGTTTGTCCGCGCAGAGCCCCACGCAAGATTCCAATGCACCGCAAACAATTCAACAACCATTTCCTATTAAATACGCTCAGCCGCCTCTCTGAGATATTTGCTCCAGCTCCGACATATCCTGGACACTATTGAATATTGCTTCTTCTCAATGCCAGCCTTTCAATCCAAGCCGTTCCGGCGTGCTACCACTGCTTCGTCCACACTCGGAGAACGACTAGGTGCAATCTACAGAGCACGACTACCCAGGCATCCATTTCTCCTGTTTGGGCTTCCCTTTATTGCTGTTATCGTTGCAGCGTCATTCGTCATCACGCCTGCCACGGCGCTGCGCTACGAGCGACATGACCGCAGGGTGCGGCAGCTCAACCAAGAGGAGGTCATGACGTTAGGACTCAAGGGGGAGGATGGAGAAGAGGGGATTAAGAGAAACCCCCGAAGACGAATTATTGGCAGCGAAAGGGAAGAATACTATGTAAGAATTTGGATGGGCTGTAGTATTGGTAGTAATGGGGACTAATTTCTAATCTCGATGACAGAGGCTTATGGCCAAGGACCTCGACGATTGGGAACAAAAACGAGTACAGCGATTCAAAGGAGAGCCAGACGGCCGGTTGTAGTTTTATTTCGCATGTGTCGTATTAGCGTTCATCATCATCTCTACTATTTGCATTGCGTCCTTCGATTTCGTCATCGCTACACGGGGCTGGTTATACCCGCAGTGAATATTTGGTTTTGGAGTCAATTAGGTTTATGTCTAAAGTCAGATTCATGCATGATGTTATTCTTGCGTGGTGGTAACTGCTGTATATAATATTGTACCTGTCAAAGACTGAAAGCGTAGTTCGGATTGATGCGTAGCAATCAACCATAGCCGCCACCCATAGACATTAATTATTAATACTGGAACGCAGTAGAGGGTCAGCCATAATAATCGCGAAATACATAGCAACATAGATACGATTATTAAGAGTGCGAGTAAGACGACGCCACAACAGCGCGATTGGTTCCTGGAGGCGACGCGGGTTCCAGACGGGCCTTTTTGTGTGGGATAACGTCATTTCCAGCCATGTTTCTCCGGCACCGCTGCAGACCACTTTGGCGCTCTCCAACCACCGCGGGTCCAGGTTTCCCTACTCTGACCCGCATTTGTCACTGGATGTTCCTCGTGTACGAGAGAAGTGCTGATCAGTGATATCAGCATTCCCCACTGGAGCCTGCCAACTGAAGGAGACGCTGTCGAGTTGTATCTTCCTTCGTTCTGTCCCAGGTCGAGTGTTGAGATCATCTGTCAGAACCGAATTACGAGCGTCAGGCTACTTGCTGCCGCATTCCAGAGACCAGGACCACGTCCAGGCTTATACGTACATCATAGTGCTGTGGTTTTAAACGCACTTCGTCGAAACACGCGACAGACGAACTATATGGGAAATTCGCCTTGACAATGTCCCAGGCTTGTTAACCGTCACAGCGTTACTCAAGGTTGCAAGATGGATAAAGGCTGTCCTTGCTCATACACATCAACAGACTTCCCCATAGACTGCTTGCTTGCATCCTCGACCAGATGAGATCCGCCATGCGAGGATCAGCGCCCGGGCAGTCGCCTTCGTCGCCCTGGACTGCAGATTATTTCCCGCATCAACATGGCGACGTTTCGTACACACCGTCTGGGCTGCCATTGCAATCGGCTGCCTTCTCCATGCCGTCTCCGTTCCTCTACCCGGGATATTCCTCAGAAGTTGGATTCGCTAGTTCGACGAGTCCCAACTATTTCGGGATTGTTGTCGACAACTCGAGCAATCCGCCTGGGTCCAGCCCGGGCCCTTACACGAAGAAGAATTGGGATGCATTAGCCCAAGCATCTTCCTCACTTCCGAGCCCACGACAACAGGCTGTTTCGCCAAATATGTCTCAGAAGCGACTTTTCGAATTGGCTGGATCTAACCATGCGACTAGGGATCACCACGTTGACTATTATCAAGAACCCGTTGCTCAGAACATGAATTCCAGGGCGGATGCTTCATCGAAACGTTCTCTACCCCAAGATGCTGGCTTTTTCTCTTCCATCCAAACAGATAGGCGACAAGGAGACATCGATACGCATAGGAACGAGATGGATATCGATCCTTCCAACTTCTCTCCACGTCGCGCAGAATCGAATAAGATTTCCAACCCAGCCGTGAAGATTCAATCCTCTTTGAACTTACCAATTTCATATTCTCCCGATACTTACCAGTCGGGTTCTGATTCCAGCCAGCCAAATACAAATGCATTGCATGAAAACCCTAAATTATCTTTACCTATAGATTCAGCCCGAACCTCGTCGATCAAAGGTTCCCCTCGGCGTGCAGAGACGCTTCCTATTTCACTAGGCCAGGAAAACGCCAATTTCATTTCTGCACACGACTGTGCAGAGCTACTTCAGACCGCACCGGATCAAACTCTTCTCCTTGATGTACGGCCGTATCCTCAATTTTCCCGGTCAAACATCATGGACTCTTTAAACCTGTGTATCCCCACAACCCTTCTCAAACGGCCTTCTTTCAACACCCTCAAACTCAAGGACACCTTTATTAGCGAATTGGAGAAACGCAAATTCTCCTCGTGGAAGACCTGTACTCACATCATCGTTTATGACTCAAACACTGAGCATCCGCGGGATACGGTGCCGCTAATAAATGTTCTCAAGAAATTCAAAGCAGAAGGCTGGCATGGCGAAGGAGGGATGCTGCGTGGGGGGTTTGCAGCCTTTACTGCCCTTTTCCCGAATCTTATTCGAGAGCAGCGACCAAATGGCGAGAAGCCTCCAAGCAAACAACCCCGATCAATGAGCCTAAGTTTACCGTCTGTCGCCCCAATCGTTGGTGGCTGTTCATTACCTGACACCTCAGCTGCCCAACCTTTCTTCAATAATATTCGCCAAAACATGGACTTGCTTGGCGGTGTTGGACAGATGCCGGTCAAGCTTCCAGATTCTCTAACATCGGCTCGTACCAAACAACTTCCTTTGTGGCTACGTAAAGCGTCGGCTTCCGAAGACCAAGGGCATGATGTGTCACAAAAATTCCTGAAAATTGAGGAGAGGGAGTTGCACCGTATGCGAGAGGCACTAACCTCCAATGCGGACTATAAACAACATTCGTCTACCAAATTCCGTGTTGCAGGAATCGAAAAAGGGTCCAAAAATCGGTACAATGACATTTATCCTTTTGATCATTCGCGAGTTCGACTTGAAGGTATTCCTTCTGGTCACTGCGATTATATCAATGCAAACTATGTTAAGGCGGAGCTCTCGAACAAGAGTTACATTGCAACTCAAGCGCCTGTTCCGGCCACGTTCGAGGTAGGTGCCAGTCATGAGATATTGAAGTTTACACTAGCATCTAACATTCTGCTTAGGATTTCTGGCGTGTCGTTTGGGGACAAGATGTTCGAGTTATTGTCGCCCTGACCGCTGAGGTAGAACGGGGACAAATTAAATGCCACCCCTACTGGGAGTCTGGTGATTATGGCCCTTTTAAAGTTAAAATCCTGGGTGAGAGACGCGTATCCATGGACTCGAAAACGACCAAAAGCCCTGCAATACAGGACACCCCCTCGCAACAGCCTTCAACCTCGTACTTGAAGTCGCGTGAGGGAGATTTACACTCCCCCAGTGACGAGTCCCCTTTCATTCTTGTGCGGCATTTCGCCTTCTCTCACTCTTCTTATCCCTTTAAGCCGATACGAGAGATTACTCAACTTCAATATTCTTACTGGCCAGATTTTGGAACCACGTCACAGCCGAACCATCTATTGAAACTAATTGAGCAGTGCAACAAAATCACGCGAATGAGTAGTGGACTGAGTCTCAACAGTGATGATATCCAACCTCCTGGACAGCGGCCCATTCTGGTACACTGCAGCGCTGGATGTGGCCGGACAGGCACTTTCTGTACGGTCGACAGTGTGCTGGACATGTTGAAACAGCAACGACAAGGTCAATCTTCCAATACAGCCTCTGCTGGTACAGACACCAATAAGGACTGGGTGCACAATGACACTATAGATCTCGTCGCAAAGACCGTCGAAGATTTCCGTACGCAACGACCAAGTATGGTACAGAACCTCAGTCAGTTTGTGCTGTGTTATGAAAGCATTTTGGAGTGGATAGTTGCGAACACTGGTGAAGAACTGATCTCATGATAGCATTTAGCATTAATATGGCATAATGCATGTAGAGGATACCCTTTTCTTTCTTGTGGAGCATTATTATTTGGTATTTGTTTGACTTGGGATTGCGATTGATGACGGAACACGATTTTGATGTTTTTATACACATAGAACATTGAAGGAATGGAACACTTCTTCCAGTGAAGCGAGTATCGGCAACCAGTAATCAATTCTTCAATATCCACAAGATAGCATATAATAAAACATGTCAATTGATGCTTGCCAGTCATCAATTGATCAGAAGAGGGCTGCATAAGTCGAAAGCAGTTAGCGTTGCTTCCCTCTCGAGCCTTGTCTATCCCCGCCGATCCGTGCTATTAGGCAACATTCGTTTGTGAATATGTATATATTTCTATTCCTCTCGACAATGCATTCCAGCGTTTGATTTCCCAACGTAATCTCCTCAATCTCCCCCAAAACGACCCGAGTTCAGCGCGGGGTTAGATCAAACCTCCCAAACAACTAACTACAAAAACAAAAACAAAAACAATGTTACTCGATCTACCGACAGAGTTGATCCAGCTTATATTGAAACATGCCAGTGCATCATCTTATACCCAAATAGCTTTATGCTGTCACTATCTCTACACGCTCTCTTCTTCGCGAAGGAATCTGATTTTGTTTCATTTGAAGCGGGTTCCAGGCGCAAAAGAACAGTTTGACCATCTAGACACATACTCACTGTTCTTGCTGCTCAGGAAACGAGTCACAAAGTGGCTCTTTAATGCAAGGACATATGCTGGTCGTAAGCTATACACCGTCAATCTCGAAAGGCCCAATACTGGGACTTCGTCTTTGGGTTACATAGGCGGTTCTCCATTGTTCGCGTGCGTGTCCAAAGAAGATCAGCGAGTTCATCTGATACATGTAGATTTGAATGGAACGGTGTCACTAAAAGGGACATTAAAATGCCCTCCACAGATACAGAAAGAAATATGTGGAACCATTGTTAAGACTGCCTTTACGCACGACGAAGCGCTGGCTATTCTCATACGCGGGCAAAATCGTAACGAGCAAACAGATTCATTTACAGAACTAAGTTTTGTGCAACAAATCCGAGCGCAAAACAGCAACGAACACTATCTTCTATTACACTTCCCACTGATCGATTCTGATGCTCGTCCCAGCGTGTGTAAAATATATGGACGCGGTGAATTCGAAGTAGCGGCCCTGGCTGTTGATAGTAAATGGCGTTTTGCAGTATCGTGGCATCACACTGATTTTGAAGAGCATCATGAGGTGATTTCCTACGAAGCCAATGATGATATATGCCCTGATGACCCTTCTCTTTCTTGTAAGTAGTTTCGTTCTAATAGGTAATGACACATCGCTAATATACATCCAGATCTCAGTTATCAAGAGAAAAGTGTCGTTGATGAAAATGGAGTATGGCCCAAATGGAGAACCGAAGATCCAGCGCGATTTGACGAGCAATCGTTCTCACAATTAGGGCCAGTAACAGATATCCAATACCATAATCGTGGCCGCCAGATGCTTTATTCCTACAGGGGATCAACATTGTTCAAATTTTGGCAAATCGTCCTCGACACTCAACCACTGTCTCTATCCTCTGGCTATATCAATCGCTGCGCGGTGTCTCTTAATCGGGGTGAAAGACGGATCCCATTCACCGTCAATATCCCCTTCTTTGGCACTCACGTGGAGGAGCCAGAAAACGACTTTTGCAGCCATATATACCTCTCCTTTGGAACAGCAACTCACCCGTCGCATGACTGTCCTATCGCTTGTATACTGAAAAAACAGCGACTATGCGAAAACCTGACTACGCCTCATCAGTATGACAGTGAACCGTACTTTGATCCGCAGCTGTGGTCTGTGGTGGCCCGGCTCTGGGGGTATCCCAGACCATCGAGCACATTAGGCTGTATTTTCGCGGCTTCGGCTGGGGGTACACGCGTGGCCGTCTGCCACTGGGATGTTCTTTATGTTTGGGCATTGGATCCGAATGTACTGGTGCGAGAAACCAGAGAAAAGGTCAAAGCCGAAAGCCAGTATTTTCCGCCGACCTGGCGCGCTGAGACTAACTTGATAGAGCTACGTCCGGCGGTGTTTCGTCTCGATGCAGTTGGCTTCAAGCTCATGTTTACTCAAAATGAAGATATTATTATGGTGCTGACTGATAAAGGGTTGATGACATGGGACTTGAGGCCGCAGGGAGAACGACGGCGGATAGTATCGAATATTGATACCAGCATTCAACCGTAGACTGCGTATCAGTGGAAAGCAGATCAGCCCGACTTGCCTTGACTGATTGCATTTGTACATATGTACCTCACACGAGTAACATTTCACACATCCAGCCACGAAGGAAATATAACCTCAATGACCTACTTAAGTTTAGCGTACCAGGGCGAGACGGAATACCATAAGTATATTGCCACAATAACACCATATCATATCTATTCATTATTATACAGAATCACCGCCCTTCCCCTCCGCCTCCCGACAGGGCCAGAAAGGTCACTATCAAGAACACCCACCAGTACCTACACAATATACACTGTTAGCAATCACCACATCCACAACACCACCATCTTGAACATAGCGTAGGGGAAAGAGACATACTTTTGAAGAAAGGTCTTCTCCGGCTCCTCCGTATTCGTTCCATCCGGATTCACCACAATGGGCTTATTCAACTCCGGCAACGCGCCAGCATCTGGAAACACAATATCCACATCCAACGCATTGCCATCCACAGACTGTTCGGGATGCGCTGATAGCGAAACATGATATAGATCATCCGCCGGACTCAAATACAAGTGCAGTTTCTGGCGGTGTCCCGTCGACAACGCTGACTGCGAGACGAGGCTGCCAACCCATTGCTTCGAGCGGGTTGCTGAGGACGAGGTGAAGAAGCCTACGCGGACTAGGTTTTGCGTTGTCTCGCTGCTGTCTTCACGGGGAGTTGTTAAGGAGGGCGGCGTGTAGGAGAGGACATTGCTGTCGAGGGTTCGTGGGTCGTAGCTGATTTTTGCGAGGAGGGAGGGCTGCGGGGAGGTGAGTGGCCAGTAGAATATGTCTGCGGAAGAGGGGAGTTCGGTCGCCTGGCAGACGACGTATCCGGCGAGAAGGTGGAGGAAGAGGAGAGGTGTTGAGAGGAGGCGCATTTTGTCTGCTTCTGTTCGTTGGTAGCTACGTTATGGTAACTATATGGACGGAAGTTGAACTCGGGTGGGTTAGCTAGCTCTGGCAGCCGCTAATTGGTCGACAGCATACATCAGATTTTTAATAATAAAATAGTACAGTGAATATTCTGTTATTATTATTATTATTATTTCCTAAAGATGTCAAAATAGCTCGATTGGGATTACTATGTGATTGAACCAATCAAGGCATTCTTGTCCATGTATTCTGTCTTCATATACCTGCAAGAATCTCTCTCTCATCTTCAATATTCAGTCATCTCATTGAATGGCTGCAAACGACTTTCAAAGCGATAAGAATCAATGGGGTCTTTAGACTAGAAGAATATTCCAGCAGCATATTATTATCAGCTTTGTCTGTCAGTGCCTGGGGCAACGAGATCACGTGAAACAAACGGATATCCAATATTAAATAATATCCCATGTTCTTGGCATCTCGTCCATCCTACTTAATATCGGCGTTACACCAGACCAAAATTATGAACAAGCGGTGACACTCCATCCCATTCACACTGGGAATAATAATACGTATCGATCTGAAAAATGGGAGCAGTCGTGACTATCTTGGCAGACTTGGCTGAGACCTTGAGTTCTCAACTATCGACCTTGGCGCGGATAGTTGGGAGGACAGGAGGAATGTTGCGTTGCAGATGTAAGCCGAATCACTGTATTATTCTAATTTCTAGGGATGGTAGGTGTAGGCTGCGGTCATCGTAGCATAGGCATAAGCATAGAAATAAGCAGAGTATGAGTAGTGCATGAGCCTATCGGGTATATCAATCACACCAGATGAGTTGCAGATGGGAGGATTGTGCCGGCAGACCAGAAGATAATCATGCAACTGATGCCAGGCAAGGTTAGGGGCATACTCAAAAATTGACCGACAGATTACAGTTGGTCTTATAGATAATAGTTGCACGCTTTGACAGGCATTATTGAATAATATTTGACATTAAAATAATATCGACGCTAACGAGAGTTCGACCGAGAGATAGCTCGGGGGTCTCGATTCCGAGCTCCCTGGGCCAAAAAAAAAGGGAAAAAGAAAACTGCCGCGTGACCGGCGGAGACAGCGGGACAGGCACCCAGGCACCACTTAGAAGCAGTTAGTCTCCGCTGGCCGTTGTTGGCTTTGCCACCTCAGCAATCTAGTGTAACACGCCGTACGATGTCTGTCGCCAGTGGCCCGCGCTGACAGACGATCAGTCTTCAAGGGATAGAATATTATCAATTTCGGGTTGACATTGCTCAGTCAGCCTGCGGACTGCCGGCCAATTGGCTGCCCCGTACGATGCTTTGCATGCACGCGTTTGCGGGAATAGGTTCGCGCTCCGAAATCGTGCTTCAGGATGACTATCAGTATCTGCCACGCCTCCAAAGCTACGGCCAAGCCAGAGTCGCATATTCGCAGATCATTGCGGCAGATCAGATCATCAGACCGCTTCCTGGTGGCCCGCAAAGAGATTAGAATGGGGCCTTTATTCTCTGGGGCTTGGCAGGAGAGTGGAATTAATCTGGTAGGAGTATGTACTCCGTACTAGGGCTAAGTATATGCAGTCATGTCAAGAGATGATAATTAATAAATAGCAATAGTCACAAAAGGGCATCTCGGCGCCAACCCCGGGCACAGCAAGGGCGTCTTGGTCTGGCCCAAGTCTGGCTATAAATGCGTGGGGTGGGCGCCCGAGTGGCAACTCTGACTCTAGTATTAACCGAGACCGCATTCCTATACAGCCATACTATTGGTGTTATTCTTGATAGATGGTCGCTTCTCCTCGCTCCCGCTACTCGTTTACTGTTCAACATCACGAGCAACATTAATGAATAGCCACTAATCATCAGAAAGACAGAGAGATACACGCGTACATGCATTTATCCATATATACATATATATAGATAAAGTGGGCCGCACGTTTTTTAAACTCTTCTCCCCGGACTTACTCTTTTGGTCCTCCCGTTCAGAATCAAAATCAGCCTGTTCACGCGCTCGGCTGATATTTTACTCCATCACACTAAACCCCCACCACTGTTCCAGTTCCACTGCTTAGTGCTCCCAAGCAGAGTGCCAGCAGTGCGGTGCTGCTTAGTGCCATCTGGAAGCCCGCTCTCTCCACTATACTTCCCTTTAGTCTGCTCATCTATAGACTAGGAGTAGTGCTGTGCCGGTGCCGGTGGACCCAGCTTCCATATTATTATTATTTATTGAAGGCCAGAATCGTTCCTCCGCAGCCATCGTTGTTCACCCGACTCTCCTATACGCTGCACAGGAGTATACAGCATATTCACATCTGTCATGTCTGCGGCCGTCCACACGACAATCGATGTACTAGAATCAGAGCTGGCTAGGGTGAGATCAGCCCTACAAGACGTGCCACTCCAGTATGTGGTGCTCGACGAAGACGCCACCGCCGGCGCTTTGGCGACACACAAGAGAAACCTGATCGGCTTCGACCACGACTTTTTCTCCGGGAACCAGCAGCTGACCCCCAAGGAGCTGGGCTTGGTAGAGGTCCAGGAGGTGATTCCCACCCCGTTCGAAGAGAAAACTATCGAGCTATCGCCACCTACCAATCTAATCGACATCCTATCCAACAATGTAGTTTTGCACCACTTGGCGCCTTTGATGTCTATATCATCCCTGCTGTCTCTGGCGTCAACATGCAACACAGCTCGCTTCATCATTTACAACACGCCATATGTGTTCCGCCATTTGGACTTGTCTACATGCCAGGGAGCCCTGCTGCCTAGCAAAGGTGCTGCAACTGACGTTAGTGATGACATGCAAACCGAAGACCAATTTTACTCGGCTCCCCTGCGAGGGATCTTCGACCGATTAGAAAAGCAGTCGATTCTCTCCAGTGTTCGCACACTGGTCTTGGATGGGTTGCCTGTGACGGCTGATCTGATTGCTGATATTCTCCTTACCGATCGATTCAATATCAACATTCTGTCCATCCGTGACTGCTTGCATCTGAATGAGCAGAAATTGATGCAGACAATCGCTTATGCTGTTCGTCCTAGTCGCCCGGCCGGAACGCCGAAAGTGAAGGGTATCTACCACTTCACGTCAAAGGCTTACAACGGTGAGCCTCAATGGGGCCAACGACTTTCCTCCCGCCGAGAGTGGTGGAAAACCCGCGATAGCCTTTCTCCCCGCTCTTCAGGCTCAACAACCCCGATCCTGTCAGATGCGGAAGATGATCTCAATGAATGGTACAGACCATCCGGCCAACTGTTGCGAGGGTCGACTGAGGATGGCTGGGCTCAGATCATCAGGAAGTGCGAAGGCATCATTGCTTTCGATGCAGTTCTGTGCCGCGGCCCAAGACATAATGCCGAACTTTACTCATCTACCAATACTAGCAAGCCTCGCCCTGAGGAAAGAATGCTTGCTCCAGCCATTGCAACAGTTTCCCTTGGGCCTCGCGGTTGCGATTGTTGCCGAACGTCACCTGAGGGACCAGCAATCTGGGGAGAATCACCAGAGTACTGCTTCCCATTACTCAACCCTGTCCCTCTCCATACGTCAAATGTTCTCGAGGCCAAACGACCAGTTCCGAAGAATGAAAGTGCCGTTATGATTGCGAGTTGCATGGAATGCCTAAAAAACCGATGGTGCCATCGTTGCAACAAGTGGTTTTGTTTCAGCTGTCTTCCTAGCCCTGTCGAGGCAGGAACTCGCTTGAGTCCGCACCAGACCGTCATCAGAAGACGTGGCTCACAAGCATCAGGCCAATCTACACCAAAGCTTGGTCCCGGTGTCAGCAAAGATTGTTGGGAATGTGGACCTACTGTAAAGCCCCTACAAGATTATGCTATAGACGCGGCTAATAATTGAATTGAATAGTGCGCAAGTTGCAAAGTAGATCGCCAACTTTCTTGCAGCAGCTGCTTCGGTGAGTACTGCTTCGAGCACAACGACGGCTGCTCTACAACACAGGTTTGTGGCATCTTACCAAAGACTGATCGTCGTGTTCTAATCTTATGATACAGTGCGACTGGTGCAACATCAGCTCAAGACGGCTGGGAAGGAACGTACTATAGAATATAAAACCAACATCGAAGCGGCTGGATCTCCGTACATGTTGTGTTTTTGGGTTATCGGGTTATAGAACAGCGGTGTTCTATGTGGTTGTTCTATAGGCTAGGCCTGGTGCATTCGGGTTTATTGGGACAGGCGTTTGGGTGGTATATGACATGACCAATTAACGACTTATAATATAGCTCTGCTCATAATTATTTTAATGCAACTCTCATCTTCGAATGCTCGATGTTTATATAAGCGCAGTATTATTGTGTGTATATTTGTACAGTACTATTGCCACACTGATAAGATAAGGAAGGCTTGGCGGCGGCGGCGGAGTAGATTACTGATGCGGAGGAGTATCTTCCAGAACATAACGACATATTACAACTATTACAACCCTGTTAACCCTCACCATGTAAAATTTTCTGCCTGCCTTTTTATCCCACTTCTCACAATATATAACCCCAAAACAATGACTAGCGAAACCCCTCCCAGCACTCTAAAATGGTCGTCGCAACTACTTGTCACGCCACCAATCCGCACCCCCAAGCTCCCTGGCGACAAGATCTTACTCCCCCAATCCGCCCTCGAACAACTCCTCGCCGCGGCGCCGGTCGTCGAAATTGAAGATAACAACAGAGAAAACCCCGCCTCCTACCTCCCCCGCACATCCGCTTTCGACCCTTTTAACCCTTACACTTTTAGCGCCGAGGCACAAGCTCGAACGGTCGCTTCGTCAAGCTCCAGGACGCGGCAACCGCAGCTTCCGCACCCGCTTACGTTCCGAATCACAAACCCGAATAATGGGAGAGCTGTGTATGCCGGTATCAGGGAGTTCTCGGCAGAGGAAGGGGAGGTTAGTCTGAGCAGTTTTCTGCGGGGTGTGCTTGGGTTAGAAGCGGAGTCTACTACTACAGCTTCCGGGGTTGGTGCTGATGCGGTGGACGGGAATGCAAAGCTGGCTGCTGCTGTTACAGTTGATGTGCAGCAGTTACCGAAAGGAACCTATGTGCGGCTTCGGCCTGTGGAGGCTGGATATGAATCTGAAGACTGGAAGGCGCTGCTCGAACGCCATTTACGCGAGAATTTCACGACGTTGACGATTGGGGAAGTGCTGAGAATTCCAAGGGGACGGAATCGGCATTTCGAGTTTTTGGTCGACAAGGCTGCCCCGGACGGAAATGGGATTTGTATTGTTGATACGGACCTGGAAGTTGATATTGAGCCATTGAACGAGGAACAGGCGCGAGAGACATTGAGGAGGAGAACGGAAAAGGCTTCGTTGGAAAATAAAGCGAAGAAGAAGAGCTCGACTGGGGGGTTGATTTCAAAGGACCAAGACATAAGCGGTCGAGTCGGGAGAGGGGAGTATGTCGATTACGAATTGAAGGATTGGAATTCGTCAAAGGAAATTCACCTGCAACTTGAAGCTGCTGATGGAGCTGATTTGGATGTTTTCATCAGCCCACTCACGCCGTACCAAAGATCGCGACCGAGAAGTGATGAGCATGTTTTTGGGGACATGTCGTCAAGGCCGTCGAAAAGCTTGAAGATACAACCCTCGACACCGGAATTATTGGATGCTGAGACGCTGTACATTTCTATCCACGCATTTCCTCCCGTGGGAGAATCTAATCCTGATGCTGGAGAAGACTCTGATGCATCAGTAGAATATGTTTTCCGCGTGACGGATGCTCATACGGACAACTCAGACCATATTATGACAGAGGACCATGACCCAGAGGAAACTCAATGTAAGAATTGTCACCAATGGGTGCCACAACGAACGCTGTTTCTACACGAGAACTTCTGCTTTCGCAACAATATATTGTGCCCGAAATGCGACAATGTTTTCCAAAAGTCTTCTAGCGAATGGCAGAACCATTGGCACTGTGACCAAGACGAATCTTTCGGCAACGATGTATCTAGCAAAGAAAAACACGATTTCGTATTCCACAAATCGCACATATGCCCGAATTGTGACTATTCGGCTTCAAGCTTACCGGCACTAGCACACCATCGCACTACTAGGTGCCCTGCAAAGATGATCCTTTGCCAATTCTGCCACCTCGTTGTGCCACAACAGGCAGATACAGACCCTGATATGAACGACCCCGAGGTCCTACTTTCTGGCCTAGCACCCCACGAGGTCGTCGACGGAGGCCGTACCACAGAATGCCATCTGTGCAATAAGATAATCCGACTGCGTGAGATGAAAACCCACTTACGTCACCACGACCTGGAGCGTTTATCCCGACTCCCACCATCCATTTGCAAAAACGAAAACTGTGGACGAACATTGAAATCTTCTACAAATCCCAACACATCCCTCGGCTTGTGTACCATTTGCTTCGGCCCTTTGTACACTGACGCACATGACCCAGAGGGCAAAGCCTTGAAACGCCGTATCGAAAGACGATACCTATCGCAAATGCTCACCGGCTGCGGGAAGCCATGGTGTCGAAACGAGTACTGCAAAACAGGACACCAGCAGCGTTCTTCACAGCCCTCCTCCTCTCCATCTGGCAGTCTACCCACATCTTCAAAAGATATCCTGCAGACTATAAAACCACTCCTCGACGCTATAGAGCTGAAACCAGGGGGTGTCAATACCGCTCCATTCTATTTTTGTGTTGATGAAATGAGTCAACAAAGACGTATCGTTGGCGAAATGATTGCCGCCGAAACTGTTTATGATATTAGATGGTGTCTCGCGGCGTTGGAAGCCAGCGGCGGGGATTTAGACAAGGCGAGAGATTGGTTGAATGGATGGGCACCGAAAAGAGACGAAACTAGATCTGAATGATGACGATAGATAAGAATTTATGTAATTAATCCTTTTGTCTATAGAGAGCCATTATTTCATATTTCATACAGCCGTGACAAAATACAACTACGACAACAACATTGCCCGTACATAACCTGACCTTTAGGGTCATTAACGTCCACTACCAGTATAACTGTACTGCACGACAGGAGCCAGCCGATTTCGAACAACAAAACCCATTTAGAAAGACCCCGTCTTAGCAGCCAACGTCCCGCTTCCCCGCGACGAAAAGATCCCCATAATCCCAAACACCACATAAAACAGCGCCAACGGATATGCCACCAAGCCTCGCATGCCACGCATACGACCCACAGCACAAAACATCCCCGAACTACTATACGTACACCACCCCACAGCCGCCGACGTGAGCAGATACCCAAACATAGTATCCATCGGAATCAAAATCCCAATCAGACTGGTCAACACCAGCGGCAAGAAACAATACCCCAACACACTTGCCGACCTTGGAAACGTCAATGTCGCTGAGAAATGCCCTGTCACGCCATCGCTTCCGCCAGACGAACCCGGTGGTTTGGTGTGAGGGTCGTAGTTGGTCGGGTCTGCGGCGTTGGGGATCGGCGATGATCCGCCGGCGTCGAGGGAAGGAGACATCAAACTCAAGATGAGATGGAGAGCGAGCGCGCCGAATACCGCTACCCCGTAAATGTAGCCATAGAACACTTTTCCGGAAAATAATAGAAACGTGCCGTAGAGCAGGATGTAGAGGATTGCGCCGTAGAGATCGCTGTCGTCCATTAGATGCTGGTCTATCCGGGCGAAGGGGTTGAGGACTGTCAATGTCTGTATTTTTGTTACTAGTCAGCTACTCAGATCTTGTGTGTAGGACGGTGGGGGGACTAGCCTTGCTTTGGATGTGATCAAAGTTCACGCCTAGCTCCTCCAGCAAAGGCGGCTCTCCATCATACCCCTCCGTGCCAAAAGCAGCAAGCCATCCTGTCCTCAATCCGCCTTGGTCGCCCATCCGTCCTGAGACGCCTTGACTAGGACCAGCACCGAATCCGCCATAGCCAGCGGCGCTCCCGTTTGAGGCAGGATATGCTTGTGCCTGGGCTGGGGGGACTCCGTAACTTCCGTATGAAGCTTGTGAGGGAGTCGTGTGGCCAGAAACTGAGTAGGAGGAAGGGTAGAACTGGAGATTCTGAGGGGAGGACGGTGTCCCGAAGGACTGCTGGGAGTAGTACTGGGCCATGGCGGCCTGACGCTGTTGTTGTCTTTGGAGATGGAATTGAGGATGTTGCGTTGTTGATGGAGGTTATTGGAGGTTGTTTGTTGGGGACTTGACGAAAGCTTATTGAAATCGTCAAGGAGTGTATGGGGTGTTGTGACTTTTGGCTGCTGTATCAGAGTAGGTAAAAGGATAGTTATGGTTGATGACTGGTTACGGATGTGGTTTTGGTTTGTGGAGTAGACAGCTTGGCCGCTTGTAGCCTCCGTCATTGGCTCATCTGCCGCTGCCTATGTACCGCAGAGTACAGGCACCAGTCAGACTTAGTGAGGTGATGTCGAATGACCATGAAGTTTAAATGTAAAAGAGAGGGAAATATATTATACTTGTTGATTGACATGCAGAACGGTGAGTGAAACATCCCCACAAACCATCATGTCTACCAGCCTCTAATTCTACATAATGACACACGTATGTCTATAAAAAGTTGATTCCAATACCCAACTGAAGCCCCTTCCTCCCCTCTTCTCCTTTGCGTTGGACTATAGGGAGTGAAAAGTTCAGTTCGAATCGAGCCACTGGGTGCGCATACACCAAACCAACACCAGCAGCTACACTGGGAAGGCCGTTGCCAAGCTCAGCAAGAGTCGACGCGACGGCATTCTTGACTTCGTCATTGGATTTTGGCGTTTCCTTCTGAGAAGTGCGGAGAGAGAGCAACCGACCTCCGTTGACAAAGGCTTGTAGACGTAGGGGCGTCTCCTTGCCAGCGCGTGGTAGAGGAACAAACAGATTGGCACTTCCTGCGGCATAGACATCGCCGCCGATTGCATTGCTACTGTCATGGGGTCCAAGGCCGGCTTGCCGGAAGCCTCGAACATCTGTAGGGCCACCTAAAACGAAACGGTCATTGACGCGAGATGCCGGTGTTGCTGTCTTTGAGTCGAGATTGAGAGGATAAAGCAGCCCTGCTCGGAGTCCAGTGCTGAAACTAACTCCACTTTCTCCTTTGATGAATGGAATTGGAATAGGAACTGCTCCCTGAGTTTCGATCTCTGATTTCCAAAAAGCAACATCGCCTTTCAATGGTCCCCACCCGGCAATTTCGTTCACGGTTTTGGCGAACAAACCACGCGACGGCAAAAGAGGATTGTTCCGTCCGTCGTGTATCCATGTATGAGAGATGCTGCTTTTAACACTGTCGCCGGCATCACCACGAACAGTCAACGAAGTGTTGGGTGCTAAACCAGTGACTTGTCTCCAGAAACCATTATAGGCAAGCTCATGACGCTGGCCTGACCGGCTTTGCCACCGTAACTTAGCCCATCCTCCTTTGAGCACCTCTTCATGGCTAGCCCATGGCTTTTCTGTCGCACTAGCAATAGCACCGATCTCCGCGCGGAAGTTCGGGTCACTCAAGATAGGGGATTCGAAGGCGGCCTGGTAAGCAGACCTTGTCCGGGTACCAAGTGATGCATTCAAGTTCAATGATTCTGCACCACCAAAGATATTACGCCATAGAAGGTTTCCATAAGCAGAACCTTCGGCGTTTCCTAGGTCAGTTCCGGTTTTTAGGAGGATTCTTGATTTTTCTCGGACCGACACATATACGTCGAGATCTGTAGGCAGGGCGTTTGGATCCGTCGGTTTGTCTAGAAAAACGGAAATTGGTTCATGGAAGATATCTTTGACAAGTTAGAGTTGAGTTATTGCCAAGCTAAAACAATAGATATAGATCTTACCAAAGCGGTTCAGTTTCTCTGCTCCGTGAGACACTTCACGCAAAGCTTCTGATAGTGTATAAGGTTTACCCTTATTAGCACTCAGGATTGGACTAAAGACACGCTCCAGAAAGCCTGTGCGAGTATGCTTCGCATTGAGGATCTGTATCCGAGATATCGTGCATGGCAAAGTGGAGTTCTCGTCAATCTAAGACAGACAATTGCGTCAGGTCAAATCCCTTCATTCTGGGTTGGAATGTAGAGAAATATACCAACTCTGCGAGCCGAGACTGGGCTTTCTGGTAAATCGCATTGATACGCTCATTGACAGCTTGTTGTTGCTCCTCTAAAAGCTTCGGGTCCGTCTGTTGTTGGAGGCGATTGAAGATCTAGGATGCGTCCGGTCAGTCAGGTAAGCCTTGACAGTAGAGGGCTGGTTTCATTACATCTTCATCGTCACTTGTAAGAGGAGACCCCATCTTGAGGACTCAGGCACGACGCCGATTCTGTTGTTGCGCCTAGTATCTCAGGAATTTCCAGAGCCGGGAGAAACACGTGATGTAATGAAGGAACCGCGCGCAGTTTTCCGCCTCGGGCGACGGTGGCGCTTGCCAGATCGGGCGGCCATGCCAGCTTTCTGACGACAGTCACTCTTTGCTTGACAGACGCTCCCTTCTTTTCTTACATACCCATCACGAGTCGCAATATCTGGATACTTTCTTTGTTTTTTAGCCTTTCTGCGATCAAAGCGTGGTCTTAGGCACGTCGCCTGCTGATATTTATTAAGCATATTGCAAGATAGAAGTGGTAGAATGGCTACCAGAGCAGCGCACAAGCGTGTACGTTTCCTGGAACATCATACTTCTATGGATGCTGATTTGTATTTAGCTTACGCGAGAATACCAAAATATTCAAAAAACCCCACCTCCGTTCATTGTCGCACATCCCTCGGAGACGAATATATTAGAGTGAGTGATCATCCCCACGGCATTGTAGCAGGTACGCTGACCGAAGGATTAACAAGGTGGCACTACATTTTGACCGGCCCCCCAAGACTCCATATGAGAATGGCCAATATTGGGGCACGTTGATATTTCCTCCCGAATACCCCTTCGCGCCACCAGCCATCCGAATGCACACGCCAAGTGGTCGATTCCAGCCCTCGACGAGGTTGTGTCTGAGCATCAGCGATTTCCATCCCAAATCCTTTAACCCAGCATGGGAGGTGTCGACTATACTAATCGGCCTTTTGAGTTTTATGACCAGCGAGGAAATGACAACGGGCAGTGTCAGTGCTTCAGAAAGCGAACGCAGGCTATTGGCTGCACGTTCTAGATGGTGGAATTCCACCGGAGGAGGATCGCATTCAGGTGTCTCTGCAGGCGTCACCGCCACCAGCAAGGGAATCAATAACATTAAAGCAGGCGATGGAGGGCTCAAATTTCGCACGGAATGGACAGAGACAGACCAAGAGAACTGGAAGTGGATGAAAGACAACCGCATTGATACAGCGACTGGACAAATCATTCCCGACCCTAATTCTTTAGCGGTGAACAACTGTTCTCCCGAAACATCAGCCTTTCGCCGACGCCCCGTTGGCAGCGGTCCGCGACTAGGCGCTGTCATGGAAGGCGGCCAAGTTGCGAGAGAAGCCGGTCAGAGCTGGATCCGGCGGCACAAGTTTTTAGTGGTGCTGGCAGTTATCTTCGGATACGCTCTTGTGACCAGATTATATCAGGATATTCAAGGCTGATGGTAGCAGGATTCAGCCTTACCGCTCATCTTTTCTTTGTCTATCGCGATGCAGGCGATTCTTTGAGGAGTCGAGACGCGATGAGCCGCATGATCTTTTCTTCCATGTCTTAACTTGTTTGACGGATTTTAGAGGCGGTGTTTTGATAAGCGAGTATGCAAAGCTCATAGAATATATTCTATACTTCCTTACGCTAGGGCGGAGTGGGCTGGGCTGCGTCTGGGCTCAACTAGTAAGAATGAGGCTGGCTGTTCGCTGTGGGGCTGCAAGGCCGTTATTCTTAGTACGTATTATTATTATTTAGTATTAATATTTACTTTTTCCATATGCATGGTTCACCACAGCTCCTGAATTTCACATATTTTGGTGCACCTTGAAGATGACCAACAAACTGCATCTTTTATCCCCTGGAACCAATATTTCTCATACTGTGCTCGCCGGCATCCGTGTGTCAGTCCTGACTTCCTGAGGCTCAGACCAGTAAAACCTCTAGCAACAGACACAGGCTAGTAGCTCTTTTAAATTTTCGTGATGGAAAGTCAGCTGCTTGCTGCAGCTAGAGGTGATTTGGCGTGTATGAAGACTGCTCAAACTTCCCACGGTAAGCTAGGTTCAATCTTCGTTCTGTTTCTGATTCGTTGCTGTTGATCCTTGTGGAGAGCATCTGTGTACAAGGCTGCGCCTGATTTGATGTGGTTTTCTTCTTGTCTGTTTCAAATAAGAGCAAAATGGACGCTATTCAATGTGTCTCCAGTTACCCCGCCTGCTCGATTTCGATATGATCTGCTTTTGTGTATATTGACTACAGGCGAAGATGAAGCTAACCATACATCCACGACATTACTGAGGAACAGCAGAGACAATAGAATCAAGGGATATCAATCTCCCTTCCTACACTTTTATTGATCATGACGACCTGCCGTCAAAGCGCATCAAAGATATCAACTCCAGGAAGGCTATCAGGTCACATGTCATGCGCGATGTGCGGCGTCGCGAACGAATTGCTGGTCACAAAAGAGCCCCCGGCGTGAGAACACTACCGGCTCAGATATTTCTGAATTATCTAAGCCTAAGGCTCGCTCGCTCGAAACGTCTCTGATTGAACCAAAGCATCCCCATGTTGTGAAACATGCGCTGGCTGCGGACTTGCATCTGCACAATGGTCGTTGCTTGGATCCTTTCGATACATTACCAGGTACTTCCGAAATACAATCGTTGGGAAATGTGCTATTCAAATACTGTAAGTGAATAGTATCATGTTCGATACAGAGACTCAAGATACAGCACCTGTTGTTTTTGAGATCCATGAGACCGTCTAAGTCGGTACTTACATTGAAGAGAAAGTGAACTCAGTGGTTTCCCAAATTCTATGAATACTCATTCTTTCATGTTGATCAGCAAGATATTTCCTCCATGGAAGTTGCTCACGAAGTGTTATGTTAATCAGATTTGTCGGTGTTTATCCCCATGACATTTACAACCGAATCAGTCATTTTCCGCGATGCAAACGCCACTATACATACCTCAGTAAAGGATTGTTTGACCGAAGCCGGGCGATTTTATGGCTTACTGACGGTGGCAGCCGCGCATAAAAGCGTTATTTTCGGGCGGCAGTTGGATCTTACCGGTTCATCTTCAGAGAACCACAAAGATTCATCTGACCTAGACTACAGTGTGATGAAAGGCAAATGTATACAAGCCTTGAATAGGGAACTGCGAGATTCTTCTCAAGCTTTTGGTCGCACTGCAATTAAGATTGTTATTCATCTGATAGCTAGCTCTGTAAGTACTAAGAAGAAACGGGTTCAAAGCAATACAACCACACACCTCTCTGTTCCAAACCCTCAAGCTAACAATGAACAGTTAATATTGGGGTTTTATGTGGAAGCACAGACACATCTTACCGGGCTTAGGAAGATGGTTGAACTATGCGGAGGGTTGGCAAGTCGAGGGCTTCGAAGTCCTAGTCTTACCCATGCTATCGTATGGTAAGGGGCAGTTTCGTGTGTTTTACGTCTTCTATTCCCACCCCACTTACCTGGATCCCAGGAGCGACCATAAAATAGCAACTGGGCTAATGTCCAAGCCAATATTTACATTACCGTGGGAACCTGCACCTTTGACGGCAGAACTAAGACAGCAGATTTGTCCCTCGCCATCATCACATTTGACACTCCTCGGTAGTGCTTTTTGGAATGAGCACTCCTCAGAGTTCAGCCAGTCTTTGATTCACAGTGTTAAAAAATTGCGAGACACTCTTTATTATCAGAATTTAATCATGGAACAAGAACGAGAAGAAAAACGGGATAATCAAACCTACCTATTTCAGCTCTATAAGCTGATAATTGAAGCTGAACACGACTTACTTAGTTACCCATTCCAAATATCGGGAAATAGTTGTGAAACCTCCCATACAGCGAATCTCAATTCCAAAGAAGCAATGGCGCGGATGGGATGTATATGTGTCTTCAACTCCATTGTCATTGTCACACCTCCAGCGGCCGGAATGGGACGATCGCTTACCAATTTTATGAAGAAATCGATCTGCACGTTCACCGACCAATACCCGTTCCTTCAATTCACGATTCCAGATCTGAATCTTCTTGCCTGGGTGCTGTTCATTGGTGCCCAGGGCTCTCTGAACCAGCCTGAATATACGTGGTTTGTCAGTGGCCTGGCTGACGTTGTTAAACTGCGGATCTGGGGAAATTGGGCCGATGTTGTTAGTGAATTGCAACGATACATCTTCATGCCACGAGTTCAGGACGTGATATGGCGGTCTATATGGGAAGATGCCATTTCCGTCCGCGACAGACGTGAGTAGGAGATGCTCTGATCTGATACGCCGTTATTGTGAATGTCTGGCAGCATGATGGTTACTGTTGCTGTGGCTCCTCAACTTTATACCCAGCTTCTATGACGCATCAGGTAGTGCCATAGAAGCATGTAGATACTCAAAAATTATTATTAATGTCGATGTTTAACACGTGCAAGCGGGACTCTTGGATCACGCTAGACTAATTCTAGGAAGGAGATTCCGGGTGGACCCGCTGCAGGGGCCTTTCCGCTTTGGATTGCGACATGTATGTCATCTTTTCAGGGAGAGAAAAAAATCATTACGACCACCCATATATTTCTTTCTTCATCGCATTGCTGCGGAGGCCCTTGATTTCTCTGGCAAATTATACCATATTCTCTTCTCCGTACATTTCTTCTAATTTTAAACACAATGGGATGGTTCTGGGCAGATTCACAGCGGCCGGCCGCTGTGCCTATCACCACCGCTCCTTCCGCGCCTCCGGTAAGCTCTTCAGTATCAAACATGCGCTCAATTGACCAGTTTACTGACAAATAAAAGCCTGGATGTCCTATGCACCAGAAAGACGTCACAATCCAAAATTCAAATGAACCCTCTCAAAGCGCTTGTCCCGTGAAGAGGTCGCCAAACTCGCCATTTTTTGCCCAACCATCCCCAGAACAACCCTCCTCAACACCCGCCCAGACATCCTCAAGCACTTCGAAAATCAACCCCTTCAACTACATGTTCTCATTCATATCTCAAGAGCGTGCATCCAACCAAACCGTCGATCTCCCCGTCGAACGCGAGATCTCATCAATCCCTCGCGCCGACGGCGCTGGCGGCAACTGGGAGTATCCATCCCCTCAACAAATGTACAACGCGATGCTGCGAAAGGGATACACAGACACACCCCAAGACGCCGTGGAATCGATGGTCGCCGTACACAATTTCCTGAACGAAGGTGCCTGGGACGAAATCGTCGAGTGGGAACAGATATTCTCCAAGGGCTTGAAGAGCGGATGGGAAAAGTGTCGGAATGGGAATGAGAATCTGGCAACTGAGTTGGCGAAACAACGCTTGAGAGCTGGGGGGGAAGATGTGCAGCCGAGTCTGGTCCGGTTTCAGGGACGGCCGCAGGAGTTGAGTCCAAAGGCGAGGATTTTACAGGCCTTGGGATGGCTGTATCCGGAAAAATTCGGGTATGTTTTTGACTTGATTAGCTTATGATTTCAGGGTAGCGTTTGTTAATATGGATTGGACAGTGCTGAACCCCCTTTTGATCGCCATGACTGGTACGTTTCTCGCGAGACTCCATCCGGGACGAAGGAGGTTCGCTATGTGATTGACTATTACTCGGGGCCACCGGAGCCAACTGGGGAGCCGGTCTTCTTCCTGGACATCCGACCAGCTGTGGACACACCAACAGCAGCTGTCGAACGACTTATGCGATGGGGCGGCGATGTCTGGTGGAGAGCCAGCGGCGGAGCAGTGCGAAACGCCAAATAGTCACTTCCATGGTGCATACTACATCTCCTCTATCTCCTCTCTGGTTGAGCTCAGCACGGATCTTTCTTGGTTCTGCTCTGTTTAGGGACAAGTAAATGCTCCGATTTTTGTAAGATGCATTGTAGGTTTTGCGGCGTACTTGTTTGTATTACTAATAAATGATTTGATGTCTACTATGTATAAAATTGATTATGTACTATCACTTACAATTCGATATATTAATATACAACGTTAAAACCAGTGAAAGCAACGCTGTCGTGTGTTTCTATTACTATTTTACATGTATATGGTAGTGTGTGCGTTAGCATATGTACAAGTCTACGACTGGCATCTTAAATATTCGGCGCAAGCATATCATACTTGACGCACATCTCCACACTTTCCATGCTCGCCTGCAAGAACGTGCGAGCCTCAAGACCAACCCAGACACGAAGCATCGAGGTATCGCCATGGCGTACCGATTCTAAGAACGTTCCGCCCGAGCCGAGCTGACGAAGGATGGGGAGAGCACTGGTAACAAACAAAGTAACAGTTAGAGTCCATGTAGCAAAAAAGGAAGTAAAATTTCCCATGCGTTAGTGGAATACCTCTTGAATAGATCGAGGTTACGATCTAGGCTTCTCCCTATCCCTTCCAAGAGCAGGATCGAAATAACCACGTTCACAAAGTCGCCTTCTAGGCGCACGTGATGCTCACGCACCATCTGTAGCACTTGGCTGAGCACATCGCCGATTTTGATATTGCCGAGCGCAAAAGTTCGCGATTTGACGCCGAGCACGAGATGTTGCATTTTCAGGGCGAAGATTTCGGAGTTGATGACAGCGTCGGGTTGCCGGCAGCGTTCGACCATGAGTTGGCCTGCTTTGTATCCGTCAAACTCGGAGACTGCGCGAAATAGGTCGAGGAAGTTGCGTCTGTTTTTCTCATTTAGTTGGGTCACGAGCCCCGTGTCGATGAATAGTAGTTGGGGTCTGTAGCCCTCGGAATCTAGTTCAGCAAGAGCCTTTACCCATGCATGGGAGTCTTCTGTGTGAGGTCGAAGACGTCGCAGGACTTCTTCCATGACATCTACTTCGGCAGAGGAAGTAGCCTCGAGGGCACGCGTGGGTGCGCGAAGGGAGAGATCGAGTTGGCTGGGTTTGTAAAAACGAACCATGATGTTTCCTGGATGTAGATCGGCGTGGACGAAATTATCGATGAGTAGCATGTGAAGAAAAGCGTCGAGGCCCTCATCTGCAATCTCCTCCTGATAGACGCCTCCCCCGTTTCTAAGAAATACGGAGAGAGGAATACCCTGTGCAAATTCCTCCACCAACACCTCTCTTGTTGTATATTCTTGGTAGGGATAAGGGAACCAAGCAGTCGTTCGTTTCATGAAATGTTCTCTGAATATTGCCAAGTTTGTCGCTTCAATTCTGAGGTCAAGCTGGAGTTTCATCATCTCTCCAAATTTCTCAACCTCGCCCGGGAGAGACAGCCATTCCATGGTTGGAATTAGGTTTATTAGTTTTGCAAAAAACTCCATAATATTCAAATCCCTTCGCACAGTTCGTTCGACTTTAGGATGGAGCACTTTGATGGCGACGTAGGAGGAAGGCACTCTATGAGGTGAGCTCTTGACGAGCACGTCTACATTTTTCCTGACTCGAGCGACCAAGTCCTGAGGTATGCCTCGTAGGTCTCTATCATGCTGTGCGGCCAAGTTTGGCTTTAATCTTGCTTTATACACTTGCGCAATGGCTCCAACTCCAAGAGGCTCTTCGTCGAATTCTTCGAATATGGCTTCGAAGGCGAGGCCACCGAAGGCTTTAGACAATGTCTTTTTCGTGGATTGAAGAGAATGCGCAGGTGCGTTTGAGTGGAGGGAGGACATTCGATCACATAATTCAGGTGGGAAGATATCTGTTCGAGACGCGGCCCATTGTCCAAGCTGAAAATCAATAGGTTAGCTAGAGCCTACGGCATAATCAATGTCAATAGAACGTCGCACCTTGATAAAAGCTGGACCGGCTCGCTCCATCGATTTCACAAGAAAGTCAATCCACCATAACGTACCCCAGCGTTCGTTATTGCGCGTAGGATTCCTTCTTCCGATCCATATCACTGGCACTGAAATAATCACTGGAAGAAAAATGGCAGCTAGATGCAAGAACCGAAGCCCAGTCGCAATGGGTTCATAAACGTAAAGATATAGAAAGACATAAACTTCTTGTCCGGCTCGAGATATTCCATGTGCATTCGTGGAGACGGTCTTTTGTATTTCATCCAGCGACGCTTCTAGCATCTGCAATTCCCCGCTCGTCTCTTCACTGTTTTGCTCGGCAAGCTCCATGAAAGCGCCAGGGCTCAATGCAGCCGCCACGAGCACGGAGCCCAGTACCGGGCCCTTTCCTGGAAATCGTGGCCATGTTCGTGATCGGGTGCTTCGAAACTGTGGTTGAAAGGTCTGCGAGAAGCGATTCAATCGGAGAGGCGATGATGTAGTAGAGAAGAGTCGAGGACCTGTCCCGCGCCGAAAACAGAGACGGCCGAACAGAAAGCCGCCTCTCATGGTTTGAAGAGTTGCTTGCACTTACCTTTGGCCATAGAGAGACAAACAATAATGACCCATACCACTAGATAAAGCGAATGCCTAGGTCAGACAGGGTCAAGACAGTCAAGACACAGAGGTGCAGTGCAGTCTAGTAGCGACACCACGGAATCCCTCGGATTGGATGCCGCACGTGTTAGCGGGTCGACCGCTCATAGTACGTCATTCTGCGGTGACTGCGATCATTCAAGGAAGCAACAGATTTCAAGGCCGAGCAGCTGCGACCTCGATTAACGCATGCAGAGACCACTTACTGCTGTTAATTGGCTCTATCCTATGCCTCTGCAGAAAATAGAACCCACGTTTTCCGCAAGAAGGGGGAGATGTTGATGCTACCGTTTGCGGTCGCATGCTTGTTCAGTGCCGGGCCCGCCGGATCATCATGCATCACAACTACTTAAGAGGGTAGTTTGCCAGGTCTTCGTTAATTGTTTCTTCGTCTGTTATGCACGATTGCACGTACGCAACTGCAGAGCGACGCTTTCGGTCCTAGGGAAGAAATGGGAACTCTCTAAAACTCAGTCTAGAGTGAGGCGCGAGGAATATATCAATAACTCTCTCTTCATCATGGGTCATCCTGGCAATATCGAGGCAAACACCAGCCGGACGAGTGCAAGACGCTCGCGGAAGGGGTTACTCTTCATCCTCTTTGCTGCCCTCTTCATATATGTGGTTGGAGCACTTCTACTCTTTTACACAGATGTCTCATACTTCGTGTTGGTGGTGAGCCCATTTCTATGGGATATCAAGCCAGCACCTTTTCATGCATTCTCCGCAAACAATATCACATATTTTGAGAAGCCAAGCGGTGTGAAAATCTTCGGGATTGTGGGATATAGAAACCCCAATCGTACGGGGATTCTGAACTGCTATCTGCAGGTTTGTCACGTCGTCTTTCTTATCAGTTGAATTTTTTCTGATATCTTTGAGCAGAGAAACCTCGCGCAGAATGGTGGTTTGTTAGACGAGGTCATTTTCATCCCCGAAACAACAGAAGAAAGCCATCTCCAATGGCTTGAAACCATAGCCAAGCAATCTGATTCGTACTCTATCCGCACATCAGATGACGTGATATATTCGAGTAACGACTTGTACATCAAAATCGACGGAGATGTGTTATACATCGAAGACGACGCGATCCCGTCTGTAGTAAATACAAAGATGGAGCATCCAGAATCGCTTATAGTGTCAGGCAATATCATCCACCAGCCAGCCGTAGCCAATTTTCATCTGCGTCCGGGTGTGATTAACCCGAACTTCAAGGAGACGGGCTTCCAACAAGCAAAGCAGCATTGGCTTTCGTCGATTCTTTCATACTGGCACGATCCACATTCGCCCAAAGACCAAACCGATATCCAGATACCTATCAAGGACAAATACCATTTTCCAACACTAGGGAATATATTAGACACTGAACGGTACAACTGGGTAGCTCAACAAGCCCGACAGCATTACTCGTTCCTCGAGCATCTGGAACAAGGTACTCTTGAACGATACAAATTCCCGGAATGGAAGAACCCGCGCAAAGACATCTCAGGCTCCCTTGTTTGCATCAAGGGCTCTGATATGAGGAAAGTAGCTGTCAAAAGACAAACATCCTCGTGGCTACGCAAGCATACTGTTATTGATGGTAAGAGGGTTGTTTCTCATTACAGCAACGAAGCTGGACTGCAAGGACTTGACTCGACTGACGTGATGGAGAGATATCAGCGGTATGCTAAAGAGAATATTTGCCCGGAGGTGATAGGATTTATATAACCATATTTAAGAATGCCCACTACAATTAAGTATTAAATTTAATATTAAATTCCAAAACAGACGTAGCTCAAGTATACTGCTCCCCCCCCTAACCCAAAACGGCAAGCAAGCGGGCTGCCGATCATTCATCACGACCCAAAAGTTTCTCATCTCCAATCCATACATTTCCATACAATTAATCCTCCCCTACAATGCCAACACAAACCTCCAAACCGCCTCCCCCTCCCACTACCACCAACAGCAATGAAGCCGACATAATATTCAACCGCGCCAACGTCGCGCTCGCCCGCAGCCAGCGGTTAGTCGCATCATGGCTACCACCGAAACCCGTCGATGATGACGGGAGCGCAGCGAAAAGCTCAGCTGAGACGCAGAGATTAGAGGATGAGATGTTTACGGCTGTGCCGGAGAGGTACTACCCCATACACTCAACCCATTCAATCTAATTCGCCTTGTCCCTCTTTTTTTTTTGTGTGTGTTGCAGTTGGGATTAATACGTTGTGAATCAGGCTTGGTCTCGGCGCAGCACCCCCTAACGCCGACAAACCCTGGCTTCAGGCTGATCTTAGCGCGAACGATAAATTGAGACAGCAGTTGTTGGGCAGGAATTACAAGAAAGTACAGGAGCAGAAGCAGAAACAGGCGCAGGCGCATGGCTCGGCGGCGAAGGATCGAGGGGCCGGGAGGAATAATGATGATGATAATCTTGCTGGTGAAGAGGAGGAGGATGAGGGCGAAGGGAGGTCAGCGGTTGGGAAGAGGAAGAAGCAGCAGCAGCAGGGTGAGAAAGGAAGGGGGTCGGTAGTTGTTCCTACGGAGGAGAGGAAGGAGGGGGAAGATGTTGAGAGTCCGTCACTCGAAGAGCCAGATACCAAAAAATCGAAGAAAACGGCGGCGTCGAAACGGAAAGGAGCTGGTAGTTTTCTCGATGAATTGTTATCTGATAGGAAGAAGAATCGGAAAAAATAGAACAATTAAAGAAGATGAGATTTCCTGTTCTTGTAACTTAAATTGCGGATTCACGGTATCCAATGGTTCAACGCTTGATTTCTTTTGTAGAGCATACTAGGCAATGAATATATCATCCGAGTCTTCAATGTTTCCGACCAAAAGAAATATGTATGTATGAGGATATAATAAACTCACAGGTGCCAAACCCGCGACTGAACTCCAAAGATATGAAACAATATGAAACATGAAATGATTAAGATGGCAGGGTCTCGGTATGAGAAACATCAATGTAAGCTGTGGTATAACACAACACAACATGCAAATTAAGGTAAAAAATCGTCCCATCGGTATAAGAAATTAGTATACACGCTAGAACTCACCATGAACACACAACACACCGATTCCAAGCTTTGTTTTCGTAAATGTTAAATACTGTCATCGCCTTGAGATATCAAAATTGGGAATTGGACTTTGTTGACGTGTAAAAATATTGAAAAAAAGAGATCATAAACTGTACAAAGTACAAAAAATCGCGTTATATCACTGAATACGCTTTCTTTTGCGGTCTTCAGACAACGAATCCTCTTCTTCGGGTCGTTCGGCCGTATCAGTAGGGTTGAGGAGGGAGTGTACATTGCTTGCCATGCTAGATCGGCGTGTAGCAGGCAAAGAGGAATTATTGTGAGGAAATTTCGGTCCACCTCCAGGCCATGTACTATCCACATTCAAATGTGACGACAATGGAAGCGGTTCACCGCCTAGAGGTGGAGTTGCATGGCGAGGTATATCGGTGCGTCGTCTAGGGCCGCTGATTTCATACTGTGCTAGAACATCTCGAACCTGCTGCTCGCTCGAAATGGGGGCGCGATGAGGGGAAGATGGCCAGGGTCCAGATGAGTTTCCAGATGCATTGGCGAATGGGGAAACGCCAGTTGGCGGCCACCCATGTTGACGGATATCCGCCGAAGTGTGCCGACGAGTAAGATTGGGCCCGGGAGGAGACGACACAGAAGAAAGCGGGTGAGGGACAGGGGGTTGCTGGGGTGGGGGAGGGGGGCGGTATCCAGGAGATGCATGCCCGGCTCCAATAGAACCGTATCGGCGAGGCGAGACGGCTAGATGTTGCGGAACAGGAGGTCGAATGGAATTCGACTTAGAAACATCGGCAAGCGAAGGACGACGGCTGTCATCTTGAGGCATTTGGCGTGGTGAGAGAGGCGGACCAGCTTCTGCTGTTACATTTGCATAGAATGGCTGCTGTCGACTAGATAGAAGGCTCTCATGTGGAGTTTCCAAACCGCGGACTGTGTCCAACTGTCGTTCAATTTCTCTTTGCATGTTCGAAACTATTATCACAATTAGCTTAGGAATGTCGACTATGAATTAAAAAAGAATACCATCTCGATATAAGGGACTGTCACGATCCGGAGTCATGGAAACGAGAGCTTGAGAAATCGAATTCGTCCACTGGAAAATGTTAGACCCATCTTTACAGAAATAGGGTTTGCCTACCTGATAGCATTTAACCAGGCTCTCTGCAAGAGCCTGACACCGAGAACTCAACAAAAATTGATTCTCTTCCCATCGCGCCATGCGGCTTTGCATGTCAAACATTGAATGCTCGAGGTTCATAAATCGCAAGTCACCTGCATCGTGTATTGGTTCGGCAGGCGTTCCCGGTTGAGATGGTCCGGGCTTGTTACTGGAGAACGAGTCTCGATGGATAAGCGTATGGCGAGAAGCACGTCGCTTGATTTCTCTCAGACCGACCAAGTCTCCCCTTTTGAAATTGCCATTTCCATGCTTAAACTCCCATAATGCTGAGTCGGGCGATCCGGTATGAAAGACATCGCTCACTATAGCGAGTCAGATAAACAACACCACACATTGAACAAGATCATCTGTACCTTTGTGAAAGCCGTACATATTCAATTGTCTCACAAAAGACGAAATATTAGTGTGTTTGAAGTATTGCCTAGGCGAGATCAGAAATATGTCTTTCAAAAGAAACGATATCTTTCAACACCGGGGCATGTAGTTGACATACGATAGCACTTTGGAGAATTCAGACGTAGGAGACATGACAAAGCTTTCGTTCGAATTGGACCATGAAATGAGATGTTGGATGTTTGTGTCTTCGAGCATACTGCATCAAAGATTAGCTTCTACCGCCGAACTGACTGTAACAAGGCCATCCTACTTGTATAATTTGTGAATAAAGGCTGTCTGGACTACCTTGGGCTGCTGTGCGGCAGTGGCAGCTCCCAATGTATGACCCGGCCCCGCGGTACTAGTATTGCTTGCATTTGCGCCATCCGAAGGTCCATTGGGGATGTGCATGGCCGAATCGCCATCATGGCTGTTTGGAGTCGGCGGTACTGGCGCCGACACAGTGGGAGTGATATCCATCTGGTCGTCGCGAGCCGAATCGGAGGATCGCAGGGAGGAATTGAGGAGGGGAAGGTGTCGCTGGGCGCTGGGGGTATCGCCGGCGGTGGAGAAAGGGCTTCTAGAAGGGAGATCTGCCACCCTGCTCATCGCGAAGATGCGAGGTCTGCAATATATGTATATGTATGTGTATATATATATACACGTCTTCGGTCGAGGAGAAGTCGAGGCGGGAGTTGTGTTCGGTGCTCCTGGTCGGTAGTGCACTCACTTATCGGCGTGTTGCCTCGTGTCTGATAGCGTCTAGCTCAATCTCAAAGCAGACTGATTGTCGGAGCGTGCGTCGCAGATAGCTAGCTAGCAAAACTCACGGCCGAGCGAGGCCCATGGGAGGGAGCATGGCTCACAATTGACTGACAGAAACCGATCGATCGCAGGGGATGAGGGATGAGGCGGGATGAAACAATGACGAGCCGCAAGAAGCCACGCGAGGAGAGAAAGAGCAAGCAAGCGACTAGAAGCTGCGGGGAGCCTCGTGGTTGCGAGCAGGTGATATGAATAGAGGCGAGCGTACAGCGCAGAATGTATGAAAGCACGAAAGTGCAAGTCGGAAGTATGAATCCACGGGGCCAATATGCAGGCGAGATCGCTATCTGTCCGAAGCCGCCTGCGCCTGCCTTTAGAGTTAGTTAGACTCGGTGCTGCTTCTTCACGCTTTCTTTCCCACCCGGCGCAAGGCCCACAATCGCGATCCAGACACGAATACCAAGTGATAATTAATGAGTAAGTACTGATGCCAAGTATCGACTGTCGCAGCAGCGGGTGGCAAGAATGTTTTTATCAACCAAGTTCTGACTTGCTCGCGCCTCCTGTAGAAGTGTGAATCAGATCTGAGGCTGAGCTCAGCGCGCAGGGATTGGGGGCAAGCCGGCGCGCAGCTGCGAAGGGGCAAATCATGGGATGCGAATCGGAGGGGATGCTAATGCTACCATGGTCCAGGATCCCAGCAAGCATAAGCTCAGAATTGGACTGACTGCTCCTTTTCTTCAGGCCAAGAGTTCCACTACTACGAAGTTGTTCCTGCGATCCACCCTGTCTCCTGCGACGCGACTCATCTCATCTCTTCTCATCCTCAGATCCTTCCATGTGCAAGCCGTGAAGCGTCGCAGAGCTATCCGGCTAGCTGTCGTAGCATCGCCCGTGCAGCGATAGCGTCATTCCATCTGCACAGGAGACGTAGCAGTGGCACTACAGTCTTCCATTCCATTTCCATTCCATTTCCATCGCATTCCCACCTTCCACCTTCCACCTTCCATCATTCCATTATTCCATTACATATTCCATGTATTTCCGCGCGAATCGTGCAGCTCAGGATGCGGCAAGGTGGAGAACAACCTCATTGGTTGGCCGCATCTCGAAGCTCTGAGGGGCAAGATACTACGCAGCTACGCTGTGTAGTGTGAGGATTTAGAAAGAGTGCGACATACATTCTTATGACGAAAGCTTGAATACAGGATTAGGGGCTCTGTTTCTTATCTGTATTTATGTTAATTTATATCAGATTAAATTTAGAGATCGTAAAAGCCCGCCTGCAGATAATAATAATAATACAAAAAAGGTGAAATATTATTAGTATTGAAAGTCTATACCCAATTCCAGACACTTTGGCGGTGCGATATTCAAACTTTGTCACCCTACTGTACATTATTTGGTGGATTAGCCGATATGTTCTTATAAAGCCTCAATTCCGGATCAAACGACCACACTGCGATCCCTCTCACGCTGATCATACCAAAAAGCTGATGATCCCCGAACGCGAGAGTGTTCCGAGTCATTATATAGTCGTGGGCTCGTGGGGAGAACTCTGCGAGATTGCTTTTCGCTGTAAGGATATTCTTTATCCATAGTTCCCCAGAGTCCTCGAAGATCAGGTAGATGATGCCATCGGGTGATAGTAATCGGGCTTGGTTTGAACTACCTGGATATTTCAGATGACCGCTCTTCCCAATAGCGCTGGAGTAATCATTGTCTAACTCAAGGACAGTTAGTCGGTCGGATTGCGCGCAGTAAGAGATGTATATTTCGTGAGGCAGACGGAAACGTAGGGTGGAGGGTGTGGAGGGAATGATTTGGCAGACGGTGGTTCCGTAACGGCACGAGTAGTTTTTGTGTCGATACGATGTGACTCCGAGGACGTGGATCCAAGGGGGGCTAATATAGTTATTGATTGGGCTTGCCAGAGGCTTGTATTCAAGAAGGGTGATGGTATCATCTGCTACAGAGAACCTCTTCTTGGCGAACCAACACGCAGGGCGTACATTGTTTACCTCCAAGACCTCTAAGATGACGACGTCAATTGTTGTTGCACTTTTGTCCCAGCAGAACAACATCGGTTCACCCTCGATGAGAGTAGAGCCTAGGCTTCCACTCTCAAAATGCCAGCTGAGTAGCATATGCTGAATTGGATGGGTGTGGAGGATAATGACGGCACGGTCGCCATGGGTGTTGATTTCAACAACCTTAGAAGAAGGCATTCTTGCAGATTTGGTGTGTCCAGTGGTCAAGTCCCACACATTAAGGAATCTGATATAGTCAGCTGCCAATCCCATCTTTGTAGGGTTGGACACCCTTACCCTGAAGAAACGGCATATAGAAAGGTCTCAGAAAGATGGACTAGTACGATAGTCCCTCGACTCTCGGAGAAGAATGCCTTCACAGTCCCAGACTGCAAGTCCCGAACAAAGACTTGTCTCTCATCGCGTGACACCCATGCTAGCTTGCCCGAACAGTACGACACGACCTCTGGACTTGGTGTCGGCAGATAATCCGGGCCATCTAGCCACGGATACAGCGCTTCATCATACGGTGAGCCTTTTTCTAAACGATATCTACGCTCACAAATGGTGTGGACGAGCTCAGTGGTGGGCAGGTCAGGCGTGGGCACACCGTAGAAGCGCAGAATCGGGATGTAAATATTGTTGGATGAAAGAACAGTTCTCCATCTTTTCGAAACCTGCGCATCCCATTACTTACTGTTTTTGGGTTGTAAAACAGCACCATACTTACTCTTTGGAAACGGAGGATATCGCGGGGCTCCAGATACTGAGCAATCTCAACAACGATTTCCAACGGCAGGCAGCCTACGATGTCGCGTTGCAGGGCGTGTGTGGCCCGCCTATTCAGCTCGCGCCATTCGTTCGTATGGAGAGCATCGAGCAGCTGGTCCAACCTGAAGGACATCTTTAGTCAGAACAGATAGCAGCATGGGCGCAGCTCACGCAGTCTGTCGTGCCTGGGGTGGCAGGGAGGTAAACGCGTTTGCAATCTGGGAGATCTCATGTTGGGCCATAACAACAATTGTCAATACAATATCAATAATCAATAAAAATTATACAAGTATGAGCCCAGACTGAGTGTACGAAGAGCACCATGTGTCTTAAGGACTAGGTAGTAACTTGGCAGGCGTAAGGAGTCTGGAAAACGGCAGAAGGCAGGCCCCGGTCGAGTGAACGCCCTCCACTCCCTTCCGGCGGTCTACTACTGTAAAAGAGCAGAAAACACATACATGTATCTATTCTTAATCAAACCTGACATTCAAAAACTAGACATACAACTGATCAACCGATATATCGATTCAAAAAAAATAGTGGGAGTCACTGATTCGACAGAAACAAACACAAAAGATATTGAAATTGAAAATCATACACGAGAAGTTAGAAGTTATAATAAATGACAACCCTCCTCAAATAAGTTAGTCTATCAATAAGCAGGCATAGGCAGGTACTAGAAAAATGCAATTATACTGAGATCTCAGGTTTCCTCTTGACTCTGGCTTTTCTGAACATTCCCATCCTTCCCATCACCCCCCGCTCACGCTCTCCCTTCATTCTTTGATGTGTATCTTATCAGCGGGTAAAGTCCGAGAATAGCGAGGTAAAAAAAAAGGTCGGAAAGGACTCTGTGGGCATAAAAAGTGATAGAAGAAAATTGGCAATTCTGATCTTTTCTTTCCTTTTTTTTTTTCACTCGTTCATCTCTCTCGCAACCGACGGAATGCGAAATGAAGTTCAGGCAAAGGAAGAACGGGGCGGAAATTCAGATTAAGCTTAGTTGGAGGGGGTTTTATATACCCAGAGTGAATTCGACGCCAACGTCGATATCACGGGCTAGCTTGACGACCTTGGAGAATTGGACGGACTTCTCGGCGGCACTCTGCAGGTCCTCGATAGAGAAAATCTTAAGGCCGGATTCGTCGATCTAGTATTATGAGTTAGTCATTGGAGATTTTTGCTGTTATGGGTCAAGATCAAGGTCGTACCAGCTTGCGAGCTAGCTCCATGTTGGTTCCCTGGAGACGAGCAACGACGGGGGTGCGCAGGCCCATGTCGCGGACGACGTTGATGAGACCTTGGGCGATGGCGTCACAGCGCACAATACCGCCGAAAATGTTGACGAAGATAGCGGTGACCTTGGGGTCGCTGGTGATCAGATCAAAGGCAGATTTGATGGCAGCCGGTGTAGCACCACCACCAACGTCCAAGAAGTTGGCAGGGTTACCGCCGTTCAGCTTGATGATGTCCATAGTGGCCATGGCGAGACCAGCACCGTTAACTGTAATTAATCAGTACAGTTATGATAGTGACTACGATAAGTCCATACCAAGGCAACCAATGTCTCCATCAAGCTTGATGAAGTTGAGTCCATGCCTGTTGGATTGTTAGATATGTTACACGTTTCAATATCCATAATGCAATACTCACTCAGCAGCCTTAACTTCATCGGCGTCCTCCTGGGTGGTGTCCCTCCATGAGAAAACTTCCTTCTGTCTGAACTCTGCGTTGTCATCAAATCCAAGCTTGGCATCCATAGCCAAAACCTGGTGGTCGGAGGTCTCGGAAAGAGGGTTGATTTCGATCTGAGTAGCATCTTTCTCAATAAAGACTTTGTAGAGGTTCTGGATAGTGGTCTTTGCGTCCTCAATGCACTGCTCGGAAAATCCAAGGTCCGTGGCAATGGTGCGAGCAATCTCGTCGGTCACACCGATATTGATATCAATCGGGGTGGTGATGATGGCTTCGGGGCTCTCCTTGGCGACAGCCTCAATGTCCATACCACCTTGAGACGAAGCCACAACAACGGGGGACTGGGTCTGGCGGTCCATCAGGATAGCAAGGTAGAATTCGCGACGAGCAAACTTGCGCTCGACAATGTAGACGGCGTTGCAGAGACGCCCACGGGCACCGGTTTGCTTCGTAATCAACTTGTGTCCGATCATTTGGTCCGCGAACATCTTGGCCTCAGTGGGCCTGGTTTGGGTTAATAAATCAATATACTGTCAATTGTCAATGCAGGGTGTAGACTCACGAATAGATGACGCGAACACCACCCTTCAGCCCGTTGTCAAAGGAACCTTTTCCACGACCCCCAGCGAGGACCTGTGCCTTGATGACCATGTCATCTCCGCCTATATATTATCTTAGAATTCGCAAAAGCTGTGATATCGTGGTTCGCGGAGAAATACCGATTGACTTGGCAACAGCTTCTGCCTCCTCTGGAGTACGGGCCACCTCGCCTTTGGGCACACCAACGCCATACTAATTACGTTGATAGTTAGCAAAATGCAAGCTCATTGAGCTGTTGATTTCTTTGAACATAAAATGACGGCCACTCACGGATTTCAGCAGGTTGGCGGACAAGTATTCATGGATGGAAAGATTTCTCTTTTGTTGCGCTGCGAATCTAGTCTGAAGGGACGGCTCCTAGAGATGAATAGAACAGTCAGCTAACACGTATAACACCACCCTAGGATTTTGCAATCACATCGCCAACCAAAACGCGTCTGCGAATTGACCAGCTGTCCCGACAAGAGACTTACAGCTGCAGCTCTCAGAGCAGTCGCAATCGGCCTGCTGCGGACTAGTCTGAACATTTTCGGCTGTTTGGCAGTACGAACAATTCAGTTACTACAAAACAGCGTCGAATGGAACTGGTGGAGAGGGGAGAAAACAAAGGAATGGCGGTTGTTTTGTGTTCGACGTGGTCGGTTACCCTGCAAGTTCCCAAGTTCAGTTTCGGGGACTTGGTTTACGCTCGGAAGAAGCCGTCACCTGACGGGCCGGTCGTCGCAACCTTTCCACTCCGAAATTGCCGCTGCTTCGACTCTGCTACTCCTTGCTATGCTACAACTTTTCTGGCATGTTTATTTATACTCACTTGTTCCATCTTCTGATACAGTTTATATATTATATACAGTATAGATAAACCTATTTTCTTGACAAAGGCAGAGCTAAATCCCGCAATTAACCGCAGCCAGGGGTACTAACAATAAACCTATAACTTTATTAATTATCTTTGGATATTTCCTAATGTTAGTCTTAGGGCCTTATTTGTTGGTAGTAATAGGTCGTCCAGCTTCTCCTGAACTCTTGGAAATTTCCTAACTATTCTCCTTTCACAGTATTGATACCAACTTCAAGCCATAAGAATAAATCTTTAATGAGTTTGAAATATATCCAAGAAGATATTCTGAGCTTTCCCCTTTCCAATCCTTTTGATAATGGTCGTACACGGTCCAGTATCTAACATCTATTTCGATTGCATCAATTCTAACAGTGTAAAGCCTTATCAGAAGTTCACAGCGAGTTTCTTGGTGTGAACGACTTGTTCAGCCGGTATTTGTAAACATTGACCTGGCGATGCTGACCGAGGTGTCGAATTCGATCAATTTCTGCAGTAACATTGGTATACCAAAGGGCAGAAAACCAGATGCTCATTGTAACCATCAGCTGATTTGCTCATTAAGGGAGGACCTGTTGCTCTCAGCATCAATGATGTCTCACATCTTACACACCGGATCATGCTCTTCGCCTTGTACATGGCTGCAAACAATAAAACGCCAAAGTATTTAGGCAGTTCCTCCTCAAATATTGCGGGTATACTGATTGATAAATCATAATATCTTCGAGGGTATCTTCAAGTTGCTGTCATTCAACTTTGTCGAGATATGCACTTTTACTCTTCATTCCTCGATCCCACCTTCACCTGTTTTGTCGACAGATTCGTCCAATTCGTTGTAGGCATTCGCTTTGCCAAATCTACTGCAGTAGATAGTTGTCATCTCCCGTTATTTCGAGATTTATCTCTAATGCCTAGTGGCATAGGACATTTCGAGGTGCGCTGAAATTATTATAGTCACATTTGCAACTCATAGTTTTGTAAACTATGAAATTGGATAAGACTGGTGAGCTTGACTGGTGTGAATTGTCTCCGACCATTGAACTGATTATCGACATGGTCAACCTGCTAACCAGAGTAAGGAACTGCAGCCATCGAACTTGATTATCGACAGTGGTTTGTTGCCGACACGTGCATCAAAATAGCACTGGAAGACTATAAGTCCAGTAAAATAAATACCAGAATACCGCTTCTGCCTAGTTATCAGCATCTAGCCCTATGAACAGGACATGAATACTTGTACCCCCAGTGTCCATGAAGCTTCATACTGAAGAGTTTAGGAGAGTGGATAAGAGTAGTCGAAATACTATACGGCAATGACCCATACTCTCTTATTCGCGGACCCTGGGATGCATCTTTGCTCTTTTTCGTTCGCTTCAATCTTTCCGGTAATTTGAACAAAGGATTTTTCCCTTGTAGGCTAAGTGATGCTGCTTCATAGACCGTAGGTTCAGAGCCTTAGGATATATGGTATGAAGCAAGTCACCCATATCGAAGCGAGAGGTTGTAAAGTAGAGTAGTGAGGAGGTAAGCACAAGCTCGAAAGCAGGCAAACACTCGCCTTACAAATTTATGGAGACACGGTACCAATTTGGGAAGGCGGTAAGATATTTGCTTTCTCAATGCTCTAGCCTATCGAAGTATCTTTTGAGAATATGAAACAAGAGCGTCACACAGGACTCGGCCCTCGTCGAGGTGACTTAGGTTTGATCTCTGCAATCCGAAAGCCACCTTCATCCTTATCCTCGCCCTTCTGTGGCCAAAGGATGTGGTGCAACACGATAGCTCGAATCATCATATAGACAACGAAAATATACACTATAATCAGCAAGACGGTCATCACCAAGCCGGCGATTTCTATCGGTCTACATGAGAATACCTTGCCAATAGCGAATGTGGCTGTAATCAATGCCGTGTTGGGGAAGACGAAGGAGAACCAGGTCATTGAAAACACCATGCGGCCACCCTGCATGACGGGTAGGATGTGTGCGGACGTGGCGATGAAGAACCAAAAGATGGCCAGACCCCATAGCCAGAGACAAGAGAAGTTGGCAACAACTTGGACAATCATTGCGACCAGAGGTCCGTTTCCGAATAGGTCGGAGGGAAACACTCTTTCGGCGTTGGCGGCCATGTTGACAGTGCCTGCAGCAGTGAACGCACTGGGTCCAACGGACACGAACATACCTGGTCGGATATTCTCCTTGGGGAGTTTCTGTGTCATGAGTCGGTATATAAAAGCGGAATACACCATGAGCGATACCAGAAAGCCAACTCCTTGGATGGTGAAGCCGCCTAGAATGATATAGAATGACTGGCGGGGGCTTAACTGTGCACTGAGGACTCCGGCATGAGGTCCGACGATCAACATCGGATACGCTGGGAAGATCCAGATCGGAGTCATTTGAGCAATTGTAAATGTTTGAGTAGACCACCTATATGCAAAGGTCAGGCTTGCGGTAATCAGGTTAACTGGGAGGTTAGACTGACAAGAGGAGGTATACTCCTGCAGACAGGCAGAACGCTAGAGTAAAGTCAAACCAGAAGAGGACGTTTACTGCATGTAGCAGCCAGGGTCCTGTCCTGTCCGGTCCGTATTGTGATATATTGATTAATATTGTCCCAAAAGACACTACTGTTGCAGGTACAAACAAGGACTCAGTCGGATGGAGAAAGGAGGCCTTGAAAGTGTACGGAAAGCATATAAATCTTATGAGCAACAAGCCCCAAATCATGATATACAAGGCAATGTTGAGCAGAAAGATCACAATGCCGATGGCATCAAGGCCATTGAACCGAAACGGCTCAGGAACTGTGCACCAGAATCAGATCATCTGATCATGTTTACGATAAGGGAAACATACTGTTATACAAGACATTGGCAATGCCCCCAGTTGCCATGGTTAAGGTAAAGTAGACCCATGTCATATGGCGAATGCGCTGTTTGAAGCCAAGTTTCACAGGCTCTCCATTTTCCTTCCTCCCTGCTTCCTTGGTTGAAGAGAGTCCATCGCCGTGGTCTATAGCACAATAATTGGCCATTGACGAAGAAGGATTGAGATCTCCATTATTTGCAGCACTACTACGGCTCCAGTTAGGGCGGAGAGCGAGAGAGTTTACGCGTTCTAGAGCAGATACGTGAGCTTCGCCGACGCTCTGGTGACGATACAGTTCCAGATTATGGTAGGATAAGGCGTCGTCGCTGCTGTTGACTGGTGGGAAGTAGCTGGATATAGTTAAATATCTCTCGGTATCCTCGATCATAGGAGTCCGGTAGCCATCGTCTCCCGGCCTGCGCAAATGTCGAGGGATCTGGTCTTGCGCATTTGCCATATCCGGAGTTCTTTCCGAGGAAGACACATCCCGAATCAGCCAATATACCAACAAAAATTGGACGTATGTCGATATCATGCACTTGGATTCAAGTGTTTTCAGAGTGCGGAAAAACAAGAACAATACAATGATGAAATAATGCATATATGCACGTCCCAATCAGGACTAGAGCGGGGCAGACAAAAACGGCATAGTGGCGCATCGGCGTACCCCGAGGCTTTGGTGGGAGCCTGAGGGTTGTGGTGCCATCGCGGAGGCGGTAAAAAAGTTAAGTGGTAATCATAGTGGGGAATAGAGGGAAAAAAAACAGTTGTTTGAGGACGACGATGGCACTCACGTTTTTGCTTTTGTTTCTCTCTCTTTGTTATCATTCTATACCCTAACCCCCGCTGCACACCTGCTTGTTCAGATCAGTTCTCGTTCAGTTTTCTTTCTCTACAGCTTCAGCTCGTTCTCAGCCTCGTGACCAAGATGCCTGAGAAAGTATATGTCAGTTACAACCAGGTGAGTAACGTATTCCCTTCGCGAACCGATTTGATACCTATTCTTACGCTGGTTCCCATGCAGGTGCACAAACTGTGCCAGAATTCCGCAGACAAGATCCTCAATGACTTCCACCCAAATCTCATGATTGCAATTGGTGGCGGTGGCTACGTGCCTGCTCGAATTCTTCGGTATGTATCTGACAGCTCAAGATCGCTATAGTTTTTTTGGCGGAGACTTAGCACTAATGTTTTTCCTCCCAGCTCATTCTTAAAGCGCCAGGGTGAACCCAACATCCCCATCCAAGCCATCGGTCTTTCCCTGTACGAGGATCTCGGCCGCGATGACCCAGAGGAAGTCCCTGGCACAAAAGTTACGCGGACACAGTGGTTAGACTTGAGCTCTCTCGAAATGGCCAACCTGATTGGCAAGAACATTCTTATTGTCGACGAGGTAGATGACACCCGCACGACACTTGAATATGCGGTGCGGGAATTGGAGAAAGATGTCGAAATCGCTCAAAAGAACCTAGGTCGTGAGGCCGAAAAGACGACATTTTCCATTTTCGTTTTGCATGTGAGTTTAGCTTCTGGTAGAATTCACGTGCCCGGCACTGATTGCGTGTTCTTAGAACAAGGATAAGACGAAGAAGGGCAAGCTGCCCGAGGATATGATGACTAGTGGCCGATACCACGCTGCCGTGACCACGGGCGATGTCTGGATCTGCTATCCTTGGGAGGCCAAGTGAGTTCCTCGACGAGAGGAAATATGTCTTTCGACTAACCATCGTTTCTAGGGATATCGACGAGCACGACGAACTTGCTAAGTTACACCCTCTGGTCTAAAACCCACCAGTGACATGATTAATTCAATTCTATGAGGCTAGTGCTCTAACAGAGTAACTCGCTGAAATAACCCCATTTTGGACGGCGTTTTGCATATTCGAAAGCATTCATGATTATCAGCGGGCTGTAATCTAAGCCAACGACCTTTTCACTTTTTGGTCTTCTCTTCGCTGTAATAGAGCCTGACAAGATATATTCCATATGTTTTAAATCCTTTCATCAATCGAAAGACTGAAATTCTTTTCTCAGTGATCGGTTATATCATTATGCTCCATTCGTGTGTAAATGGCATTGCATGGATATTGGTTGTATCATAACTATATCCTAACCTCCGTCGTACATTTCGAGTACTTTTTAAGAAATGATAAAATAACTCCAAACATAATATGCCAGCCATATAACCACTGTTAAACCACCACCAACCAGCCCAATACAGGCGACGCGATTTCAGGTTTAGTAAACATCGACCTTCTTCTGACGGAGTTCAGCCCTGGCCTGCTCAATCTCCTTCTGCAGCAATTTGTGCTCTTCGGGAACATCGTTGAACGTCAGGATCATATAGCCGAGGCGTGCACCGAGGAAACAGGCAAGAACGATGAGACCGTAGAAGGGCAGCTTTTTGCAAATTAGACATAAAGTTTCGCATCAAATAAGTGAATCTCGCGTGGTCACATACAACGGGGACAATCTCCTTCTGCACGGTTTCGTTGATGGGGATGAGGCCAAGGTACAAAGCTAGATAGAGCTGGAGCAGAGAGTAGATGGTCAGTGAGTGCATGCACAGTAGTAGGTATTCGTCGATGGCCGGCATACAGAGGAGAGCAAAAGGAGCACGGAGATTGTCTGCTGCGCTCGTGTCATGGTTGTGTGTCGCTCGGATTCTGTGGAAGGAATGACTAGAAGAGTATGATTGAATAAAATGAGCGTTGGGTTTATAGTCGTCTTTGCTGTTCTCGATGTGGTAACTGTATACAATAATAATTCTCAAGGAGACAGCTTGGTTACTTTGTTGCTCCTGCACGTGTCCGCTAACTAATCCCGGCAGCCCGCCGCTCCACCTTGAGCCTCCTGCAGCTGTCCAACAATGCCAATGTTCTCTCTTCTCTTCTTTTCGTTTTACGGCATATATTCGGTGTCCCAGTCTAATTAATTAGCACATGGGTTACAAAATGATCCGTCTCATTACCATCGCAGACCCGGTCTCTACATAGCTTAGGCTTCAGTGGTGGATATTCTAGGCACAAGCGCGGCTAATCTTGCCTCCGAGCCTATCATCTCCACCAGCATCCATGAGCTTCTTATTCTCAATGCAACCGCCCTTCAATGGCTGATCCATTGTCTCAGGCAGCATCTCCGTTTCTATCTTATATTCTTCCAAAGGGTTGAAAGAACACGTCACATGTCACAAAGCATCCTGCTAATTTTGCTCTGTCGACGTTCTAGTTGTGGGCACCTGATCCACCGCTAAATATATTCATAAGCGGAGTCTACAGGCTGCTATCGAGCTGTACTACCCTGGTTTATCTTCTAGACTCAAACAGAAGCTATATGCCCTTCAGATGACATGGGTGGTTGCACTTAATTGGCTCCATACTGATCATTGAAATGAATGAGGCTTTCGCCCGGACAACACCAACATAACCATTTCCAGGCATCAAGCCCTAAGTGGTTTTATCCCTGCCGGCCAACATGGCCTCTCCTGGTTATAAAAATGAGAGTTCAGGGCCTTCCCCCGAGGCACTTGGGGAAGGCCTCCAAAATACAAACAAGACTCTTGACTATAGCACCAAGAACGAGCTTTCAAATAACCCAGAGCTCGAATTTCCTTCCGTCGAGATAATTCTCTCAGAGATTGAGGGCTCAGCACCTGTTGTCGGAACAACAAAGTACGAAGACATTGGACTCGAACAAGAAGACCAAATGTTTCGTGCTTTGCAAGACATTCTAAAAAGTGCTAGTAATACCGAGAGTTTTGATCTTCAGGAACTCCGCGAATCCCTGGAAATAGCAGATACCACCTCTCAGCGGGGACAGCGTAACCCGCAGCTGTTAGAAGGGGTCTCTTCTATTCTTGACAAGCTTTGGCGAAGCAAATCCAAGTACATGGCCAGGGCTGTAGAAGCCCTAGCGAATGGCAGCAGAGAGCGTGAGGCAGCCTTTACTCAAGAGCTAATGAAGAGTTCCTGCTAACCTGCTGTAGCATCGTGGAGAAATGCTTTTGGACAATCAGGGGTCCTGGAATTTCTTCTTCAACTAGTTGCGTCCAGGGAAGAAGTTGAACAAGAGATATTATTCCATTCCTTGAGGGTAATTGGGAACTCTTGCGCTGATACTGGTAAGATTCAAGGTTGAGCTCATTTGTGCTAGAGATGGACTAAGAAAAACTATAGACGAAAACCGAGAGATTGTTGTATCTAAAAACTATACATTGCCTATTATTCGCTTGATTCTCAACCCTGAATTAGTCCATGTCGCCATACCTGTTATTTATAATATATGCATGGATTTTGGTGCGTTAGAGAATTGGATCTCTTTGTACAAGCTCACTAACCGAGTCTAGACCCTGCTCAAAGTCAAGTTGCCGCAAATCGACTTGGATATATTCTCCTCAAGCTCATTTCGGATGGGTCAATTGAAGGAAATGCTCTACTCAATTATGCTTATGAGCTTGTTGAGTTAACCGCCCAAAAAGGTTCGTTTCTCACAAGTATTCGGCTTATGGTATATTGCTAACTTGCTCAGAGGACGGACTCGAAACTGCTCCAGACGGCACTATAATCCTCATAATGGATTTGGCTTTAGCCGAGAATACCACATTTGCGCAGTTTGCTTGTCTCGTAGATTGTCTTGCGAATTTCTTACACAAAGAACGTTTTCAAAACGTTTGTGTTCAATATAGACTGGTTGAGCAATTACTATCTGTCCTCCGCCATTCTTACGAGACCGATGCGGACGAATCGTCAAGTGAGGACGTCCAACTGCTTGACCAACTGCGCTTGAAACTAAACCAAGCCTTATCGGATGTATCTGCCGTTTCACAATTCGCAGAGGTATACCCTGTAGGGTCCTCACTATTCGACACCCTCAAGACATGGTTAGCTGCTCCAGAAGACCAATTGCAGATATGTGCATGTGTAATTCTTGGAAACTTGGCGAGATCGGACGACGTTTGCCGGTTAATGATAAGCCAGCTAGAAATCCACCTCCCATTGATAGCGATGATCAACAGTAATACACGCGGGAGCGTACTTCACGCTGTCCTTAGCTTTATCAAAAACCTAGCAATCGCTGAAGAAAACCGGGGAAAACTTGGAGAAGCCGACATTATCCCAGCTGTCTCTCACCTATGGTCATCTGACGCTATCCCTCAGGTGCAATTTGCTGCAGTAAGTCTTACTCGGTTGGTTATTGTTTCGTCTATCGAGAATATCAGCCGACTACTCACCTCTCTCTCGCCTGACCCTGACTCACCTGCGCATTCGCGCACGTATCTCTCTCTTCTACTATCTCTTTTTGGTCGGACCGATACCGGTCCCATAAAAACAGAAACTGGTCGAACAATTGCCTCTATTTGTCGTACCCTCGTATCCCGCTCCAAGGAGAAGAGCGACGATACAAGGACTAGGGCCTTACTATACCGTTTCTTTGATCTCCATCAAGACGTTGCGCGACCTCTCGGGGTGATGGTCACGCAGACTGAATGGCCTGTTGTTCGCAGCGAAGGCTGGTTTGCACTGGCTTTGATGGCGTCTCATGCCAAGGGATCAATGGCTGTTGCAGATTGTTTACAAAATACTGACGTCTACGAGATTTTGGAGGACACGCTCGATGGAGAGATATCAGCAGACGACACGAATATACAAAAGATCAAGGATCGTGAAAACCTGGTGGTTATGGTCAAGGAGTTGTTGGATAATAATGTGAGTAGATTTGCTTTGAATCTTGTGCAACATTCTGCTAACTAGGTGTATAGCCCGAGTCTCTGTCTGAAGCTCGTAAAGCTAGATTGGGAGAGTTGGTGAGCAACGCAGTATCCGACTCTTTACGAAAGGATTCTTGAGGTTTTGGAATAAAACCAATTGACTTCTTGATGCCGAAACTGGAGATTCGGCACAGGCGGTATAATATGCTCTAGTCTATGTCGCTATTCTGATGTTGCGCAACACAATATATATACAAGGAAGATTGTCAAACTATATGTCCAAAGAAAAGCTAATCTGCACCTATGCTCTCCTGTTGTTTCTTCTGCCGTAGCTTCTTCTCCGTTTTCATAAACTCCCTAATGCCTACCGGAATACCCGAGAACAACTCATCTTCCTCTCCTGCCGTCGTTTCCGCAGGCAACTCCCAATTCCTTTCACTCCCACCACCATCGTCATCCATACTCGCACTAGCACTAGCAACCTCCTGTCGAGGCCGTTGCCGCATATCCGTCAGTCTCGCCCGATCTGCCGCTGCACCCGACTGCGCTTTGGCCTTCGCCTCCTTGATCCGCGAAGCCCAGGTCTCCAGATCATCGCGATAATCATCCCATACACAATGCACACAGCCACTCATACAACAATTATCCGGCTCCGAAGGTCGCGGCGGTATCGGCACCCCGTTTATCGTCCTCCAGGTGGATTCCGGCGGCATTGTCTCGGGATTGTATCTTGATGATTGGTATCCCGGTCCGGCGAGACGGGTGCCGAACACTATCGACATTTTTTCTTCCTTCGTAGGCTCCTTTGCGGGTATATTGGGTTCGTTAATGGTACGAATTGCAGGTGGTTGCTGTTGCTGTTGTTGTGGGTAAGGGTTGTTTAAGACATCGTAGTAGTAGCCTGATAGTGGATATGCTTGTGAAGTATCGATGGTCCTCGTGCCATTCCATATCTCATTGCTCTTTGCTGCGTGGACTGAGCTGCTGAACAAACGTCTCGGCGATTCGGGCAAGCGACGGGACCTCGTCCGCGCCCATGATGAGGGCTGGGCGGTCAATAAGGATGCGCAGTGTGACTGACAGAATGCGCAAATGTGAGGCAGGCGTATGTGCCGCGTTGTGGGCGAAAAAGACCGTTTCATTGCTTAAGAATGGGAAAAGAAGATTGTGCCTCGGACAAAATTGGAGGGAAAGGTGCGGCGGGATGCGGTTATGTCATTGATGCAAACACGCCAAACATGACTTCCGCGGGCCACGCGGTTTCATACATAGTTTATCAAGAGGGGAGGGAAGAGCTTCCTGCAACATACAATTTGAGACGCGCGAACTGCACGCCCGTCATGATATAATTTTTATATACAGTGTAAGGTTTCCCTGAAGAGAAGTTGTTAGCCATGTCCGATTTCCCAGCAAAAAGGCGCAAGACAAGTCCAACGACGGCGATCCCCGTCGACGACGCGACTTCCACCACGCCGGAGGTAAACAGGAGCCCCTCGCGACCTTCAGTTTCCTACCGCCAGTCATTCCAATCGCCCACTCGATCAAGTCTGGCGCGCTCGAATCCAGAGGTTTTGTCGCATGTTCTCAGCAGGTCTCCTGTTAGAAGCCCCTGCGGCCTTCACGCGATCGTGAAAGCGGATTTGGATTACGCGATAAGAAAGCTATACGGCCTTCTCTGACTGGGACTGAGGCCAATCTGTCGAGTAATTTACTTGGGCTATCTCCTCGTCGAGGATCGAGTAACATTCAAGCCTTTGCAGTTCCTCCGCGCAGAATATCAAGGTCGATCGAAACGCCCCCTGTTGATAATGCTGGTCGTGAACAACAACAACAACAACAACAGCAACAACAGCAGCCACCACGGAACACGTCTGTTGTTACTACGCCAAGCAGAAGGGATGACCCTGACGAGCAATTGGCGTCTGAGCTGGACAGTGCTACTCGAGAGCTGGAGAATTCAGGACTTCTGCCGGATTCGGCGCCTTTGCTAGATACCTACGTGGAACCTGAGCTACCCCCAACTCCAACGCAACTAGGCTTGGAGCCGAGGCCGGAGAAACAGCAGCTGAATATTATGAGTAGTCCTAGTGCTGGAAGGGCACGACGAAGAGAGCCATTAGGACCAAGCGGGCTCGGGACTTTGGATCTGTCCGTGCCAGAGCCCTTGCTAGACGACAGCCAGGTCCCTGCAGCAGTGAAGAAGAAAGAGGCCCTGAAGCAGGAGCTATCTGAGCAACTCAATACTCTCAAAGAAGATGTTGCTCAGTTAGAGAAATGGGCACTGCAAGCTAAACAAGGGAATGATAGTTTACAGCTTGACCAGGAAGCTGTCTCAAAACTGATGTAAGCTGCAATTAGCTATATACCGGGGTCTTGTCGCTAATTCAAATTACTAGTTCTCTCCTCAGCTCGACAAGTACGACACAGGACCCGCTTTCAAGGCTATTGGCACCGGAACCACCTCCTTTCTCTGCTTTGATATCATCACTCTTGCCATTTTCAACGAAAAAAGTGCCTGTGAAAAGCGACCCAACACCGTCTGAACCGAAAAACATATTCGCGCTTGATAGAACCAATGCCCATGACTCGAAGCGATACCTGACCGTCTTCTCATCCCTAGATTTGACATATTCTACTAAAATATCTGTGCCGTCTGATCCATCATCGGCTATCACAGAAACACACGAAATCATCATTTCAGCGCAACCACCATTTCCGCAGCACTTCTATACAGTACCTCTTACCTTCACGACGGATCTGCAGTCTGAGCGGATACTATCTGTATCTTTGACGAAGAATGCTTCAACACAGTCGAAAATCCCCGCAGGCCTTCAGGCTTGGATAGTATCCCGCATAACCAGCCCATTACTTAAACTAGACATATCTGGCCTTTGCTTCGGTGTATGTCAGTTCTGGGAAGCATCTGTGTGTCGCGCAAGAATGTGGTCAACATTAAGCAAAAGAGCCGAGAGGCTAGCCAACAGCAAAGGGGCTGTAAACACAGACATCGAACAATTATCATCAACCGACCTGATGACAAAATCCGCTCTACGATCCCTAATCCCCCATCTTCAGCGCTCATCAATGATCTTCTCCCACGGTCCTAAAGGGAAACATGACTCCAAACTCCTGCTTTCATGCCCCCTGAGACTAGACCACTGGACGGGCGAAGCACAATTGAAACCCACTATCAGTATCTCAGCACCGGACCTGGCTGAGGTCAAATGGAATAAGGCAGAGCGGGATATAAAGCTGCTGTTTCATAATTTACTCAACACTGGCACGTCATCGGATCGTTTGGAGAATGGCGATAGCCAGATAGAGAGTATTGTGAGGGCTACAGAGGGCGTTGTTTCAGTGTTTTTTGGGCTTGAGGCTCCTGAGGGCTGAGCGTGGTTAGTCCATGCATAGTGCTATATATAATATCGAGTTACATGAGTATATAAATTAACAAATTAACCATTATAGCATATCTTGTACATTTTGTACATCTACATCTTTGAAATCGTTCCAGATGTCAAATGTTCAAATGATTAATGTTGTACGAAGCATCCCTTAGAATTTAGAAGTATCTTGAATTTTTCCATTGCGCACACACTACTGCATACACATCCCTCTTTTCCTTCTCCCAATTCGAATCTCTGCCCTATTTCTTCCTGTCATACTTGAGCTTGTAATATGCAGATCGGACAATTTGAGCGCAAATGAATAGGTAAGAAAAAGCTTTATTTTGATGACATAAAAAAAAAGGAACCAAGTGCAACAATTGTTTAAAGACACGCCGCACCCACACATGATATGTTTGTACCTAGACCCAGGCACCCAAGTAGAAACCCATCAGATTAGACTAGCGCAGGGGCCTCGATTCATTAAAGAAAAAAAAGAGGCGGTGCAAGAGCCAAGTGATGATATGATAGACACACACAGAGAGATAGTAGGGAGGAGGAAATGGATTTTTCTTTTGTGTTTTGATTTTGTAGAGAATCATGCAACTGAAGTGGATATCATTATCATATTCGGTATTGAGAAGAAGTTGATATCTATTTCTTAGCAGCCTCGGCCTCATCAGCCTTCGCCTTGGCTCTCTTCTCACGGATGCCGAGATAGCGAGCCTCGCTGCGGGCCTCACGTAGCCTGCGGAACGCAGCCTTCTCGCCTTCGGGCAGGTCGGAGCGGCTGATCTCGGTGACGGCCTCGGCGGCAGAGATGTTCTTGATGGGTGCAACGGAGCGGATCTTGGTGGCGTATCCCTCAACCTTGCCCTCGGCGCCAAAGGCCTTCTTGGCAGCAGTAACGTCGTCGGCGGACGAGTCGAGTTTCTTGTATTGGCCGCTCTTGCGTGGGAACAGGATCAGGCGGCTCTTGTACTCCTGGAGACGCGCGACGTTGGCGGCCAGAGACTCCTGGGAAACATTCTTGCGGCGGTGGTCGACGGCAATGCCGATGGTGGGAGCGAGTTTGCTGGGGATGCCAGCTTCCTAGATGAATGTAAGCTTCCTCTTCAAAATCACAATACAACACTCATCTCCTTCCAGATGTTCCAGATGGTGGGTTGTTTTCGAGTAGGTTATACCTTGAGCTCCTGAAGTGTGAAGCCACGTCCAGCCCTGACGCGACGGTTGTACTTGATAGTTGGGGCACGCACAACAGGGCGCAGCTTATCGACCGGGCGAGGAGCAACAGCAGCGGCCTTTGACAAACGAGCCTGACGACGACGGTGCTTACGGCCGGGCTATATCAAATCAGGATCCATTAGCCTCGTCTCCTTCAACACGAATTGTCCCAAGTCTTTTTCTTCGTTCTGCAGAATACAGAATATCCCTGGTCCAATATTTATTCTGGGTGCGTACCTGGTCGAAGTGCACGCGGACACGACGTTGCCAGTCCTTGTGAAAGTCTAAAAATCACCAATCCGTCAGAATAAGTCTCTTCAAGTGTCGTAATTCCCTTTTAAAATGCGAAAAAAAATCCCCAGTTCATCCTCCTCTTTACAGAATTTCCAAACTGAATTGTGCCATCGCATAACGCAGAATCAAGACCGGGCCAGGACTCACGGGTGTTTGGGATGATGTTGTTGTGCTTGATCGCCTATTTAACACGAATTAGTCTCTCTTTCTCCAGCTCGAGCTTCCAGTAAAACGAAGGAATCGACTCAGCATTCCTTTTTGAAAGCTGAAGATGAAAGGTATACGCACCATTGTGCCGGGCGGACGTCAAGTCTCACTGTTGTCGTGGTCGTCGGTGTGTTGCTGGTCAAGTCTCGAAAGGCTCTTCAATATTAGGTGGAACTTTTTTGGTGTGGGCGAGCCACTGTGCCAAGCCGCACTCAGTCGCCCACTGACAAGCCGAGAAGCGCGGCCACTCTCGCTTAGCGAGCCCTAAATACGCTATTCCGCATCCGGCCACCTATCTTTATCATGGAGAGCATTGGTTTAACATCATGGATACTATCTATCGTTCATGTATGTAATGAATTATTCATTATATTGTGATTAATGCTGGAAAATAATATTAAATGACTGCATAGCACTCTTACAGTTATTGATACACATTTTGTTCTTCTGTTCATCGATCGATTCAACTAACTAGTAATAATGCTACTGCTCTAATTGTACAGACGCACGCGCTTCTATCTGTGCTCGATAAAAATACTTGTTGAGACTCCGGAAAAATCATTCCCAAAGCAAAGATCAGATCAGACCAGACCAGTTCGATCCAGTACAAAACTAAAAGCAACCCGGCTTGTCCCACTCATTAACCCAAACCCCGAGTTTCATTCCGTTTGTATGTTCATCATCATCAGTCGTAATTATTTGCAGTAAAAACCTATCTTCATAAGATGTAGCAAATTCACAGGATAGGCTGTAGGAGAAGAAAAAACGCTTTTCAGATCATGCCGGCGAAACCTTCCACGACTCAATACCGAGGCCGACGTCCTTGGGCTTCTTCAACACTGGACCTAGTTCTTCAAAAGACCTTTTGCGTTTTTGTGAAGTAGAATCGGGTCTTTCAGTGCCTACTTTTCTCACTTGGCCAAACAGCTTCGTTTGGAATAGGGTATTGGCTTTACCAAGATTCTGTGATGCTGGTAGTTCCTTTTGACTTGTTTCTGGTAGACGACGAAGCATGCTGGTCGCTAGCGAGCTAGCCTGAGAAGCCGGGAGGTCATCGTCGGTAACAGCTTCCTCTGCATCAGAGGCAGATATTGTGCTGTCCCGATCGTGGCGATTTCTTTCTCCTCGACTTCGTTGTTCAGGAGTGTGTTGTATGATATTCTCCCGCGGCCGGCTGCCAGGAGTGATGTATTGCGTATTATCAACATGATTTGATCGTTGAGGGGTCATTGGAAGAGAAGACATTGAATGAGTCCCTCGCACGTGCGAAATACCATGATGATGTTTTGGCTGCCGAGCTCTCGCCGGCGACACGTTTGTGGAATCACCATGCAGCACACGATCAGCAGCCAGCAGAGTAGCAAAGGCGTCATGGCTGACACCGCGGTTGCTCGAATGCGCACGAGAACTGTCGGGAAATCTAGCTTGAGACTTCCTTTGCGGAGTTTGAAACTCGGTACGAGGGGTAGATGCTAATGAGCCGGAATCAAGAAGACGCGTCAAATGCTCGCGATTATCTCTAATACGCTTCTTCAAAAGGTCGTTTTCTGCACGAAGTGACTCGTTCTTGTCGTTTCCTTCATCCATTTTTTCCCTAATGAGTTTCTTGGCATTTGACAACCTCTCCTCTAATCTCGCATTAGTACGCTCCAATTCGTCGATCCGCTTTAAGGAGGCATCCAACTGCGGACTAGGGGATAGTCGAGGCGTTTGCGATATTGAAATCCCACGACGGCTTTGATATTCTGAGCTTTGAATAATTTCGACTTCTCTTCGAGCCAGTTGCTGTTCGACTTCGGCTCTTTTGATGGCTTCGCTGCTCGTAAAAGATAGCAGGCTATTCTGTAATTTGAAGTGTAAAGCGGACATTCGGGCTTCTTGTGCTACACCCAGGAGATCTTTAGCTATCGTCCTGAGCTGGGCTTCACTTGCCGTGTTGATTTCCTCAACGGTGGGCAAGTTCTCGGCCGCTCCATAAGCAGCGTAAAGTGATTTTTCTAGTGATTCGTTAGGAGGAGACGCTGGAATCACCACGTGGGGCCCTGATCCAGATAGGGAGCGAGTGCGAGTGCGAGTGCGGGATCGACGACGAGGTGCCTGCACTTGAGATGACGGAGGCGGTGTCATTTCTGACGATGATGCTGGCTGCGGTGAGCAAAAAGCACCGCCATGTTTGCTTGATAGGCCATCATTATTGTCTCGCACGGGCCGTAAATCTGGGGATGCTGAAAGAATGGATCGCCGCGGTGGCGTACTTGGAATTATGATCTCTGCGGCGGGAGCCAAAGAAGCTTGTGAGCGAGTGTCTGATTCCTGAGACATGTTTGCAAGGTTTGGCTCGTGAATCACCAGTTTGACGGCGATGTCTGTACTATTCTTAGCAATTGTATATATATGGCAACGTCTTTAGAGTAGGCGTGGGAAAATACCAGTCGGCACTCGATGACAGTTTTCTCTTGGCAAGAATACTACTAGAGCTTATAACAGCGTTGCATAGATCAATGCAACGGGATGGTTCAGGCTCTCTCGCTCGATAACGGCTTCGATGACGATGCGGAAACGGGAGACTCGTATGCCGCTTATCGGCGATATGCCCTAACGCAGCCCAATCGATATCGATATCGCTGATATGATAGGAAGTGGCACGCAGGCTGTTATTTGCGCCACGGAGCACACGAAGACACGAACAGACGGAGATTATAGAGGTATGGAGGAGCCGGGCGGCATGGAAGGTAGGGAGAGCAGAGGCAGAAGGAATGGAAGTCAGAGCAAAGCTGGTCACCTGGCGGTGATACCTAGCTAGTTAACTATGTGCCTGGCAGGTGACGAGGAGGCTGGGAGCCGAGCAGTTCGCCCACCGCCCGCCACGGCCAACCACGTGAGCCCAGCCGCGCATGGGAATGTCACTAGAGGCACTGGCCAATCACAGGCCCGGCATCCATGAGCTTAGCGCGGGGACCGGCGGTTCTGGCAGGCACGTGATGTAAACAATGGTTGAGCGGGCAACACACAACTCTAATGATACACAGTTACACTCCAACAGCTACGGACTCTCCATGCACTGGCATGCCCAGCCGCCTCGAGCCATCTGCTGTCTGCAAGGGTGCTGTTCTATGCACCTTTCTGGATTCCAGAAAAATCGAGTGCCTCTTTTGAAGTGACCGAACCACCTCGAGATATTATTTCCTACATTGATCCGCATCTTTCGAAATCTGTTCTTCGATGAGAGCGGCGTCGTGTCTCCATTGAAGTTCTTTTGATAAGGATCAGGTCGAACTGCAGTCAAGTATGAAGCACTTTCCGACTTCCAACTATTATCAGGATCAATGAATAAGTTGCATTGATTGGAATGCCACAAACTATGCGGTCTGGGATGAGAGTAGGATCACGATTAGATATCTCAAGTATTGATTTAAGGGTTGTATGGACAGGCTATGATGTTAATATGAGTTAACACGAGTTAATTAATGGTTAATTTCCTTCCTGCTTGTCAATTTAGGCAAGATCTTCTCTAATGATCCCTCCAATTGGCAAGCCAATCGACGGCCTGCCCTTCCCCCTGGCGAACTCCTTGCTGAGCTTGCTCGAACCTAGCGATTGCCGATAAGCTAGCTAAGATGCGTAATAATTAAACAATATTTCGGGCTTTGTTACGGGCTTATGCTGGACTTGTCATTTTTACCGCCTGCCCACTACGTGATTATTTCGTTTCAATAGTACTGTACAATCTTAGCGGCTCTGCGTGGCGTCGCCAACTGCTGGGAGCTAATTGTTTACCTTCCAGGGGCCGCCACCAACTCTCCAACCCATCGTGCACACCCCATCACAGCCAAGTCCCAGCTCTGGATTGTTTGGTTGCGACAGCTTTGAGTTCACACTGGTCATGGTTGGCTCTGTGCTTCGGATCCACTAAGTTCTCCGTACTCAGTGCCAGACTCAAAAATACGAAACTCGACTGCTATGGACCTCAACCGTTCAAGCGGGATTCCACGCCCGGTTTCTAGAATTCCTCTACCGACCAGCACAAGAACAAGGTCTATTATTAGGCCCTCTCCGTCACGAGAAAGACTTCAGGCCGATTCGGGCGTTGATATCCATCGATTACGTCGTCCATCCCAAGAAGCCTTGCGTCGAAAATCCTCCGCACAATATATCGGACGCCGCGAGTCCGTGCCGGCACTGGAAAGCTTCACTGAAAGCTCCGAGTCACCGGTTGATAGCGATGGCGGGCTCACCGATGACCATAATGAGAGGCAGACGCCTTCTCGACCGTCGCTTTCTGATCGCACCGTCGAGACGTTGTCGCGGATCCCTCCTTCTCCCTCTCCTAGGAGTCGAAGATCTTCCTTCTTTCCACCGGATAATATAATGGGTCCTCCTCTGCGGTCCGCCTCATCCATGAATGACTGTTCCCGGTCGCCGTCGAGATCATCGCAGCATAATGGCTCTGACGATGTGGTTGTGCCGCAGCCTACATTTGCTAGGCGTGCATCCTCGAGACACTCGTTGATGGCCAGCAAAAGCCGGGATACAATGTCGCAACGTATTTCAGATAAAGCTGGTGATAAGCTATCAGTTCCAAACAAGTCTCTTCCTAGACAGAGTTTCGGGTTGGAGAAGAGGAGATCGATTGTCGGACTTGCATCCTCGAAGCATGCAGAGACCTTGCCCCTGAGATCAGCGACTGTAAATGAGGAAAAAGGGTTGGTTACGAAGATAAAGTCACGTCCATCTCTCAGCTCGGCATTTGTTAAACCAATGCCTAATGAGGTCAGCCATTCACCAATCTCAGTTAAGAAGACTAGAAAACCCTCGTCGAACTTATCCTCGAATGTTACATCACCGTCATCAACGGTGTCTAAGGCCTCTTCGCTGAGCTCTGATCCTGCTACGATTGACCCCGGTATGGAAGTGCGGAAGGCGTCCAAGTCGTCAAACGCATTGCGGGAGAGTATTGCCAAGGCAAAGGCTGCAAGAAAGGCCTCGAGGCAAAGCAATGTCAATTCCGGTACCATTGACGGATGGGATGGTGTTGACACACAAGATCCGTTTAACCAGCTTCCTAAAGGTTCTAATGACTTGCTACTTCAAAAACGAGTGGAAGCTGCTAGGACGTCGGGCTCTCTTAACATTGCAGCACTGGGCTTGTCTGGCATACCAGACGAAGTAATGACTATGTATGACTATGACCCAAACTCCGGTTCCGAGTGGTATGAAAGTGTCGATTTAGTCAAATTTATTGCAGCAGACAATGAATTAGTTAAGTTGCCAGAAGAGGCCTTTCCTGATATCGATCCACAAGATTTCGACATGGATGACGACAGCAAGGGAAACCAATTTGGAGGATTGGAAGTTTTGGATCTTCATGGCAATGTTCTTCAGTCTTTACCTATAGGGATGAGGAGATTACAGCGTTTGACTTCCTTGAATCTATCAAGCAATCAGTTGAAGATGGAGGATATTGAAATGATTGCGGAAATCAAACAACTCGCCGATCTGAAGCTAGCCAATAACAAATTGGACGGTCCGCTACCAGCTATTATGGGACAGCTTGAAAATCTTGAAGTATTGGATTTACACGAGAATCACATCACTATTCTGCCCGATTCGTTGTCTGGACTAAAGAGTTTAAAAAAACTGAATGTTGCTGATAATGACTTGGCGACGCTGCCATTCGAATATTTGAAAAATCTCCCTATAATAGAGCTAAATGCTGCTCGCAACAAACTTCAAGGCGCATTGATTAGGTCGACATTGAATGGTTTCGAGAGCTTGCAATTGTTGAATGTTGCTTATAACTCCCTGGAAAGTTTGTCAAATAGCCCATCGTTCGACTTTCCAAACCTACAAGTTTTGTTGGTCGATGCAAATCGTCTCAAGTCTCTTCCCACTCTGTCCGTATGTCGATCACTTTTAAGGATTTCAGCAGAAGGAAACAGGATCTCAGTGCTACCCGATGGATTTCTTGAACTTGAGAGTCTCAAACACGTGGACTTGACGGCCAATGATTTGAGCAAGCTGGATGAACGCGTCGGTTTGATGCATAACTTGATCAGCTTCCGCATTGCGAACAATCCATTGAGAGAAAGAAAATTCTTGACTATGGACACTGAAGATCTCAAGAACGACTTGCGTACTCGCTGTGCCCCGTCATTGTTGAATGGCCACGCCAAGTCACCAGAGACTGGCAACGAACACGGTGAATACGGCTATGCTGAGGATGATGAGGAAGGCTCGGTAGCAACAGAGTTCACATTGGCACCGGAAAGTCCAAGTCACCTCAATCGTTGGAGAGTCAAATCTGGAGGTATCCTCGATCGATCTGCAACCGAAATGACAGATTTGGATGTTGCAGAGCTGAGGCCATTGCTCTCCTCCCATGACATCAAGTGCCTATATATCCAGCGCAACAAATTACAAGCTTTCCCATGCCCTGCACTGAATCTCATCTCAAGTACTTTAGTTGATTTAGATTTATCAAAAAATCCGCTACAAACTAGTGACCTCTTCTCCGAGGCGTTGAATCTCCCTCAACTACAAAGCTTGACATTGAATGGCTGTGGTCTTACGGATGTCGAACCGCTGTTCCATCGCTGCGATGCACCTGCACTTAAATTCCTCGACATATCCAACAATCGCCTTTCGGGTCCTCTTCCTTTTGCTCGACAACATTTCCAAAATCTAATCACTTTCCTCGCAGCTGATAATCAGATTACCGGCCTCGAGTTTGAACATGTACGAGGCCTTCAGGTCCTCGATGTTAGTAATAACAACATTGACTTTCTTCCGCCGAGAATTGGTTTGCTGGGAGGCGACAGATCTATCTTGAAACGATTCGAAGTCGCCGGAAATACCTTCCGCGTCCCTCGCTGGCCGATTGTCCAGAAGGGAACAGAAGCTGTGTTGGAGTGGCTGAAGGGCAAAATACCAGCAGATGAACTAAATGACTGGGAGATTGGCAATGGTTCGTCTGAGGTTTGAGACAGATTCGAAGTTACTAGAAGAATATGTATAATTATTAATGTCGCATCAATATTACTCTAAAATAAAACACAAACGTTATGAACAACAACAATGCCTATGGCATTTATTTCGTGAGAATTACGGTGTAAGAAGTGGATTTTAACTATTTATGTTTAGACATCGTTGATGACATCGCTGATGACTTTCATCCATGTCCTCGACCAAGTCGTGAATTTATCTTCTGGACTTTGGTCACCATTTCCATCCTCAGATTTCCATGGAAGAGCAACCGACTGAACTGCCCTTTCTGCACTCGTCTTTGCTAATCTCAGATAACGGATAGAATCTGCAACATTGCCCTCATATAAAGAACCCGCCGCCTCATCAATATGATCTGGAATAGCCTGTAGATCAGCCGACAAAGACTCTAATTTCTGTATCTGAGACTTTGAAGCCGCGAGTCCGCCCTTTTTAATCCGATTCGAGATTATCGCCGGGTAGATCTGCACCAGGGGCTTCATGGCGCGTAATGTCGATTTCTTCTGGTCTTGGAGTCTGTCCATATTCTCTTTTTCGTCCGGTATTTGTTCCTGGCCATTTTCACTCTCATCATCATCCCCCTCGTCATCGCTATCCAGTAACTCGTTGAAATCCGTATCATCTTCCGGGTCCCATTCCTCCAACTCGCTTATAGCATCTTTCACCAAATCATGCCATTGCTGAACCCTCCCCGCCACGAACCCAACAATCCCCTTCTCTACAAGATCTAACAGCGTATCACATGCATCCCACACGCGCCCCGTACGAGACGTCACAACATCCTTTTCAGCCTTTGACAATTCCTCACTCGCCTCTTCCTCGCGTTTCTTTTTCTCCGCCAATCTGATCACATCCTCCACAAGCGAGGCAAACTCCCGCAATACCGTCTTGCTCAGAATCCTAGCTTCGCTGGAAAACGCTTTCGTGTATTCGCTGGGCGTAAGCAGGAGTGCTGCGGTGACGAGGGACGGCATGACCGAGTCATTCACGACCCCGACGACAGTCGAGATTGCAGAGGGTGTGAAGGGGGCCGTGATGGAGAGCAAGGAGAGCTTGGTGACTTGCGACCTGAGTGCTTTTGTGCTGTCTGATAGTAAACGTAGAGGGTCTGTTAGGGAGGCTGACGGTGCAGTTTGTGTTGTTGCTTGCGGGGTAGTGGTGTCTATTGTCGCCTGGAATTGCTCTGCCAGCGCAACGGCGGTTTTGAGGAGGCGTAGTAGTTTTTCAGACATTTTGTTATTTTCGTAGATTTAAAAAAAATTGCACTATTTTATTCTGCTATGAGTGATCGAGGAAAGTTGTTTGGGGGTGATATTGATGTTCGAGGGCTGGTTACAGATCTTTTTTTTAAGCCCCACCTCGCCAGCCTAGCACGAAACCCTGCGAGCCTGCCCTAATTTCCTTTTCCATAAGGCGTAAGATCTTGCCTTAAGCTGCGGATCCAAGCTTTGACCTTCCGCGTCTTCTTTCCGTCATTGCTTGTCCATACTTTTCTGGAACAGACAAGTATAGGCTGACCACCACCCTACGCGATGAATAATCCCCATACAATCTCTGTCTACTATATAATCTAGAAACAAAATCACAATGGTCTCCTCCAAAGCCCGCGTTCCCCCGAAGCAGGCGGCAGCAGCATCCAAAGTCCAACCTTTCCCGCAAAAGACCTTTATCATCGACAACGGCGCATACACCATCAAAGCAGGCTACGCACCATCCAGCCCTGCACCCTTCGATGACGACGAAGCAGCACTCTCCGCATGCACGACAATACCAAATGCACTCGCTAAAACACGCGACAATCGCGTCTTCGTCGGCGCCCAGCTTTCAACCCACATCTCCGACTGGAATGAAGTCCTGTTCCGTCGTCCCGTCGAAAAGGGGTATTTGGTAAACTGGGAGGCCGAAAGGGAAATATGGGAGCAATCCTTCTTTGACGAAAAGATATCTCGTGCGAAAGAACTGCGAATCGCGAATCCTGAAGAGACTACCTTGATCCTCACCGATACGCCGAATGGCTTGCCTGTTTTGCAGAAGAATGCGGATGAGATGGTGATGGAAGAGTGGGGGTTTGGGGCTTATACAAGGGTCGTCGGTGGGTTGTTATCCAGTGTGCTGTATATCTTGGATCATGTCTGATGTTGGTTGCTTTTGATGACTCATAGGACCTGCTTTGAACGCTTGGAATGATATGCATTCCCTCTTCGGAGACCCCTCGGAGACTTCTCAGTCGATATTGTCGCCGGCTGAATGCCTGCTAGTTGTTGACTCGGGCTATTCTCACACTATTGTTACTCCCATTTACAAAGGCCAGCCACTTCAGCGCGGCATTCGACGTCTCGAGATAGGCGGCAAACACCTTACCAACTATATGAAAGAGATGGTTTCCATGCGGCAATACAATATGGTGGATGAAACACACATTATGAACGATGTCAAAGAGGCAGTCTGTTACGTGTCGAGCGATTTCAGCGGGGATATGGAACGTGTATGGAGAGCCAAGAAGTCCCAGGGGCAGTCGCAGACTAGCGAAGGCATTGTTGTGGATTACGTGCTCCCAGATCCTAGTGCCAACAAAAAGGGATTTGTTCGTTCTCATGATCCCATGCTGAATGCGAAGAAGCGGAAGAGCCTGCTCTCTGGATCCGGTGACGTGGCCTCGGAGGATTTCTTGATCCTCGGTAATGAGAGGTTTGCTGTTCCGGAAATCCTATTCAGCCCGTTGGATATTGGGATGAAGCAAGCAGGTATCCCCGAACTCATCTTGCAAAGTCTATCGGTTCTGCCGACGGGTCTTCATCCTGCCTTCCTTGCCAATGTTTTGGTTGTGGGGGGCAATGCACTTCTCCCTGGGTTTATGGAAAGACTGTAAGTCACTTCTTTCAATATGGCTATAGCCAATGTACTCATGTGGAAACTTCCAGGGAAACCGAACTTCGCCAGATTGCAACAGCCGAGTGCGTTGTCCGCGTGCGACGGCCAAACGAGTAAGCACCTCCCACCGTCCTACAATAAACAGACATCTTCGTTCGAAGAAAATAGAGAACTAACGGTATACTCTAGCCCTATCCGATCTACATGGCGAGGAGCATCACGCTTAGCAACGAACCGAGAAGCGCTGAAATCGGTGTCTATAACACGGCAAGAATATCTTGAGCATGGATCCGCATGGGCTGGACGAAAGTTTTCCAACATTGAATAAAAATATGGGTTGTTCGGATACGAGGCGTTACGGGGTGATTATTTGGTTAGGACATTGGTAGTTTGATACCCAAAATTTTGTATCTGCGCATTAGCAATATCATCGTCTCCTTGTCTTACAAGATTGTATTATTTAAATCTTGCACTTCGTTGTCAACTTTTAGGTCCTGGATGGCAGGGGATTTAGGGGGTGTCACAATACTATTGCAATATTGTGATATAGACATAATCAAAGAGAGTCATTTAGCACTTGAGGTATATGCAAAATCGCCCAATTGAGTAAAAACGATAGTGCCATTCTATATCTTGTTTTGTAACCTGCTATCTAGTTTATATTCATTAAACACATGGTATAATTGGTATAATATTTCGACCAATACTTAATTTAATAATCATAAAAGCCCTTCCCACTCTTCTTACCCACCCAGCCAGCATCAACCATCTTCTTCAACAACCCCGAAGGCCGATATTTGCTATCCCCCGTCTCAGTGTGCAGCACATTCATAATAGCCAGACAAGTATCAAGGCCAATGAAATCCGCTAGCGTCAATGGACCCATTGGCACATTCGTACCATACTTCATGATACTATCAATATCTTCACGACGACCAACACCCGTTTCAAGACAGATAATGGCTTCGTTAATATACGGCATAAGAATGCGATTGGCCAAGAAACCGGGCGCATCGGCGGACTCAGCGGGAATCTTGCCCATGCGCTTGACGAATTCGAGCGCCGTCTCCAACGTTTCTTTGGAAGTCTGTAATCCTGAGATAATCTCAACGCCCTTTTGGATTGGCACCGGGTTCATAAAATGCGTGGAGATGACGCGAGACGGTGCTTGTAAGTCTGTTGGATCCTTGGTGGTCGATGCAGCGATCTTGGTGATGGAGATGGAGGAGGTGTTGGTTGCGAGAATAGCATGTTTTGGCGCGATCTCCGCGAGTTTGGAGAATATCGATGTTTTCAGGTCCGGGATCTCGGGCACGGCTTCAATGATGAAGTCGACGTCGGAGAGGTCTTCGAGCTTGGTGCTCGGCGTAAGCAGGCCGCGGACTTGGTCGGCGATTTCGCGGGTAATTCGTTCTTTGGCGACATCTTTTTCAAGAAGTTTGTCTGGATAAATTATTGTCAGATGAGTTGATTGTACGGGCTATATAGGGTCTATTTGGTGGTTCTCGTACCGGCGAATTTGAGACCTTTTTGGAGGCCGGCATCCGAGTTGTCGATCAGTGTGACTGGTACCTGGGCTTTCTGGGCTGCGACAAGAGCAATTCCAAGGCCCTTTTATTTTTGTTAGGGACAACGGATGTTAGAACCAGCAATGGCGAAAGTGACTTACCATCTGTCCTGCTCCGATAACACCGAGCTTTTTAACCTCGGCAGCTGCGAGCTTGTTTGTGGTGGTGGTGAAGGACCGAGAGGCAATTGGCGCCTGGCGACGAGCGCCATTTCGAACAATGGCAGAAAGCATTGCTGCAGAGGTTATGTCTAGTCACGCAATAGACGGCGGTGTTGAAAATAACAAGAACGATAATCTGAACTATACTATTCTCATCGTTACCCGAGGTCACCCTCACATGTCTGTCTAGCCGCGACGTCATCGGCTATTCTCGGCCAGGTCAAGGCTAGCTGCATTAAGACTAGGGACCTAATGTATTAGATCTAACCGTTTACGGAAATCATTAAACGCGCTCGACGCGTCTTTTTCAAGAGTCAAGGCTCATTGGCCGGTAGAGATAACATTGGACAGCTTCTCTTTGCATGAGTTCACCAGACTCGCATCAACCATTTTATGGCGATTGTGCCCCATCGTGATGACTGATTAATTCCCGACAGAATTCTGTCACCATGGATGTCGACGCCGCCCCTGTAGGACGAGACGTTCAAGTTGTTGACCCCGAAGTTCGCGCACATGTCTACAGTCTCGTCACTGCGGTACGTCTTCGCACTTCTCGAAACGCATTGCCGTATACTGATATTTGTTGACATAGCTCGGTGGCTTCAATGGCGAAGATGCGTCAAAATACTGCCTGGGCGACGACGCCTTGGCCTGTTTGCGCGATATCAGAAAGTGGCTCAAATTATACGATGACAAAACGAATCGACTAGATGTTGCACGTTGCTTGGCAGAGGCGAATCTAGTGAATGGAGATTTACTGCCTATTCTCACTCTCTGTCGCGAGACTACGGGCAGTAAGAAGAAGCATTTGGCGAGAATTGCACTGGCGTGCTGTGAGACAACTGAGTTACCTTGGAAAGTATGAATGGACAGCTAATATGTAAATTAGTGGAATTACTGGTCCCATTGACTTGGCCAGTGGAAATTCATAGTCAGATGACCGTCAACCACCATCGCCATACCCCATACCTACAGCAAGCCCAAGTACAATACAAGCGAGGGATACTAGACAGGCAGGCTGGCTCACATGTTCTCCGATCTGTGATTCAAATAGCCTTGCCTAGTTTAGCTCTTCCTAAATCCGAACGAACGAACAGAGATGATGGAATTTTGAAGCTGATGTTATATCTTTGCCGAAATGTTGCCATGATCTCACCACTCAGAGGCCTAGCTGCTGAAGGTGACGAGGAAGAAACATCAAGGTCTGCAACTATCAATGCCTTTCAAACGCAGGATGTCTTTGCACTTTTGCTCACCATGAGTTCTAATATGGGAGACGACTTCAATTTTCAGGACGTCATTATTTTGGAGATTTTGTTCCATCTCGTCAAGGGGGTCGACGTGCACAAACTCTTTATGGATGACGCGCAACGTAGCGACAAGTATAAGGAAGAGTTGAACGATCTTTTAAGGAAGGAGACCGGCGTGAGTAGGGAGTACGCCAAGACTGCACCGACTCGACACGCACGCTTTGGAACCATGATATGGGTGAAACGAGATGATGCAAAAGTCTCAACTGTTTCGGGTCAGGATGTTCTTAAAAACGGACAGGCTGCTTTCAACAAGATGGATCAAACAAAGAAGTGGAATCGTCCCAAACATGTTGGACGTAAACGAGAGGTAGAGGCTGCGAGTGGTGACTTTAACGCGACGACACATCTCACATCTGCTGCAACTAAGAACCTTCGCACATTCGTGGAGGAATTCTTAGACACCGGCTTTAATCCTCTATTTACCCATGTTAGAAAAGCTATCGAACGCGAAGCCAACAGAGTATTGGACGTCAACACACGACAGTTTCTCTACTTGGTTTCGTGGTTTCTTCTAGCTGAACGCGTTCGCCGCAGCTCTCAACGAAAGCGACATGAAAAGGACAAGGGGACCTCCAGGGAAATCGAGCCGGATAGCTTCTCACTCGTTGCAGGTGTGCTCAACCAAGAGACTTTTATTTTCTTGAACCGCGCAATGCAATACAGCTTTGACCATGGAGATTGGCAAGATCTTAACGCTAATTTGCGCTGCTTCAGTCAGATCCTGTTGACAGTTCAAGAGATGGCTGCATCGCCGCTTGAAGACGATCAGGAAATTGCGGAAAATATCCAAAACCGTATCTTCTATGAGGAGACAACTCACGATAGAATTATATCGATTGTAAGAGGATACAAGGATCAGGGATTTGGATATCTGGATGCTTGCACTGAGCTTTTGCACGTTTTTGTGAAAATGCTTGAGAATTATTCAAAAGAGAACACGGATATGCAAATTCGATCGAAGCGACGAGCAAAACGCGCAAAGAAGGACAGTTCTGAGAATAAGAAAACAGAAAATGCCGAAAGAAATGAATCGGAAGAGGAGGAACTTTTGGATGCTGCTCGGGTGTCTAAAGAACGGAAATTCGATTTCAAACGATTTGCGTCTAGATTTTGCAACCAGAAGAGTATCGACGCTTTCATGCAATTTACAACATTCTATCGCGAGCTCGATGATGAGCAATTGAAACGGGCGCATCGATTTTTCTATCGGGTTGCATTTAAACAAGACATGAGCATTCTTCTAATGCGTGTCGACATTTTGAATCTCTTCTACCGCATGATCAAGGGCCCTGGAGCACTCGATAATGCCAAACCCATATATCGAGAGTGGGAAGAATTAATTAAACAACTGACCAGAAAGATGACAAAGAAACTCGATCAACGACCTGCTCTTATCACAGAAATGCTCTTCAGCAAGATCAACTCCACTCTATACTTTCTAGAATATGGCCACGAGAAACAAACGGTATCTGCCGGCGCCACAAGGGCTCCTGCTGAGCTTGAAATCAATCCTCGCGTCGGTATTTCAAGAGATTTGCATTTGAGTATTGTCGTGGCCGCTCTAGTTCTGGACGGCCGTGCGGATCTCGTCAAAGGGATTAGTGAAACGCTGCGATCAGCGGCAGCAGAGCGCAGTACCTGGGAAGCTGAATATGAGACTGGGCTATTAGGAATACCTGATGTGGATTTACCCCCTAATCCCACACCTATTGGTATGTTTGTTCGCGGCTATATAGTGTACATTCACTTACATTTCTTCTAGATGTCAAAGCCAGTGACGACTCAATGCGAACGGCCATGTACAGAAACGGTAGGCTGCGCTTGCTTATGCGGTTAGTCGGGCTGGAACGTCTAGGGACAGAGGACATAATGGGAGCCCCCTGGATAGTGCCCTCAGCATTGACATCGAAAGAGCTAGAGGAAGTCAAGTCAATCATCGACAAATGCCTTGAAAATCCTGCTACTGAATTTGATGGACAGGATCCCCGCGACCAAATCCGACGTATACCTACAGCCGAACCGAAAGAAATGCAGCACCAATCCACTCTAGATGTTCATTTTGGTTCTGACTCTGAAGGAGATGAAATCCCCGACGGCCTTCTCTTCCCCCAAATATACGATCAAAATCTAATGCGCTAGAACAATTAAAGAAGAACAGGCGCAAGCGTCGACGTGACGAGGACAAAGAACCCTTGGATGACGAAACTCTCGAAGAGCGCCGTCGCAACCGCGAGGAAAATGCAAGAGAAAGACAGGCTAAGATCAAGAGCGATCTCTTCGTTCATGACAGCGACGACGAGTCAGATGAAGATGCCGATCGCGACTTCTTCGAGCGCGAAGAAATGACGCGAAAGGCCCAGGACCAACGCATCCGAGCAGCCTTAGTGTCCAAGGCTCTAGAAGAGGACGCTGTAGCTGAAAAGCAGAAAGGGAAAAGAGCCACAAACCGACGGGCATTCAGGCTTGATGACAATGATGATGAAGAAGAAAATGAAGATGAGATTATTGAAGTTCGCAAGAAGCCGCGCGCTACTCGCGGTGGCTTTGAGATGGACGAGCCGGCTGATGATAATGACGACGACGAGGATGTCTTGATGTCAGGTGTTGCTGAGACCAATGCCTCGACCACCTGGCAAGGTCATGCAGAGAATGAGACTCCTCCTACTTCTGCGGAGGACGAGTGGGATCTCGACAAAGAGCTCGACCTGCATAAGGATTTAGAGCATCCTACAACCGCTGCTGGCGATAGTCACAGTGAGGATGAAGCGCCAGTTCAGGGAACCCGGAGGAGGAGGACTGGTTTTGTGCTTGATAGTGATTCAGAGTAAGGTTTCATGATGTATATATTTAATGGTTAAATTGTTGATCTGCATGACGGACGGGCTGGAATATGACATTGATGGCTGGAGTTATATAAACCATCGAGATGCCATTTAATCAAATAATGGTGATGGCTGGGTGTAATGTGATCTTACAAATTTAGAAATTGCGAGTGGAGCACAAGCCCGAAGACGCAATTGTCACCTACGAGTTTTACTGGCAGGTATATTGATGCTATTGGTTAGGGCTATAGAGACCACGTGCACTTTTTTCCTGATCAGTAACCATAATAAGATGCTCTAAGTCTACTGGTTTGCCCTGCTTTGCACTACTTAAAGGCGCATGTGGAGAGGTGACTCATTGCGCCTTATGACGAACCATCCCTTGTCCCAAGAACACTAACTTATATAGTGCCGCCAATTCCTTCAATCTCTAAATATAATATATAATACATCTCTACTCATAGTCAGATCTAGCCACTAAGTCAAGATATAGAGAGCCATGGCCCCGGAAACCATCCGATTCGCCACACTAGACGTGTTCACCAAAACACTCTACGCAGGCAACCCGCTCGGCGTGGTCTTCCTGCCGACATCCTCAACCCTAAGCCAAGACCAGAAACAGCGCATCGCCAAAGAATTCAACTACTCGGAAACCATTTTCGTGCACCCAGTCGACCCGACAACCCCCAACCAGCAAAAAATCGACATTTTTGTGCCAGACGCCGAGATCCGGTTCGCAGGCCACCCAACCATCGGCGCCGCCTCTTGGGTTACCTATTTAGGCCCTCAAGATGATGCTGCGGTGGCTGCTGCTGCCAAAGTCGACACGCTGGTGACCAAAGCCGGGCCGATCCCGATCTCCCTGCGGCCCGAAGGGGACGCAGTGAGCGCGCTGATCCCGCACGATGTACGGATTCATCAGAAGCGGTTTCCAGCTGCGAAATTGCTGCTCCTGCATCCTTCGCTCCAACCACATCTTGCTGCGACACTTGATGGACATGGCGGCTTCCCCGTGGTGTCGATTGTGAAGGGAATGGCACAGATTCATGTCCAGCTTCCGAGTCTAGAAGCCCTTGCTGCTGTTGGGCCGGCGGTGGGAGGGGAGTATGTTTCTGATGCCGATGTTACGAAAGGCGGGTATCTGGACGAAGGGTGGGGGATTAGGGGGCTGGTTGTTATTTACTTCCATGTCCGAGGCGTTGTGGATCAAGATAGCGGTAAGCAGGTTATTCGTACGAGGATGGTGCTTGGGGTTGAAGAGGACCCGGCGACGGGGAGTGCGGCGAGCGGGTTGGCGGCATTATTGGCATTGGACGAAGGGCAAAAGGGTGCTGAGTATGAGTATAGCTTTGTGCAGGGAGTGGAGATGGGGAGGAGGAGTGATATTGGGATCCGTGTTGTCACACAGAGTGATGGTTCGGGATCGGGGATTAAAGAGATTGAACTCAGTGGAAGTGCAGTCAAGGTTTTTGAGGGAGAGATGAGGGTGAACTAGAAAGGGAAAGAGGATAATAGAAGTTTTAATTTGTTTGTATTTTGAATATTTGATGATAGGGTATCCGTCTAATTTAAAGCCCACGATTTTATATGGCATGTTGTTATAACGCAAGCTTAGGTAACTGGCAAGTAAAGAAATCTCGCTCTCACATTTTTTTATTCTTCAAAAACGACGCAATCTGTTCATGCCGTGTCACGAAAAACATGCGTTTTCGATCCAACTTCCACACCAGTACGCCGATTTCTTCGGCATACTTGCACGTCCCCTCGTACTCCGCAAGCGAAGTAAAGTCCTTGAAAAGAAACCCAGGGGTAGCTTTAATACGATCTCGTTCCAGCTGCCATAGACGGATTTGATCAACTACTGTAGGCGGCAGAACCGAGCGCGGTAGTCCGGCGGTGTTGGAAGTTGATTTTATTGCGCTTTCCTTGCGCATTTGAGGGTGTGCGTGCGTTGAGAGGTAGGAGATGATTTGGTCGGCTGTGATACCCATTTCGACAGCACGACGAATAGACTGTCGGGTGATTTTGCCGGTCACCAAGTTCGGGAACCGGTATTTGAGAGTGGAAAACAACGCAATGAGGGATATTTGTAGAGGAGACGACGTGTATGCGTATAGACGGTAGTTTGTTTCCACAATAATAAACCCTGACCCGGATTCTCCTCCTGTTTTGACGGACTGGGCAGAGAGCGCGCTGGACATTGTGTTGCTTAGAGCACTCGAATCCGAGGTGAGAGTAGTTGCGAGACGGGTTGGATAGAAACGATCAGCCTCCGATGTTGGCGAATGCTGATACACGATCCCGAAATCCGTTAAATCAGTCAAGGTGCGCAGTTGGCTTTCTGTGAGGTATTTCTTCTCGTATGACTCGCCAAGTTCGAGGCTGCTTAGCAGAAAAATAAACGACAAAACTTCCACTGCATTAACCTGGAGTGCCTCGGCGCTTTCAACATAGAGGATAAGAATCTGCCAGACTTGCGTATTGACATCCTGCAGCACGAAAGCGAAACCATCCTGCGTGATATCGGCCCTCCCATGATGTATCTCAACCAAGTGGCCAACTTGCAAAAGCTGTTTGACACCTCGACTAAGATTGACCGCATCGCTGGCGCCAAAACCACTTGTGCCGACCATATACCCCAGAACGCCTTCCCACTGTCTCCTCGCATAGTCATCGAGATCTGCAATCGTCACTGGCTCTGCATCAGGCGTCGCGCACGGCACACCGAACGACTGCGTATTCTCAGCGCCTGTGAGAGCTTGTCGTAAGGACGAAGCAAACGGGTTTGTCACCATATACGCCCTGACCTGATTCGACGTCATGGTCATCTTCAGGATGTGTAGTCTCCCAAGAATAGATATGGCATGGTCCCTCTCTCTTCTCGACGTCAGCCACAATTACAACACAGTCGATAACAAGATTCTTCGCGCTTGGTGTTCTCACCTCATGCTATCCGGCTTGATCCAGAGCTCAAGATCTGCCGTCGGAAGAGGATCCCGCATGTACAACAAAGCCATAACGAGACATTTTGCTACCGTCGATTAGCCAGAGCTAGACCAGTATGGGTGCAAGGACGAACCGAGATCCGGAAGCATGCGTCGGAAAATGGCGAGGGCTGTTGACGGCTGTTGATACAGCTTTTTGAAGGTCAGCTCCGGCAGCTGCTCCAAATACTCGAATGATCGGTTCGTCGAGGCGGCCATGTTGCCTGTAGCCTCAGGCTGTGCGCCCGTGTAGTGCCAATCAGGACGTTCGCATGTCGTGCCGGAAATCTGAGAAAAGCCCAGAACCGACGAGGGGTGCTTTTTCCTTGAGCCCGGCTTGATAAACGAAAGGAAAGACAAAGAAAGAGAAAGAGAATGCGTGATGGATTTCAAGGCGACTCGGTACGGGAGGCGCAGCGGCTCCGTTGCGCAGCTTTCTCTTTTCTCTCACTACGTCTGTCGATCACAACAGATTCAGCACCTAGTGCATAGTAACACACGTGAAAGATTTTATTCTCCGCTGGGCCCTGTGTGACGGTATTGGAATTAACAGGTGTCATAATCCCAGTTTTTATGAAAAATATCTACTTCGAAGATAGGAAAGTCTTCTTCAGCCTTTTCTTTTCTATCAAATATCCGAGAAGTTCTTTCTGGTCAAATCAATATGTAGGAAGCAATCGTTGATTGGGTACGAGACTATATACGGAGCGAATACTTGCAGTCAAGACTATAGTGGTAGCACAAAATTCAAGGATTTTAACGCGGAAACGTGTGAAGGTCTCCTCGCTGAGTGCTTTGGAAAATTCGGCGTCGAGAATGTATGAGCAACAATAAACAACCGTATGGGTCTCGCCATATAATCCAATGATAACATGGTGATGAAGCATCGGGAAATCACTAACTCGCATTCGATTCTAACGAGGCATGAATTAACATCGACCTGATCAGGTCAGACCGCGGATAGGCCCAGACGCAGCTTCACCCCGATCGATCTGATCAGCAGCAACACGGAACAGTTTTATGACTCGAGCCTTGAAAAACTGATCGTAATCATGGCCAGGCAGTTGGAGGCCTAGGGGACCGGTTGTGTTTTTCAGTTGCTGAGAACGAGCACAATCAAACTCCCAATCCCGCTGCGCATTTCGAAACAGCTGATAAGCTCGTTTAGCTAGACCACCGCTCTCCAGAGATCTGGCTTTGATAATCTTCAGAATGAGAGATCGCGCCATATACTTGCGATATTTGGCAAAGAATTCGCCGATCGTTCGGGGCACATAGAGCTGTACCCCAGCGTGTACAACGCCGATGGTGCCACGAAACAGATGTAGAAAGCAGACATTCGCAGCAAGGTCAACGGGGAGCTCATCCAAAATCATACTTTCTGAAAATCCAGATAGCCTATTCATGGATCTGTACTCCTGGTCTTCCAACAAAATCTGCGAGAACGTGTGAGCGGGGATCGTTCCTTCAGGTCCATAGAAGGGGTATGGGGTCCTGAATCGCTGGCCCTAAGCAAGAGGGGCGAACAATCAGAATGGGAAAGGATACATTCATATCGAACAGCATCCGCTCAGCAAGATATTTCCCCTGGGCATACGGTATGGGGAAGTGTTTTGCATATGGCGATTGGTGGTTTTCCAAAATCGATTCTACCTACGCGTCAGGGGAATCTTTGTCATCTCCCACTAAGACGATGGACTCTCTTATTATCCCAGCAGGTTGGGATTTGCAAGTTGATAACGATGAAATAAAAAGAAATACTTTCAACTGCGCGAAGGAATTCGCCATGCGTGCCAGGTTTCTGACAGGGAGGTAGTTATCGCGAATGGTCGAGGCAAGTGATTGGAAAACCGCGATTGATGCGGCCGCGTGAATCACAACAGTCACTTCTTGTAACTTCTTCACACTGCTTGGCGTGAAGCCATAGTCTGGCCAGGTGATATCGCCAAAAAGGCAACGGACTTTGCCCGTGTCAAAAATTTCATCAATATATTCAGGCATAGATGCCTCCCATTTAGTCATCGCCTGTTGCATTGACCCCCGACAAAGAACATAGATCCGTTTGGTAGGGAGTTGCACGGCCAGCTTATAACAAACATCCTCCAAGGTTGCCAGTTCCCCCAGTGAGAAATATTACCTGATCTCGAAACCACTCAACTTCATCTAATCGTGGACAATCTTCCGCCATTGTGGGCTAGCCTGATGGAAATAAAATCTCAGATGAGACAGCGGATTAGTCACCTCTAGACTAATAGCTAAAAGTAAATGTTGCTGTTGAGGTATAAGGCCTGTTGAAATCGATATTTGCTGTTGAGACCGATTTTCAACTATCTTGATTTATATTGACTATTTTTTTATTTAATTCCTTATTTTCTTTTCCCCAGTTAAATAATTGTGAAACGACGTGAATGGAATGTATTGATCAGAGTACGTATCGAAAATATTCCAAGGGTGTGTGAGTGAGTCTGTCTCCGATTGGACTTGTATAAACCGAGTGCTTTGGCTCATGATCTCGGAATGCAGAATATATGAAATGATATATCACAAGATGCGCTGAAAATGGAAACTTCAGACTGAATTTTTCACCATTGGCTTGTTAAAAGTCACTGTCACACACGAGGCGACTTCGGACATTCCATGAACTCCGGGAACTGAAAAGCACACTTTATTGCAGATCAAGAGCAGCCCAAAGGGTTGATAGGGCCGATCATTGCTATCTTAATTGGTATATATTAATGGACTTGGTGATTGAAGCGCTATCTCTAATCTTCTTCTAAGGATACTGCTTATAGTTTGCCCGTACATTGAGAGCAACGATATCCTGAACCACGGCTTCCTGACAAATTTCTACTCTAGAATTGTCCACACTCGATCGCATGTCTTCATCGAGAATTGAGTCGCTCCAAATGCAGCGAATGGAAGAGGTTGTCAGAGGCCAAGAAAAGGGAAAAACTGATGGATTCTCCGCAAAATCCTTTTGTCAAGCATGCAGCGACGGTACCAAAGTGCGCTATACAACCCGTTTTTGAAAATTAGCTACACGCAAATTAATTGGTCTCATGCAGGACGATGCCTGTCCACCTATTGCAATTGTGGGCATGGCGTTGAGATTGCCTGGTGGCATTAATACGCCTGATGGACTATGGAAGTTTTTGATGGAAAAGAAGAATGGAGTTTGTGAAGTCCCTGGCAGCCGGTACACTGTTGATTCATTCTACAGTGAGGTCCAGCCTAACCGTTTAAAGACGCGTCATGGTTACTACCTCCAGCAGCACCCTGGCTATTTTGATGCAGATTTCTTCTCGATCAATGCTGGTGAGGCAGAACGCATGGATCCACAACAGCGTCAGTTACTGGAAGTTGTGTGGGAGTGTCTGGAAAACGCAGGAGAAACGAACTGGCGCGGTAAGAATATTGGCTGCTACATTGGAGTTTATGGGGAGGATTGGTTGGATCTGGCTAGCAAAGACCCTCAGCATACGGATCGGTATCACGCCCTTGGGACAGGCCAGTTTGCACTGGCAAATCGAGTGTCATTTGAATATGACTTTCAAGGACCGAGGTATACTTGTACATCCTGATTTCACATCTTATCCAATATTTTCTGCAGCTGATACTGACGGAGCGTCTACAGCATGACCTTACATACGGCATGCTCATCATCCATGGTTGGCTTACACGAGGCTTGCCAGGCCCTTTACGCTGGCGACTGCTCCTCAGCCATTGTTGCGGGTACTAATCTTCTGTTTGCGCCAACCATGTCAGCAACTCTGTCAGAGAGCATGGTCTTGTCACCAACCGGGATGTGCAGGACGTTTGATGCAAATGCGGATGGATATGGGCGGGCAGAGGCAATTAATGCGCTTTATATCAAACCTCTGTATGATGCGCTCCGGGACAATGACCCTATCAGAGCCGTGATACGTGCAACATCAACCAACTGCGACGGGAGAACGCCCAGCATTACTACCCCTGGCTCTCACTCGCAAGAGGCTCTTATCCGTAGAGCGTATGAAAAGGCTGGAATCGATAATATCACAGAGACCGGGTTCTTCGAGTGCCATGGAACCGGCACAGTCTCTGGTGATACAGTAGAAGCATTAGTAGTTGCGAAGATATTTGAAGGAAAAGGGGTTGTGATGGGAGCTGTAAGCATATAGAACCATAAGGGAACACTAAATGCTCCTTCTACGACTAATGGGAGCTATAGGTCAAACCCAACGTAGGACACAGCGAAGGTGCATCTGGAATTACAAGTGTTATCAAGGCTGTCCTAGCCCTGGAGCACGAGATAATTCCCCCAAATGTGTTTTTTGAGTGTCCGAATCCCAAAATCCCGTTTACTGTGGCCAAACTGGAAGTACCAGTGGAACCCTTGGTCTGGCCAAAAGATCGGAGGCAGAGAGCAAGTGTGAACTGCTTTGGCATTGGAGGTACAAATGCGCATATAATTCTTGAGTCTGTTTCCTCATTCTGTAGAGATTTCAGGGGCTTGATGAATCCTGGCTCGTGCACTACCTCTCTCCTGCTTGTCGTCTCTGCCAAGAACAAGGATAGCCTGAGGAAACAAATTGAGGCAGTAACAGATTATGCAAACCAAAATTCTACCATTCTCCACAATCTGGCCTATACACTCGGTGTACGACGAGAGCATCTTTTGCACCGTGCCTTTGTGGTAGCTCAACCTGGTCAATCCATCCATGTGTCAGCATTCCAAAAAGGCCAAGATAAACCTCATAATCTGACCATGGTGTTTACTGGTCAAGGTGCGCAATGGCCAGGAATGGGAAAGGGCTTGATTGACTCCTTTCCAGAAGTCAATCATGATATTCAGATGCTCGACCAGGAACTCCAGAACTTGGATGATGGGCCAAGATGGTCTCTACGAGGTAAGGAAGATCAATGTGTTTTCCACTTAGAAGTGTTGTTTACTGACGTGACTCTCAGAGGAACTAGTCAAGACAGACTCTGACAGTCGAGTTGATGAAACAGAGTTCTCCCAGCCACTCTGCACTGCTCTCCAGATTGTATTGGTCAATGTTCTTCGTCGATGGGGACTCATGTCTTCAGTGTCGTCTGTGGTCGGTCATTCTAGCGGCGAGATTGCTGCTGCGTACGCAGCTGGAGCTATCACGGCACGATCCGCTATTATTATAGCATACTATCGCGGCCTGGTGGCCAAGCAAAAAGAAGGACAAGGTGCAATGGCGGCAGTCGGTTTAAGTCGTGAACAGTTGACGTCTTTCCTCAATGATGACAACGGGGCAGTGATTGCGTGCGAGAATAGTCCTCATAATGTGACCTTTTCGGGAGACAGGGAGGAAGTGTATCGTATTATGGACAGAATTAAAACAGATCTACCAGAGGTGTTATGTCGACGACTTCGAGTATCTGTTGCGTATCACTCGCGTAAGTTTCCATCCGTGGAGTAAAATGTCCACTAACAAATGTTTAGCCCACATGCATGAACTGGGGATCTGGTATGAGAATCGCATTTCTCGGTTTGTTGAGACGAACCAATCAATGCTACCATTTGTGTCTACTGTCACCTCAACAACAATCACAGATCTACATGAACTGGGTCCATCGTATTGGCGACAGAACCTGGAATCACCTGTCCTCTTTTCCACCGCGGTGCAGAGCATTATTGATAGGGGACACAGCAATCATATCTTCCTAGAAGTGGGAGCACATTCTGCGCTCTCTGGCCCTTTAAAGCAGATCTTCAGAGAGATCAACCCAAAATCGGACCTACTTTATATACCAACTCTCACTCGCAATGACAACGACCAACGGGCCCAACTACTTCAGACTGTAGGTCTAGCCCACTGTTCAGGCGTACCAGTCAGGTTCGAGGAAGTAAATGGCCGAGGGACGACACTGGGTAACCTCCCATCCTACTCGTGGTATCACAACAAATTGTACTGGAACGAGAGTCGGCTGACCCAGGCTTGGAGATTTCGGAAGTTTCCTCATCATGAACTGCTGGGAGTACGGGTGGTTGAGTCCTCTGACATTGAGCCCTCATGGAGGAATCTTTTACGACTTTCGGATATCCAGTGGCTAAATGATCATGTTCTACAGGGACGTATTCTATTCCCAGCAACAGCGTATATTGCCATGGCCGGGGAAGCCATTCTCCAACTGAGCCCTGATCAAAACGACTTCTCTATCAAGAACCTCATCATCAAGAACCCCTTGGTATTGACTGAGTTCCAGACTACAGAGGTCATCACAACACTTAAACCAGGTCATGTGACAGACATAGTTGACTCGGACTGGTATTTGTTCACTATCATGTCCTATGGCGAAACCGGCTGGACTAAGCATTGCTACGGACAAGTCAGAACAGGTTACGACAGCAAGCCTGACGCGACCCAATTATCACGTTATGCTCGACTACTCGAGTCTAAAAGATTGTATACAACTCTTAACCGTCTTGGGTTTTATTATGGGCCACATTTCCAACGTTTGAGGGACATCTCTGCTGACCCAACAGAGAATAAGGCTTCCGGGACAATTCTCGATTTCGAAGAACCCACTAGCAGATACCCCATGCATCCTGTGACCATGGATAATGTGCTACAAATGTTCCCTGTGGCTATGTCTAGAGGCCTCTGTCGCTCTTTCAAGCTTGTAGTTCCAGCGACTATCGGGAGCATATATGTTCGAGGTAGCGCATCCCGGATGCAGGTCGAAGCCAGCATCGCCGCCAGTAGGACAGGAAAATGGGAAGGTCAAGCCACTGCTCTAGCAGGGGATGATCTTCTGTTGTTCATGAATAATGTTACTGCATTTCCTGTAGATTGGGACGGGAACTCGGCAGAATTCAAGCCGCCTTTATGTTCAGAAATCCGTTGGGCACCCGACGTTGACTTAATCCCCTCATCCGCCCTGCTTGCGACACCGCCGGCACCAGGCCAGTACAGTGAAGTGTTAAGAGATGCGGGATGCGTAAGTCTTTTATACGTTTTAGAAACGATTGATCGTCTTAGTAGCAGTAATACGTCCCTCGCGTCCTCACATTTGGTAAAATGGGTGAACTGGCTTGAAGCAGAAGTTTCAAGACTCAGTCAGGAGGAAGATGTTCTGTTTCCAGAATTGGACTCTTGGGCTAATATGGCTTCTGAAAAACGCCATAATCTGATAGCCACAATATCGTCAAAATATGATTGTGCCGAGCACGGCTATAATATTCCGTTTGAGTGTATGCGTCGTGTCTTTGAGGGTTGTCTCGACGTCGCAAGAGGAAATGCATCTGAAGATACGATCCTGATAGCTCCCACAAACATGGAAAAGTATTATACGTTTTTGCAGCTTCGCTGTGATTGGAGTAATGTTCTATCGTGTATAGGCAACTCCAACCCAGGTATACGTGTGTTGGAAATTGGAGCCGGAACAGGTAGCGCCACCAAGGCAGCATTGGAGCATCTAAAGTCGCCTGAGGGGGTACGACTATTCTCCACGTACATTTTCAGTGATATATCTAAAGCTATATTGGAACTTGCCCAACAAAAATTTGGTACTACTGAAAATATTGGGTTTAAAAGCCTGGATATCGCCCAAGACCCCCAAGATCAAGGTTTCGAACCTCACAGTTTTGATCTGATTATTGCGTCACATGTACGTTGTTCTCACCCTAGTTCACTAAGAAGTTGTTGTAACAATCAATTAAACAGGTTCTTCACCAAACTCCCAATCTTGACACTTCTCTCCGGAATATACACCAATTACTCAAGTCCGGTGGCCGGTTACTGCTCAACGAGTTCTCCTCACGTACGAGACAATCCTCTCTATCCTCCAACTTCCGCGAGACTAACAGGCAGATGTACAGAAACATTAGTAACTGGCTATATAATGGTAGGTGGAAGGTGCCCATTTGCAGAAATCCCTTTATGGCTGACTAGAACTCAAGGGGGGTTATCTGACTGGCGGCTTGTCGAAGATGGTCGAGGTGACAAGCTATACATTTCGCCAGAGACATGGCATTGCAAATTACGTGCTGCTGGTTTCAGTGGGAATGATGCGATAGCCAATGACGTGGATAGTCCATATCAGACACACTTTACGATGCTTAGCCGTGTTGCTCTCGAAGATGACACTAGCAAAATCGACATTTTGCTGCTGACCACCAGCACTCCTGGCCCATGGGCCCAGGCTGTCCAATCCCATCTGTTGGATCAGGGATACACAGTGAAGTGGGGAACCCTGGACGAACAGCCCCCTGCTAATCACTGGATAGTCTCATTTCTAGATTTGGAAGGGCCGTATTTGTACAATATGACCGAGCAAAAGTATACGAAACTTTGGAACTATCTTAAGCAAGCTGACAAGAGCCGGATGCTTTGGGTTTCAAACATTGCTCAATTAATGTGCCCAGATCCTAGGTTCGGGCTGATATTTGGATTTGCCCGAACCATTCGGCAAGAAATATTGCTAGATATCTCGATTCTCGAAACTGACGTCTATGACGAATCTTCCGTACACGCGCTTTCTCAGGTTCTCAAGAAACTTCAACGATCCCGACAAGGTTCAGATATTGACCTGGAATACGAATTCTCTTTCTATAAAGGTTCTGTACATACTGGCCGCTGCCACTGGATTAATGACCCTTTGGCCAAAATCCCAGCACAACCATTAACCGAAGTATCGCTCAAACTGGATATTGGATCAATAGGCATGATTAATACTCTTCGATGGACACCAGTTGAAAACTGCCAGCTTGAGAAGGGTCAGATCGAAATTGATATGCAATATATTGGGTTAAATTTTAGGGTATGATCACGTTGCCCCGTCCTTCTCATCTAATCAATAGATATGCCAAACATATGCTCACCTTAGAGAACTGTGTAGGACGTAATGGGTGCTATGGGCCTATACGGAAACCCTGAGGAATTTGGGACTGAAGGGACAGGAATCGTTCGTCGGGTGGCATCGGATGTAGCGGATTTCAAGGTTGGTGACAGAGTTCTTGTCATAAATCTGGGAGTGTTTCGGACTCGGTTCATTTCGAGCTCTGAATATTGCCTAAAAATTCCGGATGGCATTCCCCTTGCGGAGATTGCAACCACGCCATGTGCCTATATGACGTGTCTTTACTGTCTGATTTATCTTGCTCGTCTTCAGCCAGGGGAGGTAAGAAACCCCCGTTACCTCCTATCGTTCAATTTTTTTTTGTTTTCGCATTTACGCACTGTTAACAATGTTCCTTATATAGTCTGTTTTAATCCATTCAGCCTGTGGAGGGGTTGGACTATCTGCCATCCGGATCTGCCAAGTGATAGGGGCGGAGGTATGCTTTCCTATACTTCCCAACCTGCTCTGTCAACCGAACAATAATAGTACAAAACACTAACATGTTCTAGCTATTTGTCACGGTAGGAAGTGAGGAAAAGGTCAACTATCTAATTAGCAACTTTGGAATCCCACGCAATCGCATCTTCAATTCAAGAAATTCTAGCTTCAGGGAAGATATCCTGTCAGCCACGAACGGAAAAGGGGTCGATGTTGTCCTTAATTCTCTATCAGGTAAACTGCTTCATGCTTCCTGGGACTGTGTTGCCTCGTTTGGTAGGATGATTGAACTCGGGAAACGTGACTTTGTCAGCAATGGGCATCTTAACATGGCACCCTTTATTCAAAACAGGTCCTATTTTGGCTTTGATCTGACACAAACCACGGAGAATCCAAGGGTTCGTTCTATGTGAGTAAGCTCTGCCAGTGATGGTGATTAATTTATCAATTAATAACCGCTATATGGTAATAGAATGTTCGAACTATATTTATCCTGGCACGAAAAAATTGCAACTCTCAAGCCTACCACAGTTTACAATGCCGCAAGCGTTGTCAACGCTTTCAAATTCATGCAGCAAGGGACACATATTGGCAAAATCCTCATCCAAATGCCTCATGACCCGTCGGACCTGATCTCTTCCACGACCAAATCCAATGTCAGGCTGTCCTCAAACCATTCGTACCTTCTTGTTGGAGGTTTAGGCGGCATAGGGCGCTCTGTATCAACATGGATGGTAGAAAGTGGAATCCGCTACTTAATCTACTTATCTCGGTCAGCAGGAAAATCTGACGATGATCGGGCCTTTATAAAAGAGTTGGAGGTACAGGGCTGTCATGTGACCTGCGTAGCTGGCAGTGTTACAGAGGCAACAGACGTCGAGCGTGCCATCTCTCTCTGCCGAGAGCCTTTGGCAGGTATCGTTCAGATGCCAGCAGTTCTGAAGGTAAGTTCCACATCGCGTTTGATTTAACTTGAAAGTTGCAGCTAATATATTTTTTTTCAATTGCCGGTCAACAGGATCGCGCATTCGAAACGATGACATACGATGATTGGACAGCTTGTCTTGAACCAAAGGTAGCAGGCACCTGGAATTTGCACAATGCTGTACAGCGCATGAATATCAAACTGGAATTTTTTGTTGCCTTTAGTTCTGTCTCGGCAACCTGCGGGACTCCCGGACAGGTCAACTATGCCGCTGCTAATACGTTCCTCGACAGCTTCTCCCAATATCGACGACACTTGGGCCTACCATCTGCTGTTATAAATCTTGGAGCAGCAGAGGACATTGGTCTGATGACTCAGGATCCTAAACTTCTCAGTCGGGCTCAGGGAGCCTCAATCCGTCTGGTCAACGAGAATGATCTGGTTGAAGGACTGCAGTTGGCAATCTGCCAGTCGCGCATGCCTAGTTCATTCAACAGCATGGCCTCCAACTCTTGCGTCATTGGCCTGGGGAACACGAAACCGTTGTCTGCACCTGGTGTCCGGCCGCTCTGGGGTCACGATGCTAGGTTCATGCTGTATTCCAACCTAACATCCCGAGATACAGTGCAAACGCAAACATCAAGCCATGAGACCCGGAGGTTTCTACGTCGCGTAAGAGAGAATCCGGCCATGCTAGAGAGTCACGATGTAGAGAGGATGATTCTCCATGAGTTATGGAAACAGATAGCAAGGACACCCGAGATCCAAGATAAGGCGGAGGAGGAAATTTCCAGCGTAGTGGTCGACTCTCTTGCGGCTATTGAGATCAGGGCCTGGCTCCGTCAAAATATTGAACTGGAACTAAACATGGTCGAGATGAGTAAGGTTGGAACCATAGGGACATTGGCGCGAGCCTGCGTCGAACATCTGAAGATTCAGTACGGAGTGAACGTGCCAGAGGAGGTTCAGAGTTGACGATGATAACTTGATGTCGGGCCTGGCTTTTGTGGGAATTTTCTTTCAGGTCAGTATTGAGTAGGGTTATATTTTGGTTTCTTGTAAGTTTTATTGCTTCGAACGTATATTCGTGGCTGTTATATACAGATAAATTGCTGGTGCACCTTATAGGCAGCTATGTGACCGTCTGTGTTAAAATTCAACAACATAACTATACAACATATATTCAATTATGGATTCAAGATATATCGAGTTACAACAGAGTTGTATTCAGGCTATAAATTATTGGTTACTGTTCAGTACCGCATCTGGTCGTGTCCGATGACTGATCTACCAATGCGCAGCTAGTCACTTTGTGATGGGTCACCCACTGGGACTCTACATGAACTCTTCATGAACTCAAAAGTCTTAGTTGCAGCAACTTTAAAGATTGGATAAGCGGTATCTCCAACGCCGAACATAAAAAAACTTGAAAGCATGGTTCTACTCTTAGATTCCTTTTAATGACACTCTTCGCATTCGAAAGTCGTGCAAGTTTGAGGCGGCTGGTTATTTTATGTCTGGTATCAGTGATCATCTCATTTTACTGGTCAGCAATCTCTAATACGCAGGTCCTGCGTCCATCACAGTAATAGGATAGAAGTGACTTACACAGTCGCAAAGACAATCTCTCCTTTCAAGAATATTGTAATCCACGGCGGTCGGCCTCGCAACATTAATGTTGTCGATGTGTAGGCCCGTTGGTACTCTGAGAGGGAGGAAGGTTCGGTGGTTTGCTGGGAGAAGGCGAGAGGGGTGCTAGTTAGGAGGAGGGTGAAGAGGGGTGGAATTGCATTTTGGTGATGGGCTTGGTCAAGTTAGAGGGTGCTCGGCTTGGCTGAGATGCAAGATCACGGCTGGGAGGGATTGGGATTGATATTAGATACGTTTCTATTCCTCGAATGAGAAGCGAGGTCTCGTTTATCGTTTGTGATCGTGAAGTGTATGTCGAATATCCAGTTTCTTTCTCAGCCCAGGCAAGTATCTCTATCGTCGAAAGACCGTTGGACGAGGACAACCAGCTAAAAAGGAAACCAAGGATAATTTAGAGACTAGCAAATGGTCTTGGTTCGTGTTCCTTGGTTCTTGTATACATATATAGGTCTTGTAATGTTGCATATAACTTAATCAGCTTTATGTATGTTGAATTGTTGGTCTTATAACAGGAATATCTAGTTTTTGAGAAAGTCTGCTTAGCACAGTTTAAATGCGGGAAGCTCTACAGGACTACAATTGAATAATCAACTAACTAACCAACCAACAGTATTAGTAATATTAATGCACTAATATAGCATGTTGGAAAAATGAGCTGAAGAAGAGTTGCTGAGCTGAATGTACAATGAAGTGGCCTACTCTAGTTGATGCTACATGAGAAGAGTAAAGAATAAAACTAAAATCTGTTTAGGTTGGTTGGTTTGTTGGTTGGACATTCAATCACAGTTAGGTAGAGTTTCCTAATTTGTTTAGGGTGCTATGCAGACTTTCTCACAAACTAGATTAATATAATCTGTTATTGCTGCTGTCTTAGGTACTCCTAAGCCTATAGCATCATAGCTTTAACGTATTCAAAGTGTAGACCGGAACGCTCGGTAACTAAGAACACGTCTATAAGCGGGTATCTAGGAGGATCTACTAGTCGTAGATCCTTTTTGACTTTGTGGCTAAGGTGGGCTTTAAGATATAATCTATATATAAATTTGTTGAGATACTGAGATGGTGAAAATGGCTATTTTATATGGGATACTTAATGAAGGATGATGGGTGCCACCTTAGCCACAGCCCCAAAAAGACTCCCAATCGATCCACTTCGTTCACGAATCCCTAAGCATATACCCCCTAGATATCTGCCCCGGCGCCATCGCTTGTGAGGCTAGCCTAGCTTATTACAGATAACGCATTATAGATGCTCAAATTAGTACACAATTACATAGAACACAGTTACACAAAAATTGTATAAGTGGACGTGACGCCCTTTAATAATCTGGCTTTGTAGCAAGTATCAACTTTCGAAAAAACGAACTAATCTCGTTGACTTGAATTCACTTGTTGGCTGTCCAGCATGCAACTCACCTCGGTGCTTGTTCTCGTCGGAATGACTGCTCTCACTACCCTTGTCAATGCTAACCGTCTCCCTGTTCCAAGCTCCACCTTAAAGCGAGCCCCCCTTGCCAAAATGTTACTTTCGGGATTATGTGTAAGTAATTTTCCCTCTCAGACATATATCTATCACAGTATTATACCTCCATCCCTATGGAAGCTACCCGATTCATCCATACTAAAACTATCATAGACATGTAGTGGTACATGCGTCAGTCCTAACGGTGGCGGCACAAGAGCCGGATAAAATGGTTGCTGTGGCGGCGGCGTGATCGGCATGGACTGGGACAGTAGTACGGGTGTTTGTGCGTGCTGTGTGGTGAGTTCTTCCTTGTCATTCTTCTCATATTCTTCCAGAAAAGATTTTTTGGGGATGAAACACATAATCAAATGGATCGGATTGCTGATTGGTTTTGTGTTTATGTAGGGAAATTGTGGCTACTGAATATTTACAATGCTGCTTTCAGTGGTAGCCAAAAAATGGTCCTGAGAACAGGTTATTATTCTAGTGATTCGGGAAATTGCTCTGTGCATAGAATTTGTGTTCTGACTACTTATGCAAAGGATAAAACAAAAAAGAGCTCGAAGCCTCTGAGCTGTAGCCTTACTGCAATGAAGGAGTGTCTTAAGAAGACTAGAAATGAATGATATAACACAGAGAACACTGAATGAATAAATGGAATGAGAATACAACGTAATCGAGCACCGAGTGGATCATGACACTATTAATTTTCGCCTAGAAGCAATGTACTTCGATTGGACAGCCTACTATATTATTAAACACAATGTCGAGCTTGACAGGCATGTTTCTCATCTACGGTTGGCTTCACGCCTATTTTGCACACCGGATGCGATATGGTAGTGGTAAAATGTTGAATGAACGCGATAAGTTGGTCTTTCTATACTATTAAATCAATCTTACTCTTCTTCCTTATACCTAGACTAAGAGCTGACATGCAATTATATAAGGCTACGTGAGCGAAACCTAGCAGAATCTAATTATGAAACAAAATCTAATATTTAAATGTTTCTCAACTACTACTTGCCTCGCAATATCAATATTAATATACAGAATATTATAAATAACTATAAACCTAAATACTGCTCATGCACTGCATCTAGCGGATCAGCTGATGGATTAATAAAAGGTGTCCGCGATATGTGAGCCTATAAAAGCAAGCCATATTATACCAATATCCTAAGTATCTAGACTGTATATAAACAAAAGAACTAGGTAGTTATTGTTCTATCAACAGAATATTAGCTGTTTTAAGGGCCGCTTGCCTTTAAGTAGTTTGACTCGTCCTTAGCTTCATGCATGTTGGTCTCGTAACAACACTTTACGTCATCCCGTTATCGATACTTCGCTGTCCCAACTGACCATTGCCAAGATCCTTTCCGCGCCAGGAAAAGGCCATTTTTTGAGTGACTAGACTATAAGAGGAGGGGAGGCTGACTTTGAATTGCCTGTCAATATTCCCAGCCGATGCTCACTTAGATAAAAGAAATCTCATCTCTGATCACCGCATTCATTTGAAAGAGAACTGTGTACTTTATATAGCCGAAAGCTTGCTGGCCCAATATGGCCCACGAGCAATCCTACGATTTTATTGTCGTCGGTGGTACTTTTGCTCCCCATTATCGCTATCAATCAACCGCTTACCAAATTCATAGGCGGCCCGGCTGGATGTACACTGGCTGCGTCTCTGGCAAGCTCAGCCAAGAAGCCGAGCGTATTGCTGCTAGAAGCTGGCGGGCGGAATGAGAACAAATCTCTGCGGGTCGATGGAAAGCGCTGGAAGACATTCATGGAGGAGAATATGAATTGGGGATCTCAGACAACCCCGCAGGAACACTGCAATGGCCGTCAACTCGATTACTCGCACGGTAAGGGGCTCGGGGGCGGCTCTTCGATCAATTTTGGAGTCTACACTGTTGGGACACGAGACGACTATGACCTATGGGCCGCAGAGGTCGACGACGAGACTTTTGCCTGGGACACAATGCAGGCGCGGTTCAAAAGACTGGAAACATTTACTGGCACAATTGATGTCCCAGAAAACCAGAAGTATGTTCAGTCTGAACTTACAGACCATGGCAATAAAGGTGGCTTGCACGTTGGCTATGCCAAAGAATGGGATTCGGATTTAGCAATGGTGCTGGATGCATTCGAAGAAGCCGGAGTCCAGCGGAATCTTGATCACAACTCTGGTAATCCCCTTGGATTCGGACTTTGTATTAATTCCGCTTGTAAGGGCTTGCGATCAACCGCTGTTGATCTGTTGACTGAAGTCTCGGATAATTTGGTCATAGTCTCCGATAGTCCAGTGCAACGCATTATATTGGACAAAAATAAGGCTGTGGGAGTCGAGGCTAATGGCAGAGCATGTGGGTTCTATCGAAGGGTTGGTTACTCTGGTTTCTGGAAGAAACTCACGAATGTTTGCAGATTCTGCCTCGAAAGAGGTCATCCTCTGCGCAGGAGCGCTTGAAAGCCCCAAGATTTTGATGCATTCTGGCATCGGTCCAGCCGAAGAACTAAGCAAGTTCAACATTTCACTCATTCACGATCTACCAGCCGTAGGCCAAGGTCTCCGTGACCACTTCTTTGCCCCACTTATCGTGATGCGCAACCCCAAAACCAACGACCGCAATTCTTTCTACCAAGACGAAGTAGCCATGGAGGCCGCAATGAATCAATGGGAAATAGACGGTACCGGTCCATGGGCACGTCATGGCTGCCAATTAGGGATCGGCTGGTTCAAATCCGACCGATTAACATCCTGTGAGGAGTTCAAGGCTTTGCCTGAGTCTGTCCAAGATTTCATGAACCGCGAGACCATTCCTCACTACGAGATTATTAGCCATTTCCCCGTGCATTTCATCTTTCCGCAGCTCTTCCAAGATTACAGCTACATCTGTCTGCCTGTGTTCTTGATGAACGAGCAATCTGTTGGAGAGGTGCGATTGCAGTCGTCCGACCCGGATGAGCCACTTTCGTACAATCCCAAATTCCTTGAGCATCCATTTGACCGGCGAGCATGTATTGAGATCTACCGTCATTTGTGGGACCTGACCAAGCACCCTTCTTTTGCTAAGGATACGGTCTCCACTATCATGGCACCAGCATCCCAGTCCGATGAGGACATTCTTCAGTTCTGGAAAAACAACATATCGTCTAGTTGGCACATGACGGGAACCGTGAAGATGGGCAGAGAGGGTGCCAGTGATGCCGCTGTCGACAGTCGCTTCCGCGTCTTTGGGGTGGAAAACCTACGTGTGGCTGATATGAGTGTGGTACCAGTTCTAACCAACAATCACACACAGGCCACTGCTTATATGACAGGAGCAACATGTGCCGATGTTTTGATTCGCGAATATCGGTTGGATGAATAGCTATATGCGTAATTCGGGACCACTATTCGTCAATCCACCCTCCAAATCCTCCCCACGGGTTAGCTACATGGCTAGGTACGTAGGACGCGGAAAGCTAGCGCTAGTGTGACTTCGACGATGGTATGATGGGCTGATCCCGTACATGCGTAGCTGTACCTATCTGCTACAAATTGAAAATCGCATTGGGAAGATGACCTGACTTTTTGTATTCAGCTAGAATTGTCCTTTGACATCGCAAAAGGTTCCTAACGATGACCAGCTACAGTTCATGTCCTCGATATTTGAGGGCGCTTTTTCTCATTGGAATTTCACATGTTTGGGCGTTGAAGCCGCCACTGCATCACAGTGCGCCTCTTACCGGAATTTGGACATCACGTAAGACCAAGGCCTAGTACGTTTGAATACCGACTTGGTTCATACGCAGCATCGTTCCTGGGTCCAGGTGCGTGACAGTTAGTCGATACCAATAAAATGAGTTATTAACTGATCCTTATATCAATATTTATAATTGCTGAGTTCTAAGCTACAGAAAATATATATATCATAGCGCTCACAAAGAGATAAACTATCTTCTAATACCAAATTTCTTGAAAAGGATGAACTTTAGTTTGGAATGTATATTTCGATGTTTCTCTAATAGAGCATAATATTGGTCTATGGGTAGCCGAATCTATGGCTCACAGTACTCTACTTCAGGGCATGGTGCCCCTCCCTTGATCAGTGGCTGCAAACCAGCCTCTTGGAAACTTGGTAGAATCTTCCCTCCTGCGGCGTGACTTGCCGCCCAGTCGTATATTTTGGAAAAATCTCTACACGATTGCGAGATGCGTACATCAGGCATAGCTGCCTTTGCAGTTGCATTCCATCGCCATGAAATGGTATTGACGTTTGCGTTGCACATGATTGTCTGGCGGAGATACTCAATGCAGTGGTCGGTATGATCGTGGAGGGAGTGTTCAGACTTTTCTCCCCACGTATCCCATGGATAGTCTGGAAATGCAAACTTGCGCAGATTGTAAAGGCAGTGAAGTTGGTGAAAAACATCCAAGCCTACCCTTACGTGGCCTGGGCGGTCCCTAAGCTCCATGGACGGGTCTTCCAAAAGCGAAGCAGTTGAGCTGTCAATGTCGACAATGCCAACTGAAAGTAATTTTTGCCATGCTGCGTTATTGCGTTCATTCGGTGCTCCCGAATACAGTGTTGCGTCGATATCCTTGAGAGGTCCGAATAGAACCGCTCGCTCGTATTGAATGGCTTCTTGAGCTGGGGAGAACATGGGATTTGGATCAGCCTGTGCGAATTGCTTCGCTTTCGAACTTATCTTGAGGAATGCGATATAAAGAGAGGCGTTGCCTATGAAGAGGCAGATATGTAGTAACACTAAAAAAAACTTCAATTTTGACATTGTCAGCCAAGGTGATGAATGTAATATTTGCGAGTCGTCATCTTCTCCAGCTTCTATTTGTCCCTTCACTTTTCCCTCTGGACAAATGTCGCGGGAATTTTGAGAAGCGACAAGTCGATATTTGCCTCGCGTCATCTTGATTGTTAAAACAAATGATAGGAATAGGACCATTCAAGCCAAAAAAATCCCCCCCGTTCAAGTGAAATACTAAGAATGATTCAACGCCCGTGTATGTTTTTGAAATAGAAGAGCCCCCAAAAAAGTCGATATTGACATATTACTAAAATATCTCAGTTGATACGTCATAGATATAACAGAATTGATCCTTCATAATAAAAATTGGAATTGGCCCGCAAATCGAATACTCGATCAGTCAAGCGCGCCATCGCGCCCAAATAAGACGCCGATATCTATTGATCAGCTTGACTAGAAGATGCCAAGAAATTATGGAAAAATATATCGAAATGCGCCAGGAACGGCCACTATTAAGGTTTATTTGACACTTCACTTTAATCACGCTAGCAATAGACTTAAGCATATTTGATAGATAAGGCTACAACTTGGGGTTTCTACTGTGCTCGAAAATAATGACAAGACGGTTTGTTTGGGGATCGCTCATTTCAAAGCCAAGTTGTTCTTGTTCTAAATAAAGTTGGCCCCCCTAATTCATCCTGTTACCTTGGCATTAAGGTAATCCAGAAATATCAGAAGTGGAACACAATATGTTGAATCTTAGTGCTTATGAAACACTAATGCAAAGGATATCCGATAGATCGAATTAGTACCTTTTTCAGAAGCGGCGATGGTATCCACTCTGGGGCAATGATATAACTAGCCTAGATAAGCGAAACGATTCGACCAAAAAGTCCACTTGCAGATTACCTTTCTCCAGACAGCGAAGATCTCAGACGACCAGTTACTCCAAAAGGACAAGTACAAGACAGATGAAGTTATGTTTCTTTGGCGTACGCGCTACATATGTACATTTCAAGTACTCCGTACTGTTCACGAGATAGTTGGTTTCTATTCTGGGCCGCGGGGAATGTTCGGCGTGATATTAAAATAAAGTGATCATCCTGGGGGCGGCCAGTGGCCTATAAAGCTTCTTGAATTACCTCCTCTAGAAGAGGAATATATCCATTCCATTCAAAACCGAAGTCTCATTCACTAGCAAAAAGTCGAATCTTTTATCACTCACCATGAAGAGTTTTACAGTTTGTGCCCTCGTTGGTCTTCTGGCCACAGCAGTCACGAGTACACCTGTCCCAGCTGCCCCGGAAGGTTGGTAAACCCGTTTCTTTTATAGATCATGTTCAGCTCATGTATGCACTTTCTACTTAGCCGCGTCCCCTGAGGGAACCTACTACTCCGTGAACAAGGAAGGTCATGAAGATAGTGCTCAGGGTTGGGGTGGGAAACGCGATGTCGCATCCCCTGAAGGAGCTTACTACTCCGTGAACAAGGAAGGTCATGAAGATAGTGCTCAGGGTTGGGGTGGGAAACGCGATGTCGCATCCCCTGAAGGAGCTTACTACTCCGTGAACAAGGAAGGTCATGAAGATAGTGCTCAGGGTTGGGGTGGGAAACGCGATGTCGCGTCCCCTGAAGGAGCATACTACTCCGTGACCAAGGAGGGACATGAAGAGAGTGCTCAGGGATGGGGTGGGAAACGGGATGTCGCATCCCCTGAAGGAGCATACTACTCCGTGACCAAGGAAGGAAATGAAGAGAGTGCTCAGGGCTGGGGTGGAAAGCGTGTCGTGTAATATACCTAGATAGACAAGAGTCTCCAGTCAAGTGATAAGAGTCGAGACCGAGTCTGCCTGGAGGAACACGAAAGATGGCCGGAGAATTTAGTGGCCTTTCTTGTCTATATGTAAATTCCACACCATGATCTCAGTCCTAAAGAAGGTGTTACTTTATTCCACGTAGAAAGCAAACCGCGAGAAACCGGTTGTATTCTTGAGGAATGGCGCTTTACTTTTTCTTTTCTTTAGATAAGGTTCGGAAAAGAACCAATTCGTTAGACTACTAAATGCAAATAATTGGTCCCTGTTCTACATGAATATACGTGGGGCCTGCTTACTTGTAAGCGCCAGCTGTTGATGGGTTATAGCCCCATTTTGCGGAGGCCAAAAAGGATAAAACCGCTCATCTGACCTTAGCGATGGCTTTTCTTCTTTTTTATTTTTACTTTGGATATTCTCTCTTTCAGTATTTCAACTAGGATGTTGTGGTCTGATTTTCTCATTCACTCCTTACCAGGTCAACCAGGCGGCCCTCTGCTAGCCCAACATGCCGGGTAAGTAACATTAACTCGTGAACCCATTTCAAAAACTCATGTCAGAGAAAGATTAATCCCAATTAATGAGTCATTAAACCAATCTTTATTTTTCTGGCACTTTGATCGAGTGGAAGCACCTCAACTTAATGAACCGGACAAAACCCTTATCTGGTTGAACGGCGGACCGGGATGTAGTTCACTCGACGGAGCCTTGATAGAGCTTGGCCCTTATCGCCTCAACTCAGACGGCACCCTTCGGCCAAATGAAGGATCTTGGAATCAAAATCTAAATTTATTGTTCCTTGATCAGCCCGTAGGCACGGGTTTTAGTTCAGTAGGAGCTGGCATTCTACAGACCGAGCTACCAGAAGTGCGCACTACCTCTTCAGACAAATGACCCTGTACGTACTAATTGATGAACATAGGTTACTACAAATTTTATGACTTTTATCTTAAATTTTGCCGAGTTAAATCCTGCGTTCCAAAATACAGAGGTATGCATAATACCAATTCACATTGAAGCAATGAAACATTGACCCTCGGCAGATATGGCTAGGCGGCGAGTCTTTCTCTGGCCAATACTTACCTTACTTCGCAGATGCCATTATCAGACATAATATCGGAAACAGCACGTTCCCACTTCGACTGGGTGGTGTACTAGCTGGAAATGCGTACATCGACCCCGCTTCTCATTATTTTGCCCTTCTTCCATCCGCTGCCGAACAAAATCTTCTGCATCCATCACCCAGCGCTCAGGCGCGCCTCCGTCGTCAGGAAACACTCTGTCGAATATCGCTCGACGCTAATCCACACCATATTAGCTATCGAGATTGTGAATTGATAATGTGGGGGATTCTCACTGAGTCCCAACGCAATGGTACTAGAGGTTCTTTAGAATGTTACAACCAGTACGACACCCGACTTTATGATGAATGGCCAGCTTGCGGCTCCAACTGGCCACCTGATGTTAGTCTCACGAAGCAATGGCTGCGCCGAACCGATGTACGGAGAGCGCTAAATGTTCCGGACACAGTTGGCGAATGGGACGAGTGTCGGGGTAGTGTTTCGAAAGCTATGTTGCTGAAAACGTCCCATCCGAGCATTGATTTCCTCCCAAGCATTCTAGCACATGTTCCGGTCGTTCTATACTCAGGAAGCGCTGACCTCATCGTCAATCATATTGGAACGGAAATGATGATAGCTAATATGGAGTGGAATGGCGAAGTTGGATGGAATCTGGATATTCATAGTAGTAATATTCATCCACATGTGTGGTTGCTGGAAGACGGAAGTCCTGGTGGGACAGTTCAGGTGGCACGAAACCTGACATATGTTATTGTCGATGATGCTAGTCATATGGTTCCCTTTGATCAGCCGTTGAAAGCCCGAGATATGGCATATGGTGCTCTTGGTGTGAGAAATCGCACTCTCTGGAATTTACAACAAGAACCAAAGTTGCCTTCAAAAACTGGATCCAGGTATGAGGTAGAGTTTGTGCCTGTGTGGTTATCAAGTAGCATGACCTTGGGCTGTATCTTTAGTGGGTTTACCTTGTCCTTAATGTGCTTAAGTTTATTTCTATGAAAATTCAAACACCGCGTCTAATTTACCAGACTATATGGTTGATTCTAGTCGGCCTCTTAACGTGGGTTGTTGGTTGAAAAAGCAACGGTTCTTGAGCTTCATATATTTGTATAGTAGTAGTAGTAGTAGTAGTAGTAGTAGTAGTAGTAGTAGTAGATCTCATTGGCCTGTTGTAGCTGGCTTCCATACTATCGCCGCTATGCAGGATTATACCCTAGCCAATAGGATATAAAGAACAAACATAGTATAACCACATAATAGCATGACCTGCCCGGGGTAGGCCAAGGCCTGGCACTGCAGGCGCATGATCTAGCCAAGCGCGGATTCTATATTTGTAACATAATTAGCTTACACTATTGCCACTTGTTTTTCACCCATTAAATATTTCTACTTTCCTACCCACAGGCTTTTGTGACCATTCTTAAAGTTGTCACTGTTTGCATAACGCAACCTATCACACAATATATTCTCTCATGCCGAAGGGCAAGGGCCAACATTGTTATATTATCACATTATTACCTGTTTTATTTGTTGTCTTTGGCTGAATCTACGTTCCCAAGCTCGAAATGCACCGCTCTTGATCGTAGATAGCAATACGTAGAGCAGGACGGAAGTTGAGATAAATCACGACAACATTCCAAAGACAACCGCTAACAAACGTGAGACTAATGATCTATCAGTGTTGAACCAGTTGGCACAGAACAGTTCAGCTGGGGATCTGTTATGCATTCGGGTCCTGTGAACCCATATGGCCAACCGCCGCACAGCTGTAGCCAGATCGACTGTATGCTGATTGACTTTGCAGATGTGTCACAGGTAGCAAACTTTACAGAAGACTGTAGATTTGGTAGACTGACCACCAGGGGATATCCATCGCCTGGTTGAGGTCTGAAATCCGTTGAATCATCATCGGAGAAACACTGACTGGGCTCCATGCTCTCTGGTCGCAGGATATTCTCATTGATTTCCCCTAAATAAGCGGCTTTATAAAGGTCGTGCATGGTATTGAGTGCAATGAGCCATTGTCGGGCTATTTTCCACTCATATTGCCAGGACGATATTAGTTGGTGAATTAAATTGAGATAGTGCTTAACCTTTTGTTGGATTTCATCGCTGGAGTATAGCGCATCTTGGGTGTTCTGAAGCCAGAGCAAAACATGGGCGACAATGAGAGATGAGGACGCCACCCAGATGGTCTGAAGCGAGGACCGATGATTTTCTCGATCTGGATCCATGAGGTAGGAGAGCATTTCTCCAGCTTCCAGAGCATTTGAAACGCAGCTCTGTATTAAATATTCCTCTCTATGTAGGTAAGACAAACCAGCAGCATCTACATCTTCACTGAGTTTTGTGTAAGTGGGAAGATGGGGTAAATAACATTGGTGTGCAACACAAGAGGCACTGTGTAACAAAAATTGCATTGCAATGTAGGTACTTTCTTGACGCAGTACACATTGTCTATTAAAGTTCTCGATGCTCCAGCAAAGGCTGGGTGGTAGGGAGTCAATCCACGTCTGCAAAGCATTGTTCCGAATGAAAAAGGAGCTTTGAGGATTGGTTGGTGGATACCACTCAAGACGCCTTCGAGAGTAGACGGCAAAGTCAGCCAGGTCGCTCCAAAGGCAGACAGTTTTAAGCAAGTATGAGCTTAAGCCCAACTCTGACGGTTGCTGATGTGCTGCCAGTTCGCCCAGACTCAGGCCTTTTGTCGCTTCGTGGTAAGCTAGAGAAATGTCTGTGCCCGGAACGGCAATAGAAATGGTATCGAGATCAATCGTTCGATGCTTAGCGAGTAGATATGCCAAGGCTCTGTCGAATAACAGACAAGCCCAAAAGACCCGTCTACGGATTTCCTGATCTTTGAGGCTGTGTTTCTGGTGGAACTCTTTGTTGAGCCTCATGATCTCAGCCATACGGATAGCTGAGCCGGCGAAAAGCCAATGGCGAGAACCGGAGTTCGATAAAAGCTCTGCCATTGCTAATATAAGATTCCCTTGAATATGGGAAACTATAGTCGTGAATGATAATACATGTCAACAACGAAAGTAGACTAGGGGATCTAATATTAGATAGGGCCCTTACCACTGGGCTCGTCTAAAGTTTCCTTCGCAAGGGACCGAGCTCTATGCAAGTAATGTCTTGATACCTCGCGATGCGATGGAAGCCCAAACAGAATCTGGGCATCTTGTGGCTGCATATATCGACTACAAAGAGAAATAATCGAAGATGACAGAAGGGGGTCGTTTTTGCACTTTTGCTCAAAGTCCGGTGGATAGTCAAAAGAGCAAAAATCGCTGACAAAGTGGCGCTCGAAGAAGTGTTTCAGGCATAGTTGCAGCCCTTTCATGTATTTTCCGTCTGCTTCATCTACCTGTTCAACGGAATTGGAGAGTTCCGAAGTCGGGGACCTTGGGTCGAATGAGGAATCCGGAGTAGACCAGATACACTGAGTGTGTTTTGTAGTGCAGCGGCCGCATCGAGGACGAATGCCGTCGCATTTTGTTTTACGTCGCCGACTAAGACGGAATTGTTAGTATTCTCTCACTAGGATAGCGTATGTTACGGAATGAGGAGCCCGGAATGTATGATCCGTACCAGGTATTGCAAGCCTGCGGGGTTCGAATAAAGGTCCTGGGCATGTCGAAGACTAATCAACTATAGTATTGCGGATCCCAGAGTATTCGACAAGATGCATGAAGTTGGATTCTCGGATAGGGAGAGGTGTGATAACGGGAAATCCGTTAAATCGGACTACTCGCCGGTGACTAGCGACGGACTGATAACCGGCGAGGCGGCTCATGCCGATACATCCACCTAGTTTTACTGAATCATGGAGCCAAAGTTTTGCCAAAGTTTTGGTAAAGTTTTGTAACGACGGAGACATATGATTGTAACTGGAATAATTCGACCTGAAGACTGCTGTACACATAACCATTGTCTTTGGACAATTTCTGAATTACTTTGTAGAAACTAACGTAAATTAATGTGAAGATATTGGACTGTAAAGATATTAGACTTCCTGATCGGCCTTTTGCTTTGTATCCATTTCGACCTCCTCCTCAATGGATTTAGTCTTGAGGATCCCTTGGGTCATCTGTATCGGCTGTGTTCTTTTGTCTTGCCACCATACAATGCAAATCCACATAGCAAGACAAATTGTGACGACGATCATAGCTATAGTTCCCTTTCGAAATCCCTGGTCAAAACATTTAGTGTCTGCGTCGCTTGATGGGGAAATTTCAGGTACTCACAGTAGCTGCGTCGGTGGTGGGATAAAGGACAATTCCCCAGAACGCAAAAAGAACCGAAGAGGCACCTATGCCCTTGATCAGCTTATATTCAAGGTAGAGTGGTCCGACAAAGGTTACCATTCATCGAGTAAAGAATAATTGCTCGAGCCGCATCATCTCCATCGTACGACAAGATCTTGTTTGCCCAAACGAAAACGACGGGCTGGATCATGTAGGCAGTTCCCGCAAGATCTACAAGAGTTAGTTATGTACAGAGATGGTATATGAGAGTAGCCTTACAAAAAGCTCCCATTTTCGCACCGACACCCACAGAATCCCAGCAAAGAAGGATAATGCATGCAATTATTTGAACGCCACAGGCAAAAAATCCATACGGTGCATGGGCTCCCGTAGCATCAATTGCAACAGATGTAAAAAGTGTCAGAACAATTCCTAAAATGGTATTAGTCTCATCCAAGTCTGGCATTGAATGAGCATTGAATGAAAGATTTTGACCTACCAATCGCAGTAATCCCGAGGGGATAAGTATTGTTTTGCGGAACAGTGAACAATTTAGATGCCTTCATCCAAAGTACCATGCATGTTTGCGTAGTAAATGCTTCCAATGCTCCTCCGAGTACCCAAAACATAGTAAATATCCAGCTTTGAATATTATGTTACAATCAATGGCCATTGCAATCAATATAAGGTGATGTGAACTTACAAGTTGAAAGTGAAAAGAACCCTTTTTACCAGCGAAAATCCAATATTGTGGCCATTCGGATTTTTCGGTGGCAAACGGCTTACGGCAAGCTCGCGCTCATGTGCGTTCAGATAGAATGCTTTGGTTGATTCAGGAAGATCGGGAAAGAAAACAAACCCAAAGACAGCTACAGGAACAGTGACTATGCCGTCAATGATAAAGGACTATTATATTTATTAGTTTCGTCAGTAACAGGTGAGTTCTGCATTTTCATCTTCACACTTACCCATCTCCAGCCAGGCAAACCTGATAACCCATCCATGGTGCTCCAGATTGCCGTCATTAGAACACCTAAACGGTTATTATGCAGGCTCCAGTACATGGGGGGGAAGCATACCAGAAAACATGGTTCCAACCATCCCTGAAGCCTGGAAAAGTCCTATTCTTTTTCCGGCCTCGTTGCCCTTGTACCAGCTTCCAATGATATACTGTGTACCGCTGTATGTAGATGCCTCTGCCATTCCTTGGAAGAACCGGACTGCTGCTAGTTGGGAAAAGGAGTGGCAAGCTGCGCATACCATAGTCAAAAGGGCCCATACCAGTGTCATCAACGGAAACCAGATACGAGGAGGTACTTTTTGGATCACAAGTGCGTGTGGGACCTGTCCGACAATATCTATATAATTTTAAGTTCACGAGAAAACTAGACTCCAAGTCATCAACTTACAACCAACTGAAAGACAAGTCACCAAGAGATTGTATTGATTTCCTGTCAAGTTTGTATCTTCTTTCATTCCAGAGACATAGGCATTAGCCAGAACGGCACGGTCTGTATATGCTCCAGTCAGTGTCACCATGAAACAGTTGTAGATTTCTTTCTTACCCAGGTAATTGAAGAAAAAAGCAATGCAGCAGTAAGTCTACGCATATTCGTCAACAATGGCATATAGATGTATTACAACAATCCGGAAACATACCAGAATGAAAAAGTCGACTTTTCGCAAAAGCTAAATTGATAATGTTAATAATTTTGAACCAATAGACTCGACTTTGTACTCAAAAACCATTAAAAAATCAAAAAGAATGGCAAAAGAAAAATACCTTTCGTTCCTCCGCAGTGTCTGGAGCTTCGCCCCAAACCACAACGCGAAGCTTGTGAATTTTCTCGCCCATGGTTGTTACTCAGAATTCTCTGTCATAACCTTTAGAAAGACATAAATTTTGACTGAGTAATAATATAGAGGCTTGAATTTTGTGTGACAGAAATCAAGACTTTGTTAATCTTAAATGTCTGGGTGGTTATATTTTCTGGTTTTTCAAGACACATCTCGATTAATATACTTATCTTTACACTGTTAAGCTTGTTCAACCCCTCTTTATCTCAGTTCTTTGGCCACTACACTGACTCAACCTCTTAGTTTAACTAGCGTGCTGTGGAGATGGGTTAGCGTCGGTTACATATGAGAGGTTACCAATGTTGAAAAACGGAAAACCCGAAATATACTCGTATAGGTAAGAACCGATCAACGGGTTTTCCGCCCGACCAACTTTGTCCTGCGTAAGCGCCTTTTCCAAGACAGGGATAATGTTTTGATTACTCTTCTAATTCGCTGTGCAGGTGACATACTTAGTACCCCTTCCAAAATGTAGTGGAGTTTATGGGTCTACAATGTGAAAATCCAGAGGGAACTTACATCAGCTGAAAGAATAAGAGAGCAAGGCGCTCGCAGTACTAAAAAGAAAATGATCATTTCAATCACCAGGCCGCCACGATGACCAGTCTCGCCAGCCTTCAGACAGAACAGAAAAACGTCAAGACATCGAACATCGATGCTGTTTCTTCACTAGAAATATGTCGTAGGTAGATGCCATCATTTTCGGGCTATGAAATTCTTGCTAAATCTTGGCTCAGAAATGATTAATGAGGAGGATGATACTGTTGCTAAAGCTGTCAAGACTTGTCTCCCACAAATTGCCGCCGCCATAGATGTGATTGTACCTCGCCTTTTAGCTGGAGGCAGGGTTATCTATACTGGTGCCGGAACAAGTGGAAGGTATTTCATCATTAAGCTGGCTATTTTCAATTGTTGACAAATATAGACTAGGTGTTCTAGATGCATCTGAAATGTGAGTTTCTCTTGTTATACCCATTATAGCGAGTCCTTGCGCCTGGTATAGACTTTTCTCACTAGCCACAGTCCCCCAACATTCTCAGCGCCACCCTGGCAATTCGTTGGATTGATCGCGGGCGGCGATGAGGCTATTCGAAACGCCGTAGAAGGCGCCGAAGATTTGGAAGATATGGGCGCCGCTGACCTCGCCGGTTTATCCCCGCCTGCTAACGAAAAAGATGTTGTAGTAGGCATCGCTTCGTCTGGAAGAACTCCCTACGTTCTGGGTAGCTTAAAATATGCCCAGACACTGAGAGCTGCTACTGTTGGGCTGAGTTGTGTGAGGCCTAGCGCACTCGAAAAGTTTTGCGACATCCTCATTGAGTGTGTGACTGGGCCTGAAGTGATTACTGGTAGTACCCGACTCAAAGCTGGAACTGCAACGAAGATGGTAAGCCTCTCTTGCATCGTCACACCGACGAAGCTTATGAAACTCCTGGTATCCAGATTCTGAATATGATTTCTACTGGATCGCAAGTCCGCATCGGGAAGACCTTTGGAAATTTTGTCAGTATATAAATATTGTCCCTTCCGATTACAATTTATCTGGTGACTGCGACTGAGATCTCGATATCATAGATGGTGGATTTGAAAACGACCAACGATAAGTTACGGGATAGGGCACGTCGTGTAGTCCATGACATTGTCCGATCAACATCAGCCCTTGATATTAATCAAGAAAAATTGCTGGATCAAGTTTTGGCCCAATGTGACGGCGAAGTCAAGCTCAGCATCCTGGTAGCGACCTTGAGCTGCTCCCCAGAGGAAGGTAAAGCAAAACTGCTTGCATCATCTGGGTCACTGAAACGGGCGTTAGAAATATGACAAGCAATAGAAATCTAGATATTATAGAGCCTTTTTGGCAAAATCACCAAATTAAAAAGTGCGGCTATTCCTTTAAATTGTCGGTCATCTCAGCTCTTCGAAGAGGAGCAAGCGGCCTAAATATGTTAAAGTTTCTAGACTCGAAAAAGATTTCTTATAGAGGTGCTATCTATGAATTTGCAAATTGGTTAAGTTGAGGGCCTCATCCGCTGTCGGATGTCGGATAACCCGTACAAAGTTTAATACTTGTAAAAGTATGGTTCGGGAAATTTGAACCAACGTTAAGTATTTCTATCGAGACCCAGCCTGGACTCCATGTATATTCCGATATTTCCGCTGGTTGGTCGAATCGTGGCTCCTTCGAATGTCATGTTCGTAGATATCAATCGATCGATATATAAGCAAATAATCAGTATATCGAAACCCAACGCCGTATTCTCTCCAAAGCTTTACTTTACCTTTAGCCGTGGATAAGATGACGACGCTTAATGTCCTTGGACTGAACTGTGGCACAAGTATTGATGGTGAGTTCCAACTACTTTAAACAATTTGGCTTTTCTCTTTGCAGCTGATAGTGAATGACTATCGTCTACTCTGCTGCAATTTGTCAATGTTCATAAGCACAAAAGTTCTTCAGTCAAAACTGAGCCAATCTACTGAATGTGAAAAAAGCATGTTGACAATGTTACTAGGCATCGATGTTGCCCTTTGTCGCATCTCTTCACTTGCATCATCGAATGATGTGCAGATCGAGCTGATTTCTTATACTGAGGTCTCCGTTGACCCCGATATTCGTAACCATGTCCTTCGGTTGTGCCGCCCTAATCAAAAAGCGGCCACCACATCTTTGGCAGAAATTTGTGACCTAAACTTTGCTCTTGGAAAAGAATTCTTTCGCGCAATTGAGGAGTCGAAGGTTGACCTAGCTGAAGTTGACCTCATAGCAAGCCATGGTCAAACCTTATGGCATCAACCATTGGGTGAAGATCGTTCTACTCTTCAGATGGCAGAGCCTTCTATAATTGCTCACAAGTCTAAAAGGCAAGTTATAAAGCCAGTGATCCGCAATTTTTCCTTTATCTGACAGTATATTAGGACGGTAGTGAGTAATTTTCGAGTTGCTGAGCTTGCAGCAGGCCGTCAAGGAGCTCCATTAGCCGGCTTTTTTGAAGCTGGACTTCTTTTAGATCAGAAAGTAACACGAATCAGTCAAAATATCGGCGGCATGGGTACGTAATCAAATCATATAAAAGCTTCTTTAGGTATTAAAAAGAAACACCTTGGCTCACCAACACTATTTTGATAGGGAATGCAACCGTGCTGCCGGCATCTAGCAATTCAAAATCCGACGAGCTTAGCCCTGTCTATCTAGCCTTCGACACTGGTCCGGGGAACGTTTTGATTGACGCTGCGATGCGTATTCTAACCGATGGCAAACAACACTATGATCGCGACGGCATCCTCGGCGCCAAAGGCGAGTCGGAGATTGATGAGGATCTCGTCGATAGCTTCTTAAAATCGGAGCCCTATTTCCAGCGACAGCCACCCAAAACCACTGGCCGTGAACTGTTTTCTGATGATATTTCTTGTGCACTTGTAAAAAGAATGCAAGCCTCAGGGAAATCTCCGGAGGCCATTATTGCCACTATTACTCGCATTACGGCGGAATCGATTGCGAGGGCATATGAACAATTTGTCATACCATTTCTTGGGGAAGGTCATGACATTGATGAAATTTACATCTGTGGTGGTGGTGCTTACAACCCCAATATTCTCAAGCACTTGCAGGCACGGTTCCCGGAGAGTCGTGTGCTGAAACTTAACGATGCCCCCACCAAACTTGACCCCAGTGCCAAAGAGGCTGTCATGTTTGCACTACTTGGCTACCTCTGCATATGTGGCCGAAGCGTTCCAATTGCAGCAGATGCCGAATCATTAGATCCAGCTATTTTGGGGGTTGTGACTCCAGGAGAAAACTACCGTGAAATCCTGCAAAAAGTAGTACGAGCCCAAGATTTTGGAAATATTGGGAAGCTAGGGAGAATTTTAATGCTAGAATCCAAGGGCTAAGTTGAAAATCATGATGATTGATACTTGAGGAGCTAACCTTGTTATAATTTCTTCGATAATGGATTGTGGCTATATAAACCAAAGAGTCTTCTCCATTTGATCTAGGGAACGTGAAGACGGAGACTTAGTTATTTATTATTTAGTCCGGTTTAACGACCCTACACCACTCGCACATAATTGTTTTCTTGATTTCTCCTCTTAGTATTACGTGAGGATGCCCAATCTAGTAATCAGGATTCAATAACTCAATATGAATCCCCTTATCTAGGGAGCTTGACACGAGAAGTATAGATTGTATAGTATATAATTTATTAAAGAAAATTTTTAAGGATATATATAGTAAAGCTAGTCTTTTAATATGATGAAGGGAGGGTAGAACATAATATGCTCGCAGGAATTATTTGAGGTTTATGCAATTGAATTGCTACAACTACCCTAAGGGCTGTGCCCTTTTTGGTAGTAGTTTATGGCCAACATTTATGAGAGTCCTAATTAGCCTGTTAACAGATTATTCAGCTTTAGCATAGGAGGCTACGAGCAGCCCACGGCCGCGAAAAGCCAAATAGATTATATTACTAGTATTACTACTACTACTACTACTACGCTAGATTTCGACAAGAACGACGAAGATAACACTTCAAGCGCATATTCCATACACGTATAGCTAATCAATATGCTTACTCTGCCCTTATTCCGCTGAGTTCGCAACAATACCCTCTTCTCTTTACTTGACTTTCTTGTTCTCGCTTTTCATGATAGGCGAATACAAGGTCTCGATAAGCTACAATGATAATCATTAGCAGTGTTGTGGATTAAAAGAGAACAGGAGAAGGTCTCAAGTCATGGCTTACCCATTCATCCATTTTCCAATCACTTTCGAGGTTTGAAGCCGTGACATCCAATTTTTCTGTGATTTTTTTTTTCTTAGCAGACGTCATTACTAACTAGTGATGCGATGTGTGCCGGAATGCACCGCCAGCCTTACCTGAAGCGACAAATATCACGTCTGCGATCCTTGTTTCGCTATCTATGTCTTGTAGGAACTTTGTCGCCACCTTGGCCGAGCCGACTTGGCCAATAACGAACTTAACACCTACGAGCCCAACACAATTTAGCAAATACCATTCATACGGACCAAGCAACAGGGTGAAAATGGGGACATTTAAACCTACTCTCGCGAGGAAGCCCGGCAGCTTCTAGCTTATCGCCACACTCAACGATGGCGTCCACAAAGGTCGACTTTGGTTCCGGCTCAGGCATTCCATCCGTGATGACAGAAACAAGGAGCGGTCTCTTGAGGTTATTAGGCAATTTGCTGTAGACTAACGGCTCAAGGACTTTGCTCTTCAGATTCGTGCCTATCGGGGTGTCACCGCCCCAGGTTAGTGGCTTGATTACGTCGACTAGATCCTCAAATTGAAGGCTGTCGGAATTTGGTATCTGCTGGTTGATGTAACGCATGTAAACGCCCTCGCCCTCGGGTAGGATCCGAGTGGTAACTCGAGCGATTCTATTAATGAGCTTGTTTTGGGAGTCCCAGCGACCTTCGCGTTTCATTGAGCTACTGTCGTCTTACATTGAAAATATCAGCACGAAACAAACAGCGACTCGCAAGTATTTCAAATTATCCTTGTTTGTTTAAATAAACTCACCACAGTACAGCACCTGCTGGTGCATGGTTACTTGAGCTGTTTTGGGTAAAAGGTCCTTGCCACAAATTGGCGTGGTCGGGTCGTCGGCCAGGGCTGCAGCTTTCTCTGCCAGCTCTTCAATGAACTTTGGGTTGTTCTTGAAGAATCGCTCGGCAGGGGTATTTTGGAAAGCTTTCTTAACGTTGGCAACAAACTCGGCTTTGGTTTTTGGCTGGCCATCAGGATTGACCTCCTGGAAGATGGTCAGCATAATGTATTGTACTCTGTGGATTGAGTTTCATTAGCGATTAACCTGGTCAGTCTCCTCAACAAACTCCGGGTTCAGCCCAAATAACTTCTGTGCGATTCCTTTCGCAGTCTTGTTGACCCAAGCTATTACGTATCCCGTAATACTGAGGATGTAGTCAACGTAGACCTTGAATTTATCCATAGTAAGAATGGTGCTCAAGCGCTTAGATGGTTTACAACTTGAGAGCGATTCTATTCTTCCGAAATCGTCTTGTAATTGCAACTGTATCGTGACGGTGATTTAGGCTTTTCTCTGTAGGAAAGTGTCAGTTATTTCAAACTGAGGATGACGCCGAGATTGAGAAATCAAGATTTAATAATGCTCATCGCGCGATAAGAACATTTCAGCCGACGCGCAGAAACACCACAGGCCTATCGGATAACTAGAAGACTGCATTGCAGGTCAAGAATGTGCATTTATCCAATAGCGTACACACACGACAATCTTCAGCTCGTGCTTCGAACGCCACCAGCCGGGCGGATGAGCGAAAATCTGCGGTGCCAGCAGACAACATACATTCCCCCGAGTCCAGGTTCTGTGGGGGACTCTACATTTGTTGGATGATCAGCATCTGGCCCTCTCCCCACCTTTCGTCCATACCATCTCATTTGTTAAATCCGATTGGAGAACAAATGAAGAATAGAGCAGGTGGTGTCGTGCTCACGAGTGAGTGAGCTGGGTTTGGGTGCTGCATTGCATCAAGAGTGGCCTAATCTGCACAAAGGTGCAGCAGGGCTTGCGGGATGATCGTTCGCGGTCTGCAGTCATTTATTAGATATGGGTCGGCAGAATCTTGCTTTTGCCTAGCGAGCTTTGCGAACAAATCATCTGCTACCCTGGCAATGGCTGAAAAACAGAGGAAAGAATGATTTCCCCCGCTGCCAATCACAATAAGATAAGGTCATATCTCTATCTGTGTCCATTTCTCACCTGGAAACTTTGTTACTTACAATACTTCAACTCTCCTCAGCAGTATAATAGATACAATGGATGTCGCAATAAATGCCTTTACGTCGGAGAAAATCCCCATGGTCAAACTGGATGACGACAATTACAGGGATTATGAGAAGGCTGTCGTAACGTCAAACCTCCTTTTTCGCTTCACAAGGCCTCCTTGCGTGGTCCAGCCCGAAAATGTTGCTCACGTGCAGTCCATTGTCAAGCAAGTTAAGGCGCAGAAGCTCTTACTAACGATCAGATGCGGAGGTCACTCTTACGCGGGATTCTCCACGGCCCTGGAGAAGAACAACGTCTTGATGGACCTCAGAAAGATGAACAAGGTCAGACTTGATGTCAAAGCAGATACCATCACTATTGATGCGGGCTGCCAATGGGGTGAAGTCTACAGAACTCTCGTTAATGGAGACCATAACGGGTTCATCATTAATGGCGGTCGTTGCCCTTATGTAGGAGTCGGCGGATTCATCTTAGGTTCCGGTCTGGGTCCCTTTACTCGAACCTTTGGGATGGGAAGCGACACTCTCTTGGAAGCAACTCTTGTGACCGCAGATGGGCAAATTGTAACGGTTAAGAAAAGCGACGAACGAAATACTGATAAAGGTAGGCTGTTCTGGGCACTCCAGGGTGCGGGCCAGGCCAACTTTGGGGTTGTAACTCAAATGAAACTCAAGATACAGCATCTAAACAGCAAGAATGGATGGGTGGTCGGTGGAAGATTCCTATGGTACCCAGGAGAAGAAAAGATGGATGAACTGCTTCCCACGATGAACGAGTTCTATAAGGTTGATTGGCCTAGGGAAATAACCATCGATAGTACGTGGTTATGTGACCTCCGAGAAAGAACAGGCGATGGGGTGCGATTCACTGTGTATTACGACGGAAGCAAGGCAGACTATGACAAGCTCATTGACAAGCACATTAAAAATCCAGATGTAAAGAAGCAACTCAAGAAGAGAGCTTTGCCGGAGCCCTCGACGCGATTCCTCTACGAGACGCTCGAGGAGCAATGGTTCGATGAGAGCAAGAAGTTCTTTGCGGAAAACAAGACGTACAGGATTTTTGCTGCTTTCGTTTTCAATAGGGAACAAATAACCAAGAACGTTGAGGAAATCACCAGCATTCTTCAGAAGGAGATGAAGACTTTTCGAGAGTTGTACTTGGGGGAAGCCGTCAACTTAGACATTGTCTGGATTCATACTGGGGGCCAAGCATCGGAACCGAAGCCCACAGACACGGCTTTCTTTTGGCGTGAAGCGCTCTATCACACCTACGTTGAGGTTCTGTGGAAGGATAAATGGATGGAGTTGAACATGAGAGGTTTCATGGGCAAATTGAAGAAGAAGCTGCGGCCATTCTCTTTAGGCAAGGCTGCAGCCTTCTTCAATTTTCCAGATCGAGACTTGGTGAAGGCAGGCTACGAGAGGGCTTATTTTGGAGATAACCGCCAGGAGTTGCGGCGCATCAAGGAGATCTGGGACAAGGATAATCTCTTCAGGTGGGCCCAGGGTATTCAGCTTCCAAAGAATACCATCGACGACGAATCGGCGGACGTAGATCCAGATGATGATGCGGGCTTGACTGATCAGTTGGCGCAAGATTTATGGGATAAGAAGAACTGGCAACACAAGGTGATTAGGAACGTTGGTGGGGTAGGAAAGAAGCTGGAGGCGATGGGTTTCTGAGGCAATTTCCTTTTCTCTTTGACGTTTGGCATCGCGGATTCAGAGCTCAGTCATTATCTTTGTGATTCAATATTATCATGCAAAATCAAATATTGCGTATTGCCTAACTGTCTGTGTAAGCTATGAGGAAGCTGCACATCCTTGTTTGACAGAACCCCTGAATCAACGCACGATGTGAGGCTGCCACGAACTAGTTATCTCACAACGTCCACATTACTGTCTACACATTCGGCATACTTGCAACACAAGACAATGAATGCGGAAAAGACTTCAGGGCCCTCAATCTCAGTATCATCCATTGTTTGCATGCCCTGGATTCGGCGGATGTGTTCCATATGAATAACAGTTTTTCTGTTTCGATGGAAAATTCCTAGCTAAGTTGGCATTGCATTAACACGAACTCCGTAATTCTCTTCGACAATTTTGAAGATACTCGCATCTCTTGGGTGGCTGAATGTCGACCCGATTGCTTTAGAAATAACAAGCGCAGAAAGCAGTTCATTCGGACCAAATTGGAGTTGCTGTAACTGGCTCGTTTGCGCGTCTCAGACAGTCGCCATATTGAGATTATTTCATCTTAGAAAAATAAACAGAAAACCAAATATGCCTGTAGAGTTTCCTCCACAAAGAAGAGGAAGGGGAAAAATCTGGACCATACTCCTAGCCTTCTCACTATTTCTGGTAGGTAGGCGATATATATGATGCTTGGCATAGGAACTATGTTGTCAGATGGCCGTGAATTAGAGAAATCAACCTTCACTTGGGGTAAATAAGAATTGATATTGATGTTATCTCTGTGAAACCTACCTGCCGACAGACGTTGGGATGGAATTAGACAGTCAATCCCATAAGCCTGGTCAACAGCCAGGCTGTGAAGGATGGGTTCGTGCCTGAAGCACTATGTAATTGGATGCTTCAATTGTATAGGCGATTAACTCTCATCGCTCGATTGTAGACGCATCCTGGGAAGAGATAGGCGATAGTTTACATAGCTGACGCCTCAGCGGCAATATTGTTCGCTTGATTTGTCATGTAAAAGCAGAGTTCCTGTGGGCGCTTTTGTATAATAATCCCCTGTGAACAGGTAACCGCCTTGCTAGCCCTCACAACTATTTGTGCCTAGTTCAGTATTCGTGCAATTTGTCAAATATTGATCCGATAGCCTCATCGTCTTATCTGATCCTAACATCCTATCACTATTTTACAATCCAAATCACCATTTGATACTTTGTCCTGCCAACGTATAATGCAGTAATTTAAAATTCTAAATACCTTTTACATTTCTTAATTTTGATAAAATTGATATAAACTTCTTAGATACTTTTGTACTAGGCCTAGCTTAGTAAGCGCCTGAAAAAGATTAGCGCAGCTCCGTACCCGATCCGACATGCACTTGCCGATGTATCTCCATAGTAGTGTATTTCATACAAGAAACTTTCAATTTCAAAAGGTTTTTTGCGTTGAGTAATAATGGCTACTCTGAAATTTGTCAATTCGGTAGGTCAATATATTCCAACCTGACTATTCCTCGACTGACGGCCAATTCCAGGTATGGCAGTCCTTCAGGGCTACGTCGGGTTTAGAACCGAGGTGAGGTTGTGTTTACCGGTATCAATTGAATTGATAATTAACATTTAAACCAAACAACCTAGACTTCTCGACAATGTAAGAAATGTCTTTTGAATAGCAATATCTATGGGATAACACACGCTGACTTGTACTTCAGCTGAGAGTGACTGCTGCTCGACCTGGTACCGTCAACTTTGAGCTTGACATCCGGAAAGAACATACGGTATATCCTGACTGTGGAATTGTTACTCTCAGGGAAACTGCGGCTTATACTGAATCTCGATTACCTTCTAGAACCGCTTGGAAATCCTGCATGGAGGTACCATTGCCAGTATGGGTATGCTTGATTTTACGAACATTTTATGACTGCAGGAACTGTGCTAATATCGATATCGTAGTCGACCTCGGGGGCTCGCTCGCAGTCGCATCCAGGGGCTTATTTGCAACTGGGGTCTCTACAGACTTGAATGGTAGATGAATCCAGTCTGCTCCAACACAGCTTTCTAACAAGTTCAGTCACCTACTTAAGCTCAGGCGGGAAAGTCGGAGATAGAATCAAAGCTGTACGTACATGTACCATTCCCTACGACTATGTATATTAATTATGTCCAATGACTGATTTAATCTTTAGGAGGTCTCGTGTGATAAATGTAAGTGGGTGATGACTACGTCTTAGAGCCATCCTGACCGCATGCAGTTGGAAAAACACTTGCATACACCTCCATCAAATTCTTGAATAGCAAGGACGAAGTCTTTGCTCGTGGTAGCCATACAAAGCAAGTCATTCCCCCTCGGTACCGATATTCTCATCTAATATGCCGACACAGGTATATTGCACTGGCTTTCAAAGATCCGCAAAATATCGTGGAGGAATTGAAAAAATCGAATGGCACTTCATAGGTAATTTCGACTCCTTACTATATTTTAGTTCCGTAACTATCAATACAACCGGTCTATCTCTCACACGATAGCGGAATATAGCGTTTTAAGATAGATAAATACATAGATGGATAACCATTGCATTTCTCAAGTCTTTACCCGCAGACTCATTATTATCACTGAATACGCCAACATTGCAAGAGTTTTATTTCAACACCCCTTAATCCAACGCATATATGTGCTTAAACTTGACGAAAGAACATGGCAAAATGGCAGCAACTGGCATCTACTCATCCTCGTCGAACAACTCTTCGTTCTCTGCATCCGGCTCATAGTCTTCAATTATAGGCTCGGCGCCCAACGCCTTGAGTTTTGCCTCTGTCATCTCAAAGACATATTGGCCCATATGCTCGACACTTTCCATTGCTGTAGCCTCGATTTCATCCTCCTGTAACCGAGTCGTGGGGAACAATTCACCAGGCACGAGCATCAGCTTGTTAGGTCTCTGTGCGAGCATGTCAAATGCCGGTTTTAGTTCATAACATGAGGCAAAGACGTCTTGTCGACCGAGGATGTATAAACCGAGTCTAGCCCGAGACAGTGCCACAGTCAGACGTCGAAGATCACGTAGATAACCGACTGTTCGCGTGCGAACAAGGGAAAGAATAACGTCTGTGTAGTATCAAGTCAGTATTTGAGTATTACAAAATTCAGGTTTATTAACAAAAAACTTACAGTCGTTTTGTTCACCTTGGTATCTATCAACGGTAGTAATAATCTTAGGCGAGCCGAAAAGTGAATTTTTTGCGCAGCGATGGTTCACGACATCTTGAAGCAAAGCTTTTTGTCCCGCGTAGGTCGTGAGAATCGAGATCTTTGATGCCGGATACCCGAGAAGTCGCATGTATTGGAAAATGGCAACGGCGTATTCGGCTTCTCCAACGTTTTGGATGAAATGAGGACTAGGTTCTCTTTCGCCGACGCCATTGTAATCCGGGACATTGATGAACTGATACTCAAAACGGAAACCGGGATTGGCAATCTTATACTCTTGTTTCTCTTCAATTGCAGGAAGATGTCCCAAATTCTGATACCGCCACTTGAAGAGGTCCGCAATGCTCGGTCGTGCTCGGCCTTGTTGGTCAAGTGTGATGGTAGGTACACCTAACCTGACTAGCCGTAGGAAGAGACTTTGCTCGAAATTGGCATATTGCCTAAACGCGAGATTCTGTACAATAGGCGAATTCTGGAAGTGATCGCCGCATAGGACCACTCGTTTCAACGGTAATTCTCCATTCGACATATCCTGCAATGCACATGGAATGAAGGTCTCGATCTCGGTGATTTGCGCCGCTTCTTCCATGATAACATTGTCGTAACGGAAACCTAGCTCAGCGATTTCCTGGCGTCGCATTGCTGCGTGTGTGGAAGTCATGGCGATTATCCTAGCCTCTTTGATAAGAAGATAGTTTGCGCGATCGCGAGGCTGTCTTAAAATCTCGAAAGGACGAATATCCTCTAGTTCGGAAAAGATCTTATCAATATGACGTTGTCCGCCTGTGGCAGCATCCAGAACAGCTTCCTTTGAACTTCCAGGTTCGAAGAGAGGCTTGGGCGCATTTGCAAAATAAGAGTGAAATGGGAAAGAATTCACGATATCTTCAACAGAGGATTGCTCAGAATGTGCCTTGTCCCAGAATTTCACCCATGCCGGTTGAATATAAACAGTGTTGAAATATCCGGCCGTCTCACATGAGTTACCATGAGCACCTAAAGCTCCAATCGAAGCGGCTAGACGATCTACTTCTGCCAACAGATGACCGCGGTTCTCCAGGAACGATTCGACTCGTCCATATTTGCTATAATTTGTCTCGGTCTCTAACTCTTCCTCACCGTGGCCCAGTCGGAGAAGATGGCGCTCATCAATATCAAGCGCCACGATTTTCTGAAAAAGCTGGTTAAGAGCTTGGTTGCTGTGAGCGACGAGAAGTGTTCGTTCGTTCGGGAAATTGTGATAAATATTATTTATAATCTGTGTTGCCACGTCGGTTTTTCCTGTTCCTGGAGGACCAACAATGACTGTTAGTCCTGGTTGGCTGCCTGATGTTATCGCCTCGACCTGTGCAGGCGTAAAACGAACGGAGTTGAGCTTAGGTGCATCTACCGGATATGGACCGCGGTTTGGAGGCTTATAGGTTGATACATGAACCGAGCTCACTTCAGGCTGCGCATCGGCGTGGGCCCGTCGACGCTTCTTCGACGAGATAGAGATGCTTGGAAGAGGTGTATCCACTTCCTGAAGAACATAGGGCGGACCAAAACTGGAGGATTCTTGGGCATGAGGCTCGATCGTCTTTCCGGGAAAGCTCTCAACTAGATGCTGCCAGTCTAGGAATGTGTCGCGGTAGTCAAGAGACTTGACACGGTTAGGAAGTTCGGTATAGCGAGCACTAGACGGATCACCATAACCAAGAAAAATTTCTTGAAACCACGAAGGAAGTGCAACATCCGACGTGATAAGCTGTTGCATCGTTTGAAGCACAGGTTTGAAATTGTTTTCTCTTCCTTTCCTTCGCACTACAACATTAATCAATGGGTAGATATCAGGCTTTCCTTGAGACTTGCGGGTGTTGTCTGCTTGAAACGCGGTTGTGTCTAAATTCAGAAGCAACCGTCTGATCTGTGGTCTTCGAGTGTATCCATTCTCTTGATTTGATCGATGTTCACGCAATGCACGCCCGTTCTCATCCAAGACCTGTACTACTTCAGCGGTACGAACATGCGTTAAAGAAGGTTGGTCACTGAAATCGATGGATCTTGATGAGGCCGGAGGTGTGACTGCAAGTAGAAACACGGCATCATCCGGTCGGAGAGCCTCCCATTCTTTTCGTATATTATCATTGAGGCGACCAACCTCTAGAGTAACTTCAGCTCGGACAAAGGCTGGTGTTGTCGCCCCAACTTTTGCCGGAGCCACCTCAATAATGGCTGGTTTAGGTATCGGAATCGCCATTCTTGAAAATCCCTCGAAAGTGACTTCTCGAGTTGCCTTGTTCAGTCGCGCTTGTAGTCGCTTCACAATAGCCTCCAAATCCCTTCGAATTTCGTAAAATGACTCGGAACGATATAGTAAGAAAGAGCGCCACATAAAGTCACCCAAACTCAAGTATTGAAGATTCAATTTGGGAATGGCAAGGGGCCGAGATCCATCATAAGTCTCATTTCGCAACAAAGCAGAATCATAGAGGGTTTCCTCGGTAGGCAAGATGCTGAGTTTGGTAGCTGACTCTTGAAAAGAGAGCTTTCTTTCAAAATGAGACACCAAAACCTCGAGATAAAGCTGTCGACTAGCTGGCACTTGAAATTGTTTCGGGTATGAAGTTCTAAAGCCAAGTCGTGCACAGAGATCTTGGAGCTCGACATCATTCAGCACAGACAAACTTCCTTCGAGTTCTGACCGTTGTTCAATGGATCCGTAGTTGGAGAGGGCGAGGATCATTAATTTCCCCTTGAAATGCTTGATGGCGGTTCTTTGTAGCCGAGCTAGTTGTTGACAGTGAATATCATACACGTCTTGCGTAGACAAAGATTCTCCTGTATAGTCGTTGATAGCAAAATCTACAAAGTGTTGTAGTAGAGAGTAGAAATCCCGGATCAAGGCGTTATTTGGAGAACTGTACGAGGGAGAAAGTCGAATGAGAGCAAGTAGATTCAAGTCTTTTAGAAGAGTGTTAACGTATCTTCTTGTCGGAAGCTGACTCTCAAGGTCCACAAGTAGCTCTAGAAACCTCTCACAGTATCGTATATTATCGACTTGGGCTGGTTCTGAGGTGTAAAGCTTTTGGAGAAAATCAAGCAGCAAAGTGAAGAGCCACGACCTTTCGAATCGGATTTTCGATTTTGTGGATTCATCCGCAGCATCGTAACGTTTTCCTGCAGCACGCCATGCCTTCTTCAAGATCGGTGCCTTTTCTAGAGTTTGATCCCTTGTTTCTTCGGTAGACAGGTTATGCCAAATGGATATCGATACTAACGGCGCACATTCTTTCCGAATCATGTTATTTTCGAGTGATTGGAAGCAACTTATGATGAAAGACAATATTGACAGCCTCGAAAATCCAGAAAGCGACGCATCGAAGCTCATAGACAAAATTCGATGGAACAGATTGGAGAAATCGTCGGGACGATCGAGAAAGTGATCTAGTATGCTCTAATTAGTGACGCGCGCAGCAATTGATAGGACTCATAAGTTACCCCATATTGGCAAATGTTCTCCATGTTTAATGCCTACAATTATAGCGATCAGTAGGACATGGTGGTTCGACGAATCTTCGGTATAGGTGGGCCAGAGGAGCCTGGGGAAAAATTTAGCCTGCAAAGGATGCAAATATTATTCGGGCAGCCTACTTTTCCAGAATATTCAGATTCTCCAGAGTCAACAGCGACCGTGTAGGAAACTTTTCGGCCTCAAGTGGGTTCCATATTTCACTGGTGATGATGTCTTGCTTCGCTTTGCGAGATTTGCTCGGCTTCAACCAGTGTTTTTTCGCGAGAATTACCCAAGGGTTGTCCTCCTGCAAGTCAGGTACAGACAGCCTGGTTTCGAGATTCTGCGCCATGGCAGAAGGTATCTCTAGTCCCGTTCGTCGGCGCAGTGGTAAAAAATTGGCAAATGCAATCGCTCCCAAGCTGCAGGCGACGCGAGACTCTTTAAGAACGAGCGAGTGCTTTGAGTTAGCGTCGTTTTCGCGGAGCCGCCGCCGCGCCGCCGATTGGCCGATGCCTTGGGCCGTTAGAACTCATTAACAGCTCCCATTCAGGCACAGTTCTTGCTTTGCTTCACAATCAGCTCTTTTCTCGCCGTCGCCCCTCGTGCGCTCCTATGTGTATGAGAGGAAGGCCCGCCGGTTCTTCTTAGGAAAATGTCCGACACCGTCATCGAGTCTGTCAACGCGTATCGCAACCTGGTGCGAGATCTGCTGGCGACAGCAACAGAGATCAAACAAAGCAACAATGTCGAACCGCCTTTGATGGAAGCACACCTTGGTGACTCTATATGGCGCGTACATCCTAAGTCTGAGATCGAGTTGAACAAACCGCATAAATACGCGGCTGTTGAAACTGCATTCAGGGAGAAGTTTTACGAACTTCTGGTAACCAAGCAGCCTTGTCGCATCGCTTTTCCTTTAAGCTAATAGCTCGATATAGGCTTCTACTTCGATAGATGAGCCTGCCTTCGTCAATGTCTGGAACCTCTTGGACATTGTATCTATTTTCTCCGATAACGGTTCGTCCTTCGTTGATCCGGCGCCATGATCGGTCGCATCTAATTTGTGGTTTTGGATATAGAACAATGCGAAGCTGGCCTTATTTTCTGGTTGATCGAAGAGCTCCTGGATAGCCAAACTGTTGAGGGATGTCGAAAGGTTTTTGATTATTTAGAGTCTCGAAGGGAGATCAATACAGCGGTACAAAATGCTTGCTTCCATGGCACAGGAAAACGATCTGACAGTTTTGCAGAAACACTTTGAGTCGAAGAAGTTGATTATACTGCGTTCGTGCAATGAATTACTTCGTCGGCTTTCGAGAGCAGAAGACACCGTATTTTGTGGCCGGGTTTTCATATACATGTTTCAGAGCTTTCCACTAGGTGACAAGAGCTCTGTCAATCTTCGAGGAGAATTTCACACAGAGAATGTCACCACCTTTGATGTTGTGCAGAAACCAGAGGGCGACGCCATGGAGGTTGAACCTACTGAGAAGAGTGAACAAGCAGTCGAGACACAGCATCAACAAACCGATGAAAGCGAAGCTACTCAGTCCGCAAAAGAAACAAACGGCCATGTGCCAGATTCCTCGCCAAATGAAAAGAAGAACGATGAGAATACAAAGGCTACTATTGACCTGGATACACTATATCCCGTTTTCTGGGGCTTGCAAGCGTTTTTCTCATCGCCGACCAGGTTGTTTAACCCAGAGAACTTTGCATCCTTCCGGTCCGGGCTGGAGAAAACATTGTCTACTTTCAAGTCAATTAACACGGACATCGACACTCGAAGTGCTGCGAAAGCTCCGGAGGAGCTCCGTCGGGGCCTTAAACGTAAGCGAAATGGAGATGGAGTGGAAGTGTCGAATAATTTCAACCCTAAATACCTAACTAGCCGCGAGTTATTTGACCTGGAGGTAATTTTGATAATTAATTCTTTGTGTTGCATAAGCTGACTTGATATGCTTAGGTGAATGACATTGCATTTCGCCGGCATGTCCTTGTGCAGGCGTTGATTCTACTAGATTTCATACTGTCTTTGACCCCACAAGCCCGCCAAAGACTTTTGAAGTTGATACAACCGGGGAAGGCGGTAAATAAGACTGTGCTCTACCAGTACACCATCAGCGAGGAAGATGCAAGTATTCCAAACAATCCGTTTTGAGACCTCCACTAATCAAGTATAGGCCAAATGGGCAACACAAACACGAGATATCGTCGCCGATTATCTACAGCAAGGCGTTGACGGTAAATTTTACTACCGAATGGTCGACACAGTACTTTCCCGTGACAAGAACTGGGTTCGCTGGAAAGTCGAAAACTGCCCGCCTATTGAAAAGCCAGCAATCAAAGAGGAGGACTGCCTCAAGGCTCGCGAGGGTGCCGTGAAGATTTACTCCAGCAAACGCCTTAGACCGGCGCCAATAGGATCCCTCGATCTCACGTTTCTGTCAGAAGGGAACACTACTACTAGTCTAGAACAACTGAAAGAACCAGATCGGTAGGCAGATTCTTCAACCAGCTTCTTTTAATGAATCTATCTAACTCACTCATCTCAGATACGGAACCCCCGCACCAGACTCTTTCATGATGGCCATCCTTGACGATGAATTCGACATCGACATGGCCAAAGAGAAAGACGAAAAGGAAGCTGCGCTACGATCGAAAGCGAGCAAGGTGTGGCGAACCCTACGATTATCGTCCCGCAGCAAGCTCGCTGAGTTTGAGAAGATTGAGGATGGGAAAAAGATTAATTTGCTGTTTGAGAGCGCACCAGAGGAAACCAAAGAACCAGAATCAGAGCCCTCGGAGGACGCGCAGAAGAAAGCAGATACCGATAACGAAGGGCCGAAAGAGGAGAACGCGCAGGAAAATGGGGAAGAACATCAGGAGTCGACGATAGACGAGGCGCAGGTCCAAGAAACGGAACAGACAACAGCCACGGCTACATAAGGATGTCAATAAACCATCATCCTCGTGACGTGTAGTCGTCACTAGGCATCTCTCGCAGATCAGATACAGATATACCGTCTACGCGGATGCAAGGTTTACCTCCTTCATTCAGACTGTAGACTGACGAGTGAGTAAAACAAAAAGCTTATGTCAGATTCGAAACAGGACACATTCGGCAAGAACATGGGACAACCATTTTCACCAGGATCAGCTCTGACGACTGATCAGCGCCGCGGATTTTGGTATAAATCAAACATACCGTCTTCAACCCAGGTTTGTAGAAGATAAACTTCTATGACTGAGGTTTACTAGCCTCGGCCATTCGTGACGGTGAAGGCAGCTATGCTATTCGAGGGTTTTGTAAGAGTAGATTTCATCATTATCAGCTCAGCTGATATACGTAGTAGTTAATGCTACTGAAAGACTGCAAGAGTGTTATTGTAATCAGTAATTTCCCAACTTCCCGGCCATTCTCATTTATTGGGTCGGATGTATCGCAGTATGATGGGCAGTTAAAATGAAACAAAGTAATATTTAGGTTGCGGATTCAATCGGCCCTCTATTGACATTACGTGGCTGCGCCTTTCTTGTTTTAATTTCCGATGCCAGTCAGGTTTTGACGTAAACCCAACTTGACACGGAGCAAAACCCTTGACCGATTCGCACAGAACCAGGATTGAAGGAAGCAGATGGGCAAATCAAAAAAAGTATTAGTATTTTGCGTCATACCCCATTGCACATCTTATGTAAGAAAGAACATCATTAGCTAAGTCTGTGCATAGTGGGCGCGTAGTTTTAATTTTTTAAAATTTCCTAGAGACAGGCGCCGGTTTCAAATTCTCGGCTATCATGCAGCTGGCCATATCGGCGCGGTCTTTTGGACGTAAGCCTCCCCTCGCCTCGCATTTCCCGGGCCATATAGCGCCGGCCGGGCGTTGCCCATGGTCGATGGCGGTTGGGACCGGCTCGAAAGATGACCTTCAGAGTCCGCCGTTAGCCTGCAGAAAGCCGAATCCATCGAATGTTCGATGATGGGGCCGTCTCATTTACTCATATTGGTGATCACGGTGGATCAGCGATCATTGAATGCTTCGTCAGGGAGTAGTAACTTATGAACTAGTTAACTATGGACCCATACTAGTGACTGCTGTCAGTATTAGACCGCGAACGAGCTAGGAATGATTGAGCCATGGCGGCGGAAAAACACAGGCCAATTGAGGGCGATTCTGTCACCGCTAACAGGGTAAATGTCCACCAATTGTGGCGCAGACCTGCTAGTCATATGCGGTAAAAAACTGAGGGGCCACGGAGCACCATGATCATCAAACACCAGGATTACGAAGAAGGAATAGGTCCTGGTGAGTCGTGAATACTACTTGGTGCCGTGCGGAATTTACTCGGTTTGGCCGAGTATACCCATTCTTAAGGAGATTCAACTCGTGAGTGCTTCGTTGCCAGTCTTTTGATTGAGGAAAGGTTGCAGGTATTTAAGCGTTGGCGATGATAACCGTGGCCCCATCTTGGCGACCAAAGCCGAACTGATTAGTATTGTTGCACCTCGGTGAACTACTTATTATCCCTAATTATCCGGAGGCAAAAGTTAGAACTAACGCGATGATGCTACGTGCGTCCCCTGCGTCCCTTGGCTGCGTCCGACATTCCCCGCAGTATCAAAGCCATCAAATCACTACCTATCATAGCACAGACCCTGTAGCCGAGGAAGAGTGGCCGAGGAAAGAGAAACAGTGGGTGATATTCATACCCTATACGAGAGACAGGCACATGCAGGTTGAAGCTCGGCTGAGCCTCCATCCCACGGTCCTGGAAATCATCTGCACGATGAGTTTGACCCGCTAATAGGTATAGCTTGTGTGTCGACAAGGTTTCGGCCCTGAAATTATTTACCCGCCGTACCGAAATAATGCCGTTGATGTTGGGACTTTGCGGGTCGCTGTAGTTCAAAAAAGGACATTACTGACTGAACTTCCAAGTAAATAAAAACTGCCCCTGAAACGATTTGAAACCGATATGCTTGCGAAAAAGACTTGCAATCCCCAATCTATCCGGATAAACCACTTATCAGAGCATTAATCTTTTGAGATTTCCGTGTCTGTACTATCAGATCCGCAATGCGGTTAAAAAAGGTTAGACATCCGGATGGATCGATCCACTGGGTCTCCGCTCATGTCTGGTGCGAGATGGATACAAATCATAATCCCAGCCGATAGCTTCTATAAGTTAATATAGTGCTGGACTGTTGGTACTCTTCGGCTTGCCGTAGGTTGATTGATGGTAGCTTTTCCTAGAACGGGGCAAAGAAAGAACGATGTCGTTATTTACTCGATCTCTTCATGCTGAACTTACTTCCGGCTAGTCAAGAAATCAACCTCTCTAGACCCACCTAACGAAGTGCGACCTTAGTCATGCACCGGACCTGAAACTATTATTTTAATCTTCCTCTCCTGGCACATCGGCGGATACGGATACGTCCGCGATGTTAGCCAAGTGTGGAGCCTGCTGCGTTGACACTCGCTGGTCAACCAGTATCTTTGTCTCCCAAATGCAAACCGGTGCTAGCTTCCATGGAAATGCATGTCGACTTTGCCATTTTTTCAGCCGTTCGGTCTAGGGATGTCTCCACAGAGGGGTTGGTTGCATTGGCGAGTGTTATTGAGATTCAAATGTACTTTCCGAGCTAGGGCTGGCCAGGCAAAGTTTGGCATTGGAGTGATATCCTTGTATCGTCGTCAAAACGTTTCTTTTTGGTTTGCTACCAACCGCACACTAGGCTGAACATAAGAATGGCGTTATAGTCTAGTCTATAGCCATCAAACCCTCGTCCTTGGACCATTCCGTGGCTGCAATATTGTCGGTCAGGTTTGCTCGTGTGGAAGCCGTTGGTGCCAACAAGAGGTAGCCATCAGTAGACTGCCACTAGCAGCCAACTAAGTAAAACTACGAAGGGAGTAAATGCCAATCTAATTGGCCATGCGGCGCTTCTACCACATGGTGTTCTGCCGTTTCGCCTTTCTCCCGACCCCAGGCGTCCGTGCTCTCCGGAGGGCGTGGTGGCTAGTACGTATACTTGTGGTCCCGGACCAAAGGTAGATATTGATGCTTGCTGCACATGCCCTAATCATTAGCCCGACGGCTCTGCAAGTGGGACTTGGGCTTTCTTAGAAGGTCGGACTGATATTTTCTCCACCAGAGCAAAGAATGGCACTGGATGGGCAGTGTGCTCTGTCACCCCCCCCTTCCGGCCCCTGCTAGCCGACGATGCATTGGTCGATTTCCTGGGCCGCTCAAGGCATGGCAAATCAGTGGTGCTACTCCTCGTTGGATGGTCCTGACCCCCGGCTCTCCTGGCGCCGACTATGACCCTGACCTCGTTAAATCCCTCGTGCAGCTAGCAAACTGGCAGCGCCATGCTCTGCGGGCCGCACCTTTTTTTTCTGGTGGACTCGGGGATGGAGGCGTCCAAGACGATGATATTGTACGGAAAGGGTCTGTCTGGAAGAACCGTGCATCTCCAAACAACAGACATGCCGCGATCTAAGCAAGAAGATGGAAGAAAAGGAACGAGACGAGAGTGCAGATAGTCTAGTCAGCTTAGCCATGCCCGCAGGAAGGAGCCCGTAGAGAAGGCGCGAGCGACGGATCGAGGACCGGCAGTTGCCCTCTTGCCTCCTGCCTCCTGCCTCCTGCCTCCTGCCTCGCCTGATGTCACTCCCACCCGCCCCAAAACGGAAGGCAGCATACGCAGGGCACGCTCCTTCCTTTGATGCGGAGCCGGGTCTGCACCTTGCCACCGCCTGCTTCTCTCTATTGCTACTGTGTGCCTCGACGTCGACTGTCATTCCCGTGGCCATTCGCTGATCCGATACAATCTTGGCAAAGTTAGAGGAAGCTTCATTCTTGTCGCCGGTGAATGAGGTGGGTCACCCTTCATACAGATTGACTTTGAGGGATTAGGTCTGCGTCACGAACTGATGCGCGAGCAGCAAGGCCAGATCCTCTGTCAATCCGCCCACTCTCCCCCGCCCAGGCCACTGTCTAATATCGCTTCTAGTTTCAGATCAGATTAATGTTTGCCATTATCTCGCTAGACAGCCACCTCATCCTCGAGCTATCCTAAACGACCCTAGTCCCTAGTCCCCAGTGTCTGGAGCGCCCATCTCACTGCACTGTGCAGAGTGCAATCGGTGCAGCCTACAGAGACATCGCTCCTGGTCTGGAAGCTCAACGACAATACAACGGGCTCACCAGCCCTGGTTTTCTCTGTCAAACCCGCAGTTCACCATATTATCTAACGAGATTTGGTTCTGCTTTGCATGCCGTCATTGCTCACTTTGAGTTTTACTCGCAGTGTCAAGCCTTGATTTGGAGTGCTTGAAACCCATTCATCTCCCTCCCAATTTTCCATCCGTGGACTGGGATTTACCTGCACCCGCCTTCGGATACAATTTGATCCTGAAGTCACCCAATCAGAACGTCTGGTAGCACGGCAATACAAACTATCTAAGTAGTCGCTAACCTTCAGAGTTCCACATCACGGCTGATTTGCCTAACGAGGCTCGACTAACCATTGTGCGGCACATGCGTAACGATCGGCGAATCCATGTTGCGCCAAATGTAGCCTGATCTTGGTATCAGACTCTCTCAACTACTCTAGAAGCCATTCAGTTCGCAGTTACCATACTGTTCTTTTACTCTTGTCCAATTTTAATACTCTTCTCTTCTTTCATCACGTTCGGCTGGTTCGAGGCTTCGTCTAGATCAAGGTATTGATTTTGCCCTACAAACTGTAAAAAGGAAACCTTACTTTGAGAACAAACTGCGCATTCTGTGACCTCCACCTCCAGCTCCCTGAAATGTCCGTCATTGGCGTCCGTCATCTTCCCAATCCGGTGTCGACTTTGTACCACCTTTCTTGCGCAGCAAACCGGACACTTTTAGGGCGAGACAATCAAGACCAGGAAGATAAGATGAGTCTTCACTCTGGCGCCACGGCCTTTTCGTCACAAAAGTCCTCCGGCAATAATCAACAAGAATCCAACGTGAAAGTTGAAGAGAGCGAGCGATTTTTATCCCACCTGTCAGAGCAAAATGACATGTGCCAACCTCCCAAAACATTTGATCCCGACATCAAGACGGAAGGCGGCCAGATTTCCCAGCCAAGAAGGTCCGAAGAGTGTCATCACAGCGAAAATAAAATTGCTGTGGAGGAACCGGTACATAGAGAACATGAAACCAGCGGCTTTAAAATGGAGAACGATGATGACCTTGCAGATGATCTCAGCAACGGTGATGAGGTCACCGATGATACGGCAATGTCTGCCGGTGATGGGGCGATTGATAAAAAGAAATCCAAGCGTTTTCGGTATGGATTGATTTTCTGTTAACTTGTTCGAAGCGTCAAGAATCTTAAGGACTAAAGAATGTAGCCTCACTCACAACCAAACTCGTTTCCTGATGAGCGAATTCACTCGACAGGCCCATCCGGATGCCGCCAAACGCGAAAAACTCTCGCGAGAAATCCCAGGCCTCAGTCCGCGTCAAGTACAAGTTTGGTTCCAGAATAGGTATTGCAGAATCTTGGTTTCAAACCCTCCTTTGATTCTTGACTAAATTCCAAATTTAGAAGAGCAAAACTGAAGCGACTCACCAGTCAAGACCGGGACAGAATACTCAAGTCCAGAGCACTCCCTGAGCATTTCGACAGATCTCAAATGCTAAACCATGCCTACCCTTCCGGACAGTCTTCAGCCTCTGGTCCTCCTCACCGATCGTCAATTGCAAGCAGCTATTCGAAACCTTTGGCGGTGAACACTTTTCAAAGAACCTCCACTGACAACTACTCCATTTCTCCTGCTACTGCGGCAGCATCAGCTTATGGAAATTACGCCAGTTCCCCTGTTTCAACAGTCTTATCTGAGTCGATTTCCCCCACATCAAATACTAGCAATGGAATGACAATTGCCAGCTCAACCGTTAGCTTGCCAGGGATTCCGGGTATGCATCAAGCACACCCTCAAGGCTATGCTCGAGCCCACAGCTTTTCTACCTCATATACCGGCTCCTGGCAACAATTACATACGCCGAGAATACATATGTCATCATTAGACTCTGGAATACACTCAGATTCCATGGTTCATCGCCCTGGGAATACCTACCAAGAACATGGTGGATCATTATCAGATGCATCATCTTATGATAGACATTCATCTTTAGCAAGTTCTGCCGGACAAGGTACTCAAAATGATGGAAGCTTTCAGTCTAGGTTGGCGTATCAAGGTATGTACTCCTAGCCCAGGGGAAGATAGCACTGACAATCCAATAGGACATTCACGACAACCCCAAAACGAAGTATATCCCCCATCCAGCCAAGCTGTATCTGAATCGCACGCCGGCTTTTCTCCGGCAAACTTTCGACAAGTACCTCCACTACAGACAGCCCATCTTCCTCCTCCACAAGAATACCAAATTTCGCCATTTACGCCGTCTTATAATTATGATTCCTTCTACCAATACGCACAAGAAAATACTTCTGCAGTTAGTTTGCCGGCCTCATTTATTCGATCAGAAACAAGTTACGATTCGCCTACGGGCTATCCTTATGACGGCGATATGGGTAAATTTGGGGCCTCGTACCCAGGAGATGCACGATGACACTTTTTTGCTTTGGTTGATGAAGCAGATTGCTATAATAGGACAATTATTGGCTTTTGCGGGTCAAAAGTACCTGTATTTTCGAAAGCATCTTTTACATTTTTAGCATTTTATTACCCTTTGTAGTTGTGCTTCGAGGCATGGCAAAATGGGGATCGATTCTTTTATATATCAACCTTGTATTTATATACCACATAATGTTTTTAATGATTTAGGCAGCGAGTTTGGGTCTTTTTGATGGGTAGCTAGCATGAGCAGGAATTCATACAAAATTACATATAGAAAATAGGAACCTGTGAAATCAATGCCGAAAATGACAGTCCATAAAACAGCCGCATTTCCACCTGTAACTCTCAGCATTGCACTAACCTGTCGGACTTCTGCGGTCGCTAGCAACCTCTGATGACATGATATGCCACAACAAGTCAAGCGGTTTTCGAGTTTCGAGGTTTGTAGGGTTGATATAGGTCCTTAGATTATCATGTTAGAGTTCAAGTGATATACAAGCAGTACATATATACATAAACATCATTGTCCTCTTGCAGTCATCTGCCTCGTATAAACTACAGCTTGTCTATCTGTCGTGGCTGGTAGAGTCAATTTAAAATACTCCGCGTCCAGAGCCAGGGACCATCTAACAGTAACTTCCAATTTCTAACGGAATAATAAAGAAAGAAGTAATATAACCTGGAACCCTTCTTTACTGTTTTACACTGTCCCTGTAGGATAGGTAGTTTAGGAGGTCTAGCTCTGAATGACCGCGCTTGAACCCTAACCGTAGGTTGTAGTTGCCATTTCACTTTCTCCCGGGTACATGAAGAAGGAGGCCCCAAGTCCACCTAAGTAAACTAGATAGCTGTTTCCGTATTGATGTAAGGCTAGAATGGAGGAAACTGCTCATGCATACCTATTTCCGCTTTCTTCCACCTTTTCCATTCGATGAATCCTCTCTTCGTTTGTTTCCTCGTTGTCTTTTGAGGTCAACATGCATTCTGACGAGTATCTTCATTACATGTCTCGATTGTTGTTTGAATCTTCTGGTTCAATTTGTCGACGGGTTTTTGTTAGCACAATTTGAGTCAGCACTCCTCAATAGGATGAGTTGAGATGAGAACAATGACCTCTCAGTTCTACAGGGCTTGCAATCGACTAGGCAACATCATCAAGGCAAGTGATTCAATGTTACCTTGTTACGCTCTGAGACTCTGGTCAATGATGAAACGACACCTCTGTTTGATGCTCAGCTTTTGCTGATTTGAATCCTTGCCTTTCAGTGTACCGAAGCCGAGCCCCCGAGCTCTTTGAACTCATCATCGAGGTATGTGGTTCTTTTTGGAACTTTTGACTGAGACTAGCACCTACTGCTGCAATTTGTCGCTTCCTCAGAAATACAGTGACACCATGATCGATGTCCGAAGCGCTACCATCCAAGACCATACTACCATCGAGTCCTCTGCACGCGAGCTCCGGACGTCAAACGTGAGAGCCAACAGGAATAGATGAGACAGCGGGGAATTCTAGCGGGAAGACTGTACAACCTCAGTAGTTGGCTTAGGCGTTGCACTATGTTAGACAGGCTCCGTGGCTCGACTAGGAAAGTGGAAAATATGAGGCTTCATATAGGTTGGAACTCGCCTTGGTTCGTGTCCATACGACTTGGTTGCTGTGCGAAGAGTGAAGGTAGTCACTTGTTGGAAGAAGAGAGGAAAGAGAAGAAATACGTGTTATCTAATTGTAATCTATTAGTCAGCCCAAGTCTCTGTATACCTGTTCCAAGCTTTTAAGGCATTCCTCTTCTGAACCATAGTTCGGCGATTCAGGAGAACGCTGCCGTGCTTGCCTGGCATGCTGCCTGCAGCCGGAGTTTAGGGCTTAGGGCATGACATGACAATGATTCAAAAAGGGGGTTGAAAAAGAAGAAGAAATTTAAAAAAAGGTTGACAGTAATCAGCATAGTTCTTATGTTCTTAAAAGAGTTAATAAATAGTAATAATAAGATCTATTATGATGAAATTCACAAATTAAAAAAAGATAAATAACAAATTTAAAACAAATGTTCTAGATGTAAACCCACAAGTTACTCTGAATACTGATTTCACACAACTCCAAAATAAGGTATTAGAGTAGTACTATAATGCAGTTCTAATATCTTATATCAAGTCACTTATACAAAATTTTTATGTTAGGCTTATATTTTTGTGGTGAAGAGCTTTAGGTATGGTGTGGGTATAGTGGCTACCTCTAAAACAGAAGCAGCCTAGTGCGACCCCTAGTGCATATATTGGTTTCGATAAAAGCATATACTTATTTAGACTAATAATTGGTATAATTTAGATTATATCATCGTGAAGGCATATATATGCATTTATACAAAATTTTCAAGTTAAATATAATAATCAAATTTAATCCACATAGAATCTATATAGTGTTTTCATCATTCCTTTATTCTCTATTCCAAGATTGACAGTTGAGAATTCCCTTAGAAATAGTCGCATGCTTCCAACTATCCCAGCGTCCAGATATTATGATATAGAATAGAAGCAATAAAGCTGTGGCTTAGAACCAGTATGTTTCTAATAGATAGGGGCAGTTCTCCGACGCTGGCCAATAAACATCGCAGTAATCATCATGGCGGGAAAATGCCGACGCTGGATCACTAAATCGCGCGAGAGCCTTGGGTGTCTGAAAGTCCTGAGGCTCTGCCTTCCGCTGGCTAGTTATTCTTCAACTTGGCAGACACTCTGTCTATCTTCAACTGCTTGTTGCATCGCCACCACCGCTGACTGGACGGAGTAAGCGTATGTACGTTCTAGTGCGTAAGGAAGCTTATTTATTGGCCAACACACGGCCTGCATGATACACCTGAACGGTGCCAATCACAACCGTATCTAGAATGTGATTCAGAGATAATAATTATTAACAGTGGTCAGCCTAAGTGCTGGCCAGGCAACTTCTTACGCCTGTCGCGAGGCTGAACTGTTCTCCGTATCAAAGCAAGACATCGCCGGTTCGAAAAAGTGCTTAAACACTACGCTTAAGGCATCATCAAGATGACGGCTGAGCGGCTTCTAGAAAAGTTTTTTGGTGAAAACAAGAATGGATCGGCAGCAAGCAAAGTGGAAGATCCTCCATCATACGAAGCACACCAGGATGGACGAGGACCCATTTATATCCTCCAAGAAAAAAGGAAGTTGAGAGGTAGATGATGGTTAGAACAGCAAGATATCAACCTGTATGCCATTAATAATAGCAATAAGGCTCATGACTAGATGACGTATAGGGGAATTCATAGGTCCTCGCTTTACAAGTACAATGTGAGGACCTGTGAAATTGATGGTGAAAATGACCACTACTGTTGCTGTTTACAGCCATTTCTGGTCCAGCACTGACTGACTGTATACTGTACAGCGTGATGGTTGCCTAGCCTGATTGTCAATCAAATTTTAAATTTTATACTCAAATTCCAATGCAGCAATCCTCGACCAGCTTCGAGACAGCAGCACTTCTGACTTGGCCATTATTTTAAATTTTACTATCTAGCTACAAACCTTGTATCCACCAGACCTATCACTGTTAGCGTATCCGTTCTACTATTGGTCTGCTTTAGGCACATTGCTTCTTGTCCCTGACATCTAGCCTTCTATATGAGGTATATGTTGCTTGGCATCTACATATCTCCCTTGAAAAATGTATGTTTAGTAACAGAACCCGTACTTGGCCTGGCAGAACAGTAATGCTTCACACATCAACCGACAGTTGTGAAGGGCTGCATCAAGGATCATCAATTTGGGTTCCTGAAAATGGTAACTCTGCTTTGTTATATAATTTCCTTTTTCGCACAAAAAAAGACAACAGCACCAGGGACGATCATGTACAGCGCAGTTTACTCGAGCAACTACGAGCTAATCTTACTGATATGCTCACAATTATCCGGCATTGACATTACTTGCTTGGCCTTGTGCTCCCATGTCTTATTGCTCGAGATCCGAACAGACTCGCTTCTATTCGCGAAGAAAGACAGCAGGAATCGAAAGGAACTCCTCACCAAGATTTCACAGGACAGTCCTTCGTTCTATTTCTATCAGGTCTCTTCCATGCTTCATCGATGGGAAAATGTGCCTATGCCGTGGTCGTCAAGCAGTCAAAGGTTCTTATCCTGCTATACTTGCGGTGATTCTGGTTACTTGGCAGTAACCTGCGAGTTAACGTATCCAAAACGTACATGAAGCCTCTCGAATATTCGAGAAACAATCTATAAATCAACGACCTATTCCAGACCCTCTTTAAATAGAGATTAGAAAATAAGATAAGTATATTTAAAGTGACTAATCACAATAAAGCCAAAGACAAGTATTAAACAATAAGAGTGAGTAGTGAATTCTATCCAGATAATTCAACCATAAGTTAGAATTTGACGTTTAGAATTAACGTCAGCGCCTTCACCAAGCACCTTTATCATATAGCAGCTTCACTATGGCCTCATAACCATTCTGAGCCGCTAATAACAGCGGAGTCTGTCCAGTAAGTGAATCTTTAACCTCGAGATTAGCGCCTTTATCGAGTAGCAGCTTCACTATGGCCTCATAACCATTCTGAGCCGCCAATAGCAGCGGCGTCTGTTTAGTAAGTGAATCTTTAGCCTCGAGATTAGCGCCTCTATCAAGCAGCAACTTCACTATAGTATCATGACCGTCCCAAGCCGCCCATAACAGTGGAGTCTTTCCAATAATTGAATCTTTAACCTCAATATCAGCACCTTTATCAAGTAGCAGCTTCACTATGATATCATGACCATTCTGAGCTGCGTGTAGCAGTGGAGTCAATCCATGTGGATCTTTATCCTCAATATCAGCGCCTTTATCAAGTAGCAGCTTCACCACAGCCTCATGACCGTTCCCAGCCGCGTGTAGTAGCGGAGTCCATCCATGTGGATCTTTAGCCTCAATATCAGCGCCTTTATCAAGTAGCACCCTCGCCACAGCCTCCTGACCGTCCCAAGCCGCCTGTGACAGAGCAGTCTGTCCATTTATATTTTCAGACTCGATATAATCGCCTCTATCAAGTAGCAGCTTCACAATGACCTCATAACCATTCTCAGCCGCCCATAGCAGCTGATTCCCTCCAGTAATTAGCTCTTTAGTGTCAAGATCAGCGCCTTTATCGAGTAGCAGCTTCGCCACTATCTCATGACCATTTCTGGCAGCTAACAAAAAAGGAGTTGACTGACATTTTGACCGGATATTGATCAGTAACTCATTTGTTCCTAAAAGTAATTGAACCACCTTAATATGCCCTTTATCAGCAGCATGATGTAATGGTGTATAGCCATTTTCATCTAGCAATTTAACATCGCAAAGATCCAACAGACTTTCAACCACAGTCTCATACCCAAGTCTTGATGCAATATGGAGGACGGGCAATCTTTCTTCAATAGATGGAAGATTGCAAATTTCCTGTACGTCTTGCCTCATATTTAGTACAATTGATAGAAGTGGTTGGTGCTGCCCCTTAACTGCCCATACTAAGAGTCCATGAAGGTAAGAACGCTGCGAACGACCGCTAGATTTCCAAGGATGAAAATTCCAAGTTTCACTAAATTGTAAGGCTAGCCGCTCAAACTTCCGCCAAGCTCTAGACTGCTGTGTAATATTTTTGGTATGTAGTGGCCAGTTCGAACTTGCATAGTCTAGAAATTTATACTGTAGAGTATCCGGTGGAACTTTGCGAATCATCTGAATTTTCAAAGGATATGAGGGTATTTTCTTTGAAGGTCGCCGTAAGAAGAATGTGCTGAGTAATGATGGTCCCACAGACTGCGCAGCAAGAGCCATAGGATTTAGGGAATCAGACACACATTCGTCGTGCTTCCCTAACTCAAGCCCAAAATTCGAGAAAGAGAGATAAGTAACACAAAGTTCTCCGCACTCGAGTTCTCCTTGTAAAGGGCTGGTAGGATATCCAGGGATTCTGCCAGCTATGTATTTCTCCAAAAACTGCTTCACAGAGGGGTGAGCAAAATATACGAAGTCATCATTTGAATCCACAACTGCAAGGTTTGAGCAGCATCCTGCAACAAATTCTCTCGAAGATATTTTCCCACTATCCCATATGGTATCGTGCAAGTCAAAGGCAATAGCTTCTCTCAGCTCCTCGATATGGAGTGGTCTGGCTGCGTAGCTGATCCACTTTAGAGTTCTGAGAGGACGGATATCCTGAGTATCCGTAACTCTTTTCATACAACGCTGGTATGTCTCATCTAATCCTCTCGGTAACTGTTCCAAGGCAGCTCGAATTTCATTGTCCGAGAAACATTCATCCCAGAGGATTTCTAACTGCAAGTATACCCAAAGAAACCTATAGAGTTAGCTTTTAGATTTTCTAAAGAAACTCAGAGGTATCATACATCCCAGTTGATTTTTCAAGAAGGTCTCTACTTAGTTCCTGTATTAATGGAGTACTATCTGTAAGTTTTCTGACCATCATCTTATCTTTGATTTTTGCCTTGATATAGATTTCAATGTCTGGTAAGTTGTTGTTATTTATTGAAATCTGGCGAATTCCTGGTATAAAACGAGTAAGGTCAATATATCCTGGAATTTGGTCTCTGCTGAGTAAGAGAATTTGCGATTGATGCCGTAGAACTGAGCCATAGAATAGTTGCTGAAAGCAATCTAGGATGATCTTGGCATCTCTTGAGTGGAGAGTATCAAATCCATCAACAATATAGGTTGTATCAGGCACATAATGGAAAAGATCTGTAAAAATCTCTTTCAGATCTTCAACGTCTGGCACCATTCTCCTTTGCCCAAAAAATTTCCTCAGAGCTTGCAAGGCAATATCTGGATATGGAGTAGATCGCAAATTCAAGAATTCACACAGCTGCTTGATAAAGCTAGAGAGGATAGATACTGCTGGCTGTCCATTATGCAGCCTCGGTCCATCCTCACAGAAATAAGAAACGGTAGGGCCAAGAGGAAGCTCAGAAGACCGACGCATCGCAACATCGATTACTGATGTTCTATTATTTTAGTTAGAACTTTTTCGGTTGTATTAGATTATTAAATAACGAACGCAATTATAGTTTTCCCAGAACCAACTAAACCGATCGACAGATTAGTGGGAGGCCAAAATTATAAATAGATAAGTTTGCTTACTTTTTCCAGAACACCAGAGAGCAGGAAAACTCTTGTCGGTGAACCACTCCTTGAAAGTTGGGTGATCCAAAAACCACTGGGTAGTTCCGATAACACGTTTGCTAGATAATCTTCGCTGAGTTCTCTCCGGATCATAGTTTGAAACTCGCTCCAGTAATTTTTCTAGCTCTATTCTACCATCTAGATGAAATTAACATCCTCTACCAAATGTGCTTGGACTTGCTGGCTTAAGAGTACATACCATTTTTTCCAAATTGTTGTAAATTTTGCTTGTGGTTACCGTGGTATATGCCATCTTATACCCATCCATTGTTAGGCATACTAAGCTTCATGCGTTGCTTAGTCAAAACTCACATTTTGTGACTGAGAGAGTAGCTCTGCTATCTGTGACACTTTTCTCGTGTATCACAGTGAGTAACTCTTTGGCATAAGCTGCTGCCGTTGCTGCAGCGTACCCTTGCCATTTTTTGTTTTTATGTGAATCTGCATAGTCACAAATTCCCCGAATGACAACACATGGGAAACTATCCATCAACCCTGCAGCTTCCATCTCCACACAATATACGCCGAGTTCTCGACTTAGGAAATCCCTAAGCCCACTGTCTTTGATTACCGAGTTCCCAGATGCAATCAGGCCATAGTGAATTGCTGGTTTGGCACGATTTGTAGGGATTCTTTGAACGGTCTTCGTATGGTCGCAGTGTTCGCATGTTTTTGAATCTCCAATGTGATGATAGTCAGCTTGATAAAGTCGGTCTTCTTGTTGGGGACAAGCAAAATTTTCGGCTCTTTGTCCAAGTTTCTTCTCCATTTCAGAAAGGAAATTTGGTATTTGGCTTTCCTCTGTTAGATGGTTTGACTGAAGTTTAGTAAGCGCATTAAGGAGAAGCGCAGGCGGCTGATTTAACATGCCAGTCCGTTCAAAGTGGCGATTGAGAGCTTTCCCATAGTCATACCGCACCACACCGCCATATGATCCTGTTGGTTTACTGACCACAATATCACCAAGTCGAATATCTGCATCCTTATTCGGAACCCCTCCTCCAATACCGACCATCAGGCCAAATCGAATGGACGGAAATCCGGCTATGAGCTGCATTGCCACCACTGTTGCAGATGTATTGCCATATTTTCCATTTGGCAAGCCAGCAATAACAACGTTATGTTTTCGAATCCTCCCCAGAGTATACACATTATTATCGTGGGGCAAAGCGGGCAAATCCTCGTGCACTTCGTCTAACATGACCTTAGCAGCGGCCATCTCAACTGGTAGAGCACAGATCCATGCGACAGTGTAGTCATCATAGGAGAGTTTCAGATTACGGGTGCTTGTCATCTTGACGCCGAGATGGAATTTTGCTGATCACATTTATTCACATAACTCCTTGTCAAGTCTTCGCCTTTTTAGTGGTTGTCGTTGTCGATCGAGTCACTGCGAGCTGAATCTGGAGAGGCACATTCGCGAGTGAGGGGAAAATGGCGGCAAGGCTGAAATGAATCATGTTACCTTCTGCCCGAAGTTGACATGACTTAACACATAACGTTCCATTATCATATTCTCTGGACTTGAGGCGCCTATGCTAGGGTAATAGAGAGCAGCCATCTCATCCTTGAACCATCTACACGTAAATGTACTCCACATTGCTGTTATAGTCCCAAACCCTCAAAAGCCACAAAAAGCTGGTGTACCTTAAAATGGACCATGACGTAGTTAGCTGCAACTGCCAATTATTTTAATTGCCAACATGCTTTTGATTTCCAATCGATTTGATTGGACAATGTGGAGTAGTTGTAGCCAATCAAAAAGTATGCATTGCCAATAGCCCCCTGTGGAGCCAATCAGACGCGAGGCATTGCTAATCCGGCGATGGCTGGGCCTGGTATGCCTGTCAGGAATGCGGAGTATAAGTTGAGCCGCTCATCCTGAGGAATCTACAACACAATTTCAAATATAATAATCTTCAATTCTCGAGAAGACGGAACGAATATAATTTCCTATTAAGCACCGTCATCCGTCTTGGAAACATTCAACTACATATCACCTGATATTCAACTTGCCAACACCAAGACCATCACCATGACTCGCCCCTCTACCTGCTGTGGTCGCTCTGATGATGCCGGCTGCGTCTGCGCCGCTCAAGCCAAATGCGAGTGTGGCAAGACATCAGCAAGTGCCTGCGACTGTGGCAAGGCTGCCGAACAGGCCAGCGGTCCACGTTGCTCATGCAGTACGTCCTTCTATTTATCAATACATCAATCTATGTGTCGCAGTAGCTAATATATAAATAGGAATGCGCCCCGCTGGACACTGCACCTGTGAGCGCTCAGTCACAGAGAACCAGGCTGTGAAAGGCGACGCGTGCCCATGTGGACAGAGACCAGCTGGTGAGTTCTACCTAAAATGATTAACATCTACCGATGCAGTGTGGATCAATTTCGCTGACTATTAGCAGAATCGTGCACATGCGAAAAAGCTGATGCAGTGGACAAGGCTTACGAGGAAATAGACTTTACTTCCAAGTCTGCTCGGTGATTTGGGTATTGTGCAGCAGAATCTATTACTACTCTGTATATTATGCATTGTTGGCAAGGGCCTGGGAGTTAAGCGTTTTACTTGGGGATTACTGTTTGTTTTTAAGAACCATACGGGGGGTTTCTAGGAGTGAATTTGAGTTGCTAAAAGCAATCTTGAGCTGTCGAATAATGTGACATGAGTAAAACATTTGAAAATTCAACCTCATAGGCTTGATCTGCTTCGTCCAAATCGTTGACTCAGTCTGAACAATCACAAATGATAGTAACCCTAAGGGTACGATTAGAGAGCAGGAACATAGGTAAAAGTCACGTGCACGGTAACAAGTTGTTCCTCATCCGTGGGACATGCGCCAAGCCGCAGGAACATCGGGCTGCACTAAACTCCGGGCAGTCGAGCTGTCAGGTCGAGCGAGATCCATCACGAGAAAAGACGAGCAAATCTGCAGCAAGCCCTTCGAATTATCTGCGGCTCACATCGGAACAGCTTGGAAAGATTCTCGCCGTACCCTTTGTCCACGCTATGCTCAGAATTGCCCGATTTTGGAAATGATCTGTTGTTGACGTTGTAATTCATAGCATAGCATAATCGACCCCCTGGAACGGTCAACCGTGTTTTTGTGCTTCTCTCGATTCTTCCCCGCGCAATGTCAAATTCGCTGCATTCCGGATGAAAAAGTCATGATTATGTTGGATGACTAATTTGTTTTATACTTTGAAGAAAAGCAATACTCGCGGCTCCTACCACCCCGCACACCGCATTCATTTTATACTATCGAAAAGAAAACGCCGAGCCGGACTCTATAATTTATACAAGCAGTCACAATGTCGTCGATGCGAGGTCTAGTCCAATTTATCGCCGATTTGCGAAATGCCAGAGCAAGAGAACTCGAAGAAAAACGCATCAACAAAGAATTAGCCAATATTCGACAAAAGTTCAAGGACGGAAGCTTGAATGGGTATCAGAGGAAGAAATATGTCTGCAAATTGTTATATGTCTACATTCAGGGATACGATGTGGACTTTGGCCATTTAGAAGCTGTCAATTTGATTTCGGCAAAGAATTACTCGGAAAAGCAGATTGGTTATCTAGCAGTTACTCTGTTCCTTCATGAACAGCATGAGTTGCTCCATCTTCTTGTCAACAGTATCCGCAAGGACTTGATGAGTATGAACGAGCTCAATAACTGTCTGGCTTTGCATGCGATCGCTACTGTTGGTGGACGAGAAATGGGAGAGGCTTTGAGCTCGGATGTTCATAGGCTTCTTATTTCTCCGTATGTTGATGTCGTCACTCCACTAGCTACTTTTACTGACTACTGGCAGAACGTCCAAATCGTTTGTGAAAAAGAAGGCCGCGTTGACTCTTCTCCGACTCTATCGAAAACACCCTAGCATTGTTCAGCAGGAATGGGCCGAGCGTATTATATCGCTGATGGATGATCCGGATATTGGAGTGACCTTGTCTGTCACCTCGCTCGTTATGGCTTTAGTGCAGGAGAACCCCGAACAATACCGAGGAAGCTATGTCAAAGCTGCGCAACGATTGAAGAGGATCGTGGTCGATGGTGACGTCTCGGCTGATTATTTGTACTATCGGGTTCCCTGTCCGTGGCTTCAAGTAAAGCTGATACGGCTGCTTCAGTACTACCCGCCGTCTGGTATGTTTTGGTTTATTTTGCGATTTAATGGAATCTAACTGCGTCTAGAGGATACTCATGTTCGAGAATTGATTCGACAGTCTTTGGAGCAAGTTATGAACCAGGCTATGGACACGCCAAAAAATGTGCAGCAGAATAACGCGCAAAACGCGGTCTTGTTTGAGGCGATTAATCTACTAATACATTTGGATACCGAACATGCTTTGATGCTGCAAATATCTTCACGACTTGGAAAATTTATCCAATCACGCGAGACCAATGTCCGCTATCTCGGGTTAGAAGCCATGACCCATTTTGCTGCTCGCGCCGAAACTTTGGATCCTATTAAAAAGCACCAGCCATTCATCCTAGGATCGCTGAGAGATCGTGACATCAGCGTTCGACGAAAGGGGCTGGATCTCCTTTATAGCATGTGCGACGTGACCAATGCCCGACCTATTGTTGCCGAGCTACTCGCCTACTTGCAGTCGGCCGACTTTGCTATTCGGGAAGAAATGGTTCTCAAAGTCGCTATTTTAGCGGAAAAGTACGCTACAGATGCGCAGTGGTACATTGACACATCTTTGAAGCTCATTTCACTGGCCGGTGAACATGTGAGCGACGAGGTGTGGCAGCGAGTTATCCAGATCGTCACGAATAACGAAGAACTGCAGGCCTACGCGGCCGATCATCTCTTGAAATACCTCAAGGGAGACTGCCACGACAGTCTCATAAAGATTGGAAGCTATGTGCTGGGCGAATTTGGCCACTTGATCGCCGATAACGAAGGCTCTAGCCCGATTGAGCAATTCCTGGCTCTCCAACCAAAAATGTTCACATGTTCTGATAATACCCGCGCCATGATTCTTTCGTCGTTCATTAAGTTTGTGAATCTTTTCCCTGAAATCAAGCCCCAGCTATTACAGATGTTCCGGCTGTATAGCCATTCTCCAGATCCCGAATTGCAGCAGAGAGCCTTTGAGTATATGAAACTGGCTAGCATGCCATCGGACGATCTCCTTCGAACGGTGTGTGATGAGATGCCGCCATTCTCAGAGAGAGCTAGTGTGTTGTTGTCGCGTCTACACCAACGGACGGCTGGTACTAGTGATAAGCGGACGTGGGTCGTGGGAGGAAAGGATGCCAATACAGATAAACAAGAAGTCTTGATGGCCCAAACGACAGGACTGAAGCGCACATTCACGACGATTGTCAATGGCGGACGTAACGGCACCAACGGGTCAGCCGGGCCAGCCAAACGGGGAGCCTCGAATGACCTTGCCGGACTTGACATGTCTCCTACAGATACACCCGCACCGGCACCCAACCTAGCCAGCGCTGCTCACTTGAGCCCAGACTGGGAATTCGGATTCAACCGGCTGTACTACGCGGACGAAGGCGTGTTGTTCGAAGATGCACAGATCCAGGTTGGACTGCGCTCAGAGTATCGAGCGCATCTTGGTGTAGTCAAAATCTACTTCACGAACAAAGCGTCTTTCCCCATCGGCTCATTCACGACGACGCTCGACAACCGAGCAGCGCCGAATTTGAAGATTGACACCAAAAACCTACCGGAATCATCCATAGGGCCGTCAGCACAGACCCACCAGACATTATTCTTCGAAGCCTACGGCCCGTTCTCAGACGCCCCGACGATCCGCATTTCCTATCTCGCCGGGGCATTGCAGGCTTATACGCTGCAGCTGCCGATTCTGATGCACCGGTACATGGATCCATCGGAGCTAACTGTCGAAGACTTTTTCAAGCGATGGAGACAAATCGGCGGATCGCCATTAGAAGCGCAAAAGACGTTTGGGGTGAGCGGGAAGGGCCGCGTGATCAGCGAGAAGTTTACGAAGAACACAGTGGCAGGATTCCGATGGAGAGTTCTCTCTGGTGTTGACCCCAACCCGCATAACATTGTCGGATGTGCGGTCTACCAAGTCGAAAATGGCAAGACGGGTTGTTTGCTTCGGTTAGAGCCGAATTACGAGAAGAATGTAAGCCCCTCTTTTTCCTCAAAAGCAGCTTTTCTTTCTCTAAGTTTAAAATAATTCAATAACTAACGTTGATAGATGTACCGCTTGACGATCCGGGCAACGCAAGAACAAGTGCCGCAGATTCTAGTTCGCCAGATGGAGCAGAAGCTGTCGCAGGGGGTCAGCATTGACGGCGACCGATGATACACTTATACTGTCATTGTATACGCTGTATCCGAGTTGTATAGTTACGCAGGCTCTAATTGTTGGTTGAATACATGTACATATTTTATCATATTATCATTCTAGGAGATGCTCGCTAATGAATCAACACTGCTCCTGGATATAACACCCCTTGCCAATGCATATCTTACACCTAACATAAACCATAGCCCATAAACTATGCAGTATTATCAGGCGACAACCGTCTTCAACTCGGCCTTGGACGGCCTCTCTCCAAAAATGGTCGTGCCAACACGCACCTGATCACTGCCCAGAGCAATAGCGCCCTCGAAATCCGAACTCATCCCCATACTCAACTCCAACTCCTCCAAGCCCAACTCCCTGACCACCGTCTCCCTGGTCTCACGCAGCCTCACAAAATCCTCATTCTCCTCCCCTTCTTTTGTTGCGGTTGACCTCGCAATCGCCCCTATTGTCATAAGACCCTGCAACCTCAACGCGCCACACTCCTCCCTAACAAACCTACACAACTCCACCGCATCCCGCATCTCAACACCCGCTTTATTTCCTTCTCCGGATGTATTCACCTGCACAAACACTCTTAACCTCTCCTCCACCCCTTCCCTATCCGTCCTCTCGCGCCATCCGCGATCTAGTAACGACGCCTTTTTGCGTGTATCCACGCTCTCAACGGCCCACAGTGCGCGCACGTCCCGCGCCAACGTCACGCATTTGTTGGACTGTAGGCCGCCGATGAAATGCCAGTGGATGGTGGGCGGTAATTCGCGGGATTTGGAAAGTAGTTCTTGTAGGTAGTTCTCGCCAAAGTGGGATTGTGTGGAGGACGTGTGGAGGGCGAGGATGTCCGAGGCGGGTTTCAGTTTGGACACGGCGACAAGCCGCACCGGTGGGAGAGATGAAGAGCGGGAGAGGGTGGATGAGGCGGCGGTGATACGGGACGAGACATTGGTGAGGTTGGACAAGAGTGTTGCTGTGCGTGAGGCTGAGGCGGGCATGGTGAGGGGTGCTGCTGGTGGTGGTGGTACTGGCTCGGAGGCCATTTCTTTTTTTTTTTTTTTCCTCCTCTCTTGTTTTTCGAATAGAATTGTAGAATGTAGATGAAGTGAGTAGTGTTATTGGCTGGCGCAGTGGGTAAGTATGGACTAGACCTGTACAACAGATGATCAGTCTACAATGAGCATGGAATAATATTCAATTATTGGTGGGATGCAGGAATATTCGCCTTGAGGCCTGAGATTGGTCGGTTCCTCAGGCAGCAAGGCACGCACCAGACAATTTACCGCCCCGATCGGCTTCCGCTTGTCTGCAGGATTATTCTTCCCATGTTATAAGTTATAAATAACACACGTCTGTTTCACTGTTTGCTGTTTCATATTTCGTATGGTTCGTGAGAGCGACAGAGATATATATTCAGCCATTGGACCACACTGATTCTCGACTGAAGCCTGAAAAGCATCCTCCTCCTACTACTATTACTACTACTACTACTACTAATAGTACAGCTAATAATATCCGCCAAAGCTCACCGTTCACTCACCGCTCATATCCACCTGCCAGCCACACTTGAAACGGCGTCGGCGCGTAGCCAAACGAGAGTGAGCACAGCGAAACTCGGCGCCGTCTGACATCACTTATCTCTATTTTCGTATTCACTTATTATTTCTGAAGGAGATTCATGCTGATTTACTACTATCAATGATAGACATTACTATCAGTTGGAAGTGGACACACCATGACTTCATACAGTACCCGCACATCCGATCAGTCTTTAGCCAGTTAGCCCCGATTCGGCCATGCGTAAAGACTAAACGTAAAGGCTAAAAGCAAGCTCAAAGCGACGCGATGATCGGGCCGGACGTGCAGTCCATGCAGTCCACGCAATCCCGATCTTCCTAAACAGCTCTACGCCTACGCTTCGTCAGCCAGGTCAAACGGAAGGGGGTCAAAGCTGCGTTCCGGAAGCACCGGAGGGAATTTGACGCTTCTGCTGTACAGTTCATGCTAAATTATTAATGATTACGCCCATTTGCTACAAGAGGTTCGCTGCCGTTTTGGCTTGGTCACCTGGGGGTTCGTCGATGTTGACGTCGTCTCGGTGACTGATCATGGAAAAGGGCTTCCCTGTCGTACATACAATTTACCCACACAGCAAGGAAGCACAACGCCAAGCGATCTCCGTGGCAAAAATCATGATTTTATGTAATATGCAAAGTTCTAGCCTCGCCCGGATTAGAATAGGAAACGACGTTTCCGGCGCCTGCAGCGATCCAGTGATCAACGGTGCTGCAGATGCACAACTTCTGACTGGGTGAGAGTGGACGCTGCAGGTTGTTTCGAGCAGAGCATTTGGCTGCCCGGATCTCCACTCCCGAGTGGCTCCTTTTTTTCCTTTTCGGTAGGTCGTACGGAAGTCTAGGCAGGATGAAGTCATGGCGCGATCGATCCACTCGAGGAGGGAGTAGTACGGAGTAACTAGTTCTCTTGATAATTCCACATACACGATACTGCCGTACAGCCCATCTGGTCCAGCGCCAGTCCAGCGCCAATGCAGCGCCTAAATTGATCCAATCCTGATCTAGGTTGTATGTTCCGTGAGGCGTGCGGTCAATGACGAGACTGTCCCCATAATTATCTACGTAGTTGCTCTTAAATATAGAGGATTCTCCCCGGTTTTCTCTCTCTCTCTCTATCTCCAACTTCCAACTTCCAACTTCAAGTTGCTCCCGCTCCCTTACCGACTTATCACCTTTCACGTACATACCGGACCGGCCGGAGTTAGGCCATTTCCTCACCCTCTTCATCCGACTCACTCAAAAAGACCACGGTCTTCCTTCTGGTAAGGGGAGCGTTGGATACATTTTCTACTGGACATAATAAACAAAAAACCGTCGCGTTCGATACAGCAGACAATTATCCAAACTACTACCACCACTACTACTACTGCTACTTCTTCTATTATCCAATTGCGCAATTCGAAAAGAAATACAGAGTTACACATACAATTCCAACCGACGTCACATCCGCTGCGCCTCAACTCTAAATTCTCAATTCGGAAAATCGGCTCAAATCAACTCAAATCATCCGGGTTTTCCGTTTTCGGAAATATCCAGTCTATACAACCACCCGCACCCCACTCACGTGGTCACATTCCACATACCAACAGAAAAAACATTATATTATATTAGAGAACAAAAATGTGCCGCTCCTCTCTCGCTCTCTACACCTGGTGCCACTGCCAAGAAGCCCTGCTCACCGAACCCTGCCACTCAGGCCGCATCTCACCGAGCGGGAGCTGCGACTCTGTGGCCGCCAGCGAAACAGTGCGACTGCACTGTTACTGCCGGTACCACGCCGAAAAGGGGTTTCTGAGCGCCCATAAAGAGAATAAAAAGGTGAAAAAGGCAGAAAAAAAGGAAAAGAGGCGCTCGATGGGTGCTGCCAGTACGGCGAGCAGTGTCGAGAGCTTTGCGTCTGATAGCAGTAGTACTTCTTCCACGAGTAAACCGTGGTCGCCGGGCCATCGGCTGCGGAAGAGTTGGGCGAGTTTACGGAGATTAAGTTTTGAGCGGTGATTTAGATATAGTTTCCTTTGTCCTTTTTTCCCTCTCTCTCTCTTTCTGCTGACGATGTTACGATTGTTGGCGTCCGGTCTTTCGGTTCATATTCATATGTTTGGTGGTAGGGTTGTTAAGGCGTTTATGCATGTGAGGAGTATTTACGGTTGGTTAGAATATTTAAGTTTCAAGGACGAACTAGACAACATTGTTTGATAATCAATCCATATTGATATATAATACTAGCCTAATCTTTTATATAGTTATATGACTGGTTGTATAGTTAATTAACTAACTAATTAATAGTTGTTGTGAGTGGAGCACCACTAGCAAGCCAGCCAGTCAACACACGCGTCCTGCCGGGCAACTAAATTATATCCAAATAAAAATAAATACTCAACACCACAACTCCAACTATCCACTACATATGCGCATGTCAACTGCTTCATGTGCTCTTCGGCTGAGTGTCACTGATTACATATGTAATATGATATAAATCTGAGCATGGCAGACCCCCCTTACAATATGTCCTCCGATCTGGCCGACGACTTTCATCGCCTGGCGATAGCTGCACCACGCTCAATCAGCCCTCTTCCCCCTCCCTCGCCAACGCCAGAGCGCCGCTCGCCCAGCCGTGTCTCTGAGCGCATACGCAATGCCTCAACTCCCGTCTCCAAGACGCCTGCGCTGCGCAAAACACACAGCACTGTGTCCCTGCGAAAAACACCCAGTACCGCCTCCTTGCGCGACGAACGGCGCCTGTCGACTCCTGGCCTACAGAAACGAGCATCCACGACATCTCTCCGATCGGCGAGTATGAGTCGCGATGCCCATCCCAGCTTGTCGCGGCGCTCCTCCCACAATCTGCTCGGAGCCATGTACTCGCCGCTCGAAACACCGCTCGAGGCCGCGCCCACCGCGTCCTCCATTGCCACCGACCATTTCCAGTCCGAGCTGCGCCTGCATGAAACCGTGGACCTGCAATCCAAAACTGTCGTGATCATCCAAGACGCCTGCTACGGCCATCGCTACTCGCGCCCCTACACTAGCAGAGACGGCCTCGCAACGATTGTCGAGCGTCCAGAGCGGCTCCGTGCGAGTGTCCTCGGGGTGTCTACCGCGTATATCCGGGTTGGGAAAAGACATGCGGGCTCGTTGTTTGCGCCTCGTCCTGATCTCGACCTTAATATCCTCCCGCCACCGCCTTTCCAGATTCGCAAGTCCAGCAGGGCTGTGCCATTGAACTCGGCTGCAGTTACCTACGTTCATGGCGACAAGTGGATGGGCGATTTGAAGAGTATGTGTGATGCCGCGGAATCGCGCTTGGAATTGAATGGAAGAGAGATCGTGCGACCCCGGAGCGCAGGGCGGAAAGACAACGGCGAGAAACCCCTCCATGACGGGGATCTGTATCTCTGCCCAGAGTCTCTGGACGCTTTTCAAGGCGCTCTAGGGGGTGTGTGCGATGCAGTTGATACTGTGCTGACCCAAGGCGCAACAAAACGAGCATTTGTTTGTGTTCGACCGCCTGGACACCATTGCGCCTCTGTCGACCCGTCCGGATTCTGCTGGCTCAATAACGTGCATGTCGGGATCGCGCATGCTGCCATGACCCATGGCTTGACGCATGCGGCGATTATCGATTTCGATCTTCATCATGGCGATGGTTCTCAGGAAATTGTCTATAAGCAGAATGAACAAGCGTGGAATCTGCACCAGCGAGGCGGCGCAACGGCTAGAAATGCTGCTCCGTGCAAGAAGACGGCTATTGGGTATTATAGTCTGCATGATATCAACTCTTTCCCCTGCGAGAACGGCGAGGCTGACAAGATCGTTAATGCGAGCGTCTGTATTGACAATGCTCATGGACAATCGATCTGGAATGTGCATCTCGAGCCGTGGAAAACGCACGACGAGTTTTGGAAACTCTATCACAACAAATACGCCATTCTGCTGGATAAAGCGCGCAATTTTCTGCGCTTCCATACGCAGCGACTGGAAGCAACTGAGGGTACCCCCAAAGCTGCGATCTTTGTCTCGGCGGGCTTCGATGCTAGTGAATTCGAAGGCGCCGGCATGCAGAGACACAAGGTCAATGTGCCCACTGACTTTTATGCCCGCTTCACCGCAGACATCGTGCGACTCGCCGAAGAAGAAGGCCTGGGGACTGACGGCCGGATCATCAGTGTTCTGGAAGGCGGCTACAGCAACCGCGCACTGTCCAGCGGCGTTCTGAGCCATCTCTCTGCTCTTGCAGATAACAACATATCCACCACTACACCGCAAAGCCGCCTAGCATTGGAAATGAGCGGACGTCTGGGATTGGGCAGCGGATTAGGTAGCGGATTGGGCAGTGGATTTGGCAATGGATTGGGCAATGGCGATGCTGAGTTCAAGTCTGTTCCGGCCTTCGAGACCGACTGGTGGGCTACGAATCTGCTCGAAGAACTGGAAACCCTAGCATTTCCTCCACCGCCGCCTATTAAAAAACCCCAGAAGTCAGCTCCAACCTACTTCTCGCCCACCCAGGCGTCGACTGCCAAGGTGGTGAAAGAGCGCAAGCTGTCGGCCACATCCACAACCGACGGACATTCATCTGAACCACTACCTGAGGTCGACTGGGCTACGTCGGCATATGAACTGTGGAAATGCCTTCTCCCGAATGATCGCGAGACGACGAGTTTCCAATTCGAAGATCTCAAAGCAAGAGCCGCTCTAGCCAAGAAGAAGAAAACCTCCCCACCTACTCCTACCACGCCGTCTGGAGCGCGCATGCAGCTTCGCGCGCGAGCAACCAAAACAACTTCTCCCGAAACGCCCTCTGGAGATAAAGCCTCAATCTCAACTCCACGCCGCGTGAGCTCGCGCAGCACCAGCAGCCACAACAACAACAGTCGTCGAACCACCATCGGCACAGCAAGCGACTTATCCGAGCCTCCCAAATCATCCTCGTCCTCATCCACCAGAGATGCACGAAGAAGGCAAAGCGCCACTGGCACAGTCTTGGATGCCGCAGCAGGAGGCAGCAAAACGCAATCGCAACCACAAACGCAAACACCCACGCGAGCTAGTTCCAGTTCTCAACCTCCGAGCCAGAGCCCTGCTAGCGCTGTCGCTGGCAGGAAGATGCGAGTATCAGCCGGGTCCCGAACTTCGACGCCGAAACGCGCCGTTAATGCAGAGAGAGTTCCGCCGTTGCCAAAGGTGCCGTCTCTATATATGAATACGGACACGAACATGAACACATCTAGCAAGTCCTCGCAAGGGCAAGGCGTGGCGGATTCGTCGAGTGGTGATGTGGATACAGTAGACGATGTTTCAGCTGGCGTGAAGAAGTTGAGTATCAAACTAAAAGTCCCGTCGCCAGAGGAGAATTCCCGGCGGGAAAAGAAGGCCCCGAGCGGTCCCGAGCAGAAAAAGAAACTAGCTACAAGTAAAAAGACTGAACTGGCAAAACCGTCTTTTGCAAAAATAAACCGCGGCGTTGCCATCGCCCCGAAGACTGCAGCAGAGAAGACTCAACCCCAACCACAACCCCAATTTCAATCTCAATCTCAATCTCAATCTCAACTTCCTACGAAACCCCGGAATGAAAGCGAATACGAAATCCCCATCAAAATCGACATCCCCTCGGAGCCCGTCCACTTGCAGACCAGTGTCCCTGATCATAGCAAGAGCAATGGCAGTGGACTCGGCTCCTATCAAGGCTTCTCTACTGCGCCGACCACCCAGTCCTCGCATTTCCAGCTGCCCATGTCCCCCGTCTCCCCGCTCGGGTTTCCATCTCCTGCACCTCCTGAGATGGTTTCTGCTCAGTCGACGCGCGACAATCTGCCGGTTTTTACCTCGACGAGCGCGATTCCGTTTGCGCCGGTGCCTGTGAATGTTTCTGAGAGGCAGGGTTACCACCAGCCAGGTTATCAGCAGGGCCCTTTTCTACAGCAGGCGGGCGTGTATAACCCTGCGCTTCAGAACCCACCTCAACCACAACCACAACCACAAAATCAAAATCAAAATCAAAATCACGAGGCTGCTGAATGATTTATTAATGAATATTATCGGTGTTATTCCATGCTGCTACGCTATGCTATGTTTGAGTTATTTCTTTAACTGGTTTGTTGAGTTATATCTATCGTGATATCCCTGTTGTCTGTCTGTCTGGTCTATGTATACCCTCTTGAGCGTTCTGTTTCAGTAAAGGAAATGGACTGTCAGGAGTTGGGAGTAATGGGTCGTGGCTACTGATGTTACTGTACGTTTTGATTCGACTGGACGGTGGGTAGTTATTGTCTTAATTACATGCGATTGTTTGCATATATCTATATCGTAGCGTACACATAATCCACAACCGAGTTGTCTCTGCATTCAGCTACTTTGACGAGGCTTCTAGATTTACCCCTTCATTATGTTTAAGAATGTTATATTTACTATATAAAATAAAATAATTTTTATTTTATTTATATATCTTTCTTTAAAATAATCCTACCATCATTTCTTATCTAATTATAGCATTGCATTATATTAACTTAATAATTCTATAGACTATTATTACCTAATTTGGCAGAACACTAAACCTGTTTAGGCTAGTTGAATTCATAACAGCAGTAAGTGGTTCACAACGGCGAGCAACAAGATCGATTCGCTCAGAATATCCCCCGTTGAACTAATTTCACAAGCCAGTCATTCAATAAGCGCTCGTTAAAAAAAGTACCGTCTAAGTATCATTGGCTGGTTTATCGCCTGCGCTAACAGTTGAAATGCTAATCATCAACTAACTGCCCAAGACAACCATGGTTAAGCCCATGCAGGCGGCATTAGAGGTAATGGTTCGGCGCCTGTAGATATCCCGCAGCACTCGGTGTTCGACAGTCAAGATGTTAGCTAATAAGTACCAAATTAATTACCCTCACAAATGAGGGGGAGGTTTTCAGCCAACATAAGACGTTCTAATTTAATTTCAATCTCCACCTCTAGTAGCCAATCGCTTAGGAGTATTGTCACGTGACACAGACGGAGTGGACCTGGTCGGAGTATTATAGGCCCTAATATGAGCTCCTCCACGCCATCGTCGGCATGCACTAACCATATCCACAGCTTCCTTACTCGCGCTGTTCCTCTTCTATAAATTCGAGCTGGAGCTCTCTTCTCTTCCTGCAAACGGCTCCTTCTCAGGGTCTTTGCAGAACTTACAGGATTGGGTTAAGATGGTCAACCTTCGTACCTTTACTTCTCTCATATATTTGACGCAAGTCGCCTTTCTAGGAGGCAATGCGCAAACTAATAGTTCCCAGCTGAAGGACATTGTTCCAAAGCGCGAGGTTCTCTACGTTGGCGGACGGTACATGAACATCACGGTAAAAGTTCTCGATTCTCCCACTAGATTTTACGCGTATCTAAGGACTGGGAAATCAGGACAATGCAGTCAATTCTACATCACTGGCTATGATAGAGCAAATCTACGTTGAGAAGCTTTCCCCTAACCCAGCCCCGGTGAATCCACCACTTCCCATTATCTTCATTGCAGGCGCGGCTCAGACCGGCACCAATTTCCTGGATACTCCAGACGGACGGCCGGGATGGGCATCCTATTTTATTTCCAAAGGTCACACAGTCTACCTCTCAGACCAGCCTGCACGCGGCCGCTCCTTTTGGTTTCCCGGACAGGGAAGTATCGGGTATATTGGCTCCCCCGATGAGGTCTCGGATATCTTCACCGACGTACAAAACAACGGCAACCAATGGCCGCAGGCGAAGCTTCATACTCAATGGCCCGGCACCGGCCGCATTGGCGACCCAACTTTCGACGCCTTCTACAGGAGCCAGATGCAGTTCCAAACTGACCGCTTCATAAGCGAAGAACAAAATGCGCAGGCATATTCAGCTCTAGTAGACCTCGTAGGCGAGTGTTATATCATCAGCCACTCGCAGGCGGGTGCATACGGTATCTTCCGCCACAACCCCACCCAAAAACCTGACTCGTTGAAGTGGTTAACGATTTGAGTAGGCTGGAGGGTCGGAGACATGCGCTCAGGCCTTGTCAAGGGAATTGTCCAGCTCGAACCGTCTGGTCCACCGTTCACGCTCCGCCCACCGTTTGGAGATGGCCCGGCCTTCGCTTTCGGCCTCACTGACCTCCCCATCCGATACAAGCCGTCCGCAGGCAAGAATGCCGAAAACATTCGAACAATCATCGAGCCAGCAATCGACGCCGATCACGACGAGTGCATCATGCAAAAGTCCCCGGCGAAGCAGTTGACGAACCTGGGCAAAATCCCAGAACTTGTGGTTACTGGCGAAGCATCGTTCCATGCGCCATACGATTACTGCACTGTCAAGTATCTGAAGCAAGTTGGTGTAGATGTAGAGTATGCGGATCTAGGCAAGGAGGGCATTCATGGCAACGGACACATGTTCTTCATGGAAAAGAACAACCTTGAGATCGCAGACCGGGTGTACCAGTGGCTGCAAAAGCACTGATTAATAATATAGAATCAATGGACTCACTGCATATTACATGGTACCTGCATTTTTAATGTAGGTACTTAACCTCACAAAATCCTTGCAGAGTTCCCGTGTCAGTTCTGCCACTGCACACGCTGATTGGACGCCCGATACGCGGATAGTTTCCACGGTTCCGTGCCGCTCTTAGCGCCGTCTAATCGGCTGTCAATGTGACAGCCGTGCCATACAAGGGTAGGCTACTCAAAAAGAGGTAAGCCGCATGCGGAAAGGAGTGCTGTATTGTACGAGACCTAAGCTAGGAAAGGAAAGAGGGTGCGAGAGAGCTCAAGGATCTACACTTCTAGAAGTGGTGAAACACGGCAATATCCCCCTCAAGGTCCGGCAGAAGCCGCAATTTGTCTAGAGCGGTGAAGAAAGCGGTAGCTGTAGTTTAGATGTGCAGCCCCCAGCTGCTCTCGTCGTCTCCCAGTGCGTCTCTACGCGCATCTATCATTCAATGTCTTTGCGTATCTATGATATAAAACGCGTGTGTCCTCGCCCACTCACCCACTAGCACGACCTCCGTTGTGCGCAACCTCGCATGTGCCGTCTCCCGAACAGGCGCCTATTCTATCCGCCATGGCTGGCCCGAGCCCGGGTTCGCCAGAGTATCTCGCCGAGACGAATGATCCCGGTCTGGACCAGCGCGTCTGCATCGCGTTCATTGTGATTGATACGATTTTCCTGCTGGTGTTCTACGTGAGCCGGTATTTCAACCCCAAGGCCGTGGGAGTGCCCATGGTGGTGTGTAATACACTATGCTATGTGCTTTGTATGGGGAGTGCGGCGACGGGAATCCGTGAGTCTTTCCCCTCTTGTATTCTTGCATTGGATGTGGGCTTTAGAAGGACGATTTGAGAATACGAATGAGATGGAAGCATTGAGCATTTCCCAATGCTTGAGGGAAAAAAAAAAAAAAAAAACTAGACATGAAGCTGCGAGGGCTTACGTCAAGATGGGGAAATTTGATGAGTGAATGATGGAAACTAACGTTTGATAGTAATGGTTAAAATAGGCGGTGCAGGGTACCATGCCACTGCCGTCCCAGTGACGACCCGTGAGACCTGGCTGCAACTATCCAAAATCCTCGAATTCACCTACACACCCGCTGTCATGTTCGCCAAGCTTGCCGCTCTATTCCTCTACTACCAAGTCTTCGAAGTCTTGAGTTACCGCCGTGTCATCGTTGGCATCGGTGTGATTGTCATCCTTCAAGGGGTGATTTCTTTTATCTTAGCGTTTTCGATATGCCGGCCCTTTAGGTACTTCTGGACCCAGGCGGTTGATATTCACGACGGGACTTGTGGAGACGTGATGCTTTTTTATAAGACCTATAGCATTCCGAGTCTGGTCACGGATGTGGCGATGCTGGTGCTCCCGTGGCCGATTCTTCTCAAACTGCAAATGCCTACATCGGAAAAGATTGGCCTTATACTCACTTTTCTGGCTGCTTCGCTGTAAGTTATACGACTCGCCCCCCCGCTTACGTCTGCGTATCGCCTTGATGAAGAAGGAAAACGTTATTGATACAACATAGGGGCATAATAACATGCGCGCTTCGCTTCTCCGTCTTCTTCACCGTCCCGCTCTTCTCGGACCCAACATGGTACGCCTCAGGAGGTCCTATGATCTACGCGCTCGTCGAACCCTCCATCTACATGATAGCCAGCATACTGCCCACCACGCGACATCTCTACCGGCGACTCTGGAGAAAAGCGCGACGAGCTGCGCAGCTACGGAATGCGAATAGCGACGGTAGTCTGGAGAACAGTAGCGGTCTTTCTCAATCGGCAGAGCTCGAGCGTATCAAGAACAGTAACACAAGTAGCCGCGGAATCACACGACATGTGGATATCTGGCAGGCAAATACAAATTCAAGTCAGGAGGAATTGACGCTGGGGGAGTGGTATCAGAATCGGCTGGAGTGGAATCAATCCAGGTCGGCAGACACCTTATCGCCGAGTGCACTAGAAGCGAATTCTTCCACGAGCGGTGGGATCACGAGGAATTAGGTATTCTATACGAATTCGCCATAGCTTTGAGGAGCCAAGACGAATACAAAACAGCTCTAAACTTCTTAGAACAGAAGAATCACAGGGTCATGATTGCGGATGCTGCCAATCAGAAAATCACGCACTGGAAGGACGAAGATGTGGACGACGCAGCGATGGTCCTTGCCGAGAATTCTCCGGGGAAAGGGGACATGAAGGCTGACGTGGGTGGATTGGGTCGGATTGGAGAGTTGCACGGACCGAGAGGATAGAATCTGGTTTTCTGCGTTATGAGCATGATCCCTCGGACGTGGATGCCATCACAGGCGGCCATAAAAGCAGCCGCTTGGCCTGCTCCCTCAAGGAGTTCATGAATCTCGTGTCCCAGAATCCCCTCTACCGCCTTATTCAATCTCATCGCAACGACGATCTCCCTAGATTGCATCATCTCTACGAGCCACCCCCTCGATTGCCTGCCAAACAGCACATGTCAAAAATATTTCACGCGTACGAAAGTACCTCCGTTTCCTCCATCTGTCACTGTCAACCGCAACTTTCACAGAGTGAATTAGCACCTGCATCGACACGCCAACTGAGAACGCTTCCGTTGTCTCCATACGCCAATGGATTTGACATGGACGTCGCAGCCTTGGACAACATAGCTGCCGAGAGCACTATCACGAATACGGCTCCAGAAAATAGAGAGCGGATATACGACGATAGCGGTAATAATCTGATTCGTAACCCCACAGCCTGGTGAGTAGATCTCTTTTTCGAGAACTTGTTCCTCTTTAACAAACGAGACGAGAATGCTGATATCGTAATGCAAGATATATCGACAGTCTCGACACGAGCGGGTCCTCGAGAATATTGAAAAGGGGCATGGTGTCGGTGCAGCTTCGTCGGATCCATGACACAGGGTAATAATATTAGATAGAGAACTGCCCTTTATATTAAAATTAGAAAATCTATAATAGATCTTATAAGAGGAAAACAGTCGAGTTATTTGTTAGGAGGTACAGTGCAGTACGCTCTTCCCCCCGCCAAAACTCTGTGATAGCTCCTATGCTCTGGGTAGATAGTTTAGGGCTGCCTTGGATGAAAATACGAGTACATAAGCGATAGCAATCTGATTCAAGCTTTTCTTTGAATACAAGGACATGTCTAGCATACACTAACGATGATAATTGTGACTCGATTGAAGGACGAGTAAGTAAGCTCTACCTTCCCAGACCCCCGTTCTGTTAGTAGAGTTGAAAATAGAGGAGAGTAAAGGTGTCAAAAGGTTTTCAGCGCTTATTAATGAAATGGTGAGACAAAATAAAAACTCTTCCAGGTACATGGCCGGGAGCAAGAGCAAGTATTCCATATTTAAATGAAAAACAGAAAAGAACGATAGATATTCTAGAGGAAGTTGCGATATTTTTTCTCCAACGATTAGGGTTGTTATCACGGTTAGCATGATTACCGGCTTCTCTTATTGTAGTGTAGAAATAGGTATAAAAACAAAAAAAGGTATTTCTAAAATCTAGAAAAATAGGACTTTCTAATGATGTTGTTTTAAGGGGCTATATACGTATTAAATTGAGTTGCTTAACGGTAATAGCTACGCTTCTGCCGGTCTGCGCGGTCGACTCGGTCGGCCAGGTCGGCTTCGTATAAAGAACCACGGCTGGGAGCCTGGTTGGGAGCCGATCGTGGGTAGACAATAATGTTGCGGCGACCTGTGCGGGGAGCACGCTCGATGATCTCAACGGGCTGATCAATGCGGAGACCTTCTTCGATCGCTAGGAGAAGGCGACGAGAGGCTTTGAAGTCTCGGGGGATACGGACGAGTATCTCCTCATTACGATCCTTATCGACAGCAGAGAATGTTTTCCCATTTTTACTGAAAAAATACTTGGCGACGTCGCTGGCAAGCCACTGGCCGCGATCGCATAGAGCGTCGCCGTTACGGAAGGTGTCAAGTGCATCCACGCAGTGGGAGCACTTTGTGGCGTGAGCTTCATACTCAGCCAGGACAAAGGTCTCGTCATCTGTAAGGTCACGCACGCGCATGACCAGATTCTCGTTGAATGTATCCTCGGCTTTCTCTGCATCAACATCGCTAACATCCGAAAGATCCTCCTCATCTTGCCATTGGTCCACGTTCACGGGGTCTTGGTCTTCATCTTGAGGATCATCCTCGGTAGCGTCTAGGGTTGGAGGCAGAGCAAAAAGAGCAAGCTGCTCCTGGTGATGGCCAAGGTGGGTTTGCAGGACGCGTAACGTCATCTGCTTCTCGCACAAGGGACATTTTGCTTGTTCCGAAAGGCTCGCGCGCTTAACGGAAGTCCGCTTTAGAGCAGAAAACATAGCCGAAGAACTGATTTCAGGATGGTATGCTTGCACATGAGCGGCGAATTCTTCCTCTGATTGAAATGTTAACTCACATCCCTCAATGCACTGCCAGGATGTTCTGTGGGCTTCAAGTTCGTGTCTAAACCAAGCGTGTCTCGAGTCATACAGGCGGTCTGCGGTGGTGCAATGCTCAAATGTACAGCAATACGGATGTAAATCGCGATAAACATGTTGCCTAGCCATGTCAGTAAATACCTACAACAGAGCAGTGCAGATGACTCTTACTTCCATGCCGCGGTTGTATGTATACATACAATCATGAAGCAAAGAGGGCATTCAAAGTGCTCCTTCTCCCGAGCCTCCTTAGGTAGCGGTGGTACTCGGATACTCGCGTTCACCGAGCTTGCATATGAGGTCTGGGAAAGTGCGTCTTCGTCGTCATCAAGTATATCATTAGGTGTCACCGTCGTCTTTGGTACTGGTGATGCTTCGGTGCTGTTGTTCGTATGCTCTGTCCTCGGCTCCTCGAACCCAATCTTCTCGACGTTCTTTGCAAGCTTTTGATGATGTTCTTCGCGGTAAGTTAGATATTGCCGTCGTCCTGATACTGCTCGACCAAGCCTATCAGTCAGGAAAGATGAGTCAATAGAAAACTTTGCTTGTACGTGCAGTATGTCGTGCTCTTCATAGATAGATTTGTCCACTCTGATGGTACTGCGGGACTGGCTGTTGGGTGCAGGATCACGGATAGCCATAGACAGTCGAAACAAACATGTAACCGTATTTTTTATGCTAGCCGTGAGCTGCTTGAGCTCTGTACCATCTTGAATATCGCCCGAGAGTTCGGCATCAGATTCTGAATCGGTGTCAGAATCGGACAGCTCATCCCATGGGATCTTCTCTCCATTTACGATAGCCAAAGCTTGAGGAGGGATTAGCTAGTTCATTTTTTGATCGCGGTTAAATATACTGGACGAACCATTCTCAAGAGAGTCTTGAAGGGCTGTCAATAGGTTATGAGTCTCGGCTTTGAGGTGGCCTGCGTCGCGAAGCCGGTAATCGAGCGACCGTCGACCCTTCCGGTGGGCAGCGATGTTTCCAGCCCAAATTTTGAAGCGATCAAACTCATCACGGAGGATCTCTGGTCGTATTTGATCTGCGTAACGGGGGGCATTTATTAGGGCTTCGGCAAGGCTGAGGAACCCACGACCGCACGCGTCGACATGAGAGGAGATATGTATTGAGGAATCCATCGAAATGTAAACCGCAAATAATTAGTAAGGATACTGGAGGAGTTCGTTTGCCTCGAGGCTATGCTAAGTCCATCTCTAGCGGTATGATGAGCTTGAGGGTTGTGATTCTGCTTGGCTGGTGGTCATGTGGGTGAGTTGCAATTGAGGCGCTAATTTCCGATTAAATGCCCCTCCAACCTTTCAGCCTCACATTGCAAGGCCCAGTCAGCGGCCATATAAACACCTTTTTGGGCCATCCACGGACGTTCGCTTTGTATCATTCTGCCTGTGTATGCGGTTCCGGCCACGGCTTCCCCCCTCTACCCTGTCGTATTTGCGAATGGGGTCTTATTAAGATGGTGACCGGCGTCGAGACAGCAGGCCTCGTCCTAGGCTCGATTCCTCTGATCCTATCAGGCCTTGAATTCTACGCAAATGGAATTGCCGTTACTAAGCGCTACTGGAGATATCGCGAAGAATTCAGGAGCCTTATCATCGAGCTCCGAACAGAGCACACAATGTTTGTTAACAGCATTAACATGCTGTTAATAGGGGTTGTGAAGCAAAAAGAGATGGAGGAATTCCTTGCAGATCCATGTGGCGAGCATTGGAAGGAGAAGAAGTTCGACCTGAAGCTACAGCAGCGCCTTGGCACGAGTTACGAGTCATATGTGGACACTATTACTCAGCTCAATAGCACGACGGACGTCTTCAAGCAGAGACTGAAATTGGATGCTTTTGGGAAGGTATGAGCAGCTTCTTCACGTCAAGGCCGAGAGGAGCGTCCACATCAACCACTAACTCTTCCCAGCCGCAATTCACCGCGGAAACGGCCTTCAAAGAACACTACAAGCGACTCAAATTTAGCTTGAATAAGGCCAACTACAGCGATTTGATGAATAAGCTTCGACAAGCAAACTCGTCGCTCCACCGGATGACCACCCAAACCATGTCCCTCGAAACCCTGCAGGCTTCATGCAAGCCTGACCGCCGAGCAATACCTAAGTTCCATGTAGTTAATGATCGAGCACATGGTTTCTACTCTGCACTGCGTTCTGGCTGGAAATGCTCATGTCATGTGGACCATACCGTCAGCCTTCGTTTAGAGCCACGGATGGACGACATACCAAGCGATGACGACGATGAGAGCGAAGAAGGATATATGCGGGATCCTTTTCATGTTGTGTTTCGCTATGGTCATCACCCCCCGAAAGGCCCAAATAGCCCCACGCCTACCACGCAACCCTGGAACTGGGAAGAGGCTGATGTACAAATAACTATCAAAAACCAGAGCTCTATGGCGTCATATAGCAAAGATTGTAGAAAAGTGCGATTCGCAAACCAGGCGAAGAAAGCCGTCAAGGCGGCTTTGGATCCAAATCCGAACTTGCAACCTATTCAAGATTTGTGCGCAGCAATTAGCACCCTGCAAAAGCCACAAGGCGATGTCTGCTTCTCGCTCTTGGCATCTGAGTACGCTAAGCAGAAGTATGGAATTCTCATCTACCCCTTGAAGGAGCCGCGTTCGGATACTGAATCCTGGTCTATCTCATCCCTTCGAAGTGTGCTAGAAGAACCTGAATCTAGATTCGCCCGTCGCGACCGCCTCCAGCTAGCTATCACCCTCGCGTCCAGCGTCTTGCAGCTCCATGAAACCCCGTGGCTCGATGAGGACTGGGGAAACGACAATATATTCTTCATCAGAACGTTAGACAAGACTATATACGATCATCCGTTCGTCTCTCGGCACTTCAACCTAACGAATGTACCCTCATCAAAAACATTCCCGGCATCGATGGGCAGAATCATCCGGAATCGGACTCTGTACGCGCTAGGCATATCTCTCATCGAGCTCTGGTACGGCAAACCGCTTCCTGAACTCTATAAACCAGAGGATGGACCACAGGGCACTGGAGACCCACGCATCGATCTCATGACTGGGTGGAACACAGCTGATCGGCTTGTGGATGAGCTGTACAGCGAGGCAGGGGGGAAATATAGTGACGCAGTACGAAGGTGTATCCGATGCGACTTTGATCGCCGTTCAAGCAGCCTTGAGGATGCCGCATTCCAGAGGGACGTCTACCAGGGTGTAGTGGCGCAACTCCAGGAAAATTTCGACTTCCTGTATTGAATAGATTATTCTTCAAGAAACTTTTTAACCTCTAACATCTGGCGGAAGTGTTCTGTCTTGAGATCGGCAAATAAGGTTGTTCCTTGCTACCGGTAAGAGCAAGTCTGATCCCACATCTCATTGTTGCATGGTCCGCAACTTGCTAAAATTTGGTTTATGGATTAAGGCTTGGAGTTTCAGACTACAACAAAAAACTTAGTAAAAATATGCATTAGCCCGCTGTGGGGGGTGTCATATATTGTTGGAACTTAAAACTACCGATGGGATTGCGTGCTGTGATTTTGATTGGACCAGCCATACGGTATACACTATATGCATCAACTACCCCATAGAGCTAGGCAAACCTGAAAGAAAAAATATACGTAATGAGATATTCATCGTATTGACTCTACGATCCGGTGCATTCGAGGTGACGGGCCTACATGTATGATAATATCCCAATATTTAGCTTGGTCGCTCTCACACGTGGGTCGCAGTGATATTCTCGTGTCTCATTACTTATTGGAGGTCAGGCAGATGCTAGGGGGTATCGTAAACATTACAATACCCCCAATCTCGTTTAGCTCGATGGTGCATTTAGGTGTAATTCGTTTCCATATTCATTTCAGGCTGTATACTAACTCTCTCTTCTTGCGCCTTCCATCATTGCCTGCCCCTTTCGCTATTAACCTGAGGCATATATGGCCTGAGCTTTCGTCCCGCTTTAAGGAGTAGATAGACTTGAGTTAGTAAGAATTATAGTGCGGTAGTAGTGTGAAATAGGATAGGAGGGATGCTGCATTAGTCAAGTGACAATACTTACAGTGACTTTTTCAAGATCGTATCGCGACGACAGCGGGATCTCGCCCGCCTTGTCTCTAGCCTCCTCCTCTGCGTTGATGAAAAGAGCCGTGGCCATCACGCTGTCCCGTAGATGTCGTAAAGATGGGTTGTCTGTAGCAAGCTTGCATAAGTCTATCAAAGTAAGTCGTACGCTTCGATTCCGGCACTCTGTGGCCACATTAATGGCGGCCGCTACGAAGATCCCCCACATAGAAGTAGTTTCTAAAGAGATCAATGAGCGATCTGGCCTTGAATGGTTAACGAATTCGGCCTCCAGGTGGGCTCGAAACTTTGGAGTGAGCTCTACGCAATAAGGCCCCATAGAATCCCAGAGGTTCCCCGTGGGATCGAGCTCACAGTAGACTACAACATACGCGAGTTTGGTCAAGACCAGCTGCCACTTCAAGTAATGTAACATGTGGATCGTGTGTCTCTTTTCTAGCAGCTGGGCTTCGTATGCCTCTATCCATCTTTGTAATTGGCTAAGAAGGAGTCCTTGCTGCTGGCGGAAATCTGAGCGATTGTAGACCGAGATGCCCATCTGCCGGTGAGCTCGAACACGTGTATGCCAGATCAGGATAGGTGCAAGGACGTTTAAGTATTGGAATGACAATGTTTTAATGCTAGCATCGCCATCCGGCGGCGGCGGCACATTAAGGCCAGAGCTCGGTATCATCAGCATGGCCTTGAGGCCGTCCGCATGTGCGTATGGGGTGATGTAAGATGCTTTTGAGCAAAGAGTGGCAGATCGGGCCAAGAAGAGCTCAGCCTCGACAATGCCTTGATCATCAATTACACCCGCCAGGGAGGACCGCGATGCCCCACTGACGCTGACGGAATGTAGGATCTTGTCCTTGAGAAGAACGATGCCAGTGGCTGTTAGGGTGTCAGCGGCTCGGTTGTTACCTTGGAAGCTTTCGAATATGACAAAAAGAACAGTAATGATAAGAATGGTCCGGTGGGTATCCTCAGCCTTTGAGCTGGCAATGTATCTGCGGAAGGTGGTGATGGCTTTGTTGTAATACTTGATGGCTGCACAATAATGCGCAGACCCTTCCTGATTGGACAGGTCCGGATTAAACAAGGATGGTCTGCTCGAGCACTTTCGTGTGCGTGCGAGTGCCCCAATGGCAGTAATGGCATATGTGATGCTTTCATCGCGGTGACTGGCTCGGAGCACTGTGCGGAGCCAGAAGTCGGTCATTTCGATATCCTGGTTCATGAGGGCCACTTGCTCCCGGAAGCAGTCAAAATACATGCCCCCGCCTGGCTCCAAATTACACCAGGACGGCTGTAACGAAGATGGTAGCACGCCTACCTTGGTAGCTGCGGGGAGTATCTGCCGGATGCGCGTGTGCTTCTTGTTCTGTGTCATCTCATTCTGCTTCAATTTAGGTGGGAGGTAGCAGCAGTCGAGTCCTAAGCGCTTGCAGCGAGCGCACGCGGGTCGCTGCTCCGGACACTTCATTCTAACTCCTTTACACTGCATACAGCCTGTGGCACATGTTAGTCGATAAACACTCCTAGATCTATCTCTTTTAAGACTAGACTAGACTGGATTGCCACGACGTGGGGTGACAAACCGGATAAGATTTACCAGATTTCACCTTGGGTTTGCACACGCGTTTGCGTGGCAGCTGGGGTTTCGTCATTTTTTTGCCCCTTTTTAGATGACTTCAATTCTTAATAGCGATAGGTGTTGTTCATGAGGTCCAATGAGTGGAGAAGGAGGTAAGTGCTGTTAAGCATGCGAAAATACTTGGCACCGTAAGGTCTGTCCAATCAGATCTTCTCCATTCCTTAGTCCTTTGACGTCCACCGTCCTACTGTTTATGCGACGACCGAGGAATCCTTGGCCAGATGACGCTGATCCGTCCTGGGCCATGTGCAATGGGGCTGATGGGGTGGGCAGCAGCTGAAAAAAATGACTAGTCAGGTAGAAAGTAATGTTTCAAAGCTTCAATCCTTTTACGGCGATGTAATTGGCACAGCCGTACGGTCAACATCCGAATTTCCGAAATAGGAATAGTAATACCTTAACAAAGGGAGTAACTAATTAGTGAGCTGGTAAGAATTTATAGGCAAGCGTGTTGGAGATACACTCTAGTGTAGTTAAATTTAGAACGTATAAGTTAGTTAAAGTAGGCTTCTAGGATTGAAAATTAAAATTCCAGCTTTCTGCCATCCAATGGGAGAGATATATGGGACCCAGTCTCTCTCATAAGTCATGGCAGCGACCTCTTTCGCCGATCACTGTTGGAAAACGAGAATTTCGAGAGCACTAGGCATCGCTAACTCGCATCTCAGCTATTTAATCCTTATCCATAGCTGAATAAAGTGACGTCGCAGCTCCCGCGATGATTGAGATAGCACTATAGCGCGACGTAAGAGCCCTAATATAAAAGTCTAATATAAAAGCGATTCCAGTGCCCATGATCAGCTACTACTCATAGCATACGCTGCAGTGTCGATCACTATTACATCAAAATGGGCTTCCGCATAATCGTCGCAGGTGGTGGCCTTGTTGGCCTCACGACAGCTCACATACTTTCAAAAGCTGGCATAGATTTTGTGGTCCTGGAGCAGCATGATAATGTCACTCCCTACTTGGGATCACTGCTATCGATAATGCCCTCTACACTCCGAGTCCTAGACCAGGTTGAATTGATGGAAGTTTTTAATAAGTACTCTGACGACATACGCCGCATGCACCTCTTCACAGCAGACACAGCTAAAACGCTTCGGGACGAGACTTTTCTATTAGAATTGATGCAGGCTGAGTAGGTGGCTCTACCACCAAATATATATGGTCTTACTTGTCCTGACTGTTAGTAGCTGCGGCCATCCTGTAGTGATGGCACATCGGGCTGATATCGCGAAAGCTCTCTACGATAGCCTACCTGAAGACGTCAAAAAGCATATATTGCTAGAAAAGCGCGTTACAGACATTAACGTGCTCCCTGATGGTGTCGAAGTCACGTGCCAGGATGGCTCTGTGCAAAAAGGCTCCATAGTACTCGGTGCTGACGGTGTCCGGAGCAGAGTCCGGCAGATGATGAACAGGCTTGAGAAAGGTGATCCCTCTACTGAAAAGGTTGAGGAAAAAAGCCCATACGTTTCTTCTCACAGATTGTTTTTCGGAGATGTACCCAAGCTTCATGGAGTGGAGGCGGGCGTCAACTATGAAGGGCTTCACGATAGGGTTGCCACGCAACTTCTCGTTGGAACTAAAAGAATGTGGTTTAATCTGTATGAACAACTCGACACACCAACTTCTGATCATATTCGGTATACCGAAAATGATCAACATGAAATTTTAGAAAAATGGGGCCATCTGTTCGTCGCCCCGGGCTACCAATTGCGCGATGTCTACGAGCGCAGGCTAAAAGATACTGGGTTGATCAATTTGGAAGAGGGCTTGGTGGACAAATGGTACTCAGATCGCATTGTGTTGGCTGGCGATGCCGTACGTAAGCTTACCTCCAATGCTGGTTGGGGTTACAACAGTGGCGTCACCGACATAGTTGTCCTCGTGAACCATCTACGCCGACTTCTCAAGTCTGATCAGTCGCCGAGCTCTGAAGCTCTGAAAACAGTGTTCAAGCAATACCAAGCTGACAGAGCCGAAAGTACACACATAACATACAAGGTATCCGCGGAACGCATTCGTGCCGTTGTTTGGCCAGGATGGCTACAAAGAATCATTGCCACTTATATCATGCCCTATGTAAACCTTGGGAAGCTTGATTGGATAATGCGAACAAGGGCTTTGCACCGGGACTCACCAGTTCTCGAGTGGTTGGTAGAAAAGAATTTACCCAGTCATCGCATCAAGTATAAGCAATATCCTCAACTAGAGGAATGAGCAGAATACCTAGACATCTCAAGGTCTTTGATCATATGCATCATATTGCTCTCTTTTATAAATTCAATTAGCTACCTAATAGTCTACATAGCTATGTTTTCTCCGCTCACTCATGTAATACTAGTACTTGCTATGGTAGTATTGACAGGTATCTGTTTCAGAAAAGAAATGTATTAAATCCAGTCCTGATGGCGATTCAGAAATGTAGCAAATCAAAGAAGTGCAACGTACTCTATAGTATATAAGGACGATGTAATAGACTAGACACAGAGGGTATTAGGAGCTCTTAATACACGTTAGCCATCCACCAAAGGCTTCATACATCCTGCTGCATCTCTATATATTTCGCTCATTGTCTATTCTTGCTCGAAAAAGTCGTCAACCTTTTGCGCTGGAGTGAAAAATATATTAATATTACCTTTACTTAAAGGGGTGGAAGAAGGGACAGAGGAAGAGGTAGAGAGCATACACCTTAGCGCCATCAGCAGGAGTACCTACCTACCAGTAAGCAGCATGAAGAGATCATGTACGATTTGCTCTGGGTTCTTTTCAAGTCAAACATCGACGTATATACAACGTGTGATAGAGCCGGTAAAGCAAGGGATATCTAACATCGTGGAGGCGAGAAAAGGAGTAGTTTCCATTCCAACAGAGACCGGTTTGGTTTCTATTGATTTCCAAGTTCCGAAGTTTTCTCGGGTTTTTAAACACATCACAGCTTTGCCTTACCTTCTTCTGAAGTACCACCCTAAAAGAAGATGAGAGATTAAATGTGGAAGGAATTTTTATAGTTTGCGTAGTTCGTATCACCGCTATCTTGAAGGACAAGATTTGTTTATGAAAGAAAAGGAGAGGGCTAAGCGTACAGCCAGAGGACACGTTATGCTCAATATAGCCTTTTCCCATCAACTGAATCCAACTATAACCAGCGAAAGATAAAGAAGCCTTCTTTTATCAGCCTAAAGCATTCAACATATCTGCTCAAATGCAAACAAGAAACAAAACCCCCGTTCACGAGACAATTTAAAGATTTATCGATACCGTCAAATACAATGATTATCCAAGATGGACAATCAAAGGTCTCAGCTGGAACCACGGCTACCTTCTAGAACAACGTCCCCGCATTATACGTCCCCGCATTATAGGGTTCAAAGGCTCATCTCGAGCCACAGGAGAATTTAACCGTCAAGAACTTCTTGATCAACTCTCCCACTATTCCTAGCCATTGTCTTCGCGATAAATATTGAGATACGCTTCCGATCGTACAGTGGAAAATAACGGTTCGCTGATGGTAACAAAGGAATTTGCGGTCATGAACATCCATTATATTCAATAAGCCAACTTCCTTTTCAGTCAACTAGACAATCGCCTCAGAATATTAAGAATTGATTATGGCGTCGGTAATGAAGTTTTCTATTCTCCTAAGATCCAGCAAGCTCGGGATCCTCAAGCAGGAAAAGAGAAGCAGATACAACTTGGTAAGGCTCCAAAAGAGGAAGAGAAGCTACGCCGTTAGCTACAGAAAGTAAAACAACAATTAATTGAAGGAAGAAAGAAAATCAGGGCATCTAATAGAGCGATATATGCCCCAAGCAGTAGAGGAGAAGAAACGCAGAAAGGAAGAGGACAAATTGGTTAAAGAGGCACAGATACAGCGTCAAAATGACTTCAAACAGTCCAGAAAAGGTAAGAAGAAGCTAAATCCAGTCTCTAAAGACCAAATCAGAAAGATCTTGCTATCCTGGCCGCTGGAGCTGTTGAAGAGCTTTCCACCACGGTATATCGTAAAGGAAGGCAGGTGAGGCTAACGCACCGTTTCCGGAGCAATTAAAATTTGTATATGGCTTCTTTAGAGCCTCAATTTTTCTCCGTATAATTCGAATTGTATGTGACTCAAAAGCTTCTTTTTTTGTAGTGGTGTTAGTAGGTGGGAGTGGCCAGTGGATGTCCGATTACGTGATATGCTTAGTAAGCGGCTAAAATTAGATCGAAGCTTCTCCCCGCGTCTGGAACATCCGGAGCAGTGTGCCTCTTACTTACTCAGCACCATCTACAATCAGTTTGCCAGCATTTTGTTATGTTATGTTATGCTGTGCTATGTTATGATTATGATTATGTTATAGTGCAGCTGATCTGATTTCTCATCTCTCGAACTTCTATCTCCGTGCCTCCGTCAGATCATCTATAAAGAGAGCGTGGCCTATATACAGATATCTTCGATACGATGTCTTCCAGCTTCACGGAAATGGCCATGGCCGACACCGACCTCGAATCCATCGGGCGCAACTGCCAATACGAATTCTGCGGCCAACTCGACTTTCTGCCGTTTCGCTGCGAGTCCTGTCGCGGCACCTATTGCCTCGAGCACCGCACCGAATCCGCACATAAATGTAGCCACCCCGGCGAGTGGGCGAAACGGAAACGCGCCGATAATGGCGTAAACACAACATCATCAGCGAAAGCAAAAGCAACGGTGTATAATACAGACCAGTGCTCACACCCTTCCTGCAAATCCCTCATCAACACGCCCACCCGGCTCGGCGTGCATTGCGACAAGTGTAACCGGAACTACTGCCTTTCGCATCGTCTCGGCGAGGAGCATGACTGCGCGAAGCTTGTCCCGTTGGGAGCGAGGGTTGGGGCTGGTACAAAGCCAGGCGAGACGATACGGTCAATGTTCTCGAAGCTACGCGGGATGAGCAAGGACACGGCGCCGAAGATCAGCGCGCCAAAGATCAAACTGCCGAATAATATCCAGTCGCGGATGGGAGGGCGGAGCGCGGTGGCGCAGTTGAACGAGATGAAGCGCGCGGCCAAGGGGGATGCGGCGGTGCCGATGGAGAGGAGGGTGTATTTGCACGTCGTCGGCACGGTCGATACACCGTCTACGAAAGCGACGGAGCCGCCGCGGGGAGATTTTTTTTATGATGCGCGCTGGAAGGTTGGCAGGGTGCTGGATGATGCGGCACGAAGGCTAAAGGTTGAGAATGTGAATAATCGTGGTGGTGGCGAGGAGGCCAGGCTGAGGATCTTTCATATCGAGGCAGGCGAGTTTTTGGAGTTTGCGGATTCGATTGGAGGGGACAAGTCGAGGGTGAAGTCGGGCCATACGATTGTTTTGCTTAGAGGGGCGGGGGTGTTGTTGGATAGGTGATTCCCCCTTACATATGTACTCGCGTTACTTTGTTATTGCATAGCGATGTATACCCTCGTTAATATTCTGTGGTTAGTCATTATGCCAGTCACCGCTGTAGATGATGATATTAAGTTTATTCTGTTCATCATTGATATGTAGGAGATCAAATATGACAAATACAAGAATATCTTCTTTTCAGTGGGATAAGACTGTATGTACTTTATTATTGCAGTCTTGACTTGGGTCCAATAGACGTCGATTAATAACGATATATAACATCACTATTAAGTATCCGTATTATTTAATAATAGTAAAAGATGCAGCCTCAAATTTGGCCTGCATGGTGCATAGTGCATAGTGCATACTAATTATTAATTCAAGTCTAATTTTTGGACCAACTCAAAAATGGGCGAAGCGCGGACGCAAGCGGCGGTCCACTCCCCACTTTAGTAGAGAGAGATGCTAAGACAAAGAATTCTTGTCTGTTGTCTGTTTACAGAGGATATATTATATATCTAATGCTGTAAGAGACCGAACGAGGAGAAAGCACGATTCCAGGATATGGAATAATAAGAGCGCCTAATATATATTAATATATAGATACAAATAGTAAATAGTAAGTACGGAGTATTAAATAATATGTTGGTGACCCAATCTTGCGACCCGCGCGTCTACCATGTCAGACAGTGGGCCTCCCAAGATCTCACCTTCCTGAACCACTGTTTGACCAGATCCTGGACCATATGCTAGTACTTATTCGTGACACTCATGACTCGGTCTGTCAGGATCAGTCAATAAGGAATATATCGGGTGGATATATCCTAATCCACCATGCTGTTTCTTCTCCTATTCTCTTTTCTTGTTCGTTTGCGGTTGGGCTGCGTCACTACCCTGCTCCAACGGTCTAACTGATATACCGTCGCATCTAGTCCCGTTTGCTGCGGGGTGTCCATTATTCAGTCATTTTAATATATTATTCTTTGATAATATTTTCAATATTGAAAATTTTCTCGTTTGTCGGTGTGTAGGGTAGGGCATGTGAGCACTGAAATGCTGGAGATATACCCCCGGTTGGTGTTTTTGTCGCAGTCACCTATGTTTATGTTCAGCAATATTCACATCTCTCGCCTACATCAACTTAATACCTCGTCGTCATGGCTAGACTTCGAGAATTCCACCAGGTATGGCCCATGAGTAACAAAGTGTCCAACCAGCTAACCAGCGACACCAGATGGTAGACGAGATCTCCGACGAAGGCGTCGGGCTCGACGACGACGACACCCGCAGCGTATCCATCAAGTCAACCGTCTTCGACTACATCTTCGAGAACGGGCGTCGCTACCACCGCTACCACGCCGGCTCTTACCCCCTCCCCAACGACGACCTCGAACAAGCGCGCCTGAAACTCTGCCACCACCTCTGGTCGGCCATCATGAACGAGCGCCTGTGCAAAATGCCGCTTCACAACCCCCAGCGCATCCTCGACATTGGCTGCGGCACGGGCGACTGGGCGATCGACATGGGCGACTGCTTCCCCTCCGCCATCGTCATCGGCACGGACCTAAGCCCTATCCAACCCACGTGGATTCCGCCGAATGTGCGCTTCTACATCGAAGATGCAGAGGACGAGTGGACCTTTGACGGCTCCTTTGACCTCGTGCATGGCCGGATGCTGGCGGGCAGTATCACGGACTGGCACCGGTTTTTCAAGCAGGCCTATGAGCAGCTGCGGCCGGGGGGATGGGTAGAAATGAACGAAGTCGAGTCAAGATTCTACTCCGACGACGCGAAACCCAGAGACGTGGCGGTACTGAGAAGAACAACAGCGAGGTTCGAAAAGGCCAGCACCGCGCTTGGCAAACCCTTCAATGTATCCGTATTAAGACAGGCCATGCACGATGCTGGGTTCGTCGATATACAAGAAGAAGTTTACAAGGTAGCCCTATTCCCCCAGCCTGACTATACCGATATACTGATTGGGTTTTTTGGGTAGATCCCCATTGGAACCTGGCCCGCCAACCCCATTCTCAAAAACCTCGGCCACGCAGCTCTCACCGCCGCCCACGAATCCGTCGAGCCGTACATGCTAGCCCTCGGCACACGCGTCCTAGGCGAATCGGCCGGGACAATCCACGACATGGCGCGGAGCATGAAACACGAGATCTCGAAACCGCATCTTCATCTCTACACTCAAGCGCATTTCATTTGGGGGCGAAAACCTTGATACTACTACCTACTATTACTTATTGCTTATCTGACGGGCGTTTATCGTGGGTGGATACGAATCTCGCATTTCGTTAGGCATGGAGTTGGGGAATAAAATTGGTGCGGCGTTTGGATTAGTTGTAATTATTATTCGTAATATCTTGAGATACCCTCGATGATGAAATGTGATGTGATCTCGTTCAGGAATTGCTCTAAGTAACACGTATGTAATGTGACGGTCAGGTCGTGATCACCTAACCACCCCTATTTACACGCAAATAAGATACTAGAAATTCTATATATTATAATTTTCTCCTCTATACTTAGTAAAACAGGACAAGAGGCACTAAGGAGTACGTCACTAAGGAGTAGGTCGAGAAGTAATTAAGGCCTTGAGACTAGTGTATAGAAGGTCTAGTTTTAGGGTTAAAGAATAAAATGCTATAATAATTTAATTTTCAATAGTATTGGATTATTGTTAGCTTCATCTATCATTGAACAAAATCATATCTTATTATCCTTAAGATGCTTCAAAATTATTATTTATGCTCGCACTTTCACTCTCAAAAAATAAAAATAAAAATAGAAAACATAAAAAAAGAGGGCAGACGTCGGTGGTCAATTTGGACTTTGTAAGCATAAGGGTGGGCCAATCTGGGCCTACGGTGTCTTTACATGACATAAGGTAGTGTGGATCACTTTCAATGCTTCGTATTTTGGCCCCAGTAGTAAAAGATTTTAGTTCTTGTGGTAGCATTGTAAAAGTGTAGAATAATTTGATTATTATGCAGTTAATACACTTATGCTGGCCTAGTGGCGTAATGGTAGCGCGTGTCTTTGCTATACATTTAGAAGGTTGTACCTCCAAGATTCCTATCTTGGACTATGTACATAAATTTTTTTAACGCACATTCAAAAGCCTAATCTAGGAAAGAGTGTATAGTCATTTAGTTGATTCAAGTAACTTTAAATGATTCCTCTCCCCACCCAAAGACTCGCCTTAAGCGCTTTGCAATATGAAGGAGCCGGACCTTCAATTTGGAACGGGTGCGGCCAGCCATCCGCTGACACAAACATGTATAAACTACTCACGGCAGATATGGTTGGTGAATTAAGGAGAGTTTCATCAAGCAACGTATGTAAATAGACGGTCGCACTAAATGGATGCTGCAACGCAGTGCACAAAAACAGAATTTTGAAGTTCATAGTGTGAGCTATTACGTGTCGGTGAGATATGTACTAGTCTGCGTGCACTATATATAACATCAGATGGCGGGATAGGATCACCCTTACGAACATTCTTGATTCCAACCATAATCCACCATCCATGAAGAATGCGACATCTCAGTAAACCAGTTTGCATAATTGGGTCTAAACGAGACAGGGTAGTTTGACTGTTCACTCACCATTCCGCAGCTTAAAGGTGTCTTGTTTCGAGGCGTCCCCGACACCAACCTGCGGCTGCCACTCATCACCTCTATCTTGTAGAGTGATACCCGGGATCCTTACAGCATCCCTAAGATGCTAATCGATTCCCAGGTATTGCGGGGTAAAGGCGGTCGAGCTGGACGCCCTACCGATGTGGAATGATGCGGAGCAGGCTCTCCGCCAGGCGACGATGAACGACATCCATTGATTCTTCAACTATTGCATGAAACTAAAACGCGGAAAAGGCGGGTGGCTTTTGAAAGGGATCAAAAAGGGTAGCGCCCTCCCTCAGGAATGGAAATCTTTTCAAGGGTATTGTTTTCCTTCCAAGAATGGGATAGCACAAATCCTATTGAAATTAGCATTTGTTATAGAGGAGATAAAATAAAATATATTAACTTTGTCAAGAAAAATATATAATTAAAGTGTATCATGGCCAGTCCAAGAAGTCTGTATAGGCCAAATCCGGCAAGACCATGGGTCTCCAAGATATCTCGGGGGTCAATTGTGATATATCATAATTGATATCATAAGACCCCAGGCATGATGCAGGTACCCCTCACCTCGTAATATATGCCGGCATCCAGTTAGATTAGGTATTAGTAATCTGAGTCAGAGACTCAGGCTTATAAGCTTAACCTCCAGTCCAGAAGGAGGGATCGAAGCGATATCTCTTATATAATCATTGATATAAATTTCAATATAAGCCCGGTTAGCCTCAAATAGCCTTCAGTTCGAGGCCTTCTATATTTAAATTATCTAAACCGAGAACTACATCCCTAGTGGCCCTGCTATATAGCCTCAATATCAAACGGTAAAGCTTCAACTCACCCACATCTAGTCTTTCCAGACACCTCCGGGCCGTGTTTGATGAAGCTTTTTAATGTTAGAATAGAATTTAGAAATAGAAATATATTTATTATAAAAACTAAAATTCAAAATTTATAATTAGATTTATTAGTTTAAAAATTTTTATTTTATAGCAATTTATTAACATTAATTCTTAGTTAGTCCAGAATTGGACCGGATGGCCAGAATTGAATTCACCGTGGAAGCCAGAACTGGATTTGTCAGTCTCAAAAGTCTCCCACTTGATAACAGTTTGCCAACTTTCGCTTTTTAAATAGTCCAGAATAGGACCTTACGGCTGGAATAAGACCCTGGGGCTAGAATTGGATTCACCGCGGAAACCAGAACTGGTTTTATCGGTCTCAAAAGTCTCCCATACAATAACAGTTTGCTAACTTTCACCTCTTACACACCTTTTGGTAAGTAATATTCTGTTGCACAGTATATATTCGAATCCTTAGTCAAGAATATAAATGATAATCAGTAAATATGAAATAGAATATACTTTAAAGTATTCAGGTTTACTATATTAACTCAAAAATAAATAATGACGGTGTTGATTACTTAGACCTTATGTGAGTGATATAAAAATTGAAAATTCTTTAAAAGCACTCACGCTTCGCTAACTTCAAAACAAAAATAATAACGATGATGATGAGGATGATGAGGATGATGATCACTTGGGCCATGTATGAGTGATATTAGCAAATGCTTTTGCGCCAAAACACAGAAATATAATTCACTACATATTTGAGTCATCAACATTGGGCTTTCATTTGCTAGTACGTAATATTAATGGAAGGTGATGGGTTAACAACATGACGCAAAGTGCGTCAGATATTCTATCTGTTGGAAACTGAAGTATGACCTTTCTGAGCAAATTTTCATTTAGTTATAACTGGTGGTTTATGGGTCAAGCTTATATTAAGTTTAAATAGGTCTTGGGAGGCTGGAGGGCAATGACTCAAACCTCTGTTTAGGTGGGAACCAATGCTACTGTTAACAAGTGATAGTAAGATGTTTATTTGATTCTTCTAATACAGCCATTCTCAAAATTAGTTTGACCAGTAAACACAGGTGTGATTGATTCTAGGCCCACTAACAAGCCCGTAGCTCATCATTTAATGAAAATGGTTGGGTGTTTCTTTTGGTTAGCGCGATAAACAGGTGTGCACAGCCCCTGCTATGTGTCGTCTGACGATGTCAAGCCTACTGAATCGATTTCTTCCTACTCAGTTTACTCCTGTTAAATGCTCAAAGCTGTACCAACAAAGGTTTCACAACACTTCTAGTATGCCATAGTCGATTAATCACGAACCCGAACTGCGACCCTGCCTCACCGCCGATGTGTTTTTATAATCAAAAAAGATATGCCTGTGGCGATTGTGCTTGGGCTAATTTCGCACATCGGTGCAAGTACGAGTTCAGAACTGGGGAAACTTGCGGAATGAAGTTGGTGAATACAACTAAGTATATGACGAGTCAATGCAGACTATGCGAAAAAATCGAAACCAAATTTCGGCGGCGCCAGCAAGAAGAAAAAGCTGCCTATCCGAGGCGCTCTTCTTTCTTTGTCAAAAGAACGATATCTGAAGACTGCACCCAAAGCAGTGAACCACCACTGAAGCTTCACTGCCTCCACATAGAATCCCTGCGATGGGGACAGCTACGTTTTCCAATGTCAAAATCGCAAGATGTTGGGTCGTCCGGCGTCTCGGAGGAAAAGAATGAACCTAGATATACAACTCATGCCAAACCTGCAATATTAGAGGACTGGAAAAAGGAGGACCGTCGTGCGAAGTTGCGTTGCTTTCGACCTGACACCAGTCAACTCAGAGACCCGAATACTAAGAGACGTCGCAAAACCCGAGATCGCTAAATCATGGCTGCAGCGGTGACTTGGTGCCTAGAAATTTCCATTAAAACGTACCACTCGATAGGGTATTGCATATTAGCTTAACGAAATCCATCTCATCTTCGAAGAAATCATAGGTGGAAAAACACCATAGCACTAGTGATACACGATGGGTCCAGGGATCTGGTTGAGACAGCAATCTCCACTTCTCATTGCGTAAAGAATGGTTGCTATGAGGCCAAGGTAATGATTAGGATGTTTCGACGGCATACCAAAATTTATATACCACCGGTCAAAAAGAAGATGGATTGCCAAGAGCTCTTTGGGTAAACGTATATCACGGCCATGCGGAAATATTTCCGGTGGCGTTAATCCAGTAGAGGTTCAGCCATGTTTAATTAGACAGAAGAACTTCGAATTGAAGTACATTAATGCTCATGTCATGATAAGTCGTTGAAAGACAAAATTGGAGTGTCCAGATCAATGAAGTCTAACTCAGGTGCAAAATGAGGACTAGGAATTTTGACAAGACTGCTACGTCAATAAAAGAAACGCCCAATCATTTTCATTAAATAATGAGCTACGGACTTATTAGTGGGTCTGGAATCAAACACACCTTTGTTTACTGGTCAAACCAATTTCGAGAATGACTATACAGGTAGAATGACTGTCACAAATATATGTACGTTCCCAATCCCTGTCGTGCTGTTTCAGCTACCAGGATATTCAACAGCTATGTATTGAGGAGTGTCGTGAGCAAGCAGTAGTCTATGAATTACTTCGTGAAAGGCCTGCGGAAGGTCTTTAATATCATTGACCTCGTCATAGGCATTCATGATGTATCGAGAATGGCAATTGTTACTGATCAGGCTAGCTGCCTGACATATCTTTTGGCCGCAGAAGTCCATGGGTTTGTGAAGGATCAGATACGACGAGCTTAACTTATAGGACTCTTTAATAAGTCTTTTGCCGTCCATAATTTGAAAATAACACCCCCAGATTCAAGGACCATTTGACAGTTTGGAGGACTTCAATAATGACGTGTCTCTACACATGGAATTACCACTTGGCATATGGGTTAACGTATACTAGTCAATACGCTATTGCAGGTTGTCCTCAGAGAGTAAAACTGTGCATATAATGTAAAACCTTTCCTACTGCAAGAGGAAGGAGATTGCATTTCACGAGTCATGCGTGTTGGCAGCAGTTCGCCTATCAAAGGTAGCACAGCCAGACACTGGCCCTTGATGATCACTTCCGGTTTATACAAGATGTCTATGTCAATGTTGCTGCCTATTGTAAAATCAATGAACCGCAAAAGAAATGATAGGCACCCTCGATGTCTCACTCTGCTTAAATTGCCGATATTACCGATAATACCGATCCGACATGAATGATTGCCGGGTATTAACTTTTCCACTTCCTTTTCTACAAATTGAATTTCCGTCAGCATCAGCTTAACCAGTTTTGGACAATTTACCTAACAATCAGGCTATATTTTCATTCTGTATGAGGGGAATATTCTCCACGTATATTGTTGTCATCAATGGAGAAGCTCCTAGTAGGATTATTAAAATAAGGTCCATTTTATTCCTTAGTTACGAGTGCGCGTGTTAGGCCAAGAGACTGCGCCTCGCTATGGTGTGGCCGCGCTGAAGTTGCCGAAAAAGAACTTGCAGGATCGTGATCGTCTTCTCGAATAACCCTGGCTTAACCTACGTGGTTCATTGGGGAACTTGGGTCTAGCTCCATCAAAAAGTGGCATCTGTCATCTGTCCGTCAAATTCTAGTAATCTATTTGGTTTCGACCAACAAAACCGTGGGTATTTAGGGGGCAAAGTCCACGTTCTGTCCATTCTCTCATTGTATTAAAGCTCAGTTTTCTCTACACGACTTTATTACTGTTCGTTAAAAAAAAAGAAATGCACACTGTCATCTATTAGCCTATTTAATTTACTACCTCCCTTACCCAATGCCGCTTCCATTACAATTTGACCTCATTCTTTGGGCATCTATCTGATCTCCCGTTCTGTTCAGCTCGGTGTACATAGTGCTTCACCAGGGTGACTACGCACGATGATAGACCTTACCGCAAGAAGCTTGAGAAGGCTCGTTATCGTGGTGGGCCTGTCATTGATTGTGTTTGTCATTATCCATCAAGTCAATTACGGGGACAAGTTTGCACTCACCTCTCATTTGTCAGAGTTGATAGAAGTAATCAAGGCTTGCCCCCAAACAACCTCCAAACCGCTCGATGATTCTCGTTCCAATGTTGACTCTGGTATTCCCAACCTTATTCATCAAATTTGGAAAACCGCCGATGTCCATACCTATTCCACGGAGGCGTCCCACGAGTCATGGAAGGCTATGTTTGAACCTATGAATTATACGGTGAAATTGTGGACGGAGGACGACATTCTCAGCCTCGTTAAAACTGCGTATCCCTGGTTGCTATCGACCTATGAAGGCTACCCTCAAAACATTCAGCGAGCAGATGTCGCTAGGCTGATGGTGGTCCATGCAAAAGGAGGGATATACGCGGATTTGGATGTGCACCCGAAGTCGGTTGAGGAGATGTTGTGTTTGCAGCATTCCGATCTGGAAGGTATTTTTGCTCCTACTGCAGGAACCCTTGGGCTGAGCAACCACTTTTTTATGGCACAGCGGGGATCGGCCTTCCTCCTATGGACACTCCATGAAGCTAAACGACGAGGGGGCCCAAGGTCGAAACGCATTATTTTACCCTATCTACGAGTGTTTTGGTCCACGGGACCGATGATGGTGACATCAGCCTTCCGAAAGTACGCGTGGATGCACAGCACAATGGATCATGATATCGGGTTGTTGGACGAGAGTTACGGGGGATCGTTGTTCTGGCACGCAGCAGGACGGTCGTGGCATGAATGGGATGGACGTCTCTTGAATATCATCGGGGATCACATGGCAGTGGAAAACCCATGGGTAGTTTTTTCTTTCTTGGTCACCTTCTTGGGATTCGCGTACATAATGGCTCGACGATGCTATAAAGTCAAATCTCGTCAATATAAGAATACATCTCTATCGGGGAAAAGTGGACTCTAAATGCCTCTCCTACCGATACTTTGTCTTGTATGGGAAAGAGAAAGTTATTGTTTTACTGATTCTGTATAAATTGCTATACAGACACACGCTCCAGATCCTTCTTGGCCCCCTTCTTAATCTGGACAAGGATGGCCGACCGTACTGAAAACAAGCCAGCCATAGGCATCTAATCTGGTGGGACTTGGACAACTAAATCTCGCAAGTTCTTGCCCACCAGGATGATGGTACAAAATGGAGAAAAGACCTTGTGGGGTATATCTCCCAAAATGACAAACGACTCCACTTCCACTGATTAACTGTCTCACCGTGAGCGGGGTGCCTGACCACACTTCAATCTGCCTAAAGATGACACTCAAGTTACATTTAGAAGATTCGTTATCAAGTAGTAGCGTAGCTCCTTGTTAATGTCTGTCTTCATCCAAAAGGGAAATTTTTATTTCTCACAGCCAACGCTGTATGGCCGAGTTCATTTAGACAATCCCCAGAGCGAGCAAGGGAATCAATATCCGTTAAAGCATCTTTGAATCTAATCAGTAGAGACCAACAACGTATAATAATCCAACACATTCTGTATCAATCTTCAATTCCTATATCTGATGGCCATGCGGGATCATGTAGAATTCCACAGGGTTCCAATTGTTTTGCTTTTTCACAACCGCCCGCGGTTGCTTAAGTTGACAGTTGCAGTGACCTTGCGAACGTCGCTGTTGTTGACAACAGTGTTACTGATCCATTTGAAGGTCACCATGTGCCTCCCTCCTGCGGGTAATCATAGCAAACGTCTGCTTTGTTCTCCTTGCAACCCGAATATTCCATCCACTTATTATCAACAACCTGGCGCAGATCAAGACGCAGTCCATGATCCTGGTCTTGGTCGATGGAAAGCGCATTCACGGTGAAGTATCCCGTCTGGTTTTACTTATACCTTCTGGTTCTAATCGCCAGACAGGAAGGCTCTGCTTCACATCCTGGCTTCCAATGGTAATCAGCTTTCCTTCCTCGCTAGAAATCGCCATCTTGAGTTTCTCGGAGTCAACCTCGTCCCTTTTCCAGCGTGCTGCAACACCAAAGCATCGCACACCGCATTTGGGGCGAAAGAATCAATAAGCTTGACGTTTGAAGCATTGATAATTAACAAGCTCGTCATGGTCAGGCGGCGAAAGCAAAAAAAATTGATTCGGGGCATCCGGCAAGCTCATATGGAGGAACTCCGTTTTGTTACAGGTCGAGCAATTTCATTTGTAGAAGCGAGGCTGCAAAGGCGAAGACTGGGAGTTTTCGACTTTAACCGGAGGTATCGAGAGGAACGCAACGTATTTGATTAAACCGCAGTGGCAGGAGCTATGATAGGGCAGTCGAGTTGTTTCCATCTTGCAAAGGTGAGCACCAACGTAATTGAAGGGGTCCTGAAAGCGCGATACGTTGAAAAAAATTCGACATTAAGCTGGTGCCTACAGATACTTCAGAGTTTTATTTGGGATCAGCTGCGGGATTTAAGTCTAGTTCTAGGGCGGGGTTCGGTGATATACTCTGAAGTCCCGGAACCCTCCCATGATGTATCATCGCCAAATAGCCCTATCTGTTGACCCTCTTAGCTTTATATACACTGTCCAGAAGCGCTGAATGATGCCTAAGACAGTTTTACAGTATTAAATATATCTAGTAATAGTAATTAGAAGAATAATATTATATTAAATAAAAGTTATTTTCTTTTATTATTAGATAATTACTAGGATCGCCGCTGAGATCCTTTTTTATTACCTAAATAGGTTAGATATTTAAGACATCCCAGTGGGGAATTTTTGGGTATTGGGTATTTCCATTTCCATTGGGAAATATTTTTGCCTTTCGAGATTTATTTATTATTTATTCAAGTTTAACGACCTTACCTAGCTATAAGCTATGAAGGTCTCAGTAGGCGCTAGGGGGCTTTATAGGGGCTGGCGGCACCCTGGCCACCCTTCCTGGGAGCCCAAACGTGTGGGCATCGCCTGCCGATGACAGACCGCCCAGATCTGTCAATCAAATACGAGGGAACAGGACCATTTCATGGTATTTCAGGGAGGGGTTATTGAGATTATCCTCGAAGAAACCTCCTGTAGCATCATATTGTCGTTCATTCTAATCGTCGACATCGTGTAGATTAATGCTCTATAAATCCTTTCTTAGACTTCTTGGGGCTTTCCCTATATCTCAACGATTCGCTCTATGAAATCGCGAAGGCCTGTACAAAGTTGTTAAAGGTGTGACTTAGCAATGGATTTGAGATTTTCAAAATGCCACTGAGTACTTCTGAAACTGCACGATTTCGGAGATCTATCTCTTTATTCCTGAAAAGCATATATAGAATTGATTGAATAATTGCTTCTCGTACGTGGTCGCATTTGACAAAGTTGTTCAAGGTTTCGTTCATCTTCTATTTTTTTTAAATGTCCTGCATAATACAAGCGGAGCGCCTTGCCAGGTGCCCTGCCAGTCTAGAGAATCGTAATCTGGATACCGAATATTAACCAGTCTCTGGATAATAGGATCCATAAAGAAGGGTCTAAAGATATTTACAGATTCCCGTACCAACATTAATATGCAGCCTTAATATCAGAAACATCCAATCAAGAGTGTTATCTTGATAGAAGCATAAGATAAAAAGGTCTTCTCTATCACAGCAGATGGCCGGGAGTAATCCCAAAGAAGAAGATTTTTTCAGACTATTACTTATTTCGAGTCATTTAATAGATAGATAAAAAGAATAGTCAATCAGATCCTAAACTGTCAATTAATCTTATGTATCAGTTGGTTCTCACCATCAGGGTTCATCTGTTCGATACGTGTCATAACCTTATTTTTACTTGGTTGCTTGACTTTATTTACTTAAGTTGTTAATTCTAGTATCATTGGGTGACGAAATTGTTAATTGAAAAGAAGTAGAGGCGGCTCTCAACACCAGCAAAAATATCGATATACCCAGCAATTCAATCTCATGAAAAATGGACATTGCCCTAGGCCAAAGAAATTAAGTTAAGAGTGCGTATACACCTTAAGGGAGTTCACCTGCCAGAACGAAGACTGGAACGCGGAAGGGTTGTTCTGGACATAGTCTTGGCAAGAGCCCGACAAGCTGGAGCAAGATCCAGAGCCCCAAACAGAACCGGCCCAAGAACCACAGAAGGTGATGTCAAAAACCTATTAAGAATGAGTTAAAGAACAGATATGGGAAGAGCAAAGCAAACATACAAGGTTGTGGTTTTGGAAGTGAGAGTTGATGTCACAGTCACCCATGAAGCGAGCGGCAGGCTGTCCCCAGCTGGCGGGGTTAGGATCACCGCTGGCAAGATCATAAGGGACGTTGGCGTGGTCGAAGAAGAAGATCTGTATAAACTCATCGGTCCATTCCATTGCATAGACACCGCCACCGTTGGCGTTAAACCCGTCTCCGTAGGAGGTAGGGTCAGAGGAGTCAATACCACAACCGGCGTTATTGGGTTGGCTAGAAGCATAGGCATAGCAGTTTCTAGCAGAAACTGACCCTGTAAAGCCGCCACTCTTAATGGAGCAGCCATCGCCGGAGTGTAAGGTCATGGCATCGCCGGACTGCTTATTAACACCCTCGATAATATCGATTTCACCCTGCCAGGGCCAGTTAGAGTTGAAGGTCCAGCTAGCTTAAGTTAGAATAACCCCCTATAGCAATTTCCGCGGTACTTACAAGGCAGGCCAGGAGCCACAGTTTGAACCAGGCATGTGGGCCAGGTCTAGAACAAAAAGGCCGCCGTTGTAGGTGGCATGAGACGTGAGACGAACGCTCCGACGGCCCCTTCCAGAAGCAATATTCGTGCTATCAACACCAATGTAGATGCCATTGCCCTTGGCAGCAATCAGACCGGCGCTGGTGGCGGTGTTCTGGTTCACGTAGTCGACATAGCCAGCGGTGGGATCATTGTCCTATGTTTTCAGTCAGAATAGGACTTTCTTCTTCGAATATTTGGCTTGATAGACATACGGTGTAGAAGGAGAATCTGGAGAAGAAGTCCATGCCAGTCGGGTAGTTGTCGGTCAAGGAGTAGCTTCTGCTATTGGAGGTCAAACGGCTGTGCAATTTATTATCGTGAGGGACGCGGTGGCCACTGGCAGCACTGCTGAGACTGGCGAGTGCAGCAACCTGGAAGATAGCCGGGTAACGCATGACATTGAAAGAATAGTTGGATTGAAATCAATCACCTGTTCGATGACAAAACCGTGAGGAACAAAAATCAGGAAACAGTTTCTGGTGGGCTAAAGGACTGTATGGCTTCTAGTACTAGGCTCAAGTTCTTATAAAGGAATTTTAGAGGTAGAGGGACACTGCTACTAGTGGCTATTAGTGAAAGATTCAGCAGGCAAAAAAGATTGGTAGAAACAGCAGGACTTTATACATATCAGTCACAGGGGAGTCAGGATGGAGAGGGATTGTCCGAATGACACATTGTTGGACATCTTTGAGCAGAGTGGGATGACTGTTCAGTGACTACCGTACAAACGAAGAGTATAGTTTGCAGCAGGATTGTCACAGGGATGTAGCTGAATGTTGGATTAACATATCTAGCTCGAAACACGGTGGAGTTGGTCCCCGAATTCAAAGAGTAGAACTCTAGAGTCAGACAGTATCCATTATCATCTATGCCTAGATAATACCGCTAGTCTAATTAGGAGACAAAGGGGTAGTCAGACTGGCGATAGGATGTAGGATAACTAGCCAAAGATTGTGTCGGGATGATATGATTCTTATCTTAACCGCGCTAATAGCTGAATCGTAACTGCAACACGTCGTATTAGTCTATTTATCGAAGACTGTTCCTGTAGATCCTGCAAGTTGCTTAAACACACAAAGTCACGTCATCCCTACAGCCAATCTGATCTAGTCGAGCCCAGCACGCTTTTAGGATCAACTGACTCTGGATGCCCATAGCGATACCCATTAATACTGATATATTTCCAGCCTGGGTAGACAATATCTATACAGGACTATCATTTCTCCACTTGCTATACATCGCATCATACAACCTCAAATCCTGCACCGCATCCTCCGCCGTCGTCTTGATCGGCTCGCCCTCCACAAAACACTTATACATCTGCGTCAACTCCGCCGTATACGCATCCTCATAACTCGACACAATCTCCCTAGTCTGCTTCTCGCCGTACTCATTTACCTCCTCAACCCGCACCTTAATCGGCAACCCCTTAACATACGGCGTATCATACCGTATCTCCACCCTCTTCTTCTCCCCATAAACCGCCAAATGAGCATCAAACTCCGCGACACCGTCAATCCCACTCTCATACGTAACCGCAAATGTCCCATACTTGAAAATCGCAGAATAAAACGGATCGTTGACGGATACTCCACCAACAGACTCTGGCACCCCCAACGTCTCGCGCATAAGCGACAGATCATGGGATCCCAAACTCCCCAGAAACCGACAGTACTTCTTCATCTCATCCGTAATCTCTTCTGCACCTGGGAATGCTTCATGATACAAGCCATCGAGCAGCCGTTCACGCTTCTCGCCTGCAGAGGCTGGAATATCGGTGGCTTTTACTTGAAACGTGCCGCTCTGACTCACAAAAAATGTGTTTGGCCCACTCATGTCTCTCACCCGCGCGTACATTATTTTTGGGATTGATGCGACTTCGCGCAGAAAGGCGCCTGTGAATGAGGGCGCGTAGCGACGCATATAGCCTACAAAAACTCTCCCCTGCGACTCTCGTTCGGCGGCGAGAATCTGCTGCGCGGCCGGGAGGGATAGGGTTAGTGGTTTCTCGATCATGATGTTTTTGTGTGCGCGTAACGCGGCCACTGCGTAGACGGCGTGATACTCGTCGCTGGTGAGGATGAAGACGACGTCGACGGCGGCATTGTTGATGATGTCATCTGGATTGGTGGTGTGGTGAGGAATATGGAATTTGGTGGCGCAGTGCAGAGCCGTTTGCGCGGATATGTCGCAGATGCTGATGATTTCGTATAGATGGGAAAGGAGGATGAGAGTAGGTAGGTGGATGACTTGCGCGACTTCGCCGGCGCCGATGATGCCGACTTTGAGGATTGGCATTTCTTTCGTTCGTCGGGTTTGTCTGCGTTTGGGTGAGGTTGTAGGAGGAGCAAATTCGGGATTAACTGGCTTGCTACCCCACAGCGGGGAGACGATCAGATCGGCTGTTCTCCGACTCTGATGTGGCGAGTTTCATTTGATATGGTGGGGTTAAGCAAGTATTCAAGACCTGACCTGCCAAGTTTAATGTAGGACAGAGACAAATGACTCAATATTATTATTACATGCTAAAGGACAAAGGTATCTCAATTCGACAGACATAACGAGCATCCATCTCCATCATCGCCAACCAGTTCATAGCCAAGAGTAGCCATCACCGCACTTATAATTAACCCAGCGCTAAGCAGTCAGCTCGTGGCCAGTTTCGTACTTGGGCTCACCTGCAACACCAGTGTCGACAGGTGCCGTAGTAGCCTCCGCAGGGGCAATAGTAGGGGCCGCAGTCGACGACCTCGACTTCAGAACGAGGTATCCAGGCCATTCGCCCTCCATAACATCGAAGATAGCCAGGAAGCTAAAGATAAACAGGGCCATGAAGAGAATCCTACCAGCGATGATTAGCAGCCACACACTACATACTATCAAAAGATAGGGCAAGGGTAATCTTACCAACTGAGAACAGCAAATGCAAGCACCGCATTCATAATCGGTGTGCCATACGTGCCAATCAAATACGCCAAGTCCGCGAACCCGGCCAGCCAGAAGACCCAGGTGAGAAAGTAGACGATGATCAGAGTCGGGGCGAGCCAGCTGTTGTGGTGATGGCCGTTGTTTTGGTGCAGGTAAAGAGGATATCCGAGTGCGGCGCCAGACACGAGCGTCGTCCAGACAGCGCAGAACATGAGAAGGGAAGTGACATCGGGGGATTTCCCCTTGACGGATTCGTAGCAGACGTCATAACTGAACGAGTCGCAGTAGACGGGGACCTCGTAGCTCCCTGTCAAGACATGTATGCCGTAGCCGACCAAGCCGATCTCAATGAGAGCAAAGACAAGGCCGGTAGTCAGTAGGGAGAGAATGACGATGCTGAGAGTGCGCATTTTGAGGGCTGTTGTATGCACTGTTTGTTAGAGAAAGCGAACGGGATGACGGTGCGTAGGTAATGAGCAGAGGAAATCGACGACCGACATGGCGTCCGGCCTAAATAAAGAAGAAATTTTGTTAAGATTATGATTGACTAATCCATTCCAGCGCCAGGCTATTTTTGCTCGTCTCGCTCGGAGCGCTGTAACAGATTGGAATGTTTGTATAGGGTCTGCCTCTGTATAGAGTATGACGCTAGTCTGGAATAGGAAAAGAATACACTGTCAGTGGGGACCTCGCATATGACAATCCAATGAAACGGTAGTGCAGCCGCTTAAGTGGTGATGTGATTGGCCAGCGGGCTGCACTACTCTGGCTGGACCTGGCTGGGCCGGGCCGGCAAGGCTGACTCTGTTTTTTTTTTCCTATCGCGCACTCAACTGGACTCGGTGCGAGGCTGAAGCCCGGCGGCAGTGGCTTCTTGGCCACATGGATTAGCGAAGGATCGCACATGGTAGGATGTCATTAGAAGGCCGCAGAGTGCTCCGCATGGCTATGTCGCACAACCCCTGAAAACATTCATATTCATTATGAATTCACCATTTCATAATTCCATACCTGGGCGAGTCAGTTACTCGTAATCGGGATGGACTATGGAGAACGATACGGATACGAGAAGCACAGCGCCAATAACAGACTCGACTGCCCAAGCTGAGTTGCCGAGCTAGCCAGCTCAGCTCAAATTCTAATTGCTTTTTGAGTCACCACGAGCCGCACGCCAGAATCAATAATCCCCACCCGCAAATACAAGATCAGTAGTGTGAACTGTGAAAGCTGACGCTAGTCACGAATGCGCTCGCTTCATGTGACCCAATGCAGGAATTGGCTTGTGAGGCTTGAACCGATTGGTCATGGCTGGCATGACTGAGCCGCTTGAGTCTTAAAGAGTCTTAAATCGTCACGGCAGCGGGAGCATCACGTTCTATTCTGTACTCGGTGCCCTGGTGCTGCCTGAGTATGAAGCTTGGGCCGGAGCTCGTTCAGCCGCAGCAATTGACGAGGAACTCAGTCGGAATTGGCTCGGGCCGAGATATGATACATTGACTTACGGAGTAGTCTCTCCAATTAGGCGGTATACTAGTTACTTCCCGACTTGATCCGGACTGTATGGAGATAGTACAGTATAATGACACTGATCAATTACTTGATCTATCACAATCAACCTTTATGATAGCCTAACTATCAAACAAAAAGTCCAATCGCTTATTCCCCTGATCCGCAGTGTTCTCCAAATACGCCGCTTTCTCCTCTGCACTCATCTGCCCCCACTTCTCCTGCTTCCACCGATTCCGCGCCACATAATACGCCTTGGCCAGGGCATAGACAACGATAGTGGCGACGTTGATTGCAATAAGCTGCTTGTTCCCCCGTCGGTAGAGCGGTTTGTCGTCATTGCGATAGATATTCGACGACGCAATGCCGGATAATTGAATGGTGATGTTGTACAACGCTGCACTCACAGTGCGTGTACGCACGGCGTTACTCAGTCGTGAACACCACCCGACATGCGCCGCGTGAGGCGATGGCCAGCCGAGTAGCACAAATGTCACGGCGTATAGCCCCCAATTCGACAAACTCCCAGCCGACGTGTACAACACGATCAGCAGCGGCAGGGACCAGACCTGTGTGAGTAGACCGATTAGCGAGATCTGGTGGAATCGCTCGGTGAGTTCCGTGACCAGCAACAAATTTATAGCGGAGAAGACCGTGACGGGGATCGAGAGCAGCGTGGTTTCAAACGTGGTGAAGCCGATTGCTTTGAGCGACAAAGTAAGATATGCCTTGGGCGGTGCTGTGGGAATCTCGAATAGTATGCCGATGATATAGATAGGCCACAGGTCGAAGTCAGTCAGACTGCGCCAGAGCATGCCCAGGGACAGAGCTTGGCGATTGTGCATGTCTCCTTTGGACGGATCGTCGCGTAGAACTCTGTTGACGATGATAGTCTCTTCCTTTTCGGTGAAATAGCCTTGAGGATTCCACCAGGTTTTTGTTTGTGTTGGGCCTGGCACTAGGAACAGGAAACTCAAGAAGCCGATTACAATACTAATAAGTGCCTCGATCAGAAACAGCCATCGCCATCCCTCGTGCCCGTCGACACCGCGCATGTGCAGGACACCATACGCAATGAACGATGCAATGACTCCGGACATCGAGTCGACGAACCAGAACATGGCCAGACGGAACGGCATCTCCGACTTGGTGTAGAAATACGATAGATACAAGATCGAATCCGGGATAAATCCTCCCATGAACAAGCCGATAAAGAACCGACATGCAAAAAACCCAGCACGATTATGCATAAAGAATTGTCCCCCGATGCCAGACTCCAAAGAATAATCTGCACAGGAATCCATCGATCTGGGCCTAGCCGCTTCCCGATCATTTGCGAAGGGATTTCCGCAATCAGAAACCCAACCCGGTACATGTTCTGTGCATTGTTGTAATCATTCGTGCTGAGTTTCAGATCATCGAGAAGGTTGTCAGCGGCCGCATTGGCTAGGTTTCCGCGATCGAGATTGAGGCCAAAGAACATGATCAGGATCCATAGAAAGATAGTCCAATCAGTCTTGCGCCGGACGGACGTTTCTTCGCGATGCGTCCATCGGGCGTTGGGGTCGAAGCGATGGAGGTTTTCATATTCCGGGTGCGGTGTATAGTACTTGCTAAGCACGGGGTCGTCGAATACGCTTTGAGCAGTGGCAATCGCGTCTGGATCGACCCTTTTCTTTCTCTGAACAAGCGCCGAGAGCAGTGACTGAGACTGCGGGGTTTCCTCGGGCTCAGCAAGTGTGCTCACATAGCTGCCGTCTTTGAGATTGACGCTCGTTTTAGCTGGTGTTGTAGGGTCTGAGTTGGCCATTCTTTGCAACACAGGAATTCCGACAAGAACCACTTGACAACCTCATTCATCCAAAGAGAGATAGCCACCGCATATAAACTGATGCATCACACCCACGCTGCAACGATTAAACTGCATATTGGCGGCGTATTCCGACATACGTGATCGAAGGAAACCATGATGCCATTCTAACCCTCCCTATAAAATCCCAACCACGACAAAGTCGAATAGTAAATAACTCCGCTGAGCATTTTGAATTTTCGATATATTGACTGTATACAAATTTACTAGTGCTTGGCAATTAACATGGCAGATACTGTTCGATCAATAGGATGTCGCGGTCAGCGTTAGTTGCGGGACGCGCCATACAAGCACGGATGGCATCAACGGAACAAACCATATTTCTCCCCATTCTATCCCTATTCAAGGCTTATTTAGGCTTATTTCGAGGATTTGTTTCATAAGATTGGTGGAAAATTCATGGCAGACCGGTTATTATCATCGTTATAGTATTTGTATTATGCTGCTTCTATCAAATATTTAGGGCTTGCACTTGACCGGTAGAAACACACATAACTAACTTTAACTCAGCCTAATAAATCATTTCAAAGCTCTTTAGTCCTTCCTGACTAGCGTACGTGGTAATACGATGTATAAAGTGAGTGGCTATGAAATAATAACCAATAAAAATAGGCGATAAAAATAAGCACCTACTGAAATAAAAATTAATTCCTGCACCCGCGCACTCAATTCCACACACCGGTCAAATGAATCTCTAAATATTTATCCGTAGCCACTATGACTGACTGCCCTTCAGAAGTCCTAGGCTCGTTGACATTCTGTTCTGTTGCTAATAGCATTCGCTCCCACGCTGGTGTCACTAAGCACCAGAAATAAATATCGTAGCAATCTTTCATCACTTTAGCTTAAAAGAAATATACAGAAGCTTAAGATGCCCCAGCTTGATTGGCTAGGATCACCGCCCTGTCACAGCACTGGCTCGACGTTTGGCGTGCCCTGGCCTCGTGGCCAATGCTTCCCCAGTCGCAATAATTTCATCTGCATCGACCCCAAGGGACGTAGACTGCCTCTCCAGACCTGGAGTACAGCCTATTGGCCAGATGGTTCGATTAAATGGACCGGACACGCAGTTTCTAGTCGTGCGTCGAGCGTCACTATCAAGGCTATTGTGGGTTCGTTGGAAGCTTCTAACAAGAACTTCGAGGCAGATGTAGGCGGGATAAATATATTGACTGCTGAGAAAGCGATTGAGGTGGATACAGGGAAGATCAGAGCGGTATTTCCGACCTCAGGCTCGTCGCTTATTAAAGAGATAGTGCACTGTTCTTCTGGCAAGGTGGTTGCTGAAGATGGGCATTTGGTCCTTCAGACTCAGGCTGCTGTTCGCGACGGCTCGATAACAGCATTACTGGGCACAATTGAGAATGTTCAAATCGAAAGCCAGGGTCCTGTGAGAACAGTGGTCCGCGTCGAAGGAAAACACCAGCTTATCGAACACCAATCACCATCAGCAACCCCATATCTCCCATTCATTCTCCGGTTCTACCTCTACGCCGAATCAGAAGTTATTCGAATTTTATACACAAAAATATACGACCAGAACCCTGCAGACGAATATATCCGCGGCATAGGCGTCCGATTCCGAGTCCCGCTCGAAGCCGAAGTGCCGTATAACCGACATATTCGCTTTTCTGGCACCAACGGCGGCGTTTTCAGCGAGGCTGTGCAAGGGGTGACAGGGCTGTGGAAAGATCCAGACCCAAGTGTGCGAGAGGCACAGGTCTCCGGTCAACTGACTCCCCCAATAGAGCAATGGAACCCGGATGTTGTGTCGAGATTACAATGGGTTCCTCGATGGAATGATTTTACCTTGACACAGCTGTCCCCCGACGGGTATACGATGCAGAAAAGAACGAAAGCCGGACATGCCTGGGTCAAAATCCCCGGAGCCACACGGTCGGGAGGATTTGTTTATCTGGGTGGCGCGAGATGGGGTGGGTTGGGTATCGGCATGCGTCATTTCTGGGAGCGATATCCCACGCAAATCGACATTCGAAATGCAGATACGCAGCAAGGGGAGATTACAATGTGGCTGTATAGTCCGTCGGCGGAGCCAATGGATCTTAGACCGTATCATGACGGCCTTGGACAGAAGACGTATGACGACCAACTAGACGCTTTGCAGATCACGTATGAGGACTGGGAAGCAGGCCTCGGAACGCCGTATGGTATTGCAAGGACGAACGAGATATATCTATATGCCTCCGAGAGCACGCCTACAGCTGCAACATTGTCCGGTATAGTTGAGGAAATCCGTAATCCTCCAGTGCTCGTCGTACAGTCAGAGGACATTCATCGAACAGAGGCATTCGGATCATACTGGTCACCACAATCAACGTGGCTGCAATCCACCCCACAAACCGCTCAGATTTCGCACAACTTGGATTTTCTATTCACATATTACCAAAACCAGATTGCTCAACGCCGATGGTACGGCTTCTGGGACCACGGGGATATCATGCACACTTACGACGCCGATCGACACACCTGGAGATACGACATTGGCGGGTATGCGTGGGACAATTCCGAACTCTCACCTGATCTCTGGCTATGGCTATATTTCCTCTGCACGCGGCGCGAAGATTTATTCCGGGTGGCTGAGAATCTCACTCGACACACGTCAGAAGTTGATATGTATCATCTTGGACCACTCAGGGGCCTCGGAACACGGCATGGAGTGCAGCATTGGAGTGACAGCTGCAAACAAGCGCGAGTATCGAACGCGTTGTATCGTCGGTATTTCTATTATCTTACAGGCGGCGACGAGCGGATCGGGGATATTCTGCACGAGGCTCTTGATGCAGAAGATAAGTTTCGGAGATTGGACCCGTATAGAAAAGTGCGCAAGGATAAAGGGTTGTCCGTCCAGTACGATTCTAATAGTGAGGCATTAATCTCCCTCGGCACCGACTGGTCTGCTCTCGCCGCTGCGTGGCTTGTAGAGTGGGAGAGACGCGGACCACGATGGGAGTCTGCGCGGTCGAAGCTGTTCACATCTATCCAGGGTATCATTGACTTGAAAAATGGCTTTGTGACCGGCCAGGCTCTGTTACATCTGGACAGTGGCCGAATCAGACCCCCACCTGTCGACCATGAGAATAATGGACATGTGCAAGTGTCACACCTCTCAGCAATGTTCGGCCTTGTAGAGACGTGTGCAGACATAATCGACGCATTAGCAGGCATAGACACACCCCTTTTCAAACCCTTCAGATCTGCATGGCTGGATTACTGCGTCCATTTCAATGGGCCGGCGACGGCGCAGATAGGGAGGTATGGAACCGCCTTCCCGAAACTCATCCTGCGTCAGGGCCATTCTCGGCTCACAGCGTATGCAGCGAGGGAATTGGGGGATGGACATCTTGCGCACCGGGCATGGCGGGAATTCTACAATGGGGATGGGTATGCGCCGTCGGTGCCATGGAAGACTCAGTATATAGATGGTAGCAGGGTTCCAGTTGCGGTTGAGGAGGCAAGCTGGGTGTCTACTAATATTACGGCTTTGTATGGGCTGGCGGCTATTCAAGGGTTGGCTTGGAATGCTGATTTTATTTCACAAAATCTTAACATCTAGGGTAATCTCTTGAAGAGAAAGAATTATACCTCTAGAAACTCCCCCAATAATGCAAATCATAGTCCACTCCACCGGGCCTCCACAACGGCGCTGGTGTGTAGACTGGTATCGGCGATGCAGCTAGAGACAAAAGCAGTCATTATCCAAAATACAAATATAATCAGAATATAGAGTAAGCTTACTGCCGTATCCCGTACTCGGAACCGCCCATGTCGGAGTCGACGGCGGCTGCCAATTCGTTGGCGACGCTGTAATTGTATACACACTGGTACACGTGTATGGAGTTTGCCCGGCACTCAAAGACGCAATTCCATTATGAAGCCCGTAGCTGTCATCGCCAGTCCCGAAGATATTGTTGATCTTGTTGACAACCGAAGTACCAGATTCAGTCCAGACGGAGAACTCTTTGACAGTAACATTCGTCGCGAATGTCAGGTCGTTGGCGGTTAAATAGAGCGGAGGTCGTGATGCACCGTTGGCCACGGATCCTAAACAATCAGCTTCTACTATCAAAAGTGATTTTGTGTATGGCTTACCAGAAAAATTCCGAAAGATAAGATTACTCAATGTAACTGACCCAGTATCGGGTTCATATGTATTCTGCCAGTACTGATTGATATCCAGCCCATATTGGCTAGCTAATGATCTGAAATTCTCAAAAGTCACATTCGTCACGTAGCCAGATCCGCCGGGGTATGTTTTGATAAAAGCGATGTTGTTGCCCTGGATAATGCTGATGTTGCGTGCTTCCTGTACCCAATTGATCAGCCAAGTCCAGGCGAACTACTTGGGGTGTACGCACAATATTCGAGATCTCTGCAGATACATTCAAGCTACCGATGGATACTCCTGAGCCTGCTTGGTTACAGACTAGATTCTCCACTAGAGCGTGATGGGATGGACTCTTCACAGAGACACATTCATCGCGATTCGTCACCTAATATATAGTTCAGCTTGTATTGATTATACATCTTGGGTTTGGACTCACCTCGTTATCATGTATGTAGTAATTCGTCCCAATTGCGTCTATACCATCATAACTACCCAGGTTAGCGCCACGAATGGTGAGATGGTACGCCTCGACGTTGACAGCAAAGTCCAAGATGATATGGAACTTGGGACTGTCGACGAGGATCAGGTCGTGAACTGAAGCGTTTGTAGGTGATATCAGGCGCACCAAACGAGGTCGATCGGTGCTTTGACTATTTAGTAGTGATATTGATCGCTGCTGGTAGATAACTTACTTATTCAGATTCCGGTAAATATAGCCTTGACCCTGGATCGCTCCTCGACCGTTGGAGGAGTAAAACTCAAAATCGACGGCTCAATTGCACTAGTTAGTTCCCAATCAATCAATATTATCGACAGACCAACCGTTGATAATGACAAGCACATCTAGCAGAAACTCATGGTCACCCTCTCCGTTAATCGTGGCGTTGAGGGCCTCCACACCCGCGAAGCCCTGGAGAATAAACTCACGCTCAATAGTCCAGTTACCGTCGTATGCCGCTGTAATCAAGCCATCGAGTTGAAAGGCCCAGTTGGTAGCATTGCTCAGCACCACGCCGCGATTGAGCAGATACTCGCCTTCGGGGACGATGAGTTTGCTGCCCGGGTTTCTAAGAATGCAGTTACTGAATGCTGTTTCGAGGGCGACGGAGATGTCACTGCTGTTATCGGCGACGGCACCATAGTCAAGGATATTGCACTCGGTGGTTTTTGAGCCTAGAGATGTTGTTGGGCCCACGGGACCAATCAGCTGGCCTATGGCGATGCTGGATAGGAAGGAGAGGAGAGAAACGAGAGCTTTTTTCATCTTGGCTCAATGTTGATCTTGATTATTGGTAGAGAATATAAACTATGCAGTCTATACTTATTATTTATATCCGATATTATATATGTATGTTATGCAGTAAATGTGTGTGTGATGACGCAATCAACAGGTACCACAGATTATCCTCCAATGGCTGCTGAACAGCATCAATTGATATATATGGACTCTAATATGTGGTAACTACTTCTATCATGTTAGTTAAATTTTACGGTTAATATATTAGTCTCAAGCACACCATCGGCTTGCCGAATGGCGCCGTCAGCTACTACTTGCCGATCTGGTAATTTCTTGCCAGCTTCCGACGATGCCTTACTCACATCTCGGCTCTTGGGTCTGCATGATGATAATATTAGATATTTCTGATCTGATCAGGCAAGCAAATAGGACTGAGGCTAGTGTTTGTGTCAATGTCTATGGTAGTGTCACAAGTATAAGTGTTTAATCAGATAGCAAGCATTCAGAACAAACTATTTATGCTACCTCATATATACTATTTAGTTAAACAGCATGTTATCAGAAGCATGCCTTAGACATCATAATAAGCGTTGGAATGTTCCGATAATTAGTACAAATTCATTCTTATTGACGGGTTGATCATTGCTTGTTGGACAAGAATGTTTATCCAGTGAAGCCTAATAGCCATTTCAACCCTCGTTCACAGTCCTCTTGCGCCTTCTTTGATATGTCTAAATGGTGAGCGTAAATCCAGAAAATATGCGGAAGGCCCTATTTATTCAAACTTGTCAGCAACCCAAATCGACTCCTGCTCAACACTTTCAGTATTTCAAAGCATACCATGTACAACGACTCTTGCACTTCCACCCCAGCATCTCGTAAGGCTTGCACATAGCACACAGCATCATCCCGTAGGATGTCCACATCACATATTTGGATATATGTTTTTGGCAATCCCTGAAACTGGCCCCATAATGGATACGCATCTGGACTGGTTCTTTTATTGGGTGGAACTCCAAGTGCATCTGAAAAAAAGAGGTTGACGAGATGAGCAGTGACGGAGATTAGATAATCAGTTGGAAATACATACCATGATTCCCTTCCATTTCCTGTCTCTTGAGAAGAGTTGTCTCCAATTCAGCACGCCACGATTTATGCCTATCACTAAACTGAGGAGGAATGAAAGCCGAATCTGTTCCGCGCACAGTCACTGGCGCTCTAAGCAGAACTCCTCTCATAGTAATCCCTACGCAAGAAGGATTTCCATTCATCCAGGTTTGTGCACGTTGGGAGACTATAGCTGCGAGCTGCCCCCAGAAGAGGTCCCGCTGACAACTACGTTGACCACTCCGGGAGCGATATTTGTCACCAAGCTAGAGATATTAGAGACTATATACTGAAATGCATCCCAGCCATCGTTAAGTGGGATGGGGTATGTATATGCCGGGCTAAGTCGGTATTCGACACTAAGGACGGTGAGCGGCCCGCACAGAGCCATGTACCGGCATGAGACTATCTATTTTTTTAGTTCACCACTCCTTTGGGATCTATCCATAGACTATCTCAAACGTACCATCTTCCGTATCGAGGGAGCCGCCCGTAAACCCGCCAGAATGGAAGAAGATTACGACTCCATGTGAAGATTCTGTTCGCTTGGCTGTGTATATTCGAATAGGGATTTTGTGATAATCACGGGCTGGAACACTCGTATCTATCGTCAATACTTCAGCGATAAATTTATGGCCAGCTGGAGAGTCGTAGAAGCCATTGTTCCGCTGATCATCATCATGGGCTGTGTTGGGATTTTGTGCAATGAAGGAACTCCATTCAGGATGGAGACGCTTCATTTTTCAGGTAGTGTACTAGTAATACGAGTAACTTATGTGCTATTTACGACCTACGGAAAACGTAAGTTTTTAAATTATCCCAGTCTGTAGGCAGCAATGAATTATTAACTAATATCATGCGTCGGCTCGTATTCGGTCAAATCGTCCTGTCACTTTCTACCAATGAGGACACCAGGTGACATTAACAGGCTTTTTATTCCAGCCTAAGCTATAGCACTGCACAGTAAATTTAGTGACATAAACTACTTATCGCATTCTAGTTTGCCACCTCCATAAAGTGCTATAAAAAAGTTAGTCTTTAAAATATGTTATAATCAAAACAAAAAGTATCTACTAAAAAACTAAAAAATACTAAACTCACTAGGTCGCCCTTATAGTGGGGCAAAATTATCAAAGAGAGTGCTCGATATGAAGAAGATTTCGAATTTGTCTGTACAGTGATGGTGATCCAAAGCGTATCTTGAATAGGGCAGCCTTTCATCAGAAAATTCGATCGATATAACAAGAATTGAGGATGTCCCTTTAAAGTTGGCACACCTCATTCCTAGTAGGAGTGGTTTGGAAAATGTATGTCTATTTTTTCCGTTCAGGCGATTGGTGGATACACTACAATATTGTTTTAAAGATCTTCAAATTGAAAGAGCCGCACACTTGGCTATTGAAATGAAGAGATATGTTTTAGTGACACGGCAAAGACTTCTAGTTGGGACGATTGAATATATACATCTAAATTATTTAGCCCCATTTTATTATACCAACTCCCTTGATGTTCCTTCATGGGCTGACAAACGATTCAAGGTCATTCTCATCATTTATGACCGCGAATTTTGAACTAGTGGAGATAAGGAAAGTACCCTTCAATTTTCTATGCTATTCCACCTGTAGAATTTGCGACCACATCTCCAATCCAAAAATGAGGATTCTTGTTACTGAATACAGCGATGTCATCAAAGAGGGCTTTCGACTCTGATGCCTCCCGGAGCAACAACAACCTGATCCGCAGAATCCCATATCATCGCCATTAAGATATTAAACCGGGCTTAGACACATTAAACCCTTTGGTAAGCTGCGTGACATTCCAGGACTTCAAGCTATATTTAGGCCAGTGTTCTTCAACAAGTGACATATGCGTCGTCGTCATTTGGATAGCCGATTGTTGCTAAAACCGGCATTTTGTAAGAATTTCGATTTAGATGGGTATTAGATGAAGGGCTTTGCAGTACAATATATAATTGAATAGAAGGTATATGTAATGAATCAATCGATGTGTTGAAGGTATATTTATATTTCGGCCGGTTTCTAGGGTTATTAGTAGTTGACGATACAAATGAGACGGCGTGTAAGCTAGACAAGCAAAGTGAGATGTGGCTTATAGAGGCTGATGAGTTTGGGGTGATGTTAATGGCTGAAAGTAAGCACTCTCTTCACCTTCACATAGGATTCTTAGGATTTTTTTAAGCCAGCTGCGCGAGTCAACGCCATTGCTACTACTGTCTGTGAGTGACTGAGTCTTCTCTACAGGAATGGTTTTATAGTATCAGGCAAGGTAAAACTGTATGTCTTTTATATGCATCGGTTGGTCGACACGTGATGGTATACACGTGCTACGATAGGGCTTACAACTATGGATGTGAGTAAAGTAAGACCGTTGTAAAGAAGGTAAAGCCAGAGATGAAGTCTTGAAGTGTTCGCAAATTACAGAATCAATCTATGCTTCCTGGTATACATCTACAGCTAGAGACGGAAATGGTCAATCAACCATTAGTTACTTTCCGCTAGATACGATTACCTACAATTCATATTTAATCTGGCACTATTGTCTGCAAGCATGGCCACAACTAGTAACTACGTCTCTACTATATGGTCGTTATGCTATGCAGCAGTATGTAGAGTGACCCACAGATTATCCACCAATGGCTGCTCTTTCCTATCCTATTGGTCTGGGATATCAATATATTAACTGCGTATATTATGATTGGATTTTATCGGTTAATATAATTAGTCTCAAGCACACCATCAGCGTGCCGAATTGCGCCGTCCGCGACTTGCCATATCTGGTAATTTCTTGCCAGCTGCCAACTGCCTTAATGTTGGTGAGGTTGCTGTTATTTATTATTAGAGCGCAATTAGATATTATCTATTATTTATTGTTCAAAATACTTGACCTGTGATTGAACAATGTCCAGGAAGAACATCCTCCTCCTAATCGCCGACGACCTGGGCAAGCAATTAAGTTGCTACGGCGCGACCACCATCCAAACCCCCTCCATCGACCAGCTCGCCTCGCAAGGAACTCTTTTCGACTACGCCTTTGCCAGCACAGCGTCTTGTAGTGGCAGCCGCTCGGTGCTATACACGGGGCTACACACACATCAAAACGGGCAGTACGGGCTCGCCTCCCACCGGCACCACTTCGTCACCTTCGACCATGTCGACAGCGCACCGCGCCTCCTCAACCAGGCCGGCTATCGCACTGGCATAATCGGCAAGATCCATGTCGGTCCAGACCCTGTATACCCATGGGAAGTTCGCCGAGAGAGCGACACGCGCGACGTCGCAGTTGTCGCGGACCAGGCGAGGGAGTTCTTCCTCCAGTCTCAAGAGACTGATGCCCAAAGGCCGTTTTTCCTCACTATTGGGTTTATTGACCCGCACCGTGACCGTACGCGCGCAGGGTTTGGAAATGATGCCTCCAACTCCTACGACGAGCGTATCACGCCTGGCAAGTATACGGCTGAGAACGTAGAGATTCCGTCGTTTATCAACGATACTCCCGGCACCCGGCATGAGTTCGCGGAGTACTATAATTCAATCCACCGTCTCGATCAAGGCGTCGGCCTGGTCCTCGCTGCACTCGAAGATACCGGTCTGGCAGACTCAACACTTGTCATCTTCGTGAGCGACAACGGGCCGCCGTTCCTCAACTCCAAAACAACCCTGTACGACGCCGGCGTGCGGCTCCCACTCCTCATCCGCCAGCCGTCCCCCAACACCACCACTACTCACGCTGTGAGAAGCCCGAATATGGTCTCATACGTCGACATCCTCCCTACAATCCTCGACTACGCCGGTGCGCCCCTTGCCGACGCTACCCAAAAACGCATCGGCCGGTCCCTCCTGCCCCTCCTCGGCACCAGCACAGTCCTGTCCGGCTGGAACCAAGCGTTTGGCTCCCACACTTTCCACGAGGTGACCAACTACTGGCCGACACGCTTCATCCGCACGCGCCGCTGGAAATACCACCGCAATCTGGCCTGGCGTCTCGACTTCCCATTCGCAGCGGACCTGTATGGCTCGTTGTCGTGGGAGGATATTCGCAACTCTTCAAGTACCAGCAGCGGCGAGGAAATAAAAATCGGCGGACGAAAGTTAAAAGATTACTTCTTTCGGCCTGCCGAAGAACTGTATGATTTGGAGAACGATCCGGATGAGATACACAACCTAGTAAACGACTCAGAGTACGTAGAGGTGTTGGGCCAGTTGAGAACGAAGCTAGATACGTGGCAGCGGAGGACCGAGGATCCGTGGTTGTATAAGGATGGCGTGTCGGTGTGGTTTGTGCGGTATCATTTACCGGCGGGCCTCAAGTTGCCGGATAGACAGGATTTTGATGCCGAGAGGCCCGGGAATAGAGGGCCTGCAATTCAAAATGATTTGACGTGGGGAGCGGAGGTGAGTGTGGAGGAGTTGTATGAGTGATGATTCTCGGGGATCTTAAGGATTATATAGCTTATGATACCACTTACTTCTAAAGTTCCACCTAATACGTTCATATCCTTATATGTGTTTGTTAATATTTAAATTATCATCTCCTTCTCAGGATTTGATGTAGATAGAAGTACTTATTCGGCTTCCTTTTACCAAGCTTGTCAGTAGCTTTGTCCACATCGTATCCAAGCCCTGCTACCACAACTATGTTCATTAATTATTCTGAAGTCCCTGTTTCACGTTTCAGTAGTTAGTTTGTACGGTATGTTTCATTGCTAAGCGCATTGATTAACTTGTATTTGTTATACAAACCCTACATTACGTCACGTGTCGCTCTAAGATCCCGTAGGCCATCCTTCTTTATCGATAAGCATTACTCCTACAGTTCTGTATATGCAACAGTATCAAGTCAAGGACCGCCTCCCCTGAGCTATGGATATCAACAACCACCACCACCACCACCACCACCACCACGGTGTCTACTCCAGTTTACATCCTACCCAGGCAGTACACAGCCTAGCGTCTGAGGTTAACGATGCGAATCAAAATAGGGCACACTTGATCGTAGGTATTGATTTCGGCACGGTTTTCTCTAGTGTCGCTTTTGCCTTTGTGGCCAACAATGAAGTTCGAGAAGACATCATCACCGAATGGCCTGGCACTGGTACGCTTCCCAAGCAGGAAATCCCCACCGTGCTATACTACGATGGACATCAGAACGTGGTTGGATGGGGCTTAGATATTGTTGATGCTATAGGCAGTATTGGTTATCCTAAAGCGGGCGTGCAAAAAGTCGAGTGGTTTAAGCAGCGGCTGATGCTGTCTGGCAACGCTGATAATGATCATATTGAGCCGTACCTGCCACATGGCAAGTCGGAGATTGATGTTGCTGCCGATTACTTCTGTAAAATACGGCAAGTTATACATACACATCTGCAGAAGACACTAGGTGAAGCTTTTAGACGTGAAGAAAAAAACATTCACTATTATTTGACTGTGCCAGTTGTCTGCAGCGATGCTGCCAAGGCGGCCACACGAGCAGCTGCCACACAGGCAGGACTTTTAAGTTCTGAAAACGAGACTCAGTTAACATTTATCGAGGGGCCTAAAGCAACTGCCATGTATTATGTCAAAACTGGACTGTTCAATTGGAAGCTGGCTGATGCTATCCTAATTGTTGACTGTGGTGGTGGTACCGTCGATTTGGTCGCCTATGAAGTTACCAGGGAGAATCCGTTCGCATTGACAGAGTGCACGACTGGATCTGGTGACTCATGCGGATCGATTGCGCTCAGTCGTAACTTCGCCAAAATGCTCCGTGCCAAGATTCGTAGGCTTTCCTGGGGTGATCGACCTGGACGGCTCTTTGCTAAATGTATATCGGACTTTGAGAACCGCATTAAAAGTGACTTCCACAACAACGGCCAGAAATGGTCGATTGATGTTGGCGTTGAGGCCGATTATCCAGAGGCCGACATTCAAGATGGTTACATGAGCTTCACAAATGAGGAGATTCTGCAGTGCTTTGAGCCAGTCGTTAATCGCATCCTAGAATTAGTACACAATCAAATTAATGCCATTCAGGCTCATGGTCATCAGCTACAGGTATTTCAGTCATCTCTACAACATTGGTTTTTTTCTATACTAATTTAATGGTTTTTTTTTTAATTTAGAATGTACTTATTGTCGGTGGATTCAGTGCATCTGAATATCTATTCCGCGAAATAAAACTGCGCATCCCTTCTCAGTTCCAGTCCAAAGTCGTGCGCCCGATGGATTCAGCTTCCGCCATAGTCAAAGGTGCTGTCATGGTTGGTATTGCAGAACGAGTAGTCACGCACCGCATTGCCCATCGGCACAACCTCAGCTCAGATTAGTGATCTAGGGATGATATATAATAATGCATAAAACTAACAACAGATTTCGATCACAGCCCTCCATCATCGCACCAGTGAACTTATTTCTTACCTATATGTAGTCGACATATGTAATGTATTTGACGTACTATGTCTTTGGGGGTTGTTACAATGCACGATATACGTAAATGTAAAGTCGTACCATTATATTCGTATCAAACCAGATTCATACAGTTCCAACCAAACGCCAAACAAAATGGTTAAAACCACTACAATAATATAAAAATTGACAAGAGAAATGACTACTTCCTCCAAAACATAAGCTTGGCAGCCTTTCGTTTCACATCCCAGCCCCTCTCCGCAAACCAATCGCCCACACTCGCATTCCCACCATAATGACTCGATCCAACTATGCTGCTTCCACCCCTCGAACTCCCCTTTGAGCTTAACGAGCCCGCCTGGAACTTCATCCGTCCCTCGGCGATTTTGTGAACGAGGTTCAGGATCGCGAACGTCGTTGAGCCGAGAGCACGGAAGAGGGCGAGGCCGGCGACAGACCAGAGGATGATGGAAAGGTAGATGTTGTTAGCGCCAGAGGCAGTCCCGTATGCTTCGGACACCGCCATGGCCAGGATCACATTGGCGACCATCCAGATCGAGACCATGTATGTTCGGACGGCACGATAGTAGTCTTCCTGCATTTGGCTGTCGGAGGGGCCGGGGACTGGTTCCTCGACGCGGTCGCGGAGGTTGCGGAGGGCTTCGTCGTAGCCGCTGTCGATATCGAGTTGTTCGGTAGGCATCTCCATGACGACCTTAGACCCTCCGAGACCTTGCGCAGCGCCGAGGTCCATGTGGTGCACGTTGTCGCCCTTTGTGCCCCAGGTTACGTCGTGTGTGTTGCACAAGGCGTAGATTTGGAGTGTGCAGATGTAGCTGGGGAGCATCATGAAGTATTGGCCGGAGGAGGTGATCAGGTGCCAAGGGTCGAGGTAGACTAGGGACATGAAGATGTATAGACCCACGGTGGACATGAGCGAGACGATGATGTTTGAGAAGTCGTTTGCGGCGAGGTTCAAGCCACTGCCTTTGAGTTTGGTGACAACGAGGTATGCTGTTGCAAATGATGTATACGCCATGATAATGCCGTAGACGACGATTCCAAATATGAACATCTTTCTCGCACTGCGAAGTGTTAGTGAGGTCAAACAATGTATAAGGGTACTCACCCTTGCGGTCTATTTCCCATTGAAAGAATAAATTGCAGCGCAATAAGCAGAACGCATGCATAACGCAGGACGTAGAAGATATATTTGCCCATGTTATGCCCAAAGGGATCAAGATCTTCGTTTGTGAGTGACCCTGCGATAAAGTAGAAGGCTAAATAGAAATTTGCCTATTCATATTAGCTTGACATCTACCACCATCGAATAAAACTTACCAGGCCAAAGTATGTAAACAACAGCTGAAAAAACTGATACACAAATTCGATGTGTAGCAGTATCTTCCGCGTCAACGTGTGATCCGTCTCCCATATCTGCCTGAAATTCACCAAGGAATAGACGCACGCAAACATGGCACCATTCAGCCATCTTCGACGCTGCGAAATGAACTCCGGAACCGAATCTACACCTCATGAGTTTCTATCCTATCAGAATGATAAATGACGGACAAACCTGGTACGTCTGTCTCACCAACAGCGCTCTTGACAAATTTCAACACCCATCTTTCTCCTTTCTTGGCCACTAACTCCCAGCACAGAATACGATCTTCGGCCAAGTACATATTCGCGGTGAAAATATCCGCGTCTTTGCCTTGTAAGGTTTCGCCCTTGAAGTACTGACTCAGCGGTCCGTGTCCATCAGGGCTGTTTTGTAAAGCATAGTATCGGTATGCACTCAAGGCACCGGGAAGCACAGAGATATATCCAAATACTGATTCCAGCGGCTTGTCTAAAATGTTGGACATCTTGTACTCGAAGTTTTGAGATGCGACTAGTGGATTCAACAATCCCATGTAATTTTTCCCCTTTCCTGCGATAATCTCACCAGCGGCACCGGCAACGTTCGAGTCTTGATCGAATGCTTTCCAGAGGTGGTAAAGAGCGGTAGGAGCAGGCTGGGTTCCGACGTCTAGAAGAATGCAAACATTTGGGTCGAGAACACGACCAAAGGCATTGAATAGCCAGCGGTGGGAATTGAGTTTCTTCTGGTTCTGTTCTTTCAAGCAGAAGATGACCTGACACGGCACAATGCCCTTTTCGGCGCCTTTGAATTTCATGTCCGAGTCGAGCGAGACTTGAGTCGTGTATTCGTAGACATGCGCTGTGACTTCCTTCTGGTTGACGATGTTTTTGGCAATACCGGCTTGATACACTCCCATAGCAGCCAAGGCGTCAAGAGTTCGTTTGTGGACTTTCTCACGGCCATCGGAGATAATACACACGACAATTTTCTGCCATCCGTCCTTGCCCCATGTCCGCGACTTTGTGCGTGAACAGAAATGGCTAATGTTACGCATAATACCGTGCATAGTCCGAGTAAACAATTCCTCGTTTTCGTTGTACATAGTCACACAAATCAAAAGCTCTGTTTCTCGCATTGTGCTGCCAATATTCTGACGCAGTTTATAGCCACGCTCTTTAAACTCATCAGGATCACAAGTGACGGCTGTATACCGCATATGCGTGAACTCTCGCTCATCACGACGCGGCAGAAAGCTATGAAGAATCGTCGGAATTTTACACTCTAGCACAAGCTCACCGTTGATCAGATGCACTTCCTTCTTTGACATCTGCGCCGGCCGCACGCCTCGACGGCTCTGTTTGCCTTCGGGTGCAGGGCCGTAATGTATATGCGGATCGACAAGCATGTCGGTATCTCCGACACGATCATCCAGATCAATCTTCTCCATGCCGTCTTTTTCATCAGTGACCATGGTAGATTCGCTACGAAACGAGTCGTACGATGGGCGCGAGCCGATTATTCGCCCATCTCCGCCAAAGGGGTCTTCTGAAGACCGCGTGTCGCCAATATCAATACTCGCGTCAGCAGATCCAACCGCAGATCCAGCGAAAAGAGGAGCAGGCGGTAACGGTCGTCGTGGACTGCCTCCGTATTGTGAACTTGGTGTGCCGGGTCGCGGGCTGCCATTAAGGTCTGCCGGCTCATAGGCCATCCCCGATATAGATGAAGACGCTCCATGTTTGATTGAGCTTCGAGATGGCGTCCATGGCCTTGTTGGCGACCCTGGTCGAGAAGTATATTGCGGCGATTCCATCGACATTGTCAGGGGAGGAATTGACGGCGCATTACCCATACTAGAACCAGGCCTTGAACCTGGAAGGGGCATTTGTGCGGTTGAGTTTTGACGCTGACGAAAGGCAGCATATCGCGTCGGGGACGGGTTTGCACTAGAGGGAGCCTGATTAGCAATTTTGTCGAGCATACTCAAATCTAGCGAGCGCGGCCGGTGCAGGGATGTAGATAGGGATTGTTTTTTGGTAATTTTGAGAGGAGGGGGTATCTTGACAGCCGTCTGCTTTGCGACCAGCTTGTTGCCATTCATAGGCGTCCTGCCGGGAGTAGGCACCAAGGAGGGTTTCCCTGTCAAGACAGTTTTGCATTCCACTTGTTTTTTGGGTTCACTGGGTTCTTTCAGGGCAGAAGCACAATTTAAATCCACATACGATTTCCTCGTTACCGAAGCCTGACCCATACGGAAGCGGGCGGCATTGGTCCCCAAATCGCTACCATCGACATCTTCATGCGTAGTCGGCAACAGCCTCATTGACGCCGTGTTATCATGCTGTGCTGTGGGTGAAATACTCGCTTCGTACAGTGACTCGCCGTAGTAAGCGGGTGGCTCATCGCCGTAGCTAGAGGCCGCAGGGTGGCCGCGTGTAGGGGTTGAAGGGTCCATTGCAACAGTCTTCGCAGTGGAGAATGCGCGCAGATATGTTGTTGGTTAGACACGCATTGAAAGATGTTATATATCGCTGTATTGCTAGCTGCGAGATGTCAATATGGACACGAGTAATAATGAGTTGGATAACAATAGGCGCAGCTGTCAAACTGATATCAATGTAAATAGCTGGTTCGATGTTGGTGAGGAGTTGTGGAGCGCTGGTATGTAATAATAGTGTTGACAGGCGCCTATCGCAACGGGAGCGGGATGTCATGGCTGTTGCCTGGGCAACCACGGCCCCATATCAGTTTGAGTATGATCATTTTAATTGGCATTCATACTCCATGTATTCATATATATGTTCGAAGATCTTTATATAATTAATAATTAATACCATTCAATGGATTGATTTGAGTATCGATCGACCAGGACAAAGTAACGACAGCCAACCTAAGGCTAGAACTAATAGTAACATTTGATGCACAGGTTGTATTAATAAGCAAAAATTAACCAATAACTAACGATAATCAGTTGCGACTCTAACATCCACAGCACTTGAGCCTTTTCTCCACCGTTCTCTCAAACAAACAGGCGATGACCGTAACGGTCATATGAACAACATTGCGGCGTTGGACAGAATTTAGGATAGCTGTGACAGCTCTAGTTGAAACAAACTGAGACCGCTGTCGGAGTATCCGTTGGTGTCGTATAATTTGTATTGCTATGTTAAGGGTTGTTGAGAAGAGGCTCGCGCTCACGGTCATTCGACGACTCGGGAGCCACGATGCGCTTGAGCCAGAGGTTTCGCCCAGAGTAGGCCGCTGACGAAATGTACAGCGAACCGACAAAGAACACAGCGAAGATGACAAAGGCGAAGATCCACTGCAGGGCAATGACTTTGATGGCGAGCTGCTTGACGGCGAGGGCTGTTGAAGTCAGCAAGCTAGATCAATTGAGTAATGGGAGAAAGCTCACAGAGAGTCAAGATACTCAGAGAATACCCGAAAATATAGTCCTTGGCAGCGAAAATGTGAACCCAGCCGATCAAGAAAATAACCCAGATAAACACATTCGCGACGATACGTGAGGGTAAGTTGTGCGCGTGCACTGCAACAGCGCCGTTCCAGAATAGAGCAGTCAGAGCCCAGGCGTAGGGACCGGCGATGGCAGGCCAGTGGACGAATGGCGGCGATCCGAGATGAGTCCAGTACGCGGACGACTGGCTGAGCACATGCACAATGAGAATAATCTCAGCGGGCCAGAAGTGGTTGCGAACCCAGAGCATGATAAACGCAAAAATGAGCAGGTTGCTCAAGATGAAATGCGGTGCGACATTGGCGGCGGAAGTGACCAGCACGGTGCTTTTGGAGAAGAAGTGCCAGACATAGCTGACCTGAGACAGCAGCAAGATGATCCTATTTTTCTAATTAGATGGACAGCCAGAAAAAATGAGGATGTGCCTACCAGTAAATTCCAGTGATGACGTTGTTCTGCGAGAACGCAGTGGGGTGCTTGTCTGCTTGTTTCCAGATGTTGTGGCTATGCTTGGTGTCACTGGCACTGTGAATCGAGTAGTAGATGCCAGCAACCACTACCAATGCCCAGGACAGCACCGAAAGCACCTGGTAGGCGATTAATGTATTTCGATGGTGGGTTTCATGTTTGGAGAAGGGGTTGTCTGCCAGTAATCGTTAATCGTTATCGCCGGCGTATGATGACGCCTGGTGATGCCTGGTCATCATGGATCGCACTTACAGAAAGCCATTTTCACTCAATTCACTCGCGACGCACCTTGCAATTCTTCGATTTCGAAGTTATTAACCCAGGAATCTGCAGACTTGAGGTCAGTCGAGGTCAGGCAGTCGTAGCCGATGACGTAATGCATGCGTCGACAGCAACTCCACCTCACATGTACATACCAGAACTATTATTATATTTCTCCCACTTCACTTCGCTTCCTTTACAGCGCAACTCACAGTACAAGAAAATGTCATCGAAGATACTAGACCGGCAGCAGCCTGCTTTTGTACGCTCCCAAGCACTCCACATGTAATCCTGCGTACCCAAGACGACCCAAAACAGGAAACAGCACATGTCGCCGCAAAATCACACGAATTATCAGTGGTCCGACCAAACTAGTCCCAAACGCGATCCAAGCTTGGGTCTCGCCATTTATCCAATCCCCCAATCATGCATGCATGATGCATCCCCGCATTTGCTCTTACCCTTGCTCATAGTGGCTAAAGGGATAGAGGTCTCCTGATCGGGGTGGGGAGCAAGCTGGCTTACACGGCGGTTATTCGTGGCTGCATCGGTGATCTGAGTCCTGCATACTTATTACATACTACACATTACATACGGGCATGGCCCGATCTGGGCAGATATCTGATCATGTGTCCAGCGGTGTCCGGCTCGCAGACACTGAGTAGACATAACGAACGTATGATGGTCGTCAGCCTTATTAGCGTTCTATACTATACAATACTGTATGCCACACCTATGAGTTTTGATTTCATTCTGCATTCGCGGCAGGTCGTTTGAAACATATTTATGCAGCTGCCTGGAGCCATCTGCCTAAGCCATGCAGCATGCCAGAAGGAGTGTTTTCACTACGTATTAGCTTTCGAGAGGGAATACGACCAACGTCACCGCTGGGTTCGTCAACGACGCATGTTGGGGGCGTGCGGATACGATTGGACGTTCTTTATTGTTATTACCGCTCTGTTAATTATTCATAGTATTATTGGATAATGATTGTAAATAATATTGAAGATTGCGAGTCAGAGCAGAACGCATTCCTGTGCCAGCGACGAGCGACGTGATTGGCGCATGCCGGTTTTACTACGCGCTGGACGCGGGGTAGCGCTATACTTGAAACATATTGGTGGTGGAATTTCCATGAGAGCTATAATTGGCCAATTCATCCTCATATACTATAATTTATCTTCTCTTCATTTTTATATCTTCATCATACTCATAAGTTGAGTCAATTATCATTATTTATAACCTCCCGCACAGCCTCCAGCACCCTCCCATGAACCATCTTCGGCGCAACAACCAACCCCGTCGCTCCCGCCAACTTCCTGCCCAACCCACAACTCACCTCTCTCCCCTCAACATCCGTAATCGTGCAGCCAACTTCCTCCGCAATCAACATTCCGCCGGCATGGTCCCATATACTCGACCGATACGCACTATCCCGCAAAATTTTGATCAGCGCGTTACACTCCCCCACCGCAATCGCTATATACCGCATCTGCGACGACCACAGATCTGCCGTCGCCGGCCACGCCGCGCCCAACTTCGTCGCTACGAGCCCGTGTTTCGCATAATCCGTCGAATCGGCGGTCCGGCAGTCAGCGAAGCGTATATCGGACGGTGATGAAGGTGATGTGCGTAGTTGTGCGGGTAGGGCGTGGGCGGGCGCGAGGGTGCTGCGATTGCTGAGCGGGCGCATGAATGCGCCGTGTCCGGATATCGCGAAGACCATGTGCCCGTAGCCAGCGCCATCAACGACGTCTTCCTGCACGCGAGCCCTCACTTCACCGCCAGAAGTGAAAGTAGAAGTAGAGGTATCAATCTTCAAATTCGGACACCCCAGCACCGCAATCCTCTGCCGCCCGTCCTCCACCAACGCCAAACAGACCGCATACTGCTGGCCCTGGATAAACGTCGCTGTGCCATCGACAGGATCCAGCACCCAGACCCTGCCCTTCGCCCCTCCTGTGCCTTTTCCTCCGTAATCAATAACCTGCAGCATCTCCTCTCTACTCTTCGGCTTAGCCAACCCTCCCTTATCATCCCCCTCCTCTTCCCCTTCTAGATGTGTAGCCTGCACAGCCTCCCATACCCTCTCCATCAACCCACGATCCTCACGCAATACATCCGCCGATTCCTCGCCGACGAAGCCATCTGTTGGGAAAGCGGCGTGGAGGGCACTGATAATGAGTGCTTGGGCGGCAAAGTCAGCGATTGTGACGGGGGTATTGTCGTGTTTGTCGAGCGCGCCTTTGTCGACGGATGCCAAAATGGATTTTGTGAGGAGGGCGGCGCGTTGGACGGCTAGGCTGGCGATGTGCAGTTCGTTTTCGAAGGGCATTGTATATACACAAGTAGGTAAAGAAAGTTGGCGTGAGGGCGCTGGTGAGGGGAGGGATGTGGCTAGTCGAATGGGCATGGTATGAGCATGGCATGGAGAAGTTGAAGATGAAAATAAAATTAATGGGTGGAGTGGTTCAATGTCAAGTCACTGAGATCATCGCTGATCGGCCCCGCCTGATCCACTTACTTGGTCGACAATACCAAAACAACACTATTCACATACGATGATAAGCTAGACCAGATAAGCTAGACCAGTGCATGCTAATTGCATTGTCTAGGGATATCTGTAGTATTTATATATGCGCAGAAGTACTTCTACCTCCGCATACTAATAACAAGATCAAAACCGTACCCAACTAGAAAAAGCGAAAATGAAAATGGACCTCCCAACACCATGAATGTTATCTCTCAAAGCGACGCAAATCCTAGTTCGTAGGCAAACGCCAAACTCATCTTGGCATGTTGAATCATATGGTCGAAGCTCAAATACTCTATTTTGTCTTCTGTCGTATGGATCTTCTTATCGGAGTCTGGGAAGTCGGACTCAATGACAAATGCCGAAGGGTAGCCGAAGCGGCTGGCTGATGCGTGGTCAGAACAGGCATAGCCGCATTTCGTTTCGACAAAGGGGATATCGCAGTACTAAAGAAGGTTAGGCTAGTGTTAAGTGGAAGGAGAGGATTGGAATGTGGACGAACCTCGGTGATGACGGTTTTGATAAACTCAGTAAGAGGCTTGTCGACGAAATCGACAATCACCCCGACCGACTCCTGACGGCCGGCGGCGAGAGTACCCTGGATATAGCCAGTCATATCCTGCTGTAGCATGGCCTTGACATCGCGGTCATTCTCACGGTAATGCGAGAAAATAGCCTGAGAGCCCAGCAGACCACCCTCCTCTGCAGAATACCAATGGAACTCAACCGTGTTAGTAGCGTTACCAGTAACAATATCCTCAGACAGCAAAAGCGTCCGCAACACCTCTAGAATCGTCACCGTACCACTTCCATCATCATCAGCGCCTGGTGCAGCAAGAATCGATGGGAGGAACAGGTTGATACTATCTTGATGCGCCGAAAGCACAATCGTCTTATTCGTCTGCCCAGGAATACGGGCCACAATACTAGGTTGTCCCCATGGATGCTCGAATTTCTCCACGGTAGCACCGTACCCTGCAGCTCCCGACTCCTGCACGATTTCATCCACCTGGTTATACAGCCAAGTGGCAGACTGCACGCCAGTTTGGGATTTGTAGTATCTAGTGTGGAAGGAAGTAAACTTCTCCAAGTTCTTTTCCATGTTGCGCTTATCTAAACTCTGTGCCAGATTCTTAATTGTGTCGCTAAAGGCCAGCTCTTGTGGGTAGTGCACGGCATTGCTTCGAAAGAATTTGGGGTACACGCCAGTCTTGTGTTCTTCGGTGATGTCCATAAAATTCACTCCATCCTGTACATTGTCAGCGGCTAGCCACTTAGTTATCAGATCCGATCGTGACTAAGCGTACCAGTTTCAAATCCCACTTCTCTTCCTCGGTCACCCATCGTGTCTGATACGGTGCGAGTTCGATCAGGTATTTCTCTGTTTGTACCCGCGAGGGTTTGTTGTTGGTTATAGGCTGGTTCGTGAGAGGAACTTGTTGCTGCGGAAGAACCACGGCCGAGCTCAACTGGATCGCCGCGCCCCAGGTCAGGGCTGTAATCGGCTTCATTTTGCAAGGTCGACTAGCGAGGGTGAGTTTGATGAAGATGTATCTGCTTGCGCTGGTATTATGAGATAAAGTAACAATAGACTGCCCAAACAAAGAGTGAAGAGTGACTAATGAATAAGAGGGGGGATTGAGAGATAACGACGCTGAATGTTATCATTGCCCACGTGACAGGGTCATCTCCGGGCTTAACCGCGGCCGCAGCTGCCAGGGTCCAGCCAATCACAGCGCTCCTTTCATACTACCACGGTACAGCCTGTATAATTTAATTCCATATATTAGGGCTCCCGTATACTAAATGAGTAGTATTATATCATTCTACATTCATATACATATATATGTATATAATTAGGATAAAAATTCAGGTGTAATAATTAATCACGATGACTCAGGCAGGTAGCGTGGGTCCAGTGCCAGCCCACCAATCACAGCGCCCCTAGCGGGCACACGCAGATAAGACTGGTTGGTCTCTCGCTCTTATCGCAGCGATCGAGGTCAACCCATCTTCTCTCTTCATCGCGTCTCATCGCGTCTCATCAGGTTCCTCAGACAAAGAACGCCTCCTTCGACTGTATTCTTCTGCGCTTAGAATAGCAATTGAACTCGCCGCGCCATGGCCATCCACCCGACTGTCCCGCGAGATCCCTCCCGGGTAACCTCGCTGACCGGCCAGCGGGCTCTCGACATCTCGGCCTGGACAGAAGAGACCGCAGCCTCTCTCGAATCTCTGGACATTTCCGATTCCACCGCCGAAATCCATATCTCGCTTGATCCACCGAGTAGCAGTGCTCTTCGCGGCACGTCCACTCCATTGTCGATTCCTCTCGACGACCCGATCGCGACCAAAGCCGAGAACTCGCCTCCACGCGTGAAAATCATCGGCAAGCCGCAGGAAGAGAACGACTCGTCCACGTACCATCGTCGCGAACCGATTCGGCGAGATAGCTTGAAAAGGCGCGAGAGCTTGTTGAAGGGGAAAGAGGGCAGTCGGCGTAGACAACGCTGGGAGAATGGTATGTTGACCCGGACAGTGATATCTGTCTAGTGATGTCTAGATAGATTTGCTTTTGTGGGAGTATGGCCTTGGTTAGACACTAACAAGATGGTATAGATCGGCTCCTGACGAATCCCTGGGCCCAACCCCCGGCGCCGAGTGACTGGTTCGTTCAGCCCACGCATACCCGGCATGATCCTCTTCCGTACTACCTGGCTCCGCTGTGGGATACACATTTTGCGTACAAAGAAGACAGCAAGTCATCCAGCCACACGAAAGGAGACAAGAACAACGGCGATGAGAAGAGTCGAGTATCAAAGGAAGTCCGACAGAGCCTCAAACACGCCCGTGCGGCACGGGGGATGCTGCAAGATTTAGAAGAGGATATCCGGCAGTTTCTCGAGAAATGGAACGAACGACAGCTGCAGCTGCGCGAGGGAAGTCCTGCAACCGAATCGGATTTCGAAGACTCGGATGAGGAGATTGTATTCGTTGGTCGCAACGGCCAGATGTATGATGCCCCCACCCGCAAAGTCCCGTCTCAGCGTCTGGACGAGGGTGAGGAGGATGGAGAGAAAATGGTATTTGAGAGTCTAGCGCACGATCGAGGAGCTGTGTTCGGGTGAGTATCTCAATACTTCTGAATGAGGAGAATCATGTCTGATCTATTGTTTCAAGACGCTGGCTCGTGCATTCAATTGCTACCTACTACGGCCTGTATACCTGGTCCGTTACCGCCGGCAACCCTGCTCGTCGAAAGGCATACGTCGGGCTGCATCCTCCCTCGACCAAAGAGCAGATCTCTTTCCCATCGGGACAACCCGTGGCGTGCGGGGCGTCGCTGAGTATCAAACCTGGGGAGCCTCTTCCAAAACCTCTTTGGGGGCAAGTATGACCAAGTATAGAACTATCATCTACACATTTTGGTATATTCGTCACTGGCAGCAATAGATAGACGTAATACATAGCATTGCTCATTTCATATACATGTGATAGGTCTAAGCCAGATTTAACATGCTGTATATGTCAGACTCGCCGAGCTGCGGCGGAAGATGCCGACGAGACAACGATCTCAACACGAGCTCACTCGCATTATTCAGTATTCACCGAGATGCGTGATGCCATGCGGTGCTCCAGATCATGCAGAATCAGATGGTTCGAGAGCGCCCAGACATTAATACAATAAACTTGAAACTAATATAATAGAAATATTTGGTGAAGGGTAACTACAATGCGCACCCAGTATGGACTAAAATGAATGGTGGATCTGGCCGGACCGCCCCGATCCGTCTTTCTTCCCATTATTGCCATCATCTATTCAACACCAAATTAGGTAGTACTGTTGTGCTGTCACATTACCTGGTAGCAGTACTAATGCATGTTTTTCATCTTCTCCTTCTTTGAAACAAGATTAGCAGCACAGGAGCAGCTGCATGATCACATCACCCAACCGCCTAGTGCTTCACTAGCAGCTGTTTATTCGGCGGAGGCCACTCAGAATAGGATGACTGGCTGGCTGACCCTAGGGTTTCCGACGCTTGCCTCACTTCTGCTTCTGCACTGCATCTGCTGCTGATTCCCTGAAATGAGTGGCTTGCCTCAGCTTACAGTATCTTAGTTATCTTCATGGTTGGCCGCTGAGGGCTCCCTTCAGGCCACGCGCCTGGGTAAGCCCAGTGTCCAGTCCACTGTCCGTTGCTCGGCCCCCTCCATCAGCGTGTCTCCCTGCGCCACGACTGCGTCCCCCCACCATCACCGCTCGTCGAGTCGTCTCTGCGATGGACATGGGCATGCAGCCTGAATCAAGCCTCGTTTTGTTCCCGGCCTCGAATAATAATCAATGCCATGCAATGCGTCCATAACCATGTCCGTCCCCGACGTCAGCTGCTGCTCCTCTCCGGACTCCACTTAAGTGCTGTCTGGCGTCCTTGTTATTCCTTGGTATCCCTTCAACCCAGCCAGCCCACGCAGGGTCAATAACTATTAACATCAGATCATCAAATCATCGATTTACGATTACGATTACAATTTACGATTTACGATTTACGATATTAAAATACGATATTACGCCGATCTAATTATTGTGATTATGCCAATTGGTATATGAGTACATGAGTGCATTCCTGGCTGCTGTTTTGCCCCGCGTTCCATGAATGTATTACATTCCTGGCTATGTTGTTGTTGATACCCACAGAATGACCGCACAAAGCTGCTATCCGAGTAAATAAGAGACTGAAAGTGTCTCAAAGCAGGTCATTTGCCTTTCTCACCAGTCAATTCATCGGTTTGCTCAAATCTGCCGGAACTGCGCTTGTTTTTGTTACCTCGTACTCATTGTTCGACTTAAATTCCCAGTACGAATACTCGACAGCTCTATATCATTCTCATCATTTTGGTCTTGACACCATTGAAACGGCTGGGTTGTATGACAATGCCGTCACGAACATATCAGAACCGCCCGTCGCCGGCGAGCCATTCCAGCACCACCTCGAGCAGCGATGCATCAGAACAGTCGAAAAGCACCGCACCCACCATCTACAGCCACCAACTTATTGTGAAAAACGAATTACTTCCTTTTTCCACCGGAGATGCCCGCGACTCCAACTCCACCTACGCCTCAACTGTCTCCTCCTCTGAAGACCTACCCCAAAAACCCCAATTCGAGGTTGTCGCCGATCGCCAGGAGGTCTTCCCTACCAATGCCATCCCATCCAACTCATCCACCTTCGCGGATGTATTCCCGTCGGGCCGCCGGCTGCTAATCCGCCACGACGACTCAACTCTCGACGGGAACATGAATCTGCGCATCGATACGCTGCTGCTGCACAAAGGGCGCATGCAGCAAGAAATGACGCTTTTCCATTTGCGTATGCATGATCTGCGCAGCCGCACTTTTTCCTTTCGCCGTTACTGCCGGGATTCGGGCCGCGAGGTTTGTCATTCAAGGAGGCTGGCCCATGCAACCCCCTCGTTGGGCCCGGCGTTGCGGAGATCCTGGAGCAGTGTCTTGTCTGGGATGCGGCCTGCTTCGAATGCAGTCCCATTCCTGCATAGGCAAGATTACTCCTCCAAGCGATCACCAGTAGATGAGGAGGCGATAAATGACGACCTGAACCTAAACCTAGACAGTAATACGGCCGAGACACTAACAAACTCCATCCTTCTGGAATTCTCAAATTATGCGCGTGTCGAACTGAGTCGGATCAACCCCTCCAAGCGCTACGAATTCGAGTACTGGAGCACAAAATATCAATGGCGCCGGGAATGTCGCAAGGAAGGCGATTACAAAGAAATTTCCTACCATCTCGTCAACCTCGACACGTCCAAGGTCGTCGCACACATCGTGCCCGAGGTATTGACTCCGATGGAGCTGGTGGAGGAGGAAAGCAAGGGCGGCTGGGTTCCGCCCTGCTCGCTGTGGATCAGCGATGCGTCGGTGTATGAGCGGATGCATGATATTGCCGAGTACGTCCCTTCCATTACCTATTCAACCTTTCAAGCTTTTCAACTATTGGGAGTACTTACTGATTACTGATTGTAGCGCCATCGTCGCGACTGGAGTCATCGCCCTGGCCGACGACAGCATCAGACGTCGCTGGCATAGCAAGAGACATGTGATACTGAATCTCACGCGAAAGCCGTCTTTGATAGACTCGCTAGGACCGAAACGGTTGATTGACGAGATGTTTCACCGCCGCGGGTCGGCTTGACACAATAACAGAACCACAATATCAGCAACAGAATTACAGATGACAGGATATTTTCTTACAGCGCGCGACAACTCATGTTACATCTGACTTTATATTTTATATTTGTTATATTTAGATCCGTCGATAGCTGCTCCACATTTGACTCGCGTCATCTGGCTGCTATGTAATGTACTGATTACGTGAACCTGTACGCTGCTTTTTTTTCTAGAGGACCGTTGGAACGTGCCTCGTGCATTTCATCTGATACTATTTAGTTGCGCATGAATGACGACTTACTCCTATCTATCAGTCAGCCATCCACCATATGCAGACGGCAATCAATATATACATGTTTATGTAATAATATCACATCATCCCCTTGCTGGACCGATGCGATCATCGGTATTGAATGAACTCACATCCACATTATACTATAATATCCTATACGCCGATTGAGCCATGTCATTAAAAACAATGAATGAACAGCCGATAGCATTGAGAACTAGGGGTACATTTACGTTAGGGTTAGCCAACCTAAACAGGCAAGTTCCGTTCTAGGAAGTCAGCCAACGCCAACTCTTCTCTATTTTTTTTTATTATTATTTATTATTTAATACAGACTACTACCAGCCAAAGGAATAGCGATGGCCATTTTCTTTTTAAAAAAAAGGGAAGGCTGGATGCAGGTATGAATGCCCAAAATGGTGCTACCAGACAAAGCAGCGAATCAGCGCGCCGCCCAGCTTTGGGACTTGTTACTCGCTTGGATGTCGGCGCTTCTGCATGACTGCCCTGCCCTGCCCTGCCCTGCCCACTCCAGGCCCAGCGACTATGCTGCGGACCGGATTGGATTTTTATCAAGTGGTGAGTAAATGGTTGACATACATACAGCATAGTATAGTACAAAGCATACATGTATGAGTAGGTATTTTTGTATGTCATGCACATGATGGCTATATTATTCTTTGTGTGTGTTAGCCATTCTTGGTTCGTCTGTAGATTTATTTTTTTATTTCATTTTATTATTGAGATGTGCTGGCATGTATTTAGCAAATCAGCTTGCTTCTCGGCCCGCTTAGGCATGGCGGCGAGCCAGCTGGCTGGAATCGCTGACTTGCAAGGCTTGTCTATTCGCCCAAGTTTCTTTGCCTTCTCCGCTTCGGGCTCCATCTGAAGATATCCTCACAACAAAGTGGAGTGAGGGATGTCAACCGTTTCTCTAATATATACCAGAGTCCAGCTCTAGCTCTAGTTCTAGTTCTAGCTCGCGTTCCTCCGAGGCAATCACCCGCACCATACCCCTCCATCCGGTCTACAGTCAATTGAACCCATTCCCGGAACATACATGTATGAACTGTGTTGTGCCTAATTCCCTCATCACCAATTGATACGCGACCCCCTGTCACATCCGAATCGGCAATCATAGTCTGTCACATCATACTACATAGAACTAACTACTAAGTAACACCACCCGCTTAGACTACTAACTAAATCCGTACAAATACGCCCTGGGCATCTGCCTGTCTAATCTTCAATGTGCGGCGGGCCGTCCCTGCCTGCAGCCATTATGACCCGCATGTCTTTTTCTTTTTCCCCTCTAATCACTAATGAGTGGTTTGTGGGATGTAGTATGGAGTGTCTTTACTCCTTGGGGCCTTTTGACAACAAACACAAACTGCCCTGCACTGCACCGCACTGTTTAATGATGGATGCATAAGGCACTCACTCTTCGCCGCTTTGTCTCTGGTGTGAGGGGCAATCTAGTTATCCTGCAGATACTTACCTGCCTGCCTGCTCCAACTTCTGACGTGCCAACGGGATTGGATTTAATGGGAGCTTCCCCGCTGTGTTCTCCTTTCTATCTTTATATTTCAGAATAAAGGTTCTCATACTCTACTCAATCGTCATACTCTACTCAATCGAAACCGACTCCCCAGCTTGAACTCAGTCTTGCCTCTCGCATTGTGTACCTAGCTTCAATCAGCTGTTACGTGACTTGACCAGCCTGTCACCATGTCTGCCGCGGGCCCTGCGAGCCCCCAGGGGAACAGTCGGCCTAGCTGGCAAAAGCAGTTAGAGGGTATGTCTTCTCTCTCACTTCTCAGGACGGTATACATGTGCTAACCTGTTACTATGGCGATAGACCATTGCAAAGAGTTTAGCCTGGCAGCCCCCGTCTTCAATATCGTGTCTGATCGCCGAGGTACGCCCTCCCTTCTCCTTTCTACCGCCGTACCGTATCTAATTGACACTTGTTTGATGATAGGAGGTAGAACCGCCTGGTCCAGCACCGTCACCGTCGCTGGCCGAAGCATTGCCGCGCGATACTGGTACGACGGCCAGTACATCAACAACGCCAAAGAAGACGCTGCCGAGGTTGCCCTGATGCAATTGAAAGCCCAGACGCTCTCGTCGACGACCTATCCGGGACAGTTCCATGGCTGACACATACCACGCATTTACCTCCATGTCAACTATCCAGCTCCGTACGCATTATCTTAAGCTTTACGCTTAATATTATACAGAGTGGATATTAGGAAATCTGCGACTTTTACGATGCGACGGCTTTTCGGAGTCTTTGTAATGATATTCAATTGTGATGCAATAAACGACAGGATAGGGAGGGGAGATTAGGACGAAACATAATTGCAGGCAGTGATTCGGTTTCTTTCTATATTCCTCTGTTCGATTTTTCTTTTTGCGCCATGTACGACCACCCAGAAAGATTTGCTGGGATTTTCTTATTATTTCTTTCGACTGGAAGCTTGTCAACGACAGTGACTTGATTTGGCTTTGATATCATGTATCGCGTCATGGTAGTTGGGTATTTTTCTTTTTTCTTTCTTCCTTTCGGGTCCATCCTTGTACATTTCCTTGCTTTTTTTTTTCTTTCTGCTCACTACTATTCAATGCTGCCGCTACTATTCAATGTTGCATCGTGCCTAATGGATACATGTACGAAAGTGAGGCACATGTTTGGGCCGCGACTCATGCATATTTTCTTTCTTCTCTGTCGAGATCGAATGACTCGACTTTGTTATGTTACTTGGGGCTAGGTTTGGAGTATGAAGGACGGTTTTCTTCTCGTTCTCGTTTCATTCATACCTTGGCGCAGATATTCCAATGAATCTTTCTCACTCCAACCACAGTATAAAGTAACTATCTGATATTTTCCCTCTGGCATCGTCATCGTCATCGTCGCCGTCATCGTCATCGAGTCATCGAGTCATCTGTGAAAGTCCAAACTCGTCGTTAGTTAATAATCGCCTCGTTTAAAATCAACAGCGCGCAAATTACTCCATCCAATGCATATTATCTTTCCTGGTTTCCTTCTGTCTCCCACGCAGTGGAGTTTGGGTACCTAATGCATGCACTGTTGGACGGGCCGCCTTGCATTAACGCACTAGCCTCTACCTCTGCTTAGATTCGCCGCTTATCGCCTAATTTCATATAGTACTTTGTAAGCATGAATTCTGATAAATATATTAATATTAATATTACATTATTCTTAGTACTGGTTGTTTTATCGGTGGCGATTAAATAATCAAATAATCAAACGATTAAGTTACTGATTATGATTATAATAGAGCGACTAAGGCTCCACGACTATTCAAGGCTGTCCGTCGAAGTTGACGCAGGGTTACATGTACGCAGACTAGTTGATAGTATCACTGACTAGCTATGTATCTCTGCAAGCCAGATTCACGCCGAGATAGCGTGCGTCATGCACCATACAAACCCACCTAGTCCTGTCTACTATGTATTGACAGCCGAGCCAGTTGATGTTCGTGACTTGCCTGACATGACCATGCACTGCACTGCACTGCCCTGCCTGCAGGATCGATGCGTGCTCATCACTCCGGGGCAGGCCCTTTTGTTTCTGCTTCCCGTCGTTCCGATCCAGTCGATCATGATCACAGCCAGGATTATGAGCTGATCGAATACTGAGAGGGAGGCTATGCATGCATGCCTTGGATGTATATGTACATACGAATGGATCTTGGAAATGATTCCTGCCGTCCAGCCTCGCGCCTCACATTGATGAATGCATACATACGTAATGTGCTGAATAGGCACGGATCGAAAGTGAGGCTGGTGTGATATACACATCCATGTATTGAATGTGATGAACTAGACTGGTTTGACAGGTTAGCGGTGGGGGTTGCAGCTCAGCAGTTCGTAATAATGCATGTAATAGTATTAAGGATAATCATGACTCAGTGGCGGCGTGAGGGGGATGCAGAATTATTCGTAGATTGTGAGAGTGGCTAGACTAGATGGGAGGATGAAGATGTGTTGAGAATGTTTGATTGGCAGTCGAAAGCGAGGGACTGAAGATGGTAGTAAGATGCGTCATTGTGATAACTCATCGCGTCGACCTGTGACTTGGTTCTAGTAGATAGCTCTCTGGCTAAGTCTTAGATTGTAAAGAGGCTCATTGAACAAATGAATTGCCATGTAAACTTCCCTAGCTTGAATAGGGACGGATAGGGCTACCAACCTATATCAGTGAAATGAAAAAGGAAACAACAACATACCCAAAATGAAAAAAATTTAAACACTGCATGTATAAGCTGAAATTATGGCGGCAGCTTTTTGTTTTAACAGCCCAGGAGAAGAGATGGGCAGCGATTAGTACGGCGATGCCGAATTCTAGGTCGATATTTTGTAAAAAAGCTGTAAACCCGAAAGAAGGAAATGATGAGAGAAACAGGCTATAATTCAGCGGAAAATGGGCACGTGTGTGCCTCAGCCCTAACTGCCGGCGGGCCCGGGTTTGAGCAGCAATACCATTATTATGGCTGTTATCAGCTTAATTGCCTGTCATGACTGCGGTTCTGAGAATATACTCGGCAATTATTTACTACCTATTTTATAATTATACTAGTGTCTATACCACAACCGTCGCCACAGTACAACATTAGTTGTCGGTCACCCATCAACGTACGAGAACGCATTAATTCATAGAATATGATGAACCGGCTACCTCTGGTAGATTATTTAACATACATATCGACTATAGCCAATTAGAAACTTATACTAAGAGCACCCTAATCGGCCAGGGGGACCTTGGAGGTAATATATTCACCTTCCCTTTTGAGTACTTACATAAGCATTATGACTAAGCGCGACAAACATGACAAACAACACCGCGAGGAAATCAACCTGCCCAAAAAGAAATCTTCAAATGGACAGAATTCAACAAACGCGAAAAAGACGTGCCTACAATTGAAGTTTACGTAGAGACGTGGAAATAAATATTTATTTTGAAGTTATAGATTTACTCTTTCACGATTCTTTCAGCATCGCATCTTCGAGTCCTGACTGCAGGCAAAATCCCCGTGATTGCCTCACGCGGGGTGCAGACTGCAGCAATCATGTCGACGGATATAAAAAAGGCGTTTAAGGCGATGCCCTCGGCATTAACGTTTGATCTACATGCTAAATGTTCTGTAAGGCTTGAAATTCCTGGCTGTATTGAGTGGAGTGGATTACCGGCTATCAATCGGTCCAAGTATACTACAATTTATGTCTATGTCTAACAATTCTAGACTACCAAAGCCCGGGCTAGTACGCTTCATCTCCCACATGGATCAGTGCCGTTGCCGGTTTTCATGCCTGTCGCTACGCAGGCGTCTCTCAAGGGCTTGACGTATGATCAACTCAAGGATACGGGTTGTATGTTGTGTCTAAACAATACATATCATCTGGGTCTTAAGCCTGGCCAGGCAATATTAGATCATGTTGGCGGCGCGCATAAGCTACAAGGCTGGGATAGGAATATTTTGACGGATAGCGGTGGGTGAGTACATCTGTCTCTATCCTAGCTGGACGGATAGTAGATTTGAGTATCAGACTAACCGCCTAGATTCCAAATGGTCTCTCTATTAAAACTTGCCAAGGTTACCGAAGAAGGAGTTCGGTTTTTGAGTCCTCATGACGGAACCCCAATGTATGTGCAACGAATATAGCAGCTCGGCAATAAGCATTAACCAGACCAGGCTTCTTACTCCAGAGCACTCGATCTCGTTGCAAAATTCTATTGGGTCTGATATTATTATGCAGCTAGACGATGTCATTGCCACCACCACACCTGACCCCACAAGAATGAAAGAAGCCATGGAGCGCTCGGTACGCTGGCTAGATCGGTGTATAGAAGCCCACAAATACCCTGGGCGACAAAACCTATTCTGCATTATCCAGGGTGGTCTTGATCTTGATTTGCGCCGACAATGTTGCGAGGAGATGGTCGCGCGAGAAACTCCGGGTATTGCAATTGGTGGTTTGTCTGGAGGCGAGGCCAAAGCGGAATATTGCAAAGTGTTAGAGCAGCCGTCATTTCTTCTTCTAACAATATTCTAATGTGGATAGGGTTGACACGTGCACCGGTCTGCTACCTGACCACAAGCCACGATATGTGATGGGAGTGGTAAGAATCATAATCCTCAACACTAGGTATATTTTAACAGTGTTTTGAAGGGGTATCCCGAGGATCTCGTTGTATCTGTTGCACTCGGAGCAGACATGTTCGACTGTGTCTGGCCGACTCGAACCGCCGTATATCCCCATTTATCCCCCTCCCTAATAATCTCCCTAACAACCATCGCAGCGCTTCGGTAACGCAATCACGCCTTATGGCGTCCTCAATCTCCGCCACAATTCCTACATGAACGACTTTTCACCGATTCAAGAAGGCTGTAAATGCCCGTGCTGCCGGCCAAAGTCCGAGGGCGGCCTCGGTATAACAAAGGCGTATTGCCATCACCTCGCAGCAAAGGAAACCGTTGGAGCGCATTTGTGAGTACTCAACCCTCAACCATGACACGTCTTTCGATATTTGGGGTTTTTACTAAAACCAGCAGACTTACAATGCACAATGTTCAATACCAGCTCTCTCTCATGGATTCTATCAGAGAGGCTATCCTTGAGGATCGTTACCCTGCTTTTTTGCTAGACTTTTTTGATAAGTATTACGGATCTCGGTTGAAGTCTCCGCAGTGGGCGGTGGATGCTCTGCGTGGTGTAGGCGTGGATCTTTTCGCTTAGATATTGTACACTATAGAGCGAATATATGCGGCAGCAGGAGGCCTCACATTAGAGTCACACCAACATTGAAATGAAGACCAACTTGTCCATTTAATTCTCGCCCAATCATCACATCCAGACTCGTCCATAAGGACTTCCAGATATGAATGGAAGTCAGAAATATCATGAATATATTGTCATACTCTGGCTAGATCACAGGATTGTGCAAACCCATAATGTCAATTTTCTCCTGTTTGTACGACATGAGTAGCTCGCATATGTTATGTTGCAATTTCAAGACGCATTCCCAAATATTTCAGCATGAAGTAATCTTTCCAGCAGTGTCCTAAACAAAGAATATTGCCGTCCTCACTCTTCACCAGGATTTCCTCCCTCCAAAAACTTGAAAAACGTCAACTGATTCCCATCATTATCCTTAACAGTAAACTGCCGAAACCCCCACGGAGTATCTTCAATATCCTCCGCAATTTCCACCACACCACTCCCGAGATTCTTTATGTATTTGTAATATTCATCCAACTCCGATGTTCCCAGCGCAATCATCGCCTGAGATGCTTTGAACTCGTTGGCCGCCACTTTGGAGAAATAGAAATTGGCGTCTGCTTTTTCCCCGATAAAGACTGAGCAGAAAAACCACTGCCTCTTCTCTTCTTCTGTAACTGATGCAAGATCATCGGTGTCCTGGTTTTTGGATTTGACACTGCCTAGTTCGAAGCCCAATGTTTTGATGTAAAAGTCAACTGTGTCGGAAATTGACCGGGAGTCAAACATGGGGATGACTTTCCAGGCTGATTTGGCGAGTGTAGCGGCTGTCATTTTGAAGGAGAATTCAAATTTTATTCTGAATTGGCGAAGATAAATATTAATTGATTGACCCGGAAATTTCGATATTGTACGATTATATTCGCTTTTATGCAGTTGTCGGACTGATTGTTGCCTAATTGTAGTCTCTCGTATTTGTCACTAGCGCGGATTTGTTTGACAACGAAGTGATCTTTTGAATTTCTTACCACCGTACCAAGACAAAGAAAAAATTGCTTCCCTTCAAACATTTGATATTAAGCATATGATTATGTTGGATCATGTGTAGAATTAGATGGCAAGAATACTATATAGATCAACGCAATCAATGGCCCCACTGCAGAGCCGCATGACGGAAAGCGACTAACGACACTAAGTGGCTTGACATACAACATTGCAGGTGAATAGTAGCTACACAGCTGTAGTCAATCGAAGTTATTCAATCCAAAGACCAATAACTGTAGCATAGATGTGATTGCTCTTTGTGTCTCTGCGGCAACCTCGTCGCGAAGGACAGTGACGCGTCTCACGTGATAGAAGGGATGTCCCCACCTGCCTGATTTAACCCGACTCACAGCTAAATCTAAATTTTTTACGCGTCCGAATTTTTTCACGCGCCACGCTCGAGAGGCATCTTGCGACCAGCCACCAGGATGCGTACAGTTCTCGTGAGCGGCGGAGTCATCTCCGGGATTGGAAAAGGTATATCTATATTATATGTCAAATTGCATTTCCGCCTGCTTTCCGGCATCAGTCTCAGAACTATCTGAGTATCTGATTTAGCATACTTGATTTATGAACGTACTGACTCGGTTTTGATAGGAATTATTGGTATAGTCGTTCGGCGAATTGCTTTCTTGTCTGCGACTGTTAACGAATATTGATAGCCTCTTCGGCCGGGCTCTTGCTCAAAACTACTGGTCTCAGAGTCACGGTATGACACGGAACAATACCTATCTAACCGGGTTTCTTTGCTTACAAAGTATTACGGTCTTAGGCAATCAAAATTGATCGTGAGTTTCCGCCTAGCACTGCTTCCTCATAGAATCCGAACTGATAAAGCTGTAGCATATTTAAATATTGATGCTGGAAGTAAGCAAAAGCCCAACCGCTGTATGACTGTGCAATGCTGACTGGTCCGGTTAAGCGTTGGGACCTCTGGAGTAAGCTAGCAGCCTAGAGCCGATGACAATCCTCCCGGACTGCTAATGACGTTGCTCAGACATGGCGAGTGCTTTGTACTTGCAGACGGAGGGGAGGTATGTACTGGGATGGTTTTCCCCCCTCTAAGGCCTTACCTAATTGTCTTTCTAGTGCGATCTCGACCTGGGTAACTACGAAAGGTACGACGCTCGTCCAGGCCTTCCTCTCAGCCCTTTCAGTTTGGGTTAACGGCTTGCTGGCAGATATCTTGGCATTCAGTTGACCAACGAGAGCAATATAACGACCGGGAAGATCTACAATCTCGTTCTCCAGCGTGAGAGGAAGGGCGACTTTTTAGGGAAAACGGTCCAGGTAGTCCCGCATATCACAGACGCCATCCAGGACCATATCGAACGAGTTTCGAAGATACCTGTGGATGATTCTGGATTGCCGCCAGATGTTTGCATCAGTATGTTATGCTTGCTATTCTAGACCACTCTGTGATAAGAGTTTGTTGCTAATTGACTTGTAGTTGAATTGGTGTGTTTCCTATCTATCTATTCCTGCTATTTGTTAACAATTGACCAATGTCTGTAGGGAGGCACAGTGGGGTATGTTTTTGCCTTCTAGTTCCTTTGCTCTGTTTTATTTCTCTACACGGTAACTAACTCATCATAGTGACATCGAGTCAATGCCTTTCATTGAAGCATTAGTGCAATATAGGCACAAAGTCGGCAAGGACAACTTCTTTTGCATAAACGTTACCTATGTGCCTGTGTAAGTACCATCTCTCGCAGGATTTTGTTCCTCGGTTGTAAAAACAATTTCTATGCAAGATTAACTAACTTCGTCTAGAATCCACGGAGAGGAGAAGACCAAACCGACCCAGCACGCCATCAAACAAGTGCGAAGTGCTGGCCTGACACCAGACTTGGTGAGTCTTTCATCAATACATATTGCCATAATCAGATAGCTTACTAATCCTTTATAGATTGCCTGTCGCTGTGAGCACAAGATAGAGGAGGCTACCCTCCAGAAAATCGCCCGAAGCTGCCAAGTCGACTATGAGCAAGTCATGACGGTATGGGATATGGAGACGATTTACCAAGTCCCTCTCATCCTCAATGAGCAGGGACTGCTGGACGTGTTGACACGGGGATTGAGGCTTGACAAGCTGGAGCTTGCACCTTCAATGGTCCAGAAAGGAGCCTCGCTCTGGGAGTTATGGAAAGATACAGTCGTTCCCAAGCAACATTTAGAACCCATAAATATCGTCCTGGTCGGCAAGTATACTGCGCTGGACGATAGTTATCTCAGTGTGCGGAAATCTCTTGAGCATGCAGCCATGCGATGCAACCGCAAACTCAACCTCGTCTCAGTGGATTCGGAACATTTGGAAGACTCTACTCAGAAGAGCGACCCTACCAAATATCACAAAGCTTGGAATGCCATTTGTGAAGCTCAGGGCATGGTAGTTCCAGGTAAGCGTCCCAGCTCGCGTGATAGTTCGTGCGAAACTCATTGAAATGTAGGTGGGTTTGGGTCGAGAGGTGTGGAGGGTATGATTCGGGCGGCACAATGGGCACGCGAGCGAAAGATCCCTTATATAGGGTTATGCCTCGGCATGCAAGTTGCAGTGATTGAAGCAGCACGGAACCTCTGTGGTCTGACTGATGCTACGTCGGAGGAATTTGACGCCAACGCTGAACACGATGTTATCATCTTCATGCCAGAGGGGTCCAAAGAGTATGTCGGCTAATTTCTTAGAGGTGGTTGATACTGACACATTTACAGACAACTCGGAGGTACCATGAGACTCGGCACACGAGCAACCCATTTCGAGGCTGGCAGTGAATGGAGCAAATTACGCGCCCTATACAAAGGCGCTCCCGTGGCTCACGAGCGCCACCGACACCGCTACGAGGTGAACCCCGACTATGTCGAGCAACTCGAGGCAGCCGGGCTCAACTTCATCGGCAAAGACGACACGGGCAGACGCATGGAGGTGGTCGAACGCAAAGACCATCCCTACTTCGTCGGGTAAGCCAGCCTCTCCTTCTCAACCATCACCAAACTAATAACTTCTTCAGATTACAAGCTCACCCCGAGTACACTTCCCGAGTACTCCAACCCGCACCGTCGTTGCTCGGCTTTGTGGCAGCCAGCGCAGGATGTCTCGATAAAATAATAGACGACTTGCGTCATCACAAGACGCCGGAGGATGGTGTAAATGGGGTCACGCACTTTTAATATCATACTCCCTAACTAAGCTTGCTGGGAATGTCTAGAAATTGGATCTGGTTTGTGTATTTGTGACTCTTAGGTTTCCTGGTTCTGGGACATATACATGTGTAGTATATACAGCGTCACAGACTAGAGAAGTCTTCTTTCCTATTTATTGGATCTTGGTTTGTATTTGAATCTTGGTTGTGTGATGCACGTGATGTGACTTAGGAATTCTCTCCGTGCTGGATGCGAGAGCAGTTATATAACATATGAATAGACGATAAACGAACAACTGAATAGATTGATATCAAAATAAAAATCATATACATATAGCAACCATCTAGCAGCAAACAACAAGAGTACCACAGCTAATAGCAATAAACACGAAATTTAAAGTCCAATTTATCCCACGTGCAGTGATGTAGTTACATACTATCCTCACTCCACCGACTCCGCGTCTTCTTCCACGCCTCTCGATCCTCTTTCCCTGCCACACTGTCCATGCCAACCCCCATCCCGCGCTCCACCCACTGCCGACTCCCCATCTCAGCGAGCCGCGACAAAGCGCGCGCAAACGCGAACCGCTCTTCGTCGCCCGTGAAGATGGATGTTGATTTGAGTGCGGACATCGACAGGCCCAGATCGTCCATGAGCATACGCATGTCGGAGGGGAGGTTGGTGCCACTGTCACTAGTAGTAGGGTCAGCGGAGGATGATAGTTCGGCGTTGGACATGAAGATGTTTTTTAGGGGGACGGCGCAGGTGAGGACGAGCTTTGCCTGCAAAGTATTGATTAGAGGGTGCGACTTGTCTGAAAGGATGGAAGGGAGGGGTACCTTGCTTTCGTAGACGGCGTCAATGAATGTGATGAATCGTCTCGCGAGATCGCGCTCTCGTAGCGTCATGCCCGGCACATCCGTGACTACAAAGGCGTCATAATGCCTCACCAGCTCGAGATAATCTGCAGCGCCGGTGGCACGGCCGATGAGTTGCTGAAACGTGAACCGCGCGGCCCTGCCACTCGCCACGGGGACCTGTATCTCGCGGCCCCAGACCTCATGCGTAGCCGCGTGCGGAGGATCATGTTGCGGGTCCCCCAAATACTCAAACCATTTATCTGCATGCTGCGTGGCGGATTGGTCTAGTGGATGGTGGTAGACGCCCGACGGCGGACGTGGAATTTTGCGGTAGTCGGTGTCGGAGTTGAGATTGAGGACTTGTAAATCTGTCTTGAGCAGGTTTATACATGGGATAAAGTGTTCGCGCTGAATCCCGTTTTTGTATAGATCGTCTGGATGCCGGTTGGATGTCGTGACCATGACTACGCCATGTGACATGAGAAGCTCGAGGAGTCTGTCGTCGATTAGCAAGGATTTCTCCTAGCAATATTAGTAAATGGAACAGACCTTCGGAGAATCATAGCATCAGCGACATCAGTACACTGAAATTCATCGAAACAGAGCACACTCGCTGACTCCGCGATATCCGCGGCCACCATAGGCAGCGCATCGAATTGCGACCCACGGTCTTTCTTAATCTTGTGCAGCTGCCTGTGCACGCCCTGCATGAAATTGTGAAAGTGAATGCGCTCCTTTGTCTTGATATTTGCGGGCATCGTGTCATAGAACAAATCCATCAACATGGTCTTCCCACATCCAACATCGCCGTACATATACAGTCCCTTTGGCAGGTTCTCCGGCAAATTATTCTTCTGTTGGCTATTCGTGCGGCTGAAAATGGAGCTCCAGAAGGATGTTCTCGCGTGTTCGTGCAGGGCGTCGGGGGATGGGTGGATGACGGGGGGCGGGGTATAGGATTTGAGGGCGTCGTGGAGGTTTTGCAGATGTTGAATAATGGCTGGCATAAGTTAGTCAATAACTCCTACATACACGTGTGTGTTTGCATACCTCTCTGATGCTCATCGTCACGCAGCAGATCAGCCTCAACCCGCCTCTCATACTCCCACAACGGCCCTCCTGCATCCTCCCTCTGCGTCGCAAGCGATCTCACTTGTGTCGCCACACAAACATTCCTCACCTTATAGTCCTGGCCAAGAGGTCCCCGCGACGACGCTACCCTCTGTGGTCCTGACCCTCCTCCATGCGCCGTCGAGTACTGGATTTGAATTTGTCGCGATGAATACGAACGCCGCAAATGCGAACACAACCTTCCTTGCCGCACGGCAACTCTCCGAAAACACCTCGAACACACCCTTACTGGACTCTGATTCATATTTTTATCTATACAAAGGAGTCTTCTTTGCAGCGTATCATTAAGCAAACCGGTCGTCAAGTGTACTAACAGGTGAGTGAAATGAAAGTCTAAGGCGTGATGCGTAACTGAATACCGATAGAAAGAGGATCGCTGAGTCAACCGCTATGCAATAAGAAACGAAAGAACCTGTAACAAAAAAAATATATATATACAATCGTAAACAGGCGTGACGGTTCGAGACAGGGTAGAGGTCGAGAAGATGGAAGTAAGTATCGGAAGAAGCCGAGTTGGCACCGCGTTTCTCGCCGAGGTCGTTTTTTCTTTCCGATAATCGGGGCACGTGATTGGCTGGAACTGATTTAGCCTTTGGTTATAGTCACGTGAGTATAACCCCTCGCAAGTCATGACGAGTACCGTTATTATTATTTATATCTTAGGCCACGCCGCACCTTTCACTAGCTATTTTACAGTGTTAGGGAACGACAATGGCCCCTCTGGTTACAGTTGCCACCTGTGCGCTCAATCAGTGGAGCCTAGATTTCGCTGGAAATCTACGACGAATCAAGCAAAGCATCGTCAAGGCCAAAGAAGCTGGCGCAACCCTGCGTGTTGGGCCTGAGCTTGAGATTCCTGGTTATGGTGCGTATCCTTCACCATATTTGTTCGGTTTAAGTGCTTCACGAAATGCTAACAGCGTCACCAGGCTGCCTAGACCACTTCTTAGAGAATGAGGTCTACGAGAACTCGTGGGACTCGGTGCATTCCATCTTAACCGATCCGTCACTCCACGATATCATCATCGACGTTGGCCTCCCTCTTCTTCACCGGAACTGCAGATACAATGCCCGGGCCATTATTTTGAATGGCCAAATCTTGTGCCTTCGACCTAAGCTATATCTTGCTAATGATGGAAACTTTCGCGAAATGCGCTTTTTCACCCCGTGGAACCGACCTAGACATGTTGAGCAGTATTACCTGCCACCGCATATACAAAAACTTCAAGGCAGGCGTCAGGTTCCGATTGGAGATGTCGTTCTCTCCACTATCGACACTACCCTTGCCGCTGAGACATGCGAGGAGCTCTTTACACCCAACAGCCCCCACATCAATATGGGACTGAACGGTGTCGAAATATTTACAAACAGCAGCGGAAGTCATCATTCGCTACGCAAGCTAGACGAGCGCATTGCTTTGATTTCAGAGGCAACTCGCAAAAATGGAGGCGTCTATCTGTACTCTAATCAACTCGGCTGCGATGGCGATAGGCTGTATTACGATGGCTGCGCCATGATATTTGTCAATGGCGATATCGTGGGGCAGTCAAGTCAATTCTCGCTCAACGAAGTCGAAGTCGTCGTCGCAACCATTGATCTTGAGGTAGTGCGCGCTTATAGGTTCGCTCCCTCACGGGGCCTCCAGGCTGTGGCGGCCCCGCCATATGAACGTATCGAGCTAGATTTCTCTTTATCGCACGATGATATTGATCTACCGCATTCATGCACGCCTCGCAGACCACCGCGATACCATCTCCCAGAAGAGGAGATTGCGCTTGGACCTGCTTGCTGGCTCTGGGATTATCTCCGACGTTCAAAATCGGCTGGCTACTTTATCCCGCTCTCAGGTGGTATAGATAGCTGTGCGACGGCTACTATCGTCTATTCGATGTGCCGTCTGGTTATTGCCGCGATCAAGGAAGGCAATGAGCAGGTGATTGAAGATACCAAACGCATTGCCGCCTACTCTGAGAAACTTCCTGAAACCGCTGAAGAGCTTTGCAACCAGGTACTTTATACTTGCTATATGGGAATGACAAATCAAAGTAGCAAAGAAACCCGTGAACGAGCACAAGCTCTGTCCGACCGCATTGGATCATATCACACAGATGTGAATATTGCCGATGTGTACAACTCGACGAGAAATATCTTGACTCAGGCCACTGGCTTTGAGCCCAAATTCAAAGTTCATGGCGGATCCACCACATCGAATTTGGCTTTGCAAAATATACAGGCAAGGTCTCGCATGGTAATCGCCTATTACTTTGCTCAGGAGTTATGTGAAGTCAGAAAACGACCGGGAGGTGGTTCGCTATTAGTCCTTGGAAGTTCGAACGTGGACGAATGTTTACGTGGCTATCTCACGAAATACGACTGTTCATCGGCGGATATTAATCCTATTGGATCGATTAGCAAAGTTGATCTCAAACGCTTTATCTCCTGGGCTTCGACAAATTTTGATATGCCTATTCTGAAGGACTTTATTGATGCCACACCCACAGCTGAACTTGAACCAATAACGTCCGATCATACGCAATCCGACGAGGTTGACATGCAGATGACCTACGCAGAGCTTTCCCGATTTGGTACGTTAAGGAAGGTAAATCATCTTGGTCCATATGGAATGTTTCTGCGTCTTCTAGAGGAGTGGGGTGGCGAGGGGAAGCTGAGTCCACGCGAGATTGCGGACAAAGTGAAGAAGTTTTTCCACTTTTACCAGATTAATCGCCACAAGCAGACCGTTGCTACGCCGGCATACCATGCGGAAAGCTACAGCCCTGATGACCATAGATTTGACCTCCGGCCTTTCCTTTACCCGCCGGCTTTTCAGAGCTGGTCGTTCGAGAAGATTGACAAGAGAGTTGAGGCTTTAGAGAAAAGGGGCCAGGGGAAGTAAGCAGAGAAATAAGTGCCTAGTTGTAGGATAGAAAAAAGATAGACGGCAGGGGCGCCACTACAACTTGCTAATATTGATTCTATTGGCTGGATTGTTCACCCAATCTATATACATGTAAGGTAAAACTCAATTCATCTTGATCTTTGTAGATCTGGAGAATGCAGGCTGAGGGTTCGTTGGATGGCGACTTGCCTTTTCACCAGATTGGTCCGCGAGAACAAAGCGCCAGTGAGCATTTCCGGTCTGCACATCTCATAATAGATGAGATGTGAGTGTGATGCATCGATGGAGCCCAGACAGTACTGCACTGAGATTGGGTTACAGTGATGCCCAATCTCCTAAATTCATCCAATGATGTTACATCTTTTGCCGCTGTAGCCCCGCACCATCTTGGCTGCTGCTGGGCTGATTTCACGACGAATCAGCCTTGTGACAAGATAACTAACTAGTCGACTAGTCCATTACAATCTGAACTCTGCCCCTACCAATCCTCAAGTCTTTCTTCTTGGACGCTTTCAAAACGGAGACATCTAGCCTTTCAAAAATTCAGGGGATTATCATGACATTAGCCTTCAAAGGGAAATTTCCTAAGCAGGTATGGATACCACTCGACAGTTTGTACATGGCGATTATACTGTCGGGTGGATATGTGCTTTACCAGATAGCGAGTTTGTGGCTGCAGCGGCCATGTTAGATGAAGAACATCCCATGCTTCCAGCGGCCGATCTACAAGACACGAATTCATATCTCCTTGGCAAGATTGGCAATCATAATGTGGTAATTGCTTGTTTACCCGCAGAAAGAATAGGTAAAGTGTCTGCTGCTACTGTAGCCAGCAATATGCTCCGCAGCTTTCCAGCTATCAGATTTGGGTTGATGGTTGGCGTTGGTGGTGGAGTACCACCTGATAGAAATAATAACGGAGTGGGAGAGGAAAAAGATTCTGAAGAGGAGTCGGAAGATGTACAAGATGTCAGACTTGGGGATGTTGTGATAAGTCTGCATTCAGAGTCATCAGAAGCTGTCATACAGTACGATTTTGGCAAATCAATGCAGCAAAAGAAGTTTATTCGCACTGGCGGTAAACTGGATCAACCCCCGGCAATAGTTTTGAATGGGATTTCTACGCTCAAGCAACAACATAGACGGAAAGGTCATAAAATTCTTGAACTAATAACAGAAGCAATTTCCAAAAATCCTGGAATAGCTGAAGAATTTCGGTATCCAGGTTTGGCGAAAGATAGATTATTCAAGCCAGAAGTTGTTCATGTGGAGGGGAAAAGATCATGCAAAGCATGCTGTGGGCCTGACAGCAAAAACCTTGTCCAAAGAGAAGATCGACTTACTATTGCTCCTAAAGTACATTATGGAACCATTGGATCTGCGGATCAACTGATGAAGGATGCTATCTTAAGGAATGAGTTGGCACGAGAGAAAGGAATTTTATGCTTTGAAATGGAAGCTGCTGGTGAGTTTTATTTTTACACTTATGAAACCCCTGTATCTAACATTTTTAAGGGTTAATGAACTCGTTTCGCTGTCTCGTTATTCGAGGAATCTGTGACTATGCCGATACTCATAAGAATAAGATTTGGCAGCCGTACGCTGCAGCAACAGCAGCAGCATATGCCAAAGAGCTTCTGCTAGTTATCCCAGGGCAGGGTGTTATTAACCTACCCTTAATCGAGAAAAGTACGTAACCTCTAAATACTGAGCTCTGTTGCATACATGCCAGTATGAATGCTGGAAGAAATGGGTACATATATCCCATTTCGGCTATCGTTTTTTGTCATATGACGACTTACCCCTTTTGTCTCGAAACAACTGTGCTCTCCACAATAGATGCAAGATGGGCTAAAGTTTTCTCTTAGAAATTGTCAAAGGTCTCGAGAATTTGAGCAAAAATACCCATTACATCAACCAAAAGCTTGATTTAAGGAACTTAAAGGTTGCAAAAGGGGCAGCATTTGATTCCTACGAGAATAAGCACGATGAATGTCTTCCAGGAACCCGGACTGAGTTGCTTTGTGAAATCCAAGAATGGGCAGAATCACCATACGGAAAATGCATTTTCTGGTTGAACGGCATGGCGGGGACTGGCAAATCAACCATTTCTCGAACAGTGGCAAAAATCTTGAAAGTGAACAAGTTACTTGGAGCCAGCTTCTTCTTCAAGAGAGGCGAAGCGGATCGAGGAACTGCAAAAAGTCTCTTTCCAACACTGATTGAACAATTAGTAATCAGCATACCTCAACTAACCCCTCATATCCAGACGGCAATTAAGGATGATCCTAACATTTCTGAGAAAGTTGTTAGGGAACAATTTGAAAAATTGATTCTCCAGCCACTACTTAAAATAGAACAAGGCCTGACTACAACCATAGTGATTGTCATTGATGCGCTAGATGAATGTGAACAAGAAGATGATATAAGAGTGATTCTCCGAATCTTACCACAAGTCCAAAAGTTGAATTCATTACGACTACGGTTTTTATTGTCAAGCAGACCCGACTTACCATTGAGACTGGGGTTCAAGAGCATCATCAGTGACCATCAGGATTTGATCCTTCATGAGATCGCTGAGCCGATAATCGAACGGGACATTTCTTTGTTTCTAAATGACAAACTTCCGAAAATTAGGGAGGAGTACTTCGAATTAGGGCGTGAGCTTTCACCTGACTGGCCAGGCGACAAAGTCACTATGACTTTAGTAAAAATGTCCGTTCCATTGTTTATCTTCGCTGCCACCGTGTGCCGTATATTACAGGATCGTCAATGGCTGCCTGAAGATAGCCTCAGAGAGATCCTCTCACATCAAAACGACAAATCCGGACTGAGTGGGACATATCTACCCGTCCTCAATCGACTTTTAATTAATCAAACCGGAACAAAAAAACAGCAATTGATTAAAGAATATCGGGAAGTGATCGGAGCCGTCCTTATGCTTGAAGCATCACTCTCGGTTGTCTCTCTTTCAAAACTTATAGATATGCGGATTGAAAATATTCGTATTCGATTGGATTCATTACATGCAGTCCTCGCCGTACCAAATAATAATACTGATCCAGTCAGACTATTTCACCTGTCATTCCGAGATTTCCTCCTTGATTCGGGCACTCGCGATCAAACATCGCTATGGATAGATAAGGATGAAATGCATACAAGCCTCACTAGACAATGTCTGAAAGTTATGCAGAATGGTTTGCGGAAGAATATCCTTAGCTTACCAAATGATGGTATACTATACAGCGAGATGGACGAACTATCTATGTGTATCAGTTTCTATCTGCCACCAGAATTGCAATACGCCTGCCGTTATTGGGCACATCACCTGATTCAAAGCCAGAACCCAACTACTGAGTTAGTCAATGCTTTCTCATTTCTTAAAGAACACCTTCTTCATTGGATAGAGGCAATGAGTATATTAGGTCTTCTATCAGAGGTAATTGGAGTAATCACGAGATTACAGTCAGTTATACAAGTAAGTTATCAACGAATCCTATTTATTGTACATAAATATTAATGAATATATAGAATGACAAAAATTCCGAAATATCCCACTTTCTTTATGATGCTAGAAGATTTATTTTTAGAAATCGCCAAATTGCCGATTCTGCACCGCTTCAGATTTATTGTGCAGGGCTTATATTTGCTCCAAGCGACTCAATAATCAGAAAAGTGTTTTTTAAAGAATCACCCAATTGGATCTATCAGCTTCCAAAAGTTGAAAAGTTCTGGAATGCAGATGTACAGACCCTAGAGGGCCATCCTTCTTCGGTTGAGTCTGTTGCCTTTTCACCAGATGGTCAGGTGCTCGCGTCTGGCGGTTATGAAATCATCAGCCTCTGGGATCCTACTACTGGTAAGCTAAGGCAGACATTAGAAGCTCATTCTGATTGGATTCAGTGTGTTGCCTTTTCAAAAGATGGGATCCTAGCGTCTGCTTCTTTTGATAAAACTATCAAGCTCTGGGATCCTATTTCTGGTGAGCTACAGCAAATTCTAGAGGGTCATTCAGATAAGGTTCAGTCTGTTGCCTTTTCAAAAGATGGGATGCTAGCATCCGCCTCTATTGATGCGACTGTCAAGATCTGGGATCCCGCTGCTGGTGAGCTAAAGCAGACCTTAATAGGTCATTCTGTATGGGTTAATTGTGTTGCCTTTTCAGAAGATGGAATGCTAGCATCTTGTTCTGAAGATACAACTATTAGACTGTGGGATCCTACCACAGGTGAACTCCTGCGGATCTTAGAGGGTCATTCTGGAGGGGTTGAGTCAGTTGCCTTCTCAATAGATGGGATGCTAGCGTCTGGGGCTGACGATATGACTGTCAAGCTCTGGGATCCTATTACTGGTGAGCTAAAGCACACTCTAAAAGGTCATTCTGATTTCATTTTATCTGTTATCTTTTCATTAGATGGCCAGATGCTAGCGTCTAGTGGTGATGATGAGACTATTAGGTTGTGGGATCCTACCACAGGTGAACCACTGCAGGTCTTATATGGTCATACCAGTAGTGTTCCATCTGTTGCTTTTTCAAAAGATGGGATGCTAGCATCTGTCAGTGAGGATAGGACTGTTAAACTTTGGGATCCTATTATTAGTGGGCTACGGCAGACCAAAGGCAACTCTGTTTGGGAGCAGCAGCGGAACTTAAACACTGCCCAGGATAAGGTTATATCCCTTACTTTCTCATCGGATGGTCAGATACTGGCATCTGGTTCTACTAAAGATAATATTCAACTCTGGGATCCTATTACAGGTGAACCATGGCAGACCTTGAAAGGTCAATATTCTAGGGTTTTATCGGTTACTTTCTCACCAGATGATCAGATGCTAGTGTCTGGCTGCAGCTATAATACTATTAAACTCTGGGAGCCCATCATAGGTGAGCTGCGGCAGACCAAATGTCACTCTAGTTGGCGACTGAGGAAAATCTTGGAAGATCATTCTGGTGACGTTTCATCTGTTACTTTCTCACCAGATGGTCAGATGTTAGTATCCGGCTCTAATGATAAAACCATTAAGTTCTGGAATCCTATCACAGGTGAACTACAACGGACCTTGGAAGGCCATTCTAATCGTATTCGAGCTGTTAAATTTCTACCAGATGGTCACATGCTGGCATCTCGCTGTGTGGATGACATAATAAAGCTCTGGGATCCTACAACTGGTGAGCTACGGCAGACCCTGGAGGGTCATTCGCGCTGGATGTGGTCAGAACCAAACGATGAGGTATCTATTCAAGACAAACAGTGGGTTTGCTTTAGAGGGGAAAAGAAGCTATGGCTTCCTTTGGAGTACCGTCCCACTTCCTACACAATTAAAGATGGCTTCCTTGCAATTGGGCATGACTCTGGAAGAGTTTCTTTTCTAGGAATTGGGAAGAGAAGAGAGATTCACGATCTTCCTGGTGTTCATGTGCGGCCGCCGCGACCTCTGCCTCGGGCAGCGAGCCCCTTATCATCCCACCCAAAGTCTGTCCCAGAGAATTTCATCTAAGAGGCCAGGGTACATCATCTGACCCCGATTCCAGCGGCATCGTTTGCGCTATCCTGATAATCACTTGTCACAGTGAGCTCTTTCGAAATCTTATCGTAATCTTAGCCGGACATTTCTTCGAGCCTTTTCAGCTCTTGTTCTGTTTCCTGGTCGACAACATCAAGTCACAATAACAACACAACAAACTCTCAATGCAGGCACTAGTCATTTGAGGAAGGCGAGGGCGAAGACGCCAGTCTGCGAGCAATTCTGGTAAACATATCTTTAGATATCAAAACAATCCATACCAAGTATATTGACAATGTAAATATTTTTTGATCTCGCTCTCACCATTAAGTAATACTTAAAACCATAATTAAAGACTCAAAAAGGACAACTTAATCTCACTTCGCAGTAAGCCCTGTTCTAAGACTGTAAATAGATAACTGACATCAATCAAAGCAAACCAAAAGAGAGCGAGAAAAAGATAAATGTCATGTCAAATCACTATATATAGAGCTGCACAATGAAACCAGAGACAATATTTGCTCAAATTGTATGATGATAGGACTTCAGCCATATATAGCACATGTATAATTTTTTCACTTGCCACAAATGCAGGAACCTGAAGATAAAAAGCTAGCCCGGGGTATGATAGATATGAAGGAAATGAGAATAAAAGTAAAGGCGTACATATGGACATGAGAAAGTAAGGAAATCGGGGGCAATGGCTCGGAAATATACGTCGTGGCATCATTTTGTCGCAAGGAAAGAAATGTGTACAGCGCCAAAATGCAACCAAATACGGCAATACAAAAGGCAATACTATTAAATCCTCTTAACCACAAGCGATAGTTTGGGATTCAATCGCAGCGCCTCGTCCAGATTTTGGTCACTGGTCATGGGAGTACCTTCGTCCTTCCTGCTCAGGTTTTCTCTATAATTTACTCGAATGTTCCCTGTAACTTTAAGTCGGTCGCGCAGCTTTTCAAGTAATTGGTTGAAATTGATGTCGCTAGGAACAAGGAAGGCGATGGTGTCATCTTCGAAGGTGACCTTCACCGTGATCGCATTTGTGCTAGATGCATTCGATGTCTGGGTCAATGAGCTGGCTTGTCTGTTCATGGCTGGTGGCTGCAGTTCCGTTCGTGATTGTGAGGCGGCGCTGTTTTGCTGTGAGAGAGAAGACTGCTGGCGTTGATGGGGTGCCCGAGCAGGCGGTCCATTTGCGGACGGATAGACAGCAGCGGACGCACTCATGTGAGCCTGAGAAGATTGTCGAGAATCGCTCATCGAGACATTGTGGCCAGAGGACTGCTGTGACTCGTTGGAAAGCCGGTACGGGTCACCGACAGCATTAGGATCGATCTCAAAATCACCTGGACGAGGAGTGAACAATTGGCAAACGAGCGGACACCGAGATATGTGTGGCGGCATCGCTAAAAGCTTCTTTATGTAATCATCAAGATTTTGTCGGCGGCCGTTGGAAATTGCATCAGTGACGTGCGTCACTGGACCTGGCATGTATGGTAGCGTCCTAGTCCTGCCCCCATTTCCAGCTTCCTCCTCAAATTGTGATAGCAAAGCAATCTGGAAATCATAGAAGTCGTGATAATACCGGGACAGCTCCCAAATTGTGCCGTCTTCCATCTTGGCTTCAATGACATACCAATATTTGTCGTTGTCGAAACAGTACCGCGGAATCGACGCGGAGACTGGTGCGACCCGGTAATTAGGATCCGGTTGCGTAGGCTGGGGATAGTACTGCTGCTGGGGATGTCCAGATTGAGAATACGTTCCGACTCTGCTTTCGGACCGAGATTGATATCCCTGCGCATTGGTCAGTCAACATCCTAAACCTAACCTTACGTGATCGCTCACCAGTTCATTCCCCGCCTGAGGTCTATATCCGCCTCCATTGGAACTCATGGACATTTTTTCCATGCCATTCGAGACGGGCTGCATGCCCGACGCACCGGATGATTCCAGCTTTCCCAGTGAAATACTGCTGTTTTTATATTCAGCAGTCATCTTCTTCCACTCTTCCACTCTTGGGACTCCAGCCCTTCTCACGGCATCAAGCGGGTCCGCCACGGTTTCCCCTGTCCTCATATCCTTGATTTCAATGAACGAGACCGGGATCAAGCCGGGGCCGCCCAAGCGTCTGATTGGCTTCGCGACAAACCATTCCGGATTCGACTGCGCGATGACAATGATAGCCTCGCCAGCCTTAGCCTCCAACTCATCTGGCCGCTCGGCATGGAAATCATACTGCACAATGCCATACACCATTGCGCCGCTTCCCTTTCCAATGGCCGACATCCTGAGAGCGGCTTGCTTGTTGGTGTTTGTTGAATCGCGTCGATCGTTATGAACGCTCCGCTCAGAAAAGCCAGAATCGTAGAGATCTTGCGTGAGAGAATCCTTGGAACCGCCGCTATGACGGTCCTTTTCGTTTTTGTGGACGACTTCGAAGAACGAGACAGGCACGAGGCCGCGGGCGTTGGGGACGAGGGGGTTGCAGGCCTCGTACCAGTCCGGATCGTCCTCGCGACTCAGCACATGAAAAAAATCACCCTTGTTGAATGCTAATTCCTGGATATTGCCAGCATCGGGCTCGTAGTCATACAGAGCCTTGATGACCTAGAATCGCGTTAGGTGAACGGATTTGTGAACTGACTTTTACTTTCGGCAGAAAATAGAGGAGAAGTTGAAATTGACCATGACCGGTCTAAAAAGAATCTGCGCGGGGCGACATGCATGGGCACATCATATCTTACCTTTTTCGGCGGCAAAATGGCAATGGCAGACTTGGGGGTGATGGAGACGTGATGCGGTTTGGAGTCTCTGTCTCCTTTGAGTGACCGACGGATGGCCTGCAGGCAGTAACGCGGTGGTTAGTTCCGACGCAATCAGGCACGACAAATGAGTGTGAAAAAAAGAATAAAAGCAGTATTGTTTTAAAAATATCTTTCTTTGAAAGATATGACAAAACAGACAACAGGTATCCAGACAGTGCAAATGAAGCAGCGGGCGCAGAGAAAAGCGAGGAAAACGACGGAAGGAGGGAAGAGGGGCCCAGCGTACCTTCATCGTGGGCGCGCGGGCTATCAGGACACCTCAGCCGAGCGCTGGATGGTCACTGTAGGGCTGTCGGACAAGCGATGCGACTGGCGCGGAGGCGTAGATATGAAGATATGAATGAGCAAATATGCAAAGAGAGGGGAAAAAGAAGAGGATTGCAATACTGGCCGGGTCAATGCGACGAAGAAGACGGCGGAGGATGGCAACAACAATAATATTGCAGGAGGAATATTATCACCGTCAGGCGGGCGTCCGCCGCTGGTCCCAAGGAACGCTGCTCTTACAATGGTTCGAGAACATCCCGGTGGGCTGGAGCCGCCAATCAGCGTGCCGGTCCAGACTTGCGCAAAGGGCTTTAGCTCTTTGAGTCTTTATTATTATTAGGTATGCAGATGCATGTGGATATGTATTTCTTATTAATATTAGTTTCGGATCTTCTATTGAATCTGGTCCTGGTAGCACACTAGCCTAGAAATCTGCATTACACTAGGTCGGGTGAAGTAGCCGGGGTAAGAGCAAATACTAGGGCATTCATCATATTATCTAGTATTTAATATGCATAATCGGCATTCCGAGTGTAAGATTGTAAGTAACATGTAGTAAATAATTGAATGGACCGCACTGTAAATGGTAGATGTATAAAGGTATGGGAAAGAAAGGTCTTACGTCGGTGGCTCCACCCTGGGGGCCGCGCTAAGGCACCAAGCACTACTGCGGCCAATAGGAAATTGCGCACACATGGGGCGGCGCCGTTGGGCACCAGGGCTGAGCCTGTCCATGGTATCGATAACAGTGGATCTCCCACCACATTAATATGCGACTGCAGAGTAGGACTGCCGAGTAAGATGTGAAGAGCAAAACCTGGGGAAAAGGCGCTGCATGGTACATGTATATGTATCTTCGTATTGGATGTTGTGGGTTGGAGGATCAGCGGGAGTGGTCATATGGACGATGTACCTCGGGCTGGTATATACTAGCACATGTATGGACGATATAGGTACATCTGTGCAGTTGGCAGGGGACTACACTGGGCATGATGCCGACGGTGATGCTGGTTCACATATTCATATTGAAGGGGTAAATTTGGAAGCCTCGTCCAAGAAGGCGAGTGCAGAAACCAGAGCAAGAATCAAGGACAACACTCGGACCGCATGGACGTATCTAGAAATCCAAATCAACTAGTCATATCCTCAATCAAACCTACAATATAAACCATGCAAGTCCGAATAATATGAATCCATTCTGTGTTGCGTAAAAACTAAACTAACTAGAGAGGTATGGAAAGCCTGGAGTAGCCCTTGGCCGGAACGGCATAACATGAGACCGAGCTTTCCATCAATTGACGTAGGGGAATCCTCCACTATAAGCCGTAACGAGAGAATTAAAAGATAAGATTATTGATTGTATCATCTAAAGTAAACCACCAAGACTGTGCAACCTACGTGCCGATCGATCAGACGCCAAAAATGCAGCAAGGGGTATTGAAATCGCCAACAAAACGACCAGAAAGAGAAAATCATAAATGCAACCTTGTCAACTGACCGTGGTGGCGGGTACGAAGATACATAAGTTAGACAGACGCCACAACAGCCGCCTCAAATTTGGCCTTTGATATCGACTAGTCTGTAAGCTTGTGCCCTGGCGTCTTCGAAGATACGGCCCGCTTTGCCCGTCAGGAGTCGCACATGGCCGTCTCGTTCTTCGAGCAGCTCTCCAGAGGCGTGTTCAAGAACAAATCGCGCACTCTGTTCGTCCGACTCGAAGCCTAGCTCTTCCGTGATGAATCGAATTTTTACGTCAGGTTTATATCTATGTCATGTTAGGAAATTTGTAGAACAAGAAGGAAAAATAAAAGACTTACGTTTTACATATGCAGGCCAGTGCTGACAGCCGTTCGCGATCGACAAACATGTCCATGAGATATGCTCCCATATTAGGCGTGTCGAGGTAAAGCTGGAAGAAACGATGGTAGTTACCGAGGGCCAAAGCCGATCGAACATCCAACGCATGTTTGACCGCATGGTCCGATTTATCTGCTGGGGTTAGATCTGCCAACGCGTCGTTGATAGCCGTCTGATTGCGTGTATAAATGAAATATAGGATACGATAGGCCATAAACTCCATGGGATGCCCGCCGAGCTTCTGTGCATACAATGCCCGTAGCTGCGTCTGGCATTGATTATACTCACCAAGATCTCCCTTCTCTAGCGCAATCCGAGCATGGATCTCATACACATTTACCGTGAACTCATTCCGGATACGCTGCACCGTCAAGTCTTGCCGAAGCGACTTGAACTGATCGCAGATGTACCCGTAATTGTTCTCTTTGCGCCACTTCTTCTTCAAGAGATCCAATGTCTTTGTAAGAACAGGCAGAGGACGAACAACGTCCGGATTAGGCGCAGATGTCAATCGGAAATACCTCTTCTCCAATTCCTGGCATCGTCCAATTATCGGTCCCTGCATGGCACTGGGAGGGGGGGATTCAGACCGAGGCGATCCTTGATAGCCAGCACGATCCCCAAACCGTTTCTTCCGGAGCTCCAGACTGGCCTTGGACTTACTTGAAGAGGGACTGTTGAAATCTATGCGTTGCCGCTTGTCAGTGGGGGGATACGTGATTCGGCCATCCAGTTGGTTCCGGTTGTTAGTTTTCCTCCACGGCGGGGAGTCGCCCGCCTCGTCCTGCTGGAATTCGTTGGATTTTCGTTTTCTAGACCGTTCCTCCTGTGCGAGACCAGACTTCATCGCTGCCACATTGGCCGCAACACCCCACGGAGTCGAGACCATGGGGTTTGTCAGGACCATATTGCGCTCATTCTGAATCATGACCTGAGGTAAAGGCAAAGAGTCCCAGTTAATGCTTTCAAGACTGTTGCTTTCGGCTGCGTCGGTGATAACTTGCTTTAACTTCTTTTCTATGTCTGGTCGCTCAATACCCGGGATTTGGTTTTCGTGGATGAAACTGCGCTGTACATAGAAGCGTACCGATGGAGGGAATGCTACACGCTGGCGATCTTGGACCGGCTCCGCAGGGGATGTTTCTGATTTCGGCATTGCCGCGGTAGAATTGTGATCACTTTGAGGAGCAAGAGTACGTCGAGCCTGTACAGGTATGTATGCTGAAAAATAACGTGGTTAGAAAAGAGATTTTTAAAAATAGGCAACGAAATCTTACCTGGTCCGGGATAGTTGGTAGTCGTGGTAGTTGATGAAACGCGCCAGGGCGGCGCGGTCGAGCTCATTTTGGTTTAGCAAGTCTAGAATATGTAAAATATGAACAAAGAAAATCGGGAAGTTCGAAAACTTAGAATCTACGGTGGTGTGGTGAGAGATCTAGGGCGGCGTGGCGAGTCAAGGGAATAGCGATATCAGTAGAAAGCGATGTTATGCATATGTATAGGCAAGAATATGTAGAACATGAAAGATGAAAGGATGTCACAGATGAGTGAATCAATTTTGAATCTTGCGAGGGTGTTGGTGGTGATGAGGACTGGGTGATTGAGAAGTGAGAAGTATTCAGAGTCTTGACTATCACCAAGTCACAGGTCAGGAGACTTCGCTTAGCGTGCCGAATCGGTAATAGCTCCAGCTATTTTCGTGCCTGAAAAATGTGGCAATAAATACCCGCTCTTGGCATGACGCTCAGCATGGATGGTGGGGTTGGCCTTATCGAGAAGGTAGGAAGCTGTCGACTGGTCGCGCCAGCATCGTTGAGACCAACATGATGCTGATCTTACCTTCGATAATCACAGGCTAGATGTTCTTCAAGCCGCTTGATTTGACGACTGCCCTTCGTCCGTCTTTGCTCCCTGACGAAACGTTACTTTTTGTCCAGGACGCTGTGGGCTTGTATGAAGGGTAAGCAAGCGAACAACAGTCCATCTCTATGTCAACATCTAGAAGACTGTTACTAAAGCATAGACTCCAACTACTAGGAAATTCAAGATTCCTTCATATCAAAATGGCCACGCCTACCTGACGTCTCACCGTATTTGTTACGTCGCGACCGATGAACCTCGGAAATATTCTGTGTCCGTCGAATTGAAAGATGTTGATCGTGCAGAATACCAAGTATGAAATGCCCCTAGCATTCTCCCCACGTCAGAAACTGACATACTTCAGGCAGGCTTTGTATTGAAGTCGTCGCCAAAAATTACTATTTTCCCTAAACCTCAGAAGCCCAGCCTTATTCAGCAGCATAATACATCCCAAATCGCTCCAAGTGGGCAGACATTACTGGCAACACAACCACTATCTTCGAGAGGTGCTTCGCCAGCTCCAAAGGTTGTGAATGCGACATGGGTGTGTCCTATATGCTCTTTCTCCAACACAGTACCATCCAATTTTGATCCTACAACTGCTACCGCCTCAACACCACTTCCGCCTTGTCTCGCATGTGGTATCAAACCTCCACTTGCGACGGTCTTAAAAGCCACAATTGCTGCTGCGACAAATAGGGGATCAACAAATTTTGCACCAGCCATACAACCGGCTCCATCTCAACAAGAGCAGACCAACTCTGTCTCGACTGAGCCGCCGAAACCGGGTACAACGGGGATCCCGTTACCATGTCCTAGGTGTACATTTCTCAACCACCCTTCTCTTCTGGAGTGTGAAATCTGTGGTGCTTCACTTGGACCATCAAGCTCAAAGGAAGGAACGACAGCTACTATACAGCGCACCGAGTCTCCCGCACCTTTTTTCAATCAGTCAAACATAACAAATAGGGAGATCAGTGATAGTATCAAGCTGTCATTCCGGGGTGGTGGCGAAAAAACCTTTTATGAAAGATTAAAGAGCTGCCTTATCCAGCGAAAATGGCTGCTACAGAATGCGCCACCAGTGCCCCAACTATCTCAATCTCCACATCGGGAAGCTGGATCATCTCCAGCCCCAGATCGATCTGGGCAGTCGACTCCACGTCCGTCAGCAGTTGGAATTGCGGGTTTGGAGCAACGCGGTGTCGAGTCTCGTAAAAATAATGAACTGGTAATTGGCAATGCCTTTGAAGATTTGGAGGCTTTGATGGCTTCTGCAAAGCAAATTGTCTCTCTTGCCGAAACTTTAGCATCAGAATCCGGTGTAGGTGGTAAAGGTAGATCAACTGAAGCAAGTGCAGTCCTTTCGGAGTCAGCTGCCGCCTTGAATATGGTCACAACAAAGGACATGCTTGGCTCGGGCGCGGAGAACCTCTACTTGTCTGAGCTTTCAAGAAATTTAGCAGAGTATTTGACCGATGACCGCAAGGGAGTTCTTCGTAAAGAAGGTGACATTATGAGCCTCATTGACTTGTGGGCTTTGTTCAATCGCACTCGCAATGGGGTGGAGCTTGTGAGCCCCTCAGACTTCCAACAAGCCGCCGAACTGTGGGACAAATTAAAACTGCCGGTTCGTCTACGCCGTTTCAAAAGTGGACTTCTTGTTGTTCAACCATATGATTGGAGTGACGAAAAGATCATTCAACAGCTCGACGAGTGGCTACAAGAACTTCGTATGCAAACTCCTTCTGAAAGCTCAGCCTGGGATTGGATCAGGTACGGCTGTGGGGTCACTGCCCAAGAAACCGCGCAACATTTTGGTTGGAGTGTAGGAGTGGCCGCTGAAGAGCTCGAAATGGCCGAAGATAGAGGGGTTCTCTGCCGCGAGGAAGGCATCGAGGGTGTCCGATTCTGGAGGAATTACTTCCTCCTTGGAGAAAGCATGGAACTTGAACATAAGATATCGCTGCTAGCGTTGTAAATAGATAATGCGAACTAGAATTTTACCCAAATATAGTACTACAACTTCAGACTATGGTGTAATTACTTAATATCATATCGGCGATATTTACAATGTGGGGCGGCTGACAGCTTTATCAGCGACCCCCACCCCCGGCCGATCCGATAAGGAAGAACCCCCGTGACTTCATCCCATCAACCTCGCTACTCACTACTTGGAGCTGGCTTCATTCTCGTTTTCTCAGCGGTGGATATCTCTCCCTACCAAGGCTCATTAAATCCTGAAAGAGATCAACCCCCTGGATCGACTATCTTACTGTGAAACTCGTATCTGATCGTACAGAACTCGGGGTAACGGATCACCAATCATTCGTCATCTCAGCTTCCCTCACTTGCTCTGCCATCAAATAATCAAAATTCCATAACCTCGCTTACTTGTTCACTTTATACCCTACCAACGAAGGCTTAGCCCTCGCCCATCGCGTGGGGTTCCTGAATAGCACTATGAGCGCCCACTGCCTGGCTTCGAGGCCTATCACAAATCCAAGGATTCTGCGACACAATTATATCAGCGCAGGCAACTGCAAAGCAATACAGTTGCGCTTTATTGTACCGACATCTAATGGACGTCTGGACACTGTCCGTACGTTCTGGGGGCTAGGCTGGCCCTGGCGAGACCGCCGCCGTCAAGCCCTGGATAAGGCGGGTCTAGAAGAGAGTCTGGACAAGATGTCGAGAAGCCTTCGCGGATTCTATGTGAAAGTAGATCGCATCCAGAGACTATCTCACAAACGACGGAGTCGAAACTACCCGTGGGACGATCGATCTCATGCATCACGTTCTAGTCGAGACCAACAGGACTGGCAAAACCACCACCACCACGATGAGTTTTATGAACTGACCAAGAGAATTGAAGCGGACCCATATGGGTTTCTTTTTGGAAGAAGCAATCAGTACTTGCAGCTTCCAAAATCTTGGTCCCCGTTCTGTCGCTCATTCCTTCATCTTGAGACGACTGATGAAGTCAAATCCGGAACTTTCTCCAATCGAAAGCGTTGTGAGAGTCCTAAAGCTCGTCGTAAGAATTCAGTGAAATCGTTTGTTTCAGAAGTTCGTGATCAGGAGTTTTATTTTGATCCTATCAGTGGGAGAATGGTACCGAAAGAGCGTGACGATATCAAGAATACGGACAAAGTCACGGGGAATGATAGCGAGGAAATAGATATCCCTGTCAAACCCTTTCCCGGATATAATGAATCACCTTCCAAAAAGTACCAATCGTCTTCAAGAGAGCGTACAGAACAAGTGCAATCACAAAGCGCACCAGGCAGCCAAGGTAATGTGATTTACCTGGAAGGCCCTGGCGATGGTTCTCCTGAATCTCTCAACACACAAACGTCATCTTCCCAAACATCAATGATTGACACAAAATCTGAAGCCGAACACGGACAAAACAACGTTTCAGTAACAGGGCAAGAAAGGAAGCTAGATCGGCAGATTTATGCTGACAGAGATGATGTTGACCAACTACGTGCCAGTGATATTCGGGCTTCATATTCTGGAAATACCAAACCGAAGAGTATCAACAGAATAAAAGCGGCCAGAGATGCATTGGAGCGAGAATATGAATCATTTAAAGATTCTGAAAACTACATGTCTGAGAAATCTAAACAAGATGTGGCTGGTCGAAAGAAAATCGGCATGGATGCTTCAGAACCTGAATATACGGAACATGACGACTTCCTTCGGAGTATCAAGCTCCAGAGAGAGAAGTATCTTAACGAAGATGAGCCAAGTTTGGAAAAGCCTCCTATTTATTCTCAGGAATCTTCGAAGCATCAAGTGCCGGAAAAAATATGTCGACAAACATCTGAAGCCGATTCCGAAATCAAAGTTATTTCTCAGAACGCTGCGAACGTTGAGGACGGATCGAAGTTTATGAGTCAATCGTTAGAACAAGACGATGTCGTGTTGATGAGCAATGATCATGAGCAATCAGCCGTGGAGGCTCTAAGAAGGTTTACAGAAAGCATGAAATCGCTCAACCTGGAATTCATTCATCTATGTGAACAACTAGAATCCTCCGCAGTAGTTTCACCAACTGTCTATCGAGTACTCGCCTACGATCCCACTAACTCGGAGATCGTGCTCGCTGAGACAACTTCATCTATCCATGCATCCGAACGAACGCTTCCTCCTTCTGAGGTCATGCTACATATAAACAATCCTGCGAAATTCCTACCGTATTTCGCGAAAATGAAGGCCGATGGGTATGAGATTGTCTCCGGTAGTGACAATATTCTCGTATTCGGGAAGACAAAATCAGATGCTTCCCCGTCTTCCCACACCGCCAACAGCGTGTCTACGAAAGCCTCTGATGCGCAAACCAGCATGGAGACTGAAGACAGCATATTAAATCTCGACGATGCAATCCAGTCCACCAATCGACTAGAAAGAACAACAAAAACTGACTCCACAACTAAACAAACCCCACGACTCGTGCGCCGACAAGAAACTATTTACACTGGCGGTCCACCAAACTGGTCGCCATACCCGCCTCTTCCACCGTCCCAAGACGTCAACGAGAACAGCACAGAAACGAAAGAAGAACCACCACGCAGGTCTTCATCTGTTCGCAAGGCTATTCGACGTATGTTCTTAACCGGCACTGCCACCGCAGGAACGATTTATGCAATTGGTGTGTTGTGTGAATATTTTCGTACTGGTGGTCAAGACGGTTTAGGGCCTGAAGGGCTCAGTGAATTTGAAGCTGAGAGACGACGTCGAGACTAGAAGGGTCGTTTATACGCGTGCTATTTTGGTGTTGTTTTTGAGTGATGAGGTTATGTATAATATGTGATACTCCACTCCACTCTTGCCTACTCCACTCCATCAATATAGGTTCTGAAATCTACATGTAGTTCTGGTTCTATCAATAATCGCGTAGAATAATATGGGATAAATGCTGTCGATAATTCAGTGTCAACGGATCCGTTGGTCGTTGGTTGCCTATCCCTCCCATTATTCTGTACCCGTAGATGTAAATAACAGAATACATACTTTTGCACATCACATACATGCAGTCGACATTGAATAATTTAAATTTCATGGATTGATGTATTGTTATGGAATGTGACGTAGCCATAAAATTGAAGTATTTTGACATCAATATATATGTAACATTGGAAATATATATGAACATAATTGATTTAGTATATAGTGGCCTGCTCATCTGCTGCTTAACCTAGAGGTAGCATTTGCACACTATCTACTGACACGTATGTAGAGATACACCGGAACGATCTGACGGTGTCCAGATATATATAACACCAACATTTTAAAGCAAATATCAGAAATGTGTTTCCTTCGGTTAAAATGTTATACCTCTTTTCATACCTCATCAAACGAGGGCTCACGAAAACATTCTTTTTTTCTTGACAGACAAGAACAATTTCACTGTCAACTGGCAGGAAAAGCGACAAAGCTTACGTCGATATTGATCATGCTCCATCGATAAATTACTTAGAGACGTCAACTGGTAAGGTGTTTAGGTTATATTTTCTCAACGCATATGAAACTAATTACACCATACATTATTACTAAACCTTTTTTACACCCTAAAACGGAGTACCGATACATGCTGGATTCCAAGTTGAAGAATTCGCACTGTTTATCGAGATAGGATATGAGACGCGAGGATATGTAGGATAGGGAATATGTTACACAGCAGTCAAAACATCCCATTCCTATCGGGAATTGCGTTTAGAACTCGTTGAATTGCTCATTGTGTCTTTGTTTATATGTTTGCGAGACAGTAATATTTCAACATTAGACGTAGTCGCACTTGGTAGTGATGTGCTGCGAGTCAGTGGCGTGTCTATCACATTTTAATTTCCTTGGAAGAAATATACTAGACCTAACTAGTGCGTCTTCCGTATACTCTAGGCCTTAGGCTTGGGAACACTTACCTGCAGGCTCATATTTGAAATAAAAGGCCGAATCGGAAACTTTTGATTGTTCCAGGCTTCCAGGGGCTGAAATAATGTATTTCTTCGTTCTGATGCACTGAGAGTTCACCTTCTAATCCGCCTCGTTTAGCCTAGCCCTCAAGAATGACAGTGGGATAAGTGCAGCGTGCCTGATCGGCCGGTCGGCCTGAACTAACAATGGATATGCTCTCCCTAGCTTTCTCGTCTTGCAGCTGCAGGTTCGAATTTGTTTAATATTTCCAACTATATAAAATGCCAGGGACAGCCAGATTATCTGATATATCATACCAGAATACAAGAGCTCGGTCTAGAATCTAGACTCTGAACATCTTCGCCAAATCGGTTTGTTACGATCTATCAACATTGACTTGGAAGTTGGAAGTTGGTAGGTGCATGCGATATTTCGCTAAATTGGCATTATGTACTGGAAGATCCTCGAAATTTTAGCCGGGCGAGGCTTTTGCAGATTCCCCAAATGCCACAGCATTGTAGGTGTACTCGAATGTTCATCATTGGCTCTTATTGATGATGTCGATCGCTATTTTGCGTGAGTTACATTACTGTAACTGGCTATGCTTGCAAAGGGGAAAGATTCGGACAGTAGTTTAAGACAACTCGACACCTAACAGGACAAGGACTCCGTTTTTTTGGGGGCCGCTACGCTTTAATCGGAATAGGTGTGCCAAAGCAGCTAGCCGATCATGTGTCACATTTCAGTGCGTTCACGTTCACTTTCGGGCTTAGTTTCTGCCATTTTCTGGTAGTTGAAATTTGAACGTGCTGTGAGGCAGCGAAAAGTGGAATCTGCCCGCAGCGTTAGTCCCAAGGCCAGGTTAATAGTCAGGGGTCGATGACCCCATACCGTTAGTCCGTTAGTATCAAGTGGCGTGGGCCTGCCAACTTGGGCCTTGGCTAGCAATAGATTTCCACCAGCCCTTCGCGGCGCCGATAGTCCTATGTATGCGTGAGCACACAAAATTGAACAAAATCACGCTGGCCTAGACTAAGGTAAGAGGCCGCGCTGCAAACGACCTTGTTTTGAGCGACCGAGGATGAAATTACCGAGCAGGAACTGCGCAATAACAACAGTAATAATGTTTCGAAGCATAATATGTTATTGTCGGCTATGCGATACTCCCTTTCGTGCAACAGAGTCAACAAGAATGGCAATCTGTCGGCCACTCGGCGTGTTTGAGTAGTGCGGCCGTTGTAATTGTTGTTGTAACTTGGGGCAGTGCTGACTTGGTTGGTTCTTCCTTTGGGCATTTGGGTACACGCACTCCAGACTTGCAGCCACATCCAGGCACCGATGGGGCATCGCACATGGTGGGTCTTTTGGCGGTAGGAATTGGCCAGTCAGAAGAGAGACTACCCGTTCCCACTTTTCTTGTTTTGGTAATGAGTAGCCAATCACAAGTGAGTGAATACGCTGACGCCTGTTAGCATCTCGCCCGTCGAGTTCTCTCAAGTCCCATGTGATGCCTCGTTGCCTGATAGAAGTATGTGATTAGGCTATTCGTGCCGAGTTATTATACTTGTTTTTCTTTGGAGGCTAGATCGTCTGAGTACATGAACCATGCCGGCGAATAAGTTGACAGCCACAGCCTGATTTCAACTATGTATAAGCCTATGACTTTAATAACAATTTTAGACGCAACATGGTCTTAGAGGGATCTGCGAGAGTCTAGAGTAGTAGGATTAAAGAGAAGATAACGAAAGAGTGAGAGATCGGAGGTGTTGGCAATAAGCATATCTGGGATCAACGTGGTGAGTTGGTCATCGATTTGCTCTCAAGGCCTGCAAGGCTTTCCAACAGATGCATACGGGACATTGGTACAGCGAAAACAAATAATAATACAGTACTCCGTACGTACTCAACTGATACATAGCTGTTCTACTATAATTTCCCGGGCCCCACCGCAGCCAATCGCGAGAGCGCCACCGACGACGGTCATTTCCAGCGGTAAAGGCCCAAGCTTATTTCGTTCTAGAGCCAGCCCATCGGGGCTTATTGGGGAAGCGATCTTCTGCTGACATGCCAGGCCTGCCAAGGATGGCGCGCAGGGGTTTCTCACAGAGCAAAAAACTTGTATTATTCTTACAGAGAGAATCTTAAACTGTGAGATTAGCCAGCCTCGGCGATCTAATTCGATTTACCGTCCGTACGGCACATCGGAGGTTGTCTGTGGAGGGTTATGCAGCTCGTTACACAGCGTTGGGTGGCGGTAACGACCTCCGTCAACTGCGCAAGGGACCAGCTTGCTATGGTGGCTGTAATCATGGAGCGTTCAGCGCAGTATTCACGCAGCAGTATTATCGAATATGGTACTATTCCATCGTGGTAATGTAATAGCTGTTAGATCAAAGTGCAGACTAATTACAGAGTACAATGGAGAGCAGCAAAATCATGTACAAGCTGGTACGCGTATTCCGGCGCTTAAATTACGGCGACGTGGGGTGCGAGCCAGCCAGCCGCCCGCAGTGGAGCTGTCGGTCCGCGACCAGTGTCTTAGCCCGGGGGGTACCATGATTGATTTTATTATTAGCTGCGGGTGCGTGGTCGTAGCAGTAATTAATCACAACACAGCAAAGCACCACCAAGTGTCCACCCGCCCTCCACCTTCCCCCTTCACCTGCCTTCGTTCCTTTCCTTTTCCCACCCCCCAAGGCCGCCGACCCGCTCAGCCGCCCAATCTAATTACTGTCTCCCTTCTCTCCTGCTCTGTCTACTCTTCTCTCTCTCTCTCCTCTCTCTTTCTCCCTCTTCCCTCCGCCATTCGTTCATGCCTTGCCGTTGACGGTGTTGTCGTTTGACGTGCTTCGCTTGCCTGCGTCGACGGCTTGAAGGGACGACTTGACAAAAGACCTCGCCCCCTCTGCTCGCCCACGTCACGCATTTTGCAACTGTCCATCCTTTGAGAGCAATAAACCCGACTTTCTACGCCCCTTTCGACGTTTACGTCTGACCTACATTCGTTTACAACTACCGACACTCGCTTGATATCGTTGGGTTCATTGCATTGTTCCCCGTTCCACTCGTTAAAAAGAGAAGAGAAGCATCGTATTCGCCGAGTTTGGGTTCATTCTTTGATTGAACAACTCAGTTTTAACATCACAACACAAGGGCCATATCCAGACGTTGGTTTAATTATTGGTAGCTGCGCTTGGTTTAAAAGAAAACAAAGAGGAATATTCGGTGACATTGAGAAATTGCAGTCGCGTTTCAAGTCCTGTGTCGAATACTTCGGTTCTGGGTTTGGATGTGCATTTACGATTGACGATTTCAGTGTCCGTCTACGAGCAATCTTTATTAAGAACCTCCAGGCCCAAATACCGATTTGCAATTGATACACCTGGTTGTTCGTGACATACCTCAAGATGCGTTCAACCTCTATTGCAGCTCTGGCTGTGTTGGCTTGTGCCACACAGTCGGTTGCCGAAAACATTCTGCGACCGAAACATTATTTCCCAAAGGACGTTAAGCGCCAAATTGGCAATTTTGGCTCCGGTCTAAGTGACTTGCTAGGAGCCAATACCCCTGCGTCTTCGTCCACCAGCTCTGGAACTTCTGATGTTGTAGTCGTGCCAGTGTATGTCTATGTTGGCTCCGATGGCAAAACCACAACCACCACTGGCGAGGCGGTGACCAAAACTCCAACCGCCACTGTCGCTTCTCTCGCTGCTCCAACATCTGTTGAGGCTGGCGTTGTTACATCGGCTACCACGGCCACGCCAGCCAAAACTACGACTGCAACATCGGCAACCTCCGCTTCCTCTAGTGATGGCGGCTTGCTGGGAAACCTTGGTAGTGATGTTTCCAAATTGCTTGACCCGACTACCAGCACAGGGTCTGTAGGTGGTTTGCCTTCGACAATTCTCCAGCCAACTAGCGCTACACACACTACAACCACTGCTGCTGATAGCACCAAGACCGACACAACCACTGCTCATTCTACTGCTAGTACAAGCACTGATTCCCCCAACCTTCTTTCCAGCCTTTTGGGATCTAGCGGGTTACTTGGTGGGTTGACACCGAGTTCGTCGTATAGCGCTGTGCCTGGTATCACAGTCGGGCTATCTAGTATTATCACTGGATCCTCGACCGCGACCGCGACCGAGACTTCAATCGTTTCATCTTCCAGTGCCAGCGCAACTACGTCACCCAGTGGTGGTACCCTATTGCCGTCTCTCTCTATTCCGCTTCTGAGCTCTATTCTTCCAGGTACAACCAAGTCGTCCAGCGCTCAGATCCCTACCGGTACCACAACTTCTATCCCGATCACTGGAACAACATCTACCAGTGCCTCAGTTACTGTCAAGCCATCTGGTAGTTCTTCAGCTGTTTCCACTGGAACATCAAAGTCTGCTTCACCCTCTGTGGTCCCCACTGGTACCAGCACCTCTGTGAGCCCTTCAGTCGCGGTAAGCACTGGATCCTCGGTTCCTGCTCCCAAACCTACTACTGTGCTATCCTCCCATTCTGTCGTTTCATCTACGACACAGGCGCCAACTACTACAGCTGAACCAACTACCACTGCTGAGCCAACTACCACATCGACCAGCCAGTCCACATCTGCCACTGACACTCCATATGTCCCCCCTCCTGTTATTACTCCCACTTTGACTTCAACTGCCCCAGGTACCCAGCAGTCGACAGGCCCAACCCAGATCCCAGGAGTCATCGTACCTCCAGGCGGTCCTCCGCAGACTCCTGCCAACTCTACTCTGGTTCAATTTGGTTTCAACAAGGACTTAGCATGGCCAGTGGTCGCCACTTCTATGAACTGGCCCGATCAGATCTACTACTACACTCCTCTTGGTGTCGGATACGCCCTCGCTATTACCCAGTCTAAGATCGTTCCCTACTGGCTTGGTCCGTATGACACTGTGAGCAGTCTGGGTTACAACACGACTCTTATCAAGTTCTACGTACCTAGCGATCTCGTGGACACTCTCAATGCTCAGCGATTAGCGCCTTCATCCGACTTGTACCAGCAGCCAAACACGCCGAATGACTCCCCAACATTCGCCCAGAGTTCTATCAAGAACTTGTTCTCTATGCTGAACACTGATATTCCTTTGGTGGCTCAGCAACCAGCTGGTAGCTCTACTGGCACTGGTTCTGGATCTGGTGACGGCTCGCCTGGTGCCGGAGGTAATGGTAACGGCAACACAAATGATGGTGGCGCAAGCAGCAGTAGTGGCGTTCGTGCCAGCTCTGTTGGAATTGGTGTCGGAGCCGCGGTCGGTGCTGCAGCTTATGCTGGTGCCATGTTCTATGTTGCCCGTCGCTACAGGAAGCGCAAACAACTGCACCAGCGATCCAGCTCTGTCCCAAGTGCGCAAATGAGCGAGGCTGGTAACACCACCTTCCTTTCGGCGCCTAACACCCGCATTTCTCACAATAGCGGCCGAACCAACCGTACCCAGATGATCAGTGCCCCTGTGATGTCGGAGAACTCCTTGGGATGGAACTAGGTGCAAAAGTGACAGCGCAACATATACATAAGCTGTTTAAGATGTTTTTCCTTGCACGTCTGGACCTTCTACTCCTGTAATTTTTGCAAGTTTTATTTACATATTTAAACTTCCTCCCACTCCATTTCCTTTTTTCTTTTCTTTTTATTTCTGTGGATTCTCGAATATTCCCCCTGATGTTTTGTCCGAAAGACGACCAAGCTACACCATACGGTGCCTTTTCATAGGATTGATGATATCTCGAGAGTTCTAACTACTTTCTATGATTTTGCGTATAATCACGCATATATTGTACAGATGTATATTGATAGTGGTGATGTTAGAGGGTGTTTGGTTCAATGATATATGTTTCCTTTAAATACCGTTTACATAGTACGCATAGGCTGATCCATATCAGATAATTTTCAATGTAAGTTAGACCGAAATCATCGTTTCTAATTCCGTTTTCTCTCTTCCGCTAAACATAATCCGGTAGGAAACCAGCATCCTAGCAATGCACCTAACCTAAACCCACAAACCCGAAAACAATCATAGATAAAATACACATCAGAAAGAGCCAGGAATGAAAATGGACCTATCGGACATAAATCTCCTCGCTGAGTTTATTAAAGATTGTCATATCAACCATATTATTAAGCAGCAAGTCAGATATTAGGATGGAAGTAGAGTGGAGAGGTGGTCAGACATTAACAACAATGACCTTCTCAATAATCATATCCGCGGCAGCCTGCACCTCCCACTGCCACCGCTCGTCACGCCATACCTCGTTTAACCAGTACCGCCAGGGGTGATTGCGCCAGCCGTGCGTTGCTTTGGCTGAGTGGAGGACGGAGTTGAGGAGGTGTTGTTGTTGCTGCTGTTGCTGTGTGGAGTCCGGGGTCCATAGAGACCCAGTAGAGGTAGAGGTAGAGGGAGAGGTAGAGGGAGTAGTGGAAGTTTTGGGGTTGGTGTTTAGAGACTGTCGAAGTCTCCACTCCCGTTCAGCCTTCTCTCCAGCTCTCCGTGCGATTTCCTCCTCGTCTTCGGCGAGATACAGCTCGCATTTGTTGCATTCCGAGCACCGCGTGCCGGGGTTGACGCGGAAGTGTTCACAGAAATGCTTGTAACCGCCGTCTTCATCGGCAGCGTCTTGCTCAATGGGATTGTTATCGGCAGCAGGACCGTATTGAGCTCCGTTTAGCTGTCGGGGACGCCTGGAGGAGCCGTTCAGTGCCTTGCGGCACAGATAGCACATCGAATAGCCGCACACGCAGGTGAGTTTGTTGCAGCCGGAGGATTTGACGAAGGATAAGTTGCAGCGCGGACATGTGCGTTTGATGGCAGCGGTGCGGGCAGCCTCGACGGTTGTGCGGAGGGATTGTTGCAGGGGTTCTTCGCAGGAGTGTGGGTCGCGCCAGGTCTTTTGGCAGGTCATGCAGCTGGTTCGTTGACAGGAAGGGTTTTTGCATAAGAAGCGTTTATTGCGAGATCGTAGGCCCATGTTTTGTAGTGAGGTGCGGAAGATGGCGGCGATGGTGTCCGGGTAGAATAGGCAGAGGATAACGAGGGGTATAACAAGTAGGGGTATCAGATCGAGAAGAAAAATAGTCGTTAAAATCGTAGATAATAGATTTCCGCGTCGGAACTGCCATAACAGTGTTTGACTTGGTGGGTGAAATACCGGATCAACTTCTGCGTAGGCGCAGAAGGGACACCGGACGAGTTTGAGCTTGGATTTCAGAATTGCTTCTGAAGCCACGCGTTCCTCGAATTTGAGGAATGTCTCCGAGCCCGCTTTCTCCAAGAGTATGGCTTGTTTGGTGAGGGCTGGACTTAGATATCCGTCGCAGACGCCGTGGCTGACAGGAGCCACACATTTGAGAGTAGATCTGGCTGAATCAACAGAATTGTCCCAGCCTTGACCGAAAAGAGCTTCATGCATTGTTCTCCGAATGCAGCTGAAGCATATCACATGGCCGTGAGATGAACATGTTGAAATCTGCTCGAATGCCACATCATCCAGACAACACTGACACTCATATAGAGCGTTTTCCATCTTTGCCTCATTCTCGTTCAACTGTAATGCAAGTTGAAAGTCCTGAAACTCTTGAGTCTCTTTCTGCTCGAGCAGAAGAGGCGCTATCAGTGCGCCATGTACTTCTCCATCAAGCTCATCGGAGCCAGTCTTTTTCAACCGCGGCAGCAGATTCCCTCCTGCAGTCTTATCCCAGACCACAAGCGGGTTATCGTCCTTGTTATCCTTCTTCCGTTTGAACGGATTCAGACTACTCAGCGTCGCACGCCAGCCCTTCCGCGACAGATCTCTCAGCGTCGGCCTCGCACGCGAATACGAGAAATTGACTTCAGCAAGCACTGCTTCGATTGCACTTCGACTGAGCCCGCTGAACTCCTTACACAAGACCGCTTTAACAGCATTCCTATACTGGTCGCTGCGAAAGAGTTCCTCGAGGGCTACCCCATCACCCCCCTCATTACCATCGCTCTGACAACCCTCTCCCCCCGAATCATTCTGCAGTTTCCATCGCCCTTGAACCCACTGCTTCTTATGCCGCAGCAGCTGCTCTACACAAACATGCAGCCGACTCTCGCCATCAAACCGCATCAACAGCTCACGGAACACTTCGACACGGATATCCGGGAATAGATGCGCGAGTACACGCAGCGATTTATTCAACTCATCCAGCTCCTGCGCCCGCTCCTCAGCTTCGCGATCAAATACCCGCGTGTCTGCGGGGACCTGCGACAGAACATCTTCCCTGCCGCTGCTATTATTGTTATTATCGAGAGAATCACTCGACACCGTCCTCTTCTCTGCATGCCGCTCTCCCATACCATCCGCAGCGCGAGCCCTTAAAGAGGTTCCGAACGGATTATTCCTCAGCGCCTCATTAATAGTCGCCGAGGTCTGCTGCGATGTACTACCAGCATGATCTTTGTCATCCCTCGCAGCAGCGGCTTTCTCGCGAGCGCCCTTGTTGCGTAGCGGCGAGCCACGTCTGATTATAGGCAGATTCGTCACCATGATGTCTATACTCCTTCGCACATAGCTGTACAATGGAACGATGGGTTCCAAGTTGGAAAGTTGGGGCTGGTTGAGAAGCTGGATGGTTGTTTCGCAGGACCGTGTGGAAGTAGTACTAACGTGGGGTGATGAATGTAGCAGTAATAGTAGCAAACGAGCTAACGGCTTCGTTCATTTGTATGACGGCGTGAATAACTCGAATCTCGGAACCGTCAACATCGCTGGAGATAATCAGATGGGGAGACATTGACATGTACAAATCGTAAGGCATGTTGTCTCAGGCTCCAGCAAACAAGGCGCCGCCACGTGATTAGAATATACCCGATCTTAACGTACTGGATTGCTATTCTTGGCTTAGCGCTTAACTGGCCAGGCTTAATTATGATACACTCCATGATTTACCTACATTTAACCGTCGCTGTAGGTGATAACGTTATTATGTCAGGTTATGAATCGTTACTCGGAAATTTCGTAAGGTACTAAGCGCTTCAGGCTATTCAATCGTGTGAACGTATTTATCTAGATACCCTCTATATGGTCTACCTCTAACATGCTCAAAACACAAGCTCATTATCGCGTATTCCTGATAGACCTGGCTGTAACCAGGCCATCAACTCGTCGAATATGACAGTGAAGATAATAGAAGAAAACACGCAGCGCCTTAACACCGTAAGGGGAGATTGGATCAAGGTATCACCGCAAAGTGGATCAAGCCCAAAGCCCGAACAAAGTCAGTCTAGAATCCTAGATTATGACTTGCGATCAATAATCAATCATGAGTAGAAAAACACATGTAGTCAGAAAAAAATCGAAAGTCGTAAGTCATCAGAATAAAAATTTTTTCTATACAGTTGATAATTGGCGTTTCTGATCATCCTGCAACTGCAATTTCTCCATCAGAGCAGCGCGTAACCTCACATTAACGACACCGCCGACACCATACGCAGGCACGATCTTGCCCATACGAGCAAATGAGCTGACGATATAGTCCCTCCTAATCCGCGACAATCTATCGCGCCAGCTCAACCCACCCGGTGGTTGCCGGTTATACAAGTCCAGGCCTAGCAGATGCATCGGGGTGCTGACAAACTGCATAAGCGCAGGACACGAAAACTGCGCAATGGCAGCCTTCATATTCGGAGTCGAGGCGACAAAATCCGGTATTTGGGGCGCAATCAGCGCTGGAACGTTGAAAGATGCGAATATCGTGATGCTGTCTCTCAAGCAGAATAATGAATACGACATCTTGGGTATTTGCGGCGCCTTTGTCACGGTTGCAGCGGCTGCAGAGGATGAGCCAGTCGGGTGGCATTGGCTGCTCGATGGGCCGAAGAGCTTGGCAAAGCGAGCATCTTTGTAAACACATATCGACATGTTGACGGTCGTTGTAGTTAGGAACTTTGCAGTTCCGGGCGTGACGGTCGAGAAGGGTTGGTTTCGTAGTGTGGATGTGACCGTGTCAATGGTGTTGGCGGTTAGGTAGGTACCCGAGTACAACGTGTAAATCAGGAGGAATGGAGCTGAGAAAAAGAAACCGGCGGGTCGCATAACGATTGATTTGAGACCAGACGTCAGCGTGTGCTGAATAGATATACCCTTTGACGCCTTTTCCATGATCGCACTATATACAGTATGCAATGGTTAGGACAATGTTACTCTTTTTTTTTTTCCCCGTGGGTCAAACAAACCGGTCAATGATGGTGATGAGAGGACATATCAGAGCACCAGCCACAGCAGCACTCGCAGCATCGGCTCCAAGTCGAAGGCCTAAGCTGCGTGTATTCCATTGCTTCGCGGTGTCCTTGACCCGTGCTGGCACGGCGGCTGAAAGCTGCTCCTTGGGAGAGACCGAGTTGGCGGAGGCGTCTCGCGACATGGCAAGATAACAGTATAATTATGGAGATTTAGGGTGTATAAACGCGATGAGAGTCGATGCGTCATGGAGGTGAACGGCGCTTCAAAAGTTGAGGGATATATGATACAAATTAACGAGCCGGAAAATTACGAACAAGTCCGAAGCAGTAATGAGCAAGAAAATCGGGTTCATTAAAACGACATATTCACAAAGCCTCCGATCCCAATGCTAATGCCAGCGGTCAGGATGGAGTCGATGGAGTACTAGATGACAGACAAGACGAAGCTCTGAGTAACAGACAGACAGAGAAACAGGAGGCTTTGACTCAGCAGAGAGCAGTCTTATCTCATTGACGGCCCATTCCCCGTCATCGGCGCCGGCGAGCCGGGTTTGCGGCCGGTGGCTGATCGGGCTACGCCAGGACGGGATAAGCCTCATTCTGGCTTGGAGGGAGTCGGAGAAAAATGGAGAACTCCGGAAGCGCCACGGACATGATACTGACAATCACCCAGTCACATCGTACTGTAGTAAGAAGTCGCTGTGAATATAGAATGCTAGATAATAAATACTGAATACTGAATATCCGAGACATCACAGCCGAAGTTGTGGACTGACTACATTTACAATACCAATGTCTAACGCATTGATACGAATAACATCACATAGATGAATCTGTACTTTTTCCACACAACCAATCAAAACGCCGCTCAAAGTATTGCAAATTTCGTAACATCAAAAGGAATCATGTCGTGTTGAATTTTATTAGTTTGTAGTCGCCGCGTTGGTAGGGTGGACGGCCTGGAAGTCGTCCAGCGAGACATTGACGGCGCCAGCTTGAACCAACTATATGAAAAACAAGTTAGTTATTGTAATATCTGTCTGGAATAGTTGAACCTACAGCTCGTCGCAGATCATCAATCAGGTCATTTGGGTCTTCAATACCGACACAGAGCCGGATGAGATCCTCCGGCATAGCTCGCTCCTGTCGCGTCTTCGCATCGATGCTGGCGTGACTCATACGGCAGGGCATGCTGATCAAACTGTTGACGCAGCCGAAACTGACGCTAATAGCCCAGAGTTTGGCGCTTTCGACGATTCTCTCGCTGAGACCGACATCGCCGGTTTCAAAAGATAGAACGGCGCCGGAGCCGCGAGCCATGGAATGGTGCAAGTCATACTGCGGATGCGATCGAAGACCAGGGTAGCGGACTTTGAACCCATGCGACTCGAGGAACTCGGCAATGAGCTGGGCGTTGGACTGCTGCTGCTCCATGCGTACTTTGAGTGTTTTGACGCCGCGCATTAGTAGCCACGAGTCGAATGGCGATAACCCACACCCGGATGCATTAATCGGGAAGTACAGACGCTCGCCCAGGCTAGTGTCATTGACGGCGATAACCCCGGCCATCAAGTCATGATGACCGGAAAGGTATTTAGTGCCACTCTCATAAACAACATCCGCGCCCAATTCCAGTGGATTCAACAGCAAAGGAGACATCATAGTATTATCAACGGCAACGATACAGTTCGGATTCTCCTTATGCGCGATGGTGGCGATTTTCGGGATATCAACAACTTTGATCAACGGGTTGGTGGGGGTCTCGAGGAGAACCATGGCAGTCTTGGAGCTGATGACCGTTTCGACGTTCTCGGGGGTTGTAGTATCGACATGGTGTACGATAATGCCGCCGTGCGTTCCGAGGTATTTCAAAAGCCGGTTTGTGCCTCCATACAAATCATCACCAGTAACGACCTCATCGCCTGGGCGTAACAGCCGTGTGATGACATCTAGAGCCGCCATTCCCGAAGAAACCACCAGAGCTCGTTGTGCGGACATAATCTTGGCGAGATGTCGTTCAAGGTGAGTTCGGGTCGGATTGCCGGAACGCGTGTAGTCATATTCACCACCGCCCGATCCAGAAGTCTGCTTAAAAGTGGCACTCTGTTATCATTCATCAATTGTCAGTCAGCCTACTCATTAAAGAAGGGAGAAGGAAGAAGAAAAGAACCAACCTGGTAAATAGGCACACTACTAGCATTATACTGATCACTACCCTCCGTATAAACCAATTCGGTAGCAATCGCATATCGGCGACCAGAATGCGGACTGGAGGGAGCTGGGGAAGGAGGCAGATTGTGTCCATCTAGATCAACATGCGGAAAGGTCTTTTTCAAAACAGTCCCTGATGCACTTCCAGCTGACTCATTGCCAGCGTTTTGTCCAGAGCCAGCTGTCGACATCGCTGCAAGGTGGGGGTTTATGGGGGGGGGTACTGAGAATGACAGAGAGAATTAGATGGGATGGGATGGGATGAGCTGCGTCTATATCATGAGTCAATGGGATGGATGGGATGAGCAGGGAGAGCAAGGAGCAGCAGTATGTAAGAATGGAAATAATGTGTAAATTAGCTCGAATGATGGTTGTTACCTCTGACTCTTCTTACTTTGCGGAGATGCTGTCTGACCGCTCCGGGGACGGATGCCTGCTGATTGGCCACGAGACGCAGGAGCTCGCACGCCATCGACGCTAAGCTGGTTTTGGATGACTCACCTCACTTCTCTCAATCACTCCTCATAACACCAACAAGTCATTAAGTTAATCAATAATCAATACACCGATCGTTATGCAGGACAAAGGGCTTACGCACAAATACACTGAAGATCTCGCAAAAAATGATACTTAAACAGATTATTTACAACAATCATCATGGTTGTCCTTCCCAACCATATTAACGAGTCACAAACACCATCCAGAGCCTGTTTGAATGCATACCCCTCTCCATCCTATCCATAGAGATAATAGTAAATACACATGTTATACCGAATAGAAGCAGTAACAAAGAAGTTTTATGCGGGTGGTGGATGAGGTTTCATTCAATAGTCACATAAATGACACTTAAATATCACATATGTGCTTTGCCAGTAAATATCAAAATTGCATATAATCAAGACAAAAGTCTTGCAAGTACGGTGTCGATGACTGATCAAACGAATCTAACTAGCCATTGGGTCGGCCACGAGGTCGCCGAAGCCTCCGTTGATGCCGAAGAACTGGAACCTAAACAGAAGTAAAGCAGTTAGTGAATAAATCCGATAAAGAAGCACTCAGTAGGCAGATTCGTACCAATCTTCAACATTCAGGGTCGTCGGCGCTGTCGGCCCGTTGCCACGAGAGCTGTTACTCCAGCTATCATCCTGACTAGCCGCGTCAATACCATTTCCAGCCAGTGCGGCATCTAGTCCGTGCCATGACTGCGTGTGAGTGTGCTCAATTCCGAATATGTTGGGCGGCGGCGGTTGATGATGTTGTTGTTGCTGCTGCTGCGGCGGGCCCTGAATTCCGCCCATTTCGGGAGGAATGGCAGTGACCAGGGGCGGGCTTCCATGATTGCCTGGGAGGCTGCGATTCGGCATTTGTTGGTTCATGATCACATTACCGTGTCCGGGCATCGCATTGGCCGTTGGCATCTGATGATCGAGCATGGTGTTTTGAGGCGATGGAAGCGTAGGGAAGAAATTGGTACCATCAGGGAACAGCTGGTCGGGCTGGAAATTCTCCCACAAGGTCGGTGAGAGATTGGGCGAGTTGCGCGTGACAAGGAAGAGATCGGGAGGCGTGGCGGGGAGCGAGAACGGCGCATTGAACGGAGTTGTTGGCCTGGTATTGCCTCGCGAAGTGCCGGTTGGCTGCGTGGAATCGGGCATTTTGACCATGTTCGGCGATGTTTGCATTGCATTTAAGCCCTGTTGTGCTGGCGGGGGCAAGTCGCGTGATGGCGTGGCTGCTGGGGTTTGTGGACGGGAGCGCTCGTAAGATACTGGTGGTGTAGGACCGCCATTAGGCAGTCCCAGATCCATGTCGTCGAATTTGCGTTTTGGAGGATCGGATTTCCGGGACGGGGGTTGCTGGACTCCGTTATTTTGGTGGTGCTCAGATCGGTTTTTCTGATGGCGTTTGCCCGGTGCTCTTTGCAGTCGTTCCTCCAGGACTTTATTGCCCAAGATAGATTCGAACAAGGTATGAACCATTTTCGCAACGAGCCACACCTTGGATACATCTTTCAGTGCGCGCATGCAGATCCCCATTCGTTCTTGACACGTCGCCACGACAGACGGCACTGACGAGCGCATTTGATAGACGTGCATGATCAAGGCGGAAAAGAGACTGTAGACGATAAATGCAGGTGTGAAACGGATCTCGTCGTGAGCCTGCAGCTTTTCCACAATAGATGTGATCATGCCAGCAGCTTGGAATGCAATCGTTCGAGATGGATAGGCAATTTCTTCCGTTCGGTAGCTATTGGCACTGGCCGAAGCTGGTGGCATGTGGGCTCGGTGTAATAGACAAAGAGTTGTGCTGTATCAAGTTAATATTACTGAGTGTATGAGATGAATGATGTACTTACTAGTAGTTCGAGTGGAGAAGAGCCCCCCAGAAATGATGTCGCGAGCGTTCCCAATACACCTCCTTGGGACAGTTTTGGAGCCAGTCCGCCAGCGCCATGTCAGAGTGAGTTAAGTCGATTGCATTCGTGCGTCTGGATTTGGATGCTACCGAGTACTGTTGGGATAAGACTAGACCCATGATCTCACACAGCTTGACGTATTGGAGGAAGAATTGCACATGCACGGGGTCTGCTTGGTACTCAGCAGGAGTATCGCCTTCATCTTCGATGAAGTCTTCTTCCGTCAGCATTTCGACATCAGAGTCGTCAATGTTGATGTTGATGGGTCGCCCCAGAGCGACTGCAACAGAGCGATCCCGCGTAAAAAGCGTCCACCAAATTCGCTTCCAAAGTCGCTTGTCTGTCCTGCTGAGCTGAGAACTCTCAACACTATACTATGGTCAGAAACAACAATCATCAAAACCCTCACAGGTATAACTCACCTTCGGTGCATGCCGGAACCTTGAGCCACAACGATAGCAACTCTACTCCAGTAAAATACATTCTTGGTTACATCTAGATACAGTCAGGTCGAAACCCGCGGATGACGGGATTCGGATGTGACATACCTTCAGGTCCTTCCCAGTACCAGCCCATCAGGACCAAAGCCTGTACAATTGTGACTCGATCGTCTTCGTAATTGGCATCATAAAGGGCCTTGGCACGCTTGTAAAAAGTCGTAGACGCCGGAATCGTGGAGCCATTCTGGTCCATTAGTTGCGCGTTGGTGCAGACTCGAGAGCCCGCCAACAGTATAGCCTGTAACAGGAGCAGTGACGGCGGGTTCTTAGGGTCGCGATACCGCCGCATAAAGCGATTCCGGTTGATGATCGGCACAACTGGAGCCACCCATTTGAAAAAGGCCTCGACGAGTTCATCGCATAGCTGGCGTGGAGGCAATAAGAATGCGCCTCGTTGATGGAGGATTTCAATCTCCAGATGATCCAATTCAGTCAGACGGGCACGGGTGCCTCGCACATTCTCAGGAAGCGGGTAGTGGACAACGTCGGAGTTTCCGCGGTCGTGGACGAGAAGCGACAGGTTGGAAGACTCGCCGAGATAGGCAACGCGTCCAGCCTCCTTGATGGGGGCGCGAGTGAATTTGGGCTTCATGAACTGGGCATATGTGTTCGCATTGATGTTTTCCTGAGCCTGCTGGGCAGAAGTCAGGGAGGTTTGCGGCATGCCATCAATTGACATGGGATTCGCGGCCGGGTATTCGTTAGAATCACGTGGCAGGGATTCTCTCGAGGAGTCGTCCTGGGCATCTTTGTTGGATTCGTCACTTTAAAGAGAGAGTGGTTAGCGATTCCCGATAGCCGATAATCTAGGCCCATGCATGCACGCATGCATGGAGTGAGCAAAGCAGCGACATACCCGTTGCCGTCTCTATTCTTCACTTGATGGGTTTTCTTCCTTTTAGGGGTCGGAATCCGACACTCGATGGCAAAGGCCACGCAATTGGTACAGGGAACACCGAGACTGGCAGCGTCACATCGAACCTGTCAGGTTATAATATTGCAGGTTAGTGACTGATGTTGATGGTTGATTGGATGCCAAGACCGAAGTCCAGGCAGAGAGAAACACATACCTTTCGAGCGTGGCAAGTCTATAATGCGGAAATATAAGAGAATCATATGTTAGCGACATTTTTCTGTAGCATTTTTCACGAGTGATTGGGGCAGCGATAGACAATAATATCAATAATAAGGCAGCGACACCACAACTACTACTCCTACAGCGACCGCAGTGCAGTCAGGCAATGTGTGGGAGCACAGCCGAGGTGCCGAGGCTCGCCACGTAGGCCAGTCTGGCGTCGCGACAAACACTAAAAAAAACGTACCTCGCAAGCTCGGGATGCGCGTTGCCTATAGATATTATCATTTGACAGCCGATTAGCGAAGAGTTTATAACATCAGCAGTAAGCAAAGCAAAAAAAGACACAAAAGTAGAGCGTCCCGTCCTTCCTCTCATCACCAAAGCGACCGGAAGGAACCACACACTTTCTCACGCAACACAGCATGGACACACGTACCTTCTAAAACTTGCATGGCCTGCATTCGGGGCTGCAGGGGAGTTCTGCGACTGCGGCCCATTGCCATATGCCAGGTCCTGGCCGGCCGCAGACTCCGAATGACTGTCTGCGTCCATGATTTTTTTTTCTCTCCTCACACAACACGCACGTCTCTCTCTACAGCGGGGTATAGCGGACTTCCATGAAAGCGCACTCAAGATAGAAGTCGAGCGGATACTAGCGCGTTCTCTGGGACGGACAGGCGGGATGGAGTTGGTTTGTAGACGAGCAGAATAGATAGATGATGATACCAAAATAGAGAGAAAAAGACGATGGGGAAGAGACGGGGACGGGGATGGCAAGGGTTAAGTGGTGGTTTTGTTCGGGGCGCCACACGAAAGCTGACAGCTGCGTCCGATAGCAGCGACGATGCGGCGATGTGTGCCTGGCCGGGTTTCTACGGGAAACGGTGGCAGACGAAAAAGGATGGGAGGGAGATTCAAGATGATAGTTAGCAGTAGTGGCAGCAGTGGCAGCAGAGGCAGCAGAGCGAAAGGGGAAGAGAAGGGCGAAGGACGGCGACTGGAGCTGATTTCCGGGGTAGCCTGGCTTCCCCCACCTATCGCTGCAAGGCCTGCAGAAGGCGCTAGCAATACGACAATAATTACTCCGTATTATTTTACAATGCTTTCTTCGCGTTCTTCTTTAATTATGTCATTGTGTAGACTGCCAGCTGGACCCTAGTAGCCTAAGAATAGCCGATCTAGCCCTCTGCGACTGCTCCTTTCGTACTTACATTCCGCTCTCTCCTGATTAGTGAGAGAGTAAAATACTGAATACTAATTCACCAAGAGGAGCGGGGGTGGCGATGAGCTGCTGGCTGATTGACTGCCGCCATGCAGGTCCATTTATTTCTCCTTATAAAATATTGACCCTGGTTCGCGTCGGCCAACTGCCGGCAGGAAAAGCCCAGTCCCCAAGTCCCCAAATTCGGGTCGCCTTTCGATAAATTCAAGCTATCTAATTTATAATTTGCCACATTATTATCATCATCATTATTATTACTGGTGTGATATTTTATGCACCTTTACCTTTGGTATGATACGAGGCTGCAGCTATCAGCTCGTTGTCTCGCACTCTGGTGGGAAAGTAATACTCGGTTCTGTTATTGGTTCGTGCGCATCCGTATTCCAGATCGCCAGATCAGTTCGCTAATGTAATGTATTGTACCCACTGTAACGCTTGGCTAGTAACCACAAACTTAAGCACGTACAAGCAATAAGTACTGATTCAGGGCCTAGCCTACTCTAATTGCTAATAGCGATTTAGTAGAGACGACATTTAGATCTGATTTTATTTATAAATCAGTATTAAATATAAAATATTATTCTTGCCGATATCAATCCAGACCACTCAACAATTATTAACACTAGCCTGGGTCGGATTAATTACACTATTTACATATGTACCGTATCCACAATCCTGCAGGTCAGATGACCACTCATTGCAATAATAATCAGACACGATGCCCTGCCCAGAAATATTTTTAATATTATTAATAAAATAAAAGATAACAAGACCAAAACGTGCCTGCATTCAATGGATCGCATCTCATGTATAAACTCCTCTTTTATGATGATCCCTTGCTCTCCCGATTCAACCAAATTGCCAGGCCAGTTGCATATAACTTTAAAAGGAGGAAACAAAGGATTATGAAACGCGAACATCATTGAAAGTGGCAAGACTAGCTTAAAAGAGTGTGAGCATTGTTGTGGTAATAATAATGAGTACATGTGAACGGAGAGAATATTTAGAAGGAGAGCCAATAATCGCCCTTCAAGTGCTGCTGGCGGATCCTTCCACTAACAACATTGAATTTCAAGTTAATGATATTACAATGCCTAGTAGAGAGACGCAACTTGCTTGGGTATACTATATACTACTACTAATAGTACTAAGGAGTAAAATAATACTGCAAGTAGTAATACTCCACCGCAGTACTATGTTCTATGCAGTGTAAATCGATCGGTCAAGAAGAATAATAATAGTATGAAGCGTATTGAGCTCCGAACTTGACACTCGCTAATTTATGTACTACTACCCGCCATCATCCGGCCCATCACCGAACCATACCCGGCCCGAATCGCATATGCGAAAAAGGGGTATTGACTGGTATCGCAGATCCTAGTTTGGCGGAGATCGCCTGCCGTTAGATATACTAAATTCGTGGCCGTCGGGGACTTAGCTGGGGAGAATTACTAGTGTAACTAACCAATACTTTAGTGTTTAGTTTTTTACCTTCAATTTGACTTTGGTATTTCCCGTATTTCTTTGTGGCTGAGTTAGGTCAGGGCGAATCTTAGATTGTGTGTTCAACTCGACAATGACATGAATTATCGCATTCACCATGTATGTACTATGTGCTAAGTATGTTAGTGGGTTTCGAAGTTATTGACAAATTACAACTATGAAACTCTGCTGGCTCTGCTCCTGGTGGCTAAGCTGGTCTCGTGCGTACGCAGGGGAAAAGAAGCAAAGAAAAGAAAAGCAAATATCAAAATCACAAGTAAATGCGCAACATCAATCTCAACCTCGGCTCATCTGATTGCGGGGGAGGCCACGGCCGCACAGAGTTAAAAGGAGGGGGAGTGTGGAGGCGAGCCTGACTCGCAACGAATCAGAAAACTTTGGTGCTGCAAAAGACCAAGAATGTATGGAAACTTTGTTGTAGAACTATATTAGTATATAACTTTCTATACAAAAAATGATTAAATGATGTATTTCATGCCTGGTGACGTTAAATCATCACCAATCAGAGGCTAGCGCAACGTCTTTTTTCTTTTTCCTCCCTAACTGAGCTCCTTCCAAAACAGGATTATCGTCTTTTTTTTTGCACTGGTTGGTGGTGATCAGACCCCGTTTCAACACGAAGGATTTGCGGCGTCAGGTTGTGACGGCCGTTGTTCCGGTATCTCCCGAGGATGGTTGTTTTTGTCTGGAGTTGTTATTAGCAGTCCTAGTACTAGTACTGCTACTACCACTGTTTGGGGTAATAGTATCAGTCAGTTCCTTGGTTGTGCTGTCGCGATCGACAGCCGCAGCAACGTCGTGGAAATTGATTCCACTAACAAACGTCTCGCTCACGAATTCCAGCCCTGCAACAAAGAAACACAACACATTGGCAATAACAAAGTGACTAATTGTCGTTCCAATCTCCAGCCACGACCCGTCGTCACGCACCATGTAGAAGAAGTTGAGCGTTGAGATGTCGGAGATGGTCATGACCACCATGAACAGCGCGCTGGGCGCAACCTCTAATCGCCTATTCAGTATGCCTAGATTGGCGCTGATGATCGCGAATGGAATCATCAGTTTGAGAATTAGGAGGGCACCCTGGGTGAATGGGTTGAACACGGGGATCAATCGATAAACGCTGTCCAGCGAGAATGACGACACCGAAGCAATATTTCCCGTGCTGAAGAAGGCTGATTGTAGCAGGAAGAAGAAGAACAGCGCTACCCGTGCATCTGAAACACTCAGAGCGCGATATTTGTAGGTTTTGCCGTCAACAATTGTCGTCTTTGCGGTGCTCCCGGACGTATTGATTTGTGCTGGCTGCTGCTTTGCATACGCGTACAGAGCATGCTCTAGGTGCACCCAGGTGGCCAGCGTCATACAGAAAACAAAGTAGAACAGCCCTTCGTAGGAGATGGTGAGGATTACGAATGTCGGCGAGAATGTCAAGTATATCATCACCAGTCGGTGTAAATAGGAACTATTCGGATACATTCGGTGTGCGAAAGGAAGAACGAGTGACGACACTACACGATATTCAGCCAACGAAACTTTATATTGGACGCAATGAGAGTGTCGAGAGAATTCTTACCCAATACGGCCCAGCCAACAACCTGATTGCCCAGCGGAAGGCCTGCCTTGGCCTGCAATGACAGCGCACTTGATCGTGTAACAATTGTAGCCAACAAGATCATACCAATCTATATCCCATTAGCGATTCTGAAGGTAAGCGGTTTCCTGATTAGGCAGTTGGCTATATACCTGTGCACCCATGATGGTGCGAGCCCCGGACGCGCTTATTGTATGTCCGGTTCCCCTTGCAAAGGTTTCCTCGAAAATAAGGTAAAGGATACCGGCAACGAACATAAGCATTCCACCGATAGTACTGTAGAGAAATTAGTAAGTTATACACGGCTGGAATCTGGCATACGCACATCGCCGTAGTGCTCTCAACCTTCATAGCCGGCAAGAGTGTAAAGGTGCTCATTAGCAAACAACCCACCGCCCATGTCCCTGAAAGCAAACGATGCTGTGACAAGAATCCAATACCAGAAAACAAAGGCCAGAAGGCAGCGATAACAAAACAAACGGTGTATATTTCCCGATCAAAGTATGATTGTACCTGCCCAGGAATTAGTATCGACGTATGTTATCGGCAAAGTACCACTCACAAGTGCTTCTAATACACCAAGAAAGAGTACACTTTGTAGAGCAAATGTAATGTAGCCTCCAATGGACCGCACATGGCTCAACAAAATCTCACGACCTGCTATCAGCGCTCTCCTTCGAGCGAATACCTCCTCCCAAAAGAAAACAGGAAATGCCCCATATGCATAGTATCTCCACGAGGAACGTTGATACAAGAAGGTGGAGAACAGCCCAATAAGAATGGAGACGAAAACCGAGGTGCTGAACCAAGTTCTGTGCGGCTCGGATGACCCATGTAGGACATGCAGATCAATAACGGTTGTAATAGCATAGGCAATCCAGCCCAAGTACCCCGCAGAAACGATCGTTCGTAGGAAAAGCCAATCGTATGTCTGCAGATACCGGAGGCCTTCAAGTGCCGTTGTTAAGAGCTCTGCCGATGCCTCAATGGAATCTACGAATTTGCCTTCCGAGAGCAGTTGTTCGATTTCTGACACACGGCTAGCAAGCCTTTCCTGGCCCAATGGCGCAAAGTGCTTGAATTTGAGTTGGTTTTGGCTCTTTTGGGTTTCCTTGACTCGATACATTTCTAGAACTTCCTGGGTGTTAGCCCAAGACGCTAGTGCTTTTTCGCGCGGCGTAGCGTTGATATACTCTAGTGGCAGTCGACCGACCGAGTTCACAGGAAAGTCTACTCCGACCAGATAGGCCATAAGGGCAGCAACATCGGCTTGATCCACATCGTGTCTTTGAATATGGTCGAATCCCCAGTCAGAGGAGAATCCGTCTTCGTGCCCGGTCCGCTGGCCTTCCTTTACAGGTTTCGGCTGTGCGACACCGGAGCCCCAGACTACCAGCGGCGTGCGTGTATTGTCGGGATGTCCATCGCCATGACTACCCCAATCACTCATGCCATGATCAGCTGTGAAGACATAGGCGGTTTTTCCATCGTTGTAAAAATTATCAATCAACTGAGTGATCTGCTCCACGCCCTTATCAACAATCTTGATGTTATCCAGGTACTCTTTTGAATAAGGCCGATAAGAGTGGCCAGTAGTATCCAGTCCAAGCAGATGGAGGAAAAAGACATTCTTGTCTTCTCTCAGCTTGGAATTGAGCTCTGGGTTCTTCTTCGCTTCAGCAAATAAACCATTGACTTTATCAAATACCCAGGAGTCAAGAAGAGTGGCATCCTTGGTATAATCCTCATCCTCTTCATCATACATGTCTGCGTCCACACGGCCCGGAACTGCGCCTTCTTTAAACATTGCAAGGATATCCGGGCTACCCCAACTCCACGTATGCCGACTGCGATTGAAAACACTGTCGAAGTTTACCGGATTCAGCTTCCATCCCGTCATCACAGCAGATACATCTTCGTATAAACCAGCAATGAGCGCAACGTGACCAGGTCGAGACTCTGTGGGAACACGGGTATGCGAGACGCCGAAGGTGCCGTGGTTTAGCACACGCGACCGAACAAAAGGCGCAAGACGAATCGGTACGTTATCCTTGGGGTCTAGACCAGCCGGAGGGGAAGGATCTGGGAACGATTGGAAAGCTTTGTCGGCACGAAGGCCATCGCCGACGAAAAGAACGAGACGTTTTGCGGGTGCTTCTGTTCCGGGATCTCGCGCGACGGCGTGTGATCGCATGCCATTGACGATAGGACTGACGAAGTAGATATCAAAAATGGAATATAGGTACATCAGATGGAAAGCCGCCGCAATGATCAAGAAACCGGCACGGCCGACGCGCGCCATGATTGGGGATGGCGGAGCTCTCCTGGCCCCTGAGGCGGAACAGCTATATTGAAGATCAAGGACGGAGGGACGGATTGAAGACTCGAATAATGATGGGTGGTTAAGGCAAAGAGAAATAGATAAAAGGTAAGGCAGACAATAATCGTCGCATCGTTATATCAGAGCGCAATTGAGAACCGTCCACAGCGCAGCGAATTGAGGAACCTGGTGGCTGTTCCTGTCCTTCTTGTTGTTATTATTCATCCCGGCAGAAATAATCGATCTCTTTGGTAGTTTTCTGATTGGGTGTGATGTCCACCGCCTGCCGTTCTAGGAACCCGACCGGTGGGGCTGAAGATTGACTGTGGCCAATTATCACTGTCATAACACCCACGATCTAGATTCATCTGACCGTAAATGGTATAGCCTGGTCTTTTAATTAGAGGGCGGATTATATTGTAACCCTAAAATACGCATGTTTTGAGTATAAACTTGCTGTTATTTTATGTATTTGGTTCTTAGACTTTTAGGACCTTAATAGCATCAATTCCACCTTTGTATCGTTGCATCTTACGCCATGGCCAATTTCCAACATTGATAGCAGGTCACGTGCAGGCTTATCCGGCCAATCAAGTTCGAGCGAGCTTTTCAAGGGCCGAGCTGGAGTAGTTACCACTATTATTATTGTGAGATTGCACTAAGGAATCTAGTGAGTCTACTAGATGGCTGCATGCATGTCTCCAATACTTGGGTTTTAGATACATGCTATCGAGTGGTATGTTGTGGGCTATTAGGGAGTACGAGGCACTTAAATTCTTGGTGGAGCGTGGTGCTGATCCTACAGCACTGGATGACCGAGGAGATTTTATATATTTGCCGATTCCACAAGAAATAAATTGAGATGTACGAAGCAAGATTAATAAAGTTTCTCTAAGAAAGTGATACGATAAATTGCTGGTTAGGGTTGACTTTGTTGGGAGTCTTGATTCCTCCGAGGACTCCTTAGCATGATGAGACAGGCCTAGTCTTGCTATTCTCTATTATATAAAGCTGATGGATCCTGTGTTTCTAGGGCCACTGTAAGGGCCAATGAACCGGAAGTAATGTGTGTAATTTTTTGAAAGATGGCTGATTGGTGTTGCGGACTGAGGCAGTGCGTTAAGAAGAGGGAGCGACGAGCCGCACATGCTAATTTGGAAATATTGACCGGCGATCTTGCGATGGATATATATGTAATCAGTGGCCGATCGATAAACTGATTCATATATGTAGCGGTAACATCAAGATACATTGGAATAAATGAGGACATGGGCGTTCTCTCAGAGCCATAGTGCTTCGTGCTTATAATGGCTAGAGCAAACTAGCGGACCGCACCGTGCCAAATAACAGCACTGGAGGCACCTCAGGCGTTTTACTGGTCCGTTGGCCTTACTAGATGAGCCCTAGCCCCTCACCCACAGCCCAGCTGAAGCTCTTGCCCTATGCACCATGTCAGATTTATAATAATAAACGTTCAGGCAATGTCATCATTCGGCAACAATATCCGAAGGCGACGACAGTCCTACTTGTAGAGGGCAGTCGCATGGTCGTTTCACTCTTCCCCCCTTCTTATCCTGCTATATGACCAGGCAGGTCACATATACAGCGAAGAGGAGCTAAGCAGCAATGGATCCTCTCTCCATAATCGCTGGGGTGACCGGGGTGATAGGATTTACCTTGACCTCAGCACAGTCTGTGTTTGACACAATCGACAGTGTGAAAGACGCCCCCAAAGAGCTGCAGAGTATTTCACGGACAGCTCACGATATTGCAGGCGTCCTATCCAGTCTAGATACTATTATCAGCGAAGACAGATTGTCTATTGCCAAGGATGGCAGTATCACCGATGTTCTGCAGCCGTTGATCAGAACTATTGACGGATGCCATGCAGACCTGGCAGAGCTCAGCACGAATCTGAACGGGTTCGGTGATGGCAGGTCGCTTTCGAAATGGCGTCGTCTCACTTGGCCGTTCAAAGAGAAGAAGATTTTGGGACTGGCTGACAAGGTTGAGTCAGCGAAAACGACCCTGGGGATTGCGTTGGGTACTATTACAGTGTATTTATTATCTCCCGTTGTCTGTTTCTCTTTGTGGGTATGGACAATGTACTAATTCGAAGATATTTTGGGCGGGAAAGTCTTAATAATGCACGAGTTGACAACACCACGTCTCAGATAAGCCGGCAAATTGAAGAGATGCGACTGGAAATCCAAGCCCAATTTCAAGACATGCAGATCCAAAACCAGAGTGTAGATACTACCTCCGACACTTTGGTTCAAGGGAATGATAAAGAGCTCGGTTTTACAATGCAGCGTTTTCTCGACGATGCGGTTAGTGTAATGGCAGAAATCGACCCTACAATTGTGGATTCGGATCATTTGTGGAGTCCTACTGTTGAAGATAATGATTCAACGACTTTGGAACTGAATCCGTAAGTTTTCAAGATAGTAAGGACACTGGAGCATACTAACTGGAAAAGTCTTTCCCAACGTAGCCACCATTCTTCCGAACAAACCATGTCTGTGTGGCAACGACTGGAGAAAAATGACCCTATAAACCCGTCTGATCTTCACATTAGTACTCAAATGGGAAATCTATCACTGATGGGAAGAGTCCTTGACGCAGGCTGTGACATTAACTGTCAGTGGACGGAACAAAGAACACCTCTCATGACAGCGGCCTGGGAAAGGCAGGTTTCCGCGGTGAAGTTCTTGTTGGAAAATGGCGCAGATGTCCACGCAGTCGACGACTGTGAACTGACTGCGCTCCATTATTCAGCACAGCGAGGGCCCACTGCAATCGTCCGGCTGCTTCTCGATGCAGGAGCTAATTTAGAAGCAAGAGACGTCGATGGATGGACCCCATTGCATGGTTCAATCTATTGCGGTCGACCTGATACTACTAGGGTACTTCTCGAACGAGGCTCGGATGTATTTGCAAGAACCTACGAAAGACTGGCCGCCATTCATATTGCCGCATCCGCTACAGAAATGGCTGTAAAAGAATCGTCTCTCGAATTAGTGAAGATATTAATCGACCACGACGCAAACCAGTTGGAGTTTGCAGATACGGAACACGGGTTTACTCCGCTCCATCATGCAGTGGCTAGTGGTAACCGTCCCACGACTATCTTTCTATTAGAAAAAAAAGTGGATATCAACGCACAGGACAAGACCGGTGCCACTCCACTTCTCCTTGCCGCTGATGAAGGACATGAAGATATAGTGCGCTTGCTGATCCAGAGCGGAGCAGACGTATTAAGTGCCAATGACGCCGGAGAGACTGCTATGCACAAAGCAGCCAAGAAGGGTAGGTTGCAAGTAGGCAAGATCATCCTTGATATGGGAAAGTTTCCTATTGAGTACAGAGAAAATAGTTTCACTCCTTTATCCACCGCAGCTGCTGAAGGCCAGCGGGATTTCGTTGAGTTCTTGTATAACCGAGGCGGAGATATTGAAGCAAAGGACAGAATGGACTACACACCACTTCATCGCAGCATTTTACATCAGCGTGACGATGTTGTGTCTTATCTTTTAAAGATAGGCGCCGATATCGAGGCGCGTACTACGCTGGGATGGACCCCCCTACATCAATGTGGCTACATTGGCCAGGAAGTGGCCGCGATAATTTTGCTTGAACGTGGTGCCGACCTCGAAGCAAGAGATAAGCAAGGCAACACTCCTCTTCTTGTTGCAGCGGATGAAGGAGAAACTGCCGTTATCTCGGTATTTATTCAGCATGGCGCTGCTATCTTGGCTACCGATAATGCCGGCATCACAGCGTTCGAAATGGCGGCGGATCGCGATCGGTATGGTTCTCTAGAATTGCTTATAGAAGGCATGAAAAAGGTAACGGCGCAAGAAGAGATGCGCGGGATTTTTGATTCTATTCTTCTAAGGAGTTGTGCAAAGGGAAATTTACAGGTAGTATCGCTCATGGTTAAGAATAGCGCCAATATCGAGGTTAGAAACAGCTGGAAAGCAACCCCTTTTCTACTTGCATGCCTGGAAGGACACCTTGATGTTATTAGGTTTCTTGTGGAAGAAAACAGGGCTAATTGGAAAGCTCGAGATCATAATGACAAAAACGGTATTCATATTGCCGCGGAGAGAGGCAACCTTAGGGTTGTGCAATTCTTGGTCAGAAATTACCCAAGTTTGGTGAACGAACTAGATGTTTGGGATGAGACACCCTGTCATTATGCCAGCGAGAATTCGCATTATGATGTTGTCCGTGACTTGATTCGTGCTGGTACAGATCTGACTGTGATCGATCAACACGGTCGATCAATATGGGATTGTGTCAACGATCAAGAGGTGAAGGTTGAGTTACAGTTGTTGGTGGACAAAATAACGAGTGATGAAAACAATTCAGAAAAGGCTGATCATATAGTCACCGACCGGAAAGATTCGCCAGAGGTATTGGATAACATTCGCGAGATTCAGATGAAACGGCTGCTGTCTAAGAATGTCGAGCGGCATATAACGAGTCGCCCGACGTGGTGACGGCATCGTGAATTGCATTTCCTGTAATATTAAAACATCGAGAAAGAAAAGAAACGATCGAATATATCCACCAATGGCAACTCTCTTCATTACATTGTCCCATAGTAAACACGCAAGCTACCAGGGTAGCTTGCGTATCCCCCACTTGATAACTTCGACACGCTTCATCAACTGGTACAAGCCCACTTAGTCAAAACCGAGAAATAGATCGATAAACATAACCTCAATAAACCTGAGAAAATCAGTACAGTGAACTCTATTCTTCCGTGAATCTTTGGTGTCTTTATTGGCAGCAAATAGAAAACGAGTTTATCGATGAGTGTTTCGGCGCAGTTTCTCGATTGGGTCTTAGGATGGAGATGTATAAATTAAAGATTTTTAGACTTGATTTTAGCGGCACGCCACTTTCTGCATGATACCTCAACTAGCGTACGCATATTGAGAAAATGGAGCATTTTAGTCTTTTTCATTTACCGCCTTCTGCCCGGCTGATAAGGGGGTGAGGTATAAATTGGCCGATTCCTAAGTTTCGGAACATAAAGCGTATATATCGGTTGTTGTCCTGGATTTGCTCCAAAATGGGTGCATTCTCGAGGCTTGTTCCTTTTAGTCTCCTAGCTGCTCTGGCTACTGCCTCGTCGGTCAAAAGTTTCCACCGGCGAGGAACGATTGCTAGTGATGAGATTGTCGGCTTTCCCGAGACAGTCCCAAGTGGCACCACCGGCGACGTTTATTTGGCCTACAAGCCCTATCTTTATGTCGTGAATGGTTGTGTTCCATTCCCAGCTGTCAACGCAGAAGGTGACACGAAGTAGGCTGATCCAATTTGCCAATGTACAAATATTTTTCGGATTGCTGATTCTTTTGTAGCGCTGGTCTCGCGCCGACAGGCGCAAGCGACGGTGACTGCTCTAGTAGCGCTGGCCAAGTGTACGTCCGAAGTGACACATACAATGGCTACTACGCCCTGCTTTACTCATGGTACATGCCCAAGGACGAGCCTTCGGATGGTCTTGGCCACCGCCACGATTGGGAAGGGGTTATTGTCTGGTTATCATCTGTGACTTCAACCGACGCCAGCAATGTCGTGGCCGTATGCCCTTCTGCGCATGGAAAGTGGGATTGCACGACTTCCAGCTACACATTGTCGGATTCACACCCCTTGATCAAATATGAAAGTGTCTGGCCACTTGATCACTCGTGTGGACTTACTACCACTGTCGGCGGAATGCAGCCTCTGATTGCCTGGGAATCACTGCCTAGCGTTGCTCAGACGGCTCTTGATGACACTGACTTTGGAGCTGCCAATGTACCTTTTAAAGAAGATCATTTTGCTTCGAATCTTGCTGCGGCTACTTTTTGATACCGTTGAACTCTCCTTGTCACATGTCGCGACCACAAATGAAAATAGCATGTTTTTCAGCGATTGTATGGGATAATAGGTTGATAATTGCAGTCATAATAGTCAGAGCCGATATAGCACATGCGTCTTTAAGCACTATTTGGAGGTGAATCGAAATAATATAATACCTGCATCTTCACTTTAAAGCTTAGCCTTCGATGGATCTGGAGACGTGATGTGCCGTATCAATGCTTCCAATTTCTCATCTAAAACCCTGGCTGCATTTCTCAATCTGTCATCAGTGTTAACCCCAGCAATTAGACTGCTAGGCAGCACATAGAGCACTTCTGTCCCTCTACGCTCTGGCGATTCCTTCACGAGCACCTCAACTGGTACAAACAGCCCCGCGTCCAAATCTTGCCTCAGCATCGTAATCGCAATAAGTGGATTTCCCAACAGAATCCGACGAATCCGCAAGCCACGAGCCACACCGAAGAGCTGGACCCATGAATGATCGATGCTAGCGAATTTCATGAATCCGAATGCACCGACTCGGCTCAGGCACAATTTAACAAATGCATCTTTACCGCCGCGACGGACCGCTGCAGTCACATCCTCCTGATTGAAGCCGGCGTCCGACTCTATTTCGGCGTTGAGTTTGGCTGTCACTGTGTCGAAGGAGGTGGGTGTGGTGAAAGTGATGCGTGACCCGCTGAAAGCATGAGTTTGTTTAACTGTCATTATTTTTTGACCAGGGATTGGTATTGCTTTATGAACCACCACTAATTTTATAATTACAAATCAAAATTGCGGTGAATTGTCGGTTTGTTAGATCAGTGCAGTGGAAAGAGAGTTGTGCTGGTAGATCTTGCGACGTGGGGCAGATCAATGGGCAATTTTTGACGTGGCCCAACGCCCTTGCTTTATTTGCTTTAGAGCCACACTGGGGCATAGTAATTCTTAATGAATGAGATTTATTTAAAGATTTATTAAAACACAAAAGCATACAGTGAGAGACATTTAAAACAATTATTGTATGTCATTCGTGTACCAGACCGACGTCAATTGATTACCCTGTAGTTAATGGATATCAATTGATCCTATTTGATGGAGTGTAAACTTTCCATCAATGCCAACATAACAACGTAATGTTACATTTTTGAAGTCAATCGACATAAGCTGCATGCATGTTTAAAGTGATCATCTGAACATTTTGGTTCGATGTCATGCAACATTTACCGTTTAAGTACTAGATCAAGTTAGCGGTTTTTCGTTCGATGCGTTTTGCTTTATTTCTGATCGTGCAGCTTATAGTTAGCACTTGTTGATAGCGAGGAATCCAATCGTCTAAGGACGAAGTATAACTATCAGGATGTCCTCGACAGGGTTCCGAGAACGCAATATAATGCCGCTAATACGAATAACTATACCGACTCTAGATGTCCTTACCATAATTGGCGCAAACCCCTGTAGATTGATTAGAAATACTCACCAAAATCAAATAATTATACCGAGGGAGCATGTGGAACTTGCATTCAAATGCGGGGCCCCGCAATCAAGATGTATTATAATAAGACATTATTACGCATCCTACATGAGTATCAGTTGATGATTTTATTAAAGGCAAGGATGAATATCTACATACATAGGGCTTCTCGGTACATATAGACATACAGTGTTGTATCCGATTCCGTGGTATGTAGGAAGCTGGCTTGGAGAAGAGTTCAAATTAAATACAACCATTTTTGACTACCCAAATCTGGAGTACGGGAGCAGATCACTCGGAATAACAGAATAGCTCAGCCAGCTAGCCTATCAGACATGGCGGTTGGAAGCTAAGCTGAGCTCGCTTAAATGAACTCTCGCAGAGAGCCTCGGTCGTTCTAGCTAGGGCTATGATCACGGCAGGTGCATTCTTATTGCATGTGCCATATCCTTAATACCTATTCAATTCTTTTGCATGGAAGTTTTGGTGAATTCATGGATTGTCTGTGCTGAGCATGATGAACAGACCTGTATGTTTCCGTAGACTACTAGACTGCCAGAGGCTTCTCATGCTTAGATACATTGCAAATAACGCGATTAATACCCAAACTATGAGGGCTTTGTCCGGTTTGAGGAATTCAAGAGAATGTATAAAATACTAAAGAGTTTACCCATTGCAAATCGCAACCCCCTTCTCCATGCGAATAGCTCCAAAGCTTGATCTCCACAGTTTGTTGGTAAATTAGCCTAGAACGGCAAAAGCTTGCGTTCTATAGTGCCGATTGCGGGGGCCATCTTCTGCAAAAACAACGGTTCAAGAGCAAGCTAGTTTTGATTAATACCAGGGGGAATATGGTGGCCTTGTAGCTAGTGGCCACCGCTCTTCTAGGCTAAAATATACTTACCATTTCTTACCCAATCGTTCAATGTTGTCAATTGTCTTGTGATCTCCAGAGACGGATCTATCGGAGAGCTGCACGTGTTGACCGGTGTAATTTATCTTATTGTGATGATCTGCCCATATATATAATGGGAGCCATCCCAGGTCTCTCGCCTTGGCTGTCAACTGGTCATCCCAGCGCAGCCTCAATACGGACATCAATTGGTAAAGTGTGGCTTCAAGCATAAACACTTGGATATCCAAAATGATCATAAAGTCATTGATTGTCGGTTGGCTTTGGCTGGCATCCTCAGCTTTATCTCTACCGGCCGAATCAGCCCGCCGGGCTACGCCATCCCAACCCACAGCAGATCCCTGGTATACCCCCCAGCCGGATACGAATCCGAGGCTCCAGGGACTATTCTTGCCTACAGGGCACCCCCAGGTGGAATAGCTGCTTTTTCAGCCGCTACTGTCAATCTAGACGCCGCCTGGCAGGTCTTGTACCGGACAACTGACAGTTTCGGAAACGCTTCCGCGACCGTTACAACGATTTTGATACCGCACAACGCGGATTACACAAAATTATTGTCCTATCAAGTCGCTGAGGATGCTGCAGATCCTAACTGTGCGCCATCTTACGCCTTCCAAAAATCCGCAGCGACCGATGGTGCTTTGGGATTAATACTGCCCCAGGCGGAACTACTTTTGATCGAGACTGCGCTCGCACGGGGATGGGTAGTGACAGTGCCAGACCACCTGGGACCAAAGTCTACCTTCCTGGCCAACAATCTATCTGGCCATGCAGTACTGGATAACGTGCGCGCCGCATTGGCTTCTTCAAAATTCACGAAAATCTCGACAGATCCCACCATCACACTATGGGGATACTCAGGAGGGAGTCTAGCTAGCGGATTCGCTGCGGAATTGCACGCTTCGTATGCGCCAGAGCTTAAAATAGCTGGAGCTGCCCTGGGAGGAACTGTTCCTTTGATCTTGCCCGTCATTAATCAAACAAACAAGGGAGCATTTACAGGTTTGATTCCTGCAGGAATCATGGGTCTGTCCAACGAGTACCCTTCAATTGCGCAACTGCTTCAGGAATACCTGCTCCCAGCCAAGAAAGCCGAATTTAACAAAGCCGCTAGCAAATGCCTCACTGGAGATATAATCGAGTACCTTGGACAAGATGTGTATTCATATGTGTCAGATCCGGGTATTTTCGAAACCCCAGCTGCCCTCCAAGTCCTCAACGCAAATAATATGGGACAGCACGCCCCAACAATTCCACTGCTAGTGTATAAATCTATCAATGACGAAATCAGCAACGTGACTTACACAGATGACCTGGTGTCATATTACTGCAATGCCGGCACCTCTGTTGAATATAAGAAAGATTACCTTTCTGAACACGGCACCATGGCCGTACTTGGTGCTCCAGATGCAATCATGTGGCTCGAGGATCGGATGCGAGGAGTACCTGTTGACAGCAAATGCACGACTTCATCCACGTTTACTAGTCTGTTGGATCCGAACACTCTCGTGCTCTTGGGTGAGGTGCTTGTCAATTCTCTCCTTGACTTGCTAGGAGCGCCGGTGGGTCCTATTATGATCGGATAATGGCCTATGATGAGTCTTTAATGTTGGTCGTATTTACGCGACATATACTGGGGATGATAATTTAAGGGGAAAAAGAGTTTAACAATGCAGTTAGTGTCCAAGAATCGATGTCGACGTCATTGATTATTTTTTGAGTGCTTCCTTAATAAATACATAGTATCAACTAATCAATGAGATGTGATTATACAAGCTTAAATATTTCCTATTCAGAAGCCTTACTTATTTATATTTAGTCTTCAAATTTTTCACAGCAAGAGACTAGGTGTAAAATTAGACTGTTAGAATATAACATAAGACGCCACAATTCCTCCACTGTTGAGAAATCATATTTTCAAAATGTTAATAGACTCCAGTTTTACTTACTACAGTTTGTAGCTGTAATATTTAGATTAAAACTCATTTGAGTATTCAGTTTTTACCGCTACGTGCTTCCATATTATGCTCAAACATGTGTCAACCTATCAGCACACAAACACCTCGTGATGGAATAGCTGCATAGGGGGGCTCAAAGCCATTTCAGGTAATCACGGAACAATTATGGGTAACTCAAGCAAAGATTACCACCATCAGGTTGATTTTAATTTCTATGTAGATCGTTCCCCTTGTGCCCTAATTGTTGTATAAGTTTTCTTATTGCATTGTATAATTACCTGTAATACAGTGGGTTTACATTGATGATCAGCAGTCTACTGAGATTGGTCGACAAATGAAGCCAAGCCGACGAGGAAAATAATAATAGTAATGATTATTATATTCAGGTTTTAACGATTATACCCAGCCTCCAGGCTATGACAATGACGATTTACTGGGCGCCAAGGGGGTCGTTAGGGGTCTAAGCCCTAAATCTCCACAACGCCTGCCCCATTTGGTGCCTATAAACAACTAAGCTCTTGCACAATCTTGCACCAAGCTGCTTATCTATGCAGGGCTATTCGGGGGCATTATAGGGGTTGGCGGATCCCCGGAATCCCTCCTGTGGGCGTCACCTACTCTTACCCTTCTCACCTCCGGATAATGATTCCTCGATCTCTGATATCATCATCGTCGTCAATTATGTGGGAATATTGATCAAAGTTTTCAAGAAAACATACCGGATTTCTCTCTTTTATGCATAGTTGTGGAACCAGTTCATATAAGTTGCTGCTCCCTCAACCGAGATTCGGCACATCGCCGGCCTTAGTTTGCAATCAATGAATCAATGTTGTTTTGTTACTCGCAGTGGGTCTCGCATTTAACCCCGGATGAAAAGTGCGTTTTGTATGGGTCGGGTAATTAAATTAAGTTCAATCATTCAGTGCGGGGTTGTTCTTATAAAGACACCTCTATGCAGATGATAACAGTGTCGGTACTATTCCTAACCTCCCTTTTTCAGTGCCAATTGAACTCAAATACGAGCTCACCGTGAGATATTACTCAAAGAGCGAGGTGATTTGAAAACCGGACACTAGGAAGATCGCTATTCAGACCTAGTGTCCGACCTAGTAAAAGCCCGCGAGCTAGAATATCCCTCGCACTGCAGTCCGGCCAACATGATCCGCCCCATGATGTAACATGCGGTACCAAACTATTTCTGGACCGGCGGCGTAATATTATACTAGTTGCGTGCTCGGCACGAGCCTGATTCTCTGTTCCACTTTGTCTGGTCCGAACTCGATAAAGATGGTTATGGAGCTCTCATGGCAGGCTCAAGTGAACCAGCGGGGGCGCCTGCTAGGTAACTCATCAAGGAAAAGGACGGCAAAGGCATGTGATGGCTGCTTCAGATCCAGGACCCGGTGCGATGGAAAGTCTCCATGGTCAGTATATCCCAACCTACCAACAAATCGGGTGATGGTTAGTAACTCTCAGCTTGTGTGTAAAGCGGGCACTGTGCAGGTAAGAGGTATTCTAATTGAGGGCGCATTAACGGGGCTGACGGCTTTACTGCCAAAGATCGAGGCCGATCATGTCGCTACACCAGACTAAGCAAAAAACGTGGTCGCATACCCTTGTCTCAAAAGATAGCCAACGGAGCCTCCTCATTGCAGTCCAGCACTGACGATACGCCTTCTGAGGAGCGTTCAGAGTTACCAGATGTAGTACAAGCCTGGCCAAGCACATCTACAGCTACTCGATCGTTAAGCAGCGCTGTCGTAGACGATCAAGCTGCTCATCGATTGCCTGAGAACGCTAGGGGCTCGTCGATATCCGAAGCTGGTGCTTTATGTAGCCCATTTTTTAATCAACTAGATGGTGCTAATCTGCCTCATTCCCAGTCAAGAGGGAATCGAATCCATTATAATCTGGCGGAGGATGTCGAGCAAACCACATATTCCTTACAGCAAAGTCCAAATGACCCATACCCCCCCAGGATCTCTCGAAGCAACATTAGTGTTCGCTCTACTACAGACAATGCTGAAGTCTCACCCAACTCAAGGATAGCTTCCTCATGGGATGGCTCTTCATCAGCCTGTCGGTATAGCTGCCTGGAGCCTCTTTTACCTTATATTAGCGACATTGTCTCCCCATCTCTTGCTTGTGATTTACTCGATGTCTATTTCATTGAACCACGAACTTCGATTTTTTCTTGTGCTTCTTCATACGTCCTGGTCCCAATTATTCGTAAAAAGTCTCTTCTTCGGCTCTCGAACCCGCGTCCAACGACGCGCGCGCTTTTGTGCACCATGTTATGGTGCGCGTCTCAATCGGCGGATATCGCCACTCTCCACATGCCTGGCTCTCGATCATGGATATCGAATCATTTGTTTGAAGTGGTAACAGCACTGATCGCAGACAGAGACCCAGATCGTTTGCGAAGAGTTCCCGGTTTGGCTCCGTGTTACAATTCATGGCAATATCACTAGCTAAGTTGAAATAGACGGTTTGCGAGTTGAAAACACACGACTGGTGTATTATGGTACTGAGAAATCACAGCTGGCAACTCCTATTGTTACCAACGAACCTGCTGGAGAGATTGATGATGTACTGACGTTCACATTGCTATCTATTGCAATCTCTGGAGGTGACTTCAAGTCTGACAGTTTAAAATGGTGGAATAAAGCTGTCAGGCTTGCCTTTGCCTTGGGATTTAATATTGAAGATAAACTTGATGACCCGTCAAGTTCGTCTTTTCCAAGTGTACACGAGTCTTACAAAGCGGGAAAACCTGTTAATCTATTGTTAGAAACGGAGGTAAAAGAGGAGCGCCGCAGGGTTTTCTGGTTATTATATTGCCTTGACCGACACCTTGCTATATCCTTTAATTTGGTTTTGAAGATACCTGATGAAGTTTGCTCAGTATTTGGTGAGTGCGTAAAGTGAGAAGAATCAAGGTATGGCTACAAAGAGCTCATGATTTTCCTATAGTTCCGCTCCCAGATAGTACTTGGGAAAATCTGGACACCACAGCACTGGATAGTCTACCACCGCGGGTACCCGGGCCGCTTACAGTCATTCAAGGCACATGTTTCTTCGAATACTTTCTTCCTTTGATGGCAATTCTGGGAGACATTATTGATTTGCATCACCGAAGAAATCACCCTCGCTTTGGTGGTCTGAATGAGAGTCAAGAGGTGACAGTTGTCCTCGATCTGCTGCACAAATGTGGAGCAAGTCTGGTTAAAATGGCGAGAAACAGCCACATAACATACTCTAGCGCACTTGAAGCATATGCTGTCAATTTAGGCGACCTCCCAACGCCGATTTCTGGATCCCTAGAGACACTTCCGGCCGACCTACAAGGTTCACATCCTCCCAAAGCCATGGTTAGAACACAGTTGGTTATTGCCTACAGTACCCATATCCTCCATGTTCTATATGTGCTACTATACGGGAAGTGGGACGTTATTTGTATGCTCGACTGCGAGGATGACTGGATTACCTCATCGAGATTTGTAGAAGCCGCATCTCATGCGATATCCGCGTCTCACGCCCTATCCGAAATTCTAAAACTAGACCCAGATCTGACATTCATGCCGTATCTATTTGGCATATACCTCCTCCATGGAAGTTTCATCCTTCTTCTATTTGCAGACCGTATGCCTCAACTAGGTGCCAATGACTCTGTGGAAGAGGCGTGCGAGACGATCATACGAGCGCACGAAATATGTGTGGTGACGCTGAGTACCGAGTTTCAGGTGAGTGCTGTAAGCGAGGAATTGACACTCTATGCATGACCAAACATTTATACTGAGAAACTGGAACTGATATAATTTTCTTAGAGGAACTTCCGCAAAGTTTTACGGTCTACAATGAATAGCGTTCGAGGCTTTACGGTAGATCGTGAAGAGGAATCTAGAGCGAGACGGAAAGCCTTATCACTTTATCGGTGGACCAAGGGTGCCAGGGGGCTCTGTTTGTAATTGTCAAATGCTCTTAATAGCTTCAGCCCTCCAATTTTCACAGCTAATGCATATTTCCATTTTATAAATTCTCGAACCTCCAAGCTTACACAACAAGAATAATAATAAATGCCAGTATTCTTTAAATAGAACTACCAAGGTATCGTCTAATATTCAGTCTGCATTTCTACTTCTATGCTGGAGAATCATGATAGATTATTTGTCTCCAACAAGAAAAGAAGAGACTATGAAACATTGCAACCCGGCTCATGCCAATGTCTCATAAACTTCCGCTATTTCCATGACGGAAACAGTTATAATTTGGGCTTGATCATTCTCTGTTGCTCCACGTCCCAGTTTTCCTCAGGGCTTGTGAAACTGAAGTTCAGCCAGGTCCCCAATATATCCTGAATCTTGTTCCATAGCGGTATATCCCTTTCCACCTGATCCAAGTTGATGGGCGATCCATCATAGCATCGGAGGGGTGATTGAAGGATTTGATTGACCGCTGACATGTTCTCGACCAATTCATTGATAGAACTGATGCCCGTTATCGTGCTCACCTGGAAGTCACTCGTAGAAGACGCGACATGTGCCCGCCAAATCGCATATCGTAGAGCGAGAGCAGCTAAACTCTTTCCTTGTATCGTTACATACTCAGCAGCACGATGTGCAGCAGCCCGTAACCCAGCCGGCGCCGGGTGAAAATCTCCCAAGCTTCCAACAGGGACTCCACCAGATCGCAACAGACCCAAGGTAAGGGGACTAGCATTGCAAACACAAGAAACGCCCAAGTCCCTGAAACCAGCAAGGCCGTCGGTTTCGAGTCGATTGTTTTGCAATGTCATCTGCGCCCAGTTTTGTACCACATCCAGTGGTCGGTCATAACGTTCTAGTACACTCCTTGCAAGTCGCAATAGCAAGTCGATCCTATAGCTAGAAGCTCCAATATAACGTACTTTCCCCTCGCGGACCATCTCTAGGAGAGCGCCTATCGCCTCAAGTGCAGCCTCCTCAGTCACATACTCGATATCATGACAAAAGACGACGTCCAGGTAAGACGTGTGCAACCTTTCTAGCGAACGATTCACTGAGAACTGGACCCAAGACGGCGAGTAATCAAACCTGTCTGGCGCAATACGACCAACTTTTGTCATAAGAATATATTTGTCCCGAGGGTACCGCTTTGAGAAAACCGACTCGCTCAATGCTTGGCCTAATAACTGCTCTGACGGCTCATAATATGATGAAGTATCAATAGCACGCATGCCGAGATCGAACGCATGTTGTAAGACTTGTCGGACCTGAGAGATATTTGGGTCAGGATATACCTGATAACTGAACCCAGCACCCCCCAGAATGACGGGCGGCAGAATATTAGCCAAGGATGCTGGCTTGTCAAGGACCTTCATCATTGTGAGGCGGCCACTCATCCTGCAGAATTATTTCAGAGGGCAAAGCTGGGAGTCAACGTTACAGCAAGTTAAAAATTAAAACAACTGGATCGAATACATACGCCGGGTAGTCTCAATTAGAAGGCATATATATTTTAAGCTTTTTGCTCGAGACAAAGCCAGATAGTCTTGACATACTAGAATATTCCCTTGACTGGGTAGGGGCGAATTAAAAGGTTTCTATCGAACCCATTGGATAGATTGAAGGTCTTGCTCACCCGCGCTATACAAATCTAGAAACATATTTTGCTATAGACGATGGCTTACTAGGGGCACGCTTTTAACACACTAAGTCTACCTTTGTTAAGTGAACCATCGGATAATTAACACCACCCCCGAAATGGGGTGTATTGATTGATAGATACTAGACTGTATTGTGGATGGTCAAACCGGAAGCTACTTTTAAAGCCTCCGACTTTATATAATGTACTATATTACATCTTACTACACTTCTGGACGTCTATTTTCCAACTTTATGTTATTGGTGCAATGCAAAAGATGAAACCCCAGAGAATAGTAAATTGTTGAATTCCAAGAAATTTGATCAAGTATGTGAAATATATCTAGAGTCAGCTTGCAGGTAAGCACCACTGACAAACGGTATTTACAAGTATGGCAGGAAACCTTACCATGCCGATTTCCCACCTAAAAAATTATTTCCGTACAGGCTCTTATTTTGCCGCATTATACCAGATTGGAATAATTGCCGTTTGGGGCCTGTTTAACCTTTCCAACTTAATTGGGTGGAGCAATTAAGTTTTTCCCGACAAAAATCCCCGTCGGATAATACCATCGGAGAGGAATAATTCAGTTATTATCCGTTTTCGTCTAGGAGAAAAGTAAACTTCCCTATTGGTCACAATGTTCCGTATTCTGTAATATACCTCGAGAAGAGTAATTTGCTTGAACCCAACCACAGCGGTTCGACACTAGTTGTCGTTTAATCAAGACGGTCCCGTTCTGGAAATAGAAATATTCTCAGACAAACAATGAAATCCCCAAAAATGTAGATTTGGGAGAAAGGGTCACAAAGACTGATCTGGAACTGTATTTTTCTACTTCTCCTTCAGATCATCCATCGCCTATTGATTGCAACCAGTACTATATTCGCCTACGTAGATTAGCAAATGTAACATCCAGGAAGTTGAAGTGTCATCCGCCAGCAGCGGCATACCCCAGTATAATTAACACCGGAACGTATTATAGCATGGTAGACATCCACTTTGTTAAAGAATTAACGGCTATTGTGAATTTCCACATTAACCGACACATAAATCGCATTATTACAGGCAAAAGCGTCTACTGATTATCGGTATGGGTTGTCGGAAAAGAAGCAGAGCTAGGGCTATGAAGCCGTAACCTAACAGGACATCTGCAGCCTAGTATAACACTTGGAAATAGTTGCACAGAGAACCAATGTAGACAGTAAGTGACCGTACAGTCAACATGATGATGAGAAATGCAGTGCAAGGTATTTAGACAACAATTACCACGGTTTACTCGCTTCTATCGCGTCTCTTCCTGCTTGCGAAGTCCACCAGCTAAGCCCCTCCGCTCCAGGGAATAAATATTTGTCAATAATCTCCGGCCTCATTTGTACACTATATCCAGGTTCCATCGGGGTGACGTAAAACCCCTGCTCTATTCTCGCTGGGGTCAGGAAATGTTCATGGAGATGATCGACATATTCAAGGATGCTCTTTTTTCCACTGATAACAACAAAGTCGATGGTGCTTAAATGTTGGGTATACTCCGGAAGACCTACGCCACCAGAATGAGGAACGATCGGCACTCTGAATTTGCGAGCCAAGAGGAGGATTGCAAGGACTTCATTGACACCTCCAACTCGACAGGCGTCTGGTTGGAGAACGTCTACCGCACCTGCTTGCAGAAGTTGCTTGAACATGATTCGATTCTGGACCATTTCCCCAGTTGCAACTCCAACCCTCCCATTTAATGACTTTCTAATGGTGGCATGACCGAGAATGTCATCCGGAGATGTTGGCTCCTCAATAAACCACGGTCGAAACTCGACAAGAGAATCCATGTATTCAGCAGCCTCTGGAACAGACCAGACCTGATTTGCGTCGATCATGAGTGTATTACCCTTGTCATAGCCAATGATCTCTCTTGCAATGGTCAATCTCCTCCGATCTTCGTCGATATTGGCTCCGACCTTCAGTTTGAAATACTTAAACCCTTGCTTGAGTGAGTCCCGTAACAACTCCTTCATTTTATTTTCACTATAACCCAACCAGCCTGCGCTAGTTGTGTACGCAGGAACTGCCTGGTTTCGCTCCGCTTCGGCTATTCGCTCTGCCTTTCCACTCTCTACATCCTTCAAGAGCCGAATTGCTTCCTCTGGGGTCAGCGCGTCCGTAATATATCGAAAGTCGATGCAGCGTACGACTTCTTCAGGGCTCATGTCTGCCACAACCTTCCATAATGGCTTTCCCAGATATTTGGCCCAGAGGTCCCAGGCTGCGTTGACAACTGCACCAAGTGCCATGTGGATAACGCCTTTCTCTGGGCCAACCCAACGCAGTTGAGAATCGGACGTTAATTGCCTCCAAGTTCGACCCCAATCAGCTGTGATTTCCTGCAGATTCTTTCCGACAAGCATGGCAGCTATTGCATCAATGGCGGCGCAAACTAACTCATTGCCTCGACCAATCGTGAACGTCTGTTAGTGTGAGCAATATAACAAACCTGTAGGCATCGCACGCGTATCATACCAGTCCATGACCCGAATGTTCGGTGTCTGTATGCAAAATGCAGTAGGCAGCCGAGTAGTTTGGATTGGTGTTCATGCCATCCGACCCTGTCTGATCTAATGATGTCTTCTATTATAAATATGGTTTCCCGCTGGCGGGCTCAAGAGATGACGTACCGGAAATCTCACATCACGAGAAATAAAGCTCGTGATGGTAACCATTTTCATACCCTTGAAACCATATAACACCAGATGCGGCGAAGTTTGTGCTCTTTTCAGGTTCTCACGCTCATAGATTCAATGCATCATCTTGACAGGGCATGTAGCATCGACTTATAGAAATCACATTTAAATAATCTGGTTCTAATGAATGGTAATCTCGGCACTTCTCCGATGCTATAGCTATACAGGTATTGCTAGCTCCAAGGTATGCCAGGATCAACTCCAAGATGGATTGGGTAGGCTCTGTTCGGTTCGGATAATTTAATCGGATGGTAAATACATATGTTGTGAATTATCGACCGGATTTTCAACCCCCGTTTTCCTGTAGGCTGTCTCTCGACTACTGATAATGCGATGTGTCCAAAGGATTGATACATGCCTATTTCCAGTCTAGGTAAACCGCCGTCCTAGACAGTGGTAATAGAAACGGTACTTATTTAGCTAGGTTCTTGCTATCAGCCTCTTGAAACCATCGTATTCTAAACAGTGAAGCAGAACTGTTAATCCGGGCAATTTTTTTGATGGCAGAATATTCATTGGATTGGCTGAGCCATGTATACATGTATCGTTCTTTACGTATGATCGCGTTTTTCCAAACGAAAATCCCCATCGGATAATATCATTGGAGAATAATACATTCAGCTATTATCCGATTTAGTTTAGATCACAGCATTCTGTAATTTGTAATTGATTACACCAACACTATTATAAACTGTAAGGTGGGACGGAACGCCAAATCGGCGAGCTGTGTTGACGGACACCTTTCATGCTATCATGCTATAGTCCTCCAGTATGATTTTACAGAAAATACAATAATGACATCATTCTCGGTATCCGAGATGTTCAATATTGATGTAAATATGAATCTATACATAGATAAACAAGCAGATAAATCTTGACTTTTCTTTTTATCCGAAAATCATCTTCTCTAGCACATCCTTCTCCCCACTGTTCTCTACCAGATTCTTAAACAACCCCCCATTGATACCCATCAAGTCCTTCGGAGGACCAAATTCGACCGCCTTGCCAGCATCCATCACGAGAATCTGGTCGAAATCCGCAATAGTACTTAATCGGTGCGCGATAACCAGTAGTGTGGTGGCGTTGCGTCCAAACTCCGTGCGAATAGACTGTTGGATCAGGGCATCGGTGTCCATGTCGACGGCAGAGGTGGCTTCGTCTAGCACCATGATCTTGGGACGCGAGACGATAGCCCGGGCAAGGCACAGGAGTTGCCGCTGTCCCTGTGAGAGATTGAGACCGCCCTCAGAGATTGTGGCACTGAGAGAGGTAAAGATATTAGCGTTGGCGGTTGCTGTCGCTGTCGCTGTGTCTGGGGTCGTTGCACCGGTGCTCTCTTGGTGCTGCGACGTAGTAGAATGCGTACTGAGAATATCGTCATCGTCAGAAATCAAGTGTACGCGTGTCAATGCGTCATACAGGTCTTGGTCATTGTATTCGCTGAACGGGTCCAAGTTTGAGCGAATTGTCCCGGAAAAAAGGACTGGGTCTTGCGGAATGATGGCCAACCGGCTGCGCAGATCATGAAGCTTGATCTTAGCCACGTCGAGGCCGTCAATCAGGATTTGGCCTTCGCGCGCTTCAAGAAAACGGAACAGTGCAAGAGTCAACGAAGACTTGCCGGCACCCGTGCGGCCGACGACGCCGACGCGCTGGTTTTTCTCGATGGCGAAACTTAGTCCATTCAGCACGGGAGGCTGATCTGGCGCATACCCAACCACCAGGTTGTTTACTTCTAGTCGTCCTTCTGTGGGCCAGGCGGCAGGTGCATCGGCGCCTCCCTGATTTTCAAGCTCGATATTGGAGTACTCGATAACACGCTCGGTAGCGTTCATGTTCAGCTCGGTACTAGCATATTGGCGTAGCGCCATTGAGACTGCAGAGTTAAATTGTAGGGCAAAGCTGAGCGCAAATCCTGCGAGAGAGGCCGTGATGCCGGGCACATAAACCACAAGGGCAGCGGTGAAAGTTGCGAATATGGCGCCAATGAGGCTCATGCGGAACCCAAGCCAGCGGTTGAACAGCCACATATTACACCAGGCCTGGGCATGGCCATTGATTTTGTTGTAGATAATTCCGATGTAAGTATCACTCTTGCTGAAGGCGCGGATGGTTACTAATCCCGCTAGACTCGACCCGAATTGCTCAAACACGGGGCTCTTGGAGACTGACTCGATACGCTTAATCTCTCGTGCCCCGGGAAAGTAGGTCATAGCCACCTTTAGGGAGACTAAAAGAAGGGCCATGGCAAAGATAGCCACCACGGGCGAGACGAGAACCCCGGCTACCAGGATTCCGAGCACCTCCAGGACCTTGCTAGCTGTGAATCCGATATCGTATCCCAGTCTGGAGTCAATCATGTGGAAGTCTGCGGTGAATCTGTTGAGAATTCGTCCAAGGGGAACAGTATCAAGCCATCGGAGCGGAGCGCGAAGCACGGCGTAAACTAGCCCATTGAACAGGCCTCTCGCTCCCTTGACGGCAGCGTTGAGCGTGAAATAGTATCGGGCTGTTCCAATAACACAGGACAGGACTGAAATACCGACATACACGCTTAGATACATCGCGAGGTCATCGTCTTGATGAGCTGGTATTGTTCTATTCATTGAATGCTGCAAGAGAGCAGGGAACAGCTCGGGATGCGCCTGGGTGCTGGATGAAGAACTAGTCCAGATATTGACCCACCAAGCCTGTTGGGAGGAATAATTAGATGTGAAATGCATTCAATAGACTCATTTTACTTACTCGCCCTATCACGAGCATAGAATTGCTGAGATAGACCACACACGCTAGCAGCCAATACGTCCAATGGCCACCCTTGGAAAGATAAGCCGCGTACACGGATAGCTTAACCCGGCCAGTCTCGCGCCTCTCCTCCTCAATAAACTTCTTGGGGGGTTTGATTTTCGTGGGCTCAGCAAAAGCACCAATTGTTCCCGTACTCGGATGCTGATGAGGGGTATTCGATATAGCCTTGTGAAGGTTTGTTTCCTCGTCATTGAGAACCTCGTCGACCTTGTCAGCCACATGGTCCTCCTCTTCCGCAGCATTTTCTTCGCGCAAGATATCTTCCAGGTGATTGGACTTAGTGAGCTCGTCGATAGTACCCGCATACTTGACACGGCCGTTCTCCAGTAGCACCGAGTAGTCCGTACGAGGAAGACACAGAGCGACATGATGAGTAACCAGAATTCGGGTGCGGTTTTGACCGAGATCTCCAGTAAGGGCATGCTCATAGACATGGCGGCCCGTGTGCGCATCTAAGGCGCTGAAAATATCGTCCATAATGAGAATCCCAGCGCGAGAATACAATGCTCGTGCGAACGATACGCGCCATCGCTGGCCACCGCTCAGGTTGACACCATTGGCACCGATATCCGTCAGTTCGCCATCGGGAAGCATATCGAAATCTTTTTGCAATGCACATGCGAATAGCACCTTCCGATAGCGCTCTTCTTCGAATTCCAGCCCGAACAGGATGTTATCTTTGATCGTTGCATTTTCAACCCACGGAATCTGGGCAACATATGCAATGGCAGAGTCGATGATCCAGTTGCTTGGGGTCGCCAAGTGATCGAAACGGTCACTGATAGGAGGTGGAACGGGGACTTTGATAGTCCCCTCAAGAACGTCACATTCCCCTAATAGAGATGAAAGCAGTAGACTTTTTCCAGATCCAGTTCGACCGGACACCACACTGAGGCCCTTCGTGGGGAAAGCCACATCCAAATTACGAAGAGTAAACCGGTCCTCATCACTTGCCTGGCCCTCTGTCTGATCTGCGGGCCAGGCCACCGTGGCATTCTCAAAGGCGATATTCTCAGCAGGGACAGTGTTAATGATTTTATCGGGGGTCCTCATGTACTTGTCAATACGGTCTGCGCTGACCATGGCTTCCAGGCCGTTGGCCATCATTTCTGGGACGATAGCCAGCGATAATTCCAGGGAACCGAAGACCGACATGGCTGTGAAAGCCACAGACGCCTCGAGGCCACCATGAATCATAGCATACACTGTGAGAGATATAGCTGACAGCCCCACAGGCCCGAGAATCCAGATCGAGATCAGGCCGATATTATAGAGGAACGCGGTCCACAAAGCTATCAGCTCTGTCTCGCGCACTTCCGCAATCCGATTCTGCCACTGCTTCTCTAGAGCGGAGAACTTAATCTGCCGGATACCCTGGAGCACCTCTGTCACAACGGCCATCTTCTGGTCTCGGGCCTTCATCAGTCGGTCCTGGGCACTGGTATACTTCTTGGCAGCGTAGATATTAAAAGGCGTGATGAGAACCGAAACACCCAGACCTGCAAGGGCGCTGCGCCATCCAAGAATCTTGATTAAGAAGCCGCAGCCCAGAAGTACTTTCATTATCGCAAGAGGGATGAGATAACTAAACGTAGCAAAGTCAGAAATCCGCCTGGCGTCCACGGCAACGAGATTAATGATGCTCTGTCGGTTCTTCTTCAAGGCCTCTTCGTCGTCTTCCTCTTCCTCCTCTTTCAACAGTACCTTTGACGAGGCGTCAGGTGTATCCGCATCTTTGGATTTCTTCGTATGCTTGGCATCTTTTCTTCGCATAGACTTGGCAAAGATCGTGGCGGATAGTGCTTGATAGATGGGAAGACCAAGATAGTAGCATCTCACCCAGAACAGCCATGACTCCACGCTGGAAGCAGCCAGTATCAGGATGCCCAAGGCGAGTACCCAAAACCAAGACTGGAGAGCAGCCCACGAATCCGTCCCACGAGCTTCCATTGAGTTCAAAATGTTATACAAAGCGACCTGTGGACCTAAACTCAAAATGCAGGTTACTATAGTCAACATCATCTGCAGGATAATAGGCTTGAGGTGAGCAAATATGATCGCTTTCCAGATCTTTCGCGACCCAATTGCTCGCTCAAAGTTAGCTCGCAGAATGTGTGCGCGTGTGGGTAACGGCAACTTTGGAAGGCTGCCGGGATCCAGTTTCCTGTTTTTGACTGCATACTGAAGGAGGGTGCCCGCCCACGTAAAGGTGAATCGGCTGAGCACGGAGACGGTGAATTGCTGGTCCACCAGTTGGCCCTCGAAATATACGTCCGGCCGGCGCGGTAGGATGATGCAGTACAAGGCTCGCAAGAGGGCACTGGCAATTTACAGGATCGTCAGAACGACCCAGGCGCGGTCATGAGGAAGTGCTTTGCCGTCATAAGATGCCAGCGCGATATGCGCACAGGGAAGTGCTACAGCAATGAAACTGCCCCATAGTGCATAGAAGGCGTGGTCGAACCGGCGTGTCGGGCGCGGCTCTGTGAAGAAGACAACCGCTTGACTAGACAGAAAGACCTATATTTATATAAGACCCGTGTTCACTGGCATTTAATTGTCGGTCTGCAAACATACCCAGACACTGAATTGCAGCCATACGAGCGCTGTGTAGTCGGTACTGTATTTCAACGTTGTGATAACGGCCAAAGCCAGAGTTACTAAGAGCCCGCTAAAGGAAGATACGACAATTGAGACCCGTTGCCATTTATCCGAGAAAGCTCGCAGCGACTCCTCGGTTGCTTCGCCGTCTTCATCGCGATAGGCGGCCTTGGCCAGTGATTGCTCATCTTCCCGAGCCGCCTGGCGCGCGACTCGACTGGTAATACTTTTGATGGCAGGAATACAGTCCAGCCCAGACAGGAACACGGCCAGGCAGCCTATCGCGAAGGAGGTCACCTGCGAATCAAGCATTCTCCATATCGTCCTAGAGTGGGATGTTGTTTAACGAAGGGAGGTAGAGAATTCACCATTCTCCCAGCTAAACTAGCAAGGCTCTCATGGGTCACCACGGCGACTATTTGCGTCTTAAGGCCAGAATTCGTAATCTTACAATCTTACATATTGACACAGTAAAATTCAATATTACCACATATTAAAAATTATTATATAGCATTTTTATATAATAGAATCCTATATAATATTTCTAAATTAATATTAACCCATATAAAAATACCATATATCCATTTTCAAAATGTGGAAACATCGAAATACGCGTGTCAATAAAGCTTACTAGTGGATTGGCAATTTTGGCCCTAAAGGGCGAATAGTCGCCGTAGCCACATGCATTTTGCTAAACCCAACACACCTGTACGCTCCAAAAGGCGGTCTTCCCCAGCAGTGGACAGACTCCTCTATGTGGTGCTGGGGAATATTGCTCGAGAACTAGACCGACTGGTTCTTTGTTTGACGAAGCCAAGATTTGCCTAAGGAGGGGCTGGTAGAGATGTGAAGTTTGGGCACTTGACGCACTTACTATCCTTGGAATTGACCATAAAGGTTCTTGGAGCTAGCTAATTGAGTTTTACGGGATGCTTCTGAGGTTTGTTCCCCCAGGGCCTTCCTTAGTTCCTGATACCCGTCTCGAAAATCTGGAAGAAGGCTGGAAGTCCAATGTCGGGTATTTAGTTATCTATCTATATATATTGGCGGATAATCAACACCCAATTCAACATTTGAATAATTGAATATTGAATAGATTTATATTTATCTATACCATTGCGTTCTGAGTATTGGTCATATTGGCTAGGAGACCCCGCGGGGGCTCCGGGGGGGAAGGGTGACAGCTCTGGGCAGCCTATCATTGGCAGACGCCAGCGCGTTTGGCTTCCAGGAGGATGGCCGGGTCCCATCCCCTCTATAAGGCACCCGAATAACCCTGCGCAGATAAGCGGATTGAGGCGAGGAATGCGTAAGGAAATTTGAACATATTGGCACCAGTTCGGGGCCAATGACTCAGAGAATTAGGCGCTTAGACCCCTAAATACCCCCTACTGCCCACTAAAACAAGACCTTCATAGCATAGAACTGGGTAAGGTCGTAAGACTTGAATAAATAAATAAATATTGGGCTTGGAAGTGGATGGAGGTATTTGAAGTAAGCATTGACTAAGCTCAAACGCCTGTAACTTATAAATTGAGAAAAAGTCTTTTATAAGTCTTTACTAAACGTACCTGCCGTTACGAATATGATCAGGCTGTGGACATCAATTAATCACACCATGAAAATGACAAAGATCAACAAAACAAGAAATTACACATAATAACAAGACTAGGTAGTGTAAACACTGACAAATTTAGATTTGAAGCGTTGTATTAACAAGATTCTCATTCGTGGATCGCACACTGAAGTCAGTACCGAGTTTTACAAGCTCTAAGTCTAGACATATCTGGCGAAACTTCTGAAAATTAACTATTTAGGCAATATAGAGGCTCAATTAGCGCTATAATTGCAATTAAGCACGCTACCTATTGCCTACACCTCACCAGCCTTCGTCGATGTTTCCTCCACCCCAGCGACAGTTTCCACGTGTGTCAGTTCTGTGGCTTTACCAGAATCGAAAGCCGTAAGCGCTTGACCATGGGCCATATCGCGTTCGAAAATGGCACCGATTTTTTTAGCCTCGGGGTCCCGGAACACCCAAGGGGTTCTATCTTTGGTAAAGAGGAAATCCATTTCTTCCAGTGTTTTGCCTGCAGATTCCTTTCCTAGTGTAAGCCTATGGTGATGTAAATAGGGTACCAAATACGAACTGGGTAGAAAAAATAGACAACCGTGGCCATGACGTAGCAGAGGGCCATGAAAATTATATAGAGTTTCCATCTTTTTAATTTTGTTAGTAGTTTATTCCGATGTGTAACTCAGCCGTTCTAACGTGAAGGAATCACTCACGAGATTTTGTCCATTGCAGTCGGGATATACAGCGCGAACCAGAAATTCTAAAATCATGCGATCATTATGTATCTGAGAAACTATATTTGCCAAAACAAGTATATACTTACCACAAACCAGTTTGTCGCTGAAGAAAGCGATGTGCCTCGTCCACGCATATTCATACTGAACAATTCTGGGGGGTAAACCCATGCAACACATGCCCAGGTTAATGCGAAAACCATAACGTAGATATAAACAAATGCAATACAGGCGTTAGATGCATTCTGGTCCGCGAAATGAAAATTTGTCTTTTTCGTTAAAGAGTCGTAGATCGGGTCGCCTATAATCAAGTGAATGGTTGGTAACTGTCTCACGATTGAAGGGTAGGAGGTATGTGAAGAAGAGATATATACCCGTTGTCTTCATAATAACTCCAATCAACATCATGGCCACGCCCATTCCGAACCCTCCAATAATCATGGGAATTCGTCTACCCCATTTGTCCATGAAATACATGTCAGGCAGAGTGAATATATTTAAGATAACACCTTGGAGGCCATTCGCAAGGAGAGAGGAAGAGGTGGAGCCTAATCCTGCTTGCTGGAATAGAAATACGGCATAATACATAATGCTAATTCCAGGTTAACGATATAATGATCACGTCGAGATTTGAATACTGACACATTGATGCCCGTTACTTGTTGCCAGAGTTGCTGGTTTTAGAAGAAAGTCATTAGCAAAGATTCTGATTGTAACTGGCTTATATTGACCTACCACACCAATTGCTAACCATGTTCGGCGTGCCTCTAAGCCAAACAGCATTGCGGCGTATGTAATAGGTGGATTACGCTTCTCCCATTCAATTTTAGCAACGATTTCCGCCATCTCAGCTTTCACATAAGGATCACTGGTATCTCCTCTTGAATGCACCTTTGCCAAAGCTTGAAGTGCATCTTGCAGTCTATCTTGCTGGACAAGCCATCGAGGAGATTCTGGCATGAAGTAAAAAGTGATATGTAGGATGATAGTAGGAACCATCTGGATGCCAATAGGGATACGCCATGCAGCTTGCCCATCAATGTGGCTAGTACCATATTGGATCCAGAACGCCACAAGAATACCGAAATTGATAAAACACTGCTGGACAGAGATAATGCGACCCCGGATTCTGTAAAAATTAGACTGGAGAGTAGGAAAAAGGTGGTATTTGTGCGTACTCTCGTGGAGCAATCTCGCTCTGATAGTTCGGCACCATCATCGCCAGGCAACCATTTCCTAATCCATTGATTACACGACCAGCCACTAGCGCGGCGACACCATTTGCCACAGTTGAGATAATTATCCCAATCGTGAAAAGTGCAGAGCCAAAAAGGATGGTTTTCCTCCGCCCTATTTTATCAGCCAAGAAGGCTCCGGTCAGGAGGGATCCAGCGAATGCGCCAGCCTGAATGGAAGCTGTCATTCCACCTTGGAGAAAGTTGGAAGGGTTGTCCATGTAATTCAGGAACTGGGGCATGGCCAAGATTCCACTCATAGATCCTGTATCCTATAGTATTTTGTTAATAAGTTGTAATACTGCGTATGATAACCACATTATCGTTCGGTAGAAATTTCTTACATAGCCGAATGCTAGACCACCCATACATGGCGCAATGCCGTAAAGGTACACTGTCTATAGGAAACATCCTTGTCAGCTAGATGTTGCTGCGTTCTGCGCCGTTAAATGAACAGGCAGGTCCCTGTCTTACCCAATGAATCCCCATTTCAGACTTCTTTTGTTTCTTAACACGTTACAATGGGGAATTTGCCCAAAACAAATTTGCTAAAAATTGAAATCAGACGCCGGGCTTAGCACCTTCTAATGTCCTCCAGATTTTCAAGAATCTCCATAGATAGCCTTTTAACTTTCCAAAACATCGCTTGGAGCTCGAGCGGGGAAAAGCTGGGGAAAAAGTGGAAATGAAGTCCTTCCGTCGGAAATATCGAAAAATGGAACGGATATTTTGTTGCTTGTTGCCCACGAAAATTGTCCGATATACATTTCCGGTATTTTGGACTGCCGATCAAAATGACCTGCAATAATCCCAAAATTTACTTGTCTGTATCGGGGGGTTTTCAACTAATCGTTTAATTTGAATCTCCAACGAAATTTCCATACCAAGTCCATCGCAGCCATGTCACTCTACAAGGACAGTCAGCCGTATCACGGGGGCTTCTTCCACTTCCTATAATCGTCTTAATATTACCAAGAGTTTAAGAGTTCTATGGTAACTACTCTCCATATGGTGATATACCACAGAAAAGTAGTATAATGAAGAATTAGAAATGCCCAACAACAGGTTTCGGAACATATGGCTCTTCCAGAAACTCGATTTCCTGGACTGTAAATGATTTCCCTTCAAGTCAAACAGCATCGTCGACCCTCGCTACAGAATTGCAGCCGACAATCGGCACAGCACCTTCACTCCTAAGTCAACCAACGCTACATACACCATCTTCCAACCTTTCTCATTCACGGTCTGCTCAACTCTCTGAATAATCGCTTCATCTGCTGTCGTAATAGCGGTGCCAAAGGGAGTTGGCATTTTTGAGCGTTCTGACTCTGTCACCCCAAACAGCCTAGCCAATAATCCTCAGGATAAGTGTGACCTGGGAATAATACCAACCCCGGTGTCCTTACAGACCCGATTCATCTCGCGGTATCCTTCTCGGTGACAGAGGTTATAGTAATTCTGCATTGATATAAACTTGGTCCAGCCATGTAATCCTCCTACATGCTGCAAACGAGCGAATTGGGTGGCTTATATCGAACTAGAGTCAATATACCGCACTTTGCCCTCTTAGATTAGGTCGTGAGGTGCTTTCATGGTTTCCTCAGGTGGTGTGGATGGGTCGTAGCGTTGGATTTGGAGTACGTCAAGGTAACTTGTTCCTAATAGAGCGCGAGAGGCGTCAACCTGATTGAAACTGAGGTAGGAGAAAGACCTATTTTATCCATAATTAGTATCCACAACACCTTTTCAAGTAACAAAAGTAAAAGTGACAACGTACTATTTGCTCTTACCCATGTACTCTTCATGTATCGGACTCACTATTTCAAGATACGTAGACCAGAAGATCCGAGGCGTAGTCCATTTTTGTTTCGTCTAAGCTCCTTTTGTAAAGAGGGAAGAGGCCTGGTAGTCACGTTCAAACTAACAATGATGAGAGTAGTAGGTATTAGACGGCTTACGTCAATTAATCTCTGAGTACCTTATTATCCGATCTGATGGAAAGAACTTAGGACTGGTGCAGTACCTGGAAACTTCTAGGAAAATGGAGCGGGATTGACCACATATTTATATGCATCCCTGATCGAATACACGGAACTTCATCCTGACTTGCCCCCCTAAACATCGAAAGCTGATTTGTAAGACCATAAAATGCTCAAACATCAACATTGTCCTCGAGTAAATCTTTTGGACAGGGCCCTGATCTATAAAAACTATAGAGACGCTAGTATACATTTTGCGAGCGGGCCAATCAGCGACGCCGATGTGATTACTAACTATAATGTATAACCTGATAGTAGTTCGTTTTCCTCTATATTATGAGGGCTAGTTTGGTCGTTTCGTTTCTTTGTCCTTGGAGCTTACGTCCAAGGGATTGCCGAGATATACCGAAATATGGAGATGGCGTAGGGAAAGCTGTAGAAATGGCTGGCTCAACATAACATGGTTTGGTGTAATTATTCAGAAATATAGTATCGAAGCCGTAGCGACATCTGAACATCTAGAGGAGTGGTAGATTCATTCTTTTCTGAAGTAGTCATCAATTGGTTGAATCCACCGCATCGATGCCGGCCTAAGTTGTAGATGCTGCTAAGGGTGCTTTATGGACGCCTAGTTAAGAAACTGAGGAATGTAACCTCATACATATCAATTGATGTATCTTATAAAAAGAGATTAACGAATAGTGACGTGTGTGTGCATGCATATATACGTCAAATGATATATACATGTATACATCAATTAATGTGAACGCCTATTATGAAACCGCTGTCCAGTATCCAAATGAATACCATTCAAAACCCAAATCAATATCCAACCGTATAAAGAGAAAAATAGTTGAAAGAATATATAAAGGGGCTCGCACGCCCAAAGCAAAACGCCAAGCACGGATATCTCGATCAATGGTATTATTCTTCAGGATCAATTCGACGTTTTGTCAACGAGTCCATTACTCTCGTGTAGAATTTCGAGGCGTTTTGTCGTGAGAATGTGATATCAACTGTGAGATATTCGGGTAGTAGGCTGATTAGGGCTGCGTCACGAGTAGGGTCTAATTGTGGCATGTATTGGAACTCGGCTGTGTCGAGGCTGGCTGTGGTTTTGTTTCCCCTCTCATGAGCAACAGCAAGTTTGAATTGAAGAGCTGAATGGGTGAGATGTGAGTTTTTGCAAGTATTGTTTGTGTATAACAATAAGACGGCACTTACTTCCGTTGACACCTGTTTGAATACAGTCATACATATGATCTGCTTCGTTCTCTTTGACACTTCGAATGATAAGCCCGGTCAAATCACCGTATAGGTCCTCCTTGAGTTGTGCTAGTTGCGCAACCTGCAGTGCCTCGGTATTAGTAGCTCCCGCGGCACGGCGAACAGAGGTGTTTTTAACTGCACTTCCAGGCGCTTCGACGTTCAGTGTTTTAGCACTGGCAACATTGTTCCGGGCCGCAGCGAGCCTAGTCTGCAATGTTTTGATTTCCGTCTGCGCTGTTGAAAGCTGCGCGGAAAGATCATGGACTTGGGATTGAAGTTTATTTGATTCTTTTTCACGATCACGCAGTTGCTTGTGAAGATCGCTAGATTCCTTGCCGAGAGCTTTTTGGGCAGCGAGCTCTTCCTTTAATGATGCTATAAGTTTATTCGAGGCTGGAGAACCGTTGTTAGCTGTGAACATTATTGTCAAAATGAAAATGGATGGAATATACCGTTTGTGACAGTTTCACATTGCTTCTTAATCTTTTCCACGTTGCTGTTGGCTTCTACAACGCCGATGTCTCGCAGAGTACGATACTTTGATTCTAACGTCTCATATTTCTTTGTCATATCGCCTAATCTTCGCCTCAAATCAGGATCTGATGAGGTCTTCTCCGTATCTGCAAACGTCACCGTTGGACGTTTTCGACCGCGATCTTGTTGGCCATTGGTTAGATTTTTCGCTGGGGATATTGTGGTCATGGTTGTCTCGAGGACTTCCCCATCGAGCAGCTCTTGGTCCTCTGCGGCCGCAGGAGCCTGGCTGTCTGGAATGATTTCTGCTATTTGTTCAAGAACAGATAGCCCAACACGTTTTTGAATATTTGAAGATGAAATAGTCTTCAATTGTCGGGATCCTGTTGGTGTATACTCGAATTCCCCGTCTTCCGTGACCTGTTTCGCCATACTCCCTGTCTTCCGACCTCGACCTCTTTTCGCCCTTCCTGGTCGCGCTTCAGATGCGTCGGCCGGCTGATCAACGGCATCCGATAATACATCTGCAAGAAATTGACTTTGCTGGGCTGCAGGTTCCACAGCTTCCTCTTGCTCAATTGTGGCGCCACGCGGTCGGCCGCGGCCTGAGGTCTTCTTTGCAACGGCGTCGGGCTTGCCAATTCCGGCGGATGAGGAGCGACGATGCCTGGTAGCTGCGCTCTGTTCCTCAATCTTAGCTCCTGACGATTTTGGCCGGCCTCTTGCTTTCTTCGCAGGACGCTCTTCGACGGTCTCTGGTTGCGACGCGACGGCGTTGTCGCTATCGGAGTCTACCAGTCCTGATATGTTGGAGACGGCTTTTCGCTTCGGCGGCATGATTCCTCGAATAAAATAAACTTTAATTGGCTGCTTCTCAATATACTGTTCGCGTGGTAAAGTGGCGGATGGAGGGGTCGTCGCAAAGAAGTAAATAAGTTATAACCATCAAGTATGGCAGCTCGTGTCTACCAGGGCTTGGCGCGCGCCACTCTCCATTTTCGCGACAGCGCGCGCTAACAGCCCAGGAGAGGCGCCAGAGCATGTGATCCGAGCGCGGGCCAATCCAGACAAGGCCGCGGCAGAGCCACATCACTCTTCTGCCACAGCCGGCTACAGTGGCTAGATTTTGCATACCCATCGCTGTCGTTGCGGCCCAGCATCAGTTGTTTTCGACTCGCGTTCTCCTGGGCTGATTACTATCCTACCCTTTATCACCAACCATGGCTTCTGGTGGTGGCCGAAGATGGCAACAGTTCTTGCAGGAGCTGGTGATGATAGCCGGCACGGTAAGTCGAGCTCTACGTTTCGGGTCACGAGTGTAACTCATCTAATCACTATCTATAGTCTGCATCTGCGTACTTTTTAATCCGTTATCTTTTATCGCGCATCGACTTGGATCCAGATAGCCAGAAGAAGGAAGAACAGAGGCGAAAGTCTGCGGCGATTCTCCGAAGATTGGACGCCCCCGATTCTGACGAGGGAGCCCCTGGGGGAAGTGGTTCAGGGCGGCGGCGCAGGGAGAAGAAAGAAGATCTCGTACTGAATCAATATGAGCAGTCAATTTCCATGGATGTTGTGGCTCCCGAAGACATTCCGGTGTCCTTCGAAGATATCGGAGGCTTAGACGATATTATTGAAGAGTTGAAAGAATCGGTGATATACCCCTTGACTATGCCTCATCTCTACGCTTCCACGTCCTCGTTACTGTCTGCGCCTTCTGGGGTATTGCTTTATGGCCCTCCAGGATGCGGTAAAACCATGCTTGCCAAAGCATTGGCCCACGAAAGCGGAGCTTGCTTTATCAATTTACACATATCAACGTTAACCGAGAAATGGTATGGTGACTCGAATAAATTAGTCAATGCAGTCTTTTCTCTGGCTAGGAAACTACAGCCAGCCATTGTTTTCATCGACGAAATTGATGCTGTTTTGGGTACGCGGAGGAGTGGTGAACATGAAGCCAGCGGTATGGTCAAAGCCGAGTTCATGACGCATTGGGACGGATTGACCTCGGCGAATTCCGTGGGGGAGCCACAGCGTGTTGTTGTATTAGGAGCTACCAATCGAATACAAGACATAGATGAGGCCATCTTGAGGCGAATGCCCAAGAAGTTCCCCGTCAGCTTACCTCCAGCTGCGCAGCGGCTTCGTATCCTGGCCCTGGTGCTCAAGGATACAAAGATTGATCGCGAGAACTTCGATCTTGAATACCTTGTCAGCGCCATGGCCGGAATGTCAGGTAGCGATATCAAAGAAGCCTGCAGGGATGCCGCCATGGTTCCTATGCGAGAGCTCATCCGCCAAAAGAAAGCTGCTGGCATTCACATGACGACGGTAGAGCCATGGGAAGTCCGTGGCCTGCGGACAGAAGATTTTTATAACCGGACTGGAAGTGGCCTAAAAATCATTCCCAAACCCCCATCAACAAAACGGCCTGAAACCAAAGCTTCAACCGAGAAGGACGAGAAGGAGTGGAGTACCGACTCTGAAGTCGCAGAGGGCGACAACCGGCCGGAGGCTTCGATACCTACTACCATTTCTGAGCCGCCAGAGTGATATTATATTATCTATCACTTGAATGCCGTGTTGTCCCATGTTGACCGTGCATGCAAGGCGTTTTGGACATTTGGACTGCATGTGTAAACATCTCTCTCTCTATTAATGACGCTTCTTTTGCTGGTTCACAAGAGACGATGATTACTTTCTCTATATGTATACACTCCTCTTAATTAGACCCATTTACATCGACGTTTCCAGTTGGCTCTGTATTGGTTTCCAGATGATCAAAAGTGGTGATTAAATAATATTATTATAATATCAAGTACAACCAAAAGAAAGAAATGCAGGGAGCCTCTTGGCCGCGTGGCGGGCAGCGGACCCCGGCTAGTGCGACTGCTCCGGATGGAGAGCCTTCCTCCTATCATGAATGCCCTTATCCTACTAATACTCATTAATTTTCAGCCAGACAGACACCGCTGCCAGAGAAGCCTGCTCGTGCATGCTCGTTGCTGGCAAACAAACAAACACCCTGTTCGCATAGAAACATAGCAGAGCGATCGATACACGCACCTTTCCTCCTTCCGTCGAGCGCCAAGGCGACTCGTCATCGCTTTCGACCCTGGCCCCGATTACGCTTCCGTGTCCATTACCACCTCTACTCCCTGCACTTATACTCAAGCCCGCCATTTCAGAACCAGGTTCAGCCTTACACGAGAGAAACACTTATTTTCCGTCGAATCCCCGAACAGGAATGAATCAGCGCTACAGCTCGTGAGCGATTACCACTTGGTTTAGTGGGGGAGTCGTCCGTCGCCTCGGAGGCTGGATGTCGAATGGTTCGAGGCCATCCCGCCCTGGCCTTATCTGACGGCCTCGCTCAGCGCTGTGCGCTCGACCCTGATCCGAAGTAGCGGAGGAAAGAGACCAGATAGGACAGATATCGTGCCCTTGTCATTGTATCAGGAATGAGCTCCCATACCGAGTCTCCTGACTTTCTCGATCCGGCGATCTCTAGTGCCAGTTCCAGTCGGAGGGTGAACACGTCCATCAGGCCGCGTAACAGACGATTGATAACGGTGAATGATGATGAGGAGGACGATCGATCCCGGACCTGGAGCTCTCGGCTATCCAACATATCAAATGGCCTAACCCCTCCTCAATCGCGTGGCACTACACCCTCACCTTATGCATCACGAAGGGGATCGCCCCTGCCCCAAAAGCACCCCTCTCGAGCAACCGAGAGAGAATTTGGCGACAGATATAGGAGTAGCGATGACGAATATGGGGTTGGAAATTCCTCGAGGGCATACAACACATCACATAGTTCAGCAGGCTTTTTGGAATCGTCATGGTCCTCTATTCAGAGTTTAGCATCATCAGTGTTAGGGAATGAAATTTCTTGGGGTAAACCGCCGTCTTCTTCCACGTCGAATGCGAAAAGGCGCAAACCTTCAAGTTCCGATATTCTCTTTCATCTACCGAAACCGAGTGGGCCAACGTCATGGGGTCCTTCAACTCCTTCAACCTCACATATTGGGACTGGGACAATGGAAGAAAGACAAGCTCTGGTGCAAGCAAAGAAAAGAGAAGTATTGCTTCTCGCCAATGGTGACTCTGTATCAGATCTCAAGGGTCGTTACAAGCGAAAGGATTCAATGGACAGGGGAGACACCAATACAACAGAAGCGGAGCAAAACGAAGAGGCGTTAGTTTATATTCACCCCGTTCAACCAAGCGATACGATGACCGGAATTTCAATTAAGTATGGCTGTCAGCTTGCGATCTTTAGGAAGGCAAACGGGTTCTGGCCAAGTGACAGCATACAAGCCAGAAAGATCGTGCTTTTACCGGCTGAGGCCTGCTCCGTCAAAGGACGAAGAATAAACAAAACACAGAATCTAGATCTTTTGGGAGACGAACCACCCGGGAGACTTTCGATTGAAGATCCTAATGGAAGCTCTATTGCACCTGTCGACTCGCAACTGCAGGAAGACAGTGGAAACGCCGCAGAAGGTGAACAGACGTGGAAGCACGAAGCATGGGTTCAAATGGAGGGTTTTACAGGTCCTGTGGAAATTGGCCGTGTGCTTCGTAAATCGTTAGGATTTTTCCCACGCTCCCGACGAAGATCGATTTCTGTCCCGTATTCCGATATTGAGCCTTCAAGCCCACCATCCGAGTTCTTGACAACGATCAGACAGGCGGATGTTCCGACAATTAGCCGACGTGACAGCTCTCCACAACGATTTAACCCATCACCACGCTTAACATCAGCTACCAATTCCCCAGCCACTAGCATTCGAACACATCACAAACGCTCTGGCAGCATAACATTGTCTGGTCCACGAGGCGTAGGAACGCTTGGACGTGACGTGCACGCCCCAGGTCCGGCGCCGGATGGACTGAACAAATTCTTCTCACAGCACCTTCCTCATCTCACCGCACCTCCTCCACCAATCCCCACGTCACGAAAAGCCTCTTTCGATTCCACGTCGAGCGTGCCTTCATCCGCATCATATTCCGGTCTCGAGAACGTCGGCGGAGCAATCGAAGGATGGATGAGAAAAGTAGCTATTCGCGCAAAGTCCGGCCTGAGCGAATTACAGCAAGGATCGCAGACAACGCACGGCCAAACCCTCGGCATTAGCGGGATGGGCGACTTGATTGAGTTGGACGACGGGCTTGAAGGAACAACGCCTCCATTGAACAGTCGTATCGGTCCACAAGATTTTATTCGTGCCCAAAACCAGCAAACCGCGCTCGGTAGGTCGCAATACGAGCGCTTCTCAAGTTCATCAGCCGCGACGAACAGGGCTCGGTCCGGAGCTCGTGCCATTGACGATCCGCATAAAAACGACTGATAGTGTATAAATAGATCCCGATCCTCTTGTGTGCTTCTCATTACTTTTCCTTTTTGAGTTTCTCATGTCTTCTGTTTTTTATGAAGCAAGATACCTTTTTGTTATCCCACATTTTACGCCTTTTCCCCATCCTGCGTTCACAACAGCATGCATATTAGGATCATTGTATGGCATTCTTGCAGAATTATCTTTCCCTTGTCACGCCGTATTTTTGTCGCTCCTTCTCTGTTCTGATGTCATCAGAGGTGCAATTGTTTCCCTTTTCTTGAAGTGAGATGTTAGCGCAGTTTATATATACAGATATAGAATCGAATCACGAGTTAGTGTTTCTACAGACGGATATTTTCTACTTCTATTAATTAGAATTAGACTTGATTATAGGTGCAGGGTAGATCAGTTCATTAATCACAATATTGAATGCATATGTAATAGTTCGGGCATCAATCGAAGATCGATTTAGAGACCCTTTGCAGACACCACTTTGAGCCTAGATCTGACATTGCATTCTGACCTTGAACTACAGGCGCCTCTTCTTCACGCACAGACTATAAACCAAATACCAAAAAAGTGAAGAAAATCTTAACAATGAATGTATACTGATATAATCACGATAGTATCTGAACAATCGAAAGTCTTCTTCCAAGCCATAATTCCCGATTCCTCCTCCTTCCTTTTTATTTTGCTTTTCCCAATTTAGATAAGTCCAGGATAAGTCCAGTTGATATATAAAGAATAGAAAAGTAAAAAGTTGAATAGATTTAGATTTCTGGGGACATTCTGAAAATCTTGCGTTCATCACATTCTACGCAGAAAAGATAATATCAGGTTGTATACAAAAGGGGTAGCTGTAGCCGGAAATTAAAGACTAGCAGGTCCCTTTTTTGTTGTTTTTGTTTGGTTTTGGTTCGGTTTGTTGTACTTTTTCTTTTTGGATCGAGCGATGTTCCATGGCCTTAAGGTAAGGTGATGTCGGGCCGATTTCATTTAGGCTTTCTTGCCGTTGATCTCGATCAGTTTAACCTGGCTGTGTTTAAAATGTTAGTGATAAGGAATCAAAAGAATGGAGTAGTGCATCACGCGACAGAAATGAAAAATCAGTAATAGTAAATATTAAATACGTGCATGCAAGCCACAAGCTGCCGACGCTGCTTATCATTGGATCGATAAGTAGCTGTGACAATGCGTTGGGCATCATTCCAACAGGCAGGAGGTAGCCGTAAACTAGACGATAATGCTAAGGGGAAAGCGAAACAGACAGGACAGATGTAAGATAATAGTGTAAAAAAGCAAGTCCACTTACAAGATCAGGTCCGAGTTGGGCGGGATGACGCCGGGGAAGCCCCTGTTGATAATACCTAGTTGTCAGCCAACCGTTGCTTTTCTCGTAATTATCCGAGATAATGTGTTGTTGCTTTTGCCTGCTGCCACACCACAAACTTTATTGCTTTATTTATATATATATCGCATGCGGTGCTTTCGCGCATTGTTGGCAAGCTGGCTAGTTGTAATAAGGACGTTGATGAGGGGCATCGGAGGGGTGCGGGGAATGGAGAAGAAAAAAAGGAAGCCATCTGCACGCACTGTGTTCCATAGGCATAGGTCCTGCAAGTAGATCAAAGTCCGTCAGTATTATTATCACCTTCAGAATAGTAGTATTTTTTGGCCCATAAAAAAAGCCGTCTCGCATAATACGACCAATAAATCATACTGGCACAGTGAGAGCAACTTACGAATCGATAGTCAAAATGGCCTCTTCGCCGAGCGACATGGACAACACACCCTCGTCCCAGCCTGTTGTATAGCGGATGATATTCCTCCGTCAGCTATAATTCCGGTTCGCCACCAGCAGGTAATAATAATAATAATAACAATGCCAATTGGGCCTTGTTAACGACATGAACTATTAACTAACCCTTGATAACCCGGCCTTTACCGATCGGAGTCGCCAATGCACCGCGCCCCTTGGAAGAGTCGAATCTGATGCGGGAAAATTCGGTTAGTTTAGAAATGAACTGTTCCTTGGATTTGGGCTTGTTTAGACCAGGGTTCATTGCTTACTCCGTGCCCTTCTGGTGGTCTGGGTTGCTGGGGTTTCTCAGCCAGCCAGTATAGTCGATCTTAACATTGGCTCCCACAGCAGGCATGTCGACGCCATTGCCGTTTTTGAGGATAGTCTTTTCCCAGCTCATTGTGGAGGATTTGAAAATTATCGATGTGCTTATTCAAAAAGTGCAGGTTTTGATTGAGGTGGTTTCGCGGAGTAAAGAAATATTTACAGGTTGAACAAGGTTGTGGTGGGGGGGGCTCTCTTTTAAAGCAGAGCAGAACTGATCCGCTTTTTGACAACTTGAACCTCGACGTGAATACGGTCTACCCCGACACCGGCGCAAACTATGTAGTCATTTCTCATATTTTAACTTCTTTGTTTCAAACTAGCAACCCCCGCGTGGACGACAAGCCCAGTTAACCAGGATTTCTTCGTTATGGGGTCTTGCTGGGGCAGCAGCACCGTATATGCCCATACCCAGACCATGCTCCATCTACAGCTACAGCTTGCTTTGGAGTCGACAATCTGATCAACAAAAGCTAACCCCACACAAGTACTGGTCCGGAAACGATGCTGGATAGCTACCAACTAACTTAATGATACATTGATATGCGTTGTCACACTCTGATCCGCAAGCTGAACACCACTTGACCAATACATTCTCCATGTGTAGAGCTCGTCCCCAATGATGCCATGGTGGGCAGGGAACACGCCAACAAAGTGGGCAGAGACCAGTGACTCGCAGATCCGCCAATTGAAGATAACAAAACGCGGGAGAAGAGCAAGCTAACTCAGCTTAGCCGTCCAGAGGCTGGAAGACTAGACTGGGGGAGTGGTACTAGACTCTAGCCAAGATACTAGGATCGTCAGTGTTTAGGGAGGCCGATAACTCACACGATTCCCAGCAAAGCCGCAAGCATGACCAATCGCCCTACTGTCACGCGGCGATGGCTTCGAAGCAGCCTGCGAGAGAAGAGTCGAGAATGGCAGAGGGTGGTTGGTGTCTTGCTCGGAAGTGATTGAGCAGTGGGATATCGTCTGATCTAAAAGCCCAACCGAATTCACCAACCCATATGCTAGCCCCCAGCAACATTATTATTCATATTATAATTGCCCCCCATCCCCACCCCCGTCTACTAACTACTACCAGGTACGCTTAAAGTTACAATGACCCCGCGCCTGACGGCCTTTGCGGAAGCGGGGAACAAATTAATTATGTTTTCTGGCTGGAACGAACAGGAATGAAGAAAAGGGATATACCGCGATCGTGACTGTGTTCATGGAACGGTCAGTTGCTTATCTATGTGTTGCTTTTGACGCATCAGCCGCGCCAATTGCCGTGTTACACTATCTACGACATAAGGACGCTTATTGATACATCACATGTAACTTAGTAGTTCGTAGTGATAAGGATAGATGGATTGACTGATCCTACGACGAAGATTGGCCTTTGAAGCCTCGTATTGATTTTTTTATTTCTTTTCGTTTTCCACGTCAATTCCCCCGAAGCATCATCTGGGAAATGTCCAATTGTCAGATGATCTAAAGCCAGAATGAGGCTTTGTTCTTTACTTCTTCCACGGACAAGGAGCAAACTTTCGTGGATGGGAACCGCGTGTCTGGAGCGTCTCCGTCTTGGGTCAATTCAAGATAATGTATGGCCGTGATGCCTGTACGGTCGATGAAGTCTAGAACTTCTCGGTAGCCAAATCCTACTTGATCAATACCATGACTATCATCAGACAGGCAGAAACGGCCACCCATTGATAAAAATTCCTAGTTCAAAGAGTCAACATCCGCTGTCTCTCACTACTAATACAGACTTTGTGGCCAGCGCTGTTTACGCACCTTGCAAATTTCTGCTTTCGGATACGGCTCGCTCATTCCTTTCCTTAGCGCAGCCGAGTTGAGTTCTAGCATGCCACCATAGCTGGCCACAAACTGGAGATTGCGCCGGATCTTCTCCCAGACTCTAGGGTATTTAGTGAAAGTAGCATTTGGATCGTCGCTCTTCAGCCGAACTAGGTCAAAATGTCCAACGACTGGAGGTTTTAGTTTTTGCAACATATCTAACTGGCTGTCGTAGTAGTCCTCAAATAACCGCTCGTCCGTTCCGCCGGCAGCTTCCCGTGCTTGGCCATACATGGCGGCATCATAATCAATCGGGATAGTGTGTACATGATGTACTGAGCCAACCAAGAGCTCAAACGGGAAACGAGACAATGATGTTTCAATTAACGTTAAAGACTCTGGGCGAATCCAATCGATCTCAAATCCTATTAGAAGCTTGATCTGAGATGCATACTTTTCACGTAGTCGTAATGCTTCTGCAAAAAAAGCTGCCTCATTCTCGGCATGCCATGCCTCCGTGGCGTGGAGATCGGCTTTCTATATAGCAAGTTTTAGCTCTGGAATGTCAATTCGAAGCCGCAATTGCAAATGTACCTCCTCGGGATAGAAATCTTCTTGCCCACGGGGCATATGCTCTGTTAAACAGAATACTTGCATTCCCTGCTTGATTGCTGTCTGGATGACTTCTTCGAGGGAATTCTTTGCATGGCCAGGACAGAACTGGCCAGAATGGCTATGATGAGAGAAAGGCATAGCTTGTCTCAGTTGGTTTCTTTCTAGTGTGCATCATTAGCCAAAATTGTGACAATGATACGATATAAAGTATTTAGCGCAAAGCCTAGAGCAGAACACGAATACATCTTGCGCTTGCTCTGAATCGACGTTGCGGCCAGAAAGGCTAAAAAACCAACTCATGTGGGGTTAGAAGCAGGCACAACGCTTGTCGTACCTGATTTTCACGTCTCTATATGGACTTTAGACGTACAATCGATAAAAATATAAAGATATCAGACAAGTTTCTTCTTCGGCTAAAATAAGTGGCATGCGATTCGAAAAGATGGAGAAATGTACAGCGTCGCGAACAATTCCGATGGAAGTTGTGGACCCCGCTCTGATAGAGCTCTGCCCGTGTCGACTGTTGTTCGCACCTTCTCATGCTTTCGTTTGATAAGACCTGGCGAAGGTGAATTGGGTGTGTTTTATTGTTGCCTGGCCATATTTTCTTGATCTATTGTCGGGGTCTGTCACATAAAGTTCCCATGGTTGTCGAAACGCTCTTTCGTAGAAATTATACCCAACAAATGTATTGCATATAAAGGAACATCCAGCACTTGGGCTTGCTATTATATAGAATCAAACGTGCCTGTCGAAACATCACCTGTCATCAGCTGCAAGGACCGTGGCTACGATGTATTCACCATCATGCGAGATGGACAGCTTTCCGACGCGACTTTCTACCCCCAGATAAACAACTTCTGGCCGTCCACTACCGGCAGCCGTAGATGGAGCTGCTCTAACTAGAACATCTTTCCAACCGATAGAAGAAGCGCCCCCAGGCGCAGCTTTGCGTGCGGCCTCCTTGGCAGCAAACCGTCCAGCCAGCCAACGCGCCATATCAGGCGTCACCTTTGAGGGACTGTCAGCATGATTATGCACTGCAAACCGAGTACGAAAGTCTTGTTGTTCTTGCTGGCATAGTATACGACGCGTAAATTTGTCGAGGTAGTTTTCCTTGCTTCTGGCACCGCGCTGGCCTATCAGACGAAGAATGCGAGGAAGATGGACCACATCGGTGCCAATGTTCAGAGCGTATGGGAATGGTAGTGGTTGCATGAGGATCAACTTTCAGGGCCAAGAAATGCTTTAGAGCGACGATCTGAGCCAAGGGATTGTGGTATATGTGGGCTAAGTGGATGAGAAATGTACGCATCGGCTCTGCAAAGAGCGGATAGCATCAGCTTTACGTTCCGGCCAATCACAAACAGCTATACATGAAGAGGTAGTAAAACTATCGCTTAAAGAGCAGATTTGGCTATGTTTGACAGAGAATATTACGTTCCTCCATACAGATGATTTCACTGAACACTTCATTTCTATCTTCACAAATACAGATTCAGATCACATAGCAAGCAGACTCATTTCAGACGCTCAGAGGACTGCGATTACCAATGATTCGTTTTATCACAATGATTTATCTATATGTACAATCCGCCCCAGCATAAAACCCAGATATTGTAGTTTATACAGGCTGGAAAACGTCGTCTTGATGCTGCACCACAACCACTCTCCGCTCGCAAGCGATGCCACGTAAATGCTGTTCCCATCTTAAATGAAATTGTTCCAGCATCCCTGCTCAACGTAATAATAATGTCTGACTAACGAGGCGCTTGGTTGGGTAAATAGATGCAAAGACCTTAATGTTTAGATTTTTCTTCGCCTTCGACGCTTTTAAGGAAGTCCCTGGTAGTGAAGCACTCGAATTAGTACTGGATCAATTGGCCGAGTTTGACCCAGAAGAGCAACGGTAGAATTTGAATATCGTAGTTAAATTTTGGGAGCAGCGGCGTAGAACGTACTGTATGAATTTCTCCTCGTCCTTGGAACCGGCATTGATGGGAGGACCTAGTTCCTTCTTGTCGCTACCACCACGGGTAGCGAGCCAAGAGCCAGCGAACAGGGCGCCCAGTACACCCATGGAAAGCTGTAGGATTCGAGCAAAGGGTATGTTAGACAAACAGGGACATTGTTATACGATGGCAATTTGCTCATGCGGCAAAAAGGGATATTTTTGCAGACGTCGTTCGGAGGCAACGTACCACGTGGGAGCCAACCTTGCGGCCAGCGAGTTCGTAGTAGACAACCATTGCGACTAATTGATCGGTTGAGAGCTGATTCGGATGCGCAGGAAGATCAGGAGACGCAAGCAGTCGTTGAATAATGGCTGGGTTGAAGTGAACCACGATAATCATAGGAAGCGCGGTGTTCGCAAGACTCTTGGCGCTCTAGAGTGGAAGAGGAATAGCGTGTATTTCTGAGCACGTGATCTGTACCCGATTACTCCCGCACTTTCCTTGGCTACCGGGAGCGAGTGAGGTCATCGATGCGGCAGTACGCCAGAGCTTCATGATGCGAAAGGAGATAAGCTATCGTGTTGCAGATCGAATGAAGCCGTGCAGAGCGTTGTGGCCTTAGACAATTTTTAGTATCCCTCCACTTAACTTGGAACTGGAGTACCATCAGACATATTATCGATTCTATCCGTAGTGCTGACTCGGTCTAATATCCTCTGCTCCGTAGAATAACCGTTGCAGATGCCGCTACTCGCCAGGACGAGGTGCCTACCTGCATTCGTCATATATTCTTCCACCACCTTCTCCTCGTCCCTAATGCTTTAATATAAACCTTCGACTTTGACAGACTTCTTCATAGAGCCTGCGCACTTCTACGGATTCACCTATTCCGTCCGCTCCCTTGCCATGTTCTGGCGCAAAGAGAAGAAAGAGAAAGACGAGCAAGATGGGGTACCTCGTCTTCGCGAGGACTCCCGTCCAGAGTCTTTGAAAGAAGACATACCGCGTCACAAGTTGTCCCGCAATTTGCAGAAACTTGTCGATCGCGAGGACGACTATTACGACGAATTATATACGCCATAGTATGTCCTTGGTTTTCCCCTCACCTTGTTGCGCGACCTCGGGTTTGATTCTCTTTTTCTTCTATTCGGAGATTCCTAACGCACAGCTTGATCTATCTTACAAAATCAGAAGCACTGATTATATATATCACTCGATAGTTCCGTTGACACGACCGAAACTCCATACCGATATGCTGCCTATGCCAATCGAGTGCGAACCATCCTACTCTCCGCTCACCGTTATATCGCATACACATCCGATGTTGGAGAATCTTTCCGGCCAGTTGCACATCCTTACCTCGTTCGCAGCGCCTATGCTATCTCATGGTCATATATTCTCGGCGACGTCGCCCACGAGGGGTACAAAGCGTATCTTCGGAATCGGCGTGTGCTCATACCGCCCGGAGAAGCATATAAAGATGCTACCGATCTCAAAACAAACCAGGTTGTGCGAGGCATGACAACAGGAAACATTGCCGGTCCACTGACCTCGGAATCTCCCAAATCAGACGTTGACTCCAATTCTGACCCCTTGATACCATGGGCGTCGTCTCAAATCCCATTGATTGATGACTATCGAATGGTTATGGTGAAGCGCGCCGTGTTTCAGAGTATCGCAAGTATGGGACTGCCTGCTTTTACTATTCATTCAGTGGTGCGCTATTCTGGGCGTGCTCTGAAGAACTCTAAAAATGTTTTCCTTCGCACCTGGGCTCCGATTGGAGTGAGTATCATGATATTTCTTCCGAAATGGATGTCTGCTAACAGTTAGATATAGTTGGGTCTAAGCGTTGTTCCTCTACTCCCATATCTCTTTGATCAGCCTGTTGAGCATGCTGTCGAATGGTCATTTCAAACTCTTTGTCGTGCTGTTGGAGGGCCAGAAGCAGTCCAGCCGCCTCCTCCATCAAGTGAATTACCAGCGAAGAAGACTATGCCCTTGAGCTCGTTGCTGAAGCTACAAGATGAGAAAAACCGCCACAAAGCGGATATTGATCGCGGCAACGACAAGGCTCCTTCCTGGGAAGAGTACAAGGAAGATAAGCAGCGACAAAGAGAGCAGCGCAAAACTGGAACCGGAGGCTGGTTCGGTTTTGGCAGTAAAAAGAAAGAAGAATAAAAACCTCATTTCTTTCTTTCCCCTCAAACTTCATCGTATACATATATCTCCATTCCCATCCATCTTTCTGACCTGTCATGTTACCTGCCCGGTGCCTGGTTTTTCTAAAGTTTAGCCTTTTCTTTCAAATATTGCATCTTGATAGCACTACACTTATTTAATACCAACAAATCCTACTCATTAATCGACTTTCTTCAAACCTCACTATCATCCATAAAGCAGGTTGATCAGGTTGAAAGAACTTCATGTTATTCCTTGCTTCATACAAATACCATGTTCATTGATAAATTGCCGTAAATAACCTCCAAGACAAAATTGAACAATCATACTCAAAAACGCCAGCCGAACCTTGCGATTTGAAAATACACTGCTTTTGATTTCCAATCCTCTGCACTAGTCTTTATCCGCCAGATTTCCGAGTCCTGCGTTCATTCGCCCTCATTTTTCTTTCATTCCTCTTGACCCGTTCCTTACGATCACGTCGACCAGCAGTCCGAATATTTTCACCCTGAGCTTCATTCTTCCATTCTTTGTCGGGGATTTCCACCAACCAGTCATTCTCACCTGACTTGTTCGCGCCCTTGTACCCCCATTTCGGAACCCATTCTCCACTAGCCTCGTCGTAAACGAGCTTCTTGCGTCTCTCCTTTTCAGCTAATGCAGCACCAGGTTTGCTACTAAATTTGCCAATTCCTTTCTTCTTCGCGAATAGCTCCCATTTCGTAGGCTCCTTTGGTTTCGGTCTATGCAAACATTAGCTGCTGCTGCTCGGTATGAATCTAAATCTGGAAAACGCACAGAGGCTTGAATCGTGGGAGTAAAGTCTGAGGAGGGGGTAGAGAGAGGAGAACTCCTTCTTTAACGTCCGATGTAATTGGGCATATTGTCTGTTGAATAATGGCAACCCCAGTTAGCTTCATGAACAATGCTCTCTTTGGAGTTTTTCGACTCTTGGACGTACAAGAAGTTGGTTGATGAGGACTTGAGCGCCATCCCGTGCTACGGCTTTCAATGCATTATTGGTGTTTTCTGTATTTGATATCACGAGCGGGTTGGGGTCTTGCACCAGAAGGTGGCCGAGATCGAACGTGTATGGGGTTTCCTTTGTGACGGTGATAGGACTGGTGAAAAGTCAGATATGAATCGAGAGGGGAATTGTGGAGAAATAGACTTACAGTTTTTCCCGCTTCGCAGGAGCCGTATCTATCATCTTTGTCGAGTGTTGAGCCTTAATTCAAAGTCTTGTGTGATGATGAACTGGAATTTTTTTTCTTGATAAGTAGAAGCTTATCGGTATAATTTTCTAGAGCCGCTTTAAGTCACTGCGCAGGAGAGGTTAAAGTGGCGGCCCGCCTTCCCCCTTCTGGTCTCCCGATGTGAATCTTTTGCTTAGCCAGTCCGTTCTCCGACAACCTAGTATTGTTGCAAATCCCCTGCCACACCAGCGTCCGGCATCCATTAACCATTCTTGCTGGGCTGGCCAGCTTGAGCACGATGGTATCTCAATTCTGCTGGGGCTGCCTTTCGGGGTTTCGCCAAACCCCTCGAGCGCTTCTGCCACGCGCCCAGCTACCAACACCCTCCTTAACGCCGTCTGCAGCCTCGTTCCATACCTCCGCGGTCAGATATGCCAATCCGTTGAACAGAAAGACCGCCAGCCGGGACAACGCACCCAAGTTCCGTGAATCGAAATCTGCTCGCATGAGGAAGAACAAGAAGCCCGTCGATCGTGGCCGTCCGCCCGCCGTGGGCGAACGTAAGGCGCTTCGGAAACGCATTGTGTTGAGCAATACCAACGCGCTCGAGGTTCAGGGCATGCAGGAGTTTTCTAATGAAACGATTGTCGATTCTCGGCTTCGGGGTGCTGTAGTCGGGCTTCCGGTGCCTATAGTGTCGCAGTTGAGAGCGGTTCAGGCATTCAAGCCTACGCAGGGTTGGTCTCTGTTTCGTCGCCCAGCGGTGGTCCTCAGACGAGAAACTCTGGAAATGGGCAAGGTTTTTGAAAATATCACGGATGGCGGCGATAAAGGAAAAGTTGTGAAGAAAATCATCATCGGGCCAAGAGGTTCAGGGAAAAGTGTACAGTTGTTACAAGCCATGGCAATTGGATTCTTGAAGAAATGGGTGGTGATTTCTATTCCAGAGGGTGAGTACAAATTAATTTGGGTGTCTGTGTAATATGCGCCTCTAACAGCTCAATAGCCCAAGATATGGTGACTGCAAACTCAGCGTATGCGCCGATCGCGGGCTCCCAACCAGTCCAATATGTTCAAGACCAACTGACATCTGCTCTCCTGTTGCGAACTTCACTCGGAAATGAAGATGTTTTGTCGAAACTCCATGTCTCATTGAAACATCCAGAACTGAAACATCTGATCCGCCCAAAAATGACTTTGAACGAACTCCTTCGACTGGGTGTGCAAGATACATCGATCTCCTGGCCCGTGTTCAATGCATTCTGGGCCGAAATGAATGCGACCAGTGGACCGGAAGGATTTCAGACTCGTCCTCCTCTTTTGGTGGCCGCAGATGGCATTGGCCACTGGATGCTGGATTCAAAATATCGCAACCCGGAATACAAGTTCATCCACGCTCATGATTTCGCTCTTGTTAAACATTTCTTGTCTTTACTGCGCCCTGGTAGCTCACAATCAGCCCTTTCCAATGGCGGGATTTTGTTGTACTCCACCTCGGCTTCAAATAAACCTTCTACCCCTACCTTCGATTTAGCATTACAACAGCTAGCTTCTCGCCGGAGTGGTGTTTCCGAGTCATCGCCTGAATTTCCTCGAGCAGACCCTTACGACCAGATTGATAACCGCGTTGTTGATATTTTCAAACCATCCGCTACAAGGTCAGCTACTGAGGATGCACTTGACCTACAGATTCTCGGTGGGCTCAGCCGCGATGAAGCTCGTGGTTTGATGGAATATTTTGCACGCAGCGGCATCCTTCAAGAACGAGTCTCGGAGGATTGGATTGGCGAGAAATGGAGCTTGGCTGGAGGTGGCCTTGTCGGTGAGATGGAAAAGCTGGGGAGTAGACTGAAGACTGCATTGTAAGGACCTGGAGTCTTGGATTGTATCATTAATATAAACCTTTTCTTCCCAATTGTGTTCATTTGTGTACGCATATGTTTTACTCGCTTCATCTCAATGCTATGACAGTATACATATTCACTGCAAGCGATTGTTGAATTACAATCAAACCTCCTACATGTAAATTTCCGAATAATCACTGCACAATTGCTTCGCTCAATAGAATACACTGGCAAATAAAATAGAGTTCGCACGGGGTATACGTGGGCGTTAGTCACGTGGTGTGCCCATAAGACATCCTGGCTTCGACTGAATCGTGAGATCCGTCCAAACTCGCACACTGCTTTCTTGACTCACACTGAAATGGGGGCGTAGCAGGCCGTTCGAAAGGCTGCGACAATTGTCGGCGGCGCCATATAAAATGCGGTAATAAGCAGCGGCTATCCTCCTACAATGACTGAGTAATAATCCGGGGTTTACAGATCTTGGCCAGCCAGCCTGCGGCAGATGCGTCAAAGCCGATTTGAAGTGTGGCGGGAGCCGCGACATTACATTCGTACACTACGAAGTCCAAACACCCGATGATGAAATCTCTCGGGCATCGAGCTCATCGCCGCAGAGGAACTCTTTAGTTGTATCCGAAACACCTACCTTTACCCCCTGGTCACTTTTAGGGGCCGAACTATCTGTATCGCAAGATGACATGTTTGTGAACTATACCCGCGCCAATTTGCTACACAATATCGAATCAAATTCAATTTGGGTTCCAGAGATTGACCGCAAGCTTGGCGATGCATCCTTATTGGCTCTTGCTACAATATTTTTCGGCACCGAGCACAGAGATAGCGCATTAATTCAGCGCGGCCTACAAAAATATAGCTTTACTATAGAAGAGTTAAATGCAGCTCTCAGAGACTCCACCCACTGTTATTCGTCGGATTTATTTGATGCCATATTGACCATGGCCCTCCTTGAGGTAAGTCCGTCCCTCATCTATCTTTATTCGGGAATGGATTTTTAAATACCCGGTTTATATGTAGTTTCATATTTCGGAACGAGATCGTGGATGGCTCAATCATGCATGTGGATTGGAGCGGCTAATAGAACTTCGAGGGCCAGAGACATTCATGTCACTCCTAGACTTGATGCTTTTCGAGCAAACTCGTTCACTAGTTCTGTTTGCTGCACTGACCCTTCGCAAGCCGACCATTCTTTCGAGGTCAGAGTGGAAAACAATACCCTGGACGTTATATCCAGACAGGAAAACATATATGCAAATGTTACTGGATATCCTCGCTGATTGTCCTGAGCTTCTTGCTGCCAAAACTGAGCTTGAATCAGATCCATTCGGAAGCTTGAATTCTGAGAAGCGTCAAGAATTAGCAATTATGACCCAAGGAGTATTAGAAAGGCTTGACACGTTTGAAGAAGCCTGGATTTCTGCTAATTCGACTTGTGTCTGGGAAGTAAGTCCTCCTGGTTTGACTCCACCGATTCCCAGTTCAGAAGGAGAACAAATCCCTCTTTGGTCGACAGTCTTGCATTACCAGTCTCTTGACCATGCAAATGTAGCTATGATGGGTTGTGCGGTACGCATACTTGTATTAATTATCTACCGAGATCTACCTTGGAGTATGTCAACAACAACAGCAGAGCAGATTTCAACCCAACTATTCAAGGCTATCATCACCGTATGTCGAAGCCTGGACTATCAGTTTCAAGAAATAAACAAAGGAGCTAGCAGCCACAGCATGTTTTATCCCATAAAGGTGGCTTTGATAGCGACTATTTATGATTACCCAACAATTGGAAACTGGTTGAAGGGCATTTTGGATCATCTCTCAGATGGATTTGCAGCGAAATGGAGTGTGGCGACTCGAAATCTTCGTTGATTCCACCCGGGAATTTGGTACGACCCCGTCAGCAATCATCCGCGCCGACAGACCCTTTTTACCGAAGTTACCTCCCATCTAGCAACGGGATCTTCATTTTTCGAATGACTTGTACATATTAGCTGTAAGATAGCGCCGTTCCCTAACATTTATATCCAATCGTAAATAAAGTCAACACCTAAACACCAGGACTTAGAGCAGGTTCACAAGGGCTAGAGAGCACGCTGCAGACTCTAAAGCCATTCGCCCATGCCTGTGTAAGTTGGAGAAAACGCCACTTTCGTCAATCATGATTGGTATCGCCTCAAATTCTCGATGACAATATAATCCATCTTCTTCACTTTCTTAACGTCTTTGCGTTCCTCTTCAGCGAATTCCTCATAGCTCACCTCCCCTTGAGCCAGCTTTCTCTGTTTCTTCAGGGTGTCCTTTTTCTCTTTGGCTATCGTATGTGCTATCAGCTTCGCACTGAGTTTATCTAGCATCTTATCTTGCGGCACTGGGGCTGGCACATCGAGCGATAGAGGGGCTATGTACGGGGCTAGCGCCTGCATACGACGATCCCGCATGGAAACAGGATTCATCTGCATCTCCGCAGGACTGATTTGAAAAAAGGGCGTTAGCTCCTAGAAAAGTTCATATCCGACAGATATAATGGAATGAGTACTCACGCAAGCTCCGGCCAGCCCATTGGATATCCTACTAAGGCCGATACATCATCATTTTTGTACAATGACGCCTTCAATCCTCTTGGTTCGAAATACTCGCGATTGACAGTCGCAAGGTACCGCTTCGTGCGCGCCCTGATGGTAAGCTTGGATCCGGCAATAGCAGCCGCGTTCATGGATAGTCCAGCTGCTAGCGCCCAATGCCATGGTCTGGTGAAAGTATAGGGTTAGTATCGCAGGCGGCACGAAGTGTTCAACTTTCTCACATGAACCCGATTCCCGTCCCAACCAAGTTCAGAGCTTGCAGTGGCACCGGCTCCGTCTGTACGATGGTGAGATTATCGATAAATGCCGTGAATTCCTCAATATTCACATTGAGCTGCCGTAAAGCGGGACTATAGGCTCTCAAGAACGGTAACGGAGACGACATCATGCCGTGGACTGCCAGTCTTGGAATGACGATTGGTTTCTATTGAACGGATACTGTGGTTAGCGATCTATGAAATATTCGTCACTTGAAGCTATTGGCTCTCCTACCTCCAATCTCACGTTTCTCGACAGAATGTGCTCGTGGGGATTTTGGGGGATCCATTGAGTCGTTTGTTGGATGAAGTTTTTCTCTTCAAGCTGCTCTTGGCTTTCGGTATTGCTTTCGGCATGGAATTCGCTGTAGGGTGGCGGTTGCGGTTCTTGATGGTAATACGACATGTTGTTCTGGTATGAGTTTGTTGTGGAAACCATTTTTATTTTTGATCTTGTATCAGGACGGAAGAGGGGAAAGTGAGATAGGTGGACGACGTGAATATGCAGGATGTTGCTTGAAATTAGAAGATGGTTATATTCTGGCGGTATCTAGAATTGAGTTGATTGACTGCCGATACGTCTGGATGATAGTCACTTATATACACAGAGCTTGGCTCCTAGTTGTGTTGCTCAGCTCGCGGAGCCAGTCCCAACTCAGAATATTCCACGAAAGAACATGCACTGCCTACCAAAACCTTACATTTCACCCTTAGGCAGCGCATCAACAGCGCGAGCCCAGTCTTGATCTAGTATATCTCACGAACAAGCTCCTCAGCCCCATTGTGGATTTTTCAGTCATGGTGGCTCAAGCTATGCCCGATACGACCCATTCCACGAACTTGTTGGCCCGTGCGTTGTGTGGGGTCGGAAGCTAGTCCCGATACGGCACATTCTACGACTGTAGTAATCAATAGGGGATCAGATCCTACTCTATATCAGCCATCTGGAAAAAGACCTAGTGGTGTAGGTACGTACGTATGAGGCAATTAAAACTGAAGCCTAGATTTTAGTTAACATACTAGTGAAATTAGGCCAGAAATCGACTGATTGCATGCATAGTGCGTCTATTTCCACACCATGACTACAGTAATTTTATAAGCTTTCCGTAGATTAGACAGACCAGGATAGAAAACTATATAAAGCTGCCCGTGCCGATTTTTATTATGGGTATGATCAAGTTTTATCAGGTCTACAAATATCACGGAAACAGACAAGAGAAATCATGAAGGCACAATTTCTTTATACCGCATCGCTTCTTGGCTATATCTGCTCCTCTTTGGTGAATTCTGACGCAGGAAATATGAAACATATTTTTGCTAACATATACCTATAATAATAGAGCACAAACTTGCCGTCTACAGCTAGACGGCTATCTAGCAACCGAGACAATGGAACAACAATCGACCCCATGTACCAACTGAGCAAAGATCCCGATTTTCACTATGAAATTCTCCGACTCCTTGGATTTGCACCCTATGAAGGTTCTGATATCGGAGAAGTCCTTGTTGCGACCAACCAAATCAAGTATGCCGACATGGAAAGCTTTCATGACGCCTTTAATTCTCTCGCTACTCGAGTACTTAACACATCCACCACGATTGACGCTACCAAGAACCCCATATCTGCGAGAAACACTTTCTTCCGCGCCTCCAGCTACTTCCGCTCTGCTGACTTTTACCTCCATGGAAACTGGAGTGACCCACGCATCTACTCCCTGTGGGATAAACAGCTGGCAGCTTTCAATTCGGCCATTGCTCTACTTCCTGTCCCTGGGCAACGCGTTGTTTTGAATGGCTCTGGATTTGATATCCCAGCCATTTTCTATGGCACCGGGCTCCCTGGTCCACGCCCTACTATCATCATGTGTAATGGCTATGATGGCTCTCAGGAAGAGATGTATCATTTCATAGGCAAAGCAGTCGTCGAGCGTGGATGGAATCTCATCACATACGAAGGGCCTGGTCAGCCAACTGTTAGACGCGACCAGAACCTTGGGTTTATTCCTCAATGGGAACAGGTTCTCACCCCAGTCGTCGATTACGCCTTGACACGGCCCGAAGTCAATCCTTCAGCCATCGGGTCGTTGGGACTTTCATTCGGCGGATGGCTCGCACCCCGTGCAGCAGCATTTGAGCATAGAATTGCTGCAACCATGGCTCTTGATGGGCTTTATAATTTCGGGCCGTTTATCCTCAACCAGTTCGACCCTGAGCTTAAGGCTCTATTTGAGTCGGGCAATGCTACTGCCTTTAATTCCATTATCGATGGGATTCTCCAAGATCCTAGCACTAAGACCAGTATCCGCTGGGATATACAGCAGGGACTCTGGGCTTTCAATTGCAAGACTCCGTTTGAGTGGATGACTAATATCCAACCGTACACTCTCGAAGGGTTGACCAAGAATATCACCGCGCCTGTCTTTATCGGAAACTCTCAGAATGATATATTCTTCCCTGGTCAGGCTAAGCTACTTGCAGATCATCTCGGAGATTTAGCCACCTATCACCCTTTCACGAACGCAGAGGGTGCAGGTGAGCACTGCAGTACTGGGGCTCTTGTTTTACAGAGTCAGGTTGTATTTGACTGGTTTCAGAGCATTATTGACAACGCGTGAGCTGAGCACTCGACGGTGAGATATCAGGTACGGAGTATCCGAGACAGGAAATTATTGTTCTCGGTACTAGACTCGTTATTTGAAGAATGTGTGAAATCTGAGGATGAAGTGGGCAGAGTTCCATATTATGTAATTTTAGGTCTCGACTGATTCTACAACCAACCAGCTACGTTGATCCAAGACGTTTTAAGAGCTGAACCCCTGGTCAATTGCAAATCAGTCCGGCTAGTCTTAGAATCTGGAGTTATTTGGAACAATTCGTAATCAATCTAAAATTATCTTTACCAACAAGAATGATGTATCTACCAGTGCCAGTATGTTGGAATGAAAGCAATAGGCAAATGTTTATTGAGTGGGCCGAAAATCGACAATAAGAGAGCTAATTATCTGCAACGCCATTCAAGCTATCACGTATGGCGCAGAACTAGATAGGAATAGATTAGCAAGTCCCACTGTCAAGGGGCACGAGGCTGTCGTGTGTAGCTGAATATCATCTCAAAGCGGAGAGACCCCAGAGAGTCTGAAGGAATATTGAATTTGGATCTTGCAAGATGATATCTCTATTCAATAAGTTTCATGAAGCTGATGATACTTGTTTCAAGATATGCAAACTTCTCAAAAACACTACGGAAACTAATGCAAACTCCCAACCACCAGGAACGGATCGCCGGCAATGTGCATATTGGCTGTTTCTACCTGTCCGATATCCACCAAGTCCCTCGAGTCGAGGAAATTAGATATCATTTAGCATTCACTGTTTGCATGCTAATAATACATCACACCGTAATGCCTTTCCTCTGCTATATATTTTTCTGAGTCTTCTGTTTCTCGTGCTGCTTGGTAACGTGATTGTAATATCCCTCTCTTCTGCCATATATTCTTTTGATTCCCCTGTTTTTTCGTACGGCTTCTCAAGGTGACTGCAACATTCATTTTCAGAAATGGCTCTCATTGCACCGAGAACGGTGGTCCCAACAGAAACAACCAGCAGCTCATATCCAGCGGAAACTAACACCAATGTTGTCCCTTCGCGGCTACCTCTCGTCTCGGTGTTTACACCGGATGTGCACTGCTCTTACACTGATTAATATCCGATTTCCTCAAGTTCATCGGAGAAAATTAGCGCCGCATTCTGCGGAATTGGAATTGGATCAAGCTATGTCCCATGTGTGCCTGCAGAAGTTGCAAGTTGGTATAAAAATCGATCACTGACACTTAAAAACTCGAGACAGACAAATAGTCTCGCCATAGTGACCAGCTTAATGCCTCTTAAATGTCCACAAGGATGGTCTACGCCTCTCACATCCATGATTTAGTCAACGAGTATGCAAGTGGCGTGTTACCCGATGTAAGTTATATGAGCCATATAGGCATTCTATGAGAGCTAAACTTCGCTGTTAGTCATTGCGATTACTAGGGGCTACACCGCGAATCCCATTCTCGATTACAAAATGGAGATGAATTGTGCCTGTATTACAACTCCGGGGAAAGCAAACCATCACACTCCTACATCGAGTATTGATGAAACATAGACAGACAGTACTTATAAATTGGGTAGCTGTTGTGATAAAAGGCTGGAATATCGAACCAAACTCCTCGCACCGACCCTCCTCCCAACACAAACAACACCTCTTTCCTCATCGCCGACGACGACGTCTGCAACGAACCAGTTCGACATCTGGAGCTTCTATTTATGCCTCAGTTTTAGGCGGCCTCACTGGAATAATCTTGCTTGAAATTGGTATTTCCCTTAAATTGCGATGGCGAAAGGCGATACGAAAGCAAACGAACAGCGAGGAGGCGACTCTGGGTCTACTCCTGTACCTACTCACTATGTCTATTCTGCAATTCTCTAACATAGGACAGAAATTAGAGCAGGAGACGTGGCAGAGTTGGGGATAGCAGAAGTAGTGGAGTTAGAGGGGGGGGGGCCAGAAGTGGCTGAATTACCGGCGACAGAATTGGTGGAGTTGGAGGCAGATATAGAGAGACCCAATACCTCCTTCATATCGAAAACTTTCTTCGATTATTTATACCCTACTACCAAGGCACATGAGTAAGTTCCAGTATTTTTCGATCTTTCATCAAAATCAGTTTATTTTATTTATAACATATTTTAAGATACTAAACTTTCATAGGTTGATTTACCTATCAAATGTGCATGCTGTCTTTCACAGGAAAAATATAAATAAATTTATATTATATACTATATTAAACCAACTATTTCTAGTATAGATCGCAAACTTTCTGTAGAAGTGAAGTAGAATTAAAGAAGAGAAAGTGTTTAAAATAAAGAAGGTTTCAGATTTTATATCTGATTTTTAATATATAATTATACAGCTTCAAGACTACTTATGCCCAGAGGATTTATCACCGACTCTGCAGTTTGTTCTGATAACACCTCGTGAGGTAATCAGCCTCATTATTAAAGAGAGCATTCTAATTTTTATTAGTCTATTTAAATTTACAACATGAGTTTTGAAAACGTAATAACTATAACCAATGTACTTCATACTATTATAAGATAACATTGAAACCGAAAATGATCACACCATATAGCATTTCTAGCCGGCCAGGTATTTTAACCCTCATCAATTCTTGCGCAACAAAAATTTCAATATATAACTAAAAGCAACATGGTTAAGAAAATAAACACACTCAGATGCAAGAATAAAACACAATAATGGACTGATTGCATCTTACAATTCTTGTCAACCTTGCTAGTGCTCCTCTACCCTCAATTTTATGTCACACACAAACTGCTCCGCCAAGCCAGAGATGAAGCTGACAACATGTGAGTGCCATAAAAATCCAAAAATCACATTTCAGCAGCTCAAAATAGAATTTTCTTAGCTATTTTAAGATCCGCGACTTCTTTCTTTAGCCGACGTCGTTTGCGCTTGAGTACGGCTTCTTCGCCAGCAATTTCTTCTAGCTGTTCTGTTGTAAGATGGCCCACGAAAGATGAAGAAAATAGCCTCATAGGGGTCTCCGGGCCAGTCACGAGGTGATAGTCCACGGCCTGCATACAAACGTTGTCAACAAATCGCTTGCGCGCCACTTTGTAATAGGATTCAAGAATATCATGGATGGTCTGCACGGCATGTGTTTCATTGCTCAGGTGAGTTTTGTCGGTAATATCGCTGACCCGGACAAATTTCTCATGTTCAGAATCTTCGAATATCTTTTGTGTTATGCGAGACATGGACCGCTGTTGCTGGCTGTAGCAAGGTTAGCGAAGCACATACACGGAGAGAAAGAGAGTTCAGTCAAATTACCATTTCCTCAGAGTGTCATTCAGGTAATGGTTCTGTGTCATTGGAGTACCTGATCGCTCGACATCGAGAAGAAAGCGTACTTTGTCGATGGATTGTTTATATCTCTCCAGAAGCTTATCCATCAGAATAGACAATAAGTTCTGGCAGACTCGAGTATCGGGACAGGCAAGACCCAACACCTTTAAAATGAATTGGTGGACCATGGTAATAACGTCACTGATATAGCCATGACTAATAGACGTCCACTTGTCTGACTGTTGTTTCATAATTGTGGAGAGCAGAGTGGGATTAAACGTCCCGATCTCGAATCCCCGTGATCTACGATATTGTCTTTCTATCCAGATATAAATATCGCTGCTTAGTGGCTCACACACCTCACCGTCGCCTGGTTCAAGAACAATATCTTCTAAGTCAGGAAGATCATCAAGCTCCCTGGTCCGCAAAACGTTTCCGGTTTTGGGCCTCTCCTTATTCTTAAAGTTAGCAATGGGAGCCTCGGTATCACTATTGCCACCCTCCTTGATTCCAAAATGGTATTTATGCCCCCACTGGGCTATTTTTTTGGAGAAACTTTCATTCCTGTTGACAATTCTTGTCGCGAATCGGAGCTGATCATCCTTCTCAAATTGATCGTATGAGCTATAGTTTGTACCCAGAGCCTGTCGCGTAATGTCATTGAACAAGTTCATGACATTAAGCAGATATCTTATTTGTTGCTCTGATGTCTCACGTTCTCCCCCGAGGGCTTCAAGCTGATCTTGACATGTCCGTAGCTTTCTGCTAATCTCAGCACGCACCTCGATCAAAATAGTCAGTGACAATCTTTATGCTGCAATGAAGGATAAGTGTACCGATGGGAATGCTCGTCTGGCATTCGCAGTCACAGTCTCCTGAAGACGTGATTTCAAAGCCTCAATGCCGAATCGGTCTTTTCCGAGATTGTTCCACGGGGAGACTTGAAGGAGCTTCGCTTCCGCTCCATCTCGATCTACATTCTGTTCCTGGACTTCCTTCTGGCCCAAATTGCGAACCACGATCCAACCCAACTTTATATTTATCTCCTTGCCCTCCACGAGATCAATCACCTTGCTTTCCGCTCCTGGATCAACCAAATCTGGTTTCGTGAGAACGCCCAAGGTCCTTTCACCTTCCGGGTCCACTTCTTGAGCTAATTCAATAATCTCTTGTGTGACAATATCAACGTTGGCTGGCACAACGGCAAGCATGATCGAGCGCGGGTTTTGCATGTATCTCAAAACCATCTCTCGCACCATAGTTATGTCTTTCGGAGTGGTTACTCCCATAGTGGTCGTTCGAAAGATGCCAGGCACGTCAATCACACTGAGATGATCTTCATCGGGCCCACAAATTTCTAGCCGCAGGACGCTATCAGAAAACGTTGGTAATCCATCTTCCTTGGAGGTAGAAAGTCCCATGTGGGCGTGAACCTGTTCAATGGGATTGCTGAGCTTTGAATTGACAATTTTGATAACAATATTCAACTCCAAGAACTCACCTCTGACATCATACGTGAGAATCTGTCGACACTCAAAGTCTGTAAATCTTCCATCTTCCAGTCTCGAAGCTGAACTGCACGTGCGTTCTCAACCGTAGGCCCAGGAATAATAGATGCCTTAATGCTTCTTTGTACATTCTCGACCCGGCGGAAAATGATCTGAGTCGCAAATCTCGTGCAAAGGCCGCTATCCCGAGGAAACGCTAGCTTCGTCAAGCCTTCCAAGACGGAACTTTTGCCACTCGACTGATCTCCGACGACAACAAGTTGTGGAAGATTGATATATTCGCCGACATTACAGGCGAATGACTTATCAATCTTATCCAGCAATGCAGGATCTGCAAGCGATTGACCATCTTTCAGGTTAAGTGTCGCCATGTTGGTCGCAGTGGAATGAAATGAACGAATTCAAAGAGATGAGAGGAGGTTTTGGTTTTGGTTTTGGTGTTAGAGAAATCAAATAAATAGAGGAACATAAACTGAAATAGTATTAGGATGCGGAGGTAAGGGCTCAGACACTATCTACTTAGGGCTGAGGCTCAGTTTTTATCGACTGGGCTTCATACAGCTTTTGGTCAAAATCCATGAATGTGTCTGGTCAAAACTGAGTACTCAAAGAAATGTGACTGATACAAGGTGGCGCATATAAATTCCGCTCTCTTGCTTACTTTTTTAAGCCCCGCTGTTTTGTTTCCACAAAACCAGGAACAGGCTGAAGAAACAATATGTCTTTTGCGGGTATCTTCCTACCACACCGTGACAAATAAGGCATGGAAACGAAAAAGTAAACGACAGTCTGCTTAGTTTGTGCGGCGGACTTACTAGAAGAAGTTGCCATTTTCCAGTATCGTCATCCATGCAGTCAACTTGTCATATGCGGTTAAGTTCCCGAGTTTTGGATCGGTAGATAAGCGGTGAAGCTACATCATCCTTGATCGTTCAATCCTTCGCCAATACCCTGCGGAGATGCTACCACCAGAATGATGTGATTATTGTGAAGCTTGAAAGGTCAAGGCACCGAGGCTTGTACTGGATGGGGAATTGAAAACTTGTTGTACGCATTTCTTCGATTCGCCTAGCTAAGAATCCTTCCATGTTGTACACACAGCTTAAAAATTAAAGTGGCCACATTACTCAACTTCTAGAACCCTGGGCTTTTGATTGTGTTGAGAAGCTATTGAATTTCAAAATAGTACCCGAAGCGATGCCCAATCTCTTCTCACCCAATGTCGTCTAGTAGTCTATATTTGAGGACCGATATTTGATACATATGTAGCAACTTTAACGTTGAGGTTGGAAAAATTGCATTTCCAAAAGTTATCATTTAGTATTAGGCTGCGATTCTTCAAATTAGCCAGAGACCATATTGCTTGGCAGCAGTCGTTAGGAGATGGCGAAAAGAAAGGAAGATTATTGAAACTGCTATCTATGAAATCAACTACCATTGCCTGTAAACTTTTTGTATTATTGCTTTGACCAAATTAGTCTGTGCATCATACGCTTACATGTGGTTACTAGGCACTTTGCTGCTTCAGAAAAAAAGAAACGGTCGGTCTACAGGGAGGCTAGATATCTGAAATTTCAGACGGGGGGGGGGGGGGGGGGGGGTAACAAATTAATTAAGATTTCAACATACGAATAACTCCATCACCATGCAATACATTGATAATAAAGTATGAAAACGAGAATTCAGGAAAAGGATATTTCTCGTACTTTGCAAAAATTTCTACATAATGGCAAATAAGTTGACTATCAGTTGGAACGAGAGGGTTCACAACTATTGGTACTGGCACTATTGAATGCATTTATGCTAGTTAAATGAAACGGAAAAGGAGAAACGGGGGGACACTTTTGTACACAGTAAAGATTTTCAAGTTGACCAATTCATTTATTCACTCCTTAAGCTTAATGTACCTCTGGTAATATCAATCATCCATGAAAAAATTTTGTGCAGTCGACTGCAAGGAAAAGAAGAGACTTTTCGTAGCTGATGAAGAAAATGCGAAGAGCAGAAAGCTCTCACGTAAATGGCGTAAATGGCATAAATGGCACCTGAAGGCTCATATCTACAACAGTTCCAGATTAAGGACTGCATCCATATAGAACGCTAATGACAACACTTGAATTTGAATGGTTCCGGCATTATATTACTATGTGAGGTTCCAGCTACTCTTAGGACCCAGATATAATACTCATAAACACTTTTTTGTACCTATCAAACAACTTGAAAATCTAAGACAATTATAGCTGCTTTGATCAGCAGGAATTGGGTATCAATGAATGTTTTCTCGCATCATCAGCTATCATAGTGGTGACAGGCTTGAATTTCTGCGTATGTTTTCGTGTCCGCATGCGCAAAATCTCACCATCTTTAAAATTAAGATTCAGTTAATAACATGATGGAAAACGGGGATTAAAAGAGGAAAACAACTCACGAGAAACTTTCGGTATGTAGATACACCTCTTTCCTTCTAGAGGAGTCCTTGAGCAAACGCACTTGCTCTTGAGATACAATGTTACGAGCATCGTGTAACATTGAGTTGGGCCCACAGACAACGACAGCTACTCCACCATTTGTTGCTAAGCTAGCAGACGAGATGACATTTCTAAGGTTTGGGCGTTCCCCATTCTCATGTATCTGTATATGAGAAGAGGAATTATTCTCATTGTCACTTGAGAGCGAGTTTGATGAGTCTCTTTTTGTAATATTCTTCTCTTGGTCAGTTGTGGCAGCATCGGCGGCATCTAGATGCGTTGCTGATTTTGATATTGGTTCCGTAGATGTAACGTGAATTGATGCTTCTACCTGGCAACCAATAGGTTTTCCGTTACCTAGAGCCAAAGTGAATATTTCTTCGAGCTTTTCCTTATACCAATATGCCACTGCTTTGTGGCGAGTTGCATAAACGACTTGGATTGTTTTCGCTGTGTCGCTGATTGTCATGGTGAGTTGATGTCGAACCAAATCCTCTATAAGCCCAAGAGAGAAGCCAGCTCCAGAGCCACCAGATATGACGAGGGAACGATCGAAATTTGTAGAAAGAAATGAATTGTTGACACCACTATACGGTCCTTCCAAAAATACCCGGACCCTAATGTGCGGTTTTCCTTCGGCAAATTTCGCAATACGTGCGGTAAAGCCTCGGCCGTGTGGCTTAATGTAGAACTTCATTTCTGATGGATGTCCACAAACCTCTGTCTTATGTGGTACTGAAGAGATTGTGAAGGGATGTGCGGTCAGACTGTGTAGACCTAATGCTAGGAATCGCAGAAAGACGTGTTGGCCAGGTCTCCAGGATGTGACTGTAGGAATAACTATTTCAATCAATCCACAAGGAAGAAGAGAAATTTTGGCCGTATGAAGACCGCTAAAGAGATATGTTTTGGTCCAGGCATAGAGCAGGGAGAATATGTAGATTGTTCCGGTGGCAATAAAGTAATCCCTGAGCTCATTAGATGTAGTCTAAGAAATAGGAAGTATAAAAAATACCAGGATGTCAGTCTGAAGTCGCAATGGATGAAGAAGAAAAATATGAATAATATCGAGACAGTAATGTGAGTAGACTTGAAAAATTCGTAGTAGCGGTTGCTTATTTAAGTCAGTGTCCTGTTTATCCAGAAGACTTGACAGTGCTTACCGAATCCAAGGTAAAGACATAAATGTCAGATATGCCTGGGGAATTAAAGCAGCCACGCCCGTCCAATACGTAACTGATGTTTGCCATTGCATGACCATGTCGCCTTTCTGGATGTGGTAGACAATAAATGGGAACGTATGTATAAGAGCCAAGACAAACATTGCATAGCTTGTCCAGTGGTGGAACACCTACATATTTTGAGGTTAATTATGGAATGATTGAAAATCCAGCATATCCTACCTGGAGCTTCTCATATGGAATCCCAGTCACTGCAGAAATCAAGTTTGCTTTTGCCGATAGCGCCCTATCTCTCCTGGATTAAAACACTTGTTCGAGCAAGACCGAAACGGGTATCATACAGTACAAAAGGGAGCAGTCCAAGGGCCATCCACCCTGTCCTGGTAGCAATTGGCGGGCTGTTTCCGTAGTTCAAAGTACTGGTATTTGGCCAGTAGTAGGGTTTCGGGCCAAGTGTCAATGCTAGCAATTGTTTGTTAATCTAAGGTTATAAGCAATGCCAAAGACAGAGATGAACAAACCGGCAAAATAAATCACTCCGGCCAGGATCAGCAGACTAAGACCAAGGCTCGCGCTGGGGAGAAACGGAATCTTCCGATGCTCTCCTGCGATGCTGTATGATAAATAACGAAAACCAGTACGTAGCCTTTTAGCAAATCCAGTATTCGATAACCAGGCGGGACCGTATTTTGACAACGTATGGACAACTGCAAAGACACCAATGACGGCGCACATGAAATAAACCGCAGCTAAGGCATAGACATGATCTGCTTGGTACCTACAAGAAGTAAGATTCCAATATTCAATCATCTTTCCTTTTGAAGGGGATAGATGGCCTTACCAATATCGCCAGTGGCCACTCCGATATTCGCACTGTTGAGGAGTGAGTTTGCATGTATCCGCTCGAGATGAATGCAGCATCACTGGTGAGTCTAGCCATGGCAGGCCGGAAGTGTCCATGTCGGAATCCATGTTGGCTGGTCGTTCCTGTGACTTAGATACTAGTCTAACACCAGAGTAAAATACTCAATGTATCCTCAAAGCCACAGGGAATATGGATCTTTAAAAAGAAAACGTCTCTGCTAACCAATCGAGTTGGCTAACTAACTGCCGGGTAGGGCCGATTGCCAATGGGACTGTTAGAATGGTAATTGGATGCATCTGACAGGTGGCCGGTGCTGCGCCTACCTTACCGTGCGAGCCCTAACTCGTGATTAAATGGGAAAAACAGTCATATGAGGCGGGGAAGAAGGATGAAGTTGAAAATATCTGGCGGTTGATGCATGACAGATTGCTCTACTGGGCCTGCCAAGCCGTTGCAGAGAAGAATTGAGCACATTTCTTGACACGCTAGTCCGGAAGTGGGATATTTGCCCTATGGGGCCCACCTGCCTGAAGCGGACCTCCAGCACTCTAGTTCTTCTACGCTGCAATTAGTGATGTGAACCTAAGATTGTATTAGTTTTTCCTATTGTATACTTTGTGTTGTCAAATTTATATTGGACAATGGGGAAGCCGATTGAAGGATCTCGAGATTGTAGAATGTTGACTTGTGGTTGGTTGGATATAGGCGAGTGAAAATGAAATTAAAGAGAATATTGATATTGAAAAGGAATTCTGTCACCGCTAGGTCTTGTCTGTGGATCTAGATTGTTTCCTCTATGAGCACATTTGAGCCAGCATACTATGGTTTCATTGTGATTTCATGTAGGCCCGACGTTTTATCTTTCTCGGGGGTGCTAAATTGAATCTTTAATCTAAAAAGTACAGCCGTGGTACTTACTGTATCACTTAAACTTATTAGTGTCAATAGAGACCATCCGAAATTAGCCGCAAAATAGTGATAATCTGTACAATTATTTAAATGATAATAAATGTGAAGACCCTAGACCCAGGCGACTCTCGCTAACAGCAGACCATAAACAAGCCCTTCAAAGTGTGTCCATAATTATTTACAGTTTTTTTTTTTTTTTTCTTCAAAAAGGCCAACCTCCCTCTTTAAGTCCCAGATGTGTTTGGTTAACTCCTATCTACCCCTAGACAGCCCTGTATCCAGTCTGATATTCTACAAAACGATATTATGAATACCTGCTCATCGGACGGGCAGCAGCACTCGCCGATTCCCAACCCTACGAATCATCTAATTAGCCTAGGGAAACAGAGCAGATATGAAGTATCAACTGAGCCATATATTAGAATATGCTGCAGCAGTAAGCTCCTTTCAACCACGAAAGCAATAGCCTCGTATATGATGTTCGAAAAACGAAGATTGTATCCCTGAGATTGTCCAGAGACCAAATGCCGTTCAAGACGTCGAGAGATGGGATATGACGTCGGGACAGCATTTCCGAAGTAGCCCTTCCTCTCCATACTCGTGTTTATAATCACGGACAAACGCAGTTTTATACGAATCTCCAGGTCTCGCAGTACAGGGGGATAATAACGTCCCACCTCCCCATATACTTCAATCTTCCAATATCCCATTTCAAATAGCAATAATATTTTCTCATCCATCGTATCCGCAACCCGCTAACCAGGGCACCCCCCCTCCTCTCGAGTCCCGTCTGCTTTCTATCCGGTCTAGACTCGTCCAGTAGTAACAGCCGTAATTAAGGGTTATCAATCGCGTCGCGGTTTATGAACTCCTGATCCGTGTGTCGTCGGTTTCTGTATAATATTCCTCGTTGATCTGAAGGTAGCGTGGATAGGTCGGATGCTACGCGTTGAAACGTATCAAGAAACGATGTATGCAGAAATAGAGTTGAGGGTTGGTGAGGGTATATTTAGAGTTATACGGTTTCAAGGTAATGAGGATAGATGTAGGTATGATAGAAAGCTGGCTTCAGCTAATATTGACCGCACAAAATCGTATATATCGTACAGCGTCATTCTCTTAAGACATACAAAGATATCCAACAACCGCCCATGGAAAGCTGAACACCTAGCCAGACCAAAACCAAACCAAAAACAAAAACATACACAAAAACCAGCCCAAAAACAGACGTAATAACTCCAACCAAATCCAAAACAAATACTTCCTGGGAATCGCTGGTCGTGCAAATAGGGAATCTCAAAATCCATAATCAAGTGGAATAGAGTGGAAAGAAAACAAAAAAACGAAACATATGCAACACGCCAGACTGCGCCTCTTTTATAGCATATCGTGATATTCGTCCCTCCCTCGTCATGTACTCTCAGGGTCGTATGTATTATGACAGATATTTATGTACCAGAATAGCAGAATAGAAAAGATTAGCAAACGTCTTCGGCAGCGAAATAGCGTTTGCTTCGATTGCGGGCTGCCATGAATTTGTAGTCAACTGGCATATGTGTGTGATGGACCACGTGTGGTCGGTAGACTGCGTCGACTGGCGCTTGCCAGTCATCTACGCTCAGGGGAAAGTACTCGTATAGCAAATCCGCGGTTTCTCCCGAGTATGGCACTGAAGTTGGATATGAAGATGGCGCCGCGTGGAAAGGCTGTTGCATCGGGGCCGAGTTTGTATGAAGTAACGGCAGGTTCGCCGAAGACGAACGCACCGGTCGAGGACGTGAGATGGCCGTCGGGGCCATCTTTTGTATCTTAGCCGGCGGAGCGCCGGCGGCATCAGGGCTGGACCGCTTCTGACCAGCGAGAGGGAGATGGTTAGAACTGTTTTCACGCGATGTCGCAGGGCGTTGTGAGTCTCCTTGTTTCAAGGGCGTTTTGAAGTCCTCGTCTGCCAGAGATAAGTTGATCGGTGGTGTACCCACCGCGTTCGGTCGGTGTTCCGTGCTGCGAGTCACACTCGGACTGGATTGGGGATAGGCGGGGATTCCATGAGATGGAGCGAATGTAGGCGTGGCCATCGCGCTGGTGGTGACCGCAGCCGGGATATGAGTCCAGTCGGCAAAGGGAGGAGAAGAGGTCGATGGTGGCTGCGGAATGCCTGCAGCATCAAAGGGGTATATTTGAGACATCTCCGACGGGGATGTGGTATTTGCTTTGGCGGCGGCTGCGGCGGCAGCCTTTGCCTGAGCCTCGGCGGCATTTCGAGCAGCAGCTTGCTGGTTCTTTCGCGACGAAGCAGCGCTTCCGCTCAGAGGAAGATCTTTGCGCGACTGGAAATTGCGTGGGCTACGACCACGGACGATGACGGGGCCCGAATGGACTTCGCAAATGGGGATTTTGGCACCAGTAGACAAGGTCGCGACAACCTTGAGGCGGACGACGAAATGCTGTTGCAACTCCTTACGGCGGCCGTTGTTAGCAGTTGCAATACGGAATTGCAAGCGCTTCCACGCGATGGGGAAGGTAGCGTAGTCTGAGTCCATATCTTGTCCGGCAGCCATGGTGTCCAAGGGAATCGAAGGTGGCTCTTTCTCGGCCTTTTCCTCTGGCGTTGGAGGAGGTGCGGCACCACTACCATTGGCAGCAGCGGCTGCTGGGGTCTTCCAGGGGACGGAAATGATCTTGACTGGGTTTCCCTCAACGGATTCCGTGGCAGAGACGGTCAACTCTTGGGCGAGGATGGGAATGCGATCTCCCTGTTCGGTCATGATGTAGCGCAGGCTGCGGGGAAGGGTGACGGAGCCAGTAATCTGGAACAGATTTCGGCGGTAGCAGGTGAGCTCAGCGATCTGGGGAGGGGGCACCTCGGTGGGAGAATTCGTCCAGGGAGACTCGGCTAGGAAGAACATGCCATGCAATTGAGCAGACACGTTGAGCGAGGTGCGGCGGAGAGAGTAGTCAAGCAAGGTGAAGCCGTACACCGGGAGGGAGAAGGAAAGCAGTTTGTGGTTGGTGTCAATCGAATCGGCGTTTTGTTCGGTAGGGACGGACTCGAAAGGAGGAGCAAGCATGTCTGGCGGCGGGGGAAAGGCGTCGTCGTAGGAGTTGAAGCGGCGCAATTGAGGCATATTAGCCTGGGAGAAGCTCATATCGTCGCCACTATTTTATTAGTTTTAACTAAAGAAAAGGGAATCGACGAGAAAAGCATACCTGATAAAAGTTTCAGCGTCAAAGTTTGACCGCTGGTCGTGCAGGTCCATGCCAGGCATGGAGCTGAGATAATCGGTGCCCTGCATATTTCCTAGGGGAATAGGACTGGCCAGATATGGCATGGCCATGGTATCAAAACCCGGCTCCATGGTGGGTAAAGAAAAGCGGGATGATCACCGCGGCGGAAGTGCGTGAAATTTGGAGGTTGGAGGTGAGCGGGTTGTAGACGCAAGGCGGAAGCTCGGTCAATAAGACAGCAAACAATTTTGCGCACAAGTCAGCCGATATTCCGCAGCGTGATCATGGACGTCGAATCGAATATAATAAGAAGCAGAACAATCTTGCGGTCTCTCCTTTTGCGGTTGCGTAGAATAGGTGGATGTCTGCACACGTCGGACCGAAGACGGCGATGGGAGCGGGGGAGATATGTATAAGAGGAGGAGCGAAGAGGGAAGGAGGGTGAAGAGGTGAAGAGGAAGGAAGATAGGTCAGATGAAGAGGATATTGGACGGGGGTGAGGGACAGCCAAATAAGAGAGGGAGAGGGAGAGAGGGGAGCGGGAAGTAATTATGTAGGTCGGTCCGTCCGTATAGCGCATGTACACTGATGTATGCCAGAGCAGCATGAATAATCTCTCCAGCGAGGCAGGAAGGCTATCATGAGAGCAGCGAGATCAGAGAGGGTTAGTACGGACTTAGTGATTCGGTGCTGACCCAAGCCGCGAGTGGCCCAAATTCCGCAAGTGGGGCCCGGGCTAGTGCATATTATTGTTGTTATTGTTAGGGGGGCCCGGTGGGGGTGGGATGGGCCCACTGCTAAACCTGGTTAGGCCGCAGCCAGGCATGTGGCCGGACGCGATGGGCACTAGGCCCAGTCAGGCCTAGTGATGGCTGCTCGCAGCATACGGCGTCCTCCGGCAGGCGCACTAAGCTGGCAGATCAGGGCTAGCGTGAGTCCAGGCTGGCGCTAGCCCGGCGGTGGGGCCGCGATGCGGGCGGCGCATTGGCTGGGCTTGGGGCGCTGGACGCGGGCGGCGGACCCACCAGGTCAGCCGTACTGTAATACTCTTACGGTAATACATACCTTATCCCCTATATCTGTGTATGTACTCGGTACACTCCCTCCAAGAGATAATGTACTCCGTAAATATTGTGCTGATCCGGAGACGAGCGGCCGGTGGGCCTCCTCACTGCTGTTCCCAGTTAGCCTGTTAGACCAGTGGCTGCAATCCCCCAGCTCATTTCCAGCCCAGCAATCACGCTGCTACGACCAGTCCGTCTGCTAATTACAGGTATCGCCGGCTCGCCAATGACGGCCTGCTGCTTGCGAGCTGCCTCAACAATAATGAATATGGTTGTGTCCTAACATCAATGAACAATGAACAAGGTACCACCATCCGACCATCTAGAGCTGGCGGAATAATGTTTCAACTTCGTCTTCTTTCATTTCTTTTGTCAAAAAAGGGGAAGCCCCCAAACAAGGCTGAGCCTGCCAGCGCTGGCTGACCAACGCAAGATCTTCAGTGCAAGAATAGCCACAACGCCAGCATACCGCGAAGGAGCTAGCTCGACCGTTATTGACCCTGTTCAGTGCAAAACCTCCGTAGATAATCATCGCATAGCATTAATATTAGTATATTATTATACGATAATAGAGGGCTCAAGAGTATCAGAATCAGTGGGTCCTCCCAGCACTGTCGGCGCTGGAGACTCCGTGTCTGCTCTACATCAATGCATGATCATCATCAGCTGCGTTCCTGTTTTAGAACGGACGTCGTCTATGCTCGTCTACGCCTAGTCAGTAGTAAGAACTATCTGGACTATTTGATGCGTTCGTCCCAACACAACAGTGGACCGACCGCACCGGGCCAGGGGCCAGAATGAAGGTTAATTTATTTTTATTTTTATTTTCATTTGTTTTATCTGTTGATTTATTGTTCTAGATGATTATTCTGTTCAGGCCTAAGGTCAGCATTGTGGCAATTAGTTGTTGCGCGCGACTTGCGCTTTCATCATCGCCACATACGAATGCGAATGTTGATGCGCTGCAAGATAGTGGGTAAGGACGACATAATTAAACAATGCAGACAAATAATATTCACAAGTGCCAGAAGTACTATGCTGGAGTCGATAACGGAGCGTACAAACAAGCGACGTCCGGGAGCGCGGATCAGCCAGGTACCCGTCCTCTCCTTCCGTTCTGGTCTGTCCTTCCTTTCGTAGATACGGATCAAAGTTAAACTCAGTTTGTACTGTACATCATCGCCATTTGCACATCCGTACCGAGTGGGAAGCTGGGAACTGCATGGCGGCTGCTACAGGCTACAGATCTTGATAAACACGCATGAATGCGATTGGTAACCAGAGGATCTTCAGGGTCAGCGAGGCACGTCATTCGCTATCGATATGATTACGAGGAAATCGTCGACCGTTCGAGGGCGGTCTGACAGGACGATCAAGAGGCGAGACCCTGGTCAATCACGGATGCCCCTCCTCCACAGACCTTCAAAGTTCAGCACCAGACACCACTGGCAGACAGCCACTCACGTCGTCGGCTGCTCCTCCAGCGAGGGGCAATATCGCGGTATTAAAGCCGAGCAGGGAGGCAAAGGAAGAAGCAAATCCGATGATCGTCTATGCAACAATACAGACCTGCACCTGGGTTTCGCTACAAGAGGAATACACGAGCGGGGTCAATCGCTCGTCGGCGCAACTAAGAAACGCTATTCAAATTTCATGTCTTGAATTCGTGATAAGGACTCCACTGAACTGGCGGTGGCGACGTTGGTTCCATCCCACTTCCAACATGAAGCTGCCTCTTATTAGCAGAAGTCACGACTGAAACTCATAACCAACATGATAACCAACATGATAACATAAAATCTAGCAGAAGTCACAGCTGAAACTTATAACCAACATGATAACTTAAATTCTGCCAGCTGTCACGACAGGCTATAAGGACGCAAAAACTGCCGCGGAGAGTGCCGGTTAGTATACAGAACAGTACTGTCCAGACAGGCGTAGAGGGAATCCTTAGCGGGCCCCAACAAGGAAGGTGAGGGGGCTAGCGGCACTGGCCAAGCCTATTCAAGCCTCAGCCAGCCCGAGCCAGTCTCCTGGTCAGCCAACAGTGTTCAACAGACTGTCGGCGCTAGCCGCTATGGGCCTGGCCAGAATGCTAATCATCTGCAGCACTTGCAGCCTTCTATGGCTCTAGAAGGAGCTAAAACGGCCTCTTTATTGAGACTTCCTGCGGGATCCTCCTCCTCCCAACTTGCAAGCGTATCTGCCTCCTACGGGGCTTTTTGCTAGAATTCTCTAGCGGGGGACCAAAATCCATGCATCCTTCTAGAAGCCGAAGAGAGATGGGGGGATCTGGTCAGCGCGACCATGGACGAGTCTCTGGCCCTACCCCTTTTTTTCGACTCTCAGAAAGGGGATCGTGATCTTAAACCGGTGCCAGCAAATGATCTCACGATATCAGTTAAAAGGAAAGAGCAATGTCCAGGGTAAGCGCAGTGATCAGTGCTCTCTCTCCACAAATCCAGCGCGAGAGAGAGGCTGTCGCAACGGAGGTGCAGCCCAATCGAGCCTAGCGATCCGAAACGAGGATCGAGCAAGTGGCAGCCACTGGCAGGTGTAAAAATAAGTTGGTGGACTTGACTCTTTTAGGCAGGCGGGGAGGAATCAAACCCCCGCATGCCTAATTTGCGCCAGCCAATTGCTGTGTCTATCTCCGACGCGGGCAAATCACCGATTGTCGACACCCACCAGTCATGAGGTCGTACGAGCTCGTCCGAGCCAGGTCCAGATGCGCTAGGCTTCATTGGTCGTTTACCTCCGACGAGGCGATCAGAGTGGCCAGCGAGCGATGCGCTAGCCTAGGGTAGGTAAGATGTCAATTAGAACCGGGGGCGGCGGTCTAAGACTCTAAGCGTAAATCTCGGTTCGGCCGACGACATACTCGTTATGTACAAGACGCGATCCTTCCAGAAGCACTGATCAGAGAGGGTTCTGCGCTTGACTCAGAAACGGGCTCAGTCTCATACTGTGAGGAGCAGGAGCTCAGGAGGAGGGATAGCTTAAAGCCTACTCAAATTCATTCATTCATTGGAGTATACTCTACTGGTCGATCCTAGTTACATCGCATTTTCTATACGCATTCGGATATAATTTGACCGCCGACGGCTTCGTACCTGCTCGATATTAGCGGATAAAATAGGATCCGGCGCTTGCCTGCATTTCGCATAGCGTCTTGGCATGGCTTTAGCAACGCACCAATGACGGTTATTCGCGGAATTCCGGGCCGTTATCTCAATACAATATATACTTTATATTGGCTCGACAGTTTGAGCAGGTGCTTGTTGATATTGATTGTGATGAACATGATAAGGTTCGAGACCCTCGCAGATGATACCATAACAGGCTGTCCTTGTATGTTCTCATGTATGCTGTATTATGCTGTATCATGCCAGATGTATGTATTGTACCTGTACCTACCGCAACAAGCACGACAGTTGGTGGCTTATCTTAGGGCCGATCATTGCCTACCCCAGTAATGTCATGCCGACATTTCTCCCCCCTCTCTTCTTCACTGAACCTGAAATGAACGAACTGAACCAGACTTTCCTCCAAAGCCTCGATGTCTGATTCGATCGCTCAATTGCCTGCATGCAGAGAGTAATGAGCAAACGAATAATCCTAGCGAACCACAGCGGCGGGAGAAGCTGTCAGCTGGCAACATCATCTGTTATCACCATCTCAATCTGTGTGTTCAGGGTTGATTGGATTGCGGTGATAGATGATCATGGTCAATGCCGAATCCAGCGCGATTGACAGTGATCGATGACATGGATGCGGCTCCTGACGTGATCAAAGATGCTGTTGTTGAGCAGCGAGCACAGCAAGATACGATACAGAGGCGGTAATGGCCGGCATAAGCCGCACGGGCATCATCACCGCAAGCACAGCCGGATACGGTTAGTCAAGCATTATTACTAGGGCTCACTAGCAGATGCACTACGCACCCGATCTGGTTAGCGCAGCAGTATCACATTGCGCGCATGAGATATCGGTGCTTGATTATCATCCGCATTATTAGCATTAGCATTATTACTTTCCCCCATAGCTCGCGGCAAATAAAAAGTATTAACTCGGGCAGTTATAATCCCGACAGCGCGATTCCTCCGAGTGCATCGTCAGTGGCACAGTAAGAAAGAAAGAATGCATGCTAGTGTCTGTCTGACTAAGGCATACAGACATGCAGGTCTTGGCCCCAGGACCCGAGGCAGAAATGTCATCACGAACCTATGGTGGGTATATGTTTTCTTTCTCTCTCTCTTTCTTTATCCCATATTTAGATATAATGGATATTTGATAATGGAATTGGATGTTGAGTTTGCGTGTATACCGCTATACGAACATTCTTTGTGTGAGAAGATAGATCCGCTGACGTGCCAGCCTGACTCGAGGTCATGCCCCGCCATTGTGCGACAGCTCAAGGTTCAAAGGATGCATGCAGTATTACGTCTTGGATTGCTGTTTTTTGAGATTCATTGTTATTGTTTTCTTCTATTTATCAAAAGGTATTAAGTTTTGACTGAAACTTTCACGTGAAGACGGATCAGCGGCCAATCGCAACAGAGTTCTCTCCAGTCCGGAATAGTTGCGAGAAATTAACATTCTGAGGGGTCATTCAATAACGGCCTGACCTGAAATGCACTGAGTTTACTGGATGCGCTCGTATATTTCGTACAAACTTTATTTCTTTTTGTTTCCTCTTTCCTACTCTGTTTCAGACACATACAACGCATATTCCTAGACATAATTTTCGTATTCCTGTTGAATGGATATGGACGCTGTCTGTGCCTGGTTATTCTCATTGGCCTAGCTGCTTACAGCCAGCCTAAGCCGGTGCAGGCTAATCGCGAGGCCTGGCAGGATTCAGGCTAAAACAACGATCGACAGCCGTGATCCTTCTCCAGGCCAACCCTCCCCCAACTCAAGAATAGTGTCCAACACAGCACGGTCGGATACACGATACACAGTCATGCGTCTACCTCAACTGTACGTATTACTGTGGATGACCGGTGGCGTGGTGGCGTTGTGGCGAGTTGATCATTCTTATCTAATATCCAATGCCGATGCCACTGCCGTCATGATCTTGAATAAGCAATGTCACCATGGTCATTGATGGACCTGATCTGTTTACTCTTCCTGGAATCTCCACCCAGATGTACGTGATCTGTTGTATCTTGTAGATGATATGATTAATGCTGATACACAATATCAATTATTATTATGACCATTATGATGATGATGGAATTTTTTATCTCGCTTATGAGTAGTAATAATAGAAACACCCCATGGTTAAGAAACAGTCAGCTAACGTGTATCCAGATACAGTTAGCGACGACTGCTAAAAATACCTGAAGCAAAACCCATACGGAGAATTACGATCTCTGAGGCTACTGTTAGTCTACGACAGTCTACACACTAGACTATATGAATATTTCCAATCGTAGGAGATACTAAACTCTAGAGTAGAGGTTAGGCCGGCGGTCAATGCCAAAGATCGGCTCATGAAACATTGTGAAATTGCACTCTCTAATATCGACTCCTGCTCGGTTCTAGGGTTTGACACCGTTGTTTATGGGGCGCTACGTTTCAAGCCGCGCGGGGCCGCTCTGTGATTGGTGGCCGCGGCTCTCAAACAGGGGCTGGTTGCTATTATAGGATCTGCTGCAGGTACCATAATCCTACTAAATACTAAATACGAATCAGATAATGCCATTACTATTAACTGACAACTATGCATTATGATTATGTCCTAGTCTCCATGCTAAACAATACAAATAATTGCCCTGTTATAAACTACCTATCTTACTTTGCTTCGTAAGTTTATAGCAGTAGAGCCATGGTCTCACTATACACTGTAATTATCATGGTATAATAGTTCAATATGCGAACGGCCCCTACGCTACCGTAAGAGCATGAGATAAAAAAAGAACAGCTAAACTTTGCTTCAGCCCAGTCGCACGGTCATTGATGCTTTTCACTTTGATGCCGTCATTAAGGACTGTTATCATTCAATGCTCGGGTTTTTGGTTCATCACATGCGGAAACGGTGCTTGCGAGAAATCAATTACCAGTGTATTACTTTCTAGTGATTTACAGATTTTCAGATTTACAGGATCCAGTGGAGCATCCCTTATCAATTTCAAGCTTTGATTGTGCCATCATCCTTCGTGCCCACCCTCGACTGTCGGCTGCAACTTCTGATCTCGATTCTCAGTTAACTTCCAAGTGAAAGGATTAGGATTCAATGCCTGTTCGGTGCTCGGACGCAGGAGCATTGGGCTTCTCCTGGCAACAGCTTTGGCCCTACGCCCGATCCATCCTCCTAGTCCTGCCTCCAGGCTCTGTCAATCTCAGTACTAGTCTTTGAATTCATACGGATTCACACGACGGCATCACCGACAAGCTAAGAAGCATAGAGTTAAGTGGCACTACGATCGACAGTCTACGCTTGACTTGGCGGCCGAAAATGGCCCCGAATCCACCACCAGCCCAGCCTATGCCAATGAAAGGCAAGGGGAGAATAATAATAACAGCAATTCGGACGGAATGCCGGCATAAAGATTCTCCCGGGGTCCCAACTCATAAGTTATTATACATTATAGTACAATTACACCAGATGCTAGATCACTCCGTATTAATTTGATGGAGGAGGATCGACGCTGGTGTTTTGGGTTGGCCCGGTCTAAAGATAAATATAGCTCGTATCAGACAGACTATCAGTCAGAAAACACACCAAAGAGAAAAATGAGATCTAATAACAATGCAAAATGAAGAGAAAAGAAAAATGCATAACTTAGCTCCGCGATTCTCAATCGAGAGTCTTCTCAAATTCCGTCTAATCCTTCGTCTCACCCACTTGCATTAACGCCAGCAAGCGGAGGGGCCAAGTTGGCATAAATTTAAAATTAAACTTCATTCTGATTAGCAACTTGGGACGCCTCCTCCTCCTTTTACTAGCATCTCTACGTTTCTACGTATTAAGTTAGTCCTGTACTACTTACGGCGTCTTACGCCGAACCTCTTGAAATGTTCAGTTGAAAGCTAGACGAATGTAGTAAGTACAAACTCAACCCACCGAATTGAGAAGATCGCCTCGCTCTCTCGCGGATCGCCCAATATGCGATGCGGCTTGTACCTGTCGAACTGGCATTAAGTGCCATTCAGAGTTGCACCCAAATACAACGTCGCCCTTATCTCGATGGCGACGTAACATCCGTAGAAATTTTGAATGACAGCAGCTCTCAAACTTTGGATTCTTCAAAAAAAAAACTATGCCTTTATCATACAGTGCATACTCTCACCGCTCTAAATTCCAATTATTAGCATCTTCTTGCTCAAACTCTTTTCATCTCGGTACCTTGCCTCAACGGGCGCAAAGGTACTTACTCCTCTCCCTCCCTTATCATAGATCAGTCGTAGTGTTTAATGTCTACTATCTGAACAGATACATGATTCCGCCTTTTCGTACATCTCTAGTCTCGTAAATGTGCCTAGTTGAACCCTTCCATGGCCGATGGCTTACATACCCCGCCACGTCTACAAACTAGCACCTACGACCTTCCGCAAGTCCGATCTTCGCGCCTCCAAGCCAGGATGCACTCCCTCTTGGCTCTGGGGAAACCGCGCTACTAATTACATAACGGCATTAATTTACCAACTCTCGATCGGTCTGATCATGTGCGGAAGCATTTCGCGGAGTTTGCGTAGACTCGTAGAGTACGAGTATGCAGTATGCTACACTACCACTACCCACTCCTATCATCCATCTATGTAGCAGCAGCTCCCAGTACTAGTAGAGGTGGTGGTGATGGTGTTGCATGACGCTTTGGCGGTGGATTTGTCTGCTGATAGGCATAGCTCCATGATTAGGTGTTTTATCGGCGGATTTGGCGCATGATTCTTCTCGGTGCTTTATCCCGGTAGGGTTATAGTTGATTTCCGTTTCCGAGAGTGGATTTAAGGGGTTATATTAGCTGTTCAGTGGAATTTGCGTTTACTTTGTGAATAATCATGTGATGGTTGTTCATTCAATAATTGAGGTTTTATTACTTGTGGCTGAATATCGTAGTTTGTTGCATGTATCTGCCGATTGGCCATTGTAGGGTGTGGAATCACGTTACTACATATTCTTCGACTATGCCAACTCAATGAATAGTTTAATAATATGGAATATATATATTATTATTTTAAGATTATATGGATTTACGCCAGTTATTTATTCCATCATTAATCTTTCAAATGTTAATATATGTAGATGTGGTTGTGTTTGTCCATGTTAATTGATAATTTTTCTAAAAGTTAAAAGCGCTTTAATATATATATATATTCTTGACAACATTGAAGTTCTCTATACATGTATATTTCGAGACTGAACCTGTATTCACCAGTGTTACTACATTATTCCAGACTGAGATTAGAATCTGAGACAGAATATCACGAATAAGAAAGTTTTGATATCAGCCTTACTGAAGCTTGCTATATCTTGAACCAACAGTTGAGAGAAATACTGTTTTCAACGCTATTGCTATCCAACATCATTTCATTCTTCAGCCCACAAGCACTGAAGACCATCCCAAACGCCACATAACTACATGTATGGAAGATTTACTCCGACAGATACAGTATATACACACAGATATGATCAAATACACAGGATACTATGCGCGCTCAATCCAACTGCAAAGACAAGCAAGCACGCCAAACACATTGGTAGTAAATGACAGATAGTATGTAGGGAGATAGGAAGATATCTGAAGAGGGAATAGATAAAGCTCATGCAGACTGCATCATTTTCCAGGTCGTCGCGTCGCAGGTTACTTCCTCGAAGGTTTGCAGGACTGTGAAGCCCATTGCCGAGAGACTGTCAAAGTTGCCGTCGCCGTCGACCTATAATCGTTAGAACGAAGGAGGAAAAAAGGGGGAGGGGGAAAGGGTAGGTACTTACACAGTCCAGGATCACCGCATCCGCCCCTGATTTGCGGACTTGTCGAATACCAAGAAGCAGCAACCCCTGCATCAATGTGGCATATTCACCCACCGACGGCGAAATGACTGGCGACGAGACACCACCGCCCACGACATTCGCCTCTTTCAGAGCCGGCACGTACTCTGCAATCACGGATTGGCTGTTGTATATCACAACGCTGCCTAGAACCGCACCATCTTCAGGTCGTTTCGCGCGGATAACGCCTGAATGCGGGGCGCCGTTGAGTGCTAGTTTGTAGATTTCCATTACTCCCTGTCGGGAGCTTGTCTTGATGTGGTCGATGATCGAGTCTGCGTATTCCCAGCCATAGACGAGGTCGTAGTCGACTTCGGCGTTTTGGAGGCTTGTTGCTAGGCCGTCAGGAGGAACCCAGGTGGAAAGCGGTCGTAGTAAGACACTGCATACTGGTCGAGATAAGGCTGTGTTCCAGCCTAATTGGGCAAACCATTGACGTAGTCTCTTGCGCTCTACTGGATTCGCGGTTGGAATGCCTAGGTACACGCTGGGCAGGCGTGAGCCTAGCTGGAAACGTCTGACGCCGTTTCTACGAAGAAGGGTTTGAATGGCCCGGTTGTGTAGAGAGTGTCCGATGGACAGCTTTCGTCGTGAAGGTTCCACGATTATTGACCCAATCGCGGCGGTTCCTGTTGACCGGAAAAAGTACGTCGAGCAGAACCCATAAAGGGCATGCGTTGTACTGTTGCGCACGACGAAATGAGCTTCGTCTACGTCGTCACTGCGGAGGAGGAAGGTGTTGGATGTGACGCTAGCGAGTTCAGCGTGTGATCCGCTGTCTCTTACAGCATCAAGCAAAGCGTCAAGCGCCTCTGCATCACGTTCTTCGTTCCATGATTCGACTAGCCAGTGTTGACGGGAGTGGCCTAGCTTTTGACTTCGGCTGATCGTCCCTGGTAATGTCCCTGTTGGAGACAGGTCTCCGTAAAGTACCTTCACCAAGGCCTGTAGTGCTGTTTCGGTGAAATCGTATGTGCAGATGTATGTGCCGACTACAGGGTCTGTGGCAAAGTCGTATGGAGAACTGACAGCTACAACAACTACGGGCTTCTCACGACGCTCGCCTGTTTGTGAATATTGGGACTTGCAAATCATTGACACATGTTTGGTGAATCCGTGCTGGTAGAGATTCCGGTTAGAGTCTGCTGTGACTACAACAACTGCGCTGACTCGGTCAATCAGACTTTCGTGTATAGGGCGGACCCCAGTGGACGTGTATGATGTATGAAGAACGCGACCTGATCGTTGCCGCGCGAGTGACCGGCCGAATTCTCGAAAGACACTCTCGCCACTACTGCCTGATGCACTCTTCTCCCATGACGCAGGGTCAGGGGATGTGTTCATGTTATCCAATATTGACCGCGACACTGCCGACGCAGGTAGTGGTTTCACGAGTGGCGTTAGAAGCAAAAGTTCTTCGTCCGGTTCTATGACATGAGTCAAGGGGAGAAGATTTTGCGTATCTCGGACAAGAGTAATTGAGCTGTCATATGCACGAGTAGATAGATTTGTATGAGATGGTTGCATCACAGTCAGAGTATTTATTCCTCCTGGATTCATTGCTTGGTCCCATGTAGTGCAGCGTGATTTCATAGAGAGAACGCGTTTGAGTGATTGTTGAATTCGAGACCGGCTGATCATTCCATTTTCAACCCCCAACTTCAGCCCATTGAGAGCTTCTAGTTGAATGGGATAAGACCGACAGAGGAGGATCAAATCGCAGCCGGCTTTCATGGCCATCACTGTGCCACCACCAACACCGATATTGTGTGTGAGAGCTTCCATCTCCAGGCACTCGGACACAACGACGCCGCCGAATTTTAAATCTTTGCGTAATAGTCCATCCACAACCTGTTCTGAAAGACAAGCATGCATGACATTTACTCCCGCAGAAGACATAGCCACGCCGCCAACCATCATTGCATCGAGACCATTGGAAATAGCATTTCGAAATGGAACCAGGGCGCTCAAGCTGAGCTGCTCAAGAGACTCCTTGATAACAGGAACATCGGAGTCAGATCCAATAAATTCTAGATTTCCGTAAGAAGGAAAGTGCTTGCCGCAGGTGACTAAACCTGCTTCTTGGTACCCTTTCATTACTTCGACACCATATTGCGAGACTTCTTGTGGATCGTCGCCACTGGTTCGCACGCCAAGAGGTTGATTACGAACGTTCGTCAAGACATCCAACACCGGACCCATTATCCAATTGACGCCCACAGCCTTGAGTTCCTGCGCGGTAGCCGAGGCGACTTCGCGGGCGAGTTGTCTGGAGCCCGTTGCCGCGATGCCCATGGCACTAGGGAACTGCCGAATGTAGATCTCATCGAATAGACTGTTAACTCCTCCATTCTCCTGGTCGAGTGCAATCATGAGCGGCACTGGATGGCCAGCATCGCGTGCGATTGTTTGCAATTCGAGTATCAGCTTGGTTGTTTCTTCGGCGGCTGTATTGGGTTAGCACTCAATGTTCGGCGCAAGCTGTATAGCCGAACTTACACTTGAGGTTTTTCGCATTGAGTAACACGCTTCCCACGTGGTAATCTTCGATTAAGGATCGTATCTGTTGGTCGACCGTGGTTCCGTCAAAGCCCATCATAAAAAGCTGGCCCATTTGCCTGGAGATGCAATTGCAGTCAGCGTCAATTCTTAACATACGCTAAATTAATTTCTCACCTGTCTAGGCTATCCCATACGGGAGGCATTGCACCATCCTTAGGGGCCATGACGGCCCGGCGCAAGGAATGCCAGCTCTCACCAAGAAGGCCTAGCTCACACCACCCCGGCCGCAGCTACTAGCAGTTCCAAAACCTCTATACCGCCCGAAAGGATGACACCACAGATGCGACGATGGGACGATGGATTGCTGATGCGGCGGGTGATAGGGTCGCAAGGCGCAAGCTGTTCCGTCGATAGCTGAGATCTGGCTTCGCGGAGTTCTCAATGGCGCCGAGTCGCCAGGCGACAGATTAAGCTACTGGTCCCTGCGTAAGGAACACGTAATACGTATGCTCACACCGCGGCAACTTTGTGTGTAACTAGAAGACGATGGGTTGTGAGAACCACAGCTGGAACGATGGGCGGGATCAGGAACGACCGCCGAGGAACACTGGTGTAGACTTGAACGCCTTGAAAGCCGGGACGAAGGTTTTCTGTGGGCTGCAGAACGGCGCGATTAGGGTGCTCACAAGGAGCAATAGCCTATGGTTGGATCGGATAGGGTAGCAGAGCGACAAGCCAGCGCAAGCTGAATTACAACCAGACAATCAGACAATTGGTGATCCGCAAGGAACAGCGAGGGAGAGAGCGCCGCGTCACGTGCAGAGATAAGCCGCGATACTGCCTCCGCCAATCGGGCCGCACTCCAGCTTGATATTAAATTACCCCGGGTCCCGCTGCGGGGCTCTCACCATCGTCCATACTCTCTGTCCCGTTATACACTTGACTTGATATTCTGCTTTTCTTGGCACACTTTGATTTGCACAGTACACAAGTAAACAATTTGCAGACTGCCAGCCTCGCTTATGCTCTTGTCAGCCACTAATTCGTGCTAGACCCGCCCCTGTCAATGTCAATACGAGGAGACAAGAAGCAACGTGGTGTAATTCTTCCATATGGCAATAATGCTCGTGCGTTCCTTTCTGCCGAGCTGCTTTCTACCCTAGCCTTATTAGGTTGCTTTCTGCACCATTGGCTAGATTCATCGAGCTCTCGGCGGCTCGGGTCGACCTACATTCACACCAAATGACGTTCGTGTCAATCTTCAGCGTTATGCAAGGTTTATAAGTATTGGCATGACCACAAGACCAATATTTGAGTTTACGTGTTGACTACTTCTTCGGTAGTTGAAACAGGGATCTAGATGGTGGCCTGCACCGAATCCAAAGTTTCGATAGACTGGCTTATCAGATTCAGGGACACCCATGTAGTCTCTAGAATTGCCGGCATGGGGAATTTGACTTGTGTCAGATGCGAACTTTATACTGGAGCTATCGATGGATGTGAGGCTAGTGGGAGACTACGTTTGAGTATCAAGCGAGCATCAATGACTTCAGCGTTTTCGAATGCTTGGTATATGGAGGAAGATTCATTTACTGGCATATAGAGGTCGAAACACAGATGATGCTAAACATTTGTACTCTGTTGATGGATAGCTGCTTATTGATGGAGTCTTCTAATTATAAGACGTAGAACAAGTCCGCGGTAGATATTGTATGTGGTATATAAAGATGTAGGACAGCACTCGTATAAAAGTTACAAATAAGTAGATCATGCAGCACAGCGGCACCCATCTTACCGGAACGTACAAAAAGGGAATACCGACGAAAAAGCGAGTAGAAGATGGTAAATTATACCCTTTCATAGCTAGCCAAAATAAAGGATTGTATGATTATTATTATTGTGATCACCAGTAGCAGAGGACAGTGAAATTCAATGTTCCAATGGCACGCTCTGAGGTGGTATCCGTTGATCCCACCGTTGCAACGCAACGGCGGCTGTCATGCCACGCAGTTCGCCGGGCCGCCCGCAAGCTTTGCCGGATGCAACCATGTATGGAAAAGCTTGGCATTGCCTTCCATCTAGAATCGCACAGCAGCACCTCACACTGATCACAGGCTGTAGTATAATAATGTCTAGAAAATAAATAATAACGCTTTTTATCATTATAATTACTTTTTCCACTTTTTTTGAACGAGTTGAGATCATCTTTGTGGGTAAGTAGGTAAATGGATAGGGCTGCTGCATCCGGCGATACGATACGGTACACATGTAATTTATTTTGTATTAGTGGTACATCATGTAACGCAGATGCTTACGCGCCGTTACCAGCGCGAAGCTTCATTCCTACTTAGTAATTATTACCATGTAGTATATTCAACTGGCACCAGGACCACTGCAATAGCATGGACTGTGTCCTAGAAGTAAAGGCAGATATTGATAATACTAATCATTTGGCCTTGCATCAAATCATATCCCGAATAATATTGATAGATAAAAGCGTAAGAAGTATGTGATTAATGTAAACCGGCTAAGCGGTTCTGGAGTATGGACAGCCCAATGCGGCGGGGCGAGATGACATCTCGATGGAGCGGTTGCAATTGTTGTCCACCACCGGAGACGGGAGGGGCCAGCTAATTCCTCTCCCAGGGCAATAATTTGCTTCCATGTCGCAGCGCTGGAGGATGAACCTGACGTCGCAGGTGGTTCCGTGAGTCAGTGACTGGTCGAGAGCCCTTCCAGAATAGTTCGACCCGGCGGGTTCCCTTATCACCTGCCTTCGTCCATCCATCCTTCTCTTTCTTTTCTTTCTGTCTCTTGAAAACTTGCGCTGCAAAACAATTCAACTACACTCCACCAACCTCCCTGCGCTGATCTCGGCATTATCGCTGTCGTCGAATCGCTCTCCCCACGATCTTGATTGGTAGTCCTTATCACTCGACTATCGGAAGTTTTAGTTAGCCTTGGTGACGTAGTCAATCTGCACAATGTAAGGGATCCGCTGCAGCCACGCCAGAATGCAAACTAACAGCCTTACAGGAGGGTTATTATCCGTGAAGATCCTCAGGGTGTCTCTGAGTATATTGCAGAGTACATAGTCAGTATGTATCGCCCTAGTGCTCGTCTGCGCAATGGCGGGGAATTTAGTGGAAATACCCAGACTCACAGTGACAAAGGTCGAATCAACACATTCAGCCCCACGCCAGAGAAGCCATTTGTCCTGGGTCTGCCCACCGGTAGCAGCCCGGAAATCATCTATCGCATTCTCGTCCAGAGATACAAGGCGGGCGAAATCTCTTTCCGCAATGTCGTTACTTTCAACATGGTTCGTATCGCCACCCAGCGTGGTTGAATGCAATATCTGACCAATAACAGGATGAATACGTGGGAATCCCGCGCGACCACCCCGAGTCGTACCACAGCTTCATGTACAAACACTTCTTTTCGCACGTCGACATTCTCCCCGCAAACATCAACATCTTGAACGGCAACGCGCCCGATTTGGCGGCAGAGGCAGCGAACTACGAGGCCAAAATCGCGCGAATGGGCGGCATCGAGCTGTTTTTGGGGGGTGTTGGCCCAGATGGTCACATTGCGTTTAATGAACCCGGATCCTCGCTCGCCAGCCGCACTCGTGTCAAGACACTGGCTTACGACACCATTGTCGCCAACTCGCGATTCTTCGACGGCGATGTCAACAAGGTGCCCAAGAAGGCGTTGACTGTGGGTATTCAAACCATCATGGATGCGCGTGAGGTGGTGATTGTCTGCACAGGCTCCCACAAGGCGCTTGCTCTCCACCACGGCTTGGAGGGTGGCGTGAATCACATGTGGACTCTGTCCGCCCTGCAGCTGCATCCTCACCCCCTTATCGTCGCCGATCGCGATGCAACTATGGAATTGAAGGTCAAGACTGTCAAGTACTTTGAATCGATCGAGCAGTCCGGTACCGATGCGCGTACCCAGGGACCACCACTGGTCTACCGCCCGCGAACATACGTGCCAGCTCCAGTGCAGACGACCGGAACAAAGCCAACGTCAGATGCCAACCAGCAGGCGAAGATTTTCCCCAAGGACCTGAAAATCAACACAGACATGCGCCGGTCAATGGACGAAGACGGCGAATTGACCCCAGACAGCATGTCATCCCGTTTACTCGACTCCGGGGTCGGTGGATTGGATGCCGCATTGAAGAACGACCTCATGCCGGAATCAATGGGATCCCGTGTTGCTGCAGTTTAACTTTTTTCGAAAGACTGAGGCGGAATGACGAGCAGGAATTGGCTACATTTTATTTCCATAAGCGGATTGGTTTTCATATGGTTTGGGCAAGGTTGTTATTTTCTTATTCCAGTCTGCTAGCCTTGGCAGATTTATTCTGCATGTAACAGATTTTTGTGGCCCTTGAAGAGCAAGAGCAAGAGCATCGAGGGTTGTTTTTTTTTTAAATCTCGTATGTATGAGGTGAAATGGCGTACGGTGAAATCCAGAATATATACCACATAGCAAGTGATTCATAGACCAATTATTCAATTTTAACATAGCATTTTTCCTTTCATTGTTTACATCTTTATTTTACACGTTGTAGTGTTCATAGCTTGGCAAATGCAGTAGCCACCGACCCATTCATATCAACCAGCGTACTCTTATTGCGCACCCACGCCTCGATCCCTCTCCTCCCATTCTCGACTCCAACACCACTTTGCTTCCATCCCCCCACACTCATTTCCGCCGGCGACTCTCCCCATGAGTTCACCCACGTAATCCCGGCTTGTAACTGGTCAATAATGCGATGTGCCAAATTCAAATCCTTCGTAAATATGCCTGCTGCAAGCCCCAGTTCCGTGGCATTCGCTCGTCGAACTGCCTCCTCAACAGTATCGTACGTGAGAATAGATAGCACGGGCCCGAAAATCTCCTCCTTGACGATCTTCATATCATCCGTGCAATCCGTGAAAATCGTCGGTTTGACCCAGTACCCCTTTTTTAATTCAGGGGTGAGATTTGCAGGCTGGCCAACTCCGCCGTAAAGTAGCTTTGCGCGGTCCGTCTCGATGCCGTGCTTGATATACCCAGTGACTTTGTCGCGGTGGACGCGTGAAACGAGAGGACCGAAGTTTGTCGCCGGGTCCATGACGGGGCCAGCCCGCACATATTGCATTTTCTCCAACAACCGCTTCTCGAAGGCGGCCTTCATGGCCCTGGGGATAAACACCCGTGTCCCGTTCGTGCATACCTGGCCTGTACTATAGAAATTCGCCATCATGGCACCGTCAACGGCGGTCTCGAGATCCGCGTCGGAGAGAACTATCAGAGGCGATTTTCCCCCGAGTTCCATGGTGACGTATTTCATGCTGCCGGAGGCACTCCCAGCAACCTTTTTGCCGGTAGCTACTTGGCCCGTGAATGAGACTTTCGCGATGGAAGGGTGAGCGGTTAGGTACGCGCCCACGTCACCAGCGCCGTGGACGACATTGAAAACGCCGGCGGGGACACCGGCTTCGGTGTAGATTTTGGCGAGGGTTTCGCCGTGCAGGGAGGTGAATTCGCTGGGTTTGTAGACCATGGTGTTGCCAGCGGCGAGACAGGGCGCTGATTTCCAGAGCGCGCTGGCGATGCTCAGTTTTACTTGAAAATGCAACAGAGAGAGAAAGCAACTTACATCTGAATAGGGTAATTCCAAGCACCAATCCCCGCACAAACTCCTAGAGGCGCTTTCTTTGTATAAACCCACGCATCTTCTCTCAACTGCGTAGTCTCTCCATTCAACCCTCCACCACCAACCAAATTCGCGAAATATTCGAGCACATCCGCACCCGTCGCGACATCCACGACGCTCGTTTCCGTAAACGCCTTCCCGGTATCATGTGTTTCGGCGGTGGCGATCTCGTCGTTACGATCGCGCAACAACTGCGCAGCTTTCTGGAGGATGCGGGCGCGCTGGATGGCCGGCGTTGCGGACCATGCCGGAAACGCGCGTTCGGCGGACGACACGGCCTTATCAATGTCTGCGCGAGAGGCTTCGTGGATATCAGCGATGTGGGCGCCGGTTGACGGGTCGATGGTTGGGAAGGTCTTGTTCGAGGTACTGGCTTGCGTCTGGCCGTCATAGTACAATTGGCGGGCGGGGAGGTGGGTTGCCATTGCGATTGATGTGTCTGCAGACCAGACTGCGCGAGAGAGTGTACACTATCTCAGTGTTATACGGATGAATTATTGCAATTGTGTTGATAAAAGCGGGCAAGAAGGGGAGGAATGGAAAGGTATGGATGTTTTTCCTTTTTTTGGAGAGGAGAGGCTGTGAGGGGAATTTACCGGTCGGCGCCGAATGCAGATCACCCGTTCATTGGCTGGAGAGGCAGGATCTCCACTTATTTTTCTCAGGCATGAAAATGTCTTCTATTTAATATTGCCTTCGTTATGATACAGATCATAGTAATATCATTTGCTGTTTAGTTATTACGTACAGCCTTCTCTAGCCGCGGGCCAGCTCCGCCACGATAGTTGCAGTGTCCGCATACGCCTGCGCGTACTCCTGCAGCAAAATGGGCCTGCTAGTTATTGCCCATATCCGGAATAGCGTGCCCCGTGCCGCCGCAATTAGACGCGCCTTATCAAGCAGCTGGTAAATACTACCATATTATTGTCTACAAGAAGACTGTGGTGGTGAAATAGAATAGCTGTATTTCTGGGTGAGAATTTATTCGGGTTATATGTTGCCATAGACACAGCACAGGGCATCTAATCTGTTTTATACATCCACCCGCCGTTAGAAGTATCGTGTCTTGACGCAGCTTAGCGCGCAGGGCGGGATACTGTGGGGTGAAGTCACCGACGTCATCGACGGTCTCGTGCTCCGGCAGCTCACCGACAAAAGACAATAGCCACAGGGACCGATATGGGTTGGCTGCCTGGATTAGGGCATTGATTGCCCCTGCATTTTGTAGAAAGTAGAAGAGGACCTCTTAGGGATAGCGTAATTTATTAAATACTGAAGTCGGATAATGAAGAGCAGATAAGAGTATGCTTTCAACGGTAAAAGTTTTCTGCCAGTCGCTGATCTCCGATCCGCCCCACGTGTCAGCCCACCGCCCATTGGCCAATCGGCGCTCCCACCAGCATCAGGCCGATTGTTTTAAATCCTCGACTTTTCCTCGTAACAGAAAAACTTTGTTGCTATTCACCAGCTGGTTTTTCTTTAGTCTTACGAGAGCTGCGCTCCGGGATTCGTGTCTGCCATCTATCCGCGCCGCAAGCTACCATTGATTCTACCGTTGATCTTCTTTCTATACTCCTAAACACCATGGCTACCACTACTTTCCTGCCGCCGAGTGACGTGGATGCCTACGACTATGTGATCGTAGGAGGAGGCACTGCAGGTTGCGTGATCGCCTCGCGCCTCGCAGAGTACCTGCCCAACAAGCGCATTCTACTCATCGAGGCCGGTCCAAGCGACTTCATGGACGACCGCGTCCTGAACCTCAAGGAATGGCTCAGCCTGCTGGGCGGCGAGCTCGACTACGACTACCCGACGACCGAGCAACCAATGGGTACGAAATGCTTCTTCTTCTTCTTCTTGTGAAAAGGAAGATTGAGATTTGTATGCTGACTCTTCCCAGGTAACAGCCACATCCGGCATTCCCGTGCCAAAGTTCTTGGCGGCTGCTCCTCACACAACACGCTGATTTCCTTCCGACCTTTCGAATACGACACCCGCCTATGGGAGGAGCTGGGCTGCAAAGGCTGGTCCTTTGACATGTTTACGCGCGTGCTCGATAACCTGCGCAACACTGTCCAGCCTGTTCATGCTCGCCACCGTAACCAGCTCTGCAAGGACTGGGTGCAGTCATGCTCCACCGCCTTGAATATTCCGGTCATTGAGGACTTCAACAACGAGATTCGCAGCAAGGGGGAACTCACTGAAGGTGTCGGCTTCTTCTCTGTCTCGTACAATCCCGATGATGGCCGCCGCAGCAGTGCTAGTGTCGCTTACATCCACCCAATTCTTCGCGGCGAGGAAAAGCGTCCTAACTTGACTATCCTGACCAACGCTTGGGTTTCTCGCGTAAATGTCACCGGTGACGTCGTCACCGGAGTTGATGTGACTCTTCAATCAGGCGTGAAGCACACCTTGTGCCCAAAAATCGAGACTGTTCTTTGCGCTGGTGCTGTGGACACCCCGCGTTTGCTGTTGCTGTCCGGAATCGGTCCACAGGATCAATTGTCATCTCTCGGAATTCCATTAGTCAAGGACATTCGCGGCGTTGGCGAGAATCTAATCGACCACCCGGAAAGTATCATCATCTGGGAGCTCAACCAGCCCGTACCCCCCAACCAAACCACAATGGACTCCGACGCTGGAATCTTCCTGCGCCGAGAAGCTCCAAACGCAGCGGGCAGTGACGGACGTGCCGCCGATGTCATGATGCACTGCTACCAAATCCCCTTCTGCTTGAACACCACTCGCCTAGGATACGACACCCCAGTTGACGCCTTCTGCATGACGCCCAACATCCCGCGCCCACGGTCCCGCGGCCGTCTATACCTGACCTCATCCGACTCCAGCGTCAAACCAGCCCTCGACTTCCGCTATTTCACCGATCCGGAGGGCTACGACGCCGCCACCATTGTCGCCGGATTCAAAGCTGCCCGCGAAGTCGCCAAGCAAGCCCCATTCAAAGACTGGATCAAGCGCGAAGTGGCCCCTGGTCCAGGAGTAACTACCGACGAGGCTCTGTCTGAGTACGGCCGCCGCGTCGCTCACACCGTCTACCATCCTGCCGGAACGACCAAAATGGGCGACATCCAGCGCGACCCTCTTGCCGTGGTTGACCCGCAATTGCGTCTCCGCGGCCTGAAGAACGTGCGTATAGCTGATGCCGGCGTGTTCCCCAATATGCCCACTATCAACCCCATGCTCACTGTGTTGGGTATTGGTGAGCGAGCGGCCGAGATGATTGCCGAGGAGGCTGGATGGAAGAGGAACCAGCCTAGACTGTAGAATTTTTATATTTTCTTATACTGTCAAAAGATCTTTCCTTTTCAGAAGAATGATCCGGGTAGCATGACTGATGAGGCAGATGACAAGCCGGTGGATGCGACACGATACCCATGTTGTATAAAAGTACGTATTTCTCAAATATATTGATTAGATTTGGAGAAATAACATCAATTAATGTAGAAGCTGAAGTCTACTTATCGGGATATGCACTACATGTACGCAGTGGTCATATGATGTTATCCAAGGCTGGTTTGAAAGGGTTGGGTTTGACATTTTACGTTGTCGACTGGTTTAACCGCCTTGCATGACTTTGCTTGAATTATGATTGGCTCGGCATGTTCCTGGGGCGCGCCGCAATGCATTGTCATGGGTTATGAATGCTCGTGACCCCACGGACAGCAACAGCCGCATTCATCGAAGCAAAGTATCGAAGCCGAAACCTCAGGAGAAAGAAATAGACTAGCCTCTCTACCTTGCTTACCTCATTAATTTGAAGTATAAGCCGTCTTGTTCCTTGTCCCTTCTCTACGAATACACTGACGGAGATAGAGAGTAGCGTCGCTAGATAATCAAAGTCAACGTAGAATGCCACCATGCTAAATTATCTTAATCACTTAATCACAAAACAACAGCCTGCCCCGCTGCCGGCATCGGTCAAGATCACCGGCATCAGGTTTCCTGCCGACGGGTCCAAGCCGCACACGCTGTCTCTTACCACAACAACTCATGATGTAATGGATAGGGGTGAGTCTCCTTGGGGACATATCCCTGATTTGCGGGCCTTCTGGAAAACCGAACAGGCATGGCAATGGCGAGACTTTGAAACCTTCAGACTTGAAAACCAGCCGCTGAGCGGCTGTAATGGTTTATATGTTGTCTTCTACTCATTTGATTCCGAGTCGTTGCCCTACCATAGCAACTTTCCTGAAGGTATATTCGAAAGGGAAAGAACTTTTGCTGGAGACACCTTTGTCGTTAAACTTCAGGGTAATGAGATCGGGGACGAGCAAGGAGAGGATGGCTGGGCAGTTTGGGTTGATGTGCCGTTGAACATCTTGAGCTTGCCTGTTATGAAAATCTGAGAGCTGATGCGTACTGTAGCCGTTTCCCCCTTGTGCCATGTTTTTATGATTCGAACTGTAGTACCATGTCTCAAATTTGTAAGGCGTGCCTAGAAGCATAAAACTGTATACCGTAATGTCAAGTTCGCAGACCTTCCTTGGAGATCTTTAAGACCCTGGCTGACAACTAGCCAATATCATGCTACTTGTATCAACGGATATACAACGCAACGCAACACAGCACACACAAATATACATATGTAAGTTTATGAATTGACATTTCTATAAAATCGGTGGTATCACGTCTATGCTAGTAATATACAAAAATAGTAATGCTGCTGAGCTTTCTTACTCTATCAAACTCCAAAAGGTGCTACACATATAGAAGCCAACTGTTTAAGGTCAAGAATAACTCCACCACGCTTGTCAAGAATAACAAAAAAGCCTGAGGCTGAAATCTACGCAGGTGCGTCAAAGGTCCAAACAAGGGGAGAGAACGTTTAAGCTAAAATCTTGGTGCTTACAACCACATCGGCTGTGTCGTGGACCTTGACACCAAATTTCCACACTTGGTCCACTGTCAAGGTTGGCCCACTGTAAGAGTCTATCGTCTCTCCGAGAATGACTAGATCAGCATCCGCGCCGTGATCCAAAGTACCCTTGACTTTCTCCATGCCTAGCATCTTTGCTGGCGTGGCGGTGGCGGCGACAAGAGACTCGGCGGTGGAAGCACCGGTCCAGCGACGGAAGTTGTTGATGCATTCAATTAGAGTGGCAGAGCTACCGGCGATCTTGTCGGATCCTTCGAGGGTCAACCGGACGCCCTTTTTGATGATGCGGTCTCCATTCGTCCAGTCATATATGCCGTCTGGCAGGCCGCATAAACGCATGGCGTCGGTTACAAGGACTAGACCCTCGCTGTGTGCATTGTATGCGATTTTGATCGAGGTAGGGTGCAGGTGAATCCCGTCCGCGATAACTCCGAAGTATGGTTTGGGCAGGTCGCTCTGGCCTAGAAGGCCGAAAACACCAGGGTTTCGGTGGTAGAAAGGTCGCATCGCATTGAATAGATGAGTAATCATTGTGGCGCCTTGGCCAACAGCCGTCATCGCTTGTTCGTATGTGGCATCTGAATGTCCAATAGAGTAAATGATACCTCGAGATATCAGTTCGCGAATATTCCTAGTCATGTGTCCGACCTCAGGCGCGGCGGTGATCATTTTGATCGCTGGCTTTGCCCCTGCCAAGGCGTGGCCATTTGTTTGGCCATTTGTGCCTCCGTTCGGAACCGGCGTGTCTTCTTCATTGACCTTGGCTTCGGGAATGTTTTGTAATCCGTAACAGTCGATAATATCCTGGAAGCCCTGAGTTGAAGATAAAAGCACTTCGGGCTTGTGGATTCCGTTCCGCGATGGGTTGATAAATGGGCCTTCGACGTGGGCCCCGAGTGATTCCGCGCCATCTTCTGGACGGCGCGCTCCAGTCGGAGCAAGTGAAGGGAGAACCTATGTGCTGATTTAGTCACGATTGCGGGAGAGAAAATATATTGAGGATTGAACTACTGACTTGCTTGTAGTTTTCAGCGGTCGTGCTGACCGTGGTGGGTAGGAAAGATGTCACGCCGGTTTTAATCAGCCCGCGATTCGATGCGATGAACCCAGCATCGTATTCCTCGCGAGTCGCCTGTGGCACCGAATAATCAAAGCCCTGGGCACCGTTGAGCTGGACGTCAATGAAGCCTGGGGCCACGATGCGGCCCTGCAGGTTGATGACCTGATCTGGAGACAGGTGTAGCTCATAGAAGGCTTCCTGATCCCGGAGAATCTTCCCCGAGAACGAATCGATCCACAGATCTTGCTCAACAAGCCGGTTGTTCTTGAGGATGCGGCAGTTGGTGAATTTGGTGATGCGCGGCTGCGCAGTATTTTGGCGGGCAGGCATGATGTCACACTGTTGACTGGGACAAGCTGGCTCTGCGGTTTGCTGGCTTTTTGTGTATAGAATTGTCGACTGCAAAATAGAATGGAATAATGAGTCTACGGCCTAGCTTTAATGGCGGTTTGGTTCAATCCAGGCACAGGCGCTGGATGGAATGGAAAGGAAAAGACACCAAGCAGGAAAGGCAAAAGAGGCCAGGGCGGGGCAAATTGGATATCCAAAAGGATGACGAGGTGACATGGAATTATTGCAGGGCCGTGCCCAGAAGCAGAGGGAGTGCTAAGTCTCCGCAACGGGGTTGGCTGGGCTGGCGACGGTGCATCGTGAGCTGGTGGTTTGTTGGTCTGTTATCGTTGCTGCAACAAGAGGGTGAACACTGGGCCTGGATGCTACCGATAAGAAGGAACCGATACCGTGACGTCCGCGTGCGGCGCTGGCATGTTACGTCTCGGTAATTTTACCGTGAAAATCCGGCAGCGTGGCGTCCTGGGAAACGGGAATACGGCGCCGTATTGTAAGGTTCGGTATTCCGAATACAGCAATCCTCGTTGGCCATCGGCACGATTATCATTTATTACCATTCTTCTACTTCTTAATTACGCTTTTCCCTAACCATTATATCCCGCCTGAATACTATATCCCTGTATAAATCTATTGATACGGCCTCACCGACCGGCAGAGGGGAGATATAACATAATAATAATACAAGAGTCTAATTACTAGTGCCAAGGGTGACAGGATGCTACCGTTCCCTCGGGTCCCACCAACGATCATGTAACGCTAACCCGATCTAATAGCAATACGCTTCTATATCGATCGTTCTCGACGCTGGCGACTGGAATTACAATCCAGTGGGGACTGCAGACAGCCTTACAGCCCCGCGAATAACATCAAAATCTGCAGGGCGAATGCGTCCGAACCTCGATGAGGTTAGGAGGATCTGTGATGTAATGCATTCGGTCCCAGACTGCACGGTACAGGCTGCTTTCTTCAAAGTGACGAGATACTTGATGATCAATATGGTCTGGCTCTGGTCCCGGTGCTGCATTCCTTGAGAATCGTCTTAGTCAACTTCGATGTTGAACATCAACCTACATCAGTGCCATTGAAATGCACTGATATAGTTCTATGTCTTCTGACGACGGCTCATTTAACCCTTTTCACCTATTTTCTCACCCGGCGCGAGACCCTGGGGATGGATGTGATTGGTGCCCATTGCCCCAATTACCCGTCCATTTACCTGCTATTCCTCGCATTAAACCGTCAATCTGTGTTATGATTGGTGCAGATCAAATGAAGACCCCGCTCATCCAATGTAGATCTAGAAACCGTGACAATAACGTCGGACATTGCTATTCCTTGGCTAAGACAATCTGTGGGATGGATCCCTATATCACTTTCTATGACATCGGCTCATGCGATTATGGCATAATTTGTTTTGGGTGTTCTGAAATGGGATCGGAAAGATGGGGACTGATCCACATCATTCCACATCATTCCCTTGGCATGAGCGCAATAATGCACCGACTTACTCCAGTATAATAATTCCTAAATGCTGTCTCGTCTCCTCCACTTTGCTTTGTGTTCTTCGACAATCCCCTCGGTACAAATTTATTCTTTACGGCCGCCATACTAAAACTTGCATAGACCGGAACACCCGAGAAAACACTGAACCCTTGTGGTCTCGAATACTTATCGTAATGTCGATCAAAAATGATGGAGAATCAATGCAGGAATCATACGAAATGAATAAAGGCGCTACACAGCCAGCCGGGGAGGATATCTCAGCCAAGGGGAAACCCTGGATGTACAAACCAATGAAGATCGGCCCATTCACATTTCCCTGGTTTGCTTCGCCAGAGACTCAGCTCATTTTAGTATCTTTTGTATGTTTCCTCTGTCCTGGTATGTACAATGCGGTGACTGGTCTTGGCGGAGCTGGTCAACTCGATATGCAAGACGTCAACAACGCGAACACAGCCTTATATAGTACTTTATCTGTTGTCGGATTCTTTGCCGGGTCAATTGCCAACAGAATCGGACTGAAACTTACGCTTTCCTGCGGCGGATTTGGATATTTCTTATACGTTGCTGCGTTGCTTTCATACAATCACAACCACAACGCTGGTTTTCTCATATTTGCTGGTGCGCTTCTCGGTATATGTGCAGGCTTATTGTGGTGTGCCCAAGGTGCGGTGATGATGAGTTATCCGCTGGAAGAACAAAAGGGAAAGTTCATTGCAGTATTCTGGATAATTTTTAACCTGGGCGGTGTGATTGGTAGTTTGGTAGGATTTGATCATTGCAAATTCAACTAGGTAATTCGGATGCTGACCGTATCTTAGGTACCCTTGGGCCAAAACATTCATTCGACGGCGGGAGCGGTCAACGACGGAACATATATTGCTTTCATGGTTCTTATGGCAGCTGGTTTCTTCTGCGCCTGGGGACTCTCTGATTCCAAATATGTCAAACGTAAGGACGGATCAAAGGTGATTGCTATGAAACATCCCACCTGGTGGACGGAAATTAAAGGCTTGTTTGAAACTTTACAACACAATTCTTACATTGTGTTACTCTTCCCAATGTTTTTGGCGAGCAATTGGTTCACCGCATACCAATTCAACGTGGTGAATGGGTTCTACTTCAACATTCGCACTCGCTCCTTGAACAGCTTACTCTACTGGCTCTGTCAGATGATTGGTGCCTTTGTTTTTGGCCAGTTGTTGGACATCAAGTTTCTTTCACGCAGCATGCGAGCTAAATTGAATTTTGGCTTGTTATTTGCACTCACTTTAGGGATTTGGGGAGGGGGCTATGCTTTTCAGAAGAAATTCGACCGCCACACGCCGAAGCCTGACATGGATTGGAGTGCTTCTGGCTATGTCGGACCGATGTTTCTGTATATGTTTTATGGCTTTTATGACGCTTCCTTTCAGACTTGCACATATTGGTTGGTTTCCTAAATTGCATTCAGATTAAAATGAAAATGCTAATCCGTACAGGTTTATGGGATCTCTCACCAATAACAGCCGCAAGCTCGCCAACTTCGCTGGCTTTTACAAAGGAATTCAATCAGTTGGGCAAGCTATTACCTGGCGGTATGTCAAGTTTCTATTTTCCGGCCGGACCTCTTTCTTACTGATAATATTGCAGCATGGAGGCATTGAATACACCGTATATGAACGAATTTGCGTCTTGCTGGGGGATTCTCGCAGGGTCAATGGTGATTGCATTTCCGGTTATTTTCTTCAAAATCAAGGATACAACAGATGTGGAAGAAGATCTCAGATTTTCAGATGAGACTATCCAGGAGGTTGTTCCGGACCAAACACAGGAAGCAAAGTAGGCCTCGTGTTGCCAGTCTTCCAGATATCCTTTACGCCATTTCATTATGAAATCGGTATTCATATACTATATGTTTGGAAGAATTTTCTGACAAATGTTTGCTATATGACGTTCCTTCGCTTAGACGGAGACATAGATGTATTTATACTTGACTTTCGAATCTAGCACATAAAACTAACATGAGCGTCTCTGACTAGAGCGTGCTGATCTATATATTCGTATCTAAGAAAGAATGCGTCCGAAGAACCAATTGATATAATAACTCATAATGAAGCTTTGACTTTCTTATTAGTCTGCTCCGCCTGTACTTCCTTCTGGGCCTGATCTCTCAACAGGCGCCTCAAAATCTTTCCACTTGGGTTCTTCGGCAGAGAATCAGCAAACACTATGCCCCCCGTTATTCGTTTGTGCTGCGATAACTTTGCATTGACTTGATGTGCTATTCGCTCAGCAGTGTTCTTGGTCGCCGGAACGCCGTGTTGTAATACAATATATGCACGAGGATGCTCCTGGTTGCCTATCGTCACACCAACTACAGCTGCATCTGCGACCCCCTCGCTTTCAAGACAGACTCCGTCCAACTCTGCTGGCGCAACTTGCAACCCCTTGACCTTGATAAGTTCCTTTAGTCTTCCAGAAATGAAAAACTTTTCTTCTTCATCGTAATACGCGATGTCGCCTGTACGCAGCCATCCATCTGGTGTCAGGGTTTCTGCTGTGGCCTTGGGGTTCCTCCAATAACCCTTCATGACTTGTGGACCTCTTACCCAAAGTTCGCCGGATTGATTAGGACCGAGCTCTTTGAGAGTACTAAAATCATTGGAATCGGCTGTTTCGTCGGGCAAAGACATGATTTTCGCCTCGGAATTCGCATTCGGCCAGCCTACACTGTGGCTCGTGCTTATTTTATCGGGTTCCCAGCCTAGCAATGAGCATGTCACTCTATAAAAAGTTATGAAAGTTAGATATCATCTCAACTCGGATAGATACTGATACGGGATACACCTACTCAGTCATTCCCCATCCCTGCTTAATATTAATAACTCCCTTCGGCCACAAATTTTCAGTTTCCTCGGAAACTTCACGACTCAATGGAGCCGCACCTGATCCGACGCGCTGAATAGAACTGAGATCAAAATTCTTCGTTTCGGGGTGTTTTGCCAACATAACTACAACAGGTGGAACGACAATGAGATCCGTTATACGGAATTTTTCAACATTCTGCAGCACGGTCAAGAAATCGAATTTCTCCATGATATAGACGGGGGAACGCCGGAACATGGCAACGCCTAAGTTCAGCATCTGCCCCATGGCATGGTATAGAGGCAAGAAACAGAGATGCGTGTCTGTGCGTTTACGTTCTGCATCGAGAACCGGGTCTAAGGTAATTGTGTGGATGTACTGCTTGACGTTCGAGACATAATTCCTATGAGTGATTTCAACACCTTTGCTCAGACCGGTGGTGCCCGAGGAGTAATTCAGAGCTAGAATGGTATTTTTGGCTTCGTTGGGACCTGTTAATGGATCCCATACGAATTGTTGGCCCTCGGCTTCGGACACGAAGAATGTACTCCAGTACGGACGGCCCTGTTCGCCGACTTGATTTAACGAGTCAAAAATACGATCATCAGCGACAAATGTACGCTTCTCAAGTCCGCGTCCGACAATTTTGGTCGCCTCCAGACAGGTTTGTAGCGCAGTGCCACCTTGACTGAATATAAAAGTCGGTTCGCTGTCTCGTATCTGATGTGCCAATTCCTGCGATGAATATGTCGGGTTGCAGCCACTAAAAATACCGCCAGCCATGATCACACCCGAGAAAAGAATTGGATAGAATAAGTGGTTTGTACTAAACACGACAACCCGATCTCCCTTTTTTAGACCTTCAGCACGTAGGCCAGCCGCGAAACGTTGAGACCATAGTCGGTATGTGTGGAGAGTTAGAAATCTGGTTTCGGGCTTGAGATGATCTATCAGACTGGGCTTGTCGTTTGGTAGCGGCTCACGCGGGGATCCAAAAATGAGGGTTGGGAGACTGCATTGTGGTATATCGATTGTATATCGGGATTTAACAACCATCTTTTGTCTCAGTGTTTAGTTAATTCTTGTTGGTCTTTTCAATCTCTCACCGGGAGCTGTGGTTTTGACGTAGGAAGAGCGAGAGTGAGTGAGGAGAAAGGGAAGAGGACGAAGGTTCAACTGAGGCCTTCTTATTAGCTTTAGCTTATTCTTAGGCTGATAGGAATCAATAAATGGTCAATAGTTGACGAATTAGCGATTACGGGGTAGTATCAATTACCGAAATGCCGCGGCCTCGGGTGGGGACGTGCGGGGAGAACTGTTGTGGAGTACAGCTATATCTCGATATCTCGTAGGTATTTTGCAATGTTGTTGTCGCTCAATGCTTTTTTGATGTATCTATTCTCTGAATTAGGACCTTATCTGAGCAGGTCAGCAAACATGCATGACAGTCCTGTGTTTATTCATCGGAGATGGCTTAGCAACGGCAACTTGAGACAAACACTGTTTCGGGAAAAAGCTGGGGTAACAACTACCGAGTTGGCGCCTAGATCTAACAAAGTCGATAAAGTTGAGTCCTGTTAGCCACGTAAATGATGGGATTCGCAAGAAGCGGAAATAGCGGAAATATCTGGATCTTGATTTTCTTTCTCCACTTTTCTTTCAGTTTTAGTCTTTCTTCTTTGCTTTTTCTTGTCCACCCAATTAGTACGGAGCATCGTGAAAATGATTTCCTTTTGGGGTTTCTACTTCAATCGGTCCACTGCACTACTGGGTACTATGAGCAATAATTAATCACCCTAGCACCCCGGCATGATAAGAGCATGTCCCCTAGTTATGTACTCTGTACAGATTTGGTTTCATAAATCATCTTGTGTATTGTCGGGATAATCCAACTTGATTTGTAGATCTAGTCCAGAGTAACTCGTAAAGTGGGGTTAACTCTTCATGCGCTCTCGCTAAACTTTTCCTAACGACGTTAATCATCACCGAGATCGTGAATCTCGGAAATAAAGTCTATTAATTCTCACATAACTGTGAAACCCTGCACTCTTATGCATACTAATAAATCATAGTTAACAATATACCTTAAAACGATATTGTATTTTTGGATCCACAAAGTCTTGCCTGTGTTGCTCAGACATGTTGTAACTAAACATTCTAGAACGGTCTGAGATGTTCTCATCAAGTTTATTGTGTAAGGTCTTCGAAATTATTGTGGAATTTTCAAGTATTAAAGAAGATATGACCTGATGTTTTTGCAGAATTAGGCAGCTTCAGTGTTGCTTTAGTTGAAAATAATGATGTTCATTACACAACAACCTATATATATATATAAATGGGGAGATTATACCATTAATCTTGAGAAATAGCACCGGAGTTGAAGAAGAGTAGTACCTGGTGTAGAACGGTACTTAGGGTTGTGGGTATTTCTGGATTCTGTAGGACAATAATTTGGGCGAAATAATCAGCGCAATCGCACAGAGTCTTCTATGACATGTGTTTATTGAAGGCTTTCATTATAAAAAAATATTTAAAATTTGACAACTCCAATTCAACCCGTCTTTCAGCTTTGCACCGGCACCAGATATTTAATCTCAAAACACACTCGCCATCGATTACTGTGATGCATCCTCCTAACTGGAAAATATTTTCTATTCTGTTCGCAGCATTAGCTCCGGTACATTTGATCATAGCTTGTTTAAGCCCGTTAGATATTGCAAATGCTGTCAACAGCCTTGCTACCGAAACATTTAGTTTGAAAGACTACGTCGCTTCCGTAGTAGCAAGTCACAAGGCTACTGGTATCCTAAGTATCTATAGACAATTCGACGAGATATACGATCATACTTTGAGCGACATTGGATTCACGAGCGGATGTATCGTCCTCGTCAATAATACCGACCAGCAAGTCGTCTACGAAGCCTATTCAAACGTAATATTTGCACTAAAATGATACAAAGCACCTTCTCAGTTTCTTTGCATTAACCGTTGTGTCTCGTAGTGGTTGCAATCCCTTTCCGCACTTTCGTATGAGATTTCCGCAATGCAAGCGTCCTCGTTTCTCTTGACCAAACCGCCTGCACAATACTACCTTGTGAGACCAGAATGGTTCGGGGAGTGGTTGACGTAAGGTGACTAATATCAAATATCTTTAAAGCCAGCAGGTGACGCAAATGTTCATTGTTTGGCAGGCCTATTGTTCAACTTAATTACCCTGTGACCCAACACCACGGCGTATGTTCCACAGGCAAGCAACCAGAAGGACCAAGTCGGCACACGCTTCCAACAAGTGCTAGTTACTTTCCTCCGTTATGTACTAGCGATGTGTTTGACGATTCGGATCCTTGAAATTTGGCGTCTCGGAAAAAAGTACGGCTGTTAGATGAAATGGAATGTAAAATCTTTACTATACGGATGAAAGGTGCCGAATTTGCTAGGTGGATAAGAAATGTCGCAAGTAGTTGACCCATCAAAAATCTATTAATTCGCAACTTTCAATCATGATCTGCATATCTATTTTCCGGAAGGTTCAGCTCATCGTCGATATCTGAAAATCTTAGGTCAGACCCTGAACCACGGACAACCGAAACACTACTAAAAATAGCATGGATTTGGGTCGGGTGAACGATATTACTCCGCCTTGCGCATGGATTCTAAAATTCATCGGGGGCTTGGATCATAACGAGTAACACAACGAATCGGCACAATAGTCTCTAGTTCCGATTCTTGCGGGGAAACTTGATAGGGCTGACAGCTAGTCCGAGTTCATGTCTGCGCATGCCTCAGATGATTACTCTCGATTCAGGCATTTAGATAGACGAGCTCAAGTATGAAATTTATTATTCATACTATTCATATATTTTCCTCTCTTTAGGCTAATAGGTCGTATATGACACTTAACCGCGAATTGTCATACGAATAATGGAATGTCTAAATTATTCATATACCGTTTTGAAGGGAAAGTCATGAGAGAAGAAAAGCCTAGCGCGACATGGATCTTGAAAGTGTTGCCCATCAGATAAGCGTGGCTATGAAGCTGACATGAATCTGACGTTAAGCCGAACCAACACATTGGGCGAAGTTTCGCTATATTCACCCAATAATATTGATTACCATTTTAGGCACTGAGACATGATGTTGTCTGTCTTAATGTATCTCCTCTATGAGTTCATATCCCTTTGGAGTGGTAAGATTCAAGAATAATTTTCAGATACTTCTGTAAAATCCATTACTGTGGGTTTTCAAAATAGAAAAGCTATAATTTAATATTGGAGTGGTGCTTTAAAAATCCTGTAGATCCCTTTCTCTAATCCTAATCCTAAATTAACTCGGAATTCTACATTCATAATATAACACAACGATGAATCAATTGAATAGCTCATTATATAACGCACGGACTAATTTTACACTTTCGCGCCCTATTTGGAACCGAATGTAAACTGAACTTGGCTGAGTCTGTCTCGGGCAGTGAACCGCACCGCAGCAAGGCTACGGATTTTTCTACCAAGCAAATGAACTGAGACACCGAGTCTGCCAGGCTGTACTTTGCTCTACTTTTAGGATGTATGATGTAAGACAAAAGTCCTCGTTATCGGTGAATAAGTCGCTGGGAATGGATATATAAAGGTCTATACCCCCGATGGACGATGCTTTTTGAAATCATCAACGACATTCAAAGTTTATCAAGCAAAACAAAACTTGCCTACAAACCAGAAAATACACCTAATTATAATTCTTTTGAATTACTATAATACTTTACATACACCGTCAAAATGAAGTCCTTCATTGCTGTCTCCGTTGCTCTCCTCGCCGCCTCCGCGGCTGCTATGCCTGCTCGTCGAGATACTGACACAGTCACCTTCGCCCTCAGTAATGATCAGACCGGTCACCAGGCCTCCGCCACCATTTGGGCCGATAATACTGTCTCATTGTTTAATAGCCTCTTCGCTAATAGCGCTATCGATTCTAATGGCCAGATCCTGGCCTCTTCTGTCCAGTTAACCGCATTTCCTCAACATGTCACCTGCAACATCAACGATGCCGAGGGCCAAGTCTTTGCTTCTCTTAGCGATACAAAAACCTACTTTGATCTTGATGGAAACCCTGCCGCTGCTATCCCGGTTGATGTCTCTTCCTTCAGTATCAACTGCGATGTCTATTAAAATGCTTCAGGAACTAGTGCATTTATATTGCGCACATAGATTTGTATTTATAGGGAAAGGGGAATTACTTGATTCCTGTTGATTTTCGTTCCAACACTCCTTCTCATACAGTTTCTATTATAGTAATTCTGAATGAATGTTCCTTTGATCTCATCGCAGTGAAAATATGAACAAGTTGCACACTCTACAATATAAAGTCTTTCTGCTCCTTCTTCTATATAGATAAATATACAGGCAAGCATGATAATGCAGGCGTCAATATATATTATATGTGCCCTCATAACCTATTTTCAATAAACCCTTAGGGCAATATCGAGAATAGAGTTGGTGTATTATTTTATTATCAAACTTCATACAATTAAGATCGACCACATAGCATAGCCTTTACAAAGACGTCAACGGGAGTGTTTAATAAAATAATGTATCAACATATATACCAAGGGAACAACAGGAACCGTTTTTCCAACAGAACTCATACTGATCAGCCAATGTTGCTATGATCAATACCGTAGACAATGCCATAGCTTGTCGCTGCAGCCAAGGTACCAACAAACAACGTCTGCATTGCCCCATAGAAACCAGACCGCTTTGTTTTAATTATGATATAGTTTTTGATGAAGCCAAAGGCAATAAGAATCACAAATGTGACGCCTATGGAAACAAATAATGCGTGGGTAACGTTGTGCATCGCAAAATAGGGAATCATCGGTAGCAGGCCGCCTATGGACACTAAAAGTTAGAAAGTCTGACCAAAGAGGTTTATCAATTTTGATAAGAGAACATACCCATGAAGTAGGAAAACCCCATAGTTGCTGCCGAGATCCATGCTCTGGAGACATTTGGCTTTTCAAGCCTCAGCTCAAAATCCATCATGAACTGGACGGCATCAGCAATGTTCAAAAACACATTTCCCAAAATTCCACCTACTCTGATCCAGTTATCTTCATTTAAAACTAGGCAATCCACAACGCCCTGGCTGGCGGCTCTGCTTATGCCATAGCTGGCAAAGATATCGAATATCTCCTCTTTTTCCTCCTCTGGCTTCTCGGAGACCTCGCCCCTCTCTCGCTTGATTTCATTGTTGTAATGGTCTCTATCGGTAACGCATGCTAGGTAGGCACCAAGGCCCATGGAGATTGCACCACTGAAAAGCTCAGCAAGCCCACCAACAATGACAAGTTTAGAGGAGCCGAGACTTGATAAGCCCGCGGTTAAAGCGAAGGGTACCGTTAATCCATCGGCAAAGCCAATGATGACGTCTCTCACCACATCTCCCGCGTCCGAATGTCTCTCACTAGCAATATGTGCATCTTGTGGTGAAATTACCTCCATTGGAGGTTCCAAGGAATGGTCTGTCATAGGGAATAAATGTGGTGGTCAATGGGGGAATAAGGATAACTTTTCTGATTTTGAAGGGCTATGTTCCATGGTAGGCCTTTATGTTTTTGAATTATAAGGTATGCCAGCCATTTCTAGTCATCCATTCTATTTAATCCCTGTCTTGATAGACATATCCTCGATGTCAAAGAACTGCATCGCGATTTCGACCAATCACGGAACGCCTATTTCTAATCATTCTGCACGCCGTCTTTAGGGCTTACGCCACAGAAACCGTGACGTGATGTTTTTTGTAGGAATCTTTCTGTCTTCTTTCAATTATGTTTTATTTTCATTTTCATATTTCCCCGCCTGCTTGCATATGAATCGCTTGCAATATATTTCCAAGGATGCTAGGTAAAAGCGCAGTACACGGATGGCCGCAATCGTTTCATTTCCGGTGTTGAACAGACACGAAACTGTATTTTATTGCAATTGGAACTTCGTTTCTAGTGAACTTTAGCATGGCTGCATCCTAAGAGAAAAAGGATAATTTTACTGGATTGATGACGCAAGCAACGAGCCTCGTACTACATACCAAGTTACTCGTGGCCAAATGCAGCGTACCCTGAAAATAAAATCTCTTTTGTCCCTAACGTACGGGGAATATGTCCGTCCAGTGACAAGAAAGTTCTATTTTTAAACAAATTTTTGTGGGTCGGCGAGAACAATAAGTGAAAGAAGGCTTTCAAGCAGTCTAAAGCGACTAATTGGAATCGCACGACAATTTGAAGAAGCCTGCAGTCAGTTATGCTATATAGACTTGAAGTACAGCACCTTGCAAGTGCGGCTTTACACCGTTTGCAACTCTTTGACTCTTTCTCAGCGCCACTCCCGTAGCCTAACCTATACCAGGTTTAGGCTAACGATTTAATACTACTTATCTTTGAACTAATAAGTCAACCCCCTTTATAAACAACCACCTTTATAAACAACCACCTTTATAAGCAACTCCTCCTTATACCCAATCCGAATTAATTTCTCATATAAATCCCCTTAGCCCCTCTTTATAAGGTTGTTTCTTGATTTTTCTCGTCTCCCATACAAAGTTCCTTATAAAAAGGGAATACAAAAAGAATTATTATCTAACCACCCCTTACTAATCTGTTTAAAATGAAGTCCGCCTCTGTTCGAAAGACTCGGAAAGCTATTTCCAACGCCTAAAAATGGCCTCCCAGGGGCCAAAAAGGGTCCAATCGCTATATTTAGCAATATTAGATTCATCTGATTATCTCGCATTACCCTCCTGAGGGCTTGAACGAGCTTAGCTTTAAATATTGCGAAATCATTATAAATACGTGTAATATGGCGACAGCGAGCTCGGTGAAGCCTAACCGACTATGCCGCCAGGCCCTTTTATTGGATAGGTAGGGGTTGGGATGATTAATATGGCCTGGGGGTGAATTTAACGACGTATAGAGTGTATCTGTAGAAATTGACGTTGATTTTCTATATAAAATCTATATAAATTGAGTGTACCCCCTTACAAGAAACTCCTCTTTATAAGCAACTCAACCCGCTACGCGCTTTGGTTGCTTATAAAGCGGGTTGACTGTACACACAATTTATTAACGCCTGGCGGCTAAGCTGAAAGGGCAGCTATCACTAATCTACTAATACATGTCCTGATATATGCCGTGTCTCCTTAGAGCCCAGGCATAATTACTTTTAGTATAGGACATCTCATCTGTCAGTATCGTAGTGGATTCTCGTGGGTTAGTAAGTTTGTTAGTAGGCTGGCTTGAAGGCGCTTCTTCAAGTGTTCAACATCCTATTCTCGGCAGTTGAAAGGCATCTACCGTCTCTGGCACGAGGTGGTTGGTGTGAGTTAGATCGGGAGGAGTGGGTGATTCGTGTTCGTCTACATGGTTACGCGGTGTCGAGTCGGCCCGTGGCGATTGCAAACCGCACTGAAGCCCGTACTGCTTTGAACTAATACAACTCAGCTGGAATTTAGGTTTGTATTACACTGAATCTCGTATCCATAGATTCAACCCTTGCTCCACCTTATCACCAATTAGGACCGATACATTATGCCCGAAGAATGTGGAGATCGCAACTAACGAGTAGTTAGATCTTGATAATAATAAAGCGGTTAAAGTAGACAGGATCCTCTTATTATCAGTGCCTTCATAAAATTATTTATGTACGGAAATTAGTAGGTATGAAGAAACGCAGCTAGCAGTATGTTAATTGATAGGTTTTGATTTCAAACTGATTCCTAAATTCTAGTTTATATCATATTTGGCTAAGCGCTTATGGTTACACAACATATACGGTATGTCTCTTCTTTTCTTCATATACTTAACAATGTAATGACTCACTAAAAATGAGATTCTAGCTGAACTCATTCTCTACATGCATGGTCACTTCTCCGATCATCTCCGTGTCCTGTAATATTCAAAGTGTTGTGTACACGTGCTATCTCAGTGTATCCGCAATGTTCATCCCAACATACGAAACAAATTTAGCTGCTTACTGGCAAAGTCGACATTATATTTTCGTTTCTCAACATTAGTATGATCAGTTTTTGATCCAAAAATCTCACTCGAGCCACTTATATTTTATCATAATTATCTAGGAAAACATTTTCCTACGCGAAAATTATCGACATTTCATTTCACTCGCAATTGATTGCACATCACGTCAACCTTCCAATGTCGATTGATCGGCCGGTGATTCCTGCATCGGTATCACTAGTATGCTAAAGCATCATGAACCATTCATAGCATTTATTGTATATGCTGATGTTATTATCACGAAGGTTGTCATATGGTTATTTACAGGGCTATCTCTGTTAACTATTATTTTCCGGACCTTTGTCAGAATCAGATTCTTCAGGAAATTGTTTATGGATGATTACCTAGTTCTTCTTGCATGGACTCTTTTGCTTTCCCTGGCCATTTTATGGACAGTATATGCTCCAGCGATCTACTCAATAGCATCTACAGTTGAGGGCGAGGTCTCGCTGACTCTAGAATTCCAAACCAGTTACAATCATTTCGTGCCGTTTATTGCCTCTCTGCAGGTGATATTCAATTTTTGTCTTTGGGTTGTGAAGATCTCATTTTTAGCGTTCTTTTACAGACTAGGATCCAGGATCCGAAGACATCAAATTTGGTGGATTGTTGTTTTCATGATTACAATAGCAGCATTCATACCTTCAATGACTGATGCAGATTTTACATGTATCTTTGAAAAGGCATCCGAGGAAGTCATCAGTAAGTCACGTTTACCAGATTAAACTATTTCACCCGAGCATAATTGACTGAAACAACTGAAGAAAGGTGTGAAAGCCTTGACGCCATAACTCGTCAGAAAAAAATAGTTTACACAAATTCCGCGATCGATATATTGACTGATTTACTGAGTACGGAGAAATAAAACTTTCTCTCGGTATCAAGAAGAATTTGACTGACATCATCAAAGTCTTGTCTATCCCAATCTTTATCTTAAGGGACATTCGCATCCCACTACGCAAAAAGATTGTTCTCGCTACAATTTTCTCTGCATCGGTTTTTGTCATGATTATGGCAATAGTACGCGTTATTGTTGACAGTGAGCCTACTGGAAGTTTAGACAGCAGCTGGCTCTTCACATGGAGCTTTGTTGAAATGGGGACAAGTAAGTTGAAGCAACGCTGTGTTCAAATACTTTGTGTGCAAATACGTACTTATTTTTCACCTCAATTATTTTCTGGCAGCCATTATCATATCATGTATTTCCTCCTTCAGGCAGCTCTTCGTAACTTCACAAAATCAGCAGTTCTACGAATCCCCACCGGATCATGTTTCTAGTTTGAGCCTACCTGGTTTTCTTGAATGACAAAAAGGAGACATCTAAGGAATTGTCGCCTTGTTAAAAAGGACCATTTAGAGGGTCTAGTCAGAGTGGAAGAATTCAATACAACTGGGAAAGGAAAATGTTACAGACGGTAGTGGTGTATTCATACGCTGACATCTCCCGTCAGTGGGGATATAGAGATAAAATGTTACAGTATCTTCCACATAATTATATATTCTTCAGCTACTCAATGAAATCCAGGATGCTAAATATTGTAGATAAAACCATATAAATGAATCGCTATACAGAAAAAGCTAGAAGTCAGTATAGAAATATATTTTTGGGAACACACTGGCCCGATGGTTTAGGCACCCACAGTGTCTCTTGGTTGATAGTTTGTTTCGTTTGCATGGAACTTGCTGGAAAGTGCTGTGTATAGACGATACAAGAAACAACGCTGGTTCTGTATGCGAATGTTCAAGACTTCTCATAAATTACTACATTATTAGACAAAAAGCAGATGTGGATTGGATTGTGGAAGTGGCGCTGAGAAACAGTCGAAGAGTTGCAACCTATGTAAAGCCGAACTTGCAAGGCGCTGTATAGTATAGGGTTGACTTTGAACACTATACAATAACTGCTCATATTATGGCATACTTATATATTTACGGATATACGAGACATATTGATGGAATACAAGTCCCATAGTATTGTTATTAAATTATTTCCTAATATCCTGCTAGTAATTATTGATAGTGATTAAATTCCGTCAATACGATTATACTAGTATAGTTTCTCTATGCTCTGAACGACTAGGGAGCTTCGGTTCTTGGAATTAAGAGAGCATCAAAAATTAAGTGAGAACAGATTTTTATACAGACTGGCCGCACGGACATATACCACTTTCGCAGTTGCTAATTCTCAATTGTTTATTTCTTAGTATCTCAAAATCTTAGCCTAATGGAATTGGCGGGATGAGAGAACATTTGAAATCTCGAAAAAGAGACGAAAAAGAAACACATACAAATATAATAGACCGAAACATACTCCTCAGAAGTATTCCGACTAACTTGATTCTTTGAATACTGCAGAGTTTGCGGTGTTGAATATTTCCTATTTGAGATGGTACCACAATGGAAAGCCCTAATTCTAGTCGAATTAGCCCTAACAGGGGGAGACAAAGAAACTGACCAAGAAAACAGTACGGCTAATTGCCTTCTATTTTTTGCTTAGAATTTACATTTATAATGATATAGGCGATATCTCTGGTGGCACCAATCGACCGATTGGCTAATGATCCCTTTGTCTAGCAGCGCTGCAGTCTTACCTTAGGTTCGCGTTATCGCATGAAATTGCAAATAAAGAGCTCCTCTCACTCTCAATAGCTGTCTTCTAATTTAGAATGCCGTGGTGTCTACTTGAACGTCGCTAGCATCACTTTCTTTGCCGCCTATCCTCAGCATCAGTTTTCATTTTTACTTTTGGAGGCTTACGATAATGCAGTCGTAAAGTCACCCGCCATCTCATTTCCGTTGAAAGCCTTAATTATGAACAAAAAGGTTTTATATAATGTCTACTTAGATAGCAAAGTAGACCGATTTTCACTCCGACCGCAACAGCGCAATCAGCTGTGGCAGAAATCGTGGAACCATCATAACTGGCCAAGCTAGCCTGTTTCTATGAAGCAGCTAGAAATCTTGTAAAACTACAAACTAAAATCTAGCGGCTGATGGAGCAGACATTTACATAATCCGTTAGCACGATTCTTGCGACTGACAATTCTCATTGCTCGTCCCGAGATGCGAACCATCAGCAATAGGTGACTGATATATCGTTCTCGATCAGATTATCAGACCCCAGAGAAAAGTTAAGCTATAATTGCCTTTTCGTTCATCAGTTGACTTGGATATTTTCGGCGACATGACCCTCGAATGGCCAACTTAACCGGTGCCAAATCCGACATACTCCCCAAATATGAAAAAAGGTACTTTTCACATACATAAGTACTGTCAAATAACAACATTCACCTTCATTTACAGATGAAATAATAAAGAGGGGGGCTCATTGCCCAGAGCTTTCTCCGATAATCGCCAATTTCCAGTCCTACTACCCAATATTCACAACCCCGACATTCATATACGTGTACGGGGGCGCACATGGTGCACCCCACAAACAGATCTATGCAACTAGTTCATCACAGGCATCAGATGCAGACAGCAGCAGATTGACCTATGGCTAGACCATCCCATTTCGAAGCGATTGTCTGCTGATCTATCAGCACCAGCAGGATTATGATTTCGGGTAGAACTAATTACGATCTAGTCAATAGTCCAATTGGACTTAACATTTAATTAAATGCGTGGTTTCAGCCACAGTCCTTTCTCGCATGTGAAAGCTGAAGAACGCAAAAAAGTCACCGCGAAAGTTGCAGCTGTCATGTGACGTCATGTACGCACTAAAACCAACTTTTTGACATGTGAAAAATAGAAGCTCTCATAAATATATTGTTCGTGCAACTTGCATGTGACAACTCAAGACCACACTTAAACAATTTTGGCTTAGACTGTACAACCAGGCTCTAGATGACACCTTGTTCCTTTCAGCGCTTGTGACACACATTGTGCGGAGTCGCGTCCTACTTCTCGGTATCCCGAAATACTGTGACTCTGAAAAGCCGTCAATCGATACTCCGGAGTCTGTACGGTCCCTGGACCACGCTGTTTTTTTTTTGGAGGGGCGGATTCTAGAACTACCTATGGGGAAATTCCTTGAACTGCCAATATAAGAAAAAATTGTTCATGTACAAATGCAATTCCTAAAATCTGATTTTCTAAACAATGTAGTCAACTATTCTAAATATTGCATGCATAAATAACCAAAAACATAAAGTTGTACACACATGCTCCCATATTCGCATCCCAACAAACATTATTATTATTATTTCTCGCAACTTCACAACATCAATAACAGCAAGAAAAGGCCCACTACAGTAACCCCAACAATTCCCATACGGACGTAGCAGCAAGATTAGTCTTCGGGCTTCGGGTTTCGGTCCAGCATGTGATAGCTCCCGCGCTCGGCAACCCGTATGCTCTGGCGGCCCCCGGGGGATGAACCCCAAATTAAAACCGGCCCATTATCAAAAAAGAGTTAGTACGGCCCTAAGACTATGGTCTTCGCCATGGCGCGGCCCCAGATTCGATTGGATGCAACTTGCTGGAGATTGTGGGTGATGTGTTGGAGAAATAGGGAACTAGTTCAGGGGTGTCTTTTAATCTTGACCAGGTTTAGATTAGAGGCGATTGAATGGAATGTTTGCCGGTCATTATTTATGGGATTGTGAGGGGTAGGGGAGTTAGTGACATGTGAAAGGGTCAGGAGGTTAGGAAGTGATGCTTTTGTAAAGTGTTCTTTTATTGAATGATAATGTTCAGTAAATGTAATGCAAAAAAGATCATCGCCATCCGCCTTACAAACACCATGTATCAAAATATGTCAAAATCAAAATCAAAATACCTGTCCCGCCTGTCATCTCAACTTTTGTATATACCAGGCCATTAAACTCATTGTAATACAATCCCAATGAAATGAATTAAAATGGATAGAATGAATAGTTTCATCATCGTCATCAGCATCGTAACCTGAAATCGGGAGCTCAGAGCCTCAATGCAAAGCCTAGGTCTGACTCGAAATCCATAGATATACCATCACTCCTCTTGTTAAGTTCGTATCCAAGTATATGTCCATCTGCTGTAAACTCATTCATATCAAAGTCGGCCTTGTCTTGGTCGTGGTTATCCATCGACATACCCAGATCCATGCTTTCGTCGGAACCAAACAAGTCATTGTTCGCATCTTCATAGTTGAGGAGAGCATCAAAGTCGTTTTGCGTCACTTCAGCGTCGTTAGCCAGGCCAATGAAGTCACTGAGACTCAAGTTAGGTTGTGACGCGAGTCTGTTTTCGTCGTTGAAGATATTAGGGTTCAAATTCTGCAAGCTACCGTTTTCGCTGCCATCCGAGTGTGGCGGGGTCGCCGCATTGAAGGGCATGCTGCTGTCCATCTCAGGAATGCGGAAGCCAGTAGGTGCCTGGGGATAGGTCAAATCCGGCAGCTTTTGTGCCAAGGAATCTGGCGGTGGTGTCAATGCTGTAGGGCGAACCGTTCCCGGTGGTGCACTGGATTTGCTATCCATTCCGGTCAGGTTGAGTTGAATACCAGCCTTGCGGATGGCGGCTTCCAAAAATGAGGTAGCAAAGTCGGCAGACGCGTAGATTTCACGAAGACGCTGTAAAATACGCATACATTGGTAGAAACGCTGCAAGCTGACCATCCGAATGCTGGGATCATTGGACTTGATGTCCAACAGATGAATAATAACGGCAGGGAGTAGGACGGTAACGCCAGCTGTTGGAAGATAGCGAGTGAGGTCGAGTTTGTGGAGGCCCTGAGCGATGTTGGTGATTTCAACAGCGGCTCGTCGGACTTTGTTCCGCGACACTTCTTGTAACTCGGCTTCTACGGTTGGGAACGGACTTGCTGGTAGCACCTGTGGTCGATGGAGAGCGCTAGATGTAGTAAGATAGATCATCCGCAGCAAAGCACGGTGAAGATGCAATGATGACTCCGCTGGAGACAGAGTTTCTTTGCTGGATTGCGGCTTGTACTGGATTTCAGCAGGTAGATTTGCTTGCCATCTTTCAAGGTCTTCATCACAAGTTCGGACTTGGAAGGTCTCCGTGTTTGATTTTTTTGGAACAAGCATCATGGTAGTCTCGGTTGTGCCGCCGAATCGATGGCTCAAAACCGAGTACTGAGCAGACAAGACATTGCTGACACAGAGGCACAGCTTGGACTTTTCGATGAACATCATGGCGAGATGTCGTTGCTGTTCAATGTTGTACAAAAATTCACAGTCCCCTAGCATACTTAACACTTCAGAAGGGAATGATTTAAATTCAAAGTCATCTATCGTCAACATGGGCACGTCGCAGTCGTCGTCTTTAACTCGCATTGGGCGTCTCATTCCGAGCGCTATCAATCGATCTCGTGTATAAGTACTCCACCAAATACGCTTCCACATTTGTTTTCGTCGTGGTCCCATGCCGGAGTTACTCGGGTCTCGATGGAGTCCAATAGTGTGGGCGAGAGACAAGCTCACGCCCATCCAGTGCCAGGTGTCCTTTTGGTCGTCGGGTGTCTCATACCAGTAGGTCATGAGAAGAAGGGATTGTACCAGGGAGATGCGGTCGACCTCATAGTCGAAATCGTAGAGCAACTTCTCAAGTCAGTAATTTGGTCTAGACTGGGGCTACATGGTCACATACCCTAGCTCGCTGGAAGAAGACCTTGCGGGCAACCTTTCTACTCGAATAGCCTGCATTGACGAGATGTTCATTGTCCACAAAAGCAGTTCCCGCAAACATGACTGCTTGGAATAGCAGCAGGCTCATTCGGTGGATGCCATCATTGCGAGCAATAACCTGCAAAAACTCTTCCAAGTCCAGGAGTGGCATGTAGGGATGGACATAGTGGATGTACGCTTTCAAGAGCTCGTTTCGGAGTGTTGTGTCAGGAATCGTCAAGGCACCTTTGGCAGAGAGATATTCGACATCGTCTCTCTGCAGGCGTTGTGGCAAGCCCCGGATGTAGTCAGGCAAAACGCTGCGCGAGCGAGGGGATCCCAGCAATTGCTGGATGGCATCGGTGACATTGGACCCCAGGTTGAAGGTATTCGAGACGGGTTGCGAGACACTCGAGCGTCTCTGCGACTGCTGAGGGCCTGCGTCGATGTTAGAGCCACGTGATTGATCTAAGGCAGGCGGTTAGTTTGCATTCAGCTACAAATGGAAGGAGCGGTCCTGCCACGCACAGATGAGATGCGGCATGTGCTGACTCATGTCCAGATCGACCGACCGCTGCGAGGGCGAGAGAGCTTCATGCTGCTCCAGTCCGTCCAGCCCGTAGCCTGGTTGTCCCAGCCCGGCCATGTCCTCGGCGGATTCCCCGGGCGACTCTGGCGAAGGCTTACTGACCTCGGCCTCCACGCGCGATTTCCTACATCAGTCAGCACAAAACAGGCCCACAGGTAACATTTGCAGGGAAAATATCGTACTTCCGGCGCTTGCTTTCCATAACCACGCATTCCACCTGGTCTAGGCGGCAGTTGGTGCATGGGGAGCCATTCTCCACCACATCGCAACGAACCTTGCGAGCACGGCAGCAACAACAAGCCCGAGAAGCCCTTCGTTTAACGGGTCGGTCTCGTGAAGAGAGGCCCGCGGTCGAAGCTTTTCGCTTATTCTGCGACTCTGTTTCGGAAGGTGCTGAAGTCATTGTCACGGATTTCTAGCGGGCACATGCGAGCACGTGCGATAAACCGTGGGGTGTCGGGAGTTTGAAGGACGATGAATGGCAGCGAGGCAGCTCGTAAAGACTACGAATTCAGTGTGTATGTTGAGCCCAGCAAACCCACGGAAAATCCTCCATTAAGTCCAGAAAAGCCTGGGGGCGGGGCCGGCGCCTACTTATATTGATTATCCTGGATTAGGAGAGGCAGATCCCCATGTTCGTTGAATCCCCCCATGGTTAGCATGGATGTCCACTCTAGCCACAGCGTGACCTGGACCCAGAGTTGGCTGTCGGGCCATTTGCCTCCCCCGGACCGTCTTCAGCAGCACAGTGGGCGTGGTGTGGGGAATTACAGGCCCCATCTACCATTCACCTCCGGCCGATTACGTCCCAGTCCACCCGGGGAAGAAGCTTGTCAGCTTGTGCAGGAGTGGCAGTCTGTAACTACTGGCGTGCTCTAGACTGGGCCCGCTAGCGAGACTAGACAGGAAGCCGTTTTGGCATTATTATGTATTGTTATTATTATTGACTTTCGACGTGCACTACGAGGCCAATGGACGGCAACTGTCGGGCCGGTCACGCAGACAAAAAGGTTTTTTTTTCGCAGGCTTGGAACAGGAGGGTCCCTGCGCCGACGGAAATGAACGACAATCATGGGGGCATTGTTTGGCGTAACTTACAACAATGGGTCGATCTTAATCACTCAAAAGGGAGGCGATCTACTATTGGCATACTCCAAGCGCCTCAAGTTCTCATCGGGGTCAACCGCAAGCGCACACAATGCCGATGACATGATTTGCTGGCACTTGTGGGACATCTTGCACTTGCGGGATTTACATTCCACTACCTGCACATGCAGGAGATATGTTGTCATCAGTTTAATAACAAATATCAAGCATGGCCTAACCTTTTGTTCCACGAAACTAGTAGTTAGTACAACTACATCCTGATGCGGTTCTCTCGGTACGCGAGAAAGCATGGCAAATCTTCGACCCTTTCGCCCGTAAAGTGAATTTACAACGAGTGCCCACAGCCATGACATTAATAATGATTCTATCCAGCTGCACAAATGTATATCACTGTGAATAAGCACCTCGTACGTGACGGCCGTCGATCTGTGAAAACCGAGAGCCGAATGAAAAGAGCAGTGCAAATTATTATTAATGCTGAAGGGCTCGACTATGCCGTTAAAGGTCGGCACAAAAGCCGAACGCCAAGACCTGCTAGGCCCACGGGCTAATTTCCCCATACAGGAAAGCTACGACGGCGCTGTATGCAAGACGGAATTGCAGAAGAATGTGGCTAAAACTTGGTTCAAACTCTGTCCTTCTTTCTTTATTTCTTTCTTTCTTTGATTTTTATTGCTCGCTGCTTTGTGCGCAGTAGGTCGCGCACCGTTGTGGATAAAGAATACCGAGTAATGCACTAGCAAGAATTAAGAATCCTCGGCTGTGGCTATGGGACATACTACGACGTCCTTATGAGACATGAGACGGACGTACGGCCGTAGCTAACGCTAACCCACTTGCCTAACCGCTTTCAGGTGTCTGGGCGGAGCCACGAGGCAGTCTCCTCGGAGCCAATCACCATGACGAGTTTTCCAATAGACCACTTCCGTGTTTCCCATTCTTCCGGCTACGCCATCGATCCTCCGACTATCGGCACTTGCCATCCACGGACTAGCGCGATTATCCACACCACAGGGCCACAGGCATGGCGTCATATTGCAGTAGTCAACCAGAAAACATGAAAAAGAGGCAGAACTAGATGAACAACGCAGGCCTTATCTATGCGCGAGAAATATTCACACTGAGGATGTTATTCGTGTTATGAGTGGCTGTTTAAATTGTGAAGGAATTCTGAGTGAACATGTTGCTGTACACATGTACCCCATCCGGAAACTGTCAATGTTCCCTCGGCCCGGAAACTCGGCCGAGTTATCCAGCCTGTGAGCGAATTCCGGAGGCAAGAAGGAATAACTTTTAAACATTTAGAACTATTCCTGTCTAATCAAATAACGAGCAGGAATTCCGGAGTCAAGGTTCAAAGACACAAAAACAAGGAAGGTGATAAAACCCCAATGCTTCCGTTTCTCCACATTTAACGCATCAGCAGATGGGCTGTAGCAACTTAGGCCTTTCAATGTATATCAGCCAGGCAAGTGATGTAGCCAGGTAGCTCGCTTATTGCGAGTATTGATGCATTTGTCCAGCAAATGATAACAGCAGCTCAAACGAAGACTATATAAAGCTAGACCTAATATGCATACGTACTTAGAATTATACCAATCACTAAACTGCGTGTTCAATATCATCATGTTTGAAAGCGGGGTCACCCCTGAACCACCATACAAACTACTCTCCGCAATTTCCCGAATGTTGGGGTAAAGAACATCAATACATCGTGGGCCTTGAGCCTATCACCTCGCTCTCCCTTCCGCCTGGATGCTTCGAATCATTCTACGGTCACTATTCTCCGTTTCCGGACTGGCCTCGATTGCTAACCACCCTTTCGCATTATCATGATTTAACTGCTTCTGGGAAAGAGCGTGGATGAGTCGAGACTCGACCCTCATTCCCCCGTAGTACGTCGCGCTAAAACGGTACAGTAGATTCGATCATCTGTTATCGTTGAGGCCGTTCAGCTGAGGTGGTGGTTTCTATGGAAAGACGGTGTGCATATACAGTATGATCGTGAAACTGACTAATGGTATGCTATCGATTCAGCGTCTAGAATTCCTCGGATACTTTTCCATTGGCCATATAGCAGGATCTAGACTCAATTTTCGCTATTTGTTGATCTGAACTAGTCTAGGATAACAAAGTTTGTGGAAACGACAGTCGGATCCGAGAGCGGATCCGAGCGGAAGACGGATTGATTAGTATACCTGTAGACGAGAGTTTTAGATGTTGCACCCTTTGACTCATTTTGGTATTGTCTTTTATTCGATTGAGTTAGAGTGTGCCGTATTGTAACTGAAATTGCAAGGATTATCAAAGGACCAGTCTAAAATTCTCTGGCCACACATAACAATTGATGATCAATCAGTCATGCTTTTAACTATTGATAGATTACGCTTATACATTGTATGCAAAGGTCAGAAATGTTATGTATTACTAACAATCTCAGTTTTCAGAATACATACCGTCACGGAAAATTTCTTCTTGTTCGTTACACATTATATATATGTTGACCCCCGAAACTGTATATATGTAGATTGTGACAAAGCCAAGATTCATGTATCTTTCAAACACCTAATTCAAAACAAAACATCGCTGTATATGAAAAACAAGTTTCTTTGTAGATGAAAAGCGGTCTATCGATTCTATAATTGGCTACAAGTAGCTTCCCTTTCCCAGAAGCCAGATTCTAGACTGACATATATTATTAATCACAAGCATTGTCGATTTTATAAAGAGTATACACTACTTTGCAAACGCAATGGCTGCCCAGCTGTTGGCTGTTCGTCTACCGATTGTCTAGGTGTCGACATATATCAAATATTGAACGTGGAATGATATTATGAACAACACCAAATAACTTATGAGGGCTAAAACCTCTCCTACGTCGAGACCCGTACCGGGTAAGTTCTCGGTAAAAATTCTTCTTAAAGAGAAAAACCATATTTCAGAATGTTGTATCAGTTCTATGCCTGAAAGCATTTTTAATTAATCATAAAAGCTTCTGTCAAGTGGGTGTTTTGAAAAAGCGTTCAGCTTGACACGCATACAAATACGACGATTTCTTTTTGCAGGGACTATCTTCATTAGTGTATTCCGATAGACGTAAGTGGTCATAGTGAAAGGGCCAACATAAAACAAATAGGTAAGTTATAGAAATTAACGGGGCTTGGTGTATGTAAAAAACAACGGCAGCAATAATGGTCTGGGCCTAGCATTAGAAAGCTAAATAGATATATTTTTTATAAAAAAATGTCAACTGGTGCATAGAGGGCACGATATTGATGGAGTTCAAAACAACAGCGACTGCTTCCCTAGCTACTTGAAATCATCGGTTCATTAGTTTCCAATTCGGTGTCCCTTTAACAAGTCTTGCATATTTTCCAAGAGGTTTTTCAAATAACATAACGCCAAACAATATCTTGGATTCAACAGTATCAGCCGAGCACTGATTCTGTATCGTTAAGGTAACCTAAAGATCTTCATAACATAGATCTAGCTAACCCTTAGAAAACTTGGTTCTCCGTTTTGATTCTGATCAAATAAAACTTTTGCGTCATTAGTGCTGCTATACTGATAATTCTAAATCTTCGGGGTCCTAGACTTGCAGCCGACCCATATACTGAGAGATGGCATTCTCTGGATGGGATTCACCGCATCCGAGTCCGGTGTATCGTTTGGTAACGAAAATGAAGGATAAGACATGACGAGATGCAGGACATCTAAGTTCTCGATTCTCTTTTTGGGCGGGTGATGCAGGTTGCGCAACCCCCGTGGTGTCGTTAACAGGGAAGAAGCTGTAGCGCTCTTTGACGCCAAGAGGCTTATTGATTTCTGTATCTATTATGGCCTTTTTCCAGATAGAGGAAAGACACACATCCTCCAAAAATACCCGCGGAAGGCGACGCTTTTCCGATAAGAACGGGGCTTGAGAAATATTTCGTAGATAATATATATATCTCCTACTAAGAGCCGCAACACCTACCCACGCAGTGTGTGAGAGTATACATGATCGATTGCTGTAATTAGTAAGGACGTCTCAGGATTTGCAAGGATGGTTTCCAAGATGGCTGACATCATCGAGTTCTGCATGTCGAGCATCTCGAATCTGCCAGCTGGTATCCAGAGCTTAAATAAGAATAGAGTTTCCTGAAAGGACGACATGCTGGAGAATTCTCTACGATAGATCCAGTGTATAAGTTCGGTGAATACATCAGAATCTTCACCGGGAAAGCGGATTCGGCGCCTAGCGATGGTTTTGATACTCTCATCCGGAAGTAAAGGCATAAAATAAGTCGAAGACTGGGGCAGCAATTGCAAATGTACATCAAATGAAACCCGAGGAAAATCCACGTCCAAATAGACTATTCCTCCAGTAAGATTTCTAATTGACAGGGGTCAGCAAGGACTTTGTTAACGGTGTTGAAAAAGAAAATACAATGGAATGGGCATACTGTTAAATAACAGACATTGATATCAGAGTAGGCGCAATTGCAAGTTAGAAGTAAGGAATAAAAGAAGTCGTAGCTTAATGGTGGAGAGTTAATAATAAGAGACGAATTGGAACAGTGATGTCGTGGTTTATATCCTTCTTTCATGTGGCTCGGCGCTTATAGTAAGAACTTGATTGGTCCGATGCAGTTCTTAAACATAGATCTTGCACTAGTCCTGAGGCTTCCTTAAACGGATGTTCCACGTTGTTACATATATTATTATTGTCTAGAGCTAGTAATACATAATAGATCTCTTCCGTAAAGAATGCATGGGCATGTGGCACCGAGCCAATCAACATTATGGTGTTGATATTGAAGTCGTCTCGATGAACGCTACTTACTCGTATCATGGAATCGACCTGGCAGTGGGATATCTGGAGTATTATGATAAATACTAGTTTTTATTACTTAAATATTCATTGTATTGGCAGCTTTTAGACCATTCAATCTTTCCCTTGAGGACCATCCTCCTCGTCGACTATCTGCTGCTCACGCTTCTCCTGCGTAGGTGCGAATTTGCTCCGTATCCTGATCTGCTTTCCGTACTTGTAAAAGAGAAAAGGGCTAACAGCCAAAGCAGCAGCCACACCGCCGATCAAACTTCCACCCCCTCCGACGCCCAGCGCGGTAAACATTTGATTAGTGAAAAGTGGTGCTGCTGCGCCACAGGCAGAGCGGGCAATGGTGTTTGCTGCAATAGCAGAGGCTGCATACATCATGTAGACATCCACGAGGTAGTTCAGGTACGAGACGAAAATGAGTAACATAGAGGCTGAAAGTACACCACCGGCGATTGTAGGAACTGTCCAATGAACATGGCTGAACTTTGAGTCAGGTTGAAGGTTTCAATTTATATCAAGAATTTAGAGACTCACATATATTCAGCTGACCATGCAAACCAGAACATGGATGCGGCAAAGGTAATGCCACCGATCATTGCTAGTGGCAACCGATCTTCGGGAGTTGCGTCTTCCATCTTTATTTCGCCTCTCTCGATTTTCTTTTGGCGAATCCTAGTGTCGACCATAACAACCAGGCCACCAAACCATGCACCTACAACGGTGCCAAGTAACGGCAATTCGCCCACTCCAGCGTTCCACCCACGTCTCTCTTGGAATACAATCGGATAAATACTGAAAAGCATGTAGAGCAAAGTATAGACGACGGCCATGTAAATGGCACATAAAAAGGAGATGGGATCGAAAAGGATAATCCACGGTCGAGTAAGAGCTACTTTATAGATGCCAACGAGCGTCCTATCGCCTTCTTCAACCGCGGCCTTGATATTCTCATATCCAGGGATACGTGCCTTGCGAATTCGTTTTGCCTTGATGTAGAGAATCGTGGGGGCATATGTTTCGGGAATCGTCAGCATCAAAATCGCCGATCCTCCCCCAAGCCAAAGAATGACATAGAAAATCCAACGCCAGTCTTTGTCCACCTCGAGGAAACCTGCGATAACTGGGCCGAGAGCTGGACCTACCCATACCATCACCGAGAAGCCGGCCATTGCGTTGGCGCGTTCAAGAGGATTCCATAGGTCGGCCAAAACCCCAGGACCATTACTCAACGGGGCCGAGATGAATGTGCCAGTGAAAAACCGGCCAACGAGCAAGCTCCCGAAATTAGGAGCGAAGGCGCAGAGAAAATTGAAGGCGAGATAAAGTAAGAAGGTGATATAGAAGATCCACCGACGACCATAAAACTCGCTCAGCGGAGCAAAGAGTAGCGGACCAGCACAATAGCCAAGCAAGAAAAGCGTTATTGTGAGCCCTCCTGCCTCAATCGACACGCCGAAATGTTCTGAGATAGACCCCAAACAACCGCTTGGTGCGCTGGAGGCAGCCGTTGCGTTCAAGACGAGTAAAACGGTCGTAATTGTGATTATTGTACGGCGGCCTGTTGACCAGTTACGTGGGTTCTCGATATCCCCAGGAGCGAAGGCGACATGGCCATTTTCGTCGAGAAAAGGAGGTACTTCATCTTGAAGTTTTGTCGTGCGGTAAGGTTTATTGACCGGTTTGGAGAATATACGCACAATGGACTCCATCACGGACGATTAGAGAGGGAAAGAGGGAAAGATTGAACGCCATGAGATCAAAGAAAATAAATGGACGGATACTCGGCACATGTAGCGTTGTTCCTCACCTGTTGGCTAATCCTACATGATTGTGATTAATCAGACGGGCCGTTAACCCCGCTCTTACGTCCGGGATGCCGCCGTCAGTTGATTACTCGCCGAGAGAGTCGGATAGGAGAAAAGAATATAATTATTACAATGTACATTAATGGCCTTGGTCGGAATCGCGTTTTCAACTGTTTAACAACGCCCGCTAAATCTGAAGCTACATATATCTAGAATTGAAAGGTAGCACTAAAATAATGCTGTTGTACAGTTTAACTCCGCCAGCTCGGAGATTCGGCCATTCGGATTGGACCCCGCAAAGCTCGGAGGATGGACCAGCAAATCAGATGGTCAAGGGGCCATTCTCACATGCAGCTTGTCCGACAGTCATCGCGTGAGGCCACGTGCAATCAGACGCATCAATGGCCCAAGTTGGAAGCTGCGAGTATAGCTTGATTCCTTTCATTATATATAGAGTCTATGAGATATCAATATGCCTGAAATTTTATATCGTCACTGGATAGGTACATGTATTGATTCAAATATTTAAGCTCAAAAGATATTCTGAGCGCGGAATTTAGCAAAAATATGAGGGATCATATTGACAACGGGACTAGTCAATGAGAGGCCACAATTGACGGTTTTCGCTTACAACCAGCCTGCATGTGTTGTAGAAGTCGACATATCAGTTGTTTAGTCCACCATGAGTCATAGGAATCGGGCTTTTCCAATCAATCGTCCTTTCCTCATAATGATTTCAGCTTCTGTGCAAGTCCCAGCCTATAGGCTGAGCCATAAATATAAATATAGATTACAATCAGGACCAGCCAAGAATCGATGTAGAGTCTCCTATGAAAATAAAAAATAAAATACTTAACAAATCCATCAAATATTGTCTTTTTGATCACTCAAGAAAATACCACAGTTGGCTTTGATCCTGCATTGTTCAATATATGCAGCTGTAAGTTTGATCCAAACTTTGAGCCGGCTACTACCTGGTGGCCCTTGACCCGCGAGCAGAAAAAAACCATCATTTATCGCGTCCAGGTGTTTTTTCAGTATTAGGTAAGAGTTGTCATCTCGATCTTCACCGCTGCCTGTATTTTTGCCGTATTGGGAGTTTTAGGGCTAGTCTCGATCTGGAGGAGATACCTGCCTGAACCCTTAAAAAGGGAGTAAAATTGAGATATATTCAGGGCCACAAGAGTATCCGCTTCAGATGGGTAGTATTGAAATGAGTTATCAAAGGATGTAGATTTATAAATGTTGTGTATGCGAGGTTCAAGAGTGTTTGCCACCAGGCTCGTGAGCGAAGAAAAATGCAGGGCTAAAAAACAAAACCCATGCAGGGGCAGGGGTCCAATGTAGCTAAATTTAGAATTACTGTATTGTTGCACTATAGGAAATTAATGCTTCGATTCTTACTCTTCTTACCTCCGTACATATTGATGTCACACGAGAGGATAAATGTCTGCATAATATTTCTGGTTTAAAATGTCAGGAGCTCCATGTAAATATCATTCTACCTGGCCCAGGGAACTATCATAGAATTCGATGTCACTATTAGGATCATCCATTTCAGGAACCGGCACTCCGAACCGAAACGCCCAAGACCATCGAAATGATATGAGAAAAGAGCACGAAAGGAAGAAGATTAATTATAAAAGGTGTAAACATGGTGGGAAGGAAAGAGGAGAATTGGGGCTGCTTATGTAGGGTTAATTATAATATCTCAGTTCATGCAACTCGGCAGCAATTTTGCAACTAAATTATCGAACTGAATCTGCACCGTACGTATACTAGGGCTAGAGGCCGAAGCCCTTTAGCGTAGTGGAATAAAGTTTGACATAAATAGTCCAAATCCAAGGTAAAATCGGGGCTATTCCTAAAGAAGTAATCCGCGCGAGGGTTACTCCCCTGCACGGACGCCGCGTCCATTCGGTGTCGGTGTCAGCATATCAATCGCTCCGTAAGCCTCTAAAGAAATGATCAGATCATGGATTAAACCCTATAAATTTTGAAAAGAGTTTAGACAGAACCTCTCTCGGAATTAAGAAATGGCCGATATGTCTCGTGCACCCAAGTTGGAGGCTCGCACCGTCTACTTGATATGGTATGGGGCACGAGATCGGCTTTCGCGTTTACGAAATCGAACAAGACTTATGTGTTATGATGCTTCTTATATGGTCACCTAGATCAGCGCAATCAAGTATAAAATCTGCTTGAAACCCTGTCGAAAATTCCTGAAATCACTACATTCTTCCAACCGAAAACCAAAGCCTCTTCGTTTACAAAGAAAATCTTGCTGAAATTACTTCCATCTGTGATTGAATATGGCCTCTGTCAATGAACTACCTTCACCTCGCTTGGTCGTGACTACACACACCAAGGATGGTGCATCCGTCTTCTCTAGGGACGAGCAGATCACGCCTTTCAAACCCTTCGGACCGCAAGGAAGTGGCTTTTCAAGATTCCACTCCCGGCTTTCAGTCCCAGTGTCAAATATCAATGATCCCCCAAATCTCGCAAACACGCTTCCTCGATGCCCCCCGAACGGAGTCCTGTTCTGCACCACGGATATTCCTCCCAACGGCAGGGCCCCATTGCACCGGACTTTGTCGCTCGATTATATCGCCGTCATGTCCGGAGAGATTGTTCTGAGATTGGATAGTGGAGAGGAAAAGACGGTCAAGGCGGGTGAATATATCGTCCAGAAGGGGGTCAACCATGAATGGATCAATCGTTCGCAAAGCGTCTGTCGGCTGTTGTGTGTCATGGTAGGCAGCCAAAAGATTGTGCTCGATAACGGAACAGCGTTGGAGGAGACTGTGATTCCAAAGAAATGAATGAGGAACGACTTTTTGAATGCAACCAAGACACTTGGAGGAATGGATTGCCTTTTTTTTTTGATAATGATAGAACATGATGTAGCCAGTTAAATGTTACTTAAGTGGCCTAAACTTGACTTCATCCCTGTGCATTCCCGAATCCGGTCAAAGATATCCTGCGCAAAAGCATTTTGCTGGACAGTGGCAGATGGTGTTCTCTTCACCACTTTTATAGACCATAAGAGAAAGTATGCTCCCACAGCATTACATGTAGATGTTCCAGACGCGCGACCTTCATGATCAATATCACCTAAGGATTGCGGGACAGTGGCCAGCACGGCATCCGCTAGAGCTCGTACAGTTTCTACAGAATCTCGCTTGAATGCTTCTAGAGCCTTTTGCAAATTTTCTGAACAATCTGGATACCTATCATCGAGTCGGTGGAGACAGCGTAAGAGCTGCTCGTGAAGGAGAATCCGGGCTGTTCGATGATAGTTCCACTCATACGCTATCCAAACGTCGCGGTGAAGCTGGATGAATTCGGGAAGGTTGAGAACTGCTATCGTCTGTTTATCGCCTATAACATCAGACCGGTGGATAATTTTGTACTTCCACTGTGGTCCATCTCGCCATGACTCGGTCGTTCGGTCAAGCTGTTGAATTTCCTCTACCATGTCTAAGACCTCAGTAATGGGGAAGTCGGTATTATCTAGGCGTTGGCGGAGATCTCGCGCACGCTTGCAGGTTTTACTTATCTCTAAGTTGTCCTTCTCGTTTTGGACGTAGGGTAGCATTTCATTGAGAGAGTTGAACCAGTCTATGGATTCTGGGAGCGGCTCCTGGCTAAACGCCAGCTGTTGTTTTTGCTAGAGAACATTTCTTAGTTCATCGCCGGAAGAATATATATGAGACTTACAATACGATGATGGGCGAGACGGAATAAACTCCAACTACGTGGGTCGTAGAACTGGTCATGTCCACGAAGACGGAGAATCTGAGCCATTCCTTGGGCGTGCGACCCCCGAGATAGCGGGTTCTTCAGATGGATGGCCTAGCAATTTAATTAGTTACTGGATGAAACAAAATCGAAGGTAAAAGGACCTACCTCAAACAGGTCTAGTATAACGACTGTCATCAGAATATAATCATCCGCTTTCCCTTCAGGTTTTGCTAAAGCCTCTACCAGAGTGGACAAAGCTTGCCCATAACAGTGAAGCGCTTTATCGCCGAGAGCTTCGCTGTCTTGATCATTGGACATACTTGCATAGGAGGTAGCATAAACCGCCCACCGCAGCGCCACCCTCCTATCTGTATTCACTTCTTCGAATAGACATGGGAGATACTCAAGAAAGCCTGGCAGCGAAGCTTGATTACAGGGGTACATAACATACTTCTCAAAAATTGGGATACTGCCTGTTCTTCTATAGAAGACTCTAGAGCAGTTGGAGTCGCTTTGACCCAGGGATAAAGCTTGTCGAGGTTGAAGTCGGATACCTCTACAGATGAGAGGCTGGTATGGTCGTGTGCAGACGATTGTGTGGTTTGGGAGGTTACGGTGACAGGGGAGTCTTGGCTCGACGAACTAGAGCTCGAAAAGTTCTGCATCGAGGCACGGCGGCGCATGGACAGCTTTTGTGCCTTTTCGGTTTCATCCCGGAAGAGCAGCGATACAGGGTCACGATAACCCGAACAAAGGTCACCACGTCGAATGCATCGCCGGCACGATGGGCGATGCTCGTCACACTAGCGACAATTCAGTTCCCGGGGAGGTGTAATAGAGGCAGCACGAGGAGGTGTAGTACCTTGACTTTGCGCGCACGGCAAGGCGAGCAGCCTTTACTGAAATGCGGGGGCATCACTACATTTGAACTTGCCAGTGAAGTGCGTGAGTTGCACCTCCTGCAATGGAGGCTGACGTTTACAATCTGGTGAGCGGGGGGATTGGCCGTGAATAATTAATTAGTCGATCAACGTGGGGCATTATCAGTTCTCTAAATTGAAGGCTTAAAGACGCTAAGGCCATTTCGTCCTAGGATTAGTCCTCCTTATTTCTGTATTATTATATTCTTACATAGTTACCCATGAGTATTCAGGCAGACTGGTGTCCAAATGAGCACTAGCTTTCTATGCTTAACATGATGAAAATTGAGGTAGATACAATAGAGAGTTTGATGCAACGGGCTTGTAAGTTCATAATATTTATTATAGTAAAAAAAAGAAAAGAAAAAATAAAGCAATCATATGAAACGATAAATCTCAGTGAAAAATGGATGCCTACAAATTCACTTTTCAATGTTCCGTTCTGGGAAAACCGTAGGCGGCCCAATCCACTATGAGAGCCAATGAAAGGCGACCGGGATACGAGCTGCACCCAGCTTTGGTCTCATTTCATTGCCACAGTGATATGGAGTACGATCACGACTTGTCGAATTTGCCTAAGACCACTTGAACTGTCCAGGCATCAAAATTTATACTTGCATGTTTGGCTAAACCTTGGTCATTTGGTCTTAAAATATAATATACCTTCTCACCACCATTTGCACGGACTGATCTGACTTTTATACTATTCTTCAGTGTTTATTTGAACGCTTTTTTGAGAGGCCACTAGAGACCAAGGATATCAATTGGTATATCTAATACTGATTTTTTCATCATGAAGATAGTCATAATTGGCGCTGGTATCTCCGGCCTGTCGGCATACCTCTCCCTCACGAAGCATCTTCCTCGCCCGTCTCATCCAGCTTCAGACCACACCTATACCATATACGAAGCACACGATACCCATAAAGATACAACATCCGAGCAGCGATCTTCAACCAATCTTCATTCATCGACCTTAATTGTTGGTGGTGCCTTAGGTATTGGCCCCAACGGTATCAATGTCTTGAAGCGTCTAGATCCTGAGATAGTGAAAGAAATTGTCTCAAATGGTTACGCTGTATCAACGTATAGTATGAAAAGCAAGAATGGAAGTGTTTTAGCCCAAATCACTTCGCAGGCTTTGGTCACTTCTGCCAACGGAGAAAGTCAAAAGACCGCCAATACCGTGGCGATCAGTCGCCACATGCTCTGGCGATGCCTTCGTATTCGAGTCCCAGACGACATTATTATAAATAAACGAATTTCTGAGGTCATTGCAAAATCCGATGGGCGAAACATTATTAGGTTCGCAGATGGCAGTGCTCCAGTTGAAGCAGACCTTGTCATTGGGGCGGACGGACTGAAGAGCACGACTAAAAAAGCGGTGTTTCCGGAAGTGAAAGGTGACATATATCCTCATCAATATGAGTATGTTCGAAATCTTTCATTGAAAACCGTATTCAGGCTAATAAAAATCTAGAGGTTTGGTAGGAATTGGGGGTTTTATACCAATAACACCAACTCTCCGGCGGCATATTGATAAAGGCTGCATGAATCTGGTCTTTGGTGGCAATGGATTCTTCGGATACTTTCCGGATACTAGCTCCTTATCCTCTCCTGCTCGTGGCTCCGTCTACGATGTATCCGAACCAGGTGATCAATTAGCATGGTGGTCAACCTATGCCATGGAGGAATGCCCGCAGGACCCGCGCAACATTGATCGCGAATCGGTCATAAGAGAGCTACAAACGCGACATGCTTCCTGGAAAGACCCCGTTGTAAGGGAAATTATTAGAGACAAGAACCTCAAAATAGAGAACGTCTATCCAACATGGACTGCCCCGGAGATTCCTACATGGGAACGGGATGGGGTTGTCTTGGTAGGCGATGCGGCACATGCATTACCCTCGACCTCGGGACAGGGCTCGTCGCAGGCGTTTGAGGATGTTGAGGCCTTAACTCTGTTTCTTGCACACGAATTACATGCGGCCTACGGAAATCCACTCGAAACGCAGATTATGACGGAGAAAACAGCCATTGCCGCAGCTTCTAAGAAGTACGTAGCTCTGAGAAAACCACATGTCAAGCAGATTCTGGATCACGCACGCAAGATGCAGAACTCGAAGAGAAATATGTCTGTTGTGGAGGAATATACAATGTATATTTTCATGTGGATTATGGGCTGGTTTCCTTCAGTTATGTCGAAGCAGTTTAGAGGGGTGGCTGAGTATGATGTCCGGGCGGAGGTGGAGAAAAGTGTCAAGGAAGCTTAGTCCATTCAGTCCGTTGTATCAGTATAGAATAGCCTCTCTACTCAGCGACCTAAACAAATATGGACAAACTGCGATAATTGTAGGCCATCCGTTCTCGTCTCTGATTGGCCAATTCCCACGAACGCAGGTCGCGGGATTGGGTTCCGCATTGGACCTAGCTTTGTTTACCCGGCAACGGGTACAACAATAATTGGCTTACTGACTGTCAACACAGAACTCTGCTTCTGCGAACACTCACAACAAACAGAGCACATTCTGTCAGTCATGACACAACCACTTTCTCCCTTGTCGCCAGCATCTGGCAACGCTCGCATGCATTCCCCCATCGCTCCGCCGTCTACAGTGCGTCGTCGAGGAATTGACGAGATCATGGCCACAGATAACGAAAAGGAAAACGCCTCGCCGAACCCTCCCAAACGTACACTGTATTCCTATGATGAGAATTATGATGACGATGACTACTACGAGTCAAAATACTCGACGGCTCGCAGTCAATATACTGGAGTGGACGACGCGACGGAGGATCTGAATGCTGGCCCGCCAAGCTCACCATTCCAGTTTGATGCACGAGATGATACAGTCGATATGGAGAAGCTGCGAGCAATGACTACCTCTCCGTTGCGTAATAAAAGCCTGAGGAATGCCGTGCCTGAGGTTTATGTGGATGAAGAAGACAGGTCAGATGACGGCCGTCACGATGATATGACTTCCGAGAGGACATACCAAGAAACAGAAGAGAGATTTGAATCTCACACCGTCATGAACAATAGGCCATTAGACTTGGATGATTATAGCACCGTTCATTATCACGCAGAAAAGTCTCCTCGTCACGAAATCGGCAGTAGCATGATGGAAGACAGACACAACGAAGAAATGAGCACAGTAGCGCATCCTTCCTCCCGTGATGGCTTGGAGCCAGATGATGATGCATTGCTTGCTACTGAGTCCCATGGCATGAATGAACATCACGAGAATGACCCTATGGATGATACATGCTTCAGCACGTTTTCTGCGGTGCCTAACGTGGACATGACTTTGTTCTCGAAATTGCGAGGGTCGCCAACAAAGAAAGTGGGTGACATTATGGATAACTCCACGAGCATACGAGATTCTCCCTCCTCACGGCGGTCGAAGACATCCACACCCACTACTGTGAGAAGACGAGCCGCTGACCACAGCGATTACTCGCCCACGCCGCGGAAGAGAGGTCCTCTTGGCCAGGAAGAAAACCCAGATCTTCTGGATTTTAATGACTCCATCAACTATTTCCGTCGAGTATCGCAACGTTTTTCAACTTCAAACAGCCGAGCTTCGATTTCTCCCCGCCGAAGATCGCCTCTAAAACCACGCGAATCGATGCGTTCCCCTACAAAGTACAACTTGCTTGACTTTGACCTTCCGCCCCCGCAACACCGATGTCTATACCTTCTATCACCCCTCGTGAATTGGAGTCCCTCAAATCTGGATTCTTGTCAGAGATATCTTCACTTAAAGCTACAGTCAGTGGCAAGGAAGCCGAAGTGGGAAGCCTAAAGCAAGCTGTCGCAGATGCAGAGCGTCGAGTTGCAGAAGCGCTTGAGGAAGTTCGTAACGAAGCTATCCGCAAAGAGGCCTTGGAGGTTGAGCAGGCAGAATGGGAACGTCGTGGCAAGGAAATGGATACCGTTCTACGCGAAGTTAGGTCAGAGATTATTGAGGGAGAACGGGAGCGAGAACGTATGACGAGACGGAGCGAGGAAGCCGAGAAACATAGAGAAGAGCTTGAAGGGAGAATCGTAGAGCTGGAAAGCCAACTTGATGCTGCTCGCAAAGCCCCCTCCACTGTGGCCGGACCACCAGCTGGTGCTGATATCTCCGGGATGATTACCGCCGAGCAATCAGCCAAGGAGGTTCAAGAAGCGGTGGAGCGGGTTGCTCGTGAGCTTCACACCCTGTACAAGGGTAAGCACGAGAATAAAGTTGCTGCTCTGAAAAAGAGCTACGAATCACGGTGGGAGAAGCGCGTGCGCGAGGCTGAGAACAAGCATAAGGAAGCCGCGGAAGAGATTGAGCGTCTGAAGACTGAGCGCGATGCCTCCATGTCTGGACCTATACACGCCAATGTCAGTGTGCTCGGTCGTGACAATGAAGAGCTAGAGGCTGAGAACAAGGTACTTGGCGCTCAAATCAAGGGTCTCGAGCAACAAATCGCCTCCGTGAAACAGAATAATGAGCAATTGCATTCCGAACTCAAGATTGAGCGTGCCGAGAAAGGTGAACTGGTTGCAGCCGTAGACGAATGGCTTGCTATGCAACAAGGTCAACAATTACAATCCATTCCAGGTTCGCGAGAACCATCAGTCTCCTCAACACACTCCTCCAACTCTCTTGTGAGCGAACATGAAGTCACTCTTCAAGAAGCCGACCTAGGCAACGGTGTTACGATCGAATTAGAAGCAGACCCGGAGCCAGCTGTACTCAAACGTAGCATCAGCCGTACCATTTCTAGCAGCAGCAGCGGCCTGAGTGGTATCCGGCCGCCTTCATCAGGCATTGAAAAGAAAAGCCGCCTGGGAATGTATCATGCGCGGCAAAACAGCGGCAGCGCTCGCTCCGGCATCGCCATGCCGACTCCTGGGCGGAGCGGAATTATGAGTTCGATTGAACGAATGGGTCGTGGGGGGAACTAACCAATTGACAGCTTTGTTTTGTTACTTATGTCTTGCTTTTGTGTTGTAATGCGTTGATATGATATATGATACCACGCTTGTGTTGGCGGCTGTCTTCGCGATTTTTTCTTTTTCTTCGAGGGGGATATATTGTACAGAATTGATCAATGCTGCTTTCGGCTGTCTAAGTCATGATTCAGGAGTGTTAACGAGTTTATGAGAATCGATCCTACTGTTAAATTTAGAACTATCAATATATTTATACTGACACCAGTTCAGTATCAATTCAAATGTTGACATCAACTTACCTCATAAACATTGGAGCAACAGATTATTCGCTGCACATGTGGTCATTGTCTTGAAGCCCATGAAAATTCCATGCTCACAAAAATCTATCGTCTCACATATGCTGTTTCAAATAGTTGTCTGAAGTCCTTGGCTATTCCTGCTCCAATACTATCGACACCGGCGTTCACTCACCTACCCATTACCGTTGATATCGACGAAGACGGCGTTGAAGATATCACTGTTGGTGTATAGAAATACATGATCCACGAAAACCATGGCTTTTTTGGTGGTAATACTTGCCATCGAATTTATAACCATGCTGAGAGTTTTGCTATTTGCACAGTTCTGGTACCTGATTCTCTTGCGTTGTCCGCAACCAGTCATGAGCAAAATCCCCAGTCGCTTTAACAATAGGTCGATGCCTAGCTTGCACGGAGTGTACCGGCTTATTGTCAATACCGTAGAAGATATATCTCAGAATCCGAATATGAACATCGACTGGCGTCGGTCACTACGAACTGCTAGACGCTAGGGGCGCTTGTACTGGTTGGAGGGATACTCGAAATCTATTCTAGATTGGATAAATCAAATACTTCCTTTAAACATGCCTGATTATTTACGATAACTACTGCAGATACTGGCAAGATAAAGGCCACTACTCTCTTGGATCAGAAAGTTTTGGCGGTTAGTTGATGTTAGGGCAATTTCGAATTGTGAAAAGTTATAAATAGGATGGGGGCCATTTAAAGGCTCTTGGAGTGCGGTAAGGCAAATGATAAGGACGCTCTAAATGTTCACATTGAAAATCCCTTGCTTTTCAAGGCTCAACACTGCAAAGGCTCAACACTGCAAATATTGTCCTTTAACTATCCCTTCTTCATTTAAATTTATGCATACATATGCGTTTTTGGTGGCATTGTAGAGAGTTGAATATTGCTTCAATATTTTACGCAACGTTACATTTGTAAAACACGTGCGGTTGCGTGATCCGCTCGCTTATCGATGACATGCATTGTTCTGACATGAAAGTTGACTAAGCTTTGTTGCAGAGTCCTAGTTAGTATGATTGTGGATTCTGTGGATTCACTTTTCAGCCTGGTGGTAATATTCTACAGGCCCGTATCATGTGCCATCATTGTGGATTGTTTATGTAATTTATTACTATCTCTGAGACTAAATCGTCGGGACTTGACTTTAGCGTCTTCGATACGATAGACTCTGAGGCTCTGAGCAATGGCATTATTTGCTAATGCTATATTGTGGATTCAGCCCCTTCTCGGCTGACATTACCTAAAAAGTAAGGTAAAGATTATGGGAGGGTCTGTGTCCTGTATAGCTGACTTTAATAGGCGTGCTAATCACATGCGTGATGACGATCAGCGTTTCAGAATCATTTCGGCATTGCAACGGCTAGCTGGCAAAATCCACATTTGTCTTTACCTTATCTCCCATCGAGGTGTTCAACAATGACCTTCTTGCACTGTTGTAAATCAAGGCCCTGTCCCAGTCCATTGGAAAAGGGTAACGCTTTCAGAACTGTCTGGATGCCTTAGGTATGCCTTCACCGTCCTATTAGTGAGCGTATGAATGGCCTCCGCAGCTTCCTAGATAGCTTCATAATACCATCGATATTCCCCACCCCTCATCTCTCAAGAACACCACTCTCTTGATCTACTACTATTACTACTGATCTGCTCCCATGTCGGCATATCTCGCTGCGTCAAAAACTTGGCCAGCCCCGAACTATATAGATCCAATCACAAAAGGCGATGGAATTGCTATAACGAGTGTGGTGTTTGCTGTTGCTGCGTCTTTCACAGTCATCGTTCGACTTTACACCCGGTTCTGGATAACATCTATATTCGGCTTGGACGATGTGTTTATCGTTATTGCTGCTGTACGTTACAATCATAATTGACTTTTATGCACAAATTCACATGAAATATGTTCTTACTGAAGTTTCTGGTACAGATTTCGGGGGTGCTAATGATGGCAGCAGCGGCCGTGATATCGGCGGACTGTCACTGGAATCGACATATCTGGGACATCCCTTTATACTTGATAAAGAGAGGGTTTTTATGGGTCTTCATCATGGAAATTAGCTTCACAGTGTCAACCATTACCACTAAGCTTTCCTTGCTCTGGTTCTGCAGACGTCTCTTGGTCAAGGACGCCATCAACTTCTTTAGCCGTAAAACGATGGTATTGGATATGTGTATTATCCTTCTGGCCGCATGCGGTATTAGCTTTTTGGTCGCCGAGTTGGTGCAGTGTCGGTAAGAGATTAATTTCGACTGCGTCCCCTGCTGTCGATTTCCCCCTGTTTTAAGTTCATTCTCTCGCCATCCACCAATGACCTAGGTTTTCTGAAAAAATCTCCGGCTAAAATTCTTCGCTTTAGACCATTGAAAGCATATTGGGATATTTTCGCCACATATCCTTATACTTGTTTCGACACACGAAAACTTTTCGAGTTTGCGTGCATTTTGAACTCTGTAACAGATGTCTGCGCAACCATAGCCCCGATAACACTAATATGGCAGATCAAGTTGCCAAGACAACAGAAGATCATGGTTTCCTCGATTTTTGGATTGGGAATCTTAGTTGGCATCTCCGGCGTTCTTCGTGCCTATTATGTCTACAAGACATACGCGGCGCCTCAGTATGATTTCACCTGGGTTGGCTATTCCTATATCCTCATTGGATCAATAGAAATTGGATTGGGATTGGTAAGTGCTAAGGCTTTTCTCCTCCCTTGCTTTGGATTTAAAGTGATGTTGGTCTTATCTAACTACCCTGGTTATTCTTAGATTGTTGCATCTGCTCCTGCTCTACGGCCTTTCCTCAACCACATGCTTCCGCGCATTTTCCCATCCACCTCGAGAACGAAGCCTTCTATGTCGTCACAGCGGAGCAGGATATCTCAAAATGCATACCATCGTCCACTTCCTCTGAAAGACATCCCTGGCTCTGCAAAATATTCCGAAGAGTTCGATGAATCACTTATGCATGAGAGGCCATCATACAGCGCTCACTATGCGCCGCCTAAACCTCCTGGCGGCATTCAGGTTACTCGCACCGTGGATCTACAAACATTTTACCAATCAGATTCTAGTAGCCTTAGCGATCGTCCCGTCAACTTCGGGAGCAAATGAAGACTTGTTATATTCGCACTTCAATAACATGACACTTTTCTTGTAAAGACTGTTTCAAATGGCGAAATTTCTCATCCAAAATCGGCAGTCTTCGCTAATTACTTGGCAATTCTCTAGCCAATTATGAGTATAACACCTTTTCTCAAGATACTGTTATTTCTGACAATGATTGGTTTTCTGTCGTCTCAATGTGCCATGAATTTTAATAGAATAACGAATATAGATTGATGACTTTAATGCAAGCTTGATTAGGACATCGCAGTTTAGCTTTTTAGAAGTTCAAGTTCTCGAAAATTATTCATGTGCTTACCACGTAAACGTCGTATTCGATTTGATACCGATGATAGTGGTGATCTTGTTTAACTAGAAATACATTAGTTAAGAATGTTGATCTCTTAGGGTATTCTGTATTTTTTATAGGAGAGCGTCGGAGTCCTAATTACATAACGCTCCTATAGAAATGGTCATCTGGGCTATATTTGGTGTCCCTAGGACCCCCACAACTATTTAATCTTGTTGATTCTGTGAATCGTAATAGACCTTTAGTGTTCAACAACCCTATATTCCGAGCATACACTAAATCTGCATACAGTATTAAAAAGAGAATATATCCAGTTACAAGAGACCGCATTTTATTTTGAGTCCCGGAAGCAAGCTTTGAAATATCCTGTTGCGAGCACAGTGCCTCTCGAGAAACATACAAATAGCCTGACATTCTAGGGTGGCGCGTTTTGTAATCAACCAAGCCGAATGTCTAACCTTTGCATACCAGAATGCTAACAACAACAAGGCTCGAGATGCTGGTACGGTGCAGACAGCGTGGTGTCGATATTCGAAGTATTTGGATCACCGACTTTGCCAGCATGGATATGAGCGGTATCCTCAACAACGAACTCAGCGCTGACTGTGGGACCCTCTTCTCTACCTTAAATTGGATCCTCTAGCTGCATTTATCCCACTATATCACCCAGAACCTCGAAGCACCTTCTTCCAGCTCCTTAGCCTCCACCCGCCATGTCTCTGGGTCTTGGGACGCGCGCTATTCTCAAACTTGACGAGATCCGCGAGGGGATTAAGGCCCGCGGACAGGGTGTTGGGAGCGGTGGTGGTGGTGGGGATGGATGTGTGATAGACATTACCGGGGCTAAGGCATTTGTTTCTCTTTCAAAATGTGATAATTACAGCGGAAGCGTGTGCGACATGTTTGGCTATTAAGAAGAAGGGGTATCGGGTTGAGGGGAGAGACTGGGAGGAGCAGAGACAGGCGATGTCGAAGAGAGACCATGTTGCCGTCTCACAAGAGTGGTACAAGAGTCTGAAATCGGCTACCGCAAAGAAAAACAAACCGTAGAAAATAGGTGTGACGGGTCTCGTTTGTCTTCAGCTCTACTATATTCAAATAGGATGCTAGTAAGTAGATTACATACAATGCTAGTATCATACACTTTATCATGCGGGCCTAATATCAATAAAAACAAGGCCTTTCTCCATAATCGTGCTTGTCTCAAATTTTGCTGTTGTTTCTATGTAGACTACAAGATGAATGGCTTAAGGAGGCAGGTCTTCGAATCGATAATGTAGATGACGACTTATCTACTCAATTATCTGCCTTCAACTATCATCAGCGGGCTTGCTAGCCAGAGACTCATAAAAAAGATCTATCCTCGTCTTAGGTACATTCTTGGATTGGTTTTCAATAATGGTGTCCACAGCCTTAACAAGTGTATCCTCCAACGACGTAAACCCCTCCTCCTTACCCATCCTCTTCAGCAATTCGATGCTGCGCTCATTATCCACCTCGCCAGCATCCACAACCGATTCCTCAACTGACTGTAACAAAATCTTCTGGGGATACCGTCTATGCAATATATCCAGAAGCTGCGTCCACGAGTATTTTCCTGCAAAGGCCAGAAGACGTTCTTGGTTCACACCATCGAGTGTCAAGGCGGCCAAGTGTAGCAGCGCCGTATCCTCAACATCGACATACCACTGTGGCGGCACAATCGATGGTGTAGCAGGGTAGCCCTTAACCACAGCATCGAGAACGGCAGAGGTGCTGCGATAGCTCATGTTCTCGGGTGATACAGCTATGCCGAAGTTTACGTTTGGCACAACTGTATTGAAGGAGAAGGCTGGCTTATACTCATGCACCCATGCAAAGGCTTCCTGCTCACCGCGCGCCTTAGAAGCACCGTAGAGGATAATTCCATGCCAACGGGGGTTGCCCTCGGAGTTCCATGGCTTGATCGTTTGGTCAATGGCTTCAGTATTCCAGGTAGTCGAGTTAATCTTGTACGGCTTGCCGGTAGTCGGGAGTGCGCAGGCAGCTAAGGAAGACGTTATAACAACACTCTTAACACTGAGTTCCTTTGCTGCAGCTTCTAAAAGCTGCAGGTTGGATTTGATAGTTTGTTCGATGATAGCTTGGTTTTGTGGGTTCATATCCATGTTCATAGCGATGTGGGCGACGCCATCCACTCCTTTAAGAGCCCCGTCGAAGGCTCCTGGAGTATGAATATCCGGTAACTCAACAAGTTCGAATTTGGGACCGAAGTATGCCTTCATCCAGGCATTGGAGGCGACGGAGCGTACAGTACCACGAACACAGTAGCCGCGTTGTAGGAAAACTTGGATAGCAACGCTGGCAATATATCCGTTAGCGCCGGTAACAAGAATTAGACCTCCTGGTGGAACTGAAGACATTGTAGGAATTAGAATGTTGGCATGTACTAGGGGCTTTGATATTACTCATAAAGCTGGAATCTTGAAGATGGGACTGACGGATGACTTTATATAAACGAGAGTAATAAGTTACGCATAGGCAAACATTGATGTACTGGCTAAGGCACCAACAGGTTGTCCTTTATCAACAAGCTAATTTCTACACTGACACAGTGCTATTTCGCTCAAATCTAACATCAGCGTCGTTTCACTCGTTTACCCGATTTGGTGATTGCATATATTCCGTCTTCCAGTCAGTTAGGGTTAAGGCCACGCTAATCCTATTTATGGCATGGCGTGGCGTGCGTATTCCCAATCGGGAATGCGAGGGACGAGCCCCACCCACCGCCATGGTGTCTGGGTAAAATCATTGTCCATCTCGCATTTCCGGATCGTCGCAACCTCGTTCTCTGAACGTCCATCCGTCTTAATTAATATCCAATGTCTAGCACATCAGCACCTGCCCTCTTTGCCAACACCATCCTAGTGCCATGGGAGGCGGGTCAAGTTCCTACACGACAGGCCATCGGAGCCATGGACCAGCTGCGCAAGAAGCGCCCCCATCAAAAAAGTCGGCGAGGGTGCGTCGCATGCAAGCGCCGAAGGGTTAAGGTACGTCACTGTAGAGCACCTCCGAAAACTTCCCATAGACCTAACAATCCAGTGTGATGAGGGTCTCCCATGCTCCAGCTGCGTGAAGCGCAACATCCAATGTCTACTGCCATCCCATCAACATGTCATTACTCCGGGTCTCTCCACGCCCAGTGCGCATTTTAAAATGGACTTGAATCCTCAGATCAGCCTATTACATCTCCAGTTATTCCATCACTGGGATAAGGAAACCCGATCAACGGTCATATTTCCAGAAATCTGGCCCGTCGTGATGCAAAGGGCGTTTGATGTACAACTACATTATCCATGGCAATACACCCTATACTGATTCATTGTAGGAAGACTTTATTATGTCTGCCATCTTAAGCGTCGCCGCCATGCATCTCACCACCCTCTGTCCGGAGAGCACCAAATATTCGCACGCATCAGCTCAGCTAATGACCAAGACAATTCAACTGTTCCGCAAAAGCCTATCGCGTCCCCTCACAAAAGAAAACTGCGAGTCCCTAATGGGGACGGCACTTCTCATCAACTATATGTCGTGGTTCGACCTCGGTTTCCTCGATGACGGGAGAACCGCAACCAAGCTAGATCTTGCCGAGGACCAGCTATTTCTTCTCACCCCAGGTATCCTCCAGGTGTGGCTTCAAGCTATGCCCATCTTCATCAATGAGGGAAGCGTCTTTACTCAGATCATTTATCAAAACCCGAGGCTCATCATCGAGGAATCTCTGGCCACAAGAGGTGAAGACCCAGCACGCTTCGTAGAGCCGTTCATGAGGATGTGGGATGACCCACGCTATCATACCTCTACTGAGATGACTGCCTGTGGGCCGACATCCTATGCATGGCGTCTTCTTCGAGGAATGGAGACGGAGCTGTCATGTCGTCGTTTCTTGCCGAGCACAGCAGTGCTAATATCCGAAGGACATGACGAAAAGAAGAAACTAGTGCATTTTAGAGACGCAGTCATAAAAATAACCACCAAATATACCTCAGTCGGCCAGCCGGATACATCAGACACACCATCATCACAGTCAGCCCGCTCATCGTTCGAAAACATCATAAGGCGCATGTCTCCTCTTTTGTGCTGTGCATTCCTCAAATCGATATCAGGCACGGAAGTGCACCCCAGTATCAAGCTGTGCGGAACAGATATTGAGCAGCTATTCTATGGATTCCCGATTGTCTGCTGCGGACCCTTTGCCAGGTTGATTATGAAGGGAGACTCGCGGGCTCTTGTCTTCCTCTTTCACTTTTATCGTGCTGTACGTATATTATTGGCACCGGAACGATGTTGGTGGGCTATTGCGAGGAGCCGCGTTATGGAGAAACTCATATTAAAGGAACTGGAGTCCCGGGAACTTGATGTGAGTCTGTAATATAAACAAGACTTACGCCAACGACAGTGGATGTGAATAAAAGGACAATATAATCGATATAATACGTTTTGAGAATAAAAGATGGACATTAAATTGAAAGAAGAGAATATGCTACGTATCACATATTTTGCTAAATGAAGGATACAACAAAAACGGTAATACCCGACGCCGCGCCGACTGTATGTAGTAATACCGCCCCGCAATCTCCCTTCCTAATCAAGCAACCCCGACTCGATATAGGAAGTACACTCAAACATAAATTGAGCGTATCCCAGACCCAAATGCATCATAGCAACATCCTACTTCTTTCTTACAAATTCTACTACTTTTCTAAAAAGTGACAATGTCAACCTGCCCACTCCGCGCTGGAAACTTCATCCACGCCACCGAAAGGACAGTCGAAGCACCTCCAATCTGGCAACGCTTCTCACTCCATGGGAAGACCGCTATAGTGACAGGGGCCGCTTCCGGGATCGGCTGGAGTGTTGCACAGGCATTCGCTGAAATGGGTGCGAATGTTGCGATATGGTACAAAAGTAGCACAAAGGGGGAAGCTCAGGCGGAATATATTGAGAGGAAATATGGAGTGAAATGTGAGTTTCATTTCTTTTACATGTACATGAAGGAAAAGCCGTGTTGATTTATTGGCAAAAACCAGGCAAGGCCTATCAAGTCGACGTCCAGAATGCCGCTGCCGTCCAGGAAGCAGTCGACCAACAAGTCCGCGAATTCAACGGCCGTCTAGACATATTCGTCGCCAACGCCGGAATTCCCTGGACACAGGGGGCTATGGTAGACGGCGACCTGGAGCATTACCATCAAGTAATCACCACCGATCTTGATGGACCGTATTACTGCGCTAGAGCCGCAGCAAAGCACTGGCGAAGACAGAAAGAGCTAGGCACTGATTTGAATGGCCAAAAACTCGAGAACTATTCCTCGGGTAGCTTCATTGCGACGGCGAGTATGAGTGGCGTAATCGTGAATATCCCTCAGTTGCAGGCATCGTATAATGCGGCGAAGGCGGGTGTAATCCACCTGTGTAAGAGTCTGGCGGTGGAGTGGGCGAAATACGCCAGGGCGAATTCGGTTTCGCCGGGGTATATAATTACCGAGATTTCGAATTTTGTGCCGCAGGAGACAAAGGATATTTGGAAGGATAAAATTCCACTTGGGTTTGTCCTCCCCTCTCAACCTTCTGCTGGGTGTAACGCTTACTGGTACAGACGTGAGGGTGAGAGCCACGAACTTCAGGGGGCCTTTTTATACCTCGCTTCAGACGCAGCAACATACACGACTGGAGCAAACCTACTAGTTGACGGTGGATACTGTTTGCCATAGCATCTAGCCACGATGCACCTGGAAACCAAGATCAAGATACCCATCTAGATATGCATCCACGCTATCCAGATTAAACCGAGGATCAAACATCTGAAACGGGTCCAGATTCGGCACTTCGGTGAAGTCGAAGGGATTATGCTCATTGGGTAGCGACGCTAGATTTTGTTCGTAAGCATCTGGATTGCTCAATCTAGACGCCAAATGGATATCTTGTATTGAATCTGATAATTGTTAAAAAATCGCACTCAAAAAACCAGACCATTGTTGCAGGAGAATACATACCCGTAGTCGACCAAGTCTCAAATACCTCCCGTTGAGAATTGCGCACCTCTGTATCTGTGATATTTGAATAAACTCGACTCAATTCCTTCAAAGTCATATTACCAAACTCCGCCATTGCCTCCGCCGACCAGAAAATCTGCCCGAGACTTCCCAGCAGATGGCAATTTGCCTCCATAGCATTTTGTGCTCTGCTGCGGTACATAGGAACCTTGCTTCGTCTCATTTCTCGATAGGCGACGCTCAAAGACAACGACACAGCGTAGGGGATGAATGGGAATAATGATAATTGTTCGTGTGGTTCATGGGATACTATCGCCGTTATTCGTTCGGCTGCGTGGATTTGGCGAGTTCTCGATGCGAAGGAGCCGGGAGTACTGTTGCTCTCGCCCGGTTTGGTTCGGTGGGATAGAATTGCAATAGCATAGTAGAGAATTTCGATTGTTGCTATTCATTCATCAGTAAAATAAAACTATACAGAGAAGAAATTATGTATAAGAGACTTACTCAACAATCCCTTCGAAACTTGACACGCGTTACATGCATTAATCAAGTCCTCAAAAAGCGGAAAATCGCCCACCAACTCCATCTCAGCCCGTAGCGGATAGTAAAGCTTGATAACCCGATCTAGTAAACCAACAACACTCAAAAGCAGTCTAAATGGCGGAGACTGCGTGTCAAAACATTTCTGCAACGACCTCCCAACATCTCGTTCATGCATCAGAACAGGTCGTCCGTGAAGAGCAGCATTCAATCGATCAATAGTCCAGACACAACAAAACAAAGTCTCAGCGTAGTCGCGATCTGGTTCTCCGTCTCGCTCCTGCATGTGTAGACCGAGGGAGTGGATGTATTGGACTGCCTGGCCAAGCATAAGTGAGGAAGTTTGGCTGCTTTTGCGGCCATTGGCGAACAGAGACATTAGTGTGAGGGCTTGAATGAGGATGAGGTTGTCGACTACTAGGCCGATTTCGATCGTGATTCTCATCGCTGAGAATATTCGGCTGCCGAACTGTTTTAATGAGAGAGGGGTGCTGTTGGGCGTCATGACAAGGTAGGGTGTTGAGTTTGAATCCGTTGACGCTGCCAGACAGATTCCCTGTTCGAGAAGGATACTCGCTGGGCTGCCAGGTGCAAGTCTGCGGAAGACATCTTTGTTTATGACAGGGAATATAGGATGGATTTTCTGAAAATAGATATTCCGCAGCGCTTCTCGACATTCTGGAATAGGAAGACATGATAAACACTCCTCTTTCAGAATCGACACGATGGTCTTTTGGGAGACAGCTGGGAAGTCGTCAAACAAGCTCGACGGAGATGGCATTCTAAATCCGGTAATTTTTCGCCTCGATTCGTCGTGCCTTTCGGAATGCCACACCCCGACTTTGCCTGCTGATGAGACGCCGTCGCGAGGACATTCGAGGTCGGTACCACGAACGATTCCTTCGGGGTTCAGGTACCCAATGAACCGGGATTCCAGGGGCTGTATGCTAGTTTTATTGGCTTCCGTTTCTTGTAGGTCTGTTAATATTTCGACAGTGAAGGTGCCACTTTGAGGAACATTTTGCTCGTCTTGTTTCTGGCCAGCAATGTTACCGGTCCCATTCGGCATTAAAAGACTTGTGGTGATAGAGTTCAACACATTTTCTGTTCGTGTATCCGAACGCGCTGGAGTTTGTTCATGAATAGTAGCACTCTGAGTGCGATGACTGCAGCGTTTCTTTCTTGTTCGACATTTCTCACAGGCACGCACTGTATCCTTTCTCTTCTTTCGGATACGGTCGATATTCGTGTTGATGAATTTCACCATAACTACGAAATGAAATCAACAACGTTGTATTAAACACGCATTTCGAGAAAACCCTCGTCGCCAAAGGTATCATTAGAAGCACTTCTCATTGGTGAAGTTGAGACATAAACTGTGGACCCGCAGAGACTCTAGTTTTAAGTGGGCGATCACGTGAGTAGGATAGGTTTCTATCTGTCGAAATTGGTCTTTAGTGAACATAGTTTCTAGAGACGGCTGTCAATATTAAGATGGCTGGTCATCGATTGACTTTAGTTATCGATGGATATTTATCGGAGAGTATGAAGATAGTGTGTTTAAATGTATGTTCAACTTTTATTCTCTGTCCTAATAACAATTTGTTCTAACGATGCATTATTTATCCAGCAATAACAATAAAACAATGGTATCCTCCGCAAAGTAATAACTTCATAATTTCATCAATCGCCATGCGCCTTGCCAGATAAAGAAACCCAAACAGGAAAGCGAAAAGGAACGGAACCAGGAGAAAGACGGTACAAAGGGTCATTTCCAGGGTATAGTATATACAGCTCAGAAAAACAGAGCGATCAGAGCAGATGGCCAGGTTCGCCAATTACGTGGATGACTTCACGTGGGTGGCTCTCGGCAGAAGGGGGCCCAGCAGCAGCCAAACACGGAGCGGCATCTCTGACAGTGACAGTGTCCTTTCTGCGCTTGATGAACCAGAGCTGGAAGCTTCCGGCCAAGGCAATGATGGAGCTACCCCACCAGGCAATCGCTGTACAGCCGATTTGGGTACCGGTGCTATACAGAAGCCCTGCGACTGGAGGTGCAATGGTACGACAGGCTGCGCCGGCGGAAGCCGCCAGGCCGTTGATTTTGCCCATTACAGATGGTGATGGGCTAGACTGCTTGATGAGAATCAAGAGAACTGGGTAGGCTATAATGGAAAGGAGATTGCGGATTATCAAGCAGGTGTAAATTCCTGCGAAAACGAGGTTCGGGGGAGGAAGGCTAAGAATGGGACGATAAAGTATGTGATAGGGTGGAGGATTGTAACCGCCACAAAGAGTCGCCACACGCCAAGCCAGTCGGCCAATGGTGCAAAGAGGACGCTTTGGATGAAAAGCGCTATCAAGCCATCAATTGACATGATGAACCCTACAGTCCGCGTTGATAGGCCTAGCCCGCCGGGTATATGTGTCAAGGTGCTTTTGGCGAGATCCATGTTGTTCTTGTCTTGTAAAAATATAGGGAGGAGATGATCAAAAGTCATCGAGTGATATGTGAATATGCCAAGGGCAGTTATAAACATGACCACCTGGGTAGTGAAGGCTATTTCATTTTGTGGAGAGGATGTCCTCTCTTTAGAGCCCTCGATTTGGGATCGCCAGCTTTCGTCTGAATGTACATCGACATCGCGAAAGGTCCCGTATGATTCTGTGCAATATCCCACACTAGGGTTTGACGCAGCAGATATCAAAGGTGTCTCAGCGTTGGAGTGGTGGTCTAGAGATTGGGCCTCGGGTTGGAGATCGGGGTGGGTTTCGAGGAGAAGGAAAGCGCCTCCGATGATGCTAATAAGGAGGAAGGAAGCACAGAAAATATTGGGAAGCAAAAACGGATACTTCCCAAACAGGCCATCTGGGGAAAACACAGAGGGGAATCCTTCGGCGGGTTTTGCAAGGAGACCACCAACGGCTTACAGCTCGCCTGTTAGTAAGATATATACGATTAGGTTCCAAACGAAGGGGAAACTTACCAGGTCCAAGGATTGTACCGATGGACCAGACAAAAGGCATAATCGCGTAAGCTCGCGCTATAGATGGTTAGCATAACGGCTGCAACCGTCAAAGGGAATATGAATATCATACGCTCGTGCTCTGGACGCCTCACGAGTTCTCCCACCATTGTCTGAATGACACCGACGTTTCCATTCAGCATGCCACCAATGACTCGGCCAAACAGAGCGAGCCAGTAATTAGTGGAGAACCCTACAATGAGGAGCGAGAGTATAGTACCAGCGCAGCCCATAAGGAGGACAGGTTTCCGTCCGATGCGATCAGACAGTGCTCCCCAGAACATACCAGTCATGGCTTCCGCGAGGGAAAAGGCGGCGATGAGGATACCCGCATAGAAAGACGCGTCATTGGGATTGCCGATATGAAACTCTTGGACCATTACCCATGAGTAGGGGAAGATGGAGGTAAGAGCGATTGGCTCGGCCACACGGCAGATTGCTGCAATAGACGATTAGTAGATGCACAACCCTGCGAGGGTCAAGAGAAGACGAAGAGAAGATCGACGTACCCAAGAGAAAGAGCTGCAGAGCAGGGAAACCATCGTCGTTCGAGATTGACCTTGTCTGTCGCGTTGATACCATAGTTCTTTTGAAACTTGAACAGTTCTTACCACTTCCTTTCCACGCGAGACCACGCAAGAAAATTTCTTTTCGAAGAGAAACGACCTTTTCTGCGTGGGTCGCTTTCCCGGTGCTTTTACTTATCTTTCCTCGGCGACTAGTGCTGTCGAAGCGTTAGTATGTGTTGACAGTCCTTGTCCTTGTCCTTGTCGCTCTGCTGTCAGGTGCATTCGAGAGTAGCACAAGTAGACACGAAGAATGGCGAAGGCAGAGAAAGGGCGTGAGGTGACACAGCAAGGATGAGGCTGACGGGGAAGAAAGAGGGGAAGAGAGGATGCGGTGAGCGTAGGCAGGCCTTATCAGGGTTTTCGCAGGGGGAAGCGCCGTGGCAAGACCAGAGCAGGAAGTGCAACGGGAGGGACCGGTCCCGGCCAGACCGACATCCGGGCTGCATCCGACAGTCGGCTGATCAACCCATCACGAATACCAAAGAGCAATGATTACAACAATGCCATTTCATCATTATACCGTATTATATATTTGCTTATATGATCAAAAACAGTTTGCCTTGCCTCTTGAACGCGCTGTCTGGCACAGACAGGCGCCCAACGAGCGCCAAGAAGCGAAGCGCAGATTCTGATAAAAGAGGGGGAGAATTGACGGCTCATTTGGGCATAGTGCCCGAGTTGGCGTTGCATTGGCGTGGTTTACCCGCCAGCGCTGCATCAATTGGCTGTAGTGGCCAGTCGCCCCACCATGGCCAAAACATAATTCAACCCCACCTGTTACTATTATTCACAATACGACATCGAGGTTCTTTTATACCCATCAAGTAATGGATTCCAGGCTGTAACATTGCAAATTATATTGTACAATACAAGTAAATACACCCTCCATATGTAGCATACGAAACTCAAAACTCATATATCGCCAATTGCATCACGAGTCCCATGCACCAGAGCGCCGAGCCAAGTAGAAAACAGGAAACACGCTGAAGTCGCACATGAATATAAAGCATAACATAACGTCGCTATTGATTCGTATTTTGATTGGACACTGGGATGTAGCTTCTGCGGTCCCGCGCAGCCTAGACTCGACATGTTAGTACCATATCATATACTAGTAGTACTTATTAGTAGTATCAATGACGCTGCTCACCTCTATCCATCGCTCGGCCCACGGCTTGACCGCTGCCCAAGTCAGAAGACCAGCAGTCGCGAAAATAAAAATAAACACCACTGTCTCATCTTTTCTTGAATCTCGCTCTACACACACATCACCTAATTAGCACTTGACCGAAGCCGTTACTACCGCAATCACCCAGACTTACTAAAACACGTAGTCAGCACATCCTTCTCATCGGCCTTTTCGCATATCGGCAGATTGTATCCCAGGCAGAATTTGCGCGTGCAGTCGTTGCATGTCAGCGCGCGCCCATGGCTGCTAGTATCGCCTGAGCCGGCGCGATCGAATATCGAGCGTTCGCGAAGGTTGTCGTCGGTGCCCCTGGAGGTGTCCACGGGACGGAGCTCAATAATCGTGCTGTTGGTGAAGCAAGTGCATTTGCAGAATGAGGTTGGTGCTGGTTAATCAATGAAGCTGTTAGGTAGGGTTCGGTAGAAGATTCTTGGGATGGTGATGACGAGGCGTCATCGCTTTTGTACTTACTGGCTGCTAGCACTGTCGCGATGTTTATGGAGAGTGTCAGTAAAAGGAGAACCTGCAATAAGCCCATCCACCGCTGCATCCTGACGACGAGTGATATATAGAGCTTGGATGATGCGATTGCGTGAACTGTCAGCTGGTCGTTATCATGTTCTCGGAGAATTCGGAGATCGGCATTATCTTATCGAATCACGTGATCGGAGCTATCGACTGGAATACCAATTAATATTGAAGGTAGAATTGGAGGTAAAATAGAAATGGTTAATAATATTGCATACCCGCGTCAATAGCAAGAGTGCTACAGTGATATAAAATTTATTGGTTGTGACTCATTTCTTAGCTTGCATTATGTGCTATCATTTCTTGTTACAGCCTCTGATGAATGATCGAGAAGCTTATACGTTAGTCGACACAAGTCATTGACACTCCAATACATGAAAACCCACTACGAGAGGTGGTAATACCCATAGTGAAAAATTTCACCCCTTAATGATTGAGCTTTATCCTCTGCCCTTCATACCCTTGCGTCTATTCTCCCGCTGCCTCTTCTCCTTTGCCGCATCGCGACGTCGTTTTTTCCAAGCTCGATTGTTATCGCCCCGATTCACCCAAAACCATTTCGCAAAGTCAGTTTCTTGGGGTTCTTGAGCGCCAGTCGAGTCGCCAGGAGCTTTAGATGGAGTCAATTGGATGGGTAGAAGGGATGAATCATCGTCGACATCCTCCATATCTTCGTCGGCTTCTGCAAGGAGTCTGGTATGACTGTGCAAAGCAGTGTCAGGAGTGGGAGCGGCACTTCGTATCCCTCGTACCTGACGATCACGTCGAGTATACGGGGTCAGCGGTTCGGTGATAGGAAGCTGGTGTTGTTCATCTTCACTCTCACCCTCGATATCATCGTCATTACCACCGAAGAAGCTGAATCCGGTGTTGGGTTCTACTTCTTTGGTGTTATTTGACTGTGGTCGTTTGAAAAGCGCCTCCAGAGGGTGCACGTCGTTCTCTTTTACCTCTGCTGCTTCGTCTGAGGATGCTGAAGATTCAGAGCTATCGTCGCTCGCGTCATCTCTTTCTGAGTGTTTTGGGTTTTCAGGACTAGATGCATTCTCGGATACTGGCTTCTCCATTTGTACTTTCTTTGTCGCTGTGTGCTTCTCATTTGATACGGAGCCCTCACTTTCAGAGATGTCAGAGTCGCTTTCGCTATCGGTGTCATCTCCAGATTCCGAGTCTTCGCTATCGCTAGATCCACTAGACGAAGTCCAATCGGGCTCTTTCTCTTTTCCTTCTTCTGACTCATCTGTTGAAACAGGCGTGGGAGATTTCGCTTTCTTAATAGAGTGTCGTTCGGAAGTTTTCTTCTTCGGGGTAACTCGTTCTTTAGCGCCATCTTTTTTCCCGGGTTTATATGTCTCCTTTCTCGTCTTTTCACGAGGGGCTTCTTGAACATTGCCCTCTTCATCCACCCATCCTATTCCCTCCTCAAATCCAGCCGTAAGTGGGTTACCCTGCACCGCCGATTTCAAGAAAGAAGGATGTGTAACAGTTTGCGCAAATTCATGGACAACAACCTCATTTGGCGACTTGTTGTCCTTCCTCACCTTTTTATCCTTCTTCCCTGTCACTGTCTTGCTCGGAGGAGTCTTAGTCTTGAACAAGCATTCCGCGCTTTCGGTATACTTTGACTTTGCCTGCAGTTTACCTTCTTTCTCCTTTTTCTCGCCTTTTTTCTGTTTCTTGTGTTTGCGACTGCTTGCTGGCTCCGTCCATCCTCTTTTCACGTGTCGACCAGAAGGCAGCTCATACCCATCGAGCACCCCATCATCATTATCCTCCGCCTTCCTTTTTGAAGACTTTTTCTTCTTCTCCTTTTTATCCCCAGCTACCTCATCATCCTCCACCGTTCTCGCTGTTTTGGGATCCAGCCGAGCAGCCTCCACCTTGAATTTCTTCCCCTTCAAAATCGATCCATTAAGTTTCTTTTTCAATTTATCAGCCTCCATCGGCGGCAGACTGACGTATCCGTAATTATTCTCTGGAAACGTAGCGATCGTATGAAAGGATATATCCGTCGCTTGCGAGCGAGCAGACGGGGCGAGAACCGAGTCGAGGAGCTCGGGGGTGAAGGGCGAGATGTGGAGGCGTGTGAGAGCCGTTGTCATCGTAGCATTGTAAAAAATTGAATAACAGTGCAGTGGGAGAAGGTGTGAAAAGGTTGGAAGAGTCTGACTGGGTGGTGAGTCAGTACCACTGGTCAGAATAATCTAGTACTATTTCCAGTCCCAATTTGACAGACTGGATCGTCGAATGCCCTATCTCAAGAGAAGGGGGTTTTGTCTGGGCGGAATAAATAATTCAAGCTCCGGCGATGAGGATTTCCGCACGCGAGACGGGTCCACTTCTTCAGCCACAGGTGGCGTCTAAGCTCACATCTATATGTATGCAGTCTACTAGTCACAACGCTGATCATGTGATGAGTCTACAATTAACAAATTAGATCCCCAGACAGTCGCGTGCGCCTGCGCCTGCGCGTGCGTCTTGCACGACTTTTGCCTGCTCTTGTAATAATAGGTAATGGATGTGGAACGTTAGACGAGACTTGCACCAAGCGTGTTGTTAACTGTCGAAGAAATAAATGCGACAATAAACATGCAAGGCCACCTATTTAATTTCTTAGGGCAATGTTTAATTATATATGAAACGAAACGGATGGGGTTGACTGCCAGGTCACGTGAAGGACACCACTTTACCAACTACGAGTATAATAGCTCGCCTCAGTATTTAGTATTAAATATGAAAAATGAAAATAATGGTAAAAATAGATTACAAGGTAGATTGGCCAAGTTTCCAGCCGACAGCGGCGCGGATCAAGCATCAAGCATCAAGCATACATCATCGCCTGACGTCAATCACTCCACCGCCATCATCATATCAACACTTCATTCGATACTATTATTCCGTTTGACTTCATCTTATGCTTATCCTCATTTGCATTCTTTTATACTTTTATATAGACTATTCTTACATTCCTGTTCTCTTACATCGAAGACTCGAATACGTACATCTTCAACTCATCCCTTCCTCTCACATCATCTTAGCGATCCGCCGTCACCGCCGATGCGGCCAACTAATTATTAGTTGCAGGCATCGTCCCGCGACTCCACCGTGCGGCCAAAGTCCCAAACCAGACAAATTTCAACAAACAGAGACATCGAGACATCGAGACATCGAAACATCTCCTGTCTAGGCTGCCGAGGACCGATCATCGAATTAACCCATCTCCGGCTTCCGGCACAGAGCGCAGCGTCCGCATCCGGGCATTCCGCCACCGCAGACAGCGACAATAAAACGTAAGCCTTAGAGCCTTACAGCTAGCGCCTGCCTTGGTCACCCCCAGTGCCCACCTGCCTCCCTGCCCGCCCTCACATGGCCTCCCAGGCAGTTGCTTATCGCGACCTTCACCTCCACCACTCCCACTCCCTCTTCCTCTGGCACCACTAATCGCCTGCTCACGAGACTCTTTCCGGCCTGCACAGCCATAAGTGCTCTTGCCTGGCAAGAGAGCTCTTATTCCCTCGGCCAGTACTACTTATTTATCCTCGCAATCCGTCGCTGCCAGTGGATCGGTCATCATCGGGCTCCGCTTAGGCTCATCAGCCATCCCCTCCCTCACCGCTCGACAACCCGCCATGGGAAATTCACAGACCAAGGAGGCCCGTTCCTCGGTGTCGCCTTCCCTGCGACATCGATCACTGTCCGACCAAACGCACTCTCCATACCATGGCGGCGATGGCTCGCGCTCGCATCGTTCGAGCAGACCTGATCTCTCCTTCCTCGGAATCGGCACATCCGGAGAGCGAGCCTCGGCCGCCAATGAACACCGTCGAGAAACGAAACAGGACAGAGAGGCTCGCCGTTTAGAGCGGGAGCGTCTTGCGCGTCTACAGGAGCGCGAGAGAAGCATGAAGGAAGAGCACGTCGATGGAGGCTATTTGGTCACGCAGGGTGTCTACGTCGGTGTGGAGGATTTTGGCAAAGCCGTTGTCCGCCAGCTAATGGTGGGAACCGATGGTTACTATCCATCTACATGGAGTATGCTAATATTAGCAACAGATTGAACGAAGATTAGCTCCATTTTGGAGAGGATTGAACGATTTCTCCGACTCGTGGACAGAACACCAGTTGATGGCTGCGGCTCGAGGAATCCCTATCCCTCCCCCAGATGAGATCCCTCCCGAATTACAATATTCACTTCCATCACAAGGCCCCGACAGCGGCACTCAATCCCCGGAAAAGAGTACCCAGTTTCTGGCCGTCCCGGATTCCGCGCGATCGCCGTCATTCAACTCCGATCTAAGCCATACGCCTACCATAAGCCCGATGCAGTCTTTACCCCTTCCTTCCTCTCCTATTGCATCGGGGACCTCTAGTTCGCCGCTTTTCCGAGGTCGCGCGAAGACACTGGCTGCTTTGACTAGCTCAAAAAACAATTCCACTACCGACATGGCCCCGCGTGAAATTCAATTACCAAAGGACCCGTTCGTTAACGGCCAACCTATCGAGGCGTATTTGTACAAAGATGCCAGCGAATGTCCGATCTGCTTTCTTTACTACCCTCCATATCTGAACCGCACTCGATGCTGTGATCAGCCAATCTGCTCAGAATGTTTTGTTCAGATTAAGCGACCGGACCCTCATCCTCCAGAGCACGGGGAGCAAGACCAACCTGCCGCTACCGAGAATGACACCGGCGGCGAGAATGCGGGTGCTGACCAAGAATCTCAGCTTGTGTCTGAGCCATCGGCCTGCCCATTCTGTGTTCAACCCGAATTCGGAGTAACATATGCTCCTCCTCACTTTCGACGAGGACTTGCTTATGCAAGCCTTGGTGGTTTACCTATTTCCCCCGTATCGTCCAATTCTTCTCTTGTTTCAGCCGTAGCGCCGAACAGTTCCTCTGCGTCGCCAAGAGGACGTCGCAGAGCGACCTCTCTTTCAGCTAATGACCCGAGTGTTATTACCACTGACAAAATCCGTCCAGACTGGGCTCAAAAGTTGGCTAATGCAAGGGCGCATGCTGCGCGCCGTTCAGCTGCAGCGACTGCTCTGCATACTGCCGCCTACCTTATGAACGGGAATGGGACGGAAGGAAGAGGCGTTGGGCGACGAGGAGTTTTACGACGCACTGGTGGAGGCAGTTCAGGGACCCAAACTCCTGCAAATCGACCCACTGGCGGCTCTCAAGCGCTCCATGCTCTGGCTTTTTTATCTGAAAGACGTGCAGCGGAGCAGCAGGCGAACGAAAGCGGCACGGTTGCCCCTCCTCGCGGCAGCTCTAGACGGAGCAGAATCGATGATCTAGAGGAGATGATGATGATGGAGGCTATCCGAATGAGTTTAGCAAGCGAGGAAGAGCGACGCCGGAAAGAAGAGAAGGAAGCGCGCAAGGAAGCTAAAAAGAGAGAGAAGGATGCAAAGAAGGCGGAGAAATCGATGCGCAAGAACGGCATCTACAGCAATAGCCAGACAAATTCCACCCTTTTCAGTAGTGGAACATTCAGTCGAGTTGATAGCAGTTCGTCATCGGTCACTGGAGAGGAGCAGTCTAGCGGAAATAAAGGTAAAGGTGTGGACCGCGCCTCTGCAGTTGCCGAAGAATCAGTGGATGTTACTACATCACAAACACAATCAGACAACCGTACTGATGCCATCCAACCTTCCCCGACCGAACCATCGCGACCGTCACATCTAAGGCATATGTCGAGTGCTTCCTCAACATCGTCCTCGTTTCTTGAATCCGGAGCCGGCGAGCAACTAGCTACCGGTGCCCAGCCGAGTGAATCAAACGCGGCACTAGAGCCCATGTTCAATTTTCGCAGCCTCGCAGCTGTAATTGGCGACGAGGAGAAGGCGGAGGCTGCTGAGCATGTCGAGGATTCCATTCAACAATCATCCGACTCGAAACCCTCTGTGTCGGAGCAGAAGGAAGCTGCAGCTGAGCCAGTTACAAATCCAGATGTGGCAGCTATAGGAAGCGAACCTGCGCAGAATTCTATCGCAGGGATGGCCCCGAAAGAAATCAACCCTCACTTGATCGAAGTTTCTCGTGAAGCTACTGTGTAGTGGTCTTAGTTATGTCCACTTCAAAACATATCCCAAGATACAATGTCTGATTCAAGACTTGACATTTATGATCACACCATCAATCCTTTATTTTCCTTCCTCCTGGACTGCAATTACGTCTACAGGTATCAACACCCTTTGCTATCTCTGCAAGGATATATGCGATACTTTCCCTTCTACACTGATCAATGTACAGTCATTAACTTTTTTTCCTTCCTTCATTCCCACAGTATCATGATCATTTTATGCTTACGCATATGATCGATTCAATTTATGAACACACTTGCATATATCATTAGGTCTGGGTGGAGCGTTTGCATGTAAGGCTTTTACAATAGGGGTTTTATTTGTGATTTGATAAAATCTTTGGTTTTGAGAAAGAGTGTCAATAAAAATTCGATACATTTATACTTCAAGGGAAATAATCTAGACCGGAGTACTTTATTTAATGAACTAGCAAAACTTGGGTTATATCACTATCCGAATGAAAAAAGAGAAGTCCCCTGGGAGCCATATAGATGAGATTAACGAAGTCATTTTTAATGACAGCATCACCGGAATTGGACAGGGCATCACATTCTTTTTCAGTGTCATTCATATCCATGCTAATAGAACAAGTGGAGACTACTATACTCATTGCCGAGATCATAACCGAGTTACTTTGATGAAAGCTCTACTCTGCTCCATGAATGGCATCGTTGCAGTCTTCCTATAGATGCTAGAATCCTTGAAGGCTTTTTTTTTCTACCTACACCACCACTATTCAAGGGCCGAACTTTCCAATACGTAGTTGCTTTCACATCATCGTCAAATACCCCAAGTTGATGCAGGATGAGCGGCGGCTTGGGATTTGGAAGGGCTCACACTCAACAGCTGGGCCGATGGATGTATTCACTGGTGAAATGAAATAGTCTTCAGCTACTCTCCAGATGTATCAGGTCAACAATATCGTTTCTGCTTAGCACCTTGGCAACTGCCAGGAATAATACCTGTGCTAATTATTGCTGTTACAAGATTTACAAACAAAATGCGGAGTGCTGCAAAGCAGCTGTAGCAGTGGTGGATACATGTATATTTAAGTCCATTTAAGGCCCATGTTAAAATAGCAGCATTTGTCTCAGTAGATTTTCATCTATCAATGTTGGACCCTGAAAATGAAATTGTTTAGTAGTCAACTACTATTAGACACCCCACTCGACTAGGACAGCTTCTTAGCTGGACCCAGGTCCATATGCAGCTAGTTCTAAGTTTACATGTCCATGGAAGCTGCGTAGTGATGAACATCTGCAATCTTCGTTAGCACTACAACCCTATGGTAATTATTATTAGAGTTATAAGATGTAATCTAGACGGTTTGACTCTTTGAGTGGCGTGTCTTTTTCAGCGCTACCTATATAGTTCAGTTGGTCCTTTCATGTTGCTCATGAGTACAGCAGTAACGCTATGGTAAACAACACCCAACCCATTTTTATTATTATAATTTTTTACAACGATGAACAAGATAAGAGTAACCGTTTCAAGGCCATGATGCTCTCCTGCGTACTTTAATTTGACCAATCTCATCTTTTTTCATAAGAGGTTCAACAGCTTCCGGCTTTTCCTTGTAATAGCTTGTCACTCGAACCCCCTGAAGAGCATATCTGATCTGTTTATTTCCATCCTCCCTCCGAACTTGCGAAAATAGCTTCTCATCCAAGGTCTGCGTGCTACGCAATTTCGCACCGAAGTCAACAGCCGCCATTGACGTTATTTCTGGCAATTGTTTGCGAATCAACCCCGCCCACAAGACCACTGACCAACAAAAGACAAGGGCCACTGATTGAAACACAATATACACAATAAAATATGTTCTATCTAGAACAAATCTCTCTAATGGTATACAGATGGATGCTGTCGTATGAAACTCCGATGGCAAGTCAGGCGTTAGACCGTTAGGTTCGGTGTATAACACTGCTAGATTACCGTCATTGTTGACACTGAACTCCCACAAGATGAAGCCTAGGATACTCTTTAGCATGATGTAGGAATTGGTCTGCCAGATGGTCTGATATGTATCAGAGCCTGTTTCCCAGAACTGAAAATCCGGCGATGACTCTGGTGGCAAATTCGCCGCCGTATAATTCAAAAGCCATCCGATTGCTAGACTCAAAGTTTGTACATCAACCGCAGCCGCTGCCTCCTGAGCAACCAAGTTAAAGACCGACAAGATTGTACTGTTCTCCACGCTGTTGACGCTGGAAGCAGTGTAGCTGGATGTCGTGAATGTTGTCGTTACGTTCGGTGTTGAGCCTGACTCTGACGAAGCAAGGCATTGTCCGTCCCTGGTGCCGTTGGTACAGACATATACTCCTAGATCATGACATCAGAAGGTTTATACCAATTTCGAAAAGAGAGAGAAAAGCAATTTGGTCTCTGTTCATACCTGCCTTGAGTGATCCATGATGAATATTACTTTCACTCAAACAAAAATTAACAGCAGCGAGGCCATCTCCATATACCGTACAGTCAGAGGCTGAGAAGAAGTTGTCATCCGAGCCCAATCCTTCCGTAAAATCAATTCGCATTGCTGGGGCATTTTGGATGCTAACGACCGAGCCATCTGACACATTACCGCTGAGTTGAGGCCACATTAGATAGATGCCACCTGGTAACAGATAGGAGTCGCAAGGTGTCATAGAACCGGAGCAAGATGGCTCTAAAGATATTGAGAACGCAGGGTTGTTGATAAACGAATATGAGCTCGCGAGTGCGAAATAAGGAATAGTAGTGTTAAACTGTTGCAAGAAGGGGCCGATGAGGGATGCATTAAATGGCCCAGTCCCAGCAAGGACGTTGAAAGTACTGATCGGATAGTACGAAGTCATTGTAGAAGTATTAACTAGAAAATCGCGTCAGAACCAAACAAGCCTAGAAGATATATAGGTTATTCTGACTAAACAATACTATGCTACCGAGGGTATAGATAGCGAGCAGAGAGAGCCTACATAGTCGTCAGATCAGTGCTTGATACTTCTAACAGTTTGAATAGTACTTATAAAAGCCTACCTTGCAGACCCCCAAGTTCGAGCTACTCCAGTTGCTGTTTTTGAACAAACTAGGCTTAAAATCCCCCATATGCCCGTCGTTGGTGAAATAGTTAGCAGAGTCAATATCGGAGAACCTGTCTCAGCAGCAGCCGAAGCCCACATAGCAATCTCAAACGATGCAGCAACGGCGCTTGCAGTAGCCCATGAGGTCAACCCTTGAATGACCCTCAAAATCGTGACGGTATCCGCGAAGGAGATGTGGAAACTCGACTGAATCTCATATGCAGGATTAACAGAGAAGGTAGTCGACGCAAACCATGCTGTCAACACGAAGGCAACGGTTGCAAAAGCAGTCCAGATTGTTAGTGTGATCATCCTGAATTTTGAACTGGAGGCGCATGTTTTCCGATTCTATGATGATGAAGGGAAGAGAGGGGGGAAGCAGCTGAGTGTGTGAATCCGACCGCCATCGTTGTAGAAGGGATTAAATATGCGAGGTGTATTCAATTCAATTGGTCACATAGTCTTAGCCAAGCCCGAATGCAGTAATAAGTGAAATGTTGTTTTTTCTGAATATGTGGCTTGCATTAGCACGAAAGGTAGTTTCAAGGGTCTGAACACCACATAAATCGGAGTCCTGCCTGTACTTTCAGCCTGACCAGTTGACAAAATCAGCCGAGCTCTCTCAATCTTTGAACAAACTGTTTTCCTTGTACTGAGACCTCGTTTCTTCAAAGTATGGAATGGTTCATCTTCATTATCTTTCCTTTTGTTCTTTTCCTGCAGGAAGTCGGGTGTTCGTTCCCTTCGACGCCGACGTTATCGAACAGAGGAACTGTGACAGTTGCTTTGACAGCACCGGCGACGACAACGCAGTCTAGTTTTCCCAGTGGTGTGGCCGGTGCCTGCGCTCAATTTTCTGGTGGCTCGAGTATGAGATATCGGTTATCTCCCCGGTTCTTCAATGTTTAGCTTTCTAACCTCAGTTTTACTCTATCAGGTATATCAGATTATATTTTCACTTGCCCGGGTGACCAGCAATGCGCTATTCTCGTATCAGGGTACCGTCAAGATGGGAATACTGGTAATAATTGGGGCTGTTGCAAAGAAGTTCCCGTTCCTGGCTGTTTCACGCTGAATTGTCCGACCTATACTTCCTGCATCGACTCAACGGCTCTGGGATCGTGCGGCTCAGATTGTGCGTCGAACACAGAAGTCTTGAAATGGTTCGTAATTCAAATCTGTTCCAGTAGCACCGCTATCCTTCAATTCCTCAAGGGCTTTCTAACTCGCGCATGTAGCACCGACTCCGCCAAAGCGTTCTGTGCCACAGCTAGTGCGCAGATTACCGGCACGCCCGAGATTGAGCTCAATCCTCAGTCAACGTATATAGCCAGCCAGTATGCATGCGCAGACTACCCGTACGACCTGATATATACAGTCCTTGCAGAGGACATCTATCTCGGCGCTGTGTGTGCGCCGCCGTGGGTCACAAACCCAGCATCGCTAGCTGCTTGGAGCACGTCGGCGGCGTCTCAAGTTAGCTATGCCACGATGCAGGATTTCGCGGACCCTTTTGATCAGATCACATATATTATCACTCCTTCCAACTTCACGGTTCCGCCGTCAACAGGTATTACTGGTTCTTCTTCCACGACCGCGAGTCCTTTACAGACAGTGCAGATACCGACCACGGCAACAGTGTCGAGTAGTAGCACTTCTGCGGCTGTGAAATGGGCAGTTCCGTATATTTATATTTATTCTTTGTTAGCTACTGGACATTTCTTGCTGTATGCAAACCTTTGAATTTGCTCGTTTGAGCGTCTTGTCTAGAAATGAAAGCTAACCGAACCCGAACTACGCGGAGGAGTCGGATATGATGTATTTTCACTCTTTTTGTACTTTCTCCTGCATCGGATTAGTAATTTATTGGTCTTTTTGCGAGTTATGGAGGCTCTCCTGGCATTTTATATCAACAAAAATTGAAAGCTTTACCCAAGTCTCGCGTGTGATCTGAATTGCGGTGTTCAATCATCGTGCTGGCTGACGGCTTATTCGAGGTTAAGTATGTATCAATTGATGGCTGTGTCTGGCGATAGGTTATGTGCTGTGGGAGTGTTCTATGTAAAGGTAATCGTCTCGAAGCAAATTTATTAGGGCATGATGTATTCTCAATAATGGAAGACTCCCTAAGAACAAGTCGCCCTTGTATCCGCTATGTCAAGATAGTCATCTGATGGTCCAATATCTGAGAAACAAACTAAAATGAAAGAAATGGCATCGTATGACTAATTTCAACTTCATTCTTCTCATATAAAACTCTTGGGTAATTCTTGGATAATAATCAGAAAGAAAAAAAAATCATTACCACGAATCGACCTTTCTGGTCCCCTTCACGGCTACATTCTTGTGCATGTTGAGTATCTTGAAACGCAAGAGACCTGGGGTGAAATATCCTCATCTAATGACGTACTACATTTTCTCATCTTCGTTATGTGACCCTAAAATGTACAGCATCATACTGGTATATGCTCAGACCAGGCAAACGACATCAGTAGAAATTGGTTGATACAATCTTACTGTAAATTGTTCTAGCTGAATGCCAGTTCCTTTTCTTCAACAGTCAAGACCACAACGTATAAGAGGGACGTTTATCTTATTCGTAGTCATCTTAATCACATACACAGTCCGGTTGACCATGTCAGAAAATCAAACAAGTTAAATACCAAAAATTAAACAAGTACATAAATATGGAGAATAGAATTTATAAATAGAGTTGTAGGCGCGCCCATTATTTTCTATAAGCAAAAATCCGTAAAATTGCCAACTACCAAACAACAGTAAAATTGAGTAAATGTAAACAGATAGATCAACAACGAATAAACTGTCTCGTCCAATACCTTCATTGTCAATTCTTTATACCCTATTCCAGTAGCCCCTGATTCTTTGAGAGCCTTTGTTCAACAGCACGTTAGTGTTTAAGGAAATCAATTGATAAAACGTTTCATCTAAAGACAAAGTTATAATGTATTGTAGGGGGGGATCTCCTTCATCTGCACATAGAATCGACTTGGTCATCCGAACTTCTGCTAGCTTCTTCCCTCGTATTGACCCAAAATGGAGGTTGCATCGAGACTTATAAACGGTCGAAATTGGGGACAATGGGCATGTTCAGCTCGAAATTCCCAATAATTGTCACCATAATATCAAAGAATCACATAGAGGACTGCATAAAAACCATGCCCCACCGTCTCGACGAATTCCCCGATGAAGTCCTATGTCTTATTATAGAAAGCTTCCACCCCTCTGAGCGCTTCCTTCTGGCGGGTCTACTACGCACAAATAAACACCTGTACACAATCTTCCTGCCCTACTTATACACCCTGCAAACAGCCACCGCAGCGCTCATTTGGGCTGCCCGATACGACAAAATCGACTGTGCCAAAAATGCAATCCGCGAAGGCGCGCACTGGTGCCATGAAGAGCCAGAAACAGTCCACCCGGACCTCAGGACCTTCACACCCCACCCCGAAGCCGGCGCTCTGTACACAGCCTGCAAATATGGGAACCTAGAAGTCGTAAAACTCGTCCTCGGTACGTTCCCCGCGAAAATCGTGAGGAAAGATAGGGACAAATGGCGAGTCCGATGTCTCGCCGCCGCCGCCAGCCACTTCGGAAGCTTTGATATCGTGGACTACCTTCTCAACCACACTACCGCCGACATCCGCTGGACCGACGTAGATGGCTGGAATACGCTGATGTGGGCGTGCGTCTCCGGAAATCCGTGGACTGTGCAAAGACTCCTGCGCCATCCGCTCGTCAACATCAACCGCCGCAGTTCCAACGCGGATTTCACTCCACTAGCAATCGCGGTGTATTACAACCGGGAAAGAGTTGTGGAAAAGCTGGCAGAAGACCCTCGGCTCGATCTAGACGCATGTCGGGAGGATCTCCTCCAGGACGCAGTGATGCACAAGCAATACGAGATCCTGCAGACGCTCATCGCCCTATACAACTCCCAGCGAATGTTGCAAGGGGAGAGCGTATATTTGGGTCTCAGCCAGGCGATTCGGCAGCTCGATCCCGTGGCGCTACACATGTTCCGTGCCGGTTTCGATGAAAACCCGCAGTTCAGTATCAACTATCGCCCGTGGAGCTTCTCAGAGCCGCTGCTCTGGGTAGCGCTGTTGAGGAAGACCAACAAGGTCATTCTCCCGCTATTCCAGTTTAGGGGGCTCAAAGTGAACGTCTGGAGTAAGGAAGAGGGCGCCACGACATTAATATATGCAATTCGGCAGGCACTGAACACAGTAGCGCGGGCACTCGTCCATCGTCAATGCAGCCTCAACGCAAGGGACTCGAAGTACGGCCGCACAGCGCTGATGTGGGCGGTGATAAACGGGAATGCACCGATGGTCTCGTTGCTTCTATCGAGGCCCGGGATTAACGTATGCCTCAGAGACCACAGCTACATGACGGCGCTCACCTACGCGACGACGGGTCGACGATACGATGTGATGAGGTTGTTATTGGCGCACAACAATATCAGCGTCAATATGCGAGACGGAGATGGTATGACGCCGCTGATGCGAGCGATTTCGAGACGGAATTATGGGATGGCGAGGTTATTGTTGGATATGGATGGGATTGATTTCAATATTATAGATAATGATGGGAATACGGTGTTGCAGCTGGCGGAGAAGGGTGCTTCGAGGAGTGTGTTTGCGAAGATGGTCAGGACGAGAATGAGGAATAGGAAGTTGCCGCGTTTTTACCACGAGCCGAGACTCTGACTTCACTTGACCTTCCTTTTACGATTAATGACAACAGAGAAGTCTATTTTGAGTGTTATTATTGGGGTTGGAGTCTGACGCATGGTTTGGTTTATCCTTGCTTGTTGGCTGACAATTATGCTATATATATTTTCAATCATTTTTTGACCTATTGACACCATTTCACTTTCAATATCCTCCAGGCCTAAATTTTATATAAACACCTACCTATAAGTAGAATGTTCGAAGTATATAATACTCTATAGCTTATTCGAAAGTGGTTTGGTCGATGTTCCTACGCTGTCTGGACCATGCTAAATCTCCATTAGTTTGCCTTTCAAAACTGTCATGACAAAAAAACATACCCTTTAGCCAATCCTTGATAAAGACATGTTCGTACTCCTGGGCGTTCGCTACTGGTGCTGGTGGTAGTGTCGGCGAGGTCTCATTCGGAAACAAACCGTTTTCATCCCCTGTAAATATTAGAAACAGAACTCTATACAAACTCAGGTTCCAGATTTGCTTACAGTGATGAACTGCACCCTCAATCTCCACAACTGGTCGATTAATAGTGTTTTTCCGTGGTTTAGCAGCATCTGCAAGAGGCGTCGATTCCCTCCAGGGATCTGCTTGGCCGCCGATGATAGCGAGTCGGGGATACGAGATGCCGAAACCGCCATATTTATTGACTCGCTGCACATCTGGAGGAGATGTAATGTTGAAAGCGTATCTGCAAGCTATGCTCAAATAATCGACGTCTATTAATCTCGAAATCATTGCGAGTTCATTCTTTGGCGTGCCGCTACCTGTCTGGTAGAAACCCCATCTACGGATAGTAGTTAGTTTAGAATTTCAGAAACTGTATGATGTACTTACTCAGTGCAGACTTGATAATCCCATGATCTCCAATCCTGGGATATGTCGTCTTGGAGGTAGAAGGAATAATCATGTGTTGAAAAACATGAGTCGGCACTCTGTCCTTCTCCGATGCAGGGCCAGAGAACAGTTTGGTTGAGCCAGCCGACATAGTTCAGTAGTCTGGTTGTTAACTGCTTAGACTCATTTTTGAAACCCGCAGCGGCGACGAGTCTCTGGGCCTCGGTAGTCCTGCTGGCTGTCTCGCTGAAAAGGGCAGAGTTGGAAGTAATATTGCCGCAGAACTGAAAGAAAGTAGGGTCATCGATAGCCGGATCCCAGTTTCTGTTTTGCCATGCTGTCAATGGCTCATTCAGTATACTGGCAAAGTCATTTGCATATGTGAGATTCTGGAGACCAAATAGACCCTTGAGTGCTGCAAAGTCGCTCTTATGAGAAGCCAAATTGTCAATGATCTGGGTGAACTTTAGATTGGTATTTACACATTCCCGGGGAGCATATTTTCTGATCGGCTCCCAATATTGCCAATAATCAATAATGGCTTCCGTTACTCCCGAGGAAGAGATTGCGCCGAAATATACTTCCGGATAAACAACACGGAGAAAAGCGACAAAGGCTCCGGCATAAGAGCCACCATATGCGATGTACGGAGTGTCATGCGCAGTGATACTCTGATCTTCGAAGCCAGGAAAGACGATATTTTTCGCAAAGTAAGCTGCATCCGCGAGCGCTTGTTCGGTCGTTAAGAAGCGCAAGCTCTCCGTTGACAGATCCGGAGTGGGTATGCTTGTCCCGTAGTACCGGTGCTCGAGAACGACCGCGATACCATTTGTTTCCTGCGCCAATTGAGCGATTAGACCTTTTTGGAGGAAGGGAAGCCGTTCTGAATAAATTGAGAGTTAGAGCACAGAAGCAAAAATAATAAAAAAGGATGAAATAAGCTTCGAAACTAACCTTCCCCAGACGCCTCTCCGGATCCGAGAACAAACACAGGCCCGCCTTTCTTGTAGTGACTCGCATCGAACCAATACCGTAGGGGAAATGTGCTGTTGCTATGGGGTGCGTATCTCGTGTCGTTATGGAAATGATCAATTGGGACGGAAAGGTTGTAGGCAGGGTATATTGTCGAGGGATCGACATCCAAATCCTGCGGTTTCTCGCTTTGGGTACGAAGATAGCCCTTGAATCATCATCTGTAAGTACTTGGAGAAGACAATTGCTTCGAGATAGATAGCTTTAGGAGCTCTTGGCTTACCTTTCGTCCAAGACCGACATTCGTCGAGGCGGCCGCTGTGCCGACGACAGCCAGCAAAGACAGCGCCTTCAGAAAGCGATTGCGCATTGCTATTTTAAGCACTGCGGCTGGTTAGATGGGATTTGGAGTTGGAATTGAAGGAAGACACGCAGCGGCAGCATGCCGTGCGACATTATTATTAAAGAGACAGCCTAGTCACGAGATAACGGACTAAACATACACCATCGACGCGGCATGCAACCTCGATGGAAATCCCGACGATCATCCCCCGCACGGTATAATTACCAATATGCTTAATCGTCGTGATCGAATTGCGGAATGCTTAATCAACCTGCGGGTTGTTAATACGGAGGTTTTTTGGAAAAGCAGAATCCAGAGCATGTTGTATCTCTCATTGACTTCAGTTGTTGACTTATCCAAGGTCCAGGTAGGAATAGCTTTACTGACGCCTGTGGGTCCTCCCTGAGTACCTTCCAAAAACGGTGATCTTGTAACGGCGTTACACGTTTTATTACCAAACTCCACATTACACGGGTATGTCGCAAACTTGTAGAGTTATCATTTGTCTAATGGCTAGATAACGGTCACATATCGCGTAGCATTCGTACTGCAGTATACGTCTTCGACTTGGATATTAATAGCTCTAAAATCACGATCAAACGTTTATTTAGGCTCTCAAACAGCTTGATTTTCATTTGCGAGACAAACTACGGGCGGCATACACTTCCAGCTACATTCATAGAGAGAAATTGCTATTTTACAAAAAGGCAGTATAATCTTGCCACTCCGAAGATAGAACAAAAGGTCCTAATGGTCTTAATAATGAATATAAAGTTTAGGCGAAAATCCATCCAGGTAGAGTAAATTATTAAATCACAGTCCTGAACTATAAAGTGCCATGCAGAAATTACGGTCGAATAGTTTCTTTTCATTCATCCCTTTATAAGTGTTCAGGCGCCAGCAACTGTCTCTGGTGCAATATCAACTCTATCCATAATAAGCCGGGTCTCTCACGTGTATCATCTGACAAAATACAAGTAAACTTGCTGCATTTGAGAGGCTCTGGTTTATGAGGATATACAAGTTCAAACGCATAAATCAACCTTTCCAGTCTTTCATTAGTCTATTGAGAGATCCTGTAATTTACATTCTAAGATGTCTGTCTCCCAGTTTACTTTACCTTGAATGTGATCTTGGAGAACCCTTCTTTAAAGCGCAGAGTATTACTGTCAATGGCTTCTCCATGAACCGATACAATGCTCTTGTTTACCAGCTTGACATCTACCGAGCCGGTAAATGAACCTTTGACAAGATTCATAGTAACCCCCTCTACTGAATCGTCGATATTGAGAGCGACTTTAGAGAAGCCAAGCTTTTCATGATCTGCAATCTCCACAGTCGTTTTCATTCCCTCAACCCAGTTCACTAACAGCGTCACGTCCTTGCTCCAGTCGTACACCACGCTCTCCAGATTTTGGCTCAAGCTGCGAAATACGGCCGATCCAGGTCGGAGAAGAACAGGCAAAGAGAAGAAATCATGCTCTTCTGTGACGTATCCCCCACCAGAGCGCAGTTTACCATCAAGAATACCGTACCAATCACCCTTTGGAAGGTAGTATTGACTCCGTCCCTCGGCATTGAAAACCGGGGCGACCAGCAAGCTGTCTCCGAGGAAGTACTGCATATCCTGATGCCAGGCCATAGGGTCCTCCGGATATTCTAAGAACATTGCTCGCAGCATGGGGACTCCCGTTCTATGTGTTTTGATAGCACTGGAGTAAAGATAGGGCATTAGGGAGTGCTTCGTCTGGACAAAGTGCCTCAAAACTTTGTCTGCCTCGCCAGACTCGTCGATCAACCAGGGCACCTATTCACATTAGCCAAACATGAATTAAAGGGAACTTTTCGCATGATCCTACTCTGAAGCTGCCACTGCCATGTAATCTTGAGTGACTAGAAAATAGCCCAAAAGCGATCCATCTTTTGAATAATGCCGGGTCCGGCTTTCCCTCAAACCCGCCAATATCATGAGCCCAATACCCAAACCCAGTAAGGGCGAGGCTCATTCCACCGCGCAGTGTTTCGGCCATTGCCTCGAATGTACTATATGGATCTCCGCCCCAATGAACTGGAAAGCGTTGACAGCCAGCAGTGGCAGAGCGAGCGAAAAGAGCAGCATTGTTCTCACCGAATGCCTTAGACAGCACCTCAAACGTGACCTTGTTGTAGAGGAATGCATAGTAGTTATGCATCTTTTCGGGGCTGGAACCGTCGAAATAGACAACATCTCCAGTTGGAATGCGCTCACCGAAATCGGTCTAAATGGGACTTAGTTCACAGAACGAGATATGAAAAATCATAAGAGTCTCTCACCTTGAAAGAGTCGACACCGATGTCAATGAGTGCCTGAAGCTTGCCTTGGTACCATTTGCACGCATCGGGATTCGTGAAGTCGACAAAACCCATACCCGCTTGCTAAATCAAATTTTCCTGTTAGCATGACATGAAAAGTAAAGGGTTAGCAATAAAATGAAGCGTTTATATACCCAGAAGTCATATTGCCAAACGCTTCCATCAGTCCTTTTAAGCAAATACCCCTTTTCTGCAGCCTCGTCGAATATAGCGCTTTCCTGTGCAATGTAGGGGTTGATCCACACGCAAATCTTCGCCAGCAAGTACTAATTAGCAACCTACACTCTAACATTGAATTTATAGACCGACTTACGTGAACTCCACGTTTCTTGATTCTAGCCAGCTGTCCCTTCGCATCTGAAAAGTAGTCCGTATCGAACTCATAATCGCACCACTTGAACGCTGGCATCCAGAAGCAATCAAAATGAAACACGCTGATCGGAATATCGCGTTCATGCATCCCATCGAGAAAGGAGTTAACGGTGCCTTCATCATACTCCGTAGTAAAGCTTGTACTGAGCCAAAGCCCAAATGTCCATGCTGGTGGAAGCGCTGGCTTGCCTGTAATTGTGCTGTATCGTTCAATGATCGACTTTGGATCCGGGCCGTATATCAGATACATAGCTAGGGTCTCTCCAGGCACGGAAATGTTGACCCGAGTAGTGCGTTCAGATTGAATTTCGAAAGAAATGAAGTTAGATGTTGGAATGAAGACTCCGTAGCCAGCGGAGGTAATGAAGAAAGGAATGTTTTTGTATGTGAGTTCTGAGCCAGTACCCCCGTCTTCATTCCAAATTTCGACACTCTGTCAAATCGTAAGTTGAAGATATTAGTGCACTGGGCAAATTTCATACCTGTCCATTTTTAACAAAAGGACCAAATCGTTCACCCAGTCCAAAGACCTTGTCTCCCACCCCAAGTTGAAGCTGGTATGTCACCCATCTCTGGCCTTTGTTCGGATCGATGTAGTTGGCTCTCGGGTGAAGCGCCGTGGTGCCCTGTTTGACGTAGCCAACTGAGCGCCATCCGAGCTTTGTTAAGAGTTTGTCTTTGGCATGGAAGCTGATATCGAAAGATTTTGGTCTGGTATCTACGCTTGCAGCCAAGTCACCAGCTCGGAGTTGCAGTCTCTCCGATGTTTTTGAAGTCTCAATATTAACTGTATGGTCAACCTTTCCATCTGGAAATAACTCGAAATGCGGTCCTTGGGCGACGCTCTTTTGCTTTATCCAGTGTGTAGACGATAAGTACAAGACGTTGTCGGTAGGTGAACTGAGAGAATGGGTCAATGTAGGGTTGTTTAACGTATCGCCGCGATGGTTAATCGGCTTTGAAGACTTTATAAATTTTTTAGCTGAGTAACCTTTCCGATGTTTCCAATCGGTGTTCTTACCGTTACAAAATGTAATGCCTCGTCTCTCGTCTCAGCGACGACAGTCTCGACTGCCCAGTCGATGAGAGTATCTGGGGCTGGATGCCAGCAACCGTGCGAGAACTTTACCATGATTTCACCGGCTATATCGGTTCTTAGAAATCCTGAAAGTAAAACTGCTACCTGATGAGCTCTTATATCCCATACATCGGAGAACGGGCCGAATATCTTCACAAGGCGCGTTCATACATTACATTTTACCACAATCAAATTAGCATTTAGCCGCCCCGGGTGTTCGGAATCTCGGTTTAACCCCTTTAACAAGATCTGATTGGATTTACAGGCTTCATTTACCCGGAATGTCTCCAAAAATCCCCGCTTCTGGCGTTCTTGGGCCAGTGCAATCCCACGTGGGGGTACGACCCGAGGCTATGGTCGCGGGGTTTGCCGCCTTTGCACGGCCCTATCAGAGTGTTCAGTCATGAGATCGTTCAAGCTCTCTGTTTACATAAATGCATTGTATCTGCTTGACATTTTCTGGGCCCGGGTCTCGAGCGGTCCTCGAATTTAGCCTGGACCTTTTGCCGGATCTCCACTGCTCCAGATGTCTCAACGGCAAGAATGCTGGGGCCGGTGTAGCACGGGTGTTCGGATCTGGCTACAGAGAGTTTCTTAGCTTTATCGCTTTATCCACAGAAAGAATATCTATATAGTGTCCCTCGCCACGAGGGTGTTCTCCTCGGATTGATCTGTCCGACTTCATATCACCCGCTCCAAATTAGTGCCACCCACCATGACTACAGCAAGTAATAGCACTGTCAATGGCTATACATGGGCTTGCGGTCTTTTTGCCGCAGTAAGTAAACGGCATGCTCACTGAGGTTAAGTCAAATACTAACCATGCTCCTGTGTCTTTTAGGTCGGCTCCTTGCTGTATGGTATCGATTCTGGCATTGTATCAACAGTCATATCGCAACCTCAGTTTGTAAACTTCTTTGCACCATTCACTCGTATATACAACCCTTGCCCATAAAATACTGAAACGAGATTCCTGTCTGACTTTTACTCAAGCCAGTATCAAGGGAGCTGTGGTCAGTACATTCGGCGCAGGCACAGTCTTCGGGGTTTTTTTCGCAGGATGGAGTGCAGATTACCTAGGTCAGCATCAATATTTTAGCCTGTGAAGATAAACCGTTACTAACTGCAATGAAAAGGCCGAAAGAAAACTATCGCTATCGGTGCCGTGATTGCCTTGATTGCTGGCATCTTGCAAGCCGCCTCTACCCATATTGGCATGTTGATCGCCGGCCGAATCGTTGGCGGATTCGCAGTTGGCATCATGAGTTAGTTGACACAAATTTCTTCCCCAGGAGTTGCTGATTCGCTCTAGATATGACCATTCCGATCTATAATTCAGAAATCGCCCCGCCTCACAAACGTGGTTTGATTGCTGGCTTACACGCTCAGTTCGTGGGTGTTGGTTTTGCTGTTGCCAACGTATGTCACTGAAAACCTTGAATCTCGATACCATGCTAACAGTCCATTATAGTGGGTAGGATTCGGGTGTTCTTACGCCTCGGGTAGTTTTCAGTGGCGATTCCCATTAGCTTTCCGTAAGTAAATTCATCTGCTCTGCATGTCCAGTGCCGACATTAACCTTGAATCCCAGAATGTGTTCCAGCTTTGATCGTTTTGATTGGCATCTTTTGGCTTCCGTACTCTCCTCGATGGTTGCTTGAACAAGAACGTGACGAAGAAGCCTTGGCGATCATCAAGCGTCTTCATGGTCACAAGGGCGAGGATGATACACTTATTAGAGCTGAATTCTATCAGATTCGAGAACAGTTGAGGTTTGAAAAGGCCCAGTACGTGGCCGGATGGTCCGATCTCTTCACCAGGCGGAGCAACCGCAAGCGTCTTATTCTTGCTGTGCTCGTCCAGGCCTTCACCCAGCTTAGTGGTATCAACGTTATCAACTACTACCAGACCGATCTGTATAAGGGTTTGGGCATGACCGGGCACACCTTGACTTTACTTGCTGGGTAAGGTCTTCATTAAAATTGCGCATATCTCTTCCACTAACTCAGCGTTTAGTGTATATGGTCTTGTTGGGCCTCTGGCTAATGTTGTCTGTCTTTATTATGTCGACTCATGGGGTCGCAAAAAGACTCTGTGGATTACCGGTTTCATCATGGCGCTCGACATGGCTTTGGTGATGGGACTTTCTGGCGGATTTGGTCACAGTGACAACGGCGTCGCAAAAGGCTTTACTATTGCGTTCATCTTCCTTTTCTCCATGATGTCAGTATACCAATCCCAAAAGTGGAAACAACCTAACTGACGGACTCTCAGCTACTCCCTCGGTTACAATTCCATTCATTATATCTATGTTCCCGAGATTATGTCAATGGCGATCCGAGCCCGTGGTTCTTCCATCGCCGTTGTGTGCAATGTCATCATCAATATCATTTTCAATCAGATATCTCCCATTGCGTTTGCGGAAGTCGGATACAAGTACTACAGCCTTTTCATCTGCACTAACGTTGTCGGCGCAGTGACCGTATTCTTCTTATTCCCAGAGACAAAGGGCAAGTCTCTGGAGGAGATTGGCCAAATTTTTGGAGACGATGTTGTTGTTGGGGATCTGGATCAGGTGCGTGAGAAGGTCGAGGCTGGTGATGTGGAAATGGTGGAGCAGGTTGAGGAGCGAAAGTAGTTCTGCGTTTATCAACATATATAGCGACTAGTCTAGATAAATATTTCAACCTGATACTTCAAACGTTGGAAGTGTTCTTCGGATAACATCAACGATGGAGACAGCCGAGTTCGAGGATGTTAAATATTTACAAATCAAGAGCATCTATAGTACGAATAAACGTAATTTTTGGATTAAAATATTTTCAGCAACGAAATTTAAATAATATGGTTTCTTTGGCGGGTATAGACGTTGCATACAAAAGGCCATCAATCCAACGGAGGGCTAGATGAGAAATGTTTTCAATTTCCATTTGTAGTTTGGTTTTCAGCCTTTTATAAGGCTAGGACTTCAGCTCGTCGTTTCGCTTCCATTTCTCTGAAAACTGGACTTCGGTATCTTGACCTGGAACCCCGACGTTCCTTGTCAAAGACAAATTTATCCTCGAATGCCCAGGGAGTAGAGCCAACCGAACATTGGAAGGTCGAGAATTCGAACATCACCAACCCATCCTCTTTAAAGCCACGTGTGACTTCCTTCTGCACCCTATCTCCAATTGCCTGGCGGTTGAGACTGAAAGGTATACTTAGCTTTCCGTCATGATTCCAAAGAAAGTACCAATGATGAGCTATCCCACTACCGCACGTAATCAAGTCGTAGAACTTATCCATCCGTACCGGATTCAGTGAGTCTTTCTCTGGCATATCTTCTGGATCTGAATTCTCTTCAGGTTTATTATCACTAGAAAGATCCATCTTATTGATACCTGTAGATTCAACACGTGCTAAATTGCTACTTTCGCCGAGTTGGGCGCTCACAGTCTCGCAGCGGATAAATGATCGAATTGGCGGTTGTGTTGTCAACATTCTCCTCCAACTTGCACTTTCATTCATAAATACTGCGTTTCTTTCATCGCTGGCAAGTGGCAGGTTCTCCAGGTCTTTCTTCCAGAACGGTTTCGCCTGTTCTTTTATATCCCAAGACCAGAACCAGTGGGGAAAGAGTTCTTGAAGAAGCGGATTTGCTACTTTTGTTACTGCTGTCGGCGAGGTTTCGGGTTTGAAAAAGAGATGTTTTTGAAGAGATGGGGACTGGGTGGTGAGATTGTGCCACGCCTGGCAAACACGTTGAGCGGATGTGAGGAGACTTCTCATGTCTAGGTGGAGAAGGATCTGCTCAAGGATCTCGGGGGAGCCGAGAGCCGTATTCTGGGCTTCACTCATTGCGAGAATATTGTAATAAAAGTCAAGGTGTTGTAGATATGATAATTCTGGCTCCAAAGTTGAGGCCGAGTGATCAGAAACTGGAGTAATCTTGCAGCCTCGCAGGCTTCAGCCGCGAGCGGCCCAAACAACGTTAGTTACCAACAATGAATAATTTAGCATAATATACTAAAATAGCAAATTAATGCGAATTAATCTAACTTTCATATATCACTTAATTAAGTTTAAATGGGCACTTTTGAATTTGACTACTATTTTCATTCTAGAAGTATATTTTCAATGTTATTTATGGAAATACCAACATCAATCGATGCTCATCTCTAAAAGTCCTGCATATATACCCAAACTTTTTGTAGGAAATAGGGGCAAAATGAAGGTAGGTGATATAAGACCTCAACGAGATCTTTTAAATAAAAATTATACATCATTTTGGTACTGTAGAAAGACAAACAGAGTCAACTTAATTGACTGTCTTTATTGCTCTCGCACAAAGCTCTGTTGCTTAATAGCTTTGAGCAAGCAACAATAAAGTTACTTTGAGGTCTCAAACAGAAAATTGCTAAATTTTGACTTATATCCGAATAGCTAGGAGGTGAGATGATATATTTCTTCACATTGTTGTTCTATTCCCCGTCTCCTTTACTTAGGAAACTGGCGCAATTCTATTCTTCGAATGCAACAACCACAGGTTTTAGAACAGTGGGGCCATTTCCAGGGCGGTTGATTACAACAGCAGCCGGCTTTTGCTGTACGTAGAAGTGCATTTTTTTCTAGGTACATTGGTGGATAATCATACACTGTAATTAAATCATGCTCCCTAATATATGAACCCTTAGGCTTTATAAGCTCAAGCCGAAAATAACCTCGTCTGCTAATCCATAAATTGCGACGAAGACCATTGAATCCGGTTTGTAATTCCTCAAGGATTTGTTTTCGCTCTCTCGAAAGGGGGTTTCCAAGTTCCTCAAAAGCTTTTATTTCTTCTGAAAGCTAAGTTTCAAGTCGCCGTAAACTGGCTTGTTCACGCCTATTAGGATTAGATAGAAAGATCCATCATTTTTGCCTGATTGCCGAGATTGGGAACTCGAATAGCTTTGCGATGCTTGGTACCTTTCGGACCTAGTCGATCTAGCCCTCCAAATATTTGCTTTCGATCTTCTTGAACATATTGGAGTCTGTCTAATCCCCTGGCGACTTAGGCAAAAGAAAGACAGGCTTGAAAGAATTCAACGGTTCGCGTAAACTATGTCTTGCTTAGGCCACCTCATAACAGACAGCAACCGAAACATCAAATTAAGATGATGTATAAACAACAATTCTGGCATATTTGAAATCGTCGATGTTATTACTACCTAATATTTACTATACAGAGGTAAACTCGGGAATTCTGCGCTTCTAATTTAGTTGTCATGGCAGATTGAAACTAACTCGTGATATGTACGAGACTGACTAAATCGTCAATGAAGATGTTTATGTCGACACACAAATCAATTGAGGTCGAAATTAGTATATTAGTCATTATTACATATATGTACATTCACACATGTATTCACTGTTATATATCCGTCACAAATCCATCATGAAACATATATATTTTTTGGGTTGAAGTTTTCATGTCGACATGGGCACCTGCAAATTAGAGCACAGAGATGTATGCCCTACTCCTTTAGCCTCGTAAGTCATGGCTGGCGTAGTCGCAGAGCACGACTCGTAAATATCGGTCGATTTACACGTTGTATCGACCGTGCCAGTATCCAAGGCGCTGCTGACTGTACATCCACATGTCAGCACAAGAATCTAATCCAATATATTCCAAGAAATAGACTTACTCAGAACGCCAGATATAGAATATCCCCACTCCTCCAGTGATAAGCCAGACAATTGCTGACAGAAAAGCAAAGGCTTCACTGACTTTCCATTCCGTACAGTCAACAAAGGTGCCGGTGTTGGGGTCCAGTCCACAGACAGTTCCTTGAAGCGCATTGAACAAAACACCAAAAGCAGCGAACCAGGCGAGACTGATAGTGATGTCGACTGATAAATGTCAGACAAATCAACAAGCAGATATAATAGAATGGAAATACGTACTTGGCCACACAAAGTATCCATGCAAAATCGGCACCATCAACACAACACCTAACACAATCGAGAGAGCCGCGACAACTTCAGCGTAGATCGATCTGGCAGTGTAAAAGTTATCCTGGTCGCCAGTGAGAGTACTCAAAGAGTGGCCGGCAAGACCGGCAACTATCTATTCGAGTGCGATTAGTTGATGTTATGTTGAATGGAGTGGTGATATTGGCACGAACAGCAGCAAAGGCGATCTGAGTGGAGCGCAGAGCGAACCGCAGAGGAATAGCGATGGGGCGAGGAACGACGGGGTCATGGGGGTTAGAGGTAGACATTTTCGCGATAACTACACGCTTCGCACTGGATTATAAATTATAGATGTGTATGAATAAATTGAAACCAATGCTCCAGATGTCGCGTCGGCATGTACGGATGTTGGTAAGTGTAGACATCCCCAGAGTGAGGAGCGGCTCAACTGATATATGTAGAGAGTTAAGTTCGGCCCTCGGGGACTTCATTAAGTTCATGGCGTAATAATTGCACGGGGAAAACATGGCTTGTTGACATCAATCCTACCAGTCTAGCGAACACTAAACAAAGATAGCAAAGTGAGGTGGAAAAATACGGTCGAGATCGACAGGGCTTGCCTGTTTGGGATAATACCTCGGGAACTTTCATGTGACTTCTTTAAACCGACGAGATTTTCCCGTTTTTCAGTCGCTACCAGAGTCTAACTATGAGTTAGTTCGTTTACCATTACATTTTGGTAACAATTGAAGCGTTGAGTAACAAATTACAAGAGAGAACCAGTTTGCAGATGCGAATCACATGTTTGCTGTGGAAACATCGAGAAAAGTATTTACAGTTACATAGTCATAAGCATTCAAATTGAACTACGTACATATCTAGCGGCTTCAGATGACATCACCGTTATTGTCGTTCTTATTCCATTCCAGCCCTAATACTCAGGTCTGTTGATCATTGTAAAGAACATGCATTAAATATGCTCAGGTTTTGGTGCTGGGCCTGAGAGCCACGCTAGAGAGTCAATACGGCAGTTAGGCTCAGTGATTCGGCTTGACTCCACAGTGAATGGAGAGCGATGCCAAATCGTCTCTTTATAGCTCTTTCGATTTGCTCATCCCTCAGCAACTCGCGGGATTTTGCAGTAAGCTGTTTATAACCCCGCATTTCTCGGCATATGCTGTATGATTCGCACTCACACAGTACCTGTATCCATTCATGTCTCCAAACCACCAAAGACAGAAAGGATTAGAGAAGAAGAAGAAGAAGCGCAGGACGAAAAAGAGTGCCTTTGCGGCTAGGAGACCATCCCATTGGCCACAGCAGCTCCACTATGGCAGCCAATCATATTCTGTTGTTCTACAAATTATGGGCATACTTGGTCTAAACCGAAAACGGCAAGATAAGTGCCGCCTAACTGTTTACAATGAGGTTGCCTTGTTCATCAGTCCAGTCTTTTTCTCCTGTCCTCCAACCTGTCATCCGCTCTGTGTTCTGATGATAGAGTCGTGCATGTTTGTCACAGCGCCTCTTCTTGATGACGCTGTCGCCGCTGGCATTTGAACGGCCAGCAAGCAGGACCGCGCGGCGATCCCACTGCGTTCAGGCACAAACAAATCATATCATGCTGCGGCCAACCTGAAACCTGCGGAATTCGGGACGAGGTATACCAATCGTCGCTCTGCCATCGTTATCGCTGTGTTTTGTCATCCTATATGAAAACGCTATTGAATTCTTCTCGCAACGTCCACCTGCAGACCCTCGTCATGGCTCCCGATTTAAACTCGATCCCTCCCTCTCCGCATGGCCATCATCCTACTCAACCGACTGACATTCCATCCAATTCGAATTCCCCCGCCATCTCACGACGCGTCTCTCAGGTGATGGGTCCTCCTCCGGTGCCAGTCAACGCAACGTCGTCTAATAACAATGGCGGTGCGGTCGATAGCTCTGGTGTTGGTCTCGGGCCAGGTAGGTCCAGTGTTTCCGGACTACGCGTATAGGGGGATACTCACGAGCGCGACGAACTAGGGCCTCTCCGTCATCCCCGCCCGATGACTGCAGCCGATTTACATCTGGTCTTGGAAAAAGAGCAAGAGGCAGTGGTATGTTCTTCCAGCCTCAAATAATGAACAGGTTTTGATTCTACGCTACCAGGTTAATCGCCTTACCCGTGAACTCACTCTCCTCCGACAGCAGACTGCATCTGTTGCATCGACTGCATCCTCCACATCAACTGGCCTCAACGATTCTATTGACGGATCGATCTACCCTACGTCATCTCGTCAACATCGATCATCCTCGAGCTTGAGTTCCCACATTCCACCGGGATCAGCAGCCTTGGCAGCGAGTGTTTCTAGCATTGCTCCCTCTCGAGACACAACATTACCTACATCACGGCCTTCTGGGGAGTATACACGCGTGGGACGGAGCCGCGAGCCTTCTGTGACCTCTCCACGGCAGCCCGTATCTCCGTACGGTGACCATATTCATTCTTCGGGACAGGGGCTGGCCCATCGCAGTCCCGCTTCTCATGCCTACAACACTACTCATCTTCCCGACGTCCATCGATCAACTTCCAATGCTTCCGCCGCCGGCAGCCGTTATGAAGAAACCGCACACCATCGAGCAGAGCTCGAAGCTGTAAAGAGAGAGAACGAGATGCTTCGTCGGCGGGTGCGCGAACTAGAGCAAAATCTCAAGTCGTACCGTGAAGTGCAACCTCACGAGGAGTCGCCGGCCTCCGCTTCCAGCCTGGTTGCTGGAATGCGAGATGCCACCATCAGAGAACCATAATTCTGATGCCCTATACCTGGGTTTTGAGAACTGGATCGGATAGGTGGAGATGGAGACAAATTGGCGTTCGAAATACGGATTTATATTTTCCTTTTGTCTATATCTCCTATTTTTCACTTCATTCCCACTGGTTTTTTCCTTTCTATTTAATTACTAGCGTTAGTTGATTTACAAAGATTGCAGCATACAGAATCAAATACACTCGTTGGCATTGCCTCATGGATTATAATACTATCGTGTTATTTTTATTGTTCTATCACATGTAGGCTGCGTGGGCAGTGTGGCTGGTGCTAGGCAATTGCATTTCGCCTGTTTCGCCTGCCCCTCCTACGTCATGTGGCACAGGTAGCTTCCCCCGCCCAACAGCACATGTGTAGTGATGACATACACCAACCATAAGTATTAAGTTAGCTGTTCTGCACGATCACATTACCTCTTTCCTATCACCTCACTGTTAAAACCTATTGTTACTCTCTATTACATTCGCAATAACGACCTAAATAAGCCATGTCTGGAAGCAACGTCGTCCACGTCAAGGGCATTGCCCCCACGACAACCGAGAAGGAAGTTCATGATTTTTTCAGCTTCTGGTACGTCATTAATTAACAGATCACCATAGATGGGATTTCGAATTAACATCTGACTGCTGCAGTGGAAAAATCTCCAACTTGTCTTTGACACCTGAGTCTGGTGAAGCTGACGCCAAGAAGTCCGCTACGGTTACCTTCGAGAAGGAGACGTAAGTGATCATTCAGCTTCATTGCTTGGAATCAATATGCTTACTTGGGTGTAACAGCGCCGCAAAGACAGCCCTCCTCCTCGACAACACCCAGCTCGGACCGTCCGCTGTCCGTGTCGAGGCAGCCCACAGCATCGACGACATTGCCGGCACCCATGCAGCCAGCGCCAACGAAGCCAAGGACGAAAACCACCATGACATTGAGCAAGAAGACAAACCCCGCTCACGCATCATCGCTGAGTACCTCGCTCACGGCTACGTCGTCAGCGACCAGGCCATCCAGCAGGCGATTGCGCTCGACAACAAGCACGGCTTCTCCAACAAATTCACCTCTGCACTCTCCAACTTCGACACCAAATTCAAAGCCACCGACCGCGCCAAGGGGCTCGACGAGAAATATAATATCACCAACCAGGCCACTACCGGCTGGCGCGGCTTGACCTCGTACTTCGAGAAGGCCCTCGATACCCCCACCGGCCAAAAAGTGCGCGACTTTTACGTCCAGACTGATAAGCAGGTTCGCGACATCCACAATGAAGCTCGGCGTCTGGCGGATCTCAAGAGCGGAAAGACCCCTGCTGAGACTGCTGAGACTACTGGTCCTGGCGCCGTTGGTGAGGTTGCTGCCGAGCCCAAGCCTACCGCATAAGACTTTTCTTTTCATTATTAGTGTTTCGTGTTAATTCGGTTGCTTACGACGTTTCGACGAGGTCATGATGAAATAATTCTATTCTGTTCTGTTCCTTTTCAAGTGCTTGTTTCAAGAGAACGGGTTTCCTGTAAATACGTATGAAATAGCTTATACTCGACTTTGCGAGGATTCTACGTATACATTGAGAATTAAACTGTTATACAACTTAGCAATAAAAATCTAAAAATATATACATGTATAAATTATACTAAATTATACTATAGTCCGATGTGTCGCCACAAAAGTGGATCTCAACATCACATCATAAATTCATCCTAACCCTAATGCATGGGTCAAGGCAGAGACGTCATGATGAAGTAGTTGCTCACATTTCCTTTAGGCAAGCAATTCACACCTTTAAAAGACAATCAACATCTACACATATCAATATTGGGAGTAGTTAACTCATACATACAAAACACAAAACAAAAACCCCCGCATCTACCGCTACTATCCCACATCTTTTCTAACTTATTTATCATCACCAACGGTTTCATCCACAATGTCTGCCCAAAAGAGCGGCCGCCAATCCCCGCCTCCAGAAGGCCAATCGGGACCACAACTCCACGACGTTCCCGGCACTGGCAAGAGTATACCCAACGCCGCGCCGTCCGACGAACACGCGAAACAGAGCTCCGATCAGGCCCTAGCTGGGCTACAGAGTAATCCCGTCCATCCGTTAGAGCAGGCTGCGCGGGAGAAGTTGAAGTGAGGGGATACCTTTTATTTTTTTGGCGGTGGGGAGGAGATAGGAAGGGGAAGGGGAAGGGGATGGAATGGTTTTGGGTGACGGTGGATTATAGGAATTGTTTTTCGTGATCGGGGATGTAAATGGTCATGCAGGTCTTTAGAACATTTTAACTAGTTGATAGGAGATTGTCTGCTATCAATGTGCAATGGAACTTTATTATGAAGGTAGTGAATGCATTTAGGGTATATGACTGCGCGTCAAGAATATTATATTACATCTAATTCCTCGACATGTCAACAGATCAGACGTGCAGAGCACAAATATGATCAATGTCTAATCACACCATATAGCCCGAAGCAAAACAAGATATAAACCACCGTTACGGCCGTCATAAGAAAAAAGTACCAGCCCATAACCTTTAACAAGCGCTTCATGGAGTTCCAATCAACAGAACGCACCGCATCGACAACACCAAATTTGGCCTGAACGCTGACTTCAGGATTAAGATGCCCAAAAGTACGATCAAAGGGCACAATAGCCTCCTCGTCCTCCGGCAACATTGACGCGGCTATGCGAATGAATACCACACTAATGGACATCGTGACAAAGGTATTTATCAGTATGCAAAGAATGGACCACCCAATGGCAATTAAAAGCGTAGCGCTGTTTCCTGTCTGTGGTAGCTTCTTATAGAGAAAGAAAAGAGCAGACAGTACGAGTTGGCCCGCCAAGGACTGCAGGAAAGCCGCCGGAGCAAGCTTCACCCACGCCTTGCGAAAAGCAGGGATACGCGACCAGAGCGATTTCTGGGATGGTCGCGAGATCATAGTATGAATCCATGCGACCTCGAGGTTGATCAACATGACTCCGACTAGGAATATCGCAAAGAAAACACCAGTGGAGCCTAAGGTTAGGGCAAAAAAGCCGCCGATCGGCAATATGAGCACCGCAGTAGCGACCATGTACAATGCGAATATGCCAATGCCGCGAAAACGAGACAGACGGCCGCCACCGTGGACTTGGAGATGCGCGATTGTGTCGCTGATAGAGCTGGTGATGGGTTTGAGGGGGGGTTTGGATAGATTGTTGGCGGGAGTCTCGATGTCGTCGTCTGTTTCAAGACGTACGTAGGCGGTTGGCCTGGGGTCTTCGATGGCAGCGAGTGTGAAGACGACTCTGCCGTAGGTATAATCTACTAGTAGCGCTGTGACCACAAAGATGCATGAGGCGATGATGACGAGGGAGTGCAAGAGTGGGGATGGCTGCCTGGGCTCGTCTGCTGTGCCGCGTCGGGCAAGATCAAGATAGACTGCACCGAGAGCTGCCATTTTGCTTTGTCGTGTAGAATAAACAAGAATGTGACTCGGAGCTTGAAAAAAGAGGGGTCCAAGAAGAGTATAAATAGTAAAATACCTCGCGAGAGGGGAAACTAGGTTGCAACGGCAAAACCCGACTCAGCCTCAGCTTGGCCTGGGCGAAATCGGAAATAACCAACCAGCAACAACCCCCAACCAACAAATACACAATGACATGACATGATCCCTGCAAATATGATGCATGCTAATCACAATTATCACACACCCGAGCGAATCATATACTCATGCAAAAGCGACTTGAAACTGAGGCAGAATGTATGGTTTAATCAAAGTGTAAAAGGGTTCAAGCTCAGTATACAAGGCATATCTAAACTATTCAAAGACATGCCTCTGTCTGGATAGGACAATCACAACCAAAGAAATAAACAAAAGGATTATGGGGTACTAGCATGACATCAAGCGTTGAAAGAAACAGGGGGAAATAAAATGTAATAACAACGCCTATGAAATTCTCATATTGACATAGTTTTGGCCATGATACTATCTTTTTTGCCCTCTTTTTGTAATTTTTTTTTCCGTTAATTACCACCACCATTCTCCAAACTCACAGCCATAGCAGCGCTAGCTTTATCAGCTTCTTGGAATGCTGATTGTATAACTTGCTGCTCTTCAGAAGTTAAGATCTTGGTTAAACTCTCGTATAGCTGTGGTTGCTCTTGTTGTAATCCTAGCTCGGAGTTAGTATATACTTGACGTATTCTGCGCAGCTAAACGTACCGAGCATGACATTCTTAAATAGACTGTATGGTTCGACTTTGTCAAGAGGCGTTTCAAGCAGACTCTCCTCATCCAGCTCGTCATCGTCGTCCGCAAAGGAGCTGAATTTTTGTGCCTATCTCCACTATTAGCATGGCTCGTTGTAAGAAGAATTTGGTGTACTGACCTCTTGGCTAAGGAAGTCGAGATAAGCAGTATTTTCATCAGCCACATCGTCGTCTCCAGTTCCTTCGGCTTCATCCTGGTCGTTCCATTCCACCTCGCCGTCCCACTCAGTCTCACCATCTAATTCGTCCTCGTCCTCATCGTCATAAGTATAATCCGACTCCCGAGTAGCTTCTTCGCGGTGCTTGAGTGCGGCTGGAAGGGTCTGGAAGAGCCGAGTAACGCCTTGCAGTAACCGTGGCCAGCCCTGTTGGATACTTGCTGGCACATCACCGGCTTTCAGCGTCAGGAGAGAACTGATAGCCGCAATGGACAACTTCTTATCGTGAACACGGCGGAAATTATCAATGTTGGAGAACCAGGCGCTGAAGAATTTATTCGTCCAGCCCTTAGCCTCGAGGACTTGTAGAGACAGCGCTGGGTTGTAGTAGATGGCGTTGACAACCATTTCCATCAGGTGAACGCGGTATGACTTCGTCTTGGCATCGCCACTGTTGATCACCTTCATGGCAAGCTCAATAAAGATGGGGACGTATTGGTCGACGTATCCGCGGAGGTTCAACATCAAAGCCTCGGCAAGCTTGCATCCGCAAATTCTATCAACTCCTCCGACTTTCTCGTCGTGGAAGATATCTTCCACCATGCTCACAATAGCTCCAAGATATGCAGGATTTTGAATAAGCATATCTGTACCGTATGAAACGAAGTTGTCCAAAGCAGGTAACATGTCTATTCAAGTTAGTAATTCGTTCATAATTATTAAAGGGTAATTACAAACCCTCTAGATACAACTCGGCGCCAGCTTTGAAAGTCTTGTGAATCATCTCAAAGGCTTGCCACATAGTGGGTGAGATAGACTTAGCAGAGAATGTGCAGCTGTCAATAATTTCGAAAATCTCATTATATAAATCTAGAACAGAAAATTAGTACCAAAACTAAAATAGCACTGGAAATACGCACCGTAGAGTTTGTTTTCCAGAGTAATAGTAATAACAGGCATCAAAATCGTCTCAAGATGCAGTAGAACATCCGGAGTGCTCTCCAAAGTGAGAATTAGGGTTCCGATGGTCTGCAAAACACCCAGGGCCGTAATGCTCTTGTCGTCAAGGAAGTCTCCATATGTTTCATCCTCGCCCTTGGAGGCTTGACGTTCTAGAAGCTCCTGGACGATACGCATATATGTATCACGCAACTGCTCACTCAGCGCAACCGCGAATGGAGTCAATTCAGCAGAGAACACCTCGACAAAATCTTCCATAACATTGGACAATGCATCAACGTCAACTTCGTTGGCCAGTTTGAGCAATTGCTGCATGATCTGAGGGATGTTTTGTTGCATTGAAGTGCGAATCACTTCGTGTCGAATAAGAGGCTGTAAAGCGAGAGCAGCCTCGACGCGGACAGGTAGATCCTCGTCTGCCATCGACTGTAATATGTTACGGTAGATAATCATCAAGTTTTCAGGGTCTTTGAAATCGAGTTGCTCGAATTTCTCGAGTGTATCACAGGCGCGGGCTCGGAGAAAGCCATGGGGACTGCGGAATTCAGGGAATACGTGGCGGACAAAGAAGTATTCAACTTGATCAGCAATGGGGCTTTTCTTGCCTAAAATCACCGTGGCGAGAGACCCAATCATGCGCAGGGCACCTTCTTTCTCTCTAGGGAGTTTCTGGTCATCAGGTGCGGATTCGTATTTGCTGACAACACCATTAACGAATTGCAGGATGTTAAACGTTTGCTTCTTCCGGCTTTTGGTGAGTGAAAGCAAAAAGTTGGTTGCTGCAACGTCAGGCGCTGAGATCTCTTCGTAATAGTTCAGTTTTCGGTGAAGGTATTCCGGAGGATCGGTTTCAAACAGTTCGAGGTCCTCATCTGATTGACATAGTAGAGGGAAGACCAGGTGTGCGATGAGGGTATCCATATGAGGCTTCAGGTGTTCCCATGTCGACTTGGGCTTCACGCACTCCTCGAGGAAGATCAAAGTATAAGAAAGTACAGGTTTACTGAGCCACTGGCCTTTGATCCACTTCTCAACTTCCTGAAGATAGCCTTTCAAGATTTCCGGAGTAAAGGTGGTAATAAACGATTTTGCGTGTGTGACTGCATCGGTAGACGTATTCTTCGTAATCGTGGTTGGGTTTCCATATCTAGATGGGCTCATTAGTCTCTTTCGCGCACCTAAGCCGCGTAACACACCTAATGAAAAGCCGATTCAAGTTTGCGTAAGCCCATTTTTTGCACTTCCACCAGTGATTACTCTCCCTCTCGTCCACATCTTCGGGCATAGAAACAGCTGGGGGGGCCTTTGCAACAATTCCCAAAAATAAGGTACACCAGTCAACGGTTGCCTGGTGGGTTCTAAGATACGGCGGCAGATCAAACTACAAGATCATGGGTCAGAGCACGAGACGCCAGAATTCCAAATACGATACTCACATAGATAGCATGTTTATAAGCCTTCACCACTGTATGCAGCATTTCTGCAGCCTCCAAGCTCTCCTCATTCACCAGCTTGCTTCCAATGTTGAGCAACTGCGGGAAGCAGTGCTCAACGATTTTATCAAAGTCGGCTCGATTCTCATTATTCTTGAACCGGTACACCTTGCAGATTGCCAGCAAGCATTGGAGTCCAGCGAAAACGGAGTTTGCGTCGTTGGCGTTGAGTAGCTGCAGTGTGATGGCCATAAACCCGGGCCATTTTTCAGGAAAATCATATGAGAGGATCTTCGTGACGATTGGGATAATCTGGGCGCGCACATTTGCCGGCGTCGCCGCGAGAATCGGAATCAATCGATCGCGAAGAGCCGGGCGCTCTTCATCGGCGATGGGTTTGTGAGGGCTGGTGCTGTCCTCAGGAGGAGCCCAGCCGCGGTTGATTCGGTTTTTCAGGTACACGACAGCTAGAGCACAGTCAAAATTAGCCAATTTTCTCGTAAAAAATATTGCGCATCAATCCCCTTTCCCTTAGCATGGATCTTCGGGCTGAGAAGACTTGACGTTGAAAAGGGCGGGCAGATATTAAGGATGGCGGGGGTTTTTTCACCATACCAGACAGCTGAACGGCGTTATTCTGCTCGGCCTGCAGAATATCTAAGAGAGCGTTGATGAAGCCTGGTTGAGTCTCGGCCTAGAATTTGCAGATGCAACGGATTAGCTGGGGGGAGGGGCTTGAGGGGAGAAGCCTGCTGTGTACATATTTGAGGTCCAACTCGGCCTGTCGTCGATTGTCCGCATTGGCATCGAGAGTGGCCTGGATACGATCCCGGAGAGCATTCACATCCATCTTGCGCCCGTCTACCCCCAACACCACAAAGAAACAAAAGGAAATAAAAAGCAACGGACAAGAGCAAGGACGAGGACAATGGCAGGATCTCCGCGGTCCTTTGTAGACGAGAAAACACAACGCCGCAGCGAGAGTTGGTTTTGGGGGATGGGGTTTGGCGGGAGGCTTTTTTGTTGATCGACGATAACAGAATTAATTTGATTAGGTGCGGCTGTGGTCGTAGTGGGCTATGGGTGGCCTTTGGAGAACCTGAGTGCCTCTGCATTTTTCAGGCGGCCCCACTCCGTGTCACTTTTCTTCAATTAAATTTTTTTTTCTTCGTGTCTTTTTTTTATAAAAAATTGGTTTAGATGACATTGGAATTTTATTTTGAATTTGAACGGGGCTGCCCTATTTTATCTGGAAAAGAGAGAGAAGAGAGAGAACAACACAGCACGTTCTGAGCCTCGTGTTGACCTCGAGGCTAGCTGATGTAGCTTATAACGCTGGACATCGTACGCGAGTTCCCACATACATTCGCGTCAATTGGGTAAAGTCTTTAAGATTATGATGAGTGTCTGCGTCTTAAATTTACTGTGCCATGTGGCTGCTAGGCCGATGGACACTAACGAGCCTCCAAACTGGTGGGTGGCAATAAAGCTGTCTCGGTGTCTCCATCCGAGACCCATACACCTAACATAGTTACATGTAATTACAATAATCCTTCATAAAGAAAACATACCCATATTCATTCAGGATGTATACCGACTTAATAGACACGCCTACATGTACAGCGACGCGGCGAAAATCACATCGCGCTTGATCATCTCCTGGGCCTGTTCCATCTTGGTGTAGAGCGTCGGGTCACCCACCAGCTTCGCCGCGTTCTTGACCTCTCGACACGTCTCGTCGAGGCGGGTAATGGTTCGCACGATTGTGCCTTCCATTACATCGGTCAGATCCGTGATACGGTTGAAAGACATCCCCTTGGCCCATTCATACACAACCTCCACCAAGCCAAAACGAGGCTTGCTGGTGAAGTCATTGGAGTCTTCACTTGACAAGATAACCTGGTGCAGGATCTGAAAATCGTTGACCTTGTCGGCAATTCGCACAATCGCCTCCTTGCCTTTCTCAAGGCGGGGCGTCAGGGTGGGCTCGCTCTCGGTTTTTTCTTGGAAAACAAACGCAGACAGGAGAGCCACGATTTCTTCTGGCTCGTATTCAGCGAGCACGTTCTCGAGAATGAGTTCGGTGAGGACCAGTTCGTCAGCAGAATGGATCTAGACACTTAGTATCAAACAAGACTAATAGATAGTAATTCGAAGACTTACCTCGCAAGCAACCTTGCCTTTCAGTTGCACCCGAGATTCACCATCTACAAACCCTAGCTCTCTTAAAACCTCGACTCGTTGTTCGTAGTCAGGAAGCAGTTGCAGATTCTGGTCCGACATAAGTTGTCGTAATTGTAAGATGTTCTCTTTCACCTGCCATTCGTCATGTTGCATCTCAAACTATAAGTAGATTAGTCTCTAATCTAGCCTTCTCTAATGGACTGGGAACAAACGTGTTTAAGAAAGTCGGGGCAAGAAAGACAGTGGCAGGACTGTGCAATAGCGGCTTGCTCTTGTCGTTTACTCAAAATATCCCTCACTTGCAGCTCCTTGACACGAGCCCAGTCCAATTCATCCCAAGTGGAATTATCCCACGAAGCACAGTGTTTGGACAACTCCTTGTCTCCGAATTTCAAGGCCTCTACAAGATAATCAGCATTTGTCTCTTGGAATTTCTCAAATAATAGTTAATTGAATTACCCTTCTTTATATTCAAGTACCAGACCGGCCCACCAAGCTTCACAAGAGTGTTTGTCACACACTCAATATCAGCCAAAGGCACTCGGCACACTTTCAGAATCATTTCCTCAGACTTCGTGGGCAGCTGACGGAAAAAATGACGGAAGATGGGGAGGAACGGTAATATATCGCTTGGATGACGCTTGTCGCTTACTGCACCTATTTCGAGGACCTGAATCGTGGGTTCGCCGCCACTAACTCCTTCGCGAACAATCATCCCGGCCGTGCGAATACCATCCTAAATGCAGATATAAGTATACATATTCTGGAATTAAAATGTCCGAAACCATACCTTTCTATACACCGCAAGTCTCTTGATCTGGAAAAGTCTCTTCCCTACTGGAGAAGTGATCAGGCCGGTGTGAAGATCTCTAGTGAGCTTCTCATATTCAACCGCCGCTTGATGGCAGGCGGCAAGATCCACGTCGCAATAGCTACACGGCTCGCGTTTTATTTTTGCGAGACTAGCCTCAGAAAGCTGCACCTGCTTCTCATGCTCGGGTAATAGTGCCTGGGTGGCATTTTCGCTGAAGCTCCGTTTAATCATCTCCTCGATCTTGAGAGCTTCAACACGGAGAAGATTCAAAATCATGTTGTACGTCAGGCGGAACTGGGATCGCAGTTTCGTCGGATCTCCTAGGATCATCCTTCGCAACGCGCCGGCAGGTGGTGCCTCGTCTCTGCCACTAGTGACGATGATCACAGAACCAACGGTATCCAAACCTCTCCTTCCTGCGCGCCCGGCCATCTGTGTATATTCCCCTGGTAAAAGGTCTCTGAATCCCTTGCCATCGTGTTTTCGGAACCCGGAGAACACTACTGTGCGAGTTGGTAAATTCAGACCCATGGCAAATGTCTCTGTCGCAAAGAGAACCTTAACCAGAGTTTTTGCAAATAGAATCTCCACAATTTCCTTCATGATAGGCAAAAGACCACCATGATGTACAGCTACGCCCCTGCTCAAAAGTTCTCGAAGTCGAAGGATTTGGGGAAGCACTCTATCCTCTGGCTTCAACCGAGCCAGAGACTTCTCAATGATCATGTGAATAGCACTCTTTTCAGACGCAGTGCAAAAGTCCTGGTTAGACAGCGAGTTTGCATTTTCTTCGCATCTCTTCTTGGAGAAGACGAAAATACAAGCAGGAAGCAAGTTCTCCTTGCGCAGATACTGCACAAGGTGGACCCATATATTTCGGTCTTGCGCTGCCGTCGTCCTTCCTCCACCACGGCCAGTTCGAGCAATATTTCCAGAGCCTCTAGTTGATGGCGCACCTCTTCCTCGTCCCTGTGCGCCTTGAGGGCCACCGCGTTGAGGACCGCCTCTCTGTCCACCTCCTCTGGCTGGGGCGCCGCGACCCTGGCCTCGTCCTTGCTGTGCACCCTTTTGACTAGCTTGGGACTGTGCTTGTGCGTCTGCGGCCTTTTGGGCCTTGGCTTTATCTCTTCCAGACAGAATTTCATCGGCGTTCTTCCAGCCCTTTTCGATGAATTTTTTGTTTGAATCAACAATTTTATGGATACTCTTACCGGCCCAGAGATAATGCTCAAGCGGTACAGGGCGCTTGGCCGTAGAAATAACATATATATCTTTCTTTTTGGTACGTCCAACCCATGACGCAAACTCATATGTATTCGGGACAGTGGCTGAAAGGAGAATCAACGTGACATGTTCAGGGAGCATTATAATAACCTCTTCCCAAACCACTCCACGTTCCATATCGTTGACATAATGTACTTCGTCAAAAATAACAAACTCGACATCTCGAATAAGGTCGGCTCCGCGATAAAGCATACTGCGAAGAATTTCTGTGGTCATAATAAGACAGCTCGATTCCGGCGAGATTTGTACGTCACCCGTAAGAATACCAACGTCGTCGAATATATTGCGAAAGTCACGGAATTTCTGATTACTCAATGCTTTGATTGGGGATGTGTATATCGCTTTCGTCATGTGTTTTGCAGCGAGTGCAATGGCGTACTCTGCAACCACAGTCTTTCCAGCCGACGTGTGAGCTGCGACGAATACCGAATCTCCATTCTCCAAGTGATAAACGGCTTCTTTCTGAAAAGTGTCAAGTTCAAAGGGCCATTCCTTTGCCATGTCTGGAACCAGATCATGGAAATTGGTGATTTCCTTGTTCACATCCACAACATGAGCCCATTCGCGACCACCTTTTTTTGCAGCCGCGGCTAGAAGTTGACTTCGTGGCTCAAAGGCTGGAAACTCAACGGGCAATAGCGAATCAATATCTCGCTCTTCGTCCTCGCTCATGACTTCATCTTCATCTTCTACTCCTTTTCTAGCGCCTTCCTTGACTTCTTTACGCTCTGTGGAAATGTGTTCTTCTTCTTGCGCCAAGGTCTCTTCGACATCCTTGTCATCTTCTTCAGCAGCTTGAGATGTGGGTTCATCGAATTTCATCCCTCGCGAAAAGCCCGGTGGAACTTCCAAAAGTCCTTCTTCAGTACCGAAATTAATGATTCGATCAAGACCCTGCTTTCCACTAGCTCTCTGCTGGTCATTTGCTTGCATTTCAGATTCCATCTCCGCGATCGCCTCAACGCCCTCCAAACCGCCAGGCGAAAAGGGGAAGTAACCCGCAGCTCCTCGAACAAAGTCCGCTCTTGCAGCTGGACGCCGAAGCAAAGAGGTTGAATTCTTCGCCGTTGCACTGGTTGCCGGTACTGTGACTTCATGATAGCCCGTAATCCGCCCTTCTAGGCCTTCGCGGTTGAATCGGATAATAGTACGAGTCTGCGTCGGATCTATTTCAAACAGATCCCGATAATCCGCCGAAACGTCCCATCGTCTGTGCAATATTTAGCTACCGAGCAAAGAATATAACTTCTATAGTGTACTGCTGCCACCTACTTCTGCAACCGGTTCAGCCAATCAGGGCTAAAACTAGACGAGGGTGTGAGAAATTCACTCTCTAGTTCGGACTTGAGCTCATCCACGTTCTTTTGAACCCTTTTTCGAGACCTAATAGCCCCGGTGGCTCTATTCTCCTGGCTAATAAGCCGCTCGTCGAAATCAGTGGAGACGAGTTGGTCGGCACTCAGTCGGAGCCGTGCCAGACTCGACGATAGTGCATCCACCATAACTGAATTTTTCCTCAAGATACGCAGGATAAGCACGATATTCGTATCTGTTTAGATATTGCTGGTGGTCATGCGTGCACAATGGGAACGCAATGTAAATGTAAGATCGAGACAAACAGCAACGGAAGATCCCCTCTTTCACAGGCAAAATAAAGCGGAGACTCGACGGGAAAGAAAATAGTCGATGTGCTTGAGTAAAAGAACATCTATGAAAGAGTTCTATTTTGTAGCAAATTCATACAATGTCTTTTGCAGCGTTGGCTGGTGCTGGCAGGCAAATGTGGTCGGTTTGAATATTGAATGATGACATGAATTTCACAGTGGAGACAAACATGCATGCCCCACCTCTTTCCATTAGTGACTATAGAACAGTCAGCCCTTTACACACCCTACCCATATTGGTCTATTTAGTATCGAGGAATTGATTCACATTAATCAAAGTCTTTCAGATACTTGCAGAGAGCATTTTGATTGCATAAGGAATGAAAATCCTAGGTTTTGGATTAAATTGATCATGTTTCGCACCATTTACTGAAAGATATTAATCTAAATGGCACCCACATGTGCCAGCCAACTTTAAATGCTCAAATGTTGAATTTAGCCCAAATTTATTCAAATGATATATCAAGATATCTGTATGCCTAAAGTGATATCAATTCAATGCTGATATACATAAAATCAATGTCTTATATATCCGTGATTGTTTGATTGTTTTAGAAATATTTTTTTAGTAGGTTATATACCTAGTACTATTGACGGCCAGCATGTTATCAGTGGACATGGAGTGACGTTAATGTATCGCACTAGCTTTTCTAACTTGGCTGCATCAATCAATACAGTAGCTCTCACTGAACACCGAACAACCGTGAGAATGACAAACCTGAAGAAAGAGGGGGAAAAAAAGGAAACCTGAAACTGTTAAATGGGCTAAGCTATAAACATCTCAACACAAAAGTAAATCCCCAAGAATGCCGAGTTAATAAACCTAAATCGCCCATAGCAAGACATAGCATAACGTATGAAATCGTGAGCATCATCATAAAAATCAGAACAAAACGAAGGATAATTCTTTTCACCCTAATGCCGAAGAATGGAAGAACTCAACGAAAAGAAAATACTGGAAAGCTTTTACGATCCTGTACATTGAGTTGGAATTCATAGATTCCTTCGACTGTTCCAATATACCTATAACCGAATGTTAGTAAGCAGCTACGGATTCAGGCTCGAAGGGTGATTGTGGCTTACAAGCTCCTTCCATCATGACCCCAGCCGACGCCAGCGGTCTCGCCGGGGTCTTGGTCTCTGGGCATGTAGCCAAGGTTGCGCTCAGTAAGATTGTTATCCATAAAGTGCCGGATCCACCGTGGTGACCGGGTCTGGGATGGGTTAGCATATTCTGATATGGATGTATGTATCAGTGGGATACTACCTCGCCTACGGCCACCCGTTGTCGACGAAGCCTCTCAGCTGCCACACTGGCTCGTAACTCTGCGGTCGTTGCGCGCTGGTTATCGTATCTGCTTTCTGTCGTGGTACCTTGGCGCGAAGACCGACGAGGGATCGACCTTGAACGCTGGGACGGTTGGCGTTCTGTTGAGGCTGTCTCTGGGAACGGAGATGAAGGGTTAAAAAGAGCGGTTGCGCGGCTTAGAAAGAATTCACGATCACGGTTACCCGTCCCGGATCCATTACTGGAGAAACCATTCCCTGCGGAGTTGTTGTTATCGGTACTTGGTGGTGAATTTCCAAATGATTGAATGTCCATTGGCGACGCGGTCAACCTGAGTAAAACCTCCACATCTGCATCCGATATATCGTTATCAGCACTCTCAACGTTTGAACTAGTGCCAGGGCCAGGTGGTTGGGATACGACAATGGAACCGCGCCGTCTTTGGCCAAGTGTACGCTCTGTGGAACCAGCCCGTCCCAGGTAGTGTTCACGGAATAGCTCGTGGAGGGTTGCGTCCGTAGAGCGAAAAGGGGGAGTCGTACGAGGAGATGGGTCGGCGGTATCGCTGTCACCAATGGAGGAGGTATTGACGCCATGTCGCAAGTTACTGGATGCCCTAGGCGGTCGTTCATCTGCATCACCATCGAAGACATCTCGAGTGGCCCAACGGGCTGTATTGAGCAGGTCAATTATCTGCCGTTCTCTATTTGTCAGGCCCTGCATACCCTCGCGATCCGGGGTCAACCGCCTAGAGGATCCTAGCCCAGAGTGGACTATCTCAGAGTCATCGTCAAATGCACCCACTGTGATCTGACGATACCCCGGTCTAACATCCAATTCTTCGTCACCTGACCGCGAGATTAAAGGTGTGCTGAAGGTTGTGCGAACTGTTTCCAAATCAGGATCGTCTCGGTCCAAATGTACGATCTGCCTCCGGTAGAAACCTGACCGGACATCAGCAATTCCAGCTCTCCCTGTATCCTCAACCCAGACTAAGAGGTCCCACGGATCCGGAGAGAAGGTCATGCTGCGTACCGCACCGGCGTCCGAATCGGGTCGGGAGGACGAAAACACATACAAACTACATATAGCATCTTCTTTTGCCGAGAGAATGGCCTGGACATCATACACGCTAATAAGTCCCCCTTGAGAACCAATCGCACATAAGTGGCTGGCTGGCGAAAACGCGATAGTAAAACAGCTGCCATCATCAGGTCTAGAAGTTGTTCGTAAGCTCGTGCTAAGAGGTAGCTCTATACGGCGTATCAACTCCCAGGTCCATCCTGACAGCCTCTGGTTGTAATCTCCATAATCTACTGTGTTTGGGTCACGCTGGATTCGGTAAAAGTATGCGAAATTCTCGTCCCCAACGGCAGCGAGCAGTTTAGAGTCCGGGGATATCATTGCATAATTCATGCATGTCGGGTGGGGTAATGTTTCCAACAATTTTGTTCGTGTGAGTGAAAACAATCTGACGGTCTTATCATTGTTGCTGCGCGCATCGTTCGTCAGATTTGGTTAGGTAGATATCAGGGAGCTATGGACATACCTGAATACAACAACGTCCTCATGTGCGAAGCGCTGATTGTCACCCGGGAAACGGTGAATTGTTACTGAGTTCACAATACTCCCAGAAAGTGTTTTAGTGTAGATTTCAGGTATATCACTCTGACCATGCGCGGGCCCAAACGACGATCGACTTTCTCCAGACGCTGTCGGAGGTGTCCTGGAATTCAGGTCCAATTCAATGGGCAATGCGGTATCTACATCTGTTTCCTCGACTCGCGACTCCGTGACAGGATAATTTTCCTCTCGGCCTGGGAGTCTGATGAAAGCACACTCTCCATTATCAGAGCCTCCAACAACAATCCAGCCGTAGGCAGCAGCAAGGCATTTCGGCTCAAAGGGCACTCTCTCGATGGTATCCCAATTCTGCGACTTTATATGGATTGAATGAACGATTTTGTGGGCGACGATATAGATTTTATCTGCATCAGCAGTGCTTATGTAGTGGCGCAATTGACGGTGGCTAGAGAGAGATAGTTGTATCAGCACCAGCTACTGCCTGTACAGGCACCCTTTTTCCCTAGAGCCTAGACAAGGGATTACTGACAAATTGGGGATTTTGAAGGGGAAGAAGCGTCGCTTAGTTGGGAGCAGCAAGGAATCGGTGGATAGACATCTGAGAGCACAAGTTCATTAGTGGGATGGGAGCAACAGTCACAAGCTTGAAGATTAAACGCACGGCAGGGTATAGTCTAATGTCATGGTTGACCAAGGAAATTACAGATGCGTCATTGTTGGAGGGCGGGTATATTGAGCCACGAGGCGATGTATTCACAGCGCGAGGGAGAAAGGATTATAGTAGTGTCGTATAAGAATCAATAAATACTATGGACGGAGTTGACATGTGCAGCTCCGGGTGACTAAATGAGCAGCAGAGAGAGAGCAAGCATGACAGTCCATGACGGCACAGGCGCGCTATGGCTACGGCCCAGGCGGGTTTAGCGCGCGCAAGCCGGGCGGACAAAGCCGTAGCCGGAGCAGGCAAAACCTCGGAGCTGCCTTAGGCCCCTACTAGTCCGCGTACCGGTGGTAAGTTCTACGGTGTTCGATGGGGGGTGTCACGTGAGCCCGCGGACTGGGAGGCGCTAGGAAGGAGCGAGCGGAAATTTTGACTTCATCGTTTCTTCTCTCCCTTTCCTCATTCCTCCATTTATTATACCTTTCCCCAATCCCTACACCCTTCTTTCCTCCTGTATTCCACCATCTGGCGGTGCCTCTTCTCGCATCCCAAGCAGCAAAAGTCTTGTTTCCTCTTTTCTGCCTCGTTTAATACCCCTTGTAATTATACCACAATGCTCTCTTCCCGTCTCTCCCGCGCGGTAAGTGCTACTCCCGAGCTCCTCGAAAAACTTTGACAGAGACTGATGGCTCTGTTATAGCTGCCGCGCACTGCTTCTATTGCCCGTGCACCTGCATTCAGAGCTCCTGGCGCCTCTTTCCGGAGATGGAACTCAACGGAAGGCGGCGAGGAGAAGGTCAAGGGCCAGGTCATCGGTATTGACTTGGGTGTGTAGCTTATACTTGTCGCAATTGATCACACGAGGAGCTAATGGAATCACGCTAGGTACAACCAACTCTGCCGTTGCTGTGATGGAAGGAAAGACTCCTAAGATCATTGAAAACGCGGAAGGTACGTAAATGAAAGCTGGAAAAAATTTTTCTCTCATGTCTACAAGTGACCGGGATCTAACGTATTATTTATAGGTGCTCGCACAACTCCCTCCGTTGTCGCTTTTGCCCAGGATGGTGAGCGATTGGTTGGTATTGCCGCTAAGCGTCAAGCTGTTGTGAACCCTGAGAACACTCTGTTCGCCACAAAGCGTCTCATCGGTCGTAAATTCACCGACGCCGAGGTCCAGCGCGACATCAAGGAGGTCCCCTACAAGATCGTCCAGCACACAAACGGCGATGCGTGGGTGGAGGCTCGTGGCGAGAAGTATTCGCCTTCACAGATCGGCGCTTTGGTTCTCCAAAAAATGAAGGAGACCGCCGAGGCCTACCTTGGCAAGCCCATCAAGAATGGTGTTGTTACTGTCCCTGCCTACTTCAATGACTCTCAGCGTCAGGCTACCAAGGATGCTGGTCAAATTGCTGGTCTGAACGTCTTGCGTGTCGTGAATGAGCCTACCGCTGCTGCTCTTGCCTATGGTCTCGAGAAGGAAGCCGACCGTGTCATTGCTGTCTATGACTTGGGTGGTGGTACCTTCGATATTTCCGTTCTGGAGATCCAGAAGGGAGTGTTCGAGGTCAAGTCTACCAACGGTGATACTCACTTGGGCGGTGAAGACTTTGACATCTCCCTCGTCCGGCACATTGTTCAACAGTTCAAGAAGGAGTCTGGCCTCGATCTTACTGGTGATCGCATGGCCATTCAACGTATCCGTGAGGCTGCTGAGAAGGCCAAGATTGAGTTGTCCTCTTCTCTCCAGACTGAGATCAACCTTCCTTTCATCACTGCCGATGCCTCGGGTGCCAAGCACATCAACTTGAAGATGACTCGCTCTCAGCTTGAGGGGTTGGTTGATCCCCTCATCAACCGTACCTATGAGCCGGTCAAGAAGGCCCTCAAGGATGCCAACTTGCAGGCCAAGGACGTCAACGACGTCATTCTCGTCGGTGGTATGACTCGTATGCCCAAGGTTACCGAGTCTGTTAAGAGCATTTTCGGCCGTGAACCTGCCAAATCTGTTAACCCCGACGAGGCTGTGGCTATGGGTGCCGCTATCCAGGGTGCTGTCCTTGCTGGTGAGGTCACCGATGTCCTCTTGCTCGATGTCACTCCTCTTTCCCTTGGTATTGAGACCCTTGGTGGTGTCTTCACCCGTTTGATCAACCGCAACACCACCATCCCTACCAAGAAGTCCCAGACTTTCTCTACTGCGGCCGACTTCCAGACTGCCGTTGAGATCAAGGTGTACCAGGGTGAACGTGAGCTCGTCCGTGACAACAAGATGCTTGGAAACTTCCAGCTCGTTGGCATCCCTCCTGCTCACCGTGGTGTTCCTCAAATTGAGGTCACTTTCGACATTGACGCCGACTCTATTGTCCACGTTCACGCTAAAGACAAGTCGACCAACAAGGACCAGTCCATCACCATTGCCTCTGGCTCCGGTTTGAGCGACTCTGAGATCCAGAACATGGTTGATGATGCCGAGAAGTACGGTGCCCAGGACAAGGAACGCAAGGCTGCTATCGAGTCTGCCAACCGCGCTGACTCTGTCTTGAACGATACTGAGAAGGCCCTTAAGGAGTTCGAGGACCGTCTCGACAAGACTGAGGCTGATCAGATCCGTGAGAAGATCGGCAGCCTCCGTGAGTTCGTTGCGAAGGCTCAGTCTGGTGAGAGCACTACCACCGCCGAAGAGCTTAAGCAGAAGACCGATGAGCTCCAGACTGCCAGCTTGACATTGTTCGACAAGATGCACAAGGCCCGCCAAGAGGAGTCCTCTCAGGGCCAGCAAGGCCAGACTGGCGAGCAGGGTGAGGGTGAGAAGAAACAGTAATTTACTGAATAGTCTTGCATCATCACTCTTGTACTTTGTATTTTGTTCCATTTCCTTTGTTACATTTCCTCTTCTCCTTCATGTGTGATTATCTAGATCATTCCCCTATCACCTATCATCTCTCGCATGACTGTACAGATACTTATGGGTTGTTTCTCGCATTGGGCCTATTACTCCTGGTGTGACGGTGTTTGCTGCTCCAATTATTACTTTAACAAAATATTCTTCGCATGTCATTTTTATATTCTTGGCTGGGCTTTGCTTGGATTGAGCAGAGAAAAGAAAAGGTGGTGGGAGGTTCGTCATTTACAGAATGTACCTCATGACCAACGGCCGCATCCACGCACACTGGCAGTGGTCGGAGATGATTATAGAATCGAAATCTCCTCTCTAATACATTATTATCAATCATAATACGAAACAGTTCGGGTAGACGCATAAATTGATCTGTTACATGTAATAATCGATTAATGGGGTGTACACACTACAGTCAAACGCATGTATATCCGCACCAATTGATATGTTGAAACCTAGCCAATGGGGTAATTTCACCCACCCAGCACCAACACACAACACACCCTCACACTCATATACTTGACCGCTGATCGACCCAAGGATACACTTCCTCCATCAATCAATGTCCTGCACCCACCTCCCAGTTATAATTGGAAGAGTAATGGATGACGTGGTCCAGACCACGTATACAATGACAAGTACTTGACCTTAGTATGCAGTCCAACTGTATTAGTCGCGCCGGGATTTGCCCTGCTTAGTCAAGACTTTAACAAACGTTAGTACGTAACTTACTCAACAGATCTAATTCTAAAGTACGCAGTAAAGAATAGCATCTCATCGGATTGGTGCACACGCAACGAATCAGAGGCAACGAAAATGACGTTTCGCTAGCTCATGCTAACACTGGTAAACAGTACGAGACGCGTCCATGTAAGTTAACTTATCAAATCCTAGTTTCATAATCATGATAAAGCTCAAACCGTCAGCCTGCGTTGGCCAAACTTAAAACTCTGCTTCTATCTACGATTAGTATTTACGATCAGTCTCTCGGCTGTATCTAAGTTTGTGTCGGCGATTAAACCGGTGAGATGGGCTCTGGCCTCTGTGGCTGTACTATGTAGGCATACTCCAATGATAATTATTGGCAGGTATATTAGCTTGCTCGGGAGATTTTTTTTTGGATTTATGATCATTTGGCGAATGAACGACTGGGGTTTGGTTGTGATTATGAATGTTATTCGTTAGGCTTGACGGTTCGGGTCAATGGTCGATATTTGTTGGTCGCACGGGTATATTACTTGTAATATTGTATTGGTTTGGGTGACTTGTCATGTTGGGTCTTGTGGTACGTTTCATAATAAACAACTGCATTTAGTCTAATGTAGTCAACAAAGACTATATATATAATGTACAATTTTGGGATTTTGATAATGTTGAAGGCGCTACTGATCGCCCCTTTTGATTCTACTACTCCGACTAAAAATACGGATACTATCTTCTGTCATATGATTCAGCGTAAAATAATAATCTATGACTATACGAGGTCCAACTAGGACGGAGACGAGCATAATGATGAATCCAATAGTGGATCACTGGTGGCTGAATTTTTTTTATTTTTGATAAATTTGATAAAGTGGCCGACCAAGATTTTGGCAGGCGCAGCGGCTAGCGAAGTTCTAACCAATCAGAAGCAGGGTCAGAGCAGCTTGACCGTTTCTAACTTTCAATAGATGAGCTTGACCCACAGTGTTATACAGCCCGCTAGACCGGTTCTATCTTAGGGGGATAGTGTGGCCAATGACACCACATCTCGCTCCGGCCTTGTTTGGCAATTGGTCGGGCTGTGAAGGGCAAGCAGCCAATAGGGGCAGCGCTATTCACACAGCCGCTCCTTGTTTCTCATTAGTCAATCAGATAGTTAATAATTATTAATTAATAAGTCAGAAGTTCTCGTTCGTCACTACCGATTCTAGGTCTCTAGTCTGTCTTGATGAGCGCAGAGGAAGGAGGTACCCCTTCCCCTGTGCTCCTTCTTGGTCCTGCCAACGACCGAGTCACATGGGTCCCTCGCATGACAGTGTATTTCATATCCTCCTTTTCTCTTCTCCTGAGTTCTCTCTCTATTATGATGACAATACAATGTAACTAAGCTGGTAAATAATCACCCGAATTTATCATAATATGACTTCATAATAATAGTAATAATCGTATAGTCTAAGTTGGGTGAACGAAATAATGGCCCCACCCGGCAGCAGTTTCTAGTATTTACTTTTCTGATACTTTTATTCTGTGTTCCCGCCTGCTATTCGCCCTGTACCTGTACTGTACCAATACCGTCAAATAAAATAAAAATTAAAAATAAAAATCAAAAGAAGAAAATATCCACCCACATTTTGTTTGCCCATAATAATCTTCCTGCTATTCTTAATTTCTTCCCTTGATCGCCATCCCTCCCCTCCCTTCCATCGTCATCGCGCGACATCAGGGCTGACCGAATCATCAACCAACAGGGAACATTGATAGTTCGACGAGAATACGTGACTGAAAGTTGAACTTTCCCAATTTCTGGTACGGGGGCATTCTGGTGCACCTCGGCTTGTGTTGACATAGGCTCGACTCTATTAGCCGCCGGTCACTACTACTAGACAGTACTAAACAGCAACACTGCCTATCGTGCATCCTTGTATGACCCATTCGATTCGACCAAGCAGAGCCGATCAGTAGCACCCTGAACTAGAGCTGAGCTTCAGCAGCTAGCTTCGTCGGCTCTATCAACCGTTATCTCGCGGCAGACGGATTCACATGTATCAGACTGTACGGGGTGTCTCCTGATACGTTCAGCTCAGCTACCAGTACTCTGCATTGCTCGTACAATAGAGCTAGGTTAGTCGACATTGCAATAAGAGAAAGAGAAAGCAACAGTAAGAATATTCACTCTACTTTATCCGTCAATGCTACGATCCTACACTATCGGGCACAATAGTAACAAGACACAGACACCATGACTGCTGCCTCCGCAGCAGCTCCTCCGCCAGTTGGAGAAAATGGGGTCAGCGGGCATACTCATGGCCCTACAATGGCCATGCCCCGATTCCATCCAATCGCTATCAATCCGAATGTGCAAACCTCCGCGCCTCCTGGTCCGGCGCTATACCGTCCATATGCAACTTCCATTATAGATCATGGACCACCACCTCCTCCTCCTCCCCATCATGCTCCGCCAGGACCTCCTCTCCAGCAACAAACCCTTGTCCCTCACCAGCAGCATCCTCCGCTCCTCCCGTCCCAGATTGACCAGATTGAAGCCCGGCTGCGCCAAATCGAACATGAAGAATCAAGCCGTGCGGCTGCTCGAGCGCACACGCTGAATGTGAGGAAGCGGGAAGATGAGGAGTTTCGAATGATCACTGAGCGAGCAGAGGCAGAAGAAGATGTACGCCCTCTCTCATTCACAAGCAACTAATTTCCTTGCTAACAGGGTTAGGAACTACGGAGACGACGAAAGCGGTTGAAGAGAGAGTCAATGGGCCTCACGTTTGACGGGCAAACCGAATCTCCACCTCCCCCAACACCACGACGTCTCTCCGAAACCAGCGCGGCAACGACATTAGCCTTCTTCAAACAACAAAGTCCGCCTGAGCCACGGCCGCCGGCGTCGGCTGAGATGAGACCACCACCGCCAGCCATCATCCAACAACCAACACCCATGGTCGCCCCTGGCCCGATAGTCAACATGAACATGAACATGAGCATGAACGGTAGTGGCGCCGGCACGGGTACATTCCGCAAGAAGCAGAAATACACGATCAAGAACGCCGAAGCATGGGGCGAACGCCACGGCCGTCCGGCAACTTACGATCCAGCGGGTCGCGCGCTATGGAAACGGCCGTCCGACGGCCAGCTGGTGTATCTCGACTGCCCAGCGCCGGATTGCGGAAAATCAGACTTTGTGACGCTGCATGGGTTCATGTGCCATCTCACCAAGAAACACAAAGACCGCAGTCTGGGGAGTCAGTCGCGCGCGCTGGATCTCTGTGGGACGGTTTACGATCCGAATGCGCCACGGCCGCAACGGCCGAGTCTGAAACGCGCGTCGACTGAGGGGAGTCGAGCGGGATCGATGCATACTGATCCGGATGAGGAGTACTCGTCGAATGGGTCAGATAACGAAGGCAGTCTCCCGCCAATATCAGGAACAGGTCAACGTCTAGCCCCAACGCCAACGCCAGAGGGGATCAAAAAGGAAGCAATCAGTCCACCACTGGCCACTGAGCATACGAATTCCAATGGCAGCAGCATTCCACCACCACCACCACCACCACCACCACCACTGCTCCAGCCCCGAGATTCCCCACCACAAGCGAGTACCAGTAGCACCTCGAATAAAGCGAGCATTGCGTCGATGATTGACAGCAACGTCCGCGCCGAGGCCTGGACCTCGCACTCGCCGCGTCCATCAGAACCGGCTGCCGTCGCGGTGAAGGAGGAATCAGCGGCTGTCCAGACGCCGTCGAATAGCGAGGTTCAGGCTTAGTAGAGTATACTATTTATTTATTTTTCAATATCTCAGCGCAGCTGTGAGACATGTATTTTAGCCAGATCAGACCTTTGATTCAGATTCCCCTTGAGTTGATCGATGTTTCATTTGTGACTTTTGGTTTTTCATATCAGCGACGGCGGAAGTGTGCATATTGTACGTAATATCATAATCCATTAATCTACACCTACCATGTCTACGTCTCGTATACATCAATTGATACATGTACGTATGTACTAGCCCTTCAGCAGCAGTGCATGCACCACATACCCGGTCCCATCCTTCAACCCATCCCCAAGCACCTCATCACTCAACCGCCAGACATCAAACACGCGCATCGCCTCCCTCAGCCAGGCCTCAAAGACATCCGGCGACCTCTGCTGCTGCGCAATCACACAAACCGTCGGCCTCAGTCTAACCCCGCCATCTTCATTGCCAGAATCATTCTGTACTGGTCGCAACCGACAGATCTCAGCGCACGTCCGCACGAAACTCGGCACTAGCGCTTCATTATACACACAGTCGCACGAGACGAGCACATCGAAGCCAGCGTCTGCCGCTGTATCCGCGTTGGGGATCAGTTGCTTGAGGGTTGCAGGCTCATCACGCTCCCAGTCGAGTGGTGCGAAGGTGATATTCACTCCATCACCACTACCACTACCACTACCATTACCACCCCTAGACTTTCCACCACTCGCCCCCTTCACCCTCCTCCCTCCAGCGGAGCGCCCCGGTTTTACTTCAGGCCAATTCTCATCAATATTCTCCCTAAACTTCCTTCTCACATACTCCTGGTCCGTAGCTAGGAAATGGCCTACTCTCGGGGCCAGCGCGAGAGCCACGACCGCTGAAATCCCGCAGCCTAGCTCGACAACGCTTGCCGTAGGCGAAAGGATTGATTCCGTCCAGAGTGGGTTTGAGCTACCAGAAATCCATTCTGCGAAGCGCGGGGTTATTTTCCAGAGAACTTGCATGTACAACGATTAGTAAATATAGAAACAGAATACGTATATGTATCAATTGATGCAGGGGGAGGAAAGGGGGCACACACCAGCGCCAGTCGTCCCCCCTGCGCGCGACGACGAGAGCAGGGTTGGTGATTGATGGATGGTCAGGTCGTGGGCATGGATGGTCAAGGTGACCGAGGCCGCATGCGAGTCGAGAAAGCCGAGGTTAGCGGAGGGGATGGAGCGGGAAAAGAGGAGGAAGGATTCTAGAATATCTATCTATCAAATCTTTTTTCCTTCTATTTCGAGTATTGTCATAATAGCTAGTAATTCGGGACGTACCCTCCTCTGCATCGACGATGTGCTCGCCCAGTGACGAGAGAAAGGCGCGCATATGGGCTCGTTTCGATGGTCGGTGTTTATAATACGTGTGTGTATCGTCGATGGTGTATTAAGCGTCGAACCTGTAATGGGAACCGGTTAGCGTACCCCGCACGGGGGATGAGGATCGATGCATTTGTGGCCTGTCTGTTAATTTCTCGTATTGCACGGTGCTGTTACGTGTCTGCGGAGTACTGTGCTACTCCTTGATGATAATAATATCTCCGACTCTCTGATGATATATTGATATTCTGCTAGGATGAAATAAATATATGCGGACTGACATAATTTGCTCTTTACTATTGATACTCCGGGCTGGGGACGGTTGTGACGCTAACCCCAACAAGCTGGGTTGTCCTGATTGGCTGTGTCCCTGGGATAATCCTTGATTCCTTGCATTGGTATTGTTTTATCATATTCAATGTTGTATTTCATTATTCATTATGGTGTTGTTATGAACGGAGAGTTCGTTATTATTTCTGTTCTTATTATTATACATACAATCAGTCTACTTGGGCGTTGAAACTCCAAGCAGCCGCGACATCATCATGCAGCAGCAATATGGGGTACCGAGAGCGACGATCTTAGCAGCCACTCCGACTCTACACTTGCTCACCGGCCGCCATGTGTCCTGGCAAAGAAGTAGCATTGTACCTGGATACATGCGCACAGAGTAAGTACTGCACTGTAGGTACTGGACTGGAAAGGCCAGAGCACAGCCAGCACGGCCCTCGACCATAGCGTGCAGCTCTGCAAGTGCATGGATCGTTGAGACCTGGCCTGACCCTGGCTAGGTCTGCTTGTAACTATTAATTAGTACTTGGTAGTCAACACCCGAGGTAGCACTAATTAATATACTAACATACCAAGTGCTGGCGCTACGTAGCATTTTTCTTATTATTATTCAATTCTTGATTGTGTAGACTGTTAAGGCTAGCCTCCGCAACTGACTTCATACTACTTCATAGCTTCCGCAGCTTTGCCGTCTGCACTCCGCGCGCTCACACCTGCCCTCACCGAACAGCCCCAACCAGCTCGCCTGTCCGCTTTTATCGTCGTTGTTGTGCTATTTCTCTTCTACTTTATTCATTCGTCTACATAGTATTATAGTCGCAGTCGCCTGCCTGGTCCGTTCTCTCGCCTCTGACGTAGCACCCGTGGCTCGGCTCCGCAAGCTCGCAGCTAACAGTCTCCTGGGCAGCAACAGGCTTTTCACGCCATCGCCAATCCTCACACCACCGGAAATAAATTAATCAACCATGTCGAAACGAGACGCCAACCTCAACATACAGCCGCGCATGGCCAAGCGAGGCCCCTTCACCGTCGAGGCCTCCGGCTACGACCCTGTGGACGGCGAGACGATTCCTCGCCGCAATCCAGCCTCCAAGGACAAGCTGATCACCCGCCCAGCCGACGACGTCGCGACCGTCTACGATATCATGCGGCGAGGCGCCAGGTTGTTCGGCAACGCCAAGTGCGTGGGCTCGCGCCGCCTGATCAAGACCCACGTCGAGAACAAGAAGGTTAAGAAGGTCATCGATGGCGTCGAACAGGAGGTCGACAAGAAGTGGACGTACTTTGAGATGAGCGAGTACTCGTACCTCTCCTTCAACGAGTTCGAGAAGCTGGTTCTGCAGCTTGGTTCGGGCCTGCGCAAGCTCGGCTTGAGTAAGGGTGACAGACTGCATCTTTATGCGGCGACTAGGTATGTGCCACTGTATTGAGTATCAACAAGAATGAATGCATGCTGATATTTGCCTGTAGCGCACATTGGTTGGCTCTTTCGCACGGTGAGGTTGTTGTCATGGCTTGAGTATGCCCTGGCTAATATGAAACTGTTATAGGCGCTGGATCCCAGTCCCTGACATTTGTTACCGCTTACGACACCCTCGGTGAAGACGGCCTGAGGCATTCTCTCAAACAGACAAGGAGCGACGCCATGTTCCTGGACCCGAACCTGCTCCCCTCGCTGATCAATGTTCTCGCCGATGCGACGACCCTCAAACATATCATCTACAACACTGGAGAAGTCAAACAGGAGCATTTAGACAAGCTCAAGTCGGATTTCAGCCATATTAACGTCCTCAGCTTTGATGAGCTGCACAAGCTTGGCGAAGAGAACCCAGTCGACCCTGTTCCTCCTGCTCCTGAAGACCTCTTCTGTATCATGTACACTTCGGGATCAACGGGTCAGCCAAAGGGTGTGTCTTTGACACAAGGAAATGTCGTCGCAGCTGGTGAGTTCAAGCCATTGCTTAAGTTCAAGACATTGCTTTAAGTGTGGTGGAGCTAATGAGTGAAGTGGCTGGTGTGAACGTGATTGTCGGCGATTACCTTGGACCCGGAGACTCGTTGCTTACCTACCTCCCGCTGGCTCACATCCTCGAGTTCGTCTTTGAAAATTGCGTCCTGTTCTGGGGTGGTTCCATGGGCTATGGAAACCCGAGAACCCTGTCAGACGCCTCAATGCGCAACTGCAAGGGCGACATCCGCGAGTTCAAGCCTACCGTTCTCGTCGGAGTGCCCGCCGTCTTCGAGACCGTCAAGAAAGGAATCCTAGCAAATGTGGGCAAGGCTAGTTTCCTCGCAAGGAACATATTCTGGGGATCGATTAGCGCCAAAGCCTTTCTTCTTGGAAACGGCCTGCCAGGCTCTGGTATCCTTGATGCAGTCGCTTTCAAGAAGATCAAGGACGCCACCGGTGGCCGTCTGCGATTGTTGATGAACGGTGGTGGTCCCATTTCCAAGGATACTCTGAAGTTCATCTCATACGCGATTGCGCCCATGATCAGCGGTTACGGTTTGACCGAGACGACTGCGATGGGAGCACTGCAAGATCCGCTGGCATGGAACCCAGACGCCCTCGGCGATATCCCGGCCTGCATCGAGATCAAGCTGGTAGACTTCCCCGACGCGGGCTACTTTACAAAGAACGACCCTCCTCAGGGCGAGATCCTGATCCGCGGCGGCAGTGTCACTAACGGATACTACGAAAACGACGAGGAGACCCGGAGCGCCATCACCGACGACAACTGGTTCCAAACGGGTGACATTGGCGAATTCGACAAATTCGGCCACCTGCGGATTATCGACCGCAAGAAGAACTTGGTCAAGACGCTCAACGGCGAGTACATTGCGCTCGAGAAGCTTGAATCCGTCTACCGCGCACACCCCGTCGTAGCCAACATTTGCATTTATGCCGCCGAGGACCAAATCAAGCCGATTGCTATTGTTGTGCCGGTCGAGGCTGCGCTGCAGAAGATTGCCAAGGCGAATGGCATCGCCGGGGAGACCGTGGAGTCGTTGGTTCACAATGAGGATTTGAAGGCTGCGGTGTTGAAGGAGTTGCAAAGCGCAGGCAAGGCGGGTAATCTGCGGGGGATTGAAATAATTGATGGTGTAGTTCTGTCTGACGAGGAATGGAACCCACAAAACGTACGTCATATCTCTCACTTTCATTTCTTTCATCTCTTTTGTCCCTTTTTGTCTTCAGCTAATTTATTATTCATTCACAGGGCTACACCACTGCGGCCCAAAAGCTGCAGCGCAAGAAGATCGTCGACCACTTCCGCACCGACATCAACCGTGCATATGGTAAATAAGAGCGCTAGCCTGGCGTAATTGAGCACATGGTGGAGGGTGGAGAGTAGACAAAGATGTCTAGAGGCGGATCGTTGCGTATGCGTATATAATGTAATTATGTTTTTTGTAGTTTTCGGTTCTTTTGTTAGCATCGTACGATTCTTTTGTGGTTGTTTGAGCAAGTTGAAAAGATGACAAAGTTAGCAAATGCAAAATCCCGTGGTCGATTCAGTTGTTTTTATTCAATCACATGTTATTTTACACTTGCTGACAGTACTATATACGATTGTATGAGGACGCCAAGCCTAATTAGTCAGACTAGTCACTGTGATAAGCATGAGCCGAGCTCCACCGGCTCTTCCACATGCAAAGAAAGCTGTCGCTGTCGCTGTCGCTCTCGCTCTCGACCACCCAATCTTCCACGCTTATTATTATAAGCCCTTGTATTATAAACCCCTGCCCTACAACAGACAGGAGAAGAACAGCAAATGTCTCTCTGGAGGTAACCGCCCCCCCCACTTTCCTTTCCTTCCCTAGGTGTTATGTTTGTGTTGGGACGACACACCTAACAGCTGATGTCTCTTTGTCCTATCCAGCTCCTATAAAAACCTCACCCCGCGCACCCGCCTTCTCTTCGGCGTCGGCCTGATGGCCTGGGCCGGCATCGGCATGGCAACCTCGTCGGAAATCGAGTCTGCGCTCGGCATGGTAGCGACGGATAAGGAGAAGGAGGAGTTGGACAGGAAGCTGAATGTGCGGATTGTTAGTGTGGAGAAATGAGACCAAACCAGACACTTCTTCTGGAAAAAGAAGGAAGGAAGGTTACAAGGATATAGCACTTTTGAGACATATAAAATATGGGATTGCGTCGGATGGCAGGGGTGGCGTGATGGATCGGCGGGCGTGCCTGATCGTGGGCGCGAGGCGACGTGAGAGATCAACGATACCGCGCCGTGCGTGCCTGATGATGCATCCAGGGGGATGACTTTTGGGTGGGTAGACAGGGATATGTATAGGCTTGATCAGGCTGTGGTTAGGTCCTGATCAGTTCTGGTCTGAGCAACCAGTTAATATAATGGGATTATTAATATCCAGCGACGGCTGGGAGAGCTAGTATGGTATATACTATGTTCATAGGATCAATGAAATGATGAATGATGAATTGATGAATAATTAGAAAAAAATTTCACGTAAATTCCATACATTCTATCATCTAAGCCAACTTAATTAACTGCTTCGTAAGCTACATCACACTGGCCAGTTTAATACATGTACATACTTTGCTGTAGTTTCTTGATATTACGTGTGGCAACGGAGTTGTGCGCGATGTGCAAGTACGCGCTAGGCTAGCTGCGAATGAATGCTATTGGCGGATGCATTCAATATCCTATTCTGCTGCTAATCATCAGTGCTGCTTTTAAATAACTATTGTTCAATAGTTTCATCTCATCGATGTGTTTCTGCGCTAAGTTGAGGGCTAATTGGCACTGTGATGGATTTATAATCAAATTCATTATCAATCCTGCCAACATTTGAACTGGTGAGTTTGTGTGGATGCATCTGGATCCGTGGATATAAATTACTGGACATGTATGCCTTGAGGAATAATATTCAATTGATAAATCAATTGATCTATTGAGGAGAATAATTTCTGGCTTATTAGCCTAACATATACACCATGTCTACCGTCGACCGCACTGCCCTGGCTCGCCCCCTGGAATTCGAATATTCAGGTAAAACAGCTAAAAACAGACTCTTCAATGCCGCCATGGCCGAGATGCTGGCGACTTGGGATGAAAAGGATCGAACGGAGTCGGGTATTCCTACGGAGGCCTTGATCAATCTTTATAGCCGGTGATTCCACCTATCCTCCATTTTTTTATTTTTGAGTGTACATTTTGAGTACTGATGCTGATGACTCCAGCTGGGCCGAAGGAGGCTGGGGCACGATCCTCACGGGCAACATCCAAACCCAATACCTGATGCTCGGCAACCCCGGCGAAATGTCGCTCGACCCATCATACCCTTTCTCAGGACCGCGCTTCGAGGCCTTTAAGCGCCTCGCCCGCGCCGGCAAATCGCATGGAAGCCTGATCATCGGCCAAATCTCGCACATCGGCCGCAAGGCCTCTGCAGCGCTCATCAAAGAAGCTGTCTCGGCCTCTACACTGCCAATGCATAGCAACAACAGCGGGCCCAACTCGAACAAGAAGTTCACAGAGAATGTGCGTGCTGCCACAAAAGAGGATATTGAGACAATAGTAAACGGGTTTGTGCATGCCGCCGTGTATCTCGAGAAAGCAGGCTTTGATGGCGTCGAACTGCACGCGGCACATGGCTACCTCATTGCCCAGTTTTTGTCTGGAGCGACGAATAAACGGACAGATGAGTATGGTGGGTCACTGCAGAATCGGATGAGGTTGTTGGTTGAGATTGGCCGGGGGATACGCCAGAATACGTCGCCGGGTTTTGTGCTTGGCGCAAAGTTGAATAGTGTTGAGTTCCAAAAGGGGGGAATCACGCCGGATGAAGCGCAGGAGTTGTGCTGCGTGTTGCAGGGTGAAGGGCTTTGGTTTGATTTTGTGGAATTGAGTGGTGGGAATGTCGAGGGACTTGTCTCGCCGGATAAGGTAGAGACAGCAGAGAAAGAGTCGACGAGGAATAGGGAGGCGTTCTTTCTGGACTTTGCGGAGACGATTGTGCCCGCGATGAAGCAGGGGGCCGGGGAGAAGCGGAAGACGAAGGTTGTTTTGACGGGGGGCATTCGTTCCGCTAGTGGGATTGTCAAGGCATTGGAGGTTGTGGATGCTGTTGCTATGGGCAGATCAGCCACGCAGGCGCCGTCAGCGGCGGCGCAGTTGATATCAGGGGAGATCGAGGAAGTCCCGACGCCTGCGCCGCCGTTTGATAAGGATATTGGCCTTGGTGTTGTTGCGTCGACTGCACAGATTGGCTTCATTAGTAGAGGGGAACGCCCGTTTGATCTGGCTGATGGGGAGGTGGCTGCTCGGTTTATTGAGGATTTACGTAAGAAGTGAATGGAGAGTCTTCATTGGACTGTTCAAATGTTTTCAATTTCATCTGCTGTATATATTGTATAGACCATGCTGTGCTGAATTCAAATGCATGTGTATTGAGGGAGAACTATTTAGCCCTAAAACATGGAACCAGATGATTTGAATTCATTGTCGACTTCGAAGATTTTCCCTGATACTAGACTGTCTGAACTTGACTGAATATTAAGTGGAAATAGACTTTCATGAACCATGTCATCATGACATTGTTGGATTGCAGGGTATTTCATTTACTGGGCACCGAAGAATACAGAAGTCCAGGACTTATTTCATTACTGTCTGCACTTGTCAGAATTCGTTCTGAAGCCACAAGATGTCTATTGGAAGTGACGATGCAGATGCACGTGACAGAATTGAAGAAAATGGCAGTCACTACAACGAGCCTCCGTTTGGGCTGAGTGCCAACACAAAGAAATTCGAATATCAGGACAAACGCCACTTCTACTCCATCCAACTCGAAGTCTACAAACAATTTGCCGCAGATTCATCCAGATCAAGCTCCCAATATATCATTTTTTCAAAAGTCAACCAGGACGTCCTACAAGATTTGATCGACGATGACGATTTGACTGAGGTTGACGATTTGACCGAGATTGACGATTTTACATTTCCCATCGAGTCGTATTTTCCGGTCCTTGAAACAATAGTAATAAAAATGACAACGGAAGCGCACTATAACGCACAGGAGAATTTCAACAGAGTGCTTATTGCCAAGCTTCACGAAATGAATGGGTTGGACAAAAAGATTACCTTTGTTCGGAAGGTTGAGACGGAGAAACGCACAAAAGAACCAGACAAGGCCTATCGACCGATTACATTACCCACGAACCGCACTAGACAATGGCCTACATTGACGCTTGAAATCGGCTATTCGGAGCCTCGGTGGAAATTGGCTAAAGATGCCCATTGGTGGTTAACAGAGTCGATTGGCGCAGTCAAGACTGTAGTTACGGCCAAAATAGAGCAAAAGAGGAGATCGATTGAGTTTGAGAAGTGGGTTATGGAGGATGACAACGACCACATAATTCCAAAAATGACGTATCATTCTGTGCTCTCAAAGGAGACGGACGAGAAGCCAATTCAGATCACCAACAGCGATCCTCTAGTCGTCGATTTCCAACAACTTTTTCTTCGACCGGCTGCAGCGAACATTGAAAAAGACATCATCTTTAGCAAGGATGACTTGGAGGAGATTGCTACTGCGGTGTGGGCGTCTCAATTTGGAGATCAATACTAGTCATAAAATACCCCTCAACCTGATACTAGCTAGGGGATCGGAATTAGCTATTTGAAGAAGCAATGAGCTGTATTGCCATTTTTCATAATGGCTGATCATGACAACTGTCTCTAACTCTAGTTGCTAGTGAGCTGTCACACAATCTGTTAAAGCACTCATACTGCCCTCTAGAATACCAACCAGTTTGAAATTGTTGCATAAGACTATATTATTACTAAAAAAATAGTTAGAGTTTGAACCAGAAAAAGTTACGAATATATAGTCCGCCGCACCCTAGTACCTCTTTACACGAGAACTGGGACTTACTAAGCATGCCTTGCCGACAACATCTGCTCTCGAAACTATGTAAACTGCACCTTCACTCCTGAGCCTGTCTTCTTGAGAGCCTGTTTAGATGGCGCTGCAAGTCTGTAGTAGATGCCGGAAACGAAAAATAAAAGTGAGCCAATCATCCCACTATACACTTCACCCCACGGTCGACTTATTATTGGTGTAGTGCGATCTCCAGCTGCCGACATGTAAGAACTGCCGAATTGCAGACGTGGAGTGTCTCTTCTGGGACGATTCTCTTGGGCGCGAGATTTCCTGTAGGTAAGATTAAAATTATTGCTTTTGATTCTTGTTGGATATGCCTCAGCTTTGTTAACTTCGTATATAGCTACCTCCATTCGCTCCAACAAAAGGTGGCCAGTCTGCAGCTTGAAATCAAGGATGCTACAACATCTACAGCATCCACAGGGAATCATGTACCGCCAACCCACGATCTACATGAAGTTGCGCCCCCGGAAGTAGTTCTTCAACAACAAGGCCACTATTTGAATATTTATGATGACCACCTACCTACATCACGAACCGTTTTCTTAGGCCCGGCCACCTCAGCGAGACTATTAGAGCGCGTTTTGAAAAGCATGGTCAAATGGCATGCGGAAAATGGCATGCAAATTTCAAAGCGGCTCGTTCCAGACGACGGACCTGCTCAAGCGACGGGGCCACAGAATTTCACATCCTCGGGACCATCATTTCCCATTAATAACGCCCTGAATGAGCAGCGAAAGCTAGAGCCTCATTCGATAATGCCGCCCTCTACTCAACGATCCATAATTGAACACTACCTGGCAATCGTAAGCCCGGAGTACCCTCTTCTGCCGCTAGACCAGGAATCCACATTACTATCTCATGAAAACCCCCTTAAATGGAGCAGCACAAACGGTGAAGAAGCCAATGCACTTGCGTTGACTATAGTCTTTGCCGTGTCAACCGCGCTGGTTAGCCGCGACATTGACCCTAACTTAACTAGCATATCGACCCGCTGCAGACAGGATGTGTATAAAATCCATCAAGAATATAAACACTTGTCATCTGATGACCCGATTAAGACGGAGAGATGGGTTTGCGTAGCTTTATGCGCTTCCGCACTCTGTGAGTTGATCTATCCTCTTTCAGGCGATGCATGGGAGCTTCTGGGAAGAGCAACGTCGACCTTGCAGCGTCTCCGTGAAGGCTATCAGCTCAAGAGCATGGAGTTGGATGAGCCATTTATTCGATTGGAGCGGTCTCTTCTTAAATTAGAGAGGTGATTATATTCTATTTCCATTTTGCCATTCGGATACGATAATTGATAATAGTGCTCAGCTCCATTGCATTGCATCTTGATCGCCCGTCGTATTTGAACGACATGCGACTGCAAGAAGTATGCGGAGACTCTTCCTCGTCTGACATATTACATGATGAGTTGCAAACCTTGCGAATTCTTCGAACCATTCATCGAGAATTACAGTTATCTCCCGCCCAACCTGCGAGTTATTTCGAAAACATGATCCCTCTTCCTATGCAAGTACATTCCATAGAGTCTGACATTTCCATCCATTCAGCAAGACTGTACATTTCCCTACACCCTCTTTTCACATCATCTGGTATCTATTTGACCTCCACGCCATCGCAACTCTTCCAGATTATAGCCTACTCGGCATCTACCATGATCGACCACTTCACGCGACTTAATGCTGAACACAGAATAATCAGTGTATATTTGGCAGCTGAGAGTATTCTTGAAGCTGGAATAGTTTGGTCAGTTTATTTGATGAGTCAACATCTATCGCCATCTGCGGGAATATTCCACAGAGATAGCATCAACATGAGTGCTCGCACTGCCATGGGCCCTGTTTTGAAGGTCTCGAGTTTGTTGGCGTCTTTTTCTGTGCGCTGGCCGCCGGTATCTGCTTATGCAGAGGCGTGGGAGACTTTGGTGGATATGCTTTGGATAATGATCTGAATTATCTCAAAATATGTGTCGTTGTATTAAGCCTGATATTTTTTTTTTAGCAGGGGGCATAATAAATGATATAAAATGATGTTTAGTGACATCCAGAGTTACGTTAAAATTGAGTGTCATTCTCATTTCTTTCATCTTACGTTTATAGCGTGAAGAATATCGGAATATGGTTGATGCTTGGTCTTATCATGTGGAAGAGCATATCTAGTATAATAATGGCAAAATTCTAATCAACGCGCTTTAGAGTAAAGTAACCCAGTAAAATAATAACAGAATTGGTCAATAACAACAGTTTGAACTGCAGGTTGCAGTGCAGTCATCGGTGGCGGTGTGTATTGATAGAATTACAAGCCATTCTTCATGCGGAAAGGCGAGATCTATCTTTATTCAACAACACCGTGAGGATGCTAAAATTGCAGTGCAGAGTTGGAATTCTGTTAGCGGGATGTAATTGGGTATAGTATTACAAGTTATTCCCAATGCAGCAAGGCGAGATCCATGCAACAATACCCCGAGGAGACTAAAATTGCAGTGCAAATGCTCCATACACAGATACCGGAAGAGTATCCAATAAGATACCGCAAGAGTATGCATGCAGTCGTCGGTGCGCCGGTGTGTAATTGGGTACAGTATTACATGTTATTCCTAATGCAGCAAGGCGAGATCTATTTTTATTCGACAACGCCGCGAGAATACTAAAATTGCAGTGCAGACTTGGAATTGTCGGTTGTCGGTTGAAGTGAATTTCATCTAGAATTTCCTCTTCCAGCAAAGTGGTCCCCATCCACCACCAATCACAAACTACAGCAATCTTTCTGCTGGCACAAGACGTCGGATATTCGTTACTATGATTGAGATAGACTTGCTTTCCATAATCAGGAAAATCTCCTTAGAAGCACGTATCGAAAAAGTTATTGAGCTAGTCCGTTGCGTGATTGTAGCTAAATGACCCTAGAACTACTTACTTCTATAAGCTAGACGACGGATGTGGAACACGTTGCTATTAATACTAGTATTTGGTTGATGGTCAGCTACAAGCGGAAACGCTTTTTGGTTAAGTATACGTCATTGCTGGCAACTTTAATCAGACATTGTGAGGCTTTTGGATGGCCTTGCCAAGACTCGCTCTCGCTCAGTAGAGACTGAGCAGATAAAAGACTAATGAAAAAAGATCATCAGCGAGTCTACCACGAAAAGACCAGCTTTTCTTACTTTTTCTTTGCCGATTGTTTGATTTCACACAAATCGCTACTTTCCAGACAGTCTGCTAGTATCAATTCAAATCTTTCGTTGGGTTCCTCGTTCCTATTATTCCATTTTTCATCTCAAAATATGGTGTGTTGTATTAAGCCTGGTATCTGTTTCAGCAGCGGGGCATATTAAATTATGTTAGTGATATCCCCTAGTTATAGAACTGTGTTAGGGTATTTTATAAAGAGAATTATTGAGAGGCGACCCCGGATACCCCGGATTTATCCAAATATATCCAAATTTCTAATTAATTCGGCTAGCATGCCGACTAATGTGCGGGGTAATTATTTAACTATATCCTTAATTCACCAATTTGATCAGTCTTGCACTACCTTCTATACCAACAATTTGTACCTTGGCCTAGGAATTTAGAGACCTTATACTCAGGCCATGTCGGGTCGGCCACGTAAAGCATGTCGGCAATGCAATGCGCAGAAGGTACGTGTAAATAGACAACATATACATACCTGTCCATTGACATAGAGAAGGTTCGATGCAGTGGCGATAGACCAAACTGCCAACGTTGCGTGCGAACAGCACGAACATGCGTGTACGAGCAAAAGGAGGGCTATGAATCTCGTCGGAACCTGTTCCTCACACAATCTACCACCACCGTGCCATTGCAAGACGGAGGGGTAGGTCAAGACCTGACTCCTAGTATGCATGTGCCTGGAGATCTTCTGGTTACCCTAATCCCTATTTATTTTTCTCACATCTATAACGCCTCTTTGCTTTTACATCGGCCGTCCTTTGAACCTAGCGCCATTGCCGGCCGTGAAAAGCCTCAGGTAGTTTTAAGTGTTTGTGCATTTGCTTCGAGGTACGCGCTTACGCTTTCTTTGACACGAATCATGTTTGACATGAATCACACAAATAGATTCCTACGCAGCGTCAACTGCGAGCAGATACTGGATGAACAACGATATAGTCGTTCTTGGGCTAATCAGGCGGCGCGTCTTGCAATGTCAGAGATTGAAGATCCTCAGGAGGCAAATTTAGTAACATGCATGAATCTTGCCCTCTTCTGGTACAGCCTTGGAGAATGGAGAAAGTCATTTATGTTCAAAGGTAAGGATTGCCTGAACATAGTTCTTCATAGTTAACTTTTCAGCTGTAGCAACTGCGGTGAGCATAGCCCACGTACTCGGGCTGTCGTTCGAACGTCCTGATCAACGAGACAACCTTAAGTCCGAGATTCGACGCCGAAAATATTGGGCGTGTCATGCTATCAATGCATTTAGCTCGGATATACTTTTCTTTGATCAGAGACGTTTACATCAGATAAATCTCAAACTGCCCTGCGCAGATGCTGATTATGAAGCCGGCATTATCCCAGACAACACCACTAACAGCATCTACGGCGAGATGATCAAGGCACTTGATCTCTGGTACATAAAATCTTTAAACATTGTTTCACGTTGTTTGTTACCTGCGCTTGAGGCTGATAATTTCCAGGGCTGCTACTGCCGAGCTTGTAAGGACCTCTGAGGTGGGTGGGGATTTGCGAATCTCTGCAATGCATACTCTGGACAAAAAAATCGAGGCCTGGTGGAATGAGATACCACAGTACATGCGCCTCGAGCCCAAACGCTTAGCCTTGTCACGCCAAGATTCTCTTCCCCGACTGCTGCTCATTCACATCATCTACCATCAGTGCCTTTGTTCGCTACATTCGTCAATTGTACCCATATTCTCTTTAAGCGTAAACGATCCCCAGTCATCTCAAGCTTGTCAGCTATCTGCTCAAATAGCGTACGAGAATGCAAATATAGCATCAGAATACTTTTCTGCTGCGCTCGACGATACTTGGGATCCAAGCCGGATACCGAGTTTTGTTGCATATGCCGCATACGGTGCCTGCTCGATTCAAATTCCATTTATCTGGTGTACAGAGAAACGGGTCAGAGAAGTTGCGCACAGAAATGTAGCGGCGAATATTAGAATGATCCATCATCTGAAGAAGTACTGGAAGTTTGCTGCTCTGTTGGTCAGTAATTTGATAATTGTTCTTCACATGACGAAGACTGTCGAGATTGACATTTCTTTCAAGGAGACTAATTCTCGAATGCTGTACCAAGTACATTCAAAAATCCCCCATATTCTCGAAAATGAGCCCAAATTTATGACCCCTGAGCGATTCAACATATTCACGGGTAATTCGGGCCGTGCAAGACTTTCTGTGCTGACTCACAACGCAATTTTACTGGGGAATGATGGTGTTGTCGCAGAGAATGCGGAACAAGTTGATTGCGGGACAAATGATATCTCCCTTGAGTGTGTAGCTTTACCTAGTAAGTCTTCGACTTCCGTTGTGACCTGTAGTATTGACCGTGTCAGCTCCGAATACTGCGGCAGAATTGGAGACAGAATCTTTTGACATAGCTTCAACTTCAGCCACGTTTTCTGACATACCATACCTAGGTAATTTCCAGAACCGGCCAGAAAACTGTCTGCCATTTCTAGATCCGGCGTTATTCACCTCCGATTTTCCCAGCATTACTTTTGACATGGAGTCATTCAATGAAGGGTTTCCGGGTGTTATGGATAATTGGGAGTGAAACGGACGCGCTATGTTGTGGTATATCACAGCATCGAGAAGCCCGAGAACATAAGAGACAACCCCCCCGCCGCATCGAACACGATAGTTCAAACATTTTTCATAATTGAAGGGAGTAGAAACATTTACACAACTCCGCATGAGCATGAGTTTATTGGACAGTAAGCGTATGTTCTACATCACGGTTTCGTCTCTGGTCGAGTTGTACGACTACTCAAATGCATCTGCAGTCCTTTGGAGATACAGTTGCTACGAATCGGAGCTACTTTGTGAGGTCGGTTTCCAGAATACCACCTTATATACTACCATACTACTGTATGTGTTGAGTCTCAAATTTGATGTTCGCTTATCTGTCATGCACAGTATTATTACTTTAATAGCTTAATAACAGCAATTCTTTCTTACAATCTAGAATAGAAGATATGATACAATGTTGAAGATTATTCCAATTAATACGTGTTTTACACTTAAAACGCGACGACTTTCAAATACGGCACTACCTCTCCCCGCATTCGCTGCATTGGCTGAGCTTATCGATTCTTCGTATTTGCGACAGACGAATAAGGTCTTGCAGAGGACGAGGTCCCCATATAACCATTAGACATGATAACGGCTTGTGAATTTGCGTAGCTGCTTCCCATACAAGAAGAGAGGGACCGTGGTTAAGAAAGTGAGACCTTCAATAAGCGTCATATACCCGGACATCTTATAAAAAAGTTAACTGTGGTGCCGTCAAACATATTTGAGTTTGCTTGATTTACCTTGATAAAACCATCTCTCTCAAGCCATGGAAAAACAGCAAAGCTGATACCGAATGCGAATGTGTTCTTGAACGCCGTCAACGAAGTTATCGCCTCGCCTGCCAGAGGTTTGTAGCTATCAACGACATAGCTCATCCCTACAGCGGGTACTAAGCACAAAATCCCATAGGTAATGGCAGTTCCTGCAATAGGAACCGACCAGTGGAGGTTTTTGCCAAGGCCTACACCCCATAACATTAGGCCAACGGGCCCGAGGATGAAGGCCGGGACCAATGTCCACAGTCGCATCTCTGGAGTAAACAAGCCTTTCTTCCGCTTCGCTATTGCCGCACTAATCCAGTCGCTTACTGGGCCACCGAAGAAGCAACCTGCTAATGCGCCAATGATTGTCTGCAAGGTATTCAGTACTGACACGGCCTAACAACATTTGAATTTTTTGGGTAATTTACCGCGGCGCTGATGTCTCCCACAGCCAAGGCGTTGAAGCCATATTGCTCCGGAAAATACACGGAATTCACGGTTTGTTGTAACACAACCCATCCGAGTGTCACGCCGTATGTGATTGCAGCCCAGAAAATACCGGGGTATAGAATGAGTTCGATTGGACGTTGCAAGAAGGCGCGAAGACTTCCTTCTCTAGTTTGCCAGTCGTTAGTCCCTGACCATGTCGTTTATGGATATGCATTTATGGTAGTAGTTACCGATTATATCCACCGAAGAGTTCCAGAGACTGGATCCAACTGTATTGACCTTGTTCGTGGGGAAGTACCTCAGGGCCTTCGCCAAGTTCAGATTCTGCCGACCTTTTGAAGTTCGTTTCTGGTTGGAATAGGACGGTAAGGGCGAAACAGATACCCGTGAGTATCGTGCACATCCACTGAACCCATCTCCAATTGTTACTTGACTTCATTACAAGTCCGGAAAATACGCCGCCAATGGAACTTCCGCCACCAATCATAAACCTGTGTTCAAATTAAATAAAGTGGTTTTTCATACAGGAAGTGCGGTCGAGGCCTACGTGTAGAATCCGATTTTTGTTCCTCTTTCATGAAGAAAGTAAAGATCAGCCACCTAGACGGCCGAGCTGTCAGTATGGAAAGATCGCCATTTCATATGTACTTAAAAACATACCACTGCTGGACCCAATGCTTCAGATGAGCTGGCCCCGAATCCTTGTATGATTCTCGCTCCTAATAGGGAGCCGTAAGACTTAGCCAGTGCACTCCATATAGCTTGTTTGATGTTAGATTTGTTATCAGAAGGGTCCGATAGAGCCTTACACGAGCCGAAGAAGATAGCTGACGACAGAATAATTATAGGCCGCTTACCGAACTTCACGGCAAATGGTATCCAAAAGAGGTTCTGAAAACGTCAGATCAATTAACCAGGTATATAATTTGCACGTACTCCCACACCAAGAGAAAGAATGTTCAGCGTAATGAGATATCCGGCTTGAGTCTGACTGATGTTGAACTCTTTGATAATTGAAACAAGGGCGGGCCCAATTGCTGCTGTGATATAATTTGAAAGGAAGACAAAGAAGGCAATACTTGTGAAAGCAAGATGCTTCCTCCAGGTACTCCATGTCTATCGTAGAATTAGAAAATGGGCTGTTTGAGTTCGGGTCATAAGAGTTACTACATACTAATGGGTCCTTCGGGTCGTTGGTAGGGCGAGGGATCAAGTTCCTTTGCATGACATGGCCGTGCGTATCGGCTGAAACATTCATCAGAGAGTAATCACATTGATAGAAAGCATGGACCGAGCATACTCTGAAATAGATTTGCTGCGTTGACAAGACCCTGTGCTGCCTCCAAAGGCTCAATTTTCTCGACGTGATGCTCCGATTCCCCATGACTGGTAACGTGTTTTATCTCCATGATTGCTTATTTTGTCGGTAGTACTACACTTGAAAACGTAAAGCTGGAAGCTCCACGTATCAATAGTTGAATGGTGATGCTTCAAGTACTGATTGATATTGCGCTTTTAGCACCCCTGCGTACCTTGTATAACCAGTATCCCGCATGACTCGAATTTCCCGACACCAACCCCATTCACCGGTCCGCTCGTCGAAATAGACTTTTATCTAATTTATGATTAATCTGAGTGCTATGCGGAGTGATAAATTTGCTGGCTCGTCAGGGTATGGCCAAAATGAGGTATTTCGTCAAAGCCATCACTGGACTAAACTTGATACGCACCGGATGCGATTGCTTAACTCTGGGTTGAGCGTGAAGCTGGTTCATGCCCATCTCACTACAGTGAAGCTTCTCAAAGTAGTAAGCTCTTAGTATATCGAAAATCCTCACCGTACGAAAAGCCTCTGAGCAATTTGAGTAGTCTTGCACAGTCTTATATAGCAAGACCATATTTCTGACACGAAGCGACTTATGGATCCTACGTCTAAACAGTGCATGGAAACAGCGTTCAAAAGGGATGAATACGTTGGAAGTGAGTTTATTTCGCTCGATATAGATATTTAAATAAGGTAGTGATCTTGCGACAACACCCCTCCCAATTCCATCGACAACCTGGGTGTCGTTCCTGCATCGTCCCGTAAGGCTCCGAGGGGGAAAATTTTACGATGTGTCCAAGAGTCCGTAAAAAACTGCGCGGGTTCTTGGAGAATCACTTATACCGTAAACTCGATGTCATCCAAGTACGTCGGAGTTGCTTTCAAGGTTTCCCCTCCTATATTGATTGGGTTTGACCCAATCAATACAAAAAGCATCCTCACCGGCTCTGTTCCAACATTCTTCCATGCATGAATCGTGCCCCTTTGGATTGCAATATCTCCCTGCTTCATCAGAGTTTCCGACCCGTCGTCCAAGACCATGTAAACTTCGCCGCTCAAAACCACACCCATATCTAGACTTATCGTTCGGTGCATGAATGCGCTGTATCCCGGCGGTGTGTCGACAATCCTGACCATGGCAGCGTTCTCCCCAATTAAGGGCAATGGTAGCCCAAAAGGATCCTTCCACTTTTCCTGGACGTCTGGAGGTAACTTATCGGATCGGTAGCAGTTTGTGAATGCCAGGGTGCCTATGAGGGCAGCAGTACCATTGATGGACGTTGTTTCAGCAGGAATTAACTGCATGTCGCTTTCCACGACCGATTTACCCAGTGCATTGTGGCCAGTGACGATTCGGCGAACTGGTGGGTACGACATGATTTCTAATGGATGAATCGAAATTCACGGAGTGTGTAAGTTATACTCTGATTGTAAAGATGTCCGCTTATGGATGGCAAGCAGATATATTAACTCTGTTTATGTTTTGGTTTTGCTAATCACTAGAATTTATAAACCATATTTTTAGCCTTTACGGACCATTTGGGGGATAATTGCAAATGAGTTTCTGTGGAGGTCGGGAAACAATCGGCATATCATCGGGAATACCTACATACCATCGGGAAACTAGACATCATTTTACGAAGGGCATTGTGCGGGAAATGTTTAGACTTTGGCAAAACATTGGAGTATGGGGTAGCTGTGGCTATCCTCCTTTCTATCGCCAGCCGAGGTGAGGATACATAGCAGTTTAGCGGGGTCCCTTTACCTGAAGTCCTTCCACCTTGGCTACCAATCTAATTGCCAGGGTCGATATTATAATAGAACCCAAGATGTGGAAGAAGTAGTAATACAGTATCAATTACGTAAGTCAGGATCTGCCTTTGCTATATGATCCTAGAAGGACACTGTGTTAAAAACCTCTGGTATCGTTTTACTGGCTGCTATAGTCACTACGAATTTTGCTACCTCTTGTCTTAGATAACATAAAAATTTGCAGCCATATCTCAGATCAGAAAGGCCCGTTTTAGTCAAGCTTAAGCCATTGACTTAAGAGACGCTTTATAGTTGTCATATTTAGCCTATGAGCTCTGATTCAGGGACTCAGTACACTGTACAGGCATATCAATTGATCCCATGGCAGACTGGGACGATCTTGCGAAGGGTTGGTAGCCAAGGAATAAGTTGGAATCCCTTTCAATTAAAACATATGGGAACGCCTGGCTATAGAGTTCTGCAAATGTTTATTGTGATGAATGGTGAATATGACAGAAGCTTCCCTTTCGCACAGTATTTGCCGGTTAGATCAATGGTTGTGTTGTTGCCATACTCACACTCATGGATTTAAAAATTTAATGCAAGTTGCTTGTTAATGACTTCTACAGGAGGAGGGCAAGGCTGCTCTTGAAACCATCCCAATACCACGACTCTCTTGTGTACAGCTGTTAGTCCCCCCAAAGCGAGAATGGGTCCTCTTGCCAATATCACCTGACAATAGAAGAGATGGATACAGGAACAGGAGAGACTCGGAGTAAGGAATGAGTTTAGGATCCAAACTCTAACAACATTGAAATAATTGAAGCAACTTTCTACATCATTCTGCTCTCGTGTTCCATCATATCAAATATCGGCTTCGCGCTGTACCGCCCAGTCTTCTCTGTACCAACAGCCTTGCAAGTAAAAGCCGCATCTTCATCACTTACTTTGACAGTTTCCTCACCTCGGCCACCTGAAGCTGCATCTGCCAGCAGCTGTACATGGCAGCCTTTCTCCAAACTCATAGACCACCAGACTGCTGCCTTGATGGTCTTACCGCACGTTAAGAGACCATGATTCTGAAGCAGGGCTTCCTTCTTTTGACCAAGGTCTCTTGAAATGGCAATGCCTTCATCGGCTGCAAGTACTATGCCACGAAACGCGGAATAGAGTGCGATGTCATTGTGAAATGCACATGCATCTTGAGTTATGATCTCAAGAGGTCTCTAAGGGAGCAAAAGGCGCGCCCATAGGTAGAATGGGCATGCGCCACACAATTGATCTCAGGACGGGCGGTGTGCACAGCATGATGGATCATGTAGGCTATTAATAATTTCAGATTTGGAGTTATCGTTACGCAATGGAGAGGAAGATAATATCTGCAGCGTTCAGAAGACGACATGGATCACCATCAACCACCTGTCCATCCTTATTGACGAGAATCAAGTCCGAGGCTTCTAGGAGCTGCCAGTCCACGCCAAATGGATTCACCCAGAACCTTGTCGGGTCAATTGAATCCTAGAACCTACTCTGATCAGTATCTTATGACACCACCCGTGCCTGCTACAATTTCGGCCGGCAGATGTATGTAATAATACAGAATGTATGATAGTTACAAATGAAAAGAGAGCTATAAAATACATTGAAGCTTTGGCGACGCACCATAAGTTACAGAATTGAACAGGACTTCAGAAAAAAGTAAAGAAGTGCGTACCCTCAAAGTGATGTGGCCAGCAACGCCCTCATCAAAGTCTAGTTTAGCAAATATCCTAAGTGCTAGAGCTAAACGTTTTTTTTTTGATATTGTCTCTCTTCATTCTTGTCCTGGAACGTGGGGTACTTTGGAAGACCGCCTCTAGAGATTTCTCTTGATCGGTCTGCAGTGGCGTGTTCTTGAGGTGCTATTGTGGCTTTGTCGGTTCATATAGAGAAGTAGATGCTGCAGAATCGACAATATCAGATGTAGACGGCTCCGAGTGGGGTGCCATAGTGAGATATAGGAATAAGAACAGTTAAAATAAGTTTTACGATATAGTTGGGTTAGATTAAAGTCGCGTGAGAGGTAGAATATGTAGCGTTGGGAAATAATGACATCCGAAGATGGCGATATCTTTCTTCCTAGGATTCTTTACCTAAGATTATTTGACAGTAAAATATCTGGAGAACCTTATATCGGTCTCGCAGAATTGGAGGGAGTTATTAAGATTTATCAAAACTTGAATGCCGTGGTAGTGAATTTACATCATTGCCTTCCAGACGAATCTCGGTTCGTCGATAGCCAGATCTGTTTTGCCGAGTATTATTTGCACCAATTTGATCGGTAATCATATATCTCTGTTCTCTGGAAAGAAGATTTCTTGTGGGTTGCCTATCCGGATTGTTCGGCCAATGGTTGCAGCAAACACATTACCTGTGGAAGTCGGGGAATCATCGGGAAACCCTTTAGTTAGGGCTTCAGGATTCAACCTCTGGTCACTATTATGACCAGTCGTTCCAAAGCACCTGAGTCAGGCCATGGAATAAATAGAACTCAGTTACAGTACGTCTAGGAAATGAGTCGTCACAAGAGCGGACGAGCAGAATATTTTGGGAGTTCACGATTCGTGTACTGTTGTACCCGTGTAGTATACGCGAAAATCATGAGCAAAATACACACCCCGTGGCCCCTGGAAATTCCAGACGACTCTCCGTTTTCTATGGCAAATATTCCCTTTGGAATATTTAGTACAAAGTCTAATGTACATTCTCTCCCAGCCAGGTTCTCGTAATAGAATATAAAGTTAACATCAACAACAAGACCGAACGCCGCGCTGGTGCTGCAATTGGCACTTTGGTCATTGATCTCTCCGTTCTCGAGACACACGGATTTTTTGCCGACTGTCTTTTAACCAAGTTCAACAATGTTTTTAACCAATCCACCCTGAATAATTTCGCTTCTCTGCCATTAGAGAATCGCTCGGCCATTCGAAAAAGGATTATCAACTTGCTGGACGATAGAACATCCGCCATCTTCAACAATCTTGCTATCAATTCCGAGGCAATTTTACGAATGAGCGACGCAACCTTGCATTTACCAATGCAAATAGGTGGATTTACGGACTTTATGTGTTCCAGGACCCACATAGATAATGTATTTGTATTCTTTCCATTGACTCTGTGGGTTATATTAACATGATTTTGTTAGAGTACTCAAATTGCAGGAAGATCGGCAAATCCGCAAACTTTTGCACAGCCTATGGCATACAATGGGCGAGCCTCGTCAATTGTAGTGAGCGGAACACCGATACACCGTCCCTGTGGAATGATTCCAGCTCCAGGTGGTCAAGGTCTAGTTTTTGGGCCGTGTGAGAAGATGGACTTCGAATTGGAGCTAGGATTCTTCGTCTCAAAACCGATTCCCTTTGGACATCGTATCAAGACCGCTGACGAGGCTCGAGAACATATTTTTGGATTTATTCTGCTCAACGACTGGTCTGCTAGAGATATACAACTCGCGGAGATGTTTCCATTAGGACCTTTTAATGGGAAAGGCTCTGGGACTAGCATTAGCCCATGGGTTGTGACACTTGACGCCTTGGAGGCTGCACGAACATGCACATTGGATGTTGGTGCCGCAACAGCGATGGCTAACTTGCCTCAGCATCTGAGGCACATGACAGATGATTATACCTGGGATATCTTAGTCGAATCGTCATTGAAACGTGTAGGCATTGACAAGACATTCAAGATAGGGCGCTCTAGTTTGCGAGATTCGTACTGGTCACCAGGACAGATGTTATCATATCACGCTTCGTCTGGATGCGGCTTTCGGACAGGAGATCTTCTTGGGACAGGTACTCTCTCCTCGCCCGGCCACTCTGTAGAAACGCCCTCTTTGGCGTGTCTACTTGAGCTGACGGAAGGCGGGACCAAGCCCTTTGTCTTTGGGGAAAATTCTCTGACATGGATAGAGGATGGAGATGAAGTCGTGTTTGAAGGATGGGCAATGACACGAGATGGTCACAGAATTGGTTTTGGCGAACTAAGAGGTACATTGTTACCCAGCCTACCTTAGAGCTGTACGTACTCTACACTGGCGACGCAATCCATGTTCTAAGAAAGAATACACCTTGTAAAATCTACAGACTTTATACGATATTTTTCCGAAAACATATACTTTTGATAGAGAAATATAGTAGATTTTCAAAGACATTACTATATGTAGTAATAATAGCAGTACCATTGAATAAGACACATATTTCCTAATAAGGAAAGAACATGTTAAAATATTCTTACAAAATATCTTCATTTTTCATACAGTTTATTAAATGGAACATCTTTTCACGAGATATCATATGCATTTCGTAAAATTTATATTGTTATGACGCGTTTTGATACAAAAACCGTATTCCTACTGTTTGCATTTTTGAACTCGCCTTGAATACGAAACCACATTTCCAACTATTGACAGTAACCTCAGCTGCGTCTTGCGACAACATTATTATTCCATAGGATTAAAGTTCCCGTCGAAGCAATTTACCACTAGACTAAAAGGTGTGAATACGCTAATTACATCTTGGATAATAGCTCATATTTCCGATATTTCCTCTCCCATAACAGCGAGGAGCTTGGCTCTAACCCTTTCAATAGAAATTGCCTTTGATCGCTCCATTATTGCCTTTGCTGAATCTCTGAGACGGCTACCAACAGCCTTCCAGTCAGCGTGCACAAAAGCCCCCTTTTGCTTTACGATTTCCCCATCAATTAGAACAGTATCGATATCCGATCCGTTGGCGTACAAAACCAACCCATCGATAGGATTATGAAGAGGGGTCAACCGGAGCGAGTCACAAGATGTGATGAGGATATCGGCTCGTTTCCCAACTGTGATGCTGCCAATAATATGCTCAAGCCCCATTGCCTCAGCACCTCCCAGTGTTGCTAACCGGAGGACGTCTTCGCAACTGTTCCCCACCGATAGCGGTGGACCGGAGCTTTCCTGGTTTCGAAGGTGCCTTTGCGATTGAAGAGCTAAACGCATCTGCTGGAACATATCGGCAGGATTGTTACAGACGACGTCACAACCGAGGCTCGCATGGCAGTCCATTTTGTGTGCGCGAAAACAGACAGGCTGGCCCATGCCCATCTGAAGTTCTGTGTCGGGAGTAGAAGAGATGGCAGAACCCGCTTCACGGAGAGACTCTATCTCGTCATCTGCCAGCGCTGAACCGTGACTGAATAGCAGGTCCGGACCAAGTAGATTTTCCTTTGCCATGGAACGTACGAGATAGAGACCTTTGTTGAGATAGCCCATCGATATATGGCCAGTGATAATTGCAGCACCCAGAGAGCGACCAAACTTGACCTCGTCAAGGGTTACCGGAAGAGGAAATCGTTCCATCTCCGCTGGAGCAAAGCCGAATCTCAACAAGTCGGTCTTCTCATTTGAAGGGAAGTGCTCTCTTCTGACCCGTGCAGCATCTGCTTCTCGCCAGCCTGGATTCGCACTGTCATCTATGGCAGTCCCTTCACAACGACCCTCGTGAAGCGGGTTCTGATAAAGTCCATAGCAGAAGACACCACGGATTTTTGCATCTTTGAGGCCTTTGACAACTGCGTCGGAATGGGCAGGCGAGTTGATGATGTGGCAGTGATCCACGAGGCATGTAATCCCCGAGTTGATAGACTCGAGAGCACCGCAGTAGTTTCCCATATATGCATCCTCTGGCGTATAGCACGAGCCATAGACATTGCGGACCTTGACGAAGTAATCAAAAAGCGTATCATTTGAGGTTATTGTGCGCAATTGCGTCTGCCAGGTATGTCGATGCGTGTCGACGAAGCCAGGAGAAACGATGCAATTGGTGGCGTCAATCACAGAGACTTCGTCGCCAGTTACGATGTTCGGCCCTATTTTGGCGATCTTCGAGCCTTCAATTAGAACGTCGCAGTTTTCAACGACTCCTATGGAAGGGTCCATTGATACCACAGTCCCATTACGAATGAGATATGTCCTGGCCATGGCGAATGCAATGTTGTGAATAAAACCTTAACTTGCAAGTTGTGAGATCTGCGATAGTTTGTATCCAGATCTGTCGTTTTACATAACTAAATGTACAAGGATGAACTTATGTCCACGCTATATATACAGGATATTCAGCATAAGGGCCTATCGCTTTTGCCCTTGACCATCATTTGCAGCCTAGATATTGAGGGGAAAGCGTTCATCGGGAATTATGTAAGATATATCCCGACTCAATCGCCGCATTTATCGGTATTTTGAGGGGTTCAGCCGCACCATACAGCTGAGAATAAGGCCATCTTTCCAGGTTTGGCTAGGCTCAAAACCTTCAAGAATTCTAATTGCTAAGGATAATAAATACTAATTTTAGGTAAAGGGTGGACAACAATAGGCGCATTTTGATAAGATTAATTGGTCAGCCACAAGCTGAAACATGTGACTCGAGGCTTTTTGCTGACGTGTCCGACACCCGGCATTGCTGCAACCTTAATCGGACAATGTTGAACTTTGAAGCTTTTTGGACGCGCCTCTCACTGTGCCAAGACTTGCTCTATAGAGACTGAGCTAGACGACAGACTTGATGGGGAAAACATCGTGGGCGAGTCTTCCACGAAAAGACCAGCTTTTCTTACTTTTTCTTTGCCGATTGTTTGATTTCATGCAAATCGCTACTTTCCAGACTGTCTGCTATTATCAATTGAAATCCTTCGACTTGACATTACCAGAGACGACGCTATCATGGCAAACTGGCATTGCAATTGGCGCTTTCACCGCAGCTCAGATTTGTACGTCGGTTCTATGGGGATCATGCGCGGACAAAGACTGGTGCGGTAGAAAGCCAGTGTTGCTGATAGGTTTATTTGGGACGGCAATATCCTGTTTGGGGTCGGCTTTTGCCCAGTCATTCTACCAGATGGTATTATTTAGGGTAATTGGTGGCCTTCTCAATGGTACAGTTGGGATTGTGTGAGTATCACATGCACGAATGTAGTTCTTTGTAAATTGACAGTAATCTCAGCCGTACGATGCTGTCTGAGGTTATTGTGGAAAAACGGTCAGTTGTGTCACCGACACTTAAGTCATGCATTTCTTGACAAGACTAATCTCAAATAGGTTCCAATCCCGAGCCTTCTCGTTACTCTCCTTGTCTTTCAATGTTGCTTCATTCTTAGGACCACGTAAGTGATGAAAGTTAATAAAACAGCTGGTATATTCTAATGTCAATAGTCGTGGCCGGTGCTCTGTCCGGCCCTCCAGAGGTTGACCCAACTTTGCAAAACTCAGAGTCTCGCTGGCTCCAGCGATATCCTTATGCGTTACCCTCACTAGTTAGTGCAGGCACAATGTTTGTACTTGGAGTCGTCGTGCTCAACTTCACTGAAGAGGTTGGTTACTTAAATTACTATTCTCTTGAATCCTAACTTGTAGCAATCAAAACTGCCCTCTTAAGCTAATCAGCAACTTTGTATAGACAGCAAAACACCTGCAACCTACGGGAAGTATGAGGGCAAAAATACAGAGTTTGATACGTGGGTTTGGCTGGCAACTAGGAAAGCCATCAGGCCAAGAATATAGTCCCCTGATGCAGGAAGCTTCGGATGATATTGCAGATGCCACAGAATTTAGGGAAATTAATTCCCCTATTTCTGAGGACCCGAGTTCCTCAAATCGCCAGCCACAACGAAAGCCACAGCAAAAGTCAGTAAGTATTTGGACGTTTAGTTTTATTATGACTCTTTTATCTCAGGCTATATTTGATTTCCACATGGGGTAAGTATATATCTAAATTCTCACCTGTATCGTTTAGCAAAATTAACAACGTTTAATAGAGCGTTTACTGCCCTTTGGCCGCTATTTTTATCCAGTCCTCGCACTCAAATATCAGATGGGGGATCCGAAACCCACGCTGGTGGTGGCCTCGGTATGCCGATTATGGGTGTCGGTGTGGCAGCAAGTATTCTAGGAGCCATTGGCATGGTAATCCAAATATTCGTATATCCTCGCATACACGACTTGATGGGCACTGTCAAAAGCTATCGCTACTTTAGTCTGCTATTCCCCATAGCATATTTCGCCTTCCCGTTCATTCGAGCCATCCGTATTGAAACTGGAATTTGGATAGCTATTATTTTTATCCTCTTTATACACGTTACAGGCCGCGTGTTTGTTATTCCAGCCACCTTGATGGTGCTTAATAACAGTGCACCGCATCCTATGTTGTTAGGGAAGGTACATGGAATAGGCCAGACAACATCAGCTGCTTTCCGTACCTTGGGTCCTTTTTTCGCTGGGTATCTGTATGAATTCGGGCTGCGGGTAGACTCTGTGATAATTCCATGGTGGATTATTGCTGGGCTAGGAATTATGGGGTCTGCGGCGGCACAATTTGTGAGGGATGGTGCCGTGCCTGTGGCTGTTGTTGTTGATCATGAGGAATAAGCTAGATGGCATTTGTGCTATATATATAAGTATCTAGCGCTTATACTGATTTTCTGTAGATAAAATAGCAAGGAGTAAATATTCGGACATAGGTTTCAATATTTAAGCTGGATATCATCCTACGGTACGTATAAGAACTCAAAAACAGGCCATCCAAAATGGCCCGATTCACTTTGTCAAAATAGTCTAATTTAGAACATTACACTTGTAGAAAAAAGACTAGAATAAGACGGACGCAACAACTATAGTCTAATTCGAGCATATGTTTAGAATTTGCCGTCTAAGAATTTAGAACAAGACCGAACTCACTTTGATGAAACTGTGGGAATCGATAGAAACAGGAGGGAGGTAGTAATTATGGACTATAAAGTGACCAAAAAGCGGAATCCAAGTGCGCACCTAGAAGACCTGAACCCAGTCCCTGATGGTGTCTGGCGCCACAACTTGGATTTAAAATGGGGTACGACCTGTCTTAACAGACCTGACGAGGCCTGCATCGGCAAGCTTCTCAACCAAATCAAAGAGCATATAATCACAGCCACGACGAACCATCATGTTGATGCTGACGGGGTATTGTTCCGTCACCATTGTGACAGGCGATTCATACGGGACTTGGCCCAGAGGAATGGTGTAGTCGGCGCACCTAGACGGGTAGTTGTTAATGGGTTGTGATCTCCCACTCAAGAAGGAAGATAAAAATCAAGGAGTACGTTTACTTACGCAAAGGAGGGGCAGATATTTGCACAGGAGATGGCAGCTCCCGAAGGTACCACAGCCAAGAAGCTTGCATTAGCGTTCTGATTCAGGTCCTGCTCGCGGAAACTAGGCAGGCCCTCAGTTCCGATATCACAAATCATCATGGACTCTGAGCATGATTCGGGCGTTTCAAAGAGCAAGTTCTCTTCGAACCAGCTCACTGCTGCAGCCTTCACTCGCAGAGCGTTGTCGAAATCAGACTGGTTTATGGGGTTGCGGGCGTAGCTCGTCCAGATGGTGCGCCACACCGGGTCAACAGGGGGGAATCGGCCGTCGAAGAGGGCTGCCCAGGCCGTCAAAAGCGGAGTAACAACATCGATATGTTGGGTCCAGTTGGAGAGGTCAGTAGTCGAGTTACCCATAACATCCCAGTTTGTTCTATTTGCGGCCGTCTCCGCCGAGAACATGCTCGCGTTGGAGACGGTGGCCGTAAAGTTGAACTTGTCAATGGTCATGTTGAACATCTGGGTCATGTTGGCAAGTAGGTTCTCTAGAATCACTTGGGCTGCGGGGTTGGCGAGTGGCAGATACTCTTGGGGGTAGAGAATGCGCTTTGGAAAACCTGAGTCCACCTTAACATCCAGAGGTGGAAGACCAGTGATTGACGTATCCTGATGCAAGCTGGTATCACCATACCAGATCTTCGCAAATCGAGCCCACTGGTAGGGGTCTCGTGAGAAAACCCCCGCGGTATCCTGTGACCAGCTCAGAGGAATAGCTCCCTCAAGCGAGATCATCCCCTGGCTCGGCCGGTTGCCGAAAGTGCCGGACACCGCAGCAGGGCGACGCATAGAGGATCCAGTATCGGACCCAATGGCATTATCAAGCCAGTCGTACGCCGCAATTGAGCAGCCGCCTCCGGAAGACGACGCTGAGCAGGTCAAATAGCCGTCACCGCGAGGATTGAAAGGGTAGTGCTCATCAATCCAGTCCCACGGATTGGCGCCAGAGGCAAACTGGGCCAACTTGAATTTCCCGACCAGTACGGCTCCAACATCGATGAGGCGTTGAATGGCAGGAGCGGTTGCATTAGCGACAGGGGTAACGCGGATCCAAGCTTGACTTCCTCCAGAGGTCTGGAGGCCCTTCATGTCGTAGAGATCTTTGATGGCAACTCTGGTTCCGGCCAGGGGTCGCGAGTCGCGCCAGAAGTGAATGCGGCTGGGGACGGGAATCATGGGATCCCACCACTGCGCATCCATCACGTTCAACGCCGTGAAGGAGCCGGTGCCGTCGTTGGACGGGTAGGCACCAGCGATGAAGTCACGGTATTCGTCGCGATATAGGCGGTAGGTCTCGAGAAAACGAACAGACTTTCCGACTCTTGTAGCAGTGTAAGGTCCGGATGGAAGTTCGTTCTCGGAGACACCTTGCAGCATGATCGCGGCTATCTCTGTGTGGAAGACGTTGGAGTCTAGGTAGAATTGGTCCACATTGAGGCTGCGAATATACTTCAGGGCCGACTGGTCGAGCTTGGTGTTCTTGATTGTTGAAGACAGGTAGAGAGAGCCCAGGAAGTCCCCAGAGAAGACATCATCTCCCGCGAGGTAGTCGTTGATGGTCGTCTGCAGGTACTCATCTGAAACGGTGCTTTGGTTGGCAACGATGACTGTGATCGGGACCAGGCTAACCTTGTCTCCGTCGGGATGGGATGCTTTCAGAACAGTTTTAGGGTATTTGGCGTTGGCGAAGTAGGTGATATTCCCCAACTCGTATACTACTCCGCCCTCTGCGGTCTTCTCCCGCGGTTCTAGTATGCTACGTCTGGTAGGAGTCGCCGAGACCAATGAGCCTAGGAGAAGGCCCACGGTAGTGAACCAGGCACCGAAGTTCCATTTCATCTTCAGGCACAAGAGGTGATCGATGATCACGCACGTGCAAGTCTTTCTTTAGGGGATTGATCGACTCAACGGACAGGACGTGCTTTATAGTTTTTTCAGGTCTTTCCCCCATGCCTACGGAAATATACTGGAATATAATCAACGACTTCCCAATCGACTGTTGCTCCGATCTCGTCGCACGTCCAAGTACCTCCAGGATCCAGGAGGTATCCACTCAAACAGAAAATGGGACCGACTTGGTTGATTCAGGACAGGACTACTAGAGATTTGCCAAAGAGTTATACTTCATATACCGACGGATTTCCCTATCAGAGTCGCTGCCTGGATCCCAGTTAGTTACACTTCCACTTGTGTCATATTTTCTAGTGGTTATCCTGATAGCCTAGTGGTGACTTTGGCACGCTTATCAGCCAGCGACCCACGTAGGCTGTTATCTTATCTGGCCAAGCATAGATTCATTATTGCGCCAAGGCCGGAGCGTTCCTATCGCCATCCTTACCAGCGGGAAACCCAGTGTTGTTCCTGGTCGTTGTAGAGAGGAGTCTCTATAAGTTATAAGATCTCGAAAATCAACCAAATGATTCTTCTGTTCACCACTTTATCTGGTCCTTAAGTGGAAGCATTGAGTTTTCACCGACTCATTATCTTATTTAAATCCTGTAGCCTAGTAAAGCCTGGCATCATCACAATCATTAATGATGTTCGCGGAGTTAAGATGCTATATCCGCAGTTAACCGGGACTGCCGTCTCCTAATGTTTGAGAGTAGAATCAGGTAAAACAGCAACGCAAAAGCCGGTATCGGAAACTCTGTGTTGACTTGTAGCGAAGTCCTCAGTCCAAGATGTCTGTAATCTATCGCTCTAATATCTTGGTAACGGTAACTTGATGATATCAAAGAGAATAAAACACATCAAGGTCAGCCCATCGTTGTGGGTGAACAGAGAAGTTTGAGAAGTTCTTCGTCCATTAAGAAACAAGGCTTCGTAGATGAAGACCTTCAATTTTATCATTCAATTTCTCAAATAGGTATGCAAGGGGTCCAAACACTGATGCTTCTGGCGGTAATAGGAACCGAAGCTTGAGTAACATACCGAGGAATTTAACATGGTAGCCGAGGCAATTTCTTAGAACTTGTTATGAAGTTGAAAATATCAACGATAATCTTCCTTTAGGTATCGGAACAACCAAAACGGGTAACACCAGCTCCTGTAGTGGCCGCACCGATTGGGCGCGGACTACATTACCTAACACAGCAGCTGCAACATGCCGCTTTCAACAGCGCCATCCTATTCGTAGATGCGCTTCTTGAGCTCGTGCTCTAGACGCGTTCTACTAGAACTAGGGTCCAGTTTTGGCTTCTCATTTAATATCGGTCATTCGATATATTTCAATACTGCCATGGCTCTCTCCTCGCGCTCTTGCTCTGGCCCTGGGGTTAATGACACAGTTTGCTTTCTCTTGGGCCTTGTGATGACTTTTCCTAACAGGCTACATCATGCGTGAACCTCCAGCGCGCGAAAATCTCACTATCCTGACCTGGCTGGGAATGGGGGAGGGTTGCCAAGTTCCTTGGCTGAGCGTCGGCGGCAAAGTCCCACGTCTAGCCTCATACTGTATCCCGTGAGACGCGTAACTCTGGTCATAAACGGTTGCCAAGAACTCGGACTAAAGCTCAAATGGGGGAGAATGGCTGGAAACCGCCCGTTTTCTACATTGAACGTCGCAAGTATAGAGTCACGTGTGACGGATCCGTACGAGGGCATGCAGAAGTCATTATAGGGCTAGGACCTTGCATTTGAGATTGGTTAACGATTAGTCTTTGGGATAGCATTGGCTGAAAGCTGGATAAAAGTGTTATTAAGTCCATCTATTGCATCAAAGCAGCCCGTGTACAAAAAAGAAAAAATAGTCTACCGTCCGACCACAAAGCAATCAAAACATTGGCAAAACATCTCCTCTTCATCCTTGTTCTCTCAATGCTCCGTAGTATCCAACCTCTTGAAGCATTCCTCGATCGCCGTAACAAGCTTTTTGCCCAGGGCACTGTCCCAGGTCAAAGAACCACCCTTATTCACTTTGTTGCTGCTCAGATACTGGCCGTTGGTTTCCCAGCCTGCGGCGGCAGCATTCACAAGAGCACTGCCGCCCATCTCGGCTGGGCGAGCATGGAAAACGAATTTGATAAAACGTGCAGCAGGTATCTCGCGAGTGAGACTACTGTGGCAGAGGCTAGGGTTTGGCACATTAATGATGACCGGGTATTTCTCTTCAGGCTTGTCGATAGCATTGACGCCGCTGCTCGGGCCGGAGCGTTTCTGCCGATATACCAGGTCGCGCACCATTAGTAGAACTAGAAGCTTAGACGTCGGGTATTGAGCGCGAAAGCGAGAAGCATCGTTCTTGCAATTGGCAGTAATAGCTTCGAGCATCTTGGCTGCCGACTCGTGCTGCTCTGGGAACTTGGCCAGTAGATGTGTATCTGAGCCAACAATGCTTAAGTGTGGAGGGCGCGGTTCGGGGTCCCCGGGCACTGGGCCAGCAGCTGCTGTTCGTTCGAGAAGAGGAAGAAGGCGTGAGGCCATCAAGTATGTGCTGAGAACATTGACGGTAAGAATGCTCTCGTAGCCCTCTGGCTCGGAAAACTTGACAGTGTTTATGCCGGCATTGCAGAGAAGAACATCAAGCCGGTCCAATTCACGATTAGCCCTTTGAACAAATCCGACGACTGAATCAAAGCTACTCAGGTCCACCTCCCACACAGCAATGCTTGACTCCGGTGCCGACATCTCTGCAAGGATCTCCTTGCGAGCCTCCTCGCCAGCAGTCGTATTGCGTACCCCCAATATGAGACGCGTACATCCCAGTCGGGAGATGTGCCGAGCGGCCTCTTTGCCCAACCCAACGTTTGAGCCGGTGATGATGACAGTCTTGTGCGCGAATGAGGCCGTGGGCTTTGGTACCGATTGGAAGTATTGCTCGTAAATTAAGCCTCGGAGGAATTCCAAGGTGCTCATACTGAGGAACTGTCGGTTTCAGAATTCGGAAATCGAGAAAGAATTGAGGTAGAGAGTTCTGGGCCAATACATGAGGAGCAGGATCTTGAACCATACAAGACTCAAAAGATCTGGCACGACTCAAGAGATAGCCTCTCTATATATACACAGCCCTCTCCTTCCACCCCTTTTGATGCGGAATTTTCATCCTATTTCCGAGACAAAAAGGGCGCCTGCCATATTTCTTGTCGAATCGTTTCGCTTGAGGTTCTTCTTAGGTGCGCATAGTTAAGCGGTAGCAATCTAGTCTGGGAAGCGCTAGTCCGCTTTGGGGTATATTCGCGCCGTGAGGCTCGTCACTGCTTACAATTCTTTTCATCCGTGAAGTGCCGCACCATTCTCCTGAAAGCTGCAATCAAACCCGGATTATACTAATAGCCCTGTCATGGGGAAAGCCGAATGAAGAGTGAATGAAGGATGATATTCGGAGATAGGAGCCATCGTGACGCGATGCGTGTAAACATACCCCGCGCTACTATCTAAGCTAGCCCTGGCACGCCGCATAGGTGTGAAATGGAATGAACAGAACGACTTCATCAAACAGCAAGACTTCTAGGGACACGGGCCAAACTCCATTGGCCCCGTCGTCACTCATCATGCGCTTCTCGGGAAGTGGCTGTCAGCCGTGCAGGCACGCTCGAAAGAAGGTTAGAAAGTCCCAGAGAAGGCATAGCATATTGGTGACTCGCTTATCAATTACAGTGCGATAAGACCAAACCGATCTGCCTGCGATGCGTGAGAAACGGGAGGACATGCTATGGTTATCGACAGGCCTTTTCCGTCATGCATGACGAGAACATTTATGCAAGTCGACACCAAAAGCGACCCCAAGGACCCCGAGCAAACGCAAAATCTGCGGCCAGCCTCACCAGTACTTCCTTGTCCCGTGACCTGCACTCAGAGGCGGTAGCTTACTTCATTCATTGTCATCTGGACCCGACAACTAGCAAGCTGCTTAGGATAGGGCCCCCAACAGAGGCCTTGCTGTCAAACTGGAATTCCAGTCCAGTGCTGGAGCTTGCCGCGTCGTCGACTGCTCTAGCACTTTTCTCAAGGACCAAAAAGTACTCGCCTGCGGCAAAATTAGCATTTGATAGCTACCAGAAGTCTCTGATAGCTCTACGAACGGCTCTCTCCGATCCAGAACACATTGATATCGACGCATGTTTGCTAGCAGTCTGCTTGTTGGGACGATATGAAGACGCAGTCTTCACTTTTGACCAGAACATCGGCATACCATTTGAAGAAAGTATGCAGAATCGAAAGCATCTCACCGGCGCTATTGCCTTACTGGAGTACTGGGTGAACTATCCTAGTGGCACCAAAGTACCAACCGACGCCATCAAATATGCCAGACGGACTCTGAGGAAAGCAGCAACCTTTGGCCATATTGATCTCCCTGACTGGCTGAGTGATGGAGACTTGTTCGGCGAGCAAGGACTTATTCAGGACTTGGATCGCATACTTTTTCGAGTCATCAACGTCCGTAGCCAGCTCATGCCCTTTTCAAAATGGCAGTTTGGATCGCAGCGGATTTGTCTTGAGAGTATGTCAACTCTCCGGACGATCCAACAAGAACTAAGCGCAATCGACACGGCACTGGTTGAATGTAGAGCTGGACGTGCAGATATTTCGGCTTGCACACAGCATACGTTGGCAGCCCATCGCGTCTACTCCAAACACCATTTCTTGCAATCCCGTGTGTACAGCCACCAGAGTTATGCGAAAGCCGCATATTGTGCCCATTACTACGGGTACAGAATACTGGTTAACCATTTGCTCATATGTACCCTCAGACTACTGGCAAAATATTCGCCTTTCAAGCCACGCAACCCTTTAGTTGAGTGTCAGCGTACCATTAACTATCTGGCTGGGGAGTTGATATCAATCATGCCCTTCGGCCTCGATAGATTCAAAATATCGGATTATCCTGGCTTATTTGGCGACCATATTACCATCAAGTCAGACGAGGATAGGAGACTTTATGTGGCAGAGCTTATGGCTTTTCCTCTGCTCATTACTTCCATATCTGACAGTATCGGGTTAGAGTATACTGACTGGTTCAGATCCCAACTGGCAGATACAGGGCGTCTCCTCGGCTATGGAGTCATGGAATCAGTCACAAGCAGCTCTTGGCCAATACATAAATATTCAAGAGGGAGTTCAAGGTGATATCTTAGACGTCGTGATGCAATTCCAAGCACGAAACTCTTCTTGTGGACAATGTTGATTAGCACTGCGGCAGGTATACGCAGGCAGGAATGCAGAAAGACCAGTTACAGAACAATGAATGGTGGAGGATGATGACGGAGTGAAATTATATAACAGAGGGAAAAGAAGTTCAAGAATTCAAAAGTGAGGCAGGTAAAGAGAGGTCGTTGTATATTCGTGGCAGGGATATATCTTTTGAGCTCTGCAAAAAGTGCTTTAATGACATTTATATCTGGTCAATAAGGCGGCGAGTATAATAGCTTTAGTTCGGCATCGAAGCATGACTGTTCGATTTAATCCTAGTGATGTAACGCCACACTACCCATAATTAGTACTAATTTTTGTTCGGGTTACCTATCACCTCCATCCTCGCGACATGAAACGCCCTGTGTGATGAAACAACCCTCAGGTACCTAACTCACGATTTTCAGCAACTTCATTCCAAACTTGCCCACCAAAAATAAATTTACATAATTTTGATACAGTTCTTCAGTCGATCCTCTTTTTCCAAGCAAAAGTTACAAATCATAGGCGTGGTTGATTACAACCTGGCGCTGAGTTGCTGACTGGCACAAAATCCGCTCAACACTATCTTTGACGCCAAGATTACCTTAACAAACACCCGGAATGCATGATAAGTGCTCTGCAGATACTTGGATGTAAAAACACGTTTCCAATAAGCCTTGTTACTCTTATGGTTATGTACCTTGTCCTTGTAATTATCGCCTTTTTCCTGATTAGCTCGCTATTATCTACATCTTATTATTTTTGAAGAGCATATAGTATTACTATAATGTTAATGAATTTAACAAAAAATTATTAATAGCAACATTGCTAATTTAGTAGGTGGGCATATAGTATATATTTCAAAGAAGATAAACTTTTCTTTGAACAGAAGACAAAGACACTCCAGCGAATAAATCCAAAGAGGATTCGGGAATATACAACATATATATACTTCCATACCAGGCTTTCAATTATGTAGATCCTTTAAACTTAATAGAAAGTAAACTAGCTTGTAATCTATTATTTGTTTATAATTGGCCTAACAGCTGAATTATAATCTCAAGTGCTGTCATTCGCCGTCATTTGCTAGGGGCCCCCACCATAAAGAATACACTTTCTATGTTCAGATGTCTTTGTCAGATATGGGCTGTATATATGGCTGTCATCACCCTTATAATTAATATACAACAACTATATATTTGTGTATTCAGAATGCATTAGATTGTTGGATCATTATATTCTCTGACTGCTAACACAAGGCATATCAAGTTAATAATTCGGAACGGTGTCAATTGATGTATTGATGAACACAACATCTTCTCGACCTTAACGGGAACAATCACTGTCAATTGATATATATAGAATCCTTAAGCCTTTCACCGAACAGATAACGTCATCATGAAACTCGCTCTACTTTTGATACTACTGGCCACTACGGCATTTTCATCCCCTTTTATACATCGGCCCTCTCAAGCAACACCAAGTCCTACTGTTGAGGTCGAAAAGTTAACGGATGTAATAAAGAGGAACAGGGAAACCGCGCAACCAATCACAACGGCTTCGACGTCCATCTCATCTCGAGAACCATGCGCTTCAAGCAACTGCGGCAATTTATGCACTTCAATAAGTAGAAAGCCTTTTGGCAGCTCTAAAGTGGCAGTAGAACCTACGTCTGCGGGTTGCGTCTATATACCAACTCTCAAAGGCTCTGTTTTCACTACTTTGAACGTCTTCGAGGGCTCCCTAGTTGCTTTTCCAACGTCGACAGTGTCTGTTCCCACCATCCGTGGCCGGGGTTTGCCTATCTCCCTAGTGATTCCAAGTAATAAGACACTACTCGACAATTCCCCGGCGAAACGAGAACTTCGAGGTGTGAACCAGTCCCTCGTTAGTACATACGACAATTCTCTGGCGAAACGAGCATTTCCAACCATCCCCAACAACGACGTTGGTGCGTACCTTCGCTCAGTTCAACCCAATTTCCTCACAGTTGTCTCACCGACGACGGACGGGGATTTTTTTAATTTCGACGAGGAGCATGTCGGTACTGCAGGTGTTCAAAATCTGTATGGATGTACCGCTGTGTTTATAGCGTCTTCGTTAGGGGTATATATCTCACATATATACGAAAGACCGGTCTTTATCAACAATGTAAATAATAGACGTTATGAAACCGACGACGAATCCTTTTGGGGTATGAGCTACAGAGAAATTTTTGAAGGCTCGCCTGGGGCATATTCTGTCGCTGACCTCATTGGCACTGACGAGAAACCAGGTAAATTGCATCCTAGTCATGAACCTGTCGTCTATGTTATCACTCCACTTAGCGATCAGTGGGATAGGATTTTCGATGATGTGACAACAACACTTAGATATGAAAGACATGCCAATCAACTTGCTCAGGGGTTGATAAATTCCATCTACAATAATGGTGAGCCAGATGGCATGGGACCTGCCATGGTTATAGGATATACACGTTACACTCGAACTGAGGTTTCAATGAATTCCGGAGGCTATGAAGGTAAAGTCGTTCTGGAGGTTGATCCTATGAATCACGTCGAGGAGCAACCTGATGGGACGAAGCGTCAAATGGGCTCATATCGGATTTTTGTACAGGATAGGGTGGTTTTGGAGAAGAACTTCCAGAATTCTCACAAGACTCCCACCCCATGCCGTAGCCCTACGCCTACGCCTACTCCGATATCTGAAACAGACTGCGATGAATAGTTATAGCCAATCATCATCTGGCAGTGCTTCAGTAGAAAATATTTACGAGATATTAGATGAAATGAGATTAAATCGTATGGAGAAAAGATTGAAGTAACGTATCAAGTAACAATTGACTGTTGGACCAACAGACTTATCATGCCTCCGAACATGTATAGTATCGATACATATAAGGCATCAAGATCAAGTGCACGCGTCCCTCTGCATATATGATTGATTTATTCATATTGCGCTATAATGAAGCGTTACAAAAGGTACTATCTGCGTTTATAAAGCCCGCTTCCCGCGCATCTAAATATGGGCCTCAACTTGCTATATTCAAATACTAGGGGGGATAAAAGAGGAGAAATAGAAGTATAAATGTTTATGCGCTTTTTCCAAGAGTACTCAGGAGCGTAGCTTGTTTCAGCTGAAAACACGTCAACGAGCCGATGTATGCATGCTTTACCTGTCTCTGCAGGACTGGCTACAAAGGAAGCATTGAAGATCATATCTAATCTGATACAGGCCTTAGAGGTAGGTTTGTGTATCCTATTCTAGAGACAGTGCTGCTAGCCTCGTCACAGATCCCAGTCTCTCAAGAGTGCCTAACCCGGTGCAATCTCACTTTAGAGGCTGCCACTGGGGACTGCGGAGCTGTGTTCAACTATGGAAGCTGCTTGGTAGTGCCATAAAAATGCTCAACATTATTCTGGAGGAGGTGCAGCAAAGGAATGAGTCTAGGAATATTTAGACTTTCTCCGTGTATCCCTAATGGAGCTAAAAGGTAGACTCTCATAACTGTCATGGCATATGGACACATGGTTTTCGTTGTGGTAGATATCAGATTCCCTAGCTGTGTTTTTGATATTGATGTCAATTCGATTTATTCAACTTTTATGATACCCTCCTCTTGTGCAATCAATGGAAAATAGTTCTGCAAGCTATTATTTATAAGAAATAATTGAGATAATTACTTGCGACACTTAATTTAATTGATACCTAGTAAAAGGAAATGCCGTAGATCTGCCAATATTTTAACACACTTGATATGAAAGTATTCTAGAATTAATTCGGTATGGACTGTCATGGATTATCAGGGATTATGATATACGAAGTCCTAAATGAAAAAAGTAGAAAATAAAAATAAAACTGTAATTCAATGGCATTGATAGGTTGAACAACAGCAAGCCAGGTGTTCGGGGTCAAAAAGCCGTGAGAAGTAGTGTCACGGAGTCTTTTTTGGGTCGATGGATATTTCGTGCAATTTGATCAGCGAAATCACGAGTCATCCATCTCAAGGAGAGCCTCAAGATGCGAGTTAACCCCCTCCCGGCGACATGAAACTGCTGTGTAAAGAGCGGGTATTGTTGACTCATGCACTAGTCAGCCTAGGCAGCCATCGGCTAAGTCAGCCTCTTGAGTATAAGCTTCTGGGGTATTTTTAAAAATTTTATATCTTTTGAAGTGCTTTTAGAATTATGCACAGTCAAAAAATATAAAGACAGCAAGACACCTCGAATGAACCTCAAAAATTATCATTAATCATGCTGATCGACATCCCTTCGGGCTTTCTGCCCCCCGAAGCTCCCCACAATGTGAAGAGCGAGATCATCGATTTCATGAGTACAGACCCAGCTATTCCCGAGTACGAAGACTCGTTCGCTGCCATAATCGATAATTTTATGACTGAAGACGAATGCAATGAACTTCTGGCATTGGCTGTTACACCATCGTCAGATAACCCAAATATCTCCTCAACAGAGGATGGGCCATGGGAGCGCGCGATGATCAATACAGGCAATGAAGAACAAGCCATGGCCACCGAATTTCGCAATTGTGGGCGCATGATTTTTGAATCTCCAGAATTAGCAGACAGGCTATTGACACGACTCATGCCATTTTTCAAGCAATGGGAGATGACAAACCTCCGAGGTCAGCTCAATGTAACGGGTCTCAGTGGTAGAAAGAATGAGTATACTCTTTCGCGACTGAATGAACAACTACGGTTTTTAAAGTATGTTGGAGGAGAATATTTTCGTCCACATTATGATGGCGAGTATCGAACTCCAGATGGGAGTGAGGTATCATTTTTCACGATTCACCTGTATTTGAATGGAGAAGGCGAGGATGGGCAGGATCTGAAGGAGGTTTTGAAACGGAAGGAACTGGAGGACAAAAATGAAGTGTTTAAAATAGCAGCTGGAGAAGAAAATGGCAAGGGAAAGTTGCTTGGCGGTGCGACGAGTTTTATGGGGTCATGGGTAAATAACGACAAGGCCGTTAGGGTTTGGCCAAAGACAGGACGAGTGTTGGTTTTTCAACAGTCTGACTTGCTGCATAGCGGCGATTCGGTATATAGTGGGACGAAGTTTACTGTTAGGACAGATGTCATGTATAAGAAAACTCCATGGAGCCAGACGTAGGTAGAACACTCTGATCTGGATAGCGTGATTGGAGAAATAATCTCAAAAACACACTTCACACCCCGTACCTACGCACTCTCTACTGTGTAGTCTGGCCACCAGCGAATCTTAGGAATTATATATTTCCATTTTTATTTATTAATTTTAACAATTTTACTGTTCGGCTTCGAGCAAAAGTCATTCTCCCTATTTAGAAACTAGCATCCCGAAGCATGGCAAGGCATGATCCTCTACTCCCTAAGCCGCAAGCCGTATTCACTTCTCACTTCTCACTTCTCACTTCTAAACGTCGAAACTGTGATAAAACAGTCCTACGAGAAATAGTAACCTTTTAACAAATTTATAATATTTATTATTATTAGTATCAATACTACGAATCAAATTGACGACCATGCGCACGCTTAAGCTCATGAAAGCTGGAATCCCTAGAGTGGATAAAAAACAAATATTACACCTTTCTGGAGCTATTTGACAAAGGAAGATTTGTTTTCTGTCGTAATGGTGGGGGTGTCTGCAATAATTCAAATTAAAAGGCAGAGCATTATTCCATCTCTTCCGTCCTATTGGCCCAGCCCAGCCACGAGATCATTCTGTTCGTTCCTCAGTCTCGTTCTCGGTCTCGTTCTCGTTCCTGTTCTCGTTCCCGATCTCGTTCCCGTTATCAAGACTTGCCTAGCATGCTTCAAGTGGGGGCTAGGGTAGTGTCTACTAAAATGACCTTTGGTGATTTTTAGCCATTTCTTACATCTGCTTGATTTTAGCATGCTTATATTATATAATTAAGAATTATCTCAATAGATTTGTACAACTCAGACTTTTGATATACTTACGTATTCAAGAACGTCTAGGTGAGCATATAAATGAGGTTTTATTAGATATTGCGGTTCAGCCGTACCCTGAGGCATCAAGAGGCTGTATCATTATTTCTTCTTCTGCGCGTATCAAGCATTCTCCGCAAAGCTTGTTCATTGCATTTCTAACACTAAAGGAATAAGGTTTGTCTGCGTAAATAATAGAAAATATTTATTACTTATCACCCAGCTTTGATCAATGGCGACCCTCCATCAGCCCCCATCTCGCAATACTAGCTTATTATGGAAATTCCTCCTGAGGGGCTGTGCTTTCTCGATTGAATCTATGTTTATGGTTACAAAAAGGTAGCTGAGTCCATGGAAATTCCAATAATTCATTCACATACCTACCAAAGAACTTTGAATTACATTAACATCCAAAATGAACCTTTCACAACACCCCCTTGAAAAACTGGTGAACGGAGTCACCTCGGGCATTGGCTTCGCAAGCGAAGTGCGCGGGTACAAAAAAGCGAGAAAAGCAGCCAGAAACGAGCGAGAACTAGAGCAGCAGAAACAAGAACAACAAGAATCATCGACCTCTGCCTCTCGGTCCCCCCCTCCATATACAGCATCTCCTTTAGAAGAGGAGGGCGACGACCAAGAGAGAGCTGATACGGCAGACTCCACCGCGGCTCACGACGAAGTCGAGCGCTCATGGCAACTTGATGAAGCGCAAGATGTCGTAGTCGGGGAATCCGAGCCTCGTAAAAGTAAAAAAGGAGTCGCTAACCCGGACAAAATCATCGGCGCTTTTCTCCAACGTCAGCCTCCTCCTTATGCATCATCATCATCACCAGACGGCGCGCGTCCCATATCCAAACTCGAGTTCCCCGTTGCGATACCGCAGCGACGTCCGAAGGATAAGAAACGTGGGTTTATACGTGCGTATGCGTCAGACCTGGAAAACGTGGGCATTAGCCAAGAGACCTGGTTCGATTTTATCGAGACGCTTAATGAAGCCAGTCTTGCGAATCCGTGGATTAACGCTCTTAATTTAGCGTCAATAGCTGCATCGCCGCTGCCATTTGCGATTTCAACTGCGATTTCGATGGCGATCATGGTTGCTACGACTGTTGCGATTGAGGCGCAGAGTCGCTATCGGTAAGCTCGTTCCTCTTCCCTGTAATTCTTGAATTATGCCGATAAGATTGATTTCATACCAGACAAAATAAAGCTCTCGACAGACTCAATGAAGAATTCTTCCGTCCCCGCGGCCTCTTCTGCCTCGTAATGACCTGGGACGCTACATCATTCAACGCCCGCACGAACGTCGATATCAACACAACTATCCAAAATACGATGGACAGCCAGGGGAGGTTGTCTCATAAATTCCAGTCTTCTAACGCCATCACAAATGGAATGGAGTCTATGCAGACCGCAGAACTCATCTTCCCGGGCCTCGACTTCCTCGCTACCACAACAAAGGACGAGCAGAAGGGATTCAAGAAAAAGATGCAGCGCGGCAAGCTGTTTGTTGATGATTATATGGATCGCAGGGCGCAGGCTAAATTCGTTAGTATTCATATATTTACTCTCTCTTTTTTTTTTTTAAAGATCCACTTGTTGACTTGCCTTTAACAGCTCGCCGAAAATCCTAATAGCCATCTTACTCAAGCTGGAAAGCCGAAATTCCTCTCCAAATACGCCGATCCAACGCATCCTATGCAGAGCGGATTTGGTAACATGATGGGAGGACTTCAACAGCAGAACCGTGGCTTTGGCCTAGGGGGTGGTGGCATGGGCAGAGGTTTCGGGGGGTTAGGAGGAGGGCTGGGCGGCTTTGGAGGAGGGATGGGAGGACGAGGTGGTGGTCTGCTAGGGTTGGTCAACCTAGCTACACAGGCTATTGGCGATCGTGGCCAACAACAAGATAACTACAACTACCGTGGCAACCCACCTGCGCCGTATGGTGGTTCTAACTCTGGGTATTATGATGATCGCGGAGGGCAGCAACAACAATACCAGCAACAGCAATATCAACAACAGCAATACCAACAACGCGGTATTGGTGCAGGCGGGGTTCTAAATCTGAACAAGCTTTTTAGATCTGTACGACCGTCTCTCATTCTATACTAATTGCCAGATTTGTTAATACTGACATTCACACAGAAAGTACTCTATTTAATGGTCGTCAACATGCCGACTGACGAAGAAATGGCCCAAGCGCGAAGTCTGACTGCCGATTGGAACATTCAGGGTCAGCAGCTGCAATTTTAATGTGTTAATGGAAAGGTTGATAGAGTTAGTGGGTTGGATATCGCGGCGTCTTATTGATTTAGCAGGCATCGTATCCAGTGGTTTTGGTGCGTTTCTTTTATATCAGTCTTAATATGTTTAGAAACCATTCCATTTGGTACAAAAATACGAAGACGAGGGAAACAAATATCTGAATTATATCTTCCAAGCTCGTGACTAATGCGACGGGTTTATGTCTGGTGTTGATGTGAAATATGGACAAGTTATATTAGTTGACAACGGAGTAAAAGATCAATTGATGATGTTACCAGGCCCGCAAAATATATCAAGTTTGACATGTGCATCCGATCAGTTTCATTACTTTACCAATACGACGGTACCCAAGTACATTTCGAGCAAAGGCTACGTAGTGATGGGTTATAAAGCTTCCGAATGACTTAGGCTAGGAACGGAGGATGAGTACTTTACATGCTTTACAGACATCTTCATCAATTATTTTCATATGAAACGTGCACAAAGGAAGCCCTCGTCCAAGAATCACTGACTTATTGCAGAACCTATTCTCATACACTCAAGCCCGCAGATCGAAGTGTGTTATTAGATCTTCCGGATGTATTCCATCCATTTGATGATGTCATGGGACGGGACTCCTGGAAGGTATTTGTTGATAATAGGTCAAATGGGGTAAACCAGGGCCAAGCTCATCAAAAGTATAGTATTAATGAAGAGGGGACATGCAGTCTTGTACTTTGCCGCCCAGACCAGCATATTACCTGGATCGGCAATACGGTAGACGTAAGACCTACCTCTCTAAGTTGTTTACAGTGATCTGAATGGGCTGCAAGACTCAACAATAACCGATTTGAAATACCTTTGATTAGCACCTCAAACTCTCAAAGTAGAGTTGGCTTTACTTCGAATACTATTATTTGTCCATCAAATAAGATCCATTCATTATTACGTCGGTGTATATTGTGTCATTTCCAAGGAGAACGTGAATAGATATCCGATATAAGTAGTCTCAAAAACCTCGGTCTTGTATTTGAATAAAGTTGCATTGATTCAGTCGGTAAATGACAAATCTCACAAATTGCACGCCCTCTCTGAGCTCTCTCTGTCAGGAGTGAAATGATTAGATCGCACAATTGAGACTGGCTTCCAACTCCAAGCTCGTTAGAAGAGGTACTATCAAAATCGAAAGAAGTAGCTATAATTCATTCGACGAGACAGATCATTCTACAACAAGATTCAACGGCTTTGGAGACGAATAATTTTACTAGACTACTACCATATACTTAGAGAACATATGAACGACAATCCAATACTCATGGATTAAGAGGATTGCTCACGAAATGATAAGTGTCGTTCCCCTTACACATTCATTTCCTACTCGACCCGACATAAAAGCACATCAACTGCTCGTATAAACAACTTGAACACCTTGGATGTTTCCCATCACACTTGGAGTTTCGCTCCCTGCAAGACTTGCACGTTTGTCCGATATTGTTTGAGCTATCGTGGTCAAGGTGAGGAATATTTTCCGTATTCTCGCTCAATGGAGCTGAGCTTCCGTCGGTAAGTCTATATTTCGAGCTCAAAGAAAGCCAGTGCACAACTCGCTCTAGTTTTGTTTTCCTTTCAACACTGCGAGAATCGGATGGGTGTGGGGTTATAGACGAAACGAGGGACATTTCAGAGCCGTGTAGGAGTTGGAGAAGAATTGATTTGTTAATTTGGACCCAACGGTGGGGTAATTGTGTGAGCTAATATTTTACCGCAATAGTAAAATTGGAGAATATTGATGTTTAACAATAGTGTATGTGTGGTAATCGCTATAAATGACCAACATAAAGGGCCTAGACTATCAAGGATTCCATGTCCCCATTCCTAGTGCGTGCATGGATGCTGGCTTCCGTCGCAGGGAATGCATAATAATATTCGTCCGGGTAGAAGTTCCGAGGAATGTGATACACATTTGAGGATTCCTTGATTTTTGTGGAAGTAGTAGCATTTGCATGTTAATTAGCCAATGAGATATCTATAGGCTAGGGTTTGGAACGTCAAGTGGGACCACGACCGCCTGAAAACATCTAGTCAAGCAAGTCGGAAAAGGGTTACTTTCGCTGTGATCATTAGGCATTTAAAAATAGTGACAAGGTTCAGTAATGCCTATATTACTTGAACAGTCAATTTGAAAAGACCGTGAAAAGGTGTTCGATCTCTCCTCGTCCTTCCACAGATACTGTCGCCGTTGACAGCCTAGAAATATTGTAGGAGGTACTTAGCTGACTCTCGCTGCTGTGAGGTAGTGTTATAATATAAAGACATTTCGCCATAAAACGAATAGATGGCTGGGGCCCTGAAAAAGAGACCTAAACCTCGCTAGGGTTTTCTAATTGATTAATGCAATTATATAAATGGGGCGGTAAATTATCAAAATCAAATTCAATTATCTCAGAAAGGCGCTGCTAAAACACCTTGACTAGCTCCTTCAGGTTAAGAGTGAGAATGACGGGAAATAAACCCCCGGATATCAACATTTGAAGCGTGCACCTGTCGTAGTTTCCCAAGCCCAGCTGTCAGACCTGCCCCCGCTCTCCAAAGTCGAGTTGCTAATTGCAAATCACTTGCGCGAGTGTGGCGTGCTCGGATGCGACCAATCAACATTGGGCCAGTTCTTACGTCATAAGCCAATGCACACTTGATTCAATGCATGGATGAGTTCTAGCCACATACGTTACAGCTGCGTATCTTGTATGGATTCAAGTAATAAAGACAAAGGCGAAATTGCTTTCCCATTGCAAACTAGGCTTCACGGGCATCTTCCGATTGGCTGCGAGTCTCCGCTGCTGCCATGAAATCGCCAATATGATGTCATCCTGTGTCTCTGCTAGCTAGCTTCTCACTACCCTATTCATGGTAATTATAGTTATAAAGTGGTTTCCAAAGAGATTTTTCCTTCACATGCCTTTTCCCATAATTAGCACTAGCTAATCACAGCCAGATCAGTGGGGACGGCCTCCAACAGAGTTTGAAGATACGACCTGGTGTTGATAAATCGATAGCTGCATCAATTGATAATTGGGAAGACAGATACACTAACTAACATGTGCGCTTTCAATTAAAATGTAACTGCTTTCCAAACAGTTTGGATATATTGTAATCTTCTTAATGCAAATCAAGATAACTTGTTGAATTACATAGCTAGGGTGAGCTCAATATCACCTTAAAATACCCGGTTTTTTAGGCTTGGTAGTGACTATTCTTGATATCAATACACTGTGATTGATCCCTTGTACAATACATCTTAATGACGCAGCCAATGCGGACAGGATACCTGATGTAGAACATTTTGAATAGTTCGCTCTCTTGAAGGGTATTCAAACCCATCCATTACCGGGTGGCAATTGCACGATGATGAACGTCATAAAAACCTCATTATTATATTCAGCGTGGATATTCCTGAACTCTCTTATATCTAACACCTGGGGGGAAAGGTTCATCAATTATTTACTTTTTTATTACAAGCTACGTGACAAAGAAAGTATCGAAGTTTTTTAATCTCAGGTTTATCCATCAAGACTTAAAGAAAGCAGAATGGCCGAAAACGTGAACAATGACCATTTTAAACTGTCCACCCTCTTCAATGTCAAGAACAAAGGTAGCCCCAATCACCATTTGCTTTCCAAAACAGCATTCTAATCCTGAGATTTGAACAGTGGCATTGGTAACCGGTGGAGGCTCGGGCATTGGCCTCATGGCTACACAGGCTCTTGCTGTTAACGGTGCAAAAGTGTACATTGTCGGTCGCACTCAAGATAAACTCAATCGCGTGGCCAAGTTATATGGCAAGGATATCGAGGGTCAAATCATCGCGTTACCGGCAGCGGACGTTTCGACCAAGGAGGGCGTGGAACAAGTGCACAAGGATTTCGAAGCTCGCGAAAAGCATCTCTCCATTCTCATCAATAACGCTGGAGTATCAAGTTCTGCAAGAGAAGACACTCAACGTCAAGACCCTCACGGGCTTCGTGAAACACTCTTTGACCAAGACGCTCAGACCGTAGAGGATTGGCAATCAGTGTACCGGGCAAATGTATGCCAGCTTTATTTCATGTCCTCGACATTCCTACCGCTACTAAACAAGGGAACCGAGATTGAACATGGCTGGTCTAGCACAATAATTAATATATCATCGATCTCCGGCATTGTGAAGATTTCTCAACATCATTTCAATTATAACACATCGAAGGCGGCTGCTATTCATTTGACAAAAATGCTTGCACATGAAATTACCTCCTCTGGCCTCAAAATCAGAATCAACAATATTGCTCCAGGGGTCTTTCCGAGTGAGATGACAGCACATGAGAGTGACGAGGCTCAGAAGAGTTCTCTGCCTAAGGAACGGTATGAGAACAAGATCCCGGCCGGAAGACCAGGGAATGATAAGGATATGGGAAATGCAGTGCTTTACGCGGCTACTAACCAGTACGTTAATGGGCAGACGATCGTTGTGGACGGAGGCTACGTTCTATCAACGGGCACTATTTGATTATTTGGATATATTTTTTGATTTGACTCCTTCTGCTGGTGCAATCGATTTATAATTTTGATCGTTGCCTCATTTATAACGATTTAAACTCCCATCCAATTAATTGCTCAATTAGTGTATTCTAGTAGGCCTCTTATCAGCATTCCGGCTATTTTTGTAATGATTCTTCCACGGTTGTTGAAATCTAATTAATTATGCTCACTCTGGAGTACGATTAAGTTTCTTCCATTCAAGAGCGTGAGGCATATTTTCATATTTCTATTAGATTGTCAGATTTTTAATAGCGCTAACAAGAATAATTTGGTCATCTATCATCTACAGCTACGCCTGTTAGGACTCAATCGTCACTGCAATTGTTTAAATAATCCTAAACCCAAATTTTCAAAGACCTTAAGATAGGCGACGACTAGGAAACGTTGTATTGGATGCGGCTGCGTAGTTAGACTTAGTTGTGGCGACATAAAAGGCTTAATTGACCCTTTAAACCACAGTCTGTCAGACCTTTTTTTTGAGTGGAAAAATGTCGGAAGTCTAAGGATCGGTCCGAGCCTGCTCGTGGAAAATTTGAAAGCACCTACATATATACCATAAATAACCCCCTTTGTATGTTTATTGTATTTATCGCAACACTAAATGTACAGCGACCAAATTTCTGTATCTCGATATACTTATTTACCGAAAAAGAAAAGTGTAGCTCATAAATTGGCAGCTATGCCCACCTAGTTTCAGTTTCAGGACTTCTCGCACTGAAATCATACTTATGTCATATCAGGCACCAATCCCGCCAACCAGCGCGAAGTTCTCCAGCCTGATTTACAACCACGCTAATTATTTCCTGTCACGCGGTTATTCTTCTTTCGTATTCAAGAATGAAGGATCAGCAATCGCGAATCACCGACTAGGCCTAACGCCACGGAGCCACATAAGACCTCGATGAGGCGCATTGCATGAAGTGCCTTGCTTCCATGGAGGCAGACATGCAATACTTGTGGGAATGACGTCTATACAACACGCAATAAAAAAACCTGTGATTAGAAGATAGAAGGACTTACAAGGTTTCGACGAGCCATGTCATCATTCAGACGTAGACTCAAAGGGCGATCTCGAGATAGGTAGTCCCAGTACAAGGTATATAGGTAGCCTAGGGCCATCCAGGCCCAGAGAAGATGCAATAAACCATAATCGGCACATCCCTTATTAAATAATATTTATCGTAATAACCACCAATCACCATGTCGAATTTCTTGAAAGAGGTCAAAGATTCCATCACCCATAAGGATCATGATAAGCCCAGCAAATCTTCCAATGCTGGACCTCATGACTCCAACCTAGCAAACAAGCTGGACCCTCGTGTTGATAGCGACCGCGGTAAGTTTTCTTTGGTACATTTTATATACAGTGAATTGTCTAACAAATGAACCAAGACAACCGCGCAGCAGGTACCAGCGCAACTGCCACCGGCGTTGGAGGTACTACTGGAATCAACACAGGATATGACAACCCCCGATCAGCCAATGTTGGTCCTCATGACTCCAGCCTGGCTAATAAGGCCGATCCACGCATTGATAGCGACCAAAGCATGTGGTTTCTACCCTAAGTGCAAATATGCCAGGCTAACAATTACAGGTCAATATGGAGCTGCAGGCGGATTTACCTCTACAGGAGGAAGCTATGATAACCCTCAATCAACTAGTCATGGTCCTCTTGGCTCTGACCGTGTTGATTTTGCCGATCCTAGCATTGGAAGCAACCAAGGTATATCTTTTCACTCCATTTGAATAAGTCTTTGTGAAATATGAGTATTTCTGACGAGATTAGGTCAACTCGGCTCTGACATCGGTGGAGCTGGTCTCAGTGGCAATAACGTTCAGTCCACCAACGCTGGTCCTCATAGCTCGAATGTGGCCAACAAGTTGGATCCTCGCGTTGACAGCGACTTGGATAACCGCGCTCGTCACCAGAACCTTGCTTCAGGCGGGGTGCCATCTGGCAGCAGCTACGCTACTCCCGGCAGTGGTAGTGCTCAACAAACGGCTGGCCCTCATGATTCCAACCTGGCTAACAAGCTTGACCCTCGTGTCGATTCAGATGTGGATAACAGCCGAACTGTTGGCGGAGATGCGACTACTTACTGAATTAATGAAAGTGTCCCCGCATAAGGCTGCTGAAACAATACCAGACCTAATGATGAATGCAAAATTGATATTTCCATTGTTACATTAGTTTGCTATTTGGAAGATTCGTTCTTTGAACCTGATGACAAATTGTACTATTAGGTTAAAGATGCTTTTGAGTTTAATATTAATACGAGTCTAAAGAATTTCTATGGGCATTACATGTCAGAATAAATCTAGCTCTTTGGCAAGGTAAACCTGTATAGCGATTCCTCAACTACGGTACGTATCTGTCCTATTAAGCTTTGCGAGGATTCTCATGTAAATTATGGGAAGAAGTCAGTAATAGATTGTATTTACATGCTGTTTCCGGACAAAAAGGTTGCCAACTGGCTGTAGTGGCGGTGGGATTCGTTAGTGAAACAGCGGTGACACTCAATCTTCGGTACCTATTGCGATGAATCTCTTATACGAGATTTAAAAAATTAGGTCCTACCGCGATTCGAACGCGGGTACTTCGGAATTCGATAAGTCGATCGACTTTCAGAACCGAAGATGCTAACCACTCTGGGGGGAAATGTTAGGGCAGCCGGAGAATATTTGGAACTGCTCAGCTTACACATCATAGGGCCATTCAACTCGACCATCATGGTGACATTCAAAATGTAACAAGTTTGCATTCAAGGAACATTGATCCGGTTGTCCCATTAAGTTGGCCTTGGCATTGTGTTCTGAGCCTCGCAAGATGGGGTATTTAAGTAAGTTTTCCAGGGTGCGGGAATCGAAACCGCTTTCTTGAGACCGGCATTAACCAAGTACCTACCAGACGCTAAAAATGAGCATTTAGTTAGGGCCGAGAAAGATAGGCGCATTCTTCACTCAGTCAACAGACGCGTTGAAGGCGCATAGTATCTATTATCCACTGCTATAGATACTCCTGGCCCTTTTGAAGCCATGCTTTTCGTGTTTATAAGTCAAAATACCGGCATATTGTGCTCATAATGAGCAACAGAGAATTGAACCCTTCAAGAAGACACAGGCAAAATAAGGCTTGCTCGCGTTGCCGTAGAAGAAAAATACGGGTGAGATGCATCTTGTAAGGGGAGAAAACTTGCCTTTTTTTAACTAACGAACTTCATAGTGCGACTTGCAATATCCAATATGTGGCTCCTGTTCCAAAGCCGGAGTGGAGTGCTTAGGCTACGATGCGATCCAGCGCGTTGATAAGCCTCGAGGCGCCACGGTGCACCTTGAAGAAGAGATTGCCCGTCTTGAGAATGAACTGTCGCGTGTCAAGAAACAAACTCGAACACCTTCAGATATTGCAAATGCGACCGCTGAAGGACTTTCTACTGCTGTAGCAAGAAATATTGTTCATCCCAGGGGTTCCTTTAGCAAACACGACACTGACAAGCTGCCACTAAGTTCGCCATTCTTTCTTTCCAGTTCACCTATGCCACACCTCAAGTTTCAGATACCACCGGAAGCCACCTTTAAGTATACTTGGGAGCAGTCACCTCACGCTATTAATGCATCCTCAGTCCCTAGACATGTGGTGGATGCCATGTTGAAACATTACTGCGAAATATACCGCCCCCAGTACCCGGCGATCGAAGAAATAGACTTGTACGAGGCTTGCGACAGAGTCTATACTAATTCCCAGCCCTCGGACGCCGATGTGTTCTACGTCCATATAACTTTAGCAATAAGTGTTTGTGATGAACCTTCTCGGTGACTTGTACAAAACATGAGCTAACATTTCCCAGACAAATACACTTACCCATGAGAATGAAGCAAGGGCCATAAAGGCCACGCATGGATTTTGGATGAAAGCAGTCGACCACCTTCCTAGAGTAGGCCTATCAGATCCATGGGAACGGCTACAGGCACTTCATCTTCTGACACATTATGGCTGCCTCAATCCCACGGATGTTGATTGCTTTAGGTGTGCAGAAGCGGCCAGTAGATTATCGGTGAATCTTGGACTGCACCATGAATTACCTGCGTCGGCCACGACAAAACTGGATAACACGACATTAAACGTTCGAAGGAGATTGTTCTGGCACTCATATAGTATGGACTCGTATGGTCTTATCCTTTTGAATCGTGGTGAATAGAATACTTTACTGAAACCACAACTAGTGCTGTGAATGTAACTCGTTGCCAGCCATTTCTATTCCCAACATCTGTCATCACTGCAAAAGTGAGAGCTCTAGCAACCGAAGAATTCAATAGACCAAAGCACTAAGTCGAAATTTCCAGTTCCCCGATTTTGATTCGAAAGCATTACCAACTCGACACGTGTGGCTTCTTCGTCAAATAGAATCCGAAATCACAGTCTCTTTATATTATCCTTCTTATCGAATAGAAGGTCCTCTGTCGAACGCATTCTTTGATGAGTGGTTTGAAGGTATGCATGAACGCTTAGATGAATGGTATAGCATGATTGCTCAAAGTTCCGATCTTTCCAACACACTTGAGTTTCATGAGTTACATTACAGTTTGCAGATTTTAAGGCTTAACCGTCCTTCTCCACGTTTTCCTACTCCAACAGGGGAAATGCACCAGAGAGCACTTAAAGCTGCGGCATCATTGATTAGGAAATTCAGCGTTCTGGACAGAACAGGCAAGCTGTTCTATCTATGGCATGCCGCTCATATTATTATCGAGTCAGGAATCTGCCTGTTAGCATGTATAATGACTGGAATGGAATCTACACGGCGAGACCAAACGCCTCTCGCAGGAGAAGACCTTTCGACCTTGAATAAATACATAACGGCAATTCCATTCTTGGTCGGTAGAGTATCCCGCCGTTGGCCGAATATTGCGGGCCATACCTCTGCTCTCGAGAATATCTGCCTCCAAGTCTTGCAAAAACTCCAACAGTGGTCTGATGGTGGGACCATTGAAAAGTCGAGTTTTGATGATTTAAAATACAGACTCAACAACCTAACGTTGTTTCCCTCATTACCTTTGAACTCTCAGCCCACCTTTGTGGAGAACAATGACGTGTCACAACCTTCGCCTATTCTCAAAGACGACTCAACACAAATACCTCCCACCACCCACAAGGACACTGTTAGACAGCCACCAGAGAACGGTTATGGTATAACTTCTACCACAAATGAAATCAACCCAGAGTATCTAGATCCAGTTACAACAACCTTTCTATCGGATCGTCCATCTCTATTTGCTTCTGGGGTTGAAGTCTCAACAGCAGATCCTGATTTCTTTAACACGGCTTGGATGGACTCACAATTATTTGACCCTATACAAGGACATTCCGCAAAATTTTCAGATATGCATGATTTAGATACTGAGACTGACGCACTATGGGACTTTGCGGGAATGGACTCGGAGCAAATCATTTCTGCTTTGTTGGACACTGAGAATAACACTTTCTAAATGATATTATCTGTTACTCAAAATGAAGTAGGTTGCAATTGATTATGCTCTAAATTTACTTCGTCACAAGTGCTAAATTGATACGCCCAACAGTAGATAACAAGACTAAACTTTACCTAGTGCGAAAATACTACATACTATCAAATCTCTGACTTTAGAAAGCTGGAAAGTATTCTCTCAAACTTTTCTGGCTCATCTGACGGGGGACTATGACCCGATAGCTCAAAAATTTCCAATCTTGCGTTGGGGATAGCGTTCGCTATTTCCTCACTACATGCCACTGGCGCGATATAATCATGGCGACCGACGATGACAAGTGTAGGTGTCTAGGGTTAAGAAAAGGGTTATCAGAAAACTTTTGTCAAAACATCTTCAGTTGTCTTATGATTTACCTTGATCTCCTTCAAACGATGACGCACATCAAACCGCGGCATATTCTCACTAAAGGCAGCATTCTGCGTGGCAGAGTAGAATTCGACCGACCCTTGGAATTCAGTTGATTCATTCTGTTCTTTTGGCGGAACAATTTCCGGTGGCGGGGTGAAAATTGGTAGTATTTCTTGGACTCCTTCTGCATGGTCCTGATCATTGAGTGATGTTCCAGACCAAAGCCGGACTTGACGGGCCACATCGACTTTGACCCTGTTTGACGTGAGAATATTTGCTAGCGCATTCATCGGACCAACTTTGCCGTTTGCCCATGTATCTCTGAGAATTAAGCCCTGTAGTCTGTCGCCGTGTTTTATGGCATAGTCTAGTGCTATAAAACCACCGTAAGAGGCTCCTGCTAGGATAAATGTCTCTGCGCCAGCCCACTTTCTACATGGGAAATCAGCAAGTTAGGCCTTGAATTATTGTATAAAAATATCAAACCCAGAGTTTCTCCACCATAGGAAATATGAAAATGAAGTGGATCTCACCTGAGAATCTCGATGTCCTCGATCCAGCGGTCGTGAGTAAACGGCCCGATCTTGTCAGAAGCGCCACTTCCGCGAGCATCGAACACGAGAACGCGGTAAAGGTTAGCCAAGTATCCAAAAGAGGCCTCTGGCTCTGCAAGTGTGGAAAGGCCGGGTGCTCCATGAAGCGATATGAGAAGAGGTTTGCTGCCTGCTGAATCTTGTCCAAGTATTTTGACGTTCAGCCGGACCCCGTCGTCCATCGTTACAGTTGAAGTTGTTTTGTTATCAGCCATGTTTTTGATATTTGTTTAAGAGGGTTTATAACACGTATGTTATGAATATAAAGTGGATGAGGGCGGTGAAGTACAGTATTCAATGTTATGCGATATGTCGGCAAGGGACGTGGGAAAATGTGTCCTGTAGGAAATACCAATTTAATAAAATAATCCAACTGGGATACTCTTCCTTTTTATACACATAGATTTTTGGGTCTATGTACACCTGGGCATTACAAATTGATGAAGCAATTCTATAATCAAATATTAGTCAAACATGTATCCGTCTGATTTGACGTAGCGGGGTTACGCGCAACTTCATTATAACTTTCGGTTAAATCCGCTGTTAGTCAACACCAAGCAGAAGTGATTTGCCACCAATTAAACTACCAATAATATAGAAGATATCCTGGATATTTCTGAATTGAGGTGATTTGCTGTACATATCAACAGTACCTGACTTCATTTATTTAATTAAGTAGATAAATAGCAAAATAATAACGAGCGATAATTCGGAATATCCCGCATTAAGTCCGAGGCATGATGATGGACTTCATTAACAAGTTAGCTAATGACTTTCAGAGATGGCACAAATCTTACCTACCGGGATACACGAGGATGGAAAATAATATTTTCAAAAATTGTAGTGAATCACAAGCGGCTTAAAGGGTTGAAGCTGTCTAGATTCTGGTATAGAAGCTTGTCACGCACATTGCGTTGTGTTAATCGATGTACTGCACATATTAGAGCATTACTTTGAAATACTGGAACTTTGAATGAGGTCTGTCATAACAATTTATATTAGAGATCTGCGATTTAATATCTACAGGTTTGGTGATACGGATCAATTGATGATGAATCAAGGCGTTCTATGACTAGTGGAGATCACAGAAGGCGAGTGAGCATATCTGGGCATAGAGATCAACGTTTAAGCTTCTGTCTCGATCTCTCTAATCAATTGCTCATGCCTTGGACTCCTCGGTGTGAAATTGCACTTATAATCCACCGGACGCGTGACTATTCCCGGCTCGAAATCGACTACCTGTTCCAGTACCTTGCCGTCCTCATCTACAGGTTGACTTAATGAGAAGACGGATAAGGTTTGAGCAATAGTAAGAAACAAAAAAGTATCTGCGAATATCCGACCGGGACATATGCGTCGACCAAAACCGAAGGTCACATTATGAGGATCTGGCTGGGCAGCGTAGGTTTCTGTGGGCATGAAACGAGAAGGGTTGAAAATTGATGGATCGTTATAGATGGATGGATCGTGATTGAACAACCTTCCACGTATAAGTTAGCCGATAAAGCAGCTAGATATTCCGAGTACAGGAAGCTTTTGTTTACCATATATTGGCAAGAAGAATTGCCCCCTTTGGAATCAAGAACCCTTCCACAACATCATCTTGATCTGCTGTGTGCGGGAGGCCAAGTGGAGCAATTGGTTGCCAGCGGAGGGTTTCTTTTACGATTGCGTCCACATATGGGAGGTTATCACGGTCCTTAGCGGTGGGGAGTCTTTCCGAACCAACAACGCGATCAATTTCTTCTTGTGCTCGACGCTGAACTTCGGGATTCAGTATAAGAGCTAGAAAGCAACATTTTAAAGTGGATATGATCTATAGATAATTTGTTAGTTTCAGAATATCCGAGGTCTCTGTAGGGATGCTTAATAGAATAGTCATACTGTATCCGCTCCTCCACCATAAAGGGCAAACGAAGACCACTTGACAATTTCTTCATCTTCCCCTGCCTCAAGGGCATTTGATGTGAAAGATGGGATATGCTTTCCAGTAGCCATCTCCTTTTTAGTGAAATCAAGACCAACTCTTGTCGATTCTAATGTAGTCTGACGAAATGCACGGGCTGTTTTTTTGAATCCAGCTCCAGGCATCCATTCGGGAATAAATTTCACTTGGATTAGTTAACAATCACAACTGATCTTAAAATGTAGAATCTATTCGCGAAGCAATGCTACCTACAAGCAGGAATGATATCGACAAGCCAAGCCCCTGGCATAGCAGCTTTGGAAAACTCTGCCAATGCTTGATCGGCCAACGCAAGTAAAGGGTCGTCGTTGTCGGAGACCGAATAGCCATAAGTCATTTTGAGAACGGCAGTTACGACTTCACTAGAAATTATATCAGATTTGTTCCTCCTTGATATATTTGAATGTGGAGAGGTTGCATTACGTCCGAATGTGCTTTTTAAAGTTCTCTGGCTGTTTCAACAACCTCAGAAGAAACTTTTCTGACTCCATTTCTTGTAACCCGTCGAACTGAGCAACTGATTTTCGAGAACCCATTACACGACCGACAGCTTTACGGTACGCGCGAAAGAGGGGGGTGTAGTTCTGGCTGCTGAGTGCTTTATCCCATCCGACCCTGTATATATCTATTTAAGTAACATTTACCGAGAATAGAGTGTGATAAGAAATCGAAATGAAAAGGAATGACGAACAGATCATTTGCGAATACAAATCGAGGTCTTGACGAGTGGATTACAGATCGTTTTTCTAGGATCTCAAATGCCAAAGACATGTCATTGATGATAATTATCGTCTGGGTTAACAACCTTATGGAACTGATTGGTCCTGGTTTTATTTACTTTGTTAGCACTGACCATGAAGATTAACCAAAGTACCACGTGCAAGTGTAACATGGTCGAAATAAGATACAGAGTATGCGTGAGAAAAGGGACTAAAACCATATAAATCCTTGTGCTTTGCCCAGTGAAGCCATTCTTTCTCTCCTGCTGGCGGTAAATCTGATAGGTTACCAATGAATAACTTTGGTTTTGGGCCTGGTGGTAGTGGTGCAATTCTTGGATTTGAGGGTCTAATGATCTTGTAAAGAAACAATATACCCAGGAGGGTAATTAATAAAGCTATGGCTTGCAACGCCATTGAATGCAACTGCTTAGGAAGGTTCCTTTCTTTTTTGGTATCGTGAACAATAATATCGCGATGTAAAGAGGTACCGAGCGCTTCTAAGCTTTTACCACAAATGCAGAGGTCATATACACGTGCAAACGAACGCTTAGCGCCAGCAAACAAAGGAAAGGTGACAGTTAAGGCAGCCTTGCTGTAGAGGCTTATGCCTTGCATGATTGTACGTGATCTTCGAATTATATTTAAATTAATTATAATCCTACAAATAATGGCGCTGGATGAAGTGTTCTATTCGGAGTATATCTGTTACACTGCATACGATAGATCACATTCCCCAAGTTAGCTGCGTCGGTCTATCGAAAGTTTGGAATACCCATTCGCTTGATTAAAATATTAAGCGCCGGAAATGCAGTCACCTGAGATCCGGATAAAGCATCACTTTGATTCACACGCCAATGAAGCTCTCCTCTTATGGGTATCTAGATTTAGATGGCACAGCATGACTTGATATCACCTACATTGCCGCAGCCTTAGCACGCGGTCTTCCAAATTAGGAAAGTACCTCACCTATGGTAAAAAGGATTTATCTTCTTTGTCTTTGGTGAGCCAACGAAGACAGATTAGTCAGAAATAGATGTGGCTTTGATTTGTCACGTTAACAAACAAAGAAACTCGGCCCCCGCCACCAAAACAAAACCGTGCACGGTACCTAGTTAATGGAAACCTTTGGCCTTTGTTTTAATACGCCGAGTAAATCCGAGTAAATAATATTGGAAATCGCTGGTTTCCGATATTTACATTAATTAAGCGACTAAACTTCATAATAGGTGATAAAGCATGATGAGAACGATTCCATCTCATACATTACAATATATATTTAGTATTGTTGAAATACATCCATTATCCTCCAACTATACATAATTCTGGTTTCTCCCACTCCAAATCTTGGAATTCAAAACCCCCACTAAATGCTCGTGAAACCCATCTCAGCAGTATAAAACAACGTGTGTGATAGAATTTCTCTCCAAAATATGAAGTCGGCCTAAACGTGCTAAATTGGCCGTTGACCTTGCCCAGTGAAGAGAATCGATTTGCCCAGAATCTTCTTTAGACAGAAATGCGAATACTAGACAGCCACAATGGGAAGAGTTAGAGTTCACTAGGCATCATTTGTCGTAAGTCTCGAATCGAAATAAAGCCTATGCTAACGAAAGTGTCGACAAGTAAATGTCGCTCATTACTGGCACAGCCCTCACACCGAGGAAAAGTGTATACGGCAAGGAACCATTGAAATAAGTCATTCGCGCCATTCATATTATGACCCAATCTCGGTCAGAGTCAACGTAGTATCCCATTTATTCTTGTTTCAATCACCGCATCCCCAATTCAATCAGTCGCAGTCCAGAATCGTTCGATGACTTCTCTTTCCAGCCGAATTCCTAAAAGCCAACCAACACCTGACAGAGTGTCGATTTGAGATTTGAATGACTGTTTGAGTTGAGGCCAAATCACATAATGACCATGCAGCATGCCGGGATAGACATCCAATCTGACATCCACACCACTATCCTTCAGAGCCCTCGCGTAGACTAGCCCATCATCTCGCATGATGTCCATGCCAGCCACTTGGATGTATGTTGGCGGTATACCTGAGCAGGGAATTTCCGAATTAAAGGGCGAGCAATCCTTGGATAAGTGATTAGGCTCATAATGCGCTTTAAGTACTTTGCTTTCCTTCTCGCCTAGGACTGGAGCGTCCATGTTCTGTATGTGGGAAAGATAGACATCTTTGTACTTCTCTAGTACAATTTCCTTGCTTAGACAACCGGGTAGCGCGGCGAAGAGACCTGTCACGTCACTGATGGGGATAGTTAACCCCCACGCCATAAGCTTACCATGCAGCTACGTTGCCTAGTCGCTGGCCCAACCAAATACATCAGCCTCTTCACTTTCGTTTCTTAAGATTTTTATCGACTTCATTTCATTTTGCACCTTCAACTTCTCAAAATGGAGCAACTCCCGAATATCTCTCAGTTAACACTTTCGATAAGGGCAACGGACCCTAACGCCAACTCAGACGTGTCGGAAGTGTTCCCACCGTGGGGGGCATTCCCAGCCGAGCAATATTTGCTGGTAAGTTAGCCCAAGCATTAGCTCGCTAATTTTGCCCTTGTTTTGTGTTTCTTGTCGAGTTTAAAACAAAGCAAAAAAAGGCTCACAACCTATTGATCTCCATTCCTTAGCATCATTGGGACCCCCTTTCTCCCGAAGCACATCAGGACCAGCGCCGCAGATTGATCAATGATTTTGTCCACACATTAGACGATATCCCCGAAGAGTGGGTTCTGACCTCACCTACGTCTGAGAAATGGCTATTGCCCCTTCGGCGGCTCAAATCCGAGATATCCTGGCTCCTTGGCGGTCCCTTCGGTGGCGCTCGGCATCATGGGAGATCTGGAACCAGATCAGAGACCCCAAGTGGGATTATCAAGGTATTAATATCTGGCTTCGAACACATTACGCAGAAAGTGTGGAAGAGAAAGCTCGAGATAGTGCTAAGTTAGCGGCATGGTTTGAATCACCAGTTGAAGGAAATCCTAACATAGACGATGACGTGGACGACACAATGACCAGCTGGCGACTATTGGATGATGAGTTAATATTCAACTTTGGTACTGACTGGGAGCGAGTTTTTGAAATCATCCCTGAGCTTGTTGGTCCAAAAAGTGGATTATCACGGTGTTTCTTATCAGAAGAAGATTCTGTGACTAAGAAATATCGTAAAGAAATTTTCGGAGAGCTCCGAGAAAAGGTAGCTTCATCAGCTGAACTTCAAGAAAAACTCATCACTATTGAAGGAAGTAATAATAGAGTACAGTGTCGTTCAGTCCATACATATCTTCTGGTGGCTGATAAGACAGCTTTCACTACGGACGAGTTTCTTATCCTCTTTCTTGATCTTAAAGGGCACTATGTGCGTCAATCGAGAATAGAGCTTCCAGATGATGATATATTCATGCTAGGAGATATGATCAATAGTGAAAAGATTCGCGATGCCCAATATTGGACCGACAACTTTCCGCCTGGAAGTTCTTTAAATCCAAAATACCGTGCGCTAGGCGAGATTGGACGTGAACTGTACGGCGTGGAAGATCTGCTTCGAACTTGAAAAGCTTGCCATTACAAGTTAGCGATCAATTTGGTCTAGTCTTATACTTGTCTATAATTCCATGCTTTTTGCAAGCATGGTGTTAGAGGGTGATGCATCAAAAGAGATATTTTTGACTGACTTGCTGTAGAGAAAATGTGCATTCTGAAACCAGGAGCTGCTCTATTTATACCTAATATTTATAGTTTAGGACTCAATCTCGACTTTCTGCGATTATTGTAACTATACAGCAGCTGACAGCATCTAGTGAATAATGACTCATCATGAACGCCCGGGTTGCAGGGTGAATGATTGGACGGCTGCGAAATTATAAGGGTTGGGGTTATGCCCTAGCCCTAATTCTACAGGTCTGTACAAAGCTTTCTACCATTTAACTTCATTTTTCACTTGCCGCTATACGCATATGTTGACAAATTTGGTAGAATCCAGGTAATGAATGTCAAAATGCTTAGTATTTACACCCATCGTGTACCGGGCGGTAGCAGACAGTCATCAAGACTAAATACGCCCAACCACCATGGATATCATCCCGAGGGAGAAGAAATCAAAATAAGAGAGTGTTAAGAGACAATATGCACACTGAAATCTACATACCTGTAGTGAATCCATGACCGTGATTACCCTGACTCACTCGATTCCTTCTCTTTAGCTCGCTGTCGATGTATTGCAACCTTTTCTTGGACATCAAAAAGCTCCAATTCGAGCCGAAGTTCGTCACTTTCACTCCATCCCCCACAGCTTCTGAGTAGCTCGGCTGCAGCGTAATGCGTACGTTTCTCAGCAAGCTTAATCGCCCTTATATACTGTCTCCTTCCCGCGCCTTGCACCGATGCCCCTTCATTAAGAAGCAATTGAAGCATGTCAATACGACCACCTTCAGCAGCTCCCTCCAGCGCTGTCCTCCCCCAGAATATAGACTTTGGTGCATTTACATCAGCACCCTCATCCAGCAGCTTGCGCGCAATCCCGATATATCCTCGGATGGAAGCAAATTGCAATGCGGTAGCCCCGCCTTCTTCAGCAGGCTCTTGGTTAACGTCTGCCCCGGCGCCCAGAAGGGTTTCTACAAGTTCGATATTTCCATCATGTGTCGCTAGCTGCAATGCGGTCTTTCCACGACGTCTGGAGGCTGGGGCGTTTACATCAGCCCCTGCAGCGATCAGGATATCCACGATTTCTTTGTTACCAGTTCTGACAGCGCGTTGCAGAATCGTGTCTCCGTGTTCTGGAGGTATCCATTTGATATCTGCACTAGCTCCAAGCAATTTTCTGATCAGAGAGACGTCTTGCATCTGTACCGCCATTACAAGCGGCATTGAATGGGTCGGATGGATGCTTATCTGCTGGTTCACATCAGCTCCAGCATTCAATAAATCCTGAACTAAGTGTGTGTTTTTGTAGCGAAGACACACTGTCAGAGCACGTCCCTTTGCTATACTAGTCCATGTTGTGACCTTGAGGAAGGTTTGAAGGAACCTCCCACTCTGCCATATCACAGCTTGCTCTAGTACGGATTCTAAAAGCTCGGTGTCGATGGTGCCGTGCAGCTGATGGAGATATAGCAATGAAGAGAAACCGTTAGATACGACTTTGCCCCGCGGGTCTATTCCGGCATCTAGAAAGCGATCGACGATGAAAGCAGTATGAGGGTATTGGATTGCTTTTGCATAGGCGTTTGGGGCTGCACAAGGACGGTGAACGAGTTGACGCAAGAAAAGATCAATAAAGTCGAAATTCGTGTGTTTTACAGCTTCACAGAGCTCAAGATCGGAAATCGACGCTCCACGTTCAACAAGGATTTTTGCCAGCGGAAAATTTCCCCAGAATGTTGCTGCTGCCAGTGGGGAGCAAGTTACATCGCTGGTGTCCGAGTCATGTCTCGTGACGGATTGAAATGGCCGACGTCCAATATTCCCGCTCTGTCGATCTACTCCACGCTCTAGAAGAAATTCTACCAAAGCATCCGTTTTGCTCTTGATGGCGGATACAAGAATAGGTTGTCCATATGCAAGGAGAATGTCGTCTAGCCTTCCGCAGTTCTCTAGATACCTTGCCGTCTGAACATTTCCAATGCGGATCAGCTTTTCCCCAGTATTCACAGCACCGGCTCGCAGAAGTATTTCAATCATTTCGCAATTTCCCTTACTGATGGCAGCTCCGAGCACTGTGTCCGGTGCTCCTTTATGAATGTCATCCACTCTTGCCCCCCAGCTAAGCAGGAGACTTACAGTGTCGACGTCGTTTTCATTCACTTTTTTCATTAGTGTTGAGGAATAATAATCCTGCATCAGCTCTGCATCCACGATAGCGCCTTCTGCCATCAGGATCCTGCATAATTCGAGGTCATCTCTAGCCAGGGCTCTTTGGACCAGCGTTTTGTCCCGAGTTGCATCCCCGCGAGCCACATCAGCACCCTCTTCGAGCAGACGTTTGGTAACGCTTTTATGGCCGTTCGCTACGGCAAGCACGAGTGGAGGGATATAGTATCTTTCACTACTTTCGTGATTGACATCTGCACCAGCCGCTAGAAGAAGATCTATGATAACGTCATTTCCTTTCACCGCCGCCAGGCCAAGTGTAGTGCTCCAGCAAACGTAAGACGTAATCCCCTCCCTGAATGAGACATCCTGATGTACATCGACGTTCGCACCGAGGCCAAGAATCTTTTGGACTAGAAGAGCATCATTCCTTTCCACTGCAATGCCGAGGATCGAGTAACCAGCAGTCAAGAGATTGTCAGCTCGTTTATTAACATCACAGTCAGCGTCTAGTAAGGTTTGCAAGAGGCTAGGAATTTCCGACTCAATTGCGGCCTTCAACGTGGTTCCAGAGACGTGCACTCCTCTCGAAAGAAGGATATCCACAAGTTCCAGGTTCTTCGACTTTGTAGCATGGTAAAGGGCTTCTTGCAGCACCTCGGAGTCGTCAGACCCAGCATTATAAGACAAAAGTAAACGAGTCATTTGCAACGCCACCGCTGGGTTTTCGGATTCAGCGGCAACTATCAAAGGTCGTTCCGGAGAATCCTCAAAAATGACTTGGGTGTCTGGACTTATTCCTGCTCTTAGTGCCACTCGGATAGCTTTTAAATCATGGGTTCTCACAGCGCTTGTCCAAAGCTTCAGAGAAATGGCATGTGCTGTCGGGCCTGGAGTGGATAGTAAACGTTTGACACTCTGCACGGTATTTAGGCCGGACATATAAAATATTGCCATGATCGTTTCGTCCTGCTTTGATATCCGGTCTTCTTCAGTAATGACAGAATCAGATCGCCGTTGTCTTCCCTGCCCGGCGCGGTGTTTATAAGAACTTTCATCCGGATCACCGACTCGGAAACTATTAGACACTAAAAAGAGAGCCACACGCAGTCGTTCCATGATATCAGCCTCGCCCCTTAGTCCACAAAGACATTCTGATATTAGCATATTTTCCCCTTGGTGTTCTTCTGGCATGATGGAACTTAAAATTGCGGCTACTCGCAAGCTGCACTGGGTGGTACGTAAATAGTCAACTGCCTTCCCAGCTAGAAGAGAACTAAGACCATTAGTGACACCGCTATTGATGAGTTGAACAGCCCTTCCTCTTTTTTGGGTCGGCGAAAAGGTTTGATTCGACATGGTTGCATTTACAGCCGAGTGCCACGACGAGCAGTTCCTTTCAATGCTACGCAAAGCGGCTTTTGAGAAAATGAACCATGGCAAGTTCGGAGGCCAGAGCAGCTGTAACGCCGAGGGACCAGGTGAGCAAACCACGACTCCAATTGTGCCTGGAGGAGATGGTTCTAGGATACGTCAGCATTCATCTCGACCCTCCTCGAGGAGCTTCACCTGTGGAATATTTTTCAATCGCCGTTTGGAAACCCTGTCGACGTATCTCCATCTGAACAGTTTTGGGAGAGCGCAGGGTACCATCGATAAATACATCGCTCTGTTTTCCATCGTTGGTTCTCTTCTCAATCTGTCGCTTGACGTATTTCCAATTTTCGGCACCCATGCGATATTTCTTGAAGCCCCATTGTTTGAATTGTGCCTCGTACTGATATTTTCTTCGAGTTCTCAATGGGACATATTCTGAACGATGGACTGGATGCATGGCTTACGTCTTTCGAAACCCATACGTGGATTCCATGAACTGGCGCAGTTCGTTCAGCGATTTGCGTTCTCTGAGATAGATGCGCTCGATCTCGGCCCGATGAGCATCCCAGTCTGACTGACCCATGCTGGTATGATTTGAGAAAGGGAGGAATGAAGTGAGAAATTGAAAAGATTCAAGACTCGAGGCTACATAGTCGTGTCGTAAGTGTAATCCTTAACTACATTAATTAATGGGAAAACAAGTGCCCCCACAGCCTCATCACTGCCTCGCTTTGCCGTTTTGGATAATCGTCAACAGAGGCTCTAGTTTCTGATTGGACGGCGTCAAAATCTGGGTTGCATGACGCTACGTCCCCACCTTGATTCGTGTCTGATCAACATGGAGCAGGCAGTTGTTGGAGTAGAGATGAGATTGTTTGAGATTAGAGAGAAAACACGGCTTTTTTAGTCTGATAAAATCCAACAACCATACAATTGGCGGTGATTGGTTTTCATCAAAACCCGGGTACATTCGCCATCCACATGACTCCGATCGGCACAACATTTGAACAATTAATTAGGAAAATTACATTCCTTACCAGAATACAAACTCAACTAATTATTCATGCATGATACTATTATGTGATGCTAGCAAATGTTAACTTTTGCCAAATTCTATCCCTATTGGCTCATTTATTTTAATCTAAATACAGATGCAATGAATAATACATGCAGCTCTCATTGAATGTTAGTAGCTTGAACAGTATAAAGTAGTTGAACAGAAATCAGTATTGCTCGGATATAAGCGCATCAGCTGATTGATGTATCCATCTAATCATTAGAGCCTTAAAATTGATGATGAGGCTGATTGACATCGATTAAGTTTTGAAAGCCGAGTATAATTACTACCGGTGGAAAAACTGTTTGATGCATGAGGAGATTCGGGTTTATTTAAAGCAAAGATCAGATTGGACAGCAAAGACTACGTATTCGATAGTAGACAACAAGAGCATTATATTGTGCGTTCGTCCTCGGATTCTGTGCCACTGTTGGTTGCTCTTGAAAGCATGTGTAATGCCCACTTCTGGAGGCATAGCTTTCTGGTGGTTATAATATCTGATATCATAACAACTGTTAAATGTGATGGCAATAAGTACACAAAAGACTTTGGATAAAGCAATATAGTATTTCGACACAAGCAACGATCGAAAATGAAAATTGTCGTAAAGATTAAGTGGGGAGGTTATAGACTACTTCTCGCTCAACCTTAGCAGTACACTACCAAAACATCAACACTATGCCAAATTGCCTACCTATATGAGATGATTCCCTCGATTTTAACCAACCTGATCTTGCCCTGCATACTTCAAATTATGGAAAGACTCTTTCCATCGGTGCCCAAGCCAGAGATCTATGTGTCTTTCCCTATTAGCTTCCTCTTCCGCGTATTCGAGAGACGTCTTGCCCTTCCGGTCTCTTTCGTGCAGTTGAAGTATGCCTTCCTCTCCGAGATACCGTACAAGAACTTTATTGAACGATCCATGGATTGCCCCGTGATGTACAATCCCTCTACCGTCTGTGTCTTTCGCATTTTTATCCACTCCCGCCTTCAATAGGTCATTCAGGATTGCAACATTATCCTCATCCCACTGACGCATCAACATGTGAGCCAAATTCCTCTTTTTTTTATCAAGCCAACTCATCCACTGTGTATTATTCTTATCTGACATACCTTTCACAATGGATTGAAAGATGTCAACTCTAACACGAAGACGAAAAGAACTTAGATATATGCTGAGAACGGAATTTCCCTCAACATCAAGGCTGTTGATATCGAATTCGTTATCTAGTAGAAGATTGAGCATATCGATGGAGCATATCAACGATTCAGCGTAATAATGCAGGAGGTTTCTTCCCCGGTGGTCATCTTGCCAGCAGGGATAAAATTTCGCGTTTGGGGAAGACTTGAACATGAGTTGTACGATTTCTACGCGATTGTTATGAACGGCATAGTGAATAGGGCTTAATCCACTAGCATCTAACAAAGTGATGTCGCATCCGTTCTTCACTAGTATGCGAACAGCGTCCAAGTTGCCAGCCTCGCTTGCTAGGTGAAGGCAAGTTTTTTTCTCACCATTCAATTTGGAGGAGTCTGCTCCGCTATCGAGAAGCGAAGTTAGTATAGCAAACGCATGCCTTTTGTAAAATTCAATCACATGGATTGGGTAATCCCCGTGATTGTTTGCAATATTCACATCAACAGCATTGCTTCTCAGTAGCATGTCAACAGTACATCTTCTAGAGTCTTCGATTTCTCTAAATATTTCAGAAGCTTCTTCACTTTCGAAATCATCGATGTAATCTGCTAAGGTTTCGACTGCATATAATTCGGCCCATGTCTCACCTTGCCTTGGTCGCATTTTTTCAGGTCGAATGGCAAGGTGCAAGGGTGAGTCTCCAATATGAGATCGCTGGTTGGGATCAGCGTGGCGTCGAAGTAAATGCTGGACAAGCTTTGGGTTTCCGACTTCAGCTGCAACATGCAGCGGAGACTTTGACTGATTGTCCTGGAGGTTGACATCTGCACCGTTGGATAACAGTATGTCTACATCTTCACCAGGCCGACTTACAACTGCCCAATGGAGGGGAGTCCTTCCGTTCTCGTCCTTAGCATTGAGTAGGGGTCTCATTCTCCAGAATAAATACCGGGATCTCACATGCTCATCAATAATCGAGAAGGTGGTAGAATATTTTCCGATCCATTGAAATGGTAGTCTTGGGCTTGAGGCTGAGACCTCAGCCCGGGAGAAATTGATGAGTGCTGGTAAGCCCCACTTTGCTGCGATATGAAAAATAGAGAATTGCCTGGAAATACCGAAGAGCATTGATTGGTTAGTATATGCCTTCAGCCACTCCTGCCGCTGGTCTGATTCGAGGCGAAAAAAGGATCCATTGGCTGGCAAGATGCTGAATTCAGACCGTGCAAGTCTAGCATGTTCGGGCCAATAGAGGATAGCATATTGTAACCAGCTATTATCTAGGTCACCATTTTGCAAGGGTTTGCGCGATCCAACATTAGTTAAAATGTAAGAGATGCAACGGTTTGCTAAGGCCGCATGTGTTTTGAATAGGTCGATCCATTCGCCATCTTTGAGGAAATCTTTCACGGAGTTGTGTAAGAAGGAAACTGTCCCGTCTTGTCTCACACTGATCAACCGACATGTATCAATAATTTCCCGAGTAAAGTTTAGGCGTTCCTCTTCGTCTTCATCTTCATATAGCTCACACGAAGTGTATAACTCTATAAGGGTCAATGGTCGTTGTGAAATTGCGACAGAGCCGAGTATTTTCAAAATTGTCTCCTTATATCTTTCATTAGCAGTTAGAGCCGTCGTTAGTAATTTATCGTACAATGAATTCAAATCAGAGGGTAACTTTTGTAGCGTCTCGACTGCTTGGCTAGACCCAACTAATGCCAACTCCCTGCATACGATGCCAACCCATAAAAACGTCCCTTGGGCGTTTTCCTGTAAAGCCTTCAATACTGTCATTTCGACCTTTTTCGTGTAATTATTTGCTCTCGAGAGCTCTTCGACTTTTTCTTTGATGAATATCTGCAAGTCATCCTGAGATTCACGACGATCGGACAAATTCAAAGAGTTGAACGAATATAGAAATCGCTGGAAACCACGATATGGCTGACTAGTAATCAAGAAATGAATCCGTAGTCTTTTCGCAGCTATACTGTTAAAAGTTTTGCAGATTTGAGTTAGCAGAGTTTGTTGCGATTCTATATCGCATTCATCCAAACCATCAATAATGCAGTAAAATATCCCATCTTCATTACTGCATGCAATTTCAAGCAAGGTAATCCATAGTGCATCGAATGATTCAAAAAACTGTTCCCCCCGCTCTTGAAATTTAGGGAGTACATGTCTTATCAACTGCCCGTGCTTTTGCCCTTGCTTTTTAACCAGCTGATTTAGAAGGCTTCGTAATATAAAAGTAGCGGATTGCCGATTAGCGGAGTCAGAACTACAAAAGAAGTATGCAAGTCTGTGGCCCTCACTGATGAAGTGGGATCTGCTCAAAAGAAGTTCTATGATAGCCATTGCCATGGTGGACTTTCCTACTCCGGGATACCCATACAGCCACAGGATGTTGGGGTGAGGTTTAGAAGGACCACTTTGTAACCCTAGCCATATCTTCAACTCAGGAGTGCTCATTATCCATTCACATGTATTAGGAGTAGGGCCCCCTATATTTCGCTTCAGCCTATTCATATCTCCCATTGGATCGGCGATGGACAGGCTCCGCCGACATGCCTTCTCATCCGGACTATGTTCAATTCCTATGGTTTTTAGTACTCCAGGTCTCTTGATTGAATAATTACTTACTGAGATCTGCCTTCATCTGCCGACTAGCCACAGGGACTCGAGACAAAAGCAACTTAGCATATGCTGCTGCTGTTAACGATGCATATCCTTGCCATCTCTTTTGTTTATGAGAATCAGAGTAGTCGCAGATTCCTCTGATAACTAGGCATGGATGATGATTCATAAGACCTGCTGCCTCCATCTCAATGCAAGGGACATTAAGCTCTTCATACAGTCGGTCTCGTGTTTGTCCATCTTTTATGACTTGGTTTCCAGAAGCGACTAATCCATAGTGAATGCAAGGCTCATCTGTTGCTCGTGGCGGTCGAGTAACTAATTCACTTTTATCACAGGCTGAACAATCACGCTCATTGTCTTGATGTATATATGTTGCACTGAAAAGCCAGTCATCATTAGGCCGAGAAAACTGGGGCTTCATTTCATTGTTTTTCTCCAGAAAATCCACAATATTTTTCTGAACATCTCGCTTTCCCATCATGTAATCGCTTTCTATCTGGTTCGCCGCCTTTAACAAACTTTGAGGTGGATTATTAAGAGAGCCTGTACGGTGGAAGCGCCCGCCATGCAGCATCTTTCCATGGTCGTGCTGGATTACGCTCTTACTCACCACCACGTCCCCTAATCGAATATCGGTATTCGTAGGAACTGCGCCTGCAACACCAACCAGTAGGCAAAATTGCAGCCAGGGAAAGGTTGACTTCATCTGAATCAAAACGCTCGTTGCCACATTGGCCCCGTAAACTCCCAACGGTAAGCAGGCAATCGCGACGTTATGGCCGCTCAGCCGACCCAGTGTATAGGCGTTGCAGTCGCTTGGTGGTAAAGGAGGGGAATCGTGCGTTTCATCCAGCATTGCTTTTGCAGCGGCCAGTTCTACAGGAAGCGCGGAGATCCACGCAACCGTGTAATCCTCAAAGGAGAGGGCTCGCTCCATTACAGAGTACTAGGGAGGAGAGGTGTAAATAATCAGTGAGCACTGGAGATGATAATGTCGAATATATGACCGAAGATATAGGTCAGGAAAATATTTTTCTCTTTATCTTTCTTGACAAAACAAAATGGACACCGCAGTGCCATGTTTATATAGTGTGGAGGGGTAGAAAGCAAGGCTGAGCGCAAGGCTGCCATTCACCACCTGTGCTAATCACGTTGTCTGCTGGCTCAGCTTCACGAAAAATACTGCCAGACGTCAATGTGAATCCAAATACTCAAACTCGCAGAGGCTTTCTGCTACTGATAATCTCTAAGTGCTCTCTGAAATTTGTGATGTATATATTCTAATTTAATAATTAACAACCCTGCAGCTTCCAGCTACTAAAGAAAAGCTACTACAGCTTTGCTCTGGCAATTTGTGTTTGCTCATCCCACCACAGGCTCTTTTTTGCCAGGATCGCTAAAGCTGTATCTGCCCATTCCTGCTGCCACTCGGGTAGTTCATAACTGTTTGACTCTGGGGAGGGTTTTCCTGCTATCTCTCTCAGTCGGTTCCAGTAAGGTCCAAAGTCTGGCAAGATTTCATGGAAAGCGACAGAATCCCCTTTAAGTGAAAGGCGCTTCTTTTCCCATTCCTTTTGTTCTGCAACGGAGGGCAAGTTGGCACGACCGGCCAGGATACGTGCGATTGCCACTGCCTGGTACTCATAAACACGGAAGCTAAGACCTCCCTTGACCTGAAGAACACGACAATTAGTAATCAATTATAGTTTCAAGTATCGCCAGGGGTGAATTAATACCTGTCCCACAAATGCTAAAGATGGGTCACCAATTCTGACAATGTGCTCATAGACGCCATCAAGCCTGTTTGTTGATGTGACGGGGTTGTTTGGCTGTATAAATGGATATGCCACTCGGAAACCGGTCGCGAAAATGATTTTGTCCACGTTCGTGACGACCTCGCCATCGGAAAACTCGACGCCAACTTGGCCATTTGCCAATTCATCGGAAGAGGCAAAGACACGTTTGAGCTGCGGTTTGCGTACCACCCCAGGCAGGTTCCATGCAGGGATTAACTTCTCGTTGAGGCCGCGTTGTGCAGAATATAGTGGACCTTTAACGATGGCATGTAGGTCGGTGACTATATCAGCAGCAGAGATGTTCCCTCCGACCACAACAACTTTCTAGATGAAGAGTCAATTATATTATTAGATATAGAAATTGTGTAACTCACCTTTGCCACATAGTTATCTGGAGATCTGTACGACTTTGAATGTTCAAACACCACGGGAACCTTCTTATATGTCTCATTAATCCCCTCGATATTCGGGATGGCACCCACGTTGTAGTGTCCAGTTGCAACGACGACGGCATCAAAATTCTCCTGCCACCAAAAATCCCTTGGCTGGCCATTGGACTCCGCGTGGCCTGGCTGACGGAGAGACAGAATCCATTTATCACCCTTCTTTTCGGCTCGTTCCACTGTTGTGCTCAGCGACACGAACTGGCGGAATTCCTGAAAAAGCGTCTCAAGATATTGCTGCACTACTTGGAATGGACGTGACGCATTATTATGGCCAAGACGCAAAACAGATACCGCAGAGTTATGTAGAGGAAATGGCGCGTGGGAAAAGGCCATAATCTCCGCACCGACATTGCTATCTAGTTTCTCATACAAGGCCGTTCGCGCAGTAATGTCCTCAGCAGCTGGCGGTGCCAGAGTCGGGAATTGTGGAGGGATTGTCACTCTGGATGCTGGTTTCAGCGGAAATTCATCGGGTAGTGGGTCAAAGTGCCTTTTATATCGTCAGTATTATTAGGGTTTGGCTGTTACATTATCAGCAGCTACTATACCATATGCCTCCAACTTTGTCCCTTCTCTCAAACACCCGGATAACATCAAACTTCTTCTCTAAAGCCAAGGCGCGCGCAGCAGCATATCCTGAAGGACCCGCGCCAATCACGGCGACTCGCCGATACGTGTGTCCGTTCTGCGACATGGTTATGCACTGCTCAATATCTTAGAGATGAGGATCTTGCAAGGTCTAGTCTATATAAATCTATTTCTTGAACATGGACCAGATTATTGTGAAAAGAAACATATCTTTAATCCAGAAGATAGAAGCTTTAAATGTAGAAATCATGGGGTGGGTAGGTCAACACGCAATCTGCACGTTATTTGACACCACACCAGTAGCTCCGCGTAACGTATCAGGCCAGGCGGGGTTGAGAAAAGTGTATATAATAAATCACCCATTGGGCCATAGTATCCATAATAATTATAACTAATGCTAGCTGATAAGAAATTCATCAAGCTCTAAACCCTACATAGACTTTTACTTTTCATCATTTCCTGTGGTAATGGTGTCATGCCGACTAGCCGGAATCCATCCGTCTTTTTTTGCTTTGTAACTTCATTAAAAATAGTTACTCGGATAAATATTATTAATACGTCTCTAAAATAATAGCATGTATGGTACGAATCACCCTCATTGAACCAACAATATCGGTTCGTTGATCTGTATCAAGGATCTAGACATTGATTGATCGTTGGCTTTTATTATTTAGTATATATGTATAGTAGTGAAAAGGGAGTGCAATCATAGCCAAGCCTTGGCTTATAACCACCAGACATCGGTACTTGTACCAGGAGCTAATTAAAACAACACTTCTTTCTATAGATCGTAATCTAAATGCAATTCGACCAGATGAGCTTCAAAGTAATTGTTAATTTGTAGGCTGAATTACTCTTGGCTCAGGATTTGAATCATATTCACGCTACAGATTTGCGCGAGACTAGTTTGAGATTTGGCAAGATCAGTTGATCTATGATTGATGTTAGATGTCTTTGTTTGAGGTGAGAGATGGTGTAATCTCCCTCGACACGAATAATTCGTTTACATAGCCCTAAGAGTATCCCAGCTGGACACCGAGTGGTCATTCGTGGGAAGCGCTATAGTGTGGTTATCTGAGGAAATTAATATTATTTAGCTCTCCGAACCTAGTGTCATAAGCATGTCTCCAATCCTTCCTGGTATCAGTTTCCAGAGACTGGCCTTATAAATGTGTAGGGTTCGGTCTAGGTATACCTACAGGTTCCATAATGACATCCCTTCACAAACCATGCGGTCATTGCTGGTGCTAGCAAATGATGGCTAGAGACAAATGAAGCTGTCTTGATGAGATCTATGTCTTCGCAGGGACTTAAGATACTGCATCCGTCAACTAGTTTCCATCGTATTATCTCCAAACGGTAACACCATCGAGTGACCTTTAAACAAAGTGGATAAAGTCGTCTATACAAGTGCCTTTTTCTAAAAAGTTTTCTCATAGCCCTCCGTGTTGGCATCCAAGAGCTTTCGAATTACTTCCTATTGAATGAAAGCAGTTATCGTGCATCTAGCGGCTGGGCAGCTGATCAAGTAGAGAAAGAAATAGTTGAACCCTACCTTCACAGGCCTTCAATAATGCTTCATAACCGGCGGTTGTAATGCCTATAATAATAGAACTATAACGTCGTCCAATTTCGATACTCGTGACTGACTAGGCTGGCGCAACGAAGTCAGGTCTGCTTCATAATTGCGTCTGTTACATCTGATAGATCAATAAACGATGCGGTGTTTTGGAGCCGTGGTGTGATTTGGCCATCTGGCAAAATTTTATATTGTTGACTTATGATGAATAGACAAATTTCTCGAATCTTCAAAACGAGCTACATGTACACTCTGGCCATTCTGTCTAGTTCAACTGCTTAACGGCATTAGCAGAACCCATATACAAGCTCGGTTGAATCAGCTTACGTCTTAGCAGGATTTTTTTTTTTCTAATTTCCTTTGCGAAAAAAAAGAAGATTGTCTTTTTTAAAGAAAAGGGTCATCGTGGCCCTAGTGATTTGAAGTGCTTTAGCGGCGATGAGGGAGGTACATAGTAATTTCAACACTTTGATGGATTGTCGTGCTATAAATAATTTACATCAATGATATATACTCGGACTAGAACATATATAGATATATTAATGCCTACTTCTAGCTGAGTGATGAAAGCACTCTCCGTAATACTCTCACACTGTCTTTTCAATTTCAGGGCATTTCAATATAACCAGAATTCTAAATCGCAGAAAATACCATTTCAACACCAAACAACAGAAATGGGGTATACGAACGCAAGTAGACGGGAGTCATGTGACTTGCCTTAGACAACATTCCAACTTAACTTTGCGGGAACTGCTAATTCACATCGTTTAAGGACCGGGAAGTTGGTATTACCTATGAATCTATCATATTCACCTAATAAACTGGTATGCTATAATTCGGACCTAAATAGAACTCGTTGTGAGTGTGAATTGGAGTTGTCGGTTTACTACTCCTCCTTTCGGGGCCATGTTTGAGCCCAGCAAATCCCTCGGAGAAACATCGACGTGACTCACATTCCGAAATCTGGCTAACTCAATTTCAACGAGTTTAATTCTGTTATTGCTGAGCCGCAGCTGTTTCGTCACTACCACGCTCCTCTCAAGCCAGCCAAGACAAGAACACATTTTCTCCGATCTACGCCACCAAACCCATATCTTTACCACTTCCTCTAAATTTTAAAGCCTCGCAAGCATTTCGCTTCTCTGTACGACCATAATGCCTACTTCCTTTATTGTCTGTCGGTACAACCCGCCTCGGATGCAGGCAGTTTCGTTTCCGCCGAACATGTGTGTACTTATCCTTCCTTTGTCTCGCTCTGCTGGGCCAGGACCAGGACACCGTCGCACAGACTCCACCGCAATTACACGGCAGTATGGAGTGATAATCTAAAGGCCAATGGCAGCACCGTGTCCACGTCATACAAAAAATGGAGGGCGTGAGCTATAACTATAACTGGTAGCTGGGCTCTGCTCGGCAGTTGGTCGAATTAGACCAAAAATACGGTGCCGGGCCGTGAATGTATTAATATATTTGGCTACGATGGAGAAAGAGATTTAGGGCATTGACCCAAGAACGAGTCGTTTTGTGGGTTGTGTGACACGGTGTTGGCGCTGTCAATGGCCATGACCATGTCCATGCGTTTTAAGTGCTGGTCGGGTGAATCACTTGACCTTGTCTCACAGCCAAGTCCAAGTCTGCTTCTGATTATACATGTGCAGGATGTTACCACGCATATTTGCAGTTGCAGTTGCAGTTGCAGCCGCAGCTGCAGCTGCGTCTTGCTTTCCGTGAGCCCGGGCCTTCATTCTGACATAGCATGCATGCATCCATACCACACTATAGCCATACCATAGCCTAGCTTTTTGGGCTGGGCAAAGTTATAGATGTGATTGGATAGCTGTTGGCTTCCCTTGCCTAGTTATGGATAGTCTCTAACGTATTCAGCAATTTCTCACCGTCAAGCGTGATGATACGGCGTTCACCGCTTACACTATCCCAGCTGCAAAATCAAAAGAGGAAACTGCTTAGTCTAGTCCAAGCTCTACAAATCTACAAAGTCTATTGACGTCAACTCTGACCAACACCGGCGGAACCTCGAACCCGACCTCGAACTCGAACCAACGGGCAAGCACAGTGCACAGGCAGTCTGGCTCCTGGCTACCTGGCTAGATTCTATTCCCTTCCCCTTCTTTCCCTCTTTACGTATCTACTTAGAATCGGCCAGGGAGCATACGATATGCTTCCGACATTGATATCGAATTTGGAAAGAATCATGCATTCAGAGCGGTTGAACCCGCCGGTTTAACTTCGGTCAGGCTGAATGGGCCTGCTGACATGAGATGACATGACACTGACTGATACCTTACCTCCTGACGCACATGCCAAAGATACGGGTGAGTGAAAGATTCTGGAACGATTACCGTCATCGTCTGTCACGAAAGTGTCTACAGTGTCTACAGTCAGACGATCAGCAATATATAATAATTTAATAGGAGGAAGCCTTCCATTCAGTCACCACCACCACCACCACCACATCTTGCTTCACTGTCCATGTATCCACTGGTACAGGTTTACGATTTCTCACGTATCATACATAAATACGGCCACTGACCTGGTAATTTCCTCGGACTAGTCTTCACACCTTGAACTGCCTGCAATAACCCTACCCCCTATTCTACCCATGGACACCCTGTCAGCTGGTATACATACCCCTGAGAACATTCCTTGGACCGCGGCAAAAAACAACATTGAAATAACATTGACACCCGTCAAAGCTGTATGTATGTAGCATCTGTGCAACGCGACTATAGCATAGCGTTCTATCTAGGATTGCGGATGGGCATAGCATTTAGCTAGGTACGGTGTATATAGGGTTGCACAAATGTGTTCGTCTGGTTCAACTTTCTGAGCGGGGTTGGGAGGCGATTGTGTCATAGGACGCTGGTCGGGGATATAAGAGGCGCGTTACCAGCCTCATGACATCAGGGGATCTTGATATATCATTACAACACTACATAGCGTTGAGGGGGTGGGTTCTTACATCTCAATCAAATTGAATGGAAAGGATATGTGTGTCTTATTCCCGAGATAGTTCTGGATCTGGATCTGGATCTGGCTGGGTTTGTGTAGGTGTGATAATATACAGGTCTATAATACAGTACGCATATAAAAACTGCGCATTGGATCAGACAGTTCAAATGTTCAAATAATGTATGAAGAAACAGCCAGTCACTTGTTCGCCGAACATTCAAGTAGTAAATCACATAATAAATAAGAGAAGGAAGAAAGAGAAAAGAAGAAACGCCGCGGCTCTTACTGAAATCCATCCAGAATCATTGCTCGTAACCCAACCCAATCAACCATCGTAACCAACTATCGTGACCAACCATCGTGACAATATTCCGCAATTAAAAAGAAGAAAAAAAAAGGACAGCTGAATATTCATATAGCACTCGCCCGACCGGCCGTTTCAGAATAGATAGAGGAAGTGAAATAGATAGAGTAAGTTGGTTCAGCGTAGCAACTTGCTATGCTCGGTAATTTATGATTACACACACACAAACTTAATTAGAAAAAAAAAAAGAGAATATAATGAAGAAAAGAACAGTCACGCGCAAAGACTGTTCTGAACAGGATCAAACCTCGAATACGAGCCGGATCGACTGACCTGCGCGTTCTCATGCAGAATCGGCGCTAACCGCCTGTCGATGGTGTGCTTGAGATACTGCTGCTCTTCCTGCTCACTATTATAACTCGGTATCATGGGGTCAAAAGAATCATCAAAGCCGCTGCGAATCTCAGTTTCCTCACATATATTATTATGGTGGTGGTGGTGGTGGGCGTGCTTGCCAGGCTTTTTGCGCAGCGAGCTGGCCATGTCGTCCTGATACTGGCTGCTGTCGTGCGACAGCGCATCCCCGGATTCCTCGCTGTCCATGGCGTCGCTGTACAGGAACGAGTCGAAGGGGGAAGACGAGGAGGAGGAGATCAGTGTCCCCGGGCTGATGTCCTCGGGGGAATGGTCGAAGGAATCAACTCGGATCTGACGGTTGTGACTGCTGTAGTGAGGAGCTTCACGACGGGAATCGTACGGCATGCTAAATGGGAGCTGCGCGTAGGACGACTGCTGGCGCATGGATTGCTGCGCTGGGAGACTGTGATGGCCTGGATCGCCGGCAAACCCGCCATGTCCACCGTTATCGCCCATGCTAGTTGAGCTATCCCGGCGACTGTCCTTGTAATGGCCCGGTGATCTCCCACGAACAACCATCGGGTCGGAGAGGCGTTTCGCGATCTGCATGTATTTCTCGCCGTTTTTGCCGCTGACGTGAGCGTAGAGTTCGACGACCAGGTTGTAGTATTGCTGCTGGGCCCTGCGTTTGCCGTTATTCGCTGTAGCTTTTTGAAATTGAATGCGCTCAAAGGTGTGTTGAGTGATTTGCGAGTTTGCGATGGGGTACTGGCTGTAGTCGAATGGGATGTTGCCGGGGTGCAGCGAGCCGTAGAGCGGCGCCGAGGGTGGTCCAGTATTTGAGGCTAGGACTGCTGGATATTGTGGTTGAAGAACAACTTTTTCTGGCTTTCTCTCCGACTGCTTATCTCTCTTTGGCGTGTGTTGAACCAGGTCACGGGTTTCGTGCTCTGAGGAATTGACCACCGCGGAAATGGACATGGCGAACTTTTTAATAGGCTCAGGAGGTTGATCATGCGTTTGCACGTAGTAGGTGGCGTTCTGTTCGTAGGGGTGAAGTGAGAAGGAGCATGTCACGGAGAAGTAATTGCGACGATAGCACGTCCACTTGTTATCCACCTGAAAGAAGCCCTTGTGAATCTTCGCGATGATGTTGGGTTGCACCTCGGTGTGATTCGACGTCATGATGGGGTGTATAATACTGATATCTGTGAACAGCGGAGCGTCCGGTTGTCCTGAGCGATGTGAATGCCCAAAGCCCGGATAGTAAGGCGTTGGAGGATCGAGTTGCGCTCCAATGCCGGACGGCAGGGTTGTGTTGTAGGAGTAACGGGACATGTCGTTGACGCTCGACGGCGACGGATAGCTGTTTCTGGTGCTTAGAGTGTATGCGGTAGGGTAATTATCCCTCCCAACTATACTCGAGCCGCCGCTGGTCATCGAGTTCCCAGGTCCTTGGAATGATCTGGGCAGGTGTGCAGATGGAAGCCTATATAATGAACTAATCAGCAGGGGATTGGGGTAAACTCGAACTAGACATACATAGCAGGGATCCTAGGGTTCGGGGTAAATGCCATTCTGTCGTTCCATGAAAGAGAGGACTGGGAGTAGAGCGAGGCAGTGTTGGAAACGATATTTTCGGCCGAGGTCGCCTCATGCGAGTATCCAGGCTGGTAAGAAGCTGTTGAGCTGGGGGCTCCGCTGCCGGAAGAGAGTGGACTCATGAGAAGTCCTTGGGCTGACGCGAACCTGATGAATTGAGTCAGCTAGGCATGAATTGAGCAAAAAGCGACAAGTCTGTGAAACGTGCGCCGCGTTATTAATGAGTGATGAGTGATGAGTGGATGGATGGATGGATGGATGAAAAACCATCCCAACACCAGAAGAAGTACAGACAAGTATAGAGAAGTACAGAAAGCATCAAACTACGCGCGCAGGTCGAGATGCAAAAGCAGAGAGCCGGCGAGACGGTGTAGAAGGGAATGCACGATATCCACACCGCCTCGGCGTATAAGGGTGCAAGGCAGAAGTAATTAAATATTAATTAAATACTTACGATGCATCCTGCAGCGCAGGATTCGGCGAGCTGTAGGGCAGGCCGCTGGTAGAGGGCGTTGGGCCAGGCTGCGACAACGACTGCCCCAGGCGACGACTGTCTTCTTCTTCGGTCGGGAAGGACTGAAAGGGTCGCTGGTGGTGGCCAATACAATCGGGCTCCGACGAGGAGGGGGGTAGTCTAGATGGAAAGGCTGATTTTGGAGGAGTGCTGCCACAAATTCACCAGCAATTAGCCTTGAGAGGAGAAAATATTATATCGCTGGCTTTGCGCTGCCAAAGGGATAGACAATAAACAATAAACAATAAAAAACTGGGTTTGGTTTGGTTGCTGTCTTCTTTCTGGTTCATTAGAGGGGAAGAAACAGAGTGGCTGGAAGGTGTTTGTCCCAAATGAAGGTGTTAAGTCGGCGTCAAGTATGGGTCCTTTGTGTGACAAGGATGTACACCGGACTCACCATCTTGCAGCCGCTGCGAGCAGGGGGCCAACCGAAGATGCATGCAGATGCAACACTGAAACGACCAGAATGGCCCAATAACACATTGCATTGCGCACAGTAATATAAAGCAGCAGCGATAAATAAGGCACCACTTACTAGACGAATGCATCGGATTGAAACCGCGGTAGCCCTAAGTTCGGTAGCTAACGTTCGGGATGTCGAGATGCGCACTGTCCCGGAAAGAAACAATCGCAAGGAGATTAATTGGCCGAGTGATCGGTGGAGCTATCGGTCGATGGAGGGGTTTTTCAAAGAATGGTTGTGTGTATGGTTGTGTGTGTTTGTGCATACGATAACGACGGGCTGCGCTGCAGGCGAATTGAATTGATACTCCGAGCAGAAGCTATATCCGATACCTCAGACGTCTCGTCTCGACCTCGAACCGAACAGATGCGATAATCTGCGATCCAGCCGTCTTATCTATCATCAGCAGTATTCTGGTCCATATAAGGACGGGATACGGGATACGGCATAACAGAATCTTAAAGAAAGGTAATTGCACAGCCGGGCGAATGGAAAATGGATTTCAAAGAGATATCCAGATGAAGGTAGAGCAAGAGAACAAAGAATGAGATACAGCCCGAGCGGGGTTTCGAGAAAGGAAGTAGAAGAGTCCGAAGAAAAGATTGGCAAGGCAAGGCAAGGCAATGCAGCAGATTTGTCATATTGTCATTTGTCATGTTCCTGTCGGTGTAGTTTACTTTCCTAAAACCGCGGTCAAGTAACCACACCGCTGTAGTAGAAAGATAGAGGGAGAAGGACAGATGTAAAGGCTGTTGGGATGAAGTGTGAAATAAGAGGGAAAATCAAGAATAAGTGAAAGATATACAGCCTGACAAGACTTACCGTCTTCTAAACAAATCACAGCCAAGTCACTGTTAAACAGCCTCGAAGCGTACGGTCAAAAGAAAGTTTGGTGAGCGATTGTACACCGTGGGTCAATACAATGTTCACCAAATAGAGTATCTCACGACGTTACGTGTGATGATGCTGTTCCACAGAGATGTCAAGACGGCAGCAACTATTTAAGCAGTAGGTAGAAGTCTCCGGTGATGTGCTGGAGTAAGAAAGAAGGATGGTCAATACCGTATGAGTAACGATGTCTTGCAGAAAGCAAAAGGGACAGAAATTGACCTCCAGCAGGAAGAGGGACGGGACTTGGAGATTGATATCTGTTTCTAACCCTGGTAAGGAATGCTCTAGCTCGACCGTTGGCCCAGGGCAGACAGCCTTTCTTTTTCTATAACCTCTGGACGTGGATGTCCAACCCTGTTACCTCACCAAGCATGACCGCGGGAACCTCAAGGAATCTGCACGTCAAGAAACTAGAACCAGAACTAGAACCTAAACGATGCGTTACGCTCGGCGCACGCTCCACCTCCACACCATTGAAGAAATATACAATACACGCTGACCAACACCAATCAGGGTTGTCCCCCAGTGCCAAGGTAAATGTATCAGGCTGGGTGGCTGATGGCGAACCACAGACACGGGCCGCGATCAGCTGCCAAAGAAACGTTTCGACATACACCAGCAGCTGTAAAGACCCGCGAGCTTACCTTGCCCCCTTACCCAACGAGGAAGGTTCGTTGCTCGGGATGGCTGTAACGGGCAGACAAAAGAAGTACCTACCACGGCTGGCTGTATACACGTACTCACGTACACATGGCTAGATATGCGTCTGCAGGAACCTTCTTGCCTGAGCCTGAATGGTTGACACGAGTAGACAAATCAATAGTTTGCTCGATGAGTCTGAGTAGGTGTGAGTAGAGTATGAATATGAATATGAGTATGAGTAAGAGTATGAGTATGAGTTGAGCATGAGTTGAGTATGAGGATGAGTGCAGGCGGCTCAGCAGTCACCCGAGTGGACGATTGATCGTCAATGCCAATGCCGAGACAGTTCCAACATCCCACACCAGCCCTGAGCCAGAACCAAAACAGCAGTCGGCTGCTGACTCGCCCCGGGCTATCCTCGAAAACGGGCTCAACGGGTTCCGGCTTGCCCTTCCCCAAGCTATGGCTTATGGCTATGGCTTCTAGTAAATACACGGAGCATCGCCGGGGACTAAAGTCCGACCGAGCAGGACAGACCAGACCAGGCGGCTGGAAACGACGGCCAGTAAATACCAGAATAGGCAAGTATACATATGCGGTGGCGCTTCTCACCGATCACGCAGGGTCTCGCTCGCTCGCTCAAGCTTTCGGTGGGCCAAACCGTCAATCTGGTACATCCACTATAAGCTATAAGCTACACGCTATGCGCTATGCGCTATAATCTATAATCTATAATCAGTAATCAGTAATCATGTACGATTAGCGCGAGGCTAGCAGCCTTATCTGCAGTGTTATTATATTATTAGGGGGATCCTATCATGGCCGTCGTAATTCGCCAGTCTCGCGGTAGGGCCATCACCGACTGAATACATGTAGGCGCCGGCTCAACAACTGCCTAAACGGCCAGCATGTGTGTACGGCCAGTATGTCGGCCAGTATGTATTGGGCAGTGGGGTCGCCGGCGCAGACTGATTTGAAATAGACAAACGGCGGTTAAGCAGACATCCTGATCGCCATCTGTGACTGGCCGTGTTAATCGTCGAGGCAGCGCTAGTGGCGCGATGGCTGGCCAATTGCGCTGGCTGGGGCACACAGAGCGGACCATTTCCTGGCAGCAGCATCGAGACAGGATCCAGAGCGACGATCTTTGTGGAGGAGAACGACGATGTGGGAGGCCAGACTAGTCTCGGGCTCAGCCAGGGGGGGCGAGCGAGAGTGCTCAGTTTGGAGACCTGCCAGTGGTGGTTGCGCGTCGGAAAGCCGGGTGAGCAGATCCTTGTTGATAATGTCCTGACGGTATGGCCCGTCTGGTTCGTATGGTATGGATGGTACGAGGACCCTGACCCGACCCTACTACCTATCCTAGACTAACCGTCACTTCACCACCCATGGATTGATGCTATTTGATACACTTCATGATTATGATCGACGATCGCAGCCCAGCAAATGATGGTCAGGTCGGGAATAAAACAAAGTTCGAATTATTTAAAAAAAAAAATCCTAATAATGAAGATGTTGACGCATCAAACAGCATCAACTGACTGACTGGTTACCACCCTAGAGGTTATTAATACTTTTATTATTCGCAGGCTCGTCAGGCGAGCACGTGTCCAGGTGAGGGAAGTACATACATGTAATTTGTATTGTCCAGACGGCGCCGGCAGATCGACAGCCTACATCACTAAAGAATGAGCAATGACATAATTAAATACACTGATTGTCTGCGTCTATGTCGGCCACCGTTCCGAGCCGCATGTCTACAGTTTAGTTAACTCAGTTCAGTTCAATAGCGATCGGAGTTGATCTCTTCCGATGCGGGACCAGTCGATGATTCAATGTGTCTTAGTAGCCGGGAGACTTTTTTTTTTCCTGTCTTTTCTTTCTTTTTCTCTTATTTTATTGTCCATGTTCTTACCTCTGCCTCATTTTTTTCTGGTAATTAGAGTAAGTGCCTATTCTGGCTAGTACTGCCCATTCTACCGGGCTCGATCGATAATAGACTCATCACCGATTCACTGGGCAAAGACTAATCATCTTCTCGATCCGCAAACAATCCCTAATTTATTATTTACATCAATTAAGATTGGGCTTTTTCTTCTCCCCTCTATTATACCCTGGGGGCTATACTACAGCCGATGCAACGACCAATTGTGCCGTCCAGGACTGCGGCACAATGCCATGCGTCACCCTTACACAACAAAACAGCAAACCTATGGAAATTAGAATAGAATAGATTAAAGCAAGTAATACAGCAAGTAATAAATTAAGGGGCATGTTGTCCAACTCTGCCTTGCCACGAGCTCGGTTTTTTTTTTTTTTTTTTTTTTTTTCCTTTGTCACTCAGCTGGACCCCAGGACTTGCGAGCTTGGCGCGAGCGACAGAGCGAGAGTGCAATGAAGTGCAGTGCAGTTTGATTCGTTTCCTCTTTCTCTTAGCTTGTCATGTGCAGCCGCGGTGCGTCATTAATATTGATGGGTGGTATGTACTATGTACAGATGTGGCAAGAAACGCCGAGTTTGTAGCCTGATATTGTAGTCTTTGTCAAAGGCAGGAGGTAAGGGTTGGATGGGTTCGTTCATTGACGGCTGGCTGATCTGCCTGCGTGGTTGGCATATTTCTCGCAGTTCCATCCAATCAGTTTGTCGGCCATACACGTCAATATATGTATATGTAGATGTAGATGTAGATGTACAATGTACTGTAAAAGCGGTGAGCTAGCAGGATTGGCAGCTGTATCGGGTGAATTGGGCAAGGCTGTCAATAAACTTAGGGCCAACCCCAGTGGCCCTCCATCCAACATTCGAATAAAATGATAGGCAGTAGAAAAAGTATAAAATTTTATTGTCAAGGAAAAGTGAAAAAACGGTCGACGGCTGGTGCCGCCTCGCACTACATCAGACTTAACAACTTATGTAGTAAAACAAGCTAGCAGCACTGCAAAAGAAAAGAAAGAGAAGGCTGAGCGTGTGGTGTAACCAACGGATTATTACCGATTGAGCTTGAGCAATTAGCACGAGCAGGCCGTTTTATAATCAGCTAAACAGATGGAGAAAAAAGGTGTAATAGGGGGAAAATAGAAAGCAGCGGAAATTAACAGGTCGTGCCAACGAGCGTGGTCATGACAAAGGTTCATGACAAATAGGTCCATATATATATGTACCGGAACATAATATAAATCGAGGGGTTAGTCGATTTTCGCTATAGATACTGTAGTTGACTAGTTGACATGACGGCTTCGACGAAACCTACATTAGATGACTCGTTTGGCCGTTGAGGTCAGCACTCTGTGTGACGTGGCAGTCTACACGGCATATTTTATCTTGGCCTACAGACATCAATGGTGCAGGTATCATACGCTCTTGGCGCCAGTTGACCAGGCCAGCACGCATGCCGGAACACATTGAATGTAAATGTAAATGTAAAATGTACCCCTCGACAGAGGACAGCACATGACTGTACTGAGATTGCTACCATGCCAACTTCTACTATCAAACATGATGCTAGTCTATGTATATCGCCGATGGGAGGGGAAGTCTATTGTCAAACATTGCTGCCAGTCCATGTATATCGCCGATGGAAGGGGGAGTCCAGTGTCAAACATTGCTGCCAGTCTATGTATATCGTTCCAATGGGAGGAGGGGGAGTGATCAATATAGTCATTATCTAGTAGAATAGGACAATACAATATCCTCGCCCGCCAACATATGTAATGACATATGTAGTGACATATGTAATTCCGAGGTAACAGAACAGCCGAGTTTAGCCAGACAATGCAAGTACATAAACGTAAACGTAAAAGAAAGAATCGTGAGAATGAAGAGAAGAGAAGACTCAAGTCGCCCTCTTGGCAAATTCGACACGAAGAATAAGATGGCGATAACCAACTGTGTAAAAGAAATTAAAAGGTAAGTGAGACGTCTGCGAGTGTATAGGGAGGTGTACGTACATCCATCCACCTTCTCACACGCGCGGGCAGCATCAGTGCGGTCGGCAAAACTGATAAAAGCAAACCCCTTGGCTCGCTGTGTTTCTCTGTCACGCGCAAGAAAGACTCTCGTGACGCGGCCAAATCGTTCGAATAGATCGCGGAGTTCCTGCTCCTCGGCCAGCTCGGAGACCTACACCCAGTTAATCAGCCATCTACACTCTCCGCCGAGTGGATAATTTAGGATATGATGAAAAGCTCACGTTTGTAACTCGGAGTGTCGCCAAATCATCCCTCTCGTACTTGCTCCCGCCACCACCACCTGCCGCCGCTGCTGCCGCAGCAGCCGTACCCTTGCGCAGATGAGGAGGCACATAACTTCCACCGGCCATACTCAACCCACCAGCCGAAGGCTCCTCATCACCGTCCATCCCACCGGCAGAAGGCTCATCAACCGGCGCCATAGTATCCTTGAACGGACAACGCGCCGTGAAATGCTCGCCCTGACAAATACGACACTTGACCTTCTTATCCCTCAGCTGATCCTTAAGCCCGCCCTTTTCGCCCTCCTTCTCAGCCTCTTTGGCATGCACCTTCCAGTTGACGCTAGGTCTGAAAATGATGTTTTCGCCAACAGAGGTGGTGTCGAAGGAAGGGCCGGGGGCGTGGCCCGTCTCAAGGCCGAATTTCGACCATGCTCTGCGCTCGGCGACCTGCGGGTTGACGTGTTCTTTGACCACCGTCGTGCGGATTCGGCGTGTCACTTTGACCTTTTTGCCGTCGTCGTTGAAGCGGTACGAGACGATGGTTTTGGTGCCGTCCTTGTTTGTCGTTATTTGCTGCGGGGGGAGCGCAGAGGGGTCGTCGAACTCCTCGTCGTCTGCCCAGTCGGCGCGACTAGACGTTTTTAGTATTTTGGAAAACTATCATGTACACTCTTGTTCGGACTACTCACTTCTCTAGTTTCGACATCTTGGTGTTTGGGGTATTGCTTGTCGGAATCAAATTTCTTGATCAACCAGCGTTGTGGATTTCTTTTCATCCCGGTGGCGCGGCACCGCGCTGTGGCTGAGAAGTAGCGAGCTATCACGTGATCTGAATACTCTAAATTTATTACATATAACTTAGATATCAAATGTACATTATTCTAATAAAAATAGAGCCAATTTAATAATGAATTAAGGCTATTTTATGACCCTGGTAAATAAAATATAACAACCCTCATACATGAACATCCACTTTCTTTTTTAAAAAAAATCAAAGAGATCACCGCCCAAAATACCTCATCTCAATCGGACGAGTAATTAGATATGCTGTAGCAGCAAAGATAAAGCCCAGTTCAAAGCCCACATCGCCACCAAAAGGAGCTTCACCAGCATGAAGAGCAATTGGCCCAACCCACCAAGTCTGACTCATGCCTGTAACCATGCCGGCAATACCACAGCAGAAAGCAAAAACAGCCGCAATTCCAGGCGGTAGTTTGTCCGGTTGATCGTAGATTTCGGCATGGTATCCATTGAATCCTCGCTTGAAGACGAAGTGATCAGTCAGTGCGATGCCCTCGTAAATGGCAAGCCAGTATCCGATGAAGTTCATAAAATTATCCAGCACAGTTTCAAAATGCGAGTATCCAGGGATGGCAATGGCGATATAGACACCAGTGGCAATCAGCGTGTAAACAAAGCGAGGCACCTTGCGAGTCCAGCGAGCCAGGACCAAAAGTGTGAGAGAGACAGAGTAGATATTCGGGCAGTTGTTGGCAATGATTGACAGAGCAAGGATAACCACGCAGAATTTGCCAAACCCACCAAGAGGGTCGAACAGAACAGCACCCAAAAGTCCACCAGTACCAGAAGCTGCATAGCCGTCTGCGTACTTGTTGACGCCGTCATTGAGGGTAGTGGCAGTCATGACAGCGACGCCGAGCATTTCGGTGAAAAGCAGTGGGAAGATCAGGCCAAGCATTGTCGCGAGGAAAAGCTTTACCCGGCTGCGATTCGCAGGTTGGTACACAGTGTAATCTGCCGCATAGCTGGTCCAGCCAGTTGCAAAGCCATAAACAGTCGATCCAAAGGAGAGCACACCACCGAGCTCAGAAGTGCCCACGCCCATGGGGACGTTCACGAAATCTCCAGAGTGGGCAAACACGCCCAAGGTGATCAAGAAAACGATAAAAGTTGGAATCCAGCTCCAAAACTCGTAGAGATGCACCACCTTGTAACCAAAGAACGTGATCAGCAGTGTGCAAACTGCAATGATGATAATGCCAGCAAAGCCGGGGACGTCGTTGTTCACCGCGTTGATTAGCTGTGCGCCGACGATGACATTGGCTGACGACCAACCAATACAGGCGAGGACGTTAAAGAACGCGACTAATATCTGTCAGTATTCACCCGTCAGGCCATCAAACTGCATATTCGTACTCAGCTTCACCCCCCACCAGCCAAACCAAAAGCGCGACACGACCATTTGACGAAGACCGAACTCAGCCCCAAATACCGAGAAGAAGCACACCGTCATGATACCGAGGAAGTTGAAGAACAGAACGGTCAAGATACCGTCGACAAATCCGACGTAGAAGAGCGATTGCCCGAGCACGCCGATCGCAAAGGAGGTAACGACCATATTCGCGGCAAGCCACTTCACAATCAATTAGCATCGCAACCTCGATACATGTACTTTTTTTTTTGCACACACCATGCTTCCCACGTTCAGATACGAGGTATCTGTTCTCTCATCGTCGGGCACACGCTCAATGCCTCGTTGCTCGACATTGAGCTTGCCAGCAAAACGCTGCATCTTGGCGTATAACGAATCGCCATATTCAAAGGTTTCGCCAGCAACAGCGCCGGTGTTGTCCTCGTAGGGCAACTGGCTCACGCCAGCGTGCTTCTCAAGGTCCGTTCCATCGCTGCTAACCATTGTGGGCAGCCGACAGTGCGGTGGCAAAGAACGAGCCGAGTTGTGTATAGAATGGCGAGTGATGGTTCGGGGCTTAACAGTTACAGACCAGTCGCATGGCAGGCAGCGTGAGGATGGAGTAAGGGTCTGATCTGACCGTCACGAGGGCGCGACTTATATAAAACAAATGGAAGCGAATTTTTCGCATCGTGATCGGTCCCGGGCTCCCGATATCTGAGCCCCACGGCGACTTTGACATAGTAGGAAGTTACTAGTACTAGTTACTAGGAAGAGTTGCAACGGCAGTCATTATCAGACGCTACTCGTAGGGTAGGAGTGGGTCTGTCGCGTGGGCGCGTGCCTGTCTCGCCAGATTGCCGGAACAATGTTGTCCCGGCAAGCATTACGACCGCTGACTGGCTCGGTTGTGCTGCCAAGCAGGTTTACGACCCTTGCCTGAGGCCCACTGTACGGTGGCGCTGATAAGCATCCCGTGCTCCCCGAATCACAGGGCGCCATTAATCATCTATACGCATCTAATAATAATGACAATCCCGCTGCAGATAAGAACCGAGTTCGCGAAGCTGCGAAGCTTCCATCGCCGACCGGCGTCTGATATTGTTGACTGTGCGTCGGCCGCTCCCGCCCTGGATATATCATATCGCGATGCCAGCATTGTCGATGGATATACAGTTATACAGATACTATCATGATCTAGAAAGCCTCAGCCGAGGCTGAGGAAGTGAAGAGGTGTGTCGAGTGGGAGGTCCGACCGTCAGTTTACAAGCCGTGCGTCGCGCAGATAGTGGCAAGACCGCCTTCCAACTATTACTACATCTTGATATACCTCAGTGACATCCTTCTACGTGCATGTCTTGCTGACTTCCTCTCCATATCAGCTCTGACGAGACGAGACGTAATTAGGGGCCTGCAATCAATACAAGGCAATGTCATCCCAGGTTAATCATCGTCAGTGGTCACAAAGGAGTGTGACGATAAGATCTACAAGCAATGCTTATCCAGCCCTGATTTACCAATCAGCTAACAGAGCCAGACGACAAAGGACGGAGCTCCCCGATGAGCTGCGACCGGCGGCTTCCAATAGTCTGGGGTAGATGAACGATAGAGTTCGTTCCCTTCCTCTTGAATGGTTATTCCTGTCTGCAAGCTGGACTTTGCATATGCACTTTCCTTGTTTGGCCATGAAGGAACGAGAATGCATTCTCGTAAATATTCTTCCAATAATCATCGGGCATGACGCTGAGCTATAGCATAGGCTATCGCCGATCTCAGTTGATGGGGAGGGTCTAGTTCGTAGTTCCAGCTGAATATGCATAATTTCGTAACATTAATAATCATCATCGTTGATCGTGTTTCATATTTGCGAGGGTTGCTTGTTCATCTAGTCAATGCATGTCACTATTTGTCACTCGTTGAAAATATGCATCTAAACCACGATAGACACCGAGATACTCCGACACCTTCAATTATTCAATTAGCGGCCGGCTCCGAGTTGTTGAGAGTTGTTGACAGTTGTTGATTGTGATGAGGCATGAAATGGTCGGTTGATAGGGTCGGTTAATAAGGTCAGTTGATGATGTATGAAATAACGCTGTTCATCTTAGTCAAGAATAAAAAAGTTGAAGCTGAGACTTTTGAATAGGGTTACACCCTAATACACTAACCCATTTTAAACTCTATATCACGTGACATAGTCTAACCCAAAATAGAAGACAGACTCGCTAAACCGCAATGCGGGCGCCAAACCTCCAATCTTGAGGGCACACAGTGCGGCTTTAGTTTAGATCTTCTTTTCGGAATCAACGCAGCAGCCAGCACCGTCGACAACCCGGATTTTCTCACCCAGCAACCTCTTCCTAAATCCACAGTCTGCATCTCAGTCAAGATGTCGCACGAGTCCGTCTGGTACAGTCGCCCACGCACATACGGCAAGGGCAGCCGTCAATGGTAAGACCTCCGTTTTTTTACCACTGTCTCTTTACCGCTGTGTCTAGAGGGGGGGGATTGGTTCGGGGATATGGAGAATGAAAGAGAGTGTGTGTTTATTTAGGGGAATATCATCAGTGCAATCTACGACAAATGGATATTGATTGGAGATTGATTGAATGGGCACAAAATTCATCAAGGATACCATGACGAAACACTGCTAACGTCTGTCTAAACCTACAGCCGTGTCTGCGCTCACAAGGCCGGTCTTATCCGCAAGTACGGTCTCTTGGTTTGCCGTCAGGTTCGTCCACCGTGCCCTGTCCTTCAACATAAAAATTTCGACCATATTAATACATGTATAGTGCTTCCGTGAGAAGTCCACAGACATTGGCTTCGTCAAGTACCGATAAATGCACCAAACCCATGTCCGATCAAGGCCCTGCGTCCACGCTCTTCCATCAGTCAATGCCATCAATGATTTGAATTAGGGACTATGTCTCCCGACGGTATCATACGGTTGTTTTATTCAACCCGCTACACGAAAGAATGAAAGAGTGCTTGAATCCTGCAGGCTGGTGAAGAAAGATGAATAAACTCGGTGGATGGTGTTATTATTTTTATTTGTCCTATTTGTCCTCTTCGGTGTCATGAAAAGTTACGCATCTTCATGGATTGGGATATTATGGTTTTTTCCGGCTGTGGCAGGCATATGACGACGGTTGATGTTTTCAACTAATTGTTATAATTTTAGCGTCCACACGGTGAAATACAATCAATCAACATTCAATTTCAACGGCAGTAAAAACTCGCAGTAAAACATACCGACAGGCCATTTATTGCAGCTTTGATCGGACTGCGGTGTGAATGGTATCAATTGATATAATGCTACATATATTATTATACGTAAAGATGCGTGGCTACAGTGTGCCCAAAAAGTACACTTGCGACCTGGAAGGAATAGTCATCTAGCAGATGCTCTAGAACCCCTTATTAAATGGTCAACGCGTAGCCCTGTCCGTCGTCTAGACTCTATCTCAAGGCAGAGAAGTTTTAATGGCGGTTCATTTCCATGATTTTGGGTGCAATCCTCAGATATTGTTCTCTTGACAGACAGGACCCTAGAACTGTTTGCAGAAACAGCCGGTATGTCTGGTAAAGGCGACTGTGAGCTTTGCGTAATTCTCGCTTGGGCACGGGCTAATGTGACTACTCTAGGTGTCAATATCATTCAAAATTTAATGTTCTTGGGCCATTCTGCATCTTACATTTAAGTTTATGTCTTAGAGCCGGACTCAACTTAAGCACCTCCTTCCTGACCTCCTCCCAGGGAGGCTTCGAGATGATGAAAAATTCGCCCTAGCGAAGAAAAAGTAAGCCTCCAAAAAAGTAGTAAGGTCAGGAAATGCGATACCATACATCTTCAAAGTAAGGATATCCAAGCTGTTTTAGGACCGCCTCTTCCACCCGGTTCTTATGGAGCTCTATCCTGCTTTGTCCGATATATACTTCTCCTTTTCCCGCGTCAACCATTCTCTCCGGCGGGGGTATTGCTTGGTTGCTACCTGTGGCTTTTGAATTCCTGTCCAATGGAACACGAAGTTCATTGTCTTTCATGGATATAATCGGCTCTTCTGAACCCCTCTGAGCTAAACGCGCCTAAGGATTCTTGGGTAGCTTCGAAAGCTGGGATTTCACCGTTTGTGGCGCGTTACTCGGCTGCTGTCTGGTTACACTAGGTACTCGTGATGGAGCTGCGCCTTGGGTAGGGGATTGTGTCAATCCATGAAACAGCGAACCGAAATTCCGATGCGCGGCTTGTTTTGATGTGCTTGCGGGCTCGGCCGGCCTTTAATTTGTGTTATTGTGGTACTCGATGTTTCGTTGCCATAACCTATTTCTGGAATATCAAATGCGGTTTGCTTGGGAAGGCCTCGAGTTTCTTGATAGCATTGGTCTTATCCATACCAACTTTACCTTGTTTTCAAAGTATAGCGCAGCTTGGATGGCGATGGGACTTTGTTTGGGCCTGGAGGGTTCAAAGGGAGGAGATCCTGGACATATGTATGCAATCGGTCAGTTTCACCTTATCAATCTGATATATATAACTTTATCGTTTAGAGACTCACATCAGTTGCAAAGAGACGGTGTTGACGCTAAGACGATAAGCGCGAGTTGTCCTGACGTATTGTGCATTCAACTAAAGAATATATTTAAGTTCTTCTGTGGTAGGTGACTCGACGGTCGCAAAATCTAGGCTGATGGGTTCAAGTGTGCAAGTCGCGCTCAGCCTTGTGCATGGGGCGCTGATTGGTGCCACGTTCATGGTACTTTTATATAGGCAACATTTAATCAACAATATCTGGTTTATGCTATTTGAAACATTGAAAAGAGGTACTGTATCCTGAATAAAAAATATATACTAAATTATGCAAAGACAATTTTAAACATCTACAGCTTCGCGATCAGCTTGTTACCCTTCTGCAGCCAGGCAACAGCATCAGTGACGAGTTCGTCAACAATAGCCTTGGCAGGCTTCTTCTCATTGACAACAGCGGCAACCTTGCCCATAAGGAATGGACGAGCATTATCCAACGTCTCGTCGTCAACGTCATCTGGAAGATTCTCAAAGTCGTGCTCCACGGGGATAATACCCTTTGCTGTGAGCTCCTTGATTTCCTGTGCACGGTTCTCCTCCCAGTTCTGAATATAAGAGTTATTACGGACACGCAGAGGACGGCCCTAGAAATATATACATTAGCGAGTGTGGTTATTTTATTCTTTTGTGGAGGGATTGGCATACCGTGAAGATGATGGTGCGGACGTTATCATCGAATCCAGCCGTCTGGACGGCCTCCTTGTGAGCCTCCGGTGCACCAGCCTCATCAGACAGGATGAAACGAGTTCCAATCCAGACGGCGGAGGCGCCGAGCATCAGCGCAGCAGCAACGGACTGGCCGTTGTAGAGACCACCAGCCGCGATGACCTGCACGGGCTGGCCGGTGAGAGGGCTCTTGTGACCCTGGACCAACTTGGCCACGGTAGGGATGAGGACGGTGGTGGGGACATCACCAGTATGCCCACCACCCTCACCACCTTGGGCGCAGATGATATCGGCGCCAAGCTCAAGGCACTTCTTGACGTGCTTGGGGTGTCCGATCATGTTCATGTACAAAATGCCGGCCTTGTGCAGTTTCTCAACTACAGCTTTGGGTGGAACACCCACTGCACAGACGAAGAGCTTGGCGCCGCTTTCAATGATTATGTCAATGAGTTCGTTCAGCTTTCCCTTGGTGTAATCGTGGCTAGAAATTAATTGTTAGTCAAACTCGGGTATATGATTTGTGGTATGCAACGTACTTGGTCTTCCGCGCATTTCCTCCGACCTGAGGCAGAAGCAAGTCAACACCAAATGGCGCATTCTTGTCCTTGAGAAAGCTCTTGAGCTCGGAGATTTGTTCTTTGAGCATCTCAGGTGTATAGCCAACACCACCGATCACACCGAGACCGCCGGCATTTGTAACAGCGGCAGCCAGCTCGGGGCCAGCAGCGACGTTCATACCGGCGAGGAGGACGGGGTGGTTGATCTTCAAGAGATCGGTGACAGTGGTGCGAAGTTGCTCTAAATATCACATGTGATTAGCACATTTTTTCTTCGGCAAGAGTTGAAGGTTAAGACATACGTGGAGAAGCCATGGTGGATATGATAATAAGTCAACAACTAATAAATTATACAAAATGCGAACAAATTTTGAGAAGTGGTAGAGGAGTAAGAAAGACGATGATAGTGGCAACCAGGTGGATGGAGCTTCCCACTTAAACCCTCGCCTGACCGAGGCGTACGCAAAAAAAGCCTCGGCAAGTCGACAGAGCTTTGTCAGGGTTGTGGGGTAAAACTGGGGAAGTCGTGCAACCTCATGTACTGCCAGTCATTGCCAGCATAAATATGACTTGCAGTAATTATGCAAGATTGACCTATACTCACCCCTTTTACTCGTATTCAGCGAGAATGCCGCAGCCTCGTGAGTCAAGCGTTGCTGCGAAGGTACGCAAATTAACCATGAATAATCCTGCCCAGTGTAATTACAAGGCGCATCACGTGATTGTAAACTATCGGCTCGTGACACGCTCAGAATCGGAGTTCGACAGACCAATCATCTCGCCAGCAGAGTACTGCACTGCAGTCTCGAAGGATGATCTTCTACAGCAGTTGGACCGTAATTCGGTGTCCTAGGAATGCCAATTCACTGTCACCGAGAATAGAGACCGCGCTCCTTGCGTGTCGTCGTAAAAGGCAAGATGAAAAAAATGCTCTCTCAGCCACTCAATGGTATTAGTAGTTTCTAACAGGTCGATAGTTACCATATATGTACGCATTATCCCGTAGGCTCTTGAGAGTCTAAAATCAATTGCATAGATCATGTTTAAGCAACGAAATGAATGCAAACGCCACACGTGGCAAGGTCTTGATCAGTGTTAACAGGCAAATGTGATTTGAGCAGGGAGCAACCACCATCGTCACAACCCACGATCTTTACATGCTTCAACCAATTCAAAACGTTTCTCAGCCGGTGCACGGCCACATCTGCCTCCTCTATCCAACATGATCACTACACGGGCTAATCATGGCGGCAATATTCACAAAGCCTATATCGCCTTGGGGAGTAATCAAGGCGACCGTGTCGCCACGATCGAGCGCGCATGTCTAGAGATGGAGAGAGCTGGAATCAGGATAAAACGAACAAGCTCGCTCTTCCAAACGGCGCCAATGTATGTGCTTAATCAGGATGTATTTCTGAATGGAGCTTGCGAGGTACGACGAAAACAATCTTCCCCTAACCCAAATACGACTAACGATTCCAAGGTTGAAACCACCCTCGGTCCAATAGAGCTATTGGATACTCTCCAAGCAATCGAAAACGGCCTTGGCAGACACAAAACCGTGGACAAGGGCCCGCGGAATATCGATCTTGATATTCTACTATATAACAACGAGACAATATCTCACCCGCGGCTGAACATCCCGCATAAATTAATGATGGAACGCGAGTTTGTGCTGAGGCCGCTTTGCCAGTGAGTGAATCTGCTTACGAGTGTATATCAAGATCTATACTAATCTTTTGTTAGATTGATTCCCCACGAGAGAGTCCCGTCACCAGGACTCAATCTCACATATCTATCTGCCCTCAACTCCCTACCCCCATCAGACACAGTCCCCATCGTCACAACGCCCCTCTCACCTCACACCCCACCACTAACCCCGTCCAACCCTCAACGCAAAACCGCCGTAATGGCCATTCTGAACGTCACGCCCGACTCCTTCTCCGACGGTGGCCAGCATGTACACACCCCCGAGTCCCTAACCAGCACAATCCAAAGCTTCATCACCGCGGGCGCCACAATCATCGACATCGGCGGCGAAAGCACGCGGCCCCGCGCCACGCCTGTCTCTGAAGAAGAAGAACTCGCGCGCGTACTCCCTGCCATCAAACTCATCCGCAGTCTACCGGCCGCAAACAACATCGCCATCAGCATCGACACCTACCACTCGCGCGTGGCGGCCGCCGCCTGCGCCGCCGGCGCCGACATCATCAACGACGTCTCGGCCGGCACGCTCGACCGCGCCATGCTCTCGACCATGGCGGCATCCGGCAAGAGCGTGATCCTGATGCACATGCGCGGCGAGCCGTCGACAATGACCAGCATGACCAGCTACACGAACGGGCTCATTCCCGATGTTGGCAGCGAGTTACTCTCGCGGATCCGCGCGGCCGAGGAAGCGGGCGTTCGGCGCTGGCGGATTGTGCTGGACCCTGGCATCGGGTTTGCGAAAACCGCAGAGCAGAATCTGCAGCTGCTGCGTGGGCTGGATAGACTAAAGAGTATGGAGGGGTTGGATGGGTTTCCGTGGCTGGTGGGGACGAGTCGGAAAGAGTATATAGGGCGGATTACGGGGGTTAAGACGCCTAGGGAGAGGATATGGGGTACTGCGGCGGCGGTCACGGCGAGCATTGCGAGTGGTGCTGATGTGGTTAGAGTGCATGATGTAGAGGAGATGGACCAGGTGGTTAAGATGGCGGATGCCATATACCGGTTCTAAGGTATGGTGTTGTAGACGTATATATGAGTGGTGGGATTTCTCTTCAACAGGGAGCCGGACGGATTGGAATTGGTGTTGATTATCTATAAACATATAAATATCTGACTATTTTATACCAAATTTTTGACAAGCATTGGTAAACTCTACAGCCTATCGAAAGAAAAGAAGTAAATGATGATCTCTTGCAGAACTGGACAAACAGTACACCAGCAACACCCTTGTGCTGAATGTTAACAAATTGAAAGGAAACGCCGGAAACATGGTATCCTTAGAATCTCATCAAATCATCTAGCTATTGAGGTAGCTACGGATGGCGCCTGTGATAGTCAGTAACATATTCTTAAGACAAAAAGTGGTATTTGCTTACCTTGCAATTTGGTAGCACCCTCGCCCAAAACATGCGACAAGTTTTCCAAATCATCGCCAGCTGTGATTCCGAACCTGCGGACGAAATCCTTTGCCGCAGTCTCGAGATCGCCGTAGCCGTCATCAATAGTAGGGTAATCTTCTTCGGGACGACCAAAGTATGCGTTGCTGGATATAGATGAGGCTCCTTCGAAATTCTGCAGGCGGGACTTGGCTTCGGCTTGTGCTGAAGGGTCAAATTTATCACGCCCGAAAAACTCATCCGACGAGATACCCTTCTGGGTACCAAACCGAGTCCTTGTCTGCTCGAGCTCCGCGTCTGTACAAGTATATCAATGGACGGCTACGGCTAATTCATATCAGGGGATCTTACCATCATTGGCCGAACGTGCAGGCGCTACAGCGCCAAATCCAGGTTTCTTTGCAATAACTGGCTTGGACACTTGGCCGAATCCGAGACGGCTCATGCCCATACCGAGACGCTCCACATCAGCTGAGCTTCGTTCAGGTGCTTTACTTGTAGCCCCGAAACCGGCTCTGCTGGGGCTGATAGGGGTAGGAGACGCAATCTTTGTTGCCGCTTTCTCCTTGGCTTCCGCCTCCGCTTGTTCAGCTTCCGCGTCATAGCCAAGTTTTTCTATACGCTCCGCCTCCTCTTTAGCCTTGCGCTCAGCCTCATCAAAATCGATAACATCGCCGCTCGTAACCTTCTTAGCGCCCAGCTTTTGCGTCTTCTTCGAGCCCAAGATGTTACCCTTTTTCGCGCCAGCGCCTGTAGGACCCTTTCGTACGACGCTACCAGTTCGGACTGCAGTTGGGGGAGGTGAAGAGTTGTCCTTGCCATCCGATAGAGGTGATTTCGGCCGTGTACCGTTTCCGTTTGAGCCTGGATTCAGGAAGGGCGATGCGGTGCGGCTGGCGTTTGAAGGTGTACCGACTCGCGAAGGGGGGTTGCTGGGGCGTTTAATAGCGGGCTTGTCCCATGAAGAAAAAAAATCATCGTCAGGCTCGCCGGCCGGCGTTGCAGCGCCATCGCCAGGAGTGCCAGTGATATCAGTAATAACAACTTCTTCGGGGAACCTTCAAAATGGCTCAAGTTAATTGCCGGCACGATCATTACCAACGTAAAATCAAACTTACTCCTTCGCATCTAAAGCAGCCCGTCGCTTAAGTTCCTCCTTGTACTTGGTAGCAGCGTTGGATCCATACTTGACCTTTGGGTCCTTGCTAGCCAGCGCCGCAGAGCCTCCGTGAGATTGAAAGAACTTTGTGGCGGATTCATTGCCACCCACTTTCATCACTCGAAGCTGTTCCCATTGCCATTCTGTATACAAATCAGTTCGACTGCCACAAACTATAAACTAAAGAAGCCGGCTGCATACGGTCCAGAGTCGTCGACCGAACGAAGGAGATATGGACGCCTAGGTTGCGATGGTGCGACGAGCAGTCTAAGCACAGGTAGATGCCAAAAGGGACTGACGACCAAGTCGGGTTCTTAGATCCGCAATCGAAGCATAACTAGAGACCGAGTCAGCTCAAATGACCAGGTGTCGTTGCCAAAGGGGGCGTGGCGTTGTCGCGGGGCAACGCACTTTGTTTGCGGGCTTGGTCTTCAATTTCTCAAAAATCTTCTGCGACTGCGCCTTGGTGGCACTCATGATGGGCGGCAGAGTATACCACAGATACCACAGAGTCCAGGGGAGCGATGTTCAGGGTGAGGGAGGAGTGACTGGGCAAGAAGTGAACGTTGCGGCAGGAAGAAGTCGGGAGCGTAAGTCAACTTTGATTAAGTACAGTGAACGTGGTCTAAGGACCCGCAAACCACGGGCCGCCTTCACATTCGGACATATACTTGCCTTTTCGTGTCGATCTTTGCACGCACTATTGTTGGACATAGGCATTATTTCTCAGCATATCTACGTTATTTCAATCGATCCTTACATCCTGGCAATCCTGAGATTTTGAGTATCGAAAGCGGCCGGGTCGACTGCTTGTTAGGTGTCACGTGATCGGATATTGACAGTTGCCATCGCATAAAATAGAGCCAAGCGAGATGCCTTCGCGGACAGTCTCTCTTTTCGGGATACAGAGAGAATCTCCGACGTAACCGAATACCAGAAATATATGCGTGCGTGCAACCACAGTCCGTTGAAATTCGAAATCAGGTTATCACGTGATACGCCATACGCCATACGCCAAATGCTCCCCGCTGGAAGTTCTCTCCGCACGCTCACCCATCGAATGAGGATACACACTATTGAGCCATGCAGACACTGGTGATGCATCATCATGTACAGCTCTCTTCGACATAACCACCTCTCCGTCAGGAGCGGAAAGCTGCTCCAGACTTCCGTCAGAGCTCCGCGACCCTCGTCCTCAATCCTCCGGTCCTATGCGACGCAAAGCAGCTTAGGCGGGAATGGCGCATCCTCCAGCTCGGGTCCAACAAGAAAACAGATCTCAGTAATGACGGACGATGGGCGGTATCGATGGGGGGAGCTGAGTGGCGGTGAAAAGGTTGCTCGAGCCACGCAGCAGTCATTCAACTTTCTAATTGTAGCCCTCGGCGTGGTCATGACGGTTCGTCAGACTGGCTATTTTTTGTCGTGAATAAAGCTTATGGTATTATCTAGGGCGGTGTTATTACACTCTTGTATACCGATGTTTTCTCCCCGAATAGCAAAACCTGGCAGTTTGAAAAAGCGGTCGGTCGTATCAAGGACGACCCCCGATGTACAGCCCTGCTTGGCGATAGCAAGAAAATCAAAGCGTATGGGGAGGCAACATGGAACAAATGGGCTCGGAATAGGCCAATTGCGTATGTTAACTGTATTTCACCGACTCCTCGAAGACGTAACTAAGGTGAAATAGCACAACGGTTCAAAAAGACTCGATCGGGAGGGAGCATATGAGAATACACTTCAATGTGAGATCCCAGTGGATATTACGATGTCAGGAAATTATCTGACATCTCTATTAGGTTGAGGGGCCTTTGAATCGAGGCGTTGTGCACGTGCACATGATCAAGCCCGTCGATGAACACCAATACCATTATCGGCTTCTGGCCTTGGATGTGCAAGGTAAATACTTGCAATCAGCTTGAGTTGCTGTATACTAACTTTATTAGGACATCCCCGCATAATCCTCGAACAAACCAGTGACACCTCATTAGGAGGAAAGAAATCGCCATTGAAAATCTTGGGTATTAACTGGCGTTGAGCTCGACAGCCGCCCAACAACCATGCTGCACAAATCAGCAACAAAGAGGTCGCAATGGCTGGTCAATGAGATATCTCCGGTCGATGAAATATGCTTTAATACGCATCACGCTTCTAGCCTGGTCATGGTAGTCTATCGAATGGCCGTCACGGCTCTCCTTTCTAGGGGTTGATATCTACGAGAAAGACACAGGACTTTGTTTAGCCGTGACTACAGTTCTACCGGGAGGAAATGCTTTCTCTAAGATATCGAGGACAATATGTTCCTCTACAAAAAATGTAACATATTCTTACCTTAGTTTGGCTCGAATCTATAGTTCGCCATCTATGTAACAATCCATCTGAAAATAAAGACAATGATAAAGACCATGAAACCTCAGATCAGCCTTCAATCTCGTCCGGTACATCCTTAACTCTTGGCCATCCCTCAACCGACCGTCCAGACCACGTCGCAACAGCCTCAATCGCCTGCTGAACACTCTCCGTGTCAGCCTCATTCACGCCCAACCGTCTCAAGCCTCTAAGATGCCAAATAGTCGGCGCGCTCAGACCCTGTGTCATAATACTCGCCAGAATGACCAGCTCTGCCTCGACCGCAGACAAAACTTCATGGTCCGAAAGAAACAGACCATAAATAACTGCGCGTTCCATCCACATGAAATCACTCGCAAACGTGCCCCACGACGCGCAAATAGGCGCGAGATTTTCCTTGTAAAGGCTCTGTAAAAACTTTGTACCTCTGTCGGGAATACTTTCATTCATATCGAGGTTTTTCCTGCGCATTTTTTGCTTCGTCAGTACAATTATCTTTTATCTTATAACCCCGTTACTAATTAATAGACAGAAGTTTGTGATTACCGATGCTGAGGAAACTCCAACAATCCTTCCTCCGACGGCGGCTCAATCTTGATTCCTCTTTTCTCATTCCTGGCCGTTTCAGCTTTTCCCAGGGCAGTCACGCCGTATACAACCGGGGGAATGCCGACAAGGGTCCACTCTTTCATTAACAGGTCACTGAGACGCGCCTTGATGCGTTTCTCTTCCGCGTCATCGACCCTTTCTACGAGACTAGTGTAAAGAGGGCCCAACTCCGCCGGTTTCCCACAGCCGACCAGGACCGAGGCCTAGTTAATATGTTAAGTAATTGTTTGAGAAAGGTGGTTTGGAGACTGACCTACCACGATCAGATACCATGCATCTTTCTGGAATTGCGGTGGCAGGAGCGTCTGTACTGTGCCGCACAGGTCTTGTAGTGATGATGACGTGCGTTGTGTCGAGGTCATTTTGGTAGAGTAGTATCGGGGATAGAGTGGATGGCTGCCTAGTTTGATAATGGATGGGATTGTGTACTGAAGCTGTCTGTTGTAGATGTTAGTGGTTGTTGATCGAAATAAACAGCCGAAGCGGTAAGCCGGTATGGGCGTCTTCATAGGGGCTTCGAGCAGATTTGGTTGTTACAGCCCGGGGGTTGGTATATTTGCTGCAATATGAATTAATTATCCCAGTTCCATTTACCAGATGTCGTTTTCCGGGTGGTGGTCAATCAATTGATACATGTATTGCTTTTCTGCATGATGTTGACAGAACAAATAAGCGTTGTGGCATGCGGGCCGAGAATCCGAGATCGGCGGCAGGCTTGATGCGTATCGGGGTGTCGGTATATATGTATAGCTATTGTGGATTTATTAATATACATTTTGATCTAAATGTCTTGATTAATTGTCAATACTTCCTAGATAATTCTCTTTCAACATTTTGAAGAACTGAGAGTTTGATATTGGACATCTGGACTGTCGAAATATATATTTCAATTACTGTGTATATATAACCGCTACTCGTTAGCTCTGGATATAAAATTCCTGAATCTAGTTAGATGTCAATGTATTCATGTAGACTACGAAGCCTTCTTCAACAATAATGACCTTGGCAATTCACCGCAGGATTATGAATCTAAGAAATATGTTCATTATAGGAGAATAAACCGCATGATCATCGCGATCCACTCGTTGCGGTTCATTCATTGCAATAATAATGAGCGAGGAAAATCCCTATAATAGCTAATTTGGTTCAATTACTATATTAGATGAGGTGAGGATCTTGCCAGGATTAAGTTAACCTAAGGAAGATCAAGGAGTTTTTCATTGTAGAATCTCTCCTAAGGTGATCTAGGACTGAAATCAAACCAGAAAAAGCAGACGCCTATGGGATCAGTTTAGAGGTATAACTGTGGTAGAACTGTAGCTGATTTGCAATATAATTCCATCAGCTGTACGATATTTTCAATTTCCTGTTGTCTCACCACCAGCATCCCTAGCGAGAGAGTCTGCATGTACTTCCAAGAATAATTTGTATAGACATAAATCGACAACCAATTCTCCTCCTTTATATGGCATCATTAGAGCGAGTGATAGGGGTGTCTTACTGCAAAGAAATCTGTGGCTTTAGAATTAGGGTTACTATCAGCTTTAAGCAGCAACTGGATGACGGCTTCATTTCCGGCCCATGTTGCCCAGGACAGCGGAATCCGTCCTCCTCTCGACCGAGTGTTCACTTTAGCCTTAATGGCAAGAAATAACCTTACCACATCGCACGACCTTCTTCAGCAGCTAGTGATAAAGCCGTTCGGCCGTTAGCTTCACTTTTCGACTCCAACAACGGCCTCAAGCAAGAGCTGGACCACATCTTTGAGTCCATTCCTCGCTGCCCACCACAACGGCATCCACACGAATTGACCTTTCACCTCTGGAAGGCAACAAATGATCCAGTAGCATGTTGACTACGGCCATAGGTTCATAGTTTGCTGCTCACCACAGTGGGAGTCCGCTATATTGGGATTGGCAACTTTCTCTTCCAATGCCTTGACAGTACTTAGGTTTCCGGATTCTGCGGCATATGATAGCGATGTCCTAGAAGCTCATTATAGTGCGGATGAATGCCTGTTGCAAACAACAGCCTGACGAAGGTTTCGTGGCTCTTTACTGCAACTACTGACAGTGTAGTGCCACTATATGCATCATGAAAATATGGATCAGCACCGTTCGCAATCAGAAGCTCGACTACAGTATCCTGTCCTACATTTGCCGCCAATAGTAAAGGTGTCCTCCCCATGAAAGTATTATAATTGGGACCAACTCCTTTTCAAGGAGTAGTCTTGCTGTAGCCTCATCACCGATTTCTGCAGCGTGTGAAAGTAAAGAACGGCCACTATTGAAGGAAGAGTGAGGATCGGCGTTTTTCTCGAGTAAGAGTTTGACTACATGGTGGTAATCCCAGTGTACTGCGTACAGAATTGGCGTGCCATCCTCCCCGTCGGCATGAAGATTGTCCCCATTTTCCAAAAGTTTTGCTATTGTTTCACTCAGCTCAAAACATGCAGCAAGATGAACGCCTGCCATTTGACTCGGAGCATCCTGACTATAAGAGAGGTTCTCCTAATTGTACCTATGTTAATATATTGGTTGCTATCAATGAGACTAAGGACTCTAATTTTTAACTTATAGAATATTACAAACATAGTTTAACAATATTTCCTTCGAATATTAGTTTTACTTTAATACTTATTCTGCGCTAATAGTCTCTGGGAGCAAGTAGTAACATTAGAGAAAGAATTTAAAAATTTAATAGTAACTCCTGTCTTAGGTATTATATCCCTTTGCTTATCCACTGTGATTAACCCTGCTCCTACAGACACCATTTGTTCCATATCAGGAAGGTTTTCAATTCATTCCAACCATACCAGGCTCCTTAGATTCTTCAAGGCGGAAACACCCACAGCGAGATAGCAACCCTTTAGTAATTGCCCAAGTACGCCACTGTCGCAATTAGCCCGTGTTAACGATGAATCTAAGGCAGCAACCGATAGTATAGGATTTTGGATATCAAATTGGCCCAGGAAGCAGTCTCGGTAGTGCCGTTTTCAAATTATGTGTTATGTAGATAATAACGTTAGAAATAAAATGAATATCAAAAATTTCTCTCAACATTGGTTACCTCTATATACGCATAGGAATTACATAATCGCATTACCTATAGCAATAGTATTGGCTACTGATTTCATACCGCTCTAGAATCAGGAGCTAAAGCGACTGACGTGCCATCGAGTTGATAGCAAAGGGACCTCAAATCTAACGAATACTCCATAATCTGTGGTCCAAACAATAAGGCACATGATGGCGATTCCAGGCTGACTCCAGCGCGCATGGTGGCACACTGGTTATACAAGATGACACTAGTAACCAAACCCGTCGATTATTCTCAGCCCTTGTCTACGGCTAAAGTCGGCACTGTAGTTGCATGAGCGGTACCCATACCAACATCTGCGCCGCAAGATACCCCTGCTCATGCGTATAGTGATTGGCACTCTAGTTGTATGAGCTGTACCTATACCAACATCCGCGTGTACTGTAAGATACTTTCAATATCTGTGCCGCGAGATATCCCTGTTCATACATATATTAATTCCACTTCATTAGTTGTATGAGCTATATCCCTGCCAATATCTGTGCCGCAAGATACTTCCAACATCTGCGCCGCAAAGCCGACGGATTCCAAGTCTCCTTTATTCTTTACACGCTCATTCTTTGATCCCGCCCCACTGCGGGGACAGTAATTACAGCCAAGGATATATACAGTAATCCCTGTATTTTACATGTCACTAGCGTCAACTTGTAGCAAACTTTTCGGCCCGACATTATCCCGAGATATCGTCGTTGTACGTGAGGTTAAGGGTTACAGGTACAGCGTGACGTCGGCTGCAGGTTTTAATAAAAAGCTAGGGAACGGGTGCTCGGAAAGCAAGTCTCTTAGCATGCCCGAGAATTTTCGCCAGATTATACCCTCCTTCTAGAGATATCTCTGTCTACAAATTGGAAATGTAGTCCTAAGTGAGCTTATGCGATTATCAGTTTAGTGCCTGGCATTCTGTTTTTCTCTCCGACCTTAAGAACCGGTTAATTCAATCCTTTTTTTGGACGATATGCTCGCCATGGAATACCAATCCGTGAGAATTTTTATGTAAGGTTTTAATATTTAATGCCTACTAACCTCTCTGCTAGGCTCACTCTTTGCTTGGATGTCCTGTGGAAGTGTGCTACTCTATCTTCTCATACCTGTCTCGAGCCGACCTTCACGATATTTGCCTTGTCCATGCAAATTTGCGTACACTCGCTGAACCATATCTATATTCGAATATACAGTTCACATGGGAGGAAGAATTGCAGCCTCAACCAATTACCTCACTGCTGCGCAGCCTTTTACGCCGGCCTCAATTAGCCACCTATGTCAGTAGAGTCTCTCTAAGCGGATCTTATTTCCACAATCCCTTCTTTGAAAGCAGGGCTCCCAAAATTCTAGTTTCTGAGAGTGAACTAGAGGAGCTCCTAGGGTTTGTAAGGAAGACTACGGTCCCATATCGCTGGACATGGTTGGAAGAGCTGCGGAATGGGACAATGAACGCATTTGTCGCCGTCTTACTATCCCAACCATTGCGCCTCACTTGCCTCGTGATTGATGGTGACTTTCTCTGGGAGAGTCAATTTATTGGCCTGGTGTTTCGGTCAATGATCTGTGAACCTAATGCCTATAACTGTGGTCTACGACTCGATTTTAGTTATCTCGAGACAGTATCCCTACAAACTTCTTACGATCATTTCCGGTTTTACAATAATGCGAGGAATACAGCAGACCTTCTTCCCATTTTTTATCTGCCATCTATCAAGCGACTTTCCGCCTCAATTGATAATCCAAAAACATTCTCGTGGCCAGCAATACATCCGCCTTCTTCTTCAAGACTCCATGATCTAAAGTTAGAATATCTACGGGACCCTTTTCTTGGACAGGTACTCTCGGCTACGGATCAGCTCAAATCTCTTCACTGGAAATGGCACTTTTACGAGGAAGTTTATGACGAACAGTTTCGCATGCGCATTATAGACTTAACACAAATTACTAAATCAATATCCTACGTTCGAGAAACCTTGACTGAACTTGTCATCTCGGCTACAAATCATGACGATTCTGATCCACTTCCACTGACCATTCAAGGTTCCATGAAGGGAATGAGCGAATTTAAGAAACTAACAAAGCTTTCTATCCCGGTCACATTCCTAATGGGGGGGTGGTCCGCAGACCTGACCAAGAGAATAGAGGATTGCCTTCCTCAAAGCCTCGAGTTTTCAACTATAACTGACGATCTAAGCGCAAATAACGAGTATAGATGGAGGGATCACGATTTATATAATGTACTTGAACGATGGCTGAAAACTTATCAGGCCTCTACACCCCAGCTTTGCGATGTAAAATTTATATTCCATCACCCGCACGAGAATGCAGCTCTCGCTCCGGGGCTAAGTGGGCTTACCAACAAAGTGAGAGTTCGATTTCAACGGGTTAGGTCCGGAGGTCGTGGTAGACTTGGGGGCTTTGGCCGTGGTAGAAGTACCTAGTATAAAGGTGTCTGCCAAAGGACAGTTCTAGGTTCATAATATGCATGGTTTGGGGAACTCGGTAACCAGAAGCGGGGCGTGAAAAACCAAGCAGATGTAACTTTAGCATAGACACTCCTGGTGTCTAGATCCCTGATCTTTGGCTTTCAACTACAGTTTCTTCATAGTTCTTCATGTAGAACCAAGTTCAATCAGGATTTTCAACAAAGCAAATCCTCTGGAGTTTGCACTAATCCTGCTCTTGAATTTATCACTACGATTTACATACATCAGAGTATTATACGTAGGGGCGGCACCTGTACCCCCTAGTCCTGTATTTTTCAGGAGAAAGTCATCCACAGAATTCAAAAGTTTCTGATTGACCCACACAGTTGGATCTGATCCTTCCTGGACACCCCCCCCAGCAAGATTATCCAAGGAATAAGGCTGTGCAGGAATATTCGTGCTGAGTGTTCTCAGGTTTTGATCCTTCACAAATAAATTACATCCCCAGTCATCCTTCAATTTTCATTAGCATTGGTATTGAGAGGCTGGAACAGTAAATATGTTGACTCACCTCTGGGTTATTTCCACATGGACGTGCCTTAAAAACAACACCTGTGCGCGGATCATACACCACTGCGCCGATTCTGGCATTTTGAGCTGGCAGGTTGGTCGTAGTGGTTGGGGAGAGGTAGTATAGATGAGCTGCCATTTGCTCGGCACATTTCCCTCGTCGTCTATGCTCCTTGGCTGTGGAATCTTTACGTTGCTTAAGATATGTGGTTTGACATCTTTCAAGGCTCAGGCGCACCTCACTTCGTGGTCCTGCATACGTAAACGAGTTGTCCCCCTTCTGTCCGGAGGCCAAGATGGTCCCATTGCCCCAAGCCAAGACTTTTAAGGAAAGAGGGTATTTGGTTTCTGGGTCAAGACTGTACCGTTCCAGATCGTCGCCTATATAATAATAGTCATCGAATGCGAGCTGCCACAACTGCCCATCGGTAATGTGGCTGACCGGTGCATTGAACGTGATGTGGCTGCTCCAGAGAAAGTTCCGCGGATCTCTAGATGTTGTACCCTTTGGCCACGCCGCAGCTAGTGGGTAGTCGAGGGTTATTGCAAGTTGTTTTTTGGGGGTTTGGCCGGGGCGAGATTGAAGGCATGTGGTACTAAGCTCAAGTAGCACCAAACCAGTACTCCCAGAAGTCCGTACCGCATGCTGAAGCCTAGAATATTGAAGAACCTATGAAGGTCTGGTAGAGAGGGAAACACTCGTTACTGATTTCAATAACCTCCGGCTAAGAAATTCAGTAGGCATGGGCCAATATTTATCAAAACGAATTTGATACTAACTTACATGCTATCCTCCTCTAACATTAAACTAGTAATTATAGTGTATTTTATATTAATTGCAAATGCCTTGTTCTCCATATATGTTGGTCATTTCCATGCCTATTTTAGCAGCTTCTTGGCGAATTTACTCTCATTCCAGGGCCGTTTTGGTCACCCCGAACACAGAGCATGACTCATAGCAAAACTTATCAAATTGTTTTACTTGCAGATTTATTGCTTATGCCTACTGTCGCTTTTGGAAGGGCAACATGCTGAGCTGAGCCTCGCTTAGCTTATAGCTTCTCTGCACCCAATAAAGTCAATACAGATGTCCAACTCAAAGGCGCACGGTAACGGGTTGATTTCTGCATAGAAACGAGGAACCGGTCAAGTTCTAAAAAACCGGCTACCCAGGTACTGGCTATTGGCAGGCACACCTGTCATAAGCCTAATCCGTGTTACTCTATTCCTGGGTGTAAAGGCCTAACACGTGGAATAATCCCAGTCCTGCTATAAAGGGGCAACGTATTACACGCGTAGGAAGAAGTGAATTTTGAAACCAACATCATTTCATGCGGTTTCCAAGGAAGTCCTCACCGAAATCTGTTACTTCTGACTCGATCGTCCAAATCAGCCTCGTACTATTTCTTTCCAAATCGGCCAACTCTGGGTATGTATTGATCCTTAGTTTATTACAGTGCTAGAACTTACTATTAATATGTTATTGATGCCTGGGACTGGGATTAATTAAATGACTAATAGCCTACTATTATATCGGTATGTACATGTATACTTGTCACCGAGATCCGCTAAGCTCCTATATCCTTTCTACCATGGGGCTATCTCGGAAACGGATCGTTATAAAGTGTACCCGTTTACCGCTTGTATATTAGTACTAATCGCCGAGCCGCTTTTTCCTTAGAATATACCGCTTCCCGTTATCTAGTTAACTAATACTGTTGACAGCTTGAAAAGTGGGTGTAAGCACCCAGCCTTGGGCGAGACCATATATTTCCCTTCTAGAGGCCTCATACTGAATCCTTAGTTCGAGAATCAGATTCAGCTCTCCTGACTAAGGAAAGGATGCCTGTTATAAAATTCCGCGAAAAATGACCGAGATCCCCTCTGTAAAAGAAAGGTGATATTAGTTTATACGCATGTAGCTGATGAATTTGCTGGCCGTGCTTCAAATATTCAGTGCACCACACAATCCACATTCTCTCGAAATAGCGCGGGGTAGGTGAAGCGTAGAGACCATGGTAGTGCTACAGTGATAAGTATCTAAAGTTATTTTGTTTTTTAACTTTTGGTGATCGGACATTTTATTTCCGTAAGCTCGTATTAATGTCTCACTCGATCCCGGAAAGACAACAACAAGATACTGTTCTCACATTTTTTTTCTTGTTCATAGTGATGTGGAACTAGGAAACTAGGACTACGAAGTCCATGCCTGGACCTACCTTAGTTATAGAAATTCTTTAGTGTATGTTGTGGAGTTAGGTAATGAAGACGCCTATCCGAGCCAAACTGAAATGAGTGTCTACATTTGGAGTCAACTGAACTTTATAAAGCACTAATAATTTTGAGTTCGGCTGATTCAGACCACGAGTGAATCTTCACGTGGCGTATGCCTCGAAACCGTTTTTGATAAGTCAGGTTTTATGGGTTGGCGCATGGCTGGACCATCCTCGAAGTCGTTCACGAAATTACCTTGCCATAATACAAGGGCCGATTGGATAAAAACTGCCTTTCGGGGATTAGAGTGGTTTGTATGATATAAATATATCCTTTTAATGCATGCCCTAGTGCCTGTGGATGAATCAGGCATCTAAGAGGCAATTTCCGAGACCATTTTGATAAGAGATGAGGTGCTGTGGTTGCTATAGATCAAGTGTACCTTAGAAACCCTCTTAGTTATATTGCTATTCTTTTCGCTTTACTTTTCTCATTTTTCCTTCTTTTAATAATATGCCAGAAATACATCGGCTTTCAAAAAATTTAATTAAACAATCAAGCCATTATCGGAGGATTACTCCTCCTTAACACCAAGATTGACATATAGCCTATCATCCATTTGTCATTTGAATACTTGGTTGATAATACTAAACAGTCCCAGATCTTCACAATACACAGTTGATACAGAACTACTTCTGAGCCAATATTTACCCATTTCTTGTGCTCGTGGTCATGAAATACGCAGCCATGAGACAACCAAAGTTTCTTCACCTAGCCGGCCTTATCATTTTTGGCTTGTCAATTCCACTTTACATCCGATTTTGCTTCAGGTAACTATATTGTTGGGAATTATTTTACGTCCATTAGCTAACAAGCTATTATATCTATTATAGTGGCCCATCGTCTTTCTTGTTTAGATTTATGCCAGGAAAGTCCCATCCGTTTGCAGAAGCAGTTCGAAAGATGAACGCTCCATTCATTCACCCAATAACAGCTCCGTACTTTGTTACATATGAGGGATACAATTTCACCCTGAAGAACGCTCCGATTTGGACAAAACCGTTGGGTAAGGATCTGTGTGTCGTAGACATTGACAACAGACCATTTTCGAAGAAACATGAGCTTTTTGATGAACATCTACTCAACTGGGGTTCGTTTGACAAGTATTCAGTTGGCCTTTTGAATCATTATCTTTATGGTACGGAATTATTCCAATAATAACTTCAAAATATATTGGCCATCGGAGCTGACTTGAATATAGCCTTGATCCATGGTTACAGATACACCTTCATACACGTTGCACAAAAGCCATCTGATCGCTATGTCTCTTGGGCCAAAGTACCTGCCATTATCGAGCATCTGAAAGAATGCAAATACGTTCTTAACGTTGAAGCAGATGCCATCTTCAAGGAGCTCACATTACCAATGGAATGGCAGATGAACTATTGGAACTTTACAAAGAATACCAAGGTCGCGATTCCATCCGACCCGACCGAGGACTGGAACCTGGACTGGCAGGGGAATGTGAACTTGAATACTGGATTTATCCTTGCAAAAAACACTCCTCGAACAGTTGAGATATGGGAGAGTTGGAAATCCTGTCTGGATGACTATCATCGCTTCCCGGATTGCCAACAATTCAGGGACAACTGGCCGGCCGAGCAAGGTGCGTATTCCTCTATAATACGTTACCTATATAATGAACCGGATGATCTCCTGGTCATACCATGTGGCGAAGCAAATGGATATCCAGAATCAGATTCCGACTGCAATGGCTCGTTAAATTACCAACACTTTTGGATCAAGAAGGAACAACTTCTGAAGGATAAAGCTACTGTACCGATGATGCAGTTGACAATGCAAAGCTTGCACCTAGATCTTCTGATCAGGAAGGAAGAGGTATTAGTACAGAAACCAGGCTTCTATACGTTCGCGGCCTATGAGTAGACAATAGGGGAAATAAGGACGGCATAATGGCGGGGAAACGTCTGGATAACGTTTATTCACTTTATATGTTTCTTTTCTTGCTGTATGAGATTCTATTATAATAAAGAAATATGTTTAACTATAAAGCATTTTTGAAATAAAATAATATTCAATAAAAATATCAATTGATATCGAATAAAGTATAGTATACCGACTGCAAAAAGTATCAGATACAAAAATGAATTTTATTATTATTATTATTATTTACATAATCGGGATCAATGCGCGTCCCTTTTTTGAGTGAAAAGCGCATCTAATTATTTAAGATGAGGAGGAATCGGCAAATGAGTGGTGTTGATATTCGTTACATCTACTTCAACCTAGTTTACTGATAACTAATTGCTACAGGCCCTGGCAACCAGGCTTGGTGGATTTCAGTGCTCCCAAGCAGAATGGGAAATGATAATCAAAATAGGAAACATGAAGATGATATCCCAGAATATCTATATGCCGAATCCTAAATGCGTCACATCCTGGCGGTGCCCCCGCTGAGCTTGAAGAAAAAGTATATGCACCAGCTTTACCATTTCAGCGTCCAGTCGCTGCTCCAAGCCCCCGCACTTGTGAGATCCTGCAGTCCATTGACCAATAGGACTTGAGAGGTTGCATTATAAGATACCGAACTCTTCGAAACCGGCTTGCCGTTCAAGGTAACGGATGATGGCGTTTTCTGTACCCCCAACACTGTGACATTTGCCAGGGAGTTAGTCTCCTTCCAGGAACCATTCATGGAAGCGGTGAGTGTCGAATGAGATGCAGCAAAGTCGACATTAAGCGTTGCATCAGGAGTTATGCTTTCTCCATCGTCAACATAGAGCTGACCGAAGGCGGTGCCTTGACCGCTTAGAGCGACCAACAGTGACCAAGGACTATTTCGCACATCACGAGTGGTCAATGCAGGTTGTTGCATCGGCAGGACACTTCCACCCCGCACAAAAACGGGGATGTGGCCTAACGGGGCTTTAATAGTGGTATTGACACCCGGTTTCGCATCGAAAGCTGTCTGAGAATACCAGTCATACCAGACTTCACCCGTGCCGACTCCAGGGAATACACCTTTGGTGACATTTGCCTGAGGCTCAAGCACAGGAACGATCATCAGTGAAGGTCCTAGTAGAAATTGAGTCTCAACTGCTGCTAGAGATGGGTCATTGGGAAATTCCCAAGATAGAGCACGCATGACCGTCGATCCCTTGGTGCTCGCAAGGTGGAATAGAGTGTAGATGTAAGGTAGAATGGCATAACGTATCTTCATCGCGGACTTGGATGCATCGGCCACGGAAGCCCATCTGTATGGCTCCTGAGGAATTGCAGATAGGACATTGTGGTTGCGGTAGAAGGGGAAGAATGCAGAAAGCTGCATCCAGCGACTACAGAGCTCTTCATCGGTATTTCCATTGAAGCCGCAAGTGTCAACACCGAACATGGGAACACCGAAGAGAGAGAAGGATAGTGCTTGGGGAATGGAGAAAAACATGTAAGCCCACTTGGAAGCGTTGTCTCCACCCCAATGCCCAGCCCATTTGCCGCTCCCTGCAAACGTGGAGCGAGCAATGATGAATGGACGCTTTCCTGGAAAGATCTCCATCAAACTGTTGTAAGTTGCGTTTGTTTGCTGGTAACCATAGAGATTGTGTACATCATATTCCTGGACACCGTCCGCGTGAGTCGCATTGGGTGAAACTGCATGAACGGCGAGATCATGACCATTTTGCACATGATTAATTACATATGGTGGATAGTTGACATTGCGAACTCCAGGGGTAGGTGTGGTCTTCAAGTAGCCAGTATAGGTTGGTGTGGGACCCGATGTGGCAGACGCAGCTTGGCTGGACGATGCAGCAGATGCAGAAGCAGCCTCGGTAGCATTCGTCACGTTGAAAGACTCTGGATAGTCGTAGATAATGTTTCCAGGCTCTCCTGGAAGCTGAAAGGGGGGGTGAACCGGATTCAGAGTAAGGTTGCCTGTACCGCAGCTGCCAACACAGAATGACGAAACCTCATTCATGTCTAACCAGATGCCATCAAACGACACATTCTGGTGCCACAACATCAACTCACTGGCCCACCAGTCACTACTGTTTGGATTGTGCCAGTCAGGAAAGACAGTGTAGCCTGGCCAGACGGCTCCAATATACTGACTTCCATCAGGGTTCTTCAACCAGATGTCACCTGCTCTGTTATAGGGAGGATAGCTAATGTAAAAGAATTAGTTTCAGCGTTAGCCATAGAATGACGGGAGAAAAGCGTTGCTTACGCGTCAGAAGCATCCTCAGGGTTAGGAACATAAATTGCTGCATCGACAATTGGAACGTAGTGCTGGCCATCCTGGTGAAGCTGTCCGAGGAACCTTGCAGCTTCACCGTAAGAAAATCGGACCTGATCATTATCGAAATCGCGATACTGGTTCATGTAGTCGATATCAGACCTAGAACTGATGAGAATTATTTAAGTATTGGGGATTAAATGTCCATATTACCAGATAGTCTCCAGAGGAATCTCAAAGTTCTTGAAATTTGTCACTACTTCCTGCATCTCCGTCCAATTATTGTATCCCCATCGGCATTGATGGTAACCAAATGCGAAGTACTGCTGCATTGCTGGTAGTCCAACAGTGCTTTGCTGGTAATTCTTAGTAATTTCTGGTTGTGATGGGCCTGAATAGAAATACAGATCAACACTGCCACCGATTGTCCGCCAGGTGAGGTTGTTAGGACGCAGAAGGACCTCCTGGCCGTGGGCATTCCGTAGGAAGACACCATGAGAGAAAGACTTATATTTCTTAGAATTATGGGTCTCATCGGTAGTAAGCAACTTATAATTCTTGCCATCAACCTCGTAATAGCGGGTGTCCAAATAAAAGGGATGGGTTCCATAGATGTTTCTACAAGAAAAGTAAGCATGAAGAATTTATTTCAATTTCACAACGCAGGAAAGCATTTTGGGTGTGATATATATAGCACTTACTGGTCAATTGGATCACCAACATCCGCAGCGTAGGTCGTCACTGTGTAGTTATTCCCAAGTCGCAAGCTATGGATGTGCTCACCAAGCCCGTAGAGGTTATAATTCTCCGGCAAGGAGCTAACAAACTCAATGAATTGGTCTTCAAATACAAGAACCGTTCCTTCCGTGTTGAAAAGAGTATCACCAGTGGTCTTACGTGTCACCTTGAAGCTGAAGGATGGCTCATTCGACCAATTAAAGGTAAGATCGCTATGAGCACCCACGGTAGCCGGCTCAACAGTGGGCTTGGGCACAATGTTTTGTGGAAGCAAATACCAGGATTGATTTGAAGCATCAATGTGAGTTGGGACGATGTTGATGTTCAGCCTGTCCGCAGACTGGTGTTCCACAGTCAGGTTCAGATATTGGACGTCTGTACCGTATACGTTGCAAGCAGCACCAGCCAGTTTCAACGTAGCTGTGATGCCAAACTCGGTCTTTTGGACATTTGATGCAGTGTATCCGGGACAAACTTTCTGAGCATTGACGGCTGTAGCATCGTCAATGTTGGCAATCAAATTTGCACCATAATTGACAGAGTTAGGTACAGTGAACTGTGCTGGAGGTGCTGTAGTCGCCGCACTTGAAGGTGCAGCAACAGCACCAGTCACAAAAAGCCAGGTGCTGGCAAGGAACCCAGCGGAGCTGACCATGTTTGCTGGTAGATAGGCAGTATGAGGCTTCATTCCACCAGCACCTTCAGCATTTTATCCCGTCGATACAATGAGAACAAGGGCCTTTTATATTACTTCTCTGCATGAAAGTTACTGCAAATCCCAAAGCTATCCAGGACATTCGTCGGGGGCCCCGCAATTTCCCCGACCCTGATCCACATGTACTACCTATGGAGGCTCTGGCTCCGGCTATGATTGATTGAATAGAAGATTCCATCGAGATATTCTGGAATGTGACCGCTAGGTGAAATGGCAAATTAATTAAATAGCAGTATCTGGCTGTCCTATAGTATCGTGCTCTCCTGCTATTCTTAGTCTTTTGAGGGCCTAGCTGAAATTTTGCTTGACCTTCTGTCAGCCTAAATAAGAGCCAAATTAATTACCGCTACCCTTGAAGGTGACCCTTTTGGTGTAGTAATTTTTACGGCCGTCACCTTCACTCTCTGCCAAATCTCTCAGCTTACCATGGAACAAATTCCCCGATATCCCGACGCTAAGCTGGCGTGGTGCGTGCCCAAAACCTGGATCAAGCAACCCCACCTTAGCAATCCCTCGCATTAAGCAACAGAAACCGTGTCAAGATTATATTTACATACAAAATTGCTTATTGCCTCATTTCTAGGTGATTGCTTATGGTTTTACCCTCTCTCTATATACAATTGTTTGATCCTAGGTCTTAATGTACACCACTTGTTTGGCGACCCGAGTCCCTAGTCGACGGAATGTGGGGTAAAGTCGAAATTAGTGCACGGACGGTTGCAATAAAAAGTAGGCTAATATTTAGTGCAAACTTTTATTGGTTATCAATTTGTGTCCACTTTTCTCGACTATTGCCACATCCTCTGGTGGGAATGATTATGGTTAGGGTCAGGAGAGGAAAATTAAGAGATTGCAGGAGGGTTAGAGAGGATTAGGACTAGAGATTTGGTAATTATTTCTTCAATGTTACGATTGGATAGAATATATATACATAAGGCTTATAAAGTAGCTACTCCATTTCTTGTTGTACTACATCACTACGTAATCGGCTCTCGCCAGATCGTACGTTTTCTATCGGACCTCCTCCGGTTTTATCGTTTAGGCCTCGATTAAATCGGACTTTAGGCCAGACAAGGATTTCGTTGCTGTATCGGAGGCGTGCAACTACACGGGACAGTTCTGGCGGGGAGAACCTTAGGGCGTGTCCCTACGCTGATCTGCTGTTGAACCTTTTAGGCACTAGTTTAATAGAAACCATCCCGCCACAAGCATCAATTTGAGGGGATCTACGGATACCTGCTTTGGGCTGATGCTAAGGAGTTTCAGTCTTCCATTGCTCTAAACTCCTCGCTTTTCAGCAATCTTATCCTTCGATTTTGCCCGTGTTGCTAATCCATCTTAACCGTCCGCTTGGTCTCCCGACTGGGTAGAATCGTGCCGTTTTATTAGCTGTGACAAGCTAATTTAAGCTTGATCGGTTATCCTTCGCATCCTATGGCCTGGTCCTAGGACTCAATTATAAATCATCTCTAGAAGAGGGTAAAAGGCCTATTAGATGCTAGGCACTCTTTTTGGCTGATTCGTGGCGGTAGCTTGGTATTAAGTGAGAGTGAACCAGCCAATCGGGCGGAGTATTAATTATAGGCCGATGTTGGATTTAGTTTGACCCCTGGCCGCTCGTCAGAGCCACATGAATCCTGCTTTTCCTCGTGTCCAACCCGCACGTCAATCAATGTCTGCTCACAAGTGTGTCGGTAACCCGACCTTCAACGAGGTCTATGCTGGTGCCTTCTCAGAATGGCCAGAGAAACTTCCGGGGGTCATCTGCAAGACGCCACCAATCGGCACCAACAGCGCTCCGCGATTTGCACAGTGCTGCTCCGGCCCTGTATACAACATCACATCACCGACTGTTCCGGATGACCTCGCTTACCCGGTCACCTGCGCCACGTTGTGCCAGATTTCACCAGCTCTAAACGCCGATAACGACAAAAATCCATACGGTTGGAGCGACCACTTCATGTGTTTGACGGATGGTGGTATCGATGCCTCGAATTGGGAGGTCGTCTGCGACACTATCACTGTGTCAGGCCAGTCGGCACCTACTTCGTTCATCTCCACGCCGACGGGGAGCTGGGCAACCCAGAGCGATGCGCTTGACAGTTTGGGCTTCCCCGAACCTTCGACAGTACCGGTCCTCTCCAGTACGGGGACAGAGACAATCACCAGTAGCAGTGACCGCCGCGAGAGCTCTGCTACTCTCGCCCTTTCCAGCATAGGACTTTCAGAGACAGTGCTGTCATCGACGTCCCCATCAATCAGCTTGCCTCCGTCATCTTTGACCAGCAAAACAGCGGCAGCAACAGGGCCTGCGACGCCGACCAGCACATCGACTGGTGCAAGGCTCAGCTTGTATAAGGTCGCCACGACGATGCTCATTATTTCTCACCTCTATATTGGATGGCATCTTTCCGCAAGCTAGATGGATACCGAAGAAAGAGACTGAATGACGTCTTACGTATGGTATGGAACCAAGTAGGCTGACTGTAATACTATTAGATTTAAATATTAATACCAGCTCTGTTCACTAGTTGTCTTGATCTAGGTAGAATCCGACTAATACCCGTATTGTAACCGAATCATACCGTGTAGGGACGGCTAGGTCTCAAGAAAGGTCATAAGCAAAGTTTAGAGGCGATAAGTTGCGTTTCTGTGGTGTACGCAATTGAAATAATAATAAGCATGAGAGTCTTATCCATGCCCTGAGATATTTCCTTAGTATATCTGCAGTTCAATGTTCATGCTGTATACATACTTGACATTAGTTGTAGATCTATTTTTATCACAAAAGAACCAAATATAAAGAAGAAATCTATATTGTATAAAATTTCCGAAGTTTTATTATGATACACGCAAACAGCGGCGGTCAGGATGCAACAATAACACGCGAGGCTCGCGATGGGAGGCCTCATGCCGGGTGCCTGAGGCTACAACGGATACCAGATACTACCTTAATTCTGTGTGGCATTCCTCGCCCTGAAAAAACAATGTGCCATTCAACTTTTTTTTCTCTGAAATCCAATGCTATTTACCATGGCATTATGCAGCCGCATTCTTCTTGAAGCCCAAGAATTATGGTCATTCAATAGCACATATGCAATTATGCTTCCATCTCGCTTTGGCCTTACGCCACGCAGCGACAACGCGCCCCCAAACCAGAAGGTCAAGGCCATATGACACTATTGGGATCATGGTATGTAGGGCACTGATCAGCTGGCCTTAATTGGATTGGATTTTATAGTTAAAGTAGCAGCGAAACTATCCTGCTGATCCGGCCAGTGCTACTCTGTGGCTCTGTCGATTCTCCAATGATTGATCAAATTACCGACTGGGCTGGCTTTAGCATGAGCTTGGCAGGGGTCGGTTTAATTTTTCACCAATGAAACCCCTTCTGCTGCGGAAATGGATTGCTTACATTTGAAACCATTTTGAGTTGTATATGCCGCGAGGCTCCATAGAACGAAAATTATTTTGGTATAATTAAGATTCAACTCCCGGATTGACAGCCATGACTAGATTTTCAGAAATTAATCCTGTGACGCCGCTGAACGGTGTTTCTTGTCTCCTAGGAATATTGCTGTGAGGTGTTACTGGGCCTTTCTATATCGTTCATTTCTCTAGTCACTGTATCTGTTGATGCATTGGTATTTAGGCGATATGCGGACCCTCAACAAAGTCATAGGAGTATCACCTCTTCTATTCCTATCCACTATCGCAGCACACAGTTCGACTGGGAATTCTAGTTTTGATCCCCTCCGATATGTCAATCCACTGATTGGCACGTCCAACGGGGGTATGCTATTTGTCGTCTTGTCATTTTGATTTTGTAGAGCGCAAGCTAAGAGTCAAAATAACAGGACATGTTTTTGCCGGTGCTAGTTTGCCATTCGGTATGAAATCTCCGATGAACTGAGCAAATATTTCGTCGGCTGATAGAATTTGTATAGGCATGGCCAAGGCAGGCCCAGACTCAGATTACGATAACCAGGGAGGCTTTTCTACCGATTCAGGTGGTATAATGGGGTTCTCTCATATGCATGACTCCGGCACTGGTGGTGTAAGCTACTCCTTGACTCTTGACTTGACTCGCCTCCAATGCCTTGATTTTGGATGAAGTATACTGAACGCAATGCTAGGCCGCATCTATGGGGACTTTCCCCATCTTCCCACATCCAAACTGCACCAATGACGACATTACTCAATGTGTCTATAGCTCGCCAAATAGAAACACTGGCTATGTGGCCGGTTCGGTCACTGCTAAACCGGGGTATTTCGGCTTCATGCTCAAAAACGGCGTCCAGACGGAGATTACGGTTACAAACCACACGGCATTGTACCGCTTCACCTTTGACCCTAACGTGCAATACAACAGTCCTGTGATTCTAGTTGATCTAGGAGATTTGCCGCAATCGCGATCTAGTGGTACGGCCACTGTGAATCCTACGTCTGGTCAACTCCAGGTCAGTGGCACATTTGGCCCTAGTTTTGGCGATGGAAACTACAAGACGTATGCCTGCATTGATTTTGCGGGAGCCGGAATTCGGAATACTGGCACCTTTTTCGGCGACCAAGTTGCCCTCCAGCCTGGTAACGTATCACAGACAGTGGGAAGTTATGGCTCCGCCAAGTCAGCTGGTGCATGGACACAGTTCGCAGGAGCGGTGAATAATGAGCTTAAGGTTCGAGTTGGACTGAGTTTGATAAGCAACGCGGATGCCTGCAGTAATGGGCAGAATGAGATCCCTAACTTCGATTTCGATGCGACGTATGAAGCAGCACAGCAGGCATGGACAAACAAGCTCAATGTTGTTTCAGTGAACCCCGGAGGCGCTTCCGATGACTTGCAAACGTCTTTCTGGAGCGGCCTTTACAGGTCGATGTTGAGTCCACAGGACTATACCGGCCAGAATCCTTTATGGCAGAGCGATGAGCCCTACTATGATAGTTATTACTGGTGAGTGGGTTTCTACAACATAGTGTGGTAGATCTCTGACAAACCTCCTCGCAAAATAGTATCTGGGACTCCTTCCGCTCCATCCATCCCCTTCTCACTCTCATCGATCCTTATTCTCAGTCACGCATGGTTCGCAGTCTAGTCGATATATACCGAAACGAAGGCTATCTTCCCGACTGCCGCATGTCCCTATGCAAAGGATTCACACAAGGAGGCTCAAATGCTGATATTGTGATTACCGATGCCTATTTGAAAGGGGTTCCTGATATTGACTGGAACACCGCTTATGAAGCCATTATTAAAGATGCCGAGGTAGAGCCAGACAATTGGTCTGTGGAAGGGCGTGGAAACCTGGACAGTTGGCACAATCTTGGATACGTTCCTACCCATGACAACGACACTAACACGTCCGGTTTCATGACCGGCAGTATCTCGCGGACAGTTGAATATGCCTACAATGACTTTTGCATTGCGACTATGGCGAATCAGACCGGCCAATCGGGTGACTATAATAAATATATTGGCCGAGCACAGAATTGGAAGAATATGTTCAACAGCGACACAGCCTCGAGCATCAACGGAGTTTATACTGGATTTACCGGTTTTCTGCAGCCGAAATATGATAATGGAAGCTGGGGTTCTCAAGATCCGATATTTTGTTCGCCACTGCTGGATTTCAATTCTTGCTATCTTTTCGAGTCAAATTACGAAACTTATGAGGGAAGTGCCTGGCTATACACATTGTAAGTCTTTCTCCTTTTTCCACGACTCATATACTCATTTAATTTCTAGCTTCGTCCCACAAGACATGGGCGAACTCATCGCTACCCTCGGAGGCAAGGACAACTTCACCAGCCGTCTCTCCTATCTGCATGATTCGGGGCTCCTCTACGTCGGCGACGAACAAGCCTTCTTAACTGTGTACCAATTCCACTACGCCGGGCATCCCGGTCTATCCTCAAAGCAAGCGCACGCCTACATCCCCTCGCAATTCAACAATACCAACTCCGGGATCCCCGGCAACGACGACTCCGGCGCCATGGGCTCCTTTGAATCACTCAGCATGATGGGCATTTGGCCCGTTAGCGGACAAGACGTGTACCTGCTCAACCCGCCATTTTTTGAAGAAGTGTCAATTACGAATGCCATCACAGGCAAAGTGGCGACAATCCGAAACGCCAATTTCGACCCTTCGTATACGAATATTTATATTCAGAATGCTACTAGGGATGGGAAACCCTGGACAAAGAACTGGATTGATCATGACTTTTTCCTTAATGGTGGGATCTTGGAGTTTACGTTGGGTGATAATGAGAGTGGATGGGGTACGAACACGGAGGATCTGCCACCGAGTTTGACGCCGTACAACTTTTAGTTTGCGAAATCATGTACACATGCTTTCATTCTTGTATAGATATAAAATTGCATAGATTTCAGTATTATTTTCATATTCAAAATCACATTTACTTCAAAAACTTCAATGTTGATCAATGGTTGAGCTTGAAAATGAATTTCATTACTATAATGCATATATGTGCAAGAACACTGACAAGGACATTTTAAACTCCAACTTGAACAGCATACCTCAATTTATATAATATAAAACAGCAATTAAATCCTTGGCCCAGTCAAAATAGGCTTCGCCTCTTCTGATGTCCACCAGCTCTTCCCCGGCTCGCCTGGGAACGAGTACTGTTCCATACTATCCGGCTTCATCTGCACACTATAACCAGGTTCGGTAGGTGTCACAATATACCCATCCTTCACACTCGCTGGATGCTCGAAATGCTCATGCAAGTGGTCGACATACTCCAACAAGCTCCTCTTCCCGCTAATCACCACATAGTCAATCGTGCTCAGATGCTGAGTGTATTCCGGCAACCCGACACCGCCAGAGTGCGGCACAATCGGGATGCCGAATTTGCGAGCCAGTAGTAGAATTGCCAGACATTCGTTTACGCCGCCAACCCGGCATGCGTCGGGTTGCAGAACAGTCAGTGCTCCGGCTTGCAGGAATTGCTTGAACATCACCCGATTCTGGCACATTTCTCCCGTTGCAACGCCAATAGGCCCGTACGGCGTATCGGAGAGTGCTTTACGGATGGCTGCGTGGCCGAGGACGTCGTCGGGCGATGTGGGCTCTTCGATGAACCAGGGCTTGAATTGGGCGAGTTCTTTCATGTATGTGATTGCCTCTGGGACAGACCAAACCTAAGAAAACATCAGTATATATTCAAATTTTCCTGATAGGACTGACTTACCTGGTTTGCGTCCACCATCAACACATTCCCCTTATCATATCCAATAGCCTCGCGAGCAATCGTCAACCGCCGCTTATCATTCTCCAAGCTCCCACCAACCTTGAGCTTGAAATGTTTGAAACCATCCTCCACACTCTGCGCCAGGAGCGCCTTGAGCTTCTCCTCCGAATACCCCAACCAGCCGGCACTAGTAGTATACGCTGGAACAGCTCTATTCTGCTCCGCATCCCTGATACGATCCTGCTTAGTCGGCTCGACCTCTTTCAACAAGGCAACCGCTTCCTCGGGCGTCAGTGCATCAGTGATATATCTAAAATCAATACACCGCACGACCTCCTCGGGTGTCATATCGGCGATGATTCTCCACACGGGCTTCGCCAGGGTCTTTGCCCACAGATCCCACAGCCCATTCACCACGGCACCCAGCGCCAGGTGAATCACACCCTTCTCCGGGCCGATCCAGCGTAATTGGCTGTCAGACACCAAATAGCGCCATGTCTTGCCCCAATCCGCGGTGATCTCGTCGAGGTCTTTGCCGACGACGAGCGACGCAATGGTGCTGATTGCCGCACAGACGATTTCGTTGCCGCGGCCGATTGTGAATGTCTACCAAAAAACCAATCAATATATTGGGTTAGGTTCGTGGTGCGTCGTCGTGTTAGAGAGAAGTGGTCTCACCATTCCGTGACCCTCGTGTTGAGAGTCTGTTTTGATAATGCAGTACGCGGAGGAATAGTCGCCAGCTGCGTTCATGGCATCCGAGCCAGTCTTGTCAAGCGAGGTCTACAGCGTCGTCAGATATTATGCTTGCGCACGGCGGAATTGCAATTGACTTACTGGAAACCTCACGTCTCGTGTGACGAAACCGGTAATCTTGACCATTGTGCCAATTAATCACTGATAAGTTAAAGACCAGAAAGCAACTTAATCACGCAAAGAGCTGGAAATCCTATGTTGTCGAATAGCAGAGGTACATATGTCGGAGAAAAAATAGTAGAAAGCAATGAGGGGCTAACAATGGTATATATTATATTCGCTTCTCTTCATGTAACACCAATTAGCAATACGTAGCCTGCTGTACCTTCCTCCAAATTTTAGTACGTATTCACACGAGGGGAAAACGCGATAATGATGAATAATATGGCGGGGGTAATTTTCTTGCGGGTAACTTGGATCAGTCACAGGTATTGTATGGTAATGATGTATCTGATTCGTGGAACTTGATATCACTAGGAATTCCCGCGAATCAGATGTTGCAATTTCGTCGCCGGGATTGTCTCCGATGTATCTATCCCGTGACTTCGCAGTTGCTCCGATAAGTAAATGCGGGATATAAAGCCAATAGAGGCATTCTAGACAACATGTATAAGAATAGGGAGATTATAGGAATAGAGGGATAGTAATAGAGAGATTATTACTCGGTGCTCATTATCAAGTCATGCAGAATAGCCCGCGGGTCAATGAATACATAATGGGTCTCTTAACTACTATCTATCCAGACAGACCACGCTTCTCGCTTTCCGAGAAGAAAATAATCATTCGCCAGAGCTTCTTAACCAACACCTCTGCCTCCTCGTCAAGAGCCTATAGAAACAGTTAGTTTGATAGAATTGCACATGTAGTGAAGGGAATACTGACCTCAGCCAACTGCTCCACCAGCTCCTGAGGAGGACCATGCCTGCGAAGATGCTCCTCGACCACGTCAACCAACATCTGCTCTTGCACACCCAAGTACTCCATGATTTTCTTCTCCACAAACGGCTTGAGCTGGTCTCCCAGCACGGACTCATCGACAAACTCCCATTTGACCTCCCATTTCCAGAGTCCTTCTTTGCTGGTGGGGATCTCTGCTGCCAGCTGTCTTGCGGCTTGCGCTCGTTCCTCGTCTGTGAGTCCGGAGGCTTCCGCAGCAGAATCGAATTTGATGGGGACGAGTGTCCGCTTGGTTGTGGTGTCCACTTCCTCTTCATCCTCTAGCAGCCCTTCAACTTCAGCAACAGTACGACGGGAAGTGGCGGCTTGAGCTTTCTGTTGAGCAGCTGCGCCAAGTGAAAGCTTGAAACGTTGTGGTTCTCTTGGTGCCTGATTTCTCGTCTCCAGTTCCTGGGCTTGACGAGCCAGGAAGTCGTCAGCCATACCGCGCGCTTGTTCGCGTTGCTGGGCAGATCTAGTCTTTTCACGCTCCTCAGCTGCGCGATCCGCTTCGTCAGCTTTGATTTCCCTGCCACGGATGCTTGTTCGACTTCGAACCCAGGCTCCATGGTCGGCGTAGTAATCCTCTGCTTTCCGGCCGCTCTCAATATCGTCGTTCCATTCACTGAGGAATTTTGCCATTGCTTCCTTAGCTTCTTGGAGCTTAGCCTCTTCGTCTTTGTCGCGGTTTCTCTCTCGCTCAACAGCCGCGGTACGGCTGCGTTCACGATTCAACCATCTTCGCTCTTGATCTAGGTATTGTTTTTCTAGCTCGCCATTCTTCTTGCTTTGTCTCCGGCGCTCAAGTTCTTCGTCACTAGCATCTGTACCTTCATCCTCACCGTCAAAGCCGACCCCGTTCCCATTCACAAAAGAGACACCCTTCTGGTAATCCTTTGGAATTTGCACACCAAAGCCCTTAGGGCCAGAAGGTGCGTTGGCGATAGAACGGTCACGCGGGCCAAGAGGTACGCCGTTCGCTCCCCCAGCAGGACCGCTGGGTGCCGAAAGTGGCGGGGAAGCCAATCTATTGATGCGCCCTCCGGCATTTCTCGCACGTTCCATCGATTCGATTTCTTCTTCGCGACGTAGACGCTCGAGATCCCGGCGATTGCTTCTCTCGCGAAATGCTGCGATTTCTTTGGCAACGCTCTCCCGCATTTCTGCTGGAATGTCTGATAGTTCATCTTCGGCGGTGATGGGAATAGTGACGACTTCAGCTGACCCATCTTTGCCTTCCCCTTCTCGCATGGTTATATCACCGTCACGATCAACGGCTGACGCCTCTTCGGCTTGTGGAGGAACAGCAGGATGCGTAAGATCGGACAAAACGGAGGCTAAATTTTGACGGGCGGACTCGATGCGCGGTTGTTGTTCGGAATCTTGTTCTTCGGTTTTAGATGATTCGTATTGTTCGATATATTTGACAGTACCCTCGTCAAATACAATCTAAAGTCTCATTAGTATGTCGGAAATAACTTATATGAAGCGCAAAACATACCAGGAGCGTGGACTTGTCGACTTCAGAATCCTCTTTTTCATCTGCTTTACGTGGCATTTGTCGCTTCACAGGAACCTCCACATCTTTGAGAACCTCCAACGCAATGCTCAAACTATCCGGATCTTCGAACTCTGCAAAACCAAACTTGCAAGGCTTATCATCCGCGTCAGTCGCACGTATCCAGCGCTTCAAATTGCCTGCACAGCGTAAGATTCTCTCAACTCCATCATCGCCACCAGTTCCCTCTGTAATCCCACCCACGAATATCGTCCTCAGTATCTCTTCTTTAGTAGGCGGCTGTAGCTGCATCATCGCATCACGGATATTTTGCCGCTGCGACTCGACATTCCTAGACCCTAGACCTGCCCGACGACCTGACTCTGCACCTAGCATTGCATTCTCGGGTGTGGACGTTTTGGCAGGCCCCGATGTGCCCAATCGAATGACGGGAGCGGAGAAGTTGATATTCGGCATGTTGGGGGGAGGCTGAAAGTTGGCTGGGAAGCCAGCTGGGCGTCCAGGCTGCTGTGTATTTGCCTGCTGCATCCCCGGAGGAGGAGCGGTTCCAGGGGCAGACATACCGGGTGGAGCACCTAGAGCTTGTCAGAATCATGTCTTTTTGATCTTGTTCATCTACTCACCCATGCCCGGAGGCGGAAAGCCGCTGAACTCTGGCGGTCGCCCATAGAGATGGGAACCTGTGGCAGGTTAGTATGATGACACTGTAGCAAATATAATTCGAGATGGCTTGCCTTGGTATGGATTATACATGTTTGAAAGAGTCAAGTCCTTTGTCGCCGGACTGGAAGCTTCGTTGGGAGCGTCCCAGCTAAGAGAAGTTGGAGGACACGGGTGCAAACTTGGTAAAGGATATATAAAAACACACTTAGCAGCCCTGCCTGAAAATGGGAATGCGCAATTGGGAGCTGTCTGGTCGCTGGCAACGACTAGAAGAATTCTCGCGGTCTAGATAGCTTCGCAACTGCCAAATTCAATCAGATTGCGCCGCGCCAAGAGCTCACCCTGGGCTGCTTATGTAAGTCTTGGCGTAGCCGACATTTGTGTCGAGTCATGTGACGGATTTTCCATTAAGGGACTAGTCTATGTAAGTCAGTCATGTGACCCGTCTGTATGATGGCTATCTCAGTATCCTCATAATGAGGAAAATCCATACTCGTACACCTCCCATCTGCTTCATTTGCCTCATCTGATCCATCAATTATTGACAAGGAGTTGACCCTTGGGAGCCTGTCTAGCGGTATACCTGGATCCCCCGGTGTCTACTTGATCTGCCTTTACTATCTTCCCCCTGCTGTTAATGATTCGAACTAGGTACAATGGAAATGCTATAGATAACTAGAGATTCCTTGGATTATTCAGACATGAGTGCTATTACTGAGGGACAAGAAGTAAAATGGGATCTCACCGATGGGCCAATAGGAACATGTGCAGTTTAGGCCTGCTTACTCATTTGATGACTACAAAATAACCTAGAGATTAACTTACTTACTAGTCATCATTGTTGCCATTATCCCACTCTACACGTAACACTGTCATAGACGATCGCAGCAGGACCGGCAATTGACATTGCCCAATTATTGAATAATCATAACTAACCGCCATCGCAGCCTAATATGAGGCGGCGCAAAGTCTACTGTTACTAAGCGTGGTCGAGATCATGTTGATTTCAAACCAAGCTCCACGCGGAGCCTGTCAGAAGAGAGGATCAAGTCAATTGGCCCGAGCATATTGAAGTAAGAGATAGTAATTAAATTATTTAATGCGAAATGAGATTTTTTTTTTCTTGCCGTGAGGGATGCCGGGCACGCCCGCGTGCAGCGATTAACTAATTATATGTGATACAGCAACAGCCAATGCCCCACGCTGCTGCCCCTCGTGACGACATGGCGACTTTATATAGCCGGGTTTTCCTAGCTGCTGCGACTCCGGTCTGCGATCCTTCATCCATCCCAGCTCTGCAGTAAGCATCTATCACCAATCATCTCAATTGGACTCTCCAGTGAGTGTTTTATCCCAGGCTGAGCAGTGCTCGGCTCAACCGAGCTCACTGCGGGCTCCGTTTGGATACCCCGCGCTAACAACAAGTCCTACCTAGAGCAACAATCCGCCCATCAACTCCCACCTTTCACCATGCCCGGTTTCCAACAGGCCTCGGATTTGGATGCATGGAAGAAGCTCCAGCAGCACCATGCATCCGTGGGCAAGAGCATTGTGCTGAAAGAGGAGTTCGAGAAGGATCCCAGCCGCTTCCAGAAGTTCAGCAAAACCTTCACCAACACCGTTGATGGCAAAGATGTCCTTTTCGACTTCTCCAAGAACTTCATCACCGACGAGACCTTGGATCTGTTAGTAGAGCTCGCCAAAGAAGCCAAGGTCGAAGAGCTTCGGGATGCCATGTTCAAGGGCGAACATATCAACTTCACAGAAGACCGTGCCGTCTACCACGCGGCTCTGCGCAATGTCAGCAACCAGCCCATGCAGGTCGACGGCAAGAGCGTTGTTGAAGATGTCAATAGCGTGCTGGCACATATGAAAGAATTCTCAGAGCAGGTCCGCAGCGGTGAGTGGAAGGGATATTCTGGCAAGAAAATCAAGACTATCATCAACATCGGTATTGGTGGATCTGACCTGTAAGGAAACCAATCCATGATTATCCTTGATTATGCTAATGATAGCACTCTGAAAGTGGTCCCGTCATGGTCGCTGAAGCACTCAAGCCCTACGGAGACCGCGACCTGAAACTGCACTTTGTCTCGAACATCGACGGTACTCACATCGCCGAGGCCCTGAAGGAGTCTGACCCGGAAACCTCCCTTTTCCTAATTGCATCAAAGACCTTCACAACTGCCGAGACGACGACCAATGCCAACACTGCCAAGAAATGGTTCCTCGAAACCGCCAAGGATGAATCGTACATCGCAAAGCACTTTGTTGCTTTGTCCACAAATGAAGCTGAAGTCACCAAGTTTGGTATTGATAAGAAGAACATGTTTGGCTTTGAGTCATGGGTTGGTGGTCGTTATTCGGTCTGGAGCGCTATCGGTCTCTCCGTAGCGTTGTATATCGGCTATGACAACTTCCACCAATTCCTGGCCGGTGCTCATGCTATGGATCACCACTTCCGCACTGCGCCTCTCAAAGAAAACATCCCAGCTCTTGCCGGCCTTCTGAGTGTTTGGTACAGCGACTTCTTCGGTGCCCAAACCCACCTTGTTGCCCCGTTCGATCAGTACTTGCACCGTTTCCCTGCCTATCTCCAACAGCTATCCATGGAAAGCAATGGAAAGGCTATCACGCGCTCTGGCGACTACGTTAAGTACACCACTGGCCCTATTCTCTTCGGCGAACCCGCGACAAATGCCCAGCACAGCTTTTTCCAGCTCCTCCACCAAGGAACAAAATTGATCCCCACCGACTTCCTCCTCGCAGTCGAGTCTCACAACCCCGTTGAAGGCGGCAAGCACCAGCGCATGCTGGCTTCGAACTTCTTTGCGCAGGCCGAAGCCCTCATGATCGGAAAGACCCCTGAGCAAGTCAAGGCCGAAAATGCCCCCGATGACCTGGTTCCACACAAGACTTTCCTTGGAAACAGACCAACCACATCCATCTTGGCTCAGAAGATTACACCGGCAACTTTGGGTGCTCTCATTACTTACTATGAGCACCTGACCTTCACTGAAGGTGCTGTATGGAATATCAACTCTTTCGACCAATGGGGAGTCGAACTTGGCAAGGTCCTGGCAAAGAAGATCCAGAAAGAACTCGAAACTCCCGGCGAGGGTGGTGCCCACGACGCGTCTACTGCTGGTCTCATCAAGACTTTCAAGGCCAAGGCGAACCTTGCATAAACCCGTACCAACGAAGACATGGACCAAATGCCTATTTGAGCTGTCAAGCGCCGAACGTATCTATTCCGTCAGTGCAGTAACTAGAAAATTCGAGGGTTAATGAGCAGGCTATTTGATGATACAAAAACGAGATGATGAGACCACTGTCCGTTTATACAGACTTTCCGGGCAATAGGCGTGTTATGACTCTCTTTCAACAAGGTCATTTAATTAGCTTTTTTCTTTTGTAGTTCCCTGGATGTCAATGAATAGCTAATTATGAAGCGCAGCAGCTTTATACTAAACACAATATACATATGTAATGATAAGCAATGCGGACGGATTACCCGAATATCCTCAAGTGCCATGAGTAAAGACGAACAATATCAGAATCATGTTTCAACTAGAAGAATGACACCCAAGATGTTCAATTATGAGAAACTTTCTTCATGGATTTTGCGCAGAGCATCCGAAATTGTACTAGGTTAGTATTCAAAGTGTGATTGTCTTAGCCCCCAAATAAACCCTGTTTTGTTTAGATACCCGGCAGAGATACCCGATTCGGAATATGGTCGGATATTCCAGATGCCACAGGGTTTACAGTCCATCGCAGCCCCAGCGTAACATTGTACAGGGAACGTTCCAAGGCTTTATCTAAATTAAGGTTGCGGTTGGCCAAACAGAGTGAACATATGAAAAGCTAGGCCAAGTTGACAATGTTGCTTAAGCCTATTGCATTCAATCTACTTTAGGATAGATCAACCTATGTAAATATTGATGTTGAATGTTGAAGGGGCCATTTTCCAATTGCGATGTAGCGTCTTACTTCTCTAACAGTACGTAAATATAATCGATCGAATATATAAATTAAGACAAAGGAACGCTGTTCTCTCATTTTCGGAATTAATCGTCCTACGCATCAAGATTATTAAGAAGAAAGAATTGTATCTACAAAATGCACACTCTGGCTATTCTTTCAATAATTTCCGCTGTTAGCGGCTATCATCTTAAGCCTCATACTCACATACGCCGAGGAAACTCGTCGTCAACATGTTTCCCGTTCAACTCAGCGACGTTTAACAATTCTACGACCGTTCCCGACATGTCGCGATCAGATTGGTGGTGCTCTGCTGAACAAACATACGGTTTCCTTGGCTTTTCTTATCCGATCGAAAATGACTGTGATGGTGAGCCTTATTCGCTCATCGAGTCTGATTTTGCCTCTATGAAGGAGGATTTTGGTGCTTCATTGGCCCGCGCTTACTTACCCGGCTGTTACACGGATGACATTTGGGAGAGACTTATCAAAGCCGGCATTGAACATGATATGGGTGTTGTGTTTCAGGTTGCGTGGCCGTTGAATGGAGACCCTGTAGGGCGCCCACCATAATAATTGGTTTCTGCTTTTCTTCAAAAGGATCTTACTAAATAGACGCGTCAATAACAGGACTCGTGGTGGAAAAAGATTCAAACGTCGATTTTGGATACCCTTGCCAATAGCAGCTATGCCGATATTGCGCCCTACGTTGTGCACAGTATAGAGTTTGGAACGGAGCCAATTGGCGACACAGACGGAGGCAGTTACGAAGCTTTTGAGGGATATCTATCCGATTTCAAAGAGGCCGCCAAGCAATACGGAATCCCTATTGGTATTTCCGAAGACTGGGACCGTCCAGGAACGATGAGTTCCGACGACGGCAGTTCGCTGGGCCCTGTTGGTGAAAAGATTGCGAACTTGAGCGATGTCGTGCATGCACATGTCATGCCCTATTATCATGACGATCTGACGGAGGCAGACTCATGGAACTACATTAAAAACCAGGTTACCTGGTTGAAGGCGAATATAGATCTGCCAGTTTTGATCTCAGAGGTGAGTAGTATTTGCACATTATTTCTGGGATATCTATCCTCTATATTGTTTGGAATGAAAGGAAAGATAAAAGAATAAAAGACCTTGTGCTAACGTTATTAATAGACGCAATGGGCATGGGCTTACAACGACGGACATGCTGGTGGCCACGTTACAGGTCCAGATTCATGCGACTGTGGCGAGGATCAATACACAAATTATTGGCAGAATTTTGACGACAATTGCGAATTCTTCAAAGAAAACCAGGTTGGCTGGTTCCTTCATGCCTGGCAACAAGAAGGAACTTTCGATATGAAGAAAGACGACGGGTCTTATGCAATTCCAAATTGGAAACCCAGAAGGTGTTAATTCCTTATAATCAGAAGCGCCAAAGTGGAAAGTAAAGACTAGCATAAACTATAAACTCTTTCTTAGAATGGCCAAATGAAAGCATCTCTGGCAATACACGAATTCCCTATACGTAAATGATTGATATTAATTGATTCTAATAAGGGTATCCATCAATACTTGCCAGACTTGGAGGTGCCTCTACAAAAGTGGAATTTATGTATATGTTTCATTCATCCCTTTGTCACTAGAACTCTCACGCCTTTATTCGAGAGTTTGGGAAACGGCAGGAAAAGCTCATGCGCGAGTATGACATCTTCTCTACTCGTCTCGTACTGCTCAAACGTCAGTTCACGAAATACTTTGGATAAAGTGGCCCTCTTATCTATTCTCTTTAATGTTGCCGTATTGCAGCTGTTGTCTATATAATTAAAAGAAATATTAATCACCAGTCTCTTTTCTACATGGAATAAGATTTTCCATTTAAGAAGTTACTGCTCTATTACTAACTACTAAATCATGAGTTTGGCGTCAACGATGGACTTGGACCCGTTGGAATATGCTACTGGTTTAATGACTGCGATTGGTTTGCTGTACTTCATGAAACGTATGAGGAACTTTATACCTCAGGGAGCGACTTCGTGTTTCCGCGCTCTTATTTTCATTCCCAACATCAGTGGTTTGTATTGCTCCATTCTCTGGGGTAATGTGCTGGCTTGGTGACTGCAGTGAATGCAGAGACTTCATACCTCGGCCTAATGCCCGGTCTACATACTATCCTCGTCTTCGATGATTCTGTACGGCTGGGGTACGCGAAGTTTTGAATGGGATTTGGTGCCGACTGTCATCAAAAGGCCAGCAGATGGTGGAGTTGAAAGAAATGTTCTTGAATACAGCAGCTCTTACACAGTGTCCGATAGAAGTACTTGCTGGTCACGGACTGTTTATGCCTCTGGTCGACCCTAATATTCTCCATCTTCGATCTCTACGATTTCCTTTCTGTAGGACCGTAGGCCAAGGTTTCCCGTCCATATCTGTGTGAGAATGGATGATAAAGGTCTCCCGAGTTCGGGGAGAAGCCCCGCTCTTTGATAGTTTATTAACGATTCTGTATAAAAGGTGGCTCTTTTTATCTCGCTGACAGTTTAATTCCCACTGTCCTTTTAAAATTCCCCTTAAACGCGGACAAAAGTTGCTGGAGGCCTTCCAACATCAACACCGTAATCTCCATCTGGTGCCCTCTTTTGCTGCCAGTCGGGTTTGAAGTTTGTGGCAGAGTTCATCACGGTTTTTTGGATGCGCCGGTGACCGTAGGCAGTCACAATTCGTAAATTCTAAAATGACATCCTCACGAAAGGTCAATGACATGCTAATAGATATTAGCCTTCCATGATCATTTCCCATCCAATCAAAGGTACGGCTGGGTCTCCTCGGAGCAATTTTAGCCCGATACGGTTGAGGGTTGTGCCGATCGGCCGTAAGGTCTGTCGGCTTTATGCCATGAGACTGAAAAGGGTAAAACTAAATGGTGTTAACTCTTGTTGGGCCAAGGTAATTAGTCTTTCCAGTTTAACATCGCGTGTTTTTGACAGGTGGATTGCTAAATGTGGAAACTCGGAGCAAGAGTTCATGGAACCTAAGGATAAAAGGTTGAACGGTGAGAGGCTTTGGTTTGTCCGAATACGAGATGGATTATCTTCCGATATATGCAGTGCTGTATTTATGTATATATACACTCCTTCCACTGGACGGCAATGTCTATCTAATCTGTGTGAAAATCTGCATAGCTGCGAAACGAAAACTAGAAAGCTTTGAATCCCCACCTTCCTAAAGGACCATCTTCAAACTTGAACTTCAAGTTAAAACTTGATTTTCATAATATCAATTGGTCCTTCCATTGGTAATTGGTCCGGGCCTCTCTTTCCTTGTTCTTTTTAAATTCTCTATTTCTTCTTGCCGATCTCTCTGAAAATGGCTTTAGAAACACCATCCTCAGAGGTGGCTTCACCAACACAATCACCAGGCCCTGAGACGAATGAAAAAAATGATTCGCTTACCGAAGACTTCGCCTTGGGCCGTAGAGGGATCCTAGTCTTTTCCACGCTCGCAGTGTTGACCTTGATGGCGGCTTTGGATGGAACGTCTATCTCGGTCGCACTTCCGGTAAGCACGAAATCTTCCCAGTGTGCTCGTCCCTGAAGCCTAATTGGAAGTTTCTAGATAATCGCAAAAGAACTCAATGGCACCGCAATTGAGGCTTTCTGGAGCGGAACCTCGTTCCTGCTCTTGTCAACGGTTTTCCAGCCGAGCTTCGCATCCTTGTCTAACATTTTCGGCCGACGACCTATGATCATGACCTCGCTGGTTTTCTTCTTTGTGGGTGCCGTTGTCTCAGCTGTCGCCAAAGATTTCACATATATGCTTGTTGGTCGCTCAATTCAAGGCGTTGGTGGTGGCGGCATCATCGCCCTCACGGAAATTATCGTTACAGACATCGTCCCACTGCGCCTCCGGGGACAGTACTTTGGTATTCTCAGTGCAATGTGGAGTATTGGATCGGTTACAGGTCCTATTCTCGGTGGTGGGTTTTCACAGAACGTCACCTGGGTAAGCCTCAACCTTTCACTTTTCGTCTTTTAAAATTTGAGATGATTATGCTAACACGGCCGGCTAGCGCTGGATCTTCTATATCAACTTTCCCTTCATCGGTGTCGGTGCTATTTTCGTTCTCCTTTTCCTCAGACTAAATATCATACCTACCTCCCTAGCTCAGAAGCTCCGCCGTATCGACTATATCGGCACGGTTGTTTTCGTCGGCAGCATTTCTTCCTTCCTTATCCCACTCACATGGGGTGGTGTCCTTTATTCCTGGTCGTCATGGAGAACTCTCGTCCCTCTCCTCATCGGCGTAGCGGGTCTTTCTATCTTCGCAATCCATCAAGCTCGGTTTGCTACTGATCCCATCATCCCACCAACCATATTTCGCAATCGCACCGCAACAATCGCTTTCATTGGCAGTATCCTACAAGGCCTTGTACTTTGGTGTGCCCTCTACTATCTTCCCCTCTACTATGAAACTGTGAAAGAATATTCTCCCATCCTCTCCGGCGTGGCGCTTTTTCCACAAACTTTCACGGTCGCCCCTTCAGCCGTTGTTGTTGGAATTCTTATTACTACCTTTGGCTCCTATCGCTGGGCGATCTGGGCCGGTTGGGCCTTGTCCACCCTGGGTCTGGGTCTCATGTGCTATATTAAGGTGGACACCTCTGTTCCCGCGTGGATTTTTCTTAACCTTGTGTCTGGATTGGGCCTAGGGTTCCTTTTCCCTTCATTGGCATTTGCCGTGCAAGCGTCCGCTACGAACGAGAATCTAGCCATCGCCGTGGCAATGTTCAGCTTCTTCCGCGCCTTAGGGCAGGCAATCGGCGTGGCGATTGGCGGGGTCGTATTTCAAAATCAGATGCACAAGAATCTACTAAGCTACCCAGAGCTAGCGCCCATGGCAGACGCTTATAGCCAAGATGCCGCTGGACTGGTGCAGGTAATCAAGGCGATGTCTCCCGGGGAGACCAAGTCGGATTTGAAGGCAGCGTACACGGATAGCTTGCGGATAGTGTGGGCCGTCTGTTGTGCGGTGTGCGGAGTTGCGTTGTTGTTGAGCTTGTTCATCCAGCATTATGATTTGGACCAGGCGTTGAAGACAGAGCAGGGATTAAGAACAGAAAAGACACAGGCTGCTGATGAGGAGGGTGTGAAGCAGTGACGATCGTCAAGATGGGATGATGACTACGAATTATAGACCTCTCAGCTTTTTGTAACATATAACGAAATAATGTAATATCTAATAGAAATAATATATTTCAAAGACAATGTTATCAATAAATCAGAGAACCTCACCGCGTGCACCTTATTAAGGCATAGAGAAGTCTTACGGTGGTCGAATGTCTTGATGCCTCTCGGGCAGCTTCCTGCATAAGCGATAAATGCTTCGATCGCTTATCATTGTCATCCATGACGACCAGGGTATTTGGAGGGGGTATTCATCCTACCCAACGGTACTTCCGAACTACTACTGCTCAAGTCTCAAAATATGATCGCGACGTTGATATGCTTCAAGCCACTGCTTGTGTCGAGATTTCCCCGTCTCTTTGGCTGCCTCGTAGAGATTAGGATCAAGTATCAAGATTTGATCGTCTGCTTCTTCATGACGTGCGATCTCAGCTTCATACTCCTCAAAGGTAGTGAAGAAGGCGATCCCTCTTCTTGGTCCCCTAGTGTTTTGAATGTTAGCTGACGCAACTCCGCCACCAAGCATCCACTGAGCTTACTTGTCTTCTTTCCTCGTCCGAGATGATCAATTGATGTTTGTAGGAGAGGTCGCTGCTACTTTTTGTACTTGCTGATACACGGTCGGGCCGAGTCTGCATCATCCTGACACTCCTCGTCGATAAGATTGTGGAAGAACTCTTTTAGTATTCCTGACCCTACTCTCTACCAGCCTTCCGTCTATGCTTGCATTTCAGTTCTATATATTAACAATTTTGAATTGTACTTTCTATTATATTAGAGAAGTACTTTACAATATTCCTTTATATTACATTTATCTTTTTTAACATCTTAACGGAAAACACATAAACCAGATCTTACTATTTACTACCATATTTGACCTACTCAATTTCGCTATTGAAGATTATAATATGAATTTATTAAGAGTTTTAATGTTAATAACAAAGTATTAAAATCATAACGACTAATAGTAATAGAGAAACATGATTTAGGGGTTTATCTTATTCCTTCCCTCCCAATTTCTTTTGCTTATACAACAATGCGGCATGTAACTAGCTAATTATAAGTGGGCGTCTTGCATGATTGCTTATATAATACAACGTAGAACCCCACGTCGTACACTTTAAGCTGAATAATCAGACTTGGAAAGCTTCATTTCCGTTGTCTAGTTTTCAATGAGTGGTCGATTCAATGCTCTGACAGGGACCCCGTCATTTTGACACCAAACCTAAACGCTACAAGTCTGCGGGTATGGAAATAGCTTATGCGCCTCGTCATGGCAGTACAAGAAGCTCTAATGGATGTTGGACTTGTCGGCTTCGACGCAAAAAATGCGACGAAAACTACCCTGTGTGTGAAACCTGCACTGCGCTTCACATAACCTGTCATTACAGCCAGGACAAGCCGGAGTGGATGGATGGCGGAAGTAAGCAAGAGGAGATGGCAATGCGGCTCAAGCGTCAGGTCAAGGAACAGTTTCATCGGCGCCATGACCGTGGTGCTGTTAATATCTCTAATGACCGTTTCCCATTGGTCGACTCTGTTGCCAATGAGTCGAGAGTGCTAGCTAGAGGCTCAGCCGATAATCAGCTCCAAGGTGAATGTGACTGCAGATCGAATAGTCAGAGCGTGTGCAAATCCACCACTTCTTTTGAACGTTCTAACACTATATTTGTAATGTTTTATCTTGAAAACGTACTGCCGTTCTTGTTTCCATTTTACCAGCCGAGTTTTCTTCAAGGTGGAAAAGCGTGGATCTTGGAAATGATTATGAATAGGCCGGTGGTACGACAGGCCACTTTATGTCAGAGTTCATACTTCCTTTCTCTTGCACGGGGAACTGAGGATCACGATGGAGCCTGGGAGACGGTCTTAGCACAGACTAGGGCTACATTTGCAATGTTGAGAGAGTCGCTGCAGATTATCGTTGGCTCACACATCACCGAGCACCTCCCAGGGGCTGTACGGATTATGACAAGTATCATGCAGCTGCAGCGCTTTGAAATTGCTGTTTTGAGTTTCACTAACTGTCGACCTCATCTAAATGCCGCCCTCGCACTTTTCAAGCAACTTCTTGATAGCACCGACAGTGGAAACCCACCGGGGTCCTGTAGTTTCAGTTCTGTCATTAATAGTCTCAATCCATCGTCATTGATTTCGCCAGGTCAGGTCCCGAGTGCCGAACAGGCCGCCTTTTGTTTCTCGTCAGCCCTTTTGATTTTCGATGACATTATTGCAAGCACAGTACTTCAGGAGCAACCAAGGCTCTACGAGTACCACCACAGCCTTCTTGAAAAAATCGACGGAATTGATCCACCTATCAACCTTGAGGGTGTTGTGGGGTGTCAAAACTGGGCATTGCTTGCAATCGGTGAGATTGCGGCCCTTGACACGTGGAAGCAACAGTGCAAAGGAGCCGGAAATCTTGATGTCATGGAGGTTGTCAAGCGCGCTACGGCCATAAAGAACTCACTAGGAGCCCATCTTAGGCAGCTCGAAACTAGGTCAACGATGACTTCTCAGGGAAGCAATCTCCTACTAGAAATTTTCACCACAAATTCTAGTCAGCAATCAGACCTACCAACCAAGCAAACTCCGTTCGTTACCCGCGTCTGGGCACATGCTGCCCTGATTTATCTATTTGTAGTTGTGTCCGGATGGCAAGCCACTAGCGTCGATGTGCATTATCATGTTGATCAAATCATCGAATTACTTACAAATCATATCTCGCCCCCGGCACTTCTCCGCACGATGGTATGGCCATTTTGTATAGCAGGCTGCCTTGCAAATCCAACACAGGAAGTCCATTTCCGTAGGATGGCCGAGGCTTTGCAACCATCAAGTGTATTTGGTACAGTACGCAAAGCACTTGAGATCATGGAGAATGTATGGTATAATCGGGATGTAGAAGATGCTTCAAGCCGCAATTTCGCTGCCTGCTTTGAAGGCCAAGGTGATCTAGTGCTGCTCGTTTAGATGAACAATTGTGCATGGCATGTTCAAACACCTCTACGGTTCCTCTACGACCGGATAGACTTTTTGTGGAAAACCGCATTTAGATTCTCTACACCCTATTCCTGTTTGAACTGAACATAACCCTTGTCCTTCACGAATGTGGCGTGCCATGGTGCATTTCCTTCGTGACTCACTAACTTCGCATAGAAGTCAGCATGCGCAGGGCCATCTAATGCCATTCCATTCATTCTGCCTCTTCCTGGCGCTCATCTGTATATATATATTGATATATGCCAAGATTGTCCAAATCTCTTTGTGAATTTGTAATCATAATTCAACTGTTTTGTGTTGGTATAGCGGCAATACTATCTCGTCAACTCTTATACGACTAAGTGAAGACTGTTCTCTAGACTCTTTCTCAGGGCTGCCTTGATCGAAACTTGCCCACGGTTCGATATACTGAAGCCCCACAAGCCGCGCGCGACGCCATTGAGCCCAGACTCCTCGAGTTGCAAGTCCTAAGTAATCACCCGAACCCGCGCGCGAAGACCCATTTTGTCCTGCCGTCGCACGCCTGAGCCCATAGTTCGATACATGTAATGCCGTGATTTATTGTCCGAATCCCCCCGAGGATTTAGTTCAACCTGCTCGCGCGCGGGAGGAAAGCTTAGTGATATTTCTGTAGCCCTGAATATCGTAGAACTGGAACTCTAGTACTAACAACCTCAAGATCGCATCAATTTTGTATTAATTTTATATCAATTGATTTGTCAGCTCGTTATGCCCGGGCTTTCAATTATTCATAATGTCATATTTCAGAACAATTGTTGTAGATATGTCCCTCTTTTACTCAGATCAAAGAATGGATATATAGGTGGATATCAGGTATTATGCCCTTACCTATGTCACGTAATAATTCAATTACATGGTTTCATTCACTTTATATATACTTTTCTGTTGTCCTTCTGAGTCTAGTCATCCCATTTGCCTACTTTATTCCACTTTCATATACCAGATATATCTGGCAAGCCACACAGGGTTTAAATACCATGTCTGATTCCTCGAGTCTCAAGAGTTCTTCCCGGACACCCGTCTACTTCCTCGGAATTGGCGGACCAAACTTTATAGAAGACAAGAACCATCCAGCCTATGTCAAACTATCTGAAGTGGGACGAGAGATCACGACGCGAGTCAAGCCCAAAGCAGTGGTTGTCTTTTCTGCCCACTGGCAAGGTAGCCCGAATAGAATTATGATCAATGTTGCTGAAAAGACAAATATCATTTACGACTTCTATGGATTTCCTCCTCACTACTATGAATATGAGTACCCGAACAAAGGAAGCCCCGAGGTTGCTGGAAAGATTATTGAGAAGCTTGCAGGGGCCGGAATTGAGGTCCAAAAGGTCAAGCGGGGCTTAGATCATGGTGTCTGGGTGGGCTTTCTAGCAGGTAGATGATGCTCTTTTTTCTCGCCCTCCTTTTCTGATTTTTTACGTCTATTCGCTAATAATGGCTATAAACAGCTTTCGACCCCAAGGAAAACCCATTAAATGTACCGATCGTGCAAGTCTCCCTATACGATAACGAGGACTTGGATCAACATTATCGCATCGGACAGGTATTGGAAAGTCTCCGAGACGAGGGTATTCTGATCGTGGGTGCCGGAATGGCTGTTCACAATCTTCATGATTATCGGGCCTCAAGAACAACGGGCCAAACTATGCCGTAAGTAGATGGTGGCAAAAATATCAACTACATCTTATTTCAGCTAACACTACCTAGTTACGCCTTCAGCTTTGATGAGGCGCTGAAGGAGGCAGCTACCGCAGAGCCAGAAGATCGGCAAGGAAAGATGCTGGCATTAATGAAACGCAGTGATGGCAGGGCCGCACACCCGACTTTAGACCATATTCTTCCAATATACATCGCTGCGGGGGCTGCAGGCTCGGATATCGGAGAACGATTGTGGACCTTGCCTGAGCGAAGTTTGAGCTGGGCACAATATCGCTTCGGCCAGGTATAAGACACTGTTCTTATTGTGGATTCACAAATTAGACAGCCTTTTTTCTGGTTGTTATTCAACAGTCAACTTTCGTTGAAGAAAAAAAGCATTTAATGTTCAAGATTCATCAATTAAGGTATCTTTAGCTCATACTCTTTAAAGACTATCACAGCCAATGTAAAGAATCCTTGTCATCCTAGTCGCCAAATCACCGTTATGTATCCGATTTTATCCTTTCGCCCCTGGGCTTCTCGGCCCGTCTGCAACATTGAACCAGGAATCTAACACGGAGTCAATTTACCGGGATCTTATCACTCCTATATCAGTCCTTAATATTACTAAATCACTATAAAAATATGGGTCTCACAGTAAGCTTGGCAGATACTGTACTTGGGCTAGTAGCAAGGAAGCAGTGGCAGGTCTACATTCACCCACGTGCGCCTCCACTAAAGAAAAATCGAATTATTAACTTGTTTCAATCATGTCAACCAATACTACTAACTTAGTACTGATTTTATTAGTTACTCCTATATGATAATGTGACAGCCTTGGTATATCCTAAATTTTCTACGCCTCAATGTTGACTTAAGGAGTAGCTTGGAAGCCATTCATAGTACCGAGAGCCATTCACAATATTCAGTTTCTTGGACACTAATCTGCACGCATGGCCATCGGCCCTTTTCTCTTCTCGGCCTTGGTGCTTCTGCCAGTGTAAGTATTTTTTGCTTTCATCTACATTTTATTTCGAAGATCTGTCCCTAAACTTGGTATTTTTGCTAACGTAGATGGCAGTGTTTCCGCCCACGCATCATGTAACACTGTCGATGACGGATATACTTGTTTCCCCCATGTCGCCCGCAACTGGGGCCAATATGCGCCGTACTTTTCCCTCGCCTCTCAGTCTCAAATCTCACCAGCTGTACCCGAAGGCTGCCAGATCACTTTTGTACAATCCTTAAGCCGTCATGGAGCTCGCTATCCCACCTCTTCCAAAAACAAGGTCTACAAAGCCCTAGTCCAGAACATCCAAGAAAACGCCACCGCTTTTAATGGCGAGTATACGTTCTTAAAAAACTACACTTATTCGTTTAGTTCTGACAACCTGACTGCCTTTGGTGAATTGGAAATGTATGATTCTGGTGTCAAGTTTTATAATCGCTATGAGTCGCTTGCTAGGTTCAATGTTCCCTTCATTCGTTCCTCGGGCTCTGCTCGGGTTGTGGCATCTAGCCAGCAATTTATTGCTGGGTTTCAAGCAACTAAGAAAAATGATAGACACGCAAACCATGCCCAAGTTGGTCCTGTCATTAACGTCATTCTCGAAGAAACCTCTTCATTCAACAACAGTCTCGACCCCGACACCTGCACAAGATTTGAGAATAGTGAAGTGGGCGACGACGCACAAGCCACATTTGCAAACATCTTTGTCCCTGCCATCCTGAAACGCGTCCAGACACATCTTCCGGGAGTGACACTTAATATTAACGAAGTTATTTACCTAATGGATCTCTGCTCCTTCGACACCGTCGCAAAGACAACAGACGCTAGTCAATTGTCACCGTTCTGCGATCTTTTTAGCCATAAGGAATGGGTGCAATATAACTATTACCAATCCCTAGGGAAATACTACGGCTATGGCGGCGGAAATCCTTTGGGACCTGCCCAAGGAATCGGTTTCACAAACGAATTAATCGCTCGACTAACACGCACTCCCGTGCACGACCACACCTCCACCAATACCACGCTCGACTCACAGCCTTCGACCTTCCCGCTCAACGCAACCTTGTACGCCGAGTTTTCACATGACAATGGCCTAACCCCGATTTTCTTTGCCATGGGCCTTTACAATGGCACTAAGCTCTTGTCAGAGACAGAAGTTGAGTCTATTGAGGAAACAGATGGGTATTCAGCTGCATGGAGTGTGCCGTTCTCGGCGCGTGCATATGTTGAAATGATGACTTGTAGGGGTACGAAAGAACCGCTCGTCAGGGTTTTGGTTAATGACCGAGTTGTTCCATTGCGTGGCTGTGATGTGGATCATCTTGGGCGGTGTACGAGGGAAGGGTTTGTTAGGGGGTTGGGGTTTGCAAGGGATGGCGGAAACTGGGGCAGTTGCTTTACCTGATTCCAATCAGAGGCTATTCTAAATAAAGAATAAATAAGGAGTTGTAAATATATGTTTTATTCATGGTATTTTTCAGACATTTAACTATGTGGTCCCTTCTCACAACTATAGATGTGCCGATAGCCATTGAAACTTAACACTAAGTGGCTTTCTCGGGATTATGCTGGCGAAGGGTTAATTTTGAGTCAGTGCAACTGATGTTATTAAAACTCCCCTATAGAAGCAACGGAGCAAGGACATGAAGCAACATTATTGCCTTAATCCCATTGAAAAATTGGCTCAGACTGCCACGCTAATTTAAGTAGCTGACTCGTCAGTACTCAGTTCCAGCCGTTCGATATGCTTGTATCCTGTGTTACTGGTCACTTGGCGAAGTCAATTATACCAATGGCACGCACTAGAGCGAGAGCCGCCTAGCCGAGTCGTTCGGGGGCTGTTGGTACCGGAAGTCGCCCAACCAGCCATCGCAGCCTCAACAAGATGGGGGTGGAACGCGTCACTCCGGACCCTGAACTAACCAGCCGTGTCAGCCTGTTATTATGTATTATCTACGGAAACTTCAAACTAAAAGACTAGTAGAAGACTACTAGAAGTGGTCATTAAATAATACCCACCTGCCAAGTCGCTGCTGATTCTGTTCTTCTCATTCCCAACCATGACTTTATTATTACTGAGTGGCCATGTCAAAAAGCTCCTGGCATGGTGTCGCTTAATTTTGCTGCCGCTGGGGGTAAGTTTGGATATCACGAGTCCGCCTGTAAAATTAGCAAAGAAAAGGGAAAACTGATGTCGCCGCAGAAACCCACGCATTGCTTGCACGGTCAGGCTCCTGTTCGAAAACAGGAAACTACACCACCCCAGATGGACTGAACTTTACTGCGTACTGTGGTGAAGACATCGTATCGACGGCCTATTACGATACGCCAACAAAGAAGAATTTTACACAATGCATGGACGATTGCTCGACCGAGAACTATCGATGCTGGGGGGTGGCCTGGCAAGAATCAAACAGCTCTTGCTGGGGATTAACCAGTGATCATGCTATTACGAGCGCAAATTTGACGGGCCCTTCTAGTACCAGAGACATAGCGCTTGGGAACACCACCCAGCTGGGTGGGAATACTTCATGTCCCTATGCAAATAATACAATCCTCCCGACCCAAGAAGGATTGGATTTTAAGCTCGCCTGCTACACGAGTATTGATGAGGATACTCTTTCCCCGTGGAACTTGGAATTTTGTAGGGTCCATGTGGAAACCCTGGAAGAATGCATGGACGCCTGTGCTCAAGCGCACCCACGCTGTCAAGCAGCAATGTGGAACCCGGGACTTATGGCTGGGTATTTGAACTGTTTTCTCAAAAATGACACCGGTCCTCTCGTGGCAAACACCAACTACATTTACCACACAGCCGTCGCTGAATATACTCCTCTATCCCAGGGCTGCCCGACATATTCGAACTGGACGGCCAACGACAAAACGTTTGACATCAAATGCTCCAAACAAATCACCCAGGCGAACAATCTTACCTTTTACCACCAAGATAATATTACCGCATGTATCGATAGCTGTGCCTCACACAGCGGACCTCCGGCATGTGAAGCCGTCGTTTTTGACGCTACATTGGATTCTGGTTACGAAAATTGCCAGCTTTTTAGCGATGTAAAAATGACAGACGACTCGACAAATCTGAACATAGCTCAGTTTTCTACCGCTACATCTTCAAATTCTTCTTCATCCAACAGCAGCAGCAACAGCAGCAGCAAGGCATGGATCGCGGGTCCAGTCATTGGGGGAGTAGTTGCCATTGGCGTCATTGGATTTATATGGTTTTGGTGGAAGCGTCGGCAAGCAAGGAGGCAGTCGCCTGAAGAGGATAGCAGTGATACGGTTAATCAAGATAAAAATAAGCTACCTGCTACAGTGGCAGACCCTGCTTCACTTGACGCTCTATCTTCTCTCACCGAGCTTGCGGCCCAGGAGAGGGTAGAGCTGCCGTCCGAGGAAAGGAGGGTGTTTGAAATGGGGGCTGATGGAAATATGTGCAAACATTAAACTTGGTCAGGATGTGGTTCATTGAATAATGAGCAAGGCCGTGGTGATGCATGTACATAATTTGTAAATATTTGAATTTTAATCCTTTAATAATTACATGTAATATCTCCTCCTACTTAGCCTCAGTTCATAATTTAAAAATAGTTCTATGATGCTTTTATCATTTTTAGCCTGAGCTACATCTATCCTTTTGGTGAAAACGAGGGAGATTTGCCCCATCAAAAGCTTTGGGTATGTACTAGTATTTACCCATCCTTATTGTTCATCACAGCACCGGTATTAATTTTCGACTGAAGACCCTACGAGTTTCTAATTGTATGCGGTAGACGAAAGGCCTCACTTGATAAATTGTTTTAGATTTTGAATCCTCAAAGAAGGCCATCTTATATATAGGATTATATGTGGCTCGGCTTACTTGTGTGAGATACGTTGGTAAACCTTGCTTAATCGTCTGGATCACTAGGGCCCCATCAGTGATGACTGCCCTTCCAACGGACAATTTCTAGCCAATGATTGTGTAGATAGAAGCAAACCACTGATACTTGATATCACTCGGCGCTCATTTAAAATGCTAGTCAGTAATGTCGCCGCAACTGTTCAATTGCGCTAGCAAACCTTTATTGTCGGGTCCAGACTTAACACCAGACTACTTCATGCATCAGATGTCGAAGAGATGATATAAAAGTCTGAACGAAACGTCGCAAGGATTATCACTCCCCTGATTATGCAGTGGGGTGAGAATGAAATGCTACTTATTAGCATTGTTATGTTGCTGCTGTATTTGTAGCCTTCAATTTAGAAAAATCTACAGTGCTTTAAATTGGGCAAATTGAAGCCTTTTATATCTGGTGGTGTATATGGGTGGTATAGTCATCTAGTCATCGCTGAGAGCTCGCGGATGCCCGGCACCCTCCAGGATGCCGAACGTGCGGGCGTCGCCTGCCGATGACGGGCCCCCCAGAGCTGTCACCTCCCCCCCCCCCCGGGGGGGCTGCCCTGGGTCTCCCTTCTCCCCATCAATCGGCCTCCTGCCGGAGTCATCAGTGTTAACAAGGAAAAGACGATTGTATTCACAAATCTCATAAGCTTGTCTTCTGGCCAACCATCGTGTTGATACTTCTCCGTCTCCTTAAATTAGATAACATAATATGCAGACATTCGCAAACGTTCGCCCAGGCGCGGCAAATGTGAGTTCTCCCGCAGTGGTTTTCGTCAGTCATTTCGAAATAAGGAACTACATAATCTATTAGGTTCATAGAAATAAAGTTCTTGAATTCTGAAAATCCAATAGATTTTTGTAAATGGGTGTGTCGTGTGTGAATACTGTCAAGACGCCTAAGCATGCCAAGGGGCAATTGGCCCCACAGTAAGCTGACATTGCAGGTCTCGCAGTAAGCAGGCCTTTTGTTTGGGTATTAAGTTTACATTGTGTTGTGGCTCATATAAGCTTACTTCGCACTTCAAGCTATGATTACTTGGCTCTTGTGAGGGTAAGAAAAAATTATCAGTTTGTAATCAATTATCATACATCACTACCTTTATGAAACCATTCATAAAATAATGCTGGTCATTGTCGCTGGTAAGCTAGTATGTTTCCCTTACGAATTCCATGATAGTGCAAAACTATATATATCTGCCTCATAAAAGCGAGCATATAAAGTCCAATAACAGAAAACTGCCTTCTATCCAATCTCTCGTTTTCCACGCAACTAAAACCCGACTGATTAATACTATTCTACAGTCAAATATTCGATTTTAACCATGGCTCCAACTATTGTTCTCATCACCGGTACGACCCGTGGTATTGGAAAAGGCTTGCTGGAGCTATATCTCAAGAGGCCGAACCATATCATCATTGTGGGAAATCGTGACCCTAGTGACCCGAAATCTACCATTCTACACGACCTCCCCAAGGCCGAAGGGACCACTTTAGACATCGTGAAAATTGACTCGACCTCGCCCACAGACGCCGCGACAGCTGCGGATGCGCTCGCTGCCAAATTTGGTCATATTGACATTCTCATCGCCAATTCAGGAATCGCCAACCTTTTCCCCAAATTTGTAGAGGTAACAATCGAAGATATTAAGCCTCACATTGAGGTCAATTACTTCGGTTTCATCCGTCTTTATCAAGCCTTTCGACTCCTGCTCAAAAAGGCAAAAGATCCTAGATGGGTGACCATTGGGTCAAGTGCAGCATTTCTAACGGTAAATATGAAATACGAAACTGTTACCTTGCCCAAGAAGAAGTCTGCTAACTTATACGACAGTGGGTCTCAGCAAAGGATATTTGTTTAGAGGTGTTTATTGATGGGTTTGAAGTAACACGCTAACTTTCTTTCTTTTCTTTTTTCGTAGCAACTTTGGCTCTCACCCAAATGCTGCATATGGTCCTACAAAAGCCGTTCAGCACTGGTATACCAAAGCAATATCCTTCGAAGATCCTTGGCTGAACGCTTTTCCTGTCGACCCTGGGTGAGTCTTGTATCGTGATTTCTGCGTTTCGTATGTGTCTAATATAAATCAGTTGGGTACAAACAGACCTTGGAGGGCCACAGGCCCCTCTCACAGTAGCGTTCAGCACTGCTAAATTGCTCAATGTTATCGACACCTCCACTCGCGAGACACACAGTGGAAAGATGTGGAGTTATGATGGTAGTGAGGTGCCTTGGTGAATGAAGCTGGGAGAAGTACTGGTAGGTATTCTAGTACATACAAAGATATAAAGAGAGCATGTAATTTATATGAGCGACCGATTATGCGGAATGAAATTATTTCAGTTTCTCTTCAATCTCATGGTTATGGCTTTTTACTCCGATCCAAAAGTCCTATCACATTGCCAGCGTAAGGGCATTTGTGAGCCTTGGCATTAATATCCGCACCCATTTGAAGAAGCAGTACCATGCCTGGCTCAAAACCTCTCTCAATGGCCATGTGTAGTGGAGTCCATCCTGTTTTATCATATGTGTCTATAACAAGACTCGGTTCGTGTTCTAAGCGGTGGTTCAGCAGCAGTACTAATATCCTAACATTCCGGCGCAAGACTGCCCAGTGTATTGCTGAACGATCGTCGCATTCGAAAATCCCTATTCGGGCACCTTGCTCCAAAAGTAGACGTACTATCGATTCATGATCTTCGATCACTGCGTGTATGAGTGGGGTGCGACCATCGCTATCTTGCTCATTGACATCCATGTCGCTACGGAGTATAAGCACTCGTAGAATTTGCTCGTGGCCTCTCTGGGCGGCGATGTGGAGGCTGCCAACCCAGCCTGTTTTTTTTGATGTGGTGATTAGTCGTGAAAAATCATTATTGTGAGACGGTGCCAAGCTGTGGGCTGGCATTGACGATGGCATATCCGATTCTGAGGCCCTTCGATGAGGTCGTGTGCCGTAGATCTGACTGTCATGAAGCTGGAATGGCTCATTATTTGCTGTACTACTCTGAGGTGTGTTCCATGACATCAAGTCCCACGAAGTCATCTTTTGGGGGGTCGAATGCTCTAACGGTTGTTGCAAGGCAGGTGGATTAAGTGATGGAAGAAAGATATTGTTGTTTGTTTGGTACATAAGCTGGTCAATCGTGTCGAGCTCGATGTGTGTGTTCTCCAGTTCCGGCTCATCGGTCAAGTGCTCGGCCGAAAGAGGCATGACGGCTGAAACAGCGACAACTTCATCATTCCCGGCCGCTGAATCCATTGGCGATGATTGGAAAGATCCGTTTCTACCCAGAGTTGCATCTACCTGGACACTCCCTTCCGCTAGCCGTTTCTTTTCTGCGAGGCCCTCTGATTAGCAGTGCGATCAACACGCTATCAGTGATTTACGACAGAGCTTACCACGGAATTTGCGCTGTGCCAGTCTATTTTGAAGGCGGCGTCGTTCCACCAGATTAAGTTGAGCATTCTCGTTGGCCCCCATTAATTTTCTTAAAAAGTTGGTTGGGGTAGTGAGCATCGGCGGTGGCATATCACTGTCGTCTAAGTTGTCGGTGGGTGTCAGAGATTCGATTAGAAACAAGAGACGCCGGACGCTAAGGAATAAACATTGAAGTACGACCGAGAGACCGGACTAAGCCAAGGCTATGGCGCTAAGTACAAGAAAAGGAATATATTAATACTTTATAACGCCCCTAGGACACGGCAACCCTAGGGCCTCACATCTAGAGTTATTAATATTTTGGAGCACACAAAAAGGGGGGGGGGGGGGGGGGGGGTAAGGTAAGGTTATCATTCAAGGCCGATTAGAAAGCGCTCAGTGGCTGTCGTCCCGGAGTAGATATGATTGGCGTTTTGCAATTATTTAATCACCTGACCTGCCTCATCTCCGTCTACACATCACCCTACACCCTCTATTGGAGTTATCTCGATATTCCTAGTATCCACGCCCAGATTTTCCATATCCCGCTAACATAGATTTGCTTGCCATAATCTCAGATATGTTGACGTCTTTTCTATAGTCCTTACCATTGCTCAGACGAAGATGGACGCCGCTTAAGTTCTCGAATCCAAACTTCGTCTAGATACCTGCAAGCCAGGAAATTAAAGAGGAGACCATCCCAGATTATTATGCGACCCGGTACTACCCTACTCAGATAGGTGAAACCTTTAAGAACCGATATCAAGTCGTGCGAAAGCTAGGATTTGGAGCTAGCTCAACTGTGTGGCTTGTACGGGAAATGGAGTTAGACGCCCATGGAATCCATGTTTATAATTACCTTGCCTCTGCTCGTAACTAAGTGCAAGAGCGGCTGCTGTCGTTATGTTGCTCTCAAGATCTTCATCAAGTCTGCATCATTGGGGTAGCAACTGGTTGACGAACTCAACATATAGAAACGCATGGGAGAAGTCTCACAAAAGCATTCAGGTCATAAATATGTCAGGCCATTGCTCGACTCATTTGATATGGATGGACCTGAAGATAAACACCGGTGCCTCATGTATCCTCCGTTTTGGGAGAGTTTGTTGGCTATTTTATTCCGCAATCTAATTCTGCGACTGCATATACCCGTTTTCGTTGTTGTGCTTCACCGTCTATTTTTAGTGCTTGACTATCTACATACAGGATGCAAGATTATACATACCAGTATGTACTCCTGTTCAACCTTCTGCTTCTGTTACTTATTTGGCAATGCCACCCAGACATTAAGACGGACAATATTATGTTTGGCATCGCTGATGATTCGGTTTTTAGTGATTTTGAAGAGAATGAACTTCAGAATACGTGTCCTAGGAAGGAGTTAGACAGAAGGACAATTTATATTTCCCGTAAACTAGGAATGTCTAAGAAATTGGGTGCCCCCGCCCTATGCGACTTTGGCTCGGCCGTACTCGGTGACGAAAAACATTTCAAAACTTCAACCTGATATCTATCGAGCGTCGGAGGAAATTTTTGGAAGTTCCGTGGACATATAGCGTTGATATATGGAATGTGAGATACATGGTAATATAATAGCCGATACTAGTGTAAGAGCTCTTAAAATTCTCGTTGCAGATTTGGAACATTTTCGAAGGGGGGTTCTTGTTCAAAGGTCAGGACCCAGAATTTCAGACTTACTGGAGTCGAGCACGCCTCGCCGAAATGATACGTCTTCTCGGTCCGCAGCCGCCCGATCTTCTTGCACGAGGGAATCTAACCCGAAAATTCTTTTCGGTAGAAGGTAAGTCAACTGCTATCTTATTGTCTAGATAGGGAGGGTATTCACTCATCATGTCTGACTTTCTAGGTAACTTCTACGTTAGAATTCCAGTACAAGAGTACACTCCGCTCGAAGAGAGGAGAACTACTTTTGAGGGACAAGAAACAGAACAGTTTCGCCGGCTCGTACGAAAAATGCTGCAATAGGAGCCTAGAGAACGAAGCTCTGCTAAGGAATCATAAATAGACAAGTCGTTGCCAACAGAGCTACATAAATAGTCTAGAGACTTGTTGGTCTGCTTTTCTCGTTCAATGAAACTCTACGGTACCAACAAGTGATAATCGCCAGATGCCCAAACTGCCCTCACTGGTCGCTTGTGCTCTCTCTGCGATGATTGAGACTAGACTATCAAGCTTGAAAGGCTCCATGTTGAAAGCGTTGACTACAACGCTATGCAGACTGCAAGCCTAGGCATTGCGAAAATTGTAAATAACATCCATGACCTGAGCCAGTAGTATTGTGGTAGCAATTACAAATATACGAAGTAGACTTTTCGCATCGGGGGAAATACCGAGATATGTACATGCTGTTTTACCTGAGATTGACGGCTGTATTCGGTTTAATGATGGCGATATTGATTTGGTATTACCCTTGGATGCTGAGGCGAAGGAAAGATTATTAGAAAAGGATTATTTTCAAAATAGAGTCTTCGATAGATAGTAACTATACCCAATGGCGGTGCGATATACCGCTAGAAACAACATTATTCCCTCAAAATGTAAGCTGAACATGCTATCAGCGGAACTTCGAGAGTTTTATGGCATATTTAATGTTTAGGCTTTATCGTTCTCAAATTGAAAGCTGGGGAATTTTTTCCGCCATCTCTTTACTCCATTTGTCCGCTTTGTATTTCATCGGAATCAGCACTAGACAACTAAGCCAGCAGATGAAGGCAGTTAATGTCAACAACCACCCTGTGCCGATAGCATTACTCAGCGGATCAGCAATCACAAGTGCTACACATGCCAATGAGTTTCGAAAGAGGTTGTTAACCGCTACCCCTGTACTGGATCGTTTTGGCACGAACTCGGTAAGCATCGTAGTCATGACATTGGATATCAGCATCATTCCAAACCCGTAGAAGAATGTTGCTAGGCACTATAAGTTGTATTTTTTTAGTTACTGTCCAAGACTTCGATACTGAGCAAACTACTTACCAACACAAACCAAAAGACATGCTTGTCCGCTGTCCATCCAAACCAGAGCATTGCAGCAGGATATAGCAGGGCTGAAATCAACACATTTTCCATGATGCGGTCATCTGGGCGGAATTTAATGTTTCCATTTTCATCATACCGCCCGGCTTTGCTGGCTTCTCGTTTCATGATATGGTCTGTCCATCTACCACCAAATATTGCGCCGAGAATACTGCCTAAAGCGCTAGGGATATAGGTTAAGCCCACAATCAAAGGTGAAAAGCCGTATGGTGGAGAAGAAAAAACCTTCTGAACCGTAATATTCACAATATAGTACCCAGCGAATGTGATACTAGTGTAGAACACGGTAATCAGAATAGGCATGAAGCGTAACAGACAAGCCACTTTAACCGGGGAAATAGCCACATTTCCTGCACTTAAAAGCCGTGACTTCCAAGCGGCTTTTCCATTTTCTGGTTCGGTGTTTTCTTTTTCCTTCTGTTGTTTTTGTATATAAGACGTTTCTGGGAGCAGGAAGATGACAAGGATGAAGACCAGGAACCCGTAGATGACCATAACCCATTGGGTGCTACGCCAGCTCCATTTGATAGCCACCGCACCCCCAATTACTGGGGCAATCAGTGGTCCGAGGATTGGCCCAAGGTAGAATATACCCATAGCCTTCCCTCTTTCACGGACCTCCCATATATCAGCTATGGTTCCGGCACCGACAGCTTGAACAGAGGCACAGGCTCCGCCAGCCAATAGACGCATTGCGATAAACATGCCGATATTGACGCTTACTGCAGCCAAGACATTGAAAACAGCTAGTAATAGAAAGGATATCAAGTATATAGCTCTGCGACCGTATTGTTCTGAAAAGTACGACCACCATAGCGGCGTGAATGCAACTGCGAGCGAGTAGAAGGCAACGGATAAATTGACGATAGCGGCGGTTGTGTTGAGATCCTGGGCAATGTCTTTGAGGACAGCTATTAGAGAGATTAGCTATAAAAGGCCCTCACATGAAATGTATTTTAAGCGAGTAGATCCTTACGCATAAGTATCGTACTGCCCAAAGGGGCCGCTATTCCTGCTAAGGAAACAATTAAAGTAACACCAAATTTCAGTCTGCGGTCCACCTCTTTGGAATTAGCCGGTGCTGATACAAGGACAAGGTATGGTAGCAAGCCCCTTCTTCTGGTAAGCGTTTCTTTGGGCTGCACGGCAGTTTGCACTTGGTCTAAATTTGTCGAGTCATTAAGTGCAGGCTCTTCCGTAGGATGATTTTCTTTGGTCTCTGCGGTAGAAGACTGATTATTTATCTCATTCTTTTCGATTTCAGTCATTTTGCCAACTCTATAAGCTTCAAGATGGTAACGAATTGGACGACAAAGGGTTGTTTGCATGAATACACACGTACAAGGGATGATTGGCTTTTTAAAGACGTTATAGCAGTATTATATAATGTCGACTAGTGAGGACTGATAGGAATAATTCCACTATCATATTATTGCTTCATTATTGCCAAAGGATCACGAAAAGGTTTCGGGATCATTCAATACAACGTAGAAGAATACTGTAAGTAATAGTACGGTACAGTATGTTGTATCTTTGAAGGATGATAGTTCATTGGCATACAAGGTAAGCTTGTACCCACAACTTTTCATTCGGGAACGAGCAGCTGTGTATTATTACAACGGGCCGCGCGGGCCGCTCTGTCTTCCTCTAGATGAGAAACTGAGATGTAAATCGAAAGTTATTTTACTTACAATAGTATTACGTCTCCAGAACAGAGAACGCAAATAATAAAACCTAGTCTGCAGGTGCTAGTGTGACAAGTGATTTATTCAAAAGGATCCGAAATAACCTGTCTTAAGTTGCTTGGTTTTGTAATAGACATTCTCGCAAGTGTCTCCACATGTGGGAAAGCAGGCACTTAACAGAATACGGAAACTAATTGAATTCTGTAGGACGATGAGAAGATAGAAAAGAATCCTATAGGACGTTCAGAGTACCAGTGATTGGGACTATACAAACATTCTCTTTCTTTCAGGTCAATCTGTTTAGTAGATGATCCGCCAAAGGGTCAAGCTGGAAGGTGCTAGTTGTTTTGAAATGTGAATGAATTCAGCTCTAATGCAGACTCCAGTGATATTAAATTTTACTGGCTGAAAATGACCGTGATGTTAGAATAACTATCTATTTCCGTTTGGTAAACACGAGCGGGCACTCATCCTAAATATAGAATTAGCATGTCGACTTTTCATAATACTCTTCAAAGTGTGAGTCCGTGACAACATTAGAATGAAAACATACCATGGGGAAGAGCGTGGCAAAGACTCTAATCTCCTCCGAATGCTCAGTTGCGTGATGGACCCAATCAACTTCCAATGAAGCCTTTCCAATCATGGCTGCCATTGTAAGTGGCACATATCTTCGTGCAAGACAATCATGCGGTCCAGTGCCAAACACAAGCCAGTTTTTAGTCTTAGAATTAGCATCGCCGGTAATCCATCTTTCCGGATCGAAGACTTCTGGGTTTGGGTATGCCTCGGGATCATGAAGCGCCGGGTAACAGGACGGCACAATCATGGCGCCCTTTGGTACGGTGTAGTCGGGGGTGACCGGAAACGCCTGGGTAGCAAGATAGGGCACGAAGATTACAGGTGGACGATACCGAAGGAGCTCTTTCACCACAGCATTGGTATAGGTGAGCGATTCGTACATCGCTAGATCAAGTGGCTTCTTTCGGTCACCGCCACGCACAGCAAGATTCTCCTCTCGAAGGCGATCAAGAACGTCGGGCCTCTGAGCAAGGACTTGGAATAACCAGGTGGTAGAGCTACTGGATGCATCTTGAGATGCGAAAAGAAAGGAGAACATTGTCTGCCCGATTTCCTCATTCGTGAATTCGCGAATTAGGTTTGTGGGTTTTTCAACTCCCACCTCACCTGCAGCAATTCTCTCGTTGTAATCCTTCGACTCCATCATGTGTAAGACCCACTGATCAACTATGCATGTTGGCTTTGCGCCAGTGGCCATATTTTCCTTGCAGGCAGCAGCACACTTGGCGAATTCCGCTTGAACTGCATCAGCTATGCGTTTGCCTCTCCAGCACTTTGTGAATGGAATATAAGTCGAAAAGGGAACATTAACGAGCTCAAGGGCGGCGGTAACAAGATAGAAATCATCGGCGATTCTCTTGACGGCATCTTGGGATATATAACCACCAAAAAAGGTACGGCATGATAATGCACAGTTGATTTCCCTGAAAAGACCCATGAATTCAATGGGCCTTCCCCCATTGGCCTCGCTGGCGACCACAAATTTGTCAAAATAATCTGCGTATACCTTTTCTTGAACAGGTAGATATATGCTTAATGCCTGGTTTGTGAAGAGACCGGTCAATCCCCTGCGGAATTCAGTATGGGCCTTCCCTGTGAGGAAAACCCAAGCTTTAGGGCCCATGATCTCGGTTGCAATGGGGACCAAGCAAGGTTTCGCGTACGCTGGTGACTTGAAGACTCTGTGGGCAATGTCACGATCTGAAGCGAGGACGACGAACCTTGAAAACAGATACATTAGCCTTGTCGACCATCTAGGCCATCTAGCAGGTATGTGAAAAGGATCTCTTGTGCAATGGATGTATGGATATACTTGTGAAATACAGATATGCAGCTCAGGGGACCACTCGCCCATTGAGACACATATGCATCGAACTTTGGATATATCGCTTGTATGAATGGGCCCATGAACGGAATCTTGAACGTGGGTCCTGCGATTGAGCCCTTCCGTTTAATATAGAGAACTGGGGACATATCAGCACTACATAGCACCCCAAGCAAGTCGACCACGTACGTTGATCATAAGCAATCAATATACACAGAGTAGTGGCAGCTAGCTGCCAGCCATTCCAGCGAGACAGATAGTGCAACAGAAGAGCGTCTACCTGACCAGAAATGCCGTCCTTCGCAAAATACGTTGCATTGTTGACGAGGGGTGTAAAGATACTTTGATTGATCGTAGCCATGGTGTATCCTAAATTTTCATCTGAGAGAAAACAATAATCTCGTAGCTCTTGAAGCATTTTCAGAAGCAACCCCTTTATAGAATAATAATTGACTTGCCATATCCCGCTGCTGGCTAGCATTAGTAATGACCCAACGATACACAATTGGCCTGAGTTGTGCCGCTAACAGTGCTGTTGGATAGATGAGCCAGTCGAAATATCCAATAATAGTATATTTCATATAGTTCCGAGCGCAGGAGACGACACGGACGCCCATCATCGCATTGCATGAGAGAAATACTATGTCTTGGCAGTAACGTAAAGATGTACCAACCTATTTAGAGCTAGACTCCGATCGTGGAAGGTATCGGGAACTATGCCGCAATGAGCAGCCCTTTTTTTCTCGCCGGAGTCTAGCCCGCTTTAATCCTAGACTCCGAGACTGTCACTCTCAAAACCAAATATTGGGGGATTGTCGCGAGAGGAAACGTGCGTCTCGCGTTATTTCATTTACAAATTTGATAGGAGACATCGGACCTTACTGCATTCAATCCGTCAAGAGTTTGAATATCTCCTCCCATTTCCGTCGGACAAGTTCTTCCTGCTGGGTTCTAGTCCAGAATACTGTCTCTAGACGTACGAGGACCTCTTCCCATGTGTGTAAGCCGAGAGCCATGGCAACTGTGCATGTCTGAGCTATAAACCACTTTCGATAAGGTGTGCCAGTGGTAGCGACCAGACCAACAGAGAGAACCCATATTCCTGCTGAACTGTTCATGTAGTCTGTTCCTACTAGGGCTTCAATATGACGTTTGAGTTTCAGTATCATGTCATTTGCCAGATTGTCATGGGAATAGTAGGTAGTTCCATGTATAGACAACATATAAAGCGCTATTGCATACCTCATGCATTCGGAAACGGCCGATTGCTCAGGAATCTCTGAGGATAATGGAGACAGCAGTAGCAGCTTATGCAGTACAAAACACGCGAGATCATGTAGATCAGTGCTAGTCATGTGTGAAACTCGCTCATGGCGAAATATTGTCCGGAGACGGACTAGTGCGTTGCTTATAGTAGGATCGATTTTAAGATCATGGAGTGACAGATGTTGGAGATCGGAGCCTGTCAATGCTAACCGCCACTGTGGTGTAGGAGCAATTCCGTTTCCAAGGCCAGAATCGTCTTGGATTTGGAATTGAGGAGCCTCTGTAACTAGCATTGATACCCTTTATGAAGCTTGTTAGCGATACGTGTTAGCTTTATCCTATGAAAGTCTCACCAAGAAATCATCCTCGCCGTTAACGGACTTGTTCGTTTAAGCTCACTGATTCCGCCCCTAACATTTACCATCTGCTTGACAGCATTAATGTGAGCTCTACTAGTTTCGACATTCCCTTTTCCATGCTATCCATATATGATGTTAGCAATAGTGACGGAAGGCCGTACGCCGAACAACGCTCTCACCTCGATAGCAGCTAAGGTAACAACTGAATCCATGGTCTCATCTTCGAATGCCAGTGACGAGTCTTCGAGTTTTTGTCTCAAAAGGGACACTGAATCAATCATCAGAAGTTCCGATATTGGAAACCCTTTCTGTGCCCGCAATTCTTCGTCAAGAGATGCCGTTTGCAAAGACACATGAAATAATGCCGGATCCGCGAGTGCAAGCGGCCACCACTGGACAACAAACGGGTTTGATTCTATATTAAGATCCAAGGGATAATACCGAAAGGCGATATTGGACAAGACTAGGTTAGTTAGACATGTATTGGTGGTATATCGACTTATGAAGGGGGGGAATTACAATATTGAATAAGCCTTTGGACATGGAGCCGCGGAAGCCTGGTCGGAGGATACGAATCGAAAGGATCGAAAGACGCATCCGCCACACCGGACAGTCGTACTGACTTTTCAACAGAGTCAGGTGTGCTCCTCTTGCCATTCGAAGTTACTTCATTTTCGCTATTGATGTCTTGCTTATTGAGTTCTGAGGTCTTAGAAAATGGGGCTCTTCTATTCCGGGATGAAAACAGAGGTTCATTCGCATAAAAGCAGGCAGAATCTTTCTTGAAGCATCGAGAGCACCGAGGTAGTTGGAGATCACAGCTCTGTTTCGACTTTGCGCAGGCATCACAGGACCTACGAAGCGTCGCGCGCATCCTTGAAAGGGAGGAGGGGGACAGTTCACCTTACATAAATATTTATCTTTCAATGAATATGAGCCGAATATATGAGTGTTGGCGACACTAAGTGGGGGCTTACCAAAGGTGGATGCGCGGTGGCCATTTGTAATTTAGTCATTCTTTCGGAATCAAAGTTTATTCAATTCCCCCATCTCTTGCAGATGTATAATGAGATAGATCGCCATAACTACGTCTCTGAAGGATTGGTCACATTAAATGACGATATAAATTGTGCTTTTCTTTCAAAACTACATTGAAAGTTATGTTAGTAATAGTCTGAATTTCATCAGTAAAGACGGTACGGGTATTGTGGAGGCCTTATAAAATTGAGGGCGAATTATCACTTTTTAGATAAGCAACTTTAGATAATTAAGGATAGATAGTTTGGGATAATTCCATCAGGCTTGCGACTCGGATTACTTCATAACTATCCAATCAGAGGTGACCTCGCACTAACATGAGGGGTTGAACATCTTCACTGCAGGCTCTCACTGGAAATCTTTGATCATTGACATCGATATTCATATTGAGATATACATAGTTCCGTTTTCATTCACATTTCAATAGATAACTAGGCGCGGATTACCCCCACAATTCGAACAACTGTCGGAAAGACCTTCGCCTTAGACCATCCATTTCGCCCACTGCAGAACCCTATCATAGGGACGTAGCTGAAGAACCCTCTCCACTTGTGCAGAATCATTTGATTATAAAGACCCGATGTCTTTGTTGTCATGTCAGAACAGCGATGACCGTCTCAACGTCATGAATTCGAAGTCGTGATCATCTGTGCGCTGCCGCTAGAGTACAATGCTGTCTCTCTTCTTTGTGATCGGTTCTGATGTGAGAATAGAGACCAGTATGGGCACGCCACCAGTGACACAAACTTGTACACGACCAGACAGATTGGGAAGCACAATGTCGTCCTGACCCTTTTGGCCTACATTGGCAAAGCCAATGCCGCACGGCGACTGCGAGTATTAGATCCAGCTTTTCCCCGGGTTGAAATTTGCTTTTTTCGCAGGAGTCTGCGGCGGAACACCGAAATACCCGGAAATTGGCGATGAGATCCTACTTGGAGGCGTCGTGATCAGCAAGACGGCGGTCGGATATGATTTTGGAAGACAGAATCCTGGCAGCTTCGTGTGCAAAGATACCCTCGATGATAATTTAGGTCGTCCGAACCGCGATATATGCTCCCTGCTTGCGGTTTACGGACAGAACTTGGAAGGTAACGACTTCAGGAGCTAACCGCGCAATATATGCGAGACCTACAGGATTTGGCAAGACGAAAGAAATGACGAGGCGATTAGTCTATCGATATCCCGGGACGACTGAGGATAGGTTGTTTTAACAGTCCTATCTACATAAACATCATGGTTTGTCGCCATATGTATGCGAGGATTGCAATCGGTTCCCCCACAGTATTTTTAAGATGGCACATGGTGCACTTTGCACAAATATTCCATGCAAGGAGCAGCATTTGCTACCCAGGGACAGCTGGACATGACGCGGCAGCTGGAGCAAGATGGCAAAAAAGAGGTACAAAAAAAGACACAATTATACGTCTTGGACGGATCGCATCCGGTGACATAGTGATGAAGTCTGAGGAACATCGAGAAACACTTGTACAAAATGAGAAAGTCATTTCATTTCAGATGGAGAGTGCAGGGATTTGGGATGAAGTTCCGTCCATTGTTGTTTAGGGGGTATCTGACTATGCTGATAGTCACAAAAACAACCAATGGCAAGACTTCGCAGTTTTAATGTCAGCATCGACAATAAAGGCCTTGCTTGAGAGATACATCGGCACTAAAAGGCGTAGATAAATGTTGAAAATTTTGAGTAGCTAGAACGATTGAGAATTTTGCTATAATGGTATCAAAATGGGCCAATTTTTAGATTTGATAGCCCTGTAAATAGCTTAGAGAGTTTTATTTAATCATCTGCCTGTATTCATATAGCCAGTCATCACATATACATACAATTATGTGAGTTCGATACCTCTATTCATTATGTAGACTGCGGATCTCTCCATCTCCGAAAAGCCCTAGCATATTATGAGAAACCTTATGTCGGTATAGGAACAATGCCCGGTCTGATAGCGCGAGGACCAAGTTAGCATCTATCGGATATTTCCAAGAGCCATTCTATTATTTTAACGACATACCTACCTAAACATAGGGTCTACTGTCCAAGATAGATGTAGCTTGCACCACTGAACTCCGCGCAGTCGACTTGAATACCATTTCCACTGGCTTCAACATCAACAGTAGTGCAGCCTGAATCGCAGCTACTAGTTGGGCAGCCGCCTAATTTCGCAGGCGCCACTTCATTTGTGCCAATTAGCTCTCCACTAAAGGCGACATCTAGGTCGTCGCTCGAGTACGGATTTGAGAAGCATAAGTTCCCGCCACCAGCATCATATGTGAATGATGTCTGCGATTCGGATTCGGTTTGTTGTGGACAGTCTCCCGAGTCTTTGAAGAACATCAGGCCGGAGTACTGGGCGTTGGTTAAGGCAGCGGCCAGGAGCACAAGGAATGCGGTCTTCATGTTGAATTGTTGTATATGTGGTAAGTTAGAATTCGAAACGGGATAAGGAATAAGTTTAAATTTTTGATTGTCAGTGATGTTGTTGATATGTCTCTCTGAAGTTATTCAAGAGACAAAACCATGGTATAAATCAGGATCGATGAAGAAATGGACCGTGAGAGGGGTTCGGGTTAATTCATAGTCAGAGAGGCTCGTATAGATGCAGGTGAGACAGCTATTTCGAAGCACTGTTATGGATTTATGGAGTAATGTCATTGTGTTCGTCCATTCATGCGACTTCTCTTTCTTCCAGAATAAAGCAAGACCCATATCGCACAAGATAATTGACGTCAGATCCATGTTGATCTATCCACAATCGAATAAAAGCTTGGTACTAATTAACTCTGCTTACCTGTCTTGATATATTTGGACATTCCTCTAGTTCTGATTTAACCCATAAAATGGCCCCATAAGAAGATCAGGGGCAGCAAAATGGAGAGCCTCCAAACCTCCTATATATGGGTCGGCTACGTCATGATCAGTCGATGTAACTGAAAGTTAAAACAGATAGATAAAGAGTGAGATACTCATGCCCCGAAGCCAAGTTCATATGCCGATCATAATAATATCGCGCATTACGCAGTAGAGTCGCGACGTTCGATCTTACTGTCTGTCACCTTCCGCATCACAGGACCCGCCACATGGCGAAAACATGCTGGTTTCGACTTTCAAACCACCGATGACCAAGAGGTCAAGACAAATTCGCCCCTATCAATATGAATAGGAGGTTAAAGTGGAGACTGACTCAGACGGCTACGCGGCACGGCGCCAAGCTGCAATGTTTTACTTTCGGAATGCCATTCTTGGCGCAGCACGGCTCAGCGAAATGCGCTATCACCCTTGATTGACCATATTGCATTCGCACGAAATGACATCGCAAGCTTTCAGAAATATCGTTGATGGCCTGAGATTGTTTAGTTTTCAATGTTAGTTTGGTAATCAAAATTTGATAATTAACTATATGAGCCGTTGTTTTCGTTATCGTTCCACCTGTTTTTATATAATTAATTATAAATAGATTCACTTGTGGATATATCAATTGATGTATTCAACTTTGAGAGTGCATTGCACATGTAGTAAAAAACATTGTGTTGCTTAGATGGCCTTTGTTTGATTAGTTTATTTCTGATTTTCTTTTTGCAAAATTATAGTATATATCATACCAAAATGTTTCTATCAATGAACTGAATGATGTAGGTGATAATACAAACACCACTTCCAATCTCACATCCACTTGTTTAACAACCTTCTAGATCCTCAATCGATGGTGGTAATATATAGGGAAGGATGCCAACCTGCTGTCTCGACCAGGTTATTGCCACTTGCCCATCTGGGATCTGCGAAACAGGGGATAGCTCTAAAATTTCCGAAATATCTTCCACGAGATCTTTACCCCGAGAGCCAATATACCATGCCGTAGGATCTCTCCCCATTCGGTCTAGAATAACCCCGAAATACATCATAATTAATAAAGCCATGGGTTCCAATTGCTTGAGAGATTGGAAGAAGCATCTGTCAACTACTGAGACTAGAATCCAGCAATAATTTTTTATCACACCCCTTTTATGCTCGGCAAAGCTGCATTTTATGTGTCCAATGGCAATTTGATACACTTCGGTATCCCCGGCGATCTCGGTATGCCCATCGGCTGTTATAAGTACTCGGATCTGGCGGCTGATAGTAGTAAGTAAGTCGAGGGCTGATGCTGTCTCATCATCTAGAATATCTAGAACCGACATATCTATACTTGACACTATTTCAGACTGGCAGGATGGCAGCGAATTTGGAAAGCGGGCTAGGAACATAGTTTTGGCGCTGAGCATGACATCAAAAGTCTTGCTGAGTCGTGCCAATGGTCTTGGCAGACCCGAAGTGACAAAAGAGAAGATTGCCATACACTCTATGAAAGCGTAGAGTAAGCTAGCACTGTGCTCATTGAGGTCAATGAGCTGAAGTCGAAAGTCGGCAGCTGCTTTGACACTGTACTCAAGTGCCGGCATCAGATATTGTTTTTGTCCGCCAGAGTGAGCAAAATCTGCCGCCGCCAGTGCAAGAAGGCCATTTTTAAGATACTTATTCGCCAATGCCATGTGTGGTAAATATTCCTGGAGATATTCCATATCGTTCGGCACCCCATAAACGCACCACATGGTTCTTGTCAACCATCGATGCATTAATCGTTGCTCAAGGGGGCTAGAGAATTCAGGCGTACTAGAGAATGAGTATTGGGGAATCTTCAATGACGCCGTCTCTGAACCAGATGAGTCTCCGAGAAATTCTGCCGACTTTTTCTCGGACCTGTGATTTAGTGATTTCTTAGGCCTTGTTTTTCCTGTGATAACTGTCTTGGATTGATATACAGTGACAACTTTGAAATTCGAATCGCTTATCAAGGGCAATTGCTGTGTGGTTGCCCCTTCCCCAGAAAATTCATGAAACTTGAATCTCCTTGTACCAGACCCGATACAAGGAACCTGCAGGCGCAAACATCGCGAGCAGCTGGGTTGTTTTTCATCGCACTAATGCAGACAACGGTCACTAGATGTCGCATGGCGGATTTTGATCCGCGCTTTGCATATGGAAGAACTCACTTTCTTCTTTTGTTTTCTGCATGTATTGCAGCCTGTGCTGGTTGGAACGCCTGGCATGGAGTAATTACTACGTGTATGTAAATTGATAGGCTGATGGATGATTAAAAATTGTATTTTTTTTCCTGAGAGATTGAAGGCGGCTGACCTGCTCTGATATCGATATCGGGGATGGCGGGTGAAAAGAGGTCCGAAAGATGACCACAAGATTGCCCCAGACAGATCGATGTAGGATACCGCCAGCAATAGAAGGGGCCCTTGAGCTAAAATTACGCCATACTCAATCTTTATTGGCTGAAATGAATTGGAAGGGACCCTAAGTCTTGGCAGGCTTGTGAGGGTACCTGAAATGGCATGGCGTGTGCTTAAGATAGAAATTATCGGAACGGCTATTGCGGCTATGAGGTCATTTTCTGTGGTAGCCAATTACATGACCTTATTCATATTGAGCCACGAAGATGATTGGACGACGAAGATAAAATGTTTGCCCTATGCCAGAACAAGTATCCAATTTTTTAATGCCAGTCTAGAGGCTATATGGGTCAAAGGCTATTAAGTGCAAGATAGAAATATTTAGCAGTATCGACGAATTACGTTGATATAATATGACACTTCCCTCACCAGCCTCGGTTGCGCGAACTCCTGTGATGCTTTTCAAGGGAGAGCAAGTAATGCGAATGACCCGCCTAGCACAGGACGTGCTGCAAAGTCCTCCCAGTCTCCAGAGACCGCATCGTACCAGTCCGTTAAAGGCACCGCATTGGGTGTAGAGTTTATCCACTTGGCAATTACACTGAAGAGCTTGGACTGCACATCAGAGGAAGCAATGGATGCGACAAATGCTTCCCAATCAACTATAATTATAAGGGCATATTAGCGATTGTTCGTACGTCGACAAGCTTAATAGTTTTAAGGGTTACTTGTTTACTCACCCTTGGTATATGTGTGTCTAGTGTCAAGATAAATACCGTATTCGTTAAACACGGTGGCGTAGAATGTGCTCTGCATATCGTAAATAGACTGCGGGACGAAATTCAATGACAAAGCTTTGTCTGCCCAAAGATTATACAATAGACCTATATTGGATGAACACGTAAGAACATATCTACAAAAGAAGAATACTCCAAAAAAGAATCACCACTCACCGTAGCTGGTTTCATCATCGTAAGCTAGAGTAGTATGCGGTGGGCTAGCAGAAGATTCGATTCCGTGTTCTTGCCAAGCGGAGAGGTATGTTGCGGCGATAGAGCTGTAATTGGCGCCGGTCGATTCATTTCCCGTCAAATTGGCAATCTTACTCATTGCTTGGATACCAATAATGCCTTTCAGCGCGAGGTTTGTTTGGTTGCTAGATATTTGATTAGTTTGTTAGCGTTTGCGCAAGAAACCAATAACTTGTACAGGAATAGAAAGGTAAGCATACGCAAGAGCCCCAGCAAAATCATCCGTTGATATTTGATTTTCGGGATATTCCGAGAACTCGATCAAATACTGAGTCCACTGGTCCAAGATCTTATAGTGTTGTTGGAGATACGCTGTGTCGTTTGCTCGTTGAGCGTAACCCAAGGTCATGATCAACATATTACCGCATTCTTCAACAGGCATATACTCGTCAGCAATATACTCATGCCCAGTAGCGTTAGGATATGTCGATCCTAGGTCATGCATAGAGTAAGCATGGGGATATTGGCCTGACTCCTGGTTGATGAAGAGAGGATCTAAAGTCCATTTGAGCCATGTGACATTCGTGTAAAGCAGTATAGGATGCATTGGAAAGATAACATCCACGGTTTGAATGTTGTCATCAGACGAGATTTCTTTCAAAAAGACGTATGGCTCATCTGGGGTATTACAAAGTTGAAGCCCAGCAAATGCTTGGCGGTAAGCTAGGGTTGTGTATGTCGCGTAATCCTGACCAGAGGCTTGGACTGAATCTGAGTAGACTTTTGCATCGATCGCGTCAGCCATTGAAGATGCCATTCTGTAGTCATTCATAAAAAACTTCGTAGCTGCTGGTGCGTCTTGGAAATAGCTTGTCCACAAGGATGGTACTGATACATTACCACTGGCCCCATCAAATTGGATAGCGTATTCTTGAGCGAGACCGATAGAGAAGAGAGCCTTCTTAGGTTTAGATCCAAGAGAGCTGTACTTATATGCAAAGCCGAAAACTGGCCAGTCGTCATTTATAGCGCGATAGTTTGTGTCGGAGGAATTTAGCAGGACGCCATTGTTTTGAAATTGTCCCCGGACAACAATGTCTTGACCACTCTGGTATGTTAATCCATTACCAGAAAGTGCTGACCAGTACCAGTCACCCCAGTCAGCCTGATGGCCTTGGGTTTGGGAGAACAGTAATTGGGTCTGTCGATACACCGTGTGATAAGCCACGTTTCCGGTGGTGCCAAAGTCCCATTGGGCGATAGAGCTACGATCACCAGAAACCCATTCTATATGTGAATAGAGAGTTGTTAATTAAAAAGCATTCCAACGTCGAGGTGAGATATTCCTGAAGTTTCTCTTACCTGCAGAAATATCGGCATATAACTGAACATCGTGCTTGGATCCATCGATTGACTTGATATCAACATTCAAATAGGAGTAGATAAGAGACTGGCGCAGAGAATCATCTGGAAAAGCGGGAGAAAGAAATGTCACATTCATTTCAACCTTGTCGTTGATATTCAAGGTGAAAATGCTCCTCATGGCTGTATAGGAGAAAGCCGTCTGGTTGACAAGCGTGTTTCCTGGATTTCCAGGAGAACCCAGCCAGGTATATACATCGCCATCAACTCTTACAATCCCGGCCCAGCCAATAATCTGCCCTCTAATATATGCCTCATGTCAGTCTTATTTGAGTAACAGGAAAAATAAGAGGAATATAAGGAGAGTACATACGGCCAAAAGGTGGACCATTCGCCAGCGATATAACCTCCATTTCCAGGTCCACCTATCTCTTGATCACCATTGGCAGCTTGAGGTGCGGCATTCTGCCATACACTCAAATAGGGAGACTTGACAGCTAATGGTATCGCCGGGGGTCTGGCTGGGGTGAAGCTAGAATCTGCTACCACTCCAGTAAGAAATACCCCCAGGGCATATAAAATATACGAGGGCTTCATTAAAACCTAAAGGAAAATATGGGTTTGAACGTAAATGGAGACCGTCCGATTGAGGATGAGCGATAAGGCGGCGGCTTCAACTGTTTTAAAAGTGGCGCCTTCACCAAAATTCGTCTTCTATCAAGTTGTTAAAAATAATCAGACTAGAAATTACTGGCCGACAAAGTTTAGTCGTATGTTCCTTACTGTTTAGGCGGGATAAGTGGTTGCGTTTCTAATTTCTGAATAGTCCAAATAGCAAGATTCCCGAAGAGATAGATGTCAAAAATATATTCCATACGATGGATGTGCCTTCGGGCGATAATCACCCGTCGGCTTACGAATTTGTGTTCCAATTTTCAACTCACAAGGACATAGATAATGTCGACGCATACTACCGTTTACTATTAAAGTGTAGCTCAATAATGAGCCTGGTTAGCGCAGTAAATTGTCATGCTAGTAACCCTCTGCCCAACAGCAATATGACCTATAGTTTGCCATGCGTATTCACTTCCGTTGGTCTGCGTTAGCAACCTGGAAGGCGAATGAACACTGCCGGACTTTGTCCAAATTCATATGGAGCACGGACATGTCATGCAGGGCACCCCGCATTTTATTCCAAACCAGGGAAGCCTTTGTTGTATCCTTCGCCAGTTAATGCGTGACCTCCATCATTCAATCTTGAGTGACGAGTCACGAGTCCCACTTGGAGATGCGGAGAAATGAAATGAAATGGTCACAAGAACTCACCCAAACCCAGGTGTTGGAAGACAATGTGATACCCGAACATCCCGATTGGCTATAATGAACAGTTACTAAACAGTGCCAATATCGCTAGTGGCGGTGTCTGGTGATGATCCCTACTTTTACCTACTGTGGTAATCATAAAAGCTACTTTCCAAATGGACCAAGGCCGGGGGATTGGAGATGAAGACATACGCCCAAAAGATCACTGCTCCTTGCGTTGTCGACACAATATTTTAGAGATCTGATCGTTCAGATACTAGTACGATAATATCATCGAACATTTTTCTAGAAAATTCCCTATCTTGACAGATGGGTATTCTCAAATAAATCTGGCAAAACCCGCAATTTGTACGATCATTGAGCCCAAATCACCTGAGATTTAAGGCTTACCGTCGGTGCGACGTTATGTTTAGCTTATGCAACATGGCTTTTTGTTGCTAGACAATGGCTCGATTGTGTGATTCCTGCTGTGATAAAATGCAATGTAACAGTACTAACAATGCTTAGCACTGCTAAGCTTTAATTACGTTTTTATAACTACTTTTCTTCCCCCCACCTGTTGCGATGTTCGTGGTTCTAAGGCTGACTCAGCACCTAGTTGGGACTCGATTATATGACCAGTGTAAATCCAGTCACCTTTAGGCCTTTAAACAAACGATTTGCCGGGGTACCTTCCTACATTATGACGGTCTAGCGTCTTTCGTTTATTTTCATGCTGTATTACGCAGCCACTGCATATTTAGAATATCATGAATGCCGTCTTGAATAAAGGATTGTAGCCGTGTCTAATGAACGATATATTGGCAATTGAAACTGCTTAGATATGACTTCGTTCCGCTGTGCAACGTCTCAACAAACTTAAATATGATGTAAAAAAGCAATAACTGGGACAAGGCAATATGATGACCTGAATCCTGATTATATTTCTCGCTAGATCCCAGATCATCAAGTTTTAAAATCTAACCAAGAACAAGTTTAAAACAAGAACAGGAAGAAAATGATAACCTGTAGCAATACATTTTGTGGCTAATTCTGCATGGCGGTCGCCATCGCTACTCAGGCTTTGTTTGAATATCAAGAACCACATTCTTAGAAGGTTGACTTGCCAACTCTTGAACTGTCTTAGCCAGCTCCGCCAGAACTGTACTTACGAACGATGGATCTCTTTCACTACCAACCACACCGACGTGCATCTGCCCACCTCTGAAGTAAGAAACAAGCTTGATGGGATGAGTGGCATCTCCATCAGGGTTAGCTATGTCTACTTTGCAACTCCCCCCTGCAAAAGGCATGGTATCAAAATCTTCAAAGTCCTGGTGATGAGTGACGGAGTCAAAGAATTCCACTTGTCCTGACCACAGCACACATTCCTTTGAAATCCTCTCAAAGCCCACAAAGTCATGCATAGCAGATTGTGCAGTCTGTCTCTGAACAAATCGCAGAAGATCCATGGCCGTCCACTGGGATTCGAATAAAATACGGACAGGTGTGAGTTGATAACAGGGCCCCATGACGTCTTCCACATTTGCCATGGCGATGTTCCGACCCGAAGTAACTGTTCCGAAAGTGACATCTGGTCTATTGAGGCGACGAGCGAGCACCAGCGCCCATGATGCCGTGAGTAGACTCGCAGTCGTAATGTCTTCAAGAGGGGCGAAGATATCTACGGGCTTTGTGTGGAATATTGATCTATCCCTAGGTTCTGATGATTTTCCTTGGAGAACAGAGAGAGACGATCCACTGAGGAGTTTTGCCCAATATTTAATCCCTTCCGACTGAACGCGTTTTTCGCGGGTTGCTGCAATGTAAGACGAAAGTGGTTGGAAATTCTCCAACTTCCCTCCAGTATACAAGCTCTCTAGGTCTCGAAGGAGCCTAGGTAGAGATATACCGTCGTACAGGGCATGCGACAGGCCTAGGATAAGACATGAGCGATTATCAGTTCCTTGAACTAGGAAAATCTTAAAAAAAGATGAACCTAGTTTAAAGTCTGATTCGATGTCCTTCGTGCAAAGGTTAGCGACGTATTTTTCAATATCAACGTCTGCCGTCCACTCAACCACCGGAACTTCTAGATTGCTCAAAACAATCTGGAAGAAGGTCGAGTCGTGTTCAATGAAAACGGTGCGTAGGATGTCGTGGGTTTTGGTCAGCTCTTTGCAGGCGCTGGACAGTCTGTCTTTATCAATTTCTTTGTCAAAGTACATCATTGTGTATTGTACAGACGTCCGTGGGGATTGGATGGTTCCTCTTATGTCAAGTGCCTGAGAATCCGTCACGGGATAGGCATCTTGAACTAACCAACTTGGCTCGTTAAGTTTAGGGCGAACAACTTCAAACAAGAAAAGGTCAATATCCAAATAAGGGACAGTCGAGAAAGGTTTGTAATCTATAACCTCCTGCTTCGATAGACAGTCTACTTTCAAAACCTTGGCCGCTTCGCCCAGGCGCATATGTTGAAAGATATCAGCCACGGTCAAATTGTGACCTTCTGCTCGTAATATTGAGACCAACTTCATTGCAAGAACTGAATCGCCGCCCAGACGGAAGAAATTGTCGTCCACGTCAATCCGCTCTGAGGGAATTCCCAATATGGTTGCCCAAAAGGTTTGGAGAATACTTTCTGCACGCGTGAACTTTTTCTTGCCGGAGCTTTCTGCCCATATCTTATGCAAACTTTCACGAAGCCGTGTAAATAAATCGGACGATATCTCCGAAACTAGATGATTTAACAAGTTGCGGTCGACGAGGTTCGCTTTGGAAGGTAATTTATCCACAACGACGTAAGCAAACGGAACCATATATGACGGAAGAGAATCATTTATGAATTTGTCGAGTCTTCTCAATGCCGTAACTAGAGTGGTTGAGACAGAGGGGCATATAGTCATCTCAAACCCTTGGGAGCCCGGCACATCACACCTTATCACATGCGGCGTTGATAGCAGCTTGATAGCGTCTCCGTCAAATACCTGTTGCTCTACAAAAACGAGAAGTTCATGCTCTGATCTCTGCCCATCCATAATTGATCCAGAGCTGGTAATCGCCGCAGCAGCATGACTTGCAGGTGGGAGATATCGCATCAACTGAGATTCAATTTCGACAATATGAACTCCATGCCCTTTGACTGTTACTATATCCGCTTTCCTACCAACAAAGATCAAGCGACCATCTTCATGTAGCCGTACCATATCACCTGTTGATTTGACTTCACCTTTTCGACCTCTAAAATTTGAACTTCCAGCCATAAGCCAAGGTGGAGATACAACAATCTCTCCAGGATCGACGGCTTCTTCAAGCCAAAGCTCACCGACACAGCCGATAGGTGACAGTAGAGATGGATTACGTGCATCGCACACCCAGGGAGTTATCGAATTTGTATAAGTTGACTCTTTCTTGATATTCACCTCACTTGGGATTCTTTCCCATAACTCGTATAAGGGTTGTTGAGTTTTGTTCCATTTCCAAATTTGATCCAATTCGTCTTCTGGAAGAGATGATATCTGATCCATTCGCTGCGATGCATTGTTCATAAACTGATAAACGACTGTTTCGAAATGTCTGAGAACTCTTTTCATCTGTGTGGGCTTAATCAGGCTACTGTCGAAGCTTGCACACACTCTAAAGCCATTTTTCCGTATTCCGCAAGCAAGCATCAATGGGTAAGGGTTGAAATGCAGGGCTTCGAGTACAACATCTCCTTGTTGAAATCCTAGGTCAAGACCCGTATACTCAGGTTCTGGCTGTATGACCAAGCCTGTTGGTGCTTCGCACGCGTGTTGAGCATCCTGGCTGACCTTTCTGATGTTTTGCATTCCCATATGCTGGTATGGGGTGCGAGCTAACATTCCTTGTTGTATCATACGTAGGTATTTCTCAACGGAAGTAGATCGATGCACATTGATACGAACTGGTACCGTTGCAATCAAGGGACCAATTATACTTTCAACTCCCGGCAGCGGGATATCCCTTCCCATAAGGGTCTCACCAAAAACAACATCATCACACCCTGTATATTGTGATGCTACGAACGCCCATGCACCTCGGATAAGTGTTGCAGTTGTGAATTGTAGCATGGAGCTAGTTTCGAAAGTAATATGATGCTCTATCATTGAATCAGCAGTAGGTAGGTAGTCTCTAGATGGTAGACGGGGGAATTGGGGCCCAACGGCATCATTCAATTCTTGTTGCCAGAAGCTTTTCGAAGCAGCTTCATCAGTATCGTGCACAAACATGGAAAAGTCTCTCATCTCTGTCTGCACCTCAACAGGCTGTCCTCGCAAAACGTCGCTGATCATTTTAAGAACCAAAGGCTCGGACCATCCGTCGTAGAGTGCGTGATGAACCGTCCACACCATATAACACCTGCCATCCTTTGAATTTTCGACAATTGCATATCGAGCTAGCCGTTGACCAAGATCCATCCTATCATTCTTATCGTTCTCCAGATAACTCTCCAGGTCGTCCGAGTAGTTCCATTCAATTCCTTCTTTTATGACAACTTGCTGAAGACCAGGGTCCTGCGTTTGGACCAGGCGAGTGCGTATGATAGGGATAGCTGCCACAACTTCTTCCCATGCTTCTCTCAAAGCGGTTGGACTAGTATGTGAAGGAATAACCGCAATTCTCTGAGCCACATAAGGCTTAGCTGATTTAAGTGAGAACGTAAACAAGGACTCCTGAGTAGGTGTACAGGGATAAATGTCTTCAATGTTTTCCCGGTTAATTCCACAAACAGCCGACACTTCAATGCAAGCGCTTTCGACACCCTGGGTGATCATTGAAAACAAAGGAACCGTCCCTACCGTCGAGATATTGCAATTTCGAGTAATTCTAGCCATTGTCTCGAGCGTCGGGTGCTCAAAAATATCCGCCACAGATATTTCCAAGCCTTGTTCCCGGCAGATTGGAACTAGTTTCATTGCTGTTAAAGAGTCGCCCCCTAATGTGAAGAAATCATCCTCCAATCCAATGACTTCAATCTCCAATTTCAAGGCCTGACTCCAAGCGTCGCGCAATTTTTCTTCAAGACCACTCAAATGTCGTTGAGGGGTAGCCGTGACTCTCTTCTTTAGCTGCCGTAAGTCTACTGTGATTCCAAACTGCCTCAATCGCTGGCGATCTGTTTTACCTGAAATCAAAACAGGAATGTAGTTAATGGGTATGTATGCGATCGGTATCATGTATCGCGGCAATACGTTTGCTAAATGCTCTTCGGCCCCGGAGAGTGTTTTTTGCAGCTTATCATCAAATTCTTTAGTCCTCAAATCCACATCCTCCGACCTTTTAGAGGGATTTGATGCAATAAACCCTACCAACACTTTCTGGCTGTCGGATCCTGGGGGTGTAATTACCTCTGCAATCACACTTGTTTCTGATGGCAGTACGGTCTTAAGCTGACTTTCAATTTCTCCAAGTTCAACGCGTTGTCCACGGAGCTTTACTTGAGTATCTTTTCGTCCCGCAAAAACTATACCCCCGGAACCATCTGGGTCGTACTTTCCAAGATCACCGGTCTTGTACAAGCGGCCCCGGCGGCCAGCGTGTCTTCCGTGCCCTGTCATAAGCCATTTTGGATTTTCAATGAAAGACATTTTGGTTTTTTCTGGACTATTCAAGTACCCTTGGCCCACAATTGGACCTTCCACTAGTAGCTCACCCACAGCTCCGACCGGCATCAACGACTCGTGATCATCGGGGTCGACAATCCAAATAAGAGCACCATTTCCTGGTCCAATGGAAATATAATCTCTCCCAGTAGCTGCGCTACTGTTTACTGTGCAACCTATTGTGCATTCACAAGGACCATATCCTATGATGATCCTCGTTTTCTGCCCCCACAGCATGACATCTCTTACTGAAGCCGCCTCTCCCCCAAGGCCAAGACCACTAAGGGATGCGATAATATCTGCATCCAGAACTCGGGCGACTGAGGGAGTAAGTCCGGCGTAGTTCACTTGCATTTCTCGTATAGCCCCATTTATGTTATTCATTCGATCTTCGTCCGATGGAATACACAGACAGCCACCATTTCCCAATGTTAAAAGCATACTATCGATACTGACGTCAAATGCATAAGACGCGAAATCAAGGACTCTAGAGTCCTCTGTGTATCCAACCGCTTTTGCTCGAGGAATGGCACTACTTGTATAATTTTCGTGTGAAATCTTCACTCCTTTTGGAGTTCCTGTACTTCCAGATGTGAAAATTATGTACATCAGGGTTGAAGGAGGAATCACAGGTAATTTCGATCTAGTTTGCACCTTCAGAGCATCTGCAAATGTGTTGGCATTCACAACGAGGACTTTTCCACCTGGTATAATTGACATTCCCAGTGAACTCTGAATGCGCGACGTGACGATTGTACTAGCCACGACTTGCTTGGCCATATTTTGCAGACGAGTTAGAGGGAGTGTCGGATCCATGAGTACCAAAGTTGCTCCGGATTTCATCACTGCAAGTACGGCAACGATGGTCCACTTTGACTTTTCAAAACATACAGGTACAAAATCTTGTAACTGAACGCCATTTTCCTTCAGCGAGTGCGCCAGAAATGTAGAGTAATGATCAATTTGGCTGTAGGTTAAGTCGCCATCCCATGACGATATCGCGACTTTATTCGGATTTCTCTGGGCTTGTTCTGTAATAACATCGTGCATACAGAAGCTGTAAGAAGGAGGTACATGGCAGTTTAACCGCCATATGTCCTCTAAATCCCGCTCTGTTGGTTGAAGACAGCCTATAATGGACATCCGCGGATTCGAAATACACATCTTGATGGTATCGACTAATATCTGGGCCTGTCTCAGTACTGTAAATTGGGGTATACCATGGGTATTCCATATTGGGCGTATACAAAGCTGATCATTTTCAAAACGTGTTTCCATATGGATGATGTTCTTTGGATCAGTATTAGCCTAGCAGAAACATAGCGTGAACCATGGCTTACATCATCTTTAGCAGTCTCATTGGTTTTCGATAGAGATCCAGTACTCAAGAGAATGGAGGCAGGATAAGAGGTAAGTTCGGGCTGACTTGGCATAGTACTTTTGATGTGGTCAAAGACGACTGCGGCAGCTTGTTCGACATCCATATTCAAATCAGGTGCAACCTCAGCCGTTGACAAGGAATTTTCTTTTGGTTCATGTTCAATATCTCTGGTATAGCCTTTATATGCCCAATCGCAGGTGACTAGGCCGTCCTCTTGGGTGCGCAAAAGCACAATAAGCCAGGATAAGAGCAATATGTCCTCTCTCATGCCAGTTGGCGTAGTAATTTGATTAGATGCAAACCCAGCAACCTTGAAATGGGCGAAGCCATGCTTGCCATTTTCGTCAATGGAATTTAGACCAAGAGAGTCATGGTCTGAAGAAAATATATCCTTCCTATGTAGGTAACCCATTCTAGTACCAGTCCAGGATTCCTTGTTTCGAGGTTGCACTGCCGTTGATATCTCAATAACAGATATTAAAACCGTATCAGTCGCTCTTTAATTCTTTATTCATCTATTGTGGACCTGAGTAGACCATACTATACATAAGATGATTGTTATTATAGTATTCAGACAGACAGCATTACTTGGAAGCTTCGTACGCCAAGTGTCTTTAATCCGACCGAGATCGGCCAGTACAGATAGCTGCCAACCTTGCACTTGTTAGAACTGATGGTACGATACAATACATGAGGGGCTCGGTGTTTTCGTTTGAATGCAATAAGTAAGACACTAAAACAGAGCTCCATAGGACGGTCCACATCTTGCCACCAAAATTTCTTCTATTTTTTTAGTTGCTCTGGGTATCGTCGCATGATCGCTACGGAGGGCCAATGGTTGGGCACCTCGTTCCACTTCCAAGACTAGCTCGAAATCCGAAGCGCAATCTAATCAGATTAATTTAGTCTGGATATATTAGCCTAGGCCCACTGAGTGCCCATTGCACCACATATGTACATAACTTGCGTGAACCACTTCCCGTTGACGAAAATCCCTGATTATAAGACCGTCACGAAATTACCTGTAACGGAAGACTTCAAGCCTCGGGTATTGTAATTCGTATGTTACCTTACAAGGGTTTTACGTGTATTATTATATCGCGACCCCACCTTCTCACCAGCGTTTTTAATTTATTTTTTTTGCATGGGAAAAGTGTGATTTCCTAGCTAGATATGAGTAAACTAGTCCACAACGCATTCCCACGTTTTATAACACAATGGACACAGCTCACATGAAGCCGATGTCGGAAATTCGCTGGGTTTGAGATTCTTCTGGCTTACAACATTGTATATAATTATAACAAGCTTAACAATTTTCTCATGTGATTCTGAGAATCCTTAAGCTATTTCACATACCCTTCGTGGTATCAACGATTTGATCGCCAATATACTTTCGTTTTCGATCATGGTTTCCAAATTCTGGCCTAAAGGAGGTATTTCCGGTATCTTACATCATTATGTACGTGATTGTGCTTTTTTCCCCCATGCGTCTAAAACCAACCGATTAGATACCTAACAAATATGAATTTAGACAGAGACTCTCGTCACCTTTGAATACAGTTCCAGCGCCTTTGTTCAACCTCATAGCCTTGTTTTTATTGGCGGCCTCGGAGATGGCCTTGCAACAACGTCGTATATGTCCGATCTCGTCCGGGCATTGCAGCCAACGGAATGGTCCCTCTTTACATTGAATTTGACTTCATCATACCAATCCTGGGGCCTTGGACATCTGGACAGAGACACAGACGAAATTGCCGAATGTGTTAAATATATCAAAGACTATAAGAAAAGCAAATTTGGTTCGGGGAAAATCGTTCTCATGGGGCATTCGACCGGAAGCCAATGTGTTCTCCACTATCTATCCCAGCAAAATCCTCACACAAAGACACACAACTTTGATGCGAGTCTTGAGCATGTTCAGCGCCTTCCCATTGACGGGGCGATTATGCAGGCACCTGTCTCAGACCGAGAAGCAATTCTCTGGGTTTTGAAGGAAGGAATAGGAGGCAGGTCGCCTAACGAGGTTCAAAAAATATACAGAAAACTAGAAGTCATGGCTAAAGAAGCTTGTCACACTGATGACGAATTTGATACCATTCTGCCTTTGTCAATGACTTCACAGATTGGTTATCCCGCCAACACGCCAATCAGCTGTCGAAGGTTTTTGAGTCTCAATAGCCCCGAGAGTCCTGCATCTCCCCAAGAGGATGACTTGTTCAGTTCAGATTTGGGTGAAGAGCAGCTACGCCAAACATTTGGGATGATTAAGCAACGACGGCTTTTGAATGGTAAATTCATGGTATTATTTTCCGGGGCAGACCAATCCGTCCCAGACTGGGTTGACAAAGAAAAATTACTATTGCGATGGAGGAATGCTACTGATCACAACGGGGAGGAAAAAATCTGGGATCAAGATCGAAGCGCAGTTATACCTGGTGCTTCTCATGCCTTGAGCAATGACGATCAAGCGGAGCCACGGAAGTTCCTGGTTCAAAGAGTACTGGGATTTCTACAATCATCAGTGGGACAACCCCCGAGGTTTAACGCACCGGAAGTGTGAGAAACAAACAAAAGTCCTTCCCCCGATATAAATGATATCGTTAAAAGAAGTTTATGCGACCATTGGTATAGTAGAATGAAATGTTTCATTTGCGATGTAACATCCTTTTTAGTCACATAATCATTAAAGAACAAGAAAAAACGAAACCTGAATATATCCAACAAGGTAATGTATTTATTTATTGATAGAATAATAAACCTATCTATCAATCAATGATGCTTTTAGAACCATTAGTCAAGAAACGCCGAAATTGGTATGTCTTTGGATGAATATCAAGACGTAGTACCAATAGGTACTCTTAGGTGACTTGGACAAACCCACAGAGGTTGTGTTGACTCCCTGTGATGCCTGTTCATTTCAACTAACATTATTCCGCAACCGTTTGATGCATAACGTTCGCCCGATAGCTTTCCGATCTTTCTAACAGTTCCTCATGTGATCCGTGATCAACACATTCGCCAGAGTCGATCAAGAAAATAATGTCTGCATTTTTTATGGTGTGCAGACGATGGGCAATTGCAATGACAGTAATTCCTCTGACGGCCTTTTGAAGTCCATCTTGCAGCAGTTTCTCGGATTCGGCGTCCAACGCACTGGTCGATTCATCTAAGATAAGCAGCTTCGGTTTGCGAACAAGGGCTCGAGCAATAGATAATCTTTGCTTTTGACCCCCCGAAAATTGATTACCGTTAGGTCCACACATGGTTTTATAACCATCCGGGAGCGCTTGAATTGTTTCGTGAATGTTAGCCAGTTTACAAGCCTCTTGTATTTCATCTATGCTGGCTTCGGTCCCTGATCTAGCCCCAAGACCAATATTAAACTCGATAGTTCCTTCAAAAAGGACACTTTCCTGCGGTACTAATGCAATCGTGTCGCGAAAAGATGTTTCCCGATGTTTCGTCACATCGACGCCATCAATCAAGATAGATCCAGACTGTGGGGTATAGAGTCGTTCAACAAGCGAGATTATTGTTGATTTACCGGCACCACTTGGACCGACAAGGGCGCAGAACTTGCCAGGCGTGATATCAATGCTGAGACCCTTTAATACTTTGACGTGTGGTCGAGCGGGATATGAAAATTGGATGTCACGTAGTTGTACACTTGAAGCAAGGTTACTGCTAATACGAGAGTGTTTCGATTCGACAATCGCTTCGGGGTCATTTTCTTTCAGGTATGGGATTGATGATTCACGGTCTGGAACATGGCCTTGCATTTTGTCTGACCCTATCTCGATGAGGCCCAAGATTCTGGCCATTGCAGCGCGGGCACTGGAAAGTTCGGGTGCCAGAGCAAACATCTGACTCCAAAGCAGAGCGCTGACAAGAAGTGAGAATACGACAATTAGGAACTGCGTCTGTGTATAATTGCCGACGATGATTTGTTTAGCACCCCACCAATAGGCTAGCGCATTTACAAGATTTCCGAAAAAGTAAGTTAGTGCTTGCCAAAAGCTTGCTTGCAGGGTGACTTTTGTCGTTTCCTTGCGAGGCCCCTTCAATGATTCCAGGTACGTTCTAAGCGTTTTTTCTTCAAGCGATAGGGATGCAATGGTTTTGATCGATGTAACTGCTTCGACGCCAATGTCAACTGATTTAGTATAAGCATTCTCATGCCGTTCTTCGAACTTGCCAAGAACATGAAGTTCCATAAGCCCTGCGCCAAGTAAGAGTGGAACTAAAGCAAGACACACCAGTGCTATTCTCCAAGCTATTATATGTGTCAATATAATTGCTGCAATGAGGTTGACAGTGATAGAAAATAGAGTTCCAATGACGGAGCCGCTCAAACCAGCCAAAGCGCTGCCATCCCTGGTAATATAGGAGAGGAGTAATGGTGGAGTCCGTCCTTGAGACTGATGCCATTGCAGGTCCTGGTCAAATAATGACCTGAATGATAAAACCCTAACGGTGTAGACAATCTTCTCGGAAACACAGCCAAATCCGGTCCAACTAGCCACATTAGCAAAGAACTCGATGATCGCTAGTACGAAGAACATGAGTCCAAAGAAGTTGCCATGGGATCTAATGCTATCTGCACTCTTGCAAGTATTCAAACTTCCAACAGTATTTCCGAAGATAACAGCCTCACCAGAAAAGGCTCCGCCAACGATAGTGGAACCAAGAAGTGCCAGGAGAAGCATGAGAAGATGTGGTCTCAACGTCGGACCGTAACCATGCAGTACAGCCCACAAAGATTTTGATGGAGTTTCTGGCTCTTCATATTCCTCTTCTTTCCTTGTATCAGATACTATATCTTCCCTTATCGACAGTTCAGTGCTTTCGACGTTTTCACTGTCCTTTCCGAGACAGCCATCTATCGAAGAGGATTGATCAGAGTCGCTAATGGTATCCTCGTTGATGGAATTTTCACTATTCGTAGATGTAGATCTCAAAGTTTGCAACCTAACCAGATCTGCGTAACTCCCATTCTTAACCATCAATGTCGAATGGTTTCCTTCTTCCACTATGCGACCCTTGTGCATAACGATAATATTGTCAGCTTCGGTTACCGTCGAAAGACGATGTGCAATGGTAATCATAGTTCGGCCGCTAGAGATCTTCGAGATGGCTCGTTGGATACGTCGTTCGCTTTGCGAATCGAGAGAAGCCGTCGCCTCATCCATTATGAGAATTGTCGGGTTCTTGATCAGTGCCCTAGCTAGGGCTACTCTTTGCTTTTGACCACCACTGATTAAGCGGCCACTCGAGCCTACAACCGTGCCATATCCATGCTGCAATGCTGTAATGAATTTATCTGCATCTGCGAGTGATGCAGCATTTTTGACCAACTTAATGATTTCAGCCATATTCGCACCGCGTTTGTCTGCCGCAACATCTAGATCCATACCATCCCTTACTTCTCCTGCCATATCTGCCAGGTCAGAGCCGATTAATATCTTTTTTAAGTGTGCGTGAGCAGGGTTACTCGAGTTAATCAAACCATGCGCAATATTCTCTAAAAGAGAGCGATCGAGAAGAGACGGCTCCTGCTGCACGAGACTCAGGAAACCTCTTAGATCATGAGTGTTGATAGAGCTAAGGTCCTGCCCATCAAGGAGGATTTGTCCCTCTGTTGGATCGTATAACCTGGTAACCAGCCCTGCGATTGTCGATTTCCCACTGCCTGAAAGCCCCACAATGGCAGTATGCTGCTTTGGAACAATACGGAGGTTGACCTGATCGAGAACAGTGATTTCAGGCCTAGATGGATACTTGAAGGAAACATTTTTGAATTCAAACCCACCGTCAGCTTGTGAGAAGCGCAGCCCTGACGAGGTAGTGCCGTCAATCAGTGGCTCGCGACTAATATCTTCGCTCAACTTGTGGAATGATGCAACAGCTGCCACGAAGAGATGGAGAAATGGCGCAACTTGGCTCAGCAGTAAGGTGGCTTTTTATCGTGTTAGCTCAGTGACATTATAACTTAGATGTAATATAAGATAGACTTACCTTCAATAAGTATAAAGATCACTGTGAAGGTAGCACCTACGGTGGCCCCAGCTGAGTCCGAACGCACTGCATCAGCGATACGTCTACTGCCTTGCCAAAATGCTAGCCCATTCGCAGAGTAGGCGATAAAATACAAAAAGCCGGACTGTATGCCAACTGCTGTGGCCTTTTTCAAGCCTTCCGTTTCCGAAGCTTTAAGAGCACTGGAAAACTTCTTTTCTAGCCTTGTGTTCGCACCGAATGCCTGTACTACAACGATATTGGAAAGTGCCTCCGATGCAATTGACGCAGCAGTAGCGGCATAATCCGACATCATCACAGAATATTTCTCGATGTAGTGGCTTCCGATAAACGACATTAGAAAATACGCCGGAACTAATGAAATAAGCATTGCCGCAAGTGTGTAATCTTTTATAAAGGCCACTATATACGCTGTGGCAAAAAAAGAGAAACTTGAGAGACATATTCCGACTTTTTCAGATGTACCGGAACGAATTGCTTGGATATCACCACTAAGTCGGGACGCAACTTCTCCTGGGGGGAGATTGTCGAAGAAGGATGGCTCTTGTCGAAGCAGGCTCTTGAGGTAGCTTTCTCGCAATCTTTGCGCCAGTCGTGAACCGTATAGACTCCAACACGAAAGGTGGGCATATATCAATACAAACTGAGCGATGGCCAAGTATACAATTATCAGAATTTTGTTATTGATGCTGTGTTGATAAGACGGCCCAGAGTCAGACGATTCCGATGAATCGCATGTTACTGCATTGAAGTCGTTGAGAAGTTGGCCGAATAGAATCCCAATCAATGGGAACGGAACTCCAGATGCTATTGCACAGGATATAGCTGCCAGGAGCATGCATATATCAAACTTTGAAGGGTTGCCAGCCAATAATAGACTAGGATAGCCTGCAAGCTTCTTCATGAACCGTACCATAGCTCGAAATCGTCAATAGTTCCTTGAGCCTAGTCGTAGTTATCGTATATGTGAACAGAGCTCTTCTGACTATTTCGCCGTCTAGAAGTGGTTGACTCTTCAATAACGCTGTATTGGTAGCAAGCTGGGCTGCCGCCACAACAATCGTATTATTGTGCTATTACTTTGAACAGCCTCGTTCGTGTTATCGGGATACTGATGCAGGTGCCATTGCAAGTTACAAACTTTCGGCTAGGGATATTGCAGATATTCGAGAAATAATTGAATTTAACTTCCGACATCGGGTCTAATTGTAAGTTCTGACATCTGGATTAATGGCTAATAATTACAGTTCTAGATAGCGATCTTAACCTTGTATACTTTACCTGTGCTGTACAATAATACAAAGCGGGATGTAATATAAACAAAGTTTCGGTACCGTCTGTAATAGAAAAATTGCCCTGACAACCTAGAAAGTCCCAGTTTAATGTACATCTACCAGAACGATTGAAAAGCCATGTGGGTAATTAGGTGGCCAGAAACGGGAGGAAATTAAAGCACTCGGAACTTTTCTTCTTCTTACTCAATGAAAACACCACTATGAATACGTAATACTAAATAATGCATCACATCCTTTGAAATACCACCGACAGAATCCCCCGATATATTTTCTAATTACTATTCCGCAAAAAAGGCCTACATATAACCGTCTAGTTAAAGTTGGGACTCTTTTTGAGAATGATCGCATTAACTACAAGTTTCCAGCTAATAGGCTTTGAATATGTAAAATTTACTATCTCCGACTGAGCAGTTGTAAGAAAAGTACATCCCCATACTCCATGCATTTAGAACACAGAATCTTATCAAACGAGGGTTTTCTCAGATCAAGATTGAAACATGCAAAGTTTCAAATCCAACTCGCATTAACTAAACTGACGTACCTGGGGATCTAACAATGTCATCGGGAATGAATGATCCACGGCGCAGCAACTTATGCAAGTTTTCCAGGGAAGCTACAGTTTCGCGTTCCAAGCTGCACGATCAGCCGATTCCAATGGCCGTTCTCGCCCATCCCAGAATAATGGGCACAACTGAAACCATTTTTCTCGGCTACAGACCGAGTGAACCGACCGCTTATGATCTAGATCAACATACTTACCGATGGTCAGACCCTGGGAATTCTCATATGATAGTATAGTTGAGCCACTCGCTCGTGGCTCGCCTACTACGTTTGCTGTTCGTGAATCGTCCAGAAAGCAGTAGTGAATGCAGCTAGAGTACCATGCATTGACCCGCTGAGGTCCTCTAAATGACGCGTCCCCAACCAGGGAGTGACGTCCTCGGTCGTAGTCTCCAGCGTCGTAATGAGCGCCATAGTGATCCTCCTGTAAAATACATCAGTGTCAATTATTCGTTGAAGAAATATCATAAGATCGGAACTCACTTTTGACCAATACAGTTCGAAATAGGCGAAACGGGATTCGTTGAACCGTCCGAACAAGCAAAGAACATGAGGATCAAAATGTAGTTTTCGCAGATATTCACGATGCTGCTCTAATGTCCCGGTCTCATTCCAGCCTTTCGCAACGCGGGGATCATTTTGCCACTTATTAAAAAGCTTCAGATCACTGTCATTCTCCCAATCAACCACCTCAAGTGAGAAATGCTCGTTGAGCTCCGGAATGTAGCGACTGTATACTATTGAACCTGGATATGGCTTTTTCCGGCGTATCGGATGGCGAGCATAAACTGGTTCTCCTGGGAACTTCATCGTGAATTGATAGCTCTCTGGCATAGCTGGATATTGAGCTGAGGATCTTCTCAAAGGACCATCGGTGGCATCACCAACTGCCCAAATAGGACGAGGGCCCATAGGAGAGGCGGCACCTTGCCAGAAGGCACTTCGAAGAACCAAGAGACTTTCTGAGTTTACCATGTCTTTCTCCTTTGCAAACCATCTTTCCGGACATTCAATTCCGAGGCCAGTCAAAAGCAATTCCGTTCGCACAATGTCTTTCCCTGAACCAAGCAAGCTAAGTCTGAAACACTCATAGGTTGGATGAGCAAGGTAGATAGCATGTATTACATTCCAAACTTGACCCAACGAAGGTGGGGTATTTTCTGACCATTGGAAGGTGGTTTCTGGGCTTCGAACTGCCCGAGCCCATGCACTATTATTAGACTCAGGAGGGCATTCATTCTTTGTTCTGAATGTCAAATCGTACCACGACAGCGAGTTATGGTGCAATGGTTCCGGTAATGTCCGTCCAATAGGTGTTTCTTCGTCTAATGTCAAGACAAACCTTGTTGGTGTTCTATTTTCAATCGCGAGCACCCGGTATGAAGCCAGGAAAGGGTGCGGGAGCTTAACCAGCGGATACAGGCCTTGTGCTGGTATTGAGGTGACAACCATTCTCTAGACTATAAAAGTTTTCGCTGTTTCGTGGATTCGAGATGACACTCACGGGTATGAATAATAACGATATATCTGAAAAAGGTTCATTTAATGACAGTTGGGAAATTTTTCTACAGGCCGTACGGAATCAAATAAGAATACAAGAAAACACTTTTAGGTTGCAACGAGTAGTTTCACGTGTTTGGGTTGTTCGAACCACTACTGAGCCGATGTTGCTGTATTAGTACCGATATCGCATCTCTCTAAGTTTAAAACAGTTCTAAAGCAAGACGGGCCAGGATCAGCATCCATGGTAAAGGCTGCGCTAACAATGACCATACACTTTTCTGGTAACATTCTATTATGAACAAGATATAAAGTAAAGTCCAAAAGTCTCGTGTCCAGTCATAATAAGCTTGTTGATCCTACCAATATCGTGGCAGAAGAACATTGTTGCAGCTCAAAAATGTCTCTAAGATCTAGACCTTCACAATTTCGGAATTTTTACCTATCCTTCCCGCACGAAAAAGTCCTTCTAATCACATTAAACCGTCCAGAAAAACTCAATTGCATTGATAAAGCGACGAGTCGCGAGATACAAGAAGTCTGGGACCTCTTCGATCGAGATGGAAGCTTATGGGTGGGCATCATTACAGGAACTGGAAGAGCATTCTGTACTGGGGCTGATCTAGAAGGTAAACTTGCCGCTCTCCATTCAAGACCGATGCCCTTCTGGCCATGAAATAACCCCCCTTGATTTGTATAGAATGGAACGAAATGAACAAAGCCGGAGTAATCAATGATATGGATGCTCCCGGTCTCGCTGGACTACCCCGTCGGAGTGGCAAGAAACCGATTATCGCAGCAGTGAACGGCATATGCATGGGAGGAGGTTTTGAGATGGTAGCCAATTGCGACCTCGTGTTAGCTTCATCCACAGCAATCTTTTCTTTACCCGAAGTAAAGCGAGGGATCGTCCCTGTAGCGGGCTGTTTGCCGCGGCTGACCCGCACCCTTGGATTACAACGGACTATGGATCTCGTTCTGACTGGCCGCACAGTCAATGCCGCAAAACTTTACGACTGGGGGCTTATCACACAAATAGTAGATGCTACTGATGAAGTTGCTGATGCTGCAATTCAACTTGCCTCACAAATGTGTCAAAACAGCCCAGATGCGCTATTTGTCGGTCGTCTCGGAGTTCGGCTGAGTTGGGAAACAAATAGCGTGGAGGATGCTGTGTCGGCACTAGCGGACCAGTGGTACCCTCACCTAGTCAAGGGCACCAATTTCACCGAAGGCATCCAGGCGTTTGTGGAGAAACGACCACCGAGCTGGGTGAACCCGAAGCTGTGAGACACAAGTACCAGAATTGCTTCAGCATAGCTAGAATTTCAATTTCGAATACGTAATAATAATCATACCTCACGCATTCAAATGTTTCTGTTGTACATAATGAGACGAATAAGGCCCGGATGTGTCCTCCGTAGCCGCGTAATAGTTTACACCCCTCGGTGGTGTCCTTTCGGTTGCCAAGTGCGCATTGCACACATTGTGGAGAATGGCCCACGCTATCATCTTATCAGATTGATTAGATATTGTGCGGCATTTTCTGAAAGTACAGTAGTAGCACAAGTGGGGTGGATGCTTTTTGTGTGTACTCGCCAAGGTACTTTTCGTTACACGAAATAGCACATTCGGTCGAATTTTGAAACATTTCGTTGGTATCTGGGTCGCAAAGCACGCTTCCTCGCACTATCCAGAGACTGAAATTGTAAGGCCGAATAATATTTATTTTCAAATTGTCAGTGTCAAATGATTTCAAATCGGGATTTGAGAGCGAAGTATACTTTTCGCGAATTCATACAAACCTAGGACGTAGCGATACGCCTAGTGTTGTATGTAACGCTTGTAATACGTGATTTCCGGTATGTTTTAATACGGTTAACGCTGAGACGGGAAATTCCGAAGGTCAGACCTATGGATCCATTAGTCCCACGAGGCTGGCAGCTACAAAGCATCTAATAACATTGCGTGCTTTGCCTTATTGACCCTTTCCTTAAAATGGGCATGGTCCCTGTGAGTGTCTTCGGTATTATCCTACGACTCGTTCCCTGAAGGAAGTGGGTGGTTAAGCGATGCCCTAAACCAAGCTAACGATAGTGGCGTACAGTAATGGGTAATCATTGGGTATAAGCAGGTGCAAATCGGGCTGATTGATGAATCCTTGTCGTATCAGATGATCTGATTAGATTTGCCCTCTGCTCTTGTCCAATCGGCCGTCCCACCTACTGCAGGTTATTGTCTTTTGTGGGACTTGGTGGGGACCTACATGTGGTCTTTTTCAGAGTACGTATATGCCAAGGTAGTAGTATGGAAAAACTTGTCGCGAATTACTGCACTCACCCACAAATGAGAGTTTACTGTTGGTTCTTCGATCCCTAGCCGATTCTAGATTTCGTATGGACTTGCAAACCGGCCGATTTCGGGGAGAACATCTACAAACGCTAGCGATCTGCATGTTCTATAAGTGTCAAAAATTTTCGTCTCATTCATGGTTGATAGGCCCTTGGCATTACTCTGCTCTTTCCTGGTAAAACACCATGGTCGTAATTCCCAAATTTCGAGCTGCCTTTCGTCGAAGGGCCATTGCTGATGCAGATATCTCGCCCGCCGTTACTACTGTCAATGAAAGTAAAGGAGCGTTTGTCGTAGCAGACAATTCCAATAATGAGGTCCAGCCAGAGCTTCCCAGTAACGATCTTCAACGGGGCGTGCGAGATGTTGAGGCGGTAACATTATCATGGTCCAAGGCATCACTGATCGCAGTGTTCGCAAAGTATGTGAAAATCTAACATTGGAATTTTGAATCTCCTTATATCTTTCCGGCTAACATGATTCAAAACAGCATATGGCTACTCTACTTCGTCAATGCAATGCAGAACAGTACTCTCGGCAATTTGATCCCTTATGTCACCAGTGCTTGGGAGTCTCACTCCCTTTTGAACGTTATTTCAATTGTCGCAAGTTCTATGTCCGCAGCAACATTTATCCCATTGGCTAAAATCATGGATACTTGGGGTCGAGCAGAGGGCTTCCTCTTGATGGCCGTTTTTTGTACCTTGGGACTAATAATTATGGCGACATGCAATGACCTTCCGACCTTCTGCGCTGCAAATGTAGGATGAGATACTCCTTTAAAATACATATTGACACTATATGTAAAGAGGCAATTGCTGACGGTTGCCATAACAGGTCTTTTATACCATTGGGTTTACTGGTATTACCTATTGCGTTGACGTGATCACAGCCGATGCATCCAAACTGAAAAATCGAGGTTTAGCATATGCCTTCACCTCCTCCCCTTATATCATCACTGCCTTTGCTGGCCCCTCCGCAGCCGACCGCTTTTACGATATTAACTGGAGATGGGGCTTCGGTTGCTGGGCAATTATTTTCCCCGTTGTGGCTGCACCTCTATATTTCATCTTGAAATTCAATCTGCAGAAGGCCAAAAAGGCCGGAATTTTACACGATGAAAAGAGCGGCCGGACATTGTTACAGAGTATCTGGCATTATATCATAGAATTCGATGGTAAATATTTTTATCTTCCTAGCAGAAGTGATGATAACTGACAAATTCCGAACAGCAATCGGTGTGATACTATTCTCTACCGGGCTTACTGTATTTTTATTGCCATTCACTATTGCCAATAGTGCCCCTAATGGCTGGGACACAGGGTACATTATTGCCATGATTGTTGTCGGAGTCGTCATGCTTTTCATCTTTATTATTCACGAAACCTTTTTGGCTCGAGTACCGATGTTCAACTTTGAATTTTTATCCGATCGAACTGTGATCGGTGCCTGCCTATTAGACGCAACCTATCAGCTTTCCTATTACTGCTGGAACAACTTATTCGGCTCTTTCTTGCAGGTTGTCAATGACCTGAGCATCGCCGAGGCTGGGTATGTCGGGAATACTTTTGACGTGGTTTCTGGTGTGCTCTTATTGTTCGTGGGCTGGCTCATTCGGAGGACTGGACGCTTTAAGTGGCTCTTGTATATCGCCGTGCCACTCTACATCTTTGCGCAGGGATTAATGATTTACTTCCGTCGCCCCAACCAATCAGTTGGTTATCTTGTCATGTGTCAAATCTTCATCTCTATTGGCGGTAGTATCTTTATCATTGTCGAACAGCTCGCCATTTTAGCTGCCGTCGACCATCAGCATGTCGCTGCTGCGCTCGCCTTGTTGAATGTCGTTGGCACTGTCGGCGATGCTATGGGCTCAACTATTTCTGGCGCAATCTGGACAAACACATTTGAAAATGCTCTCGAGCGTTATCTTCCTGCTTCAGCCCTCCCTGATATTGACAAGATCTACGGGGATCTTCCCACACAACTGAACTATACAGTCGGAAGCCCAACTAGGCTTGGGATCCAAGAGGCATACGGATATGGTCAGACTAGAATGCTTGCTGCGGGAACCGCCATTATGGGTTTGGCAATTGTTTGGACCTTGATGATTCGCAATATTGACCTTAAGAAAACTCCACAGGTCAAGGGCATGGTCTTTTAAGGCAGTGATTATGATACAAACCGAGTAGGTTAGGGTTTGAACGATACCCCAAGGCAATATGGCAACATAGAGAATTGTAAGAACCGTCGTGCGACCAGACAATACTCTAGAATCTTTTAATCAAATAAGCATGATGCATTAATGTATTCTCGGGTACTCTCATTCCCGTCATCCAAATGCAAACAACACGTCAAAATTAACATCATGGATTTATTTCAGCCTTATATTATATTACACGTAAGACTAATCAACGCTAATAACTACAAGTGCAATTGATTTTGAACTCATTTATTGTTCCCGGCGTAATAGGCATCCCAAGAGAACCAGTCAAACATACCATCAAACGTGTTTCTCCGGTTCTGGAAGCGCGGGGTGGATGTTCCATTACCGCCTGTTGTACAACGAAAAGAAGCAGAGTTGCGTCTTTCGGAATCAATCATGGGCCATATGGCATCCATATCATTGGGAAGCCACTCTATATAACTAGCAAAATCCAAGTCTCCTGTGTCAATATCTGGAATAACCTCTTGGACTTGAGCACAGCTACCATGAGTAGGTTCTTCTGCTTGCTTATTCCGTTCTAAGGAGGCGATCTGTCTGAAATTCTCGGGTCGCGATCGGGTATTTTGCGAGGCGTGGATCTGTGCAAGCTGGGAGAATACGGCCGCGACTTGTTGCAGCCTGGAGCATACCATTGTTAGGAGGCGCATTTCAGATTGAATTTCCGCAAAATAGGTCACTGTGGAAGATAACAGCGCTAGATCTCGCTCAACTTCTCGAGTTGAATAGTTATTTTTGATGATATGTTCAAATATGACAAAGAATGGTGTAAAAGGAAAATATAATAGATGCCTAAGTCGACCCAATTAGAAATTCACGGGTTAATGAGGGATAATAATAGATAGAGATAGATGTTCATACCAGACGACGCCGTTGTATACAGAGCTCCAATTAGACACCATAGACGATAACAAAGATATAGCTTCCCGGGCTGAAGATAGACGAAGCTCTGAGCAAGGTTCTTCTCCTTTTAGTAGAAGAATAAGGGCATGCAGATACTGAAAGGTGATGCTGCTGATACCCAAACGCATCTCCCTGGCCTGTTGTGCATTCAAAAAGGCACTTTCAACTCTCATTGTTTCCAGTAAAGTCTAGCAGGAGGGTAAATCAATACAAATTAATCAATAAATTTAGAAGAGGTTAAAAAATATACAAACACAAAATAAAATACGTACCTGCTCGGTTTCGAGATACCAATCTTCTAGCCTTGACCTGATTTCACTTCTTAAAATTGACGATTTTCTTTTTGTAGACAGAAATTCCAAAACATCTCCAATCAATCTAGCCCACTCGAAAGACTTAATCAACAACCGAGCACCGAATGTGGAAATATGAGAGCTGGCTGGTTGGTTGGCTATTAGCGGGCGGTCGTGAGGATGAAACCTAAGTAACTCATTCTCGTCCGGAAAAGGTATATCGTGATAGATACTATTCGAAAGAAATGATGGGCGGCCAAATGCAAGAGAGCACGATCTATCAATTGCCAAAAGAAGCCAAAAGAGACATAGACGTCGCTGATTATGCGATTCGGATATATGGCGAGCCGGGGCATGTAACCCGAGCGCTTCGGCCTGCCGACAAGCATGACCTAATAACATCCAGGATAGATTGGGTGCAGCATAATCTTCACCGTGCACAGCTAGTAAGACCAGTGCCTGAAGGTTGGCCTCACGTGGCTCGAGGAATATACTACTATCGTTAAGAGCAAGTTGCACATTGTGCCTGAATTTTTCCTTCTCAATGGTGTCAGGATTCTCAGTCCGGATATCACAAAGCAACAGGTAATTAAAGTAAATAATCCACGCTTTTTCCTTTACTTTCTGTGGGTGAAAGACGACCTGACTAATAATCTCATCCGACGGCACAAAGAAGAAGGGTTCGCCTATCTCAGAATTCTCCAAAAACTCTGTGGAAGAGTTTGTTAATCAGCTCAAAAAATGGAATTAATAAGGCATAGTCCACTTACGGCCAATCAGGCGGTATCCTGCCGCTCTTGAGGGTACGTAATAAGATGTCGAGGTGTCGCCCACAATATTTCGGTGGATCTGTGCCGTGGTCAATGTCGTGTTGAGGTACTGAAGTTCCGAACAAGCATTTCGGCGAGCATTTTCGTTTGAGGGCTGCTGAAATATCTCAAGATTAGTTGAGGTGTCTTTCAAAAATGAGAAAGAATGCGACGAGCCGATGTAAAGTCTCGAATCGGGGCATTCCTTCTCACTTCTGGCCACCCGGCGAGACAGGCGGAGGTCTGGGCTATCTTCTGTCCTCGGATAATCTGGGGCTATGTTCTGCAAAGCTCGCTCGACGGAGCTTGTTAATTGCTGAATGGTCTGCTCTAGGCTTTGCAGCCGATCTTCGATATCATTTTTTTCTGCCACTGGGGATCTGAACCCCGACGAGTCAGCTTACAATCTCCCGGCGGATGTTTTGAGTCAGTCATCAAAGAATTACTTTTGATTGCCCTTTAAATCCGATGGATTTTGCATGTCGCGTGAGTATTCACATTTTCCTGGCCACGGCTTGCAAATGCCACACTTAGGCAGCTCCCGAGAACATCTTCCAAGCCAGATTAGCTGGTCAAGCACCTACGTGGAATCACAAATTCTATGAGATTACTTCAGTTTCTTCTGCCGGCAAAAATCACACTGAAATCAACACAGATCAGCCAGTATACACGGTCGCGATTAGCGTTAACTAAAATGGCACTTACTGCAAACCTAGCGTACCCATGGGCGGCAGCCGGCGATCTGGTGACCTCCATTACAAAGCCTTTTGATATCTCCTGTCATGGATTATGATATATAGAAATTAGCAATGCCTACATAATAGCGCGAGCAATGCGTATGTGGAAGAGAGAAATCCAGAGTGGCCGGAGCATTCCATGAACACGTGCAAATTGTTTAATTGGCTCGGTTCGGAAGCTCCGGGCCTAACCAATCAGAACTTACTAAGCCGGAGCGTCAGATAACTATTGACTACATGTCCTAAATATTTATTAGCATACAAAAGGCCGTGAAGGTATTTAATTTTTCATCTCACTCATGCGTTATTATCCGGAGCAATCCGAGTCCCCCCAATGATATCAATTTCTTTTTCGTTGCCTATTGGATCAGCCCATACCATTGTTAGGTATATAAATACCTAGTGCCCAAGTAGCCTTTCGGTATTCTAAAAGGCACGAGATTCCCCCAGTTGCCATTCAATACTTATTTTTGAGATAAAAGCAAACACAAATAACTGGATCAAAAACTTTAAATCACATAAAGTGACAGAGTCCTAGTTTGCTCATAATTATTTTTCTATTCCTTGTTGATAACCCAGTCTTCCTAATTCACTCTTTGAGATAACCCTGAAACCATCAACAATGAAACCACCGTCTATTGCTATAATAGGAGGTGGACCGAGCGGACTCTTGTTTGCACGTCTTCTGGAATTGAGTAGCATTAGAGACTACGTCGTCTTTGAACGAGATGAGTCAGCTAAACCGGGGGTTTGGCAGCAAGGGGGCACTCTCGATTTACATGGTCCCTCCGGTCAGTTGGCGCTCAAACGCGCCGGCTTGTTTGAAGATTTCAGCACAAAGCTTGCTCGCTGGAATGCCACGTGCTTTCACGTCCTTGACCCGACAGCGAAAACGGTTGTCAACTTCAAGGAAGAACGGGATGCACCAGAGATCGACCGCTTGCAGCTTCGCCAGTTACTACTCAGCTCCATTCCCCAAAACAAGATCCGTTGGGGCCATGCCGTGAGTACCGTGGAGAGAAAGGCCAAAGATGGGCAAGTGGGAAAGGATAATGGTTGTACAATTCACTTTACGAACGGCACCTCGGCGAGCGGGTTCCACCTTATTGTTGGGGCTGACGGATCTTGGAGCAAGGTTCGCCATTTAGTGAGTTAGTATGTAACATGCTTTTTACACAATTACTAATGACATTTGTATATAGATAATTCCCGCAAAGCCTGTATACTCGGGGAAAATGTTCATCGAGGGAATTATATCACACGGCAACCCAATTTACATGAAAGCAAACGAGATAGCTGGCCCTGGAAGTATGCTAGCTATTGGGAATCAGAAACAAATATCCCTCCAGCAGGTTTCCAATGGAACCTATCGCCTATATTTTGGTCTAAAGGTGCCCGAAGACTTCTATGGATTCAGCCACAATCAGAACGCCAGCCAGGCACAAGAAAAAAGTACTTTGCATGCTGACATAGCTAGTAGAAGTGAGACACTCCGTCAGCTGCTGCTATCTTCAGATGACTTCTATGCGAGATGGGCGCCGCTACTAAGGGCCTTAATCGAGAATGCCGAGGGACCATTTCGCCCGTGGCCACTGTACCGTATGGATCCAGAGGCAGTGGGCTGGAACCGCGATGTGGCTCCCGGGGTTACGTTATTAGGTGATGCAGCACATGTATCGACTCCGTTTGTTGGAGAGGGCGTGAACTGCAGCATGTTGGATGCAGTCATGCTGGCGGACTCTATCATTAAATATTATGATAATGGTGCAACTCCGACGAATGATGAGACTACATGGCTTGAACATGCACTAGCTTCGTACGAGAAAGAGATGTTTGTGCGCGGTCGAGACTTGATCCAGCGCAGTACGGAAAGCGAAGAAAGGCTTTTCGCTGAAAACGCCCCTGATCTATTTCTGGAGTGGTTCAACAGTGCTCTACAAGATAAGAGTTGATTGTAAGGTCAATCAGATCAAGAGAAAACCCCTGTACTATAGTGTAGTTTAAACCCCCACTCAAATTTTGATAAGAGTTGACCCTCGTTTTAGATATTTTAGTCATGGTAGTTGAGAGTCCAAGCATGTGATTACGAAAACGGAAAGAAAAACAACCATTACATATATGTGTAACCGACTGAATGACTGGGGATATATTTTGTGTTGAGTATTTTCGTACGGATGTGCGAATTAGAGACGTTACAGATGTATGTCAAATCTATTTCCAATTTATTGTTTGAAACAGTTAGCATACAAGGGTGATAGGGCAGGGGTACCTTTTTACTTCAATTCTTGTTAGTATTAGCATTAGCATGGCTCGGTGTTATTAATGACATGATTGGAGTCAATCCTGCTGTTGCGTAAACGAATGATTCACCCCTAGGAAATTTATATCGTAATTGGGTAGAAAGCTAAGGAGGTACATTCGTGTTGTTGTTGAGATAGGCCGCCATCAATTTGTCCGATCGTAATGGCAACTATATAGTTTGCGTTGCCGGGAGGTGTAGAGGGCCGCTGATGACCTCATCTCATGGGTTGAATTGATGACAGGGAGTACTTCTGTTCAGATCAAACCGTGTAAGGGACTCTGAAATGACTTCGGACAAGGGGGATTTCTGGTCGATATCCAACTGGCGCCGCGTGTTACCTTGCGTATGTGATTAGTCCACGGCTTTGAAGCGGAGCAGAAATGTGACGGGCTTATCTCACGTTTTCTATTACAAAGAAACCATTATTTTGAATATCGAAGAATGTGGAAGCTATCAGGAATGGAACTATCCTTGGACATAGATGTTTGTGTATTTGATCTATCTTGGTGAGTGATCCACCTGCCTGACAGCCTGTCAAATTGGGGAGAGGCGAGCCAAGAGCGACTTATTTCAGGCTGTAATGGTGGAAACCCCAGACCAAATGGTCTATAACAGTGCCGAAAGGAAATTTGCAGGTATACAATCTCCAGACAAGATAGGTGCGGTCCATGAGCCTCCATACTTCCATCCCTGCACACATCGGTTTAGGCACATTGATCAAACACGCACTTGGGATAGAGATAAATCTGCTGCCTTGATGGCCCGATGAGCATTATTTATAGAAGCCTTAGGTGCAAGGGAAGCATCTTGAAGTTTGAACAAACGTGACAGCGTTGGTCTGCAACTGAACGAAGAATATAATTCATCCAAGAAGCGACGGCAAATTGTGTCACTAAAACACTGGTCTACATATTACAACCTGACTTGTTTGTGTCCAAAGGAAGAGTACTCCCTAGTTTGAAAGAAAAACAGAGACCTTTCCAAAAGAATGAAAACGCCAATCAAAGAGTTCTCCTTTGCGTGGCTTGAAGTTTGTAAACCTCTAGGATATAAAGGTAAGGCAGGTAGCCGGGTGCGAAGTATTACAGGAACGCAGAATTTATTTGAAAGCACCATTCACATTGGTATTGCATTGATTGTTGCTCAGCCCTCAAACAAAGTCGGTAAGTGTATATGCCTGATATATTCCACTACGAACATTCCACTTCCTACTTCAAACCCTATCTCTACCAAGTGATGTATATAATTTTTAACACATTGGCCTTTATCTTAAGCAATGAGCATCTATCGTCAATTTCGTCAACATGGCTTCCACGAAGACCCACTACATGCTCAGCGGTGGCCTTGGCCCAAGATGGGCCCCCCGATCTAAGGGCTGTTATGCTGATGCTGTCTTGCAGTTCCCGACTACGCAACGAGAACACGATGAGAAGACAACCACCAATCTCGCTACTGATAATATGGATATCAAAACTTTAAAGGCATCTCCGACATCGAAAATGAAAGTGAAGCGCCGTACTTCAAAGAGCTCTCTGCACTAGAGTTACAGTCAACAGGCAAATGCGGGTTTTCAAGAATACGTGTTCATTCTCGTAGAAAAATTCCAGAAATCCTCGATTTTGCTGATGATGCAGAAAGCATTCGGAAGGCCCTTTTTGGTTCAATCATACTAATGCGACAAGGAAATCTTGTTGTAGCAGATACCTGCAAGAGATTCAGCTCTTGGGACTGGAACTGCTATCAAGTATTATCTCTTCGATGAAGAGTGGGGCCAATCGGGTTTATATTAAGTAATATTGAAAAGGTTTATTACTCCATTTATTGCTAATTTGGAGCCAGAATACGATGATGTTGAGATTATCACTGGGCAAACCCATATGCAAGTGTCCTCTTCAGAATCCATCGACAAGATAAAAGATTTACTAGCCTAGTTTTGCACTTCCATACAGGTGGTACACCCTGGTACATTATGCACATCTGGAGTATAGTTCTACCGAAATTCATTTGTTTTGCACGATCTTCGGCCAATAAAAGAAAGCAGGGCACCAAGCTGTTGGTATGGCATCTTAGAATCTGCCATTATTGCCATGGACCCCACGATGAAAGTAGAGCCAACACTTGACGTCTCATTCAAGTTGATGATACGGCTCACAGATGTAGAGTACCCCGTTAGCGTAGAAGGAGGAATAGTTTTGATAGGAAATTCTTCAGCTCAATTCGTGTAAAAATGGTCGATGGTAAGTACATACTTGGCACTACGAAATGGCAAAGCACGATGCTCAGTTCAAAACCGCAGAACTAGTAGCAACGAAATCTCATTAGTTGAAAAGTAAGTAATTTGAACGAGCTTCGTGAAAAAAGGTTGGTTGGTGTCCAGAGGCTGCGGTTCTTCTAGGAAGAGAGAAGTTGAGTGCCGCTCCAACTTCGTCTAATAGAGCAGTGAAAGCACATCGTGGCAATGGCCTAGCGCAAACTTGCAAATTTGCAAATTATTGCTCAATCCGCTGCCCCACCCTAGATAGAAGGTCAATTGGGATTATCCATGAGCCGGACCAGAAATACAGCCAGATTCAGCCCAGTGCAGAATTGCCCCAAATGCTTAAACAACAGTTCCACAGAGCCTCTTTTTATCTACGATTTGGTTGCTCAGCGCGTACGGATAGTCCCATTGATAAGCACATTTCATCATATGCTAGCAGTTTATTGGAGTGTAATTCCGCAAGAGTGCGGGAATGCCTCTTTCTTTGGTTAATCCCAGTGCTGATAGCGCATCCTCATCGCTGAACATTCTCAAGAAAAATAGAGAACCGATCTTAGAAAGTTTCACTGGGGAAAGTTCAAAGTTCGTGATTTGATAATGGAATTTGCGGTCAATTTTTCCAGATTTCCTGCCACGCACCACCTCGGTTCGGCATCTATAGTTATGGGTTTATGGATATTTTCATGGATTTTTCACTCGCGGAGCTCAAGTAAAAAAAGGCCCATACAGATAGCCTTGGTTGCACACCTCTTTCAGGTCAGATTCGTTGTCTATTTAGCTCTGGGATCGGGGATGTGATTGTCGGCGACCGGGCAATAAATTTAGAGTTTCCTTGCGGTCGATTACCAGAGGAATGTGATTTCATGGCAATTACAGTCCTTAGCGTACATGCTCTTTAAGACGTTCAGGCAGTACTGAGATAGGTTCTGTCTGTCGGTTATCAACTAAGCACGTGTGGTTGATATCAGGTGAACCCTTCGTGCGATGCGAGCACGGACATGCTAACTACGCTACATGCTGGGAAGAAATTCAATTCTTGCAAGAAGTTCAGGTGATGAAATTCAAAGTCGATACTCACAGTTCTAGGATTTCATCTTTTCCTCCGAAGGTCAGGTGGTTTTTGGCCAACGTGGACGATATGGAGGGATGTTCAGATCCCGATTTCGTAATGGTGACAGCTCCAGTGACACCCAAGCTGTTACGGTGAGGTGAGATGGGAAAGGCAGACTCAGTAGTAAGCATATAATCTTAAACTAACTCATAATATCTGAATTCCTTGCTAAGGCATTATTCCTGTGCGAAGCAAAGATCATCTGGGGTGGTTGCGGCGTATAGGGATCAACATGTTGCTCGCTGGATATTAACCTGAATGTCAACTGACCCTTATGGCTAGGAAGCCGGTTGCGATGCCGTGATCTCAAATTTTTACGTACTTGTCACCGAGTGTTGTAACGCTTTACGAGCATGGCCATCGGTGTACCGTTTAATTTAACCGAATTGATCGTTCAAGGGATGAAAGGGACGGATTATCCGCAGTATTACGCCTTAATTATCTAGTCCTTCTCTTGAGAATGACCGTAACAACGTTCTAGGCAGAAAGGAGCCATGGAAAAATTCAAATCGTTGCAATGTAGCCGCTGCACGGATAACCGCCTCCGGCCCTTTTAACACTTCTGGAGGCTTTCAAATTTCTTTCTCCAACCAACAGCTTCACGTTTTTAGTCTACTTATCAAGCAAGCTTCCATCACTTGACTGAGATGAGGCTTAGCGTTTAACAGATAATCGAATCATAAATAGATGATCACTGCCCAACTTTGGTTGATTACATTAAGTTGATGTTTGGAAGTCAAAGACGGATAGAACAATGTTTTTATCTCTATCAGTCTTGTAGGTCTGCAGCATTGGAGCAGTAGCTGCGCTGTCATTCAGCATTGCTAATTTTAATGCCGAACTGGATGACGAGTCGAATGTATTGATATCGTCATGGCCAAATATCGATTCGGACTTTACTACACTATTCTTGGTCTTATTTGATAAGGGAAATGAAAATGGCAATTACCACATAGGGGATGTTGATTTGAGATATCGCACCCCGATCAATCAGCTTGGCCACAAAGTAGCACCGCTTCAAACCGCAGTATTGCTGGAGAGCAGTTGCTAACGAAAGGCTCCTCCATCGCCGCTTCAGCTATATTGACGGTTTCCGCTGGCTCCGGTCTTAACGTGACCATGCCGGGTTGAATACGAAGACGATCTTGTCCTATTATTAAATATCACGAATGGCTTGCATGACTATACCGTCAAGGTGGGTGGATTATATTACACTCGAGGCGAACAACATTTCCACAGGAAAGACACCCGAAGACGCCTTGCAGGAGGGCCGCTTCGTCGACTCACATGTTGGACTGAATGTGGGACATACTCAAGTGAGACGATTAAGTGTGCTCGGTCCAAATATGGTTGTTAGCCCATTTAACCCCATCATTTCGTTCAAAGCCTGGAACTTGTTAGAAGAGGCCCAGTGACAGTTTGGACTACTACCCAGTCCATTACAAGGGCAACTACGAATGGTCAGTGTGCACAGCTGCCTGCGTAGATGATGACTGGAAAGGTGTTGAGTCTTGGAATGAGGCAACGTCTCTAGTTTTCGGGCCTGAGGAGATTGCATCTTTTGGGCATCGTTTTGTTGTTGTATCATCGGTAGCGGATGTGGAAAGTGCTGCCACGAATCCTGGTCTTCATGTTTCTGTAAGAATACCTGGATATGTCATCCTGGAGGGAACTGTTGAAAGCTTGTATCTGAACGCGAGCTCTGAACCTTCGCTAATGGAGGTATCACCGGCGAATATCCTGAAGTTGTCTAATCTTCCTCCTGCTCCAACTGCTCCACGGTTTTGATATTCCGTCACCCCTGCTGAAGGTACATTCGGGTGAGTGCGTGTCACTAGTATATCAGAATGGTTATACTCGGACGGTCCACTACTGGATCACAGACGACACAGCTATTGCTGTATCAACATATTGAAGAGAAGGAATGGTTCACCAACATATCCGATTCATTCGGAAGGGGTCCTTTTATCATATCCTATGACAAGGTAACAAATAGCTTTGTGTTACAAGACAACAGAGTTTGAATCGCAGGACTGAGTGATGATGGTGGTAGCGGCAGCTACGTCGGCGTCGCATTGAAGGGAGCTATACAACCGGTCTCCAAAGCGATTCAGAAATTAGATATATTTGCAAGTACCACTTACTGGGGTGTTGCTCAACACTAGAGTGATGACAGTATGTATGGAGTCAAAAGAACACTCTTCTACTATGTCCCGGAAGATGTTCCAGCCTGGACCTATGACACCTCCTTCAACTGAGGATCTGCATGGGGAGGGGTAGAAGAGGGTGACCAATCGGGAGTATAATTGTATACTGTGCATGAACATAATGTCGGCGCTTCACCGAGACCCTATCATATTTGATTGTCGCATCGGAGGATTTTTTGATTTGAACCATTTGCTTCATAAATAGCGTTTAGTCGCGCGTAGTTATACCATTCTATCTACGTAGGATGGTCGGAAAACAACAATAATGTATCGATATTAGGTTTTTCAAGATTGTTTGACCGATCGGAGGTGGTAGTAGTAATTTGACGAATAAATGTAGGATCATCCATACCAAATGAAGTTTTGACTCCAAGAATATATTAATAAGACAAGAACTAGGTTGCGAGCAATAACATTCCGCTCTGTATCCGTTTTTAGGTCGCAGGTTTTCTTCAAGGCATGCATGTCTACCGCCGCTCTTATCGTTAGTCATTTTCAGCCGCTCTGCAGGGCCAACAGATTGTTAGAATGACATCGTCATTGTTGTGAGTCAACAGATCCTTTCTGTTTCGGGTGATTTGACCTTTCCTGACCCACATCAAATTGCATGCTCTAATTAAAGATCCATAAATAGAAGAATATGCTCCGGCGGTTGGTCTATGATCAGGAGTCTTCCACCACTAGTTCTCATATGTTTCACATCATTGGGTTACTACCAACATACATGGATGTTTGCAAGGCTCAGTTCTTCGCTAGAATAATAACACTACTGCGGCCCTAAATTCTTAGTAGTACTTGGTAGACACTGACACAGCCCGCTACCTGGAGGTATCGTTCCTGGCCGAAGAGTTCAGCCGGGGAGAAAACGCGCTGATCGCGAACCAACTTCTGCCGGGCGATTTTCCTAACTTCTCACACATCTCTTTCCTGAGCCTCTACTCACCATTCCTCACCGCCTACCTTTACATTGGATAATGGTCATAAGAACAATAGTACCACAGTGACCATGAGTCCGTTCAGGCGTCCCGATTCTCTCTTACTGAGAATCTCGTCTCTTTTGTGCCTAACCTCCCTGGCGTCGGCTGTCTGCTACTATCCTAATCAATACAGCGAGGACGACCAATCTTATCAACCATGCGTTTCCTACAGTGGCGCAACAAGTATGTGCTGTGGCACCAATCGAACCATACCTTCCGGTGGTTTTAGAACTAGCGATGGATTCACGGCAGATAAATGTCTAGAGAACGGACTTTGTGAGAACGACTGGAAGAGTACGGACGAGAACGGCACGACTGTAATGAACATTGGATATTTTCGGGATTCGTGTACAACTACAGACTGGAAGAATGGTGGTTGTTTGAATATCTGCACAGAGCAAACCGTACGTTCTAAGCAAGAAAATTTCACTTCCATATATTGGCAATGTCTGGCGCGACTGACTGTTTGTATTAGAATCCAAAGAACGGGTCTTCTACTGGTTTCGTTCAAGTGACTCCTTGCGATGGAACGGCAAACTCAACAACATGGTGCTGCGGGAAAGATAACAGTTGTTGCGATACCCCTGCTGCAGTCACTATCGCTCAAACGCTTGCGGCACAAACATCGACCGTGGCGAGCATATCAACCGCCTCGGCAACATCCAATCCGACGACCACACACTCTCACACATCTACCCAAACGACGACATCATCTTCAACTCCTTCGTCATCCGCTTCTTCAGGTCTGTCAGACGGCGCAAAGGCTGGAATTGGTGTTGGTGTTGGTGTTGGAGTAATTGCGATCTTCGCCGTGGCATTTTTCTTCGTGCGACGACGCCATGGGAATAGAGCAAACGGAACGATCGGAGGTAATTCTAGACCCGCGCATGACTATTCATATGTCGAAGCGCCACAGGACTTTAATCAGGGTGTTCCTGTTCAGAGTGTTCCCGTCTATGAAAAGGGGGCTGGCCCAGATGCCGAACGATTCGAGTTGCCCAGCGACCCAGCTCATGGAAATGGAAACTAGAAGTTGGTGGAGAATTACTTATTGGTCAAAGCTATGGGTATGCTTTTGAAGTTGGACTGAACGAAGAAAATATCAAGAATCTTGTGACATTAGCATCGGACATTAGCGTTATGATTTGTTATATATACCTTATAGATATTCATTTCTGGTATGACCAATGGCGAATTATCAGGTAGGCACGTCTAATCGTCCCCTCATTTAGCTCAGCCCATACAATAGGCGGAGAGCCAGTGTGTCCCACCAGCCGATCTGTTCATGTTCAGAAACAGCAGAGCACTGAGCTAGAGCCCATGTTGGAAGTAAGGAGCGGCATCGACCCTCGGTCAGGCCCGGAAGATCTGAAACGGCCTGACCAAAGCATGGTAGACATAAAACTGCACGCAGATTTTGTTGAAGATGTTCTGATTGCTGCGATAATTCTTCTAGTCGAATCGCATCGTGCCCCTTAAGCCCTTGCGGGGTTGCTGATTGCATACTTTGGGTTATTTGATGCTCTGCAAGGGTCAGAAGCAGTAACAGGGCTAGCAGTTCAGCTATAAGAAAAGATAATTCTTCCGATTGGAAGAGGGATGGGGATGGAAAGCAGGATAAATTGCCAATTCCGCGACATGTATTATTTCTCGTGACCTGCAAGCAGTGAGACTCTAATCCAAGATGTATTTCTTGCCATTGTATCAACTCAGAGTAAAGCTGGCAGCAGAGAGTCTGGAACTTCAGCGCTTCTCTGGAATCAATGAGGCGTTTCTCAAAATCCAAACGTGGAAGAAATGCATATATAGCAGTTAAATTAGTGGCGATATCATATAGGTAGTCGCGTGGTGTTTTGGTGCGGTTCCTCCATGGTAGCTCTAACCACTCTGGCTGGGCTAAGAATGTTGTCTGTCGGGTTGATAATGAAAAGTGAACCTGGTGGCAAATAATTAGTGCCTGCAAACAGACACGAAGACGAGAATGTATATTCATACCGCCATTTCACGAATCCTCTTGAATGCGGCGAGAAGACCCTCTTCCTGAAATGATTCCGGTGATTGACCCTGCATCAATGCCAGGGTCCCCTTGAGATGTCCAGCCCATCCGGATTTATAAATACGTGTAGGCGTTTGCTGGGAGCCTTCAAAAAGAGTGAAAATCAATGAAGTGACGACAAGATTTGAAGGGTAACGTTTCTGCCTAGAATCTTGCAAGAGCTGGCGGAATATTCGCAGGCTGACGCTATACGCCGAAAGGCTGAAGACTAGATATGTGCCTCGACGCTCAGATATCGACAGCCGCATCGTAGCCAGTGAAATGAGAGCTAGATCAAGCGCCTGGTTTTGAAGGCCGAGTTTCATCAGACCTGCACTCCAGACGTCTGATGTCCGGCCATATTTCTCATTGAACTGCGTCCATAAGGTAGTGAAGTGACTCTGGAAATCCACGGCCGGTAAGTCAAGAATGTGTAGAGATGTGCAATGAAAACTAGCGTGACTGTAGGCATGAGTGCTGCTCTCTCTATTCTGCTTCGCTAGTGTGATGGCTTTGCCAATGATTGGTTTCTTGGGTGCCTTGATACTGTGTGAATCGATGTTGACGAACACCTTGTTTCGCCGCGATGAGTATCCGCCACATTGACGATTGGCCTTGATGCAGGTCTGACATTTTGGTCTGCTTCTGTCACACTATCAATATGTTAGTCAAGACTACATAGTACACGCGGCATACGAGCTGGCAGCGACATACTGCTTTGCGGCGGGATCGGCATGTTTGACACGGTGGATCCATCATGGAATACAGGCCCTGTATACATTGCACGCGAGCGTCGTGGTTGGTTCTAGATGGGAGAAAGCTCCATGCTATGAAGAACTATGTGTTCATTCACAGGAACCCGAGACATTTTGGTGGCACACGCACTGTCCGGAATGTCATCATGCTAGCGGGCCCAATGGGAAGCGGCAACAGTGTGGGGTGTTGTTGAGGCTTGAAAAAGAAACGCCACTCATAACGATTGATCTAAGTTAACTATCTTAGCATTCACGATGCTGATATAATACAGACGATATCTGAAAGGGGGAACGGCACAGGAAATTGCTTCTTTGGGCATTTCGCACCGCGAAACCCCGCCCTAACCCCCTACGAGCACAACGATAGAGTAATGTATTACAACCATTTTCGAAGGCCCTGCTCTACATCCATCTTCGCATAACCACATACAGGAAGAGGGAATAAAAGAGCAGGGAAAGTGTTCAGTAGTCAATTGATGCTACTTTATTGACTGAGCAACACCTCGATCTCCGGCTTCTCGATTATATGACCGCATTTGAATCCAAACCTAGAACCGACAATGCTACAAGAAAACCCCGTTCGAGCATGTATTCTGGTGTTCGGCCAGATGGACCTGGTCGACTTTTCCGGGCCGTTGGAGACCCTCTACCACGCCTACGAACACGGCACTGAAGATCGTTTGATCTCCATCGAAGTTGCTGCACCCACCGAAGAGATCCTTACCGAGCAGGGCGTTATAATCAAGCGAAACATCAGCTTTGAGCAGGCGCTGGAATCTCTGCCACAGTACGACATCCTAGTTGCCCCTGGCGCAAGCTATAAAACAACAAAGGCAATGTGTGAATCCCCCGATAACTCTGTCATCAACATTATCAAGCAATTCTGCTCGTTGCCGGCAACTCAAACAAAGACACGTCAGCGAATCATGTTATCTATATGCAGCGGTTCGTTCTTCCTCGCTACTGCCGGTCTTCTGGCTGGACGTCGTGCCACCACGCATTTCACAAGACTACCACAGCTCGAACAGGCTGCTGCAAAACATGGGAGAACTGAGGTTTCGCGCCATCGATTTGTCGATGCAGGCTTGTTGGATAACGGTGTGCGAATCGTCTCGTCTGGTGGCCTTACCAGCTGTTTCGACGCGGCGCTGTATGCGATCGAACTCCTGTGCGGGCTGCAGAGCGCTGAGTTCGCGAGTGAGGAGTTAGATTATCAGTGGCGAAAGTCTGAGGCATTGTTCTAGACCTGGTAAAAAGCTCATTAATAGAAGTTAGCTCAGGCAAAGTATACTGTACTGTGGAGAAGCAGCCCCTGTATGTCCGATCAGTTTGGGTGTGTCGAGTCAGACCTCGCGAATGTTAATTCTGTATGTAATTTGCAGTGTTTGCACCGTAGCTAGTGCCTTTCATTAGTCACCTACCGGACATCAGGCTAACTGTACATGGATAAGGCTGGAGGCGAGTGCCTCCTGTGATTCGTCAGAAGATATATTATCTTTGGTGGGCCAATCAAGTGTGATATAATTCACGTGAAACGCCTTCCAAATGCGGCATACGACAGCGCGCCTAGTCATCGAAATGAACTGGGTATATCAGAAATGCACCAACATCATGGAAATATTCCTTCCAGATACTTCCTGGAGCGAAATTGATTGAAGCAGAAAATCTATAAATAGGCTGGCTTTTCCCGCAGGATGAGGCAGTATCATCCTCAAATATCAAACTACGTGGTTGAAAATCCTGCCTCAATCTTCATACTCAATATTGGCTTGACATTACTCTGTCCTATTCTTGATCAAAATCAGCTAATAGACAAGTTATGGAATCAAACATCTTCAAAACATCTCCGGAGACAGAAATTCATGTCAATATATCCAGGCCATCTACACGAAACGAACATGTCAAATCGCCCCTTCTCGTTTTCCTTCACTATTGGGGCGGTTCAAGTGCAACATGGTACAAGTTGACTTCACCAAACTCCGGCACCTCTCTGAATGCGGATTACCCTATTATGACTATTGATTTCCGTGGATGGGGACAGTCAAAAGGGCCAACTGGTGGTGCCGCAACAGCAGAAGACTACTCAGTCACCCCTCTGGCTTCTGATATCGCATCAACTTTGACCCAACTACACCGTGATACAAGTCATTCTGCGCTCATATATAACGGTTTCGTTATTATCGGTCATTCGATGGGCGGAAAAGTTGTACTGGCGACTCTGAACTGTCTTTCAGCAGACCTCCTAGGACTCGTGAAGGGTCTCGTGCTAGTTGCTCCGGCCCCGCCAACCCCTCTCATTCTTCCTCCAGACATGAGTGAGCAGCAGCGTGGGGCGTACAATACAGAAGAGTCTGTCCGATGGATTGCTCAAAATGTTCTGTCCAGTGCTGAGCATCTAACCGATGATGACATTTCCATCATCGTCAGAGATAGCCTGGCGGGCAGTACTCTAGCAAAAGATGGGTGGATTTTGCATGGAATGCGGGAGGATATTTCCCCGATCTTGGATAGTCTTGCCTCACGTCCTCTTGCGAAAAAGGTGAAGATTCAAGTTCTTGCTGGAGAACTCGATGTCGTGGAGCAGAAGGACCGAGTGGAGAAGGAGGTTGTACAGTCTCTTACTAAAAAGGGATTTATTGTTTCCTTTACTGTATTGAAAGGGTTGAAGCATTTGATTCCCTTGGAAAGTCCAGAGGCAATTTCTCAGGCAATTTCGAGCGTACTCAGTATTTAGCCGATACGGCACTCTCCGTCTTAGTGTGATGGGCAAAAAAATTCATATAAACCGAGCGTTACTTCTGCTGAGCTGTTGATGTGATTACAGAAGAAATTGACGATCAAATTTACAATGGGTGGTGGTATCAAAACAGAACAATGAAAAATTCTAAAGCACCGGCCCACATAGCAAATCTAATCCAGAGTCCCAATGCAACCCTGCATCCCAATCAAATAAATGATTCCAACTATTAATCTGATCCATAACCTCCTGGTTCACAGTAGGAAGGGTATCGGTAGGGAGTTTGGTCTCTCTTGTATAAGTTGAAACAGTGTTGGACATTGGATCAATGATTTGATCCAAGATACGGGTGAGTTTCGCCTTTACTTCCTTGCAAAATTCGAAATTCCCGCCCCCCGGTCGAGCAACCCAGCCTAAGCAAGAAACATAGACAGTAAGATCCCTGATGATCTCGGCCCTAGGAAAACGATACTCAGAGTTGTGTGTTGATAGAGAAGGGCGATGGAGTAATTCCATTGTGAGGACCTCAACACAAGGAAGGCCGTATGGGAGGAACTATAAAGAGTTTGAAATCAGCTATCTTAATCCTAGAACATACTACGAGAGCCAGACGTACAACTGAAGTAAAGTCGCTTCGAATTTCTCTAGCACGATCACGCTCATCATTGATCACCAAGATGGTAGATAAAATGTTCCTTGCTACCTGTAAAATCTGCGCTGAGCTGCCGCGAAAAGGGTCAGGCGAGGTAAGTCGATAGATTAGGAACGTCGAGTATTGATAATCGATATAAAACCAAAGAAGGGGTAGTATGTATTGGCAAGACATGGAACTCTGCCACATGTCAGAGGAGTATTTCATATTGTTGGGGCAGGCCTGCCAGTTGGATTGAAGCCTTTTTAGTACAAGTCTAAACCCATGTTAGCTTTATCAAGCAGATATCACAGCCGAATCTCTATAAGGAACGCACTGAGCTTTACTAGCCACATCGAATTTATTCACTCCAAGATGGAGTTCTAGGATTTCCTCGCGGAGGGACGAAAGAAGAAATCGGAGACGTATGAAGGTCGTAGAACGCCTTTTTCCGTCGGTATTCCATCCATTCTGGTCGAGACAGCGTATCTGGTCCTCTGCATCTAAACCAAATACGCCATCATCAATATCTAGTGGCGGCTCCAATATACAGTAATGTCGATTCATCTGCGGTGGTCGACCAAGAACAGTGGCAAATGTTTTATCAAAAGAATAAACTAAAGAAAAACACCGCCGACGCCATTGATGCAGAAAACCAGGATATTCACCATTAAACGGAAGGTCTCGATGAATACCAGCGGCATAAATACAGGATGTGAGCTCCACGAAAGAGGAGTACAAGTATTGACCTGCGGTTTCCCGCGTTAGCAACGTGTCATTTGCATAGAGACAGATATGTGAGTTCCATACTGGAGTCTCCAAACCGCTGCAGGAGAAGAAGAATTCGGTTGAACTTGTAGGAAACGACAAGTTCGTTTAATATGGGTGATGCATTGGTCAACGAAGACAGACTATCAATAACCTTATGGAACCGTGTGAGAAGGTCTTGTTTGTCTCCAATCCCAGGCTGAACAGACTCAATATCCCTATGGTGGACATGTAAAAGGGATAGACTAGACATGATAAGCATATTCCCTATGGTCTCCCAACGAACATTCTCGCCACTTATCAAATGGCAGAGCTCATCCATGCGCGATGACTTGGTCAACGATATCGGTTGATAAGAGTTGCGGAATATGCGAATGACAATTTGAAGTCTGTAGGAATCATCTGCCGAGGCGTATTCATCACCAATGAGGTCCCACAGCCTTTCTAAGGCAGATATTGTAAGCTTCTCCGGCATGATATACATCCGTCCCATGTAGTGAAGATGTTTCACCAGGTTTTGAACTAGAGGCGCATTATTTCGAAGAAATTCGACTACCTCTAGGCCCAGTTCCAGCCGCTTGGGATCAATCGTGTGAGTAGCTACAGGGTCACCTGCAGCAAGAGTGCCACTCAATTGATTTAGAGGAGCCTGGTTTCCGCCCATTAAGGCGTAGTAGCTGATGGGACCAAGAAAGCCGGCGTTTTTAACCTGCGGGGCGTCAATCACAACAGCCTCATCTGGCAAAATACTTCGATCGGAATGGAGACTTGACGAATGGGGCTCGAAACTATAAAGAACGTTAGCATGCTTAAAACTAGGACATCCGACAATCTGCCTGGTGCCTTCGCTCACATCGTTGGTGTCGCGGATTTCTTTATACTAGGTACCCGGGATTTTGCGGATTCTGTTTGGTCGAAGCAAGCCGCTCGGAATTTCTTCGTCAAAGGAGCGGGGTCATACAAGCATGGCATATTTCTTTTGAGACAACGGCCGCATGTCGGTGTTGCGTGGTCGCATTTAATTTTCATTTTCCGGCATCTCTCGCAGGACTGTGGCTTGCCGTTCCGACGCAAATAAGTGGCAGATTGTGAGGCCATAGTGAAATATGCCTTGTATGGATGATTCTCTATCGATTGCTGATGGATTCTGGTCGTGTGCTGGTCTCTGTAGTATTTGTTCTATTGAGCAATGTATGAGGAGTCTTTAGAACAGCGAGACGGAATTCGGGATACGGAGCTCGGACTAGAATTTCCTTAAATGGCACTAGTCCTGAGGTTTCTCCCCCACAATGACAAGTCAAACAGCAGCATTTGTATGGAAAGTGAGTGACATCTTGGGCATTGACTCTCGTTGTCTCTGGCTCGGTGAGAGGTACCTCGACGGTTTCACGAAGAAACCGTAGTGGACAGATGGAACGGTCATCTCATTTTAAACACAGCAAATGCTCGGTACCGGAGACTGAAGATAGAATATACTTTGCTAGCAGATCCTGAGCTTATTTCATAAAGAATCCGTCTGTTCCATTTTCTTCATATTGGATGCAAGCGTTTTTATTTTGTTCACAAGGAACGAGAAAAGCAAAGTGAACCACCCAAAGAAACCACACCAATCTGTGCTGTCCAAACTGGTCGGGATTAAAAGGTTTGAAAGAGAGACGTAGGAATCATCGCACGATGCATGTCAATATACACATACGCCGAACGTACGCGTATAACCTGCGACAGGCAATAGTGATACACATCTGGTGGCTAATTTTTCCACCTGCAAAAGTGATTACTAAATTATTCGTTTTCAAATGCGAGGTTACTAAAGAGATGACTGATCTAATTAAACTTATCGTATCGGCACACCCTTGAGACTCATGGGTAATATCTAAATGATCACTAATCGCGATATAAAAATCTTGTTCACTATTTGAGAGGAAAGGCGGTGGTATCAGCAATACTAATTTAACTTTGATGATTAGCTGACTATCACGATTATAAACTAGTTATCCTTGCATAGTGTTTGCTGATTTCTGAGGCGGAACAACTTCAATTCTGATTACTCAACACTGGTTTCCACGTGGTTTCTCGTCTTTGGATCGTCTATATAATTCACTGTTATCTCAGTATAATCATATAAGTAAACCCTCTAACCTATCAATTAATCTCCTAAGTTTTTCAAGAAACCTATTAGCCACACAACATGGCAATCGAGACTAAACCCAAAGTTCTCATCATCGGAGGTACAGGAGCTCAAGGTCAACCAATTGTTCGTGAGCTAGTGCATGATGGAAAATACACTTGCCGCATCTTCACGCGGAGAACGGACTCAGATCGAGCACAGTATCTTCTGAGCCTTGGAAATGTCGAGTTATTTGAGGGCAGCTTCGATAACGAATCACAACTGCGAGAAGCATACAAGGGCTGCGATCGAGCCTTTGTCAACCTTGATGGATTTAATGTCGGCGAAAAAGCCGAAACCTTCTGGGCTATACGTGCTTTTGAGCTGGCTTTGGAAAATGGAGGTATACAGTTCTTCGTATATGGGAATTTAGATTATGGGTATAAAAAATCCGGGTATAATCCAATTTTTCGTACAGGCCACTACGACGGAAAAGGCCGAGTTGGAGAGTGGATTCTTTCTCAAGTTAGAGAAAGCAAGGGAAGGGAAAGAATACCTCAAATGGGTGCCGCAAGCTTCACGACTGGGCCCTACATGGAGATGACGCTCTCAGAAAAGACACCCATGGCACCACAGATCGAACAAGATGAAAGTGGCACTGATATTCTTACCTGGAGAGTCCCATTAACAGAGAAAGGAGCAGTTCCCCATGCAGCACTAGAGGATTGCGGGCATTATGTTCGCTGGCTTTTCGACAACCCCGAACGTGCTAATGGTCTTGACCTCGAGGTAGCCATTGAGCATGTGGATTACCATGAAATGGCACGCGCCTTCACCAAAGTTACTGGACACCCGGCTAGATTCGTTGATGTGGATTTCGATACGTATTGGACCAGCGGGCCAATAGCTGCCGCAGCTGAGAGGCCCACGGGATATGGAGTCAGTCGCAATGACCCAGGATCTATGAAATTTCGAGACAACTTCACCGGATTCTGGACTATGTGGCAGCATTCCGGTGGGAATCGCGGAGTTATTCAGCGTGACTATAAACTGATGGATAAAATTCACCCACAAAGAATTAAGACTGCTGAGGAGTGGTTTCGAAGAGAAGACGAGAAAGAAAGAAAGGCTGGCCAAGGGTCGTTGTGGGATAGAGTTCAGAATGGACGGCGTCGGTATGTCCTTAAGGATCACGAAGATAGTGCTAGCCGAAGCTCTTCAAGCCTCTAAAACGAAAAACTTGAATGTTCTCACCTGGAATATCTTTGGAAGTTCTTGTATATCAATTTACCTGATAATGTAATACATAGTTCCAATGAAAAATATTGGTATCATCTGATGTCGATGGTACAATTTCGGTCATTGCCTCCTCATTTTTTCTGCGTCTGACTCATCTATCTTTTCTGCAGTGGCCGGAAGTTATATTGGACTGGCGTAATGTTGGGGGTACTGGAAATGTGCTTGTATTAGTTAAACTGTGACAAATAATCGAAGACAATCATAATTCCCCGTCGGAAGCCCAAATATATTTTGGATCTACTTAATTAGTGCATCGGTGCCGGAGTGGCAAATAGCCCCATTCATCCTATGACTTAGCTTGTTTAGGAGAATGGATCTCCTGCTGAGCTCGCAGCGATGACTATCATTGGTTATATTTTCAATGCCACGGATTGATCAACCTCAGCGGAATTCGTCGTAGATTCTAGGCTGATACTCGATCGATCAAAGTCGAGGTCTAACTATACTTATGAATGAATATGGTGTCGATATGATCTTCGCGTAAGTATCTACATATGGCACGATGTTAATCATAAGAACAGCGTACCGCGAAAGCTAATTAACCCGATTATTAATTCTTACTGTAACATTTTGTCTGTTTCTGGATTTTTGGAGCCTTGATAATGCGGTTCCTAGTCAGGTAAGTGCGGTCATCCGTAGAGCCATCACACCCTGACTTGCAAGAAGAGCCCCCAATATTAGCGCGTTTCTAGATCAATAATTGTAAAGTTATTCAGGTACTTAAAATTCAAACAATTCGAAAGCTCGTGATTATCTTTTAATTTTTCTATCTCATCAATAAAGAATTCTCTTTGGTTCTTCGGTCCAGTGTTGCCTCAAAACTGGTATTTCGCATCCACCATGTTATCTAAAGCATGGGTCGCAGGCGTCATTCTGTTGAGTGGCACATTTGCCAGCGCGGACAGTTCATTTAAGAGAGGTATTTCTTAGATATAACTATTTGGAATTGAAGTATTCTAATTATTTTGCGCATGAAAGAAACTCTCTACAAACGCGACAACAGGAGCTCCTTAACCCCTAATGGCAAAAAGGCAGGAAGTGCTGGGGGAAATGCCGTATCTTTGTGGGAGCCTCATCTCGGATGGTGGTACGACTGGAATCCTGCGCAATCTAGCAGTCACAACACGGAATACGTGCCAATGCTGTGGGGCGATGGTGATGCCAGCGAGCTTGACTCACAACGATATCAAAAGTTCGAGACCCTACAAACAACCTCGAAATACCTACTAGGATTCAACGAGCCGGACTGCTCTCCTCCTGATTCATCAAGCATTGCTGAGGATAAAGGAGCTCAAGTGTGGAATGACATGATTGCTCCTTGGGGCCAGAAGGATGCACTTTTGGGTAGCCCGGCGATGTGCAGTAAGCTTTCAGACCTAGAGATAATCTTAATGAATATATACCCTATTTGATACTGACATCTTTTCAGAGCAAGCTGATGAAGACTGGTTGACTCTATTCGAATCCAAAATTAGCCGTGACTGGGACTTTACCGCAATCCATGTTTACAAGAATAGTATGGATGGAGTTAACAAAGATTTGGTATGTCGTTCCGGGTGTAACCAAAATCAAATGCCTATATATCTGACCAACTGCTGTAATAGGATCATTATTGGGACACATACGAAAAACCCATCTGGGTCACCGAATTCGCATGTGTCGATGGTGGGTTTCCTTGTCCTTTGAAGTGTCATATAACGAACCGTCGTTCTAACTGTGGCACGCGTCCTAATAGACCAGAATGAATTTACTCCATGCACCGATCAAAATGAGATCAACTCATTCATCAATGACATTGTCGATCTCTTCGAGGGCGATGATCGTGTATATGCTTACGCTTATACCGACGGCGACGGACTTGGAAATGTTTGGCCACCGACAAACAACGGCCAACTCACTGAAAGTGGACAATCTTACCTGAGTGCAATTAGCAAGTACTCTTAAATGAAATGATACGTTGTTAATCGACATAGTATGAAGATTATGATGTGAGTTGGAGGTTTTCGCTGTCCCGATGCTCAAAATTTGGAGATAGACCGCATTAGATCGGGGTGCTATTCCTAATACAAAATTTACCATTTAACAAGAAGAGTTTTATAAAGAATTCAAAATCGCACTAAATGCAACTCATACCGACAATTTATTTCGTTGAGACAAATTCATGATTTATGATTATACATTCCATTTATGTGCTCGTTGTGCTTCATATTAACTTTTTTCCACGATTTATATGTCTAGTAGCACCGACATCTCGCTTTCTATATACACTCCTCATGCCGCTAGTGTTGCATAATACAACTCAGTTTCTGCCAAAATGATCATTTTTCCGTCTCTAGCGAAATTGAAGCTAGCAGACGTAGTTCTAAGGAAAATCTTGTCAATGAGGTATTCAGATGGGTTCCAGACTTGGACAACATCGTCGTAGCCGGCATATACATTGCCTTGAGAGTCGAAGTTGATTCCAAAAGATCGCCATTGCCGTCAACACACAAGTTAAATTATGTCTCCAATGAGGGGCAGAGCACAAAACGACATGCGAAGATGTTAGGAGGGATGCAAAGAAAATTCACTTACCATCGGGTATACCGGGCATAAAAAATGCAATAGTTTGCGAAATATCGAATCGGTAAGTTTTAAAAGTGTGCGTCAAATCAGTCATTTCCTTCCAAGAAGACAAGAAAGGGATCATTAGCCAGGGAAACGGTATACACGTACATCGATGCTGGTCGGGTATGATTGTTACCCTCGAAGCCTTTCGCAGATCCTGTGTCGGTCACATAAGCATATTATTTCCCGTCTGGGGAAAAAGTGAATCCTACTCCCATATCAATATAACACTTTACTGATATATGTGCAAAACATTGGTAAGATAATGAGTTAGTCAGGCCATGGTTCAGCTCGGGATCTCCCCCGTTTGGAAAGGTATATCCGTCCTCAACGACACTCGCGGCACCTGTCTCTAGATTCAATCGATATACCTGATTAGGCAAACCAGGCGATGGACGGAAATTCTGCAAGCAGGCATATGGTACGTCAACAAAATATATGTCTTTGTTTAAAAAGGCTCCATAGATACATGACTATAAAATTGTGATCAATTTAGTGATATCCAGAATCGTCGTTTTCATGTTGCGTGCTGCATCGTATTTTGTCAGCAATCTTAGCTTTTCAGAATTCAATCATCAATAGGTAGCGTCTGCGGCCATTCTGACAGATTGATATGTAATGTGACAAAACTATATCGAAATGTTCTGAAAATTAACAGCTGCCATACTTTGAGTCGGCGTATAGCCACCCACTCATCCTGTTCGCAATATCGTTGACATATGAATCCGTAGCTCCTTCGCCGTTATTCAGATTAGAACTGTCGACCGAGCCAGAATTGTAGCATCGTGCGGCCTACAAGGGGTGAGGTTAGTTTTAATTTGTTTCCAGAAGGCAAGGTTATCCTACCTCGTAGATATTGCCGTATTGGTTGATACATTGCACGAGACCATCTCCGTCAGATGTTCCTTGAGTTCCATCGATAATCATTTGTGTGATGCTCGTCTGCTGGGCAGATCTACTAGCTGAATTGCCAACAAAAGTCGAGCCACCGTCTGATTGCATCAAACCAGGATTGTCGGGCTGGGAAGGGTCTGGATTTGTCGATGCACAGACATTCACGCAGCCAGAAGACTATAAATAGTAAGAATTGCTCAACGAAAGATAGGATCGTCTTACTCACTTCTTGTAGGATGGTCGCAAGAATGAAGCGATGATCAACCAACGACGCCTCGGCAATCTGCTGAATGCCATTCCAGATCAAGCCAATTTGCTCGGAGCTATCACCACTGCCAAACGCCCCCGCTCCATTTGAACACGATCCAACACCAAGGTCAGAACACGATGTTGACATGGCACTCTTGGAGTAGTTCCACATGGCGTCAAATTCAATCCATTCCGACTTTGCAGGAAAGTTCTTCCAACCACCGTAGTAGCAATCTGAATGAAGCTGTTAGTGCTATGGCAAAAGGTAGAAAATCAATATATCAAGCACCACTCACTATAGTTATCCTTCCCGGCGTTTCCTGTTCCGTCATAAATATTGGAGTTGTCCTTATTGCCAGCACCACTCGAAAAAGCCGCCGACGAAGTCACTTGCTGACTAGAAGGGTTGGAAACTAACAGGTGGGGGGCACCATTCTGAATCTCTTTCTGCTTTACAGTAAGAAACTATTGAATTATTGAAGTGTGAAGGGTTGACCGACACTAGGGGCTGCCAGAGCAGAGACGGCGACTATTGCCTGTAGAATAACAACTTTAGCGAACATCTTTAGAATGCAAATGATAATCAGAAACACCGAGAGATGAGAAACCACTGTGGTTATTATATTTATAGTGTTGGTACTGTATATACATAAAAAGCTTGACAAGGATACGTTAGTTCTTCAAGCCACGAAATGGTACATGTAACCCTGAAATGAAGGCTTATCGCCAATTGTCAAATAATCAGCCACGTTCACAGGGTCGATGAGGATTAAGGAGCATTCAGTTGACTATGCATATTATATCTTAGCTGAGATCGTGGAATAGAAATTTTTGATTAGTTCAAAATTGCTATTTGTCTATCCTTTGATCAATATACAGACCACAGAGCCTTTTAGGATTTTTGTTCCGGGCATTAATCACGTAAGATATTCCAGAAGTAAGCCTGCAGAGCTGATATACACAATCGCTTTCGGTACTATCGGCTAGAAACACCTGAACTTTCCCCATAAGGTGGGTTTAGTTTTACCATTTTCCGATTTGGGAATTCATTCTCGAAAATGAAGTTCTCATGCACGCCTCGATGTAACCTAATGTGGTAACATCAGTAGCTTAGACCTAGTGCTAGGGCCTGAAGGCTTAATTACCGTAAGCTTTTTGGTAAACACCCGAACTCAATCTTGTAAAAGTGTTCGGTAAAAGATTCCAGATCTATTTCTGCGAATTATATAGTACTTCTTTCCTATCCAAGAATGTTTTGAAAATCATATAAAGTATTCTATTTTATATGGGGCCGCCGTCAATCGGTGTATTCGATGATTTTGACCCCAATGAAACAATATTCACCATGCGTTAACAAACTAGTTATCCTCCTTTATTTGCTGAATCATAAGATTGACAGTCTTATTAAAGCCGATTTTAGTGCATTGAGAAAGCTACGCGTTGAATTCAGCAGGAAATATTTCCAAAATAAAATGGTCTTTTCATACTTTTGCTTACGTTTGCCAATATCTGCTGGTTCCGGAGAACCCCCATTTTGTTTGTGTCAAGACGAACCAGTCTACGGCGTGCGGAAGCCCAAGCTACCAATTTACTGAGGCCAGAGGCGACATCACCTTGCCAATATCCGAAAAGTGTTTTGAAGGGAAAGCTTTGAAGCTATTAAAAACGCAAAAGTAGAACATATATAAATACATACTGGACATGCTTTTCTCTATTGGTGATATCTAAAGAACGGTAACTTACAAATATAAGCTTCTATTTCATCCGTCAAATTCTCTAGCGTCATATCGAAGGATCAGAAGCCGCTAGTAGAGCTGGAACAGTTTCGATACTGCTTGTATGGGTGTAAAACCTAAAGATGGCATTGCTACTACGCAAAAGTGCGACGAAGCTGCACAATGAGTGAATCACAGAAGATATGCAATGTGTGTTGCCCTATTTCGTTGCGATCGCCATCGGTCAATGTCGAAGTCAGGGGACCAGCGAGTATGATTGGCATTTTAATCAAAAGTAACAACCATCGTTTATAAGAGAAAACTCATAATGCATCATTGCTATATCTTAGCTTCAAAAATCTATAATTTGAAATCTATAAGAATCTATCTTATACGAGACTAATCTAATGATAAATTGCATAAGATGCGGCATTTCCTTTTCTTTGTAAACACAGTTAGAATCGAGCAACTCCAACTCATATTCTTAAAATGCGAGTGCGACTTCTCGCAATTACCAGGAAACACTTGTAGATATGTCCAATGGATCATGTAGATAGCATACACGAGATAACATGGTTTCGACATCTAACCATTAGCTTGAAAAATCCAGAGTAAGCGCTAAAAATGTTCTAGGTGTGCTCTGGTATGAGAAATGAATTAAGGTATCTAACGCCAAAGATAGGCATGTAGCTAGTGGGATATCCCAGAAAAGAAAGTAGACCAGCGCGTATTGAATAGAGGAAAAAATGAGCAATTTTTGAATCAATAGGTCTTTCTAGGCCTTTGAATGATTGAACAGGCCCAATATCTCATCTTAGATTAAAACGCGCTCCATTGTGCGTTCATTTCAACTTCTGAACTTTTTACAAGTCAAGGTTAACGGGAACACAGTCAACATTGACCAATCCATCCTGTTATATGTTGTTAGACATCTCATATGGTCAAGATGGGATTGCAAAACTTACATGCTTGTTGCCTTCGCAGCAGACTGGCTGGGCCTCACAGTGAGGAACAGTGACAGACAGGATAGGGTCACCTAAAATGACCAGTTAGCTCGAATTTCATTTTTAAAGCACAGGAAACCCCCGCAAAGGAGTATAAGCTGGAGCTTACATTCCAAACCAATTTCTCCAGTAAGGCCATCGAGAGGAATGTTGAGAAGGGCCAACAACTTGGAAACTGCAGAGTTGGTGGTAGGGCCAACAGTGTCACAGCACTGAAGGTGGCTGGCGTCGCATTGAGATGCAGCAATCGAACTGGAGCCGACCTGGGCAACAACGGCGCCAGCAAACAGAGCAAGGGACACGATGAACTTCATTTTGAATGGCTAGAAAAATATATGCAGACTACGCTGAAATCGAAATGAGTTTTCGCTGAGCGAGTAAGTGAATAGACTTATAGAAGATCAGTTGCTGGAGATGATGATAGAAAGTTAAGGATGAAGAGCGAGAGAGGCCCTTATATAGCTGAGAAGGGCACAATTTTTTGCAGCAAACATAGCTACAGAAAGACTCAATTGGTAATAGTGAGTGTCCAACAAGAACGAAAGAAGAAAAAGAAAATAAACTATAAGAAAAACCTTGGAACGCTAGATATTGCTCATCTCCGAACTGTATTCTGCACTAGGAAGGTATTGAGAGAACATTCAGTCTCTCACGCCTCCGACTTGCTCATCATTACTGTGACGCTATCAATTATATTGATGAGGATGCATATGCAGGGTAAGTCGATCAGGGGCACCTGTTTCGGGTAACTCGTCTTGTTTTTGTTCCTGCATTAGAGCGGTGAAACCAGAGTACGAAGTGCATCGCAGATAAATTGGGCGCAATAGAAGAAAGAGCAAAAGGCTGAAACCGTTCTCCGAGCCCGAAAAAATTGTGATGAGTCTTGTTTTCCAAAAGCTAGAGAGCTACTAGAAACTCCGGATCGACCGTAATCCGTCGCACTAGTTTCAACCGTGTAACCCGACATCTTGCGGGGACAGCAATAAACCCCACAGACAAATTTTAAATGATTGAAAACCGTTTAACTCACATATATTTACGGTGCCACGAATACGGATGTCGGCCTCCGCTGAGAGTTTCAGCCGTGGGAATTCTAACCAAAAGGAGTGCCTTGATCGCCAGGATATCTAGGAATGGGTAAGATCTTCGACCATAGGTTCGTCTATTTTAGGTATACACGGATCTGAATACCAAAAGGAGTCCAGACTATTAGTTTTCTCAATGAACGCCTAATATTATGACTGGCAGTTTTGTACTACGCGTAAATGAGCTTGTTCTAGGTGGGAATTATTGGGTCTCAGTCAATAATTAAAAATCCTGAAATCATCCCCCAACAAATTCCAGTTCTCCTACCGAGACCACGAACTGTCTCATAGGAAAATATGAACCACATTGGATGATCATATTTAACAGGCCATGGTATTATCTGCTATAATTTATTATATTTACTGAAGTATAAACTGTATTTACTTAAATAACAAGAAGACAGCACATGTAATATTTGCTGGTCTCCTTGCCCAAGGACTTCGTTTATATCAAAAAAGGATTACTGTTGTAATGAGAAATCACTACCATGATATAAGACTAAAATGCATAGCTTTGGCCATGTCGATTAAGACATTAATACATTATTAATATACTGACAGTGTTGAAATAAGCGCAATTTGAGAAACGAGGGGTATTTGCTCATCCGGAATGGCTCACCCGCACATCCCAACCTAGATACGCAAATCAGGTGGTTTGACGCCGGCCATCATGTTCCAGAAGTTTCAAGTAAGATCTGGGATGAATAGGCTACTGAGCGACACTGGCTTCGTATTATAAGCTTCCTGTCAATTATTTGCATGAGACCTGGCTATTGTGTCATGATTGCACTCGCTTTGTTGGCATTGCATTACAATCGTTTCTACATTTAACAGGGCATTTGACCACCAACATCAATCGCTAGAAAACTCTTTTGATAATCCATTATAATGTTACGAACTCTCAATCGAATTTCCCTTCTCTTTGTTAGATTAAATACAAAGTTATTAAAAATTAATCCAATTTCTCTTGGCTTTTGAGCAAAAAATGTCATCTCGCAACCCTTTTCCGGCTGAATATGAGTTGAAGTGAGCGCGATCAGAGTCACAGTTCATACTATGGGCTTGTTCTTTGAATAAGATACTCGAAGTGGAAAATCACGCTTCCATCTATTCACTACGGGTGACTGCAGTTCAGTTCGCCTCAATATGACAAAGTCTGAGCCAACGGATCATATGGGAGAATATACAGTACAGCGGTATGGGTATGAGATATCACGAGCCGCTGTCAAGAGCATTAATCTTTAGCCTGCAGAGGGACTATTAGTCCATCATGTGATCTACCTGATCACACAAAAAGACCAAGATCGATATCGGCCGGCTCCTAGTGGAGTAGGCCGTCCACTCTGGGTGTAAAGCTCCTCGAAAATTTGTCCCAATGAACCCGTCTAAGCATTATAGCTCCACCGTAATTGACGACATGCATAAGCAGGTTACATTAGTAGCATGAGTCCTATGAAAACTGTGACTGTAAAGCAAATGTTGCAATAAAATTATTCTATAGGCAAGCAATCAGTGTTCGAAGCAATTATTCCTGGTCAATTCGCTTGAATTTACATTTTCCGGACATTCTACTCGGCTATCTAGGCAAGTCTAGCTATCATCTTTCGATGGCAGAGGTTGCAGCCTCCTTCCTTCCCTATTTTCTTTTATCGATTGTCTCACTTTCTTTCATGCTGTCTTAGTCTCTTTCCACCTGGAATATCAAACTTTGTGTAATAAGTTACCTATTCCCGGATGTATTTATATTATAATCCACCAAATTGGAGTTTTTTACTCTGGTTTTTCCTGATTGCAAAGAATGAGCTTGCATAAAAGTTGATTTATTAATTATGCTTAGCAATGAATGCACTATATGCTATTTATGAGCAGTTGGGACAGCCTTAGTAGCATACCACCCTATTTGCCCCCGCATACATATGTCGATTAACCCTACTGAATCAAACGATCTAATAGTCATTCGATCCATGAAATAAATATAAATGGAGATATATTTAATATATACGCGAATATTCAAGTCTTTTTATATGCCTACATATATACTGATGTAGTTTGTTGATATATTATGACTGGTGGCCTTTACATACAAATACAGGTATCCATTGATGGGCCAATGTCAAACATCACCAATACCGCCAGCCATGACATAGATAAGCAATTAATCCGAACATGAATATTTTCAGCGTCTACTCCAAACCATTAGTGCCGCCTTACAATCAAGCGACAGAATTGATTAATCAAATAAATGATTCTTTACCAATGGCCGTTGCCACAAAGAACATGACGCATCAATATATTTGATGATAATATATATCTGATTCACTTAATCTTACAGGCTGTACTTTACGGATGGTTCCGATTACATTCATCGGGCACCTCCGATCCTCGGCCGAGACGATAGGAAAACCCGTACCTGATAACACATATTAGTAACAGGGACAAGATGGAAGAGCTGGATATGTATAAGTATTAGATATTTCCCAAGATTACTAGAGACAAAGAATCACCAAAAGGGCAACACCATAACTAGACACCGTCACACCGACAAGAAACTAAAAACACACCACTCGGCACGCGACGTCAAAACAACATCAGTTATCATATCATAGAATATAACCTGTGAAAGGACAGCACATTCGACCATGACAGATGCACTAACACTCCACTCCCCAACAAAGTTGCTAGATGCCTTATGTACATGCATCGAAAAGGATATCCATCCACTGTCTGAAGCAGCAGTTGCGGCGGGCTCCAAACTCTTCGGTGCCGCGATCCTACTTAAATCGGATTTGAGTGTTGTATATGCAGACACGAACCAGGAACGCGGATCTCCACTCTGGCACGGAGAAACCTGGACGTTAAAACAATTCTTCGAAATCCCCGTGGACAAAAGGCCCGACGTGAAGAACTGTCTGTTCCTGACAACCCATGAACCATGTTCGCTTTGTTTGTCGGCGATTCTATGGAGTGGATTTGATAATTTTATCTACATGTATACATACGAGGAAACGCACAACGTGTTTGAGTGCCATGGGGATCTGGATATTTTCAACGACGTGTTCAATGTGCGCGAAGGAGAGGTTGCTAGACAGGCAAGTTTGGATGGTCTAGTAAGTCAGGTTAGACCGCAGTATAAATTGCGCAGTAGCAGGCTGGTTGCACTCAGTTTTGCAGAGCTGCTTGCGGCGATTGTAGATAAGGAAGAGAGATCTACATATGCCGACAAAGTGGAAGGACTTAAGAGGAGCTATGGCCGACTTTCAGAGGCTTATCGAAGAAACATGAGCTCAAAGGAAAATACCATCATTTAGAGTCCCTATTGATGTTAATGGTGTCTATTATTATTGGCTAGTTCGACGAACGAACCAGAATCTGGCCCGGTTCATACTTCACGTATCAGCGGATTCATATTCCTATTGTTGACGAGGAATACTTACATTACAATATTTGTTATGTGGAGTAGGGGGGAGTTTCATTGGTTATGAAGCATTGAAGTCATTCTAATATCATTCTCTTATTGTGTGTTCATTGAAGCACCTGTTAGGAAGCTAAAAGACCAAGACATAAAAGAGTAGTGGCGAGAATCATCCATCAAGGACGTCTTTCCAGCCACTACTTAGCAACTCATCCCTTTGTATGTACAGTTTAGAGTTGGGGCTCAAAATACAAAATATTGGCTAATGCGTTTAGCAAGGCTTCCCAGTCTTAAGAATGCTGGAGACTTCTTGAGCATAAGTGCAGCCGTTGTTGACGTTGGCGTCAGAGAAGCCGGCACTCCACATCATCACACCACCGAACGAAGCGTCGCCCTTGATGCCTGAAACAATTGTAGCGAGTTGATCGGGGGTGGCGTAGTAAACGGATCCAGTAGGGGTACCATTTGCACCCAGGTCAGAGGCAGGAACACCAACGTAGAGCTCAGCACCCTTGGAGGAGCTGTTGGCAGTGAAAGAAACCCAGTCGTTCCAGTTGAAGGCAGCATCGCCGTTGATTCCGAGAGCACAAGGGTAAGTGTAGTTGTTGTTGTTGTAAAACTGGATCCAGATCTTGTCGAACTTGGCATTCTGGATGATGGCACCCATGTTGGGTTCAGGGAGCGGGCACTGAGGAGCACTGGTGACGTAGTAGGTCTTGCTGGTATCCTTTGCGAAGTTGGAGCGAAGGGTTGAGATGAGGTCTGGGTAATATTCGGCGCCGTGGGGGTTCTCGATATCAAAGTCAAAGCCGTCGACAACAACATTACCAAGTGGTCGCTCAACAGTTCCGTTTCCTGACCCACCATATGCATCCCACAAATACTGACCAATTTGGCTTGCCTCTGAAGAAGATGAGAGGGAGTATCCACCTGCGGCGCCACCAAGTGACAAGATAACCTTGATGCCCTTAGCTTGACATTTGGGAATAGCGGCAGCCAAGCTGTCACAGTTTTGGCCCTTGCCGGATTCTATAGTGCAAGACTGTCCAATCCCACCTCCGGGAACAGTGTTTCCATTTCCATATTGGTAAAGGAAACCGAGCACAAGAACGTCGATACCAGAAGTGCCATTACAGTATGCAGCGAGATCGTTGTTTTCGATGGTGCCACCGCCGTTCTGGCCCCAGTAGACGACGCTCTGGGCAGTCGAGGAAGAGTTGCGAGCATGAAGGCTCACTGGGCTGGCCAGGGCTGAGCTGGCCAAGAGGCCGAGTCCGGCCAATGCAGAAAGAGTATGCATGTTGATGTAAAGGAGTGATATATACAGTGAAAGATAGTAATGGTGTCAAGGAGAGAAACGATCCGTCTAGGATCTGGATGAGTGCTTGCTTAGCGTAGAGAAATTGAAAATGAAATGGAAAGCGAGTAGAAGCGACGGGGGATTATTATAATCACATATCAGGGCTTACGGGCTACTACGCGGTAATTAGAAACGTCATGCGGGGCCTGGGGCATTCCATGTCAGATCTCGAATTGCTATAACAGCATGCTGATTTTGGTTACACCTAGATATCATGGGGTGATGGTACGGTAACTAGCTATCACGGGTTGTAGTAGCAATGACTGCGAACGCATAACGGGTGGTTCATAGGCATAGGGGCTCAAATAAGTGACCAGCGGTCTTAGGTTGGGGTCGATCAAATGTTACTATTCCCTGTCGACTCATCTGTTCACTACTATTGTCAGATGTGTCTACTGCTGACAGGAATGCAACATGCCTGGGCTAGCGCGGGCTCTCCAAACACGGGCGGGTATCGCTCAGATTATATTCTTGGAGCGACCAATCACAATTAACGTCCACATCAAGTCATGACTAATGCTTGTGATTTCAGAAGGGAAGGTCAAAGATCCCAAAGAGTTGAGTGTGCCTGGATTGACACGGTTCACCAATGGCAGGGTTGCAACGTTATCTGTGCGACGGCTGCTGATCGAAACGATCGACAGTAGAGTGACCAATGTTGGCATGTGTGATGACGGATATGGTTGCACCAGAAACGCCTCACACGGGGCCGGCCATTATTATTATTATTGCCAGACTACACATGTACATACTTTCGCAGGCACCCGGCAGGATGGGCCATGTGGCTGCCGTGGCAAAGCTTGTTATTGTTGCCGCAAGCCACAATGATCCGGCATGTATGATGCTGTCCGGACGTGTAGGTATATTATATGCATGCCATTTAAAGTACTATGTATAGCTAGTGGCTGTCTCATTCTGGCAAGCTATAAAGTGGTTGAGAGTCAATTTCCGAAGAAACGGGTCGAAGTAGTCAATCCCAAGAGAAACCGATGAGTTGCAAGGCTGCACTAGATGAAACGGCCCCAGGGGTTGTGACAAGCCGGAGGCTTCGACGCGTTTCTAACTAGCGATCCAACTAAACTGCCTAGAGAAGTAGCGACGCCACAAAGCTCATAAATAGCATCAAATAATACGTCGCAATTCATAGAAGGCTTTTATTGATAGAGATAAAAGAAGCGCAAAGTGAGAACCTGGAAAAACAAGGGTCGCTACATGTGGTGTTTGAAGGGGATAATGGGCATATGCTACGGAACATCCCAGTCACACATGGGGAATGTTGGGATCTACGTAAATTGTTATCCACACACCTTGAACAATGGCCTGGCCACTGGAGACTGAGCGCAGAAATATTACTGGATTGAAACTGGAGGGACATAGTTAATGTGTTCCACACAGTTATTATCTGCTGTATTGATCCGATGTCACCTTGCTAGGCCAATTGCGAACCGCATTGCTACAACTCTCTAAGTTGTGTGGGGAAAAACTGGCCCTTAACTATGTATCCATCTCCATAGAGTCCATACTTAATCGTTTCAATAATCATCGAAGATCTATCGACTCAACCAACAGTGGAGTACTTTAATGGTTTGAAGTGCACCACGTAAATTAGGGCTCTACTTCTCGAAATGGCCATTCGACATACTATATTGAAGTGATCTGAATGTTGGCTCTCTGGTAAGTTATGGAGCGCCGAAGGAGAGACGCCCTGGTTAACAGTATTGTCTTTGTTATTCTCGATTTTGTCGCCATCGAGACGGATTTGAAACGACTAATCTTTTTTCGCTTCGGTCATCCAGTTGGAAATAGGTCTCACAGCTGGGATTCACCTGAACTAATCACCAAGCAAATGAGGATCCACGGATATTGCTTTTTGAACAAAAAGAAGTATCGTCACTTCGTCAAAGATTATGCACAGGGCATATGTATACAGATAGATAATCTGCAACCCCAATAGTAGTGTCTTTTCAGTCAGTGATACTTATGGATTACCTTCCGCTATTGAAACGGTGCCAATGTTGAATAGGTGGTACCCGACAGATGAGATCATCCATGGGATATAATGGATACCCTTGTTGATAACTGCTGTTTTTGGGACCTCCACTTCATTACGTATAGACTCTAGACAATTTATATAAATATTTTATGGGATTATTTGGAGTTAATCGCAAGTGACTTCCCACTCAACTTTTCAGGAAACGTCTTTAATCAGCGTTTCTCTATTCAGTGCGTTACGATTGCGCCACCCGAGTTTAATAATGATAGAGGATAGAAAGATTGCACACCGCTCTGTAGTACGCTTGAAGATCACCTACCTTTTTTTGATAATATGCGATTCCAACACACTATACGTGACCTAGGTTCGTAAATAACACACCTGCATGCTACTTCTACGATATATTATATTTTTTGAACGGGAAAGTACGTCGGAGTGCTCCCCAAATTTCGTAACATCTGTGTGTTGTACTTGCGCATTTCTCTCTGTAAACTTTAGATATCCAGGAAACAGTATTAAAAGCATCGCCTCAATGTTTATATGTTACGAATGTGACTGGTTTATATTTCAAACAAGTTACGAATGAAAAAAAAAATGATAATAGTTTATCGGAGATTATCAGGAGGAAGTGAGTCAAGGATGTCTAAAGTGTCTACATGGATGCCAAGTGGCTCTGATTAATTGAGGATTTTATAGGTTTGTCAAGATCTTTGATCAAGGCATTATGTCAAAAACTGCAGACGAATTTCCCTGTTATTTACTACATAATTTGAGACGTCTCGTGAATGGATTTTTTGAATTAAGATCCCTACCACTTCGCAGAGATCTCATCGACAATGAAAAAGTCAAAGTAATACTCATGGATTTACATATTAATGATTATATGAAACGAATATCTCCGTGCAATGGGCTCAATTGGAAGGTGAGAATTACGGCTCGACATGCATATTTCATATGAGTTTAAACGACTCTACAGCTATATGTGAACTAGGGCTTGGGGGACGAACAACATAACGACTGGCTCGTGGGGATTTGGCCTTTCCACAGACCAGTCGGCATATTTCAATGATGTTCAAGTTATTGGACAGAATGGGGATATCCTGTATACGAATTCGCTCACCTCACTAGATATACTTCGAGAATATCTTTCTGGTTCTAATGCTGAGGTAGTATGCTTAGATGGAGCAAGAGGGATCGGGAGATATGGATGGGAGATTACGCGCGCACTGCTAGGGAGCTCGCCGCTAGTACGGGTCGATATGATTTCATTCGAAGTATGAGCAATTTTACATTCAAATACCAATTCACTTCGGGGCCTGCAGCAGGAACAGTCTCAATACAAGATTATATGGGATCCACACAGCAGTATCAGTCAGTCTATTATCCGTCCTAATATGGCGAAACAGACTATCAGCTATTCTTTCTCCTAATTATCAGTGACTATTTTACTTTAACGAATGGCATTGCCTTCCTATCTAATTATTACAGTGGGATAAAACAGCTAGTGGAGGCTATTGTTTCAACCTATCTTGATGTTGCCACCGGCCTACTCGCCAACTCGTTTGCCTCCTGGTTCACAGCCCTATTTGCCACTAGTTTGAAGCAGCTTATTACACTTTCAAAAGTGCTGGAGGATACTATGATAGCAACTCATTATACGGGTTTGTATGAAAGTTTGAGTACTGCATAAATAGCTAGTCGTGGAATCTAAGCCTCGGTGCCTATTCAACAGCACTTGGTGCTGTTGAAGAGGCATCAGTTCTTGCAACTGCTTTTACTATTCGGGCAGGAATTGACAATAGCAGTCAAGTAATGGCCAGTATAAATACTCGTCAACGGTCAGTAACAGTCCCATAACGCAGCTGTCACCTGACGTGCAGGGGTCTCTTCTCGAATCGCTCTTCCTCTCCAACAAACAATTAAATGCGACTGCAGATGCCGTCACACATGTCTTAAAACATCAGTTAGACGTCTATTGGCCAAAAATGCTGATATAGAACAACTATTATACAGGCGCTAGCTGGGAGTACGTTTATGCAGATGGTAGTCCTGGCATAGGAATGTTCACTAGCTTGTGTCATCTGTGGGGGGAAGCCCCTACTTACGTCCTCGCGGAACTACATTCTTGGTATTAGAAGAGAATTGGGTTTTATCACCGGGGATTATGAATGGTTGTTTGACCTGGCGTTGGAAATTTCTCGGGGTTTAGGTTTGAGCTGGTCTAAAGGAAGGGTTCCGCTGATCAAATAGTTGCTGGATTGAAGCGGGGTGGACGGTTTCAGATGTGAATATAACTTGGAATCTGGAAACCGTGGGCGCAAAGAGATTCAATGTGGATGTCAAGATCCCTAGTCATCTTTAATATAGTACTTATGTTGCATAATACGGAGTGTTTCTATTAACATTGATTCCTTGAGAATGGCAGTGCATATTGTCCATGTTGGGGGCCTGGTAGTCGAATAGCAGGCCACCTAGTGCGTCCGAAGAGCTGTCTGCTAGACTAGGCCCCTAACCACAGCTATATACAAAGATGCATATGTTTAAACCTTACAGACCTCACTATATCTAATTTACTTAAGACTAGCCATCCAGAGGAATACAGATCGAGATTAAATCAGTTACTATGTATAATAAGAGATTCGGATGGTGTAAAATAAAATTCTTAATATCTAACATCCCTATTTTATTTTATGCCTAGCAATACGTGGTTATTGCTAAGATTTTTCGAAGGCTTTTTTCTTAGTGGTCACTTTCTAATGTTGACGTGGATGGTATGCGGAAAGTACGATTAAATGATATTTCAACTAGACTTACTACAGTATAATGTGAAGATAGCACATTTCTATATTTAGCTTGTGAGAGTCTTGGCATAGTGGTGGATAAAGAATGCTGCTAAAAAAACGGAGTATAAATATGAATGCAACAACAACAACAGCTATTGTCCATGCTGTACTACAATTCTTATAGACTTGCTAGACATGCGAGGAACAGAATCAAAAGTTGGTCTTATCTCCCGAAGGGCAGTATCGGAAGCGGGGGTTTTCCGATTTACTAGTGACATTTTGCGGTTGACAAACAAAAACTAATTGATTGGTACTCGTGGTTCTGATCAAATGAGGAAACATCTTCCAAAGAGGTGGCATATCAGTTGATATCATGTATAAGCGGTTGTTCTGGATATTTGCAAGGAGTATCTATGTCTCCTTGGCCCAACCCCCGGAGTAATCCATTCGACCAAAACTTCACTCACCAAATCAGCCGAGGCTACTAAGGAATAAAGGCCGCCATAATGCGCCATCCTATTCGATCATTTCGCGATGTTAGCCGGACGCCCCGCAGCGTTGCCTACCCCTCCAAGTAACCATGTATATATATTTTAGAGAAGACAATATAGAACTATAGAACAGCTCATAACTAAAATTCAGTTGCATATTACAACACTTCCCACGGTAACTACTAGAACTATAGACGAAAAATGTGCGATTTCAGCAAATATGGCATTCCCAGCGAGGAATGGGTGCGTCTAGCTGCAACCCTACCACCTCCACCCACAGATCTGACCATCGAGCAATTAAAAGAGGTTACCAATGGCGCTCGAGAGACCGCCGCGGAAGCTGGGATGAAAGAGCTCTCGTCAAAGGTTTTACTACAAGATTACTCGATTCCGACACGCGATGGCCAGCAATTGGAAGCTCGGGTTTATCGGCCATCGGCGCGTCCTAGGAACGAAACATTACCCATCTACCTACACCTCCATGGAGGCGGTTTTCTTTTCGGTACGATCAAGACGGAGGATGTAACCTGCTCCAAGCTCGCCATTAATGCGGAGACCGTAGTTCTCAACGTTAATTACCGACATACTCCAGAGCACCCATATCCGACCGCGTGGAACGACACTGAAGATGCTTTGGTTTGGCTATGCAAGAATTCTTCGCTGTTTCACGGCAACCTCGACAAATTAGTAATAGGTGGAGTTTCTGCAGGTGGAATGTTGAGTACTTCAGTTGTGCAGTCAGCATTGCGATCAGAATTGGAGCTTTCACCCAAACCTAGGATTTTAGGCCAAGTCTTGATGATTCCAGTTCTAGTCTACGAGGCCTTCTGGGAATCTCAAATAAAACAAATAAAAGAGCCCAGTCTCTCATCCTACCAGCAAAATGCAGAGGCCCCTCTTCTTAGCGTGAAGACTATCAATTTCTTCAATAAACTCCTAAAGGTTGAGAATCCGGATCCTAATGACAGAAGATTCAGTCCGGGACTGTTGACCGCTGAAGAAGCGAAATATCTGCCACCTACGACATTTGGTCTAGCAGGATATGATCCTTTGCGAGATGATGGATTTCTGTATGCAAAGCTACTGACAGAAAACGGGTAAGAACACTTGCACGGTCAGCTATATCCATACTAACACCACACCTACATGTAACAGGGTACCTACAAACATCAACGTCTTCAAGGGCGTTCCCCATGGGTTTAGACGTTTTGACAACTCGTTATCTGCGAGCAAAGATTATGACCGGATCATGGAAGAGGGTATTAAATGGGCCTTGACAAATCCAGCTGCGACGGGACAATTTGTAGTCAATGAATATTGAGTTCATCCTTCTATAATTTACCTGTCAATTTCTAATTGCAATGTATATCGGCCGATGGACAAGATGTACTCCTCATATTATCTAGCCTGAATTGATAGATTGATGATTGATTCTAATTTAGATTTATGTCCCAGAGAAACATGTGAGCTAATGTAAATCGACACTTAGTTCCAGTATCAATTAAGGTGAGCCATCTTGGAGACTCTATATGCACACCCTTTCAAATAATACCTCCTTGATCAACAATAAATATTACCGAAAATATTCCTATTTCCAGAATCTGTAAAGAGGAGCGAAAAGTCTGGTGTGGGCTAGTAAATCGTCCGGAATGTTAATACCTTGATGAGATTCTTTTGAATCGCAGTCAGTACATGTCGTGAATCAATCAAATATTCAATGTTGGCCACCTAGAATTTGCGACCAGTGGGTGAATCATAAACCTCGGTTTCGGCTAAGAACATTCAACCGGCCGACCTGGCAAACTCAACTCAAACTTTACAGCGATCATTATATCAACCACGAAGGTATTAGTCTATTTCCAGAAAAGAGAATACCTGGCTGTTATTGCATGATCGATTCGCGAATGGTATTCAAGAAATCGAGCTACCTCCACCCCATGTCATCGACCAATGTTTCTATTCCCCCTCCCGTTCATTAGCGGGGAAAGTTGCCATCGTCACAGGCGCTGGGTGCGCCGGTGATGGTATAGGCAACGGACGGGCAATTTCCATTCTTCTCGCTAGTGATGGGTGTAACGTTGTCTGCGTTGATCAGAATCTTGAATGGGCGCAAAAAACCGCTAGCCTGATCAAGTCCGAGCATGGGCGTGGTGATGTTATTGTTGTTCAGGCAGATGTTACATCAGCATTAGATTGCCAATCTGTTGTCGATACCACGGTTGATAAGTTCGGTCACTTAGATATCCTGGTCAATAACGTCGGAGTCGGCGGCGCACCAGGTACAGCAGTGGAGGTTGACATGGAACAGTGGGCGAAAGGACTTGAAATTAACGTCTCAAGTATGGTTCTAATGACGAAATACGCTGTACCAGAAATGCAGAAGAATGAATGCGAGATAAAAGGCTCTATTGTCAATATGGGAAGTGTTGCGGGGCTCAAAGGTGGTACGCCGCATTTGCTATATCCTACGAGTAAAGGCGCAATTGTCAATATGACCCGTGCAATGGCAGCTCATCATGCTGAGGATGGAATCCGCATTAACTGTGTTTGTCCTGGAGTAAGAATCTACATTTTACTTCAACGGAATTAATTCTAATCAATGATCAACTAAACAAATAGATGCTCTACACGCCTATGATGTATGCCGGGGGGATGACAGAGGAGGCTAGGGAAGCAAGAAAACAGCGAAGCTTACTTGGGACTGAAGGTACTGGATGGGATGCAGCTTGTGCCGTTGTATTTCTGGCAGGGCCACATGCAAGGTGGATCACCGGAGCCATTCTGCCTGTCGATGCTGGGGTTACTGCTGCAGTGGGCATAGGTCTACCAAAAAGCGCTAGTGTCAATGGTGCTTCAAAAACTGAAAAGTCTTGAAGGACAGCTGGGCTAGATAATGAGCCGTAAAAGAAAAAGAAAAGATATTAGTAAATCGCAATATCAACAGGATCTTTCAATTTGAATGGAAAACACTGTAGGAGTCGATCGTCTATAGCTTCCGTGAACTTGAAAGTCGCAAGAAGTGAATAGGGCAGTATTGTGACAACTGAAAACTTTTCTTTTCCAAAGAAGCATCATCAGTTGGGAGCATCTGTTACGGGAGTTATAAAGTGTATGCTTATTCGTTTTTGCTGAGTATAAGTATATGCATATGCGGTGAGGCCCAATTAACTTTCTAATTAGCCAAGTTAAGGAGGGTCATGGTGAACATTGAGATGTATGAAAGCCTATGTGGGCCACCGCCTCTGAGGAATCCCGATTCAAAGGTGCTCCCACATGAAATATAAATTCACCAGTCATGTCGCCGTTGCTGAAATTGGGAACAGTTGTGTCCAATGTGACGGAAACAGTCAACCTGTAGGTCCCTGGAACCGTGATGACCAAATTCAAATCTCTGCCGCTGGCATGCCTTAAGTTTATATGGGGATGAGAAGATGCAGGTTCACCAATAAAATATTCAGCCCACGTTTCTTCGTACCCATCTTCATCTAAAAGATCGAGAACTGCGGTGAAGAGATACACATGGTCTTCTGGTGGGGGAGGCACGTGATGAACTTGCCAGGGCCCAGAGACAGAATTATGATCTGTAGGCGCAAAAAACATAACGCTAACTTGTAATATCTGACGAAGCCGCGGATTTGTCACTCTTACTAGAAGTTGGGCTGGGATGGGGGGAGGTCTTCGACGTCTAGGGGCGACTTCAGGAGGCATTTGACCGTTTGGCTCTGAGTCGCGATGCCACTAATAACCAGCGTTTCCTAAATGAGATTGAGCACGTCAAAATCTGAACAGCGGCGGCGTATATGGAGCTCAACTTGCGCTAAGTTTGTCACAAATATTCCCCAATTCGTTGATGTTTGGAGTTGCAGGGATAAGTTTTGCTAGAATGTCGATATATGAACAGACAACCTTATAACACCTGAACACACCCGAACATCAAAAGAAGGGAACAACGAAAGAAAATTGAACAATTGCCGGGAAAATGCCATTGTGAGAATCAAAAGACAAACATTGTCATAAATGGGCTTACCCCATCGGCGTCCATATCCAGGACCGCGCTCAATCTCGGTCACTCTTTTGGCCTCGTAGTGGAAAAGAAAAGCGTTTCATAGTACTACCAGATGATTATCCAGATTTCTATCTATTTACAAGTTTGAAGACGGTTTGATATTTGTAGACTCGAGTATCTAATCATTTTCTATTCAAGAAATTGTGCTGGAAATTATCGACGCTAAAGAACCAAAAGAAATCTACACTCAATTATCATCATTCAACCGTTTCATTGTCTGAAAAAGGTTAATAAAAGATCAAGACGTTCTTATATTGATCAATAAGCATAAGAAATTTCTTATTTTTTTCTCGGGTAGATATGCCGTTTGAGAAAAGTCACTTATCTCTAGCCTTAAGGAAGAGTCCTTGGTTACATATGTACATATTGCGAACAATTTCATTGGTCTGGTATATGTGAAAGTTCAACACTATTTGGGGAAACTTTACAAGTTAATTTTTTCTCTTGTCTTCTCATTTCAATAAAAAACAACAAATCGGAGTGTAGTGGCTCTCACGGAGAGCAGCCGCACCCGCGTCTAATTATTGGTTGCATGTTTTGAGACCTAACTTTAGAAATAACTCTTACTAATTACATTATTTTATCCCAAACATGCAATCTCCCGCATAAGTGGGAAATTTGTATCGAGTATAAAGTATAGATCGAGCAAGCTGCATCCGGTATGCGGATTACGCAATGGAGGCCGAGTGGGAGGCATGCGAATTACTTATTAAGCATTTCATATATGATAAACTGACTACATCATCCCTGGAAGGATGTGGAAACCGGGTCTGCCCTAAAACTATAAATCCTTGCGAGAGGACCAGTCTGCGGTATGTATTCCAGCCTTTGGAGTCATCATCAAGCGTCCACTAAATACGAAAAGCATAACATTGACAGGCCGCGATGAAACAAGTCGTTGTCTCCCCTACCAAACCTTTGGTATCTACTGAGATTGTCGATGTAGAAATCCCATCACCAGGGGATGACCAAATCCTTATTCAAGTCATAATCGCGAGCAGTAATCCTAAGGGTAAGAGTCTAACAAATTGATAAGGACCAGAAAGGCTAACCTTATCAGACTTCAAACATCTTTATGTGCGGGGAATTTCAGTCAACAGCGGCGACGATGTCGCGGGCTACGTGCATGCTATGGGGAACCATGTAGCATTGACAAACGAATTTAAAATCGGTGACCGTGTTGCTGCATTCCACCCCATGCTGACTCCAGGAGGGGCATATGCTGAGTACGCGTTGGTACCGGCAGCCACGACATTCCTTATACCGAAAGGCGTCAGCTTTGAGAGTGCAGCCACCATTCCATTGACATCAATGGCAGCCGCTTTGCCGTTGTTTCGCCGCCAGGAACTGCCTGCACCTTGGATGAAGCGAAGTTCTAACGAACCACCATTACCATTGATCATCTACGGTGCCTCATCTGCACTAGGGACGTTTGCTGTGAAGCTGGCCCGACATGCAAACATACACCCGATAATTGCAATTGCTGGAAGCTCTGCTAGCTATGTGACGAAATTTCTAGACGAATCCAAAGGGGATACTGTTATTGACTATCGACAAGGTCCCGATAAGTTGAAGGCGGCTATCAAAGCAGCCCTAAAGGGACTAAATGTGTATCACGCGCTAGATTGTTTCAGTGAAAATAAGTCATGGGTCCCTCTATCACAGGTTATGTCTCCAGGAGGAACCGTGTCCGTTTTTCAGGGAATAGAGAAGTATGACGAACTGGACATTCCTTCCAACGTGCGTATCAGCTTTAGTTTGGTTGGCACCGCTCACACAGGAGCATTTCTACCGAATTCGCCAAGACAGCCTGCAGACCCAGAAACGGTACGTGGGGACACTGAATTTGCGTACGTGTTTTACAGGTATGTCTCCAGAATGCTATCAACTGGAGAGTTTGAGGGACATCCTTACGAGATTATCCCTGGGGGATTAAATGGTGTAAGGACTGGATTGCAAAAGTTGCAAAGAGGAGAAGCAAAAGGAGTCAAATATGTGTACCAAGTAGGAGAGTAGCAATGCTTGACGAATGCGCTAAATTAGCTTTTGTTGAGTTGGAGTCGCTAGCCTTTCCGTAAACTTTACATTTGTTAGATAAATTTACGGTTGAGATCTTGTTTTAAAATCCACTGCTTGTGGTGGTCAAAAAGTGTTAAATTGATAAAAGTGTCAACTTGATCGGCCAATTTTCACAAATGCAGACTTTGATCCACCTTTGGGGATCGGCGCTGATTGAAACTCAAATCCTACTTATGTACAAGAAGAAAATACAATACCGTTCCGTTAACGAAAGTCAAAATAAGAAGTATAATATACCAAACGGTACTGCTTGTTTGGTCTTTTCAACGAGTGATTTCAGAATACTCCAAAGTAAATGTGAAGCGTGGTCACTGATCCTATTGACAAGAGGACCACCATACGCTTTCCTCAACGCACTTATAAGGAGATGCGCAAACTGTAGATCCCGTGTATCCTTCACCACCACACTTTGTTCTGTCAGATAATTCGTTCGTACTAACAATAAGGGAATAGCTTACCTGACCCCACTGAGCTACTGGTGTCCCTGTCGCTGTCGAAGTCGCTGATGAGGTTGTCGTCGCCGTCTTTGTAGCTGTTGTTGTTGAAGTCGCAGTCGTAATCGTAGTCGTAGATGTACCTGGGCCAGAACCTGAACATGGCGAGCCACTGTTCAAAATACTCTTGGCCTCCTGGGCGTATGTACATCCATTATTGACATTGGCATCGGAGAATCCAGCACTCCACATCATAATACCACCCCAGTGGGCGTTGGTGTCATACTCACCAACCAATGTTGCTAATGCACTGGGTTCGAAGTAGTACGCCTCCCCACTTGTAGTACCAGTCGCCCCTGTTGTAGATGCCGGCACTCCAATAAATATTTTGGCATTTGCCGAGGGCCCTCCCGAAATCAGATTTACCCAAGCGTTGTAATTGATTGGGTTGGGGTTGGAACAACTAGGATTGTTATAAAACTGGACCCAGAGGTAGTCGAAGGTGGCATTGGTGATTATTTCTTCCATATTGGGCTCCGGAATGACACATTGAGGAGCACCTGTAATATAATAGGTGTGGCTAGGGTCCGACGCAAAGTTGGAACGCAGAGTTGATATCATATACTGGTAGTACTGGTTGCCGCTATTGGCCTCAATATCGAAGTCCCAACCGTCGACAAAGGTAGTTCCGAATGGACGAGGCACACTGCCATTGGCTACATTGCCGTAGGCCGCCCAGAGGTTTTGACCAAGGGTCTGAGCTTCGGTCTCTGACTGGAGCGAGTACGCACCATCAGCACCGCCAAGGGAAAGGATAATTTTGATGCCCTTTGATTTACAAGTCTCGATGGCAGAAGCAAGGGCATCACAGTTTTGCGGCTCGCCTGCTGGCGAGATATAGCATGATTGGCCGATTGTGCCTGAGGCAATCTCATTCCCATTACCGTACTCGTACAGAAACGCTAGAATGAGGATGTCGATTCCAGAGCTAGATGTACAGTAAGCGGATAAATCGTTGTTTTCGATGGTCCCGCCACCATTCTGACCCCAATAGACAGCAACCTCTCCACCTGGGGCTCGTGAATGGAGCGTATGAGGTGCAGCTAAGACAGCCGATGCCGTGATTCCAAGATTAACGAGAAGGGTTGAAAGATGCATGATGTTTACTTCAACGTTATGCGATTGGTATAGAATATTTACATTTAAAGGTAAGGTTGTATGGGTCAAGGGAGTGGATCGATCTGTCAAAGACCTAGCAAATGGGTTTAAGGAGAGTGAAGCTTGGCAAGAGCAAGTTGAAAATTCAGAAGGATCTTCGGGGTACTTATGGTAGGCCCCGCAGAGGAATATGATACTAGAAACGATCAGAAGACTACATTCCACGACGTGTTACCGTGAACTCCATTCCGTACGGAGTGTTACATTCCACGGCAGCCACATTGCGAAGGTGTCATGATTTGAGAAGCATCAAATGACGGAATTTCAAATTTCGGTCAGGATATCACTGATAACAGCCACGCGGTTGATATGAGAACGCCATTGAGGCTGCATTGTCACCAATACCTTGATTCATCAACTCTGTGTCTGCATGAACTAAGGATGAAAACATTTAACTAGCCGATGGTAAAGTATGATTGCGGACAATAAGACCCAAACCGCTGGGCATATTGTGGCTTAAACCAATAATCAAGGCGCAATGCCTAGTCAGGAAAGTGACACTCTCGCCTACAGTGGAAGTTTTTTCTAGCTTGATTTTATAGATGCCCCTTATTTTTCTTAATTTATTCTGCTAATTTTGTGGACGCAACTAACAAAGCTGCGGATTCAACATGAGAACAGTAAACTGTAAGCTAATGAATATAAAGAAAGAGAAGGATCATCAAGGACCGTCCAATAGCATGAAAATATCTACATTTTATCTGTAGTTGATAACAAGACAGAGCGAATGACATGTCTGCATGACTCTCGACGCACTGATTAAACTCATTCAAACTGCCTGAATACGACCCACCTGAGCAAGGCTAATCAGTGATTAGGCCTTAAGTATATCTAGTGCAGGACAGTCGGTGATTACAAGGTAGCAGTGGAGCGTGATACTTCGAAAAAAAGCTTAACCCAACCCGCACGCCATGGCGTCTGCCGGCAACAGTGAGAGGGGGATTCAGCAGGTGGCGCTGCGCGGCCGCGCAATCAGTGCGTATTTCCTACCTTTTCGACTATTCGTGTATTGCCTGTGCCTGACCAGGCCACGCGAACCAATTTCCCGCTGCTCCAATTATCTCATGATCCCGCGATATTCACCCGGCACATGATACGATGCATCTGCCAATCAGGTGTGGTGTTCTACATCGATGTGATTTGATGTAATGGTCCACTCAAGTTATAGTTTAATAGGGCTAACTGCAAGAATGCCACGATTGTGAATCCATCGATTGATTTTATTCAAATATGGTGTGCGGTATGGCGGGTTGTTTGGTTTATTCTACGGCATTAATTCAAAACCCGGTGTATCATCTATCGGGTGGTGGGATGGAGGATGATAACATCACATTGCCTTCATCGATTCCTCTCGTATTCAACCAGCCAGAACGGCCTTATTATATCTCACTACACGGTTTCTAGGTATATTTGTTCAATGTACATCCGAGCCATATCAATACCGGAATTGAGATTTTATGTTTATACCTTGTCCTGACAGATCGATATAAGTAGTTGTCACCCGAGAGGTCCGATCTCCACGATCAGTATGATAAATAGATACGCGAATCGGATTCTGTAAAATTCCCAATTAGAGGGAATAGTAATATGAAGAAGCTGAGGATTTATCAGGTCCAGTATCAACATAGAAAAATCATTGTCGCTGATCACACGTGACCTCTTCAAAGTCCAAATGGTTTTACGGGTGTGTTAAAAACAATTGACGTCCCAGTAATCATCTTAGAACCAAATAGGTTCACTGGGTTTCTCTATCCTCCCAAATTTCAAACATAGGGATCATGTCTCCAGTGACATAACATAACTCACGACTTTTCGGGTCGCCCGTCTTAGTCCCATCCATCCCATCCGGGTCCCGGTGAAAGGTGAAGGGAAGTTTGTCAAGATAAATGTATTCGAGATTCTCGAAAACCGTAGCGTACCTTTCGGCGTGCTTCACCATATGCTGGCGATGCCTCGGCAGGTATACTGCTGTCGTGACAAACGGCAGTTTCTAGTGATTTAAGATACCCCATCCAACGAATGCATTCTATTGTAGTAGAGTCATTGAACTCCATCACAAGAGTAGACAGGCGTTTGCTTCCCAGAAGACTCCGCAAAGCGAGTCTGCTTAGCTTCTCGGACTGCCTCGATTTGGAGAAATTGCAGAAGGTGAAACTCTGTGGAAAATGAAATTGATAACTCCTCAGCATCATGTAACGACGGGCTAAATCGAACCTTGAGACCTCGGAGAGTGGAAGCGCAAGCCTTGAAGAAAGTGCTCCAAAAGGACAACACGTTTCGATTTTGTTCCTTGTGGAAATCGCCTATATGATAAACTCTAATGTCCAAGCCTCTGGTGGCCAAGAAGAGGTATGGCGTGTTTGAAATGCGAAATCAAACGAACTACGGAAGTTGAGGTGTTTTATTGAGGAAGATTCCAAGCTATCCAGAAATAGTAGTCATCATGTCCGTACTTATCCCAACGAAACTCATCAAGGTGCGGCAGTGTGGGAGCATCATAATTGAGGAAAGGTCACATAGAGAATATCGTCTCGCCGACATAGTCTCTATATGATTCTCCGCGAGCGCGATGACCGAGTTTAATTCCATATCAAAGCCATGCCCATCTTCGTGTGCCTGAAATAAACCCCTGAGTTTATCGCCATCACCATCGTAATCGTTTACTTTTATGCAATGAATGCACACACCCAATGACGGTCGACGTGTTAGGTGATTGGCTGATCAAAGCCGCTCATTCGCTTCGCGGAGGATAGAGGAGGCCTGCCGACTGTTAAGTCGAAAACAACGCTGTGAAACTGGCAAGATCGTGCTAACCGACGACAATCTGAATTGATTTTCGCCAGGACAACCAATACCGCCTTGTCTCCCTCCATATAACCGAGGATAGCTGAGAGTATTTCCACCGGAAGGTTGAGAAGGCGGCTGTGTCGTGACGATGGCTGGCCTTCCATTACAAGGTCAAACGTAAGCGGTGACGGGGTGGCCGCTGGCCCGATAGGACTTAGATTAAGCATGGGTACCGCGGCAAACTGGTCCAACTCAAAGGATCGGGCTGCATGCTCTAGGGCGGTTTGGATTCATCAATTCAACAAATCGCACACACTCTTTGCTCCAGTCGTTCTCGCCGCCTGAAACGAACACGATTAGCTCAAGGGGGTTGACGTGGCTAATGACTTGACTTACAAGTTACCCATGCTTCTCCAGCGGTCGGACAGTGGGAAGCAATGTGACAGGCTCATCCCAACAGCGCATCCAAGAGCGCCGTTCTGCGCTGAAGGGAGCACAATCAGAAGGAAGAGAAAGAGATGGGCGTCCTGGCAGCTTGGCGGTCAGCGCTCTGCCGGCAGAACCGTCACCGCCTGCGGCCTGTTCTTGCCTACATTTCAAATGTTGGATCAATTGATATTTACATTTCTAAATTCTTCGACTTGGGTGGTTGCCGCAGAGTATTATTCACTGCCACCACACTGTGTCCTAAAACTGGATGGGCAATAATGGCTCTCAGCAATGGCCTACTGTCCATAGACAGCATTCTCTTCTACGTGATGGATGGATTGGTGCCTGTGGCCATGCCCGGCTACATTTGCACACTAAAGAGCCTTTGACAATAAACTCTCCTTTAACACTCTCGAGCAGGCATTTATGGTTCTTACTCTCCAAGACCATTACTCGCTCAACGCACGCCGTACTCTTTAACTGACTTCAAAACTACACCTTTACTCTCAACGTTCGATGATGAGCTTGCTCTAGCTGTGCTTGATTTGGCGAGATAATTCCGGGCTGACTAGACGCCTCATGCCACGATCACTGCATGGAAAATAATGGAAAGCCAGATTTGGCCAGACGAGATTCACACAACGTCCTTCGCGGACCATTCGCACAGACCTCATAGCAGTGGCGTAGCTGGTAGGCAATTTGCTTGATGTGTTTGCGTGCCTGGGCCTTGTTTACCGAATTATCTGGAATATCGGCCTCCGCACGCAAAATCATGTCTTCGTCGGATAGCGCTTCAGAGGATTCTAGATGCTCTAATTAGTACATAGCTCACAGAAAGCGACTTTGTAGTTCTCTACCAATGATCAGCGACAGCAGATCTAGGTCTGGTAACCTGTAATCATGGGTTGGATAGTAGACACTGAGCGGTTTGGACATGGCTGCTGATTTTTTGTCAATGGCGATGCTCTATCTCTCTCGTGCCAACGATGGGAAGAAACAAGACTGCTGAGGATCATACAGATCTATAAAAATAAGAAGGTTCTTTGTCTTATGCTAGCGTCGTGAGTATTGTACTACATGAAATCCACGCTTGCTAGAAATCTTGCAGCCTCTAAGTTGTTCATTCTGTATTAATATATGTAGCTCTTTGTTTGACCGCCGATCTGGAGTTGGACTAGATTGGCTGGTCTACGTTGGTAGAACTTACAGATCCATCAGCAATTGGAAATTAAATACTTTTACATCTTTGCAATCATAACCTGACACCTATCGAAAATATAAACATAATCCATGAAATCCAGTATACTAATCATGAAAAATTCTCAGTTTGTAACTGAATTGGAAACTGTTATGTTGGTTTCAACCAGCATGTACCCTGTTTCACAGCATAACTTCCCAGCTGTAACAAGTTCGTTGCCCAGTCAATTATTATCCAGACAACTGTGCAGGGTTGGTTATATAATGACCAAATTCATTACTTGGATTCATTTAATACATGTATTCGGTTTTTACGACCGTACTAAGCCTCTTGCTATCGCAGTCATGGGTGCGAGCGCTTAGTACCTTTATAGGGATCTGACCTCTGTAAGCCATCTTCGCCTTCCCCATTTGGTGCCTAAATATATATCTTTCCCTCACAAGTCGTCTCTCTGGGCAGGGCGATTGGGGGGCTTCATGGACGCCATTGAGGCCTCGTCCTCCCTCCTGCTTTCCAAATGTACAAGCGTCGTTTGCCAGTAACAGACCCGCCAAAAGCTATTAATCAATTACTTGAATTCGACCATAGATTATTATAACAGGGAAGCCATTTATTATATTTTTTAAACTTAGAATAAATACTTAATCTTTATTACTAATCATCCACTCCGTATGAGCTTCCTTCTTTACGCCCACGTCTCCTCTTCATTTACCACCCAAAATATAAAATGCGAGTACCCCAGACGCAAAAACCCCGGCCAGGTTATTGGCAGAAATTCGGTATAAATCATATGTCAGAGAAATAATGAATCTAATCAAACACCTAGGTCAATCAGAAAATACATATCGCAATGTTCTCTACTTTTGATATATTTGATTGAATGGAGTCTCTATTTAGAAATGCTAAAACTGTTGTAGCCAACTCCTATGCCTTTGACTGATAAGCTATTACATTTTGCTTCAAACTGATATGCAATACATGAATCATGAATCAAAAATTGTTGCATTTGGATGACGACTAGTCGATCTCTACTTGTTGTAGTTAGCTTATATTTTGGATCAAATGACTGAAATGAAGCGACAACGCTTGCTGTTCGGGGGTTATTTTACATTTTTTTTCAAGGTGACATATCTATGGAGCTACCGATTGAGACTTAATTTATGCGACATTTGAGGATCGCCATAGGATATAAAAAATGGCCTTTGCACGGAGGCTGGCCATCCTTCCTGGTGGCTTAGGTACAAAGCGGGGCATCTTTGTTGCGGAGAAAATGAGCTGCTAATTAGTTAATTCTGATAGGAGGTCTTGGATCTATCACAGGCAAGAAGTTGATGCAAAACGGCGCCCAGCTTGCCATTCTTTATGCCCCATTTGAAGCTGCGCGTCGCAACGAGCTACTTGAGACTCGATATGGAGTGTCCGATCAGAGCAAGATTCGCATGTATGAATGCGACATCACGTCACCGGACTCCGTACAATCGGTTTTCAATTCAATTGAGAAAGTTTCTAAAATTGAACAATCTAATACCTCAGAGCCAGCGTTCCCGAGCATCCTAATCAACACTGCGGGATACGTATCGCTGAGCGATATGGAGCTAACACCGCCGGCAGAGACCATGAAACATCTGACGACCAACGTTCTGGGACCAATGCTCTGCTCTCAAGCCTTTGCACGTCTCTACTTCTCGGCCGTGACAACTGCTGATCTATCCACTCCGCCACCACCAGGACGAATTATCAGTATAGCGTCACAGGCGGCGCATGCCGCTCTGCATCGGCATGGAGCATACTGTGCATCCAAGGCCGCACTTCTCGGGCTCACCCGAAGCATGGCTTCCGAGTGGGCGGACCGTGGTATTACATCAAATACTGTGTCGCCGACAGTGGCATGGACAGATCTCGGCAAGAAGGCATGGGGAGAACAGTCAGTCAGAGAGGCATTTCTGAAAACTATACCAACGGGCAGGTTCGCGCAGCCAGAAGAAGTGGCCGATGGCGTTCTATTTCTTGCACAGGTATGTGACCCTTTAGCATTACTTGTTGAATGGACACATTCTAATGTGTTGCTGTGTCCAGGATTCGAGTGGAATGATAAATGGTGCAGACCTTAGGATTGATGGTGGATTCACCATTAGGTAATTCCATTATTTAACACTAGCCTGGCCCTGTTGTATATGCTATACATACACGATCTAACCTATAACAACATATTCTTTCCTAGCACTGTAACTAACACCATCCTACTATGTATAATAACTTACGCTTTACCGCCCTTTCTCCAGTCAACCACAGTACTATATGGTGACCGAGTGCTGGCACTGATACGTGTACCTTGGGCAGTAGCAAGCTTCTGGGTATCCATATTGAAGCAATCAGTCTTCTTCCCATTGTTGCAAAATGAGTAGAGTGTCTTGGTGCCCATATCACAGAAGAGTTGTTCGTCAATGTGAGCAAAGTCTGGGCCCATAGATGTTTCCGATTCACATAGTCTCTTCGCCGAATGGGACGCTGAATCACTAACCACGAGGCGGGACGCTGCCCAAGAAACACGTTTCGGAGTGCTTGGGGTCTCGCGTTTGGTTGGATTCGTGTAGTAAGTAATGGAACTAGGGTCCTTCTCCGTGCGTAGACCGAAATCGATACCGTTGCAGAATTTTCCCGGATCTTTGCTGCTCTCGTTGAACTTTACGCCAGCGTAAGAGGGCCATCGTACTTGAAATCCAGTGTTGGGCTGATCGCCGTTGGCATCGATCCAGAAGCAATCTGGTTGATACTGGGAGTTGTCATAAGGGAACATTCCACTATGGTACCATGTACCACCGCACTCACGGCCGAAGTCACCGGACACAGCGTACTTGTTTCCCCCGCGTTCCGCGCTCCATGTTGTTGATGCCCAGGCAATACATATGGCATCGTCGTTTGCCGACATGAGGGAGTACACGCCTTGATTTTCGTGCGAGACATAGACTTGTCCGATATCCCCGTCACCTACGGAGCCGGGGTCATCTGTCATGCCGACAAACTTTCCATAAAGATTCCATATGCGACTATGAATTAAGAATTAGTATTTCAGTCTCGAAATAGAAGAACGCAGTGAGGTATTAGAAGAGTCCGACTATGGGAAAGATGGGGTGACACGGCAATACTCACACATCAGGTAGGTCACCACCGGCATTCGTAAGACCACTTTGGCTATCAAGACCTATAGCAAACTTGATAGTCGACCCTGGTGGAGGTTGACTTTCAAAGTTGTTGATTCCGAATTGGACAATACCAAGAAGTCCGTTGATAATACCAATAGCCTGTACAAACCCAGCCATTTTGGTTTCGGAATACCCCACCCGGGTTAAATAAAGGAATGACGACGGAACGCGAAAGAAGGAAACTCTGCTATTCTGGTAGATCTCTCGGGTCTGCAGCAAACATATGCTGGTTTAATACTTCTCCTCCATCCCTCGAGGTCGACCTTGGTCAATGGGGCACTGACCTTTTTTTCGTTTGCCAATCCAATTACATACCTTAGTCTACTTGGGGCCCTGTGTGGAACATGATCCTCTGACCTTTGGTTGCAGTCTGAATAACAAGCATATGCTTCCTGTCGAAGCTAGGAAACAAACTTCCTTTTTCGGGGCTAATAAGTGGCTCCTTCATATCTGATGGCAAATGAATGATTCTAGCGTTCTTTTCAGAAACAATACTACGTATCTATGATCTTCGCCCCTAGAGCCAGATCGGCGCTTCGGCGAGTTGAGAGCGGCAGAGGCGCGGTCACCACGTTTCAGTGGCTCGCTGACTTAAAAAAGAGAACGAATCGATGTAGAGTGTTGCGACCAATAGACGATGTAGCTTGCGAGACCGTCCGCCAACACGCGATAGATGGTCGCTCAAATACATCAAATATTCAAACTAGAAGTTTTGACTCAGTAGAGTTGCAACAAACTATTGACCAGCCAATGTTCGTTCATGCGCCAAGGTCGCCATCAATTCATACCTTCACAAATTGCAAGGATTAGCTCATTTTCCAATCCAAGTGCACATAAGAAGCGACCAATATCATTCGAAGAGGCAAAAGAGTTTGACTATCTCTCTGATACTTCTTATACTTATCAGACCCCAGCATCCTAATCCTAGTATGGCTTCCTTTGTATTAGATAAAATCAATAACCGCCATTTCCAGCACACCTCACAAAGGGAAATGGCGGTTTATTGGCTTCAGGTGTCAAAAATATCATGCAAAATCTTTTCTTGAATCGAAACTCCTATTATACATTCGATCGATTAGTGACGAGGGGCAGCCAACTAGTGCTGCAACGTATTATGCAATTCACAGCACGGGCTCCTGGGGTCTTCCAGAAGGTAATTGCCAACACGAGTGTATCTAGATAATTTAAGAAAACCCAAAAAATTTGATACCTTAATCTACGTAGAGGTTGTAATCAGCCGGACTTCCAAGGTAGATTAAGAAGAACCGTAAGTCTACGTTGTGCAGGGTCATTGAAAGGTTTACGATTGAATGGATCGTGTTATGATTGCCAAGTAATTAACTATCCACCAACCGACGGCTACTCAATAGTCGAAAACTCAAAGCAAAGGAATGGGGCCAAGGGGCCGGCTCAGGAGCCTGAAACTGTCACCGTGTCATGATTTGCGATGGCGATATGCCAAGAGCCAAGCCTAGTTCAAATCCCGATTAGGAAAGCCGCCGTTAGATATACCCGTTAAGAAGTATTGCAACCCCAAACATTTACTAACTGTGGTCGATGTGCACAAGGAACAAGTGTTGTTGATCGTTGTGCGAAAATCAATTGTCTAATCATAAATAATCTGGTATTGGAGGTTAGGGCTATATAAATAAGGTATCAGCTAATTTTTGCTTCGATATTTCATCGCCCCGCAGCAATGACATGTACAAATGATTTACAGCGTATCGATATCAATGACATATTAGAAGCACAGTGTTAAGAATGATATCTATGTACTGTATTATATGATTTAGAGCTATATTGATCTACTACTAAGCCACAGTACCAACCCTTCGGTCATGCTAATATTTGTACATGCCTATATCTCTCGGTGTTAGCAGTCAACTATAAGTAGATTCTGTACCACTGGTTATATTCACTAACTTATTAATCATTAGCTAGTTATACAGCAAATAAATTTTAATCAAACAAGATTTTATAATTATCCAAATCAAAAAACCAACCTTGGAAAAATTAATTAAACTTAATAGAATTAATCAAAATTACTCTCAATCCAATAGAAATATATAACTTTATCTATACAGAGTACTGAATCCTTCAAGCAGTGCCTTTCTTATGCAGAGCCTTACCCAGGTTCCAACAAACGTCTAGGGCTGAATATCGAAGCTACTAGATGTAGCGCTTTATATTAGACACAACGAATGGCACAGGTTCAATGATGTCAACATCCAATGAGATCCACACAATCGAGTTTGGTCAACGATATAATTACCTTTCGCTTAGATTAGGTTAGATCTGTGAATGAAGGTGGTGGGTAACCTAAATCGATTACTCTCGAGGTACTCGGCATTATATAAGCTTCTGAAAACGGATACGTCACCATCGCCCTTGCGTCGCGGTTTTAGATCCGGCCCCACTTCGTATAACCGCAGAGGAATGTTAATCTCTAAATTCGATGCTGTTTGCGGATCTCGCTGTTCAACTCTTGTCTTCGTGACATCAGTTACCCGAACCGGTGGTATCTATGGAGCTTAAAATCGGAGGAGCGGGGAATGCCAGTTATTATCGCAGATGCAGGACGCTCAAGCTGTGTACTGTTCTTGAACTTACTACATCTGCTTTGAGCCATTATTCGTAGTTATGAACAAATAAATAGGACGTCAAGCAGCTTCTTAGTTGTAGCACTCTCTCCCCGCACCCCTCCCCGTTTTAAAAATTTCAAGAAATACTCCATTAGGTTATATAAAGATGCCCTGGAAACAACCTATTATCGGCAATCGCACAGTAGCAATTCTAGGTGCCGGTGTGCTCGGTACGGATCCTACCTCCTTTGAAAATACGTCCATTCCACTCATAATTTATATAGGCCGTCGAATTGCCTGTGTGTGGGCTGCAGGAGGATACAATGTCGCGATTCGGGACCCGAGTGCGGATCAACGGACCTCGGCCATTAATTTCATCGACAATAATATCGCCAGCTTTTACAAAACCTTTGGAAACACCAATATCAAACTAGGCCAATATAATACATACGAGGACCTGGCATCAGCTGTTAAAGATGCTTGGTTTGTCATCGAGGCGGTTCCCGAGAAACTCGACCTCAAGATTAGCACATTTGCTGAGTTGGCTGCAAAAGCCCCCAAGGATTGCATCATGGGTTCCAATTCCTCCTCGTTCAAGTCGCGGCTTATGGTGGGAAAATTGAATGATGAGGAAAAGAAGCGCGTTCTAAACGTGCACTACACCATGCCCCCTGTACGAGTCACCGAGTTTATGACCAGTACATTTACCGATCCTGCCATTTTCCCATTCCTCGAGGAGAAACACCGGGAAGTGGGTTTGCTTCCTGCTACGGCACGCAGGGAATCGACTGGGTAGGTCTCTTTTCTCGTCTAATAGATAGCTAGGTAGGATTAAGTCCGATACTGACCATGTTACAGTTTCATTATTAACCGTCTGTGGGCGGCCATGAAGCGAGAAACATTGATGATTCTGGCAGAGGGAGTCACTGACCCGAAGGAAATTGACGAACTATTTGTGCATATCCTCTATCTCACAGAACCAAGAACCAAAACAGAATGCTAACTGGAAATGGTATATATAGGTTGAGCTGTTTGGAGCCAAAACTGGCCCCTGCGCTGCGATGGATGGAGTAGGTCTTGACACCGTTGCTTTGATTGAAGAGAATTATATCAAGGAGCGAGGACTGCCTAGCTATCCCGTTGATTGGCTGCGAAAGAACTACGTCAGCCAAGGGAAAATCGGAGCCAAGAGTGGAAAGGGTGGTCTTTATCCTGCGGGCTACACCACGAAGAAGGACGTTGTCAGCCAATATGACAACTTGGCAGCCCCGACCTTGTACGTACTAGATATTGGGGTTGGAGAGAATGTGACGAGCAACTTCTTCTCATCTGGAAAGATTTACGCTGCGTCTGCCAATGGCAACAATGTTCGGAAGCTGGTGGACAACCTTCCCTTCCCGGATGGCATCGGTATCAGCTTGTCTCAGGGCCGTATGTTCTGGAGCAACATGGGTAGCCCAGCTGTAAACGATGGAACTATCGAGTCTGCAAAACTTGATGGCTCAGACCGCAAGGTTATTGTCCCAGCGGGTGTTGCGCATACCCCAAAACAACTGACCATCGACCATGTCAATGAGAAGATCTACTTTGCTGACCGGGAGGGTATGCGCGTGCATCGCTTGAACTTTGATGGCAGTGGGCACGAAATTCTAGTTCAGACCGGGGACTTCAATAACCCTGTCGAGAAGAGTGATCAGGCCAGGCATGTATGTCTTCGCCCCAGCACCTTTTTACAAAATGCGGATTGCGTTAACTTGACTTAGTGCGTCGGAATTACCGTCGACCCCAAGCACGGCAAGTTTTACTGGACGCAAAAGGGTGCCAGCAAAGCAGGCCAGGGAAGAATCTTCCGTGCCAATATCAATACCTTGGCTGGAGCAACTGCAGTCACTCGATCTGATATCGAACTGCTCCTTGAGAACCTGCCTGAACCCATAGATCTGGAAATAGACCCGGATACGGAAATTCTCTACTGGACAGATCGCGGTGAGTACCCTGTTGGGAATTCGGTCAACCGCACCTATGTCGGCAGCGGCCGCGACAGCGAGGTGTCTGCCGCTCCTAAGTTCGATATTTTGACTCGGCACCTACATGAGGTATGTCCTATTATCATAACTTTGAACACGGTCTACTCTATGGATAATTAACGTGCCGTAGGCTATCGGTATCTCCTTGGATAATGTGAACAAGCACATCTACTTTGTTGATATGGGCGGGTCAGTTTACCGCTCCGATCTTGATGGTCATAACAAGACCGTCATCTTTAGCGGTAAAAATGCTTTCACTGGTCTAGCTTTAACTCATAATTAACACCTCATATAAGTGAATATGACCAACATTGCTATTGCTGTACTAATCAATACTCGAATACTCTTTTCGCGAAGCCCAAGTATTTTCCAAGTCAATTTTGAAGCGATTCACTTGCGTAGATCTTTGTTTGTCCCATCTGTTTTCCAAATCAGCTAGAACCAACTTCTTATCTTCAGGAGAACTAATTAGAAAGCCAAGAGTATAAACTGGCCAGTTTCCAATAAAACACCGGGACCATCCAGTATCGAATCGATGACTTTGAAGAATCTCAACTGCCGTGTTGATTTGCCAACAGTCGCTCGACTCCATTGGAGTAGGTCCGATAGTTGTCTCCATTCTTGAAAGTTGCTCCAACAGCACTGAGATAATGATGATGTATAAATATGATGCGTCCCTGTAATATGTTTCCTCACTGATGAATTTGTCATAGTTGTCATTGATCCGAGTTCGATAGTTATAAAACAATGTTGCTTGCCAAGCCTTGACCTCGGGCTGCAGCTGATCAATGATAGCTGACTTTCTGGGCAATGAATCTAGATATTGCTGGCGGAGTAATATCCCAAGCCTAAAGAATGAAACGGGGACCCCGAGAACAGGACTATTCAAGCTGGTTGACCCTTCCGGAAAACATGTTGACTGGGTCAGTAGTTTCTCGGCTTTCATCCAGAAGCGTGGGTCAAAGTGGAAATCTAATCGAGTAGGCTCTGACCATAATCCGGTCATAACAAGAAAGGTTTGATAGAGAACACTTTCGATAGCTAGCCTGTCAAATAGTCCATTGATATTTATGGAGCGGCGGAACAGTCTCATTGCAAGAATGCGTGCTGCAGCGTTGACATGACAAGGTATATCTGCAATTGTATCACAGCCGATGCACTGAACCTCGATGATCACTGTGTTAACGGCTAGAAATCAAGAAGGAATAACGGTATGTACTGATACACGGACATGAACAGGGAAACGTACACCATGTAAATAGAGTAACATTACGGACATCAGGAGGCCGTTGTGATTTTCCAGACGGCTGGTCTTTGCTAACAGATGTGAGACCTCTTTGAGCGAGGTTGAATAACAGGTAAGCGCGAGGTGATGCATTTGCGAGGAGCCGTCAATAAAGTGGAGATGAGATGCAGCACAGGCCAGGACTGAATAAAAAAGACTCTTGTGATGCACCATCAAATCCTGTATCTCGTTAAGCCATCCATCGTAAAATCCAGGGTGGCAGTTTGGAAGAAGAATCAAGCTGTAGTAATGCTCGACGAAATGGCGAATGATTATCTGCTTCAAGTTGCAGGCCATGGTTTCGCGCATCAACTCAGATTCTGAATTCATAAGAATTTCAAATCTAGTCAATTTGATGACTGGGACTTTCTCTGTGGTGGCTTGCTTTTCACCTGCGGCGCTAATAGAAAACTCGGAGCGTCTATGTGGAACCTTTATTATTGAACCTGTCGCAGTTCTGTGCCGTGACCGATCATGAGTCGCGAAGCGGGTGTCGAGTAACCCTGCTGCTGTTGGCCACAGACATTGACGACCAGAAATAGCACATCGTTCGCAGAGAGGATATCTCTCGTTGCACTTTTTCCGCCGTCTTCGACCTATCCGGCAAGTGTTAGAATGAAAACAGATAAAAACCCGCACGGTGTAGTTGGCAATACATGTAAGGCAACCAGTCTTGGTCCGCAATTTGGCTCGCGAAGGACTGCTCATTATCACAATCAGGTAGTTCTGTTGACCGATGAATGGATTGAGACCTTAAAGTTATCACAGAGGATTGCAAAGATCATTTAACAACAAGAAGCTAACAAGGGGAGAGACTGATAGCCGTCAACCTCCGTGGGCCTATCAAAGTTCGCAGATTCGGGCATTGTAGATAACAGACATTAACCGTCGGATAGACTTTGCGTCAAGCCGAGCCAATTGAATTACCATAATTTCGCACGGCGCTAGGCCGCTCAGGGAATACACAAGGTAAATAGTCGGCTCGAATGCTTTAATTTATAGGGACGTCGGGCTAATGGAAAGTTAGACTTCAACGCAATGAGTCAATTGAGACAAAGAAACTATTGGTTAGGTGGACAGCTAGACAAGGCGGGGATATCGCTAAGGTGCGGGGATAACTAGCTCAGGCCTGATAAAGACGGGCAGATGTACCTAGGCTACATGTTGTTAGATTAGTAATAGGTTGAGAACTCACCTTAATAATGGCTAGGGAACTCCCTGTGTCGATTTTCAGCCTAGGAGCAAATTCAATTGACGCTCCCGGAACTTGTTTGATGCTCAGGAAATGCTGTGTAAACTGTGATATCTGAGTGAAACCATCTTAGCTTTTGTCATAACCCCATGGGATTTACACCCCTGATACCCAACCTTATGGAGTTCTGAAAGCACTTTTGTGCCATTGATTATATGTTCTAATCGCTGTATTGTCTTCTATACTGGCCTAGAGATAACTATCGAAGATGGAAATGCATTCAAAATTAATTATTCACGCTCTACATCGCACTGCTAATTGGTCATTAACATTTTACTCAACGGCCAACTTGCACTTTTCACTGTTGACAATACCCCAGTACTTGCTGGCACTCTGAACTCTGAACCCCTTTCCGAATTTGATCATGACAAAGAATACTGATGACGCTGCCATACCGATAAACGCCGCTGAGACGAAACAATTTTGGTATCCCAGATTTGTTAGCCATGGTGTGATCCTATGAGTTTTTCTCTTGGATTAGCTTCCGTGTTCTTCTGCAAAGTTTAATTCACATAAACGTCATACAACTCACCCGTAGCTGATGGCAAATGACATGGTATTCCGTACAAGGATGACAGTAACCAGAGCGTCACTACTAATATCATGGTAACTGTCAACTAAGTAGTTGACGCTCAGTGTGATTCCCATTGTATTTGTAAAAGCGAGGACCGCCATGCCAACAATTAGTCCGAACCAGTGGACACCATGTTGAGCCCCAACACCCCAAAGAATCAGGGAGAATGGCACCAGGATAACGCAGATAGCGAAAGGCCACAAGCGAAATTCGGACTCCATAATACCATTATTCCGACGCGCAAGCTTGATTGTGAGCCAATCACTCAGCCGACCAGAAACAAACGAAGCTACAGTAACGCCGACGCAGCATGATAAATAGCTAAGTCCAACCATAGACGAGCCGAAGTTATAGGGCGCGCCGGAAAGAATAATGGAGGATGTAGCATTGAGAACATTGAACCAAATAAGATAGGAACCGTAGGAGAATCCAGCGTAGAAGATAACTGGCCATCCAAGAAACCTCAAGCTTTGGAGTGCATGGTGGAGCATATTTTGACCAGGGTTTGGATGCCAAATAGACATCTTCTGAATGGCCGATTTGGATGGCGCGTAGACCTCGCCGATCTCAGTCATTCCATGCGTCGGCATGGTAACTGGGGCTTTCTCTTCTTGAGGCGGTTCTGTATTTGGCGAGCCAGTCTCCGCGGAACTTACAGTTGTTTTGCGATTGTAATTGGTCTCTTCCATAAACAAGGCCAGGAATATAAATACCGCTCCCAGGAAAATACATGGCCAGTAGAAAACCCATTGCCATCCCTGATACTCGGCGATGAATCCGCAGATGACGGGAGCAAAGTAGTTGCTGCCTGCCAAGGTAAAGGCATAGATGCCCATGTAAGTACCACGTTCGTGGGTAAAGTACTGCAATTCCATAAGCAATATTCTCAACAATACGTGAGATTAATAGACACAAAAGGAAAAGCTTACCAAGTCAGTTACGGAAAGCTCCGGGAGTGCCTCGATCGGAGCAGTGAAGAAACCTTGCAGGATACATTTCGCAATCCATTCGCCGTTGCTTTTGACATATGCACTTAGTTAGGTCAGTATAAATAATATTCTAAAAAGTCTCGTAATAGGTTCCTACCCCCAGATACATGTCCCCTATAAGGTTTAAATTAGCTTTTAAAGGACAGGTTTGGAGAATCCTGATATTTACTAACAATGCTTCCAGCGGTCGAAACAAGAAATGCCAATCGTTTCCCATATCTCAGAGAAAACGGCTGCCAGAAAAGCAAACCCCAGCCGAGAAATAGAAACATGTACCCGGTTCCTTGGTTAAGTGTGGTGACGGAGACTCCGGTCGCCTTAGAAAGGGGGACAAGAACCGAGTAAACAGTCGACACGGAGATACCAACAAACCAGGTGTACCTATATTGAGATATCCGGCATCAGTCTTCGGATTCCAATGTACACATTTTTGGCACAGTCGACTCACAGATTCTGACAGATCAGCGACAGCAGCTTCCGACCAGGGGACCAATTGAGAGGATCGTTGGGGTCATTAGATGGCGCTGGATCCAGAACAATGTCACCACTGCCACCAGCATGGCGAGCGCGCATGGTATGGTCTAGATCCACGAGGTGAACTGTCCCCGGGATGTTATTACTAGGTGACATGTCCTCTGAACTTGTAGACATAGCCACAGTATGAATGAAGAGTACTATTTAAAAGGCAATAATAGGTGAAAGTGCCAATGCCAGTCAATATGGTAAAAACAACCAAGTATCGGGATGCTGTCCGGTCTTTTTATACTGGCGACTGACCGTAAATATTAATAGCCTTCAATACCGATCAATGTTGTTTATCTCTAGTAAGCACGACATCTGCAGAGATAAGACCCCTTCCACGGACGAGAAGGATGTACGCTGTGAACGACCCGAATATCTTAAAACTTAGTAACAATAATGTCTAGACCCGACTTGATCGACTTGAAGCTTCTCCGAGTAGATATAAAGGCAAAGTCTCTAACAATTGCTCAGATTTTGGTGAATGATTGGATCGTTGAGGATGCCTGCATGTGACTTGCACTGATAAGGAGCGATTATCACGGCCCTTGTGCGCATTTACACGTGATTGGCTGTGCGCTGAAGATACCGGGCCGGGACTGCATTCCTGCGTTAGTTGTAACCCAATCAGTTCCCCGCCTTGGATGATCTTGGACTGTTGCTTACTGACTTGTCTGCGTGCTGGATGGCCATATGGGGCGCATCTAACTTGCCAAGTTGGCTGGTGCTGCGGATGCCCAGCGAGGTCAAGGAGCCGTACTGAGACCAAGACTCCATGACCACACCCAATCGTGGATAATTACGCATTCCGTGTATCTCAGGGTTGAAATTAACATTATTATTACAATGGCTTTTTGATTAGTTGACTACACCGTTTTCGTGCCCCGAAAGTATAATTAACCACCAGCAGCTAAGTCCGACATTACATATATTTGAATATCAACTATTAGGCTTATCCGGCTAGCTGGTTATTCATACATTTCCCCCACTTAGTCCTCTACGTTCTCGTCCTAACCAGGCCATAATTATCGTGACTGGATTCTCTATCCTATATGAGCCGATATCGCTTATAAAGCTGCAAATGTGCTATATATAAGATTTTAGACATTATCTCTTACCTGCTTCTCATCTCGTCTCGTCGCGCACTATACGAAGTTTAGCTACACATCGTTCCAAATATCAAGAAGTTGTCAATATGTCCGTGAGATCCTTACCCACAATTCAATCAGGGTCCTTGCCGCTGGGTACGACGGAATTTGAAGCGAAACGATCTACTCTGCTCTCGGTATTCGACGAAAAAGTTCCTCGTGAATATCGTCTCCCTCGAGAGATTCTTGAGAACCCTCCTACAGACGTCTCTAGTATACCCGCATCTTGTGGGATCTTGACCCCAGAGGAGATCGATATAACCGAATCGAATGATGCAGTCAGTTTGGCTGAAGCAATTTCTAGTCGTAAATATACAGCGGTTATGGTAGTGATGGCCTACTCCAAGCGGGCCATCATTGCCCACCAGCTCACTTGTTGTTTGACCCAGTGGTTCATGGAGGACGCACTGGAGCAGGCAAAGAAGCTAGACGCATACCTCGCCGAAAATGGGAAGACTGTCGGCCCTCTACATGGCATCCCAATTAGTATTAAAGATCATATTCCCGTGGCCGGGACGTTCTCTTCATTAGGATGCTACAGTACAATTGTCAAGGATGAAACTGACAGTCAGATGGTGGAGATTCTTCGCAATGCAGGTGCTGTGTTTTACTGCAAAACGAATCAGCCGCAGAGTCTTATGCACCTAGAAAGCGACTCTCTCTGGGGCCGGGTTCTGAACCCTTTCAATATTCACCTTTCAGCCGGAGGCTCGACAGGTGGTGAAGCAGCATTAATTGCCTTGAAGGGTTCAGTCATTGGGGTAGGTACTGATATTGGAGGAAGTATTCGTGGTCCGTCTGCATTTTGTGGTATTTACGGATTCAAACCAACGTCATACACGCTACCCATGAGATCATTTTTAGCCTCTCCAGCAGCAGCAGAACTGAATATTTTATGCTCGACTGGTCCAATGTGCCGCAGTGCAAGAGACATGGATTTGTTTATGACTACGATACTTGCAGCGAAACCATATCTACTTGATCCTAGTCTGATCCCCATTCCTTGGACCGGGATGAGAACGCCACTTCAGAACCGCTTAAAAATTGGAATTATCAGCAATGATGGGTTCATTCAGCCTCAACCGCCCGTCATGAGAGCTATCTCATGGGCAAAGAACCTTCTCTCCGATGACTCACATGCAAGTTTGATCGAGGTCAAGGAGTTTAAACCTTTTGGCGCAGCTGAGGCATGGTCCAAGATCCTCCACATGTACTGGCCCGACGGAGGACAGGTAAGTAGAGGTGCTATTCTTTCATCGGGGGAGGCAATCCACCCTCTTAGTGAATGGGTTTGGAAAGAACAACAGGCCATCGGCATGAAAACTGCGCAAGATCTTAATGTAATGCGCAGAGATCGGGACAATTTCAGACATGAATTTGCGAAGAGTTGGGAGGAACAAGATGTTGATGTGGTAATTGGTCCGGCTTTTGTTGGGCCTGCTTGTGCCCATGACACGGGCTTTTACTGGACCTACACATCCTTGTACAATTTTGTTGACTATCCTGGCATCGTCTTTCCAACTCCCATTCGGACAAAACCGGGAGAGCAGTATGACCCTGGTTATGCTCCGCTGAGTGATGCCTGTCAGCATGTCAAGGAATTGTGGGAGACATCAAACTTTGAAGGTTCTCCTATTGACTTGCAACTGGTTGCGAGAAAATATCATGACAATCAACTATTTGCTGCCCTATCTTTGTTAAGGAATATTTTCAACTCTCCTTAATTTCTGCTTTACTGAAAAGACTGTTCCCAGCTTATTTGGTACCATTTGAATTCAAATACCAAGCCGTCTCACTCTATCAAAAACTACTGGACATATTCGAGATCAGCCTTGCAAGTGGTCACAGAAAATTCTAAAAAGAATCGACTTTAAATTTAAAAGGGTTTAAAGCACCAGTAAAAATCCTTTAAATATCATCCTTTTGCTTTCTCTCCTTCCCCCCCTCCTTTTTCTCTTTGGAAAAGCTAGATCGGCTTGACCCCGTGCGCTGCATCTCGGAAACCAGAAAAGTAACCGTCGTTTGCGAATTCGTCATCGTAATGCATTGAGTAGCACCACTAGGTTCATTATGTCATCTCATTGTAGGTATCCATGACCGAGATCTTAGTAGGCTTAATCCGACAAACGTGTTCCAACATATATTCCATGTCAGAAAGGCCCAAGGAAACCAAACGTTGAAGAACGAATGGATTAAATAGAAAACTGATGTCTTTTATTCCCTGAATGTGAGAGTATGTGGTCCATCAAAAAAGGGCTGCCCCGCGCATCTTATACTCGGGAATCGGGCTCCGACCGGCACGGTACCACAATGCCTGACTCCTTTTGTGACCGTCCTGATTCTTGTCTGGGGTCAAACCAAAAGCTGCATCTTTCTCGCCATCCTCTTCAACCCACTGGCACTGGCTAAAGGAGGTAGACAGGGCATCGTAGCTGAAATCTCCACGGCCATGATAATGCTTCCCGAGCAATGGAATAATAGCCTTGCTAGCTATAGGGCTATAGTAATGCGGGATACGAGAAAATAGATGGTGAGTGACATGGTCAGTGGAAATATGGTGGAAGAAGTGAGTACCAATGATACCAAAGTCTCTGTCGATAGTGGCAGTGGCACCGCGTAGGAAGGTCCATGATTCGTCGGAGTATTTGGGTACTGAAGGGTGAGTATGATGGAGATATGTGATCATCACTGCGGACATTAGAGATGTACAAACTAGGAACACATCATGAAAGCGATTCTTACCTATCCAGTGGTTCACCCATGTCCATGGGACAATGTAAACCCAAAACAAAGTTTCAAAGGACCCAAATGCTTGATACATGAAGTACAGAATGGTCATTGTGCCTAGACAGCCGAGGTCGGACATGATAATCGAAGGCCACTCTGATGGAAAGAAAAGCGCGCCCCAAGGATCAAAATGGCTGTGTCGCCAAACCGACATGTCTTTCTTCACCACGGCAGTGGGGGGACAGGTTATATTAGTCAACATATACCAGTTCCAACCAATGGCTTGTTGAAGTAGGATGCGGATAAAAAGCACTATTGGGGCGTCTTGACCTATCTCTTCTAAGGTCTCAGCTGCGGCGTTAATCTTCTCGGCGTATTGGTGCCGCAACGGTGGGACGTAGTTGAGATCTTTTGTGATGTGGTTGGCATATATGTGGTGTCTTCGATGAGTGGACTTCCACGAGAAGTAGGGAGAAAAGAACCAGGAATGTAAAATGAAGCCAACTGTGTCGTTCAGTGCACTCCAGCGCGAAAAGCCACTGTGGCCACAGTCATGAGCAATCACCCACAGGCCTGTCCAGACGAGGCCCTGACAGACGCCATAGACATTGACAACGCTATAATATAACCAGTTAGATTGTAGCACTGCAGGTGTGTGTAGCAGCTTGTATAGGGCGCACGTAAGAACAGCTGAGTAGAAGAGGTCGCGAAAAAGATAGTAGAATGACAAGAAAAGGTTCGGCTCAAAGCAGTACTCTGGCACCGCGCGGCGCAGATCATCAACCGTCACCACTTTCTCACTGAGACTCTATCAATAACTGTTAGCCACAACTGTTTTCTAGAGAAAGGGTCATTTCACGTGCCCCTTCTTCAACTAGTTTCGTGGGATGTGGTTCTTCGACTGTATGGAAACCTGTTCGTCCTTCCTCCATAATTGACATCTATTCGGAGCGGTAATGATCCAAACCACCGAGACACGGAGCACACAGCTATTGATTCTATGAAAAATCTTCGGACACTGTTATAGGTCTTTAGCAATAGGTCTTCCGACGAGTAATAGCGATAGTGGAATGCTAGCCGACTCTAATGTCTAACTGGATATTCAATAAAAATTGAAAATTCAAAGTGATTTCAGCGATAATCAGTAATGGAAATGACACTCTTAGCAGGCCAAAAAGTTGATATGGTTGAAGATAAGAATTTAGCCTGAGTATGGAGGACGAGGGTTGAGTTTTATAACTTTACTTGTCATTGCCCAGGTAATAATGATCCGTTGTTAATTGGTTACCTCGAATCCAAACTAAAAATAAAAAACCCTAATCTATTCCACACCGTGTATTGTTATAGTCTCTCTCTCTCTCTCTCTCTTTTTTTTAATTGAGCAAATAGTATTCTCGGTTCCCCTTGCTTGTTAAGCTCCACAGATGGGGGATGGAGAGGCCAATCAAACAACTTTCTACACCATTATCCAGTTGAAGGTGGCTAACCCGACGCTAGAGAGACCATCTTGTTAAACATGGCTATCTACAACGAAGAGAAGAGGGGGACTTTTCCTTGATTCTAGATACACATGTGGTCTCCCAACATGTCTCCATTTATTTTATGTGTTGGCGTTTGTGCACCCAGCAGGCCAGTGGAGGAACCCTAGATGGTGGAGATCTTAGAATCAATGGCGAGCAGAACCACGAGTGTTCTGCATTATCGCTGATCATGATCGTGCGTGCATGACTGGACGCATGTGGATGCCCATCATGTAGCCCCGTGGCACGACGTGTCTGTTGATATGACCGCACCGGCGGCTGCAGAGTCCCGAAACATTGCCTTAGTCTTTCTGCAGGATGTCATTCCTTACGTCTCTCAATGTCTTCCGGTAATCTGACTGGTCTAATTGCTGAGTTGTGTTACCGCTGAGTCATACAATACATCTATGACTAAGATGCCCCGTCCAGTCACTTTGAATAAGAAGTTACTGTAGGTTCTGGAGCATAGTTGATGACAATGGCTAGTTCTTACCCTGGTGACATCTCTATCTACAAAAGTCTGAGCAAAAACGCGAGAAAAACCGGCCGATTGTTACTGCACCTCAGAGATAAGTTGACGGTAAGCTACACGAGAAGAAATAAAATATTAACGCTGTTACACACTGTATTCGGAAAAGAGTTTGATTTGATGATAGCAGCCCACCAATTTTGATCACATGATACTGATTGCCCTTGCATCTCACATTGTGTACCACAAGCCGAAGAATCAGACTGAATGCAGAGCCTATACTCATCATGGTTCATATTTCAAACCGTGGATAAAGCAATTTCATAAGTGGAGGGCCATATGGACATTGAAGAGCACGCTATTCACTATACCAAGCTGTCAAAAATGGGTGTTGGTACGCTTAACGATATCGCTGCGTCTCGGACGTCCCAGTTTTTGTTTTTGTTTTTGTTTTTGTTTTTGTTTTTTTTTTTTTTTTTGTTGAACTTATCAAATGTATCCTTGTCTGTTTCAGTGATTACTTTTCAGGATCAATATGTAGCTGATAAGTTGAAGCGAAAATTTGCAGTCTCAATGGCCTGAATGCACTCGACCCGTTGCTATGCTGTATCCACATACTAGTAAATACGTGCATCATAACTCCAATGCAACTCTGTACTTTGATATGGATGACTAGTTAAGAGTCATTTGAATTACAAAGGAATTTGGATATGCGTATGGACGCCGCAATTCAAAACATTCGTGTATATGCATTCCAGATATAACCATACGGCAGCGTCCTTTTGTCGCTATTCATAGTTAGGTGACTTGCCCACAAGGCAGCAAAAATGCGTCGTGTTCATGATGCTGCCTAATTTCAGGATTACGCCATTGATTCTTGCCTTCTTTGTTGCCAGTATCTCCCGACCGCCCGACCGCCCTCACTACGCCGCCAATAAAGGGATTCATCATAAACTTAAGTACTAGCAGTAGTAGTTGCTCTCCCCGAGCCCCCTTGCGTCATTCCACGTACTATAGTGATCCCAGTAACTATCCTCTGTATCTATTGTTCATAAATAATCTAACTAATTAGCTCCTGCGCAACATGCATAATATGTATCTACTCTAGCCACCGCTACTTCATTTCAAAGGTTGGTCCAACATTGTGATAGCGTCGTCTCCATGATCTGACAATCCAGAAAGGTAGACGCAGAGTATGCTTTACATTCAATACTTTCTCCTTGCTTTTATTTACACTTTCCTATTGAAATCGTTTACACGATCTGCATTCCAAGTCCTTCGCCAAGTTGAGTGATGAGACGTCGCTCAATTGATATCAAAGTGTTCCAGATATAGAGAAAGAACGCTTGTGACACAAGTAAAGTACTGATAATTTAGCAACCATGAAAATATAGGTCACTATACTGGTCTTGCATATCTATCATAATATCGAAGTCATGGTCATGTAGAGTGCCCAGGGAATCTAGTTTCTCTTTTTTTGCTGAGATTTTATTCAATGCTAATATTACTTCATAGCATGCCTTATCCATAATAAACGTAGATAGGCTAAATAGGCATATGTCAAGGTACTGAAATAGTTGACTGCTCAATCATATCCTTCTACAGCTCATATCATAATGCGTTGAAGACATCAAGTGATATATTTCACTACATAACATTGAATCTGTTTTGAATGAGAAAAACAAGTTTCAAAGACCTTCAATGTCAGGGAAAAGTCGGCTCTACTTTTATTTCCCACCATTACCTACATCAGGACATATGTAGGTTGATATCAACACGATATAACATCGAATCATCACTAGTCGTCAAATACGCGAGAAACTGACTCATGACAACAAAATGGAATACTTCATGCTCCTCACTTCTCCTCTTCTTTTATCTCATTCTCAGACCCAACTCCGAAGGATTAGTCAGATGAGAACTAGTCTCACTGCCTGCCTACTTTAGCTTCAGCTAATTCTTTTAGAAGGGCCTAATAGGTTTTAGAAAATTGATTTATTTATTTCTAGAACTAATTTTTATAGTAAACTAATAATTAAAAAACTAATTATTAGAATAATAATTATAAAAGTGATTGTTTACGAGAATGATTACGTGATAAAAATCAATTTTGAAAAATTTCTAATGTATAAAAATTTCAATAGATTGAGAGGTGAAAAAGCAATACGAGTATATCTCTTAGATATATAATTTGTTGGGAGTAGAATTTTGATTTAAGATCATATAGAGAGATCGTTGAGGTCAAAAGTTAAAGTCTCTTCTGCGTTGACTAACTCCTAACAAATTCGTTCCTTATCTCTTAGACGGTTCTGCATCCAGAGGCATGATCTCACTTACTCGGCTTAGCTTAGTAGGTGGTAGAATTTAGTGGCCAACCGTCTGAGAATGAGATAACTATCCTTATGTAGTCTAAAATAGGCAGAAGCTTTTTTGGAAATATAATGTCCGTTATATGTTGAATATTCGCCGAATATTAATACGTGCTACATGCGGGGCTAGGCAGAACAGTTTGAAACACTAGAGAAAAAGGATAAGAAGCAAAAGTTCACAACTTGTAATTGACTTATGCAACGAATTCGCTACCAATTACAACTCAATTCGACATCAGGATGGCCATCATCATTGTTTCAACTGAGGAGTCCGATATTAAAACATTGACTAAACTAAGCGACATCTGCTTCCGATCAGCACACTCCGTGTTATTCGATGGTCCGCTCAGAACGGAAACACTAGACGCATTAGCTGAGCAGTGTTTCGGTCCATATTTTAAAAAAAATGAAAATAACGAAAGCCAGATAACACCACCGAAACGCTGGGTTGCACTTAAAGCCATTGATGACGAGACGGGAGAAATTGTTGGCGAATCACGCTGGGTCATTCACTACGAGAATGAGGCGCTCACCAAAACCGTCGAAGAGCGTGTGGAAGAGCTTCACACACCTCCTTTGCCCCAGACAAGAGTTGAAGTCAACCGTGCTTGGGTAAGGATGGTGGCAGAAGCCAAGCGCCAAGCGCTTAAATTTCAAGAGGCCGGGAGCAGCAGAATAGACATCAGAGAAAGTGATCCCAACAAGATCACCGCATTGCATAAGAGAGTGTATTTGCAAGCATTATTAGTACATCCTGAGCACCAGAGAAAAGGAATTGGCCGGAAGTTGCTTCAATGGGGCCTCGATGAGGCTGACAAGCTAGGCTTAATAACTAGTCTTGAATCAACACCAGAGGGTCGCCGGCTATATGAAAAGGCAGGGTTCGAAGTAGTGAAAGAATTGTCGTTAGATCTAACTCCATATGGACAAACGGGTAAACTGCCTCTTGCTGTGAGATAACCCCTGAAAACTATTTTCTGTCGTTTCTTGACCGCACCTGGAACTACAAGCTGATCAGGGTGTTAAATGCAGATCATGGTCAGGCAGCCTAATCCTAAGAATTGATAACGTTGATATATGAAAATATATGGAAGCTGTGCCCCTTTCAATTTTGTGGATGAGAACTTTTCTAAATACATAAATACAAATTGCATTAAGTTCATTAAACTTAACTATACAATCTTGCCCCTGTTCACGCCTGAAAAGAAGTAGAGCTATAAACCTCAATCTCCGACGGGATTTTCCTGATTGATCGTTGAAAGACTTGCGTTTCAGCAGTTATTGAGTTATTGTGATGCCAGTTGGGGGAACATTTTAAAGGATGCATGGATTTACTAGCGGGTCATTGCTATGTTTGTAGGATTTTGTAGTATTGTTACATTGTCCTTTTATTAATCAGCTAGTTGGACATTTTTCTACAATTCAAGTACTTATCCATCATATAATTTCTGTAAAGATCACGCTAACGAAAGAAAGAAGACGGAATAGCTTATGCCTCAATAAAGCGGGTTTAGAAATTGATATATTTCAATCTATACACGTCAAGGCTCGTTGGTTGATCAAGAGCGCTGCAGAGACTTTGACAAATTTAGATCAATTACAGCGATAAACCCATTGCAGCACAGCCAGCCATATCACCACTACCGCCACATAGGCCTGCTGCACAATTGCCGTAGGATCCTACTCCAACGCTTTTACATGCCGGATTATCTGCATAAAGGCTACTATTTATGGAGGCGTCGCACATATAAGGCGCGTAGAAAGGAATGGAATATGGATGGCCCCATACTCTAAAACGTCCATGATATGCATCTGAGGGTTTCGTTGAGCTCATTTTGCGAGACTTCTGGGCTCTTCTATGTGCCTTCTCCCAAGCAGAGCGCAATTGTGCTTCTCGAATTTTGGCTGCCGCACGCGATCTACCCGAAGCGTCTCGCACACTCACAGCATTGTGTGCCGAGATATGAGATGACTTCTCCATTTCAGTGGGGATAGTTGGGTCGTTCAGCAACTTTTCCGCTTGATTTCTTGCATTTCGAGTGGACGAAGATGTGAGAATAGCAGATAATCCTGAGTATAAGTTGACCTCGCGAACAGCTTCACAGTACCAACAGTTACACTCACTGAAGACTTCTCCGTTAGTGACACTTGCATATGTTTTACAGGTCCATATGAATGCTTCTGAAAGCTTCCCTTCATCCACCTTGTCATCGTGGTCAATGAAAACTTCTATTCCATACTTTCTGGACTGCGCTCTAGAGTATTTGAAGTATCGCGATGACGATAGTTGGTGTGTGTGCCAAGCAAGATCGACATCCAATGTAGGCACGGTTGTTTTCATATGTTTTACCATGATGTCAAAGAAAACGCCATATTTTCGGATGAGTTTATCAACTGTCGCAGAAAGTGTGGGCGAATGTACCCAGTCCAGGTGATCCACTTTTTGGATAAACGTGCCCTGCCGCATGACCGCTCCAACCAAGTCAAGACCAAATATAGAACTGTTCTCCCAGTAATGGGCGATTGTTTTGCGCATAGCGCCCTTTTGTTCTAGACTTAATCTTGTGCCGTTCCCACCATTTGCTTTGGCCATTATACTGTCACTACTAATAGTGTACTCTATAAGACTTCGAATGTCTAGCATATCCTTCACGCTGCCTATCTCTCCCGCTACTATGCGTTTATTGGCAGCTGACCGCTTGAGTTCGTTTTTTTCTACCATTGGAGTTGTAACTTTGAGTATCGTTACTTTTGCTGTTGATAGAACACGGCTTGGGAAGGAAGATTCGATGCTCCCATCGGGGAGTCCCTGGGCATTAAGCAGGCTGCCGGGCATTGGACGGCCGGTACTGACAAGGGCCTGAACATCCTGACGAAAACTTGCAACTCTCATCGTTTGGAGATTATGCTTATAGCTGCACGAGGGGCATGAAGCATCAAAACTGTTGTCTGCGTAGCCGGCACAGTCTTTAAACGCGTCATCGAGTTTTAGGCCAATGTCTCCCGTCGTCCAAGGAACTGTAAAGGATTCCGTACACCTTAAACAGTTCAAATTTTTTTCATATGATTCATCTTGATTTTCCCAAAGACGTCCAGTTAATTTCTGGAATAGAACTCTCGCCTCATCTTCTGGACTGTATTCAATATTTTCCCAGTCAATGGCCTTATCAATTAGTTGCCATGGAAATTCCGTAGACCAAAACCGTATCTTGCCTGCTCGTAGACAATCCTCTAAATATATACGAGGATTGAGTGCATGAGCATGCCATACCATGAGGACATCTGTATGTTCATCCCAACATCGGGTTAGTTATTTTAAACAATAATTAATGACTAGACTTAAAGTGCAGATATCAAGCGGCACAGCTCATACCTAGTGGAGGAAGATATCTGGATTCCCATTGAAACGGTTTCAGCCCTTCGGTGATCGTCGAATACCTTGGTGCTCTCAGATCATTTAGCGTAATATATTCGTCGGATGGGAATGGATTTTTAGACCACCACGTAGCGTAGCGATCAGCGGCTCTTGACGTAAAAACGGCCCATCTTTTTTCTCTAATACGTGCAAGTGAAAGAGATTGTGCTTCTTGATTCGGGACGAATCTCGCAGCCTGAGAATCGTTTATTCCAAACAGGCCGTCAGTGTTAGAAACGGTTGTACGAAGTTCGGCAAACACTGAAAGTAGCTTCAAATGTGCAATACACTGATCTCTACTGACGGAATGTGTGGTCGGCGGACCTGGTTCGCTGAAGTGGAGAGCGGGTGGCTTGCTATAAGGTGGAGGTCCTTCGTATGATTCAATGTTGTGAAAATCATTTTCGGACTTTTCTTTTGATGATGTTTGGGTAGCCATGGTGCTAAGGTACGCAGAATTAAATTAGATAAGCCTCATGGTCCACATGTGCTGGGGTACCGAAAGTATATAAGACATAAGATTCAATACTTTCATATACTGTGACGTTATATTCAGTGTTTTCTATAACCGACACTTGAAAGCACTGCCACCAGGGATTTTTCTTTCTTTACACGTCTTTATTACCTTCAGGGGCTGTAATTGATAGGGTACTACAAGAAATCACCAACGGCTAACAAGTTCCGATGTGATGATTAGTGGGATTTGAGTTATGCGACGTAACATTCGAAATGAAACCCGCACAGCCCCAATGACGATAGGCACTTAGGAGTCTGAGGCGCAGTCTGTTGTGCCTGTCATTTGACGCCGACTATTGCGATCCACGGTCATCTGAACATTTGAATACCTTAACCCAATTCTATGCCTAAATTGGCGATCGAGAACTGCGCGTGCATACATACATGGGCGGAGCCGCTAGATACGAATGGATCGTATCTAACAACAGGGACCGTCATTTTTAATGAAAATGCCCAGCTGAGTGGCGGGTGTGACGCGACTCGCGATTGTCAAGCAACTTGTGTCTTGTTTATTAGTGTATATGATCTTCGAATGGATCAATTACATTTTCTAATCGGGTTTAGGGGTAATTGGAGCAAGTCAGCAAAGGGAAATTATATGGCGACGAGACGTTTTAAACCCTAATCAGGCCAATTTCTCCTGACTCTTTTGGTGTCATACCCAAACACGATTCAACTTTCTGTTTCCCTAGTACTAGGCGTAGGACCAGGGGGGCAGGGGGGGGGGGGGAGCATTGACTTCGAATTGACGCAATGCATTTACGCAGCAGAGGTACATGGAACTAAAAGAGAAATTAATATCCGTAAACAATCTAGCAGGAAGCCATGACATCATCCAATTCGGTCGACTTGTCTATATCAGGATATAATGTATTCACAAGATACAATACTGCCAGTTTGGTTGAGATACCCTAGCTTATTGACATTCCCATAGCGTTAGGACATGTAAGCAGCCTGCAAACACTCAACACTAACACTAGTATTCCGTTTGAACTTGGCTATCTAATATGAGCTCCCATGTCTATACTCCGAGAAGGCTTTGAGACCAACGCGTAAATCCTCATGTGCGCAGGATCGGGAATGTGTTTGATCGGCATAAAGTCGGAAAACCGTATTAATTATAAATAAACGTTAGGTAGTGCAGAAAACTGGGTATTAAAGAGGTACTGCCATGTGATGTTTCAAAGTAAAAAAGGAAAATTTGGGATTACAAGTACCGAGTAGTCCAAATTTGTGGGGTCTGGGGATGAGAGATCCTGCATACAACTGACTACGCGACCGAGATTTCTGACAACAATCCTGCCGCGTTATCATTGTCAATGAAACGACAAACAACAGACTTTGATAAAGAACCAGCAAGAACTAAAGAAAAAGGGGGAATCCCGGAAAATTCGCGACAGGAGGAAAGAGTATTGTAAATCAATCTGTATTTATACTATAATAGGAAGCAGGAAATGAAAAAGAAATGATAATTGAGGTATCATAACAAGCTTCACACTCTAAGATGTCTTTAAAATTGAAAGGAAATATCCCGAAGTGATTCTACATCTCCAGAATTTCTAACAGCACCGTCTTAGTCCCTGTAATTCTCGGCCCTATTTCCCGTTGTTGTAACAGCCACCGATTCAGTAGTCTCAAATGTGGGCTGTGCGATATTAGAAGTGGTCTTGAATTTTATATCCGACAGCCCATAAATCACAATAAACACCACTCCCAAAACGGCACTTATACAGGAGAACACCAATGCCACTATACCCCTCGCCGTGAATCCTGCGGGCAACCAGCCCACTTGCTCATTTTGCCCTGTCAAGTCCTGGTAGTCCTCTGTGTTGGCAGCGGCATTGCCTTCATAGGGGATACCAGCGGCCTTGCAGACATCGAAATGTTGCTGAGGAGTGTTGCTCCGATCAGCGCCTTGAATCTGGGTTGGTGCTTCGATCAAGATCATGGCTAGTCCTTGCGATAAGTGCCAATCAATGTGACAATGGAAAATCCATACGCCGGGATTGTCCGCCACGAAACGAATCACGAAATACCCCTGTGGAGGGAGGACAAAGACATCTCGGCGAGCCGGCGTGGCCGGAAATGCGGTATGGTTGTTCGGGTCGTAAGGGACCGGGTCGCCGTCAGCATAGTCGTAGAAGTTCGGCCCATAGGGAGGTTGGCGATCGAGAAGTTGGAAATTGTGGCCGTGAAGATGGAATGGATGAGATCCAGTGTCATTGTTGTTCAGCACGATTTGCACCACTTGGTTGTGTTCGAGAACCATTGGATGGGTGAATTCGCCATATACGGCTTGATTGGTTGCTAACTCGCCGGCCGAAAAGACGGTATACAACGAAGGCACCTTTGGCATGGTATAGGAAATGTTGTTTAAAAAGGCATAGCCATCTCCGTTGTCAAGATTCATCATTTGTACGTCAACTTGTATCTCCATATCGGGTTCTGGCAGTAGAGGGGTGCCGTCTGTGGGAACAAGAGTGATGTCGTCAAACGGCACGAGATCCGAGGCCACGTCAACGGTGATGTTGGCTTGCGGATGGTCAGCTTCAGCGTTGTATTGAAGCCAATTGGTCTGGTTCAGCTGCAAATCGGAAGGAATATTATCCAGCAAGACTGAATCCGCAACTGTGACAATTGGGTAGTTTTTGTCCGTTGTATTCTTCGTAGTCAAGAGGATTGCGTATCGCTGGGCGACTGCAATATAGAGAGTGTCGGCTTCGGCAGGCTCCGTGTAGACGCCATCAATCTCAACAATTTTAAATGTGTGGTCTTCAATATAGAAGTACTGTGCAACAAAAGCGCCGATGTTGATGAGTCGCAGTAGATACGTCGTATTGGGCTTTACGACTAAGTTTGAGTTCATGGTATCATTGAAAAGGAAAGCATCGGGGATTGGTTCTGCTCCCTTGGGGTTGTAGACCGATAGAAACTTCGGTGCAATATCCTCCGTCATTTCATGATACCAGTCGCTGACGGTGATCGTCATCTCTTCATCATAGTCATTGTGAAAGGGGCTCTCATCATCATGCACAACCAGAGCCTGACGATAGCCGTCTGGATAGCAATAGTCAGTATGACAGTGGTACCAGTATGTTCCGCTCTGGTTTATAGTGAAGTTGTAGGTGAAATCAGAGCCTGGGGGTACAGGGCACTGAGTGACCATCGAAGCCCCGTCCATGCCGTTGGTGCCATTCTGGAACATGCCATGAAAGTGAATTGACGCACTGCGGTCCAGGGCATTGTGCATGTTGACTACGAGTCGATCGCCCTTGTCCACTTCGATGACGGGCAGCGGCCATTGACCATTAATACCGACGACTTTGCGGTCAGCGAGCCCATCGGGATTGGCCGTCACCCATGTCACGTTGAAGTCGTGAGTGACTGTCTTTGCTAGACACATTTGAGCCTGCCATACGGCAGCCATGAACAGCACAAGCAGCCTGAGGATAGCCATAGCCGCGTTTCATCCGCAGATGTAGAGATTGGACGCACGCGAGCCAGGCCACAATGAAGAGAGATACACCGTTCCGGGATGCAAATCGGAGATATTCGCCAGCAGGGAGGAAGTTAGCAAATAAAAAGCAGCCAAGCAGCGAAAAACGGAATGCAATCACACGAGATCATCGCATCACCATGTCACGCGGAGGGGTGCAGCTTGCTGTTATCTGATCGGCCAGTCACTTTTTTTTCTCTACATGGAGCGACAAAAATCGCCGCGGCCCGAGCGGAGACACTGGCACGTGCGGTCTCTCATTGGGCGCAGGCACGCCGCTAGGAGCTTGAAATATCTTATTTCGATCAGATAACGACTTGATTGGCTAGGAGGGCCCCGCTCGTGAGGTGCGTTCAGCAAGCGAGCCAATGGCCGCGCAGCGGGCTTGCCCCTGATGATCTGATAAGACAATTGGTTCTCTGCGCGGTTGCGGGATTTGTTGTTGCGATCCGCAGCGGAAAAAGGAAGGAAAAACTCTGCAAAAGGCATCTCGATCATGACTATTATTGAATAATTCGTGACATAACAACGCCATTATCGGCGACAACCCCCACTCTGGCTCATCCGTGTGCCGTCCATCGTACGACGCTCAGATACCGAAAGAGCTACATCGCTACACACTACCTTCCGCGACAGCCCGCATACTCTATTAATATTGGCACCCTGCCGGCCCGGAGTCAACCGCGCACTTTTCCTTGCACCATCATCTGATCTCCCTGCGTCGGTCTCTCTGTGCGCCCGCCCACCATGGTCAACGTTTTCGCGGTGCAGGTGTTCTTCATTGTCTTTCGAGAATGCCTCGAGGCGGTTATTATTGTTTCTGTGCTGCTGTCGTTCCTCAAGCAATGTCTCGGCCAGCCTGGCCAGGACCCGAAAATACATAAACAACTAAGACGTCAGGTCTGGCTCGGCTCCGGCGCTGGCATTATCCTCTGCTTAATCATCGGCGGTATATTCATCGGTGTCTTTTATGGACTTGGCCATGACCTGTGGTCCAAATCTGAAGATCTTTGGGAGGGTATCTTCTACCTGATTGCTGCAATTATCGTCACCATTATGGGTCTGGCCTTGTTACGCATTAACAAGACCCAAGCCAAATGGCAGGTTAAGATTGCAAAGGCTCTTGCTGAGCACACCGAAAAGAAAAAGTTTATTCTCGGCGACTGGGCACGTCGGTACTCGATGTTCCTTTTGCCCTTCATCACCTGTCTGAGAGAAGGGCTCGAAGGAGTCGTCTTCGTCGGCGGTGTTTCTCTAGGTTATCCAGCAACTGCCTTTCCCATCCCCGTGGTTACGGGAATCTTGGCAGGGTTGCTGGTCGGATGGTTGATCTACCGTGGGGGAAATGTCATGTCAATCCAACTCTTCCTGATCGCATCTACTTGTGTACTCTACCTCATTGCCGCGGGCATGTTCTCAAAATCTGTGTGGAAATTGCAATTCCACACATTCCAAACCAAGGTCGGGTCTGATGTCGCCGAGGCCGGTTCCGGGCCCGGCTCATACAACATTTTCAACAGCGTATGGCACGTTAATTGCTGTAATCCAGAGATTGATAATGGATGGGATGTTTTCAATGCCATCTTGGGTTGGCAAAATAGCGCCACATACGGCTCGGTGATCAGCTATAATTTGTACTGGCTCTTCATCATGGTCACCATCTCGTGCATGCTTTACCAGGAGCGGACTGGTTTTCTTCCACTGCAAAAGCCTCTCTTGCACTTTCTAACTAGTGTTCCGGGCTTTAGAGGATATGCGAAGAGAAAGTTGGAAGGATCGGACGATGACAGCGCCGCCGTTCATCAACTGGATAGTAATGCGTTTGCTGACATGGCGACGGTGCAAGTGCAGCCGGCCAAGTGAAGACATTTTCTCATCTGCTAGATTTGGGATATATTACCTTATTACCATCCACTGGTAAAGTCCTCGATATTAAGTAGATTGCAAGGATACTCTTTATCGCCTCCTGAGAAAAAAATTAATCATTTCAATTTCAAATACTCATGGTATTAATGTGCGACTTTATAGTAACACTAAATGTAGACACTATACATCTAATTACACTCAACCCACACCGAATCACGTATGAGTCTCCTAGCTACACAGCAGTTTCATCAGTCAAAGTTTACGTATTGATAGAGTCAACTATGTAATCACATGTATTACATGTAATAAATCGACACGCTACACATGTACTTGAGACCAACGTCGCTGGAAACTTCGCCTTCTTCTTCTAAAAAGACCACCCAGGCAGTGAAACTTGCTTTGGTTACTTAGATTGTTATACTCCTTGAGTACCATCTAACCGACACCGATGTATAAAAGTGTCTTTCAGCGTTAAAACAAACACACGCTTTCTGAGCTTTATCCTAAAATATGAATGGTACATCTTGCTGGTGATAAAATGCCGAACTACTACGTCAAAAAAAAATCTCTATGGTGCTTGGTTAACTATCAAGTGATATAATTAGTTTCTAGAATAAAGTATTGTTATAGCAGAAGGAAAGCGCAGGAGGCTGTAACTCGGACTAATCTATGGCCTACCTTCAATGTTTCAAACAATTTAATTTTATCAGTACGGAACCTGTCAGCCATGATAATGCTAATGGCATTTAATGACAGGTACATATTATTTGACAAAATGTTGAAAACAGTTAGAGTTTTCACAGTTCGGTTTATCAACAGAATATAAGCAACATATCCTTCTATATCCCTGAGATTTTACAAAATGAGTAATATTAGCCGAGGCAGAATAGGGTGCCATGGGTAGGGGTATCAAGTCTAGGCCCGACATCGGATAACTAGGCATTTTTATTTTCAAGTGATTCAAACGCCGGATGATAAGTGGAGAGCCAGAAGTAGACAATGATCGAGTATATATCGACTACTTCCCAGAAGTATCACACTAGATGAATCGGCCATTTATTCAAGAGCCAGCCATCTTAAATTATTGGGTAGCGCTCCGTCACCTACATTGACATTGGGTGTTGAGAATATTGATTTCGTTCAATGTGCCAATAATATATCAAGGTATAAATTAGTCATGCTCTATACTTTGTACTCGGATTGCTCGGCTGTATTTGCTTTATGTTGGTGCAATAACAAGGAAGCGAGCATGACCCATACACTCAATAAACAAGAACGTGGGTATGGTCGTGTTATCGAATGCCACATCCATTGATATTGCCGTATCCGGACAGAATTGTGGAATGTAGGGCATACTTACAGCTTCACACTCTGGTGTCATATAAGTGGTACTGTTGAAAGTTAAAGCTTTTACATTTCGACCGGATTGGCGCCAAACCGTCAATTACGTTCTCTTGTACATATGCACTAGACTCTCGTCTCGACTTGACATGGAGGACGAACTTTAGTATTAGCAGCAAAATGTGAATTTCCAAATAATGAGGTGGAACTGAGTGGCTATATGAGTTAGCCTAGTAGCTACCGAGCGTTCAGTTTTCCGGATTGGTCTAGCAATTTCCATCCCCTATAGAGAATTTAGGCGCGAGGCCAAGTTGTCCTTTATGAATAAATTCTCAGCTTGGACGGTCCATTCAAAGTTCGGGGTCTCCATCGGTGATGGACAATAAATTCAGCAACTGGGCGCACAGTCAGAACACGGGAACTAAAAACAGTTGACAGTAACAAAATGTAGCTAAAGTCTATTACTATTTCCACAAAGGTAACTCTGAATTACGGAGAGTCGGTTATGTCCAGACTATGCTTGAGGCCGTACTGACTTGATATACAGGTTAGTTTACAATTCCCACCTTCGTGAAACCCCAAGCCTCTAGAAGGACATATTTCCATACACTCACTACGAACAGAGTCAGTGCTATCAGATACTATCCGCAAGTGATTGTAACAGATGTGCTTGACATAGATGGTCTCAAGGAAGATATGCATTGAGAACTCTGTCCAGTCACTATCACTTTAGATTCACGTCATCCCACTAATTAATTAGACCCTGTTTGACTGTAACGTTGATCATAGAGAACAAAAATCATATAGCGTTATCATGTCAGCACACTACATATCTAATATAGGAATGCGATTCGCACTACGACGTGAGACATTCATCAAACATTGTCTAGTTGACATGGAAAGTCCCAGCGGGAAATATTTCAAAGCAACGAGAGAATGCTCCATTGTCAATGTGGAATCAGACCCAAGAAATGTGTTGCCTCTGTTAAAAAATATCTCTAAAATCAAGCAACTTTCCAAATCAATATTTGAGCAATGGACCCTGCATGTTACCATATATTTTTTCGAATTTTGGAAGTAGGTTTTCCCATTTCCAACTAAACCACCAAGCAACCGTTTGAGAATAATGGTTAATGCTGATCAGTAAGCTGCAAGGCTGCACACGCTGAAAGGTCATCCGTTGGCCGGTCGATAGTTTCTGATCCTTCCTAAGTATAGTCGTGCATCTGACTTTGTGGACGCCAAAAGAGCGCACTGGGTCATGAGCTCGATACCGCATCATCTAATAGTTCTCGGTGTGTTTTTCGTTTGCGATCATTAACCTCATGTAGTATGTCGCAATACAATGTATCAGGAGAGCAAGTAATAGCAGATAGGTTTAGGGGCTTTGGGGGCCTCAGTCCGCTTCAGGTATAGAGGCGTCCCCCACACGGCAGAATCGTGGACTTTGCAAGGGCCAAATCCTCCAGTAAGCCCGCAACAATGGGGTTTAGATTGATAATTAAACATAGATCTAAAAGGAGATGGAATTTTACAGCTTAGGTCCTCTTTATGCAAATGAGGAGTAGCCACCATCTCGTAATCGTATTAAGCCTAGTCCAGGGTTTAGTGGCGGTAGAAAATAAACGCCGATGACACGAAAACGTGTTTCACTAGACGGACGCTCAGGGCGCTTTGCTGACTTAAACGTTGCATTCCTCGTGTTTGACAGTCATGCCACTGGCAGGAAGGAGGGGCAGTGACGCTAAATTCAGGACTAGACCAAACCAGTATTACTTCTAGAAGCTCTCCTGTCAATCTCCCGAGCGCCTCGTCTGGAAGATTACTCTCCTGAACATTCTTCGCTACAGGTCTATAGAGAATAAGGGTAGATTTTTAAGATGGAGCCCGCTAAGGAAACTACGATATTGTAATTGTTGTACTTCCTATCCTCGCTTCTTGGGAACTCTTCAAGTGGTTTAACATCGTTAATATTGAGCAATGTCCGATCGTCTATTTCGGTTATTGCACCTTGCGCCACGTAGGATTTGGTTGCACTCAATTATAGACCGTTCGTGTCAAACGTGCATAAGGGCCGATCTTTGGTCGCGAAATTGCAAGGGCGTCCCCCAGATGGTCTAATAATAATACACTAGAATTAGCCCGACTTTTAATATAAGGCTGCCAGTTCGCCCTGGCTGCGTCCTTCACACCCTTTTCCTTTGATAGAGGCTGTTGTACGCGGTGATATATCATTCACCATTTCATTCATTTCTATTTGATTTACAGTTGACTTTCTGGATTAGACGCCCTGTTGTCGTAAAAGTCAACATGAAATCCACATACACTCTTTTGCCCAGTTTGGGCTCTTTGCTTTCACTCGTTACTGGCCCAGCCCTTGCCCTGGAACTTAAGCCAATCTCGGCGCCTCAAGCTGGTCTTGATGCAAGGTCAGTTGACTATTCTTCTCTGAACCTGCAGAGTGCAGAGACGTTTCTTTGGGGCGGTACGTGGCTTCTATCCTCCGTACGGATATCACTTTGTGTAAAACGCTAATATCTCGTAATACAGGATCCAATGACAACCGTGCAGCCATAGCAAACTTTACAGTCTTGATGCCTGGACAAAAAGAAAACATTATCAACATCGAGCGTTTCAAGGGTCTGGTTACCTCGATGGAGTGCTCTGAAAACAGCACTGCTTTGAAGCTGAAAGACAATGAAGCTTTCACTCGCTTGATGAGTGCCTGGGACTGGACAAATGAGGATCCTGACCATACCTTCGTTATGGTTGCTGGCAGCGGTGACTGTATCTCGCAGGATAGCCGTCAGCCATTTGTTACCACGGCTGTTTCCTTTGACAAGACTACCAACACCGCTACATTGACCGGCCACAAGTCCGACTGGAAATCGGTTGCTCACAGCTACCACCTCCACATTGGTGGTCTGCCAAAGAGCGACTTGGCCAAGCGCGATTACACCGGCAACTACGCTCTGAACTTCACTCACGATATCAACATGGGCAGTTGGACTATCCCCGTTGACGATGGCCTGCAGGTCACCTTCAACTGCGCGTCATGCAAAACCACCGGAGAGTTTGACTTCACCTTCGATATTTCAACCACTTTTGGTATCCCGGACGGTGCCAGTGTGACTCTCAACCCCAATGACGTCTCTGCCGTGATTGACCCTACCATTAGCCTCGCTGGTGAACTCAGCGGTAAGAAGTCATACACAGATAAATTCTTGACCATCCCTATCGATGGAATAAGCGTTGCCGACATTGTCGATTTGGGCCCCGCCATTGCATTCAGTGGAAGCTTGAACATTGGCCCCCTCAAGGGTACAGCGTCTGTTCAGCCCAGTGTTACTCTGGCCCTCAACAATGATGCAGACTTCGAGATTGATCTTTTGTCCCCATCCAACTGCAAAGCGGATAACTGGTCGCCGAACGTTACTGCTGAAGAACCTACACTTTCAGCCATGATCAGCGGTGGTGTTTCACTCGGTCTCTTGGCTGATGTCGAATTTGACATTAGTGTCCTAGGTAGGTTGAACACAATGATCTCCTAAAATTCTCGTAACTAACTTTTTTTCTCCCATAGGCAAAGGATTGTCCGCCGGTATTGGTCTCCAGCCACTCATCGGAGCGACACTCTCCGCAATCGATTGTACGTAACCAATTTCTGCCTTGTTGATCCCATACTTTTTTTTCGGTGCAATTTCTAACTCTCAATTCTAGCATCTGCCGGTGCCTGCCCCAGCGACCCCGAAAAGCATCAATATGGTGTCAAGCTTGCCCCATCGGCTGGTGTCTACCTCCAGGCTAGTGTCAGCGATGTGGCGACTGTGACCATTACCGTAAGATACCGACCTGAAGAGCCACTAATAATCGCAATCATGCTAACATTCATGTACAGTCCGAAACTATCTCTCTGTCGACCGAGTGCTTTGGCTTCGGCTCGCCTTTGACGACATCTGCTGCTGCTACTACCACTGGAGCTGCTACAACTACTACATCAGCTACCACCATCCCAACCTCGACCTCCGTTATCCCTTCGTCAACCCCTATTATCCCTTCTTCAATCCCTATTATCCCTTCGTCGCGAGCCACCATTCCACCTAGCTCTAGCGCCGTCGCAGCTCCTACAAAGAAGTAGTTGCCTGTGTGAACATGTGAAGATAATTTAGATATCAACTGATAGTGTATAGATCGTTCCCTTCTTGATAATGCACAACATTCTATATACTCTCTCAAAAGTAAATATGTAGTTATAGTCTTCTTGTAACTCTTCAAATTTGCTTTATTGTTTGACGCAATACCATAATACTATAATATGGAAGCAAAAGAAACGGTGATAGATCTAAAACACTAGCATTATTCTATAGTCTAATCAACCGGGGCAGCTGTAACATGTTACCTGGCTCCTTGTTTGAGTTTAGACCTTATTATTTATTAGTAGAGGCAAATATCCGCCCCATTCTTCCTCCACAAAGTTGTAGAAAACTAAGAGATGGCAATCAAGGAAGAGACAAGAAATATCCTTCATTTTCGGAAAGTTTGATGCTGCAAGACCAGCCACTAGATACTGGATCCCATCTATGTAACATTTAGTCAGTAGAATTTTAAAGGTAATTCGTAGGCTTACACAGGGGCAGCAGAGAGGCCGTTAATTCCGCAGCCAGGGGTGCTTCCTTCAGTAATATGATTGAGGATATCTGGATTGAGATACAGTGCCGGATTCATGAATCCAACACCCCTTTGTCATTTGTAATACGCTTCTCGATGACACGAGTAACAAGTGAAGAGAAAATTGGCGCGCCTAGAAAATGTTAAGACGGGCTGGGATAGTTATGACCCGAAAGTACTCACTTGCGCTTGTTTCATCGATGTGAGAACGGTACCCATTAACGACAGTAGTGATTTTTTGGCCATTCGCCGAGACATCTGTATATAAGCGGCCGGGACGGTTGTATCCGCTTGTCGTTCTGACCAAAGCTGCTGTTGCTAGAATAGTATGTATATGGGAATTTATGTTGTTGGAAGTAGCTTATATCGAGAAAAGGCGTAAGTTATGCAGCTCCAAAAGTGGAATATACAAGCGACGACTTATGTTTTAACAACTTCTTTTTGGTGGTCAGGATATCATAGATGTTGCCAAACCCACCCCCTGAAGAGAATGCTAACGAGGAGTTGTCATATCGTAGGCAGCAACTTCAGAGGTAGATACAGTATTACCAGTATTCACCTCGGTAGCTCCGACACTGGTGACATACGGACAACTGTAAAGTGAAAAGGAATATTTGTTAATACGATCGCATTTTCAATTGACCGAAAATAATTCTCGTCTTATCTGTTCGGAAAGACAATGATGATCATGTTTTTCCATGACAACGGAACAGAGCTTTTAAGTCTGGACAGGCAGAGTATGCATATCCTAGTGCCAGCCAATCATTGGCCATCCTCTGTAAACAAACCCCGATCATCGACAAGAACGCCATCATTTGCGGGTGTGTGGAGAGCTGGATGCACGGAATATTCATCAATAATACGGAGTGAGCCGCCGGTAGAAGATGGCTCTTATTGGATCAATTAGGGCTTAGCGTTCATGGTAAAGGTACTGCTAAGTCTAAAGTGCCTAGCTCAGAGGATGAGAGGCCTTTTTGGGAAGCGATCTCCTGCTCTAGCACCGCATACGGCTAGTATTCTAATTTGGCTTTGATGTAAACTTCCGATGGTGAACACCCCAGAAACAGGAAACAAATATGCCCACTACGACAATAATATTCATCTTAAGAGTTTTGAGCATGAATGATAGGTAATTGTTGAGAATAATACTCATTCGACACTAATTACGGTGCCATTAGTTGTTTATCAACGTGTTGTAGGTGACTGTACATGTTTCGGCATTGGTAAGGAAATACTCTAGGAGTCCAGTACTAAGAAGTCAAGAGCAACTTAAAGCTCTAGTCAAACATAATCTGTGCCGCTGGCCAATTACTCGGCCTACTGGCGAGTTGCGAGACGATCAGCCAATATGCTGGAAATTTGGAATCGCCGCAACCCTCATAGCCTTGCCGAGATCGTTCGGCGAACCTAATGCAAATGCGTGGAAATGGCTGAGTCAGTTAGCACTGTTATAAGGCGTAAGAGTCTACTTCTACTTGATTTCTGAATATAGTAAAGTAATTCTTACTAGGCTCATGCTAACATGCTTTCGGGGCTGTTCAACTGATGTTAGATGACCATACTTTACGCAGAGCATGACATTATTAGGGAAATTATTGTGCAATGATTGACGTCACTTTACCTATTCTTTATTTTCTACAGAGTGTTTATATAGCATGTCTAAGTGGGATATTATCTCGGTACGAAAAGTGAATAATAGGCACCATGGATGATTAGCTATAGATATTCAATGCATAGGAAAGATTCATGGTGATTCCATTACGGTGTTCTTTGCCTGTATCGCATTAGGAAATAATTCGAGATATGGAATTTCTCTTCTACTGCAATACCAGCTTGACGCATCTACTGATGCTGAAGACGATGCTTTGTATGCACGAATTGACTAAGGAGTCTCGATTACAGTGGACTCTAGTTTTCAGTTGATGGAGATTTGAAACATCATCAGTCGAAGGGCTGGTCTGTAAGACAACGTCATAAGAGAGCTTAAGTTGTATTGAATATTATCCAATACCAAACTCGCCCAAGATCTAGCTACTTGGAGGTCTCATAATGAATGATTCCAAAGCTTCTGTTGGCTTTCCCAGCCTAACCGTTGCAGATATTGAACTCAGGTCCATGACAATGCTAAATAGGGTCTCCACTGCGCTCGATTTGGAAGAGCCTCGGTTGATTGCACCTGGATAATTGCCTTTATCTTCCAAAATATGCTCTGCCACAGAGACACTTAAAAGCTGTCCATTTTCAGTAGCCTTTAGAAGAAGCTCGTCGATACGGCGCCCACGATAGGGGGAATCTTCAAGGAAGACGGCTTCCTTAACATTGTTGATATGTGGAACATAAAAATGGTTTGCATGTGTCACTTTACCGTCACTCATCTCCAAAAACTGTACATCGCCAGAGCTGCACTCCAGCCCCGTACCTCCAGTACTGTCCCCAACTAGTATATGGCAAGATGAGGCAACTCCGGATTTTGTTATTGCATCAATTGCTTCCTTCCGAGACCTGCTGTCCAGCACAGCACGGAGAGCTAAGTGAGTCGGGAGCCTGTTGAAATCCACTCCACGCGCACGTATTGCATTTAGAGTTACACTCACACCAGATGAGTTAAGACCAATCTTTCCAATAATACCAGCCTCAGTTATCTGGCTAATACTTGGTCGGCCATTCTGCTCAATGTACAAAGCAATGATATTATCGCGTTGTGCTCGTTCCCACTGCATAGATATTATCAGTTGTACGTATATGATAGGGAAATGTAAACTTTATTGGCCTACATCCCAGTTTTGACCGGCAATTGAAACATCCCCACCATGCCAGTAAAACGCCGTACAGCCATCCGCCATCAAACCCATCGAAATTTCTGTACGAACGTTAATCGCAAGAACATCCTCGAATGTTTGTCCTGAACCATCAGCAATTCCTAGACATAACAAAGTCAATTAGCATATTTTATCTTATACGCTGAAACAATGAAGCTTCTGACCTCTGATTTCCTCGATATAGTGATTCCACTCTTTTTGCAACAGTGGGAGGAATTTCACGGCATGTGATTTGGCCGTATCCCAGTCCATCTGTGACATTGATAGAAAATATTGGCGATAGAATTCGAGACTTCCAGCCACCAAATCGCAGGCCGCGGTGCCATGCTGGCGACCGATCTATGAGGAAGGTGCTGATCAATACATTTCCATCAATTGATAGGTGCACACCCAGTAGAAAACTCAATATTAATGTGTATCAATCACTATATATTTCACGATTAAACTGAACGTACCTCGTAGGGGGTGCCGGAGCAACGAATTTGCAGCATTTTGTTGTGTCGATTAACGGATACCACAGATTCAGAAACTTAAATTTACCCAAATATTACTTTGGCAGGTGCACTGTTTGCGAGAATTATACATTCTTATCAGTTTAGGCTGTAACGGATGTTCGCAGAGATTCCCGCTCGTATCGCTCGGCCTCTAACCTTATTTGTCTTCCACCTCGGGGCCTAACTGCTCTTGGACCTACCCTGTGATAAGCCATCAAAGTATATGTAGAGAGGTCTAGGGTCAGGAGGAAGATTGTCAGTTTTGTTCAAGTATGATATGATATTTTACACATAATAAAAATGGACTGCGACAAGAAGAATACAATTCAACAAGTGCGTCCAACTGGTGGTGAAACGCACACAGATGGGGAGACTGCGGAGATTGGAGAAACGAAGATCTTGGAGCTAGGCCATGGTGATATCGGCTATGATCTATATCAAGAGGCTCTTCAATTTGACCCAATCGAACGGAAAAGAATTGCAAAGGCTGTTAAACTGAAGCTCGATTCCATTCTCCTACCACTGGTAAGATACAATGGTACCTGGCTTTGTAGTCTGAAAGAGGTGTGAAGTTGACCACCAAGACAGATGTGCATCGCTTATCTTTTAGGTTTTCTTGACAAAGCTGCTCTTAACTATGCCAATGCATATGGACTGCAGTCTGATCTCGGACTTTATGGGAACCAGTACTCGTGGGTAGCTGCCATTAGCAATTTCGGGTATCTGATTTTCGCATATCCATCTACATTGATACTGCAGAAATGGCCTATTGGGAAGTTTGTGAGCTGTATGTTGATGGCGTGGGGGGCTCTACTGCTACTCACTCCGACAGCTAAAAATCTCGGAGGCATTCTCGCAATCCGTTTTTTCTTAGGTTATTGATCACGTCTGGGTAAAAGTAATAGGAGAGAGTAGGCTAACATTTTACCCAGGTGCTGCCGAGGCTTGTATAGCTCCAGCATGGATGCTGCTTACTGGAATGTTTTGGACTCGTCAAGAACAGCCATTTCGCATGGCTTGGTGGTTAGGTTGTAACGGCCTCGCACAGTTGGCAGGAGCAGGTATCGCATGGGGGCTAGGCCACTCAACAGGTCCTGTGGAGTCTTGGAAACTAATCTTCGTCGTACGTATAAGTCCACTAGTTTTGTCCGAACGAAGTCCTAACCAGCAAGAAAGACTATTGGCGCAATAAGTTTCGGATACGGTCTCATCTGCCTTGCCCTGCTGCCCTCAACCCCCATAGATTTTTATTTTTTCAACCATCAAGAAACAGTGGTCGCTATATGGCGAATCGCTGACAACCAAACCGGTGTCAAGCACGGAAAAATTTTGTGGTACCAAATTAAAGAGGCGTTGAGAGATCCTAAAGTATTATGCATTGCCGGTGCAGCTCTATGTCTGGGTATTGTGAATGGAGCTATTCAAAACTTCATGACAACTCTTCTGAAGAGCTTTGGCTACGACGATGTTAAGAGTGTCGAGTATCAGATGCCTTCGGGTAAGTTTTTCTATCGTCTGTAAGAATGAATTAACTTGATTAACTACTTGGTTCTGCAGGCGCTTTTCAGTTTATTCCGACTGTGGCCTTCGGGCTTCTGAACTCCTACATCCCCAACTTTCTTGTCTTCTCAATAAGCATCGGCTTCCTGGTACCGCTAGCGGGAATGATAGGTATTGCTACAATACCGCTTTCTCATCAGCTGGCGCTCACGGCATGTGCATGGTTGCAACCATTTGCTGGCGTTGCAATCATTCTATCCTGGACACTTGTCTCATCCAACATAGCCGGTCACACTAAGCGCATGTTTGTAAATGGATTAGAGTTCGTACTATATGCTGCAGGAAATATTATTGGACCATTCCTGTTTTTGCCATCTGAGAAACCGAGATATTTGACTGCAATCTGGGCTTTGGCAGGTGTGGAAGGGGCAGGCATTCTTTTCACAGTTCTCCTGGGGTTGTGGATGTTGAGAGATAACAGACTCAGAGATAAAAGTGTAGGGCAACCTGCGGAAGGGAATGTGGTAGGATTTTCGGATTGCACGGATATTGAAAACAGGGCCTTCAGATATAGGCTATAAGCGCAGAGCATTATCTAATAGGTTCCGAATATTTGTTTCAGGATTATGGATGGTGAAGATGTCATCATGATGATTTCGGAATTTTGTGGTAATATTTTATTCTCTGATTACAGCCATTGGATTAGGACCGTTCATATGTAGTGCGTCTTGTAATGTTTTTGACCCCATATATGGGATGATACCACTCAGACAATCGTCAAATCCCCGACTAGATGCCGTTCCATTATGTGGTACCACCTCTCTCAACCGATGATTGCTTTCGACTTTTATGATAAGTGGCACTAGATAGTAATTGATGAATACAGCATCAATGCGGCCAATGCTGGTGACGGTGATGGGTCCTCCTGCCTACTTGGGTCTAGTGCCTCCCAGTTTAACAACTGCGTCCAGACCAGACCAGAGTTAATCAGCACATAACACTGCAACTGACAGTTTAACCAACGAAAATGCGATAAAGAATGAATAATAGAACTCCTCAAGCTTGTCGAACTTGGTTCGTATACTGGCCCCAGTCGCACGACAACTACTAACAATCATCCCAGTCGCCAGCGGAAGGTTAAATGCGACGGCCAACGGCCAGCATGCCAGAACTGTCGCAAGAGGCAGGATGACTGCGAATATCCGACCACTCTTCTCCCAGGAGGCTATGCTCTTGATATCACGAACCATCAGCCCCTATTTTCACCTTCTAGATCCTCTCCTTCCATGCCCGTGTTGCCAACAGAAGGGTCTACTACTGAACAGTCGCAGAGATCTGCTAGGAGAGATAATTTTCAACAGAGATTATTAGCAATTTTCTGGTCCACACACCATTCGGTAGAGCTGTGTGCGTGTATCCATCGGCCATCATTTGAAACAGAGTATTCAGAGCCGCAGAATGAATTCCTTATGTGCAGCATATCATCTTTGTCGGCAATCTACCTGTCTGATGCAGAGGCGCGCGCTCATACGAACGAGATAACCGCAGCATCTTTATCCTCTTCGTATGCTGAGCGGGCCAGGGCCATTTCTCGTAGAACATCGGACAGCCCATCAAGTATGTTGAAGTTCATTTTCCCTTGCAATATTAATGTGTGCTCATCCACTTTTATTAGTATCTGCGATTCAAGCAAACCTAATTTTAGGGTTACGTGATTTATTACAACGCTCTATATTGTCAGGATGGATGTATATAGGCCATTCTATCCGCATGTCTCAAGGGATGCGACTGCGTAGGGAGTTCAATCAGCGTTTACGTCCTCGTGAAAAGGAACGTCGCCGTCGCACATTTTGGGCATGTGTAACTATGGATCGCCTGGCTTCATACTGGTGCAATCGACCACCCACGATTCAGCTAGATGCTATCTCTATCCGGCTACCTATGGCAGAAGCTGCTTATGCATTTGACGAGGAAAGTGTGGCGCCAACCATAGATTTACTTTTGCAAGGCGCCAATTTCGAGTCTTTGTCGGGTCTTTTACAACACTTTGTTGTGGCTGTTGCTCTCTGGGGGCAACTCTCTGGTGAGTATGCGATTGGTGGGCGTGCAACAGCCAAGGATAGCCCAATAAACCCTCTAAGTGAGATACACAGTTTTCACCGTGTTCTCCTTGAATACCAACAGTATCTTCCAGCTAGTCTGAAATGGTCAGAGGAAAGTTTCAGAGCACACAAGTCACTGGGACAGGGTCAATTGTTTGTAAATCTTCACTGGGTAATACACCACGGATTGTTTGTTATTCAGCAGGAGTACTTACCGCAGTTTGATCCATTTGGAAATGTTGACAGAACGATTGGCGATGCCGGATGTGATCATGCTGGTATACCTTTTAATTACCGAGACGAAGATGCGGTGGTGACGTGTCTTCAGAATGCCCGGGCTATTTCCTCGATATCCCGAGGATTGAGTCGATGCGACGATCCAGCTCATCGCGATATTTTTCAGTCTACGTTCGCTGCGTGTGCTTTGATGTCCGCCGCACAGGTCTGTCTCTGGGGACATTTTGTGGAACAGCACACAAGAGAATACTCTCAGTGCGCGCCGTTCATGGAAGATTTTACATTGTCATTAGATACTCACCGAACATGGTCTTTCAATTGGAAAGTGTGTGAAGGATTCGTGGAATCTCTCGAATTACTTAAAATGCTTTACGAGTGTGCCTACGGAGCCACTCAAATCTCAACAGAAAAAGGAAGCGATAATAGTAGCGATAGTAATCATATTGAGTGTGGAGAGACATCATCAGCGAAACTGTCCGAAGGCGCAGGTTTACCTGATCCTACTACAACCAGTCAACGCCTTTACTACCAAATCCGAGCAATCAGTGTTCTAGCTTTGGAAGACAAAAACTTCAAAAGACGATGTCTTGCAGCTTTTACCAAAGCTATGTGGCCCGACATTATTGGGGATGATATAATGGAAGCTTTTTTCCTGACAGAGCTTGACGGAGGTACTGATCTCAGCACCGAGACGATATTCTCGACATTTCCAGAAGAAATATCCAAGGATGAGCTCTGAATTCACAGATTCGCTCTATTCGCGACATCTTTTGGCAATAAATCCACGGCATGCTGCGCCATTCCCCTGTCATTTGTTAGTGAGATTTGAAAGCGAGTATATATGCCAAAGAGAATTCATACCACGAAGCCTGATACCCTGTCCCTCCGGCCCCATAGTTATGGATAAGCCACTTGCCGTGTCGCTGCTCTTTTTCAATGCGGGCGCCGCCTTTTCGGCTCGCTGGAGTAGTGTCAGTTTTAGGGCCGTATAAATGCATGATATTTATAAACACACGTCTAAATCCAACATTGTGTCGAATAACTGTGAGCTCGTTTGGATTCCCTAATTCGGGACAAAGCTCACAGGCCCGTCGCTTAATTCTTTTAGCTAGGTCCATATCCGGTTGGTCATTATAGTCATGATGCAACCGAATACCTCCGACGATGATGCCACCACCGAGTGGGCGAGGGAAAATGTGGGTGAACTCGTCATTATTTATTTTGTGCATATACATGCGTGATAATGGGATCTTGGGCTCGGAAAGGAGCAACGTTTGGCCCTGGTACATTAATTTAGTTGACCGAGGATGGTGTATTATGGCTCTAGCATAAGGCTCAGAGGATGACTGTACCTTGATAGGATAGACCCTTTTATCCTCAATACCGCCTAGTGTTCTCGCACCCAAGCCGGTGCAATTAAATATGGCAAAAGCATTGGAAAAGTCTTCAAAAACTTGATCAATGTGTTTGTAGGATCTTCGAAGAAACATCACTCCTGCTTCTAGAAGATGTGATTGTAACCTAGGGTTCTTGTTTTAGTATACGGTTGGTTTGATAAGAAAAAAGAAATTAAGCGCAAAGCATACCAAGCGAGATAGATGCTAGGGTTGATCATAAACGTTGTGAGATCTAAGCCAAAACTCGCCCAAGCTGGCAACTCCTCCTTTGGAACCTCCGTCACGCCACCAACTAGGTCTTCATACCACTTCTGCTGAATTTGTTCTGTTCCATGTTTTTTTATATCGTCCTCATCATATACTAAACGAAGTGGGAACCTTTTCACACCACTTTGCCTAGCAAAATTTGCAGCAATAGTTAAAAATCGCTGAAAAGCAACATATTCGTAGTCGGTCTGGGCCCCCAATTTGTCATCGTAAGAAATCCAATTTGCGCCTGCCCAGCTAGAACAGTAATCATTGGAGGACTGGTCTCCTGGGAGGTGTTTGGCAACCACAGTGATAGAAGCTGTTGGATGCTGGCGGAGCAGTTCAACCGCCGTGGTGAGGCCGATGACTCCGGCGCCGAAGACTACCACGGACATTGAAGGTGCCATTGTCAATGGGTAGATAAATCACGATAGACGTCGTCGAAGATACTGGGTCAAAGGCACATTGCAGGAGGGGCTTGATATATTTCGCACGATAAGTCATGCTACATAATAGTGGGCCAAAGACCGGGTCGTCGGCCTCTAGCCGGAAACGCTTTGGGCTCCGATAGGGTTGTGGATGGAGACCAGTACATGGTTGGCATTAATCTATGAAGGTTATTTTGGAGTTGAGTTGTCAGGTAAAAATATTCTGACAGTACTCAATAAGGAACGTCGATGTTGTCGTCTTTGGAGTGTTGATGCACCATGCCATGTCACGGTGGACAGAGGCCTGTGATTGGTGGATGGGAAAATGTGACACTGACCGCACATTTCCACTTCCAACATCCTCCTCATTCTGCAATCTTTCTGTCAAAGCTAACCATAACAACGCCTAAGGCAAAATGCTAAAGAGCAAACATGGCTGCTGGACATGTCGCCTGCGAAGGAAAAGGTGTGATGAAGTTCACCCAGCATGCACGGCTTGCGCGTCCCGCAACATTACGTGCCATGGATACGGCGACAAGCCAGATTGGATGGATGGCGGCGACAGCGAAAAAATAGAAGCCAAACGTATCAAAAAGGAGATACAGAGTAATCTTCGGTTGAAAAATGAAAAGTCAAATCGCGCTGATACAGAGAGCCAATACCAGCCTAATGGGGGACAATACCGTGGCGATGATATCATGGTTCCCCTGTTGGCTGTGGATTCAAACTCAGTGCATGCATTTGTAAACACTCACGCTGGAACTAGGAGAGAAATATCAGACAAAATTACAAGCTACCGAGAAGCTGAACTACTGATGCACTACATGGACTATGTTTTTCCATTGCAGTTTCGATTTCATACCCCAGATGTGAGCGGTCGTGGTTGGTTGATGTGGTTGCTTGTCAAAACTGGACCATTGTACCATGCCGCCCTCAGTCTTAGCGCTCTTCATCAATCTATATACTTCTCGAATGTTTTTGGCAATACGTACGCTGAATTGTCTGTGTATCATGCTAAAGCGTTACGCGATTTGCAGCAGTTTCTACACCATCTCCAAATAAGCGAGGACGGAGATGAGAAGAGTCGCCAAATTGAAGTTATGGCGTGCGGTGTCTCCCTAATTAGCTTCGAGGTAAGTTCATAAAAACAAAATTGCACCAGGTCGTTATTAAAAGATCCTTAGCTTTTTCAGGGCGGTGTCAGCGACTGGCAGCTGCATTTAAATGCTTTGATTTCGATCCTTACAAGTAGAAGTTCGTCTTCATTGGCAGAGATGCTGGGTGGAACTCAGGAGACAAATGGTACACGAAAAGGCTCACCACACTGGCAACAGACCGCTTCGTCATTCTTCATAACAGTAATTTTATGGTTCGACCTTCTTGCATGTGCCTCCACAGGACAAGCGCCAAGGATGCCATATCGCTATTTAATAGACTCAAATATTGTCAATATGTCCAACTATATGGGAGTACAAAACTGGGCCATGAGAGCTATTGGAGACATAGCTGCCCTGAGTGTTTGGAAAGATAATAGTGGAGGACATGACTTCGAGCTCATCTCACAAGGCCAAGCCATTGAGCAGGGATTAGAAGATGGTTTACGATCTCTGGATAATATATCATTACTAGGCGCTTCAGTTATGACAACTAACTTGTCAACACAGCAAAATAAAGTCCCCGGCGTCACGCGTGCGTTTGCGACAGCAGCTCTTGTTCAATTAAGGACAGTGCTGTACGGCTCCACCACTACTTCACATCCTATACGGGATGTTGTAGCCAGAAACATCGAAGCCATGAAAAGCATACATGATGAACAAGACTTCCGTGGGCTAGTCTGGCCTATTTGCATATCGGGATCCATGGCCGAAGCAGCCCAACAACCGTTTTACGAGTCTATCGTTAAGGAGGTGCTCGGCGATAAAACCCGAGACTTCGGAAATTGTGCTACTATTCTCCAAATACTAACACGGTGCTGGGAAATGCGTCGACTTGACCCGCATTCGAGTGTAAGATGGGTGAGTGCGATGGCTGAAATAGGGACCTGTCTACTTGTTTAGTCGGCGTTGCGATATTGTCACTAGATGTGGTCATGTCAGGATCAGCTAGATGTACCTTATAAAGAGGGTTTGCGTACATACGTTCTGTAGGTTCGAAAACGGCTGCGTGACTGGCACTTTGTCGACCATATTTTTCTTCGATATGCTAGCTGTTATCGGTGATTTTAGCATATCAACGATATTACTCGTTATGCGGAGAACTTTCTCTCCATTGAGCCTTCTGCCGACGACTTGGAGGGATACTGGCGCCCCTTCATATTTCAGAGGTCCATTGGAATCATCATACAAACTCCTATGCCACATATCCATCGGGCTAGAGGGTGGATGCAAGGGCTCGAAACTACTCCAATGATCCGTTTGCTCGACAGAACTGACAGGGAATACAAGAGCTGGAAAGTCCAGAGCATTCCAAACACACGTGTAACCCCAGTACCGATTTTCATCGTGCGCCGAGGCAGCTGCGGCGTTCGCAGGACATATTATAGCGTCAACGTCGTGCCTATTCCACTGCTTGGCGTAAAGTGTTCGCAATTTGTCCATGTCTCGATTGACCTGATCAACATGATTGTCAGAATATATCTACAGGGCCAGGTGAACTCAACATACCCTCCAGCTATCCTCCACCGAATAGTGACGAGTGGCCTTTTCATCTAGTAGCCATTTTACGATCGGCACCGGGGGTTCTTGGCCCTCCTCGAGCAATTTATGATATTCCGCTCCTCCATCTAGGAAATATGCCTCATTGACTACGTCATATATCTCTTGGTGAAACTGCGGGTTCCAGTCGATAACACTGTGTCCCTGGTTTTGCAAAGATGCGACAACCTGTTTTAATGCACGAGTAATCGGTGGATGGGGCTGTACCACACCATCGCTCCACATAACTCCAATTCTCAGTTTTTCTGGAATTGTCATGTCTATCTTCCAGGGTATCTCCAAGAGGGAAGGTTCATCCTTCCATGGCTCATTGTTCAAAGCTGCCCTGCAAAACAATTCCAGGTCGTCGAGACAGAGAGCAAGTGGTCCTATGACTCCAACGACGTTCTGCATCCCATCGCTTAAACCACTCAGTCCACTATGGGGCATTCTGCCAATGCTCGGTTTGAAGCCATATACACCACAGAATGCACCGGGAACACGAATTGAACCCCCAATGTCAGTGCCAATACCCAGCACACTTCCACGCATTGACAGCAACGCACCTTCGCCTCCAGTACTCCCGCCGCATGCGAGATTTGTATTGTGCGGATTGAGTGTCCTTCCAAAAAGATTCGAATCTGTCTCTATTGCCATCAGGGTTTGTGGGTTCGTTGTTTTAACATAGAAGACGGCACCTTGTTCGCGAAATGTCCGGACGATGAGCGCATCTTCATCACTTACATCATTCGCCAATGCAATGAGTCCTGAGGTGGCGGTAGTGCCCTTCATCTTGATATGCTCCTTAACCGAGATCGGAAGCCCGTGAAGCATTCCCTTTGGTCTACGATGAACACGCATGTACTCGTCTAGTTCTGCTGCTTGAAGCAACGCTTCCTCAAAATGAACCTCGGCAAGGCAGTTGGTCTATTTCAAATCGTCAGTGTCTGATCCCATCCATCATAGAAATTGGATCGCAATGTCCCTTACAGCCTGATGCGCAATTGCGGCTCTCTTGCAGAAAGCCGCCGTCGTATCTACTGCTGTAAGTGTGCCCTCTCGTATCGCAGACACGATCTCGACCGCATTCGACTCCGTGATGTCTAGCTCCTCCTTAGACATTAAACCGCACCTCCTGGGCAAATCCACGAGATTCTTGCCGGTCAACATTTCTTTCGGGACTCGCCATTCAGGCGAAATTCTGCTATCTATTTGAAACCGTCTTTGGTCGGCAATTTTCTGCCAACTATTCGATGGCTGCGTGGGCACAATGTTCCGCCTCATATTTTATTCGGATCTATTCTGTCGGGTATTAGCAGTACTCGAAATGATTATTATGTTCGTTCAAAGAAATGCGCTGGAAAGTGCATTTCCTTTATCGCTTCCATTGAAGGTAGAGCAGATAAGGCAAGGCGAGCCGAGCGGGGCTGACCCGCCCGCAACGACCTTCCGCAGAGCAAAACGTTCAGCAACATGATCGCACGGCTTACTATATGTAATATGATTGGTTGCGACACATTGACAGTCTTTGTCGGACTTTCAGGCAAAAACTAAATTAATCTTAATGGAAATAAATAGATCATCATAAATACATTCAGACATTGATGTATTGAAACATATTATCATTTATATATGTATAAATAATGTAATATTGTTGAATTTTAGGAGCTGGTTGACTTGCCGGGTCTGCGCTACTGCGGACCTAAGGTAACAAAGGTCGGCCTCGGTTACTTCGATGTTGTCTGTTTCTTCTCATATTCCTATTCTCCAAATGTCGAGAGTTGTGTACAATGGTGACTACACCCATAAAAGTGGCGCGTTCTCCCGAGCACGAAGCGTCTGTCATCTCCCCCGATTTACAGCAGAGGCAAAGCCAACAGCAACAAGAAGATGAAACACCAACCACAACGGCCTCGGCACGAATAGTTGAGCCTCTCAACGTCGAATCCCCCCAAGACACAGAACCCAACTACCCAACAGGCTCGAAGTTTTGGTTCACTATCATTGCGCTATGCGTGGTCGTTATCCTCGGAGGCCTAGACGCCAATATCGTCGCAACCGCCGTGCCGAGTATCACTGACCACTTCCACACTGTCGCCGACGTAGGATGGTACTCGTCAGCATTTCGACTCTGCACCTGTGCATTCCAATTCGGGTTCGCGAAACTGTATAAACTCTTCTCAATCAAGACCATTTTTTTCATGAGTAATGTGATATTTCTCTTCGGCTCCTTACTCTGTGCCACGGCTGCTTCGTCGACTATGTTTATTGTAGGGAGAGCAATAACGGGCGTGGGTTTCGCCGGTGAGTTGGCTGGATGTTTTGCAGTTGTGGTGCATATTCTACCTCTCAACAGGCGACCAGTATTTTCGGGTTTGATGGCGTGTGTGGAATCGCTTGCGATCATTGCGGCGCCCATAGTAGGTGGTGCATTGACGCAGTCTTTGGGGTGGAGATGGTGTTTCTGGTATACGTTTCCCTTCACCAGACATGATCTAGATACCCTGAAACTCACTTATTCGTAGGATCAACCTTCCTATTGGCGCTATATCCCTGACAGCCATGTTCTTCCTCTTCTCAGACCCAAGAACCCCCCAAGAGGACGATCTCACAATGGCACAGAAGATCAGAGAGCTCGATCTCGTAAGCAACTGCTTGTTCATCCCATCCCTAACAGCGCTCTTCATCGCGCTATCTTGGGCGGGAACAAAGTATCCCTGGTCAGATGGGAAAGTAATCGGATTGTTCGTTGTATTTGCAGTGTCACTCGGCTCGTTCGTCTTGAATCAACGTCGCCGTGGAGAATCAGCAGCACTCCCTTTCCGCATCATAAAAAGCCGAAGTGTCATCGCTGGCTTCATCTTCACAGCATGCACTAACTCAATGACGAATGTCTTGGAATGGTACTTACCAACATACTATCAAGTCGTTCGATCCAAGGTAAGATTTGGCAGTAAGTTCGCGACTACAAGAAATTGCACTGACAATGTTATGTCCTACCAGACCCCAAGCGAGAGTGGTTACCTGATGATCCCCATCCTCGTTGGCATGATGCTCGGGCTCTTTCTGCAGGGCATCGGTACCACTACGTTCGGCTACTACGCGCCCTTTATGGTCTTTGCTTCCATATGCATGCCAATTGCCGCGGGCTTGATGACAACGTACAATCTCCACACATCCCTAGCCAAAATCATCTTTTATTCCGGGTTCGCAGGCTTCAGTGGAGGCATCGGCTTCCAAGGCTCCCAAGCGGCTGTTCAGACAACGTTGAGTGCCGCAGATGTCAATCTTGGGATCGGGGTCATCTTGTTCGGGCAGAGTATGGGTCCGGCGGTGTTTATCGCTATTGCACAGGTTATATTCACGAATAAGTTGTCGTCAATTTTGAAAGATGTTGTACCGGGGTTGACACCTGCGTATATTGAAGAGCACGGACTTGGCGATATTAAGAATGGAATTCCCGTGCAGCAGTGGGATGAAGTTTTGGCTGGTATCGATCAGAGTTTGACTCAGACTTGGTACCTGACTGTGGCGCTAGCTTGCACGACGATGGTGGGAAGTCTCTTGATTGAATGGCGCTCGGTTAAGCAGAAGCAGTCGTGAGGCATGAATAATTTCTTCATGGTATATTCACGAAACGACATCAATTGATATAGTAAAAATCTTATTCTCTATCATATATTGATTATACCAATGTAAAAAAGTTAAATACGTACGAATAATCTATAAATTGAAGCCAAACTTTCCGATCTTATGGCTTTCAATTATGATATGTTAAAATAAAATCGTAGGAATATAAAAAATCTGGTTTTAAGGCGTCTGATCAATGATGCTGATCTGATGTTAAGCTGTTGCGGTCAGTGCAATTGGGTCTATGTGCTGGCACGGGTGGATCCTGAATGCCAAGTAAGGTCTGATTACTCCACGCTGGTAGCGTGGTAGATTGGAAAAGACCAAGAACCATACAACGATATATTTACCATCATGTCTGCCAACACCGACCTCCCGGATAACACTAAAGGATATACCCAGAAAAGACTAAATACAGTCCGAATACACAAAGACAGAGGTTAGTCAGCGCATCCAGCGTAAGTAATCGTTACTAATTTAGACTCACCGTCTACATGATCAGGGCATTATGATTATGCGACTGTACACTCTATCACCAACTTAACCCTGGTATCACATGTTGCTTTCAACGTCAAGGATGAAGAAGGGGATGGAGAAGATACTCCTATCAACCTACCCCTGACCTGCGTGTTGGGCAGTTATAATCCAGAAATCGACTATGAGAACATCAGCGATGCACAGCTACACTCTGAACACCAAAAGTCTATGCGTACCGGCTCAGTTGAAGCTTATCTACATGGTAACGCAGGGTCGATGTTATACAAAGCAATCAAGGCAAGTGAACATCGCAGTGTCAAGGTCTGCATCACTTCAACAAAGGGTGAGAGCTCTTTTATCTTTTAATTGCGAGACTTATGAAAAGCCATAAACTGACATGGATTAAGTGGACGGTGTCGTTCTTGTTCTTACACCTAATGGCCACTCACTAAACTATCGCTCGGCTGTCATTCATGGAACTGCGTCTATTGTTCCTCCAGAACAAGTTGCAAAAAGACGCTGGGCAATGCGGCTTTTGACAAATCACATGTCTCCAGGGAGATGGGAAGCCACATACCCAGTGGCTGAGTCGGCCATGAAATATGTACAGGTGATTGAAGTTCAAATTCGGACTGCTAGTGCGAAGATTCGAGCTTCAAATATCGGCGGTTTTGACCCTGCTGTTGCGTTAGGTCAGTCACCTGGCTGGCAGCATAAAGATATTTGGTCTGGGATCATCCCCCTTTATGAAGTGCTGGGAAGTCCCATTTCTAGCGGTGTGATGGGAGCGCAAGGAGAGAGTGAAGATGCATTGAAACAGGTAGAAGATTGGCTTTCTCGCCAGAACGAGGATTCTAAAAGCTATGCGGAGGCAGCTGCGGCTGTTTCCTCTGTCGAGAGAGATCTTAGACATCAAATACAGAAATGGCAAGCAAGTCACAGGCAATAGTCACTTAATGCAAGTTACCTGGAAGGAAGCTTTCGGAGAGTCTTCCATCCATCGCGCTTGACAAGATGTGTCTTCCAGTGTTCTTTAAGTCTAACAAACAAAGAAAAAATGACATCTTTTAGATGTTCAGACACTAAGCATCAACTATGGCTGTACTTCTGTCCTCGACTAGCGCAACGTGTGCATCCCGTGCTTCGATTTCCCTTTGTCGAAGTTAACTCATTACTCTAAAAGGGGTACACATTAGGATAATCAACATACTCGTCCCGACGTTGCAAATACAGCGCAAGCGTCAAAGTCAAGGCCGCACAGACGATCAATCCAACAGTAATAGAGTTTCCGACAAGGAACCGAGGAGCGTAGGTTGTATTATATGACAATAATGGAATCCACGCGTTGAACGCGTAACTATTACGGTTAGCTACTGTTGATGACTGGAATTCATATTCTGGGCGTAACTTGCGCAATCGAATTTGTCGAACCGAGAATTATTTTTCTTTCAAGACTATCTCCGGCACAGACCTCATTGACCATAGTCTTTCATAGCTACAGTTAGTATTCTTGACGTCAAGTAAAATATTTCGAAGTGTGACATACTAGGAATACTGGACCTGAACCTTGCGCAAACCTACAAGAATCGTACGTTAGATTGCAATAGGGTCATGTAATTATTTGGGGGTATCATACCCCGTCAAGTAGTAGGATGCCCATTTGAGACCAAATGGAACTCCATCCCAGATTGCCAGATTCATTGCAGCAAAGAAACAGACTGTTAAAGAAAAATAGACGATAGGACTACGGAGTTTGATGGCGTCGCTTGTCCAGCCATATATGAGGGTCGTAAAAATAGTAATTGCGTTGATCACCGTCGGATAAGTGTTGATGTCCGTTACTGGATATCTGTGGTCGTAGATATTAAAATTCACCCTTTCGCATATTTTACTCTATAGAATAACTGAAACCGAGCCTCACCTGTTCAGGCTAGTCAGCCACAAATTCATGTATGATCCAATATTCTCACTACAAATGAAAAATCTGTAGTAGCCGTTAATCCCAGTTCGAAAACAAATCCTAAGCTTCAACCTAGTGAAACGTACGTGTAATACGTCGTATAAACCCAAAAATGCCACCTGCTCAAGACACGCTTGGCTCCAACCCAAGTAATCGGTTCTTCAAGCTGTTTTCCGGCTTTCTTCATACGATCAAGTGCTAATTGCTTTTCGTGAGGCTTTAACCATGGCACCCGTGTGTTGCTAGGTAAGTCTGGTAAAGCAAAATATCCCCATATGGCCATGGGAAAGGTAATTATTCCATCAAAAATGAACAACCATCTCCAACCGGATAGGCCACCAACCCCGTTCATTCCTTTATATAGTGCAGCTTGCTATTATCATTAGTAAACGACCTCAGTAATTTTTTTGGGTGGAATAGCAAATACCAAATAGCCGCTGAACATAGAACCAACAAAAGCCGATCCGAAGAAAATACATGCTCGCTTACCCAACTCTCTTTTCGTGTACCATCCGCCGAGCACCGTGTGGACTGCTGGATAAAATGTGCCTTCAGCAAGACCAACCTGTCACAGTCAGTATCCTTCCTACAATTTTCCGACGAAAAAAATATATTTTCCTCTCCTTTTCTTATTTCTTCGTAAAGGTTTGCGCTTACAAGAAATCGACAGGCGTATAATTGTTGGGGTGTTTTAACTGATGCCGAAGCGAATGTAACGACGACCCAGAATAATTCCCAAGAAGGGCACCACAGTGACAGACGAACTTGAACGAATCTCAATCAACACTCCAGTATTTGAAAATAGTGTCAATTAGTATCCCTCACCTCGCGTGCAAATCACCTGTGACGGGATTTGACTAATAACATAACCACTTCAAGGAGTTAGGGCTTGATTCTTGTCTAGCAACTTGTAACTCACATTGTCCACATCGTCGTAAAAGTCTGGTACTCATTCCCAACTACATGCAGCTCTTGCTTCATCCCCGAAACATAGGCATTTGCTGTGACTTGTTAACTAACTGATGATGACCAATTGCTGAAAGCCCACATACAAACATTGTTTGAATTCAGGTTCTTTGAGAAGTACGAAAATCCAGCCCATGTCCTTTTCCACGAAGTCAGCACTTGTAAACTTTGGAATGGAATTGAGTATTTGTACAAAATGAAAAAATCAATTTTTGATATAAATCGTCTTTCTGCTGGCGGATAGTCGAAAGAGTCCCAAATTATGTCTTTCACTCGCTGACCAATGGTCCTCTTTTGAGCCGACTCAGACGAAGATTCCGTGTCCGTGCTGCCATCTTCTGCTGGATGCACAGGTGCGTTCCGATCAATGGCAGTTTTGCCCTCCAATACTTCACCCATAGTGCTAATAAACCTTGCGCCGATTTACATGTACATGCAAAGGTGCTCAGGGTGACGGTTGGCAAACTAACATAACGATATAGAAATGAAGAGATGTGGAGGAATATCCGTTTTTGTATTTCTCCGTCAACAGTACTCTGTAAAAAACCATTCAGCGCTACAGCTTAGCTATATATAACGCATTACTTGTCTAGGATTGCGTATTTCCTTCACGGTGCTCCACAAAAGTCGATCGAGTTATCAATCGGGGCAGTCGTGCAAGTTTGAGAACATGAAATGGGTCAACTAGAGACCAACAACAATTTTATGGATTTCCTACACACATTTATTTTAGCGGAGACATTCCGACATTAATTATTAAATTTCCTCTTTTGGACTGATTTGTTGGGTGACATGCCTACGCATTCTGGAGGCGACGAATGAACGACAACACGGCCGGTATTTTTAATATTAGCTAGAAATGAGGTGATTGAGAGTGCATGCTAAGATCATCGACGGTGAGCCCCGCACTCGCCTTTCTCTCCGATAGCAAGTATAAACACATCGATCTATTTCCAATTAATAGTCAGTATTCTTTGGTATGTGCAAAAAGTTGGGTCAGGATCACTACTCTAGAGGCGATTACGTGTGCGGACTAAGTCATGACTGCAACGACCACAACGACTACGCTGAGGAGCTACATAGCTCCGCCGCAGACAAAGGAAAAATGTAGGTCTTATCATGAATGGCGTTTATCAAGTCTAATGGTGTTTAGTGGACTGGGCAGAACTCGAGGCACTCGACATCTCTTTGCTGGACCAGCCAGGTGGGAAACAAGCATTGGCAAACCAAGTTCTGAGCTTTATCAATAAAAATGGTACTTATTCATAGATTTATTCTCGGTTTTGTGGGCCATGTTTCCAAACATAATCATTAATTTAATCACTACCAGGCTTTTTCTACGTAACTGGGCACGGGCTCACCAACCATCAAGTGGATCGACAATACTCCATTGCACAGGCATTCTTTGACCTACCACTAGAAGAAAAATTGCAATATTCCTGTGACACGGCGGTTGGTGATTTTCGCGGCTATAAGCCTCGGTCAACAGGTGAACTGGCTGCCAGAGATAATGACGAGCGATACAATATTCCAAAATTCACACTGGAGCATGAACGTCCTCACCCCGAACTGATTCTCCAACACTATGAAGAGATTAAGGACTTCTCTTTGGTATGGGCTTTTCCATGCGTACATACTGCCTTTTCCACTCTACTAATTCAATCCAAAAATTAAGCACATTCATAATAAAATCCTTCTACCTCTCCTTCGTCTATTCGCCTATGTACTCGAAATCGATGAAGAATATCTTGTGCAAATCCATCGATACGAGGCAAAGGGCCTTGAATATCTCCGATATATGCAATACTACCCGCGCACGGTAGAAGAAGACGCGAAACTAGGAAATCTATGGGCCAAAGGCCACACAGATTATAACACGCTCACATTCCTCTTCCATCAGCCAGTTGCCGGTCTGCAAGTTCAACAACCCGACAATACGTGGAAATATGTCAAATCAGAACCTGGACCCATCATCGTTAATATCGCAGACGCCTTGGAGTATCTCAGCGGAGGTTTCCTAAAGTCCACAGTTCATCGCGTTACCCGTCCACCGCCAGATCAAGCTGATAAGCCTAGGCTTGGTCTGATTTATTTTGCTAGGCCAGAAGCCGAAGTCAAGATGAAGCCAGTACAGAGTCCGCTCTTAGAGAGATTAGGATTGCAAGTACCAGCTGCTCAATTGAAGGCCTTGGAAGAGGTAACTGCGGAAGGTTAGTTTCTGACTTGTTCGTCTGAAATTGTGTCTACTAACCAATGGTAAACTCCTGGTAGATTGGGCTCGCGCTCGCATCGCCAAGGATCATAGATTTCGTACTGGAATAGTCAAAAAACAAGAGACTGAGATTCTTGCAGGCGTACATCAAAAATATTACGATTAATAATTTAGACCATTGTTAAATATCACTTCTGTAGGACCAACTCGTCGTTTTACTGACCTTCACTAGCCCAGGCCACGAGGGGACTACCGAATCTGCCAATAACTTTTTGATTAGTTCTAACCTGCTGAGACTCTACTCACAGTGGAGCTTTGTGGTTTCACGCTCTAATGTGTGAATTTTTCACAAGCTTCAAATTGATCCGTTTTCAATTCACGCGAAGTTAACGTGAATATCATTGTTGAATAAATTGAGCAACGTGTTCGCTTAGCGCCGAAGTCTAAACATGGTTGAGTTGCAAATAATGCAGCAGCCTACTAAGGAATTTTCTTTTAAGAATAATGCGCTTCCAAAATAACGCGAAAAAACCTAAATAACTTCGGCCCACACATAAACAACATTCCTAGTATTCAGGGCAATTTTACCAACAATGTCCTTCTTCACTCGAATCCACGCGTCCATATTTGGCTGCTCGAGTGCAGAAGCAAAAGTTGGTATTATCGGGATTAGCGGCGTCGGCAAAAATACTCTGCTGCGTCGTGTCGCTGAAGGCGAGATTCAGACGATTTTTCACTCGAACAAGTTTTTAAAGTACAAAAAGGGGCAGAATTATCACCTCCGAATGAACTTTATTATGAGTTATGTTGGATATGACGAGCCTCCACTGGTCAAACGCTGGTATGCGGAGCAGTTCTGCGATTCAGATGGAATGATTTTTGTAGTGGACGATGACCTCGTTAGTAGATCAGAGCAAGCGGAGTGGCTGCAGGCCTATGCGAAAGGGTTCATACCATCACACTCGAAAGGAAATGTCGAAGAGATTAAGGTCAAGGAGGGAGTACCGTGGTTGATTTTGGGGAATAAGAAGAAGGTTGATGTAAGAAATAACTTCATTTTGGTTATATCTTCATGCTCAAATGGCAAATACATGTCACTCACATGGGACAGAGCACGATGACTGTAGATGAAATCGAACGAACGATGGGGCTCGGCGAGCTAGAGATTGATTTGGTAAGTTAGATGAACTTGCCAGTAGTAAAGCGGCACGGATATTCTAATCAGGTTTTTTTAGCATATTGAGGTAGTGAACATGACACATTCTACCGAGGAGATTGCCAATGCCATGAAGTGGCTGCGAAAGAGAATAGACACGCCGCTAGACCAGAGACTGCAGATGACACAAGTGAAATGATAACCAATCCTCTGTCGAAATTGAAGTTATGACGTGTCACATTGGGTTACACATTGATCGCACTGTTTCACTGTTTCATTATTATCCACACCGTGAGCCAATGTAAATAGCGTGGGTATTTGCAGTTCTGATACAATTCATTGGTGCTCGGAACAAGCTGCCATATGGCTTAAATGACTTGTTCTATACAATCAACAAAGACTTTTCAGATTTCTTTGAATTTTTCACGGTGGAGTTTTTCGTTTTGGTAATATTGACGTCGTACTTGACACTGGTGCGAGTCAATTAACCTAGAGGGCGAGTTGGCCGGGTGCGGGCCGAGCTCTGAGCTTATAACGACGCGCGTCACTCCAGGTTGTCATACGTCTGCATAACCCCGCACGAGAATGTAAAATTTCAGAAATATGACGGGGCCAACACCAAAATTATACGCAGGGGAGACTCTTGACACTGTGTCGGGGTTTCCAACGCTGTACAACTTCTTCCCTGCAGACGCGAGTAAGCCGATAGTGGTTTTCATTCCCGGTGCAGGACACAATGCTCGCATCGCTTACGGGGGTCATGAAGGGTCCAGCCAAAAGGATTTCCTGGCATATTGGATCAATGGTCATGGCTATGGGTTTTTAGCCGTCTCATACCCACTCGAGAACACGCCTGCCATCATGCCAGCTATTGCACCTCAATTCCGTATTCGCGATTGGGGCAAGCAGGCGGCCGAGGTAACCCATCACATAATCAAGCAGCATAATCTCTCGAGCAGAGTTGTGCTATTATGCTGGAGTATGGCTGGAAGGATAGTCGTACCTTATAGTATTGCTGCAAAATCCGTAGGCCTTCATGTGGACTTATTTGTGTCTCTCGCAGCCTCCCCGGGAATGCATGGAACGCGACCACCACCGCCAGGAATAACGTGTTCAGCATCGGGATACGCTGTATATGCTAGAATGATCGAATTATTTCTTATACAGATTCACGAACAGGAAAACAACCTAAATCACGGACGTACGATTATACCTGATGAGGTCTTCAAGCGAGAGTATTTTGGATTTACCCCAGTCTCTCTTTTAGGATGGAATCTTGGTTATGACCGGGCCACTCATGGTCAAAAGTTTTCCGAAGATCTGTTTACATCGACCAAAGATGCAGCAGTTGATCAGGCAGAGAATCTACCCGTGATTGCAGCTTTGACAGGCCATAGCGTGTTGGATGCTAGACATTTGATAATGGACCAGGCAACATGGACTTTTATGCTCATGCAGAAGTTTATGCGTACCATTGAGATCTCAAAGGGAGTTCACGGCTTAACCCAGGCTCAAGGGACTAGGCTAGCTAAGATGGCACATTCTATACCCGGGAGGATTTCCATGACAATCCCAGGGAATCATTATTTCTTCATTGGAGAGTGTGGAGCACGCGAAACAGCACAGGCTATAATTGATAGCTTAGAAATGGCGGCTACATTGGAGCACGAGTTTGATACTCTGTTGAATAGTTAGAGACCATTTGAAAGACTGATGAACAGACAGCTACACGTATCTTTGTAATGCTTTCTTTTATTCCACATGTTAAAATAAAATTTGTATCCAATTTTTTGATAATATAGGAGAGTATTACTGGTCTAAATTTGTTAAATGAACTCACTTGAACATGTCTATTGGTGGAGGCTATGTGGGATGGTGAATACCACTAGGTTCCGGCGTCAATTGAAAAAGGAAAAAAAAACAAAAGAGAAATAGAAGTAATGAACGGAGTTATTTTACTCAAGAGGTCGGACTGGGTTCTCTATAAGGATAGGCCTGACATGGTATGTGAGTTTCTTTTATGCTCACTCTATGAAGCATCGCATCAATTGCTGGTCCCATGATTATTCATTGGAGAAGGAAGGCCGTTAACCAAGGTCTTCCGGCTGAATACTTTTTACGTTATCTCATGCCATTTTTCTTCTTTCGTGTTGCTATTTCGTTCTTTTCTTCACTTGTTTATTTTATAAGTTTAAAGCTGCGAATACGGTTTTCATATTTCAAGGGGTATTTTGTAATAGCTAGTCGAAAGCTCAAAATTCAAATCAAAGGCTACTATACATTTTCGAAACAGTCTACTCGCCAGTAACCAGCCAATATACTCCTCCTATTATACCAGCCGCATATAATGCTGTTAAAATGCCCGCACCAGCCTTGTCTGCCGTCGTAATCGCTGGTGCTTGATACATATTCCCTGTGTTGTCACCGGTGCCTGCACCGGGGTTACTGGTGCTATTCCCGCCCGTTGTAGATGTCACGGGGCCTGATGTTATATTATATGGAACTAGATTCGCCCAGAAAATATTAGTAGCGCTCATCGATTCTTCCAGACCAATCCACCCATCCCATGATTTGATTGACCATCTCACACCACAGGTGTTATTCCCGTATCCTGTGCAAGCATCTGCAGCTGACTCAGCCGAAGTTTTCAGGGTGGGCATTATAGTGTTGTATGTTGACGGGACAACGATAGCTGTAAATGCAAGCCAACCTGCAACAAGACCCTTGAAAATGATTTCGTTGTTGTTGCAGACCTCGGTGGTTTCACATTCCCAATCGGCTAGCGTATTGTTATATGTTGCAGAAGCGAATGTGCTCAATGTAGAGTTCGTCAAACCATTGACAGGACCAAGCCATGTTTCAGACCCGTTTGTCTATGTTCGATCGTCCCGTTAGTTCTTTCCGTGGGAAATACGTATTCCGTGAGGTCTAACTCACATAATTATACATATAGGCCGCACCCATCAGATAAGCGCCGTAGTTATACGACCACCGTGTGTGGTCAGGAGATGTGCAATTATCGCTGAGGCTGACGGAATCCGCAACAGCCCATGTCGAAGTATCCACCAAATGAGATGTAGACCAGTCCCAAATCTTTTCTGCCCAATCCGAATATGTCGAGTTTTCAGTATAACGAGCTAAACGTGCAGCCAACTGGAAGAGTCCACCATTCGAAATGGCGTTTTTCATGGTATAGCCAGTCTCCCAGCTCCAGATCTGCCATCGCATTCCTCCTCCACAGTCTGCAGCATCCCACCGTTCGACTTGGGTGTTGAAGACGCCTTGGGCGAGGGAAAGCCACGAATACCCGCCCGATACCTCAGGATAATTAAGTTCGGCCGCTGTCATGGCTGCAAGTCCCCAGAACATCTGGTCATCGTTTCCCTGTAATGAAACTGCAGTTAGCCACCAAATAATCAGGGATCATATAACAAACGAACTCACGATATAACTGCTATAATTCGAAGGCATATAGTCCCCATCACCAGCTTGCCACTGCATACCGGTACTAACTTCGTTGTTATAAGTCGTATCTCCGGTGTAATACCAATATTGGATTAAGGCCATGAACATGGCGCCACCTTCCCACCATGTATTGGGAATTTTTCCTGGGATTTGGCCGGTCTCGTTGCCTGTGTAATGGATCATCATCCCGTACGCTGCCGAGCTGGCCGCATTTGCTATGGACTCTGCAAAACGATCACAAATTTGTCAGCCCACGTCAGGGCGAGGGATATAGAAGGCAACTGTGAAATCATAACCTACGTCTGTCAGTGATATCTAAATCGATAGCCCCTGTAACTGGTGCCAGAAACAGGAGAGGTAAGATGATTATTTGGTCCAGCCATGATTTGTAGCACCTCATTATACCACAGTTCAATTGTCGTTCGGTGTTAGGTTCAACTGATAGGAGACAATTCAATCACACGTAAGGGTAAAGGCTTGGAAATCTCCACTATAGGAATGAAAATACAGGATTAGGTGGTGAATTCAAAGAACGTATGGAGTAAGTCCGGTTTTGTGTCAATATAATCAAGACTTCCTTCGGCAGCCAGGTGGCTGTCTACATATGAAGACGAAGTCGTCAGGAGAGACGCGTCATCTTCTTTTGGGCATTCAGTACTCCGTACCTGCAACACACCATCTAACCTCGAGGGGCCTGTGGGGCCCTACGTTGTCAGTGGTGTTCCCCATTGGCACGATCTGCCGTAGATTCATATCGAATTGTCTTCCGAGAGGCGTTGAGTCCTGAGAACAGTTATATACATAGAAGATCATCCCTGATTCTGCGACTGCCCGGTTGCAAATCCCTATTCCACAAGCTCGTTGCATAGTTCGCTCACTTAATTGAGACACGCAACATGGTGCCGCTAGATGCGTGGAATGGTGATGTCTGAGGGCGTTGTGACACAGAGACTAGACTTTTACTGTGTCAACCCTGCGCGACAACCCTTGGCTCTAGCTCGGCGGAGAGGGACGCTAAAAAAAAGCTTCGGTTATGCGCTGTCCAATCAGTGAGCAGGCTTGCGCGGCAAATGATGCGGTGCTTTCTATCTATTGGTCAAACTAGTGTTCCAGTGGGGCCGGTTACGAAGCCAATCTTGAATAGCTTCACTGCTACCTCTTCTGCTGCTTCTTCTTTCTATTTCTATAATTATTTGCCTATTTTATTGCTGACGCTTGATGTCTCATATTACGCATCGATGAGGAATATATCCACACATATAGTAATTTATAATTTGATGAATACCGGCCATTTCCAACCAGCAAGAAACCTGCCCCTGTTTGAGACACTGACGTCTCAGGTTACAGAGACCCGCACTGGTCTCGTAACAAAGTTGAGGCCTGTATAAGCTGAAATTATATCTTTATAATCAATATTGCGCTGCAATTTGCAGGCTCTGGTGGTGACGCTGATGTATCAATTGATATGTATATATTTTATCGGTGTATGATGGATGTCTTTCTGATTTGAGGTATGACAGCAGTGTGTGGGATGCTAGGGAAGTCTTTGGGGATATTTTTGTTGTCATACGATCACACGGCAACTCACATCAATGAGGTGTTGATAATTTGCTTGTTATTTCGCTTCCCTCATTCTGGCCCGCAAGCTGCCGCTAGTAAGTGGTAATTAATTGGATATGTTCTCTCCGATATGGAAATCAATAACAATTAAGCACATGGTGTACTGAAGTCTTTGTCAAATCAATGTCTTACCTTCGGTATGTAACCTTGAAGGGTGAAATCAAAAAAATCAAGCTCAAAGGCAGCGAGCAAAATCGTAAGAGGAGGATTACAGACAGTGGAATAATCCGCATTCTGGCTAACGCGGCAACATACAGCACCGATGCTTCTTACGGTCATGTGAATGCTAAAACTTGTACTTGTTCCATGCATGCCCGGGGTCATGCATATGAGGCATTTTTGAACCAAATATATACTCGTTAGCCTGTTTATTCAAATCAAGTCAACGAAGACAAGCCAACAGCTGAATGAGTTTGAAGAGAATCTTCATTGGGAAGCTTACAGGAAAACTAAGTTACATGTAATTTTCAGACGTGTGATACTCTAGAGATGGCCCAGGGTAGTGACATCGTTAAAGTTTTCTCATCCGGCCGTGTTTACTAAATTTCTCGACTTCTCTTCTACCCTTTCAGTTTCTTGGGGTTTTTTCTTCTGTAACTAATAAGATAGCCAGTCCAACGCATATAAACCAATATTGAAAATACGGAAATAGTCACCATCATAACCATTATTAGTCAACTAGAATTCTACGATGTTAAAAGTTAAAAATAGAATGAATGTAAATTAACAAAAGCCAAGAGGACTATCGTGGCCCAAAGCTTCTTCCTATAGACCTGGTACTTAACCCAGTATAGTGTAGTGTAGTCTTTGTGTGTGAGATCTCATATTCTCCGAAACCAATTTTCCATCATATTGCTGTTTCTTTGTAGATGACTCTTTTAGGTTTCTTGTTTAACGTAGTTAATTTCTCATTTCTTATATTCTACTTCAGTTACATATTTGATAAAGAAATATAATATAACAAAGAAATTTATTGACTTTTCACTCTGCGAAATTGGACTTCTGAAGATACATATATGACAAACATCCAGGGATCGAGAGCATCTGTCTCTTCCAAGATTCTTCCTAAATCAACACACAATATCTCGATTCATTCTGAATGACTACTTATAACCCAAGCGGCAATTCATCGAAATCATGCGATCTTTAATTCTTCTATTCATACTCCTAGCTGGAGCAATGGCAACACCTTTATCGAGTTCCTTATTTTCGAGATCATGTACCTACGGGGCTTGGGGCTGCTGCGGGACTCACGGGGGGTCTGGTACCAACGCAACTTGCCAATGCAATAGTTCTGGTCAGTGGGTGGTGACAGCGGAGTGTAGCGTCGACTGTTGCAGCGTGGAAGGAGCCCGAGCCTTTTGTGTTTGCTGATTTATTCGGTGAGTCTGCTATCATTGCGGCGGGTCTCAGATATCATCAGATGGATGAAATTGCTAACATTAAGTGTCAAAGAGACTCCGCTGAACTATTTCACGGGCGATTGTTGTTCGGAATTCGAACGGATTTGCGTAGCCTCGTCAAGTTATATCTAGCTTAGCCTTCCAGGCTTCTCAGTTATTATACGATTACAGTGGACTTTGATTGTCTTCTACCATCATGTTGGCAGTTTTGATGAACTATGGAGCCTCTCAATCCTCACTTGCATTCTGTGCTGTATAAAACCGACTAGGAACCATGAATATCGAAGCCAGTACCAAAGTTTCGCTTGGAACTTCATCTTCAGGTTTTAAACACGTCTAAATATTGGTGGTTTGGTATGGATAATTAGGTTACATCAAAGATAACTTCTTCACATCCCCACCCATCAAGTATCGTATACCCATTACCATGATACACATATTATGGCTTTCGACAGAGTCAAAGTTGATGTACATAATTGGTTATCTTCTCACTTTCTAGAAATGCTACACATGTAGGATTTAGAAACGCCTTAGTATGATCGAGTGTATCGTATATTGGTCGATTTCATGGTTTTACTAACATACATAAACTATGACAGTTGAAGAGAAATTGAAAAAGTGGGATTCTAACAAAAGCCCAAGGAGTAACTAGAAGCTCTGGATCATATCCATCCGTGGAACCTTCATGCGCAGTGTTGAACAGTTCACGGAAACCACCACCAGAATCAGAATTTATCCCAATACATCCAGAGTACTCTCCGCGTGCATTAATGCACTCTGCAATGCTATTAAACGTAAAATTAGCCACCGCCCGGCCGGTCTCAATGGGGTAGAAATGACCACAGTTAAGGTTAAAAACCTGCTTAGAGGAGTTGAGGGAGATACTATTATAGTTATAGTTTGAGTAAAGGTTAATATGGCTTTTGCTGTCTTATTGACCGTAATTATATTGATGATTATGTTGTAGTAGAGGCTAGCTTGTTAATGATTGCAGATGAAACTACAATCGTAGTAGCACTAGCTGTCTGATTTTCTGTTTTTAGCATAGTTACTATGTCTGTTGAGTAGGATGTGGTATCAATGAGATCAGTAGTCGCCGATGTGACTATCTGTAGGACAGTCACAAGCACCTAGGAAGTCTTATCGATTATAGTAGTCGCAGACACCACATCGTCACTTGTGACCGTCACCAATTCTATCACATGTACAGTTGCTGTTGCGGAGACGGTCGGTTGTGAATGATCAGCATTGCCATTTTACATATTTCTGTAATCATGAGAAGGGCACATACTACTATTGTCCGAGTAACCTTATATCCAGTTGTCGTCAGCGTCTTGGTGATGATAGAAGCTTCGACCAAGCATGAGCAAGTACGTCTTAAATCATTGACTGTAATTTTTTTGATCTCGTGTAATCAGCTGCTTCGCAGACAATCTAGAAATTTGCATTGGGACTCTGGTGCTCGACATCCATCTTCCTCGTAGTTATGGTCATTGACCTCCCTTTTCTTTAAATAGGTCGTCGCAGTAGTAGTCTGTTACTGTTCACTGTAGACCTAGTTTTGGTCGTTGTTGGATGTACTGTAGAAGTCCTGGTTAGTGTCTTTTGAATATACTCGCTGTAGAATGCACTCGCTTCTGGTAGTAGGAGAGGATCTTGGAAAAGCCACCAGACAGGGTCATTGGTGCACTGTAGAAATAAGAAAGTAGTCCTTTAGCATTTATTGAAAAGGATTATATCCGGATTACCGAATTTTTACCTGTGGGAAAGAATGGCGAGTCTCTTTAGCGTGAGAATCGCCACCAAATGGTCGTGCAAAAGCTTGAAGAGCTCCTCCTAGGCCAAGTAAGAATGAAACAGGCCTTTTATTAATCTATTTTAATAATGTAGAAACAAGAGACTATAACCTTACGACACTACAGACGAAGGGCATCGGTGCCGGGAGAGTTTTGGGATTTCCCCAGGGTTATATATACAACGTATCTACACCTCGCTACTACGACAGAGGACCGTTCATCGTTTATTTCTCCGAATTTTAGGTTGAGCCTCATCAATTAATTCAGGTCATTATTTATCTAGATTTAAGTGTACTCAAACGAGAATCAAGACTTGGTGTGCCTCTAAATGGACCTGCCAACAACAGGGAGTACTTGTCCACGGGGGCAAATCGCCACGTCGGTATTTGGTTCTCCAATAAAATTCAGGTAGAGAAATTAAAGCTTCGTTAGAACCTACTAGCTTTTTCTAGGTCTAGGATCGTGTTTGGTCTGGAATAGTACCCCAGCCGTTAAATGGCAAAATATAGCGAGGCAAAAATTGTTCGCACCAAAGCACAGGCCCTTAATCAAGTTTCGACAGTCATCTGACGTCAGGCAGAAAATATTAAACATTTAATGAGCAGAAATACCTGCACTATCTAAACAATTTATATGTTCAATACTGCAATTAATAATATTCCGTCTTTTTCAATGATCAAAAGCTATGAGCAAATACTACTTGTTTAACCACACTTAGCTAGTTGCAGATACACCTATGCTTATTAATTCACTGCTTGCAAAAGTCCAGTCGCAGCAGCTTTTTTTGCAGGTACTTTTATGTCTCTCCCCCCTCTACTTCGAGCATTGTCCTTCCCAGCCTTGATTGCCACTGCTCTATGTGACTCCCACTCTCTCGCAGTCATTGTTGTGTCCTCTTCACCTTCTTCCAGAGGCGGGATTATGCTATCGCCTCCAGCTAGTCTCTTCATTGGCGCATCCCCGAATGGCCGAACCAAATATGCCAGACTGTAGCGAATAGACTTACTCTGATCACCTGGAGCAAAAGTCACACGATGCAAGTTACTACGCAAAATACCTGCACTCCATTCAACCATGGCGTCGCCCAGGTTAACAATCGCACAGTTAGGCTGGGGTTGAACATACACCCAGCTATCATCGTCCTTGGCATCGGCACCAGCTGGGAGTATTTGCAGTCCCCCAATGGTATTGAATAGAATCGTCAAAGATCCAAGGTCGGTATGGCCAAGAAGACTTGTGCGACGGTCCCCTTCAGGCTGTGGTGGATACCGAAGCATCCGGAGTGACGTGCCGGAGGGACGACCCTGCGGCTGAAGTGAGGAAAGTGTGCCTTTAGGGAGTCGTAGTTGGCTATCTAGAATATCGCAAATTAAATCGGTCACCACATGCGCCTGCTGCATGTATGCTTTGATATCCGACCGGTTTTCTTCAATCAATGGAGGATTTGGAAGTGTCGCCGAAACTCCAGTCATGTCATCTTGTCCGACATTGTAGAATTCAACGCGATCCGGTCTGCCGTCTTCAATTTTGAGATTTCCGAGATGTTTATACCTGCCGATCTATTCAGCTTGAAGGGTTCAACACCTTGTATATACCTCGCTCTAGACATACCCGAAGAGATGGTGTGGTGGCCTGTAAGCATATTTCATCAACTCGTCTTGTTCCAGATTATTGACATCCTCGTTGATCTCAAACATGCGCTCAGCACGCTGAAGGAAGTTTTGACCTTCAACGCAAGTGCTGAAATCGAGCAAGAAAAAGCCCAATGTTCGTGAGGCTTCAAAAAGAGCCTCCGATTCAACCTCATCTCCAGTCAAAAGTTTGGCATATGACAATCGATTGAGCTTCGCGATAGGGACATCACTAGGGAAAGCAGGGAGCTTGCTAAAGTATTGATCGGTAGGCATTTTGTTCTGAGATTTTGTATCAACTGATATTCGGTTGTTTGATGAAATCAAGTTTCATCAAAGCTATAAGGGATCGACTATGATGGAATGCTATCAAGACACAAGTTGTTAATCATAAAATGAAAACATCGTTGCTTACTTCCCCTATTGCAGACGAGTTAGGAAAGTAGTACCAATCAATCGAACTAGACCAACTAGAACCAACAAGATGCCCCGCGCCGTGACAAGAACTACGCTACAGATAATATTCGCCATGTATTATTGATACAGTTATCTCTCAACTCTATGGACAATGTTGTTCTGGGGTTGAGAACGTCAAGAAATGATTCGTGTGGATCATAACGTAAAATTACCAATAAGACGAAGAACCTTTTTGCAGTCAGCACATGTGCTGCAATCGATACAGGTGCCACAATGCACAGTCCATGTCGGAAGGACGATCAATGCCCCATAGAATAGATTTTATCATTACTATGTCCACTGTTAGGTAAAACAAGCTTGCACGGGTTTTCTAAGTGGGTATTATTGACTACTGATTATTGTAACTTGACATACTAGTTGCATCCATGCCGCCGAGTGTCCACATCTAGTTTATATTATGGGATGCAACTTATACCGAGAAACTTCTAAGGCCGTGCACGGCTTGCCAAGACCCCATGGAATAGGCGAAGACCCTAAGCCTTTAGGCTCTTCGAAAATACCGTCGATTTGAGAGTAGTAATAACAATACACTGATAGAGGCGTCCCTAGTGAGTAATGATAATCACCAGGGGTGCTACCGGCGTAGCAAGTGGACGGAACGTCGTACGAACAAGTGTAAACTTTTGGCATGGTACAGCTCGCAGCTCTGATATAGGTATTTATGTTTGCGTGTTTTCAGTTGTTAATTCGTAATTCTACTGGGTACAGGGTTCTTTTTTACCCCTCGGAATCAATAGACTGTAATTAAGATGCACCATCGGTCTTAGTGCTCCGAAATTTGAGCACTATCCATATCGAGCTCAGCCCGATCGCACGGCAAAAAGCAAAGTGAAACGCACAATCTGGTTTGATGATTGATCTAATCAGTGCCATGTTACTAAAGGTTCAATGATATGATCGAACACCCGATCGTTTCCCATTATGTAGCGTACACGCTAAGGGCTGCTAAACCATGTATGTCCCACAAGGAGCGCGGCATATGCCGTTATGTTGGTTTCCAAAACGCCAGAATGTTCATCAGCTTCTTTCACAACCTCGGCGTCGGGTTTCAACCTATCTCCACTCAAGTCATTCAAGAAGGGTCAAAGAAAAAAGTGGAAAAATCAGTGCATAATGGATGAATCAAATCGATCACACAATCGAATATCCGTAAATCTGGGTTGCCCCTTGGATATCGGCCGACTTCAACCACCAGCCATAGGGTACTCCGAGTAAATTTGGGTTTTCTTGTGGATTTGCAGCCTAGTGGATTTATGAATGGTTGTCTTCTGTATGGCCCCCACGGCTGTATGTTCAAATATGCAGAATGTAATAATACTGCTCAGATTTCCATGATGGCTTCATGCATATCTATAAAAGGATTGTTAAGATGATAGATCACAAATTATGGCCTCCCAATATCCCTTAACCCCGCCCGCCCACTGGAGAGTTAAAAATCCATAATACGGAAAAACTAGCCAACCCCTTCAAGGTTCGGTCAGTAGTACGCGGTTGGAAGACCGGGGGGGGGGGGGGGGGGGAGCTTACGGTGATGTCAGGGCCTCGAATTTAGTAGTGTTCACCTAAGTAGTAGTACTACGGACTTCATGGGCAGATATAGATAACAGCAGAGTCCGGGCATGGCAAACTGCAAAGTAATACCGTAGTGTGCACTCCAGATCCCCTACCTATTTTACCTTGGCTCTTGTTTTGGGTCTTTAGGCTGCCAGCCTTCGTCGTAACGGTGTTTGGGGCTATGAAGATTGTCTATCATACCAAAGACTAGGCAGAAAATAGAGAAAGAAAATTGATGGAGTATGCACTGTAATCTTTACATGTTTTGGTGCGCCACAAGGGCATCTGTGTGTTGAAAAAGCCGGAATGAAAGCCAACCCAAGTATTTTATTTGCAGCAGACTCCATAGAATAATGCGTTATCACGTAATTGAAGGTATTAAGTAAACAGAACCAAAGCGTAACAGGTTGGATCGTAGCCAAATAAAAAGGTTGCGTTAGAAAAGTGAAACTTGTTCCTCGTCACTTATGCTTGACTATGTTCAACTGTAAAAGACTGGGATAGTTTTATACGATTTTCTTGGTTCATGGACTTAAGCGGTATCTCGCTTTCAGTACTATGAACACTTCCAATATCGGCTCGAGAGGCATGAGTGGTCTCCGTAAACGAATATTTGTTTGGGCGAGAGTTGTTGCTCCGTAGGCGATCCGAGCCAATGGTTGGTACAGCACCCCCGCTCATCTTGTTGTACTTGTTGTAGCTGCTGCTTTGGTTTGGTCGTTTGAAAAGCGGCATTAAAGTAGGAATGCATGCAGCGATAGTTCCCACAGAGAATTCTAGTTCGGCGACGATAACAATGGGGACAATTGTATCTATGTTATCTTGTTAGCTGATATTAGATAAACAATGGAGGTTGTCATAAATGACATCTTACAAGTCTCATCTTCTGCAGTCAGGTTCGGAATAAATGCATTACGTAAGGCGTTTGCGATGGTTGCCATCAGACCCAGGCTCATTAGGGCGCAGATAGCGATTTTCTTTTTTAAACTGATCTGGATCTTCCATAAGATGACAATGGGCGAACCAGTCAAGAACAGATCCGCCAAAATGGCAAAGGCAGACTGCACGTAGGATACGTTTAAGGGCGTCTTCTCGCTCATACACCTTCCTTTGATGGTCGGCGTCCATAAAGCCCGCAGGGGAATGCATTGTAGTCCAACAACGAAGCATAATACAAGGGTGGTGATTATTAGAGGCGTCAACACACCCCAGATGGCCAGAGAAAATTTGCGACTTTGCTTTAGGCGAAGCAAAAAAAATCCAATCGACATCTTCGTGATAAGAGCTCCGGAAACATTGAGAATTTGATAAATGGCGTTCCATTTAAGTATTTCAAGGGCCGAGTGTGTTGGGTCAGGGAGGTATATCAAATGGCGACCCATTCCAGCCGAAACCATATTAGAGAGCACAACATCGCCCGCGATTAGAACCCCCTATTGAATTGTTGAATGTTAGATAGCTGGTCAACCGAAAAGAATGAGAGCTGAGTGGGGAATTACCAAGGTGACCACAATCAGTACATCGTCATATCCGAAGTTCTTTACCACCATAAGTCGCACATAACAGCGAAGCGCAACACATATGACTGCCACCGCTAGGAATGACCAGGTAACTCCATTGACAGCAGGCCCGTTATCATGATCAGGATAGGGAGGAGGACTCGACGAGGAAGACATTTTCGTCTAAGATAAGCGTGGGTAAAAGAAAACAGGAACGGACGAGATGTTCATACATAAGCATGTGTGATCAAGTTAAAGATTGACTGTTTTGATGGATTGCTCTGCTGATGAACATTGAACTAACGATGCTATACCCAGTGGGGCTACTTTCGAGTGAAAGCAACTTTCAAACCGGGAAAGACGCACGCCTTCTACAGAAGATGCGGACTATGGTGAAGTAGGGCACGGGACCTTGTCCCGTTTAGCGCGGGATGGACTAAAGTTACCGATTATGCATGATAGCCGCCAATCAATATTACTTTCTCAGCTAAGCAGACTTCACGTCTGAGGAGTCATGGTTCTCCACCGATAATCTTAAACCGAAAACTGATGTGCCAAGGCAGCCGGGCCCTTCCACGTATGACAGAGTGTCTTTGCGGCCACCGCGTAATAACAAATGCAACTTCGGACTGCGAACCATTTTCACTCCTGGCACGGACATCGTTAATAATTGCAAGCTCCTTGTGCTGCAAGCAATTTCTACTTAGGGCTCCTTCATAATCCTATTATGAACCATTTAACGAGGTAAGGTGATATATTGTGCGATTTAAAGGATTGCTCGCCCAATGATCGGCTCACAATGAGTGGGTCGACCTCTAATAATGAGGTTGCTTATTTCAACACATTGGTACGGAGTACGAGTACTGCATAATGGAAGAAACTCCCCAACAACCGGATACACGTATCCATAGTCATGAAGGCTATTGATTTCTGTATGGAAATCGTTCTGAGTAGGGGTTGGCAATGGGTGCACAAGGAATGACTAGTCAATGGGTCTGTAATAATTAATCAATATATACAATTTAAAGTCCTGATTGACACGTATCAGGATGAGAACACTACGAAGATCGGCCCGCTGGTTTGCTTCTTGTTGTAAGTTGAAACCCGGTGTCGGGCCGGCCACCGCTTCGGTCCCTACCTAATTCGTTCGCGCATGACGCCTTCCAGCTAGCGTCTTCGCTTGTTAGTTTAATGATGTAGGACACGCTTTTGGAACATTTTTAAAATACAGGAACAGTATACGCATACGTACGGCTCAAACGAGGAACAACCCGTCTTGTCAATTACTCTATTCGGATATTGTGGCCCACAGCTACCTGTCTTAGGGCAAGGAATCACCCGAAATCGTTTACATCCCACCAAATCTGAGCTCTTATTACTTCTGAAAGTCATTCAATGCAATCGACCTTGAAATCGGCTGGTCCATAAACCCTGGTTTTGAGTTTTAGGGTATCTACATGTCCGTTCCTCCTTAATTTTCTGTGCAGGATTGTTAGACGCTTCTTAGTAATTCACTGACCGTAAAAGCGCATGCGTATTTATAAAAAGAAGCATCAGCTGAAGATGTCATAAAATAAGTAACACTCTATGAATAGACGGTTGCATCATGATATATGCAGTCGGTTGGCCCCCAATATCCAGTCATAAAGTGGGACTCCATATCCAAGACTTTTATCAACCCGCACAAAGAGAGAAACGCCATAGAATATAGCAGCCTTGGCTAAATTCCGTCCCTACTAGTATGTTAGTTTTAATAATGGCAGAGCGAAGATCGACATCAACCAGACGCTCCAGTATTTGTAGGTGGCTGTATCAGAGTGGGGATCGCGCCACAATAAAACCCGTACAGACACGATACCTGCCAGAATACAGGGAATAGTGGCTGTCATGACCCGTATGTAATAACCAGGAAGCGACGACGAGACTGTTGCGAGCCAGTATGCTGGTGTGAGAATTGACCAGGTCAAAACTCCGACAGTGATCGTCCAACGGGCGGGAATATCACCAATTGCCAAGGGCGCCGTACTCCGTCCTCGTGCACGGTCACCCTCTTGATCCTTAAGGTCTTGCACATGCATAGTAGACAGTATAATAGCAGATACTATACCGAGCCACGAATAGCCCCCGTCGTTCAGCCCAGAGCCAAGTGAAGAACTCCCAGCGACGCGCATTGCTCCACAGCCGTAGGCGAAATATGCCGCGCTATTAACGCCATTGCGAATTAGGAAGTGCTCATCAGCCCCTCCAAGATCATTGTACATCCATGTCAGCAAAAGACAGACAATGGTTTCTTGCACGGCCCCAAGATAGCTGTGGCAAAGAGCCACGACTAATGGAATTCCTACGAGGAGAAGACGTCGTGCCTGAGACGGACTAATGCGTCCGGCTGGCAGTGGCCTCCAAGGCTTATTGATGGCATCTTCGACCATCGCCTCCTCGCTCCTTTGGTTTGATATTGAGAAAAGGAGCACATTGATCCAAACCCAGAGAAAAGTCTGGGGGATTCGACTGAGCGTCTCCCGCCACATTTCGGCATCTGTTGGCGTTATCTGAATCGACAGGGCGGCACATGTTCCCAAACATGTGACAGGAATGATCATTGTAGGAATGTCGTTCCGTGGGAACAAGTATAGTGTCTTCAGAAAAGAAGGTAGAGACGATCTGGACATCTTCTCGTTATGAGCACAATTTCATGGGAAATAGATAGAAGATTTTGGAACTATAGGAAAAGCCCTCATCAGATTATCTCTGCTCACACACTTACATATTGATAACTTGACATCTCAGCTCTCGGTATAGTTTTAGGATGCCCAAATGCAACAACAGAGGAAGCATCTATTTCTTTCATCGTTGGTGGTACGAGACAAAGAGTCTTTGAAGGTTGATAACGCTTACTGCATATGAAAAACTTGCTGGTTTCTTCTGACATTATATCGTAATACACCGAAATTTGGAGGATTATATAGTTTGTCAGCTCTTGCTGAGATCGCCGTAAGAGGTGGAGCAAGCTAAAATTGGGTATTCACGGAACTGTATTCGTATGTCATGTTCGGGACAAGGCAGAATAATGGTTGTAGTATTACATAGTTACCATGTATGGTTAGGGCACTGAAACCGTACAAGACAACATTTAATTATAAATAATTTGTGGGCATATATAGCGATCAACTATTCACCTCCGGGATACAACTCCACTAAGCCTTTCGATTGTGGTTGGATAGAAAGAGTCGAGATACGGAGAACAGCCTCGCAATAGTTCGCTTAACGATGAACACAGTATGCCATGCAACGTGACTAGTACAACATATTCTATATGGGTGGGATTCGAGGATCAATTTATTGGGATCACCCAATCTCCACAGACCGGTCTATTGGGTCAACAGTTGCCTGTTTGCCCACTTCACAATGCGGAATAGCTCTTCCTAAGATATGATGCGGCATTTGTCATTTCCGGAATGCTTTTAGTCGGTTGGATGTTACAGTACTATGAATGCTAAATTTATCAACATTAAAACAACTTTGTCCATTTGAAGAATTAACAATACCCTAAGTGAGGTGTGGATATACGCACGGTGACCTATCCAAAATACCGGATTTCCCACTTGTCTACAATGGGCAAGGTAGCCCGCTAGCATCGAAAACTCTAGGTCTCAAAAAGCAAAAATTATCGAGCCTTAATCCCTCCGAGAAAACCCACGGCCGGTTCTGGCTGAGCGGTGGAGTTTGTTGGGAATTGAAGAAATCCCGGCTAGCCTCTTAGCATCAATTTAATAATAATAATACATATTAATAATAATACATATGGTGTAACATATAACTTTAGGGGGTTTCTGCCCATGGTGAAAAAAGAGAAAGTTCAAATCTATGAACTCCTATGGTGACTTCGCCGCTGGCCTAGCGTTTAAATTGAATAGGTATACAATGCATCATCACCCAGGCGGCTACTTTGCAATTGACCTAGGTCATCTTTCGCGATCATGGAATTTTCTACAATCACCAGAATCTTCACCTATTTTATTTATAAGCCTAGCTTTTATTGCTTATTTAATTCTGATTCGTCACTGTCGTTATTCACGTTCTGCACGTCATGTTCGACTTTTCTCAGAGTCCCAGGTTTTGGACAGACAAGAAATGCCTCTTCCTGTAGCCCAGAAGATTTACGATTCTCTTATGCATGCCGAATTTCCATTCTGGTTTTGGAAAGGTATTGAACTTGCCTTGTTTCGCACCTATGGTATCCCAACAATCTCGTCACAGCTAGCAAAAACTTCACGATTAGTGGCACCAGACGCTCTCCCTCGTCGATATGTTGAGACAGAAGTCCTCTTTCTTGAATTTGCGTTGAGACAATGGGGAACAGTACCATGGCTACAGGCAATGGCACGGACACGGGCTATTCATGCAGCGTATCGGAAATCAGGGTCCGTGAAAGAGGAAGATATGCTATACACGTTAGCGTCTCTTGCCACGCAGCCGGTTTTGCTAGTGGAGAAATTGGAATGGCGGTCCCTTAATGAAGTCGAGCTCACTGCTGTTGGGACATTGTATCGTGCTATCGGAGATGCTCTCAGTATTGACTATACTCTACATCTTCAGCCTTTCATCAAGAAAGAAGGCACTGGTCAGAATGGACTTGACTTTTACAGTGCCCTTCGTGATTGGCAAGTCTCATACGAAACTAGAGAGATGGTCTACACCCCACAAAACAAGCTACTATGTGATGCGGCTGTTGGGCTGCTTCTTTGGGGGGTGCCTGGGAAATCACTGAAGCGATTCATTACAACGGCGTTAACTACCATTATGGATGATTTGCTGCGAGAGGCAATGGGATTCCCACCAACCCCATACTGGATCGCCTCTATCACAAAGTGTATTTTGGCTACTCGTAAAATGTTCCTGAGACATCTGTGTCCTCCACGGCCAGATCTGCTAAAGGTTCAGAGATGGAAGAACTTGGATCCATCATCTATCACATGTGCCTTTGCCTCTGGGGACACCTCAAAAATTGATGGCATCCAAAAGATACCAGCTTCTACCAATAATGAATCGTCGGAGAAAGACATGATAGAGAAAAAAGTGAGAGTTCATGGTCCTAGTGTGCCAAACACCATAATGAGATCGTATGTCGCAGCCCCATATTTCGTGGAACCTACCGTGTGGAATCGATGGTTCAGTCTTGGAACATGGTGGTGGTGGGCACTTGGACTACCAATCCCCGGTAAGGACTCCGCTCATCAGCCAGAGGGATATTATATCCCAGCCTTGGGACCACCTTTAGGGCGGACTGTAGCCTCCCAGAGGAGAGAGGAGAAAAAGGTGAAGGCAGTGGGATTATCCAAGGGATGGCAATATTTATAACGCTGATGACGCGGAAAATTCTATGCATCTCTTTCGTTGATGCGAATGAAATTTACAGAACCTCAAGACTTAAATTCATTGATAAACGTCATTTGTTTATTTAGCCGGAGTATCTCTATGCCCATTTCATATTATCTACAAACTTCAAACACTGAATGTTTGCTCTTATACCCAATGTTGAGCACTTGGGAGGTCTATGGTTATATTGAAGATATAATGACCTTGCCACCTCAATGTTCCAGATGTCTACGTTGTAGCAGTACTTTCCTAGTGCAATATTGAGCACTTCCTGAAATCAGCACACTTCGTCTAATATTACATTCTCATGTTTCTTAGACCTCAGTATCAATTGGTCAATCCGGCTTTGCAGCGTTGGCAATTGACAAATATTCCTCGTAACTGTGTAAGAAAAGGTTCCAATATGAGCTCCATTATCTTGTAACTATCTCCGTTTCATCATAAGCAGTTAGTTCAAAGCTATATAAATAAAAATGACTAAATACATATATTTCAGAGGTCGTCTACATTAGATAAAATTAAAACCATTTCGCTCGGTAATAATATAAATTCAAAACAAAATTAAATATATCACAGGACATAAGTCTAAAAGGTTATAAATACCTTTCAGACAGACGTCGATTGGTTAAATGTAGGCATCATTTGGTGTATATGTGCCAGTTAAAGATTAATCTTAGGTATGTTTAAGTTGTGCATAATTTGAACAATCTAACATTGAAAGCAACGTTATCACACGTGAAGATAGCCCCACAGTACAATAAGCTATACCAAAGACGACTTAACACGATGTCTTCAATACTATTTTACAACTTTAACCATGAACTTTAAGAGGTAGATTAGACAAGCAGCATATCAACCAGGGTCGAGAATGATCAACTTCTTGAATGAGGCATTGGGCCCACATACCGCAAAAGGCAAGGTGTCCGCTGTTCGGCTGTTCGGAAGTCAGCGAACGGCCGATTCGCCGTGCCTTTAATTCCATGAACTCTTGAGAAGTATCTTCACTTCCTCAACTTCAACCATGGAAGATATTTCCGATGCATTCCCACCCCCCCGTGGATCGGCACTCCGTCGGTACAATGTAGAACGTTCTTGCTTGAAATGCCACGAACGCAAGATCCGCTGCGATAAGCGGACACCTTGTGCGTCATGTGTACGACTGGGTACTCTGTGCAGGTATCCAGGTCCAGAGCGTGCCAAGAGGCGGCAGCAACAGAAGGTCGTAGTGACAGATATCTCGACTCGCTTGACCCAACTAGAGAGGGCCGTTACCGCACTGGCGGAAGGACAAATTCCCGCCAGGAATGATGCAAATTCACCGAAGAAATTCAGGAGTATCAATGAGCGGCCAGAAAACCCCCTACATCAATCGACTTTGAGAGATACTCTTCCACCTGCTAGACGTCCGTCCAGCGGGCCTACAGGTGTTACCAGCAAAGGGTTACTTTTGCCGGACCGTCTATACATCAACGACCGTCTGTTATCACGTGTTCTTGAAAAGGTTAGTTGTACTTCAATCAGAACTCATGCAAGAGATTTACAACTATATACAGGAACAAGAGCTGCAGTCAGCCATTGGTGGCCCCAAAATTTCTAATACCGACACCAACAACGATAGCAAGTCGTCTTCTATCAATGTTGACACAATACTCTTTGGCTCCGGGCAGTGTGCAATAGATATTGTCACCCTGCATCCATCACAGCGTGAAGTCTCGCAACTCTGGCAGGCATACATAACCAATGTAAACATGCACATTAAAGTCTTGCATATTCCCACTGTCCAGTCGATGTTGTTTGCTGCAATAAAAGACTTGAAGAATGTGCCATACGATTTCAACGCTCTTATGTTTGCAATTTACTTCTGTGCCACTAGTAGCTTAGACCCAGTGAGTGTTGGACGTGTGCTCGGGCAGGAAAGACACGCTGCATTGCGACGATTTCAACAAGGGATCGAACAATGCTTAAGTCGAGCCTCCTTTTTAGAGTTACCAACTGTGACTTCTTTACAAGCCTTTGTGATGTTTCTGGTAAGCCAAATGCCACTTTCCAGTTCCCTAACTGCTGCTGAAGTAATTCTCTTAGATGAGCGCTCGAGTTCACAATAAAGGCCGCTCAAGCTGGACACTTACTAGCCTTGCAGCTCGGTTGGCGCAATCGATAGGTCTTCATCGAGACGGGAAGAACTTTAATCTACCACCGTTAGAATCAGAACTTCGGAGGCGTTTATGGTGGCAAATCGTAAATAACGATCATCGTGCATCTGAGGACCACGGAATCTCCATCTGCACATCGTATGGATTTTGCGACACGGAATACCCTCTTCACATAAATGATGCTGATATATCTATCCATTCACAAACCCTTCCTCCTCCGCGCAAAGAATTCTGTGATATGACCAGTTTTGTGATCATTACAGAGGCCAGTAGCGCGTTTCGCGAATATTTACCCGCCACGCGTCCTTTTCGATGTAGCGTTGGACCCAGCGATATAGACAAGAGGAAACAGTTGGGCTGTCTTTTAAATCGTTTGGAACGAATTTATCTTCCTATTTGCGATATAAACATCCCAACACAACGGAGTGCTTATTACATCGGAAAAGTCCTTATCTCGAAAATGAAATTCTTGGATGAACAGCAGTCTACCGCCTGCGAAACAAACGACAAAACAATTGCTTCTGGAAGTACGGACCATAGCCTCGTGTTAGCTTGTAAGGTACTGGAAGTATCTAATATCTTACTGCAAGATGAGCTGTTATCTCACTGTCACTGGATATTTCTTTCGTACACCCAGTACCACGCAGTGATATATATACTCTGGCATATGTGCGTTAATCCGGCTGTTCAGGATGCCGATTACATTTGGAACCTTGTTAATCATTACATAACCTTGGTTGAGTCCTTCCAAGCTATCGCTGACCTTGGACCAAAATGGCCATTCGTGCGTCGACTGAGGGAGAAGGCGTTAAGCATCAGAGAGAAATCGACGATAGAGGAAACTGTTTCTAATGAAAGTCAACAGCAAAATTCTCATTTCCCTCTTGACTCAGAAGCCATGCCCATTGCACGTGCAGGTGTGATTCACGAAGACTTTTTGGATTATGTCGACTGGGACTTTAGTGCATCATCTTTTGCCGACTGGAGTAACTTTTCTCTGAATCTCGATAAGTATTCCTATGAATCATAAGTTATCCCTTTATTTTCTGGAAAGGCTTCGTACCTCATAATTTCCAAGAATTGATGGAAAGCTTCGACCACTGGCTCAGAAATAGCGTTGATTAAATCTAGGGTTTGTGAACCAGTAGTTGAACTTCTTACGGTTGCTCCTCATCACAAATATTTGTACACAACGGAGCGTTTTTCATCCACCTTATGATAGGTTGCAGGATTTTATCTGATAAATACAACTGTATTATAGTATACAGATTGGGGGTCAAATTTGTATGTATCCTAAAGCTAGCATGAACTAAGACTAGTCACCTATGTCTCAACTATATTTATCCAACAATATACCCACAAGTTAGCCTTGAATAAGAAGGTGTTACTTAGAAACGTGAAGACGAAAAGAAGAGCATAGGATGAAATAAGTATGGTTCGTGTACTCTTCAATTTGATAAAGCTTCATAAGACCTTCGTATTCTCTCTTGATATCTTGTTCCAAATAGACACAATTTTGGCCAAGTGAGCCCATCCACTTGTCCACAATTAACTTGCATATTTTGATCAAGAAAGATGAAGTTGGAAGCCCTTGCAAATGGCTGAGACTTCCAAATTAGCTCTTATATTTAGAGCGTTAAGTACCTCCATCTGAACCTTCTTAATCAGAGCCTCTTTCAATGGCGACTGCCTATATAGCTGCTGAAAGCCCCATGACGCGCGCTCAAATAGAGGTTTATAGGTCGTTCTGAGGAAGTCAGGTGTTTCGAGATCGAGTAAAATATCGCCTCCGTGTACAAATGTTTTCTCTCTCTGTCATCGGTAGAGGTGGTACGTGCTGTTGTGTCAAATTTCTTATTGACTGTTTCTAGTTCCGTAGCACGAACCCAAAACCACCTGTTTTCAATCTTTTCAAGGCGTGATATAGTATTGTCTTGTTTCGCTTGAACCTTTGAATACTTCAGTTCAAGTTCTTTGCGAAGCTGTGAAATATCCTTAGAAAGCTTCACGTCAAATTCTTTCTGTTGCTCAGTGGACTTCTCGGCAATTTCATTTTGAGCTCGCCCATAGAACGAAATCCTCGATCGTTGCCTTTTTTTTGTCACCTTCCATCTTCAACTGTAGCTTTCGGCGGATGGATTTTATCGTAGAATTTTCGTTTAATTTTTTAGATGGTTTATATTCATCCAAAACCACCACCCCGTACCCGTCCTATATTTAATATTTATACTTGTTAGCCAGAGTATTTCGATGACTGATAAATACGAAAAAAAAATCACACTATGTCATTGGTCAAGACTTCCTCGAATTGAGAAACTTGGCTTATTGTTTCCGTAGCCATATTCAAAACGTGGTCTTTCTTCAGTGTGTTGATTGTTTTCTTTTTTAGCTGGTGTTTCAGGATCAAATTAAGAAAGAATCTAATCGATTAACTACTTAAAATTAAGAATATTTGGAAAGCAGCAAAGGCAGACAGGTCTGAATGATCGGTTCTCTTCCCTGTCTTCTTTATGTTGTTGGCTTTTTAAAAGACCAGGATTGAATGTTGACACATTTTGAAAAAGTTATAACGGTCTATGAAATAAAGACACTAGTTTGGGGTCTCTATGATGTTTGATATTTGACCTCTAGTAATTAGGATATGCCTTATCACACTACTATGAGAACAAACATGGAAGGAGACTTCTAAATCCGCATCAACATGATTGTGGTGGTGGCGACGAATTCTATGGGTTACATGCAGGCAACCACATCTATCTTTTAGTGTCTACATGCATTACTATTATCTTAGGCAATTCAAATAATGGTATTAGAAAGTTCGAATATTACACAAAAGGCTCTCAAAATAAAGGTTTATTCGAACGGGTGCAATGAAACTTATTGTCATTCGTAACAATGAGCCGACTCCCAAAGTCAAACCTCGACTTATGGCACTTTATATATTTCTATTTTGCAATGGCAATAATGAAAGTGATAGGGAGATTCCGTCAACAGTATCTTTACCATTTATACAATAATAGCCAAGGAAACGGTAGTCTTTTGATAAATTTGCTTGATCGGACCATATTTGTCTTGTTCGTCACTACAAAGCAAACAATCATGCACTGCTCATCTAACATACGTCACCGGTAATACTTGCTACGTCGTGACATTAATCTCCAGGGGTCAAATTGGCTTTCTATAGCTCATAAACGCAATTTTCTTGTGTGTCGTTAATGTTGGTAGGTTGTAATTGACTTTGTCCATATTATGTAACAAATAGCTAGAGGAACATCCTTTATCTTCCAAATACAATTAGGTACATATTCCGGGCCTTACCGCATAACCGACTTTGTCATAGCTACATGAGTTAACTGCCAGCCTATACGAAATGTTTCCAGGCTGTAGCCTCGGGAAAAAGCCCACAGTTGTATTTCTTGATCCTTCACTTGTCCGAAAGTGTTGTTTGATCGATCCTGGTGTAGTCTAGAGTCATAAAGGTGTGATTTTCTGAGGGTAGACCTCGCCAGAGAGCGTAAACAAAATCTTAGGGAAAGAAAAGGGGCTTTGGTTCGCTGTTGAAGGAAAATGGCTCGCCGCTCGCTGCAGATGACCCGGCCCCCTCCACTGTACTGGGATTAATCTTCTATCTTTATTGAATATCAATTAACTAACTCCAATCCTCTAGTCGTCTACAAAGGCTTGTTAATGGGATCATTGTTCATATGACAGTGGGGGATTGGGATTGTCGGAGAGATAGGAGGGTACGGTAAGCCTTGGCGTGGTGGGGAGACTAGATCGAGTCTCCGCAACCTGCCGAAGAGTTTGTGAGGAACAAGCTGAGGAAGCCGCATGTTTCTTCCTTATTTAACGTACATATGTCTTCACAATTCTCGCCACCCACCACTTTAGTGGTCGCCCAGAAGCCTGTCTTCAAACGGCAAAAGACACGCAAAGGCACCTTCAGTTGCTGGGAGTGTAAGAATCGCAAAATTCGTTGTGAGTTCAAACCAAACTCCGGCTCGGAATGTAACTCATGCCAGCGCCGTGGGTTGCGTTGCATCAGCCAAGACTTTATAGAAATCGACAGTAACAGCTGTGAGAACATTGGGAGACGCATTGAATATGTTGAAGATTTAGTCGGCCAGTTGATTCGGGAAAGGAGTAATTGGAATCCCCCAGATGGTTACACTTATTCGCCATCTATTTCGTCACCCGGTCAGCAACTACTCAATCAAAGCTGCTCTCTGAGTAATCACCTCGAGTCCCTTCTCCCAAGTCGAGCTATTATTATAAATCTTATACAGCTGTGCAAATTCTTCCAATTGCCATTCCATACTTTTCGTCAGCCATATGAGAAGCTAAAATCATCCCAAATAACCAAGGAGCAACTTGATCAGGCGGTTCAACCACCTCCATCAACAGCGCCGCCCGTCATTTTTGCACAAAGGCTCATCAATTTCGCGCTCTGCTTGCAGCATCTGGACAAGATTTCGATTCAAAAAATGCAAACTTTCCTGAATGCTTCTACTACAGATGCTGCTCAACGCTGTGTTGAAATTGCCTCTCGTTACGTTACATCCCATGATACGCTCATGGAATCTCTCGAAGGGCTAGAAACTTATATGCTTGAAGCTGGGTACCATATAAGCACAGGTAACCCTCGGGCTGCATGGCTTTTGATGCGTCGCGCTCTGGGTGTCGCACGGCGTATGAATCTTCCTTTTATGGCAAAGGGAGAATACAGGGCTGAGTATATGTGGTTTCGACTCCATGCTAGTGATCGACTTATCTCCCTTATGGTTGCACTGCCGTGCAATAGCTGTGATGACTCCTTCGCTAAAGAGAAGATTCTGTCTGAGAAGTTACCGTGTGAACGGTTGGAAAGAATCCATACCGCTATCATTGGTCGCATCATTGATAGAAATATCAACATGCAACGCCAGAGCTCTAGAGGCTTCGCTTACTATCATGGTTATGATGATTATGCTGTGACTCAAGCTATTGATTCTGAAATGAAGCAGGCAGCAAAGTCCGTACCGCTAGAATGGTGGGTGATACCGACTCTTGACAACCGGACTGCAGATGTGGACATCATGGAAAGGACTGCAATCCTCCATACACAAACACATCAGCATTACATTTTGGTACTTTTACATCAACCATATCTTTTCAGAACATCCGATACCCAATCAACCATCAGTTCGATTTCCAGCGATACATCGGGTTTGATTGATCATGCATACAGCAAATCAGCTGCCTTGTCAGCAAGTCGCGAACTACTTTGTCGCTTTTTAATCCTTCGGAGTTTTCACCACGTGCCATCTTATCGCGGCGTTGACCATAAGGCTTTCACTGCTGCAGTAACTCTGATTCTGGCGCACCTCGATGGACATCGCCTTTCAAGTGTGAATGTCTTACAGCATCAACGACCACACGATTTAGGCTTAATTTACAGTATCATCAATCGATTCAGTGAAGATACCTCTAGTCAGAAATTCGCACATACACTGCGCGAGCTTCTCGGCATCGAAGCAGACGCGTCTAGTGGTGCCTGTTATTATTTCACGTGGAGTGAAAATGGACATGGCACAGAGCAGAACGATGACTTGAAACTTGAGATTCCTTATTTTGGTACACTCTCAATTATAAAATCCGGCACCGACATGGAAAATATGCAATCATACTCCCCTAAGAAACAACGCGGGAATCTCCAGAATAATACTGTCCAGCATAATCTGCATTTAGATGCATCAACATCCGAGAACCCCCTTTCTTTGGACCCGTCTATCCAATTCTCGGATTACATACTGCCTAATCTTAATTTTCAAAACACGCTGCCTTCTCTACCCGCTTTAGACGACTTCAGAAATACAACGAAACTAGACACAAATCCCGTGCAGAGTTTCGTTGACCCTTCAGAAAGTTCCGTCCCAGGACTTGATTCGACCTTATTTAGTGCTTTGGTACATGATGGGGAAATCAATTAAAGTGTCGATTAATACAACATCCATTCCGTGAAATCTATCTCTCTATTGAGGGAACACGTTAGATGTATCTGCTATCACATGAATTGCGTAAAGGGCTATTGAGGGCAACTTTGGAGTATGCGCCAAGGCATATCCAGTCATATTCTGGAAGCGACCACCAACAACGGATGACGACAACTTTGGAATTGCCTTTTCCTCCTCTGGCGATATTAAGAGGTTCAGACTGTCCAGGTTCTCTTCTAATCACTCAGCCTTAGTCGTTCCCGGGATAGGAAAATATCGTCGCCCTGTGTAAGCAGCCACGCTAGTGCCAGTTGTCCCATGGTGATTCTTTTCTCCTCAGCAAAGTCCGAAAGTCTATTGAAACCGCCCAAGTTATGGTCGAGATTATCGCCAGAGAGCCATGGCAACACACCACGTGAGTCTCTAGGCTTGGTAACATCATCACACGACCGCAATTCTCCACCCACAAACCCATTTCCTAACGGTCCGTAGCAAACAATTGCTATTCCCAACTCACGTGCTCTCTGTAATAGTTGTCTTTCTGGAGACTCGATATCCAGACAAAATGCACTGTACTCTACCTGCACGGCGCCACGATTCTGCGCTGCATTCGCTCAGACCTAGATATCTGATCTTGCTTGCATTCTTGAGTTCAACCATAGTCTGGGCCTTTTTCCCAACTGATTTCACCTTATCCAGGCTATGTACGAAAAAGAGATAGACATAGGGAAAGCCAAGGCGCTCCAGCGACGATTCAATAGCTTCATGGCAGTATTCAGGCGTTGAATCGATATTGATCTTTTTCTCCACAGTACTCGATTTCATGCCAAACTTTGTAGCGAAAAATGTATTCATGCGCTTTTCTGGGTTTTCTGCAATCCATGTACCCAGATGATCCTCGGAATCACCGTACTTGTCGGCTATGTGGGATCACTCAGCAAATATTTGCTTACATTTCAATGACACGTTTTGTTTACATACAAGTATCCCAAGAGGTCTCTCCATGTTTGTACGCATGATCTAGAAATGCGAGACGATCTTCATCGAAGCCAGGTATCCCATACACACCACTGTTACTCATGAGCTCCAAGCCGAGACAGGGGATGACGGGGTCATTCCTGTCCAAAGCACGACCGGGGATGATCGCGAAAGATGGCATTTCCCATATACTTGATGGGAATATTTAGGGCTTTAGGTTCTACTAATACTGATAAAATGAAGTAATTTACATATGTTAATGTAATCGCAGCACAATTTATATTTCAGGAGTCTGCAATGTACGGCTGAAATGCCATAATTCACCTCCGCTCCTGCATCAAAGCTCATATCACCATCTGTGCAGACCTGTGAAACCTAATTGAGAATACTTCAATGTTAGTACGCGGTGGAATTAAGAATTCATTTAACTAGTATTTACATATGCGATAAAAATGCATGCCTCGACTCTCCTTTTCAGCCGCTTAACTCCAGCGTTTACGTCCGAGGTTCGCTTTCCGGATGTTTCTCTCAAATTTCCCGGTTCAGTTAATCGATATTGCTCATTCACATATAAATCCTGTTGCTGTTTACTTAAAAAACGGAATCATTCGACAAAATGGCTATGGTTTTTGTTACTAGAGTTAGTCGTTACGCATTGTATTTCTACCCGACTTAGAATCCTTCTTAGTAAAATTTCAATTTTGCGCTACAATAAATCGAAATCTTTATCCTCTATTATCATATCAATTGGTGTTATTTAAGTCTTTAAATATAACAAAACTTGAGTGAAAATTCTAATGCTTGAGGGATGTGATTTAAACTCAGAAATTCACCCACAGATTCTTAACAAATATCATAGTCACCGGAACATGGCTATTTGAAGGGATATGAGAGGACTTGAAATTCCAATGTTCCATTGACCATCCAGGAATCGCCGTAATATTAGTGACATAAATATTCCATGGAAGAGGTTACTCAATATCGTAAAAGAAATTTCCCTTATGGCATCCTCAATGAAGCAGCAACTATAATTGAAATTATTACATATTGTATTTCTATTAGTATCTTTAGTATATTTAACCCACAGGCTCAGGATTAAGGAGGCGTGCATCATTCTAGAGCATTCTCAACCTTCATGTTGTAGCGACCGATCGAATCGCCAGCTACTATTGCTTTTAAGCCACATATGTCAACAGGTTGTGAGTCTTACGAATAAGAATGAATGCAGGTGTTACTTAATCCACTGTTGATGGAGTACGCGTTAGAGCAATTCACTCTATACAAATTATATGAATGTGTAACATTTGAAGGGGTGAGCAAGTCGAGCGAGCCATGAGAGGGTCCCAACCTGATCGATCTAAGAATCACAACACCCGTATGTTAGAATTTCAGATACTGATATATCAATTACATTCTATACTCAAGTTTTGTATTCCCGAGGTCTCTGATACGATCTGCCGAGATATGTGAGTATGACTCATCTTGAGCAATATTGAGCAATTGAGGCGAGCTCGTATTGGTCTCGCTTCGGAACTGGTGTCGCCATGGGCATTCCTGGCTACCGTTGTCGCACATAAATAGAAAAGAATTAATTTGGCGTATATTGAAATAATTTTCCCTTGAATTTTCTCCATCCGTCAGTTTTGAGTCTTGCGGTATTTGAAGTCCGATGGTTTAAAGAATTTACATGATACCGGGGATGTGATACCGGATCGAGATCCTCAAAGGTAAGCTTGTTCCTCGTCGACCTCACACTCATTCAATTCAATGATGAAATAAAATCCAATCTTCACTCGCCGATATGAAAGTCATCTCTATGCTTAAAGTAGATGGCTATTCTGATTATTTCATTGGTTCTGAAAATTCATATCCATTTCATGATTCGAAGTTCTATATGCAGCTATGTTCTTGCTAACAAGATGCTAATGACAACATTAATACAATGTACAGGAGAAGTCAAAAATACGCATATACACACAAAGCTTCGCAGACAATACAACGAATCATGTGACACATTCATCCATCATCTCTTCAAAATCAACATCATACGGCCATATCAAATGGAACTCGTCCTTTTCAATATTATCCCCTTCTCGAGCATTGGTCTTCGGCATCCTCCTCTTTTCAATCATCGTATTCAACCCTAACACTTTATCAATGCATGCCTGCCTTTCATGCTGCTAGTCTCTCAGTCCATCTACTAACATCGTCTTGCTAGTGTCCTTGTTCTGCCTCAAAGATTGGTACCAGTACTCCAGAAAACGTATAAACCTCTTCAAATGCTTGGTTCACCCTCTACCCTGCAGTTGGCGGAATAGCACGTGCAGCATCGCCCAGAATAGCACCTCTACCCTCGCTCGATACCTAACTGTCCAACTTTGGAACTACATAAAACGGCTACAGGTTGATCTTATTCTTGGATATTTTGCTCACGGCATTTGACACAATGGTGGGGAACTTGTCAGCTTCCTCACGGAGGAAAGCGATACACCAGTCGTTATTGTTGAGCAACTCCGTCCAGCCTTGTCTTGATAAGTTTGTTTTAAATGGCTGTTTTTTGCCAATCAACACATCGCTGCCATCATAGAGCTGTTGCACAATAAAAAACGATCCCTGCTCCTTGTTCATAATAGTAACTGGGGCAGAGTAACTTTTTGGTAAGTTGAGCTATAGGCACGGCGGCTGTCACACCTATATCACCGGTAAAGTTTGGCTCTAGGTCCGGATAGAGATAATTCTAGACTTCGGATTGAATACCATCCGCGCCACCTAATATTGATGCAGATGCCCGCGTTTCGTCAGTAAATTCCCACGTAACGATGCTCTCTTCAGACGTCTCAGAGTCAACTGTGAGAACTTCTTTCCGTAGTTGATCGTGATCCGCTCTGCCTCTTCAATAAGTTGATGCAATGCATTGATAATCTCAAATCGATAGACTCTCAAGGCCTTATAGCCTTTTTTTCTGCTGAGCCGAACTCGAATGTGTCTACATGCGTGTCGTTAATTGTCGACAATCAAGAGTTTCAAACTCAAATACATGCGGACGAAGGCGAGAGCCTATATGCCCAAAGAATCGAGAATTCTGAGGGCATTGGGGGATAGCATAATTGCGCCGCCAATGTCAAGGGTCAAGGGACTCGTTGCGAGACTCGTAGATGGCAATGTTACTAAATCCTCCTCAGTGAAGAGCCAAAGCGAGGTTAAGACCCGACAGGTCCGCGCCGATGATGGCAATTTCACTGTAAGGGATCCTTGATAGTATTTTTATTTATTGATTTAGCCTTGAAGGAATGAAGAAAATTATGAACTTATAAGAAACAATAATAATAAAAAGCCCAAAAAAATATCAAAATTGAGTGTGCTTCGTTAACTTTATAACCAGCCTAGTGTAATGCAAATGGTTTGCTGGATTGAAAAATCTAGCGTGTTGCGAACTTCAATATGTTGTCAGTGGAGCTGATGTATTACTTCATAGCATCAATTAATTCACATATACCTAAATCATTTCAATGGAAATTTTACGCTTATCCAGAAGCAAGGATGCGCTATTCCAGATCTAACGAGCAAAATTCAGATTACATCTCTAAAATATGAGGTCTAACCCGCATGTTGGCAATTCCGAAATCAGTAACATCAACTAAACGTTCCACTTTCGTCATAGACGACTTTTTTGCTGGTGAAAGGTGTTGCTGCATCTGTATATTTGCTTTGATCAGAACATGAAAATCAGCAACATATTGACTTATTGATGAATTCATATCGTAATTGTACTTGGACATACATGTAGCCCAACGAGATATAAATATCTATAAACATTGAGATAGATACCGTGAACATATTGGCCGAATCTATCAAATTCGTACCCTCCCTGTATGTATAATGTAAGATTTGAGCCTCGTTACATTGTAGGTTGCGGTGGCGGTGGGTTGGTTTTGGATGATTGGGTATGGTTTGAGACTCACGAACCGATGTCTCTGTAGTCGAGACTACTACAAAGTATTTGAGAGGTTAATTAATCAATGCACGTACTAGTCAAGCCGCGTGCATTAATATTAATTGCATGATATAACCAGGAGCTAAGTCTATTCCGAGAAATGGGAAGCGCTAGTGTCCCCATCAACCATTCCCCGAGTGAAAAAGTGGACAGTAAATGATTGCCTGTCAACCAGAGGCACTATTATCAACAGCTCTCACAGCTGTGGCAGACTCTGCGCATTCATTCATGAAAACTGGAAACCTGTATTTATTCCCAATGTACCAAAATAGCTCTTGCGCGAACTTTTTTTCAATCATTCCTTCGGAAAAGGTGTCAAAGGCGACGCGCAAGACGAACATAATGCGTGATACCAGAAACCCGGGTACTGTGTGCAAATAGTATCGCATACTCCGACAAATATCTACGGCCAGCTGATAACGTTCATGGGGTCGCAAGACAGTAACTAACCCATCGTCATCATTCCCAGCTACAACGAGACGGAGGGCTCGGTGCAAGCACACTGTAACGGCGAGCATGAGATCAGGGTAGATGAGTATCGTAGGTTCAATGATTCCACCTGTAGACAGATCGTGACACTTTAGAACAGGGAATTTATCATCCCCTGATATACTGTTCGCGGGTGCCTGGGTCATGAATCCGTGTTCGTAAGAGAGGGCATATAGTGAGTGCCAGAGCTGTAGCCGTTGATCTAATTCCCTTGCCGTGGCTTGTACATCATGATGTGTACATGCAAGCTCTTCTTTTGGTAGCTTTCCGCGTCGCAAAGCTGTTTTAAGTTCATCGTATTTACCCAAAAATGCAGGAATATCGACGGCCACGTCTAAGAGAAGATGAAGCATATCTTTTGGGGGGCCATTCTCAGGCCAGGGGACAACTTTCCAATCTTCGTTGGCAAGAAAGGTTGCTCGTCGGCTTGCAATCGCGGTTGTTACCTATACCAGTCCGACATAATTAGCCAAGAAAGAAATTCCGAACTGGTATTTCAGCATAATCGTACCCAGAACATACGCAGGTCGATATAGAGCGATTGTTCAAGACCTGATCGATGACGGTATGGGGTTCGTATGCGCAACAATTCTAGTCCACCTAGCTGGTGTTTCATGACGGCACCAGGGGAGGTCTGCTTGAATGCCTAGGCCCTTGTGTAAGCCGAGTCAAGTGATTATTCTAGACGTCTTGTTACTCACCTCAATAATGGTCAGTAGAACGACGGCAGTCAAGACTTCAGTTGACTTGCACTTTTCTTGATGGTTTACTGCCGACTGTAGTAGCTTCAATGTCCGGCTGTATTGACTATGCCCTGCGGCTATCATTTTGGGGTGTTGGTCTCGCTGGCCGATGAATGTCAATGAGGCTGCACCAAATCCACTGGCTAGGAGCGGGGAAAATATTCGTTTCTCAGACGCTGATCGTAGATCAAACACGCGCCCGTGTATGTCAGACGGATCGGGAGAAAAGCCATTTATCAGCTCGCCGACGAAAATCTCCATCAAGATTTTCTCAGGCGATGGAGATGACGCTAATAAGCTCTGTACTGTTGGTCGATACGTCTACCCTAGTTAGTTCTCTCTGTTCTGCGTGATGCTCTATTCACACGTACCACATTAGCCGGTGTCGTTTTCCCAACATTCTTAGTCAATTCCTTCGTTTCTGCCGATGAAGCGAAGTTTATGCGAGGAGAATTCTCATTCGATGACGGAGACTCGTCAGTCGCCGTGGAGACTTCTCCAGTCTGTTTGAGAAGCCTGTTCTCCAGCTCTTTAACTCTTGCTTGTAGTTGTTCGATGAGGTCGGACTGGTCCATGAAATGGCGATCCTTTTTAGTCACACCAAATTCGCACTCGGAGGGAGCGCCTCGTATACAACACGCTCGACATGGCTTGACGCGATCACACTATGAGTCCCATGCCCTCGTCAGCATTGGTCCGATTAAGAACACAGATTTAGATGTGCTTCCAGGATAAAAGGAATTACATACCTTGACTTTGCGCTTCTGGCAACTCAAACAAGACAGCGTACGACGAAATTTTTTACCTACAGGCGCTGGGTGGTGGGCGATTTCATTCTGGGGAGAGTCCATGGACACCGCATCGTCGAATTTGCGGCAGCTATGAAAGGTTGGCTGATCGTCGCTCCTCACTATAAAGCGGCTCAATGACAGGCTGCCAGATGAACAGGAACACTGTGACGATCTGGTTCACTAACGGGATGGCCCGGCAAACCAATCATGTCATTCTGAATCACGGGTGCAGGCAAGTCGCCAGTAAGATAAAAAGATTGTCCAGTCGGCGAGCCGGGGAGGCACTGGTGGGAATAGCGCGACGATATATCTCAAGACGGTTGTAGTGTTACACACGCCATGATGGAAATGGCAGCAGACATTCCAGCCTCGAGGCAGAACGGATAGGCCCATTTATTCTGCAGAGTCCCCTTCCAGCTTTGCGGCCGGCGCGCTGCTAGCCGTCCTAGAAGGCCTCTTCCGGCTTTCCCATGCACTCTAGGCCACCGATGCCTCCTTGCGCCAATGGCGTCGCAAATCGCACCCTCTCCGCCCTTAGTATCTAGTCAAGCTTGGTCGTTGCTTTTTCGGCGGCCCTCGCGGATCGATGTCCTTCCGTATGGTGGTATGACCCAGTCACTCCGTCAACATTCTTCATGATCCAGTGTCTACCTTCCCCCGCAGTCCGCACGGTCCTTCTTCTGGGAAATCAATACGAGAAAAACCCTCGCTCTGCGAGTAGAAGAGGGGGAACGCGCCGTGAAACTTGCTCTGTACACTGAAAATACGGATATCCGATTTTGAGAGAGTTATTCCTGCATAGCAGAAATCCTCTCACCGGAATAGGCCTCTCCTGGAGTAGGGAGTTGTCAGAGAGTGTGAGCCATGTGGAGCACCAAGTTGATCATCGCTCCTAGGAGCCACCAGCCCATCGAGATTCGAGAGGCTTTCCCAGAAATTTCGCTATTGTCATTGGAGATTGATACGTGTGTGCATATGATTATTAACGAATTATTAAGAGGCCTTCGGTTGGTGACTTTTACTAGAATAGAAGTGCCAGATCGTGCATCGCCCTCATGTCATTGGGTCGCCGATCTGCCGGGTTCTTGCGTGCTTGGAGAGAAAAACTAGCTGGAAGTCGTTTGGCTGTCACTCAGACGCAATGATTGGATTGGCGGTTAAGCTGATTGCTCCCTGTTGGGGAAAACGCGTACCGATTTAAACTATTAGATTTAATAAGTAGTCGGATATCTATTTTCTGCAATCCGGGCTTCAAACTGACCAAAGCTAACTTGCACCTCAGCAGAGAGTAATTGTTTTTATTATCTAGCAGCTCATCACATTACGAAAACGGAGACTTGGGTGGCTTAAAGTTTTTGGATAAGACATTCTCGTTTTGAATACATATGCAAAAATATCAGCATGTGAAGACAGAATGACAGGCCGAAGGAAATAAGTCAACTTCTGCAGAGCGTCAATGTTCTTAAATCAATTTGATCTTTCAAGCGACTGCGTCGAGGTAGACTTCCCAATGCACTACTTTTGTTTGTTTCATGCATCTGCCTTTTGCTTAAAAATGTATCTACCACGTTATTTGACTATTACCTCCGGGCTAGCCAAGCTGTTTTCGCTCCCAAGGAAGTATTCTGGATTGAGTACAACAGTGGAACACAAGTATTAACTGGTAAGGTTTTATTGCCACCAGTCAGCTTAAAAGTCCCATCTAGCACTAAGCTGTTAAAGGAAAGATAAAAATAAGAGAAGAACTGACCCTGACAACTTCAGGTAAAACACTTCTATGTCGACTTATCTAATTGGCCGGCTCGGTGGGTCAATCCCTTTCAGTGAAAACAACGACAACATTTCATAGTAGCCAAGCGTATTAGGAACAAGCCCAACGAATCCTTCCTCAGCTTTGGCAGACTTCGCATGCCGAGGATAATATCTATTCCAAAGATCGTTGGTATATTCCAAGGTCAAGCGGTTTATCAGCTTTCTGAGCAGCTGCTTCTCTTCTTCGGCGAGTACAGGGTTTTTCTGCTGAAACCTGAAATACTCGATATACTCGTCACACCAATTCTTCACCTCGCATCTCTCATTGTCTTTACCCGGTGAGCAACCCTTGTTGAGTACAAGCAGGTATTTCTCGATGCCAGGACAATGTCCAGTGCCAGAAATGTGTCGATTGCAAAAGATAAGGAATCTTCCGTTAACCAGTCCGCATTTAGTAATAACAGAGACTGCAAGGCATTTCTGTGGGGGCTATGTTAATAATATAGTCTATTCGTACGCCCTAAGTGTAGCCAACGCACCTGAAAGATGGGTTTAACTGGAGGACCCTCGTATAACCATGGGATCATCCAGCTGGGAAACTCGTTTGCTTCTAAAACTCCAGGGTCATTTTGTTCTTTATTCCACGAATAATCGTCTCGATCAATTGGTGTAGGGTCTAATTCTGGAGGGTCCCATGCTCGAGGGTCAACTTGAACCCATTGTTTTAGCGAGCTTTTGTGTTCGACAGGTGGTTGACCAACTCTCCAATCAGGGTTTTCGTCGCATTGGCCATGGCCGCAGACAGTATTATGAAATAATTCACGAAAGAATTGCTTCTCACTGTGGCATTTGACATACCACTGGCATTCAATCTTGCCACAGAAAGTTTGTGCTCGAATTTTGCAGCTAGGGTCAGGAGGCTAATACTAGTCGTTAGCACACACTTCTTTTTTATATTAAGAATAGTCATTACCTCTTCAAACTCCCTTAGAAGCCTACCATGTGCTCGCCAGTGTCTTGGGAGCAGGCTGTGTTTCCATGTACGCCCTCGGGTTTTCAGCATTTCGTCATCCTTTGCCGCTTGTCTCCACGTTTTACCCGCATTTCTCGGCTTCCACACTCTCATATACTCGTTTTCCGCTTTATCAAAAACATTTATCGGAAAGTCTGTCCCCGGAAGCTTTGTCATATAACCCGTTCTCCAATTGCGTAAGACAAATTCATTTGCTGTATATATTAGTCTATCAAAAGTTGATATGAAATCACTTAGGATTTCAAGGGGAAGTTGAGCTTGGAAGAGTTGATTATATACCGGCTTTTGCTTTCCCGTGAATAAATCTAGCAGTCCGGCATCCATGGAGTCAGGAATCGAGTCTTCAAACTCGACTTCATACGGATACTTCTCCGGTTTCTGGGATGGCCCTGCATCATTTGATTGGGTGTAGATCGGAGGTTTGCCTTTGTCACGAAGTGATATCGGTATTGTGTCGTCTGAATATCCAGGCGGAGTTACGACTTCTCCGCTGAGACTATTTTCAACTGGTTCTTCCCAATATTTAATCCGCTGCTTTCCCTTATCGTCTGTAGGCATGTCTGAAAGCGAGTCCAGCTGAGAGGAAATATTCAACATCTGTTCCTCAGCATTGCGATCTTTAGCACATCCACTAGTGCATTTTTTGCTATATTCAAAGATGACTTCAGGACCCCAATGAACTTTCTTTTCTTGAGTCGACTTCGCTTTAGGCACCTTAGGATTTCCCTGGGCGATCTTTCCAAGAGTAGCTTCATGATCGGATGACATATCATCAATGGAAACCTTGAGCAGTAGAGGCTTGACGAAATCAGCCCTAAGAATAATATGGCTTTGAATAAACTCTAGAAGATTTGCCTACCTGAAGTTGTATCTGTTCCTGATTCTCCACTCTTTGTTTACACTTGTCTTTCATCCTCTTTTTACTCTTCGATCTCATTTTCGGCAACACTTGTCCTAAAACTTCAAATTGAACCGTCGATTTCCTAGTATTCAAAATTTGTGTCAATGATTTTGAAAAATTCTATGGCTGAAGACTTCAACGATGATTATCGCACTGTCTCTGGCTGGCTCATGGAATGAACCCCTGGGAGTTATATCTCACGTGTATATTTCAGTGGTTTCCACTGTGTCATACAGCTCTGATGGACGGCTGTAGCCTTTGTCCATCTCTTCCCCGGTGTCTCGGTCATTTTCATCTGCAGATATTTCCATTTGTTGGTTCTGAGTTTATTGAGATACGTCAACTCAAGACCCATCATTGATACAATGCAGTACTGTATTTGGACTTTGAATTTGCCTGTTTTATCAATATGTGCATATTGACTTTCATTCTCGCAAATAAGGGCTCGCATGTTCAATTGCTTGATTTGTACGACGCGAGACATTCTAGGTCTACTATTGACGCCCGAAATTATCCATCAATACTGGAATAATCATTATTTCTATTAAAGACTTTAGTAATCGTGGATTGGTTTACTTTGTAACCTCACCACTTTGACACTACCATAGGCAAGGATTGATTTGTCAAATTTGTTCTGAGACTTCTCCATTTCGTGGGACATTTCGTTGACTACATGTCATGATTATCTGATGGGAAGGGCCATCTTATAAGCCACGGCCGCTTTTATTGGCCCAGGAGAGTATTCCTCATCAAGAAATTGACTCTGGTGTCACCCAGAGCCGTTGCTCGTGCAACCCATGAGGAAAACAATTCCAGTTGAGTGGTAGGTTTAACAGGTTTTCGGATATCCGGCTAAACACATGGATTCGTGGGCACAATAGAAAGGAAACAAAAAGAAAATACCCCTAGGAGGGAGTGGCTTGGGTCTCGACGACTCAAATATCGAAACCACGTATAGCACAAGTTTAACAATCTCGATCTCGAACAGAGTTTTTAAAAAATGTCTTTCACATGTTCGGGAAATTAAGCATGTTACCATCTTATCGGTATATGTAGGACACACTTTCAAGACAGTCCAGCTACGGAATTTCTGTGGCGATTAGTTCACATGTATGTCTCAGTTTTGAGAAAAGAAATTCTAGATTGCTTCACTTCGCCCTATCCTTGCAATAAAATGCTACGGTACACTGCAAGAAAAGATTCTCTAGCCAAACAAAGCTTATCATGTTTTCAAACCAATAACATTCGCTTATAGAAGATCGAATCTTAGTAAGCCATGGCTCATTACTAACTTTCATATCATTGACGTGAAGTAAATTACGATGAATCCTACCTTGCGGTTTATAAGGCTTATGGTCGAAAGTTGTGTATAGCCCACACTTTAATTCAAACCTAGACAAAGCCACAGAATCATAGTATGTACTTGATAACAGTTTATTGCTGTTGTTGCCAAGTTCATTGATTCTATGGATGTATACAGGACGATGTGGCACCCCGCTTAGCTTAGTTGATTCACTTGTTATTGTATTTAAAGTATCATTGATTATCCATTCAAATTGAATGTGCAACACAGTGGTCTAGATCCTGATTAACTTCAGCCACAGCTTTAAAGGGCTTTCGCTCAACCATATTCAGGACACAAACGATTTTACCCTAGCGCTACTTTTCTGTCTTCTGTTCTTTAGACTTCCTAGATCTCACCTCGAAGCCAATAACCCAACATGCTGTATCTCGATATTCAAATTGTATGTAAGATGCCCCAGCTTTTCTATGTATATGCTTACGAAGCCTCTAAACCCCTTTGCTCTGCACCAATGTGGTTCATTCTGAGCCTACCGAGACCGAAAATCAACTCACCCACTGACAAGACGTCGCAATATCATATTCGTGTACGAATGCGGCCATATCAATCCATCCTCAGTAATCGAGCGCTGTATTCCATATCTGGATATCACCAAATGACCATGCCGCAACCCATTCAAAGAGGTGGTATATCTCGAGATTGGTTGCCTAGACACAACATATTTATGCCAAAACAATCGTCAACCGAAGCCGCGCTATTATATCGATGAACAAGGGTTTAAGTGCTATTTCGATTACCTACGAGCCAAATGGCAAGTATCGGATCACTGTCGCCAGGTTTGTTGTAAGAATGATTAATGTGGGAAGGTACATATTTACTTTTTAGATTGTAAGAGAAAAGAGCGAAGGCTGCATCTTGATCAGTCTTATTGTGGAAAGTGAGAATGGATTTTCGAGAGAATATATGAGAAATTCAAGCATCCTGACTGCATTGGGTCTGGAGTCAAAGGTAAATGGTGGGTTAAAATATTAAACTACATTCTATGAAATTTAGGTGTGAGGGGTTTTAACCCTGTTAGATATATTGATTAGAATTAATGAATAGTTGTTTGGAACCTGTTCCCACAATACCTACCAAATGTCAATATCGGCTCTGATAAACCGCACCTTGCTTTACTACAATATATCATTCAATTAACACCAAACCTAACGTCTGCACCAAAGCCAGACAAGCTCAACCTTGCCTAGAAGTGACCCACTAATTCGAAGCTTATATCCTATAAATCCTCCCTCTCCCCCCTCCCAGTCTGAACCAGAAACCAATTCCCCGCCACCAACCTGTCCATTCCAGCCTCCTTCGCAAACTCCTCCACATCGAACCCCAGCCTCGCTTCTGATCTTTTCGGCAGATGACATTTAAAATTCTTTGGAAAATGATATTTTTTAGGCTGCTCGAACAACAGCTCAACATATCGATGCGCTGGGCCCTGTGGCGGCGATGGTGCCATATACTCTGCCTGATTGGATTTGCTTGAATGACCGGGAGATAAAGAGTGATTTTTGTTTTTGTTTTTCTTGACTATCAGGTCCGACTGATACCAGTGCAGAAACGGGAGGATGGTGTCGTTGTGCGGAACGTCGAGATCGATCATCAGGACTATGTATTTGGTGTGGTAGTATTTTAGAAGGGGAGGAGGGTTGTCGGGTAAAGGGTTTAGGTCGAGACGGGGTGGTTCTTTGGTTTCTGTGGTTTTAATTAAGGATTAGTTTGACCGAAATAGTATAGGTGTTGGAAGTTCGGCATTCACACCATCCTTCGATATTCTGTCACCAGGATGGACTCGTAGTTCGTCGCTAAATGTGACCCCTAATCGATCTTCAATAGATGGCTCAAACCCTGGTGGGGTTTCACCGCGCACAAAAACTGATACGAGGAATAACTGTAGTATAAATTGCGGCAGCATATTAATGACAGGTATTGCAATCTTATAATGAAAGATGTCAACGTGAAATGTCAACTGGTGGAATAGGAAATAAATTGTAATCTAAAAACAGGCAGCATGACGATTCAACACATCATGATGACATGCAAGATTATTAACGTATAAAACTATAAAACAAACCACGTGCAAATAAAGTGGTTCATTTTAGCTCCCGTAGTTAGCCAGAAAACTTAGTTACGAATTAATGAGCAGCAGAGACAGTTGTTTACATACGCGGGCTGATTGAAAAGCCTATTCGTCTGTTTTGTTGATTTTAATGTTAAAGATTTAAATGGCTTTTTAAATCGATGGACTATTTCATTATGCGTAGCATTAGCTGTAGATGAGCAACATCTACGCGACGAATATTCGTCCTACAGTATATGTATGATTAATTGTGTGAAAAGTATTCGGAAAGCTTTTTACTAGAAGTTTACTACCGTGTATAGACATTTGCTGCCGAACAACTCAACCTGGAAATCTACAGAATCCTGTTCAACCGCGGCATCCGAAGAATATCTAAGGAAGAGCCAAGAACAGCTCTTTCAATTTCGGATAGTTCGGTGTGCCCAGACCGGTCGCGGGATCCCATCTAATTCTTCATGTCAGTCTAACAGTCAAACAAATGCAAGTGAAGAAACGACATACCCCTCGATGGCAGAGAATCCTTCGGTACCACAGCCAACGTTTGTTCCGTTGGTGATATCGTTGAGAACGTGGGGGTTGGCGTAGAGAACGGGGTTGATAAAGCCGATGGGTCCTTTACCGACAGATAGACGTTCTTCGTTGAGCTGTGACAAGTGATTCGTTAGTGGGGAATTGCACAAAGATTTAGAATAAAAAAAGTACCAGAGTCAAAACAGACGCGAAGAGAGGCGATGCCAAACTCGATCCAAAGAAGTGCACAAACTTCGCATTCAGGAAGGATGGGAAATAAGCGCCATTAGCCGACACGTCTGGGTAGGCGCGTCCAATCCGGTTGTAGAGACCCTTGGTTGTGTTGACATCCACGGAAAGTTCTGAGTAGTATGGGTAGGAGAGATCGGCTTTCTGGAAGTATCTTTCAACAGCTTCTTCCTGGTACCAGGGACGCACGAAGTAGTTGGAGAAGCCGCCGGCAGTGGAGAAATTGACAGCAGTGCCGCCGAGGTCGACATGCATGACACTTTCGGTGTCTTGGACGGACTGGCCGTTGTAAAGCATCGTGCCACCGACGGAGGTCACGTAGGGGCAGTTGGAAGGGTACTGCGGGTTGAAAATCTTGCCATCAGGGCCGAGGCAGCCATCTGCTCCGCCGTCATTGGGGAATGAGGCGACTCCGTAGTCACCGGACGCGAAGAGAATAGAATGGCCCTGCAGTCCGAGCTTCAAGAACTCATTGCATTGGCGCTCAGTGTACTTCCGGGGCAGGTCGGCTTCAGCCTGGCCGTACGAGGCGCTGATGACGTTGGTTGGCTTGTAAACGCCGCATTGGAGCTTGCCTTTGTATCCGCCGGCAGCGGGGTCTGGGTAGTTAGGGTCGATGCTTGGATCGTCGCCCTTTTCGCCATAGGCTTCGTACGTGCAGTAGGAGCCATCGAGGGCGTCAAGGAATGTGTTGAAGAGGTTGGTAGTGGCTACCTCCTTGGGCTCGTAGATCTGATCATCGACTTGATACAGTGTGACTGACTGGGGGTAGATCAAGGAGAACCTGGGGTTGTAAGCGACTAATCATTCATTTTCTGATATATTATACTCACGCCATCTCAATATCAATATCCGATTCGCCGGTGTTGAGCGAGCTATACGCCGGGACCGAGTAATTCGCTCCGTCAATCAACGCGGGGGTAGGATAAGTACCCTGCGGCACAGCAGGGTAGATATTCTTCCAGTACAAGTCCAAATCAGACTTGGCGAAATAATCACCCTGCTCGTACAAACCAAGAGCATTCCCCTTGTGGGGTTGCTTTGGAGCTTCTGGGATATCATACAGAGCCTTGATGCAGGTTGGGGTCATGTTGAAGCCGCAAGTCTGCACGTCAGGAGCCAGACCGGCAGGCGCCGCCCAATCCTTGGGTAATTCGGTATTGCCAGTGATAAATGTGGAAGCCTTGACAGCCTGGGCCTGGGTGGATCGCTTCTTCTTGCTGATATCCCGCTTGACGACCTGGGTTAGTTTGACACCGGGAGTGATATAGTCGATATGCGGGGCGAGATGCTCCGGTACATGATACTTGTCACAGCCAACACGTATTTTATCGCTGCTAACATGGTCGTGCTCGTGGTACTCGGCTTGCAGCAGCTGCTCGACCTCCTCGACGGTAGCATCGAAGGCGAGCCAGCCCTTGTTGTCGGAGTGAACCACGCGATGGCCGGCAATGCCAGCTGCAATGAGCCATTCTTTCACAGCATCGACATGTTTCTCGGGAGGAGCAAACTTGTTGTGGACCTCGTCGGCAGACCAGTACTTGCCATAGTTGGACGATTTCGGGTCAGAGCTAATAATAACGTCTTAGCAGAGTATTCTTTCCATTCCGTGAGGAAGGGTGATATCTAAACTTACACATCCACTATAGAAGGGTCAGCACGGGCTTTGGCAACTCACAACAGCTAGTGTTACTACTCACTTAGAAATTCATGTCCGATCTCCAGGTTCGTCTGGCTGAGCCCAATGCGAACGGGCAGAATGGCAGAAGACTCAATGCGGGAGCCCTTGACCCAGTCCGCAGAGGGCTTATGGCGCGCTTCATGGACGACATGTTTCACTGACGACGGGGCAGCATTGGACAGGGCTGCCAGCGCGGACAGGATCGCGATACGGACGACGACCATTTTGATTAACCAGACAAGTAGTACGCCTACAAGAAGTGTTTTAATTCAGAAGCGCGGCCTTCCCCCCTGTTTATATGCGACATCATACACGAGCACAGCTCACGCCAAACGTTGTCGCTCGTCTGAATCCGCCAATCGGACAGAGCGAGATAAATGAGCTTATCGCATCTGTGAACTAGCAAAGCTTGACCCCGCGAGGATGTTACGTGGTGGCGTCAAGCCTCGTTGGCTTTCATTTCGCTGTCCAGCATGCCGCTTGCAGAATGGCAATAACGGCATACAGTAGACAATTAACAACCGATACAAGGCCAATTGACGCAACAGAATCAAAACAAAGCAGCACAATTAGGCGTCCAGCAGCAGCCGGAATGCAGAGTGTGGAAAAAGGGGCTGGGTTTAGATACGCATTCTAGAAGAGGAGAAGGGCCGATCTCCTTCCTGTTCCTGACTAGCTCCAGCTGGCACCGACGCGTCGTGCACTGTTATTGGCTAGATCGTTGCACAGCTTCTATATCGGGCTAGCCTGGAATCTGGAATGAGAGTAATTCATGGGGCCAAAACAACAATAATGACGAGAAAATGCTGATAATGGTGATGATAATAATCAGAGGAACCGTAATAACAAGATAGAACTCCCCCAGACTCCCGAGCTAAGGGTATATGCTCATGCCAGGCCCAAGTACATACAATTAACACATACATCGTAATCGCCGCAGTCTCATGTACGGTTATCGAAATGCTTCGAGGATATTCACATTCGCATTCACATTCGCCTTCTCGACCCGAAGCAGAGCCTCGTCGTTCGGGTGGAAGACCTCGTCAATGGGCCACTGCACCGCCGGTAGCCATTCAGTATCGAGCAGCTCGAGCATCGCGCCGAGCATGCGCCGCGCCCAGCCATCCAGATACCAACATGTCGGGAGCCGGTGCATGCCGACGCACCAGTGACAGAATATCACGAGGGCCATCGGGTCCTTGTTTTTCAAGAGATCCAGAAACTCCGGCGACACCCCCGCAGGCCACCATAGCAACAGCAGCCATGTGGTGGGCAACTGCGCCGCCAGGATCGAGAACCAGAAGCGCAGCACAGTGATTGCCTGAGCGCATATTTGCCGGTCTTGCTCGCGGCGAACCCCAAAGCCCGAGGTCTCGTTAAGTTGTCGCAGATGCGCGAGCGCGATTTCATGATTCTCGTCGAGCGCTTCGAAGCGCAGGTGTTTGCGGTGCACGAAGAGCGCACTCAGCCGGCTGTTTTGCAGGTGTGGGTTGAGCTGGTCGATCAGCGACCAGGTGCCGCGTAGGGCTGAAATGGCATTATATGCGTCGGCAACAGGGAGGCCGTTTGTCATTGGGGCGGCGCCGGGCACGCACGAGATGCCCAGCTGGAACATGAGGATGAGGAGCGAAAACGAAAGAATAGTGATGCAATTTTCTGGATTCATTTCCTGCACAGCCTTAGGGAACGCCACCACCGCGCTGCGATAGTTCTTGAAGGCGGCCGTATAGTATTCCCTCGGATTGGGTGGCTGCAGGTAACAAATGTGTAGAGCCGAGATGGCCATGGTACAGTGGTCCAGCCAAGCGCTCCGTTCCAGCTGCAGCGGCACTTCGCCCCTCCATATCAACTTGACGCGGCGAGGGTCTTCCTTCAGCAGCGCGAGCGTACCGCTCGTCAAAGTCTGGTATTGCCAGCGCAGTTCGGAATGTCGAATGTCGAGGGACGGCCATGTCGACGGCTCCATCCACCGGAGCTCTGATGGCTTTTTATCCCGACTGCCCCTATCCGATTGCGCGAACTCGCCGTCATTGGGCTGCTGTTGTAGATCGCCATATTCCTTATTTCCGTCGTCGTCGTTATTATTATTGCCCTCGGTTCGAAATTGAAAGCTGCATTCTTCGCCTCGTCGTTTGCAGTGATGGCATTGCGGCGCCTGGAGGTTGCACTAGAAGCCATCCGTCAGTTTCATCGCCGTCGTAATTATCATCATACAACGTGCGCACCTTTACTCGTCGCTTCTTGCAGTTAGTACAGCCATTCCGGGTCTTGGTGTGAAATCTTCTCGAATTCCCCATGGCCAATTACGACAAGGCGATGGATAGCTATTTGATACCATGGACTAACTTTTCGGTTCGTTGCGGGCCGTTGTGGCGACTCGTTCGGGGTCAGCAGCACGGTTAACCACGCACGCAGCCACCGCGCATACTAATCAAGCAAAGAAATAATAGCAGCAGTTATTCTTGCGAGTGTGAATGGCCGCGCCATGGACAGGCGGTCGAGAGCATCTGCTAAAGGGCGTCGAGGCGTGCAGTCTGGAGGTTGTGTTGGGGCGTGGGGCAGGCTTGGTTATAACCAACAGCGATGAAAGGGTCAAATAAGGCGACGACCAATTAACAAAGGCGATCCCGGCCCGACTGTGAAGCCAAGACAAAGACAGGCTTTGGGGGCTGCACTAAGCCTCATAATGGGCAATTAACTAGTTGAAGTTCTGGATCTGGCCATTGGACCCCTCCTTTCTACCGCTGCTGCTGCTCCGACCCGGGGTGGTACAGCGGCCCATACTTGTCATCATGCTGCTATGCTTGCGATAAAATCCATCCCGCTCTACCAATGAACAATAATACGTAGAGCAGTACGTAGACAGATGCAATAGACAGATACTGGGACGGGCAGCTGGAAGCAGTGCCTAAGCAGGTTCGATTTAAGCTTATCGCCTACACTAGGGCTCAGCACGAGGTGGATTCGCTGTTACTGACGAAGCCTTGGGCACTCTGGACTCGCAGTAATTCCGAGGCACGCTTAGTGAAGCACGATCGTCGTGAATTGGGGCGGTCGGCGGGTTTTGGCCAGTCTTGTGCCATGTTCCGGCGAGCCCGGTTGTTGACCTGGATATTAATTCTTCTTATGTCCGCAATAATTACAACAATTATATTAATGAAATCTCTCAATCTCAAACTAGCCTCTCAGAGGCTATTTCGAAATCATAGCCTTTCCCTATCAACGCAATACCGGATACGCCATGACACCAAAAACTTCAATGGTGGTCTCGGGATGAAGTTATCATATAATTGCATGGTTACCCTATAACAGCAGAAAAGCGCCTTCTAAATAACAAAAATACGTTTCTCCTTGTCAATGTTATAATTACATGCTCCCTCCTACTAAAACACTTTCATTGAGAACGTCTAATGTTAAACCTCTATATATATTAGAATCTCATAACATTGGGATCTCCGTGTACATGTATTAGACCACATTCAATATAACGATTTATCACTAGCAGTGGATTACCAATATTGAATATCAATAACAGAACAGGGTACATAGTCGTTTTTCTACTATCTGTGTGGAAGGTTCGCATATTTAATGACAATTGATGGTTTGGAATTGAAATTTTAATTTCCACCGGGAATTCTTGATGAAGCCACGTCACCAATCAGAGCATAACTAAGATCATCTGTCTGTTTTCTTTGATGCGCACAAATTCGATAGTAATGAGTAGCTGTAACATCAATTGGGCATCTCATTAGTGGATTTGCCACTCAATTGGACAATCGGTTTAGCAATTCATTGTTAAACCAACGGCTAGGGCAAGGCCTTGACGGGTCCTAATTAAGGCCTCAGGCAGCCTTTGTTCAGCAAGCCGCTATGTATAATCTATCTATTGATCAGTTCCGACAGGACATTTTTGACTCTGCCTTTGTCAATATTAAAACATTGCACTGGAGATTAGGTAATAACGTAAATGTATTTTGGGCTTGGAGTAGTGTGAACTAGACATAGTGAGCCACTTCAAATGTTTACATATATATCAATGATATGTACACTAATGTCAACTATTCAAAAATCACGATATATACACATATGTCATGGAATAATGGGACAGCGACGTTGAGTAAATGAGCAGATACAATTTAATGAGAGCCCAAAAAGCCTCCAAGGCGTAGGAAGAAATTACCGCCATGTTGCTGTCACAGTCGCAGTTGACCCAGTGTAGGTGGTTGGCACCGTATACGACCGATTAGGGTCGCTTTCCCACGTGACTGAGCTGGACCCGTCAGTCTTCTCGATAAATTTGTACTGGAACGAGGTGCCAGCCGGGAGAGTCACAGCGACACGCCACAGAGGGTCGGATGAAGTATATTCACTTGCAGATAGTGCAACTGCGTTATCGGTATCCCAATCCCCGAGCTCACTGATAGAGCCTGAAATGTAAATGTTCTGTCCGTAAACGGTAGTCACTAATTCCTCAAAAAGAACTGGCACAGCTGTGGCCGTTGTCGTAGTAGTAGTCGTCGTGGCCGTCATAGTCATAATCGCTGTCGTGGAAGTGGAAGAGCCACAAAGTGAGCCGGCAGAAGAGGCCAACATGTAGACTCGAGGTAATCCAGATTCCATCGGGACGGCGATATCTCCACTAGAATCCACAGTTACGGAGGTACACGTATATACTTCCATAAGCTTAGTGCCAGAAGAATATCCACTGCCGCTAAGGGTTAGGGTGTACGAGCTGCCAGAGGCACCCATGTTCGAGAGAATTGTAATGACCTGCGAGCCGCTTGACCCCTTCTTCATGGCGATGGTATTACTGTCTGTATAGAATGGGTCGTTCTGCAGACTGGTCAGCCTTTATCTAGGACACTCGTTGAGAGACCGTACCTTAGTGGTGATATATGAAGAGTCTGAAGAAATCGCCTGGGCGCGAATCTTATTTGTGGAGGCAATGAACCCGTATAGCTCAGCTGTTGTGGAGTATCCTGATAACCAGGTTGCCTCACGATTGTCAGGGTCATTACCGCCATTATAGTGCTGCTCCTGGCCCGCGTAGATAATGGGAATGCCATCAGAGAAGAACACAAAGGAAATGACATTTTTGGCTTGCGAATAATCCTCCGTATAGCTAGCTAGTCAGCCGATATATCGGTAAAACTATATGTAGGCCTATACATACTAGGCAAATCGAGGATTGTCATGATTTTCAATGAAGTTTCCCAACAGGGTTGGATCAGCACAGTCAGATGCCACGGAGTTAATCATGTCATAGAGGTTGCTGATGCTACCACTAGAAGATTCGAATGCATACAACAGTTGGTAGTAGCTGTGATATGTTAAAAAAAGGCTTAAAGAAAATAAACATCGAGCACATACACTGGATAATTCAAAACACCATCCAGGTAATTTTGATACGGGCATGTATAAGTAGGATCGCCGTCAAAGACTTCCCCGACACAATAGACACCCGCGGCACTGTTATAGCCGGGCCAGAACGATTGTTGCACGTGTTTAACAGTGTCAATGCGAAGGCCGTCAACTTAATTGATATTCTGTTAGTGGAATTCTTTTACCCTCCAACAAAGCTGACTTGTGTGAGCACGTACTGGAATAGTTCGAAACAATCTCTGCTACCCAATCATACCATATTGTCTGAACAGAGGACAATTCCGTATTTAGATCTGGCAGAGAGACAGTTGTATCGCCAAGCCAGCAGTCCTCGACATTGGTCTGGTTGGAGTAGTTGGTGATTTCACAGTAGGGGTGGAAATACGACGATGAGTCAAACGGGTTGAATGCGCTGTAATCAACAGCGTTACCGGCTCCGTCATACCCCTATCTCTATATCAGAAAAGCTGGTGTGGTTGATTCTTCCAGGCGCCCTACCATGTGGTTCGCGACTACGTCTACCATAAGATACATTCCTCGCTCATGTAGGGCTTTTGAGAGGGCCAAAAGATCGGCAGCAGTGCCATAATTTGAATTGATATTGTATCTGGTCAAATTAGCAAACTTTAATATCTGTGTTCGTATCCTTTCTTACATCTCCTGTTGCCAGTATCCGTGATACGCTTCGCCGTCTCCAGTGTCTTGGGGGAGCTGTTCCGTGACTGGCGTGATCCATATGGCGGTAAATCCCATATCTTGGATGTAGTCTAGCTAGAAGAACCCTCAATATTGAAAGAGCGGTCGTTTAATTGAGATTAACGTACATGGTTGATGATCCCTTGCCAACTCCCACCGCAATAAATCTGCCATCATTATTAGACGCTACTTTCGGACTTCTTTGGGAGTCTCAAAAATATACCCGGTCGCTGATGTTACATGAGGCAGTGGTAGAATTGTCTTCACGGCCAAAACGATCTGTCAAAAGGAAATAGATTGACTGACTGCGCCATTCTGCAGGCGTCAAGCTCACAACAGCCCGCGCGAGGAACAGCATGGACACCAATACAAGGCTTCTCATGGTTGCCACCATCGGTTGTCCAGGCTTAGAAAATGTTCGTGATGGGCTTTCACTTGCTGCAAAAATTTACTCGGGCTAGGCTCCAGTATTTGGATTATACATCGTTTCCTATTTTTTATATAACCTCCATCTCCATAGTGAAGTCAATTCTCCGTCCTCGTACTCTACGGAAAGGCAGAAGCTAAGGTCCTCGGGCCCAAGGACCAATAAATTCAGGAAGATGGACCCGCGATGCATCGATTTAGCTCGTCGTTAAACGAAAAACCCAGCTACGTTTCAAAATTGCTTATAAATAAGTGTTGGAGATTAATTTAAACTAGCGTCGGCAATTCTTAGCTTGGGAGTAACTTACCACGCCTGGCTAGAATTGGCACATCCTCCGGGGCCCCGTGGCCACAGTGGATCGGATCTCTTTGAAACTCCACGATTTGCAGGGGATGATCTCGGTTCTTAACCCTAGAAAACGCAAGACAAGGCTGGCTCACGTGAAGATCACAATTTTGCCAAAAACGCCTCCCCCGAAGACAATGTTGAACGCGCACGCCCCTGCCAGGGACGGAGGAGACTCGTCATGGCGATTGGTGGCTAGGAGGATCCGAAAGACCCAAAACCTACGGGCCGCACCGTCACTCCATGGATCCAAACTAAGGGGGAAGGAAGAGATGATAGGCAGGATCATCATGTTCGGTAGTTTCCGAGCATTAAGCTGCGCAGTCAAACTGAAGTTATTGATAACCCTAAACCCTATCGGTTTGGCTGACCTATGTCAAGGCAATTTTCTGTTTGCTGGATTTGCTGTCAAGGATATTATGGGATTGGAAAAGAATTTCGGCGTAGTGACCAGAAATGAGGCCTCTTCGCGACACCACCAGACACGGCATAACTGTCGGAAAATTCTGAACTTACAAAGCAATACAAAATAAACTATTTTCACGCTATGTTCCTACTAATTTTTGAAGCATTGGGTGACGTACCGCTGGGGGGCAGAGTGGCTCTGAGTTTTTCCGGTGGCGTCTGTAGACTGAATCATTTTCACCGAAATTGAGACAGTTAGGGCCGGTGATGAAAGAGCGTATTGAAAGTAACATAATCAATACAATTCGACCGTGAAAGAATTCTTTTATTCTTATGATTCCATTATGCCTATAGGCACCTTCGATGGGCAGGTCTGGTGTTGGGCAGGGCTAAAAGTTATAACACTTCTCTGGAATAGTGCTAGTCTTGTGCACTCCATGATGTGCAAGGAGGTTCATAAAGGTTGAATTAAATCCTCAAAACTTATCAGGACAGAAATTATTGCTTTCGTCAAAGGATGAATAAAGCAAATGAACAAAAACTTTTACATAACATCACGAAGTCACCTTAGGAAGCCTGTTCTCTCTCTTCACGGAAGCAAGGAAACGCCACCTATACAAGAGATCCTGGTGTATTTTCTGAGTATTCAGGTCCTGGTACTATCGCCATATCGCTTAAGAGACCTTAGATATGAGGCGAGGGCAAGTGATACTCCCGATTGTAACAAGGCAGCCTTGACAATCTCCGCGAATACAGACGATGGGAGCTACTTTCACCGGGCTCGTACCAAGGCAAGAGACCTTGGCTTGGAAATAGAGCTATGAACAAGCGTAGATCGGATTTTAACTCGTTGGTGCCGTTGTCTCGTATTGCAGAGCGCGCGGCCGCTTACGAATCTATAGTAGCAAATGCCGAGCGAGAAGAGTCAGCATGCGAGAGACTACTCAGAGCAGACTTTTCCCTCAAGTTCCTCATGTCAAATTAGTAATGAAAGGCAATTAAAAGTTTGAAGCAATTTTTACATTTTCGCCAGTTTTTAACTAGTTCCAAACCCAATTCGAATCGGTAATAACTCCGGCGCTAGGATGTACTGGTGCTTTAAGGCTTCGGATAGAAAGACCAGTTACAACGCCAGAATACTGAACGCCACAATGAAGAACTAGTTTGATGCTGCCGAAATCCGGGGAATTACCTCCTTTGGCAAGATGATTTGACCTGTAGCCTCTCCCCCGCGGCATTCAGACTTATTAGTATTGACTAAAACCCCATCTCGGCAAAGGATAGAAGCCACCATCACATGCAGAATATCTGGTTTTCCAGTGCCGGTGGACCCCGTGGGGAACCCGGAAGGCGTTCCAGGTAATCGGGGTTCAAAAAAAAGGGAAGGTGTAAATACCCTTATTGTAAATACCCTTTTGCCTATTCTCGGCAAGGCTTCACGCTGCCCGCGAGAGTAGTAGTTAAAGTCTGTTCACCGGAAACCGTGTTCAAGAACAGTGACCCAAACCCAAGGATTTAATAATATACAAACATTATAAAGAGGAGGTCCGCCATCAGGGTTTTCCTTTCTGTCAATTTCATCTCATCCCTTCAATCTCTTCTTTCTTTATACGAATCCTTGAGGCTTTTCGAGTCCGTTTATATTCTCCATGCCCCGTCTTTCCTACGCACTCTGTGCGCTAGCGCTAGGCTATACTGCATTGGCAGCTCCTAAGCTTTCACCTCGTGCTACAGTCAGCTTGGACGCCTGGTTGGCCACTGAGACAACTTTCTCCCTCAATGGAATTCTGCAAAATATTGGTGCCAGCGGTGCTTATGCCCAGAGTGCCAAGGCTGGTGTAGTTATCGCCAGTCCCAGTACATCCAACCCGGACTGTGAGTGATTTAACCTGCCTTGCCTATCAGCTGCTAAGAGTTTAGATTACTACACCTGGTCGAGAGACTCCGCTCTCACGTTAAAAGTCCTCACCGATCTCTTTACCAACGGAAATCTGGCTTTGCAGACCGTTATAGAGGAATATGTGAACGCACAGGCCTATCTGCAGACCGTCTCCAATCCCTCTGGTGATCTCTCGACTGGTGCTGGTCTTGGTGAGCCAAAGTTCAACGTTGATCTGAGTGCGTATACTAGCAGCTGGGGCCGTCCTCAGCGGGATGGTCCTGCTCTACGTGCTATCGCTCTTATTACTTTCGGCAACTGGTTGATTGTATGTTTTCTAAATGAAACCAAAACCTTTTACTGACACCTCCTGCAGGACAATGGATACTCTAACTATGCTGTCAATAATATCTGGCCCATTGTACGCAATGACCTGTCTTACGTTGCCCAGTACTGGAGCCAGAGTGGCTATGGTTCGTCCTCTGACTTCAAACCCAATTTAGCTGATCATTTGCTTACTTGATCATCTCAAGATCTCTGGGAGGAGGTCAATAGCATGTCCTTTTTCACGGTTGCTAACCAGCACCGTGCCCTTGTCGAGGGAAATACCTTTGCTGGCAGGGTTGGAGCGTCCTGCTCTTGGTGCCAGTCGCAGGCACCCCAGATCCTCTGTTATATGCAATCATTCTGGACTGGGTCCTATATCAATGCGAACACTGGTGGAGGTCGCTCTGGCAAGGATGCCAACACCGTTCTAGCCAGCATCCACACATTTGACCCCGAGGCCACATGCGATGACACCACCTTCCAGCCTTGCTCATCTCGCGCCCTCGCGAACCACAAAGTGTACATTGACTCGTTCCGTTCCATCTATTCTCTCAATTCTGGTATTGCTGAGGGCGTTGCCGTTGCTGTTGGTCGCTATCCTGAAGATTCATACTATAATGGCAATCCCTGGTTTTTGTCCAATCTCGCCGCCGCCGAACAGTTATACGATGCCATCTACCAATGGAACAAAGTTGGTTCTATCACCATCACCAGTACTTCTCTGGCCTTCTTTCAAGATGTTTATAGCTCCGCAGCAGTTGGCACTTACGCCTCCGGTAGCTCCGCCTTTACAGCTATCATCAGCGCGGTCAAGACCTATGCCGACGGGTATGTTAGCATCGTTCAGGCTCACGCTGCGGCCAACGGCTCCCTCTCTGAGCAATACGATAAGACGTACGGCTCTGAGCTCTCCGCCCGTGATCTCACCTGGTCATATGCCGCCCTGTTGACGGCCAACATGCGCCGCAGTGGCATCGTGCCTCCATCTTGGGGCGCCAGCTCCGCCAACACAGTTCCTTCTTCTTGCTCCACGGGCTCTGCCACTGGCACTTATAGTACCGCTACTGCTACTTCTTGGCCCACTAGCCTGACCAGCGGCACCGCAGCGACATCTACCTCGGCCTCAACCTCTACGTCTCGATCTACTTCTACAACCAGCACCACCTCTGCTTGCACCACCCCCACCTCCATTGCTGTCACCTTTGACGAGATTGCCACTACCACCTACGGTGAAAATATTTTTATTGTCGGATCGATCTCGCAGCTGGGTAACTGGGACACCAACAGTGCCGTCGCACTCAGCGCCAGCAACTACACCTCCAGCAACCACCTCTGGTACGTAACCATCAACCTACCCGCCGGTACTACCTTCCAATACAAGTATATTCGCAAGGAGTCTGACGGCTCGGTTACTTGGGAGAGTGACCCCAACCGCTCATATACAGTACCTTCGGGATGTAGTGTTAGTACTGCTACCGAGAATGATACATGGCGGTAAGGAATCGCCAATGGATAAATCAAGTTCGGAGAGATTAGCATTTTAAATTAAATATGAAAAATTGGGCACATGTATCTAGAATGTAGTCATAGTTATGAATGGAAGAGAAACGAATGTACACCATTTTTGATATACCGAGTGGTAGATTAGATGGTTAAGTTAAGTTCAGGCGAATAGAAGGGGATGCAGAATAATAGTGAATAACACATTGGAACTGGTTTAAAGCGTCAACTAAGGGATGTATTTATCTATTGGTTAAAAAAATAAGCTTAAAAATATGGTTTGATTAGATATGGGTTTGGTGGTTTGGGCACCGCCACCCGAGCGCCCCAAAAGCATAAAGATATCTAATTCTACGAATCCAGATCTGTCGTTCAAGGCTTTCACAGTCGCATTATAGGTCATTTAACATAAATTTCCACTGAAAATCTTATTAATAAGTACTAGATCAGTATATTATCACTATCAATTGACTTTCTAGCTAAATGCTACTATATCATAATGACTAGTACGCCAACATTGAATCTATTAAGCACTCAAACTCGTTGGAAAGCCCGCAATGACACGAATAGTGCGTGCCTCAGGCTCTTCACCGTCCGTCCAGTCTACTGCATTAAATCCTGCCCGGATCATGTGCTCTTTCCAAAGCCACTCAGGTGTTACCGCATGCTCGCGGCCGTCCTCAAACAGCCACCATCCTTCGAACAGTCCCACTGCAATGTCCAACCAGAACATGTTCTGTGTTATCTCGACCAGAGTTAGAACACCATCATCGCGGAGCATTTTGCGCAGCGAAGTTAGCGATATGGTCAAGTTTCTTGTCGCGTGGATGCAATTCGTAGAGATAATGAAGTGGAAGGACCCAACCCACGATCCCTGGGGTTCTTTCTCAATATCCAAGGTCGTGAATTCCATCTCGGGGCAATCTTTGAATGTACGCTTGGCTGCTGCAACTAGCGATGGAGACAAATCGGTAAAGACATACTCAAAAGGAATGCCTAGCTTTTGCAAGTGGCGGACAATATACTTGGTCGTACCACCTGTGCCAGCACCGACTTCAAGAATGCGGAATACTCCGGGTTTATTTGGCTTGTCCATGGCCTTCTCGAGGAACTCTCCAAGCGCAAGCGTGCCGGAGCGCACGAGGGGCCAGTTTTCGTACAGGTCGTCAAGTGTCTTCTTGTTTTCCTTATTGCCGAAGACGAGCTGGAGGCCATCCTTCTCGCCGGTCAAGCACTCTGCAAGGTCTGAGCCAACGACTTGGACAATTTTATGCACACTAGTATGTAGCGGGAACTCGGGAATGATGTGCTCGTAGATAACCGAGGCAGGCGTACGATCGACAAGCTTTGTTGTACGGACAAACTGGCCTTGATTGTTCACGTCAACAAGCCCAGAATCTTCAAGCACACGGTAAAGTTGGCGTACAAGTTGCTTGTGTCTAGGTAGGTGCGGAATCATAGGAGCAGTATCCCCAGCTTTGAGGACAGTCATGTCGCAGCCCAATTTGGCGAATGCCTCGACGACGTAGGCGAGTACGAGTGCGGCTTGCCGAGGGTAGCAATTTTCCCAGAATGTGACAGCTCCCGTCTTGACGGCAGCTCTCTCATAGGCATCTCTGTAGCTTGCAAAGACCTTCTGTGCCCGTTGTAAAGATGGCCGCGATTCAACATCAGGAGAAGGAGTCGGTACGCTTTGAACAGCAGTGGTGTTTAATTTTGTCTCTACTACAGCAGCAGCTTGAGTACTTGTATCTGCGCTAACCCCCAGAGCTGAATCAATATGATCGCAAACAGCCTTGACGTTGGGGAAAAACAAGAATGTGTTGAGGTCAATCTCAAGCCCAAAGGCCACTTGCATCTCGTTCAAGACCTCCGTCACCAAGAGCGAGTCGATACCAAGGTCTTCGAGTGTTGAATGGGGGGCGATTTCATCTATAGGAACATCCGTAACGTTATGCAATACCTCCATAACCTTTGGCACTTTACTGGATTCTGCAGGAATCGTAGAGACAGCGCCTGGTATCGGAGCTGCTCCCACGGGTGCTGGGGTAGGGTTAGCACCCGCTCCACCAGTATTAACACTACGAAGCGATCGCTGCAAAACCGATACAGAAGTACGTGTAAAGACGAATCCAATGAAGGCAATCACAACTTTCTGAGACTTCTTATCAAAGATGTATACATCACTGACGGTGCGCTCATCGGTGTCTTCGGTCAGGAGTGAGTAAGCGATCCACTCCCTAGCAGTAATATCAAACGCACCACCAGTGACGATACGGTTAATACCCTGGCAGAGTAGGACGTCTTTTCCACTGGGATGTGCGAAATAGTTGACGAGAACACCAGCGAACTGCATCATGCCGTCAATAGTCGGGGTGTCATACAGTGCCTCGTTAGGAGAAAGCTTAGGGTCTAAGTCCGCCGCGACCTTTCCTGCAGCTTCATGACCCTGGTATGAAATACTCTTGATGCCGTGATACATCTCGTCAAAGAAAATGAGTCTCTGAAGGGCTTGGTAGATGTGTCTACCTTGCATCTTTTCTCCGTCCTCGCAGTTCATGATGGAAAGACACTTATTATACCCAATTAAAGCGCTCCATTGCATGATCGTATCAGCCAGCACAGGATCGTCTCGTCTGCCGAGGCCAACTTTGCCAATTACATGAATCTGAACGTCGTCACCACCTTGCTTTAACTTGCTAGAAAACTCGAAATTCCAGTAATCGACGCCTGGCGTGATGCGTGTGAGCTTGATATAGATGTTCTTCTTCGAGTCGAGACCGATAGGTGCACCTTTCATTTGCATGGAGTCCATATTGAGAACGTGTGTTTCGTAACTTGCATTCGGTGTCAAGATAATTGCAGCGCGAGAAAGCAGTTCAACGTACAAAGATGCAGGTGCAAGAGCTTGGTTGGACGCAATGTGACCGTTCAACAAATACATGTAGCGTTCACTCTCAGGATCGATGAGGAAAGTAGCCTCCTTCTTACTTGAATCTGAGAATTCCAAGAACGATATGAATTCATGGATGGGGTTAATCTGTGCTGCAGTAGTAGCGTCTGGGGTAGGCTCTAGAGTGACTTTATCGATAAAGGGGAGCCAGTGCTTAGTCTTCTCGAATTGGTATGGAGGGAGGCTCTTGTACTCAAAATGGCCTCGTTCACGTCGATGATAGGGCCAGAATTGCACGTGGATGCCAGCTTTCCATAGCTCTACGACAGTCTCTGCCACCGACGTAATTGCGTTGGGTCCGTTCAAAAAGGACGGGCAGTAGAGTTGCTGGCCTTCACCATTGAGACTGTTTTTCACCAGCGACATGACGGAAGATCCTTGACCTGCTTCTAGCCAAATGCAAGATTGAAACTTCTTAGCAATCCTTTGAACGGCTGAGGAGAAGTAGACAGGGTTTCGCGTATGGTATGGAATCAACCACGCGCCTGGTTCCTGATCGATATGCTCTTCCGTTGCTAGCTCAATTGGAATTATCGGCTTGTTCCATTCCACGGTGTTTGCAAGCTTCTCAAGTCCTGGTAGAATATCTTCAGTCAAGGCAGAATGAAAGCCGTGTGTGACTCTCAGTCGTTTGGTACGAATAGTTTGGTGAAGCCTGTCGTCGTCGAAGATGTGACGTTCAAAAGCGTCTACAGCCTCACTTGTGCCCACAACCACGTGGTTTGTCGGGTGATTAAAGCAAGCAATTTCTAGCTTGTCGCCGGGCGATTCGGCGTTGATGGTATTGAGAATACTTTTGACAGCCGTATGATCAGCTTGTACAGAGATCATAGATCCCCGCTCTTTACCCCAAGAGCTGTCAATCAGCTCTGCTCGGCCAATCACAAGTTTCATAGCATCCTGGATAGACAAAGATCCAGATATACACAAAGCCGTCAACTGGCCAAAGCTATGTCCTACGATGGCGCTGACACGCATTCCACTATCAATCCAGGCCTTAGCAGACGCATACTGGGCTGCAAAGAGAACTGCATGGAGAGTTGGCAGATCCTGGATGCCGTCACGTCGATAGATAGCTGGATATAAGCTTCCACGACCAAGCAATCGTAATTGAACGTCACATGCATTTAGATGTGACCGTAATAATTCTGATTTATCCACGGCATCCTCCGAAATACCAATGAAATCATTCTCCTGGCCACCGAAGACTATAATCACTGGACGTGGACTAGAGCTGGCATCTTTCAATGGGGCCTCAGAACCAGCGATGATATTCTGGAGCGTTTTATCCAGGTCATTCAGATCAGTGACAGCTTTCGCCAGCGAATAGGTCAAATTATGGTTGGCTCTGTCCGACAAGTTGAAAAGAATGTCGGATAGAAGATGGAAGGCGTTCACAGAATTTGTTCTCTGGGTGTCTATGTAGGCCAAAAGCTTCCTAGCATATGCAATCAAGCTGCCTTCTGATGAAGCCGACATGAAGAATGGTTGTTTTGCGGTGATGGTTGGCCGCTTGCTGAGAGTTTTTGAGGAGAGTGGCGTGGCCTCACGGACAGCAACTACAGCGTTACTTCCAGCGGCACCGTAGCTGTTAATGCAAGCAAGCTTCGAAGGTGTCTTCCAGGGCTGACAGTTTTTTGGAATAGCCATCATGTCGGGCTCAAGCACGGGTATTTTTGGGTTGAGATTGCTATAGCTTGCCTGTCCAAGTATAGTATTGCGTTGCATCATGAGAAGGATCTTGATAAGCCCAGCTACACCGGCCGATGCTTCTGTATGACCAATATGGCCCTTGACAGATCCGAAGTGCAGAATATCTTTACGGTCAGAGCCTCCAAAGGCGTCGCGGATACTCTGGCATTCGATTGGATCCCCAATTTGCGTTCCTAGAGATACTGTTTTAGCCACTTGATTGACAGGTTATTGAATATTGGCAAGCCTTACCAGTGCCATGAGCTTCAACATAGGTAACGCTAGAAGCTGGAGCGCTGGCCATGTCAAGCACCTTTTTGTACACCGTTGTTTGCGATGAAGAGCATGGAACAGTGATATGAGCATCATTATGATTTTGATTGACAGCCGATCCGACAATCACACCTAAAATATTATCGCCTTCATTAATAGCACTCGAAAGAGGTTTGAGAACTACCGCAGCAACACCTTCTCCACGGCAATAGCCGTCGGCCGATGCATCGAATGGTTTACAAGCGCCTGATGGACTCAGGAATCCGGCAGCAGCCAGGTTCTGGTAATCAAAGGGACTGGTGAAGATATTTGTTCCACCTGCGATTGCTCGTGAACATTCGCCAGACTGAATTGCTCGGCAAGCGGTATTGATTGCGACTAGGGATGAAGAACATGCAGTATCAATAGTCATTGCGGGGCCGGTGAAGCCGAATTGGTGAGAAATGCGGCCACTGAAAAATGCTCTCGAGGTCCCTAGCATAGAGTAGGCATTCGGTGGATGGCAGGCAACGTTATCGTAGTAATTGTTAGCAACAGCGCCAATGTAACACCCATAGTCATTTGGGCGATCTGTACCCGCAGGTCCGAAATGGCCAGCAGATTCCAAGGCTTGATAAACAACTTCTAGCAGAATCCTTTTCTCGGGGTCCCACGAGACTGCTTCACGGGATGATTTCTTAAAGAAACGGTGGTCAAAGCTCTCAGGGTCATCGATGAAATTGCCCCAGAACTTAGTGTTCCCATAACCTGCCAACCGCTGACTATCCAGATTCAATCGATCTGAGGGTACCTCTCGAACCATTGATACGCCAGACTCCAAAAGATCCCAGAATTCATTGACGTCGACTGCGCCTGGAAAACGACATGCCATGCCAACGACCGCGACTGAATGCGGAGGATATTTAGCGTTGAGACTCTCGTTGACGCCATTAACACCGTTGACATTATCGACAACATTCACACCGTTGATACCATTAACATTATTGAAATTGTAAGTAGTATCGAGACTGAGAGGTAAGACACCCTTTTCAAACGCAAAAGTGGTCACCCTAGGGCGGTCGGTGGAGGAATCACCAAGAGTGTTGCGCACGGTCGTGTACCAGTCAGCCGTATGAAGCAGGATGTTCTCAATGGCAATATCAGTGATATAATCAGCGCCCGTGATGACCCCCCCGGTGTCGTTTTTCCGAAGCGGGGCTTTGAGTTGTGAGGCTTCAGGGTATTGAAGACCTTTGACGGATTTTGCAAATGTCTTCAGGTTTTGCGCCGTAGTGGCGTGGTCAGAAGCAGAATGAAAACGGCCGTTGATACTGATCGTCTTGGCACGAAGGCCAGCATCTCTAAGTGCTTCGATCAACAGGTTCTCGTCACTGGCTTGGGCAGTGATTGTGACACATGTGATATCAGTGATGCATGAGATATAAGCCTATATGGGAGTAAGAATTGAACTTTAGCAAACAGTGATTTTTGGATTCTAACATTTGTATAGCCAGTCAGGAGCTTTTCGACTTGAGATTTCGAAAATTGCCCTTCCTTCCATCGAATAGACACAGCACAGACGGGACTCGATGGCTCAGCATATAAGGCATTTTGGTCAATATAAAGCCCAATGCATGTAGCAAGCCGCACGCTAATAGCGGTAAATGCAGCCAATTGCTCCTCATTCTCAGAAAAGCTTATGGCAGCAGCGGTAAGGAAGCCTGTGCAGAAGCCTTGGACGCCATACTCTTGCAATGATTGGATTGTCTGGCTGTAATCCGGACCAATGTTGTGTTTGGTCAAGTGTTTGAAAAAGAGGGCAATCTGCAAGAGAACAGCAAAAGGCAAAGAGGCAACATTAAGGAGAGAGTCTAAAGGCTGAGATAGAAGTCCTGAATCTAGCCATTGCAAAAGGAAGTCGATTGATGCAGCCGCGGGGACCTGTTTCAAAGTGCTGTCAAAAGTTGTCAGTTGCTGAAGAAGGTCGGGTAGGGCTTTCAAAGTGGCTGTTAAAGATTCGGAAAAGGTCTTCTGATTTAACAAGATTTGACGAAGTTCGCTTAATTCTTGTGGAGGAGGTAGGCGAGCCTGAGGGCCACATAGGAACAATTCCATATCTGTTGCTGGAGCCATCATCATATGCGATTGAAGTCTACTAACTATATCAATTGTTATATTGGCTTCACATTCCGAGGGAGTATGATAGATTGAATTCTTAATCTGTAGATGAAAATAAAATGCTTACTGATATACAGAATGGAAGGCTGCCTAGCCCTTCTCATAAGATGTTCGCATACTCTATTCATCCCTGAGGGGCAAGCCTCCCGAGCTCCATTTTTCCCGGCCTGCAGCCTGTCTTACCTCTTATCTTCTCAGCCATGCGCGTCTGTGCCGCACAACGTGGATTTCGCTTAAGGTAACAGGCGTTTAAATCTTATATTTCTAATTATATTACTATTGAGGGAAATGGAAACCTATCTAATATTCACAATATTACGCCAGTCTGCTTGCTTAATGCCAAAATCTCGTCCGCAACAGCCGCGACATCCGCGGCTTGAATGACGACTCTATGATCTCCATCCCATTCCACTACGCGAGTCGTACCCGCCTGGCAAAAATCGGTAAGCAGCCGACGATGGTTATCAATGCCAGGGTCTTTCTTCCCATGGACATGCAATGTCGGCAGACGAAGAACGTGGTCTGATCCTTGTAGGAACGAGCCAGTTACCTGTGCAAAGGCACCAGTAGTGAGCTCATCGGCATCGGCCAAGGCGAGCGAGTCCGTCATATCCGTATCCAGAGAAACTAGAGGAGCGCGACCTGCAAGGAGAATACCGAACTTGAAGTTCGACCCAGCTTGATCCCGTCCAAGCTTCTCTGCACGGAGCTGCTGACGGAGCAACAAACTAGCACCTAATTTAGCGCCCTGGCTGAAGCCCATAATGGCCACCCACTCGCCAGTAGCCCCCATAGCGTTATCATTGGCCATTGCGTCATGCAAGACGTTGTCGATGTCCTGGCAAATAGCGTCGGCGCCTGGGTTAGGCTGTTCTACTTTCCAGCGCAACCAACGGCGAAACGGCTGCAGGTGGGCGTAGATGGGCATGACGTTGGGATCTGCGGGTGACAGGTAAGGAGCATCCGGAAAGACAAATCTGAACGTGCCGTTTAGCGAGCGGAGCAGGCCTCGACTTTGCAAGCGGAAAGCTTCAGCGTTGACGCCCCCACCGTGCAGGCAGAGAATTCGTGGCAGATGGAGGTCTCCAAAGGAGATTGTATGTGGTGGGGCCGGAGGGGTAGACATGGTGAGGGTAGTAACGTTATAATAACGCTACTCTTTAAGTTTCAATGTTCTAGGGTGCTTTGAACGCGAACAATTGGTATCAATATATCTTCGCTGATATTTTCCCCTGCGGGCCCACCCCACCATACACATGTGCGATTGTCTAATTACAGTGCCGTAGATCAAGCTCAATTCAGCTAGGCAGGTTCAGGATGCATACCGTATTTATGGGGGCCAAATCTCCCTACTTATCAGCTTGGTCCAGGCGGCTATACTCTGCTAATAGTAGCCGAGCGTTAAGCTTCAACGCTCCGGTTATGCCCACCAACGCAATCGTTAGATGCACTTTCAATGCTGCATATATGGAGAACAAGGTTTCAAGATGTTGAGTGTTATTTTCAATGACAAGGCGATCGGAATAACAGAAAATACTCCTCCGCTTGCGGAAAGGAACTGGGCTCGGGAGCCTCCAACAGCCATCTATTTGAGCAATTAGGGCTAGGTATGACCTGGACCCGGGAGTCAAAGCGTGCAATTCGGGGTATGCATTTATACTCACTTTAGTGGTATACTATTTTGACCCCATATCAATTGACTCCATATTTATGCTATTTATATAGCAGTCATAACATAAACATGCGTTCATGTTCTCCCAATCATTGTGCATTGTATCAGGGTTTAGACGTGGAAACATTATTTCACTATCAATATGATATAAATATACAGCTTTTTGAAAAAGATAAAAAGATAATAAAACTCAACGATGCCCCCTATTAACACCTAAATCTATACCATGCTTAGAGTATACAACCGTTGCATCCCCTGCTGCAAATTTGCTTCTAGCCCGCAACGCATCACCATATCTCCAGAGCAAGAAGGGCGCTGGCAACCCGATCGCGAGAGCGACAAATGCAAGCAAGCTGTTTCCCCAACCATACCCCAACATGTTATACATTGCTGGCGCAAACAACGGAAATCCAAATCCTGCTAGACTACGCAAAACCATAACAGCAGCCATACCGCTTGCAGCGTAACGCGGGTAGGCGTCCACAATGTACGACTGCATAGTTTGAATACCAGATACTGTACCCACGGCTATGAGGAACGCGCCAATATCTGGGAGAATCCAATGCTGGTGCGTCTCTGCCGTCCATCCGTACCACAAAAACCCAATCGGTAACAGGATGGAGCAAGGAATCATTACTGGGGCCCGGAACTCGGGAGAGCCTACATTGTTGTTCCTCTTCTTTAATCGATTGTATGTGAAATCGTTGATCCGGGCAGTCATTTCTGCGCCGATGACGTATCCCAGGCCTAATGCAAAATAATTAAGGCCGCCCATCTCAGTCGACATGTTGTAGTAATTTAGGTCAATGAATAGATTAGGGAAAGATGAAAGTACGAGGTACGTAAGCCCATAGCAGTAAGCCATGTAGATTGCGATCACCATGATAATAGGCTGTGTAGCGAGCATAATGAATGGCCTCGCAAGCGAGACTTGGATATTCCTTGCCCAGTGCAGAGCTGTCACCTTTGGGCCATCGACAGACCAGGTATCGTCACCAGTTTGTTTGCGCAGCTGACGAGCTTTTTGCTCCAAGAGTTTAGGCGCGTAAGTCTCTTGCAGGAAAAAAAGGCCGAGGAGCTGAATTGATAAGCAGAGGAGAGACGAGCCCCAGAATATCCAGCGCCAAGTCGTGTTTGCGGTAATGAATGCCCCTGCTATTGGGCCTATGGCAGGTCCGAGTAGAGGAGCGAGGGAGTATATAGCGATAGCTCGACCACGCTGCTCTGCGTGCCAACAATCTGATAACACGCCGCCGCCGATGCTTAAGGGGGCAGAACCACCAAGGCCAGCAAAGAAACGGCAAATCATGATCTGCGGGCCCGTATGGGCGAAGCCGCAGCCGATATTGAAAACGAGAAAGAACAGATTCGAGAGTTGTAAAACTGGGACACGGCCGTACAGCTCGGAGAGCGGGCCTACAACGAGTGGACCGAGAGCATAGGCGAGGAGGAAGATGGACAAAATAAGGGCCTTGAGAGCAGAGTCATGCACATTGAGATCTCTGCCAATATCCTCCAGGGCAGGTGCAACCATGGACGAAGCGACAGGAGAGATGAAGGCAAAGGCGGAGACGATAGTTGTTGCAGCCCATTTGCGAGCCATCGACCAGTGCTTCGGATTTCTTGCGTCTGTAGGTTCGTCCCAAGTCACGACCCTACATGCATTATTGATGTTCTTCTCTGTAGACATGGTGTCATATATAAAAGGCGAGGTCGCCCAGACCCAGCAACTTTTCAAGTGGCAAGCGTCTCATCAAGATGACAATATGCTAGATCTTGTCTGGCAATGTTTGAGACTATGGAGTGGCGATAAAAGTTCCAGTTTGGAAACAGTGCATTTCAAATCTTATCGATTGATATTGCTTCTTTGTTCATAGATACGAGAGAGGGTATCAGTCAATACGATTCTATCCTAGGGTACTTCAGATGTTTCATGCTAAAATGGCGTCGAACGGTACTGTAATAGCCAAACCCTACGCCACCGAATAGGGAAAATAAAGCCTTATGCCCTAGATATCATGATAACTCTTTTCCATATAATCAATTCAATGAATTAATACATATGTTATCATATGTCCTTCTTAGAGATCAATTAAATCAAAATTATAGCAAATTTTAAAAGCCAAATTAAAATATTGCGAGTAGACTCGAGTTGTTCTCAAGAAAGAAAAGCATAAAAGGGCCCCCAAAATGCAGTACCATACTTCTCGATCCGAAAAAAAACCCCTCATTCCATCACATATTTTTCCCCTGTACTTAACAGTGCAGATATACCAGGCATTACCTTGCTTTCAGCTGCTGCGGGTAATATTTTGATATTACATATGCAGCAAGTTGAACCAATTCTCATCGTCCACGATTCCTAAGGCATAGTATAACTGATGTTAAACGTTGCTGATGCTTTATGTTATTATTCTGAGTGACGCAGAAATAACACCTGCCGATCAAACTCTATGCCTTGAACTCGTAAGTGGATGGCTAAAGCCCGCTAGTTTGGTATAAGCCGGAGTGTGCGGAATGAGCGAATGGACCGCAAATGCGAAAGCACGTTGATCTTGGGGTGGTAATAGCAGCATTTATTAATAATAACAAGACGCCTCCCGTCCCGTTCCGTAAAGCTAGCTGAGCTACCTGACCACTCAAGCCTCAAAGTGAGGCCGATTAATATGCCTGGAAAAAGCTTGTCTGCAGGGTGGAAGTGGCTACTACCACTATGAATAAGTGCAACTTTTAATTACATTGGACGAGAGCTGTACTAAATTCTAACTGGGAACTCAAAGTATTAGCTGTTACAACCTTGTCGATTTCTGCAGGCCATATATGACATACGATCTGCCATTTCTAACCCAGTTCGGAAATGCCACGAGCTTCGGGCTGAATAAGGGTTGGGGGCCAAATGCATATCGAGGCCCATTGGAGGGTCCCTAAAACCATTTCGGTGTATCCCCGCCCGCAAGGGTTGCAGACTGGCAATGCTACCCATTTATCAGTCCCCGCGACACACGCGACGGGGGCGTCCAAATTGCCGGGAAAGTTCCGGATTTCGTCTCGCAGTTGGTGTGGCTATTTTGAGAACGATCGACTCGTCGACTCAATGCTTGACTTGGTATTATGGAAGTTAATGGTGGGCTGGCGTGTATTCTGAGTCGCCATACCTGTCTTCGACCTTGTGCACGTTGCGGATAAGATTCCTAAGCTGAAGCACAAGCCCGACGCCGGCTGACGAACTCGCTTCAGCACGTCGAACTAGGCATAACCCGCCTTCTTGGCCCCTCCTGACGTTGCCTGCAGAAATGCAAACCAATCCAATCCATTTCAATTTGCAGAGCTAAATCTTTGTTAAACCAACACAATAGATCTTAAATCTACAAACCAAGAAAGCCGCCGCATATGATTCTCCAACTGCCGAACCAACAATCTAATCTCTCCCGGCCAAGCTTGATCAAGACTTAGCAACGTGCATCTTAGCACACTGCTGTTGCGCTGGAGACCGCCAACTTTTGGCCAACGGCCAATCTGTTCCTGAGCTGGCCGTCGTCAACGTCGCAAGATCACCGCTGTTGAGCAATACCAATTGCGATTACCCCTGCCATTTATTTGGCAGCCAACATGGGACTTGAGATTTCGCACAATTCGTTGCAAGAAACATGTTTTATTCTGGCTATTGTCGGCGTGGTGCTGGCGATTACAGCTACTGCTCTCCGGTTTGTAGCTGTGCGCCGAAGCAATCGCAAGCCTAGCTGGGAGGACTGGTTCGCCGTTTTAGCTACTTTCTTCTTCATCTTATATGTGATCCCACTTCTATATCGTAAGTGCTGCAATTTTAAAATTTTGTCCTAACTTTATCTTCAGGATGGACGACGCTAACTGTTCTATTTCCCTAGTCTTGTCTGTGATGAACGGCAAAGATACCTGGTCAAAAGCCGAGGTGGTCAAAATTAAAAAGGTATATATCCGCTATGGAACATAGAAAAAGGCCATCTCGCTAATTCCTCGTCTAATCTAGGCCGGATACTCCATGGGCCCTCAATTCTGCATGCAACAATTATTTGCGAAACTCAGCATTCTATTCCTATACCACCGACTATTCCACGTCAATGAAAGGTTCCTTTACTGTGTTTGGTTTCTCGGCGCAGTGCAGGTAGCTTGGTCTATTGCGACTTACCTGGTGCACTGGCTCGAATGCATGCCGCCACAAAGGCTCTGGAACCCAGAACTGCCAGGGACGTGCATCAATAGCCCGGCTTTTCTTGCTGCGGGAGAGACACCCAATTCCCTTGTGGATTTTGCTCTTATCGGGCTTGCCATTTGGATGGTTCAATCGTTGAGGGTGAAGACATTAGTGAAGGCGAAATTGTTTGTAATCTTCATTGTCGGTGGGTTGTAAGTACTCAGGCTATATCTAGGTTTCCATGCCATATATCTAGATAATCGCTAATCAATCTCCTAGAGCCGGTGTTCTCGGTTTCGTCAAGATCGGCTACGGGTTTGGTGCGACAAGTAAATCCAAAGTTGAAGTCCTCGATCCTATCTGGGCTACGGTTCAACAAACATGCAGCGTGATATGTTGCTGTGCACCATTCTACAAAAACCTGATCCCCGAAATTAAACTTTTCTCATTTATCCAGTCACTTACAAGTTCAATGTTCTCGAGGAGTAGGAGTTCGAAATCCGGAACCAATCAACAAGATAAAGTGGACACATTTCCAAATTCAATCAGCAGAGGGCGGCAGCGTCCGAATAATGAATGGCTTGAACTGGATGGGAATAGTTCCCGAAAGGGATCACTTCCTCCAGTCTAGTTATTGTCCGATTTTGATTCCCATTTCTGTTTCTGAGAGTCAGTTGATACGATAGGAGTCTAAGGGTTTGTTTTCGGGGATATGTTTTCATAGGTCACGATTAGGATTCATACGAGTCATACGAATAATATTATGTACAATTATTTAAGAACTTTAACAGGGCATTGCTTGAATATGCACACTGTAGCAACTTCTGATAAGCGGTACCATTGGATTATTACAGATCTTCTGCCTTGCTCCACCACTTCTCAGTAGCACATGTAGTAGTGAAGATTAAAGGTTATATCAGTATAATCTGCGCGCACCATAAAATCTATAGATACACAAATATCTTACTCTGGAGGCACGAGCACCTAGCCAGTCCGGCCTAACAGTTCCCACACTTGTAGGCAAGCTTATACTCATCCCACAACTTCTCAAAACTTCAAAAACAACCTCAAAACTCCCTGCTCTCACCAATATCACAAACATCGAAAACACCCGTCTCAGAAAGGCCACTTTTAGCCAACGCTTTCTTGAGTAATTGTGGCGGTTCCAGCACACTTTCTTCTGCCACAGCCCACGTCCCCCAGTGAATACCTATTGCCTTTTTACACTTTGTATCCTTAAAAATCTCCACAGAATCATACGGATTCGAATGCATCGTACTCAAAACATGCCGGGGCATATATGCTCCAATCGGAATTAAGCCAAGGTCAAAAGGACCCCGAAATTCGCCGATTTGCTTGAATGCAGGACAGATCGGGAGGTGAGAAAGATCCGAGCCCCAGTCATCAACGCCTTTGGGCAAGAGTGGAACTTTGCGATAGCCCGTGTCGCCGGCAAAATACACGGACTTGCCACCGGATGAAACGGACCAGGAAGCCCATAATGTGGTTGATTTGTCGAAAGGAGTACGTGCAGAGGCGTGTTGGCAGGGGAGGCAAGATATTCTTGCCGTGATTCTGTCACTCTGTGAGGAATCAGATGTCGAGGAACTTGATCGTGGTTTTTCGCTGCTTGACTTGGTCAATGTGAGGTCTACGTCCTCCCACCAGTCGAGCTCAACAACGTTCGTAATCCCGCAATCTACGAACCATTTCTTAAGGCCCTTCGGAACAAAAAATTGAACGGACGGGTGTCGTTTATGGATTTCAAGAATGGTTGGGTGAGACAGATGGTCGTAATGGGAGTGGCTTATGACCACCTACTCATGTTGTAAGTACATACCAGATATGTCGATTGAGAAGACAAAATTGATATTATGACTTACGCAATCGATAATTGGAATATCAGAGATGTCGCAGGGCTTGGGGGTAAATCTTTTGTGGCCTACCCGGGAGAATGGCGAACAGCGCTCTTCGAATACAGGGTCAAAAAGAACACGTAAACCAGTAAGGAACTCAATGTAGTAACATGCGTGACCTAACCAGGTTGCACGAAGAGCCTGTGAGCTTGAGCTTGTTCTAGTTGGAAGAAACTCGGGTTTGATGACAGAGACAGTTGGCGGTGAGGTGTCAGGCCTCTGACTGTTTCCAGAGAAGAACTTGTGTCTGCAAAGTCCAGTCAGCCGGTCGAGTCCCGTAGCCCAAGGTCCGCCGGTTGACACTACAGAGAAAGAATAAAAAAGTACTTACTGGATCATGGCCTTGAAAATTTCAGGAAAGGTGAATTCATGGGCACTCTCCCACGGATTCACAAAGCCCTTCATTACCCCTTTGCCGGTCGCATCTCTCACCCAATGGCCTTTCTCACTCGCCGTGTCCGGAACCGGACTCAATGCGGCCGGTGCACTCACAGATACGGCATACAGGCTACTGGTTCCAGAACCCATAGTTCTATATTTTGGTATCTCGACCTTGGCACGGTGTTGAAGGGTGCGCGAGGGTCGGCTGGGGCAGAACGGTCGGAGGATGTTCCGCATAGGATGCGCGCATCGGTTCCTCGCGACCTGGAAGAAAAAACTAGTTGAGTTTATGGTATTTGAATATAACGATTGTTTTCTATTGATTGTGTTATCATGATATTGTCACGAGCCCTGGCGGAGGTAACAGCTAACGCCGGCGGGTTATCTAGTTTAGCGGGGCCGTGCGGATCAATCCAGCCACGCCCGTGGTTCGCGGCTTTTCCTATTGTTCCTAGCCCGAGCTTTCCTGATCCTGAGATCACTTGTATATTTATTCTTATTCTATTCCTACCTCGGCTCCCAGCACCTCCTTCTCCTTCCATCTTTGATGCTCCCATCAAGTCCAGTCAGGCGAATTCAAATACGATACTCCAAAATGGCCGAATCCGTACCCCTGATAGACAAGAGTACGGGGGGGACTCCACGGGGTAAGTCACCAGGAGTCACCACTTCTCCTAAACCTCGAACTGACCGATTTCCAAGCTAGTTTTACATTTGCTAAAGATACCCCGCTCGGAAAACGTCCCCAAGCCATTGCCCATCGAGGATACAAAGCTGCATACCCAGAAAACACAATGAGCGCATTCAAAGGAGCGGTGGAAATCGGGGCACATGGTATTGAGACTGATCTACACTTGACCAAGGACCAAGTGGTGGTTTGCTCCCACGTATGATTTCACGCAGTCGCAATACAGACGGCAAAATTGATTCGATACAGGATCCCACGCTCAAACGCTGTTTTGGCAAAAACGAGAAGCTTGTCGACTGTAACTGGGATTATATCAAGACGCTGCGTACGGTGCAAAAACCACACGAACCAATGCCGAGGTTGAAAGACCTCTTGGAATATTTAGCAACCCCGGGTCTGGAGGATACTTGGCTGGTGCTTGACATCAAGGTGCTTTTGCCGAGCTTTACAGATGCCCTGCTGGGCAACAAAGCTGTTCAGACGAAGCTGGACGATTATGCCGATGATCTTTTTAGGTTGATTGCAGCTACATTGGCGGAGGTTAAGCCGTCGTCGTGCCCATGGAATCAACGTGTGCTGGTGGGGTGCTGGGCGGTAAGTTTCCGATACGCTTCCCGATCCATGTTTCTTCAAACCCAAGTTAATATTGTTCATTATTATAGGCAAAATACCTCCCCCTCTGCGCGAAATACTTACCCGAATATCCTATAACTTACATTGGATTCAGCCTGGACTATGCGCGCCAGTTCCTCAAGGTTCCGAGCGTTAATATCAATATGTTTCAAATGTTTTTAGTCGGCCCCCGTGGGAATGCTTTGCTTCGGGAAGTAAAGAAGAAAAAGGCCGACCGCTCAATACTGCTGTGGACCGTGAACGAAGAATCGTGGATGAAATGGAGTATCAGGCAAGAAGTTGATGGAGTAATCACCGACGACCCAAAGAAATATCTGGAGGTATGCAAGAGTTACAATAAAGACGAGAAGTTAAGCCACTCTCGAGCGTCTTGGAAGGCCATTTTCATGATGCACATGCGGGCTCTGGTATACGGGTTTTCGTTCAGACTTAAACATGGATATTGGGTCGATGTACAGCAGGTTAGGAAATATCTAGAGAACTGAATGGAAGTGCGACGGGGAGATTCCAGTCTTCGCGAGATTTCTGCTTAGTCAAATTCGCCTGGTAGGACAAGAGGGCAATCTGGAATGTGTTCTTCATTTCTTCTTTGACTTTATCTCGTGTCTATGCAGGACTAATTACACTGTAGAGGCTTGGCGGCATGTTTGATTGGCCGCCACACCAATACAACATTCTTCTTTTTCACACAAAGTAACTTAAAACTATCCTCTCACTCTTCTATTTTATCCCTGTATCACATAGCAGCGTACACGAATCAATCAGTTGTCCAACCCCGGGCAATTCTCGCTCGTCTGCGACGTGATGTCGCTGTACGGGGAAGGATCCGTCCAGATGATATTGAAACTGTCGGAGGTCAGTATCAGCATGCACTCGCATAAGGCTGCCATCGGCTGATCAAAGGCGCCGGGGAGAACAAACCTGTCATCTGGGTAGGTGGGAGCATTGTCATCGCCGAGCTTTGCCACAATATCCGTCAACGCATCATGTTCCCAGCAAATCAGGATATTGCCATCGCCGCTGTACGCCTCGACGGCCTTCTTCACGCACTTGGGGTCGTCACGGTCGCAGGAGGTGTCGACAGTCAGACCTAGGTCTTCGGCGAGGGGCTCGACGGTCAGGTACGGGCGGTCACGCGAGCCATCTACAAAGTTAGACGCAGATCAGTCCATCCGTCGTGTTGAATTCGGGGTCAAGAAACAAAGAATATCAAACTCACCAGACTTGTACTGCTGGGCCAGAATGTACCCGATGTTGTACTGTGACGAAGCGCCGAAGACGTTGCGCAGACACTGGGAACGCTCCTCGCCAATCGAGCTCAGGCCGACGCCGCCGTTGCTGGGCTTCTCGCCGTGGCGGATCAGATACACGGTAGGCTCAGCAGCCGCCGCAGCGACGAGCAGAGATAGAGCGGTGGGCAGAACGAACTTCATTGTCAATGATCTTATTTCGAGTTCAGAATGAGTGGTAGTTCCTAAAGGGGGTTTCAAAACGAAAGCTTCATAATGAGGGAATACGACAACGATGGCCCGTTTATAAACTGCAGGAACAACACGACGTCAGCCCCATCCCCCACGCCAGAATCCGCCGCAGGTTGTCGGCCTGTCCAATCACATGGACAGATCGACCGCCATCATTTTAAAGCACGACGTACTGCACGGCATCGCAGACGTACAGAGTCGCATGTAACCCAGATCTAACGACGGCACATGGACGGACCGATGATTTGCTGGCTACTATACGCGAGCCCACCAATCACCGGCCAACGTAGCGACAGATCTGGTTAGTGCGCCGAGACTCACCCACGTGAGTGCAGCAAATGGCCGGATTGGCATTTCCCTTTTCGGGAGGCCAGGGTTACGCCGGCTTATGCTTATGTCTGAATACTTGACGATTTCTCAGTATTGCGACTTGCTTAGTTATTCTTCTTCTTCTTCTTGTGGTAATAATGATTATTATTATCATGCGGATGATCAGGGCTGTTGACGCCGCAAAGGCATCGCCGTCAGTGTTGTCACGCTGTATCTCGCGAGCTATTTTCCATCTGATATAATCGAACTAGGACAGGTATGTAGCATCGGTAGAAATTGTTCTTACCACGCGGTACCCGGGTTATATCATTTCATAATCCGCCGAAAGCATCCATTACAAAGAAATTAATCTCACTTATTTCTGACACATTCATACTTATCAGTCAACATACATCCGGTGCCAGAATACGTAGAACATTGATTACATTTTACAGACTTACAGCACCTTGCAGGTTCACCAAAAGACAACCCAGCAAACACCCCAGTTATTGAAAGCTCGGCTGTCCTATTGAGTGTCTTATTTCCGAAGTGACATATACTATGTCACAGGCATATATGCTGCTGTACAATACTTCCATTATAGAATCACCCGTTCAACTCGCTCCACAGCCTCGTCAAACGCGGCTCGCTGTGCGTCACCCTCAGCCAGGAACTCACCGACCCTCCTCAACCCATCCAGCGTCTCATACATTCTCTCCTCCTTGGTCGTCCCGCACAGGATCTTGATCTTGCACCCTTTGCTCAATCTCAACATGCTTGCAAAACAAGCCACCTGTTTCGAAACCCCAATTTCCCTCCCAATCTTCTCAAACAACTCGGGATCATCGAGAAGGCTCGGATTTCCCCACAGCAGCCCCCACGGTGTATAAACAATTCCCCAGCCTTCACACACCTCACGCACATCCCGATCAAACGCCACCTGCGGATAGGGCAGATTAGCAGGCATCTTCGGATTCGGAGCTGCCGCCGTGTCCTCCGTGAACCGGTTCTGGACAACGCGCGGCTTGACTGTGGCCGACTCGTAGATTTGTCGTAGCGACTCGGCGTCCGTGTTGGAAAGCCCCAGAGATCGCACTGTTCCCGCTGACACGAAGCCTTCCATCGCTCTCCACGCAGTTATGGAATCCTCGATGTTCGGGTACAGCGAATGCAATATCAGACAGTCGATGTAGCTGGTGCGTAGGTTCCGTAGTGACGAACTCACGGACTGCTCTACTTGTTCCGGTATACCCGCCGTTATATCATAGGGGTATAGTGCGGGATCCTTTCCTTCTTTGAAAGGGCTGAATTTGGTTTGGATCTGTCACGAAGCTTTGATATATATTCTACAATTTACACTATTGAAAGTAGGAGAAGCATATCTTAATACATACGTATAAATCCTCACGCTTCAAGTCACCAGAAGCAATAGCCGCTGCAATTCCATCGCCGACAAGGTTCTCCCGATACGCAGTGTTGCTTCCTGCGGTATCGATCCCCCGGAATCCGGCTTTCAGTGCCGCTTCGACGAGCTTCGCGCTGTTGTCGAATTTGAAGGCCGTTCCGTAGATTATGTCGGGGATAGGGAGCAGTTCGGCCATGACCACGTTGTGTAGATGTTTGATATGTTGATCGAAAAAAAAAGAATGAAAATTTCGAACTTTAAAAGAAGAGGATTAAATGTTGATGCCTGCAAAGATATGAATATTAGTGTGCGGGAGAGCCGATTCATGGACGCAACACTAACACCTGAATTCCACGTATTGGAATGTTGTGTTGGTTGGTAAGGAACCTAAGCCAAATTCAGCTAATATCAATTGATCTAAGTAGCTTCGTAGCCATTGTTAGTTATCCAAAGAATAGTTAAAATTTAAATATCCATTAACTTGTGACTCTAAATAAAGGCGGTTATTAAATATTGACATCTACAACTCCAGATCGATTGATGTCACATCAACATCAAGTAGTGGCAGCGAGCAATAGCATATACAATCATATCTTCAGGCGAGGAATTCAATAGCAATTCATATTTCTCTTTCTCTTCTTTCAAATATTTAGATTAAAATGCTAGACTGTTTTTGGCCTTTAGATTGAACACTTGTTGACGTAATAAAGTCATAATGAGCCTATAACGTTGAAACATGTATAGTGACATCAATTGATGCCTCGTGAACACCACACTTAAAACATTAATTGATGCTCTTAATGTTTTTATAAATATCCCGAACCTCTTTTTCATAGAAATTCTCCTATGGTCTTACCCAGAACGCCTGTCAAATATGCCTGTTGAGGCAGAATACAAAAATAAGAGCTGGGATAAAGAGTCTGATACATGTATAAAAATAACGATAGAGATTATATAGAGCTCTTGAGCTATCTCGAAAGACGGAAGCTACATGTTAGATACCGATAAGAAATCGCGTCATTGAATACATGTAGTTGTCAGCATCCAGATAGGAAGAAAGATTGGAGCAGATGAGTCCGCCACCACCACCCTACGTCAACTATTGTAGTAACGACCACGTGCAACTCCTTTCTTAACAAGCCTGTGGTACCATTAAGCTCGAATCTAGTTTTATTGTTCTATGTTTTGGAGTTAGAGTTGGCGTTGAGCCTACTACTGAAAGTGTAGTATCCCTGTGAAGCTCTCTATATATTCATCGTACTATATACATACAACTCAGGTCCGTTTTTCAAAATGTTATCAGAATTAATCGATCCGCCATTTCCAAGGTTCAAGTCTAAGCCGACCCCTCACCAAACAGCAAAATGCCATAAACGACATGTGGACCTCTAGTAATAAGCATACCGGTAATCTGGCTTCCCGTTACTCGATGCCCTCATCTTTGACCTCGGTCTCGAATTTGCTAGCCTCTTGGACGCACTCCCACTACTACGACTCCGTGATTTCGACGCCGTGGCGCGACGGCGGGGACGGCCTTGCGCTCGAGCAAGTCGATCACGGCCTCGCTCATCGAGATCCAGCGTGTGCGGGTCTTCTCGTGAGCGAGACGAGGGGGATTGACGCTCGACGCTGCGGAAGACGCGTTCAGAAGGTTGATTAAAGTCGCCTGGGTGGGGGGATTTCATTTTGCTAGGTGATTCCGGTCAGAAGAGTGACTTGTTTATGAGGGGTGTATTCGGATAGGCAGGTCGATCACTTGGTGACTCGGTTTGCTTGGTTGATTTAGTATATGTCGAGATGCGGGGAGGATATTGCGAGCTCGATCTGTGTCTGCGAAGCTGGAAGGAGACAGAGTTAAATAAAGAATCAGACCCGCGCCCCCCCGTTACCTGAATTTGGAACTTCGATGTTTGTTGTCAATATGCCGTCATAAAAGGCAAAATTATCTCTACCCGCCACAAACGGAGGCGAGGCAAGGGTTAAGACCAATCAACTAGCGTTTTGATATGGTTGATGTTGCCAATGGTTGATACTTAGTGTCAACCTTATCTACGACCTTGGGTGTGAAGTCGAAAGGATCTGATATGGTTGGTAGTCTATGTTGACGTCGTTAAAAGGACAAAATCAACCAGCGACTACGCTGAATTTAGGCATGACGCTTCCTATTTCGCTGCTTGTTACGACTTTTTATGGCATTCAGACTGTTGAGCTGCTGTTGCACAATCGACCTCGAGGACACCAATTCACGTCGCATACAAAGGAGATATGTAGTACAAAGGGGCGGCTTTGACCGGTCGAGTCGCCAGACAGAGAACTAAGGAATATCGCAAAGAATTACAGACGACTCGGCGGTTCTATCGACGCTTTCATTCACAAAGCCGGCCGGCAAAATTCAAATAAAAAAATGAAGGATACGACAAGAGGCAGTTTGAACTCGTGTTTGGCGATGGACGTAAAGTCTTCGCGTATTCACAGAATACAGAACCAATCCAGGCTAGCAATTCACAAAACTTGTCATCGAGTAACGAGAAAAAAAGGCGTGAGTGTGATCATGTCAAAAAATAGGAATTATTTTCACATCCGTCGCTGGTTTTCGCCGTCTAGCAGCCCTCACAGCATTCGATACAGTCGAAGCAGCATTCGCAGCTTTCCTCACAGAGGAAGCAGCAGCACAGGGTGGCGAGGCTATAAAAGATTGTCGAGTTAGCGTTTTGTTATCGACACGGCGAGAGATTCCGTCTCGATTGGAGGAACATACCAAGCACCCAAGCATCCTCGGTCCTTACCACCGCGCTGCTCCTGGTACTGTTGTGGAGGAGGCTGATAATTGATCAATATTTGTCGCGATGCATTGTAGAGCGCGGTATTCAACTCACTTGCTGGTAGCCGAACTGTTGCGGGGGAGCGTATCCTTGTTGTGGGTAACTAGAACGCAAGTCAGTAATTTCGACCATCGATACCTCGCCCGAGTTCAAACATACGCTTGGGGAGGAGGCTGCGGAGGACCGCCGTATCCAGGATTATACCCGCCCTGTGGTGGTGGATATTGCTGGTGCGGTTCGTTGTAATAGTGTTGATTCGACATTGTGGTTGTTATTATTCGATCTGCGGTGTCGCCCTTAGCAATTGCTTCGTCAAAGACAGTATATGGGCTCAATGAGTAGAGGACATACCAGAACTGATAGGGGGTGAATAGAGTGCGACAGAGGCGCAAGCAGCGATGGAGGGAGGAAAGAAAGATGGAGCGAGATGGAGCGGAGAGAGGGTGGTCAGGTCGTGTTAGCTGGGGGAAGGGGCAGACAGCTCAGCTGAGTGGGCAAGCGCACGGTGCACGTGCTGTGATTGGCCAGCGCGATCTGATTCGAGAAGAGGAACGATTGCACGCCAAGCCGTTCTGGGCGGCCGCCATTCAGTCATTTGAGCCAGCCATTGTCATATTGGGGCGGGCCACTGTCGCTGCACAGGTGAAACGATCCATGTTTCGGCATTACTCTGCTACTATTATGATCAATGCTACAGTATTTCTTGCCACATGTTCTCGGGGAATACGCGCCGACGAGTTCATGAGTTAATAAATTATGGCGGTGGGCCCCCTTAGGGCGATCCCCATCCAGTTCTTCGACAGTTCTTCCTGGAGCAAAATTAGGCAGATACAAAGTGGTGATTGGTAGTCCACCGAGACCCGACTTGCCGAGCCGAGAATCGTGAAGACGGGATCTTATTGTCGTTATTATGTTGCATACGACGTAGGGATAGCGCTGCGACGAAAGTGCTTTTTTTGTCTCTGGCGGTCAGGTCACCGCCATTATTGTGGTTATTGTTGCTGTGGCTGAGTTGGGTTATGGGCCGGACCTCACTTGGTCATTGGGTGTCGGCTGCCGGCTGCCTCGGATCACAATGGACAGCCACCACGATTGTGGCTAATGCGTACTAGCCACGTATGGCCAACGCGGCGAGCAAAGTCATACTAATGATAATGATGTCAAGTCAATCATAATGCCAGTTCATTATTACGCACCGATGGATACCAAAAAAAAAACCGCGAGAATATGTACATGGAACGCAGTACAAACGAGGCATTAACGTAAAGATTAATCATCACATCGTCCCGCCCCCGGAAGAACGTGAGAAAAAAATAGAAAGAAATAGAGCAAGGCTGAAAAGACGTGATAGAATGGACATAAGTCATAATGATAATAACTAGGGTGAAGGGAGAGAAGGTAAATTATATACGAAGAACGCCAAAACGCAACGCAGTAAAATTATACGGCAGTCTGTACAAGGAACGGGTCATCGACGGCTAAGGGCTGAGCATCGAGATAGTAATGATGATCAAGAGATGGCACAAAGGCCATCTCGAATCCATTGCCCATGGTCATGGTGGTATCCCACTTGAGCGAGGTGTCCTCATATTCACCAGCGGCATCGGGGCTAATCTCGGCTTCTGTACCGGGTTGAACGGTAGCAGGCGGGAGACCGGAGGCAAGCTCGGCAGAAACCTCGTCATCCAGCAAATACTGAGCATTCTCGAGCACCACTTCCTCCTTCTGCTCCATCCAATGCTTCAGTACTTCCATGGGTGGATGGTGACCGCCGCCCTTGCCGCCACGTTTCTCGCTGTCCTTGCCACGACCGCCACGGCCGCGCTGACAAGGGTTAAAATGGGTCCGACGCAGGTGTGCTGCAGCATTATAATTGGCCCCGTATCGCTTGCCATTACGGCACGCTTTGCAATTGGCGAGAAAACTCTTGTCAGGAGAGATGTCAACACACACCCAGACTTTGCGCACCACCGCGTGAACTCGCTCGATGTGTCGGCGTAATTCGTGCTCACCATGGAACCCTTCGGGTTGGTCAGTACAGAGGTGGCAGTACGTCTTTTGTCGTGGGGGTCGCTGAAATGACGCTTTGGGAATGGCAGCTACCTCTTTGGCAGTGCCATCTTCCGACGAGATACGAATCATCCGATGCGGATCATTTGACTTTACAGTCAGTACGCTGCTTTTGTTAGAAGATACTTTTGGCGCAATCGGTCGAGCGCCTTGAACAACTTGTTCTGATGTACGACGTGCAGTCCTAGACTGCTGTGTCATAGACACATCCGAGGCATTGCTCTCGGCAGAAAAAGAAACCTTCATCTCCTGTGCAGCAGATGAAGGGGCCAACGAAGATGATGACAAAAAAGATACAGGATTTGGGGCAGATGAAGAAAATGGCACATGATCCATGCTGCCAATCGGCGAAACAGAAGGAAAACCTACGTCCTGTGAGGACGTAAGGTGAACGTAATCAGAAGAAAAAGAAAAATTGGAAAAGTTTTCAGGATTCGACTCTTCCGAGTCGAATCTAACCATGCCCAGTCCTCCGCAAATAGACTCTGATGTTGTACTACGACTCATTTCAGTTGCTTGAATGGTCGCGACCGTCAATTGGTCGGACGTAGCTGGTTGAGTCAACCCCTTAAATTGAGGTGTCTGCATATGCTCCTGTGGGAGCGACTGCTGTAATACGACTGTGTTTTCATGTGATCCCATTGACATCTCAACATCAGAGGGAATTGATAAAGCAAAACTTGGGGTAACTTGACCAGGAATATCTTCCACACACTGTTGTGTCCATTCCGTTGGTGAGTATTCGTTGACGTTCAAATTGTGAACCTGTTGGGTATACGAGGTAGGACCAGAAGATTGCCTTCGTGTCTCCAGACCGACGCGTAGCTGTTGTCTTGTTGAAGGAACCTGCTGGCTCTGCGACCGCATCATAGGAATAGTGCGAACAGAATTGTGGACTTCGTTGTTGGGGGACCTTCCAATCCTGTTATTTGTTGATTGTCGCCTCATCATATGTGAGGAGGTTGTCGTCGGGGATTGGTCCATAGGAACGGATGTGCCAGTTCGTTTGACTGTGGCACCTTTCGACTCGGGGGTCTGCCAAGTGTCAATCCAGAGAAATCCAGGAGCACGGGGACGAAAAGCTAGAGATGGAAGACGAGATCATGCAAGAGGGCTCGCACGGATGGAATGATTAGACATACGGTGGCACGTCGTTTCGCAGAAGTAGAAACTCCAGGAACGGTTCGAGGTGCATCCAGTCGAGTACGTTTTCCCAAAGTATCCGAGCAAGGTCCAGATGATGTCGATATCGTAAAGGCGTCAATGGTGCTGTCTAAAACCGAAGAGTTGTTGTTGCCGGTGACAAACTGGCTGAGTCGACGAGTCCAGAGACAATTTCTTTCCGTTTCCGAGAGATGTTGATTTTGACTCCAGAAGACATCACGGTAGCCAGACACGGCCCGGTTGAAAAGAGCGTCGTCAGCAGTAGAGACGGCCATTATCTGGGACGATTCCTTTGTCTCCAGGTGGTTGATAGTGGGTGCTGGAATCAGTGTCAGAGCTTGTACAGGGGGAATCAACTGGATACGGTGTATTCGGCGTGCTATATCGGTGGCATTTGTCAGTATCGAACGAGAATGAATCTGTGGAAGCCACTCACGAAAAGGCGACGATTATTAGAATATAGAATGGAGCGACAAAGGCTGTGTATCGTCGATGTAGAATGTGGTCCACAAAGTAACGGAGTGAAAGAGAGAAGTGAGGAAACAATGGACGATAAGATGGGAAGGTCGATGATCAGCAGGAGATGCGGTGGATCGGGGGATGCGTGGACAGCCAGACCAGATCCCCAGGTCGTGCGTCCCCCATCACTGTCTAGCGTGACTTAGTAATAGTCGACTAGCATACTCCGTATGAGTCTGTATCCGTACTGGCTTGACCGTGGAAGTTAATGGGTAGTCCAAACCGGTCACTCCCCAAAGGGCATGGCGGGCTGTGCTGAGGGTTAGACCCTGTGCAGGTGTTAAGCTAGCACGAAATGAGCCGGGCGAGATGGTGCACGGCCGGCTGCGTTGAATGGATTCCAGCTTCTGAGATGCTGCGAGGAGTCAGGACTCAGGAAGCATCAAGAGCAGCACTTCTCGCGACGGGTCGTGCAGGACGTAAAAAGTGAGGCAGCGAAACGGAAGCCGCGTGCCTGCAGCCGGGCCACCCAGGAAGGTGCAGGCCTGCAGCTAGTACTAGGCGGGCACTGGGCGCGGGCTGCGATAGCCAACACGAGTTCCTGTCTGCAGCTCCCTCATAATCATAGATAATACTAATAATAATTATTATTATTATTATTACCGTCAGAGAGACTCCTCCAACGATAATGGATAATCATAATGCGCTCAACTAGGGTTCTCACCCGGAGTCACCCCTAACGCATCCCCCCATTATGAGCCGTCCTAGGGGCTGAGCCGCCGAAGGCGCTCCCGGCCATGCCAGCCGCAGCCATGTCGGCTGGGTTCTCGTCGGAGCGCTGGAAACTAGTAACTAGGTGACCGGTTTCCTCATGCCTGCCTAAATCTAGACTGACCTCGCTGACCGTCCTCGCCCGTAGGACCATGTTCGCTGCGAAGGGGACCTGAATCGCGATTGCGTCGGATTGTAGCCTACCCGCGCAGCTAGATACATAGCCTGCTATTGGATACACTCCCAATAGTCATACACACTACATTTTCTCGCCTACCCGCGCAAAAACCAAGCAAGAGGCCGGATTCTACATGTTGATGATGCAAGGATATTTGGGGGTCTCATTTGGGCGCATACCTGGACCAAGTAAGCAATCGGATGTCATCAGCGCCGGCAGCTGGCTTGAGAGCCCACTGCTTTTACACAAAGGATCACTGTAGTAGTTGTGCTTGGATCTAGACCCTCTTAAGTAATGGAGTGTATAAATCTAGAGGCGAACACTGTACTCGTACGTCATATCAGTGTTTCCAGAGTCATCAAATTTCTGCCCATCATCACAATCTGACAGACACAGAACTAATCATTTAGTGCTCAGTACTGAACAAAAAAAGAGAACCGCTGATTTTCGACTCATGTTCTGATGCCGCCCGCCTGATGCGATCGAATGAGATCGAGGGTAGTGAGAGTTCCTGAGGGCGCCTACTTGGCGATTCGCTGTCAATGACCGCGCGGTGGATCAACACGTTCTAGATCGTTAGATCGTCATGGTCAGATGGCCTGCCATTCTATGGTAGCACCTATGTAACTAGGAAACGTCATCCGCTTTTGGGCAGACATCGGCGAGTAGCGCTGGGTAGGTTTCACTACGTCCTAGGAGCGGTTACGATGATTGGCAACATCTTAGTATGAGTACTCTCTAGTTGTCGCAATTAGAACCAGAATCAGTGGATCTCGGGCCTCTATTGTCGGCGCCGGCCCGTCGCGGACCGTACAGCTTCTTCCAAATTTCATGGTTGTGATTGATCGCATATCCCGCTAATACCAATACGGCAGCCCTCCGTTTTTCGCTTCCAATTATAGCAGGTCAATTTTCTCGGGTATGCCTAACAAAGGGAAAGGACACCCAAATATTTGCTCATCTTGAAACTTGCCTACGCTCAAACGAGCGTGACACAGATGGACAAAGATACCAGTATCTCGGAAGGCTCTGCGTGTATAGGACTCCTGGAACCCCCAGGTCTCGTCTCTATGACAAAGCTGGAATCGGTAGCATTTTGGTATAATCCAGATATCATCGATATGAATGCTTCCATGTCATGAACTGGGTTTTTACATCTTCAATATCGCTATTAGAAAACGCTTTGCTGATGAGTTACGACTGTACTGTATATTCTGTTATTATTAGAGACTATCTGGGCTAAGCTGATTGGTTTATGTCAACCCTGGGTGTGCGCCGGGTAGCCACTGCTGGCGATCTTCCACCTGATCCAGCGATACATTTCAGGCTACGGCGCCGAGTTACCTTCGTCCTTCAAAGTCAAAGTTGACGGATATCACTAGTCATGGCTGCTACATCGAAGACTCACGATGACTACAACGTCGCGTGGATTTGTGCCTTGCCGCTGGGAGCAGCTACGGCTATTATGATGCTTGAGAAGACTCATGAAGAGCTCCCATAGCCTTCAGGAGATGACAATGTCTATACGCTTGGAGAATTGCCGGCCATGATATTGTGATTGCTTGCCTGCCAACAGGAGTTTCCGGAACCACATCAGATGCATCCGCAGCTGCTTAAGTCCGATCTACGTTTCCTTTGATTTGCTTTGGCTTCATGGTGGGAGTTGGGGGTGGAATCCCAGGCAAAAGAATGATATTCGCTTGGGCGACATCGTAGTGAGCAAACCTACAGGCATATTGGTGAAGTCGTGCAATATGATTCTGGCAAGACCATGGCTAACGGTGCGTTGGTACAAATTGGGACAATGAACCAACCGCCTCAAGTACTATTAAAGGCTATTGCTCAACTGCAAGCCGACGCCATCATTAGAAATAAGGGGAGCATTAATATAATCACATCGTATGTTTTGGATGCCCAGGGATCAAGTTGAGATATAAGTCGGCTCTATCGACCACTGCTTATTTTTGAATATGATGTGTGCTGCTATTGAATCGGAACAGCCATACTTTCTAACGAGCATGTCTAACTTAGCATTGACATTATACCTTCAGAGGAAACTAAATGAAGCTGCAAAGCTAACCTTGCAAGTGTTGGAGGGATGCAAGGTCGGTCTAGGACCAACACATCCTGACACTTTAGGGGCTATATGTCGAGAGCTGTATACGACTGGAAAATACAAGGTTGACACTCGGAAGTCTTGCAATTACTTTTAGAGTATATCAAACTTCTATGGCAAGTAGCAGGTGCAGACGACCCAAAAACAAAATGGGCCACAGCAGCCTTTGCAGAGGGGCAATCGGCACACATATCTCGGAAGCGCGATGTCATCAAGATGCTCTTACGAAGAAAGCGACCTCTAAGGTGGATTCTGGATAATGATATATGTGTATATTGTATTTTGACTTTCGTTCTGTCTTTCAGTCTACATGTCAACTTAAATGTCCTTTATCATAGGATCCTCACTTGTATGATAGATCAATTGATATGTTTCTATCACTAGACCATCTATATTGCTAGCTATGATTTTCAGTACCAGACACCAATTGATCGATTGTCAATAACCTGATTGAATTCGGCAAGTCGATATAGGCTTTGCCCTTCTTATAAAAAAAGTCGCCCTGTTTCACTACTAATGAATATGATCAAATGATATGAGTGAATTACATAATGTTCATTTCCTAAGGAACAGGTGCCAGGTTTCACTAATTGCTCAGGAGCTTATACAAGGACAAAGGCCTCGTAGCTGATAGCTTTAACAGCCGTTTAAAATTTCTTTACTTTTGACATCGGTGTACGGTATTGCCCACATCCCTTTGATTGTATATTATAGGCTTCATATACACCGACTCTCGATCTTTTATATCATGCTCTCTGATTTGAAGGCTAAATCGAGCGACCGAGCTTCTCATGAAGCTCTCTTACCCTGCCCCGTATATTACGAGAGCATGGCATTGTCTGTGACCTGGGGTATGTGGTATATCGTCGAGAAACCCATTTCTCTAACAACCGAATAAAAACTCCATATCAAAGCATAACAGGATCATATCTATCGAGCAATCATCACGAATTTATCGAGCTTTGCTAGCTTGATTCGCCGCTTCTATGAAAGTGAATAGACATTAGCATCGCGATATATATAATAGCTAAGCTATAGAAAAGCCCGCCCATCCACCTTGAGCAGGAAACAGAGGACAAGAAATGGGGTAGGAATAGCTCACCTCTCCTCGTCGCATCCTCCAACAACCCGCGGTCTACCTCTGCTTGCGGCAACACCACATATCTGACAACACTACCACGGATAAACATATTCTTGACGGACGACAGGTGGGGGTATTTATCAAGATCTAACACGTCGACATCGTCGAGCTTGATGTTCAGGTATTGGTCGACTGATTTGAGAGTGCCGCGAATGCGAATGTCGTTTTTGAGTTCGACTGTGACGACGTGGTTTGTGAGCGTTTTGAAGAAGCTTTCCCCAAGGATGTTAGTAATTGATTCATTTCTATTCATGAGATTCAAGGAGACAAGTTTGGAATTTAGAATGGTGGAGGGCTTACCTGAAGAACAACATGATGCAAAGTCAAATGGAATTGCGGGGAACTGTTTTGAGGATGAGGGAGGAGGCCGAAGTTTTGTGTCGCAAAATTTATTGCATTGCCTTATAGCCAAGGCGTCAATTGGCGCAATAACTGCAAAAGATTCAGGAAGATCTGAAGGATTAATATGGCTTGAGAGTTAGTCGTGCGTATTGGTCTTTGTTGAAACCGGGATGCGGAAACCCGCAGCGGCGATCGGGACGATCACGTGATCGATATACAGAAAGAATGATAGTGTTCGCATGAAGCATAATTTTCGATTTTTTTAGGCTATTTACGTTGTGTTATTCTTTTATATTACATCCTCCAAACCCCCTTTCCAAAGAAGTATCACAGTAATATAACAGAATCCGGATGACTATGTGACTTGACGTAGGAAATGAACATATTGACACGATTGGAGTCAGTTTGAAATTCTCAATATCAAAAAAAAAAAAATGGGGGAGGGGTATATTTCCAAGCACAAAAAAAGAACACCAAAGAGAGTGACACCATATTAAAGAGCTTACAGCTGCGATGATCGCGCCGAGAGTCTCCGCTTCGGCTTCATAGCCCAACCACATAGACAGGTCCAACCCGAGTTTTTCTTGCGGCCTTCGTCAAAAACAGCGCCGATTCCCTTCAATAGGTCTTTGTGCTCTCGTCCCATTTCCATCTGCAACCTCAAGAGCCATTGCTCCCACATCCACCCACCAAGCAAGCCAGTCATGCTTGCGACGTCAGCGGTGCTGCCGATAGGTCCCTGGACAGCCTCGCAGTCGATTTGACTCTTCACTCTCGGATTAGGGGTTTCCCGCATTGGCTCTACCTGCGCGGGCTCGACACCCATTGGAAGGAACAACCAGGCTCGCTTCATATCCGAGAAGTTGTTCTTCTTCAGACGAGTGAGGAATTGACGTGTCGGGGTGGGATCGTACCCACGTGCTTTCAAGTTGAACGCAAACTCAACAGACGCAGCCGAGCCATATGAGCCAGCTTTGGCGATTTCTGCGTCTATTACAAAGAATTCAAGATAACCACCGGGCTTCAAGCAGCGGTAGCATTCCTGAAGACACAGGTCAAACTCGTCGAATTCCTCTCCATTCGGGCGCTCGGCCTTGAGAAGAGCGTGCAACGATCGAGCAGAAATGACATCGAATTGATTGTCGCGGAATGGCAGCCTCCACAGGCAAGGTACCGAGACTCTGCGGTGGTTTGAAGGTCCTTTGATATGGCTGTTGACTTCTTGGTCCTTACGGACAACTGTGTAGATCTTGACATTCGGGCAGTCATTAGCTAGATGCCAGGCCCATCCACACGTGGCCTGACCTCCAAAATCAAGAACCCTCAACCTGCGTTTACCAGCATTTCCAGGGCTTTTTAGTGGCAAGGTGGCCTTGGGAAGTCGCCGTCCTGCTGGACTGGAAAGAAGGTGGCCACCATTGAGGAAGCGCATAGCGTCAATCGCCCACATGGATTGCCAGAGCTGGGCAAGGACCATTTGCTCCTTCTCAAGCTTTGAAAATAGTGCTTGATCTGCTAGAATTTCGGCAGCGACGGAGTTTCGTGGCGCCTGGGAGAATGGGCCTTTGTAACCTGGTCTAACCGGGTTAACTAATTCAAACTTCCCGATCAAGGCGTCAAGATGTTTGTCTCTTAGCCCGAGACGAACAGATTGTATAGCGTCAAAACGAATATTACTGTGAAGGAAAATATCGCGACGGCAGTACAAACGTAAAACAAATTGGAATCCTCGCCAGTAGATTGAATCCTTGCTAGCAGGCTCCGGCGGAGCTGGCGAAATAGTGGTCTCCTGTACAGCGTCCGAAAACCGTACCGATTTTCTAGGGGGTGACTCGGCGGAGGATGAAGCAGGGCGTTTGTCGGTAGCAGGACTTGCGATTTCTTTGCTCTTGTTCACTTCATTGACCGGGTTGGAATCACTGAGGGCTAACAGGTATGTCTGCTGGGCGGCAAGCCATACGCTGGTGCGATCGAGATTAGCAACAGCTTGCCGTTTCAACTCTTCATCATAAGCTTCATCATATTCGTAAGTGACTGCGGGTCTGTTGAGTTCCTGAACAGGACTTTTACTATCGTAGGATGTGCTACGTCCGTGGTTGGAGCTGGTAATCCTGATGGCTGTAATAGGAACAGCGGTTGGTTGGTCGTCACTCAAACTGTCTTCAGGGAGTTCCACGACTTGTTCCACAATTTGTCCTTCGTCTCGAGCCCACGGGAGGTCGTAAAACCTTGCAGCTACTGCCGAAGTCGGGGGATTAGTCGCACTCGGTAATGCCCATGTATGGCGAGACCTGGCATCCAAAGACGAGAAGAAGCCACCCGGAGATGGAATGCTAAGATTCGTAAAGCTGTAACCAGACAGCTCAGAATTCGGGGTGGCGTCATCTGCGCTACGGGGTCGACGTACCGGGGCAGAAAGCTGCCACATCTCGTCGTTGGTCTCCGAGGTTTCGGACCACGGGTCGGGAGGACATTCGAGTGGAATATGTTGAAGTGTGGCAAGGGCACCTGGAGGAAGCATAACACCATCCATGTCAGGACTAGGTGAGTTTATAGAGCTCTGAGTGAGTGCTCCTTGGGCCGATGCCGAAGCGTCCCCCTCAAGGCCCGCAGGAATCGTGGGAAAACTATTGAGGAGCGGGTTCCAATCGTCACTCGATGCCTCAATCGCACGTTCTTCTTCGGCAGCGAGACCAGTGCTAGAACCCCCAGCACTGCTTGGCACGTCAGAGTCATGATGCACGCGAATCACCCCACTATCCCATTCTCTATCCCGGAGGGGGCGCAAATCTGGGGTAGCAGGAGCGCTCAAGTTCGAGATTTGATCAGAAGACAAACTACCATCTAAAGACGGCGGCGCGTGTAATGCTGGAACCATACTTGGAAGCATTGACAATGCCGCGGGTGACACTGGGATTTTGGGTGGCGGTGTCGGGGGGACTGGAGAGCTCTTATGAGGATTTGCAAGCGAAGGCCATAGGGCTGCTGCTGGTATTGTAATCCTGGGATACTTGTTGCGATTGTTTGCGGAGTACGTCGAGCTCCTTACTGACGAGGCCGCCATGCTACTGGGGCGGCTCTCGGTCAGTGATGGGCACGATTCATCATCAGTCGCGTCGTATAAATCGTCGAATGCTTGCAAGCCTTGCTGCCATTCATGGTCAGAGCAAGACGACGATGTCGACAGCGAGGAAACGGGCGTCGTCATTTTTTCGGCGGTTTCGGGAGAAAATGCCATCGCAATCTTGATCGAATGTAAACTTTCTCTGACTCCAATCTCGCTTTTCCGGGGTTGTCCTTCTGGGGAAGGTTCATTCGCTTCAATTATAGTATTAAGTAAAGGTCTGCGGGCCAGCCGCAAAGGCGAACTCAACGTCGCAACCTGGCGGTATGAGTCTGCCATGGTGATTCCAGATCACTTGTTTGATCCCACTGAGATTTGGGAGAGGTAGTATATTAATAAGTAGTAGGGGCCGTAAGTCCTGCCCTGATCTCTGGCCGAAATTGCGATGCAAACAGAATATTAGCACATACAACTCTGGGGGTATCTCAATAACATGATGTATCCGATCAACGGATGGTGTCTTTGTCCAGCAAAGATTGAAACAATTATTAACCGGAGATGGGGGGGGAAACCGGCAAACGGTAGAGACCAGGACAAAGATATGTCAGAAAAGAAGCGAAAAGACCTGGGTGGTGAAGCACAGACAACAGGAGGCGAGACCACCGTCGCTGGGGCTACTATAAGCTTATAACAAGAACACCTGCGGGTAGATGATCTCAAGCTTCGGATCCTCCACACAAGATGGGCGAGCGACTAATGCAGATGTGAACGGCTTCCATGGTAATAGTGGCCGCGATGGAGGAGGCCCTACGGTCTCGATTGGCGGACGCAGACATACTCGTGAACGGTCGGCGCGAGCATTGCAGAAACACGCAGAGCCCAATGGACTAGTATATTGCCGTGCATCCAATCGCAGGCGGCAATAGCAATAATCCCGGGCCAATATAGCTTATGCTGTGCAGTGATTCGTCGGGATGTTGCATCTTGGGAAACATCTGCATGACAGAGTAGCGCAGAGATTGGATGACTGTAAGCGCCGTGTTCTATCTTTAGAGTGACGCTGTGCCGCTAGTGCATGCCAGCATGGACTATCACATCGCAGAAGTTTGGTATGGCTGATAGGTCCAGAGCAGCGAGCACAGCGGCATCGCAGGTCAATGGCCAGAAGGATCAGATCTGGATTTAGCAGAAGTGAGTCATGGCGGCGGGGTTCTTCAGGACATCATCAGCGATGCTTAACAATGACATTTGAATAAGGCTGGCAGAGGCAGAGGATAGATCGATGGCGGTCGCGAGACAAGCTTAACCAGATCCGGTCTGGTCTACCTCCCAGAATGGACAAGCGTTGTCTTATATAGTCCAGCATAAGGTGTACTTCGTCAGACCATATGCACTTGCAATAAAGGCGAGTTACAATTAAGATATGTAAAAAGGCAATGTCCATGACTGCCACTGTTCTTGGCTTCCATTGAAATGGAGTCTAGATTTCATCCAAGGTTTCGGCCATGTACCAACCCGTGACAACCAGCCCTCACAAGTGACTCAACGACCAGTCACACCGTAAGACAAGGCTACATAGAACCTCAATCACCAGATATTGCAGTTTTAATACCATTTATCACCCCTGCTGTCACTATAGCAAATCTATGTTGATTATTAAGTCACGCTGTGTCAATTTGAGTGAATATATGACATTTCACACGAAAACCAGTGGTATTGACGGAAAACAGCCTGTGTGCCGGTATGTCAAATTGCCACTGCCTATGACACCGAAGTACCAATTACTCATACACTTCCTCATGTTCATTACAAGACTAGGTATTCGCAGGTGGAAACGGTTTTCTTTCAACTAGCTACTTACTAACGACAACCCCCATAAATTCTTCCACCGTCACTACAGCATTAACCATGTCGCCATGGAACTAGCCACTAGACTTCTTGAACTCGCCAATCCGCTTCACGCTGCAGGCAGCGTGATAGGCTCAAAGCTTCTGAGCCCTGTCAAATTCGAGCCAGGGGGGCTCTACATTCTTTTATCGGATATCGGCGATACGGTTCAGTTTCACTGGGGCTTGTACTTAGCTACCACTGCTCATGCCGGTCACATCTTCCATCTTATTCACGGGCCCCAGACGGGCTACAGGTGGATGTATCAGGCCAAAAAGACTCGTGAGAATGCCATTCCTTACTCGGTGAATTTACTCTTCGGGTTGAAGATCGATGTCATCCAGGACTGCCTTCACGTGCCACTAGCGAATCGTTTAGCGCAAATTCATGAAAGCGAAACTCTGTCATCTCTCCCTGTTGAAAAGATTAATTGCCAAATGTGGATTAGAGAGGCCCTGTATGCCCTTGACGAGGAGGGTTACATCAAGCTCGGTGGAAATATGGATGACCTTGAAACCGATGCGTGGATGGCAGCTGCTCAGAACAAGTTGTGCAAACGGCGAACTGTTATCAATAGCATCCACAGTATTTGAATGTACAGGAGGAAATGTGATGATTGAAGATATCAATTGATATTTGGTAACAAAGAACTATTCTTCTGTGTAAGAATTCATGGCTGTGCAGGCTGCAGGAATGTGTCAACGGAGCGCGGACATATCACAGATCCAGGCAATGGCGATGCATGTAAAACTTGAAATGATAAAGATACCCTCAGTCCAAATCCAATATCGATATTTAATACCATCATGCAGAAATAAGATTAACTGAAGCTTAAGCAAGAAGATGTCAGGCGGGTCAAATCATGTGATTTTCGGGTCGGGCAGCGGTGACGTCGTGATCTCCGCCATGCGTACTGGTGCCACTCTTTGCTGGCCTCGAGCTTCAACTACATTGCCTCTTTTCTAATAATAATAGTTGTTCAATCTCTCTTTCAATTCCTCCTGAATTACTGTGTACTATATTTTAATCTACGAAAACTAAAACCGCACCTTTTTTGTTGGCCTCCAATTCCTCAACCCCGCTATGTCTCCGCCCGCAATTATTGCGCCCTCCATTCTCAGCGCCGACTTTGCAAAGCTCGGCGCCGAATGCGCAGATACAATCGACCGGGGAGCCGATTGGCTTCACGTCGACATCATGGACGGCCATTTTGTGCCAAACATGACCTTTGGCGCCCCCGTCGTGACCAAGATCCGTTCGCATGTTGCAAAGCCTGCAACGCCGGGAGAGCGGGGCACATTCGATTGTCATATGATGATCGCGGAGGTAGGGACTATGCTTTCTATCCCACACCCTGAAGATGCTGTTTTAGAAAGACCCTGTCTGAATAAATCCCGGACGTTCCTACGAAAGAGCTGATTGCTTATGAGTGGAAAGAATTGGGTCGATGTGAAAAGCTGTGTGATAGGTGATCAGCGCGTGCGGGAGATGCTACGGGCGCTTCGTCGCGACACCTCATTCGAGCACATCTCTCTGCGACTTATTACCCAACCTCCATTTGCTCTTACAGGATAATTAGCACGTATAAATTTGCAATTGTCTTTTTTTATCATCCCAATTGAGGCCAGCACTGCTGGCTTACCCCACATATCATTCTGCACTATTTACTTCCGACATATTGCTAACTGAGCTCATTGGTAGCCTCAAAGATGGGTGTTAGATTTCAAGAAAGCTGGTTGCGATCTGTACTGCTTCCACTACGAAGCCGCCATCGCGAGTACGGCCGCCAAAGAACCCGCTGATACTCAGACGACTCGAAAAACCTCTCCGCGCGAACTAATCCGCTACATCCACGAACAAGGCATGAAAGCAGGAATCGCCATTAAGCCGGACACAAAAGTGGATGTGCTTTGGGACATTCTTGAGAACAAGGAAGAAATTGAACGGCCAGACGTGAGTCGTACACTTGTTTAACATGCGTAGCTAGGCTAACAGGTACAAATCTATAGATGGTTCTTGTAATGACGGTCCACCCCGGCTTCGGCGGTCAAAAATTCATGGCTTCGGAACTTCCAAAGGTAACGGCCCTGCGTGAGAAATATCCCAACCTGAATATCGAGGTGGACGGCGGTTTGGGACTTGGAACGATCGACCAGGCTGCTGATGCCGGTGCCAACGTAATTGTTGCTGGCTCGGCTGTATTTGGCGCCGAAGATCCGAAGGAAGTAATTAGTAAGTTGAGAGAGGCCGTTGAGGCAAGACGACGATAAGTCACTGTTCATTCTCTACACGCCAACCATTTTATTATGCATATGACAAGAAACACACGTAGATACGATAGATATTCGAAATGAACATAATGGAAGACCTGCATGAAAAAAGACCGTTCTATTGTTTTGAATCAAATCGCAATGAAAACTAAACTCAATAGGGTAAATGCTAATGTAATGAAATTTCACGATATATTCGATATGCAAATTCATATCTGAAATCAACGGTATAGCAGCAGATGACAATAAAACAAGGGTATGGATGGAAAAGCCTGCATGGTATCAGTATCGCAAGTTTCGCCGAATCGTTGATTTCGTCAAGCATAAACCTCATCAAAGAAAAAAAAGTCAAAGGCCACATGAATGGTTCAAGCACGTGACTAGTCTTCAACACTAACAGCAGTCTTGGTAGCATCCTTCGGGTCCTGCTTCTGTGTGTCCTTCTCCTCTTCCTCGGAGGCAGCCGTGGCTTCGGGAGCATTGTCGGTTTTTATTTCTTTTTCATCCTTCGCTTCTTCTCCCTTGTCGGACTGTGCTGCCGCAATCTCTTCTTCTTCTTCCTCGATAGTTTCATCTTTCTTCTCCGCAGCTACCTTTCGCAGCGCTTGGATATCACCATCGTCCGGTGCTTCTGTAATCGATGCCCGAATATCCTTTCTAACCTGATCTTGCTCGTCCTGGGTTGTAGCCGAAATTATGGACCCACGATGGTGGTCTATCAGACCCAAGGCCTCGGCATTCTCTGCGTGGAAATTTGCGCTAGACACAGCAGCGCACTCGTCAGCAAGAGACGGTCGTTTGAGGGGTGGGATGATTTCAGGAGCAACAGACCGACGCCGACCCTCTGCAGAAGTGGAGGGCGAAGAAGTCTGCTCTCTGTCTAGAGCCGCTGAAGCAGCACTGGGAATTTTCTTGGGTAAATCCTCTTTAGACGCCCTTAGCTGAGATTCTTCGGGATTGGTCTTGTCCTCGGCAGATTCGGTCCCCTTTGCCTTGGGATTCGACGCAGGCACTGCCTTGCCATCCCCCTCTGTTGTCGCAGGCTTTGTACCAAGCTTTGTGAGCGCATTCTGTTTGGCTCGAGCGGCTGCTTCCTCGCCCGCTAATCGCAAAGCGAGGGTTCGTGGGTCATCCTTGGTCTCTGTTACTGGGGGGTTCTGGATTTGAATATGAGGACTGGCACTCTTCGGTGTGGGGGTGCTCGACGTCGTGTTTATTGGTGCTGCAGGAGGTGCAGTCTTTGGGGCAAAAACAGGCTCAGCCTTCTCCGAGCTAGGTTTGTTATCGGCAGAGAAATCATCCGGGTCAGTGACCGCACCGATCTCCATCTTGAGTTCCCCGTATTCATTCCATTCTTCGATTTGTTCTAGATCCTTCAGATGGTGCGTATTAGCATTTTTCTATCATGTATCCAACGAGTAATAAATACTCACCCCGATTATAGTGCGATACTTGACCAGACCTGGTAGTTTGCGGCCTTTGGAGTACCGCCCCCAGAGTCTACGGGCAGCATCGTCGGTGGCAACATCAATGGCCCGGAAGGGGATTTTGTTGGCTTTCAAAATAGTCTCAAGTCGTGATGTCGCAGTGATAATATGTGACGAGCCTGCAGTCAGAGAGGTATAAAGATAAAGGGTGCTATCAGAAGCTGCCATGGTGGTGATGCGGGGTCATGAACCAGGATGCGAGATGTCTGGGGATGCAGATAACGATGTCCACGGATTTGAGGCGACACGAATGAAGGCCGATTGAACTTTGACGACACTATCAATGGTATTGTTTTCTCTCTCCCTGTTTCAAAATAATGTCACACAAAACAAAGAATGCAGAAATGTCTCAGGATTCCTGGATGCTTCAGAAGGAGAGATGCCGCGCTGGCAGATCACGTGTAGGGAGATCCTTTCCCCGCCCTGCAGCTAATTATGCCGCTAGATGGCATACACTTTCTTCCTGTTTTCCAGAAGAAAAGTAGGTTTGTCCTTATGCAAAAGAGAGAGAAACGGAAATAAATTGCGTGGTCAAGAGGCAAATGCTATGCTTAAAAGTAGTGAGTGTGCTGGTTTGAGGGAGGCGTCATATGTGGAGTAGTCCCTGTTTGCTGCGTACGGCCGAGCCTGAGGCCAACAACGTCTGGCTGACGTCAGGAACCATCTCTCCCTCTCTCTTATTATTTTTTATTCATCATAACAACCTCATTTGCGCCACTCTTCACGCCAATTGATGTGGAACTACTATTAGTAATTAGAAGTTCTGTAGTGCAGCATAGTTACATACTGTATTGTACATCCCACTCGGCCCTTGCTAGCATTTGGGGGTCCATAAAGTTAGGACTAAGTCAACCTGCGACACGCGATGTGCAGTTTCATCGCTGCGATTACGTACTAATTGCATATTTACAGATCATTCTGGATAAGTCAAATCCCAGGCGACAATAAGCGTAAGTGCTTGTTTAATGATAGCCCCGTCTTCGGGACTGATCCGAATCCGAGCCCTTTCCCTAATATATAGTGGCTATTACCGACTAGTACCGACTAGACATCTGCCCTGGAAATATGTTGCACTCAGGAAAATAGAGCTACTTGGCCAATTCAAGTGATCGCAAATGCAAAATATGTACGCACCCTTTGAGTAATTAATTCAATTAAGACATTTGAGTCTTTGGCCGTTGATTTCGGTCCGTACGTCAATTTGATAGGTAGCTAATCTGGGTAAGTGAAGATGAACACCCGACTGTGGAAGGCTTTCAGTACCGACAAGCCTTCTTGGGAAACCATAAAACGCAATTTGGACCATCCCTGCCGTTAACCTCTCGACCGGAATAGCTCCGTATCGTTTTCCCGGGGCTTCGTCAATGCAAGCGGGCTCTCTCGGGAGACTAACGGCTAGCTAAACTGCAAAGATTGCAAACCGCTTTTTATTTCCTTCGTCGAGACTATAGAATTCCTTCTCGCGCCGGATATAGGAGAAATTTTGGCGATGTGGATGGGAAAGCGTAAAGGAGGATGTTTTCTGCCAACTTTACCTTTCTGGTTTCCTCCACAAACATCAGTTTCTTGGTTTGAACTTACCCGCTTTTTTCCCACCGCAAAATACAAACCGAAACTTTTGCCTTGTCAGAAGTGTGTGGCAAATGGGTGATGAAGGCTTGTGCGGCCGCAAGCGTGTAATCAACGCTCACTTCCCGGAATGAATCCATGTCTGGAAACTGTGACCTTTTACCACCGAGACGCCTTGACATACTATATATAAACATAGGAAACGTTTGAAACATTTTGTGTTATACAGAAATATGAAAGCCTTCAAATTTTGTTGGACTAGACTTTTAAAATACTTGGGAAGTGATTTACATCTAAATCTATGTAGTTCTTAACAACGCCTATAGCATGCTTAGATGCGAGTTTATAAGTACATATAGATCATTCTAGACACAACAACCAATAAATCCACAAACTTGTAGTGACTATGACTCTCTAATCTGATTTCGGGAACACCATGCGAGTTATGGCTGACATTTTTCAGATTTATATCTCAACTGGCATATTTGAAAACCTGTATCTTAAAGATAACAACCAAATCTCATTGGCTAAACCGTTATCTCGTACACTATAACCCTAAGCCTAACATAATGTAGTTCCAATTGCGCGCGATATTGGAGTTGTACCTAGACCAAACCAGGCTGCACGTGGTTACTCTTCACAGCCAACAGCCGTGTTCCGCGCTGATAATGCCTATATATACTAACCCAATTGATTCTGAGAAACCGTGCGTTTAGGCTAATGCACGGTGATTGTTAGTTACCAGTGCGGCGCTTATAACACTATCACGGGAACTAACCAGAAAATACCTTCTCTGCGCCGTATTCTGTTATGTAACTCGCAGGTCCGGCAGCGGAGACACTTGTTCTGATGAGTCAAGGCTGAATTGACCCAGATCTCTGCCCAACACGGACAAGAGAGAGAGCCCGAAGGAGAGCTTCTCCCCTCCACAAGCTTGTTCAGCTTCAACTTGCTATACAAGCAACCATGGCCGCTAAAATACTAAACACCGCTTGCTCTAATGGTGATATGGACAGAGTCCAGGACTTACTCAATTCTGATTGGAAGCCATCGCAAGATGAACTTGATACGGCGCTTCAAAAGGCTACCTGGGGAGGCTATGCCACAATCGCAGCGTTACTTCTCTCAAAGGGGGCACGAATTACCAGCCTTGCCTTCAGCGGCGCTGCTTACAATAAGGACCCTACCATCTTTCAAGAATTTCTCAACTATGGCTGGGATATTAACTCAACTGAGTTTGGAGATCCGGCATTAAGGTATTAATTCTTGCTATGGCGTCTTCTAATTGTAGTTTCTAACGCTATCTAGATAGACTTGTAGTAGATGACGAGATTTGTGTTCGTTGGTTCTTGGAGCACGGTGCTGATCCTAATCAACAGAATGATAAAGGCATGACACCTCTTGCCACTGCAGCGCTTCGGCCCTCAATTAATATTCTAGAGCTTCTTATCATTCATGGCGCAAAACTGGACCCACAGGCTTTATTAAATGCTATCAGCCGTCGTGGCAATGGCGGAGTTCCGGTCATGAGATACTTGATTGATCAGGGCATAGACATTAACGCACCTTCGCGACAATACTGCTCACCTCTCCATTATGCTGTTTCTGTGGCAGGCGTGGATCGAGTCCAAATCCTGTTAGATAAGGGAGCGGACCGGTCAATTAGAAATATCTTGGGTGAAACGCCGGCCGAGATGGCAAAATCGAGAATGGCTCAGTCGGAAGAAGCGATGAAGGTATATGAAATACTTTCAAAATAGTACTATTGTTTGCCTTTCATAGTGTGTGGAATGATTTTTATTTTATTTGTTTTATAAATTATATGGGCTGTCTCTACAGGTGAGGCCAAACTTAACACTTGATAGGATCATTAAATGAGAATACAAAGCGTGGAAACGGAGTACACGTGGGTTAACCTAAACAGTAACAGTACTTATTTCCTACAGCATCTCCAAAGTAGTTGGCCAAGGAAACCAACGCATCACCACATGATGACCAGCGGCGCAACATTTCAATTTACAGTGGCGAGGTGTTGTACTAGGATCAGCCTCAAAACAACACCACCAAGAACCAGTTATCCTATCATCGATTGCGGACTGATCAAAATATAATGCAACATTGTTTCGGGGACTTTCGTTACATTGATGGCGTTATTAAGAAGAGAGTGGCAGAAACTTGGCGAATCATTGATATCGTGCACTCTAGATGCAGGGGACTAAAAGCATTTCTCTTTGGGGATGTTCAGCCGAGGTGGCACAGTTCTGTCCTACCCATGTCGACGACCTAAGCCTGCTTTTCATGAACCAGTTACTTCGAAGGGAGCAATCGGGAAGGACGCAGTGAAATTCAAACAGAAAAAGGAGAAGGCTGCCGGAAAGATGCCCGGGAGAATTGATGGCGCTAAATATCAATTAGCTGTGTGGAGAAAGAAAAGCGGACTATATATACAGCCAACAAGAAGTCGTTGTCCGCTCATTATGAACTTTTCAGCGAGGTCAATTATTAAGATGATGTCCTCAATCCTAAGCATGCATATAAGCTGCTATTTGTGCCTACTGCTATTTTGGCTTGCCGTCTCCCTGGCAGACACAGTCACAGTTTCATTAGGCGACATCGGGCAATATGTTGGCTCTGCGGTATAATCCTTCTCAAAAGATCATATTGATTTTCTCTTGGACATAGAAATTGATTTATTTAATAGACAAGTACTCCGACTTTGAGCGGCAGTGTAATCGAATTCGACACCGACGGAAAAGCAGATGGCGGACTTGGCATCTTTCTCTCCAGTGATCTGCAGAAAAATATCAATATCGCCCTGAATTCAAATTGTGGGGAGCTTGACAATCAATGATTCCAGAGTATTCGAGACTGCCTTATCAACAATAACACTGAGCTCTACCCTCGGCAGGTGATCTTGATGATTTAGCATCCCTTGCTATTGCTTGCGTTGCTAGTATCCTCTCCTTCATCATTGCTCTCTTCAACCAAGGCCAGCAACCTATCCCGGTACCAATTCAATTGGATACAAGTCACGTCAGTGGGGCTTCTGCTTTGGCCACAGCGTCCACGACCGTCATTATACTGGAATCTGGCTCTCCGATCACTGTCACGCCAAGCCCAGAGCCTCCAGACATGTCAGGGTGAGCAAACGTCCCTGACAGAGAAAGAAAATTTACCGTGATTGTTACTGGCAATTCACTAATATCCCTAACCTAGAACCAATGTCTCATCAATAACCACTGTAACAAGCGCAGTCAATGGCTACCAACCAGGCGATGTGGTCATATCATTATCAGAGAACCTCGCTCGTCGTATCGATTAGGCCATCGTCAGGATTTCCAATCAATGTCCCGCGGGCGAAGTTTTCATAGCCCAGAAACTTCAAAAGCGCTTGGATGATCTCGGTCCCGCTCTCTGTGCATCATTAAGGTTGGTGATGAACACTACCCCAGGAGGGATGTTTCCCGAGCTCATCTTCCTCCAACCTCGAGCTTTTCCGTGGACTTCTGCGGACGCTGTGAGTGCTATGAATGTAGCCATCGCGTTTGCCCGAGCCCAGGCCCCGGACCTAGGGATTACTCCCGACCGGGCTGCGGCGCTCGGTACAGTAGCTTTCGCCATTGCCTGGGAAGTGCTGGTATATGGCCAGACGCTCTCGACCAGCAATGTTATCCCAGCCGCGTCCCTCGAAGGCGCGACCATGACCGCACCTCCGTGTCCTACGCAGTACTGTAACGCTGGCTGTAGAATGATTGGTGCCATTGCTGATTGCAGCATGAAGTGTAGCATGCCAACTGGTAGTTGTAGCGCAACTAGCACCCCTATCCAGATCAGCACTACGACAATAATACCGTGGACGGTGACCGTTATTATAACATGCTCGGTCACTCTAACAGCGCCATGGACTACGTATGGGTCCATTCGACACGTTATATACTCCTATATAAGAGTTTTGGTGACGGATTTCCCCAAGAGCCACCATACTGGGGACCTCATTACCAAATCTGGGCAGCCAGTGACCAGCATAGCTCTGATATCGACAGAAGAGATCTACACCTTGCGGACTGAGACGGTGATGGACCATGTGACATCATATACGTGGACCCTAATGATGGCAAGATGGAGGTCTGGTTGAATCACTACAAGAAAGGAGGCGATATAACCAAGTGGATCCACGTGAGCGACGCGAGTCCTAGAGGAACGTTAACACCATGTCTGGAAAAAAGAGGTGTTGGAATATTTGACCTTGCTGTCCGCTTTGCCAAAATTGAAGGCAATGGCAGGGCCGATTATTTGTGTCTAGAGAAGGACGGGCGTACATAGGCTTATTTGAACAATAATGATGGATCCTTGACGTATATTTCCCAGTTGAAGAAGTCGGAAGACAAAGATAGAGCAAGCCTACAATGGGTTGATGTCAATGGAGATGGCCGGGATCTGGTCCTATACGAATACAGAATTTATTAATAAATTATGGAAAAGGGTTTGTATAAAACTAGTTTTTTCCTTTTGGTGAAGACTAGTCTGGTTTCATGTAGCAACTCATGCCGAAAGCGATATTCTAAAAGACGGTTTTAACAGAAATAAATGTTCGCGTTAGAAATTATACGATTTTGCTACTTAAATCCTGTTACTTTTCCCAGTTCTCCCTCACATTGAGCTTCTTCTTCTTTCTTTATATCAATTTATTGATTTGAACCCCGCTATGTTCTCTATATACTAGATCCGAGGAACTTGGGAGGTCTCTTTTCTACGAATGCATCAACCCCTTCAGATACGTCGTGAGACCCGACAATAAGTTGAAATGCAGCCTGCTCAATAGCTAAGCCATCTTCAATAGAGGCATCCATCCCACGATGTATAGCATGCAACGCTGCTGAAACCGAGACAGCGGGCTTCTGGGCAATAAGCTTACCAAGAGCAACTGCAGTAGAGAGCACTTGGTCTTCAGGAACAACCTGATTCACCAATCCTAGGCTAACAGCCTCTTCGGCAGTGAACACTCTTCCTGTGAGTATTAGTTCGATTGCGGCCTTTCTTCCTACATTCCTCGGTAGTCGTTGAGTCCCTCCGAAGGTTGGAATGATTCCGATATTGATCTCAGACTTCGAAAACCGGGCAGTTTCAGAGGCGACGGCCATGTGAATAGATTCGACCAATTCGCACCCTCCACCGTATGCCAGTCCATTCACTGCGGCAATTATGGGTTTTGGATAAGTCTCAATCTGCCGAGTAAGTTCCTGACCTGGTCGCATGAAATTAACGACGCTCGCGCTAGGACCAGCATGTATATGCTGCTGGAACTCGGTAATATCCGCTCCTGTAATAGATTAGATAGATATCTACTAAAATATGATGATTAAGCTATGTTTAAGGAGTTGAATACCAGCAGAAAAAGCACGACCAACTCCTGTGATAACAACAGAACGGACTGTAGCGTCAAGCTCGTAGGTTTTGAGCTCGGTACTGATAGCACCAATCAAGGTATTATTTAGGGCGTTAAGCCTCTCTGGCCGGTTTAGCCGAAGTATCAAAACTGAGCCCTGTCGCTCGACTAGCAAGGGTGAAGTGCTTGTAGAAGTCATGGTCCCACTAGGAACAAGTCCTTTCGGCTGTAAAATTCTAATGCACTCTTGTTCGACGTACCTATCCTTGAGGAACTTTATGTATTGGATACTGCACCTACCGAGCCGAGGTTATTAAACAAAAGAAGTAGGATCCCTTGATCCGGAACTGGGCAGAATAAGCTGATTTGTAATAAGTCTTTGGAACGTAACCCCACACACTACTTCGTAATAGAGACTTTATGAGGACCTTACGGTATCTGAACCTTGAAGGTGTACGTCGAAACAGTATAGTTCGTGTTTAAGAAAATAATTAGTAATAATTCATTTTGATTTCTTTGTTTCCCCCTCACGGAACCCTGCCTGGCAATCAAAATCTTACGTAGTTTTGACTGGATTTTAATGTTGGTGGCGGTCTGACTTGGGGAATATAGACTAAGCCGAGCATTCTCATGTCCCTTTGATTGCATATAGATTTATAATTTTACTCGTGGAAGTGGTTAAACCACCAATTGAAGGTATTTTTGCCTTCAAAAAAAAATTAATAATTGTGCCTTCCGACCACGTCCTAGTCTCTCATGCACACACTTGACAATTATCACGATTACTAAACAATAATTATATGCCATGTGATGGATTTGCCCATGCTGAAAGGTATATGCAGTATGTACGTCACACTGTATAAATTTGTCTCAAAAATGCTGAATTTCGCCGGTAATATAAGGCAATAATATCATCAACAGTAAACAGGAGGATAGTTCAGTTATTGATAAAGAAGAACTCTTTTCATTGACCTTGCCCAATCCGAATTGGTTCAGTTAATAAAGGGTAAAATAGAAGCTCCTTGTGGCACCCAGATGGGGGTTCCAAAAAGTCATTTGGGGGCCTCTTCTACTCTCGATCTAAATGTCAGCCGAGATGTTGCTTCTATATAGATGGAATTAATTTGTGCAGCAGTACGCCTGATAAAGCCACCTTGGCGTCGCACAAAATATGCCGATATTGCTGGCGCAGAACAGCATGTGATGGCAAGCAAGGCGCCTAGATTTGACAAAAGACTCAGGTATCCCTTGTCATGTGTGAGGTCCGTTGATGAGACTAGGTGTAACGCCTGGAGACGCAAAGCAGTTATTATAACGACTCTGTGATTATATTGTCAGTTGGATTTGGATCTGAATCATATTTAGATAGGGAACAAGTCTCACATTCCTCCTGCCGAGAGTGCCAATGAAATCTGCCATTTGTGTTTGGTTTGGATCTGGAGATGCTGTATCGGAGTAATAGGCAATATTACAATGATAATATCTAGTACTAAACCACAAGCCTCGAGGGCAACATACGAAGGAATCTCGTTGCATGAAGAAGACGGATCCCAAGCGGCCGACACGGGCCGACACACGAGAAACGATGTCAGTATTATTACAACGCCGAAAGCCCCTGAAACGAAGATCACGATGATCGTTAGTAGGCGAATTGTTTTGTGTACTCCAAACAATTTGCGGTAAAGTAAAAGGGCTGAGACGCGGACTAGAGTGTTGACGAGGCCCCAGAGAAGTTCGTTTGCAAACACGCTCTACGTAATGGGATGCATTCATTAGATCAATGAGAACACCTTCATCGACATATGAATGAAATATGAGAGTGTGGTGTCTGTATGAAAACTCTAATAAGAGAGCACTCAATCTCACCTTCGCTACAGTAGCAAAGTCACTGCTTACTAGCTCGGATTCGTGCACACCCTGGCCCTTATCAAGCACGGCCCATGTGGTCTGTATAACCAGAATAACAGCGATAGCAAATGAAATAAGCACAAGGTAGTCTCCAAGGTCAGAATGTCGCACGTGACGAATATGCAATGCTTGGATAACGATGGAGGCTGTTGCGAGAACCGTGAAAAACCAAGAGCAGACTAGAGTAGTCTTGCCAATGTCTAGGTCAGCCATCATGCAAGATATTGCCGATACTAGAGAATATATTATGCAAGAAAAAGCTGGGGGGCATTATTTATTGAGTGACGAGATGAGGCAAGCGGTGGTTCGACTTCAGGATTAGAGATGCCGGCAAGGCGGACTTTGTTTGGCAGCCTGACCGACGAGGCGGCCGCATAGCCACGCCGATCTCTGCAGAAAAACACCAGCCTTGTGCAGCAGTCTATAAAACAAGTCAGCTGAAGGCAGGCGTTGAATTGGGCTCTATTTGTGACCACTGACGGTTCCAGAAACCTGTCGAATTATTTTACCCTATGCAAACATTTGAAAAGATTGCGGGTTCCTTGTACAGTACATATGATCTATAGAGAATAACCCTAATTGCCCCTTTCGGCACGGGGGCCCGGCGTGGAGGATTAGCGTCGAGCCCTCCTTCCTGGCGCCCAATCACTCGAGACTGCCGTGTATATGTGGGTACGGTTAAAAGCCGACATTGACCACGTGATCTGGTTGCCTTAGGCATCCAATATATTCTAGGTTAACGCCTTCAGGGTTCGGGTGTAAATTGGGCTGGGCATTGTAGTTTGGGTGGAGAGTTAATTGTCAAGCTCTGATATTGTCATAAAATATAATATACATACTATGATATACTGGAAAAAGAGATCGTGTATGGCGGGGGTCAGTGGGTCCTGCGCGCCCTTATCTAGAGCGGACAGAGGCACAAGCCGGGACAGACTGATTTATCCAACATTACTCTCCCACGTTCTCGACATGCGTCGTTTGCCATCAGCACGTACCATTACTATTATTAATTCTTATTTGAGTGCCGTGGGACTAGCCGCGGGCATCGAGTAAGTCAGAAAAAAACGACTAATCAGACCCTGGGCTCTGCAGCCTTACTACTCTTCCTCCGTTCATGCAAACCGACCAACCCGGCCCATTCGAGTGACGTGGGCTGTCTGATTTATATCGCGGTCAGATACCTTGAGAACTGCTTTAGACACGCGTCCGATTATAGAGCGACAATGAATCCTGGTCCCGCCTCACATATATTCCACACCCCGGCCGAGGATGTCGTGGATTTCGCTGCGCACGCGACCTGCGGTGAACCGCAGCTAGCCGTGATGGACGAAGAGAACCAGGGTGCATATTTGTTCCCAGACTCCGCCGATCTTGATGCGATCAACCAATGTGGTATGTTGCGCGATGATAATAACTTTGCTCAATTCGACCTCCTCGCGCCGTCTCTGTTGCACAGTTTCGTCGATCAAGGCGTGGATGCCGAGTGGTCGGATTTGAAGTCTACTCTTGATAGCCCTCAAGATGACCTATTCTGGATACCCCAGCCATCGATCGAGTCTGGCGACATTACTTCAGATCTGGATGGTTCGTCCTTGTTGGTAAGTGATGTGGAAATTGCTCATGTGTCCCCGAATCTCCCCACGCGCTCTTTCGCAGAGACGACGAAGCTGTCGCGAGATAAGATCCGAGTACTTAGGGATTGGAGAATCATGCATGGCGAAATGTCCAGACCTTCTGGATTAGAGATGCAAAGACTTCAAAGCATAACTCAACTGTCAGCGGAACAGATAAATAACTGGTTCCTTCATTCTAAACGACGGAATGTAGGTGTCAGCGCCCTTCGCCGGGGGACAGCTGGGACTTCTTTACAGAGCTCGCAGATTAGCGCCGCCAGGGATATTCCAGAAAGGCCACTGACGCCATCAGTGAAGAATCTCTTTAGGTCAGATCCATCGCTGGATGATATGTGTCCCATGGAGAGATGGAAAAATTCTCCGCCAGAGCATGAAGCCGCACTTGTCAGCGATATCGCAAAGGCGCTGTCACACCCGGATCTTCCGTTCTTTCCTGAAGAGTCACAAACAAGCACTCGGTCTCCCTCTCGTGGTGACTCTGTTTCAACAAGGTCATCGTTTAACGGAATTTTCCCGGACCCATCAATATCATCCGTTGATTCGGACTTGCTCGGATCCACAGCTTGGTCTGACCACTCTGGCCAGTCCACGCATTCAGGCAAGTCGTCAACTGAATACCGGCGACGATCGCGGAAGCGCCGTACAAATTATTTGTCGCGGGGTGGGAATAGCCTTCGAGGCGATGCGCCGAAGACTTTTCAATGCACCTTCTGCACAGACTCGTTCAAGACGAAATATGATTGGTCTAGACACGAAAAATCGCTTCATCTCGCACTTGAATCATGGACATGCTCTCCGTTTGGTAGTATTGTTGTTGATGACACCGAGTCAGCAAGTAAATGCGCCTACTGCAACGCATCATCTCCCACCGAGGACCACCTTCAAACACACCGTCACATGGCCTGTCACGGACGCCCGGAGCCTGAAAGAACATACTACCGCAAGGACCATCTCAGACAGCACCTCCGACTTGTCCACGGGTGCAAGTTCATTTCTACCATGGAGAATTGGAAGAGAACACCCGAATACGTGCAATCACGATGCGGATTCTGCGACGAAGTCTTGACGACATGGAAAGCACGCACCGAACATCTAGCGAGGCACTTTCGATCAGGCGCATCCATGTCGGACTGGTCCGGTGGGTGGGGCTTTGAGCCTCACATCGCCCGACTGATTGAGAACAGCATGCCGCCGTACCTAATCCACCATGAAAGAAGCACAATAGTCCCGTTCAGCGGGTCCAAAACACTATCCAACCGAAACCAGGCCGATGAGGGAACGCCAGAAGTATATTCCCACCAAATGACATACCCAGCGAGTCGCGATATCCCGTTATATCACTGCTTTGAGCTGCAGATTCGGAATTATATCAACTCGTGTATTGCTGAAGGCGGGAAGATGCCTAGTGATTCGGAGATACAGGGGTATGGTCGAAGCATGGTGTACGGTGAGGATGACCCCTGGCACCAAACAATTGCCGATAATGCAGCGTGGTTGAAAGAGTTTAGAGAGCGATATGGATATAATAATGATAATGATTGCTCGTCGCCATTAGGAGCAGATACATAATGTATTACTACGCGGCTAATCAATGAATATAACACAATGTACTAGAATATTTCCTCGATTTCTGATGTAACTTCCCAATTCAAATCGACGCATGTCCATGCGTCTCATACGGCAACCCGAAACAAATCAGCCCAACAACCACCCACAGCGCAGCACTAGCATATATCGGCACAGCCGTATAACCGCTATACGTCGATATCAGCGACGCAACTAAGCCTCCAATCCGATGAAGCATAGCTGCAATCCCCGTGCCAGTTCCACGGATAGGACCAGGGAAGGATTCGGGGGTGAACGCGAACATGACAGCATATTCTCAAGGCTCCTAATCAGCATGGACATAAAGCAAAGAAATGGGAAGTGAGCAAGTTACCGAAATTCCCTAATACTCCCGTTGCACATTGGAGTCCTATATCGCCAGCTTCGGTTTTAATCGCCGTATACGCGAATAGAAAGATGCCGGTTAGAATTGCCGATATTCCCATCATCCATCGCCGTCCTAAACGAGTTTCGACGCCGAAGCCCGCGGTAATGGGACCGGCTACGCCGGCGGCAGAGACGATGCAATAGACCATGTAGGTGTGGTTCAGAGAGGAGTCGGCGGAGTAAGAAGAATTGGCTTCGAGGTAGGAGGTGATGAACGCGAAGTAAAGAGGGTAGGCGATGCCGATGGTGAGCCATATTAGGAATGTTATGCTTGTGTGTTGAGCCATTTTGCGGGTGGAGAAGAGTTTGTGATAGGTGGCGGAGGTGTAGCCTGTGTCAGTATTTCTGGGAGTTTTTATGGACAGCATTATATTTTGGGTAGGTTGTGGAGTCCTCTCGATGATGGTGTTTGGAGTTGCTAATTCGTTGTCGATTTCTTCGAGCATTGGCAGAGTCAGAGTCTCCGGCTTTCCATTGTAACGCGCGATATAGTTGACTGCGTCTACTGCTTCGGCGTCTCGACCTCTCGAAAGTAAATAACGAGGCGACTCTGGGATTCTGAAAACAAAAATGCGGATTATACCGAAGGCAATCGCCAGAGCGCCTAGTGTTATCATGATATATCGCCTGCTGACAATTAAAAATGAATGAAGAAATCTCAATCAACAAGAAACTCACCAGCCCATATTATCACGTGCAGCACAAGGTGCTTCAGCACTCGAGCACGCATAGTTTGCAAGAAACACCCAGGATAGGAGGGCAACTATCAATTGACCAAAATTCCACCACGCTGACAAGCTGACCAAAAGCCACTGATAAGCCTGAGGGACGAATTCGAGAAATATAATACTGTCCACAGGAACATTTCCACCAGCTGCTGTGCCAATACAAGCCCAGAGAGCGCAAAAAGCAACAAAATTTTGAGTGCCAGCGACAGCACAAGCAAAAATACCTCCGATAAATATAGTCGCATTGAAAGCAGGTTTGCGGCCAATAATATCTGCTGTTATTCCCCAGAATGAAGCTCCAATGATAAGCCCAGCGTAATACGCTACAGAGCTGAAACTTTGTCGTGATATGTCTGTGAATTCGTTCGCGACCGGTGGTCGGACGGCGGTGATCCCTTGAGACCAGAAGTTGTCGACAATCCAGCCGAAACCAGTGACGATAAAGAGTATATATTGGAATCTATATTTTCCGATTGTTAAACAAAAAAAAAAGAGTGGGAGAAGAAGACCTACCTTCCCATCCCAATCTGGGAAAGGTGCTGAGCGACCAATTCTGACTTTAATCGATATGCCTCTGATATAGAGTCTCTATAAAAGGCAGAAACCTCTGGGTCGTCTATATGGCTGGCATTTCCCTGTTGATCTGGTCGTGCCGTTTGATCTTCTCCCGTTTCTAGGCCGTGTTTCTCAACTTCATTTTTCTGACTTATTACCGACATTATTGCTGCCCAAGACAGCTTAATTAAGTCAAGGAATGTCTCTAAAATGCCTGGCTAATGGTAACAATTAGAAGCGCTGCATGGAATATTCAACTGAAATACGTGTTTTTTCAGCTTAAATCAAGTTCAAACAGCTATTCTTTTGATCTCTGAACTCATCCCTTGATCTTGGCAGAATGTTCTGACTGGCTACTCGTTGGCCATGGGTAACACAGCTGCACGCAGTGTCGCACAAGTAGAAGATCACCGAACCGCCCTCCAATTCGGTTGAAAAGAAGGGAAGTGTTTCCACCCTATATTCAAATTTTCATGTGCATGTCGTCTATTATTATTGAAAATAGTAGACCGCAGAAAATATGGTAGGAGGTTGTTGACTATAAATTAATACACGTGATTGTGTCGTTCTTATATATTTCTGGAACGGTGCCGAGTCGGTGCCGAGTTCACACAGAACATTGAGCGAAAGGAGGGTCTTCCGTTCTATACGGTAGCACCGAGAGTTAGCATTAATTTATAGCCTCTAAGCAAATCGACGTAATCAGTTGTCTATCAACATGAGATATTGTCTATTGAGTAATCATATTTGGAGTTATCATGCAGCCAGTGTATGATTATAGTAATCCTCCTCATAGACCGGTCCGTACTTAGGATGGCTAACTAGTTTCCCATTTCGCATTGTCTTCATGTCCACGGCAGGGATGCTCTGGGCACGAACCCTGGAATCAAAGTATGTCCAGTCGACACATATTTCTTCTGTGCTGACTACAGGCCAAGGTAGCTTGCGCGTTTCCAGCCATTTCCAGGTCTCAAAGCCAGTGCCAACATGGCATTGCACAAACTTATCCGACCGCCAGTTAGCCCAAGAACACTTTTAGGGGGTTAAATGAGCATGTCAGAGAACATACGTGTCGTAGGTTGTCAATACAGTGGTCTGTGTGCTTCACTATCCAGTCCGGCCCGCCTTTGTCTTCACCATAGAACTCTGGGTGGTTGTAGCGATAGATATTATATAGGCAGTGAAGCATGTGGTAGCTCTAGTGCCGTCAGTGACAAGGAGATTATCTTTTAGCAGGTGCTTACAATAGGCACGGCGAGGTAGTCCCCGGAACCATCAGACATCTGAATAGATGACATGTTCATTTTTTTCATATCAGCTTCTTGTACCCGCAATGTGTGTGCTAAAGTTTTGCTTGACATCAGCCTCTCTTTAAAAGGTATTGTATCGATAAGACTAGGGAAAATTTCATAGAGAGGCTTAAAAGTTTTCTCACCTCCATTCATTAAGCGTGTCCATTCTTCTTCAATATCGGCAATGGGTGCGCCCTTGAAAGGGTTTGTGCTGTTGAAATTGTAATCCACCTCTCGAACCTGGTAGCGGTATGCATCCTGAATGGCATTATCTGTTGGGTTAATGAGTTAGATGTCCGCACCATAGATGAGTACTAAGAGATGAGACCTGCATTTCAAGTTATACGGGTTGCGTAAGTTGTGAAACACTCCCGGAAAAAAAAAGATCCCGACCACGACCAAAAGAACTGTATAGACCACCAGAATACCGATCTGAATGACGACTAGCGTGGTGCGCTTCCCCAGGGCTGATGATTTCCGAACCAGAGGACTATCATATATTGAACTCGAGTTCTCGATGCTATTCCTGTTATCATCGCCATCTTGCGATGCTGCTTCCTTAGGGATTAAGCTATACTGGTGTTGTGGATTGGCAGGCATGTTGACTATCGCAAAAGCCCGGCTAAAGAAAAAAATATGTTACATGGTAAATATGACGAAGGAGAAAACCAGACATTCTGGCATATTATTAGATTGGTGACCCACCAACATAATATCCCTATCTCTGAAGAATGAGGGGTTCATTAAATACTACGCTTAGCTAGGTTAGGTAGGTGCCCAACGATGGTAAACCAATATGAAAAAGCCCCGAATGTTGGTATGACTTACGTAAAAATAGACCGAGAAAGTCCTCATTATCAGTATTGCACTCATATTACTCAAAGTGGCAAAAAGCCAACATACTATGAATGTCATTGAGGGGTTGGCGTATTGTTTGTTTAACAAGGATCGGTGGGTATATGTTGACTTAAGGGGCGTCATTGGTCAACCAAGTCGTCTTGATCCCAATTCTAACACTTCAATGGTAGAAGAAAGGTATTTAATTAATCTAGTCAATCCGTCACATAGTCTATATGCGTATCCAGTGAACACGGACATCCGACGTACCCGTGTTAGAATATCGGGATATCTTCAGTTGTTATCAGGGCTTAGATGAATGCGTGTGTTATGTAGTATAAGATGTTGGCGCTAGGCACGCCATAATGCTTGAAGAAAATACTAGAAGACTAAAGGCGCGCTTCGACCGGTAACAAGCTTCTCTCTTGCTACATCTTATTGGATAAAGAAGGGTTAGTAGCAGGTTAGCCGTAAGCACGATCTCTAGTCCTATGCACTAAGGGTTCATTAATAAGCCGTGCCCTATCTTTTGTGACATAGATCTACGAAAGGAATGCCGCATTAGGTATTATCTTTACTGAACTAGAAAATAACGCCCCATCTGTGCGTAACTCCCCATGAGTGTGTATAAATGGATATACTAAACACCCCCTCTTCTCCTCATATCATTCAGTTTCTCTCCATTTAGCAAATTTCTATACTTTAGAAAGCGCTATTCATTATGAAGACATCAATCATTTTATCTACCCTTCTGGGCCTTGCCCTTGCCTTGCCAATTTCTGGTTGGTTATCATGAAGCGGATGCTAATAGAAAGAAACAGCTAACTGATGTTTATCAGAAAAACAAGCCCGCGGCGAGGATGACACCGCAATTGGTGCTGATGTCGTCTGGAAGCGTGGCGAGGACGATACCGCAATTGGTGCCGATGTCGTCTGGAAGCGTGGCGAGGACGATACCGCAATTGGTGCCGATGTCGTCTGGAAACGCGGCGAGGACGATACCGCAATTGGTGCTGATGTCGTCTGGAAGCGCGGCGAGGACGACACCTCAATGGGTGCCGATGTCGTCTGGAAACGCGGCGAGGACGATACCGCAATTGGTGCTGATGTCGTCTGGAAGCGCGGCGAGGACGACACCTCAATGGGTGCCGATGTCGTCTGGAAGCGCGGCGAGGACGACACCTCGATTGGTGCTGATGTCGTCTGGAAGTAATTATGTCAATGAAATAAGCGTCGGATGATGTCTATTGCCCCAGTTCGCTCAAATTGAAAGACAAAAATCGAAACTCTATTGGGATTTGTGAGAGATTCACAATGAGGAATATAACCATTCAAGTGATTGAAATGCTCTTACTACAAGTATCTCCAATGAAACTGCATAAATGCTCCTATTTTTCTAAATATAAATTGGAATCCCAGGTAATCCATCATATGCTTTCTTTTTTAAACTGACACAGTATACAGCATTTGTATAAGCTAAAAGAATGATTGAGTATTTAGATACCAAGATTCAAAATCACAACTGAACCAGCCAATATTTATGAGCGTCAACTGGTATTCCCAATTGTTTTGTCTTCAAAGTTTTAGCGGTTTCTAGCGTGGGCACTTCCGTTGTCTCGCATGGACGTAAAAGCACAACATATAAAGGTAGAACGTGTATAATCGTAGATGAAATAAAATATTAATGAGCATCTGTCATTTTATATACAACCACTAGTAAATGATCATAAGAGGCAACATGATAACCCAATTTCATCTTTAATGGGGCTGTTCTCTTTCTCACGAGTCCGATTTCGACTTTTGCAAACCCCGCTCCTCAACAATTGCACTAAGTATAAACTTGGCAATATATGGCTTAAGTTAATTCTCATGACGAAAAGCTATACTATATCAAGAAGGTAGCATTATCTTCGAAATTAACTATCACATGGACATAACACTATTCACTGATTCGGCCTGTTGGAGCTGTTATGGCTGAGTCTTATACATAGCGTTGTGTACTACCGACTTAATATTCCCAGCCCCTCTCTCTTTCATTAAGCTATCCTTTTATTAATACTACATATATAGATCAGTGAACACTCACTGAGCGCCCTGTAAAGATTACAGAAATAATGCTGGCTATTATATAGCTACGCTATGCCGCCAGGCTCCTAGGCCATCCTAAGAAGCAGCCCACAGCCAACATTCTCCCTATTACTCTTAGAATATGGAACACCCACACTAAGTTGAGAGATAACCAGTAGTAGACTAAGCCTGGTCCTATCAGACCACTAGACGCCCCTTAACCCCGAGGCTGAAGAAACTCAAACAGCAGACACCTCTGAGGGTATTACAGACATTATTAGCGCCTATACTTCTAAACACAAAGACCCTGAACTTTAATACGGACATAATGGCCCCTAAGACATTTCTTAGACTCCAGACTGTAATTAGACTGCCTGGAACTTGAAGATAGTCATACAGGAGCGAGATTACCCTAAAAGCACCCCCTCCCCCAAACCAAATATCCCTGAAGGCACAGGCTAATCTCCATACTGGTAAACAAGAAGGGATTTAATGTTGAGCTAGTAGGGGCGGTGGGGGGTTTTCTCGACATCCCCAGATATCTCATTTTTTAAGCAAAATACGTTGTTGATATGCAAAAGCCCACGTTTATCATGACTGTCAATAGTGCTCAGATTTCCACGAAGACCATCCAGTTGACTACCGATGGTATCCTAGGTTATACCCATATCGCGGGCCTAATAAAGAAAATGTAAATAAAGTATTAGAACTACTCATAATTAACTATGAATTTGTACTATACAGGGTTTGATACAGGCTTTTATAATAAATCACACCAAAGCATTATATAAAAATATGATGATATTTTCTAGATTACATTGTCTATCACCTCCTCAGCCCCTGGGCACCTGGGGTCAGTCTAAAAGAGATAGAAGATATATATATAATGCCTATTATCAAACTTGTATTAAGAAGTCCAAATGTCCACTTTCAGGGATTTCTGAAAGGATCTAGAAGTTTTCAAGTAATATCTTGAAAACAATAACTACAATATGGATTTCATAAGATTATTTACAGAAGAAATTGATAGAAAAGATGTACTTGCAGTTATTTATAAGTACTTATTGAAAGATGATGAATGAATAAATGATATTTTCTATCAGATATATATAGATAAATTCTATTTAAATCCTTAACTACATTTAGATCCAGTGGTAACATGGATAGGTCTCGACAGCATGCTTATGCCGAATCCTGCAAGACCTGGGGGCTCCGAGATATCTATGGAGGCAATTGTGATATATCATAAATGATTCGCTGGTCCCTGGCTAAGTGCCAAATCCCGGAAGATCACCCCTATCAAGGCCATCCCCGAATCCCGGGCCAGTTCCATTCCCGGGGCAAGTCTTCTTCAGCCCAAAACCCCGGAGTTTAGCACGGAGTTTAGCAGAGAGTGGTCGACATTGAGGTGAGGAAAATGTACATAATGTGAATGGTTAGTTGAGATGGATGCCTTCATAAAGATACCATATAAACGATAAGACGCCTATATTAGTATGCAAAAAATCAAATCAGAAGATTAAGAATCTAATATATATAGCTACATTTAAGAGAGAGAAGCCCAAACATCTCCTTATGTTAATAGTCTAGTACAAATTCTGAAAATAGCTCCATACCTGCCTACACAATCACACCAAATCTCACAGAATATTTCTTCAAACATACAAACAGAACTATATCCAGAGATACCTTCAAATCAGTATACAAATACATTTACTTATGGGAAGGATATATATAATGTATTACATACAAACAATGAAAGAAAAGCAGATATTGATGCTTATATGTAAGCATGTAAAAAAGAAAATAAGCGGCTCTGGGACCACATTTACCCAGTTATGTCAGAGCTACCAGCACTTGACACTTCCGCAACTAAGATTGTTGATATTGAAGGAAGCCGTGGTCATGATCTTGAGACTTTTGCTAAGAATAATCCGGGTTTAATGGCAGTCTTGTTCTACAAGATCTACCCGAAACTATTGTACCTATTCAAGGAGAGAAAAGGGCCGTCAAGGCCATGACACACGACTTCTTCAATTCGCAGCCCATCACAGGAGCAAAAATCCACCTGTTGCTTACGCTGCTCTATAACTGGGAGAACGCCAAGTATCACATAATCTTAAAAATCTAGTTGACGTAATATAACGGGGTTATTCACGTCTCCTAATCTCTGGAACGCTTGTACCAGAGGTCAAGGTAGACCACCGTATCGCAGAACTTGACATACAAATGTGGATGCTGCTGCGGCGCAGCAGTTACACCCCATCTTTACAAAATATCACTTTCCTTAAGGCACGCACACGATAGCTGGAATGAACATATCGGGGATGAATATCAGGAGTTGTGTAGTACAGTAGGAATGGGGTTTTCAACCCTTGTGAGCTTTATATAAGTTACAAGTAGTTAACAAGGTGCGGAGCACAGTTCTAGGGTGCTGTCAAAGCTTCGAAGGGAAAGCGACCCTCCAAGGAGTGCCAACATATGTATTAGATTATTTCAGATTAAAGTTTCTTTCCAGAACGCTTTGACAGGTGACATGAACGCCTTTTCTGACCAAGTAAATTGCTTCAAGATTAAATGCAGTTCTGGCCATGATTTGTACAAATTTCCGAACCTGGTAGAGTGGTTCGAGCGCAGCAGTTTGGTATAACCAGAGCGTACATTCCCTGCTGGAGCGAATGCCCCACCGATGTATAAAAGCCAAAGTATCAAATTAGGGTGATCATCCCATATAGGGTCGTCGTTCGCTCGTTGTAGTTTACGAAGTAATTGTGAGGAAACATGTGACTGTAGCGTTGAGTCCGTACATTCGTGAATCAGGTTAGCAAAGTCTGGCATCTCATCAAGTCCAACAGGACCAAGGCATTCTTGACAGGGACAAGAATAGCAAGACGGAGATTGGAGAGTGGACCACGTACGGGAATTACCAAAGCACACCACACCGTGCAGCATAACATAACCGAGCATAAATATGCCGCAAGATGACAACACTCTAAAACAGGACAGAGATTCGGCAAGCTGACAAGCCTGGATTGGATAGATGCCGTGTGATTATTGATTTGTGCCATTAATATCATGTCGCCTTTTGTGAAACGGGGGATTTCTCGAATGCATTGCAATGCATGTATATCTTCAAGTACTTCGATAAACTCTTCACTGAATAGGTGAGACCACCTTTGGAAGCCTATGGACAGCCGAAAGAAGTTTGGCGAGAACGAATCTCTTGTCCAGTGAAGCTCGGCAAAAGTCGTGTGGTCGACTATACGCTTAGACCCTGCTAAAATTGAGGAATTCAAGTCTTGCCTGTCGACTGGTGTAAGAATAAAACACGAAAGTATTGTATTCTTACTTACCAGAATATGGCCCGTTTGATTCCGCCAGTGAGATATACACCCTCCTTCTGGCAGATTTTAAGGAGTTGCAGCACCGCCCCCAGGTGAAGTTGGACCCTAGACGTCATCCCAAGGCGAGCCTGGGTAGTAAAACATCAGTATAAACAGCTTGAAGTAAGTCTGAAGAGCAAGACTCGCAGACCTCCACCCCGGCTAGCAGCAAAATGGTTCCAATGGTCGATTCCGAAGTGGCCTCATCCAATGAACTCATCTTCTCACGAATATAACTTATCGCCTGACCCAGGTACCCGAGGCATTCTTCATTGATGCAGCCTCCAGTTACCGCTAATGCAAACGAGAGCATAACTGCGTTCAGAAGAGCGGGATCAACCAAGCCAGTTCGGAAAACCGATTGAAAGTTCTGGTATGAAAGATCTTCCGCATAACTAAAGACTGGTTCTGGAGCCTGTCTAGCTTTATCTAAAATATCTATTTCAATACCTTCCGAAGCAGCTCTCAACTACGACTAGGGGCTTACAGTTGCCAAGCAGTGTCTGCAATCTTGCAGAATCTACCGCAAGAGTCTGGAACGGATCGAGCGTGCCTGCCGACAGAGAGAAGAACGATGGGGCTAAATTTTCGGTACGTCTTCTCTTGCTCACCGACCTTTTAGGGTTATCCATCGAAGTCGTGACACGAAAATTGTCCCTCGACTCTCGCTGAAGTCTTCGTTTTTTCTCAAGTGCTTGCTTTACAGCATGCGACCGCGCTAGGCGCCTCGTGACGCGATGCTTAGTGTCATCTGAATTTTGAGTCGATATGAACATCAGGCTTCCAGCTAACAAGGGTTAGTAGCAAGACAACGTGTGGCTGCTCTTGGTGTGTTTCACCTACCCGCGATAGATTCGCTTTCGGCTTCGGCCGAAATAGGATTTCCCAAATCCATTGCATAAAACTAGAGCGAATGTGAAGGCTGTAAGTTGTATTATAGCTTTCGCCCCGTGATTATCAATGCCATAGAGTGGGACACATTTTGAAATGCTGAGACAGTTGTTATGATTCTTCTTCGGATTTCGTACAGTGGGGCTGAACGGTTCGTTGCAAGCCTGCTTAGGAATCACGGTTAATAATCCCCGAAGTATCTAAACCATTTTTGGAAGAACCCCCTTACCCGAATTAGAAGTATCTTGTTTCCGTATTTGGAACCATCTATTTGCCTTAACTGGACGTGGTCCATCGTTTGTATGGGAATTATCTTCTGCTTCTCGATAGACAATACCGATATTTCAAGTAGAATTTTCTTTACTTCTCAATATCCGTAGTTTTATAAATCCTTTAGATTGGTAATCTCCTAGCTACTAGTATCGTTTGCCACGATGATTTTGTCATCGAACATACAAGGTCAAGTAGTATAAATTCCGGCAGTCCCGACCATTTCAAACTTCCTTTTCAGATTTCCAAATCACCAGCAGGCCTCATTCATTACTCTGAAGAGTGCGACTCATATCATATCCCTTCCGAAAGTCTTTGACCATGGCCGAATCACGCCTTTTCAAGCCGTTGAAAATAGGCAATGTGGAAGTCAAACATCGCATTGGCATGGCTCCAATGACTCGCATGCGTGCAACTGATGACCGCGTACCGACCCCGTTGATGAAGACATACTATGGCCAAAGAGCCGCTGTGCCTGGCACTTTGATCATTTCCGAAGGCACCCTTGTATCGCGGTCAGCCGGCGGTGGATTCCCCAATGCACCTGGCATATGGAGCGAAGACCAGATTTATGCCTGGCGAACAATCACCGACGAAGTCCACCGCAAAGGCTGCTTCATATTCTGTCAGATCTTCGCAATGGGCCGTGCTGCGGAGGTCGAAGTGGCTAAGAAAGAGGGAATTAGCATTGTAGGGCCAAGTGCCATTCCAATTAATGAAGGCGCCCCGATACCACAGGCCATGACCATTGAGGAGATCAAACAATCGGTTCAAGACTTTGCGACTGCGGCGGATAATGCGATTCGCGCAGGGTTTGACGGTGTCGAGTGCCACGCTGCAAACGGCTACCTCGGGGATCAATTTCTTCAAGACACAAGTAACCAGCGCGATGACGAGTATGGTGGGAGTGTGGAGAATAGATCTCGCTACTTTCACGAAATCTTGAAGGCTGTCGTCGACGTTATCGGCCCGGAACGTGTTGGTATTCGTCTCAGCCCGTGGAGCCCGTTCCAGGGAATGAGGATGGAGAACCCAATCCCGCAATTTGAGGATATCATCAAGAAATCCAGAGAGTTGAATCTGGCGTATCTGAGTTTAGTTGAGTCGCGGGTGTCTGGCGCCGAGGATTACACAGGCAATGAACGGTTGGACTTTGCGTACAAGCTCTGGAATGGGCCTCTCCTTGTTGCGGGGGGGTATAAGCCGGCGGATGCACTGCAGCTTGTCGATGAAGAATATCCAAACAAGGACATTGTTGTGGTTTTTGGCAGAAACTTTATTGCAAATCCAGATCTGGTGCATAGAATCAAGGAGGGCTTGACGCTTAGTGTGCACGAACGCAAGACCTTCTACACTAACGACTCAGCTGCCGGTTACGTGGATTACCCGTTCAGCGCAGGGTATCTGGCTAGCGAGGTTGTTTAGATGATTCAAGATAGGCATTTTAGATAAAGTTCAGTAGTTTATAAATTATGCGTTGAGCGATTATCATCACATAGAATGTGCCTTGAGGTTCGCCAGCGCTACCGAAAAAGGTCGTCCCGGGCAGCCAAAATCCCAATGGATCATTTTGAATATACCGCTTCATAGTATTTACAATATGATAATTCGCAACGACTTTACTATTAAATATGGGTATGAACTGTACTTTGTCGTAGCGACGGTAATAAACAAGGTTTCCTTGCCCCTTTATGCTCGCCTCTGCTAGTCCGACGGCTCTTAGGAGAAACGGGAATAGGGCTTATTTTAGAGCTAACAAATGAGGCTTGGAAGTGAGCAGCCTTTCCAGAAGCACATTAGCGTAGCCCCCATAATGCAAAAAACCAAGACTTCATCTGGACCAGTTATCTCCGGAGTCCGTGGAGGGTGGTGGAGGGTCGTGGAGGCTCTCCCCTGTGCCCGCTTTTCGCACTTCTGCCCATCTTCTTCATCATCGTCACCCCGGGACTAATTGCCACCGATATTCACCGGCAGGTATGCTGATTGATCGGCAGCTGGCATCAACATGACGGACGCCTTCGATAGCTACTTCTTTTCTTCAAATCTGAGCAGCTACAGCTGCCCAGCCCTAAACAACCTTGAATGCCAACCCCCGGCCGCTTGTGCGCGCGAGTCCAGCACCGGCAATGAATACTGCTGCGACGCCGGCGATGTATGCTGGCGTTTCGCATCAAAGTGCCAGACCGACGGCAGCACTCTCTCCTGCGGGAATGGCGACAATACATGGTGTTGTCTATACCCATCGTACGTCTAGAATCTATAATCAAACAGCCGTAACCACTCGCTGATGAGCAATTGCGTTTTTAGGGAAATCTGCACGCAAACTTCGGGCCAAATCAACATTTGCTGGAGTACAGCCCACGATACTCTGACAAATATTAGCCTTTCTACGTTAAACCAAACGTACTTGTCGCTGAGTTCTGCGTCGCCGTCGGCAAGTTCCTGGTCCTTCAGCCCTGAGAAGTTAATTGCTGCGACCGCGACCACGACCACGTCGACTTCTACATCTACCACCAAGCATACCGCAATGACAACAGACACACACTCGTCCACAACATCCGCGACACCGTCGTCTACCACATCGCCATCCTCCTCATCGTCACTATCGGGTGGCGCAATCGCGGGGATAGTCATTGGAGCCGTTGCCGGGGTAGTCATAATTGTAGCATTACTATTATACCTCTTCCGGCGGCGCAGGGGACAAGGCGACACACCAACAGGCAATGCTCATCATGAGAATGTTGTGTATGGGTCGGAGCCAAAACACGAAGTCAAGCTACAGCCAACATCGCGTTATCCACAAGGACCTATGCACGAATTAGCAAGCGCCCAGCGAACCGAATTACCGACAAATACTCCCCAGGAATTACCTGGAAGCTGATCGCCATCTCAAACTATAATTATATGTGTTAATTTGCTGCGAATGATGCCACTAGATAGATATTGCATTACATGATATATAGTGGACTAAAATAGACGCATTCTATTGTTGACCTGAATATCTTGCCTACTGCACCAAAAGACCAAAGTTCTCTTTGGCAGTTCTTTTCTATATAATATTCTCTCTCATGTTGTTAAAGGAATATACATATTTGATGACCTAGTATGCCAGGGCTAGATCGCCGATGGCCCTAGAACAGCCAAAGAATGCAGGCAAGGAACATGGCCATCTTCCAACACCCAGACATCGGGGTTCTGCAAAATTTAAAACCAATTAAATCAAGGGATACTTGGAAATGTATTGATATATCTATATTTAATTAACTGAGGAGCACACTACCTATTAGCTCCATATTTTGATCTAACATGGTCAAATTGTGTATAACCTAACCATAGCATGATACACTATCCAAAGAGTGCTTCTAGTATTTATACAATCTTCGTCTGTCATTTCATAGCAGCTGGTCCGCAAGGCGTTACCCTAACGAGAAGGCAGTTGGTACAGCTCTTTGCAGTGATGATGCGAACAAAGCTTTTCTCATGAAGAACTTCCCAAATATCTTCTCATTCTTCAGCAATCTAAGTTAAGAAGCAGTTCAAGATAGAGCATACCTACATTTAGTTAGTTTCTCGACCATCATGGATTTGTCGACTTGGACTATGCGGGAGGTTTTGCAATTGCTCGGGATTCTTATATCTTCTGTCATATTTCATTCAAATGATTTATACTAACAATGACAGGGTATAACCTGCTTGGTCCTCGAAGCCCTCTACAACATTCACATCCCCCCCTCATCCAACTTCCCCGGCCCAACGCTCTGGAAAAGTTCCAAAATTGTTCACCAAGCTTCCACCCTCCAAGACAATCTCCATATCCGCCTCGCCAAGCTCTTCGACAAACACGGCCCAGTCGTACGCATCAGCTCAACCGGACTAGTCTTCAACTTACCCCAGAGGGACGGTTGGTTGGCAAAGGGTACAGACAAGTGGTTTCAATACGATAAAACGGATGTCTTGGAGCCGTTCAGTCTTGGGCTGCCGAATTTGTCTGGGTGGGAAGTAAGTTCTCTTATATATAAATGGCGGTAGAAAGAATGCTAAGTAGGTTGCAGTCCGGCATACGCAGGAATCAGGATGGTGCTTTGTAAGTTGCTGTTTCATTTCAATCTGCAGTTGTGTCCTGAGAGTGCGGACTGGGCGGAGATTATTCATATGGGATAAGCCTGCGTTGACGGTGAGGATGGAGAAGTAGGTTTAGTCTAGAATGATAATAGGGCATAGTTTGATACACAGTGTTTTCAAGCTAGAAAGTTGGGAACATGAAATAATAATGTAATGTATTAAGCTATTTACCACACATTATACAATACTTTTTATCTTTATCTTGTATTCGTCATGAATGTTTTTCGTTAAAATTCTTCACTTCAACTGCCCGATGACCACCGGTCAGTTTCGTGTAATTATAGGCCACTATACTGGCCATTATGACCAGCACACCGCAGATATTCACCGGTGTCAACTGGTCGCCAAAAACGAGCCCAGCGGCGCTGATAATAAACACCTCCTTCAGAATTCCGCACACACTCAGCGTCACTACGGACGAGCGCTTGAGAAGCGCGAATTGGGAAAGCACCATGCAGAATGCTAACACACCAGGGAGGAGCAGCAGTGACAGGCTCATTGCTCCACCCCATGCGCTCGATAGCGCTTGCAGGCCCTTCACCATCTCCTTTGTGTCTTCGAGAGAGAGCGAGATCCCGGCGAGGGTTATGCAGACGACTGGACTGAGGAAGAAGAGCATGGAGATCGGGTTGGATGTAGCCGGATGCTTGAGAATGAGCAACTGGGTCAAGGCCCATCGGAAGCCCGAGAAAAAAGCCGAGGCGGTGACGAGGCTGAAACCAGCCGCGCTGAAGGAGATCTCGCCCAAGACCATCATCACCTCGCCGACGGTCATGAATGCGATGATCACGATCAACTGAGCGGAGAGCTTCTCAAGACGGAAGAGGAAAGCGAAGAGGAGGATGAAGATGAGCACGGAGGATTTGCAGACGGTCATAAAGGTGAGGGTAGAGAAGCGGAGGGACATGTTGCCCAGGCCGATGTCCAGGGCAGTCGCAACACCGCAGGGGACGAGGTGTGTCAAGTAAAAGCGTGTCAGACTCATGCCTCCGTGCGGGTCACCTCCCGGAAGCACTGCAGACGGCGGCAGCGTCGTGCGGCGGGGACGAAGCGATGGGATGAGGTAGAGGAGGAGGCCGGAGAGGGCGAATTGTACGGCCTGGTGGAGGCAGGTCATGAAGAGTGGAAATGGGAAGGAGATGGCTTGGCCTGAGAACATCCATTTGTTGTACTGTCTGGTCAGTACATTTGTTTCCTAGGAAATGAGAGAGAGAAAAAACTCACAATTGAAATGGACATGGAAAATGAATGCCATAGCACCACCAGCACGGCGATGCCCAAGGCATTCCTCATGAAATCGGGGTCCTGCATGCTGTGCGCAAAGGACTTTGTGTACACAATAAAGCTGTCGAAGGAGGATGATCGGCGGTGCGAATGTTGCGACAACAGGCTCATTTCCTCCGTCGCGCTTATTAGACTAACGTCGTCGTCTGTCAGATCGACTGAGCTGACCTCGTGCTTGTCCATCATGGCGACGCGCACATAGCAGGATGAGTTTAGTTCAGGTGTATGGGCATGCGCCCTGGCAGAAAGAAAGAGAAGAGGATAAAAGAGGCCCCTGGATCGGGGGTTGTTACGGCGAGGATTAAATAGGAATAAGAGTAAGACGGATGTCGAAGCGCAGGGGCTGGCCTAAGCCGCATCGGCTTCTTTTTGTACTGGGCAGTCTTTCAGCAAATTGCTGCACTGTGGAAGCCGACGGAGCCTAGTTGCTCAGGTGAATCGCTAGCCCCACTCGGGCTAGCGTGGGTCGCTAGCGGGCTCTGAAAAGGCTTGAAAAGTGGACTAGCACAGGTCAGGTGGAAAGTTCCTCGTCGAACCTCCGAGTGCTTGTCGCGTTGAAGGTATACTAGGTCAGTCTGCGTGTACGAGGACGAGTTTGAGGGTCGGCTGTCAGTCTGTGAGAGGAGAAGCAGCAGTTGTGCAACACGTCTGACAAGAAAGTCTGATAGAGAAGGGCGAGACCGAGGCAGCCATGCCGCAGCCGCGCCCAATGGGATCGCCGCGTGATTGCCAGCCAATCGGCGTGCGATTTTGCGCGTGCCAAGTGGGGAAACATGTGGATGATGCCTTTTCTGGGCTAGCCGTGGCCCAGTCCAGGCAGCCACAAACGGGCCAATCACGATACAATACCAGCGAATAAGCCAACCCAACAGAGCAGAACAATCTAACAACTGCAGAGTATTAATAAGAATATTACTGGATTCTCCATATGAGTAACCATGATGGTAGGATGATTTCATCGGGAGCACAGATGATGCTGCTGCCAAGCGCCAGCTCAGCATGCTCCATGACCCAACCAACGCCAGTGCCCGCTTGAAGGAAGGGGCTTAGATCTCTTGGATCTGGTGACCGACATAGTCGGGCATTCCCCATTAACTATATTAATTAGCACGGATTTATAACAGGATAGTCATCGGATAGCCCAGTGACTCCAGTGACGTGACTCCAGTCGAAACGAGACCGACTCCTTGTTGGGGAGCCAATCACCGGCGCGCTGATTTTTCCGCTCCCCAGTCTTATGTCAGCATTTGCGGGGTAAGCGTGACTTGCCGAGCTTCTTCTTTCTCTCAGCTTGTGCTTCCTTCTTAATCCCCATAGTAATTTCCGCTCGGCCCGTAGCAATATCCTACGATGTAGTTAACACTAGACTCCTCAGTATGTAGTGATGAATAGTGTGCGCCATTGGGCCGAATGAGGAGAGAATTACGTATATATTATCAAACATTATGATTCAGCTAAAGCATTGATCGGCACATGGCTTGATCGACTGATCACTTTCCATCCTAGCAGACTGTAGTAGGTTTTGTGCTAGAGATGCATCTTCTAATAGCCTGGTATATACTTCCGCCAATCGCGCCTGTCCACATTCACCGCTTCCTCCACCCCTGGCCGCTCGCTGAGCTGTACAGCCGAATATCCAGAATAGTTTATCTCAGCAGGCTCAGACTGCTCCGCGAGAAATGCCAAGGCGGCAGAAAAATACTGCCACTCCTCCCTTCCTCCCATTGGCAGCCAAAAGGCCCCACTATGACCGGATTCTCGCGGAACAGTCTGAGGACTGCTCACAATTTTTCTTAGTAAGCCTAGTCACTTTTTTACAGCATCATTTTTCTATCATATAAAAATTCAATAACTAATATAATTTATTAAGATATGCTATAAGTAACTTTATTAAGTAAGTAATTTTAATTCTTTTGATCTAATTTTTAACTCGTCCTGATTATTAATTAATAGAGATATACAGGGTCAAAGTTATTGAGTCGGTTTTTTAAGCCCGGTCATATCTCAGAGCAATTTCAGTTTATCTTAACTGCCACTTATGACGTCATATATAATAGGATTTATTGACATCCAAATAAAATTGCGCACAAGTAAATAGATAGAATCATAATTTATAAGTTAATTAAGATTATATTGAAGATGAAAAAATGTGTATTGGGGGATGAAATATAACCTTGAAAATTTGACTGTTGATGTTTGTATGAGAGAGAAAGGAGTTGCTCATGAATATTGGCACCAGGTGTCCTCAGACCCTCTGACGAGGAACTGAGCCGCGCGGGCGGTAGCAAAGGCGGTGAAAGCGTTCCTCGTCTTGGGTCTGAGCTCCTGAGATAAAGAATAGTTGTACAAACGAAATCGGGTAGAAAACTCTGTGATTCCACATGCTGTGAAACAGCTTGGCATTCTGAATCTGGACAATAGCATTACAGTTGATATATCGGACGCGTTCTATTTCTCGAATGCCTAGCAAATGGCAATTTTATTCTTCTCCCTTTTTTTCTTTCCTTTTTTTATGTTTACACGTTTAACATGATCAATTGTAGATTTGGTAACATCGCGCATCCGGAATGATACATAAACCACATGCAATTAATGCCCTAGCTATAAGGACCGAAAAGTCTCGGGAGAAAATGCATGTATCCGTATTGGCTCCCTAATACTATATGTAACTAAGTTATGTGTTGGATGATTAGTAAGATCCGCACCTTGCAGATCTATTGCTCTGCAAAGGCACCTCGTACGAAGTGATAATGCAATTCTCGGAGTGGCGATATAGATTCAATTTTCAACACATCAAACCTGCGGCGATCTACTGGTTTTACAGGCCCTATGTTGCGAAGAAAGCTCACAACATTAAAGTGGAAGGGAACAGTGACGAGGATTAATTGATTTTTGTATGTTGTGATTGGCTTATCGTAAAGTTCAATATATCAATTCATGGATTAGGTAGGCAGGCTTTAGTGGCACCACTCCTCACCTGCATTAGTGATACATATCAATTGATGTATTTGAATGCGATAGCTCTAGCCCTAGCTGCCGACTGGTGATTAACTACATTGAAGTTCAAATTTATTAGTACGCATACGAATATATGTACCTAGAACCCGTGAGGGGTTAGTCACCTATTAATACATAGATACCTTCGGTTCCTGCATCAACTTAGCGTCTGCGACCATATCAATCCGTGGATAATTCGCGCCTTGAACCCACGATAAGAGCCGTAATGTTAAGAGTCTTGAGCGGCTTCATAATGATGGTAGTTTGTATATCAACACGTCGCGGTTTGTCTAGTGGTTTGTTGTAGGTGAGGTCTTAGAACTTAATATTTGACTGAAGGGAGCTTCCAGCTGGGGAAAATTAGCTCTTGTAAAGACATGATTTAATCAGATCACTTGGGCTTTGCTTCTCAATGCTTACGAGCGACCCACCAGGGCCTAGGTGACCGTCAACTAGTGGACAGACGCTATGCCTAGTCAGGATGAGAAAGTAAAAAAGATTTACGTACAGGTCCTATCTTAGAGCAGTCGTATCAGCCACTTAATAATTTCTGACTCCTGAATAGCCTAAGTTACAAGGATATTATAACCATGGGCCTAAATTAATTTGAATGGTGCGCCACCGTTTAGAAATTCTTCTATTCACTTGCCTCACTCCATAGTTAAAATAGTCAGTTTGAGGGACGAATTTGCATATTGAGTTAAGGAACATGAACGATAATTGAAATACGTACGAACTGACCATCCAGCCGAAAATCTAGCGACTGGAATGCACATGAACTGTAAACTCTAAAATGGTGGTTGAGTCCGGTGTAGATGGTCTTAAGTACTTCGCTTACACATTTGCCGCCCCCAACCTCTATACACTACGAGGAGGTTAAATATTCATCTCCCCCAAAGTCTGTCTCCTGTGGATTTCCTTGCAGACAGGCGCCGTCCCGGCCTTTCCCAGTTTCTAGAGAGAGATTTAACTGCAACGATCGGAACAATGACACACAAATTCCCCCTCGACGAGCCGGTGATCTCTGGCCCTTTTAGTCTCTTTGAAGGAAGTTTCATTTTGGAGTTCTTGCAGCCACATCCCTCGAGAGATGCCTCGTCAGCCTCAAAACAGCAAACCCCCTTTAAATTCTCCACTGACCTCGATCTAGCGTTCTGATAAGAGCAACGTACAAGCACGACCACCCCCTCTACAAAAAGGGATCTAGTCATCCACAGGTATATCCATTATCTTTTTGATTTTATTTCCACGTAACATCTATTGATAGAAATCCAGACACCACCTCTACACCTCCATTTTAATCAATCGGAGTCTTTTGAAGTTCTTCAGGGCAAAATAGCTACCGTCGAGGGATGGTCTGTGGCCAGGCGGGTCTGGACTCAAGAAGATGGGCCGCATGAGATCAAACCATGGGTACCTCATACCTTTCAACCCACTCCGGACAGCACTGAGGATACAATCCTGCTAGTCTGGGCGCATCCAGACGATGTGGATGAGATGATGGACCGGGTCTTCTTCACAAATTTGCTAATGTACGTCAGCGACGTGCATGAGAAGAAGGTCTCGCTGAACCCGTTCCAGATCATGCTGACACAGTAGGTGCTCTCTTCTAAGGACACAAGATTAAAGAACAAACTGAAGGCTAACTCTTCCAAGGCATGTTTCTGCCACTGCCCTTGTGTGGTTTCCTACTGCGACGTGGCTGGGCCCACTGCGCTGGTGGGTGCCGTGGAAGGTGCAGGCGATCTTTGCTGCAGCGGGGAGATTGCTGGGGCTGACGCCTATGATGAAGAAGTATACTTCCGAGGAGGAATTTGCAGAGATTCAGAAAGCAAAGAATATTTGAAATGTCATTCTACAACCAGAGATATGTATTGATCTAACCAAGAAATCTTGTGTATTTTTGTGCACTTGACCCGGCATGCCAGGAGCTAGATTACTTCTTAAACACTTTTCTTTTGGCCTGTATATCTGTTGTATAAATATTTCTACGGATTATTTCTTTGTAGGGCACGTGGGTGATTTTACCTGAAATACCGGTTGGGTGAGCGTGCGGCCCTGGCTGATACGACTGCTAGTTAAAGAGACTGATACAGATACAAGGTAGGTACGGTAAATAACCAATCTAGGAATTAGGATGGACCGCCAGCGATAAGTCATGGCGGCTAAATCTGTGCCTCGTAGATGTTACTGGGGTGTTGGTCGAAGTATTCACTTTGGCCCTTATCACTAATCGCATATAATGCTAGATTTGAGTTGGGATAACGGCAAGGCATGTGGTAGGCTAGGAATAGGAAGTTGCAGCTACTAAGATCTTCTTCGAAATCACATACTGGTTGAATGCGCGCTACAGAAATGATTCCCACCCATACCGCCGCCTCGATATTAACAGACCCAACAAGTTCTTTATCACATAGCGTAGCGGCCCACCTTCTACCTATTCTGTACTCATCAAATTCATTCCAGATACTGTACTGGAACCTGCTCTATACAGGAAAATAGGCAAGAGCAGGAATAATTGGATCCTAGTCAGAAAGCTGTACACGAAATTACAGGCCCATGCAGAGATAAAGGCTGAGATAAAGGCTGAGACTTAGACCCGTTTCATGTCAATTCAAGCCACTCATCGCTTTTCTCCGCATCGGACAACTCAGAGATAAGAAGACCTCCAATCACCACACCAAGTCCCTCACCGGACCACCATCTCTTTTCGAATACCCTTCGATGCTCACTCCATCGTCAAACGCTATAGTCTGGTAGTCATCCACTCTCTCCACTAACCCTCTCCATTGATTTGTAGCACGTATCAAGCATGACACGCATACTTCTTCCCAGTAGCCTTTCGCTTAGGCAGCATATCCCGCGCAAAACCACCTACAGAACGCTTATCCATCGCGTCGCACCACGTTGTCGCAGGTGATCCACAGCAACGCGGCCGATGAGTTGCAGCTGGAAGAAGTGATCAAGCCAGATTACATCTGGGCTATAAACATTTGTAAACTCGGTAGAGGATATTATGTCTCCTAGGCTCCATCCAGAAATGAATCGCTCTGCGACTGAGAGATGGCGTGCGGAGGTTTCGAGTGACAATGTGGGGGGGTCGGTTTGCTCTGCCATGCATCACAATGTTCTGACGATATTTACATGAGACGGTATTCTATGTCTCACATGCTAGACAGAGACCAGGCTCTATATTATACATCTACATGTTTCTTGATTACCGACAGGCCAGCCGAAGTATCCCCTTTGCTGTGCTGCTTGCAAGAAATTAGCACGCTTTTTTCTGTCGCTGCCATAACATCCCTAAAGACCATAGAAATATAGAAGCCGCGCACTAAATACACTATATTATACAACTCTCACAACAAAGGGGATAAACCATGGCTTTTATCAGTTTAATATTCTGCAAGAGTTGGAAGGGGCGTGTCTAGTGAAGTGAGAATTACTTCATTACTTCTCGTAAACGCAAATGCCAGGTTTGCGCTGATGGGCCCTGCTCGCCGTCACACGTGAATATATTATTGCAATATTGTTTCTATAGTTACCCCACCGTATGACTTATTTGACTACAAAATAAGAAATTTTTGACTATACGATTCATAATCCGAAGGCACAATCTGCGGATTAATAAATTCGATTAAAACGAGAATGCGGCCCGGTATAATTGAAAGGAATGACGACGACGATTCTCGGAACAGCGTCTTACATCTAATGAATGATAACACCCTTGACTACAATTGATGTCCCAGTCCTGCCGTTGGCGAAATTCTTCCTATCTACGAAGAGGACCTCCTACTCACACCAACGAACCTCGGAGAAATTTATGAGGTATACCATAGAAGAATAACGGAACTTGGAGTATATAGTGCCGGGCTTATGACAGATTATCATTTCGCTTGAATTGCTGGAACCGTATGAGTACTATTATAATCGTGCAAGTGAAGGAGGGTTAAATATTCTCAATCATCTTACGTGGGAGATTGGGTCTTCTGATGCCCTTGTATTTGAAAGATTTTTAGTTCCCTGTCCCGCTCTATATTTATTTCCAACAAATTTCAACTGTCTCAAACGAGGATCCTCAGATGGAGGCTGTTCGGTCACTGGTTTATATGGATTCAGTTCAACACTTGATGAAGTGTACCTTTATGAATCAAACAAGAGATTACCGTAGAGTGAAGTTCATTTTTGATACCGACTGAGCTAGGGGTTTTTCTACACTCTCTAAGCTCGCGGCTTCCCCCAGATCCTCGGGAACACCCACTCTTCACCCCCGTTCTCATTCCGCGCACCGCTCCTGAGATACTCTGCAATTTCCGGAGCCAGTCCGATCCTGCTTGCCTGGTCGACCCAGTCATTAAGGCTTGTATGATCGAACGTGTACCCCTTATTTGTCTCCATGTAGTGACCGAAACGGTCCATCTTTGTGACATTTTCTTCTTTGCCCGTGATATTCTTATATTGCATGGTATCAACTCTATCAGCATGAGCAATCACAGCAGCTCCAATTTCCTGGGCCACTTCTTCAATGTCTACGAACTGGAACCAGCGCTCTAGCGATGGCAGTTGCGGCACACAACGCAGTTGCTCTGAGTAATACAACACATTGTGCATGATATCCAAACGCGGAGCATCAGGACCAATTACAATAGTCGGCCGGTGGATCGTAACAGGCAGCCCTGTAGCAGCGCTAGCATTCTCGAGATATTTCTCGCAGGCCCATTTGGACACGACATAGCCGTTGATTCCTGTGGAGTTCCTCGGGTGGTTATCCCCGAGCGGCTCTTCGTGCAATTCCCGACCGTCAATGAGTGTGACACCAGAAGTCGAGATGAAATGGATTCGAGTGCCTTTTCCGTGCTGGAGAGAGAGCCGGACCAGCTCCTTGGTCGAGCCCAGGTTGGCGGTCCTAATCGACGAGTAGCTCTTCATAAATGACACGTCTGCTCCGTTGTGGATGATAGCGTGTGCTTCCAAGAATAAGCGCCTAGATGTATCCTCGGGGAGTCCTAGACGTGGTTGCGTTAGATTACCCATATGGATGGTGATTTTTGATGGCGGAAACTTGATCAGTTTCGATCTGTCTCGGACAGCTACACAGTGGATCGTGCTAATATGAGGTGATGCTATGAGTTTGTGAAGGATATTTCTGCCTAGAAACCCAGTCGATCCTGTCAGGACGACAACAAGACCGATGCGAGGTTGCGACAGCATCAAAGGCGCTTTGAGTGGCTGAATCTCAGGGTCTACTTTAACCTCTTCTATCCAGTCAATCTTAGTCGTTTCCGCCGTTTCCTTGGGGTTTATCAGTGACGCCATCTGTTCCAACGTGCTCGACTCGAATAGCTGAGTCAACGAAACCTTTACGCCAAACCGCCGTTTCATCTCGGCCTGGATGCTGAGCAACAGCAGCGAGTTACCACCGACCGAGAAGAAGTCGGAATCGGGGTGTATATCGATGCATTCTGCGGCCTCACCTAGAAACTGTTGCCATATCTGCTTAATATTATCCTGACTCTCAACCTTCCTGTCCCTTACTGGCATCCCAGACTGGGCTTTTTGGGAAACTCGATGCCCTGATCGTATTGGCGCTTCGGAGAGTGATTTCCTGTCGATCTTACCATGATGGCTCAGGGGAAGCGAAGACAGCGCTATCATTATAGACGGTCTCATGTAGGCTGGCAACGGTAGCTCTGCAGTAAGTCTGGACAGGTACTCGTCAAGAGCAAGCGTGGTTGGGTATCGAGACGTGGCTTCGGGTGCCAGGACAACGTGGGCGACCAGGAATGCAGTGGCAGCATCACCATCGACCTGCTGGCGCATATGCACGACAGCATCGACGACCTGGCCTTGGCTGATGTCGATAATGCATGACTCTATCTCTTTCACATCCATGCGCTGGCCTCGCAGTTTCACTTGTGTATCTCCCGCCATACGACCCACCATCACAAACTCGCCATCGACACGTAAGAAGCCACGGTCACCACTTAGATGGGTTCGCACCCATCCCTTCTCGACGAAGTGTGGAGGTGAGTGCGTGGCGATTGGAAACCGCTCCTCTGACAGCGCAGGGTTGTTGATGTATTTGTTGGCAACACCTGCACCGCCTATCATCAGCTGCCCTGGAACACGGGGAGGGAGAGGGTGACCCTGGTCGTCGACCACGTAGACCGTGTAGTTTGGCATCACCTTGCCGATAGGGATGGAAATATCTGTCGCGGAAAGTTGTTCGTAATGCACCTCGTGCACTAGCGGTATGATGGTTTCTGCAGGTCCGTACGCATTCAGAACACAGAGGTCCGATTTTGCCAGGGACTGCAGCAGCTGGGTTAGTTTGATTCCAAAATCTTCGCCAGCTGAAATGTGCCACGCCCATGATGACCGCTTTAATTTCTCTACCTCCCCGAAATTAAGCCACGAGATTATTTCCGAAGGCACAGCGACTGTCAAAGTGATACGCTCAGTGGCGATGAGTTCGGTCAAGGCGACAGGATCCTTTCGAGATTCCAGTCCAGCGACGACTACAGTGCCGCCCGTGGCGAGGCCCACAAATGACTGCCACCATGCAAGATCAAAGCTGAGAGCGATCTGCTGCAGGACTGTTTGTGGACTCATTGGCCAATGGTGGAGAAAGCCCTTGATAGAGTTGAGAAGCATAATGTGCGGCATTGATATACCCTATCTATCATTAGCATATCTAAATGTTTGAATATCTGAATCGATAGTGAATAAATTAGCATACCTTGGGGAGTCCGGTGGATCCGCTTGTGTACAATATCAATGCCTCATCTTTCGCTGTTGGTTTGTGCAGAGTCTGGCTGGTAATGACCCCGGTTTGTGGGGAAAGATTAGAAAGATTTATTACCATTTCTGTCTTGTTCCAGCCTAGCTCTGAGAGCAATGAAAGTGTGTCGTTATGAACGATAATAGCTGCTAAGTCTGCATCCTGCGCAATAGTTGCAAGACGTTTAGACCCCTGAGTCACCTCGAGTGGAACAAGTACAGCGCCAATGCGCCAGACGCCAAGTAGGGAACAAATCCAGCTGATTGATGGATTTTGCAAAATAGCTACCCTCGAGCCCCGAGACACTCCAAGCGCGGTAAGGGATCGTGCAATTGCGTAAGATTTCAAAGTCATCTGTTTGTATGTGAGACAATTGCCTTGAGTGTCTTTAAGGGCAACAGAGTCAGAGTTAAACATGGCTGTCGCGTCTATTTCGTCGAGTAAAGTCCCATTTCCGAATTCGAGTTCGAGTCCTGGATGGTCAGAATATCTTTCATTACTTCAAATCAAATATATTAATATATACCTTGTCCAAGGCTGAGAGCCTGATCAACCTCCACTTTGCTAAACATCTGCGGCTCGCCAGCCCTCAGACCATTGTTGTCGACAAATTCCTCGAGAAGGTTAAGATAACATTGCAGCAGCATATCCGCATTCTCCTCAGCATACAGTTCCTCCTGAAGGAGGAACGATAGCCAGGCGTCTCCCTCAGGATTATCGACGATGCCTAGCATGATATCGTACATGGTCTCGCCAAAGTTATATTCCTCATGGTTTAGATCACAATCCCTTCCGAACCGCTGCTTCTCCCGGATTGGGACGTAATCAACGAACGCTTGAAACAGCGGAAGGTGTGTGGGTCCACGCTGGACACCGACCTGATTGAGAATTTCGTCGAATGGAACGGCGGAATTTTGCAAGCCCAAAAGCACCTTGGACCGTGTCTGCTCGAGCAGCTCAGAGAAGGGCGTGCTGCAAGATGTTTTTAGCCGCAAGGGGAAGAGGTTCAGGAAGATCCCCACGGCCTCCATGGCACCTCGGTCAGAGCGATTGGCATTGGCAACACCCAGGCAGATATCTTCTGTTCCAGCGAGCCTGCCTAGGGTAATCTGGAATACCGTGCAGTAGAGGTGGAAGGGGGTGACCTTATACTTCTTGCAGACAGCTCGTATCTTGGTTGCCAAAGCACCTGTGATTCTTACATCGGCCGACTTGTGGTGTCGATATGTTGCCCGCGATGGCCGTGGCTTAAAGGATTGTGGGGAGATGTTGAGGATTGGCAACGTCTCGGGGAGATCTCGGAACTCGTTCCGCCAGTAGGCAATCGCATCTGCCCACTGGCCCGTTCTGAGTCTTTCATGTTGCTGCTGCGCGAAGTCGGTCTGTTGGAGCAGTGGGGGGGCCAACTTCTCGCCGTTGTACAATCGGCTGAGTTCAGCGATGACGACTAGCAGACTGGTTGCATCGATATTGATATGATTATAGCCAATGACGAGGTGATTTCGCGTTGGTGATTCGGTCATTAATATGATCCGCAGTGTCTGGCCATTAGCGATATCATAGACGTATTTGTTTAGCTCGTTGAACTGTCTCCGAACATCGTCGATGGATGTGGCAGTTCGGGTCTCGAGCGTCAGGGAGGAGTCAGCAAGGATGGTCTGCATTGGCTGCTCATCGTTGTCGTCGTAGAAAGCGGCACGAAGCCCTTCATGCCTCCGGCCCAGAGCCACAACAGCTTTAGCAAGATCACTCACGTTGATCTCGCCGGTTAGAAGCAGACATATTGTGCCGTTAAAGAGGGTCTGGTCTGAAGACGCGAGTTGGTTCATGAACCAGAAGCCGCGCTGACCGTAGGACATCGGAACCCTCTTCTCTATGGCCACTCTCGTCGCTGCTTCCTGGACTGCGAATGGCAGTTCTGGTGTGTTAATTGTAAGAGGTTTTGATAACTCCTCGTGCCTTATGGATGCAACAGAGCTTAACTTTGTTTCATCATCCGTCTTCACAACAACAAACGAGTCGGCCATTGACATCTGTGGCGTCAGAATCGGGGTGGAAGTGCTATGAGACGAACTGGAATTTAAAGTGACGGAAACATCCGTAGACGACGGTGACAGCTTTTCCTGCTCATCAACGCGTTGATCATTTCCTCCAACAGCAGCCAGCCCTTTCGGTAGATTGTCGATGGCAAAGTCCAAAATCTCAGATATCGAGGTTGCTGTGATTAGCTTGAGAACCAATACATCTAGGTCCATTTCCTGCAGAAACCACGACCGGATCTCCACTGCAGCGAGAGAATCAATCCCTAGCTCCTCTGGTGCTTGCTGGAGGAGCTGGGCAGTGCCACTGGCTCGTTCAGCGTTGAGCTGGAGGACGGCGGTCAGCTTCTTGAGGAATGCATCTTTCACTTTGGTCAGTAAAACAGGAAGTAGGTCAGCAGATTGGAAGACTAAGTATCACCTTGTACGATCTGTCGCGTATGCTCCTGGTCGCTTGCCTCCTGTAGCATCTCCCGCGTAGTCGTTTGCGCTGAATCGACAACTTTCTTAGCCCCAGTATTTCTCGAACCCGCAGTAGTCTTGATAACATGAAAAAATCTTGGATCCTCGCGCCAGTATGGGGTGTTTGATATGGTAGAATCTACTGGAGCATCAGTATTCAAACCTGTGATAAGCTCTTCAGCTTCCGCAGAACAAGGACGCCCCGCAATAATGGCAGTGGCGAATGCCTCGAGGAAATCATGTTCTGACAGTTTGGCGAACCCCATGGCTCCAAGCTTGGAGAGGACGCCGTCGCGTGCCTCGCGTGTGATGAATCCGATACCGACGATGCTGCCGAGATCTATGGCACTGCCTGCGACTCCACGCTTGCGGCGCTGGGTGGCCACACCAGTCATGTACATATTTGCAGCGGCATAGTTGGCTTGTCCTGGGTTGCCAACGACGTTAGCAAGCGAGGGGAAAAGGATAAAAAAATCGAGAGGATCATCATAAAAGTTGTCATCTAGGTGACGAGTTCCCTCAACCTTGGGCCGTAGGACCTGAACCATCTGCTCGTAAGTCATCTGCTCGAAGGAGCCATCGGAAAGCACCATGGCGCCGTTGACCACGCCAGCAATTGGAGGGCAGGAGAGGCGGATGCTGTCTATCATGTCCTTGAGTGAGTCGCGGTCTGTAACGTCACTGAGATTAAGTCAATATTTAACAGGGTATTATTTAGAGAGTAGAAAGATATATATACTTCGCGATGACTTGGATGTCGACACCCTGGGACGCGTGAAGAGATATCCATGCTGGGTCGATCTTTGGATGTCGGCTGGTAAGGATGATATGGCGCGCGCCATGGTTAATCATCCACTCAGCTAGAGTCACTCCCAATCCACCTGCACTAGCCAGTCCGACAAGTAGGTAGGTTCGATTGGAATGTACTAGTGTTTCAGAACTCGAGAGTTGTACTGGGACAGACAAGGTCTCTGGTGTAGTCCAGTCTATGACAGTTGACCACGCTTGCGGCACTTTGACATAGTCCTCTGGGGATACAACTGTGATGTCTGTGTTGGACTTCACACTAGCACATAAATTACTAACCGTGGAAACTGCATCTCGAAGCATGACTGGAACTTTGAATTCTTTGGACACAGGTACATCTTCTCCAGGGTGAAACAAGGTTGAATCAATCAGGTTAACGGACTTTGAAAGGATGGGTTTGATAACATCGGCCAAAGACTGATCGACAGTAGCCGAAGTAGTAAAATCAACGGCCACTGAGATGCGCGGAGGAAGGCGATGACTAATAAGATGCTTCGATGTCAGAGGGTGGATGTAGGTGAAGTCCTCATCGACCTTATCTGGGTCGTTCGTGATAGATACAACCCGGACAGTGTTTGTCTCAATCAAGAGCTTGAAGATCCTAGCAGTTAACAAATCTGGCTCAATCAGAAGCAGTGTGGTCTTAGGACATATGCCATCACAGGCGAACCGGGCGAGGAAGTAAGCCGCCAAGGATCTTGTCAACTTGGCAGCTTCAGCAGGAAGTTCCCAAGAAGTATCGCAAGAGCACATGAGCCCAATCGGAACTTCTGCAATAGAGGTAATTCTATTCAGCAAAGCGACTACTGGCCGTGATGTCTGCATTTCGAGTCCTACGCAGGGGTATAGGGCTGTCGTCGACGTTATCGGCACTGGAGAGGAAGCCACATAAAGAACCCGAACTAGGTTGGCTTTTTCGGTGGCGTTATTTTCTGGAAGTTGTCGTACTAACAGCCTACATAACCCATCGTCTTTAGTAATTTCTACAGCCTCCTCAGAGGGTCTTACTTGTCGACGTATCTCGCGGCTAGAGGAGTTGTATGCGTCGTTCCATCTCTTGTTTGGTTTGATTCGAGGGATGTACTCCTGACTACCCTCGATGAAGATTTCCCTCTCTTGGCTCCACAAGATCTCTTCACTACTACCTCTATCTTCAATGGATATCAAGATCTGCTGCCGTAAGAGCGAATCAACGAGGACACGCGCCGTAGGCTTCGTCTCCGTATCAAAATCTATAAAGTGAACCCGGAGATGCGGTATCTCGGATACTAAGACCCGTCCAAGTCCGACTGACATATTACTATCGGGATTTCCATCCCTGCGTCCTTTGGTCACCCAGAGTACGTTTTTTGCCTGTTTGAAGAGAATCTTTAGTCCTTCGAACATCACTGGTGTTAGATCTTTGAGAACCGGCTCGTCTAGGTCAGCTAGGTAGAGAACTGTCATATGATGTGAAAGGTCTCGCATGCCGACCAGTTCTGTCACGCCCTGGACTATCACCGGCTTGGAAGCGCAGTGTCGTCCTAGCAAACGGACAGCAGACTGTGCGAGCCGGTGATTGGAGAGCGTCGTGCCAGTTACCACAAGACATGACTGGATTTTCGATAACGATGAGGCTTCTTCCGAGGGTTCAATCAACATGTTGATTTGATCATCCACTGCTCGAGACACCATGATGCTGAGTGGCCCCAAACGCTTGTCGACTCCAGGGGCGATTACCTGGACCCCGGAGAAGCCAGAATCCATAAGCAGAGCATTCCACTGTGGAGGAGACAAGGCAGGCTCCGAAATGCCGCTCCCAGTCCCATGCAACCATCCATGGATCACCCCGAGTGTCATGGCGCGCAGTGTGTAGTTTGCTGTTTCAAGCATGACTAGATAACCCCCGGGTTTGATAAGCTTTCTCAGCTTGTTTAAAGTGGATTTTAGGTCCCTAGTGGCAAAGAGTGTGAAGAAGACGATTGCTAGATCATATGAATGCTCCTGGAAGCCCTTAGAGACAATGTCTCCCTCAATGTCCATGGGATTAAAGGTTAAAGTCTTGGTGAATTTAGAGGAACTTTCCTCTATCGCGTCAGTGGTGGTGGCACTGGTTACTGTGTACTCGTCGAACTGACCCTCAATCGCATTCAGAATGATTCCCCTCACCGCAGCCGTGTCACCAACCTCGACTATTCGCATATGAGGGTAACGGTGGGTGATCTGTGATAGAATACTAGTCAGAAACTGAAGAGACTTCTTCATACCAAGTCCGTCCGTGTAGTAGCTCTCCAGTGAACCATCGACTAGTAACTGCTGTGTAATTTCGACAGTAGTTGTCGAGCCTGTTACAAGGGCCGACAAGTTCTCGCCAACGATACGAAGCACCTTCATATCGATGCTATCTGAATACAGTGCCATCAAATTGTCAATATACTCGGCTGTGTCGCTACCCCAGCGTTTAACCTGCTGGCTCTTTCTCCGCATCTCTTGATCCACGATATGATTAGCGTAAGCGAGGATATTTTGGAATTGTCCCTCTGTTGAAATAATTCTCGCAGATTCAAGCTCAAATTTTAGCTTTCTGATGTAGAAAAACGCAATTCGCTCCAGCACTAGTGCTAACTTTTCTTCTTCTTCTGTGTCCTCTCTTATTGTAGTAACTGCTGAAAAATCTGGCTCGGCGGGGCCATAAACGTTCTCTAGGAACATCTCCCTGTCCTCCGAAGCAGAGGCAGTAACCAGTGGAATAAACGTAACGCCTTCCACCTGGATCAAGCCGAACCTCCCGTCTCCGGTGTAAATATTGACATCTCCGTAGATACCACCTCTCCTAGAACGGCCCTCGATGTCTCGACTTGCTGTTGAGTCAAAGCTCAGTAGATTATGTTCGCAACTGTGACGACACGCAGACGGATCAACACGGAGACGGCGGATAGAGGTAGGTACGTGTAACGTTCGGAATGAGCCATCGCCAGGCCACGAGTATGCCAGGAACTGCGCCTGGAACGCAGAGTCGAGAATCCCGGGGTGGACAAGCAGCTTCTGCTCGGATATGTGCAGCTCATCTGGAGACGGCAAGTTCAGGAAGCCGCGACTGTGGCCCAGCTTTCGCTTCAATAAGCTTAGGGTACGAAATCGACCAGAGTAGAGGTAACCAATCTTCTTCAGCTCGCTGTAAAAGTCATCCTTGTCAACCTTGGTCATGTTTGAAAGATCCGCGTCCTGTGAGGGCAGTATAGGGCGTCGAGATGCTCCGGGATGGGGGGATTCCGTGAGGACCAGCTTTATGCGCCCGGATGCATTCTGACTCGTGGTGCTAGAGCCTTTGGTAGCCGAGTGGTATCTCCAGCTACCATACACAATCTTCCCGTCTCGTCGGGTCTCGGTCTTCTCTATGTGGAGGAAGAACATCGTTTCAACGCCGATCCTGTCATCAGCGAACGTAATTGCTTTCTCGATGGACAGGTCCTCGAGCTCAATCTGGAAGACATCCTGTTTATCCTGGGCAAACTCAAGACCCGCCTCGATAGCGAGGGCCACATAGCCGGCTGCCGGGAAGACCACTTGTCCGGAAAGCTGATGGCCCGTAAGCCACGGTAGATCGATAATGCGCATCACGTTCTGCCACATCATGTCAGAGCCAGTCGAATCGGGGCTGAGTGTACCGAGTAATGGATGAGCAGGTTTGGCACGGGTACGTAAAACTCGTGAGCGTCGCGATTCGCTCCAGTGTACGCGATCATGCTGCCACTGGTAGGTCGGGAGATGCCTGATCATGGTTGGCTTATATTCTGGATTTACAGATACTGCCCGTTGGAAGCTGTCAAAGTTGACTGTCCCTTCAGGGGCATTCTTCCACACTAGCTCGATGGATTCAACGAACGTGTCTGCAGCATTCTTGTTTCGGATTAGACAGGACCCGTAGAGAATACTGGACTTGCTTGTGGTCTTTAGAGTATCGTCGATAGGTGCATGAAGGGCACTGTGTGGCCCAATTTCGAGTGCCATATTGATGTTTGCTTGGTTGTCATTGGCCCCCATTTCTACGGCATACGAGAATAAGACAGGTTGGGTCATGTTGTCGCTCCAATATGATGCTTTTAGTGCTTCTAGTTCGGTGCTGCCCATGCGTTGCCCGCGATGGACCGACGAGAACCAAGTGCACTCATCCCTCGGTCTTTGGACCTTAATCGAGGCCTGAGTGAGAGCACCAATGTACGGTATCACACAGGGCAGCATATGGTGCGAGTGGTATGCTTTATCAACACGAAGCTCTCTGGCAAACTTTCCCTCGTCATCGAAGACTGCCTTGGCTAACTGGATAGCATCCTCATCACCTGACAGCGTGACGCTCACAGGAGAGTTGTATGCCGCGACGCAAAGCCGTTTGTCGAACTCCGGTAGAGAACACAAATCCTCGGCATCCTCTCCCGTCGTATTCACTGCCATCATGGCCCCAGGCTGTCCAGAAGATGTACCCGAAAGACAAGCGAGGACACCGCGATAGTACGATATGATGATGGCGTCGTGGGAGGATATCATACCGCAAGCGTATGCTGCTGCGATCTCACCGGAGCTGTGACCTACCACAGCCGCGAAGTTGATGCCACTAGCCCTGAGCAGGTCAACGAGGATGATCTGTAGTGCTGTGCAAAGGGGTTGCGAGATAGCAGCGGTGTTGAGCTTTGCTGCTAAGCCGTTCGACAGCATCTCGTTTGCAAGAGTCCAGGAAGGTCTATCTGCCTTGGGTAACTGTGCCAGTGCATCATCGAGATGCGAGAGGCGGGCTTGCACAAACGGTAGGTGATGAATCAACTCTCTTCCCATTCCTGGCCACTGCGCTCCCTGACCAGTGAAGATGCCGAGGATCCGCATCGGTGTGGTAGGTGCTCGGCTCAGGGCTGCCTCCCAGTCGGATTGAGCCAGCGACTTTTTGATACTCTCTCGCAGTTCGTTGATATTGCGAGCTAGGTATGAAATACGAAAAGGGAAGATCGAGCGCTTAGTATTCAAGTGGTACGCCAAGTCTTCAGGGTTGATGTGCGGATTCTTTTCCAGGAACAGCAGAAGTTCCTTCAGATAGTTCTTCAGTGACGATCTCGAAGCCGCTGAAAATACAAAAGGAAGTAGAGAGTCCCGGGAATCTCCACCCACATCGTCAAGACTGTCAACGTGAAGCAGAGGCTGATAACTCTCGATAATGACATGAGCATTCGTCCCTCCGAATCCAAAGCTATTGATGCTAGCACGGCGGGGCTGTCCCGCAGTAACCTCCGGCCACTCGACAGCCTTCACCGGTACCTCGATATTCTTGTAAAAGGGTATTAATGCTGGATTCAGCTTCTCAAAGAGCAAGTTGGGTGGGATCGTCCCGTGTTGCATGGCTAGGGCGACCTTCATCAGGCCTGCGATACCTGCCGTGCCTTCAGTATGGCCTATAATTGACTTGATGGAGCCAACAAAGAGATTCGTATCACTCTCATTTTCGTCTCCCAGACGACTGGCTATTGAACGATGAATGGCTTCTGCCTCGAGAGGATCTCCTGTTGGTGTGCCTGTGCCGTGTGCTTCAAAAAACTGCGGTCTCCCCTCGGGGCTGTTTAGATCGAGACCCGCGCGATGATACGTATCCTCCACGAGAGCGACCTGTGCATCGGCACTGGGGACTGTAATTCCCTTTGTGCGACCATCTTGATTCACGCCGGTCTCCCTGAGAATGCACTGAATAGGATCCCCATCTGCGATCGCATCGCTTAGTCGCTTCAGCACAACAGCCGCCACGCCATCTCCACGGCCATACCCATCGGCACGGGCATCCCACATGTGGCTCCGTCCCTGCGGCGACAGCATGTGGAAGGTACTTTCAGCGATGAAAACCTCAGGACCGAGGATGAGGTTAGCCCCCGCGGCAACAGCGACGCGGGATGTGCCTGAGCGCAAAGTCTGGACAGCCTGGTGCACGGCGACTAGTGACGAAGAGCATGCTGTGTCGATGGTCATACTCGGGCCGTGCCAATCAAATGTGTATGACACACGGTTCGACAAGATGGATCGGGCCGTACCGGTGGGGAAGTGCTGATAGTTTGTGTCAGTTATCGTGCATCGATGGTCTTATCGCGGGTTTATTAGTAGGTTTATGCAATGCGGTCATGCAATACGCAAAGCAAGGAGATTATTCAAAAGATCGTACAAAACAGTAAACTCACCGTTGGCAACGTGTCGAGATTTCTAAACTGGATATCACTATACCCCTCGCGCATAACACCGACAAACACGGCTGTATCGGTCCCACGCAGGCCAGCCATCCGCTGCCCGCCCTCCTCGAGAGCCTCGTAGACGCACTCGAGGAGGAGACGTTGTTGTGGGTCGATAGCAGCCGCCTCGGCAGCCGAGATGCTGAAGAAGTCGGCGTCGAACAGCTGGTGGTCCTGGTCTCCAGCGAGCAAATATGCATGCTGGATGTTGCTGTGCCCGTGATACTCACCGTTTGGGTGGTAGAAGCCATCAGAATCAAAGCGCGACGGTGGAATCTTGGTACAAACGTCTCGCGGTTGCTTCAGGAGCTGCCACAGCTTGGATGGGGTGGTGGCGCCCCCAGGGAAGCGACATCCGAAGCCCAGGATGGCGATAGGCTCACCAGGCTGGGGAAGATGGTCTTGCGTCATGGCAAGGTACGTTATGGATAGGGAATGGGAAAGGTGGAGGGATAGGGATAGGAGTCCCAAGAATGTGAATGACTCAACGGAGATCTTGATATATGCATAGGAATTGGCCTTGAATCATAGTCTTCTATTGTCGATGAGAAGTTGGAGCAAACGGATTGAGTCGTTGAGAGCGGGTCTTCCACCCTAATACCAACCAGCAGCCTCCAGCCGACTCCGAAGTATGACATTGTAGGCAGTAATGACTAAAGTCCTCTGCAGTATGTTTACCATTTTCCCTTTGAGTAATGGAATTCTATAATTAACGCACATCGAAGATTAGCTCATAAACTAAAAAAATAGTACTTAAAGTCCAAGGTACGCCCAGACGAACCAAGGTTTTGTCTGAATAAGCTTACAGGAGTAGTACGTAAATTCCATAAATTCACTATAACCACTAGATCTATATTGGCTAGATCCAAGACTAGCTTACTCCGCACTATACCTTGAACTGCCAAGCCATGCCACTAGGCATACGGAATTACAAGTCACCCTATTGTCGACTTACCACTTCCTTACCGAGCCTTGCCGAGCACGCTCCATTTAGCTGAGCTGGCTGAGCTACAGAGACTGGAGCTGACGCCAGACTTAAGTCATGTGGGAAAATAACGCATGCGGGGAACCCCTGGGGTTGAGCTGATTTGTTAAGCTTTGCATGTTGGAGTCTGATGTTCTGTCCAATTGATACTCTTCTGCGAACTGGACGCGAGGCTGCTGGTCAAGCCTGTTGAAACCAACGAAATGTATGTCAACAATGCGTACGTCAGCTCGAAGCCAAGGCACTGTATAAAATCCACTACTCGGTGGATTTCGGGCACATTGCCATGGTGAAGGTAACTATTGCCACAGTGCTAACTCAGAGGGTTTATTGGTACTTCCTCTAATATCTAAGGGTGTTGATGCCTCACTTCCAGCAACAATACTTGGATATATTTTCGGCAGGATATGAATATCACACTTGAGTACCGCACCCACTACAGCATGCCGTATTCCCAATGGCCGTCCCACCCCCTTTAGAAAAGCAGACAGGCATTGTCACCGTTGGCGACGGGACATTGAGTATCTCGTCGGTGCCCGTTCCACCCGTTTCATCGTCATCTATTCTCGTTCGCACCTGCGCCGTGGCCCTCAACCCTAGTGACTACAAAGTGCCGACGCGACTTCGTGTTTCCGGGCACCTGGCTGGTGGCGACTTCGCCGGCGTCATCGTGGCAGTAGGCTCAGCTGTCGCATCCAGTGATCGGCCTCGGTGCAAACCATGGGTCGTTGGAGATCGAGTTTTCGGGGCGGTACATGGTTGCAACCCAACGAATCCGCAGTCTGGCGCTTTCGCCGAGTATATTGATGCTGATCCAGCTATCCTGACTCGAATACCCCAAGGATGGGACTGGTATAAGGCTGCGGCATTTGGTGGGATCTGCGTGGGAGCTGTTGCCCTAGCCCTTTACAAGGAGATCGGTCTAGCGCTACCGCCTCAAGTAGACGTTGAAAAGGACGTCGATAGTGCTGTGAAAGTAGCACATAGCCTAGCCAGCAATGATGATCTCGGCAGGACCGTGCTGGTATATGGAGCTAGCACGGCGTGTGGAACAATGGCCATCCAGCTGCTGCGATTGTAAGTTGTGATAACCGTTTCTGGCCACTTCTGTTTCTCATTCTAACGTTTCACTGTCGTATAGAAGCGGCTATATCCCAATCGCAGTCTGCTCCTCGCATAATAACGCAATGGTGTCCTCATATGGGGCGGCGTCCGTGTTCGATTATCACTCGCCGAGCTGCGCAGCGGACATCAAGACCGCGACCAAGAACCAGCTGCGCTTCGTCCTGGACTGCATCGGCACGGCACAGTCGACAGCGCTGTGCTACGCGGCCATCGCGCGGACAGGGGGGCGATACGTGTCTGTAGAGAGGTATCCAGAGTCTGCAGCAATGCGCAAGCTGGTCCAGGGCAGCTGGGTCATGATGCTGGATATGTTCGGCCGGGGAGTGGACATGAAAGGTGGATATGATCGGAAAGTAGATCCTGCGGCGAGAGATCTTGGCAGGCGGTTGTTCGCAGGACTAGAGATGTTGGCCCAAGATGAAGACATCAGACCCCATCCGATGAGGCTGGTAAGATCAGGCTCAAGTTGGGCAGAGTCTGTGCTGGCGGGGATTGATATGTTGCAGAAGGGACAGGTTAGCGGCGAGAAGCTAGTCGTCGAAATAAGGGTATAGTAGCTAAGCATCAGGGATATGTGACATATGTAGGAAGAAGCGCAGAACAGATTCCACTCCTCAACAACAATCTTGAGAGATAGGAGTTCTTGGATACCACTGCAGAATTTCTACCATAACTACGTAGCAAGTAATTTAGACACATAACAGGCTCTGACAACGTCCTATGTATAGCTATGCCTTCAAATATAATACTACATATCAATTGATGTAAAGCGGCCTCCCTTCCTAATTAGAAATGTGACGAAGCAATATTGAGGCATAGTATGTTACTTATATGACTGTCTATGCAGATGCACATGTAAATAGAGCAGGCAGGGCAGGTAGAATAGTGTCCGAGAACGCTAATATTCTGCTATTGAAACTAATATAGTAGCATCTCTAATACTATGCGTACTAGATCATCAAATGATAGATATCTAGCTACACAAAATACTATCTCTCAAGTAGAATTTATACTTCACAAGATTCTTGTTGATTGTGAAACCATCGCATTGAACAATTTTCATGTTCCAAAGAGTCGTTTATGTTAGAATAGAGCTATTTGTTTTCTTCAATTTTCCCATCTTCCAGCACTGTTGATGGGGCCACTTCCAATCTTTGATGCTGCAGCGGTATCACGTCTCTAGCATGTAGTAAGTAAAGGTTGGGGGACTTTACCATGCTATCTGACTTACTTTTCGTAATTTTTCGTAGTGTCGCCTATTGTATACTTGGTTGTTGTTTCAATTATTTTTTGTTTGGTCACCTCAAAGGTGACACGTTCGTTTTGATGGGTAAACATTCCATCTCTGTCAACTGGTATAATCAATGGCGAATATGGTCGATATATGGTTCGGTCTGCGAATGCAAATTAGGCTACTTGAGAAAGTAAGTACCATCAAATTTCTTACTTTCATTGGCCGTAGTTGGCCAGTATTCCAAGAATGCTTTGGTACAAGAAGCAGCAGCAGCTGCCGCATAGCTCTGCCACATTTTATTAACATGACCATCGGCGTAGTTAGACACCCCTTTGACAACAACGCATGGGAGATTGTCCCATACTCCAGCGCCCTCCATCTCGAAGCAAACAATACCTTCACTTCTACTCAGTTGATCACGCATTTCGCCGAATTTCATCATCGAATTCGCAGACCCAATTGTACCAATATGGATACGCGGCTCCGGTTGTTCTGTATCTTTTAGTCGACACCGCTGGATCAATTGCCCAGAGCATCCGATATCTTGGCAGCTGAAACTTGATGCTTGGGTACAGCAATTTGTATGTGGTTGTTCTGTGGGATATTGGATGTGATTGTGGATATAAGAGGCATCAAAAAGAATATCTTTAGACACTCCAGGATACTGCCAATCATCCTTATCATGCTGCTGGAGATAAGAAAGACCCTGCATCAGTTTTTCTTGAATTTGGAGTCTCGTCCGGCGCGTTTCTAACCGCCTCAAAAAGGTTCGAATTTCTCGATTGGGCGGCCCGAGAACTTCTTTCACACTTCGCTCTCTCTCGAACTTATGGATATATTGACGACCAACATCATACTCAACTATACTGTCGCTGATAATCACATCGCCCAGTATAATTTCATCGCCCTCAGATGAGTAAGGTATTCCTCCACAGATTCCGACTACTAACGCCAATCTAATACCAGTGAAGCTGATTCGAAGGCCGCTGGAGACACTCGCAGATCTGCGATTACCCTTCCCGGGCATATAGACTAGCACAACGTAGTGTCTACCTATTCGTCCTGTTTTATATATATTAAGATCACCGTCTTGCTTTTCATAAAGGTGATCCAGGTCATCGTAATGTTCGTCAAAAAGGGTTTCAATCGCGTTTACCCCAGGAGAAAGAGCGCAGATGATCGCTATTTCAAAGTCACATCGGGACAGGGGTCGCATCTCGACACGGACTGTAGATGTGTTGTTCTCGAAAGAAGATTTTAAATAGTAAAGTATCTATTGGCGTATATCAATGTTGTGTTGCCGACTGATTGCTGTGAATTCATATGTGATTTCTTAAAAGGCAGTATGAACTATGATTTCAAGATGTAAATTAGAGAGGGGAATGGCTCGAAGTGTGGCATCAGGCTAAGCGCCAGCTCCAGCAACGTCGTGCTCTGCCGCAGGTTTATTGGCCTATGCAAGGCTGTTAGCCTGTCACAGACTCAAAGTGTCCATTACTGAGTCGACCAATGAATTGCTTGGTCAATATGCACCTATAACTTGATACTTTTTCAGATGTATTTTATTGAAGATAAAGAGTGCGGTACACTGAATGACTAGTCATGGATGCACTTCTGCCGCAAGTCAAGTACATTCAATTGAACGTGCCTGTTTACTCGTCCACGTAAAGTCGTACGTATGTGTTGGCTTTTTGTGCAATGTTCGCTAACATTTACAGGGCGAACTAGTAGAATGAATGATGTACCCATTGACAAGAACCAAAACGGACATTGTTATACCCATCTAATGTTCTCGCCTGGCTCCAAATACGAAGACATGACAACAAACCTTGATTGGCCTGGCAATAGCATTAGTGCGGCAGTGTCAAACTCTTATTGGCTACTTTTAGATTTAGCTTCACTGATTTCAAACGGCTGTACCAATGAGCTACGTCAGTCAACCGCCTTCCATTCTGATTGGCTAAGATTGTAGAGCAATATATTCAAGAAGGCAAATGATGCCTCAATGACGCACCTCGCGTCACAACATTGAGAAAAGATTGGTTGTGATTGTGAATTTTAGAGACGATAGCTAGCTGCTAAGCTTTAACTCACAAACCTTGAACTGCAAATTGAGAGTCAGGCAGCGCTCAAACACACTAATACTCAGCCGCACAAGCTAAGTGGGCCGGACGAGATGAAGGGCAGAGCCATCGCTTGAAGATAAAGGGCCCGGCGATGGATGAACTTGATGAAGAGCAAAACGCTAGTGTATTTTCAGCGCCAAATGAAACGAGATCAACTTTCCCGACTTTGGGGCTATTAGTCGAGGGCTGTGCACCTGGTAATTATTGTCTTGGCGGCATGTCGAGTCAAATTTGCTAGCGCTGGAGGTGATTCAGTGACAAAAGTTGGAAAAGAAAGACCCAAGGAATGGATATTAGATATTGCCAAATATAATAATAATAATGATCAGTATTTGTTAATATTTACTAACGAATAGATGTAGATCACAACAACGAAGTACGCAGCCGCAAGTAGTTAGGCAGCGGCTTGTCGTTTTGGCGCCGGCCCTGATTGGATGCTGCGGGCTTTCGGGGGCTGCTCTTCTTTCCCTCAAGACTCTAATAATAATCGTGCTTGCTCCCCCTTCCCATACACCTAATTATTATCCGAGTCGTGCATCCCCAGATCGTCAAATCATCAACTCCAGCGATAATGAGCGATTAAAGTCGTCGTCGCTTCTCCGTCGCATATTGCGCCCCTTCTTCGCCTATAACGAAATTCCCCGAAGTGACATTGACAACTCCCGGCCTTCCGCAGCGATGGAATTTGCAGATCTGAAGCCTCTCAGGAGGTGGTCAGATTTCCCACGACGATTGACCCAGAATTCCCGATGGATATACATCGCTTTCTTTGCTGTACCGGGGCTGCTACTTCTTTTTCTGTCTTATACATATCTTCAACCACCGACACTCGCCCCATCTCGGACGTCCGCTGATGACCAAACACACCTCGCGGTTGCGACCCCATCGCCTACGGCCGAGCTCTCATCCATAACCCTCCACCAGGAGGGAGAAGCAGGCGCAAGTCACCTCGACCACTCCACGACGCCGCTCGTTAGGCCCGAAGGAATCCGCATCGTCGGTGTCGTGTTCTACGGCCGACGCGACAGGTCGTCTCTCTTGGAATGTTATCTCCGGAAGAATCTGGCTTCCAACGGTGGCTGGCTCGACGAAGTTATCTGGGCTGCCAATACAGAGGACAAGGAAGATATTGCGTATGGAGAGGAAATCGCGAAGACGGTAGATGAGTACACATTCATGCCGATTAACGACGGCGGCTTTTCCGGCATCTATTTTAAAGCTTTCAAAGAGCCAGACGCTATTTACGTCAAGATGGATGACGATATTGTCTTCATCGATCAAAGTGCTATTCCTCGCTTAGTAAATACCCTGATGAACAGCCCACGTGCGCTAATTGTTTCATCAAACGTTGTCAACAACCCCGCCTTGGGTTGGGTGCATTATCATATGCGTGCTGTCCACCCCTACGTCCCAGAAGTGATCCCCGAGCACGATAGTTTGTCCACCAAGGAAAACGGCGCGTGGAGAGCATCAGAATTGCCAACCTGGAATGAATCCGACTCAAAGTGGCAGATGCCTGAGCTCGACAATTTCTACAGCCTGTTCGGAGTGAACGAGAAGACCAGCGTCCCGAAGCATCGATGGATCCCTACGCGCAATCTAACTTATCTCTATCAAACCCCCGTCGCCTCATCGGAGTACGACGCATTTGGAAACAATCTGCAACATTGGCCGTTGGCTGCACAGGCACACTATTCATTGCTACAAAACATGGAGGAGCGAAGATTGGGTCGTTATTTCATGGTACACGGTAGTGATGAGGAAGCTATAAGTACGTGGGACATGCGGGGGAGCCGTATTAGTATCAACTTCATGGCTGTGAGAGGTATCGACATTCTTAATAATATGATGAAATTGAAGGGAGATGACGAGCATATCTTGACTGTTGAACTGCCCAAACAGTTAAACCGAGGTAGGTCTCACTAATTTGTCTTATGAGAGATGAACGTACTGACAATAAACAGCGGTCCTCGTTGAAACTACTTCTGTAGTAGCTCACTTTGCGTTCGGTCCACAAAAAAACCTCATAAAAACCGATCTTCTCGAGAGATACCACAACTACGCATCGGAAATGATATGTCCGAATTCCATTCTCGAGCCGGAGGCTGTTCTCGCGCAGCGGCCTAATTCTGTCTGAATACGATCTACTCGGTTTTAAAGGTGGTTTTCACCACGCCTTGTGTACAACAGTGAGCGATAGATGTATTCACCCGCCATTTATTTGGATCATTTTCAACCTTCAACTACTCATATACCCTAACCATTTACTATGGTGTTCATCACTTCAATTTCTTGTGATATAATTTAACGATTCTACATGATTTACTTTTGGTGTACTGGCCTGGGTGATTGTCTGTCACAGATATTGGGCATCAGCGATTCTTTGATATGGAAAGAATAAAGGAGTTTGTTTGGTTTGTCTTAAAATAATGTGCTTAAATATAAATCAAATTATGGGAATCCTTTTCTGCATCAATTGCTCCTTTTGATACTACTTCTCATGTGATGGAAGGTCTAGTTGATAGAGGGAGGAGGAAGTTGTAAGTCAAAGCCAGCTATGAAATACTTTGTATTCTCCTTGTTGAACACCACACAATACGGAATCATAGCCCGGGTGATGTTCCATAAAGCTCTTATCTTATTTTGCCTGCTCCAGATCTGAAGGCGGTCTGCAGTTGCCATATACAACACCGCCCTCCTTCACCCTCATCTCAAACATTCACTTGCACTAAGCACGCCACATCATCATGTAACAAACATGGCATCCAAAATGTCCCTGAAAGATCTCGCTGTGTCTTTCTTCTCTCTTCCCCACCCACGAACTGACAACGACGGTATCGAGAATCACTATCATTTCTCCATTTTCCCAGCCGCCTACTCAGAGCCTGATGACGATATCATTCAAGTCGTCAAGGTCGCCAACCAGTTCACACACATTGGTGGTCCTATGAAACTGAGAGTGCTACCACTCCAAAAACGAGTCGATACTGTGCTGCGCTTTCTTTTCACTTCCTTCACTAATGGACTCCCTACTAGCTTGAACAACGAGATTCAGCATGTACTCAAGCAATTGAACAAGTATGCAAAATTTTGTGCCTATCTTCAGACTACCATTCCTAATGGCATCGGTAATGGAGACTACGGTAGCCCCACGCCACGACCACCTCGTCGTTTGATCTTTGCAGAAGGAAAAAACATCGCCCCATGCTCGTGGAGTACGGACGATGCGATCTTTGCGCAGGCCATGTCAGCGCGTCTTCGAGAGCTTGCTGGGCCAATTTATATTCACCATACTCTGGTTGATATCCAAATTGCAAACGAGCGTGATAATCGTGCTGCGTTGACTACGTACATTGCTTTTCAACATTCACTCATCCGTGGGATCAAAAAACAGACAACCGATATTCTTCGTGGTGCGAATGCTGGTTCTTGGTATCGGGGTGGCAGCTTGGTCCCATTCACACCTGTCAATACCGCCGGACGTACATTAATCACGAGTCCTATTTATGAAGAGGAGGACGAGGACGAGGATGAGGAAACTAGTAATGGATTCGGCAGGGTTGGAAGATTCAGAAAGTCTGAAGCAACCGTTCCATTTAATCATGACCCCGACGGCGACTATCCTGATCCTACAACATATTACAACACCAAAGCATACAGAGTGCGGGGAGCATGCAATTTAGCTGCGAGGATCAATCTGGTATTGCGTAAACCTCATGATTCTCAAATTGAACCTGAGTCCATCATGTAAATCCGCTCTCGTTATGTCTCAAGATAACCGGCTAACTAGTACAGAATCCCACTCCGTCGCCTAATTATTACGGCAACTGATACATCACATAACCTCAGCCTACTCTTAGGACCTCGCTTTCAAAGCAGCGCGGCCACCCAGTCACTGTACACTTCGACTCGTATGAAAACCATCTTGATTCCACCAATTGGCTCGGATTTCTACAGCTTCTTTCATCCTCTCGACAGAGGCTGCCCATACCGCCAGCTTGGTTCACCGACACCAGCTGAGCGCAAGATGTGCAGCGCAGTGTCCAAACTATTGTGTTTTGTCAAGCAGAAAATGGGAACTGTTGGTCGTGTTCTCAAAGAGGATGAAGTTAGTAGGATGATGGAAATGTGGGTGAATGAGGGCAGAGGACCATTGGAAATGGATGTGTGGAAATACACGATAGGGTGTTTGGATCAGGGCCTACAGCCTGATAACGAGTGGACAGGGAATTAATCTATTGGATTGTGCCGATAGGTGTACTGGATGTTGATTAGTAGGAAGTTGTCTAAACTTGAGTGTGATAAAAAGTTATTATTCACCCGATTGGGGATATGCTATCATACAGTGTTCCTTGCAATGCGCAATGGTTCCTTCCCAACACATGTAATAATACAAAAGAATGTTTCAATGCTGCCTTGCCTTTCCTTCACCGGGGCAACCATGTACGTTTTCCAGCCTGCTTTCCTCTTGCCTGTCCCATGCCTCTACGACTCGCTATCCTTCTACCTAAGGTGAGACCGTCTGTTCCCTCAGTAGATTCGTGACCTGTTTCCGGGCGGAGCCATCCTGGGGGTTGTCTATCCTCATCTCCCCTTCGTCTTAGTGGATGCTCCAAATTCAGGCGCAGACCTGTACCCTGGAATGAGGTACTCAACGCTATGGAATCATTCGTCCTCCTCCGCTTCGGCTCGGGGCCGTCGTTGCGAATCTCTCGAATCTCTTCCAATATACGTTGTTGATACGGTATGACGTGGTCCCGAATAGTGACCGTTATGGTGCTAATCTCATTGGCCAAACCAGTTAAATGGGACATTAGATCAGTCTGGGATAGGGCGTTGCGTTGGACAATTTCCGTCGTAGCAGCTTCGAGAAGATCTTCGAGTTTCACATAAAGTGATTCCAGGCGATCTTCGAAAAACCTGCGGGTAAACGTGGTAGACGCAGGTGCAGGTGACGGGACTGTCGGGTTCCTTAAAGTATCCGCGTCATGACGATTATAGTACCCCAATAATGAATTGTTGGCATAAAAGGCCACCCCAGGAGTTGGATATTGATTGCTTTGCGACGTGCTGTCGATATTGGTATGGGCGTCATCAATAGAGCTCTCGGTGTTTTCGGGACATGTCTGGTGGACTAGCGGAATATCGTCTTCCATTCTGATAATCTGGGGTATCTGAGATGGCAGTCGGGTATTGAGTTTAAGGTAAATTAGATTTGTGAAACAATGAGGTGTTTGACGGAGATCCTGGTATTTAAGAATCAACACCAGTCAATGTTGAAGCTGAAATATGAAGGACGTGTAAAACAGCCCACCTGTATTGTATGGCGAATATAGGGACGAAGTTGGTGTAGATATCAACCAGTAATTAAGTATCAGAATGAAATGGTGGAATTTGAAATGAGCAAAGGTTGGCTGAGGTATCTTGTCTGGGATTTGTTTAGGAAAGCTTTTGATGGTAGGAGAACCAGGACATAACCTGCCTTATATACTGCGAAGATATGCCCACTGCATCATTAGTCAGGCATTATTTATGAGTAAAATAATAAAAACTTTGTTGGTTAATTTTTTTCAGCTTTACAAAGCCAGGATAATTGAGTGTGTTCGACATAGAGATGGAATTATTAATTGCTATTTGAAATAGGAGTGATTGTGCAGGTTGAAGAAGAATGTTATAATGATATTAAATTTAGAGGCATTAACTGAATGGTTCCCAACTGGTAAGAATAGAGACAGGCACAAAGAAGTGAACTATGTCAGCATCAATTGATGCTGCTACGCACATATAGCTTTTATATCGATTCGTGGGCACTAGGATTGAAATCATTACTTTTTAAATTATTTAAAAGCTTTATGGCTATGTATATGTGTGAGAAGTACATATTCCAACACCTTGTTTGCTTAAACTCCACTCCCATGGGCATGGAATGAGTTTGCCTATCAGATTCTTCAATGTAGTGTGTTGGATTGTATTAAGAACCCCAATAACTTTTGAACCTCCACCGGAAAGACAGGAGCTTGCTTTGAACTAACGTGTAACTTCTCCGGATTCAGGCCCACAATATTCAACGCAACCTAAGCACATCCGCCTACAAGGTCCTTATGACAGATCCCACAGAAAATGTGAAGCACGATTATCATGAGCTAAGATATCATGCAATACGAAGATTTAGTGACTATATCCTCTCAGGATCAATTAGGTTAGTAATAAGCGCATCGCTGAACTCGGGGGTTGGCTTGAGATTGAAAACATACGCAACGGCGGTTTGGTTTCCTCGGCGTACACCATTAGCTACAACACGTGCAGTTCTGGTACGCTCAGCATCGATTAAGCATTTTCTTGTTGTTCTTCCTCTTTTTCTGCTCCTACATTTCATTACACGTGATATTTGCGATCTGGATGTGCTTGTGTTGATGGTAACAGATCGCCTCTCACCAACTGACTTGACATCTCTTAGTAATATTACGTCAATATTTAGACAAGACTACATTAACACCAAATTGTAGAACGTATAGGGGTCATTGATATTGATTGATGATTGAATGCTACATAGATACATGACGCGTCTACCACTTACTACCACGCAATTACTCCATACCGAGAGTACTGATAAACAATAAAAATACATAACCACGGATACTGTCGTTGTTTTCATGATCGGATAGGGCAGGTGCATAATGGAATCTGCTGCCTGCCTGTTGCCTGTGCCTCTCCGCTGCCTGCGCAGGGTACTTAACCAACAACTCCTCCTTCCGGGATTTCACTGTCTTCTATTTCCTTTACAATAAATCCATCCCATCACGATAAAAATACTTTCTGCTTTTGTGACAATCTCCAAAGGCTTCTAAGGCTCTATATTCTCGTTTCCGAGGTATCGAAGTTGACATCCTTGATACTTCCTCTACTAACCGCACTCTCCGCTTTATAGTCACTTTCGGGCCTTCCCCATCAGTTAGCGTTCTTCCCAACACCCACAGTCTTCATTCGCTTTTGTATCAGTCAAAAATTCTGGCAAAGATGTTTTCACGAATTGCAAAAAACCTTGTAGATCATGGACACGCCCGGACAGCTCTCACGGTACTAATAGTCGGCAAAATCGTCGCGTTGTTCTTCTACCCACCGGGAGCGACTCAAATGGATACCGATATGCGTTGGGCCACCAAAATGGTTGTATTGGAGTCTGAACGCATGGATATAATCCAATCCGAAGTTGCCGATATCCAAAATGCGCATCGTCTCCAGAAACTCCAAAAGCTCAACGGAACACTTATAGAAGATGAGAAAGAAGAACTTGAAAGGTTGAACGAGCGAATATCAAATCAAGAGCAACGATGGTGGCACCATCTTACTGCTTATAATAATCACCTATATCGAAAACACAAGAACTGTTATATTAAGGCGTGGGATGTCATTCAATGCATCCAACCCACTCAGGAGGAAGTCCAGGCGGCATGTAAGAGCATTGGCGGCTGCTGTGCATACAGCTGCGGTTGTTGTTACCGGGACAGAGGCTCATACAGAATGCCTGGTATTTTAATGCATTGCGGAAGGAATTGTGTCTGTTGTTCGCAAAGAAGGCCGCCAGAGGCTGTAACTGCCAAGGTAGACTGGAAGGCCACGTGTACTCTTGTCACTGATTACTATTGTCGTAATAAGATTGAATATTAAGGAATGAGCACAGTCCCAAATCATTATTCATTTCATCATAATTCATAAAGTAGTAATTCTATACAAACTTGGTATCTATATACTAGTAACAGAGTATCTGAACACGCGAAACCCCCACGGGGTACTAACGAACTGGAACTTAAGTTCCCAATCACTAGGGACAGGAAGTGGTTCTGGCGAGGGGAGGGCGCTGGGGGAGGGGAGGCCCAGAGGGGGTAGCAGGCCTCGGGGGGGTAGTAGGCCTGGGAGGGAGCGCGGGAGGGGTGGATGGTAGCCTTTTGCTATGATTTATCAATAAGTGAATCAGGTCAAGGAAGCTATCAGAACAGTAGATACATACAAAAGGCTTTTCCAGAAGCCAGGCTTCTGAGCCTCGGTGGTCTGAGGCTCGGGGATGGCGTTAGAGGCGGTTGAGGGCTTAGAAAACTAATGTGGTTTTCTATCTCTATAAGAAATCAGTAAGCAATCAGATTTAAGAGACAACCCAAAGAATGAATCCATACAAGTGATTGAAAACCAGTATGGCCACCATTAATGATGATGGCTGCCAGACCAAACCATTGATTCTTTGTAAAAAAAAGCTTCCACCCTATCCCAAACACTATTAGTCTATTCCAAAACTTGTGATTAGATACTGAAGCCCACCTGTTGTGTTTGAAACTCTACCCCCCGTCGATTTCAACATCGGATGAAGGGACGACGGGGAGGACCCCGGGGACAACAAAGGTTGTTATATTGGTATCCCAATAACACTGACAAAAAAAAGAAAAGGAAAATGGTTCAGACACACATGGTGTGGTGGTGGTGGTACTGGTGTGGTAGTGGCGGCTGGGAAGATCGGTTTGGGATAGAAATGCTGAAATCGACGAGGTCACTTCTGCTGAACTGCGAAGGGAAAACGCCACTTGATGATCCTAGTGGTAGTTAGTAGTCAAGCAAACCGTCCAGGTTAAGCGTTCTGTGTACCTCCTCCATAGCGAACTATGATCATGTGCAAGGTCGGACGTTTTAAAAGAAAAGATTGAAGCGAAAGACGAGAGAAGAGCCCGCAGGGTAATTACCAACCGCGATGGCGGCAGTTTGGCAGGTACGGCCTGAGGCAGCAAACCACGTGGTAAGTTTAGTGCTTTTGGCTTCTCGTATATGAGGACAGAATTAGTTCTTTGACTGATTTATAGCCTTGTAGAAGTGACAGTCGTCGATTCGACGTGACACACTGGTTCGCGGCGTGGTTGAGAAGATGATATTTGATCGAATCGGCGGATCTTGTCTCTTGTATTGGCTGATATCAACTACTCCCGTCATTGTTCGATGTTGTCCTCAATGTCTAATTTCACCGTTGAAAACAAGCCAAAGTCCATCCCTTTTCTACACTGAATTGGACCGCAGCAAGGTTCTAGTTACTGAAATCCCCAAGACGGGACGACACGGCGTTGATAGCAATGTTTCTTTTTCGAGGATTAGAAAATTCCCTCAGAGGATCTAACTGGTGAGGAAGGATATGGCTTCAAGATAATTATGCATGGTATGAATGCCAAAGGTGTGTTGGAAAGAAAGCCTTATCTCACATTATGGTAGCAATATGACATTATTTATAAAAAAAGGCCTAATGTTTGGGCCAGCGGCGCTGAACAGAATCTGTCAATGGTTTCAATGTTCTAAATTAACCAAAATAAAGAACAAACTCATCCTACGGTTTTCCGTTGCAAGTCGTCACGCACATTTCTTAAAACTTTTCTTTTCTCGATTCTAAGGCCATCAAAACCCCACAGTCACCTCGACTCCGGAAGATGTTTGCGAGGAAGAGAACCCGACCTTTCCTACGCAATCGCCGTACTCGTATGCGCTGCCCAGACTACCCGCACCACTGTTTGTGGTTGTTGGAATACCAAAAGTCACTTCTGTCTTTGGTAATTGGTCGCAGCTATGTGTTCCTGAGTTCCATGGATAGTATTCAACAAAACCCACCTGGCTGCTCTTGATACCAGACGCTCCTGAAGGAAGAGACCAGGAGCCAATGTGTGTTTCTTGTCCAGTGACAGTATCGACCAGAGTCCCCGTCCAGGTCTGACCAGACGTGTTTTGGACGACCAGATCGAAAGTGTGTGAGTAATCGCCGTTAATTTCAATACTGCAACTGACACCTGCACCTCCATCTGCCCCATCTGAGCAGTTGCTGTCATCGGTAGTCGTTCCAGAAACGAAACTCGAAAAGGCAGCATGTATAACGCTATTGCTGCCAGAGTCTGGTCTTGGCTGAAGCCCAATATAACCAACATCGGATTCTCCATTAAATCCAAATTGCTGAGCAAAATAAAATCCTGTTGTATGTGGTGCATTTGCTATGTTCATTGGGAAAGTGATATCGGTAAGACCAGAGGAAGGTCCGTTACCGATATTCCAGCTAATACCGACCAAGGCATTGCTCGAGGTTGCAAAGAAAAACGTAAGAGGCAAAATAATAGATTTCATCATGAGAGTACAAAAGGTAGAAATCTGATTCTGTAAGGCGATAGCTGGGTGCAATTGACTTCAACATTCAATTGGCGCCATGTGTTGTAGGCTTGTGATACGTATTTATAATACCTTCTTCGCCGCTGATGCCCATTTACGAGTTCTCGATAGTGAAACGTGCCATTACCATGTAATCCACCACGTTACATTATTGAGAATATGTCAGTAACACTTCTAGGAAACCCTTATCGCTAAAGATATGTCACCTACCCCATTTAGGGAAGATCCGCGGGCCGTAGCGAGGCCCAGGTGTGCAAGGTGCTTGTGACATATGTTAGTGCATAAGGAACGAACTAAGCATGTTAATAGATTCAATTATTCCATGGTAAGTTAGGGCAATTTATGAACCACTGATCTGATGGATAGCACCATCAAATCGACAATAGGAAGGATTGGCAGTCACGGTCTGTCAGTGCTTTTCTACCAATATTTTCCAATCTTGGTACCAACCTTGTTCCCACTTTTGATTTGGGGATAAGTTGGCTAATACATTGTTACTGGTAATAGGTTGTAGATATATTTATAAAGCGCTTCATACATCTCTTATCACATTTTGTGAGTGTTGTTTACATAATCCAATTAATTGATTCAATTGCCAGTCCCTTCTTTTTATATCAACCTACTTTCTAGTATTAAAAACTACCCACAACCCATACGTTATAACTATTATGTTATAAGCTGATTTCTCTGCTTCAAAAATGTGATAATTATGCCAGCCTGCGCACCGACCGCTTAAGAGGGGCTGAGAGGAGATCTAGATCAGATAAGTAACCATATAATATGGATTAGACATTCTAAATGCTAGTATTCATATACCTTGAAACAATCAAGAGGAGAAGAAGGGATACTGATCCTACAGATTACACTCCCTCAAGCATTTTCGCTTCTTACTGTTACAACGCTTTCTAGTGCTACAGTTTCACTCTTGTTACAATGTTACGTGGTATACGTGCTATTTCTGTTCTAGTGCTTTCGTTCTGCTCCGTATTTTGTATTACACTAAAAACAGTTTCCATTCAAATGTATATACTTCGTGCATTCATCAAAGACTTCAAAAGTTACGACTAGTCTTTCCTTTTCAGTAACCGCTAACATAAAGTACTATCATATAGATGCCTTTCCTTTACTGTTCAACCAGAGATAAATTAGGTTGCACTGTGCTGGACTTCTAAGCTATTACAAATTACACTTTGAGTAAAACGGATGTTATCCTTTCATTTCTCTCTAACTGTGTCAAGGCAAACTTATATATCTCTAATAAAAATAATCCATCTAAGGCCGTGCATGTAATCTCGTATTGAAGGGTCTGAAATTCCACTGTATACCCTGATAATGATTTTATTCAAGGAGCTGATGGCTTTGAACTGGGTATTCATTTCTAAAATGCTTGTTGAACAGACTGGAAGTTGTCTTTGTCCTTGATTAGACTGCTGAAACTTTCGCCGTAAAGGTGCATTTCTAATGTATTTAACTTAGTGTACTCAGTTTGCAGAAGCTACAAGCTTTGTAAACTATCTTTTCTGAGCTTTATTCCGCCCGATTCACCTTCGATTTTTTTGGTAGACGGAAAGTTGATGCATAGATAAGAAAGTGAATGGGCATTGAAGAGGCCAATATAGTCTAGGAAAGGCTTCAAAAGACTAGACTGGGTTTTTAGTGTTTCCATAAGTGAAAACCAGTTTATCCTATACAGAATGGTCTGAGCCTCTTTAGACATCTGTCGATTGGTATACAATAATGCAGATAATCGACTGGGCTTTTCCGGCGCAAAGAACTCTACTCGAGAGCCCAAGTCTTGAAATGCATAGATTGGATATAGTCGGCTAGCACTTGTCTGTAGATCTTATTGTGAGCCTCGATGCATTCCGGCAAACTGAAAAATCGAATAGAAGCTATAGCCATCGACTGTAGAGTGTTTCCCGATGAGTCCGGCATGCTGGGAGAAGAATCTGGTTTCAAATGGTTCTGCAAATATTGCTGTGGTAATAAGAAATATCATTGATTTTCCTGACGGAGGCTTGTATTGCGGTTAGGCTGCTAGATATCCGCTTTCAGCGGATTATCAACAGCGCCAGTGTTGACTGGGTGTACCTCGGCGGAAAATATATATACACCCTACAATCAAGAGGGTAAGCCGGGATAATTGCAATAGAATATCTGGTAATTTTCCACCTACTGGTCGTCACAAGTCAGAGATTGTGGCTAACAGAAGATTTCTGAGTGAATAGGCGGTAGAGGGGTTCGACGAAAACAAAGAAATGATACATGACACAACAAGCCACCAAACCACAGCTCGTTCTTATGGGGAGTCAATCATAATCGGCGGCAAAGGGGGACATGCTAGTATTGTGTCATCGTCATCTTCGTCTCAGTTTGTTTAAGCAGGAAACTAGTATTTCGTCTTTAGGCTACGGCCTCACTCTGATTATTACTCGATGTACGTGGCCTTAGACAATTTTCAAGACTTTGAGGCTTAGCTTAAATATATTCTTATTATAATCATTTTTAGCATTGCTGAGGTGAATATGCCAATCATTGAAGTCCTTGACACTTACATGACTGTTGGGTGATATTATTGAAATTGATTTACTGAATTCATGATTCGACAGTTTCGGCACAAGTGAATTTATACTTTAGTAACATCCCCTTTCAGCAAGGTATACATAGTAAAATACAATAGATTTACAATCTACCCAAGTGCGCCACCATCGTATCCAAATAAGCCCTTGCACGCGGCGTACTATCCTCAACACCAACGACTTTGGCGGCATCATCCCACAGCCTTAGCGAAACCATCTCGTCACGGAGCGGGTCCTGTTCAAAGGCTGTAAGCTCGTGCCCTTGGAACGGACCACCCTGGAAGGCTAGAGATTTCTGCGATGCAGTTGAAAGAGAGTCATAATATGATTTATTCACGGCGGTTAAATATCTAAATTGAAAAATCAATGAAAATGACTGTAAAAAATAAAAAGTAATTATACCTTTTCGCTGCGACATGGCTGTTAACTAGTCGGCAGACAATCTCACTGAATCCTATAGAGCGCAAATACTGCGCGCCAATAATTTCATGGCCGATGCGTCCGACATTTTCGGTACTCTCTTGACTCAGGTTCATGCGCACTTCTTTCGTTTCTTCTAAAGGAATTATCTGGCCGATATCATGTAAGAGAGCTGCAAGAACGAGTTCGTCGCGACTACCTAGTGATCATTAACCCTGAATATGGGAAGTCAAGATAGGTAAAGCTACCGGATCTTTGAGCTTGGTGAGCTGCTTGTAAGGAATGTTCAAGCTGGCTGATGGATTCGCCGATGTAATCTCCTTGTCCGTATTTTTCAAGGACGCTGACGAGGGCTTCTGCTTTTTCTTGTGGTGTCGCCATTTTTCCGAATAATTGGCTATGGTGGGGGTTGATTAATGGAAATGATTAGCAGCGACGTTGAATTGAGGTTGCGGGGGCGAGAAGCTTTATAGGAAAAAAAAATCTAGGTATTGACGCAACGCCGGAACGCTGTCCGAAGATTACATTCACGTGCCGCCAATTTACCTTATCAAAAGCGAAATCGAGCCTTCTACTTAATATTAATAACATCACCTAGTGGTGATTCTTTCTTTCCTCTCTGAGTACTGGCTTATCTGAAATCGCCCTTATCACTAGGGTGGAGGTTCTGTAGCCCTAGCCCTAACCCTATATTCTTGATTTACATTTACAATCTTTCCCCTACACTTGGAATATATCTAAATGGTTACCTTCTATGTATCAACCGTTAACATAGGCGTTCCAAATGCATATCGCTCTCCCCCTTCCTCGTAGGAGACACCCTCCTTGCGTAGGTGAGTGGCCGGCCACAGCTTCCGTCGGTCTTCATAGTATTGATCATGCAAATCGCCTTCCGAGGCACAATTATACGTCGCATAAATCGCGCGTCGGTCTTTGGCACTTTTATTGGGACCACTGCGATGCGCCAGATACGAGCCGAAAAATAATATATCACCTAATTAGTAAGCCCCACGCCATCAATTATCCACCACGGCGGAAAGAGAATGGGAATCATACCAGGCTGCAAACTGCAGGGAACCCAGGCGTTTTCATCAACCCAGGATTTCTCAATGCAACGATCCTTTCCGAGAGGAATGTTTTCATGATGACTTCCTTCGACGACTTCAAGACCACCGTTCTCCCCTGTCATCTCGTCGACGGCGGCTAGAATGGTCAGGTGTTTGATATCCTTTACGTGGGTGTATGCGTTGGCGTCGATATGAGGGTCAAAACCGCCTAATTATTGTCAGCCCACATTTGCCGAGCATTTTCCGAGTATTGCTCGTACCACTGCCAGCAAGCTTGTAGTTTATTTTCTCCTTGAACAGAAACATCTTCTCGCCCGCCAACTGCTCCAAAACACTTGCAGCGCGGGAGCCGCGCAGGAAGCTATTGAACCCGGCATGTGTGTTGGCGAAATTCTCCGTGCGGCACAGTACCTTTTTGCCCTGTGCGTTGACTTCCTAAGCGGATCTCATCAGCACACTTTTTCCATGGCACTATTAAGTTAATCCTACCTCGTACGGCATCCACGGCACATCTTCCGTTCGCGGAAGATCGTGAATTTCCTGTGCCCATTGCTGAAGCAGAGATGATTCAGAAGCGGGCAAGAAATTGCGGATGAGCAGGTAGCCTCGGTCCTGGAAGAACTGGACCTGCGAGGGGGTTAAGGGATAATCCGAATCGTGATCCATTATGGCACATCAGGATATTAATAGTAGTGTCGGGTGCGCAGCGAGTTGTGGCTGTTCGAAACTTCGACCAAAGCCGTTCCCAACGCGATTTATATTTCTATTAGCCGAGCAGCAGCCCATTTTAATCGCTGACATAGTTCTAGTTGAAAATTGGATTTTTTCCCCTCAAAGACCATCACATACAGAAGTAAGTCAAAATAGACAAATAGTGAAGCTAGGATGTGGTGGGGACGTCGGCACGAAGCCCGCAAGCCCTAACAGCCAGTCGCAGCCCAGAACGGCACACGTGCAGGCTAGAGCAGACCCTTTATCTTCCTACTTAAGGAGGTGCGTCACTAGCCCTGGTTTTTATCAGACTAATACTAGCACACTGAATTTGCATTAGTTAATTCTTTCAGGCATCTGATGAAGTTTAAATCCCCCGCTCTCCTCGCAGCCGCGTTGGATGCAAAACACCAAGGACTTCGACCCGAACCTTCCACATGGCACTGTGACTTGCTGTTATTGGGCATGCGCTGCTCATAATTCTCTAATATCAAGTGGGCCATCGGCAGAAGCTAATCGCAAAAGAGAAAGTGGCAGGCGAGATCCGATATAGAGAATAAGAATAAATACAGCGACCTGGTCTATCAAAGACTTTGGTTTATTGCTAAGACTTGAACACAGCCAATTCAATAGTTATCAGGCATCATGGCCAATCCCGATAGAGTCGCCGACCCGGCGAAAGAAGACTTGAAAGGACAACCAAATGAGCTGGTGGCCGCCTACACAGAATCTCACGACATGGAGGAGAGTGCTGAAATGGGTCGTAAAACCAGTGTGCTGAATGTCATTGTATCGGGCATGGCTCTTTTCAGCGATGGATACAATGCGCAGATCAGTGAGTTATCAAAATATCTGTATAGTCAAGAGATACTTGCTGACATTTGTCTATAGTTGGCTATATGGAACCCTTCTTCTCGGTCCTGTAAGTAGCCTAGTCAGAACGTCGAGTACAATCTTTTGTGCTAAGATTATCAGATACGGAGATGCCATGTCCTCCACGATTAAGTCCCGTCTCTCTAATTCGTATCTTATTGGTGAAATATTTGGCATGCTCTTTTTTGGCGTGCTCATCGATCGCCTGGGTCGTCGAACTGGTATTGTAGCTGCCACGGCCTTTTTAGTGCTAGGCGTGGTACTTGCGACAGCTGCACATGGAACGTCGGACCTAGGGTATGCCTTCACCTTGGCCAGTTCACAGAAATTTGGTTAACCGGTGTACAGCATGTTCTGGATGATGATTGTCGCTCGAGGTATCGCTGGTTTTGGTGCCGGCGGTGAATATCCTGTCTGCGCAACTAGTGCTACCGAGGCCAGCGACGAGACTTCCAAACTCAGGAAGAAGCGTGGATTTCTCGTAGCAGTGACAACTGACTTTGCAGTGGATCTAGTAAGCAGTAGTATGGTAGATTCTTCAACGGAAATTAACAATCTTTAGGGCTTTGTGATGGCAGGAATTATCGCCTTGATCGTTCTTGCATGCTATCATCAGCGCAACTCTGAAGGTGTATGGCGAGTTTCATTTGGCCTTGGATTTGTGGTACGTTGCATTTTTGCCGCCTTAATATGAAGACAGTGGGTGGCTAATAATGTCATAGCTCCCCGTTGTCATCTGCTTTTTCCGGCTTCGCATGATCGATTCAACACAATATCGCAAACACAACATCAAGTCCCAATATCCATACTGGCTCATCTTGAAACGCTATTGGAAACCAATGCTAGGAACTTGTTAGTTGTACATTCTACTCAAATGAATAACTGTGTTGAGAAATTCTAGGCCTTGCGTGGTTCTGCTACGATTTTGTGACCTACCCATTCGGCATCTTCTCTTCTACCATCATCGGACAGTTGAATCCCAACAACACCACTGTGCAGAATATCGGATATGGAGTAAGCCTTGAATCCAAACACCCATACCCATACAATTCGCTAACGAGGTAGACTGTCATTAACTGTTTCTACCTGCCCGGATGTCTCATCGGCGGCCTCCTCATGGACCGCATCGGCCGCAAACAAACCATGACCCTGGGTTTCGGGCTATGGGCCATTTGGGGTTTCATTCTCGGTGGGGCACTCAAACCCATTCAAACTGTCTTCCCTCTCTTCGTCGTGATGTACGGTATCTTCAACGCGCTCGGCGAAATGGGTCCCGGCGTGGCAACCTTCCTCTGCGCAGCAGAATCCTTCCCAACCCCCCTTCGCGGCCACTTCCTTGGCTGGGCAGCCGCTGTTGGCAAAGCCGGTGCGTCAATTGGCACACAAGTCTTTACGCCGATTCAGGATTCCTTCGACTCCACTGAGAAGGGCCAACAGGCTGTGTTCTTAATTGGTTCTGCCTTTACCGTTGTCGGTGGTCTGATCTCTTGGTTTTTGATCCCGGATATGTCACGGGAGTTGGAGACTGAGGATGTTAAGTTCAGAGCTTATTTGGAGGAGAATGGGTATACGTATCAGGACGGCGTGTTGGTGTCGATTGAGCAGAATTCGGGCTATAATGCGGCTAAATGAGGTCTGGTTTGATAGATTCGCGGTTTTGATGTGCTTTTAATGAAGAATTCTTTTCCCAATTGTCGTTCAAAGATGGTTAGCGGGGATCACTGGCCTCAACGTACTGGGGACATGTGTGACAAAGCAATCAGCCCGACTGATTGGAGCTCTACTTAACACTTGAATTATAGACTAATTTATATATATGGCGATTAATGCCTTGAAAAATGAACTTCCCAACATTTGAAAGAGCAGCACTCGTGATCACCATACTAGCAAGAGACAGAAAACCGAATGTGACAGCTCTTCCAAATCCTCCAAGTGAACATTTCTTGCACTGAACTCATACATATTGATATTATCTCATTATTCTCAGGTATATACGAAAGAGCTGGTCTGTCATAGCTTGGAAAAACCGTCTACCATCCTTCATAAGAACCGTCCAGGGGTCCCATATGTCTTTTAACTCGTAGTATAGTCTTTTCATATATTCTGATTACTAGCTTGATTACAACGTGAATAGGCCATCAACCTTGTACCACGTACAAGAGAGTGCTTGCACAGACGGTAGCTACAAATATATTTTGCCCAGAATTGTCCTCAAAAAGATCTCAAAGCTAACGAACCTTTCTAGACTCGACATCGTCCTAAAATATGCACGATAACTCCAGACTGTCTACAGTTCGACACGCGATGCTTTGATAGATACGGAAGGTATCATGCGTGATACTATTTGACCGCTTCACACCTAGTAGCTACCGTAGTAAAGAAAAAAATCTCGTTAGAACCGAAATAGTCCAAAATTTGCTCAAAGATAATTCTGTAGACCGATTCCGAAGGAGTATCATGCGTTCGTATTTTTATATACTAGACCAAAAATAAATTTGTCACGAAGATATTATTTCCTCTTTATAAAGTGTATGGAAAAAATCACTTTTGGCGAGCCAAATATAGGGAGCAGCCCCTAAGCTCAACTATCTGCTAGAATCTAGCCAAAGGACCATGAATTAGACATTAAATTAAATAGGAATTGTTTGCCAAACAATCTTATTCGCATGAAAGGTTGAGATGTCCTTTGTCGATATGAAAGAGGGGGGAATGGGAATGAGGTATGGATGGATAAGGAAAGAATAGGTGCGCACTTCATAGCTCAATTTCTATCGCCTATTCCAGTCTTTGTCGAGATAAGGCAAATAGAAAATCTATGTGCGAACTCCTGGCAGTCCGAAACTATCTAATTTGTGCGCAGGGTTATGAATTTGGGCACCCTCAGCTGTAATCTACCGGTGGGTGAGCCAAGTGTCCTGAAACCATTTCACCTTGACTCTATGACTAAATTCATCGCGAGTTACAAGTCTTCCGTGTATTTTCCCGATGTCTATCCATTTGAAATTCGTTTTAGCCTTTTCATAGGTCTCATTGACTGCTGGATCATTTGAGTTTTCATTTCTGCCAGAAAGCAGTAAGCATTTTATCAATCAAGCTTGAGATTTGTTGATCGTCATGTACTATTTTGGGAAGGGGAAGGGAAGGGAAGGGAGGGGGTGGTCGGGGTACTTACACACGGGGGACCCAGTTTGCAGGACGGATAAACTTCCCGATATGAACACAGTGGATCATAGCGTCTGGATGGTCGGTAAACCGATCTGCCTGCGCGACGATTCCTTGGGACATGGCAACAGTAGAGTGGTACCTTATAGTGAACTTGAGAAGATTGGACTCTCGAACTATCATCTCAAGAACTTCAGGATTGTCGTTCCATTCCTCGGGCCATTGGACTTGCCACACTCGCAGGCTTTTCATTGCATTAAGAAATCTTCTAAATTTGTCAAGGTCAATGCCATTAATCATTCCTCTGGCTGCGATTTGGGGGAAGTCGTAAAAGATGCTAATGCCTGTCTTCCATCTTCTATCATAATACGCAACTTCCAGCTCACGCAGAAGATGAAGTTTCTTCAGCCTCTCAAGATCGTCAAAAGAGATTGGAGTAGAAGGCAGAATTCGCAGTGTCAACTTTTCCAGACTCTTGAATGAACTAATTTCTTCGATCTCCGGTGAATAGTCGTATATGGTCAGGTCTAAAGCCGTCAAACCGTTTCTGTTCAATGCTTGGAGCAATAACATCGTTGTTTTCCCGGAATCAGTGAAGAGACGAATGTATTTCAATCTTGGCCATATATCATGATGGTTTTGGATGTTGTAATATTTAGCCTCATATGAAAGTCCCAGGCCGTCGTACCCTTGCTGAAACGCGTGGTCTGCAAAAGTAGTGAACCTCGCTTGATTGGAACTAGGAGGGACATCGTTTATATCAACGTGCTTCAGCCCTGGCAACTTTTTGAGTTTCTCTACCAGAGCGTTTGCACTATTCGATTCTAACCCAGCAAAAGACAACCTTTCCAGATTTGGAAACTTGGTACTCAGACGTTCAAGCGAGGCAATGTCGATCCTTAACAGGCGCAATTCGCGTAATGCTTTGTAGCCATCTTGTATCGTCGCATATTCAAAAGCCTTGTTGCTACTCTCAGCCTCTAGTAAGTCCCCCACCACCTCAATACTTTCGAACCCTCGAAACTCGCCGAGAACCTTTTCAATCATTTCCTGGTGTTCAAAGTGTGCGTATTGACCCGGGCCCACATATATGCAGAGTTTCTTGAAGCTTCCTAGGAAGTTACTCCAGACTTGTTCCCTGTTACGCTTGTCTTGTGGCGTAGGGCCATTTCCCTCCTTGACTCGGCCGGGTGCATTCTTGATTACGCTGGGATTCATGCGTATCAAGCTGTCCTTGTTGTGTATCATATACTCGCAGGTCTGTAGATTGATAGGAGTCTGAAAATAAACCTTTGGTATTTCCTTAAGTTTTCGGTCCGAAAATTGGAGATTAAACCCGTCCTCATGAGAAAGGCGGTCCATAAGCTCGAAGATGATATCTTGAGGTAGACCGACCCAAGAAGCTTTCTGAAGAGAAGCTTCCTGAGAATCCATTTTCAATAGCTCGTCTCGTAGTTGGTATTCCAGCTATCGAATGCACAAGTTGAATGGATGCCTGCTGATTGAGCGGAAGATTTTCTCTAATAAGGTGAGGGGAAATGGAGGAATAGATATGGAACCTTCTGTCCGAGATTATGAATAGATAGTTATATTCGCGATTGCAGAACTTTTGGTGGGCAACTTGCACAGCTTTTATATTGTCATGGTGAGTCAATTTTCTGCTTTAAACCGGTTATTTATACTTGTCGAAGCTGTATTTTGTCTCATACATGCGCGCCATAAAAGAGAGAAAACTACATGAATTCAAGTCATCTCCATAGATGAAGACAAAGAAGTTTTCGAGTTCTCTCACAACTTCTGTGACTCATGATCAAAGTGGAGTGAATAATACCATTCATCCAAAGTGCGAATATGAATCAGAAGGAGGATATGAGTCTTCACTAAGGACGTAGTGCGGATCAAGCAAGAAGTAATATGCCTAGACCCAGGATCCATGTCTCAATTAGCAGGGATATGCTGGACAGAGCATCCTGTTATAATACAAAGTCATAATATTGAGACCCTTAGTCGAATGGTCAATGACTGTACTCTTGGTTATTGTAATGGGTGGGTTTGAATATTCATATTCCTCTCTCACAGATCCTATTCTGTGATGTAAATCCAAAAAAAATAAATTCCTAGCATCGAACAGTCAGCGAGATCTAAATGACTCAGGACCAAGCTGCGTGTCATTCTAGTCCTCGTTAGATGAGCGTGACTATTATTGAGAGTACATCCAGACTATCGCAAGATTGGTAGAACAGAACATTAATCCACGGTATAATAAGATTCGTATGGCTGGAGATTGTCTTTGACTTATTTCGCATTTATCTTTCCTACCTTGGTCGTGGCAAAGATAGTCAGTCTTTAGGCTGATTAGTGATGACTGGCAGCTCTTCAACGTTCTAATGCTTACTCAACTATTTATGTGCCTGAGGCAAAATATCAATGAATTATTGGCAACAGCAATATACAATCTATAGTAAGCAAAAGACAAATCATCGAGAGCATAATTAATATCCAAATTAGCAGACTCTCTCTCCACGGTTTAGTCTACAGAGCATTCCCTATCCTTAAATGCCCAGGCGCTCCTTCAGGCTGAGCTTTCAATTCTAGGTCTCATTGAATCTTGATACCATACGACTTTGTTTTGGGTCATGGCAACTGCATTGGCCTATAAATTCCTTGTCGACTAACTCTTGTCTGCCAAACCCTGAATAGTCGGGGGATTCATAAACATATGATTCGTACTGTGACAAATCGGAAGCCAGGAATAACCAATGCAAGGGAAAGAGAGTCGAAGGAGTTGTTCATAGCATTTTGAGATTGGTTTTTTCCTTTATCTCGAGGTGATGAAAATCTAGTGTTCGGAGATTCCGCCTAGCGCAAGTAGCTCTATAGTGTGTAACCTATCCATTAATGTGATCTTTTGATGGAACGGATTCTAACTTTATATATTTGGGATTATTTCGATGGTCATTGTGCACGTACGCTATATTTGAAAATGAACCGAGAATGTATACTTTGCGATTTTCGTTCCTTATCATCATGTACGAATGCGAAGATATTCGCGATTCTCTTACCCTAGAAATAATATCCAAAACTTAAGTGATATCTAATCTTTGGAGGTTTATGAGTGGCTTAGAGAAGAAGGGCGATGGCGGAGGTAGACTGGAACCCGTAAAATGTACATATAATGGAATCTGCAATATTGCATCAATTTATCAATTAAAGTACTAAATAAGAACGTTGGTGTAACGGGTGACTACATGTATGAGAGTATTTTTCTAAATTATCTATTTTATATACATAGTGTAAACAAAACATTTTTTCTAATGTGTGTGTAAAATCATTGACTTAGCTTATGTATTGCCGAGGGCCCTGTTACCTTTCCAAGTTTTAATGTTACATTGACCAAGTAATTTGTGCAACTCTGAGATTTTGCTGTATAAAATACCTGTAAGGATCAATCATGATGAGTGTCAGAGCCGCTAGGTTGATGTCGCTAAAGGTCACAGTATAGCTAACTTGAATTGTGATGTGTCCAATTCTTACGACAATATTGAAAAGCATTAATGAATATTGTAGATCTATCTGCCGGTCTGCGCTGTGGCCATTAATTGTCATATGATTATATCTTTCTAGTCTTTGCTAGGTTTCTTAAGTATTTGACGTCTGGTCGATTTGAAAAACCATTGTAGTCTCATTATAGGGGAAATAATGCGATGTGTGCCCGACTGCATTGAATGCTTGATGCATGTAGTTTAGGCGGAGCCTTGAACTACGACGACCATATGCCGCTAGCATGAGACTTACTATCAGTTTTAATAATTTATGGATATGGCATTTATGATTCTACTAGAACCAACACGTTAAGTTTGAAATATTACAACCAGCAATTGGTATCCCAATAACATATATGCATATAAATGATAGACAAAATCAATTGATATGCTCGCGTATCTATCCCATTTGCTATTTTGATTAAATCCACAGGATGCTATATTATCTCCCAACGCATACATGACATGAAGAAATTAGGACAACCCTGGTGTTATTGTTCCGAGCGCTGGACTCTGATTGGTCTGATTAGTGATCACGGTTTTATATTCGACCGAGATACACAGATTACTCTATCCCACGGGAAAATATTATAGAGCAGTGGGACTTTCTTTGTTGGATTTGGGAATTTTAAGCAAATCGGAGAATACGGAGAGAAATTAAAAGTAGAAAAGGGGTTAGACAACTAACAGCAGTAACACGTGATAATATATAAATATACATGTGTAGAGAAGAAATCGATTGCACAGGCAAATTACAACCTTCCCGTTATATTCAAACACTGAATCATTCACTTATCATGGCTTCGAAACCGTTTAAGGTTCTAATAGTTGGTGCTAGCGTTGCTGGTCTCTCATTGGCCTTGATGCTGGAGAAAAATGGCATTGAGTTCGTTGTTCTTGAGGCATATCCAGACATCGCGCCTCAGATTGGAGCGAGTATTGGCCTCTTGCCAAATGGTCTCCGAATTCTTGATCAATTGGGCTGCTACGACGCTGTTATGGAAAAGGCAGAGTTCCCAGTCACTGAAACAGTGTTTCGCGATTCGCGTGGTAGGCCGTTTGCCTCGATCAAAGACTTCGGCAGCGTGCTAACGGAACGGTGACTAATTCCCTTGTACTTAGTTACTTTTTGGATCCGTCAAGCTTACACGAATTTTACGTAGTCACGGATACGCTATGCTTTTTCTCGACCGCCAAATGCTTATTCAAATTCTGTACAGCGCGATCCAAGGAAAATCAAAGGTGTTCACCTCGGAGAGAGTTGTCACCATTCGGAATAAGGACTCCAGCGTCACGGTAACAACAAAATCTGGGAAAACCTACACGGGTGATATAATAATTGGAGCAGATGGAATTCATTCCACAGTCCGAAAACAGATGTGGCTGGAGGCCAACCGAGTCGATCCTAAATGGATAGATCCTTCAGAAGAGAATTGTTTGTATACAACTTCCGAACCATTTGTTTCCAATTGTAAACTAACCAAATAGTTAAGCTCTCGCTGCAACATATGCTTGTATATTCGGCATATCTGAGGGAATCCCGGGGATTAAAAAAGGATCCGTAAACTCGGTTCTCAACGAGCATTTCTCATACATAGTTCCCAGCGGACCCGGCGACAAAACATATTGGTTCTTAGTGAAAAATCTAGGCAAGACAGTGTATGGCACAGATATCCCTCGGTTCACCAAGGAAGAGGAAGAAAACCTGGCACAACAGCACTGGAATGACTATGTCACTCCAACTTTACGATTTTCGGACCTCTATAAGCATAAAACCAACTCTGTTTACACCAGTCTTCCTGAGTATGTGTATAAACGGTGGTACTTCCAGAGAATTATGACTATTGGCGACGCAAGCCACAAGGTGAGATGTCGTTTATCTAGTGAAAGATTAGAGATTGATGGTAACAAATCTGGCCTTAATAGTTCGAACCAGTCACTGGACAAGGCGGCAACTCAGCCATAGAAACAGCAGCTGCTCTAACAAACCACCTTGTCTCTGGCCTGGGAGAATGTACATCGGCAAGCTTAACTACCAAGGAAGTTGAGTCTATATTTCAGAAGGTCCAGGTTCAACGTGAAGCGCGGACGCAGAGCATATTGAAAGATGCCCATGCCCGTCAACGTTTTGAGTGCTTAGAAACATGGTCTTTGAGGGTTTTTGCTAGATATGTCTTCCCTTATATCCCGAAGCAAATGCTTTGGGATAGTTTGTATAACATCTTCTGCCCAGCGGTATCATTGAGAATGCTCCCACAGCCAAAGCGACAACGAAGTGAGCCTTACTTTGACGAATTATTCAGAACGCCGTCATCGCGGGGGTGGATTGGGTACTCAGTATATGTATTATACGTCATCGTCGCCACACGTGCATATCGATTGCTATTCGTGGCGGGAATAAAGAACGGTACCTGGAACCTTCTTCATGACGCTATGCGCAAGGACATATTCACGATGGATATACCTGTTCGTCGGAGCTATACCCAGAACGAACGAATTGACCGGATGCTGCAATCTCTGGTCACCGTCTTTTTCGCCGCATTCACAAGTTCGTCGGACGAGCAGGTATTGCAACTGGCTTATTTTCTTTCAGCAATTCTGCCGTTGGTTGCAATATTCACAGTCGAGGGCTTTCGCAATAGAAACAAGTGGTCACTTCTTTCCGTGTATGTCAATACTTTCGCTTCTCCATGTACACGTTACTTATTCAAATATCCATAGTCCATCTATTTGGGGTCTTTTATATCAACTTCATGGAATAGGATTCATAGCGCCCATTTATTTCCTGGCCAGTGCATTCTCATCGAGGCATGCGGTGTACTTTTCACCGACATCCAGACGCCTGTCCACATCCGACGCTGCAGTTATTCTTCCTGCAGTAATTGTTGGATACATAGTTCCAACTCTACTTTCGTTCTTCCCAATCAGAGAAGCATATTCCCGACAGTTGATAATTGCAATCTGGCAACCAGCGCCCATATTCGTTGTCATTCTAACGCATATTTTTTCAAGATTGTCCAAGATCGCAGCATGCTTGCAAAATTCAGAGAAATGCATTCCACAGAATATCAATGGTGATATTCGACACTTAGACTTAATTTATCAGGTAACAGGCATTATATCGGCCTGTTTCCATATTGCCCTTGTTCTTGGCTGCGTGGTCTCGGGGAACAATATTTCTCTAGTCCAGATGTTGTTGCCCAGGAGTTCGTTTGCTCCTGTTGCGAACCTTGCAGACGGCTTATTCATATTCTTCCAAAATGACTATCTGATGGCTGCCGCAGCCATATTTTTGTGGTGCTGGCTCAGTATATGGGATCTATATCGAGTAGGACTTTCCAACGTTAGTTGGAAGCGTGGACTGGTTGCACTAGTGGCAGGATTTGCATTAATAGGGCCTGGTGCGACATTTGCAACTGTTTGGTACTGGCGTGAGCATATCATGACTGGAGAAAATTTCGCCAGGAGGATATAACTTACTGTATGGGATATACTCCAAAGAAACAGAACCTTTCACACTTTATGGAGAATTGTTATGTGCTGTAAAATAGAATGGACTAGTATTGATAGGTATTAAGATAGAATACATATGTAGAATCGATATCATACATTGAGCTCGGCAGCATCGTTAGTGAAGTGCCCGCTTGATGTTCTTCCATACTAAATTCTCGACATCGCGACGTCGAAATGCTGGGGCACAACCTATACAAATACCACATTGAACCAGCCCTATGGAAAGTTAGCTAATGCACTATAAGTAGAATGTCACTTTAATACACCCACCATTTATGAGAATCGATTGGTCGATGGCAATAACTGTATTCTCTGGATCACTCTGGCCTGGCATGAGACTATGTCGCTGGACTATGCCGTCCGCAAAACCAAGCAACTCTTGCCCTGAGTGAAAAGATCGATCACCACCGTCAAATTGAACGCTGTTGGCGTCTAAAAATCCTTCCACATCATGAATATCAAACCATTCCTCTTCTGAGGAAAGCTCTACCCATCCATTCGTCTTTCTACATATCTGCCGAGTATCTATGCCGCAGCGGGTAGTTGAAGCGAAATGGGTTCCAGCACCACCAATACTAACGAAAGGAAAGCGATCATCCTTGATTGGATTTGCTGCATTTAACTGCAGAACATGTTCAAGATACGATACGATCTCTTGTCGCGGCAGATATTGCAGCAAGAGACCGAAATGCGGCCAGAGCGCCTCCTCCGTCACTGAGGAATTAGTCAACCATTGGTGCCCACCCTGACCACAGGCAACAAAGAGCTTGCGAGTGAAAGGCGTTGTAATGTAATTGATAGGCTCAAAACTGGGGTTGAGAGGTCGTATTATGCCGTTGGGAGGGAAACAATAATCACCGGATTGGTTTGAGCTTTCGATTGGTGGGAGAAGAGCGTTTATATGCCAAAAGTTGGCCGTCGGCTTCAATTTTGGAATGATGTCTGCCGATTCTTTCGTGTGTGACTCCAAATTTTCCGCGGTAATTTTCTCTTGGAACTGTTGACTCTGTGCAAACGCCGGAACGGGCCTAGAATGTGTCTCAATAGTGTGTATTTCAGCCTTTTTAAGCTGTAGAGTCACTTTCTCCTGAAGAATAGAAAAGTATTGTAACATTTTTGACTGCGAAATCAAGATACCGTCACTGACGAGGTGGGCACTGAACGTGTCCATATGTTGTCCAACTTGGTTTACTACATCTTCTAGGTAGGCGACGCGTGCTTTTAGTTCATTGATTTGCGATTTTTGACGCGACCGATAAGTCCTTTGCGCCTCTTTTATTTGGTGTCGCCGTTTCTGAATTCGTCGCTGTCTCAATAGAGTTAGTGTTTACTTTTTATGCACGTTAAACGTCTCGGCTTACCGTGTCCAACTGTTGCTGGCGTTCCACGACATGTGGCAATTTCAAGTTGTTGGTAGTCTCCATTCAAAGTACTTTCTAGTGCGTAGTGTAGATACCCGTAAAGTACGTAGGCTGCCCGATTTACAGGCTTAAATTTTTCAGATAATGCGTGGCTGTGGGATGAAAATTGTTGGGTCAGTGGCGAGTCGTTTGTTGTAAAAAGTTCAATGTTACATGGATGTAGCTTGTGAGGTGGGCGTTGTCCATCACCAGCGGAAGCTAAAGAAGACGAGAACACCACGGTGTACGGAATCGCATCCGACAGGAACGACTGTAAGTCTTTTTTTTAAAAATCCACCCCAATGCGGAAGTAAGATAGATTGCAATGAAATGACCGAGCCTAGTTTATTAACATTATGCAGTCCTCAATGGATTCATGCCTGCCCGCAAACTCACAATCAAAGAGGAGTCTACAAAACTGCGTGGTCTTTGTTGGTGAGGAGGTCCTCCAACAGACTTATGGTAGCCTAAACATTCACGTCGGAGGCCTATAGCACTAATCTTTTGCCGAATACGTCACTAGTCCTAATCTGGATGCTTACTCTGCTACAAGTGGAGGAGCGCCGCTTGAATAAAATATTGAGATGTTTAGTATCTTATTATTGGCTTATTGAGTAGTTCGGCCCCAGTTCCAGGCAGTTGTGTCATGTGACCGATCTGCCATAAATGGGGCTAGGCTGGCCAAGCTGGTCATGTGACCACTCTTTGTATTAGTTCTCCCAGTATCCCCATTCCCAGGAGAATCCAACTTTCATATAAGCCCTGATTGGCCTGATGCTATTCCATCAATTTCGACATGTAGTAGCATCCTACATAGCAGCATACTAGGGATCTCTGGTATCTGTGCTATCTGACCCATGTAGTTCGACGTTATTGTTTACGTGACCCAACCCCCAATTCCTAACCACCTCTCGTCGATAGACCTCGCTGCAAATTGCCTTCAAACCAGACCGAATAGCAGTCATTGGCTGAATTGCAAGACATAATCTACGGCAACATGTGCAGCAACGTGATCCGGATGCGCAGAACTCAACTCCCCTGCAGAGGCAGTCCCTATACCGCGTATACGATGGCATCCAGAACTGCTCGAGCTCCGAGGACATGGATGACGGCAACTAATAATCAGCCACGCCAGCACGACTCCGGAGGACACCGAAAATAACATCGAATCTACAAACTACAATATAAGTTTTGCTGACAATTCTCTTGCTAGTTTTAAATTGTCATCTGTTAATGGCATCAAAGGTAATGGCAAAGCCGTTTATACGAAACTAACTGATAAACCAGTGGGCCATGGGGCTCTATCATTCTGGCCCATTGTGAATTTCTATCTCGATGGCATTAGTCCCATACTTTGTGTTTCGGAACGAGCGGCATGCCTGCACTAACAAAAACATACGTATTCGTTAAGCGGACGTGATTTGACAGCCCTTAGTCCGTATATTATAGTCGTCATACTTTCTTCTGTGCAAAATATTGATTTTCAAAATATTTATTCAAAGGCCCCTACATAACAGATCCACCAAACTTCGACAGCCTCCTTGGCATCAAACCACTGCGGTGAAGAGAACTCTTCGGCATTTTTGTGGAATCAACAGCTCAACAGACATGTATCCCGGAGGAATACGATTGAGCATAGGAGGCAATTGTGTTCTTAGGCAGGAAAATATTGCCCGTTTTGGCACGGCTTCAGGCGACAGGGTAGCTGAATGATGGCAGCAGCTGCCCAATCATATGTCGGAAACTCCGCTCGGCAAGAATTAACTACCATAATGAAAAGAAGCTGCAAGCAGAGATCTTGGCAATAATTAGTAACTTTTCACCCGCACATGACAGATTCGGTGGCTGGCTGAAAGCCCAATCCTGTACAACCGACAGCACTATTGATCTCCATCTAACCCCGCTTTTGACGGGCGGCTTGGATGTGTCCGAACGCCTTCTTAGTTTTTACTCAGATTTCAAACATGATGTTCATTGCCTATCATCACTTACCGTTAGGATCACCCGGCCTAGCGAATGTGCCGCTATGATGGACATCTAGCCTGGTTCAACATTTCCAACCCCTGTCGTGTCGGCAGTAAATGTACAGATACTTTAATTTCATTGGACGATGCTATTTATTAAGCCCAATTTCAATCTCGTCGGGCTAAGGCTTTTGTCTTGACGAGAGTCTTGAACTGCTGATCAATATTTAGTGTGGGTGGTGCAAGGGTTCCTACATCCCTTCGGCGGGGAACTGGACGAACACCAGTTCGAGGTTGAACAGTTGATCTTCACATACCTAAGCACGTGTGTTGATATGTAGGCCCGTTACGTGTCGTTCCCGAACAAGCTTATTAACGGCAGATCGTGATGTGTCGTTCATATGCTCGGTTGACTTGACACAATTCTGTAAAAAATCACACAATATCCAAGTAAGCGTCTTCAATTCAATATAATATTCATTGGCAAGTATATAAATAACCTAACTTGGTCTTTGGACATCGACAAAGCCATTCCTTAAACCCCGATCCATGTTTGAACCTGCTCCCAGGTTGTCACCTGTTCACCCCACCCTCTCCAGATACCCTTGATGTTGGTACTAACCCTCTATGTCGAAGCCCAACATAATTTAGAGAGCTTGAGTCTAGAGCACAACATCAATTCTTCATTACACAAATTTGGTACTTTTTACCGGGGGCATGTAGCGATCCAGTGTAGGCAATGAAGTCTACCACGCTCAATCCCCACTCTTTTAGCTACATTGAGGAAGTAAGTAAGATATCCGCGGGCCGTATTTGAAGCTATCACCTGAGTTCCATTCAGCAGAATTAGTATTACGAGTCGCCGATTACGGCCGCCCCTCAATGCATCATAGTCCCCGCTATTCCAACGTCGGAACTATAGCCAGGAGGTCATCTGTGTACCCGGTTGTGGCTAACAGCCAGCAGAGTCAGCCAAAGGCTGGCTGAACAACTGGTTCATATTTTCAAAAATGAAGGAAAAAACAGAGGGGAAATTGATCCCCCCCTGAAGGCATTCCTTTCCATATCTGGATAGTAGGATTTAGATCTTTGCCTGCCTGGCGGTATTGATGTCGTTCCCATATCAACAACGGCCTACGTGAAATTAGAGACTGGCGAGTCTGAAAGTGGAATGTGATCTACCTTCGCCCTTAATACCAAAGGAACCGGTCCGTATGATCCCATGTCTGTGCCTATTTCGCTGCCCTCATAGCGGGATGTCGGTGTGAATGAACCTGCATTCGTAAAGTGGGCATTTTAACAAGAGCGAGCGAATTATTGACGCCGTATAAGAGATGCTGGTCTTCCTCGCTTAAAATGGTTCACACCGTTCTGATGAACGTCTACAATTCTAGCTAGCGCTTGTAACAGGGGGTGATACAGGTTCGTACACCACCACCTTTTGGTTAAAAAAAGAAAACCTGAATTTTGGGCTGATGGCAGAACTGTCCAGGGATAATCGATTGGTCTTTGCATGTCGGTTACGGATATTTCTCAATTGAATTTTGTGGGAGGTAAATGAAAAGAAAAAAGGGGCGAGATTGTCTATAAAAGGGCCAATTCCTCTTGAAGGACTTCCAGTAAAACGATCATTCTTATTGCGATCATCACCATCTGCAAGAGCAATAGGACAGCAAAAAAGATATCGTTTCAAAGCCAAGCTACAGCCATGAAAATTTTCAACTCTGTTCCCCTCCTTCTCCTCCCCTCCATTGTCTCTGCCCTTCCCAGCGAGCTCGCTGAGGTTGAACTAGACACAAGAGCCTGTGTTTCTTTCAAGAACCCTGTCACCAATGTTAGCGGTTGCTGTGACGTCGTAACCGCCCAGCTCTTCTGGATTGATATCATTCTCGGTCTTGGCGTATGTTGCCCTCTGGGCCAAGTGCTCGATGGCTTCAACTGCGTCGCTCCTCCTTCCAACGGCAGTACCTGTACCGGTGAACCTGTATGCCCGCACAAAATTGGCACTGATCTGGGCATCAAGTACGGCCACTGCTACGTTCTTCTGAGTCTCAATAACAACTACCTTGGTCATGACTCCGCTACCAAGTACGTCGTTAACGGCGAAAACCCTGGTGTTGTGTTCCGCGTCTGTGGGGATACGACCAACTGTGTTACCACGGCCGATCAATACGTTACCACGAATGGTACATGGTACATGCAAGACCAGTTTGGAGATCCCAACGGTTCTGGTTTTGGTTGGCTAGGCGGCTCCGGTGATCTTTCGATTCAGAACTCCAGCACTGCACTTGTTATGGGCGGTTCGACTACTTGCTTCGGCGGTAGCTGTGCAATTTGTATTAACTTCCCTCCTGGCGGTGCTCATGCCCCTTGCCCTCTGGCTCCGGGCCAGTCGCATTTGGGCATTGCGCCTAACCCAAACAGCTGCCAGAACTTTTATTGGCAAGAGGTGCCGTGTCGCTCGGAGAAGTAAAGACATGAAAGGCGATAGTGCAAAGGCCTTTGGATATGTAGAGGCGAAGTAAGGATGGTTGTCAAAAGGAAACTTTTAGTCTTTCGGGTACTTCTTGTGTTTTTTTAATGGGGCCCTACCGTTCACTCCTTTGATTGACACTCTAATTCCTAGGAGCATTTTAATTGCTTTCCTCAAAAGATTACATTCATTAGTGATAATCGATTGAACTCAAATCTGACTTAGTCGTCGCTTGTATACACTTTGTAGCAATTGGGGCTGTTTCATACACTGTGAAAATATCAAAATGCCCAATTCCCACATGAATATTGTAAGATTATAATAAGAAATAGCCGATACAGAACTATAGTTGGGAGTTCTAAAACAATCCGGTAATGACAATAAGTAAAAGAAACCCTTCCAAAATGATTAAGAGCTTATCGTGATTCTATACATAGAACGAGCAGACTCCAGTTTGGTTGTGGTGTGGGTTTGTGGTGAAATTGACTTGCCTGCCCGTCAAACAGAGGTCACAGTTGAACACCCCATCTCAAGTTTGAGAAGGTAAAAATCGTTACAGCACTGCACCAACGACTGAAAGTTGTGATTGTTGATGCGTTGTGCGTTGTCACAAATGATTAAGATCACGATAAAAATTAGTGTCCGCTGGGGGGAGTCTTACCTCTCGATCATAACCGGCGAAATAGATTACCGGCTTCGCCGGGTAGAAATCTCCTATAGAGTTGGTAAGAGTGAGAGTTATTTGAATTGGTGACTTGAAAACTACGACGTGGCGTGTTGAGGCGGTAAAGGATATGTGGGGAAAAAGCTCGCATATCCCTGACGAGTTCTTCCCTTGTCACCCATTCTCAAGCAATGACGCGAGCTAGCTACTACTGTAGGTACCTTTGCTAGCTGATGATAAAGGAGTCCACGCGTCTCATACGGCATGCTCCACTATCACCACTTCGGCCCCAACATGCTCTATCTAATCGATTATTCCGCACCGGTTATACTTTAACAAATCTAGCGTGTTACTAGACATATCTCCAGTCCAATCCAATACCTGAAACTAGATTAGTCTTAAATATATTTTTATCGGGTTAGTTCGGGTATTTAACAAAACTCAGAATAGGCGCAAGTACGTAACCTTAAAATAAAATTTAGTGTCAAAAGAGTTTAGTTGAGTTTAAGTTATAACACAGTGAACAGTTGAAAGCTCTGCTAGATCAACCTATTGGCATTTTATGGAGGAACCTGATATTTAGGTAATTACGAAATCCGATAACCTGTTACGAAATTATTTCAGTCAACACCATGTCAATTTCAAAACTGATCATCAAAATGATGAGTAGGAAATTCCTAATTCGGTTTAGCAGGATTAACCTGGGTCTCAATTTCAGCCCCTTTTTCTGAAATTTCAAACTCTAAATCAAATTGCACTAACAGTAGTGGCACCTAAGCGTGTAGCTCGCCACTCTATACTTCCCTATAATACTTGAATTGTAGAGGCGGCCTCTTTTCAAAGAGGGAGTGGCCGATTCATTGATTTGGTGCAACTGTTACCCTTGGTTTAGTGAATGAGAATATTTATAACAAATTTCGGGAGAAATTTTTATCGTCATTATGTCCGAGTGGTTAAGGAGAGTGACTCGAATCACGATATCACTTGGGTTCGCCCGCGCATGTTCGAATCATGCTGATGACGTTTTTATTGTATCCTCTTTTTGTTTTTCGGAGTCAGGGAGCCCCAGTACTATCTTCACCGGGTACTTGATTTCCTTCTTGTATATTTTCTTTTGTGTAGCTTTAGCATTTCATAGCGCTTTTTTGAGCACGTACGACTATCAGAAAATTGGGCTTGAACTTGAGCGGTACGTGGAATTTAGTGCGAGGGTGCTTCCAAGAAGCCTAATAATTTTAACGCCAGGTTATCAATTATAGCTACCTCCCTATAAGCCTTATATATATTACACTCAACTTACTTTTAACTCACCTGATAAAATCATTCCAAACTTCCCCAATTCTCCCCAATCCTAGCCCTAAACTTTCCGAACTCGTGCGCGTGGGTAACCAATAGCTGCACTCGTGTACTAAATTCCACGCAACGGTCAACTGCACCCCGAATTTCTCAAAATTTGATCAGTTCTATTGCTACTCGCATGGTCGCCATTCATATAGACTGGCGGAATAAGTGGGTATGTATAAGAAAGACCATTAAAACGGCCCGCCAACTCAGAGAAACTTGATTTTTATCATCGAAAATAGAAGCTACGGCTTACCGGGTTATTTCTTAGATTTTTTGATGTTGATTGACTTCATGATGAAAAGATAGATCGCGCCAACTGAGGATTCGCGATGATTTCGTAAATGAATTTTTGAGGCGGAAAGCTTGTTGTAGGGGCCGGATAATACCGCCGATACCGGGATAATACCCGATGCCCGTAGGAATTACGAGAAAGGGCAATGAATCTAAGCTAAAGAGAAAGTTACATATATTTATCTATCGGGGGCTAATTCTTCCATCCCATTGCTAAATCCCCGACGACTAAGCAGCCACATCCCTGCAAATGTAACATGCAAGCTTGCAAGTGGGGGATTTTCCTATTCTGTATAATGTGGAGTCACAGTCAAGATGGAACAAGTATATAAGATTCCGGTGATGTCGACTTGAAAAAATACAACTCCACTACTATCAAAAGCAATACACAGAAAATTAATTACTCATCAACAAGAAAAATGGGTTTCAAGCACATTCTTGTCGCCCTTTCTACCGCAACCTTTGCCCTCGCTGCCTCCCCAGTGGGGACTGGCACCTGGACTTCGGTCACTGCTAGCTTTGACGCGCAGGAGTGTGCTGGAGGTGTCGTTAACGGTAACACCTTTAAACTTCCCACATCGCCCAACGGCAGCACGAGCGGCAGTGGTTGCTCAAACGGCCACTTGCGTGCTGAACGCCGGTACAAGAATGACTACACCTCGGGTGTGCACCAGTTCGGAGGCCAGTTCCAGATTACCTCCATGACTGGCAACAAAATCTCGCTGAAGCAAACCTTTAACGGTGACGATGGGCCATACTTCATCATGGGCGTTAAGAGCAACGGCGACCTCTACGATGTAGAGGGCGGCGCGACCATTGCCAGTGGCGTGGCCACGGTAGGAACGACTGTGACAATCAACACTATCCATGATGCCAATAACCAGCTCTACGACGTGTACGTCAATGGCAAAAAGACTTTCAGCACCAGCGCCCCCGGCGGTAGCTTTTATGACAAGTGCGGAGCCTACACTAGTGACAGCGGCACAGGTGCGATCACCGTCATCTGGAGCGACGTTTCGTTTTGGACCCAGTAGAAGGAAATGCCCTAGTACAGGACGGGCTGTCAAGTCTTATCTAGCACATGAATCTTTGCTATATCGCATATTGTAAGGGCAACAGCCCCTGCGAATGTCTCTGGTCGTACACATCAAAAGATAAAATTACTCAGAGGATATACTATATCAACTACATGGACCAACCGTGAGACAGAAATAATGAACAACTTAGCTAAATCACTCCTATATGTATATGAATTTCTGTTTATGACGTAATTCATATACAAAATTTATGATTTCTCTCTTCTATCTCTTGTAAAGCCTTCACAATCCGACACGATGGGTAGATGGATAAGTTTTCTCTTTGAACTGTTAACAGAGATAGTCTTGATTTAACCTACTCCTCAGGACAACCTTTAGCCTTATTTTGCACATTTTTAGTTTTAATTTTGCCCAACTATTCAAACGTGATGCCATCCCGACCTTTGGCGTTAGTTGTGCTTCGATTATTGCACTCCTGCTCGGGGTTTCGCCTTACTTCTGCTAGTTTGTATGGTTTACTAATCTTTCCCTTGAATCTTATGTGTGTGCTGCCGTAGCCCCATTGGCTCTATAGTTAAAACCGTAGAATTCAGTCAATCAATAACCTTCTCGGAGAGTAATCGGCCGCGTGTTTGACCGGGCCGGATGTAACTATCTTTATTGTCATCACCTCGCCTTACCTACAGAGTATAGGGCCCAGAAGCTTAACCTGACGATCATTTCTATGAAAAACTGTACAATGCAGTTCATGAACTCTGCAGGCTACTGAACTGGTACGTAGTACTATTAGCAGTATGTTTAATTTGCGGAACGGGTTAACGGAATTCGTTCATCATTATATCCATATTAACCTAGAAGTTTTAAAAATACATTAATAGAGCCATCAAGTGAATTGGGCTTATGCCTAATGAATGTTCTCTACTGCAGACATCCATAGCTGAGCATCGACCATAGCATCTCTTCTATCCTTCTTCTTAATATTCCCACCCCTTCACACGATCGTCTCGAAAGGGAAGTTGTATGACTCATTTGTCTCCTTATCGATTGAACTCACTAGCTTTCCTTTATTTGCTGGCAAGTGTATCTGACCGTCAGATGATTATGTCGAGTAGAATGAGAAAGAATGCATAATGTTTGCTGACGCCGTAAAACAGGACCTACAGAAAACCCAATCATATTTTCGTATAACCTGCAAAAAGCACTAGCTGAAGCAGAAGGAATCCTTTTATATTATTGTTAGTCTAAGTAAATTTTCCTAATTTTTTTTTACAAGGACCCAATCTAGCAAACTCAGTGTGTTGGGGAATTGTAGCGAAAAGTCGATTAATTGACTAGGTATACGAGAGTGCACAGTCAAGACTGATTAACAGTTGTAACATATCAACAAGAGATCATACACAGCATCAAACTCAACACCATCGTTGTTCTATTAGTAATAAGTAAGTAATGTGCGAAGGGAGATGGAGTAAATAAATATTTGACGTATTCGACGACTCTCGTAGGTGCTACGGCTCAACCTCTCATACTCTCTTTCGGCGTCGTCAAATGCTACTAATAGCACCCACTAGAATCGGAGTTATAATAGAGAAAATTTCTATTTCTCTGTTACCATGGAACGCACTGTTCCCCCTTTTCGGCCCTAGAAAGATTGTTCGGCCGAGGAGTCCCCCGGCCCGTCGAGGGTGGAATGTGATCCCTTGGGGAAACGCGGGGTCTGGGGAAGGTTAAAACTTTAGCAGAAGCCGATAACCCTAGGTGGGTTGGGTCTGGTACGTTAACAAATCATCGTCCACGGTCGGCAATTGTTGTTTCTTCCTATTTATTGATTTCTATATTTCACCTCCTCTTCCTACCCGCTCAGTCTTAATAGCGTAGTCTTGTTCTCGATCGTTCGATCTTGAAGTATTTTTGGCCTGGGAAGTCTGATCACTGAGTGTTCCTAGATATTCTAATAGCTTTCACAGCTATTATTCTTATCTCTCCAGTTGTCACGATGCCTCATTTAAATTCCATGACTGCGCATGGGATCCATGGAGTGAAGCTCCATGAGATTGGGAAGCGCGATCGTATGTGGTGGCATTACCCCGGCCTGGGGACACTCAACATGCTGCTTCTTGGCTGTATTGTGTGCGATATGACGAATGGATATGACGGTTCAATGCTCAATGGTCTTCAAATTACCGCTCAGTGGCAAACCTTCTTCCATCACCCTGAAGGCACTCATCTAGGCACTCTTAGCAATGGTACCCGATACGGTCAGATTGCGTCCCTCCTAGTGGTGGCGCCTCTACTCGAGAAGCTTGGGCGACGTCGCCCTATTGCAATTGGATCCTGTATTCTGCTCATAGGCGTGGCTCTCCAAGCTGCTGCGCAAAACTATGCTATGTTCCTTGTTGGTCGTCTATTGATTGGATTTGGCAACTCCATCCAAAATCTTGCATGCCCAGTTCTTGCTTCAGAACTGGCCCACCCCTATCAACGGACTCAAATTGTTGGTATTCAGAATACGACTGGGTCACTCGGGCAGATTATAGCGGCATGGGTTACTTATGGCACGGCATTCATGGTCAGTTCCTGGGCATGGCGTCTGCCGTCGTTACTCCAGGCCTGCTCCTCCGTTTTCCAATTGATTATGAGTTTCTTCATACCTGAATCCCCTCGATGGTTGGTCGCCCAGAACCGGCGTGACGAAGCATGGGAAATCTTGAAGAAGTACCACGCCGAAGGGGACGACGATTCGCAGCTATTACAGTACGAAATGCAAGAAATCGATGCTGCAATCGAGGCTCAGAAGATGCAGTCTCGTACTTCATGGCTGGAATGGTTCCGTACCCCGGCAAACCGCTACCGGTTGTTCATTGTTGTTACTTCAGGCTTTATTATCCAATGGTGCGGAAACGCTATTATCTCATACTATATACACCTAGTATTCAACTCCATCGGTATAACCTCCACCAAAAAACAGCTACTCATCAACGGTGGTGCTACGATCAGTGGCTTCGTTTGGGGCAATACGTGGTCACTTGTCATTGACCACTGGGGTCGCCGACCGATGTATCTCATCGGTATGGCGGGTATGTTCGTATCCTTCTTGATGATTACTGTTTTCACTGGGGTCAACCAGAGCATCAACTTCTCTAATGATGGTCTTGGCAACGCCACCATCTTTGCCATCTTCCTTTTCGGCTTCTTCTATAAGATGCCCGGATGTATGCTCAATTCCTATGTTGCTGAGGTGGCGCCATTTGAGCTGCGTGCAAAGGCTTTTGTTATTAGCGCCTTTGGTGACGCCGCTGCAAATATTTTCAGCGGTTATGTAAACCCAATTGGCCTCGTGGCCATCCGGTGGAAGTATTACATTGTATGGTGCTGCATTTTGGTCAGTAATTTCATGATCGGCTACTTCTTTTACCCCGAGACCAAGAATCTCAGCTTGGAGGAAGTTAATGAATTATTCGACGGTTCGACTTTGAATGTGAAGAGCGTGGACGTGGAGATCAAGGTAGGGAAGGATGAGGAAAATTTCGAAGTATCTCATATCGAGTAGCATATCACTTCTACCCCCCAAAGTAGTAATTTAATATGATATGTGACTAGCATACCTGTGTGAAAATCCAAAACTCAGAACCGAATCCCTGCTGTGGTTTCTCTACCGTTAATTTGTTTTGCCTTTCAGACATTTACTCGCAGGGTTTCAGTTGATGTATGTATGCATGCTGAACGAGGAATTTATCAAATAGAATTGTAGTACTAAAACATCTGAGATGACCAAAGGCCATGCTCTCTACTGCTAGGCATGGCTAGAATAACATAAAACTTTGCTATAGTATCAATTAATTAGGATCCAATTAAAGTCGCGTAGTAGAGCTATACTATGTTGTGATTCCTCGCTCGAATCCATGATGGCGAATGAGTGCATCTCCTCGGGAAAACAGCGGAGGAAACTGCCGGGAGAAATCCCGAAATCCGGAACTACTCATTCTGAATCCGAATTCCATAACGTGTTAACAATCACCACCTAGAATGCATAAGATCAATGGTCATGATATAGAAGACCTCATCGCTAGGAATATACGCCGTCCTAAATACGAATCCACTCCGAATCGATTCTATTAAGCATCTCCCCTTGCCATGATGGACTACCCTAACACAATAATATTGGATGGTGTCCAACTAGCTGAAACAAGGACTTTGTTGATTAGTGGCAAGGATAAATTCCTTCAAGGGGCATTGGGTCGCTTGGAAAGGCGAGCACACGAATGGCTTACACAAGGACCATGGTCAGTCGTGAATAAGGTCAAACCTCCACCAAGTGGTGACATACATGATTACACAAGCTTAGCGCCTTACTGGTGGCCATCGCCCACAGCTGACGGAAGTCCATATGTCCGGCGCGATGGAGAGAAGAATCCAGAAGTATACAACTATAGCGACCGGCTAAACGCCGAGAATGTGTTCACCGCCTCTTATGAGTTGAGTCTCGCATGGTTCTACACGTCTAACGAATCCTATTCGCGGCATGCGGCCAACATACTACGAACATGGTTCATCTCGCCTACCACCCGGATGAACCCAAACTTAAATCACGCTCAAGTGATTCCCCATGCTAATAACGGTCGCTGTATCGGAATTATAGACTTCTCACAAGGTTACACCAGCGTTATTGATGCGGCTATACTTCTTGCCGGAGACTCATCTGGACAGCCAGCACCGGGATGGACAAGGGAGGACATTGCCGGATTCCAGAACTGGAACGTTGAGTTCCTCCACTGGCTAACAAACAGTAGTTTTGGACGTGAAGAAAGCGCCCAGCAGAATAACCATGGAACGTTCGCCGCGATGCAGAAGGCGGCCATCGCGAGATTCGTTGGAAACCATGAACAGGCGAAACGTGAGATACTCAACATTAGGGAGCGCATCAATGCTTCAATTGCGTCAGATGGATCGCAGCCAGAGGAGCTGGAACGAACCCGCAGCTGGCATTATTCCATTTTCAATTTACTTGCCCTTACACGTATTGCTGCTATCGGGCAGAAGGTTGGAGTGGACCTTTGGTCGTACCAAGGTCCACAGGGGCAGAGTATCACCAAAGCGATTGAGTATCTTATCCCTGCTGCGATTTCCAAGGCAACATGGCAAGGCGCTGAAAAAGAATTCCTCCCTTTTGCTGCGGCTGATGTTTTACGCGCAGCAGCTGTTGCAGGGAGCGAGCTGGCGCGAATAGCAGTGCCGAAATTACTGCTACCTCCCGATGATATCTGGGTATTAAGGCCCGCACCTGAACAACTTGATGCGGTGAGGCTGAAGTAAATTGGTTTTTAAAGCACATAGTAGACTCAGATATGACACAAATGTATATATATAAAGATTGACGTAATTGTTGCCTCGTATATAGACACTGTACCGTAGCCATGGGATTACTGTTCGCATTTCCTGGGATTCTACTTTGCTTGTAACTTTATTTTTGTCGCGGTAGATTGTAGTGAGACATAAGAAGCTCTATTTGATATTGTGGTGACACGGAAACTATAGTCTACGTTTGGGAGAACAATGTAACAGATCATATTAGCATAAACTATCTTGACTAGGCACTAATGAACCAATCCTGTCAGTTGCGTAGACAATATATTATCCTAGCATATCATTATATGGACATTTTTGAGTTCCGGATAGCCCATAACCGATGTTCATCAGCAGATTCGTCTATTCTCTCAACCCAGAAGCGTGATTATGAGACAATCACATGGCTGACTTTCGGGAAGAAATGTAATTCTCCGTAATCTTAATATTCACTCCCTTCTCTTTGACAATGCTGGTCAGCTCTGAAAGTGTCGGAATTCGTGGCCTGGTCCTCCATTGTGTATGCATTTCCCGTCCCTCAGGCCCGGCGAGGATTGCAGCAGCAAAAACAGTCGGTACGTTTTCTTTCACCTCTCCGACAACTTGGGGCACAAGGGTTCTTGGGAACATCACATTTGTATTTCCATGTGGTGCAATAATGCGTGCTGCTCGTGTGTGTCCCGGGGGTGAAAAGTCTACGATGCCACTAAAATCACCCAATTTACTAAGAACATATGCCTCGGATCCTTCTTCTTCTTTCACGTCTCTGGCAAAATCAGTCCGCGGCGCTGCGAATCCACCCTCGACAGTTTGAAGGCTTCTCGGCGATAAGATTTGATGCACTCGAATATGCCATGCACCCGCCGGGATCAGCCACGACTGAATTGTAACATCCTTCCACGGTTTCCATGTCGAGAAAAGGATGTTTCCAGCTAAAATTGCCTCATTGCACCACTCGCGGACACGGAAGTGTCTCCCGTCATCACTCAACCCGATCATACTGTCGAAAGCACCTTGCTGGAACTCTCGTACGTCACTCTCGATGCTAAACCCGTAACGAGAAGAATAGGCGAATTTCATGTATTTCTCCGGAATGTGTCGCATCAATTGATGGGTGCCGGGTCCAGAGACGAGCATGATGGTATGATTTAGTTGATGCGTGACTACCATCCCAGAAACCGAATCCGCATATACAGCAGGCCGCTCAGGCATGGACAACTCTTCTGCCATCCAGAAGGGATGATCCGGCGGAAGAGCTAAGGGGGCGAACGCTTTCATTGACCACCAGGGCGAGCCTGTTGAACTGTACCGTTCTGTTATAAATTGATTGGGGTACGCATATCCAAGCGTCAAAAGACCATCGTCCAGTGTATTAATCGGTTGGGAAGCCCACCAACGCAGATTGCGTAGATATAGTCCTTTAATCACACCCCATGGTAGAGCTTCAATGTTCGCCACAGCCAGCATACCCCAATATGCAGCTGTGGCATGGCGATAGACAAGACTTCGTCCATATGGAACATTAGCGCCATTATCAGAGAACCAATGGATATAATGCTTTGCGAAAGTACGTGCTCTTTCCCGCCATCTATCAGCACGGGGCTTGTCCTCTGGTCGATAAACAGAGTACAAAAGGCCGTAGTAATGCCAAGCAAACGGATTGTAATAATCTAATCTGCGCGTATCTGGAATGTCGGCTCCATCACGAAACCATCCTTTCTCGATATACATACTCTCAAGATCTTTCAGATACTCTTCAGTACCATTCCTATCAATCGAAACGCCCACTTTTTCAAGACCCATATCAACGAGGATACGAAAAAACTTGTGGTTGTTATTAGCATGTTGTGTGTTTCTGCTTTGTATTAACCAGCTCGCGAGGTTTCTTTTGGACACTTCGTCAAGTGGATCATACACATGTTCTGGAACCACGAGCAGTGCGTATCCCAGAGCTGTTGCTTCTACATGCCTCTGGTCCATATCAGTAACGGTTCCCCAATACTCTGGGTGGCTAGGATTGGTGCCATTTTTTAGACCCTCTCTGTAAACATGCCAGTAATCAAACTTTGCTCCGCCTCTGGCTAGAGGGACCAGTCCAAACAAGGGACGAGCAAATCCTTCAAGATCACATGCTGCACGATCCCAGTTAGAGCTAGATGCATCTAACTGCACGCGAGCCTTCCCAGGGGAGAACTTAGGAAGAAGGGGATTAAATAGAGCGTGACAGGCAGCTATGACATCGTCGCGGGTCTCGAGGGGATTTGTGAATAATGTGTTAAATCTAGTTGGTCTGATAGTGCTAGAGTCGACTGCCATAGCGGTAATTTATTTTGTTGTGATAGATCGATTGTTGAGTCCTGGGGTTCGGGTGTCACTTTTACGCTGCAGATGGATGTTAGGCAAAACTGAAGAGATATTAAGGGTCCCTTAGACCCTGCTGCAAGAGATAACTTGATACAATGAAAACAGCGACAATTGACCGATTAGGGGTTCTTCCACAGCGTGCAACATGAGTGTGCCACATGCGAGTCGGGCGGGAGTAGATGTCGGCCGACCAATAAATAGCATCCGGTTGAAATTTTGACAACGCTCTTGGCCGTCTGAAAAAGGAACAAGTTAACGGTATGATCTTCGAGAATATGTGTGTCAAAGGTAACTCGGTAGATAATGAAGGAAAATCTTATTCTCAAGACAACTAACTAGCTAAGCAGGGATTTTGTTGGGCGGCATGCTCCGACTGACAAGCAGACGACACTGGCAAATGTCAACCAAAAAAGTTATTTGTCCAAGAATATCAACCCTCAACACCGCCATTGCGACAATAAAGGTGTGGTTCGCATCATGTAGTCATCGAGACCCATAACCCGACATGCAACTGTGCTACTGTATGTAACGGGTTATGAATCGGGGCCGGGATAATCCTCGGCCGGTCACATCGGCGAGTCCGCAATACACGACAACGACTGGAAAGTGAGTAATGGGAGCCATTCACTGGTCCAATGAATGCCAATAAGGCAACTCTTATCGCTTACTAAGAGTTTCCAGGTCTTTGCTTGAGATTAAAACCCCCAAAATTGGTAACATCAATCGTATTATTTCTCATTTTCGCCTCGCCTATAAGCTTTTATACGAAAGTGAATTCCTTTTGAAGAACTAATTACTGCTGCCGCTACCATGGGAAGTATGTATCACTCTACATATTCAGAATATGCGAATGGTGTCTCCAATGACTCCTCTCGAAGCTCAAGCAATACCTTTCCTTCTGACGACAACACCGCTCCATCATCAACAAACGATGAGAACGAGCAGTTTTTCTGTATTGAACCCGCCAGTCAGATTGGTTTTCAATTGCAAGAGCTATTCTCCGAATCTTGTGCTGGCAAAATTTGGAGAACAGCGGCGAATTTGATTCCAGCCAATGTGGGCATCTACCTCTCATGGTGTTTATAGAATCTAATCTCTGATTTTCGGTATGAATAGGAAAGGATAGACCGCTTTCCCGAATATGTTCTATCCTTTGGTCCGACGGCAGGAAACTACACCACCCGCGAGGCCAAGTTCTGGACATGCGGGTTCTTCCCAGGCAGTCTCTACTGCTTGCTTGAGCGAAGCAGCCGATTTCCTAAAGCTTTCCCTTTCCAAGACAGTTCCATCAATAGACAAAAGCTTCACGATCAACTGCTTACACAGTGTCGCCGCTGGTCTGAGCCTCTCCACGAGATGGCCTTCCGCACAGATACGCATGATGTTGGGTTTATTATCATGCCCGCATTGCGACAGGACTGGGAATTAACCGGCAACAAAAAAAGTATGAACAGCTTACTGATTGCTGCGGAGAGCCTGGTATCAAGATTCGATAATAAAGTAGGTGCCATAAGAAGTTGGAATCAATGTGTTAGTAACCGATACCACATCACGGATCGGGAGACAAACTTTCTAGTGATTATTGATAGCATGTGCAGTGAGTTCTTTCTCATATATTATTCTTTAAAGAACTGCTACTGAAGTAGCACACAGATCTTGATCTGCTGTTTTATGCTGGCTACCAAGGTGGCAATCAGCGATACATCGACATCGCGATCTCACATGCCCGCGCAGTCGCCAAAGCGCTCATTCGACCAGACAATTCCACCTTTCATGTTTGCAATTTTGACCCAAAGACAGGAAGCATCCAGAGCCAGTTTACCCACCAAGGATATCAAGACGACTCAACCTGGAGTCGGTATGTCTTATTGTCGTGGTAAATGATGTCTGGAGTAAATACTGATCATGTTGCAGAGGGCAAGCATGGGGGATTCTAGGTTTTGCTCAAACTTACCGATGGACAAAAGACCCTTTCTTCCTGTCAATCGCAACATCTCTTGCAGATCATTTCATTCATCATCTTCGTTCAGCGACGTACCACCATCCTTACGTTCCTCTATGGGACTTTGACGATAGCCAGGCTCCATATTTACGCGACACCTCTGCTGGAATGATCGCTGCGAATGGAATGCTGTTACTCCATCAGGCGATTCAGACAGATGGGCAAAATAGTAGTACTTACCTTAGGGCCGCAATTCGCATTGCCAAAGAAACGATTGATTTGTCGCTAGCAGATGCCAAAGCGGTATTTTATTTGACGGCAGACGGTACCGTTGATATCACGAAGCCGGACTTCGAGTCCATCCTAATGAATGCAACAGCGAATAACAATCAATACGCCATTATGAGGTACAAGGACCATGGTCTTGTGTACGCGGATTATTATTTTTTGGAGTTTGGAAACAAGCTTTTGAGGATGGGTCTGATTTGATAAATCTCGCGTATGAACATAATTCGTATAATATGAAGATAGACTAGTAGAAATATAAGGTGCATTTGGATCTTTCATACATCTTCAATTTAATTAAATTATATACAATCTCTGGATCTTCGAATGGATACGTTCTTCATATATTCTGCGCAACAGCATACGTCCAATCCCACGCAAAGTCCGTCTCACTCAGCGTGATTACTCTATCCATCTGCGAAAACTGATTATCAAGCAACATATTCGACATCATGGTTAGCTCGTCATCGTTTGCGTTTCCGTTCAAGCCTAGCGCTATAGGGTTCTGTGCAGCTGTACTCGGACGTGCGACACGGTACGAATTGACCGAGTCGGAATACCCATTGCCGTGAATATTACCTGTAGGGACCCTATTGAAGGATGGACTTTCACCTAAAACGAAACCAGATTCATTCTCGGGAACAGACCCTCTGTCCTTTGCTGGAGACTTCCAAGATCTCAAACTGTGCTCTAGTGCCACAGATTCGTCCACGTTCGCTGCTTGTCCTCGAGACACAGCGGCATCTTGAGTGCCAGTCACTAGTTCGGAAAATGCATGTGTGCGCTTCCGAGATATATCCAAACCAGTTATAATATCATCGTGAAACAGATTGTTTGCCTCTAACTCCGGTTCATTGATACACTTTGAATGCAATGCTTCTAATAAAGCAGCATATCGACCCGCGATATCAAAGTCTTGATGCGTCTCGTTAGTTGTGACTACTGTGGATCTTTGTTTTGGGGATTGCAGATACCCCTGCCAACGACGCGACATGTATTTTAGACTCTTCAGAAGATCGAAGTATTCATTTACCAGGGGCGTAGCGTGGAACTTCCAATGTACTAACCAAGTCAGCTTGCACACTTACAGTGAAGTCAAAAATAAATTTTGAGGGGGCTAATATCACCCACCTAATAAAACTCTGGCTGCAATGAACACACAAAATGGAAACTGCGCAACGACAATATCCGATGCGCTGTGGGTGAGGAACTTTTGTGCTATGGAGGAGGTCTCAATCGCCGCGAGCTGGCATGTCTCAGCACTGCATGAACTCGGCAATCGGACAATATTACGCAGCTGATCGGGCGGATAAGCGATATGCTGATGTAACAATATCATGGACGTATTGTGTGTGACATGTGCCAGTGTCAAATTTGGATCCATCTTAACAATTGTCTCGTCGCGGGAGATGTTGGAGTCATTCCATTTACTGGGAAGGAGATATTTCCAGCTATAGCGATCAGTCTAAGTATGTTGGATCTGACTATCTGTGTTAGATTGCGGACAAGACGTACTGAACCAGTCTCAAGTCTAGCTCCTTAAACCTCATCAACCAACCGCTCACCTCCTGTCGATTAGAGAAATCAACCGGCTGTTGTAAAAAGAAGGTAGTAACTTGACACAACGACTCAGTCGCCTCAATGCGATACGCAAATGCTCCGACTTGCACAGATTCTGATGCTGGGGATGTATGGCTCCGAGACGACTCCGAGGACGAAGGTGATCGTGCTGCGGACATGTTATATGAGGAAATCGGATTTCCAATTTTGGCGGCTGACTTGTCCCAGATTCCAAAATATGGTGTTAGTGCACTTTCACCTCGAGCCCACATTTTGCCATCGCAGGGGAGACGCCGGCGGACGTCAGACGAAGTAAGACTCGTGCTCCACCTGTTTTTGATTTTGTTAATGTATATATCTTTTACACATCCAAGCGGTGCATCAATACCCTGCTATTGCCGAACATAACCTAGTATATGTTAGGAATATGAACATGTCAAATAGAAGTTGTCATATTAGTAGCACATACCGGTCTAGAATGAAGACATTCCAAAAAATGCGTCGCCGCTCCTCAGATTCAGTCCAGGTTTGCGCATCTTCTAGCAAGACAATGGGCCGAAGGAAAAGTGGCTTAGATTTCTCGTCCACCTCGATTGATAATTGTAGATATTCTACGGTGCGTGTGAGTGATCCAATAATTGGCGATGCGCCAGCCAGATCTCCGTAGCCCATCTGGGTATCGTTAATAAAAAGACAGAGCCTATTGAAGAGTTGAGAAGTAGAGAAATATACGCACGCGATCTGACGCAAGAATGATCAGAGCCTGCAGGCTCTCGATAGACATATCGAATATTGCCATCTTAATCATTGTATCTCGTGAAACACGAATGTGCATGTCTCTTTCCGCCTCATCCATCCCGATTTCTTGTATATTCATATGTCTAAGAGTTACACAAATCATACCATGCACAAGCACAAGCAACTTGTCGTCCGGCGTAAGATTCTCTAATCGTCTCTCGAAAGTTGGCTGATGCACGCATGGTAACCACGGATGAATTATGGAAAAGTATGTCTTGACTATCTTGCGCAATGTATCTTGTCCGGGTAGAGGAACTTCTCGTTCAACAGCTGCAGTACGGGTTGAGTCCTCTTTTCTCCGCTTCTTGGTCGCATGGCATGTAGAAGTCGCGCAGGCAGTTTCCGTACATTGCACGGATAGGTGTCTCTTTTTACAGTCCAGAGATGTTGCTTGTAATTGAGTGTTTTCTACTCCAGCTTTGGCGGAGTTAGCTACAAGTAAGGCTGCGTGATACACGCATCCTGCCATATCAGGAGTTGCATTATTCGGCACACCATTTAGTGTACGTTCACCATTTAGAAGAAGTCCTTCTAGAATAGCTAAAGAACATCAATTGTGTAATCTTCACTGCGAATAGAGCGTATACTAACAGATTCGTTGGCTAAGACTCTCCACGGCCCCGCTTCGAAGACCAGGTTTCTGCTTCTTGCGATCGTATATACATGGACATGCTTGAAATAATTATGAGCTTACAGATGAATGCTTCTAGTGGGAGGTGTTCACCTACAAAGTCGAGAGCACTGCGAACAGGCTGGAGCTTCGCGTGAGCATTTCAGCTTGCGTTTTCGACACGACTGGCACGCAGGGAACTCCTCAGGCTCATTTGGCCGGTCGCGATCAGTACCTTCTCCAATGGCTTCATCGCAGTTCTCACCCTGAGCCATTTTCTCTAAGTCTCTTGCTGAACCAACAGAAATGACCAAGGATTCGTTGACTGACGATAGACTGACTTTCGAAAGAAAATGTGGAGAAAAGTCCGGGGTAGCATCCTCTCGACGCCACAGCTCGCGCTGGTCGGTGGATTTTAAAAAAGCCGCCAATCGCCATCGAGCCTGTCTAGCGTCAAAATGCGAAGGCGAATTCTGGCCACTTGCCAGGAGCGGCTAGTTGATTGAATCACATTCAAGCTTCTAGTGAACTATAAATTGCGTATGGATGTGGAAGAGCAAAAGCTAAATTGTCAAATATTAAAGTTACATCAAATCCAGAGGATCATAAATTAATTATGAAATTGATAAATCACACCCATGGTGATGGTTGACAGTACAGACATTGAGAATCAATATCCTCGTCATTCATCTGGTTGATCTAGTCTGAAATGTCTAGGGCGCATAAGAAAGGGTGGTGACTTTTTGTATAGCCTAGAGGCTCCTCCACCCACCGCGCTAGGCTTATAAGAGACTACAAAGACGCTAGTAAATCAATCAGATATATAAGTCTTCTTTTGAACATTGTTCAAGATACAAATAACTTACCTCCAAACGTGCCTTATTCCCAGATTGAATATTGCCATTATCGGATGAAAATAGAATCCCTGCCAAGTCCTCTTTAGATCTTTGTACTTCCATTACACGCTTTGAGGGAGATATTAGCCTTTTTTCTGGTTCAAAATTCTTTCATAGTACTTCAAATTACTTACCTCTTCAAATGTGTCCTTGACATAAAACCGGATTGTTGTCACTTCATTCTTTTGGCCCAATCGGTGGATTCGAGCAAGTGCCTGCTCCTCGACTGTAGGGTTCCTGAATAGGCCATGGTTAGTATATTAACCGATTTCTACAAGAGAGATGTGAATTACCAATGGGGTTCCATGAGATAAGCATATGACGCCTCGGTTAGAGTTAAACTATATACTCTTTTAGGCCAGAAACTGCAAGGATGATATTGACACTCACCCGACTGCACCACAGGACAGCGTCAAAAGCAAAACAGAAATGGAAGGATCCCTCCGAAATCTGTCTAAGATATTTTTTCTCTCCTTCTGTGGAACTTTACCATCGTACCGAAGGCATTGGATTTGGGCCTTGTCAAGACCCGCCTCAACGACGTCCAAGGTCATTCTCCAGGTGGAGAACACGATACTAGATAGATACACCTCTTAGCAAATTGACTCGCTGACTAGACGTTTAGTATAACCGACCTTTTTGAGTCAAATGGCTGGCTCTTTAGTCTCCTTAATAAGGAAGTTACTTTGGAAGGAAGCCTGTTGAGCATCACGTCGCTGCCCGGAGTAGATTGGGCAGGCATAAGGATACCATCCTCTAATATGTCCCTGTTCAACGACACTGGGGCAAATGGATGAGGTGGACTATGTCCGCACAGAAAGTCTTTGGCACAATCTTCATGTGAACGCTGGACACAGTCTGGACAGACAAATTGCCAGCACTGGGAGAAAAGGGGGTTTGTTAGATGATTACTCGATCCACCAAAAAGCCTTTCCGTTATATCGAGCATTGACTTGCACAGTTGGCAAGTGATGGATGCGATTTCACACTGGAAATTAAATGTCTGTTGCGCGACACTACTCCAATCCGTAGCTTCGGATGGGTCATTGTTTTCTATTGCCCTGACGTCGTATCGAGAATTATAATGCATTCCCATGTCGCAAACCATGCGCAGCGCATTGATTTGCTGAATAATGTTGACAAATGCGAGGGATGGCAATCCCTCGGCTCCTTCATGCCTTACAGCTTCGACAAAATGGGCGATTGCCTTGCTTTTGATCTTTTCATACAATTCCCTCTCATCAGTTGTGAAATTTACCAAACATCGGAGATCTGTTCTTGTGGGGAGGTTAATTGTGGTCTTGGGTCTCCTGAGAATAAGACATCTGGATAATCTTTTAAGCCTCTCCATTGCCTTTTCCGATTCACCCGTTTTCCATAAATGGGTAATATCCGCATCGAAATGTTTGGCATCGCAATATGGATAGACGTCAAGGAATTTTAAAAGTGCAGCCAGGTCTCCAAGTCTATTTTGAATTGGGGTGCCCGTCACTGCCCATCGCCTGGATGCACGAATAGAGCAAACGGCTTTTGCCATTTGTGAGTTGCTGTTGCGAATAAAGTGTGCTATCCGAAGTAAGTATATTATCAATGTAGGAGAGAAATATCGAGTCTAGACTTGCCTTCGTCGAGAATCAAGCGCTTCCATTGAGTAGAGAACAAGATGGACGAGTCTGACTTGCTAGAATTCTTCCATTCGGTAGATATTGTATGGTAAGTAGTCAAGATTATGTTAAGCTTCTCTAGCTCAAAGACATCTACTAAGCGTGCCTTGCCATGGTGTCGATACCAAGCTAGACCACCTGGCACAACATGTCTAGTTTATTAAAAATCAGCCATGTAGGTAGCAGGGCTTTGAGTACTACTTACTGAGATAGTTGCTCCTCCCAGGTATCTAGAACTAACAGACACATTAGAGACTATGCCCGCTCGAGGGAGAATTGAAACTTACGGGCGGGTGGCACAACAATCAGCGTTGTCTTATTAGTTCCAAAATTGTAAGTCCTTTTATCAAGAGTTGCATTCCCTACGTTGTGTATTTGCAAATCCGAAGCAACAAGAGCAATCATGGTCAAAGTTTTCCCAAGGCCCATGGGATCCGCAATTATACCCCCAAAGAATTGCTTGGGCTCTTCGCGCTGATGATCGCCTGAGATCATATTGAGAAATCTAATATTTTCCCCTAATGTTAGAGCTGCAAAAAGGATTTTGATCGGTTGCATGAGTAAAGTGAATATGGCATACAATCGACCCTGGCCAGTCCTCTTCCAGCCCCAGAGGTCTCCACTACTTGAACCAAAAGCCCATCCTTGTTCTCGCCGTAGCATGAAGCTCAGTGCTTGTTTCTGGTGTCTTCAAATCAAGTTAGCGATAATTAGCCTAGTGCTTTATTTGTGCTTACCTTTCAAGTTGGGCATGTATTATTGAAGGCTGCGAAGCTTCAGGGAGATCTTCTTGTCGATCCATAATGTCAAGAAGCTCTGATTGATGGGGAATAGCTCGCACGTCAAAAGCCTCAAGGATATCAGTTTGCAACCTAAAAGTCATCGGACATGTCTCTATGTCCGTCGATGAAAGGCGATGCGGATTACAGTATGTCACGTTTAAATCGCAATTTAAAGGATCCTGTAGATAAATTTCGTAATCCTGAAAGAATGTTCCTAATTCTTCACATAGTTCCATTGGCCCATAGAGAGTAAAAGAAAGTATACAAGAAATTAGTCTAGGTATAACACTGCTGAGACTTTGTGCATCCATGTTTTTTTCATCCCAAGTGCAAGTGGCCTGGATTCGGATGGATGATTCGTCCAATATCGCTTGCAATAATTGTCTGTGCTGCGTTGAGACGGTTCCTTGTAATCTACCAATGGAAGGGCACGTAAAACTGTCGGCTGTTTCCAGACGTATAGGAACGGGAGAAGAGAATGGCCTGTCATTATGTGCAAGAGAGACCTCAAACTCTCCAGTGATTCCTGCAAACTGTGTTTGTTGAGCGTGAGCACGTCCCATGTTATCTTTTTCGGAATGTTGATAAACTAACCATACCAAAACAAACAGTAGTCTTTTTATTTTTGGCAGTTTCTCCGACATGTATATGATGTTCTTTATCAATGGAATTTGGAACTGGGACTGGAATCTCTGCTATAGTTCGGGACAGAGATAATAACGAAGCTTTGCTTGTGACCTCTATCGCGACCGGGTTGAAAGCGAACATTGATGAGGCCTGATGCTGGTGGGAAAGAGAATCATCCACTAAAGCAGGAGGCTCTTCAAACTCTTGCTGATTGTAGGCTTTATAATGCAGATCGCAGTTTGCAAATGCAATTGCTTCTCCTTGGACAGCTTCAGGTCGATGGTTTTGATTCACAGTAGCTGACGTGTGGTTCTCAAAGCCAGTAGGAAGTTCACCAAGCATCTTATTGGTTGAAGTCTCCTCGAAATTATTTTGGGGAAACGATGTAGAAAGGTAATGCTGATTGTGATAGTGTAAACTTTGCTGGATTGGATGGAAACCATGGACCGCACCAGTCCGCTGACTGGAGCCTTGAACACCATTAAGAAATCCGGTAGGAGGTATATGTTCAATATTCCCGACTGTATCAGCCGGATATAAATTGAATGAAATCGAATAATGTTCGGTCTCTTCATTGTTTTGCTTCTCATCTTCTACGATGATTCGACCTGCATGTTCCGACGCCACGATGGATGTTGGGTTCAGTAGTGATGCGACCGAAACGTCCAAACACCGCCGTTTATTGGGGGCCTGAGGTAGACCAAACTCCATATTCTGACAGGAAGTATGTGCTGTCTCTACTAGAATTTCATCAATTTAGAGACAATTGACTGGGTGTGGCGATAAACTATCATAGGAAGTTGTCGCATTGTTCCTTGCTCGTGATAATAGTTAAAGTCACGATAGCAAAATAAGCGGCTCCTCTACAGGCAGCGAGAAAAAGTTATGGTAATTTTCCAAAAAGAAAAGACAAAAAGAAAAAAGAAAAAAGAAAAGAAAAATGGCTTTTTTATGGTCTAAACTCGCAAGGCTGACACTCCGCGGCTGGTGAGGCGTAGCTGGTCTTTCATGGTTCAGGATTGGCTCATAATTGCAGCAGCTACAGGGATGGATGATGTATCTGCACAAGGCTAAGCCGGAATACGCTAGCATAGCCTCAAATCTCCTCCATTGTCACTTAAATTTCACTCACAGTGATGCCAAATAATTCTTTCACGTCGCCTATATCGACTTGAAAAATCTTGAAAGTCCTACGGTCGAAACAATACCTGCTTGTGTGAACGTTGGAATCCACTCGATCATTATCAAGTATGCCATTAAGAAGGGATCCCGCATTGGCTGCTGCTCAACGAATGGTTCGAGAAGCGTTTGAGGATCTAAACAAAGCCGTGTCACCAGCTGACTCGGGAGATTTCGAAACAACTACTCTGCAGAGCGTGCAGAATGCGGCACTAGAGATCGAGAATCAGCTCGCAGCAAGGCAGTCCTTGCGCAATATGCGTCGTCTCATGCCCCTATTCTCTGGATTAGGCCACTACGCAAAAACTATTGAAGTTCTCTGCAATGGAACACCTTACCTACCATGGATCTGGGCTCCGATCAAATTGATATTGAAGGTAAGTGTGCTACGCTACTTGATACTTTCAATTATAGCACATATTAATGTGTCTCCAATTTTTGCCTCGCTCACATGAATTTCATTCGTATCTAGATCTCCTCAGATTACGTGGAAGCCTTCGAGCAGATTGTTAAAGCTTATTCGCGAATAGGAGAATCCTTGACAAGATTTAAAGTCCTAAGTGAGACTTTCAGTCAAAATACCGAGTTCCAGCAGACCTTTGCAGTTTTTTACGTCGATATTCTGCAATTTCACAAAGAAGCCTACAAGTTTGTTCGAAGAAGCGGTAGGACGGGCACATTCTCGAGGAAAAGCATCTAATTGCTAATTCTTCAAATACAGGTTGGAGAATCTTCTTTCTAACTTCCTGGGGTCGTTTTCAACGAAGGTTTGACAGTATTCTTGAAGACCTAGCAAGACACGAGCAACAGATTGACAAAGAAGCCAACGCTTATAACATTTTCGAGGCAAGAAACATGAGAAAGGCTTTAGAGGAATGGAGGCAAGAAAACCTAGCTAAAGTCAAGCATGAGGAGGAAGAACAGACTGCTAGACAACTCGAGGCTATTTGCAGATGGTTAAAGAAAAATGAGACGGACCAATCACTCATCTTCGACCGAGCATCAACTGAAGGATCAAAACATCCTGGGACGTGTTCGTGGGTTACGAAAAATTCCAAAATATCGACGTGGCTTCGGAACGACCAGTCAGACGTGCCTTTTATTTGGCTCCAGGGCAACCCTGGAACTGGAAAGACTGTCATTGTTGGACAGTTAATTAAGTTTTTGAACAGTTCTCCTACGTCCTTTGTCGTGTCTCACTTTTGCACGTATTCGTATGCATCGTCGATCCAGTACGATGAGATTCTCAAATCCTTACTTTTTCAAATGCTTCTTGCGAATAGCGATGCGGTTGCGCATATATACGGAGTATATGTGGTTGAACGGAAACAAACTAGTATTTTACTTCTAGAGCAGCTTCTACAAACAGCTATAACCGCCTGGCTAGAGGATCGTGGTCACCAGCATACGTTACACATGCTTGTCGATGGACTGGATGAGGTGGACTCAGAGAAACAAAACCGCATCATCAATGTGATGAATCGAATACTGAAGGCTAGCCCATTACGTAGCGGAACCCTCAAGGTTCTTTTCTCTTCTAGAAGTTCTCAACTTCTCAATAGAGCGCTTAGAAAGAAACCAACCATTTCACTAAGTGATGAGAAGGATAGTCTAGAACTCGGAATCTGTGCCTACGCCGAACAGAGATTAAAGGCACAGACTCATCGTCTTTCCCAGCTTGGGCTTCAGGACGCTGACTTCGCAGATATCGGACAAAGTATAGCCAGACGAGCGGATGGTATGTATTCCAGTGAAACAAGTCTAATATTATGCTGATATTATTCCAAGGTATGTTTCTTTGGGCTCGTCTGGTCCTTGACTATCTCACACACAACATGTTCTATAACAATCGAGAAATTTGGGATGCAATTGAGACCCTACCCCGCAAACTGGCTGAGTTGTATGTTTATTAGTCTACCTCTTGATGAACCTAACTAAATTTACCTGCAGCTACGAGCGGGTGTTAGTTCAAATGATGACCAACTTTGATAGCCGATCTGTCGATCGAATGAGGAGCATATTCGGATGGATAGCATTTGCCAAGCGACCCCTTCGTAAATTCGAGTTAAGATCAGCGCTGTCCTTTGATGCTCGTGATCCCATGGCGAATGACCCTGTTCCCCACTACATTTTCGATATGGCTGTACCGCTTATTGAGGAGCGTCTTGACTCGACTCTCGCTTTTATACATGTTTCTGTCAAAGAGTAGGTTTATTCCGAAACATACGTGGAGATTTCAACGTTCTCATGGGATATTTAGTTATCTGGAAATGTCCGATAGCAAGTTGCCTATTGTCCGAGATAAAGCAATCTATAAACACGGCCTCGCATCTGCTACTTGCCTTGAGTCAGGGTTGAATGTTTTCAATCCAGGCTTTTCGGACTACGACCGTAACACTAGAGTATTGAAAGGCCTACACGGCTTTCATGTCTATGCCAACGAATATTGGATTGATTATGTCTTAGAGGCTCTTTCATCAACAGATCCGCAAATACGGCACTCTGATCTACTAGCGACGTTGGAAAGGCTTTCCAATAAATTAGCAAGCTTGGACATCTCATCTTATGCTACAAGTAAAGAGAGCCAGTTCACATCTTCAGGGGAACTCCTTGATTTAATTAAAGAGTATCCAGCATTATATAAGAATGCGAAAATTACGTTGCAAGCACGAGCTCGGAAGACCTTAGGTAGTATGACTGACCAAGAAGGTACCAGCTTGTTCTTTTGTTCTCATCTAAAACTTCCACTTAGAAGTCCAGTTCTGCTGACTCCAGCTTCTAGAGTATTTATCGGCTGAACTGCAACCGATTCAGGAACTTGGAGACGCCTTGAAGAACTATCAAGCAACTATTCGAGCTCTCCTCGTTCTACGCAACTTTCCTGCGATAACAACGGAGGAGCTAGAGCATTTTCAGCAAGAACATAGCATAAGCGCATTTACCTGTCGTTTACCCTCTTGTCCTCGAGCCACGGTGGGGTTTGAAAATAAGGAATCGCAGCTGAAACATGAGGCTACTCATGCACCATGTATCAAATGTTCCTTCCCTGGCTGCCAATACCCCTCATTTCGATCTGCACGGGCGTTGAAGAATCACGAGGTCAATTGCCATAATAGCGCAAGTGGCAGACAAAGAATACGCAAAGCGGATACTCTAGCCAGCCAGCAGACAACATCTGATCACGGTGAAGTTTCGAGGAAATACGGGCAAGATGCACCGCCTAATGAAAAGGATGCTTCCATGGTAGAAAGGGAGAAGAAATCTGACCTTCACAATGATCTATATGATGACCGGGGTAGCTACCTGGGCACTACATCTGTTAGGCCTTCGATTTCGAATATATGGGACTTGATTAATATTCCAAATATTGAATCTAGTTTGCCCGCCGATCAACACATTTCAATAGACAAAAGTACGATACCAAAAGTATTTCCCCACCCACCATATACAACTCAAGACAAAAATTATGTTACACAAGGGGGCAGCTTCCATAATGAGATGGAACACACCGTGACCAGGCGTCCAGGAATGTCTACTCCGCCATCTCCTCACAATGGCGGGCTTTTGAAACCACCTAACCCAGCATCGTTAAGTTCCTACATTGAGGCAAATTCCCTAGATATGATTACGAGAGATTGGCTCTCGTCGCCCCTAAATACATCACTGTTTCCGTGAGTTGCAACGGGTTTCGCCAATGGGCATCTCTAACTGGGGACTACGGCCTTCCATTCACTTCTGGTATCTGGTCTGAGGTGGAAGAAAGGCTGAGGTCATTGACATCAAGCGCGCCATGTACCTTATTATGGTCGTGGCGCTGTGGTTTATGTCATATAGATACAAAACGGTATGATAGACCTGATAACTTGGATATTCATCTGAGAACAGTTCACGGCCAGGTATTACTTCACGGCCAGGTATTACTTCACGGCCAGGTATTACTTCACGGCCAGGTATTACCAGCAGTTGCAGAGTTCTGGATACCGCCAAATAACATTTCTACATCAATTATATATTGTTCCTAAGGCTACCCCCACCTCCAATAATTCTGCAACAGAGGCGTAAATAAATCTTGAAAATTCTTAATATCCATGAGTCTATTTTTATTATAGATATTATCTTAAAGCGCAAGTTTTTAATATCTTAATATTGAATATATACAAAAGGTACCCTGCATCATGACTGACAGATGAGGTTGTGATGATATTATTCTTTGGTATTAAACTGAGTGTCAGCTTTCCTACGATCAAGACCCTGTATTCACTTACTTAACAGCGTCTTTGTGTGTCATGAAACGAACCGTTTGCACTCCATTCTATATTTCTCATTCTTTGGCGCAGAATCAATATCGTCCGAAATTGCATAGTGGATATACAAGTCGCTAGCTTTCAAGTTGGTCCAAAGTAAAAGCAATAATGCTAGAGCCCTCCCACCTGACCGAAGGGAGGGAAATGGCGTCAAGCCCTCTCGAGACGCACACACCAGGATCCGCCGCTGTCCACATGTGAAGCCGTACGTAATTTTATTCTAGAATTATGTGAATATGTATCTTTCAGGCCATACTAGCTCTCTCGAACCTTTGTTGTAAACTACACAAACGGCAAGCCAGACCCAGCCATCCTGCCAGACCCCAGACCCAACTTATCTATAACTTCGGAGGCTTGCTGTGCTGTACAACTATTCTGAAGGATTATATGTGTTTGCTGTCCAACCGTCAACTCCACAAGACTGAAAATCCATCCTCATCTTCAAACTAACGACACTAGTCCCAATGCGCACTAAACCAACAGATAAGATGCACCCGGGTAGGTGCATTATCGCCTTCAGCGGCCAGAGAGCGCCCGAATTTCCCATTAAACGCACTGGTATACAACCTGACCATGTATGCATCTGGTGGTGGCCATCTCGCGGCCAGGTCATGGCCTTCGATGACGCAGCACCAGTAGATTGACACCGTGAATCCTCCCATGAAACGCGAGCGGGTTTAAGATGCCGAGGATGAGGTCTGTAGACGCCTCTTGCTGCTCGGGGCAGGGTGGTATGATAGCAAAGAGCGGTATGACGTCCCTGCTGAGGTTATCTATGGCTTTGAAGATAACGAGCGACATGATAGAGTGCGTGCCGGCAACTAAGACGTAGAAGCGCTAGGTGAAGGTGGGATGGCCCAGCCACGGTAGTGGACTGTGGATAGCTGAATTCAATAACCCTGTCCTGGGGCCTTCAGGGTCTGATCCCAACATACCGACTACGGCTGGGCAAGTGCTCTTGGCAAGGAATATGGATGAGAGATGTGAGATTTTGAAGCGTTTGGGAGGGCGGTTCTTTGCACATCTAGAGAAATATGATGGTGCTGGGTGCTTGAGAGCATGGGAACAGAAGACTACAGGGGAAGTCGGAGCGCTTGTTGTCACGCGATATGTCGAGTGGTGATTTATAATATCTCTTTTCTCTTTTCTGTTTCAAACCTCTTAAATCCGCTCCTATTCAATCATCTGTATACAGTACAAAACCCATCTGATGTAGCATTCTCGACCATTGATCCTCTACAGTATGGAAACCCATATAAGACTGGGCAGAATCTGAACCGTAACATGCCAGGACTTAGAAAACTGATATAAATACAAAAAAATAAAAGATTAAATAAGATAGAGTATTTATTATGAAAATAATAATTTTAATCACCTACTTGCTTCTGGGGGAATGTACTGAAAATAAGGCAATCTTCTTACCTTTGGAGGGGGCTTAAAATCTTTAGAAATAGTGAATACCAAGGAATAATATATAAGTCACTAATTTTGAATAAATTACTCTTGATGACAAAGTATAATGTAAATTCGCATCTAAATAGATCTAGATAGATGAGGTCTTTGTAATTAGGACTTGTATCTCTAATCCAATTGAATTTACATATATTCCTAATTTGTTGCGAGCCCAAAGTTTGACTTTTTTTGATATTTTTTTGGAATATAGCTGCCTGGTACTGATCCAAGCTTATCCCATTTCAGCCCCCGACACAGAGTTAGGGGACAGTGACTAACGCTACAGGATTGTTGGCCCGTAGCACCAATACTTGTTGGTTACAAGGTCCACTCTCTTGCAGAGTTTACGCGGAACTAGATCACATTAGTCAAATTGATCAGCTTATATATGAACATAAATGTACGGAGTGGTGTGGGCTGTGCTAATATCGTTCGTGTAGTATACCAGTACTCACTGGATCCATTTGTATTTTGTGAATCTGTGCCAAACTGGCGTCCAATCGTTAAACATGCCGGCCTACAAGGCATGGAACTCATCGCTTTCCAAACAAGCTGTTCTTCTATTCTTCATCTTGGTTGTTTTAATATGGACCTTATTTTCAGTATCAGCCAAGAGAATAATTCCAACATACTCATCCGCACAATCGTTAATATCATCACCAAAGCCTCTTCCCCGATCAAAATACGCGTATGCCACAATCCTCACTGCCGACGGCGACGCCGAATTCCCAGATGTTCAGGGACCATATCTTCGCGCCGTCCGATTCCTCAACTATCAACTCCTCCACAACCCGCGAACACGCGGGAATAACACCGATGACCGCATCCCACTCCTCGTTTTAGTGACCTCGGATGTCCCTCAGAGATACTACGACATCCTCGCCCACGACGGAGCCACTGTCATCCCCGTACAAGCCCTCGGCCGTGACTGGATTCATCCCCAATGGGAGCGATGGAACGATGTCCTCACGAAGCTGAACCTGTGGCGACTCGTCGAATATGAAAAAATCATGTTTCTCGACGCCGACTCGATTATCTTCCGTCCCATTGACCATATCTTCACGGACCCGGCGACCGCGGTTCAGACAACACTGCCGTATTCAGAACTACCGAAGAATAGAACCATCAGTCCAGAGGAAGTAGAAGATGATGAAGAAAACGAAATTCCGCTTCCAGATACGTATATGCTTGCCGGGACGCATGATTCCTGGGCAGAATGGGCTCTGCAGCTAGATCCTGGTAACGAGTTCTATGCACGAGACAATTATATGAATGCGGGCTTCTTCGTCTGTGCGCCATCACAAACACTCTTTAATTACTATATTTCCCTTCTCGACATACCAGGCCGGTTTGATCCGTCATATCCAGAGCAGAATCTATTGAATAATGCGCATCGTACGGATGGCCAAATGCCGTGGACGAGTCTGGGGTCGATGTGGAATGAGAAAGGGGTTGATGAAGCTGCTTATCATAACGGGCTGAGGTCAATTCATCATAAATGGTGGCATCCCACCACTGACCCGGTCGTCAGAGAAAGGATTAAAATTGAGATGAATGAGATGAACAAATTTTATCGTGAGAGAGAGGTTGCAACATGGCCGAGGAAGGTCGAACAGAGCGCCTCAAGGTGATTTTTCTGTCATGTCGGATTTGTATACAGATGTATATATTCTATCTTGCATTTTCTTGTGTATATTATATAGATTTGTACCAGGCATATTTGCGATAATGCGATGATGAAATAACCACATTTTTGTCGACGAGGATATAGAAAAGGAGCACAATCCTTCTCATTGGCTGCCGCACAGAATGATATAACCGGTTCCGCGCGCACGTGACCGCGCGTCGCGAGCCAACAAACCAACGACCCTCGCGTTGCCACCAACCAGGAATACTGCATCAAATTTTGCCCGCCGCAAGATGCGATGACAATCACTCCCGGCCCTCGATGATTGTCAGTATCGATGGTAATCATCTATTCTAACCACTCTCTTTCTGTACAAACATATCGGGGTGGCCTCCAATGGCTGGCCCCAGCCTGAAGAAAACGACAACGACGCCGGCCGCGAAGAGGACTACACCCGCCAACAAACAAGGGTCCTCTGCCAAGAAGAACACGAGTATTCTAAGTTTCTTTCAGAAGACGGACGGCCCTCGGTCAACACAGGCACGTATAACACAATTCGGAGTCAAAGTACCGCGATCGAACAGTAATGGAGAAAACACTGCAACCAGATCGACATCGAGCGAAGATGCCCCATTTGAAGAATTATTTGTCGAGGACAAACGGCGCCCATACAAGAATCTGGTAGATATTAGAGAAAACTGGCGGTCAAATACCAAGCAGGCCTCACCAGAGAAGCCCAAATTATCCAACGAGGATCGATTGGGTAGTTCTGATAGCCAGAAGGAGAATGACGTCTCTAGATTCAATGAGAGTGGGGGGTCGTTAAAAAGACGGAAGTTTGACAGTTCACCACCGAGGAAAGAAAAAGAATATAAAGGCCCTTTCATCGACGAATCTGATAGCGAAGACGATATAGAGAATGAATGTTCCAACATTCCTCAACCTGAAGATACTCGATCGGTCAAACGTGCTACAGAAACAATCACAACTCGCGAACCTCCGCCATTGGTAAGAGAAAACACAAGCAACGTTGAACCAGGGGCAGTGGCCGATGACTTTGAAGATATAGAAGACGATGAACTAGAGTGTGAGGATTTTATGGAACGGCCTTGGACAGAGGGGGAGCTGGAAGATAGTATTGTGGACGACAACAGCGAAAAGCCAGACGACGACCCGGCCTGTCCAATCTGCCAGGCGAGTCTGGCGGGGCAGTCTGACTCGGTAAGTGACATATATTATTATTTGCTCTGTTCAGAGGTTAATTTAACTAGGAAGCGTCTGTGCATGTCAATGCATGTCTAGATGGCAACCCCCAACCACTTCCAGAGAAAAGTAAGCCTGCAACAGCTGGCTTGACTCGTCTGGAGAAAGCGGCCATTCCAAAACCCGCACAGCGAAATCCATTTGCTGCTGCTGCTACGGGGGTTGCTTCTGCTTTTACAAAGCTCATGGCCAGCAATGCAGAGGACTCGGCTTGGGCAGCGGCGGCCGCGAACGAAGTCACTTCCCGAGGAAAACAAGCGTATGAACGAACGTGTCCGTTCTATAAGATTCTTCCCGGATTTTCTATTACAGTCGATGCCTTCCGATATGGGGCAGTCGAAGGATGCGAGGCGTATTTTTTGAGTCATTTCCATAGTGACCACTATGGGGGGCTTACAAGTTCCTGGCGGCACGGTCCCATATATTGCAGTAAAGTGACAGGTAACCTTGTGCGACAACAAATCAAGGTCGATCCCAAATATATCGTTGATCTTGAATACGAAAAGAAGACGGAAGTCCCCGGGACTAAAAGGGTATATGTTACGATGATTACAGCCAATCATTGTCCTGGGAGCTCTCTTTTCTTGTTTGAAAAGGTCATGGATAGTGGCCGAGTTCATCGGATTTTGCATTGTGGTGATTTTCGCGCTTGTCCAGCCCATGTCCAGCATCCTTTACTACGACCAGATGTTGTGGATCAAGTTTCGGGCAAGTCTCGACAGCAACGAATCGATGTGTGCTATTTAGACACCACTTACCTGAATCCAAAGTATGCCTTTCCCGGTCAAGATGCAGTGATTTCAGCCTGTGCGGCTATGTGCGTCCAGCTCAATGATGAGAGCGGGAACGAGGACAAGGCTCTTAATGTTCATAAAATCGGACAAGGTACAGGTGGGATCAGCAAGTTTTTCCTTGATGGTACAAATGATTCGGAAGAGCACAAGAAGTCAGAACCGACAAATAGCGGCCGGCTGCTCGTGGTAATCGGGACATATAGCATTGGCAAAGAGCGTATATGTCTCGGTATTGCACGAGCTCTGAAATGTAAAATATACGCCCCCGCACAAAAGCAACGTATATGCGCCTGCCTCGAGGATCCCGAACTGTCATCTTTCCTCACTACTGATCCCCTCGAGGCGCAAATTCACATGCAAATTCTCTTCGAGATCCGCGCTGAGACACTGGCCGACTACCTCCAGTCTTTCAAGGGCCACTTCACCCGCGTCGTCGGATTCCGCCCAACCGGTTGGACATACCGGGCCCCTGGCGGTCGCCTTCTCGACAACCCGCCTGTCGCCAACGTCCTGCACTCGAACAATTGGAAGACGTCGTTCAGCGTGAAGGACCTGGTACCGCAGCGTGGCAGTACCAAGCAGGCCTCGTGCTTTGGGGTGCCGTACAGCGAGCACAGCTCCTTCCGCGAGCTAACGATGTTCTGCTGCGCGCTCCGCATTGGACGAGTCATCCCGACGGTCAACGTGGGCAACGCCAAGTCGCGAGAGAAGATGAAGGCGTGGTTCGATAGGTGGGAGGCAGAGAAGAAGAAATCGGGACTGTTGACTGTGCAGGGGGATACGTGGTAGACACAAGTTGCCCTCACTTGGCACCCATCATGTACATACATACTGCATACCCTTGACATAATCGAGCACATATCATGCGAATAGATACAATTCCAAATAGTGCAGATCACGTTGATCTTACTTGCTGTCATTATGTCGGCGCCGATTGGCTGATAACTCTGCGGGGAAACGCCGCCCGCACGCGCGGATGCAAAGTCGGCAAGTGTTTTGTCCTGGCAGCACATTGCAGCCCTCTTCGATCTCCCGACTGCGCGACCCGCGTGCGGTTATCCATTGTGCTTTGCCGGCGCTGCTCCATTATTTAATGGACGTGGAGGAGAGAGCAACCGTCTGCGTTGCAATGTTCTGTGATCATCATTCTGACTGACTGCTGACCGATCATGGCCCACTCCACACTCTTGTCGTGCCTGCTAACCCCTTACGCCGTCCCTGTGCTGCTGGCCGCATACTTCGTGCTACCCTATCTCTCGCAGGCGCACCTGTTCGCCATCCCCTCGCCCTTCCCTGCGGCCTTCACCAATCTGTGGCTGTTCTACCAGTGCCGCCGCGGGCGCCGCTTTACCGCCGTGCACCACGCCCACCAGAAGTACGGCAAGCTCGTGCGTATCCAGCCAAACCATGTCAGTGTCGCCGACGATGCCGCCATCCAGGTCATTTATGGCCATGGCAATGGGTTCTTGAAAACGTATTCCTCACTCTTTTCATTTCATAATACCATGCTCCTGCTAACAGCCCGGCAGTGAATACTACGATGCCTTCGTCTCCATCCGCCGTGGCCTGTTCAACACTCGAGACCGCAACGAGCACACCCGCAAACGCAAGACCGTCTCGCACACCTTCAGCGCCAAGTCGATCGGCCAATTCGAGCAGTACATCCACTCCAATATCGAGCTCTTCGTGAAGCAACTCAACACCATCTGCCAGAACCAGACGGACCCGCGGACCGGCTATGCATCGATCGACGCCTTGAACTGGTTCAATTATCTCGCGTTTGACATCATCGGTGACCTGGCCTTCGGTGCTCCGTTTGGCATGCTGGCCAAGGGAAAGGACTTTGCAGAGGTGCGCAAGACCCCGGACTCCCCACCTACGTATGCGCCGGCCATCGAGGTGCTCAATCGTCGAGGCGAGGTGTCGGCGACACTGGGCTGCTTGCCGTGGTTGAAGCCATATGCATCGTATCTCCCAGACTCCTTCTTCAGTAAAGGTCTCGAGGCTGTTAGCAATCTGGCAGGTATTGCCATTGCACGCGTCAATGAGCGTCTAAAGCCTGAAGCTCTGGAGAACAACACTCGTGTGGACTTGCTTGCTCGATTGATGGAGGGTAAAGACGAGACAGGCGCAACCATGGGCCGCGAAGAGCTCACTGCGGAAGCACTCACCCAGCTCATTGCCGGCAGCGACACCACTTCGAACACCTCCTGCGCCATGCTGTACTGGGTGCTTCGGACCCCGGGTGTCGTGCAGAAGCTACAGAAGGCTATTGATGATGCTGTACCGGCTGGGATAGATGTGCCGACGCACGCCATGCTCAAGGACATTCCTTAGTAAGTCTCCCTTACTTGAAAAAAAAAAAAATCAAGAACGATGCTGACAATCACAGCATCCAATACGTTCTCCAGGAAACAATGCGCATCCACAGCACCTCCTCTCTTGGTCTGCCCCGTCAAATCCCATTCAGCGGCTCCCCGATCGAGATCTGCGGACACACCTTCAAACCCGGCGACATCATCTCCGTACCGGCCTACACAATCCACCACTCCGCGGAAATCTGGGGACCGGACGTCGAAGCCTTTGTCCCCGAGCGTTGGGCTCCCGAACGGTTAACCACCCGTCAAAAGGCCGCTTTCATCCCGTTTTCCACCGGTCCTAGGTCATGTGTGGGTAGGAATGTGGCAGAGATGGAGTTAACCAATATCGTGGGCACGGTGTTCCGGAACTTTGAGTTTGTGATTGAACAAAAGCATGCGATGGAGACGCGTGAGGGGTTCTTGAGGAAGCCATTGGGGTTGAATGTCGGCGTGAAGCGGAGACAGCATGCATAATTTCACCTTTTTATCCCCTCTCTTATTTAGTCGGAGTTCGAGTATACTTCGTCAAAATTGAGATTGGCGGTGTTTTGTTCAAATATGATTATTACGGCCTGTACATAGTTTTTATGTTCTGTAATGATTATGACGCGACTCAAAAGTGTAGCCAGCTGGTGGTTAATCCGACCAGCTTATTTCAACCTCATCCACGTCCAGCTAATAGACCTAATCTATTGAATAATAATTCGTAATACCCAGGAACTATCCATGAAAAAGTATCAATAACCTACTTCGACGAACCAGTTGGACCTTGAGTTGCAAAAAATGTGGACATCCATCTACGCCAGAGAAAACGCGCGAAATTTCTCTAGACTCTCGTTGTTCAAGATAACATGGAAATAAATTTGTTATATGCCTTATTTATCTGCCCAGCGCGAGGTTGGAGAGTAATCCTCGGTGGTATTCGGATTGAATACGTCGCTGGGAAACCATATGGCAAGATTTTGATTATTGATGGAAAAGAAGAAGAAAAAAAAACAAGGGAAGAAAAAGCGAGTGGGTGGGTTATATTAAAATACCGGGCGTTTTGGTATGGTAATCCGGCTAAATAAGGGTGGAAAGATGGGGTGGATGGATGTATTGTAGTATTGAAAACGGAGGAGATTCGCGCTGGTAATTTATCTCTGCGATTCTCATCTAGTGTCTGTTGAGATGAATTGGCTCGATCTTTATCTATCGATTGAATAGGTTTTAAATTAGTGTAATGTAGGATGGAATGATGTACAAGTATATATGTCTGCTATACATTAGCTAAATTCTACATTATAGATTATTTCTATATGATAACATCACTTAATATAAGGCGAGAAAGATATCTAATTTTTAATTATGAACAAGCATTAGGGTTAATTAGCTAGCCAGCTAGGAGATTGTTTTATTTCTTCGCTTTCTTCGCAAAACTAAGAGTGCTATGCGCAATATGTTATCTCAATCTTACAAAAAGATTTCCTGTTACTATAGTGCTAATTTACTATCACTTACAATGGTGAATATTCGTTGCCGAGGGTTTTTCTGGTTGTCATCCCCATCTGTTTGCTGTGCTACCTCGACTGCGGGGTAGGTTGCGATAAGTTCTGCTACGTGAATTAATCAATACTCAGTTGGACCGATGCTAACTTGCAGAGTGTTTATGAATGTTCTTGCGTTGGTCCACAACTATCGCTTCCTCCAAATTGGTATTCTAGGAATGAGCCTTTGTAGGGCTAAAGCTATATCAGCTAAATACAAGGAAATGGGAGTTGTTAAAGAGATGAAACAGATTGAAATATCCTGTACAGAATGTGTTTCTCAGCCTTTTTTTGGCAAGACATGAACGATATTACTAGCTTAGGTAGCCAATGCATATATGGGTCAGAGGGAGATGCCTCCCATGGAGTCTTTCGTTTGGAGTCCGTTGTTTGTGGGGTGTGATCCTTGGCCACATCACTTGATATCCCAGAACAGCTAGAAAGTTAATGGCCAAATTGGATTGTTATCGGAGAGCCAGTCCATGTCGATGTTTATATCGTATACCATCCTATCAAGGAGCAGTCTGTTACCCGCTGTGGAGTCCGGAGAGGGCATGTCGAGGCCTGACTTCTCCAACACATCTACATCAGTTTCGCAGGTCTCACCGATGTTAGTACGAGTGGTATCGAACTGATCGAGGTTAGGATGGAGGTTATCGGACTGAGACCTGTCGAAATTCACTCCTTCTAGGATAACTTCCAGTCTTGCATATGCGGATTTCGCGCTGCGGAAACTTCCACTATGCGCTTGCAGAACTTTTCGGTAATGAGAGACACTTTTCTTCCAGAAGTCTATATGTTCTCTATCCGGTGACAAGCGTATCATGCTGACCATGAAAGTTCCACAAATGGTGAGATTGAGTGAAGAAACTGAATTCCGAACATGTTAGCAGGAAAATAACGCCTGCATTCCGTGGATTTTACATACAAGACCACCAGAACACGTTTGCTCTACTCAAGGAAAGATTTTCCACGAGGGTACTAACTCTCGACGTGATATCGGCCGCGCGGTCCAAAAAGGACGAGGTCGAGAACATTCTTCGGTATAGCTTCGGATAGACTGCTCGACAAAGCATGACCTCAACAGTGTAATACGCTAGTTCTAGAGATCCTTCAAAATTCGTCAATAAAAGCTCCAGGGACAAGGCCCAGGCCATTCTTACCTGTGACGTCCGGAAATGAATTTCGTTTCAGCAGGGGTTCGAGAAACGTTGTCCGCCAATCAAAAAGAGCAGTACTAATAGGCTCCGCTATACTGAGGATTAGCTCTGCTGGTTTCTCCCTCAAGAACTCGACGGCTTTTATGGTATATAGCGTCTTCAGTAAATCGGAGAGGATAACGGAGAGCGTAGTCATTGCGATGAAGCAGTCAACCCCTATCGGCTGTGTAAGACTTGCACCTTCATCTACCAAGGAAGTAGCATCCGGCGCCGGAAAGTCTGATATCGACAGCATAGAGACGTTGCATTGGTCTTCGTCGATATGACTTGGTCGGCCAAGGGTCATCGCTGACCTCCATGAACTTAGCAAAAGCAGTCCAAACATACTAGGTTCACAAAGCACACCACTTATCAATGATATAAATCGCCCACCATAATCGCTTCCTTCGTCGCTTTTCAGGGTTTGGGATATTCCAATTTGAAGGGTCAACGTTTAGACCAAGTTCTTGGCTTAGACCAACAAGCTATTCAAGAGAAACTGGTCAGCAGATGTAGTCCATACAAGGATCCACTGTACCCACGCTTCCGACTTCTGGCCACAGACCGGATAAATTTGGGCCGCTGGGTAATTTAGCTACCTGACCACAAATATGTTTAGTGCAATAGATCGCAACATACCTGCTCATGTAGTTTTGTCTTTGGGAAAAGAGGATTGCTGCTTCTATGGTCTCTAACTGAGGTTTCTGGGTAACTAGGTGACGCGTTTGAATATATGAGTCCATCAAAATTTTCGAACTAATTTCCCGAGCATCAGGACAATAGGGATGCCCTAGCAAGTACATAGACACTCTAAGAGAGGGGTTTAAGTCGTGGGACAGGCAATGGTCGCGGTCTAGTAGCGGAAAGGCGGCATGGACACAGTCAAAGAATGCAGCTATTAGAGCTTCTCTCGTCACCCGGACAGTTTCTTCGACGCACCTCCAAAGGTCGTCAGGAGGATCAGCAGTCGGACGCAGATTTCGGAGCGACTAGCACCACCAGGTCAACATAATTGCATGATTCCCTGCGGAATTCTCACTAACAGTGAAATAAATTGGCATAATAGGGTCGTGGCCAATTTCCCGCGAGCACCATTCAATGCCATCACGATTCTTTATCAGCCGGCACTGATTATTTGCAAGGATAAATGGATCCCAATCTCCACTTAGTCCAACATATTGAGCTGCTTCGATTGAGCCCTCACATCCGCTTTGACTTCTCGCCATACTTGCAGCAACAGCACTGCCAGGTGATAAAGGGCCTAATTCCAACTTCTGAGCAGTGTCAGAATTGCTGTCGAGCGAATCCACTGCTTCGACCGAACGTGATACATGATGTCGTACTAGAGGGTTCGAGACGAAAGTGCAGCGGACGCCGCGCTTCCTGCAAAGCACGCAGTCACCTACGATGTCACGGACGCAACGCGCTTTCCTCTGACGACAATAGTCGCAGGGCTTCTGCTTTCTCGATCGATACTGCCGGATCAGCTGCGTGTTTCCTTGCCTCCTTTCGGACGGCGTTGCTTGCATTTTGTCTGCTGGTTAGCAGTATATTCGCTTGGAAACCGTAGGTCGCAAATCAGATCAAGATGGCTTATCACCTTCTAAGTGGATGATAACAAAGTCTATTTGCAAATGCCCCACGAAGCATTACCTAATATGGCCCAAAGATAAGTTCAACCAAGGTAATACATACAGGCATATAGGTAAATAATGTACGGTCCCTTTAGAGCTAAAACAGTATAACGAAATGACTTGTCGAACTTTGTGGCGAATTAGTGCACTTTTTAAGTAACAAATTGAAATTGGAAGCAAATTTCATTCAATTAGGAATACAAGCCTATGTTTTTTATAACTTAGCTATCTAGATTATTCTGTTAATAAAATTCAAAAATTTATTTATATAATTTATAAGATATATGATTTCTTATTTAATTTAAATATATAATAGAATTTATTAAAAATAATTAAAGTAAAAATCCTTGTATACGAGTAACTGTGCAGTAAATTGTTACTCTTCTGAAGTCAATCTTAAAGTAAAATTTTATTGAACTCATCATTATTATACAAAAATCCGCACTAAATACTAGTATTCAGCCATTATTCGGTTAATCAGAGTACCTCACAGAAACTTTTAAGCCTTTTCGAGATGATTTTTTATTACTTCGTAGTGATTTTCTATTCGCCATAAGTGGTAGTATTCTCCGGCGAACTCGGCGCTGTCTAGCAGAGAAACTTCATAACGGAGGGCAGTAAACAGATTAGCTGCATTTCATGTGAAAAATAACTCGTCAAGCACTTGGTTTGAGAACATCGCCCTCATTTCATCCAGAGTCCATCCCTGCTGTTGACCAATCCTCTCAAGAAGAGCTCTGAATTCAGGTATTTCTGTCCTGTAGCTTGTTTCTTTAAGATATTGCAACCAAGGCTTATTGTCGACCTGAAAATTCACCCTGTAAATGGTGCTCTTTAGCCATTGGTTCATTGTTTCATGGATTACCCGCGAAAAATCAAGCTACGAAGCATAGAGAAAAGGGATATTGATACTTACCATTCTTTAGCCCAATGAGGTCTAATGTTGAGTGTTTGGTTGTTCCATTGTCGGAGGATCATCCATTCATCGAGCACCGCTTGAGCAAATCGCGGCCACTCATCTTCCATAAACCAAGGAGTCAGGACTTCAATAGCACAGGTTCCGTTTGTATTACCACGCTGCGGTGCCATTAACACGTTACTGTCCCCCATGATGCGCATTTCAAGGGGCATTCGCATTGGACAAATAGCAATATTCTCAGGCCGGTATGCCAGAGTAATGACTTGCCACCAAGCTTTTCGAACGATGTCAAGGTTATCCCTAGTAGGAAGCTGTGAATGGCATAGTTAGTCTTCGAAAAAATTTAATAAAGGCAAACGCCTTTGTTAGCATACAGGTATTTCCACTTCAAGGTCTCGAACACGAGCATTTTGAATCCCTCGGCGAAAGTGAAGTGCATCGGGTAGCCATGTCAGGATAGAAGTTGTGTCCTTGTTTGGGGGTAAAGAATTCATGGCAGTTTTCGCTATTTTTAAGACTCAGTCAGTGTACGAGGGCCGTTATATAACCGTCTGAAAGGATTGCACACAGATTTGCTTAGTTGACCAAGTTGGCCACCATTTTCTGAGCCGTCGCAACACCTCCTGCATGACCTCCAACGTGAAGTTCTGAATTATTTGACGGGATATTTCTTTCTCGGAGGGATAATCACGAACATCATCGGGATCAGCTTGCTTTGTAGACCATGTGTTAACCCAAATTTGCTTATGGAATGGGAACCAAAACCACTCCGCATAGTACTCGTCCAAAGCGCGGCGCTCAAAGTCTTTTACAAATTGTTGAACTTGCTCCGGCTTGTACTTGTCATAGGCCTTCTTGAGGCTAGGGGGCAGATTTCCGATAACATCAGGGGGAGGGGGAATGGCCTCAATAACTGGTAATTTCATCGGCTCCATGAACGCAACACTCATCTCATCGAGAATAAGAGTTAGGCGAGTGACAACACCTAACAATCCAAAACAACCACTCGCGGCAGAAAGGATGTTCCCGTCTTTGCGACTGATTGTCTGGACGTTGCCCATCGCATCCACATATTCAACTGCAAAGACAAGGTCACTGAGTGTCTTCGTCTGGATTCCAGCACCATGACTGCTTTAATCAGCACTAGTAATTATTTTCCCCTGCGAAGAGGCCGTAAATTAGGAGATCTTTGATACTGACCAGATTGGACCATTGCTACCCCCGCATGTGATCTCCACCATAATCACATTCAGAGGCAATGTCCATTTCCAGCGGCTCTTTGCTGAGAGACACCACCTTCGCAGGTCTTCGTTGGTGGTGGAACAACCCACACGAACAAGCTGCTGATTGGGTGGAAGACCACTGGAATCGTCGGTTATAGCTTCGATCTTATTTAGTTCCGTTTTTCTACCTTTGTAGGCTCCCAGTGCTTCCCAATTCGGCTTACGACCCAGGACCGCGCGATCCAATCTCAACGTAGAGATAAGTATAAATTTTTTATTCTCACCCCTGTCCCGACCGAAGATGGGGGACCATGAATGACCTTCGTTATCTGAGCAGCAGATACTAGGGTATGAAGCATGAAAGGTGTGACATACGGTAACCGGAAACGCGGACACTGTAGCCATTTGCTTTGGCATACTTCACAATGCCCTGCACGCCATAGACAGTTGTTGGAATACAAGTATACAAGGGGAAATTTCTGACTGTCTCCCCCCAGTTAGTGAAGGTGACGTTTGAGTAGGTCTGTCAAGTTCTTAGCAACAATAGGACATCCCATTGAACCGAGAAAGGGCATTACCAGAACTGGCCACTGTCCTTCAGGATCATTGGTGACGGGAAATTTGACTTCCTTATATGTACGCTTATCACCAGGTACAGGGACTGTTTTGAGCAGCGCCGTTTGTTCGGCATCCTTTAGAATTTCATTCTGCTGATACCCAATGGCTGTATTGATATCAGGGTGAATTTTATCAGCCACGGATGTCACCGATACGTCACCAACAAATTCGTTCAACAATTCTTGCTGATCCGGCGAGTATCTGGCCAGTACCTCGTTGTACGTCGTCCCATCTTCCTCTTTCAATAAATTTAGGGCTTCGCGATCGCTGTCCTCGATTGTTGCTTCATTGCGCTCATCCCAGTCCTCGATAAAGAGGGACTGGAGTTTTTGAAGGTCAGCTTTTCGGTCGAAGACATCGTCAGCAACTGGAAGTACGGTCAGTCAGCATACAGAAATTTGGTCGTGATAGTTCGATTTAAGATCCAATGGAATCAACCCCTGCTTTATACTTTAAGGACAAGCATCAAATTCGCTGTATACGGTCAATGAGGTCACCAACCCCTCCCCGTTAAGACTTGATTCGATTGTAATATTCTATTGTCCAGAGAATAGCGGTCTTGATGTAATGTATCACGGTTTCGTCGGCATATGTCGTCATCTATTTCTATGATATCAGTCCACAATCTGCCAGCTGTGTATCTGCAGTTGTACCATGTCAAACATCGGTCTAGAACGTCTTCAGCTAATTAGTGAGTGTCCCGCATGCAGTCCATCATAGGACTTTATTATTACCAATTATATATACCTTATATTCGATTCCGCATTCAGATTTTCCTTTTGCTTAATGCCTAATATTATTAACAGCTATGACTCTCTGCCTTAAATATCGCTTCTGGCCCTTAGGAGTATCCTCTTACTAAATATGTTATATTGCAGGCCTGACTTGTAATTATTTTAATTTTTTAATCATTTAGATCTATTTATATGTGAATTTATATTGCTATTTTTTTATTAAAGATAATTCAGCCTAAATTAGTATTTGTTATCGTTAATAATTCAGATTTCTGAAGCTTTTGGTCCTATCTAACCATGGTTAGATGGCCTTATTTCCAATATCTCACTAAATGCATGCAAAGTCCGATAGTTCTCTCAAATCTTGTGACTTGTCATCACCTTAGACATTTCTTTCGACAAAAGAAACTTGATGTGGATTAGAATGTGCAACCACCAAGTAACGGAAGTGGAAATTACGCTTCTGATGTTAGATTTGGATAGAGTAGATTCTTCCCTCCCACGGACTTAGTTTCTGGTCTTCTGGGTGATCAATGTTACAGGCCAGAAGATTTGCTGATGACCATTCTTTTCGCAATGAGAATATGTGCTCGTCTGATGTGAAGTTCAAAGCCACCAGAACCCTTTGGCTGTTGAATTTCTTCACATACGTCATCACTGATTCACCCTCGTCCAGGTATGAGAATGAGCCATGAGCGAAAATGTCTATGTATTGACGGCGCAACCGGATCAAGGCCTTCCAGAACGAAAGTACACTTTTCTTGTCCGCCAACTGATTCCTGACATTAATATCTCGATAGTTGTCATTCACCCTCATCCATGGCTTGCCTGTAGAAAATCCTGCATTCGCAGCATCACTCCATTGCATAGGAGTCCTTGCGTGATCCCTCCCGACATGCCTAACTCCATCCATAGCTCGTTTCAGAGCGCTCTCATGTCCCCGCGTTGCGTCTTTGACGGCAGCATAATAGTTTTTCGCCTCGACGTCCTGGTATTCCTCAATAGTCCATTCCTTTGGAATGTTTGTCATCCCGATCTCTTGTCCCTGGTAAATGAATAAAGTTCCAGTAGTCGTCACCAGCATCATGGCCAGCATTTTTGCGGAAACTGCCCAGAATTCTGGTTTGTCAGATCCAAATCGGGACACAGAACGCGGGAGATCGTGGTTTTCAAGGAAAGCTGAAGTCCATCCATCGTTTCCTTCAATAAACGTTTGCCATTTTGCATGCCTCCTCTTGAATTCACCGAGAGTAAAGGGCTCATATTGGAATTTGTCAATTTTCCCAAAGCCAATGTAAACTGTCTCGAACTGGAAGCCCATGTCAATGCGTTTCTCTGATGCACTACAGTATTTAAGTGCCAAAGATGTGTCGTATGTGGGTCCGTATTCTCCGACGGTCATGATGTCGTATTTCGAAAGCACCTTCTCGTTCATCTCAGAAATATGGTCGAAATTTCTCGGTTTGTTCCGATAATGGCAAGATGCCAACTGCCATGGTGAACTATTATCCAGAACTGGAGCATCGGGGAACGACGGATCTTTGCTATAGATGGTGATAGTGTCGATTCTGAAACCGTCAACGCCCTTGTCAAGCCAAAATTTCATCGCGCTATCGTAAACAGCCTGTCGCATTGCGGGATTTTCCCAGTTGAGGTCTGGCTGCGACTTGGCGAATAGATGTAGGTAATATTCCTGAGTCGGCTCATCCCACTGCCACGCACTGCCGCTAAAGTTTGATCGCCAGTTATTAGGGGGCATACGGTTTCCGTTCTCGTTGTATCTCGCCTGTCTCCAGATATACCAGTCCCGCTTCGGGTTATCTCTCGAAGATCGCGATTCTTTGAACCACTGGTGCTGGTCCGAAGTATGGTTCACGACAAGGTCCAGGATTATTCGTATATCTCGCTTGTGGCAAGCCTCGATCAGGGTCTCAACGTCAGACACAGTTCCAAATGGACGGTAAATGTCTTCATAGTTCGAAATGTCGTAACCCATATCTTCTTGGGGGCTATCGAAAATCGGAGACAGCCACACAATGTTTGTACCCAGGTCTTTGATGTAGTCTAGGGAGTCAATCACGCCCCCAATGTCTCCCCATCCATCTCCGTTTGAGTCCTTGAAGGATGCAGGCCAAATCTGATATACCACTTCATCTTTCCACCAATTCCGGCCACTGTTCCAGGAGTGCATTCTGACGAAGCTAATTAGCCTTGTAGGGGGTATGGAGCGTCAACGAAATAATTAAAGTCCTCTGGTAATATTGATCGGACGTGGCTGAGGAAGTGTCCAGGGAATGGGCAGATTAATTGACTTTTTGTCCTTAAATGCTTCGGAGCCTATGTGACTACTTCACTCAATCGATACTGACCTTAACCCTAAGTAGGGGCTTAGAGATTCGCCAGGCGGGTTCCTAAGGGCTGTTCGCCGTTGTTGCGGGCAAGTATCCCTTGCCCGTTGCCCGTTGCCCGTTCACCGTTCGTATTCCCTATTCCCCGCTGTCGGCTACCCATTTCCCATCGTCGGTTGCCACACTTGATCCATCTTTCATCGAGTGACAATCCGTAAAGCGATAAGCAACTAAACCATGGGATTAGACCCTTCTGTTTTATCTCAGATACGAGAGCCTCTCGATCTATAGATAATGGTGGAGAGACCTCCAAACATCCGTTGCTTTTATATAGCCTGAGAATCCGTGTGCCCTCATTTCACCTTCTCGCTACTCCTTCACTAAACAGACGATATATTATCATTCGGGGCTGATTCATACCACCAAAGAAATGGATTTTAGCGACAAAAAAACAATTCCCTCCAAAGTAGAGGAGGCCAATGAGAGAGATGGTCCTCTCGCTACTATTGGAGCTGTCGACGTCAGAGTTGTGACGGAGGAAGAACACCATATGACTCTCCTGGAGGGACTCAAACGCTACCCTAAAGCAGCATTTTGGTCCATTTTCATCTCAACTGCCGTCATTATGGAAGGTTACGACATCGGTCTCCTCGGCTCATTTTACGGTTTTCCCGCTTTCCAAAAGAAATACGGAGAGATGATCGGCAATAATAAATATAACATCTCTGCACCATGGCAAAGCGGCTTGACTCAGGCAATGCATGTCGGCCAGATCTTTGGTCTAATGATTAACGGCTGGGCCATGGATCGTTACGGTTTCAAGAAGACTCAAATTGCTGCCCTTCTCGTCATGTCAGGTTTTATTTTCATTCAGTTCTTCGCGCAGTCAATCGTGATGTTACTGGTCGGTGAACTTCTTATCGGCTTTCCTTTAGGCATCTTCCTCACCCTGTCGACCGTTTACGCTGCCGAGGTTTGTCCCGTGGTTCTTCGACCGTACCTTACTACCTACGTCAATCTCTGCTGGTCTATTGGAAAGTATATTTCCACGGGGGTATTGCGCGGCTTCATTCACAACGAAACACAATGGGCCTACAAGATTCCGTTTGCCATTCAGTGGGTTTGGGTGCCCTGGCTCGTCATTGGCACGCTTCTTGCTCCCGAATCTCCATGGTGGTTTGTGCGGCAAGGTCGATTGGCAGACGCTCGTAAATCACTACGGCGCCTATGGACTAATCCCCAGGACCATGAACTGGACGTCAATGTGGGCATGATGGTTGCAACCGACAAATATGAAAGGTCGATTGACAAGGGAACAAGCTATCTCGACTGTTTTAAGGGGTCCAATCTTCGGCGGACCGAGATTGCCTGTATCGCCTGGTCTATCCAACCCATGTGTGGCTTCGCTCTTGCCGGTCAGGCAACTTACTTCCTTGAACAGGCTGGTCTTGATTCGACCAACGCATTCAACATGAGCCTTGGATCACTTTCAATCGGGTTCGTTGGCGGCATTATCGCTTGGCTCTTTGTCAACCGCTTTGGTCGCCGCCCACTTTACGTATACGGATTGGCAGGCATATTTATTGTCCAAATGATTATTGGGTTTCTCGCCATCCCGAAGCAAAACAGCGGGACAGCGTGGGCGACAGGCGTGATGCCTCTCGTTTTCACCGCTATCTATTCCGTCTCTGTCGGACCAGCCTGCTATGCCATTGTTGCAGAAGTACCCTCAACCCGTCTCCGGGCTAAGACTACAGCACTTGCGCGCAACGCGTATAACATCTTCTCAATCATCAATAATATCATCACCAACTATCAAGTTAATGCCACTGCATGGAACTGGAAAGGTTTCACTGGTTTCTTCTGGGCCGGGTTTTGCGTCCTCTGCTGGGTCTGGTCTTTCTATCGGCTTCCCGAGCTAAAAGATCGCACATTTTCGGAGCTGGACGTCCTCTTCGAGACTAAGGTTTCGGCTCGCAAATTCAAGGGTACCGTGGTTGACAACGCTGTCATTCTTGTAGAAGGCTCGAATTGAGTAGACCGGGAATTCCCTACAGTTCATGTTAGATTGACAACCATCTCCTACCTCGTGCTTATTTTCTGTTAGAAAAGATGGGCACGTTTGTCATCATTATAATCAATAGGTACTCAGGCTCACGTACATTAGAAACATAAGGATAGTTACAGTCATAGTAACCTGTATATTCCCAAGGGAAGACGTCGGGGCAAATGATATCATCAATCCATCCACCCATCTGTACCTGACCTCACATTTTAGCTCTAACTAATTCTATTTTTCAAGGATGGTATCTGATATTTCACATGCTTCTTAGAAAATTTACCAACATAGGCTCCTAATATTTCTGAGCCTTGCTTAGAATACCCTGGCCTAGTCAGAGGTGCTGAGGTCCAGCGAAGTCCACACTGGATATCAGTCATTACTGTTAAGCATTGCTCAGTAGCACAACCATTCAATGTCTCATGGTTCTGTGCACTACTAAACTTCGATGTTCAAAGGAAAAAGCCAGTATTCATCAAATAATCTATTACAAAGAAGAGACAAACTGTAGAGAGAGAGGGGGGGGGGGGTTGCTGAACTTTCTGCAGTTGACCTTATCAGGCTATTCAGTGATGAAGAATGGGATTGTGACATGTTGCCTCTATCGAAGAGGATAGGGAACATATATTAAAATATGAATTTGAGAACAATAACAATACTCTTTCCTCAGATTCTGCACGGCTTTGTGCCCGTCAGGAGGTGGTTAATCGCCGAAACGAATTTACCAAGTAGCATTCTTGTTGTACAGTTTAAATGTGTCAACGGGCGCCAAACCTAATATAATGAGTATATTGTATAATCAACACAAGTGCATAGTTAGCAGGTAGGTCAAATCTGTGACTATGGACGTTCTACATAATCTGCGCAGATTCTATCTTTTTCTAGGATGCCACCTACTTCTCCAAATTCTTCTCGTTAGAAGTCACGTCGGTGATCGGCTTGACACCCTCCAACAACTTCGCACCGACATCTTCGCCCTTGGCATTTTTATCCTGGATCTCCGTGATCTTGGCACCAATACCGGAGCACTTATAGGAATGAAAATTCCAGACCGAGACCCGGGCATTGAACATCTCGTCCAGTTCTTCCAGGCTTCGACCCTTCAATTCTGGAAGGAAGAATGCAACCCAAACCATCGCAAGGATGGAGCAACCTCCAAAGACGAACCCTACGCGCGATCCAAGGTTCCCATACCCTGGATCCTGTACGTATGGGTTGATGTAGGTCACGAGAATGACAATAGTAAAGCTCCAAAAGGTTGCGAACATGGTTGTCTTTTCGCGTAACTGAGTAGTAGCTGCTTCGGCCGTGGTTGCCCAGGTGCACGAGCCCCACGCTCCAGCTGCAACAGCTTGATACAGCAGGATAGCGGCAACACAGCCTTGTGCCGTGGAGCCTGTCACTCCTCCCTTGCTGTACGTAGATAGACCGCCAATTATGAACATAAAGCAAGCCATAATGAATGCGCCAAAGAATAGAATGGGCCGGCGTCCGATCTTATCGGCGAAGTAGAACGCAAGCGTGATACCGCCAAGCTGAGTGCAGTTGGAAGCGATATAAACCTGCAGGGAGTTCGTGATTCCTATCTGCTGCAGGAAGACAACAAGATAGTTGTTCATGAAAGAGTTGCCCTGAATCTGTTGGAAGACCTGAACGCCAGTCGCGATCATGGTGCGCCGGAGGTTAGGGCCCCGGAAACAATCCAGCCAGGTTGACGACTGATGTAATTCTTCCTCCTCGCGCATCGCCTCCTGTATGAGTGCCAATTCACCATGGATAGCCTCCGTTGTCGCAGATCCTTTACGGATATTCTCCAGGGCGCGTAGGGCTTGATCGGGACGATGTTTGTTCAGCAGCCATCGCGGAGACTCGGGCAAGAACCAAACACCAGACAGCAGGATGATGGGGATGACTAATTGTACTATCATCACGGTCTTGTACGTCCATTGCCCGGAAAGGTGCCGAGCTGTTCCGTAGATACAGCTACTCGCCAGGATATTACCGATAATCTGCCACCACTGGTAGAAGTTCACGAGCGAGCCACGGATGGCTGGGGGCGCGAGTTCTGCGCTGTAAGTCGGAATGACATTTGCTTCCATACCTATATACCATCGTATCAGTCACGAACCTATCAATACCATGGGTAATTCGCATACCTATGGACAGACCGTTGATGGTTCTCCCAACGATTATGCCCCAATATGAGTCAGTCGAGACCTGGATGATGATACCGACAATTGCAATCACCGATAACAGCGCGATAGTCTTCTTCCGGCCCAGGAGAAAGTTTGCATAGCCTCCAAGAAGACATCCGATCGCCATACCGGCATTGGGCGTTCCCGAACCAGCTGACTGCCAGGTCGTTGGAATGACCTTTGGCTGGCCAGGACCTGGAGACACTCCGTATTTTTCCTTGAACTCGTCAACGCCAAGGCATGATGCCCACCAGGAAATATCGAATCCGAAATTCTACAGAACAGCGTCAGAAGACTGCATCCAACGAGAGATTTTGTGTAGAAATGTGTTCCTGCTTACGATTGATCCAAACTGTAGCAGGGTGATTAGTAAACTCTTACTGAATAACTGGTTATGAGTGCAATCCACTTACCGAGACAAAAAGATATATCATTAGGACTCGTAGGGTCAATTCTCTGAAGAGCGTAGGCTTTCGGAACGCCATTACAACAATGCTAAGTGACTGGGCCTAGGACCAGTGGGTGTAGATATTAGTAGGTGGTAGACATCAAGAAGAGTCGAACAGCCGTAGACCACGGGCCATTATATGTATAATTTAAGGAAGCATAGTCCTGATTGCGGCATACAAGACGCTATCAGTAATCTAAGTTATCATTTAGACTCTCCTTTGCTTTTTTGCTTGACCAGTGGGCAAGTGTTGCCCAACGGGCAACTTTATTTTCTCAAACCCAAAACTCGGGAAATTCTTTTAACATTTGACCACTAGTCAAATAATTATCATCCATGTAAATCATAGGCTGAGAGATGAGTGGATCTATCTAAATATCGTTGAAACTGTTGCGAAATTAATTGAAATTCATTTCGATGTGAAATTTCGTTGCCCGTTGGGGAATGCGACCCAACGGGCAAGTCTTGCAAAGATGATATTCTACCATAAGATAGCAGTATTAATTTCCAGGTAGCACCTAATACGTGATGGCTTGCTTGCAAGAACATGCCTGAATTTCCCCTGAAATGCCACCAGACATTCTAGCTGAGATGACTGACGCAAAACATCCCTTGTCCTCCAATAGAGCAGAGGCGAAATGGTGGCGCGAAGCCGTCGTATACCAAATCTATCCGAGATCCTTCTGCGACTCTAACGGAGACGGGATCGGTGATATCTGCGGGATCATTTCTAAGATTGACTATCTGAAAGATCTCGGAGTCGACGTGGTCTGGTTGTCCCCCATCTACGCCAGTCCGCAACATGACATGGGATATGATATTTCCGACTACAGGCGAATCCACCCCGAATATGGAACTATGGAAGACTGGGAGTGCCTGTTGAACGAACTGCATAAGGCAGGGATCAAGCTCATCATGGACTTGGTCGTAAATCACACTTCGATCGACCACCCCTGGTTTGTCCAGTCGCGGTCGAGTAATGACAATGTCAAGCGCGATTGGTATCATTGGCAACCTCCAAAGTACGACGCGGAGGGACGGCGACAGCCGCCAAATAATTGGCGGTCTTTCTTCGGTAAAGGATCGGCATGGGAATGGGATGAAAATACTCAGGAGTACTATCTTCGCGTGTTTACAAAGGAACAGCCAGACCTCAATTGTGAGCAGATTATCTTTCACATCTTGTTCGATTTCCGTGCTAACTAGAGTGAGCAGGGGAGAATCCTACAATGCGAGCAGCGGTTCGGGAAGTTGTGACATTCTGGCTGGACAAAGGTGTAGATGGATTTCGAGTCAGTTAAACCTCAAGAGACCAACACCGTGTCAAACTCGTTATGACTAAATATTCCATTCACAGATCGATGCAATTAATTACATCTGCAAAGCTGATGGATACCCTGATTCCGAGATCGTAGATGAGTCGTCCCGCTTCCAACCAGCGATGCACCTTTACATGAACGTTGGAAATGTGCACAAGTATCTTCGTGAGTTACACGTTGCCACCTTTTCGCAGTACGATGTTATGACAGTTGGAGAAACACCATATGTCCCCGCTACACAACTGGCTCTCGACTACGTCCACCCAGACCGAAAAGAATTTGACATGATCTTTCAATGGGAGCACATGGATATCGATCGCGTTCCTGGTAGCCTCCTCAAATGGAAGCCGTGGAAGCTTCCCGAGCTCAAGAAAATCTTCAACTGCTGGCAACGACTGATGTTTGAGAATGGTGGTTGGAATTCGCTGTACATGGAAAACCATGATCAGGGAAGATCGATTTCTCGGTTCGGATCCGATCGACCAGAGTTCCGCGGCGTCTCCGGAAAACTACTCGCCATGATGCTGGGTACGCTCAGCGGGACGTTGTATATCTATCAGGGCCAGGAGATCGGAATGACAAACCCAACTAAATGGGGATTGAAAGACTATCCAGACATTGTCACAAAGACGTACATCCTAGAGGAGAAGGAGCAGCGAATCCGGGATACGGGGGAAACAGAACCTGACATGAAGGATCTACTTCAAGACATCCGGCTCAAGGCGCGAGACAACGGCCGCACTCCCATACCGTGGAATTCCTTGCAACCCAGTGCCGGATTTACGACAGGGACACCTTGGATGCCACTTAATCCTGACTTTGCAGTCTGCAATGTTGACGCAGCTGTGAAAGACACGACATCTATTTTCCATTTCTGGAAGAAGCTATTGAGCATCCGAGCGGGATGGAAGACGCTGGTGTATGGTAGTTTTGAACTATTGTCACCTGAGGACCCTCATATCTTCGCGTATCGACGGACACTGCCTGGTTCAGCGTCTGCTCTGGTTGTACTAAATCTATCATCGCAGTCTGTTGATTGGGAGTTCCCGCTGGATTTAAATCACTTTGGTAATATACGTGGAGTTTTCAACAACTATCCTATGCCATCAACAATCAGCAATCACTTTTCTATGCGGCCGTGGGAATGCAGGCTGTATACATACGATCAAATTTGAATCACACTATGTATGATTAGAACCTCAAGGATGCCACTAGAATATACTATAGTTAAACTTTGAATCATGACGTAGTCATGAAATTATAACTCTCATACGGTGATCAAATCCATTATGGAAGGCAATCCTTTAATTTTAGAGAGGCTCCCGACCATACGACCTCAAAAGTCTTAGTGTATTAAACATGCCGAAATTCAATAAATTTATTCGAAGTTGAGAAGCGCAACCCAATCCAGATCGCCCCTGTCCCCAAATGGATCCAGCATCATTTGACTCTGACCATCCAGCAGATCGGATGCATTCGCAATATCATTTTCAATTTGATTGTTGGAGCTTACCCCAGGAGAGACAGAGACAAGCTCCGAGACCGCCTCTGAACTGGAGCCGTTGGTCACCTTATCAGTTGCAATACGTTCGCTAGTCCGTCGGCCATGCTTCCGCAACAGTTCCAGACGAATGGAAGCAAGTTTCGTCACATCAAAGCTGACGCTGTGCGCTTGGAGGAGACACAGATATTCATCGATGCGGGTCAACCAGGAATCTACCTCATCATCTTCGACGGATGTAAGAAGCATACTCATCATAAAAGCTCCAGCAATAGCGAAATTGAGCTTTGAAACTGGTAAAACATCAGCCGCTCTGTTGTCATTTTGCCACATCTAAAACGTATACAATGGTATTCAAATAACCCGTATGATCATGCTACTATCAAAGTGACTGCCAGAAATCAATGAATTAACGAGCTACTTACTTGCCCACCAAAAAGCGCGGAGTCGATACACTTGAATGGTTCGTAATAATTCGAGGACACTCATCACAATGGTCTCCCCTCGTTCTCGTATCCTGTGAGTATTTTGATTTCGAAGTATGGCACGGCAGAGCGCGATTTCGGCTGTATAATAGGCGAGTTGCAAAGTGCCTGTAGATATCAGGTTATCATCAAAAATTCCTTATTTGTAGAATACATCAGGTGAAGCAATTTACCAGTAGGATCGGGCAAAAGTCTCTTATCTCCTTGTAAAAGAGTATTATATATGTTATACCAACCTTCAAGTCTGTTTGTAAAAGAGTCGATAACACATTCCATCCCTTGGCGTGGGGCTTCTCTGAGTCTACGAATGCCCCTCACTGTGTAAAAAGTCGAGAGAATGTCAGAGAGCAGCACACTCAGCTCTGCCATGGCTACAAACATGCCAGTCGACACACTGTACATGATTCGTGACGATGCTAAAGCTGATAGGTATGACACCTCACTTTCACCATGGTCGAAATCGGAGATAGTCACCATCGGCACATTGCTTTGCTCATCGTGGAGAAAAGAGGGACGACCAAGTGTCAAAGCTACCCTAAAGCAGTATTTAGGATGGCTGGGCAATTAAAGATTCCAAAATCCTCTCTCACCACTTATCTTGCATATACACAGCCCACCATAACCGTATTCGTCTTTTTTTGTCGGTTTCGGAGATCCTCCAGTTAGTAGGGTCAACATTCAGACCTATATCATGGCTCATGCCAATGAGCTATGGTGACAGTCAGTGCATTTGGGATATCACAAGTAAGAGAGGTGGATCCATACGCTGCCAGTTTCGGCTATCATGCCTGGCATAGTAGGGGCGCTAGAGTCTGTTGGCACTTAGATTCACGGCAAAAGCTCGGTATGAGCTTACCGAAAAATATACGTATGTCGTTGCGAGTAGAGCAGGGCGGCTTCGATGCTATCCAATTTTGGATTACGAGCTTCCAAAGGTAGTGCTCGCCCGAGAAAGTCCAGGAATATCCACGGATCGATCTGTCCAGCCTCCGAGCAGAACTTATGGGACAAAGCATACATAGATGCGAGGAGTAGTGACGATGAATTTGGATTAAATCTAATCGGGTCAAGAATCGGAAACGATGGGTGGACGATATTGAAATATGTTTTGATCAAGGCTTCCTTGTAAGGATGGACACTCTCTTCCACATTATTCTTTGGATAGTAAGTAGGTCGGGCATCCAGATGTTGATCCGGCACAATCTGATAACAGTCAATAATCTTATGCCTAGAAAACAGGGCGGTCGACTTAAACGCACAGTAAATTGAGCAGGCATAACGGGGTCATTGTTGACCGTTTGACATGCCCACGCAACATCATCTTGTCTTTTAGCATCCCGGCTCGAATGCTGCAGCAGATATGGATCCTGATCTCCACTCAGACCGACATACTGTAAGGTGTGATGCAATTCCTCAATGCGGGCTCTACCCTGCATGCTCGGTGATTCCGTCGCTGGAGAAGTCGGAGTAGTATTACCTACGTGTGACCTTCTCATGCGCTCCTTGGGAGTTCTGAGCCGGACAGGAGGGGAAGATACATAAGTGCAATCAATATTTCTCGTCCTGCAGAGAGAACAGCTGTGACTACCGGGTTCTCGGATGCAGCATATCCTCCTTTTGCGACACAGATCGCAGCTGGGATGCCTTTTAGCAAAGGCAACTCTAAGGAATGTTGTCACTACACTCACGGTTTCTGCTTCCGGGATCGGTATTGCCGTGACTCTAATGTTGACGCCATTTTCGAGCCGCAAAGTTGAGACACGAAACAGAGATCTGTTGCATGACTCTTAAACTCGCCTTGGGATTTACAGTGTGATCACATGATCATAAAACGGCGTTGGAGATGGACGTGGTGGGAAGCGGCGGGAACGTGGCAGAAGCGACAGGGCCCGGAACGGTGGTCTTGGCGCCATAAAACTAGCCTAAACAGGTTAATCTACAGGAAATCGGACGACGACAGTCTATAAAATTAACGCAACGCAATGCTGTGGTTGGACAAGAAATAGCGGCAACAAGGCTAACATGAATAAGATGTACTGGGGAACTGATAAAGACTAACTATATCCTATTCGCAAGATCATTAGAGGAGTAAGATATACATGAATCAAAGCGCTCATTTCCCTATATCTAGTTATTTTATTTCTTATAGTTGTTTGATCTAAGTCACTCTCATCATACTGAGAGAATCAGCTAGATAACCATAATTGAGGTCCACGGCACTTCAGGGACCTTTTTAACTTATCTAATTACTTAAATTTTTTATCTAGTTAAGGGCAGTACACATCAAATCAGCTCCTCCCAAGCTCTCCCATATAATCTAACACATAGTTATACATACCGTGGTACCCATATTAGTCATAGTAGGCCGGAAGGTTGACCGGAGGTTATCTTACCCCACCAGCGCGCCGCCCGGATACAGGGATATTAAGACTCAATGCATATTCGCGAACTGTCGAATCAAGACGGCTTGAGCTTGGACTACTCAATGAAATTCATGATAAATGCCAAGTATTATGGAACTCTGGGCTCAGCCAGAGCCGGCAGCAGAGCTGGAACCGGGGCCGGAGGGTTGTATTAATTAGGAAGGCCACAAATAGGTTCTTTCGATGGCCGTAATCATTTACTGTGATGATAAATAGCGTGAAATATCCAAATATTGAAAACATTCCAGGTTCCAAAAATCATCCATACATAGCGGAAACTTCACTGATTCTTATTTCTGGTGATCTGACTCGTACAAAATCAAGATGGCATCAAAAATAAAGAACTACAAGGTCATCGCGGCGGCTAAAAGAGCTCAGCAGCAGGACAAGATTCCCAAGAGTTGGCGTATTCCTACAGACAGATTCCGAGATGCTACCAACGTGATGGACATACCACTTACCTGCGGGCTATTAGACGAAACAGAATCGAGAATCACTTCTGACTACGATGCAACCGCGCTTCTCGAAAAGCTAAGGGCTAGAGTCTGGTCGGTAGAGCAAGTGACTGTAGCCTTTTGCAAAAGGGCTGCCATTGCCCACCAGCTAGTCAGTTCCTTAAGCGCCCGTTGCAGAAAGCTTGCTAATCCTAAATCTGTGCCAGACGAATTGTCTGACAGAAATATTTTTCGACGATGCTATTGAACGAGCGAAGAAACTTGACTTGGAATACGACCAAAAGTCTCGTGAAAATGCCCTCCCGCCACTCTTTGGGCTACCAATTTCACTCAAGGATAGCTACCAAGTTTCTGGATATGATACATCGACTGGATTGGGTTGCTATGTGGATCAGCCTGCAGAGGACAATAGCGCGCTGGCTGCGATGCTAATTGACTTGGGTGCTGTTCTTTACTCCAAGACCAATCTTCCTCAGTCAATCATGACTGGAGATTCTGACAACAATATTTTTGGAAGAACCTTGAACCCTCGCAACAAACTGCTCACCGTGGGTGGAAGTACAGGAGGTGAAGGCGCACTCATTGCGCTTCGAGGCAGCATCCTTGGAGTTGGGACGGATATTGGTGGCAGCATTCGTGTCCCATCAGTCTGCAACGGGATCTATGGGTTCAGGCCTAGCGTAGATTTGGTTCCCCATGGTGGTGTACGAGACCTCACACCGCCAGGGACAGATGGTATCCGTTCAACAGCTGGGCCTATGGCGACCTCACTCCGGGATTGCTCTCTTTTTCTAAAGACGATACTGCAAGCAGACACGTGGAAGTATGACAGTACTTCGATCTCAGTTCCATGGACAAATATTAAACCCGCACACAAGCTCCGGATCGGCGTTGCTCAAAATGACGGCGTCTATACCCCATCGCCACCAGTTAGACGTGCCTTGAAGCAGGCGGTCGATCTTCTCCGCGACAATGATGACATTCAAATCATTCCAATTAACCTTCCCGACGTCAAATCGCATTATCAAGACATCATAAGTTATTTCACGCTCTCAGGAAGTGATGTGAGCCCACCAAACCCTTGGAATGCTAGTTATAGACTGACCGAAAGAAAAGTACTACTACGAGCAATTCGCGCGGACAGGGGAGCCAGTTATCCCATCACTCGAAGCCATTGGCCTTCTGTCGGTGCCGGGAACGACTCTACAGGGCTTTTTCGATTTGAATGTCCGCCGAGCCGAGGCCGCAAAAAAGTACCTCAAATTGTTTCGTGACAACGAGATAGATGTAATTTTAATGCCGCCAGCACCGAATACGGCAGTTCCCCTGGACTGCTGGACAAGGGCGGCATATACTAGCCTATGGAACTATCTTGATTATCCGGCAATTGTTATTCCTGTGGACCATGTGCGAGACATTGACTCCGCTGACGATTTGAGGAACGCCCAATTTGGCCCAGAGGACGAGAAGCTCTACAGTCTATGTACGCACCACTTTCTCCGTGATTTTCTTTTTCTAACTCAAGCTCACATGCGCTTCCACAGATACCGGCCCGGAACAATACAAGGACGCACCGATTTGTATTCAGGTAGTGGGATATAGACACAAAGATGAGGCCTTGTTAAGGGCGGCAGCTGTGCTGGACTCGATCATAAATAGTATTTAGAGTAATAGTAGCTATAAATGCTTGAGAGTGTTTTTCATCAGGAATCCTCCTAGTTCTATTAGCTACTAGAGCAAGCTGTGTAAATAGAATCTAGCAAAGGACATGGTTTATGTACTGAATCAAACCAACGACTCGTGAGATTCAAATCCCGCTCGCGCCAAACTCTTGACAAGAATGTCTTGGTTGCCTTTTGTAAGAATGGAGCGTATCGATCAACACAATCGTCCACGCGCTGGAGCGTCTTGGAGCGTACATCCTTACCTCGAACTTCAACGGCTGCGATGATGAATGGTAATGTCACAAATCGTATCGATCTCTTCGTGACTCGATGCGCCATTTCAAGTTCCATGATAACTTCCTTGGACCATGTTTCCGCCTGAGAATCCTCCTGACCAAATGGATATCGCAACCGATGGCCCACCAGGAGCGCTCCTAAGCGGTATACCTTAGCTTGCGCAAGAAGGTGGACAATTTCCGCTGAATCGAACTGATCAACAAGTTGATCCAAGTTAGATGGCTGCCATGGTTCAACAACAGATTGGATGTCATCTATTTGTTTTTGAAGACAAGCCAGAATGCTCACGTCAGTTATATCAAGCAGTGAATTGCTAATTACACAAAGATCATGATAATAAGGCAAGAGAGGTAAGGAGAGACCAAGGTGGCGATCAATGGCACCAGAGGCTGGTATCTGAATTCTTAATGTCGGCCGTTGTCGGTGGACCAAGCAGTTCATGGTCTCCAGGAGGACCAGTAAGTTCTGCCACGGATCTTTTTGTGAGCTGGATATTGTTGTTCCCACAAAAGAACTTGTTGTACCGAGACAGTAACGGCAAATGTCTGGAACTCCTACACCAATGGCTGAATAGATCGAGAAAGCCAGCATACCTCCTAGAGTATGGCATAGAACTGTGTCTTCCGAACGCAAGGCAGGCAGTGAGCGTAATGCGCACATAGCTTTTGATATATACCTGATACTGATATTGACATCCGCGTCCGTTATAGTGTCAGATTGAAGCTGCTTTAGCGTAATAGCACATGCAAGATAAGCATCCTTGAGCAGTGGAAGTGCAGCTGGCAGCTGTGCAGCGAGCGAATGTTGCTGCTCGGCTTGAAAGCTCGGGCACACGACGTAGTGATCCAAGCTTCCAGCCTGGCCCAGGAGAAACTGCAACAGCTCCTTTTCTTCTGGTTGCTGGTCGGGAAGGATATTCATCCAAGCGTCGATGGCAGGTTGGTAATGCTGCAGCCTTCTGCGCTTGCCCGGCGTCAGTCTGGAGACAAGGTCCTTCTCATGATGGACCCTTCTACCGACAGGCCGCACTGGCCGAACGGTTGAACAAGCTAGACCCAGCCTCTCACATCGTGCGCAGTGGGCGGAAGTCGTTGTACGCTCGCATCGTTCTTTGAGCTCGTAGCATCTATCGCATGCAGTTCTCAGTTTCGGGTTCCTCTTATTTACAGACGCCTCCATGCTGCTTGGAGAGTTTGGTTGGGAATAGGGCGGAACAAAACGTTGAGAGGAAATTACATATATTGAATGTGGCGGAGTGACTATTTGACTGGTCAGCCGCAGACAACTAGTTGCATCGCATTAAGCGCTGCTTGGGGAGGCCGTCTCATTGGTTGGAATTGCCTTTCTGATACCACTTACGAATTAATTAAACACACCACCACGACATAAATAACTTACCGTTCTTGAGTTGAGCAGAAATTTTCTTTTAATCTTTGACTTTTCCATCTTTCCGCCTCAATCGTGGCAATCCCCCTTCTAAGCTTTGAAAGTCGAGGAATTCAATATTTTTCCAATACTTATTTTGATTGTGAATATATATTTTGTCGCTATAAAAGACGGATTATACAAAGGGATGGAACTTGGGAAGTGAAAAGGAAAGTCTGAGGTAGTTTCACTTATACTACATTTGAAGAAATAAAGGACTATTAATAAAGTTGAGCCTTAGCTTGTAACTTTTTCCTAGAAAATCGAATAAGAGAGATCAATTTTAGTCTAAATCGTACCTACCACTTTATAACTATGAGAGAATCGTTTCTTATTGATAATCGCTTTTCTGTTATGATAGACAAGACAATCTTTAGATATATTGTCAATGAAATTGAATTGATCTATTATAATGTATAAGATGCAACTGACATATTGATATATTCTTAGACAAATTCTCGTAGTTAGAGGAATCCTATGGGTTAAGAGGGAATTGCCTGGCAAAGAAGCAAAGATACTAAATAGCGACATGTTTCCAAGGATGCAGCCAGCTATCAATACCTAAGTGTCGAAGTAGGCACATTCTTGACAAATATGGAAGACTGGGGCAGATGACCCCAGTGAGCTGAAATGGTAAATAGCATAAAGACTTCGTTCTTCTCTTAAAAATTAGAACCTAGGATTCTGTAAAGAAGCTATACTAAGGGAGAATCGACCTGTAGTATCAGCCTTTTCCTTGAATCAGTGCCACAACTCGTACACTCCGACTGGTATGTCTGACTCTCAAGTAAACTGTTGCATTGTACAATACTATTTCAACCGGTGGAAACAAGCGATTGTCAGATCAGAGTCACTAAGAGTTTGAATAGACATTTGTCATTCCTCTCTCTACTTAGTCTATCATATACCTTAGTAGCATTGAGAAAGATCTCACATCTTGACTGGTATGTCAACGTCTCTTCACGCAGATCTGCCGACTTTTTCCCTGACAGGCAAAACGAGAAAGTATGATCCATAAGTGCGACAGCGACTGAGGAGTCAATGGCCCTTCGTTCATCCCAGCTTTCAAACTTCTTGTCTTAAAGCGTCGGAGCGCCTAGGTCCGTGACTTTTATGGCTTCAAATAGAATATCCAGGCGCGCCCATCAAACTCTTTACAATTGAGGCTTATATCTCAATCTAATTGAATTTATCAGCAGACTCAATATATTGCTGAGGAATCTTCATTAATGCGTACAAAGTTCGTCAGAAAGTTATCCCTCAAGGCCTATAATGTGGACGGTTCATATCCCGTTCAGCCAGCTATACTTATAAGCACATCAATTTGGAATATACGCATACATTAAACGAATAGCTATACCCTAAACAGATGACCCTGTAGTTCTCTTCTTCTTCAACTCCTCAATCAATTTCTCGTACCGATCGAATGGCCCACCAGGAGTATTCTTGATATGCACATCCTTCCCTTTCCTCGTCCACCCTTTCGCACTCCCAAGCTTCCTCCCCTCCATATGCGGTTCCTTTTTTACCAGTTCCTTCAACATCAAACTGATCGTCAAATTGGCAGGACTGTATAGGAGCGGATCAACAATTCCCTCGGCGGTGCATTCTTTATCGAGCGTTTGGAATTCACGCTCTGGTCTTGTGATGGAGGGGTCGAAGGAGGATTTGTGGTGAGCGACTTCGTCTTCGTCGCCTGAGAGGCAGGTCTCTGAGTGCTCTGGATGGAGGGTTGTCCGGTCGCGTTCGAAGATGGTGGGTTTTAAGTAGATATTACGATGAAGTAGACGTTTTGGAGTATGGCTTGTGAGTTGGAAGGGTTTGATGCTTCTGATACATGTAGTCGAGAGCATAGTCCTTGTTGCTTCTCATTGATAATGATTGATTGATAATGCGGCAAATAATTGGGAGAAGGTGGGGTTGGATCTATATCCGCCTATGTTTCTATATTCAGTTGTCTGGGTTTAATGACTAATGTGCGCGTCATACCCAAAGTCTCTTTATCTCGACTTTCTCAAATATATCGAAATTTCTCAAAATACTAGCTTACATATGGAGATAACTTGTGGTAGCTAACTTTGATTTATCCTGCTTGCCTGTGCAGGTTATACTAGCTGATGTGTCTATATAGATGTGTAGTGGTTGTATTCCCATGAATTAATCACGAGAATAAACTTATCCCGATGTACTGCGAATACTATTTTGATTAGCGGTTAAGTTGTAAAACGTTACATATGTAGGACTAAATAACTATTTCTATTATTTTCACAATTGTTTCACCACTACCAGAATAACATGTTGGTGTCAATAATTGGGTAGATTTTCAAATGTAGGGCTTCGAAATCCGAGTGGACACCCAAGGGTTAATTCTAGGGTGTATAAAGTATCCCGAATGTGATTACATGACCACTGGTGTATTTGCAATAGGGTTCTAAATGCATTCGCTTTTCTGACATGCATTCTGACATATGGTTGACATTTCTGACATATGATAGACATTTCTGACGCACCTTTAGCTACAGATGCTGATAAATGTATTAATAATTACAAATAGTGATACCTAATTCGCACTCATGTTGCATCGTGACATTAAGAATAATACCTAACTCCTAAGTTGTAGCCAATGAATATTCTTCAAGGGCTCCTTCTACAGCTCTTTCTTGTGAAGCCGGCAGCAATGCCTGTTGACCGCTGCAGTGTAAACGGGCCGTTCTCTTATATCTGTTCCTGCAACTATTTGATTCGATCAGTAAATTCCTGCCATATTTCATAGTGATTTTAGTTTCAAGTTTAAGAGTAGGCCTTTGTACAATATTTAAACCCCCTTTACTTTCCTTTTCATCCTATATCCCGTAGATATTGATCTATTTTCCGCACTTTAAAAGCAAACTTCTCCGCAGTCCTGATTTCTAAAAACGCCAAATAATACATACCGAACATGTCCACGGTCGTTTTGATTAGCGGTGCTAATCGGGGTTTGGGCAAAGGCCTCCTTGAGCGCTATCTGAGGCTCGCGAATCATACCATTATCGCCGCCAACCGTAACCCAGATCATCCAACCTCCAAGGACCTTTTCAATCTCCCTAAAGCCGAGGGTACCGAACTGATCGTTGTCAAACTCGATGCTCGCGTATGGCAGGATGCCTTTGACGCTATCAAATCGCTTGGAAGTCAGGGCATCGACCATATAGATATTGTCGTCGCTAATGCTGGTGTGGCATATGTCTGGCCAACAGTCGCTGAGGTCAAGCTTGAAGACATTATCGGCCACTTCGAACCTAATACATACGGCGTTGTGGCGCTGTACCAGGCCGTACGGCCGCTGCTCCAGAAGTCAAAGCGAGAGCCCATTTATTCAATCATGGGCACGACGGCTGGTAGTCTCAAGTAAGTGCATGCCCTTGCATATGCTTCCCATCAAATGCATTCATCAGTGCTAAGCAAGCATACAGCTCCCAACCCAAGCTTCAAAACTCTTGTTACGGTCCGTCCAAAGCGGCCGTGGCATGGTACAGTATTCGTATTAACGAGGAGGATAGCTGGTTACACTCCTTCTCTCTAGTACCCGGCTTTGTACATACCGACATGGGCGATATTGGGGCCGCAGCCCTTGGTATCGACAAGGCGACCCAGGATCAAATAATGATCGGCCTTGATGAGTCGTGTGACGGTATGATGGAGGTGCTTACCGAAACAACAAAGGAGAAGCACGGCGGAAAGTTGGTTATGTACAATGGAGAGACCATCGATTGGTAGTTTGCCACCCAGAGTAGATCGCGACTCGTCCTTGAGGAGAAAGATCGTAGGACGAAATCGTAACATACATAGATGCACAACAAACATTTGAAATCTTTCTTTTAAAAGGCAAAAAGAAATATCGGCAAAATCTCTCAGAATGAAATGTCTATGTGTATGTAGGTTCGAATGAGAAGTATAACTATAAGTCAATTTCTCGAACAACTCTATCTTGATGGGCTACTAAGCAATCTCTCCGCACACTCGACTTCACTGCTAGATATCACGCCAAGGAGCTCCTTTGCGTATGCAGCTGCTGTTGCTGCGGCATAGCCTTGCCACTTCTTATTCTTATGTGAATCTGAATAGTCACAGATACCCCGGATCACGAGACATGGGAAAGAATCAACCAGCCCAGCGGCTTCCATTTCGAAGCAGAGCACATTGAGGTCCTTTCGTAGTCGGTCTCGCGTTGCCCCATGCCTCATGACCTGGTCTCCAGACGCAATAGGGCCGTAATGGATGTGCGGAATTAGGGAGTCCCGGGGTTTTCGATGGACTAGTTTCGTCGGGTCACATTGTTGACAGGATTCTTTATCATCTTCGTCGTGGTGATCATAATCGCACTGGAAAAGCGCGTCATATTCTACACCGGGGTGAGAAAATTCGACGTTCCAAAACGGATATCGCGTTTCCATTTCATTCAGGTGGGTTTCCAACATCGGTTTCCTGAGATAGTGATTCGCCTTTAAGCTCGAAACAGCTGTGAGGAGCACGTCAGGAGATCTATTCAAGGATTTTGTGAGGACGAATTTCCCGTCCCGAATCGTTTTGCCAAAGTCGTATTGGACTACACCTTGAATGGACCCATAGGATTCTGCAACTACGACATCCCCTAATCGAACATCTTTGGAGCCAGGTACTCCGCCACCAATTCCAACCAGAAGGCCGAACCTCAGCGATTTGAAGGTATACAGCATGTGGTCAGCCACTCTGGCAGCAGCAACAGTTCCTATTATATTGGCGGGAAGACACGCTATGACGACATTGTGCACCCCCATTCGTCCTAGGGTATAGCTGTTTTTATCAGAAGGATTCTGCGGTAGAGGTGGATGTGTCTCATCGAGCATTGCCTTTGCTGCAGCCATTTCCTTTGGTAGTGCGCATATCCATCCAACTGTATAATTCTCGTGGCTTAGAGAATACAAAAGTGACCCTTGACTTGAGGAACTTCGGGTTCTGTTTAGCTTCTCACGGAACTGGGGAGCGTATTGGTTGCGACCCATAATAGTTTCATGGTTGCCATAGCCGGTATTGCACACCAAAAAGCCTAATTGTACCTTGGCTGTACTGCATATACTTTTCGGCTGATTGATGGGACCTTGGATGAGGTTTGTGGAATTCTCTTGATTGATTCTTATCTGCCCCCAGCTCCCAAGATCCAAGGTTTGGGCAACTTCATCTAGGTTATCGATTGAAACGGTGTTACTGAAACCTTGGTCCAATTCATCTTCAAGAGGCTGCACTATATCTTCATAAATCAGACGCCTTAACCCATCTTCAGCCAACTCCTCATCATTCTGATCGATCCCTATATTTGGGTCGAGGCACCTGTCGACTGCTTCACGGTAATTGTCCGGAAATTCTGCTCGAAATTTCTCGAAGACCGCAGCAGCAACAGCATATCTGGTATTTTCATCGACTTGACTCCAGTTGTCAAGTTCCATTCCAGCCTGTTCAGCCAGCGATTGGATTGGCTGTATCATATATAACTCCATGAGCATTATAGCTAGCATGACAATATTCGGATAGGGATGAGATGGAAAGTCATCCGGGTCAATTTCATCATCTAGGTCACCGGCCTCTATCAAAGCTTCCTCGGAGCTGTGGACCATCTCCATAAGGTCTGTGTGAATATATGGCTTCAACGGAATGGCACTCGAGGTACGGAAAAATAAAATATTGGAAGCGTTGAAACGAGACCGCAGTAACCAAGGAGTTCCGTGAAGGTGAAGAATAGCGTAAGCTAGCAAAACAGCTAGGACACGTTTCACCTTTTCGGTTAGACTGGCTGGGCGAGATATTATAATGTCTTCAAGAGAGAGCGGAGGGTCTGAACGGCTGATGGGAAACACGCTCATACAAGATTGATCTTTCCACAGTCGGCCGTCTTCAACGGCTAGGTTGAGACGCATTGAAGGCTTTGACTTGCTTTTCTCAATCTGTTCACACAATCGCTCTACAGCTAAACGACGACGGTGGTTTCGCTGCTTTCCACTGGACGAACCACACTGATCGGCGAATTTGATGCTTGCCTTCTTCTTTTGCATCTCTTGATTGGCGAGAACTGCTAGAATCTGCGTTTCTTGCCATGACTGACCAGTCAGATTAAGCGTAACGAATGTTTCAAAAGCATAATTGTCCTCCACAGTCTTACGATACGTCGCTAGTCGGAGTCTAGCCGCATAATCGTGGCTATGGATGGAGGAGCATGCATTTGAAGATGCGATTAATGCCTGATATACCGAACTCGCCACAGAAGATGCGGAAGCTATCGCATTTCTTCTTTTTTTCCGCGGTGCACGATAGTCATCCGCCGCATCTGTAAGTGTCTCGGGATAATGGGAGCGGAGCATGTCAACAGCGCCTCGAAGCACTAATATCATCTCATCTCGTATATCCTGGGAACCAAAATCTAAACACTGCCCAATATTTAGCATCTTCTCTTGCAGAGCCCTAGGCAAGTCCCAGTAATATTTCAAAGTCGTTAATCGAGGAAATGGGTCGGAAGATGATAGGGTTGTCTCATGGTCCGGTAAAACAGAGTGCCGTAAGAAGCAGGAAAGTCTTTTGAGTATTGAACGAGATAGGGATTGAACGCCGGATATGGCTCCATCTTGCTGTACTGGAGCAATGAGCTCTGTTAGAAGTAGATTATATGCGTTTAAATGGACATAGAATTTGCGCAGTTCGTGATCGCTTTCAGTATCCTCCAAAAAGTCGACTATTTCTCGGAAAATGCGGGTGATGTTTAACAGGAGGTCGATCTATTGAAATATCAGGCAATAAGCAGGCAGATTTGGTTCAGTTATTGGAAACAGATGCTACCTGAGAATAAGAACTATGCCCTGTCAGGCTGCACGCTACGTGTGACGACTGCGCGGGTGCTTTGCTAGCGAGGCTTGTTGACACAGCTGTTTGCATGTCGATATCGGCTGCTCGTGACCCATGGGTATTATTTTATTGTTGGAATTAGTAATAGTAATAAAGATGACTAGGATCAAGTCTCATTGAGAGAGTGAACAGCTGAATACAAATGCGAAATTCCAGAGTTGAACGATGGGCTGCAACTAGCTAGTGCGGGGTCGATGAGGCTCCTTCAGCCTCGTCAGGCTTCGTCATCCACAACTAGCGAGAAAGTGCATGGTTGTCTCTCATGGATATCTCACAGACCCGATGGGTTTATAGAAAGTCGAAAAAATTGGCCACTGAATATGGAGACCGGGAAGCAGGACCCAACGATCGCTGACACTGCGCGAGCGTGTCTGGAATCTTTCAACCAGTGTTTGGAGATTTTCGCCATTCTTCCTCCCAAGCAGCAGTCGGCAATCGAGGATCAACTAGGTAGATTCTCGATATGGACGGCCAATATTGGTGTTTTCGCACCCTTTCGAGCTTCTCTCGACTATCGCCTTCGGGGCGTCTCTGATGTACAACGATTAGTGCGCGGACTTCTTCGAACGCTGAATGAACATGTTGAACAATGTAAGAAGTCTATGATAGTTTTCATCTTAAATAGCCATCTAACCACTTTGTTTGATAATGGCAGACTTATCATACCTCGAGCCATCGAACCAAAATGGGAACGCGCATCCTGTGGAAGATAGCAGACTTGGTACCGTGATTGACAATATGTCAGAAGAAATCAGCTTGTTGCATCAGCTGTCGAATACTATTCGCAAGGCGAGTAGCGAAAGGAATAATCTGAAAGCTGCAACTTCCTTTATAATCTACGACGAAGAGGGTAATGACCTCGGCCCAATATTTGTAGGGCTTTTTGCACTGGAGATTATCCAGCGTAGGTTTCCAGACTGTGAAGAGAAAATTAAAAGGCGATTGGCAGACGCAATGTTACTCCGCCGGAAGCGAATTCTGTATCGACGCTCACGCTACGGAAAAGCTACATCGAGAAATGTTACATCTGCACCGCGAAAAATTAAACCAAACACCGAAAAGGCAGCAGCCAGTGGTATCCAGAGCACACCAGATCAGATGGGAGAGCGGCATCCTGATCGTTCTTACGTAAAGGCACAGCCAAGCATTGCTGGATCCCGAGCAATCACTGCGACCACTCTTAACATAGAGCAGTGGAAGAAAGCGTCCTCCCCATCCGTTGTTAGTAAATCGAGAACCATCCAGTTGAGCAATCATGAGCATCTTGAGTTTCCTCCAGCACCAAAGAGGTCTATATTACAGAAATTAAAGTACCTTAAAGAGCAGCATTATATGAAACATGAAGAACGTCTCAAATCACTCCCAAACTATCTTCTCTATATACAAGACGTTGGCCAGCCGGCCTTGGATGAGGATGCATTTTCTACATTACGAAACAGCATATCAGACTTGCAAGTTGAATTATTCGAAGAAATTGAAAACGATCGGGTTGCATGCTGCAAGGGAAGCATGGAAGTTGTTTGTCCTTATTGTTGTTGCGCTCTGTCGAGCGCGACAGTCATGAATAATCGTTTATGGATGTGAGTTCTATCCATTTTGCTCTAGTGTTTATAGATTTCTCTATGAGAGCATCTACTAAGCAAATTTCAATCTTTAATAGAGATCATGTTAAACACGATCTCGACCCATATCTGTGTTTATTCGAAGATTGTGACAATTCCGATACTTTATACAATCACAGCGAGGACTGGCTAAAACACATGCGCCAGCACAAATTGCGATGGCGTTGTACAGCAAAATCCCATGGTGTTCTCGTATTTAACGACCAAAATGAGTATGAGGAACATATGACCACAAATCATAAAAGTACCAGGTCCCAACTCTCGATTATAGCAGCTCGAAGTAGTCGATCATCTGGCCCTATTTTTGAATCATGCCCACTGTGCGGAGAATCAAACACTAATGGTCCGCTGGAGAATCATGTCGCCAGTCACCTAAGATATCTAGCCTTGAAGTCGCTTCCGTTCCCGGAAGATGGTTTGGATGACAGGGATTCTGATAGTGTAGAATTGGATTCTGATAAATCGGATTTGCGAAGCCGAAGCACTGCTTTCGATGATTCTGATGATCTCTCACACGTTTTTAATATAGATAAACGCCATGTAACCAGTAGTCAACTCAGTGATGACGCGAGAGACCCAGAAAGACGAGACTCGGAGGGCTATGACCGCAACGAATGGGAGTTTCTATCAAAATCCTTTTCCGCCGAAGACTATCGGAATCGAGATCTTATTTTACAATCATTCCTAACGAAATATCAAGAACAACTTCGAAATAGGCCTGAGAGCATTGATAGTGATGGTATAAGCAACACAGACTTGGGTGGGACAGTGAAGATGAAGACTTTGGCAAAGCACCGGAGAAACACAGAGAAGACTACCAAAAAGCGCGATTTGATGGTTATATTTGCTACCACCTCCCACGGTCCTAATGACGAGGTTAAAAAGCCCCATTTTGGAGATGTGAAGGATGTGACCATCAAACCATACCAAGATGAAGATTCTAATCTAGGTGCCAATGAGGTATCAGCTCCGGTGTCTTGTGAGGGAGGAGGTGACGATTCTATTTTCGAAGTATTTAGTGTCGCCGGATTCATTGAAAATGAGTCGGCATTGGATCATACATCCATTAATCAGACAACACAAATATCGCCAATCGAGATGGAGGATCCATCCCAATGGAGTGATGCAGCGGGTGAGATTTCTGAAGATATTGTAGCTGTTGAAGAGAGGTCTGCATTGGACATTTCGACAGATGATAACCTCATTCATGTGCCTCCTGTTGAAATTACCATCGAACCTCCTTCTCCAGCCCAGAGCGTAACTAGCGATGATTCATATGTATCCACTACCAGCGACGATATTATGAACGAAGTGGAATCACACGAATTTTCTAATGTTATACACGAGAACCTCGCTACAGAGTCGGAATCAGGTAGGTCCGGTAACCCTAAATTCTTGGCTTATCCGCAACTTTATATTCATTAACACCCAATCTGTTTCCCCAGACAACCGTGAGACTGAGAATTCTATTAATCACGCCTACGAGCTATGGGAAGAAGACTTTGTGGCACCAGAAGTCTCCACATCGCTATATAGCAGGATCTACCCAGGCATGCATTACCAACAAGCCAGGGCTCGGGCTGATCAGCAGCAACGACAACAACAACAACAACAACAACAACAACAACAACAACAACAACATATCGCCACCATGGATGGTACTCTTGAGAAGCTTTCAACAGAGTCTGAGTCAGATTTCCCTGGTGTGGGAGATAGCGAAGGCGTCAGAGCCTTCCGTAAGTGCAGGTCCGAGGCCTGTGGATACTACAATGAAACAAATGACATCACCTGCCTCCGTTGCGATGCTCCACTTCGGGGAGCTGCTGCTGTTGTTGATTCTACCCTCACCTCTGATCCTAACAGCCAGATATGGCCGCCACCTACCCCAATTGATATTCAACCTACACTTATGTCCAATATAGCAATCCCTCCAAAAAACTCAATAACAGAAGGCCCCCCCCAATTATTTACAATTACACACCCACTACTCATCGTATCAGCCACGCGAAGAAGGGAAGGCGAATGTATGCATGCGAACTTCCTGGCTGTAACAAGCGTTTCACTCGTTCGGAGCATCTTAGCCGCCATAAGCTTCATCATAACCCCGAGGCTTTCTATAGATGCACTTATGAAGGTTGCAAAAAGGTCTTTTATCATTCAGACCTTTTGGCTCGGCATATAGCCAGGCAGTAAGTGTTGTATCTAGCCATTACTAGATTTTCCCTACTAACGAGACATTTAGTGAAGCGGCCATCCAATTAGATACTACTTCCGCCACCGCCTCCTCACCAGTTGCGTCCCTACCTGGAGATATTCAAGGGTTAGCTTTGCCTCCTCTAGGCCGTGGTGTTGATTTGGCAGAAATCACTAGGGGGGTTTCGAATACCTCCCTCACCGACCTCAGCCGTCCTGCCGAAGAACAGGCGCAAAGTGCAAAAGACCTGGAGTACCCAGAAGCAAGGGTTTACTCGGATCAGTATAGTTCTTTTAAAGCTGACAATTCAGACATTCGATATCCCCTGCCTGAATTACCTCCTCCAGACCTTGGCAATGCAGATATCTCATCGATGTGGTCTGCTAATGAAGATGCTATGCTTATAAATGCAATGCGTATATATGTTGGAACCCGGAGGTATGACTGGGACTATGTTAAGAGTGCATTATTTCCGAATAAAACGGCGGATAATTGCCGGAGCAGATACGAGCACCTCATGAGAGAAGGAAAGGTGTAGGGCCGGGGTTAGGAGGGTCTCAAAAAGGTGCCTTTGTCGAAGTCCGAGAGATCTAAAGATTCATCAAAGGAAACCCCGCATAGCAAAAGGCCAAAATATTCAAGGAGCACCTTTTATTTTTGCTGCCAATGCTTGGGATCGAATATGCACGGGGTTTACCTGATGTGCCCTCTATATTACCATCACTATGTTTCCACTATTCTCTATGCCTGGATGAAATGAAGGGTAAAAAGTTTTCAGCTGCCGCTCTTGCCTATTCTCGCCCCAGGGCTTTTTCAAGTTAACAGATGCTATTAGCAAATTATATATCGCAAAAGCGGATTAATCTCTAGTTCTTAGTGCCGCCGGTCCTGTTGAGCATGTCAACCCCTGAAGGGTTTATATTTGGTCGTCGAATTTTCCAATTTAATAGAAAGGCCAATTGCTACGTTTTGCCCCGATAAACCATGTGACTTTTAGAGGAAATTAGCCGGTATACGCCAGAAACATGGCAAATCGGATGAAGGACGATCATGGTGACATCACTGGTTTCATACTAGAAGGAGTGCATAACTCATTTCTGAACAACGTTCTAGATATTACTTGTTTAATCTGAATAAATCAGCATTTCCCGTGTTTCAGAAATTGTATACATCTATCTACTTATTGCTTTCTACGAGATGTCCAACGACCTCCCCACAGTCAACGAAATCAAACGCGCTGTCGTCGCAGGCCAACGTATAACCCCCGAAGATGTCTCGCAAATCGCACAAGCAGAGAATGAGCTTACTGGTAGGGGACCGATCAAAGGCGGACCAGCTGGTTAGTTATCCTCTGAACAAGACAAAAGCACTCGCTGAGCGCTATTCAAGCAACGGCGCATTCGCTCTCATCAAAGCAAATGAACTTTGAAGCGAAACTCGACGAGCTCGCGCACAAGCCGCCATCGCATATCACGCAGGAAGATGCAAGGGAGATGCAGTCTGCTGAGGTATGTAGAGTATATCCCACTTGATGATCGGTGGGGGGATGGTTTGGTTGGGGTCGCTGAGAAGTTACAATATGGTTATAGGGCCGCGCCTTCAACGCACCCCCCGGTGCAGCTAGCGTCTCTGCGCAGGTCCGGTCTCTTGCAGATCGAAACGAGGTGCTGGGATTGCCGGCCGTGCAAGACCCCGGGCCAGTGTATGTGACGAAGGAAGAAGCGAGTGAGGCGCAGGCAACGGAGGCGATGTACACAGTGGGGATGGTGCCGAAGGGTAGTCTGGCGGCACAGATGCAGGTGTGTTTCAAACCTTGGTATTACGCTAGGATGAGGCTGGGCAGGTGCTGATGAGTGTAGAGCGCAGCAGATAAACGAGAAGCGGCGCGCAATGGGGTGCTGTGGGATACGGAGTAGTCGAATTTAATGCTAGAGTTTGACAGGATTGATTGTAGGCGTTTGAAAACTGGAAATTGGGTTGTGTTAGATGTGCATGAATATGCGAGGAGCAGGAATTAGGTCTAGAACACTGTCAGGAATCCGCCCCAGATTCTTTAGTGCGAGAACCATGCGAGTGAATAGTATATGCTATTTACTATTGAGACGTGCAAGCTGATTGCAGGACAAGACGTATATCCTAATAGAGAAAAAGGGTTTTAGCTTGCAGGGATCAGTGCTGCTGGGGCAAACACGGAGTAAATAATATCGCTGCAGGATCACCAGCTAACTACTTAGACTTTATGCAGGTTGCTCCAATGCCCAACATTGTGACAGCATGCTGAAAAGGGGATATAAACTGAGACGGCCGTCTGGGGCCTGGCGAATGCGGTATAGGGAACGATCCTTTCGCCCGCGTACCTGCATGAGTTTGACTCAGAATCCAGCCATAAACACTGTGAGTGGATGAAAAAACGAGAAGCAATTTTCGGGCTGTTTCAACAGGCGCTGATCGACGCCCAGGAAATTGCAACCGAGCATAGGCGCCAGACTACGACAGGTGCAGGAGAAACCGCGAATAGGAAGACGAGAAAAAGAAAAACGAATACGACGAATGCAACGCGCTTGGACCAAAAAGGAATCCTTCTAGAAGGCGTCACGCGGCTGCCGTTGATTGGCTGCAGGGGGATCTCGGGCCTTTTTTAGAACAGCCAACACGTCAGCTGAAGAATGTCTTTATTGATTTACTATTATTATTTAATGCTCACCACTTCTTTTTCTGTTTGTTCTTTTATCTGCTGCTGTTCTTTCAGACTCGATATTGCCTGATCTTACGAGATAATGCCCGTTGTTGAATCATCCTGAAACAACCGTACACGACCTGCTCCTGTTAACGCCGGCGTGGCAGCCTTTGTTTACTAGTATTTATCCCATTCCTCCAGCTTCACCACCAAACCAGTCTCTCATTTCTGTCTTGGCTGTGTTGACGATGCGATAAGCACCATGACCAAACACGTCAAGTTTACCCACATCACCCCGCTACCCTCGCATGTCACCCGCGAGGTCGTCACCACTCTCCTACATGACCACTCGACGATGATCACAGCGAATCCGCTTGTTACGCACCACGGTCGCTGCACTCCTCCACCCCACGCCCTCCCAGACGAACAAGAATCTGCCTGGTACGAGATCACCGACAAAGTCGAGTATGTCCCCGGCACCTCGTTCACCGGCAGCGTCACCTACACGGCCTGCCTACATGATCTTCCCAAGGGCCTCCAATCTCACATCCATGCGCCAATGGGCCTGGAAATCCGAAGCAAATGGCAAGTCCTAGGCTGGATTCCCGGCGAGGAGCGCGAGCCTATCGAGATCGGCGCCGACCAGTACGGTGTGCCCAGAGAAGGGCTCTACCTACGCGAGGACTGCGACTTGAAGTGCAACATCCTGCTACTCCCCATCGTGAAAAGAAACATCAAAAAATCACACAAAACCCTCGTCGATCGCATCATCGAAAGGACGGAACACCTGATGCCACCGCAGCATCAAGCCCTGCAGCGGCCGTCGTCGCTGACGTTTCACCAGCGCACTAACAGTGACCTGGACAGATCAGTAAGCACAACTCTCAGTTCTCGGCCGTCCATGAGCAGTCTTGGAAGTCGACCGATGACGAGAACCACTCCTGATCGAGAAACTCCTGAACCTAGTAACGATGAATATCCCCCCATCATCCCTTCTTTCCACGATTTGTCGCGCACATCCACCCCCACGTCGGTGCCCATGCAGTATAACGAGTGGCTTCAGCGAATTGCGTTTGATTGCCAGATGAATGGATACTCGGTATCGATCTCGGGTGGGACGCAGGAAAACGCGCGGTCATCGCAAGCGTCCCCATTAAACCAGCAGAACCTCAGGTCTAGGGGCCGATCGCAGTCGCCAGGTAGAAAGTTCCTGCCGGATCCGTCAAAATATAAACGATACCTTTCGGAGAATACCCGGCATCGCGCGGGCTCGCCTGCTTCTCTGCCCTCTACTCGATACGCCTCACCAGTGCGGTCGTCGTCGAGGAATACGCGGTATGCCTCGTCGATGTCGTCCAGGATGCCGTCGAGACAGGGGACGCCGGAGCCGGGGGTCGGGATGTGGCCGGCTATTCTTTGATTGTATTGTATATATCTTCATCTGGCGGTTGTATGAATACTTGGTTATTGACGACGGTACGAACTGGTTGGCTACGATTAGCGATTCACGCGGGCGTGATCACATCATTTCTTGTATAATACTATGTTATAGATTTCTAATGTGTACATTCTACCATATAATTTAGATTACAAGCATCAATGGCAAGGAAGTTGAATGCTTGATGAATTTCATTCTTTGCACTGATATCATCACTACCAAAGTATTTGAAGCATAGTTTGAAAATTAAAAAAAATCCCCAAGCTAGTCATAATAAAGAAGATATAAAGTAGTCATGACGAATTATACTCAACCCACGTCTTCATCTTCGCTCGCATATGCTCTCCATACACAACCCCCTCCGCATCATCCTCCTCAACAGACCGCACAACACAGCCCTCACCAGGCTCAAAGAAAAACGGGACACTAAATCGACCAAACTTAGTCCTTGATGCAGCATCATCATCCTCTTCATCCGTTTTCATCACCATCCTCGCTGCCGGCGCACGCACTCGATGCATCGTCGCTACGAATCTACCACCCGACACCCTGGCCATCAAATCCCCAATATTGACGACAATCGACTCGGGGATATATGGCACCGGTACCCACTTCCCCGCCGAGTCTTGCACTTCCAAGCCACCGGTTGAGTCTTGGTGGAGCAGTGTGAGAATGCCGCTGTCTGTGTGTGGCGTGCAGCTGAGTTTGACCGGATCAGATGGTTCGGGGGGTGGTGTGTCAGCATCGAGGGAGATGGGGCTGTCGGAGGGTTTGGTGTGACAAGGTGGATAGTGTAAGAGACGGAGTGTGCTGAGGGAGTGGGTGAGGTATGGTTCGAAGAAGCTGGGAGGTTTGCCTAGGGACATGGCGAGGAGGGAAAGAAGGGCCGAGGAGAGGGATTGCATTTCCGAGTAGAACTGTTCCAGGCGTTGTCGAGAGGAGGTTGGATATGTGTCTTCACTGGGCCAGACGTTTGGTTCGGATAAATCGAATGTCGAGTCCTGGCGAGGTTTGGAGGATGTGGTGATGGCTTGTGAGGAGCCGATTTCGAAGCCTTCTTTGAGATTGTCGGAGGCTTCGGTGGGCTGGGTTGGGAAGTATCTGATGAAGGGGTTAGATGGTGGGTGTCGTATGGGTAGACTGTGGTATTACCCTCTGTATGTGTTGTGGTTTTCTTTGTGAAAGGATTGTTTGGCCAATTTCATCTTCTCTTCTAGTGGGAGATTAAAGAACTCCAAAGCAAGGCCGAAAACATCGGCATGTGTGAAAGTCAACGGCGTATTGACGAGATACGCAAAGCCGGTTGTAGTAAAGACATCGTGAAGCTGGCTGCTCAGCTGCTGCAACTCGGATATAGATGGGCCCGAAGCATTCTGTAAAGGGGCCAAGTCCACGATGGTCAGAGAGGAGAAAATGGTCGACATGGTGAAGCTTGATTGTTGTAACTGTCACATCGGACGGCTTGTACGGGTGTCATCATTCTTATACCCATACCGTGCCCATACTTTAACATCTTGCATCCGGGCTTCTCCGACAGCATACCACCAGGAACACGGCTCATACCATCGTACTGATGAGGGAGTATCTAGCTACAAAGAGTATCTGGTCATGCGTACGATTTCCCAAAAGGAAAATGTAATGTCACATTATGTCATGGATGGGGAAAAAGAAAAAGTCAAATATCACCGCTTGCGGCCCTATTACAGGGTAAACACACGTCAGAAGTCATGCCATAGGCCAATTTATTCCAATCCATTCCCCTCTTCCAAGATATGGCCACTTTTTGGTGCAGACGAGTCTCCGGTCACGTGAGCGGAATTGACCGGCGGCGGTTCCAGGCTGCTTTCGCAGTAGAATCGTACATATGGTGAATCGACAGTGGTCAAATAGATATGTTTGCTTCAATCATGTGGCCAGCGGGCGTAAGAGCGGCGAGGCAATGTCCCAATATTTAGACACGGCCTTCAATTCCGTTTGCAGGAGATATATGCAACGGTCATTCGTGAAGGCTCGATTCTCTGGGAGTCAACCATTGCTCCATATACACCGATAGTATTTGAAGCAGGAGCACATATGGATATCCATCCTGCAAAGTGTTTAGATTCCCTTCCAACCGTCAATATTTGTTTGAATGGCGTCCCAGAGTGGCGCTAGTGATCCACCTACCTAACCCAGCCTCACTCAGCCAAACCCAGTCTAATCCACTATAGCCTGTCGTTGAAATAAGATTGTATGGAACTTTAAGCTCGTCTTCTTGACTGACGTCGTAGATGGTGCCACGGCGTAGGGCAAAGGCACAGGGACTGGTGGTGATAAATGACGCATCGTAAATAAGATCAAAATTTATGGGGCCGGGGATAAGATTGGCGCTAAGCCCGGGATCGTCAACTTTGAACGTTGCGCTGCTCCGCTGCTCCGCTGCTCTCTGCTTCATCGTCGTCCAGGGCGACCTCCTGCGTTTCGCATCAAGCTGCGACATGAGTATGACCGCGAAATCGTAAGTTGGAATATTGTTGAGTGGAGACAAGATTACTGACGCGATCGACAGGGCGCCCTCCATGCGGAGCAAGAAAGCTTGCACAGAGTGTCGCCAGCAGAAGGTGCGTCCAAACAGCAAGACAAGCTTAGACTGACAAGTTCATGCTGACTATTATTTATTTAAGGCCAAATGCGATGCCTACCTCACCCCCAACGAGCCGTGCACGCGCTGTCGCAAGGTCGGCGCGCAATGCGTGATTTCGGAACCCTTCAAACGGGAACACAAGCGCAAGTGAGTCGCAATACTCTGCTCCATGCGTCTCCCTCGCTGACAGGAAAAGACGGCTTTCGGAGCTCCAACATGAAACCGAAGAACTGCGGAAAAAGCTTGTGTCTGGTCGTATTAACACGCTTGCTTCGCCGATTGCAGTTCTGACTACCGCTGCGGAGATGAGCAGGACCCCGGAAAGTCTCAGAGTCTCTACGCCGTCTGGATCCCCTCCACAGCCAACCACACGTCTCGAGAGGAGCCGAATTGTGCCAGCGAACATTCGCCCTGTCCCGGTGCTGTCGGCTGAGTTGCCCATGGTGGAGGGTGAGACGCAGGCGAGGACGCTGAATGGAATCACTGTCGAAGCAGAAGAAATCAACGATCTTTTTCAATTGTCGGTTGGGCGGTTTCTTTGAATGCGAAATTTACACTGACAAGCTACAGGTTTTTTCGCGATTTTGCACCCTTCCTCTCCATCCTCGATCCTACCACGAGCCCTAATTCTTACTATGCGCAGTCGTCGCTGCTTTTCTGGACAGTGCTCGTGGTCTCAAGCAGAAGCTACAGCAAGAACCCTACACTTTTCGCCGCTCTCACACAGCCCGTTACCGACTTGATACTTTTATCCATGTCGTCGAACGCGTCGCCCGTCGCCAAAATCCAGTCGTTAATCCTGATGCTGACGTGGCCATTCCCGAAGGTGGAGGTACTGTTCCCGCTCAGCGGGATGATGCTTCACTTCGCGATGCAGAACGGTCTCCATATCCCAGTGGCCAGTCACGAATTCGCGCGCAACCATGAAAAGTCCAAGCATAAAACGAGTGTTGATACGCAGCGGCGGACAGAGTTATGGGCGCAGTGTGTAGTAGTTTATCAGCGGTATGTGAACGTGTGGAGGTTGGACCTGAGCAGAAGCTTATTATGTATAGGACTTGCTTACAAAAGGGTCAGCCGCCGCGAGCGATGCTGGATCTCGTTCCTGAATCCGGCGCCAAGTTGTGCCAGCAATTACCGCCGGTGTTGACGGTACAGCTTAAGTGTCTTGATATTGCTAGTAAATGTTCTGTGGCGGTCTTTTCGACTGGAGTGCGCAATCCGTCACTAGAGCACGAGCGGTCACTAAATGTTTTATTACGAACATTTGAAAATCAGCTAAAAGATCTTGAAGACTCCTTTCCAGCTAGTAAGTGGGCAATTCATACATTTTCTACAACGCTAATAGCGTAGCTACAAACACACTATACACAACTATTGCCCGTCTTCAAATCCAGGTATTCCACCTCTACAAAGACCTAAGCGCACCACACGACGGCTGTTTCACGATGCTAGCAAAAACGGCATGCTCGGTGATCGACCACGCCAAAATCATCTTCGACAGACCGGAGCTCCATCCTGCGTGTCCCATGTACATCATGAACATCCTGGTCATCGCATGCTCGTGTCTGGTCCGGATGTTGAAGAGCGTTGTTGCGCGAGACCTCGACGTGGAACAGTCCAAATCCTGTCTCTTCACGGGCATTAACCTGCTCAACTGCTTTTCCATCGACCCGCAGGATTTCGCCGCCAAATGCTCAACGGTTGTCAATCAGCTCTATCACAGTCGCAAAGCATTCCGCCGACCGGACGGGACAGAACACTCCACGCTGCGCATTCGCAGTCGCCTGGTCATGTCGCCCACCATTGACTTGGTGTGGTGGTGGCGCGATGAATTTGACTCTGAGGGGAAAGATGAGGAGGATAGTGGTTAGTACTACGTGTCTAATTACGTACAGTGCTACAAACAGTGCTAACTGATTATTTCTAGCTAATAGAGGGGACGTCGACCCCTCTCCCGCCGACGCATTCAACATTGGCTCGGAGTTTGGCTTCCTCGATAATGAGTTCCTCACTGATTTCGAGTGGGCGATGAGCAGTGACTATCTCCTCCCACCAGAACCATACGCCAATATAGAGTGGACGACCACACCGGGTATCTTACCGCCGAGTTGAGTGTACAGTATCGACATGATTAATGTTATTATCTGTCCGACCTGCGGGTCGAATCAAGCAAGCTTCTAGAACCGGGCTGCAGGTCGATCTCGGTTAGAGTGTCATGTACTGTCCGATCGATGCGTGTGACTTGCTTATCATCCAACACCAGACCAATGCCCTTTGCCGCTACTGGATGATATCTCTATTCTCCGGCACAACCCCGCACACTTATCACTAATAGACGCTAGACGTACTCCGTAGACTGTCTTGCTGGACCGAAGATAGCCGTTGTGCATGAGCTCGGGCTCGAGCTCATGGACTCGAAGAGGCAGGCAACAATTCATGATGGTCATTGACGATTGTACGACAAATATGTCTGTTACACGAGGTATGCACTTACGTACAATATCCAGATTATCATACTGAACAAAGACAGTATCAAGGAAATATCACAAACTGAACAGACACGGAATTCGTCTGAATAATATATCTATTAACACCTATATGTACTCAACCACCTTTTAATTGTATACATGTATAGTATATACGGAGAACGGTGCTTATCTCGACCCGACGAGCATCCGTCAATAAAACTCCTATCACGGCAATATCTAATTGTTTGACAAGAACATCACCGGCTGCACCGACGCGCTAGTAACCCAATAATCGGAGACCAAACACGTTTGACAGCCATCAATAATAGTGGTTTGTCGCGACGTTGCACCTAATCTGGAACGGATCGATCGATGTAGAATGCAGGATCACGTTGCATCTCCCTAAGCCTGTCCAGGGAAATCCTGCGCCATCATCATTGGATGTCATTCATTGTTAGAAGCGGATAGATCAGGCCAGCAATCGCACCAACATAAATTAAATTATTATTAATAAAACAGAACTCAAATCGGAACGATTCTTGTTTGCATAATAAAGGATAGTGCTAGCTGTATAAGGCAGGAGAGATTTGCGGGCTTGACAGTCTTGACTCGTAACCCCGCGCGCAACCACGCCGCTTTTGCTTAAAACATTGAAGCTTTGGCTTCTGGCTGTTTTCGCAGAGCGAGTATCTGGAACTAGCGGGTCTAGTGCAGGATCGAAGCGAGCGTCTACCAGCGTACCAATTGATAGGACTGATAGGGCCAAATCGATTGCTAACGCAAGCATCTGATTGACTGAATACAGAACACTAGGCACTAGACACTAGACACTAAGACACCGTGGCACACGCGAGCGTGGTTCCTTGCCTTGTCCATGTAACGTGTCGGTTTGCTATTGATATTGCACAATGAAGACCTGGAGACGCACTAGCCGAGGCAGCGCCGACCAGCCAACCAGTAAACTTTCACAAATGCTAAATCATGATTAGTTAGAGTGCAGGCACGGCGGTCACGAGGCAGCAATTAAGTCAAGGTTGCGGTTGTGGCAAACTCTCTTGGCGAGCCAAAAATGCAGCGGTCAATTGGGTTTAAGCCACGGCTTGTTTCTTGTCCTCTTTATTAGAAATTTAATAATAGTAAATAATAATATAGCTTAGCGTGTTCTACCGTGTTCTTTGTACAGCTCAGTTATATGGTGGCAGACGCAACGCCAAGCACGTTATCGGCGGTCCTCGACTCTCCGGTGCAACTTGCTAGTTCGGGTTAGACTGTGGCTGTCGAGGCTGGTCGGCCAATCCTTACGAGGCTCGTTATCAAGGGGGGCGTTCTCTTGCATCTCCTATTGGCGCGGCAGGCTATCGCTGGTATATTTCATTGGCCGGATGCAGCACAGACTCGGCTCCCCACTTGGCTCCGTGCTCTGATTAGCTAGCCGATTGCGGCAAGCCCGTTCTGAAGAAAGTTCCAGGGGGTGGTACAGTACACCATTGATGAGGGATGGGAAGGGAAGGGTCATACAGGCAAGCTTTGAGGATGATTCTTATTTAATTGTGCCACAGCAGATATAGCAGAGATGGAAGAGCCGCATCCCATCCGAACCACCTGTGCCACTGATGGTGCAAAGGCGGTGGCGTGGCGTGACATGGTTGCGGCGGTGGGCCTACCCCAGGTCCGCGCGCGTTATCTTCGGATGAGGCCGATTCATTAATATTTAATATCATTTATAGCTGGAAATCCTGCATGGGGTTACATCGATCTGAGCGCTCGCGTGAGGAATTAGGAAGGAGGCCACGCTGCGCCAATGACAGCTTCAGATCGGACGTCCTCGCCAGTGCAGCCTCCAATGACAATGCCGCATCCCGAGCAGCGGCCGAGTACAGTCGCAGTCGCAGTCGGAGCGACAATCGAGCTAATTAAGTAGGAGCTTAGTTGCAAGGGCAGCATGTGCGAGCCCCCACCAGTCCCTGCTGCCCTTCCAGCCGCTCTTTTCATATATGAACCGCTCTCCTCCCTTTGTTCGCATGTCGATGTATCTTCTCTTCTCTCCTCTCCTCTTCTTCCTATACAGGATTTGGGTTAGTGATCAGCCATGACTGAGTCGCTGCAAGAAAAGGTCGCCGAGCCTACCGTGGCTGCCGCCACTGGCGTGCACATCAGCGACGCTGAGGAGGCTATCCAGCACGTCAAGAACCTCAAGAAGCAGCACCAATGGGACCCGAATCTGCCCGAGGATGTCTACGACGAGATTGATGAGGTGCTGGAAGGCCACGATGGTGCCCATCAGGTCGACATCGCCGCCGAGCTCCTCGAGAACTCGCCCTACCCCGAAGTGCGCGCGGCCGTGCCCAACTACGACGAGGGTGGCCACAGCAACACCATTCGCGCATGGGTCATTGGCCTGATCCTGGCCACCGTTGGCTCGGGCCTGAACACCCTCTTCTCCATGCGCAATCCATACATTGTCATTCCCAGCTACGTCGCCCAGGTCGTCGCATACCCGCTGGGCAAGGCCTGGGAGATGTGGCTCCCCGCATGGGAGTTCTCGTTCTTTGGTATCAAGTGCAATCTCAACCCCGGCCCCTTCAGCAAGAAGGAGCACACCATTACTGTCCTCATGGCCAACGCCAGCTTCAACGGCGGTGCTGCCTATGCCACCGACGTGCTACTGGCTCAGCGTGCTTTTTACAAGCAGCGCTACGGCTGGGGCTTTGAACTGCTCTTGTGCATTTCCACCCAGATGATTGGTTTCGGCTTTGCCGGTTTCTTCACCCGTTTCTTGGTCCAACCGTCCGCCATGATCTGGCCCCAGAACCTCATCAACGCCAGTTTGTTCACTGCCTTGCATGACCATCGCAGTCCCGACCCGTCCAAGACCAGTGGCTGGAGGATTGGAAAGTACCGTCTGTTCTTGTACACCATGATTGCCTCGTTTGTCTGGTACTGGTTCCCCGGCTATATCGCTCCTTTCTTGAGTGTCTTTGCCTGGGTGACGTGGATCAAGCCAAACAACGTGGTCATCAATCAGCTCTTCGGTGGCTGGACAGGCCTGTCTCTGATCCCGATGACCTTTGACTGGACCCAGATTTCGGGCTTCAACTTCTCCCCTTTGATCTCGCCGTGGTTCGGTATCGCAAATACCTTGCTTGGTATGTTCTGCTGGTACTGGATTGTCGTCTTGGGTGTGCACTTCAAGGGCTTGTTCTATGCCAAGTACCTGCCCATCAGTGACTCCAACAGCTACGACAACACTGGCAGCCCGTATAAGGTTGCCAATATTTTGAATGCCGATGGTACTTTCAACCTGCAAAAGTACAAGGATTACTCTCCTCTATTTTTGTCCACAACCTTTGCCATTTGCTATGGCTTGTCGTTTGCCACTATGATCGCCGTGATTGTTCACACCGGATTATTCCACGGTAAGGAGCTGTGGATTCGTCTCAAGAACTTTGGCAAGGAGGAAGAAGACGTTCATGCTCGTCTGATGTCCCGCTTCAATCCCGTTCCATTGTGGTGGTACGGCGCCATCTTGCTGGCCATGATTGGTATTTCTCTTGGTATCTGCCTTGGCTATCCCACTCACCTGTCTTGGTGGGCATTCTTCGTTGCTCTTATTATTGCCATTGTCTGGTTTATTCCCATTGGTATCGTGCAGGCCACTACCAATATCCAGATTGGTCTCAATGTCATCACCGAGTTTATTATCGGTTACATGCAACCCGGTCGTCCAATGGCCATGATGTTGTTCAAGACATATGGTTATATTGGTATGTTGCAGGGTCTGTTCTTCTGCCAGGACATGAAGCTCGGACATTACATGAAGGTTCCACCACGTGTCACCTTCTCCGCACAAATGGTTGCTACTCTGTGGACAGCCATTGTTCAGATTGGCGTCATGAACTGGGCTCTGGGAGCTATCTCGAATGTGTGCAGTCAAGACCAGGTGAACCATTTCAGCTGTCCCAACGGTCGCGTCTTCTTCAACGCCTCCATCATCTGGGGTGCCATCGGACCCCAGCGTATCTTCTCCCCTGGTTCTACCTACTCCCCCATGCTCTGGTTCTTCCTTGCCGGTGCTATCCTTCCTGTGCTCGTCTACATTGGTGCTCGTGTGTGGCCCAAGTCTCCCATCCGCTACCTCAACGCTCCCATCATCTTCGGTGGTGCCGGTCTTATCCCGCCTGCCACCCCTCTTAACTATCTTTCCTGGGGCATTGTAGGCTTCATCTTCAACAAGTGGATCAAGGACCGCTGGCGTGGCTGGTGGATGTACTACAACTACGTGTTCAGTGCTGGCTTGGATGTCGGTCTTGCCCTGTGTACCATCCTCATCTTTGTTGCTCTCCAGCTTTGGAACTACGAGATGACGAGCTGGTGGGGTACTAACATTGCCGCCAACACTCTGGATGCCTCGTATAGCGCTATTCAAGTGACTGGTGAGAAGTTCGGTCCTGCTACTTGGTAATTAGTTGGGAATTAAATAGGTAGTGATATATCATTTGATATGGTGGTATATTCGAGATCCTCTGGGAGGAATATTGTTATAGTTAATAATGATGATGATTTAATATTGTTCTTACATTTCACCGTAGCACAACGTAGATGCATTCAATCTTGCTTCAAATTGTTGTATTGCATTCCCCATTAATTGATGTTGCCATTAAACAAACTTCAGCGTGTTGGAGATAGTAGCTGTACCGAACATTCCTTCGAATGTCTCGAGATGGTCGGCGAATCGTAGTTCACTCTTGTTAGGAGAATGTTGGAACGGATCGTGGGGGCCGGTGCCAGGGCCAGCTAGATCTGGAGGCGTTTCGAGCACCACTTTCTATTTTGAGAAGTTGTTGGTCTTTCGGTTTTTATTACTATTCTTAGACATTGGACTGGACTAATGCGATTTAGAAGAAAGGTATTGATTTTTTGTCTGAATTGAATGTCTGGAGTGACTGATGCATCAATTATCAATATCAAATGATCCCCGGTGATTTTTTTATATATTTTTGAGATCATGAACCAACTCATTGATTGGAACCGGATTTGTTCAATGTTGTTTAAAGTGATGAATTGCTTTCTCTATTAAAATAAATAAGAGAAGTAATTTAATTTATATCATGCAAAGTTGAATAAATTGAATTTTCATTGCTGGAATTCATGCATGTAGAATTGTAAATACTTCCAAGACATCATTAGGTTGGGGTCGATTAAGCGTCATCCGGCGCCAGAACCTAGGAGTGGGAATATGGACTATTCCAGTCTGTACGTCTAGCGATATCCGCATGGAAATATGGCTACGATTTACCTATATATATATATATATATGTAGTAGCTGATGGTGGCTGATATCTTCGACTAGGTATCAGATTCTCCGCCATCCAGACCATGACCCGTAAGTTAGCAGCCTCCCTCTACACTTTGGCTAAAGACGATTCCACTCTCCATCTAGCGCTTCAGCAGGTACAATACTGCATCAAAACATATGCCATCGCACGTCCAGTTTGAGCACGGGGGAGTGGTATCAAATAAGAAGAACAGCAAGTTTATTGATAAATACAACACCTACAAGGCGATGTGTATCATTGGAGAAAACTATAACCTGTACTACTCGGTCTGGTGTGAGGGTGACCATGAAGTATATGATATGAGTGTGAGTAACCTTTCCCATGTTTCACCCATATTCAGAATCCTACCAACATATACCACCCTTGATGTAATCATGTTTCTCGTCCTAGCGCTAATTCCTCGACAGGTTGACCCATTCCAAATGTCCAATCTGTACACAAATAGCACAAACGGTTCGAACAGCACACAGATTCTCAGAGTAGCAATGAATCAACTCCAGAATCGATTTGATGCAGTGCTCCTGGTTCTAAAGACATGCGAGGGCGCGACGTGTCGTAGCCCTTAGGAGGCCCTACATCCAAGTGGAGGCGTTCTTACTCTGGCTAAGGCGTTAGACCCTAGTATGATGACTTTTATGAGGCCCAGAACAAAGTAACCTGGACTGATTGTGATGAAGGGTATGTTGTCAGCAATGAATTGCCGGTACACTATATGATGAATGGGAATCACACTTCCACTCTTGGTTCGTGATAGCGTAGAATTTGTAGTACGAAGTGGATTGAATTTATGGGTTAAACCAGCATTGCTTACGGTCAATATCACAATGATTCAATTTGTATACTACTCTGTCACTTTAGAACATTGACGTTAGTTTGTAGTATTATAGCACTTATTACATCGCTACAGACGTTAGAGGAAGTTGTCCCGCGTCAAATGCGCTTGCCAATTATGGATATATCAGTCGTGACGGGGTGAGGCTCACCCACACACTGTTGTTGACTTCTTTGCTGACCGAAAATGTATTCAGATTACCACCTTTGCTGAGGTAGCTAACGCCTTCCAGATTGGATATGGCTTCAGTTTCGAACTTTCGGTCTTCCTCTCCGCACTTGTACTCCTTGCCGGTGGTGACCTACTCACTGGTATCTACAGCATTGGAGGGCCAGGCTCGCGCGTACCTAACACGTTGGGCCTTGCTCCTGGCATGTCCTCACATGGTGTTTTCGAGATTGACGGAAGCATAACCCGTGAGGATACTTCGGAAATAACGCAAACTTCATCCTGCAGAGATGGAATGAATATGTGGAAATTGCCGATAGACATGGAGGCCAGTTTGGAGCTGAGACACAGGCTGAGGGCTATGGCCTCCGCTATGACAACTCGCGCCACCAACCCGGTATTCTACGCTGCTGCGATTTGGTTTACCGTCTCCCATGCCGAGCGCGTCTTTGTCTATGAAGGGTTTGCTAACGGTACTGACCAAAATGCGGACTGGGATAATATTGCACCTTTCTTCCTGAATGAAACGTTCCCATCGAATTGGTATTGCCGCGGCACCCTGTTCACGCTTCCCTAGGCATTTGTTGAGGCTGGCTAACCGTTCTTGAGCAATCCACGCATTCTGGGAGGCAACGAAGGATCTGTCAACAATTTTGTGCCCTTTTTCTTATCTGTCAATTTAACAGAGTTGGCTGCAGGCCCAGCAGGACTTGGCTGCTGGGTCGTTGAAAATCTTCTGGATGTAATGCCCGGACAGATCCGTCAGCTTCTTCTCGACAACTCAGAGTTATACAATGGCTTCATCAAGAGAGTTGTAGCTCCACTGTTCACCGAGGATGACTTCTTCAACTGCAACTTCGGCAACTTTATAGAGCCGGGTTACTCTGCAGGCTACAATGATACTATCGTCCAAAGCGCTTCGAGAAGCCCAGTTAATGTAGCATATGCAGGTATTGGTGTTATCAAGCCTCACTCGCAGCCATCCTAGATGGGGAGACCTTGAGGCTGGGCAATCTAGCGCAACATGAGTAAGTTCCCCTGAGAGATGCTGGAGGAGCATTGTGGCTAAGGATTTGCTATGATTTCATTCGATGTCTTAACCTTTGAGCCTCGGTCTGTCAAGTCGATGCAGTTTTCTTCAATATTGCGATCAATTAGAGTGTTTAAAACACGAACACATAAGGGACCTCTAATTATCGTACATTCTAATTATAATTCTTTTCACCAGATTGAAATATCAATTGATATTCCATCTCGCATTATTATATTTCAAATGTTTACGTTCTCGGAGATGCATTAATTGATCCGATCGAGAATATCGATTCATACATATTATGCTCTACAAAAATTTAAAAAACTAATAGCCAATTTAAATCTGATATGAAAATATGAACCTTATTATTACTATTATTGTCTCTTGAATCGAAGTATTATGAACTCTTTTCTTCAGGAATCTAGCGATCAGTAACTCCCCGTACTCCCCGTACTCCCCTTGCATGTTGATTGGCTATCTGAGAACAGCCTCCCATTCTAACTTTGCGCCCCATGTTATATTAAGAAATTATGGAGGCTCTTAGTGTTGGGACGGCTGAGAAAGTGCACGATAACATGTGGACTATGCCGATGCTGGAGGGAAACGGCTGTGAGCGACATCCGCCATTAGCTGAATCGGGGAAAGGATTACCTCTTCTCCACAGCTTTGCGTCAGTGATCGGCACACTAAACGACCCTGAAGAGAGCTAGAAGGCTTGACCATGACTCTCCAATCAGGAAAAATAATGCACTGCCTCCTCCTGGGTGGGTTGAAATTTCGGGATACGTAATGATAATGTGTGATCTACAAATGGTAGCATTTGAGTGCACAGGGAACGAACGCTTTGACGGATCTATATTATTTACAGACTATCCTAATGTTTAGTTTTCCCTCCCCCTTTTCTTCTTTTCCTCTCTGACTCTTATTTGTTACCAACCTTACCGGTTAGATTACTTGTCGTGGGCGTCATAACTTTGACGCATTCGATTCTGACGAAGATGGCCGGGAGACCCTACATCCACTTTCTCTTGCTATGCCACGTATTTTGTTTATCTGGTTCTGTGGTCGCAATTGATGCCCCGCAGGATCTATGCTATAGCAAGACAAACAGCTATATCGTATCTTCAGGGTCCGAATCCGACGGCAATTGCGTGATGGCCACTTTATCAGAACGAAAATCAGAATCATATGTCGTCCAGACCGACGAAACGTTTCCTGATGAGCCCCAGTCAAACACCAAGAAATACACTCGAGTGCAAGAAGATGTCACGTTATTCCCAGAAAACAATAAAGCGTCAGAATCCAACAATAAAGCCGGCGATGGACAGTCCAACAGTAACAGTGGAAATAGCGGCAACAACAATAACAGTGGCAACGGTGGCAATAGTGGGAACAGTGGTGGTAAAGGAAACCAAGGTGGCTCGAAAGGTTCCGGCTCTAGTGGCTCGTCAGGGCTTTCTACCGGTGCCAAAGCTAGCATAGGTGTTGGAGTTGGACTTGGTGCTATCGGTATTATTGCCGGGATAGTTACATATTTCCTTCGTTATCGCAATCGAATTCGGGGGTCCCAGAATGGCAAAAAACAAAAGTCGCGAGATATTGAAGAACCTTCACTGACAGCATACATGTACAGCGCTCAAAGAAAGGATAATTCAGCCGAAAATGTCAGGACCCCGTTGGTAGAAGCGCCAAATTCGATATCGCTGGCTACTATTGAACCACCCAAAGGAAAGAAGGAAGGTGAGAGTGAACAGCTGAGTGAGTTACCTGCATGAGCGAGGAAGCTGGCTCTGTATGATAGTGTGTTACAATGACACGCACGGCGTGTTAAATAAGTATCCAACGAAAGTGTATTCTGTGTATGATTAAAAGGCAGTTGGGTTCGCAACGGACGGCTATTATAGTGAATGTTGATTCAAATTCAAATTGTTAAAAATTATGCTTTTCTGATAGGACGCCCGATCGTTTGAGAACTTGCGTGGTTTTCTATTTTGGCATTTATGCTCGTGATGAGGACATCGAAAATCACGAAAGTAGAAAACTAGCGATTGACTTTTCGTTTTAAATTCCGTTTGCACATCTTACGGTACAACACTACAAATTTATTAAAACAAAATCAAAAGTCTGAGCTTAGACAGAAACTAGATCATAGGTTCGAAGGGATCAGATATTCACCATCCAAGCCCACTAATTTTTTCTGAGGTTAGTAGTCAGGGGTAACGTTACGGATGTCGGTGGCGGCAACAGGAACTCGGCCCGGTTACGATGTATGTATTCATTAGTTAATGGAGCGAAGTTTTCAAATATCAACTGCATCAAAATTTAAGGAGTATAAGCTATACTACTTTCCAAATATATTCGAATGTCTTTTCTGCGTGTAAACTATATTATATCTTAAAATTCACCCCATTTACCATTCAATACCGGTCCATATGCTGGTCTGACAGATCCCATCTGTAAACTATTCTACACCTTCACGAAAGCAACACGGACAAAATTGGCTTTTTCGATTTATGCAGTCGCTTATTAGGATATGGGAAATTATAAAAAGTACGTCTTGCACGAAGTAGGTAGAATGATACTATTTTGGTTCTTTTAGTGTGAGATCTTTGGAATATTTTGCCATTAAAGTTATATTGAATTTTAGAATTGAGTTAGAACAGAACGTCATTTTAGTTGTTCAGCGGATATTTGGACTCCGAGAAGGAGTTCTAAGTAATCCAAAAACCTGCCTAATGAACACTCGGCATCAAAAGCCAATAGGTTGGAAAAGCCATAAATATACCGCATGGCTCATCAGTTATTGATACCATAGCATGTGCGTGTGGTAGTATTAAACAGATTCATCATGTCCGTCATTCTTCCCCTTAACTATTCGAGATAAATCTCCGACTGGGAGATTCCAAGGTAGATCAACACTGGCTGCCATCTGAACGAAAAACAGGTACCATCCAGCCATGGAACATACAAATAGAAATGCGCCTGCCGCCTGGATTGTAACAAGAATGTTAGTAGCAAATAAACAAAATTTTAAAACCTTACTTACGGTTTGCACTTTAGTAGCTATATCAGCGTTTCCATTGGCCAATTGCCAATATGCTCCGGCGAGACAAGTGAATCCCAGAACGAGAGTCATGAACACTACCTCAAACATGATATTTGTCCGAATACCACATACCAAGAAGATTAATGATAGAAGGGCCATGAAAACAAAGAAGAAAGCTGGTTAGTCAATCGTTAGCAAGTGAATATTTGGTTACATCGTCAATTGGAGAGCTTGCCATATGAGCTATAAAATTCGGGACTGGGTGTTCCCGAAGCGCTGCTTGTAAATGCACCACTGGCATTTGCAGATGGCGTAAGTGATATAGCCGTTGCAAGCCAAAATCCACCTATGCTTCTTGTTAGTCCCGTCTAGACTTGACTGAATGGATGGTGAGCGAACCAAAACCAGCAAATACCACAAACGGGAATGTATTTCCCAACACGAATTCCAAAAGTCCGCCAAGGACCATCAAAACACCTCCCATTGAATATAGCACCCCACTGTATCGTTTTTCAGCAGCGGTTTGTTTGATTTCACCAAAGAGGTCAAACGTACACGATAGATGCCCCACCACCTCCAGAGCCGCGCCATCCCATAAGTTGGCAGGATAGAGGCGTCAAGCTCATAATGAACCCAAGTAAGCCCCTAAATATAAACAGGTTAGAATCATGACCATGGGATAAGCCGACCAGCAAAAATGGTAACCATTACAGAGGAGTTGGATTTCCAAGTGTTGATCTTAATTGTCCTTTCACTTGATTCTTCGGTGACAGGTACAGTCTTTCAAAAAGTTCAGCGTCGATGGAAATGCTACCGGCTGTTCTGATTTTCCGTATGGCATCAGTACGAGAGGTTTCGTGTTCAACGGTGTAGGGCTCTGGATGGCCGTGGGAAAGGTTGGGTTTCTCTTCAGAACTAGAAGACATGATAGTGAGATTACTTGCGGGAGTATTGAAAACAACAATAGACAAAAGCGAGGGAGGTTTCTTGGATTCAGGAAAATTGATGTAGTATTTTTAGATAGATTTGCAGGAGCAAAAGATCTTGGGAAGCGCCATGTTACTAATTGATATATTGTAGATATCCTGACTATAGTGTCGACAACAAGTTCAGATGAATCTAGGGGTTCCTATGAACATTGCAGTGTTAGGGGCGCATTTCAGCCGGGCAAACGGATGTAATTTACTACCATTTTTGGGCATTTTGATTGCATTTGAATCTATTTTTAACTAAAAATACATCTGGCCGCATTATGAGAGCGAATGTGGCTCTTACAGACACTAGTCATAAACCTCGACTAACGTACACTAAGGACAAAGCTTTGGCCATCGTTATATTCCTTTCATGAATCATGCAATGCACATTTAGGGGAACCACAAGACAGCATCGTACTGATCGTATACTTCAATTACCCCATACGAAGTGGAGCAGCGGGGGTGGCAAGCCCCGTGTAATTCAGTAATTACGAAGAAGATTCAACTCATCTCTTTCTATCAAATCCCGAAGGATTCGAGAACTCAAAGCTTCCGTGTTCCCCCGCTTGTTAGCGTGTTTCTTGTGACACTCGGCCACTTTCCTATTGGATGTTCGGACATACCCCGTATATGGACTCCAGAGTAGAAATAAAGAACTAGTTGGCTAGATGTTGTCGACTAGCACGAGAGTAAATTGTAATCACCGAACAGTACCTGCCAATGAATGCTCTGCTTGGCTGTAAATACGACGGGTCGATCATCGTATTCCCAAATCGGCATGCCGGGGACAAGGAATTCTTACGAGACCCCAACCCTTCCGTAATTTTGATAATCTTCTGACTTCCTTTTGACCGGGAATAATTTTCAAAGTTCAGCTACTAGTCGTACACTTTACAGCATATTACACGTTTGGCTTGGATGGCCCTATGTTGATGCACACTTACAGGTTATTTACAAGCCAAATTGGTGAACACGTTTGTTGATAGTATGACGATTCGAAAAAGAAAATCGATATTTAGAATATTTTTGCACCCCTCTTTCTATCCCGGCTTTTCATCGTCCTTTTGTCCGGTTGCCATTCCAAAGGGGTAGACATTTGTCATTGCCATCCATTACATGGTGTTAAAACCCCAGGGTTTTTGTAGCGATAATGCCCACTTGTCCGTCTAATTGCTTAAGATTATTTGCAAAGTCAAGCTCGTACTCTTGTTACCTATTTCACTTTCGTGCTTCAAAACACTCAATATTCTGTCGCAATGGCTCTCTTCCAGACTATCAAGACTCCAACTGTCACTTACGAACAGCCGTTGGGATTGTAAGTTCCTGTGGCCATTCGCCTATCTCAGCTAACTAAACCCCCAACCAGATTTATCAACAATGAGTTCGTTAAGGGAATTGAGGGGAAAACCTTCACTACTGTGAACCCTCATGACGAAAACACAATCGCTTCAGTGCATGAAGGCACTGCGGCCGATGTCGATGTAGCTGTCAAGGCCGCCCGGCAAGCATTCAACGGGCCATGGAGCAAAGTGACTCCAACAGAACGTGGCCGCTTGTTGACCAAGCTCGCTGATCTTCTCGAGCGTGATATTGATATTTTAGCCGCGATAGAGGCCCTTGACAATGGAAAAGCAGTAAGCATGGCAAAAATAGATGTTACAAATTCGGCTGGTTGCATCCGCTATTACGGTGGCTGGGCCGATAAGATCTACGGCCAAACTATCGATACTGATTCTCAAAACTTTACTTACACTCGTCATGAACCTGTCGGGGTCTGTGGCCAAATCATTCCTTGGAACTTCCCACTTATGATGTGGGCATGGAAAATCGGACCTGCTATAGCCACGGGCAACACTGTTGTTATGAAAACGGCTGAACAAACTCCTCTATCAGCTTTGTTTGCTGCCAAACTAGTGAAGGAGGCAGGCTTCCCTCCTGGGGTGATAAATATAATTTCTGGGTTTGGCAATACTGCCGGTGCAGCCGTATCGGCCCACATGGATATTGACAAAGTCGCTTTTACAGGGTCAACTCTTGTCGGTCGCACCATTATGCAAGCGGCAGCAAAGAGCAATTTGAAAAAGGTTACCTTGGAATTGGGAGGCAAATCCCCAAATATTGTGTTTCCAGACGCTAATTTGGATGATGCTATTGGGTGGGTAAATTTTGGCATTTATTTCAATCATGGCCAGTGTTGCTGCGCCGGATCACGTATTCTTGTGCATGAGTCAATTTACGATCAATTTCTGTCTCGCTTCAAACAACGAGCTGAGCAGAATATAGTTGGGGATCCTTTTCACCCGCAAACTTTTCAAGGTCCTCAAGTCTCTCAGCGGCAATTTGAACGTATTATGGAGTACATCTCTACTGGCAAGAACGATGGCGCCACTGTGGTAACTGGTGGAGCTCGCCACGGCGATCAGGGATACTACATTCAGCCTACAATCTTCTCGGACGTCAACGAAAATATGAAGATCGTCAAGGAAGAAATCTTTGGTCCTGTTTGCACAGTACAGAAATTCAAGGACGAAGATGATGTAATTCGCATTGCTAATAATAGCAACTACGGTACGCGTGCTAAGCCCGTATTTGAGTACTTTTATTTTATTCTCGGGTTATTAATAATTTATTGTCGATTATAGGATTGGCGGCTGCTGTTCATACAACAAATCTGAACACAGCCTTGCGAGTATCTAACGCAATCAAAGCTGGGTAAGAAACATGCCCCTTCTGGAGATTATCTCAAGAGAAATTCTAACGCAGTATGGACAGAACGGTTTGGGTGAACAATTACAACATGCTACATTACCAGGTTCCATTTGGCGGCGTTAAAGAGTCCGGGCTAGGCAGGGAATTGGGGTCGTACGCTCTGGAGAATTACACTCAGATCAAAGCTGTCCGTGTTTATCTAGGAAATGTTCCATTTTGATAGAAGTAATCAAGTAAAATTCCCTTAGGTTTGAATTCTAAAGATCTTCTTTGAAATAATTTGGATTTAATTATTTATGAACGTACAGCATTACACTCTCTATCCTCCTTTGGAACTGTGCTGGTGGTGTGAATACTGAAAATTCTGTTTGCCTACATTAAGATACTATGTAAAATAAATTGCACACACATAAACTAATCTACGAAGTATCAAGGACGGTGCCTCCTCCCCGAGCGATATCCATTTTCAACAATACCACCACCACGTGCCATACGCCTGGCTGCGACAAAACGAAATCTGTCAGATTTCATCTCCCCGTCGCCAGATATCACAGATCCGGTAGCCCGGTAACCACGATAATTGGACCCTACTTCTCGATTGAAATCAGCCAAATCATGTTGTTTTAGATGAGCTTGGGCCGTCATTGGATTATCGGTGACAAGGAATATTACGACAAAATCCTCTAGCGAGGAGAATGCAAGACCATTCCACCCATTTCCCCGGAAAGCGACGTGTCACCTGATCCTAACAACGATTCAGATCTAATTGGCTATTGAATTAGATGGCAGGTCAGTTTCGCAAGGGGGCTAGAGTTTACGATATGCCATTGGCTCCGGTCGTCCGATTGTGCGGGGGGACCCGTATTTTACATCGCATGTCAGTATTTTACGGACCTGAAACGGAAAGAAGTCCGGATTTCCTGATTAGGAATTATCTTAGCTTTGCGGGGAAAGGGATAAGTTTGGAGAGCCAGATATTGTTGTTTTTACAGTTTAAAAGAGCAGAAAATTCCTACCAAATGACAACAAAATCAACGAACACAAAAGACATCATTAGCTTTGATCGAACTACTTTACCAATTTCCAAGGTTCAATAATTTGATTCATTTACTTATCATTTAAGCTACTTGACGCATATTCAGGATGTCTATTCCAAAGACGCAATGGGCCCAGGTCCTGGAGCGTGACGATGGGAAGGTGGTCTATAAGGAGATTCCCGTGCGAGAGCCAGGTCCGGACGAGGTTCTCGTAAACATCAAGTACTCTGGTGTTTGCCATACAGATTTGCATGCGGTAAAAGGGGACTGGCCTCTTCCTCGGAAACTGCCTCTAGTTGGTGGTCACGAAGGTGCTGGGGTTGTTGTGGCTAAGGGTGCCTTGGCCACTGGTATTGAAGTCGGTGATCATGCTGGTGTCAAATGGCTTAATGGATCCTGCCTAGCATGCGAGTTCTGCCGCAAGTCCGACGAGCCGCTATGTGCCGAAGCTTTACTGTCTGGATATACAGCCGACGGAACCTTCCAACAGTATTGCATTGCTAAAGCCGCACATGTTTCTAAAATTCCAAAACATGTGGCGTTGGATGCCATTGCCCCAGTACTCTGCGCTGGTGTTACAGTCTACAAGGGGCTTAAAGAATCAGGAGCACGTCCAGGAGAAACTGTGGCAATAGTGGGAGCTGGAGGCGGCTTGGGATCACTTGCCCAGCAATATGCAAAGGCAATGGGCCTTCGCATCGTGGCCATTGACGGCGGAGAGGAGAAGAGGTCTATGTGTGAAGCACTAGGAGCAGAGGTATGGCAAAAAAGAGGCGCAAAAGCAATGGTTTATTTTTTGTTCAGTTACTAATAAATCGGCTGTATTTTAGGCATACGTCGACTTCACCAAATCTACAGACTTAGTCAAGGATGTACAAAAGGCCACACCGGATGGTTTGGGTCCTCATGCCGTCCTTCTAGTTGCTGTTTCGGAACTACCCTTCCAACAAGCCGCACACTATGTTCGCTCACGTGGAACCATTGTGGCAATCGGTCTACCAGCCAATGCCTTTCTTAAAGCTCCCGTATTCAATACTGTCGTGCGCATGATCACCATTAAAGGAAGCTATGTTGGTAACAGACAGGACGGAGATGAAGCAATCGATTTCTTTGCTCGAGGTCTTATCAAGGCGCCTTTTAAGACAGTTCCGTTATCGGAACTAGGCAAAGTTTATGAATTGATGGGTAAGCCTCTTCATTCTTAAAGCATGTTTTAAATCGAAACTGATTACTAATATGGTTCTTTATAGAACAAGGCAAGATTGCAGGTCGCTATGTGCTGGAAATGCCACATTAGGCTGCTCTACGTATACTTTGGGATATTTCCATGCCTTCAAGATCGCTTAACTGGATCTTATGGAACAGGTTGATATTTGGGCTAGTAAATTCTGCACTATATTCAAAAGTGTTATATCGAAGTCATTGCTTTCTTCCAATTCGACAAGTTCGCTGGGTAGACTACCAGATTTGCATTAGCAACCACCCGTCGTATTTAGGAATTTGTAACAATTGTTTTTTCCCATAGGTTTATGTAATCCTGTTCACGGAGTTCTTATTTGGTCTTGCATTGTCCGTAGTAATTCTTGTATTTCCAGATGTCTCACTCATATTCCCTCTAAACCGGTCTTGTCCAATACTGCAGCCTATATTGCTGCGCATTGGCGCGCCTCGCAAACGGCATTCGATTATTTATATGAACACCAATTTTATGATTTAGTTCTAAGGGTCCATAAAACAATATCGATTCATTATAACAAAATAGAGCAGTACGACACTTTTGTATATCTAAATTTACTCAAAAGTTTGAAACATACGTTCCAAGGAGATGGACTCTAACCCTAACTCTATCCAATTGAGCCCAAACTATCAAAACCAAACATGGACAAAACCTAAGTGTACTTTTCACCTATCCGCGTATAGATTCGGGTTAAATGAGTGACTCTAATTTTGGCACTAGGTGGTGAACCTAGAGAGGTTTAAAGATTATATCATCCTGAAGGCTGTGAGAAATTCATCCGAATAAGAGCCGCGAGAACTATTGAACTTACCATGCCATACTCCTTTGCAGCGATTGAATGTTCATTTCGAGTATTACTCATAACAGCAATTACAGGTAAAGGTTTCATCAAAAAGCCCTTGTTTTCCGCCTCTCGAATATTGCGTACACATGTCAGAGCATCCATGACTGGCATTTCGAGATCCATCAAAAAGACAGTAAAAGCTTTTGCCTTCAACGTCACCCTTTCTTCCAATATATTCTCTTCCAGCTTCGGCATAGTGTATGGTAGTTTTGAGAAAGTCCAGAGCTTCTTGATCATTACTGACACAAGGGACATTACAACCAAGTCTTTCAATTTGTTTAGTGAGAATTAGTTGGTTAACTTCGTTGTCTTCCACGATGAGAACGTGCCACTTAGAGAAGGATTTTCGGGTTTCATCTGCGATATCAGCAGAGGAGGGCTTCGATGAATGATTAATTTGGCCACTGCTAGCCAGCTTGTTTCCGAACCTTTGGGGAATAACAGGCACAGTGCTCTGTGCCAGAGCTGTGGAATTGTGCTCGGTTTTCATAATAGGATTGAATTCCTCTCTTGGATTTGGAATGCATCGCTGTGCACGTAAATAAAATGCAAATGTGCTACCTTGACCAACCGCAGAGCTACCGCCAATGTGTCCGCCGTGCAATTCAACACGCTGGCTTGAGACGAATAAACCCAATCCACTTCCACCATACTGAGAATGGGTGCGAGGGGACACTTGATTGAATCTAGTGAAGAGGTTTTCTATCTCATCCTCAGTTAGGCCATACCCTGTGTCTTGCACTTTGAAGAGAAGGTACACTGCGCTGTCTTTCTCGTTTCCATTATCGTCCTTCATATGAACATTCTCAATTCTTAGCTCTTTCTTCTGCTCTTGTTTCATCGGAAGAAATTGTATTTCACTTGATGGGCCTATACCTAGGGGGTTTTTGATGAGCTGAGAATGAGACGTCAATAACTCGGTTCAGTTGAGATTTCGTGAATTTGGTGACATTCTTTATGAGGTTAATCAGTACTTGGGGGAATCTCTTCTGTTCAAGCATGACTTCGCCAGTTAACAATTCTTAGATGAATTATCAATATAAGTTTTGATTTCAATGTCCGATTGGGTGATTGTTGTTTTTCAGGCAGCCTGGCATGTGATTCCATTTTTTATTAGCTTCAAATATATGTCCTGAGTATGAAATGTGTAACACCCAGATAACAATAACTTTGTGATTTGCTGCAAGCTCTTCCGATTGTCTGGAATGTTCTGTTTCACTAGTAGACATACGTTTAATCTCTTCTTCAAATAACGTCACGCTAGCAAGAGAGGTCGCTAGCTGCTGGCTCAATATATATCTATCATTGAGTACACAATACAATGTGTGCATGAGGTCCGACATCACTCATAGAAACCCCAAAACTACATGTACATCAATAGTTCGAATGAACAAATATCGCTTGATCCATGTATATAATGTTTCCCCTCGAAAGCACCTGATGGCTCGAGACAGCCAACATACAAAGTTCCTGTTGGAAAACGAGTCAAACAAGCAGTTTCTTATCTGAACATTTTCCGGCCGTCCAATCAGCCAACGAGAGGGAGCGATTAAAATCCAGCCAATCAGACCGTTGCACAGGCACAGGCCGCGTAGTCTGCGGCAATCGCGTGGCCAAAGGAACACAAAACCTGCACTAGAGGCTTTAGAGACAAGAGATAAAGGGGGAATTCCACGAATAATGCATGTGGGAACAAATCAAGTCTTTACTAGGTTTTTTTCAACAGCTGAATATGTGTGTATAATCAAGTTTATTGTCCATATCCAGCTTAGAGCCATGACAGGACAGACACCCCACTAGCCGAGTCGAAGCGAAACTAATGTCTAAAGAGTCTAAGGTGAATTGAGACTACGCGGAGGACTAATTCCTCTACCCCTCCTTTTTATTATAGTCCGTTGAAGTAGATAAACAACTACCAGGATGAAATCGACAATGCAATTGGTGCGAACTTCATACACCCCCATGATGGGCGAAGGCCATTAGCTCCAGATATGCGCCTCCTTGCAGTATCCGTTGGCATGTGGACTGTTCATATCAATTAACGTTGAAATTGACAACGTTGTCGTTGAGACATTCCCTTCGTCTCCTGGGGGAAAATAGATTAATACCCACATTTTTCCCTTTCCTAGGTTGGGGTTAATTATGGCAGATGAAGCCGCCTAACCTTATCGGCATCACGAGGTAACTCGCAGGAAAACTAACACTTCAAAAGATAAACTAGATAGCATTTCCCCGCGTTTTGGTGTTACTCGCCCGTCCATTGGCACGCGGGGATGTGAGGAACCCGGAATCCTTTCTAACCATGTTGATTGTGAAAATGTAACCTTTGTTTAGCCTTACGCCCCGACTCATGTATTTATCATTACTTTCATTTCCCTGGGTTTCGTTCAGACGGTCTTTCTAAATTATCCGCATTATAGTCAAAACAACAAAAGCATCAATTGATAACATCATATACGACGATAATTATTATTGAATCAAAATATATAAGGAAGTTTCAGGAGATTTCCTCTTTCAATTAAAATGTCCAGATTCGCGGATATCATCAACGATGATGATATGGCCCCGGACACCTTTGACCCTGACCCTGAGAAAAAGATCCAACCGCATGTGACAGCTGAACGCATCGGAGACCAGATTCCACACGAATTGCTTGAGGAACTAGCTCCCAACGGCGAGGGAGATTATATTCTTGGAATAATCAATTCAATGAGTGAGGAGGAAGCCATAGCTATCATTCACGAGTCTCTTGAATTCCATGCTGATGATTGGAACTTTCCGTCTGATATGCGTGAGCGAATGAAGCGACTATTGCAAGGTCCGAAATTATACGGAGAATTTTACGAGCGTGATTTAAGAATAGATGCAACCATGATGCGATACTCATCGCCATATCCCGGAGTCCGTGCTGTTACAGACCCTATGGACAACGCAGATGTCCCTATTGAAACCATTCGCGCCTACTTTCTGGGAATTGGTTGGGCCGTCATTGGAACATTCATGGCCACTTTTTTCAACAGCAGATTCCCTTCAATCGGTATATTATGATACCCGCCTGCTCGTTAGCCACTGTTGTTATCATGCTGATTAAATTCCCAGGACTATCCGGCTCAGTCATTCAGATATTGTTGTTCCCCTGCGCAAAATTCCTTGAATTAGTTCTTCCCGACTGGGGTGTTACAGTTATGGGGATCCGCCACTCGTTAAACCCCGGTCCTTGGACTTTCAAAGAGCAAATGTTTGCTACGATCACTTTTAACATTGCTATCTACACTACAAACAGCTACACAATGATACTCGTCCAGAAATCGTCCCTGTTTTACGGCGAAACCTTCATCACATTCGGGTATCAGTTGATGCTGACCCTGTTCGTCCAGCTCATGGGAATGGGATTTGCTGGCTACCTACGGCGTTTCAGTGTATACCCGGTGAAGGCATTGTGGCCAACAGTTCTACCAATAATTGCCATGAATCGTGCCTTGACCAAGCCTGAAATAAAGGAGAATATTTATGGATGGACAATCTCTCGATATCGGTTCTTTTACACTGTGACGTTTTGCATGATACTGTACTACTGGTTGCCAGGGTATCTGTTTACTGCTTTGTCCACCTTTAACTGGATGACATGGATCTCGCCTCAAAATGTCACTCTAGCAATTCTTACAGGGTCAATTACTGGTCTAGGGCTTTTTAACCCTATTACGACATTTGACTGGAATGTGGCCACATCATCATATGCCGCTCTCGCCCAGCCATTCTTTAGCACGTGTACAATGTACTTTGGAAGTGTGCTCGGCGCTTTCATCATTCTCGGCATCTACTATTCCAATATGTACAACACTGCCTACCTGCCAATCAACTCATCCTCCGCCTTTGCAAACGATGGTACAAGCTACAACGTCTCGAAGGTGGTTGTCAATAACCATCTCAACGAGACCCTGTATCAAGGATATTCTCCGCCATTCTATTCGGCGGGATATATTTTGACCGTTGGTGCTAATTTTGCCTTTTACCCTGTTTACTTTTTGTACATCATGGGAAACCAGTGGAAGACGATGAAGCAAGCGTACATAGATTTCTACCAGGGTCTTCGGCGCGGAAAGGGTAACTACGAAGGCGCCATGGACGTACACAGCCGACTCATGTCCAAATATAAGGAAGTACCAGATTGGTGGTTTATTTTGATCCTCTTGGCGGCCCTCATAGTGTCTATTGTATTCTTGCAAATCTACCCGCTCGATACTCCTGTGTGGGTTACCTTCTTGATGATCGGAATCAACATAGTCTTCGCTGTACCCCTGTCATTTCTGTCCGCCACAACCGGTACAAATTTAGGTCTGGGTTCCTTAATCCAGATCATCACGGGATTTGCATTGCCTGAAAATCCGAATGCATTTATGTTCGCTCAAACACTTGGTTCTTGGGCTCTTGCCGGATACGGAGACAACTACGTACAAGATCAAAAAATGGCACATTATTGCAAAATAGCCCCTCGAGCTGTCTTTCGAAGCCAGATTGGCACTATCATAATTACCTGTTTCGTGGCTGTGGGGACGCAGGACTTTATTCTTAACAACGTGCAGGGTCTGTGTACATCTGACCAGCCTAGCCATTTCACATGTGCCGGAGATGGCTATCCTCTTTATACTAGCAGTCTAATGTAAGTATCGCCATCTCTACCCTGGAAGAATGATCGTATTGACAATATATTCTCTAGGTGGGGTTTACTAGGCTCAAATCGCATGTTCAACTCTTTATACCCCCTTTTCAAATGGTGTTTCCTTATTGGGTTTGCCGTTGCATTGATCTTTCTCGTCGGCCAGGGCTACGGGCCGAAATATCTCCCCGGTGTACGGGAAAAGCTTCGCCTGAGACTCCGACCCAACACTTTTGAGTTATTAGATCGAACACTCTTTCCATTTGTAGCGTCGTTACTGTGGTTGAATCCAATTCTAATCATTCAAGGCATTCAGCACTGGGCACCATCAAACCTGTCGTACAAGACCCCGGGTTTGATCTTGTCCTTTGTTTTCATGTATTGGCTCCCCCGACACCGACTTGCGTGGTGGGAAAAGTATAACTACGTATTGTCCGCTGCACTGACGGCTGGAGTGGCAATATGTGCGTTGATTATTTTCTTCGCCGTGGACTATCATCCAAGGTCATTGTCGTGGTGGGGAAATAAGGTAAGCTCTGGGGGCGTTGATAGCAGCGGTGTGGGTATTCTCTCTATTCCTACCAGGGGATATTTTGGACCTGAGAAGGGGATGTTTCCATAGTTTATTCAACTTGGAAATTGTGGTGATCCCTTCTAGAATTTGCACATTTCCTATTGTGATCAAATTAATCTATATTTAACCAAAAAAATAGTAAATGGTTCATGACTAGCAATGACTTTCAAATGATGAGATTTTGAGTGAGTCAATGTGAGTGACATTCAGAGTCGGTACTCGAAAATTCACCAGTCATATTCAAAGTGCTAGGGTCACCACTCACCTTTCCACTGTTTAAGCATTTCATGAACGGCTCCCAAAGCCAACTAGCTTCCCTGGTGGTATAGAATACCTGGTATACCTGGAACGCTGCTGATACGTGACTAGTTAGTATCTTTCAGTTTCCATAATCCAATACCACTTCCTAGCTAAACAATTTCAACGTCCCCCTAATAGTAAACGAGCTGTGAAGCATTATAAATAGCTTTCAAAAACCTTTAAACGTCATCGCGTCGGCGTTCCAGTCGACAGCTCGCAAGGCTACCAGCTTTGACACAGTAATTTTCAAGGGGGTTCGAGATTCATCCGCCCCGAAAATCTCGAGATTGTATTGTTGATAGTTTCTTAGGCGAAAGCTATGTTGTGGCTAACCTGTCCTCATCATGGCGTACTGTTCGATATCGATTTGATAGAACAGTTAGCCATCGTATCAAGTTTGAAATTGTGGATACCCGTGGTATCAATAATTTGAAAAGCTTATTGTTGAATCAAGTATTCAAATCACTATTTTGCATAATACTCCGTCAATGCTTTGGCATTAGATCTTCAACACCTCCTTCTCGTCATGGTCGTTAGTTTACTCAAAGCGCCATGAAAATTCATTGTGTAGGATCATGCCAAGCAGCTGCGACTGAGACATTCAAATTGATTCTTTTAACCAATAATAGCCTTTGCTAACCTCCGTCTCTCACAGTCTCACCGAATTGTGCCAGAATCCTCACTTTCCCAAAATGGAAATTGTCTAGCAACGCCTGGTTCCTTTAGGACTCGGTAACAGAATACCCTATCAAATGGTGGACAAGTTGATAAAGAGATTCCCGAGGTATATGCAAACTTTGACCAACTGTTGTATCAGCGCCCAGATTCGGTATGCCTTTAACGACCATTTGCAGCTATAGCTAGGTCAATTCTCTTCTGAACTTAGCCTGGGCTTGATGTGGTGAGAAACTATACATTGCATCAGTAAACAAAACTATTTAGTATTAAAATGTACTTAATTATACAAAAGTATGCGTTAGAGTGAAAGTTCGGTTGGATTAATGTCAACTGTTAGGACCTCGCTACATTGATAATGAAGAGACATGCGATGAGGAGCAAATAACTGAAAGTTTCAGTGGTCTCCAAATATGCCAAAGTCCATAAACAATCGCATTACTCAAAATACCTAGATTGAAGGGGTAGTGACCATGCTTGTTTGCCCATGCGATAGAAAAGGCGTACCATTCGATATTGAACATACCATCCTGCTGCATGTCGTTGGCACCATGAAGATAGGACCACAGTCTAGTGGAGAGATCCAAGTGATTGGCATTACAAGCCGCACAAGAATCAGCAACAGTGGCAGTTACAGTGCATCCAACTCCGGAGTTGTAGTGGCCGCCACTGGTGTTCTTGATGCTCACTTTTCTACCACAGTAATCGGAAACCTTGTAAGCGTTTTCAGAAATAGCGACGATCCAGTCATTGTCACTATGAATGGCGCCTCAGGAACCGGCTCTGCCATTCTGATAGTAGTATGTTGCCACGCCTTCACTGTTGATGGAAATGATGCTAGAGATTTGCATGTACTGGTGGAGGCTGATAGAAGGACAATGCACAAGTCTTACTTGGCATCAGGTACAGGAGCAATTGGAGATGCACTTGCAACCAAGGCTAGGAGAGCAAAGGTAGCGGGTTTGAAAAACATCTTTGAGGAATAAAATGGATCAGGCTGTTGGTGAAATGCGTGCTTGAATGAGATATTGATGTGCCTGTTCCCGAGTCGAATTGGAAGACGGACCAAGGATGGTAAGATAAAAAAGGAAGAAGGGAAACCGATCAAAATGAAGAGGCTTTTAAGCAGCTCCTGGAACATATTGAACAGTCTAGAAAAACAAGCCACTATCGCGGTATCCTAAACTGGACATTCATACAGCAAAGAGGCCCCTCTTATCGGAGGATGGTGTTAATTAAAAGAGTAAATCTAAGTGACCACCGCCGAAACATCAAATTTATTTATCTAAATCCTCCAGCTTTCGAGCGTTATTAATGAATTAGCCTAGAATTGACGATTGTAGATCTCAGCTCATACGTATAACACGAGTGAATATAACTACAACGTTATAATTGTCCTATATAAATTGACATTTAGCAACATGCAATTGGTTATATGTTTTAGGGTTCATCTTTGGACGCCCGCAGCCCGATACAGCTTAATTGAAACAGATATGAAAAGTTTCGAGAATCTACCCAAAAAATACGGGAAGGAAGTGGCAAGCGGTGGCGCGGGGGTGGTTTAGAGTATCATTGTACTTGAAGATAAGCTGATTCGGTGGGTAAAGTTAGACAATGCTATTCGAATTATCCTACTCCGTTTGCATTCCCTCGTTCTGGTAGGATTACTCGAGAATTAAAGAACAGGACAACAGTAATTCTTCTTGAAACGAATAATAAATACAGAAATTGAGAAGCAAAAGATAGTATAGAGTATACACGTGTTGAGAATGGAAAAACATCGAAAAGAGTGTAAACGCAAATAGCCAGCTATCACGCTGTTTTCAAGGATCCCGGTATTGTTCTACAGAGCACTGTCCAAATTCAGAGTAGAGACTAGCCACACCGCGTCCTATTCAATCAACCGGTGTAGAAGAAAAGTTGAAAGGTGCGAGTCATGTGAATGTTGGGAGCACTGCATGTAATACAGGGTTTGAAAGAGACAAAGGGAATATTCATATACATTGCGCATGTCACGGACATGGAATGTGAATGCCACAGAAACAAAGCTAATTAGCTAATACTTATGAAAACGACTAACACAGCCGAGTATCTGTTTGTAAGTTAAGTAATTTATAGTTAGTGTTATGTGACATAGGTAGCGTTGAAATTAGAGTAAACATACGCAGCGGTAGAGGTGTAAATCATTGCAGTGTCGGTAGACGCGAACACCAAAGCTGCCAGAGAAAAGAGCAAGGAAAAGGCTGGAATTGCCCCTATCCGGCCTTTGCTGTTCTTAATCTCATTCAGAGTAAACAATGCTGCCGCATTCAGAAGTGATACTATGAGGATGTTTGTTACGGCGACAATTTTGATAAGACGATCATAGTTTGAGGTACTAAAATCTTCTTCCTCGGACGGTTTTTTGGGGCTTTCCTCGTTAAAGATCCGCGAGTTGCAACTCTTAGGCAAGACCTTCTCCAGAGCTCCTCTAAGACATTTCGCGAGAGACTTGTTTAATTCGTATCTGTTAGGCTTGATAGTAAAGCAGAATAAACAGACCCCTCACCTCAAAGAAGCCATTGACTGCCTTGCTGCGGGCTAGCCAGAAGAGTAGGTGTATCATCCGTCGCGTGAACCAATCTGGGGTGGGCTCGTGGTTTGCCAAAACACGCACAAAGTCTGCGTTCTCTTTCAACGAATCAAGTCTTTTTTCTAGAATAGGACGGCATGGTTTTGTTAGAAAATATTCTAAGGAGCTTGTCAAACTTTTTTCATCAATATGATCCAAGTGTTTAAGCCTGCATATTTCAACAACACGTAGGAGAAGTTCTTCTGTAGAATCGCAATTAGAACACGATATTATGCCATGTGAAAATGGTATAAGGTAACCAGGACGTACGGTATTCTTTGAGCTTCTCACGTACATCTTCATATGCTGGAATACTGTCGCTGACGGGGGAGACATTGACTGAAGAGGTTGTCGCAGACTGAACACCGCGTGGCGATCTTTCCAAAACAAGACGTTCAATTTCATATATCTCAGTTTCGAGATGCAAAAGGTATCTAACAGCGAGATTTTCGAAAGTTCTCACCGCCGCAATGCGCGGCTGGCGACTGAATATATCGGCAATGTCGTTAATGTGTGCTTCGGATTCTGTCATTTCGTTTCGCTCAAAGGAGATGAATATAAATTGAATTTGGCAGGAACAAAAAGGAATAAAAAATGAATGTATATTAAGGTTAAATGAATATTGGGCATTAAAAGTTGAATGTGGTAAAGAAACAATTCGGCACCTTACCACCCTTTATATAATATTTTTCAAGCACATATTCTTCTCTTGTCTGAGTATGTCTGCTATGAGAGCCTCATGTCTCCTCTCCCTGAAACTAATTATTGCGTGTCATATCACAATTTCATGCATATGCATGCATAGAATAGGGTGTAGAAGCATAGTTCCCCATTTGCGAACGCTATCGTGCTCCCGTGCCACATGGCCCCATCCTGCGCCTAGTATCATCAACAGTGGATGCAATCGCTCGAATAGGGTCCAGCCTACCGCCCATGCGGCGGTTATGCGTGTCAATTACTAGTTTCGTTCCATTAAACGGAAATAAATGACTCTTCTGCGACAAAGGGGGTAGGCAAAAATAGTTCGACAATCGGCGCATAGTCTGATCGGATGCAGTGGATCGCAGTGTATCTGCGTAGAATCACGAATCTTGAGACGGCTTTAAGAAGTGAGTAATCTGCGAAATATGCCAGGTTAAATTGAAGATGGGATAGGCTTCGCTTGCTCCCTGGCGCTTGCTTACCTGATCTTAAATGTTCCAATGGGCCAGCCTACCGTTCATCCATTGAATATCATTGGGCAAAAGCCCTCCAATAACATGAACGTAGATCGTGGCAGAAAAGAGCCCGAAATCTCGACATCAACTGTATGGGTCGCTCGTCACCGTTCTCGATGGGAAGAAATATGCGTGCTAAGTAGTAGCAAACAATCATGGCGTATATTTTGCCATCTCAATGAGAGATTTGATGACCATTTATTCTATAAGAGTATTCATTTCGGAAAGCTGAAGAAAAAATGTGAATTAGCTCCAATGTCTTCTCTATACATGTGATGGGTCGTTCATCTTTCCACTCACAACTTCTATTCATTTTGCATTCTTCTCATAGGTCAGCCATGAAGGAATATAAGCCCAGGCTGATTGATGGACGCAAGGTTTTGATAACAAGAGGCGTGGTCATGAGCCGGATGAATTCCGCTCAAGGTTCGGTGTAAAGTGTCACATTGCGGCTTGCGCGTACACTTCATAGACAGTACCGCGTAATTTTAAGGATGATCCTGCCCGAGTCAAGAATTAATTTATTATTGTGTAGAGAAGGCGCGTTGCCTCCGCTCGGTGGCACTATTGGGCAAAAAAAAAATGATAGTGAAGGAGATTTATAAGAAGAATTATCTGACAGAGTTAAGGAAGGCTGGGAGGACTAGCAACATGAGGCTTGAATTAAACTATGCTCTACGGAGAAAGGCTAGCCAGCGACTCGGTGGAGTCGAATAGGGGACCCTGACTGGGGAAGAGCCGACATCACTTGAACTATGGTCCGATCCACCTCCACGACCGGCATCCTTCGGGCCACTTGAATCATAACTACATTGATCTTTGCTTCCATGCTCAAACCGAAATAATGCACCACGAGTAACTTGTCAAGGGCCGACAGTTCGGCTATATTAATGATTGCACCTGTACAGAGGACCCTGCTGCCTACCAGCCAAGATTTGCAGCAAGAAGAAATTTTGTGAACGAGAAACGCTTCGAATCGAGGAGAATTTTTGCTTTCACCCGAGCTAAACCCTGACTAGAAGGATTCGGCTAGAGCGATGGTTAGCGTGTCGTGTTGTTATGGCTATACCGGGATACTTATCGACTCCGTCCTCAACAAATCCAGGCGATCGTCTCCGTCTTTGCCTAATAACATAAATGTTGAAGGGCCGCTACGTAAGCGTCAGGGCTTTTCCAGGCAACCGCACTATTCTTACGTGCTGCTTCGAATGAAAGCAACCCATCAAGTAATAATAACGCGTAGCGTCGTAGTAGATCATTTGGTGTCTGCTGAATAATTAGAGAGCAACAGACCAGTATATAATCAGTATGAAGTCTGCAAGAGGTGCCATTCAGCAGGTCAAACTGACAAGGTGAATCGATATAAGAATATTAAGTGGGACTGTGATCGCTGTCGTTGGACTAGCAACGCGGAGACGGTCCCGGGAACGTGGCTGGGACAATTGTCGAAAGTTGGATCTAAGACCGGCATTATTATTAGGAATAAAAACACATCTGGAACCAATGAAGACCATCTAAATATTGTTGGACCCTTTGACAAAAATGAGTTAGTATATATCGGCTAACCCACAACAAATCGTGAAAAATGCGTACCCTTTTCCGGAATAGCCCATCTGATTCGTCGATATCATGAAGATACACTTCCTATTACTTCCCCCTTTTCACACTGTGCCTGGGACTTCGTGAATGGAGACCTGATCAGAGTCAAATGCACAACTGAATCATTCACCATCAGGTTACAGGTTTCTTGTGGCGTTTCCGACCGACTGCGACCGTACACAGACCAAAATGTCCGCTCCGTCGCCAATTTCAAACGAGGCAGTAAGCATGCCGACCGGTCTCGGTCGATATTTGAAATTGATTTGGCAGCCTCGTAGTGTAAGTCCACAATCAAACCATACCTCCAATACCGATTGATCTGTTTGATTTGAATCGTGTCGCCATTCTCACTCTCAATCGAACCCCTGTCGCATGAAATTAACGCAAGAAGCAGAAAAAGACGGACAATGACAATGAAAAGCCGGGGAATGGTAAGCTTTTCTCATGCAAAACCAAAAAATAAACCTGTATCTTTGTTTTCAAAAGACTGACTCGCAGTATGCTATAGAGCCGTCTGATGTCCCACAGCCTTCCTCTGATGAAACTCCCTCAAGCAAGGAGAACCCCGTCCTCAAGAGCCAGCCTCGTGTTAATTTTTCAGGCTCCACACCAGGCACGTCGAACGAAACCCCTTTGCAACCCGAGCCGACCAGAGATCCATTGCGTCTCAGGCAGTGCAAGAAAAGCGATATAATCATGCCTCGTCAATGAATGATAGGCAACGAACGTATGGGAGGTAAGCAATACAATTATCCAAACAAGAAAGATGTCTTTTTGGAACTTTGAAAGCTGACTGCCTATCTCTATGGCAGTATAGTGCCCACTCGGCCCGCCACGAACTTGAATGATGGGACGACAAGAGGAGAAATAAAAGTGAATATGTGGCGATTTAGTCTTATGGCAATTCTGGAAGTGAAGTTCATCACTCCACTCTCGTCGATGCGACAACGAGATTGTTGCAATCTGGTGGAGCCACATGTGTCTTGGTACTCAACTGCTTCAGTCCTGCCGAGTCACTCCAATCATTTTCTTAATTATTTTAAATTTGGCTTTCGAGTTTAAGAATTGTTAACAGTGGTTTTTTATAGATAAAAGTCTCAATGCATTGTATTTGACATTTTCGCGTCGTTGCGGTTATAACGCATCTCATTCGAGCCCCGAATACTTTCCCGAAGTCCTAACTGCCTGACCTGTGTTCGATGACGTACAGATTAGAAGTCTCGAAGTAGAAATTAGCGGGAATATTAGCAAATATCTGCCATTGATGCCGACCTATATTATTTGCCCTGCTTCTATAAACATGGAAGCATCGGGGTCTGTTTAGCTGTGGATTCTGGAGACATTTTGGGGGACTGGAGGCTGGCGACAAAGTACAATAGCGGCGATAGGATAAAGTCGAGGTACGTATCAAGTGACAGTCTTGCATGATGCATTGTATACGCATGCATTGTTACTGCTGCCCTTCAATGAACTTGTGGTTGTCGCCCCGCAGCCAATCATCCCTGATCGCTGATGATGGATGTTCGCTTTGATTTATGATCTGGGATATTTGTTTTGGACAACGTCGAGAATTTTCGGGAAATGGAATTCATTGCTGAGTATTGAGCACTGCAAGCTCTCGGGCTGCAAATGGAATGCGGGCTGATTAAGGCCAACAGTGTTAAACCAACCCATGATCTAGGACTGCTCTCTCTCGTTTTAGCAACTTTTCCATGAGTTCTGCGATGATGCATTAATTGATGATTTGAGAAGCAGCATCAATTGATTGCATGGAATTCAGATCCTTGACTGCGTTCAAGCAACCCTTATTTGAGCCGAGGCCACTTTATTTTACCCAAGACTCTAAGCTATATACTGCATAGCTACCCATACACCCGCTTTTCCATTTGAATCCGCCTCGGCCCTTCACTGGCCATGAGTATTGCAATATTGTTGGCTGGAAGATCCCTTTTGGCGCGGAGGTGATCAGACGGGATCTCGCAGCATCACACTCTTTCCGTAACTGTCTCAGCGCTACGTGTACGGAAACGCCAATCACATGGCCGCACGATCCTCTCATATGCAAGTTGGGTGCATGGGTGGGAACAGTGAAGATGTGTAGTCACCACCCCGAGTAATCCCGCAAACCAGAGAATGTACTTGCGACATCCTCGAGCCGACGTTGCATCTGACCAAGAGCTAGAGGACAATATACGGCAAGATGGCTCGGGCCGTCCCGCGTCTATCATTCACCCAAAGACAATATGGTAGTATCGGGACCATATTATCATAGACATTTATATGCGGAAATGGCCTGTAAGCTACGATGTTGTAAGTGTGGGCCCTGAGTGGTGAATTGACAACTTGAAATTCGTGTGAGAATATTGTCTCACCAAGTTTTGGATGAAATAATTTAGCAGAAGACCATTCAGACTATCATTGGCTTGTTGGCTTGGTGGATTAAACTAAAATGTGCTATAACTTTGCTTTTTGTTGTTGCAGTACTACAATCATCGTCTACAGTAATGCAGAGCCTATACAACATGCGACTCGAATATTTCGGATTGAATGTCTCACTATATGGTGGCGATTAGGATGACGATATTAGATAAAAACTGAGCCCTCTTATGGTATATTGATATCAAGCTATTATTATAGTTTACATATCGGAGGCTAATATTGATACACTAAGTTTCAGGTGTAATCACCGAAGTGCAGCCAAGAATCCTGGCCCCAGTATGTTTCATCCAGCCAAGACATGAGATCGTCGCTGCTACCTAGCTCTAATCGCTGGTCACCGATCCATTTAACGGTTGAAGCAGGGGTAACTGGCTGCGGATCGTCGGCAGCAAGGATCTGATCTAGAACGTTGGAAACAATCCGTGCGCCTTGCTGGCCAACGTCATATACTCCCTCATGCGGATCGCACATACATTTCAGATGTGAAACAAACACGCTAAGCTTTTGTATAAACCAAGAGCGTGGATGAGATGAAAGTGGCGACTGGTTTGAATGTCTTAATTCAGCTGTAAGAATTCCCGCAGCAGGAAGACCTTTGTAGCATAACTAAAAAAAAATCAGCATAATAAGTTTTGGCGAGACAAGGCCCAAAATGGCGCCAAGGGGAGTTGGTTTCATACATCCCAAGATAGATCATGTATCTTCTCGCCCGACCTCATCCGCAACATGACAAGATTCAGTAATGTTGAAATTATTTCGCAAGAGCTCTCAATCAGACCTTGCGGCTTGATACTCAGTCGTTTCCATAGAGTTCTATAAAGAAGAAACTCGTGATAAATGAATTCCACATGGGTATACAAACGGCTCTCGTCAATGCTGGACCCATCCTCCACTTCTCCAGAAGCTGATGACCAACGCAAAAAGGGAGGAAGTCCTTGTTGTATCTGACGCGCGTCCTCAATCATTTTACTATTGTTAAATCTATGTTAATAGATATTCTTATGACTATTTTCAAGCCAGAAGAGTAAAGACCCTGCGGGCTATTATTCATATGGAAGACACCTACTCGACTCGTGACTGAAGACCATCGATGTGGTGACTCAGGGACAGCTCCAATATACTCTCTCGCGTAAGGCTAGTCAACACCGCGATTCGGAGCTTAACCTCGGATGTCAATTTTCCTTGTTTGTTCCAACCATTAGAGTCAATATTCTGCAGCGCCATCTCAATTTCACGCGGTGTCCCCGATATTTGTTCGTGAGTAAGATCTAGTGGTAATTGAATGCGAAAGTACCGCGAAGAAACCCGAGCCGGGCGCCCGAGCGCTGTAGCAAGCTCCTTGTCAATTGCATACCCGGAGGCTAGCACACGTTTCCGTATTTCAACAAGGAAAAAAGGGCAACAATCGTCTACAGTCCCGTTTGGTTGGAGTAAGCTGGCAGCATATGCGACGGTGGACAGATCACCCAGCTTTTGCCAAGTGCGATAATCTATAAAACTCGCGGTTAAAAGCCTAACCCCATATTGATAGAGGAAGAAAGAAAGTGATACAAGACATACCAGTATGACCGAGCATGCGAGTTAAATGAGCGGTCTGTTGGCCCACCAGCCAGCAAAATGGATCGCTTGTTACACCTAAAGCGTGGCAGAATTGGCAACAAATTTCACTAATGGCGACGGAAGTGGACCGTAGTTGGTCTCTATCAATCTTCCAGGGGCTAGAATGGGTGAAAATGTCATTATCAGCAGGCACATTAAGAGAAGCAGCTGTAAGCATGGCAAAGAATACGCCGATTGCATCCCACCGAGCAACAATGAGAGGTATATAGTCAGATATCGTCATTGCCCGATCCACTTCAATCTTTTTTGTCGTGTTGGTGAATATTTCTTTCGATAAATCAAGGAGCTGGACTTCAGGGTCTTCTGAATCTTGGACTGCCAAATTATACAGTCTTTCAATGGCTATACACAAACCGTCCATCAAAGGGCCTCCCAAAACCCAGCTTGGGGCAATCTTGTTCTTGACTTTGATGAGTTCTTGAAACCATTGAATTTTGTTCAACTGTAGCAGAACCTGAGCTCCTAGCTGGATCTTCTGAAAATCCCCCTTTGTGCAACTACGAACCAGGCTAGTATCTGTCGACTGGCCGTCCAAATATTGGCCACCCATGCTGGAAGCGTCAAACTGCTCGTTGAAAATATCTTTAGGAGCAGAAACACCTAAATATCCAGGTGTCAGCGGCCACTTTTCGGGAGACTCCCACTGTGCCACATATTGTTCACATAGGGAGGATGCTGTATGTGAAGATGTGTTCAAAGTAGGATCTCGAGCCGTAAAAGCCGAGTCCCGCGACTTGTTAACGCGGAAGACAAATTGATTTTCCGGACGCCGCTTTTTTGGCCTTTGAATTCGTTTCGAGGCTTTCTCCTGTGATTGAAATAGTTGAGTTAATGGAGAAGGATGATAAAAACATTGCGCCGCCCGGCCTCTGGCGACACATCGGTCACAAATGGGGCTTTTATGGTCGCATCGCTGCTTGGCTTTGCGGCACGGCTCGCACGACGCAAGCTGACCATTGCGACGAGGGGTTGTCATTTGTCGGGGTCCTTGTCGAATATTTCTAGCCTCTAATTAGTCGAATTAAATTATCAACGATTTCTGTCTTTCACGAGGATGACAGGAAGCGAATTCTAGGGAAGGTGAGATACTTGGTGCTATCTCGGAGCAGACTCAGTTTAGCTATTTTCGGTTAGTCTGACGGAGTTCGGAAACAAAGATACTGAAAACGGCAAAATAAAGGCCGACCCGAGATGGTTTTGATGCTCATGCGTGGAACTCTCGAACCTGTCTTGGCCCAGGGAAACATATAAAACGTTATGCGTTATAGTTCGTCGAAATTTTTATTTTCAAAAATTGAAATTAGATTCTTAGAACTATATCCTTCGTCTTTTACCAAACACTTGCTATCGTTAAGCTGGGAATAATGAAAAAAGTGGCCAATCATAAATGTCTCAGATGGTGGGGATTCTCGCTCGGGGGGAAGCCCTCTACTACATTTCAATTTCTAGTTGTATTATCCAACATACTACAGTATTATATATTAGTAATTTTCACTCATATAGGGCGTAAGGCTCATTACGTCCGAAATAATGTGCGCCAATCAGATTTGCTATAATCTATTATATTCCTCGTGGGAATTTACAGACATCCTATTAACAATTTTGAGTGTCAAAAAAGCCAATCAAGTCTAGTATCAGTTATAGATACAACAATAATCAGCCAGCATCTCAGAGAAATATAGGAATGAAATACACTCACATTAACTACTCATAAAAACGAACCCCATAACAAAAATTCGGGGAAAGATCAGGAACTCTTGAACAATAATCTATTTGTCAATCTATCTGCATGCATTCCGAGCGCGTTGGCATCTGATGTGTACTTAAACGAATCTTCCCTAAAACAGTTTCTGTATATAATGCCTGCTAACCTAGCCTTGGTTGCACTTGGTTGCTCTGATAGGTGAGAGGCTTAATTGCCATTTGTTATTAGCCACCAGCAATCAGCTCCAACTTCCGCCGCTCCCGTCTCAATGCGAATGAAGCAACCAAGCACAGAGCTCCGGCCAAAAGTCTAATGGCAAATAGGCGTGATTATGGCCTCTATGGAAGCAGCAGTGGTGTCCGTGGTTCTAAGAATGAGGTCTCCTGCAAGCCAAGTCGAAGTCGGAAAGTGATCACTAATCCGATCGACGTGATCACTAATTCGAACCCAGACTCGATAAGTAGCGCACATAGATGAATCGGTGCAGACTCTATCACAACCAACATGATAGTAGGACCTAACGAAGACTTGATTACTGGAGTCTCATAGTTTCAGTGGGATTAACATATGTTGGCGGTAGACTGGCAGAGGCTTCACCAAACCGTTGCCTTTGGCCGGCAGTTTACCTGACTCACCACTACTACTAAGAGTAGCATAGGTGAGACCACTCTGGACCACACTCAATATTGGAAATTGCTATACACTTGACAGGCATATTCTTTGAAGGATTTAACAACATATAAGAACACAGATTCTGATCTATGTAATTTAGTATCACTTTGAGCATAGAACAAACAAAAAGGGTCGTTTAGCTCGTTAACCAGGGGGGTCCCGGCTGCAATATTGCACCGTCTAAGCCTAAATTATTGCCTTAAGAATTATAACAAGATCGTTCTAGTTTTTGCACTTCTTTCATATTCATAATATTTACAACTGGATTCAGTAACTAAGTTACAGACGTCTTACATTGACAAGTGCCTCAAAAGGAACATCACAAATAATTACTCATATTCACATCCTACAGCAGGCTTATAGTTGTTTAGGGATTTACGTGGCTGGTAATTCAACGTATTGGCTATGGTCTAGGTTGTGGAGTGTTCTGGAAATAATCAGTTCTGTGTCTTCGGCGCAAATGTAGTTCATTTGTCAAGATGGTCTCATATTTGTTAAATCGGTACCTTCAGTTATTCCATTAGCTTTCTGTAGATCAGAAGCGATCCAATTGTTTGCTTTCTTGCAGCATTCTTACATTCCTGGTCTGTGATTACTAAACACTACTATTAACAGTTATAGACAAGGACTCGGTCCAACTATTTGCCCGTCCGAACATTTTTAATATTCAGATTACTGAGCAGTCCGACCGGAGGGAAAGTTGGCAAAAATTTCAACAACTTCAGATTGATAAGTAAAATAAATATTACCTAAATTTCCATAGGCACACTAGTCCCGTGATCGGTCGTGATTCCGATGACAAATTAGCATTTGTATATCTAACATAAATATATACATGGGATGTGCCACGCTGAAAATTGATTTCACTGTGAGAGTGTTGTCCTGTATTCGTTCCGGACAAAAAATTTGGACAAAAATACGAATAAAACACTATGTCATCTTTCCAAGCATCCAAAATTCTCGTGATTGGTGGGACAGGAGCCCAAGGCATACCGGTTGTCCAAGGTATTTAGTCCCCAATGTTTTCTGGAGAAATCATTGATATTCTTGAATACGTCATTAATGTTAAGGTGACAGAGCTCGTAAAAGACCGAAAATACCAAGTTCGTATCATGACTCGAGATCCGAATAGTCGGCGAGCAAAAGAACTGGCCGCATTGCCTGGAGTAGAGCTGTTCCAAGGAACATTTTCTAGTGAAGACAATCTGACGAAGGGATTCACAGGTTGTGATGGTGCTGTAAGATTTTTGACCACTACTTTTCTTTCGCTGTTTATTTAAGTAGTATTTCGGCCCGATGAAATCGTTTTTGTTTAATTTTATTGGGCTAATGAGACTATTTCTACTTGATTGCTTAGTTTGTGAACATCGATGGTTTCAATTGCGGTGAAAAAGCGGAGATGTTCTGGGGTCTACGCGCATATGAGATAGCAATCTCTATCGGTTTGAAATTCTACGTATGGGGCAACTTAGACTATGGGCTCAGGAAAGGTAACTGGGATCCCAAATTCCGATGCGGACATTATGATGGTAAAGGGCGGGTGGGTGGTAAGTCGAATTTACCTTCTCCATGTATAAGGCTGACGGGCTATCTCCCTTATTGTGCAGAATGGATTTTACAGCATGGCACTCCCCAGATGGGGGTGGCCCTCTTCACTACTGGGTAAATGGTTATCCTGTTGTCTATTACGTGCGAGCTACGGGTAAAAATGCTAATTTCTCAATTAGTCCGTATATCGATATGGCGCTCTCGCCTCTAACAATCATGACCCCTCGGATTATTGATGGTGTTGTGACCTGGTCGGTCCCATTAGGTATTTGAGACATAACATTTGACTTTCTTTCATATACTAATAGAGCGATATAAATTTATATATAGGAGACGGAGAAGTCGCTCACGTGGCTCTCTCAGATTGTGGCATCTATGTACGCTGGCTGTTCGACAACCCTGATAGAGCCAATGGCCTAGATCTTGAAGTGGCTATCGCCCACATCTCGTATTCTGAAATGGCTTCCAGTTTCACGAAGGTTACAGGGAGACCTGCACGATACGTCGATGTATCATTTTCGGAATATTTCCAGAAATTCACTGGACGTGAGTCCATAAAAAATGTCTTAAATATTCCCAACATGAGTTGGATGTCAAAATTACGATTTGGCTTCAACTTTTCAACCCAGCGGCCGTCTTCTTACAACGCTGACCCCGCCGATCCTGCCACGCTAAGCTTTGAAAAGAATTTCACAGGTTTCTGGAACTTGTGGCGAGCGAGCAAAGGGAACAAGGGAGTCATGCAGAGAAATTACGAATTGCTTGATGAGATCCATCCTAACCGAATTCGGAGTGCTGAAGAATGGTTCCGGAAAGAGGCTGAGAAGGGTGACTTGTGGGAGCGAGTGAATAATATGGTTCCAATCCTCAAGTGGAGTGAGGATGGTGCACAAGGCAGAATATGATCTTCTGTCATGGCTGACGTGAAGCAAAGCGTATATGACAGATACAGTAGTTTCTTAGTCCAAAATGCAATACAAGATGTACTCATTCAATAATAATGGGGTTGAAGCGGAACCCCAGATAAATTGCGACTGAAACGACATCAACCTCTGAACTAGGACTAATATTCTAAAATAGAATCTCCTCACAGTACCAGTTCTGCTTAGCTAGGCTGGAATTTCGACGTAATATAAATGAAGTGGAGTCGAACGTAGAGGGTTTACGTTTCACACCGTTGAAAGATGGCACGTAAGAGCAAGAATTGCTTTTGCGTGATCTCAATACATCCGATAAAAATACAAAGAGGTCTTGCTGGGTTCATCAATACCGGCTGTTAATTGCGTAGTGATGGGAACCAACCAGCTGGATTATCGTTTGTAGAAACGCGTTCAAGAACGGCATTGCCTTGATCAATATGGCCCTTCACAAAATGAGATCTCGTACTTAAGCATCGTGTGGCAGGGACGAAGCCGTCCTTGAGGACCACTTTAATACTGTTATTAGAATCAGTGTACATCACGATTGGGTCAGTTTCGTTGATGAAGCTGAACGCCCTCAGCAGGCGACGTGCGTACAAAGTTGATTCGGCGGAGCCATGTATTATTCCTCTGCTGTCGGAGAAATATCATGACACCACGCAGAAAATATTTCAAATACCGGACCTGTGCAGAGCTGGACGAATGAAATATATCCTTTCGTACCAATTGGCGAAGGAAATATCACGGAACACGACAAAGGCTCAGAACGCCCGGATGGCTTCCAGACCTATAAAACTTAGGAGACGTAGTGCCTAGACTCCTGATACAGGTCTGGTACCAAGTCGCCTGTTTAGGACATTCTGATCAATTCATTCCAATGTGCATGTTGAAGAGCCGCTAGCTGTACGACAGAGGCCATATCATCGTAGTGGCATGCTTTCGCCTTTTCTGTCACTGAGAGTGGGATGCCTGTCTTCAGGTTACTGCATGACAAATGCAATTTTACACGACGGATTGATGTGTCACAAAAATTGCTCGATTAGGATGTCGTTAGGGCAAGCAAACACGGGACCCGCTGCGATCTTCGTGGCTACGTCCTAACTAAACAAAGTCCTGCAGAGCAACAAAGAAAGGATTCTCTTCCAAGATGACTTGTATTTTTGTGGCGTTATTTGAAGCAAACTCTTCTAATTTTGTCAATGTGTATGCAACCTAGTTATTTTCTTACCTAGCAGGCCGGCTGTTTTTATTTTGTAAAAACCGTCAAAGGCCTCATCGGCACGGGATACCCAGTGAGGAATATGGGGCTCGAGCAAAGGTTGTACAAGGCATCTTTTTTAGGCCCACAGACCCTCTTTGCTAGGTTTTCATCAGGCTTTTCTATACATTTTAGATTGGTCAATCTCTTGCAGTTTTACCCACTGCGCAAGATTTCTGTTTGCAATCAACAAAATCTTTCACATAGTCTTCAACATGGAATATACCCCAACATTATCTCCTTTTTGTACAAACGAAAACATCCCCCCATTCAACCATTATATTAATGACTATATCTTATATTTCCTGTATGTCTGTCCGTTTGTCCACCTAACAAAGACTACAGGAATAGAATGAAATTATAGATAGCTACCTAGACATCTCAGAACTCTTCATATGAAATATTTACTCTACCTCTCTATTGCCATAAGATATGAAAAACCACAAACTACCTCCCACTACTCTGTTATCAGTATCATCAATGGCAGCTATTCCCCAAAACTTCTTCGATCGATTCCCAACCTTTCGGCCAGAGCCACGGGCACGCATCAGCGTACAATTCCGTCGCCTCGCTGCTCATATGAAATGGGAAACCGGGTCACGGAGATGGAGGAAGATGTGGAAAGAATGTATGGGCAGCGAATTTAGTCGGCTCTATGGCGATAACGCCTCTCGGTTGCAGTCATGGCAGGATTTATGTCTCGATCTGGGATTGCAGGCCCCTCCGTCCATTACGAAGTGCAAAAAGGTGATTTCCATTGGTTTTAAAGTTTAAGGGAATTATGCTAACCACGGAATAGCTTTTATCGAGTGTGTACGTCAATATAGTCGACTTGATTGATTGTCGTGCTGCTGGAGAAATACCTCGAATGTTTTCGTCGGTGGCTGCGTTGAAGGAATACACGAGAAAGTATGGGCAGGTATTTCCTAGAGAATTAGCTAAAGAGGAGGGGTTTATTAGAATTTTGCTGAAGAAGATTGCTTGAGGTGGCGATGTGAGGCACTTGACTTAATTTAAACTGTTCCTAGTTTAGCCTATCTGATTCAAAACATGGAATTTTCCTCATTTATTTCTTCTTTCCAACAGCTGGATCCGAAAACTGAAGGAAAGGCACGTTGAAATCTCAATAGAAGACGTCGATTCCATCCGCTTCTTAGAATTGATCTACCATTTCCAACAGAAGATCGTTCGAAAATTCTGGGAATTCCCTCAGAAAAGTATTGTCCAAAGCCTTCTCAGAACCTGTGCACCCAGCGCTTCTCAATTTTTTCATGTTGGCAATGGGGTAGTCTACGGCGACAGATCGAATTATGTACATGTACTCGAATGGAGCAGAGTAAATTTCACGAATAGCGTTGCGGAATGAGTCTTTGCTACGCATTCCATTCAGTGCTTTCACAACATGGTGCTCTGCCGTCTTCATGAGACCAGGAATATACAACTTTTCCGCTAGAGCCAACATTTTCAGGTGGAAGGTAAGATGGCCGATCGAGGTGGTGACGTCTGGAACGGCCATCAGGTAAGCTGTAGGGTCGTCTACCTGGCTCTTCTCCTCTGACTCGGTTTGGTTGGCCTTTCATTCCAGCTGTCATTTTCAACAGTGTAATCTCCGGTGTATAGGTAGCCCACCATTTTGGCGACTAGAAGCTCGTTTTCGGAGAGAAAATTGTGATAGAGTCCCCTGCCTACAGCGAAAAGATCAGTATATACAATCGAGATACTTCCAAACCCAATATAAGTCACCTCATATTCACTGCAGAACTGCTCGAAGTATTCGCACTGCGGGCATACTATACACTGATGTACGAAAAAGGGTTCCCAGCCACACTCGATCGTCATATCACTATATTAAAAGTAATCGCGAAGCCTAAACGCATGTCAGCTTAATATCTCGTGTATGTCTCATAGATCTTACCCTTTAACAACAGCCAGGAGGCTATACGGGCGCTTTGGCCGCTCTTCATGTTCTGGAGCTGGATTAAACTCGGTTTTAGTCACCCACACCCCCCGGTCGTTTTCGTCACCATCAAGATTCCAGTCATCCTTGAAATTTTTGTCAGACATTCTGTAGGACAGCCTCTTTTGTGGTCCTTTCTGAATCGGCGGATAAGACAAATGAGCTGAGATCAAAGGCTTGATGAGCGAGTAAGGGTTGAAGTCAGCGAATACTTGAAGAAAGAGTGAGGTGAAAAAGGGAGGAAAGAAAGAAAAAAATGACTAGCAATCAATTTATGCAGGAAGTCGTCGAGCAGGCGGTGCCAAAACAGGAAGGCGGCATGGGCATCTGCCTCGTCGTCAAAGTGCAAGGGACCACGCCGGCCATGTCCCAGTGCGACCGCCATTTCCACGGATATTGACTTGTCTGTAATACAATATATATCAAAATTGTATATGCGTAACAGGCGGTGGTTATGATGTTCCCCAAACCCCCACGTGTCACCCCACGCTACCCCCAAAATGGAATACAGGTTGGAGAACAAAATGCGGAGTGCAATCCGTGTGGTCTTTGTGCTCCAATTTAAAACCCTTCCTCTTTCAATCCGTCATTTTGCATCGTTTCTCCCTATTTTACGGTATATACAGAGAATCACTAAAGTCGTCTCAATATGAGCCAGAAAGACGACAGCGTCTCGATATCCGGCAGCGAAGTAGCTCGGCACAACACCAAAGACTCGTGCTGGCTAGCGGTTCGGGGGAGGGTGTACGACGTGACCAGTGCGTTTTTTGATATTCAGGGCTGGTTGTTTACACGATCTCTAATAAGAAGGCAGACTTCCTTGATGAACATCCTGGTGGCGCCCGTGTGATTCTTAATTGCGCAGGTCGCGATGCAACAGATGAATACGACGCTATACATCCGGCAGAACTAATCGAGGAGACACTTCCCTCATCAGCTTTCCAAGGCGCCGTGGATCCATCGACACTCAGTAATCGAAATTTGCCGAAACCAGCTCAGCAAGATCCAACCAAGACATCTGCATCCGCTGGACCTCCCCCGTTGAGCACATTGCTCAATCTTCGAGACTTTGAACAAATAGCCGAAAAATATCTACCCGCTAATGCATGGGCATACTATACAGCTGGTGCGGACGATGAGTACTCCAAGGCCGAAGCAGAGCTAGCGTACCGCAAAGTCTTACTACGACCACGAATCCTTCGAAATGTCGGCAACATTGACACGAGCACCAAGATTCTAGGCTGCGATGTCTCATTACCGGTGTATATGTCAGCGGTAGGAATCGCCAAGTTTGCTCATCCACAGGGGGAATGCACACTCGCTGCGGTGGCAGGGCGTGAAGGATTAGCGCAGCTGGTGGCGACAAGATCGAGCATGTCGCTTCAGTCAATTATGCAGGCGCGCACGGGTGGTGATCAGCAGCCTATTTTCTTTCAGTTGTATATGCATAAATATCAAAAGATTTCAGAGACGACAATACTCAAGGCTGTCAATTCTGGTATAAAAGGGATTTGGTTGACAGTAGATTCGCCCGTGACTGGGAAGAGAGAGAGGGACGAACGGCTGAAAGCTGAGGTAGATGTATGCACGGAGTGGCTTCTTTTATGCTCTCTCATACATTGCTAACGAATATATCAGGTCGGAGAACAGAACAAGCAATTAAGTGGCAAAAGCCAGCCGGTGCAAGGAATCGCCAAGACACTGTCAAGCACCGTATCACCTTATCTTGACTGGAACACGATCGCCTGGATTCGAAGTCTGACCAGTCTTCCTCTTGTCATCAAAGGAATTCAATGCGTCGAAGATGCTGTGTTAGCCTACCAACACAACGTCGATGGTATCGTGCTGTCGAACCACGGCGGCCGCTCACAAGACACCGCACAGGCACCTCTCCTGACGCTCCTTGAAATCAACAAATACGCCCCTATAATCATGAAGACCAAGAAGATGCAAATTTTTATTGACGGTGGCATCCGCAGGGGAACAGACGTCATCAAAGCTCTTGCCCTTGGCGCTACGGCTGTTGGCTTAGGCCGACCATTCTTATACAGCATGAGTGCTGGGTACGGCGAGGCGGGAACAAGACGGATGATAGAAATCCTACGCGAAGAGATCGAGATGAATATGGCATTGGCGGGGGCGACTAAAATTTCCGAGCTGGAGATGGGGATGCTTAACACGGCACGATTAGAAAGAGATCTAACAACGTTAGCTCGATTATAAGTACACATTGCATCTATGAAACTAATTCCATAAAATTTAACACATCATATACTTCACGATATAAATGCCCTAAAACGACCAAATAGAGTGAAAGGGACTTTATCTTCCCAGAGATGCACCCACAGAAAACGCTAGAAACACATATAAATGATTATGTCACGCACATTTCTGATTTGTCTCTTGAGCACTTTCCCTCTCATATAATCTAGTCTTTTGAAGCTTAGAGAAATTCAACATTTATTTGATATGCATTTATCCTCAATTTCATTTGTATATTACCCCCCGCTTCTTGCAGTCTTGTGAATTTCTACTGTGTATCTTCTGCCGACGCACTGAGGTAAGTTGACACGGCCTCTCCTAGTGTTTTTGCTCCTATCTAGTTGGTTGATCACCTTCTATTGCAGGCTTATACTTATATGATATGTCATGGCCTGGCTGCTTCTTTAGGTTTTCAACACCCAAAATTCCTTTGCCCCTCATCTTACTTAGGAATATATAGGTGTGTTTATTCTTGCTGTTCTTCTTACTGAGAATGTTATGGTTAATTTATATCTTTATTTCGATCCTTTCTGTCCAACTTTGTTGCGGCTATAAGTTTGTTAGGATTGTGGTCGTTAGATTGGCTTGTCTACAGGCTTTCGGCTATTGTATTGTTCTGTATCTTGTATATTGCGCTTGGAAACGCCTAGAGAGACTTGTCTGTCTACTGATTGCAATATCACCATGTCTACTATTGGCTGTTATGCTCGCTATAATGTTTGCTGTCTTCAAAAAATTTCCTGATCTAAAGGTCCTTGAGAAACTCCTTACAGTCGAGTAGGGCTTCGGTGTGTATAGTGCGCGTCTGGTTTCTTGATCCATATAATTTAACCTTTCAAAGTTTAGCAGAATTCAGTATCAGTTTGATATGGAACATGTTTTTATTTGATTTTGTATATTATTCCTCTGCTACATGCACTCTCGTTCTGCTGCTCCCTTTTGTTAATGCACAGAGAAAAATTGCTATAATCTCTTCTAATGCTTTATTTACTAATATAGACGGATTCGACACCTTCCTCGCCTTTTTACTCCGTCCTTTCAGCATCTCCCAAAAGTTAATGTCCTACCAAGAAGGCATAAAACATATATTATAATACTTTTTTTCTGCTATACTCCGTAGACCATTTTCTTTTTTTGGTTTCGAGTGTCGCTTTTTGCTCACCGAGCCCTGGTTTATAGAACGGTCAGACCTACATATCTAAAGCTTCCGGTTAAGAATACTCGTGGTTGGTCTGAACAGTCTAAAATAACGCCACAATTGCCTACTAAGTTATGGATCTTAGGCAGCCGTAGGCAGCAGCTACCTATAGCGAGAAAGCAAACCTTATCGCGAATTTTGCTTGCAAGTACTTAAATAGACGTCAAAATCTATAAAATAAAAGAAATTATGTCTTTTCATCATAACATTGAACATACAGTACTAGAACAATCTCACTATTCAGTATAGTCATTTCTGCACAGAATGCCCAAGTTCATGCTTCTTGTCCGCGCCACCCGCGATAGCGAGTCTGGCATTCCACCATCAACGGAAACGATCTCGGAGGTGATGAAATACAATAATGATCTTTCTAATGCTGGCATGTTGCTTAGCGCAGAGGGACTCTTATCATCCTCCACTGGAGCTCGGATTGACTTCACCCCCGAAAACGAATCATCAGTGACTGCTGGTCCATTTCCGTTTGAGTCCATTATCTCAGGGTTTTGGATCATCAAAGCGAAAGACCTCGAGGACGCAACCATCTGGGCGCGGAAGGCGCCATTCCGTGCTGAGGGAAGTGCTATTGAAGTTCGACAGATTGCCAGTCCTGAAGACTTTGGTGAGCAGATGACTGATGATCTGAAGAATATGGAGGGAGAGCTACGTTGTAAGGCTGAGCAGAGAGCTGCTGGTGGACTGCCTTAAGAGATAGAATAAGGAAATAGGAATAACGGGGGATAAGAGTGGCAGCAGGTTTAGTCTGATATCGATGGATAACGGATAAGGCGGTTGGTCTTAGAGTTGAGGATGGCCATTCCCGAAGAAATTCATGTGCTCATTTTACAATAATATTATTATTATAAAATTGAGTATTTACAGCGACATGGATTATATGTGCCTTAACCATTATGATTTAGTGAGAAGAGTGAACTCAAGTTCAAGCTATGCATCCCCTCTTATCAAAGTAGGACAAATATAGTAATTTATATAGGGGTGATAATATTAGAACAGGGAATTACTTGATTGTGTTTTGACTAGCCTCAGGCAACAGCGCCTTTGCAGTAGGGCAGAATGAATCAAAGAGAGAGAGAAGATGAAGGAGGTTTTAAATTTCTCCGTACAGTATCTTAGTGGTTGATCACTTTGATTCTTTCTCGGGCTCTTAATTATGTGATGTGTATTATGCCCTGCTTCTTCCACAATCCCCCGCTTTCAATATCTTCTATGAACCTACAGCAGATCTTTTTCTCCTTGCTATTCATATCAAATGTACTGTATTCAATTTGTATACTTCCTGTCCAATCATATTGTGGCTATGGGCTTGTGATGATTGCGGCCATCAAATAGACTTGTCAGTAAATCCTTGACTAGCACGCTGCCCTTTATACCGTATCTTGCGCTCTACAATGCCTATCGATACGCGGATATGCATTGAATTGTGGTATCATTAGTCATGCTGCTGTTCATTATGCTCGCTATAATGTCTGTTGAAAGCTGAATATTTCTTTTCGTCGCATTCTTGGCATCGTGCACACTCCTGCAGCGGCTCTATTTTCAATTGGCTCAATCTTTCCAATCTTCCAACACTATTCTTTACAAGGTGTGCCAATTTGTAGGATATGATACATATTGCAACGGAACCTACACTCCTCATCATTTCAGGGCTCCGGCGTGCGCACCGCGCGTCTAGTTCCAATATATTGCATCATTGATCAAAAGCCTCACTATTTACAGTGTCCGTAAGAAGATAAGTGGGATGCGGCATTCTCTCCGCGGAATCAGCCTATCATACGACATAAACTAGGAAAAAAACAATACAATTGGCTGAATGACGATTACTGGCTCCACAGCAAGCTAGCGCGGCATCCCACATCGCATCGGGGCGTGGGCGGCATCATCTGCGGAGAAGATTGGGGGCGCGCTGGTATAGTTATTCTTTCATTTTCATTGCGAGGGAATGGCAGCCTTTCCCAGCTGCTCGAAAGTTGCAAAGTTCTTTTTATTTCACACAAATATTTTCTCGCATTAGCAAAATGGCTGCAGATGGCAAGATTGATGTGCTGCTTTATGGACTCGGAGCGTATGTCCCCCATTTTTCTCGTCAGCCCGCAGAAATTGACTGACGGAAAGGAAATATGAAGAATTGGCTCCTTCTACGCCTTTATCCTAAGTCGTAACCCGAATGTCCAGCTTACGGTGGTTGCGCGATCGAATTATGACGCAGTCAAGAATACTGTACGTGCTGCAGAGCTGTGTCCTGAGATGAACAAGCAGTAATGATAATTAGGGTCTGATCGTCAACTCGCAAAACCACGGCCAGCACACTGTCCACCCGTACAGGGTGGTCAAGACCCCTGCCGAAGCAAATCAGAAATTCGATTACGTCGTTTGTGCACACAAGGCCATCGACCAAGGCTCGGCGGTGACTGCGCTTGGTCCAGCGGTCGACGAGGACAGAACCACTATTGTGATTATCCAAAACGGAGTTGGAAATGAGGAGCCATTCAGAAATGCATGGCCAAAGGTTACTATCATCACCTGTGTGGTAGGTCTCCTTCTCTCACCGTCTTTCGAGCCACCAATAATCATGGAGAATAACCATGGAAAAGCCGCTGACGATCACAGACATGGACTGGTGCAACACAGACATCACCAGGCTATGTGGAACATACCAAGAGCGAAGACATGCAGATCGGTTTATTCCCGTCGACCATCTCGCCCAGCGAAACCGAGAAGACACGCCTTGACACCCTCTCCTCACTGCTGACACGGGGCGGTACCAAATTCACAGTGCTCGACGACATGCCACGACAGCGCTGGGAAAAGGTCGTCTGGAACGCCGCGTGGAACTCGCTCACCACGGTGACCCTGCTCGACACGCAAACGTGGCTCAAGTCCGGCCCTGAAGCCATGCCTGTCACACGCAAGCTAATGACTGAGGTTATCGAGGTCGGGCGGGCGTGCGGTGTCACTTCGCTTGATTATAACTTGGTGGATCGCCTGATTGAGAGGATTCTTGCGATGCCACCGATCGGCTCGAGTATGCAGACAGACTGCAAGGCAGGTCGGCCCTTGGAAGTCGATGTCATCTTGGGATATCCGTATCGAAAATCGAAAGAGCTTGGCCTGAACACCCCGACGCTGGACACTATCTATGCGGTAGTCGTTGGGGTGGACCGAAGGCTGAGAGACGCGCTGGGGAAATAAGAGTACGACAAGAAATTTGCACAGGCCTGGCTAGATTAGATTGATAATAAATGTCGATATTGTGATTACGTTATGGCTGAGTCACTTTTGTAGGTGCATGACTTGCCTTTCCTCACTGCCGGCATTAGCGGCCTGCTGCGGCGGCGGCCGGCTCTCGCTGCCTCTGTAATTCCAAATCATTGCAAATAATTTGCATATTCCCCGGCCTTGGCTGCAGGACGGCAGCGAATAATAGAGCGAAAGGCCAATCAGCAGCTTTCGGCGTGTTACCTAGAGAAGGAAATGCAAGCGGTACATGTAGGTTGACTGATCCCTGCCATAATCTCGCTCGGTTTCAACTTTCGGTGCTGATAATGCAGTTTCATGCGTACAGCAGAATAAATAGTCTGCTGTATATGCTTTTATCTGAGGCTGTTATTTGCTCGGTCTAGAACCGTACTCCTTACTAAGTAACGAGTAATTCCAAATCACTGAAGGCTGCTCCTGGCGCTAGTCCGCTTTGGGGAGGCGGGGATGGTACGGGCTGGTGACGTTGATGGTCGGGGTGGGAACTCTATTATGCGCAGTCGTAAAGAGAGGGACAGCTCGCCGTTAAATATCCTTGTGCCCACCGTCCAAGGTCCTCAATTGTGTCTTTGGTCGAGTACCTTGCAAGCCCGTCACTGTCACAGCCCAATTCCATCAAATTGCTAACTCCCCTCTCCCCACAATGGTTCTTACCGGACACTGCCTGTGCAAGGCCGTCACCTACACCATCAACGTCGAGAAGCCCTTGCTTACCGGCTATGACCACTGCGACGACTGCCAACGCCAGAGCGGATCGACTTATTGTGGGTATCCCTTGTCGCAGCTTTCCTGCACACTCTGCCAAGCTCCAAGCTAACCAGTCTGGAATCGTCAGCCCTCGTCGCCGTTGTCCCCAAGGCCGAGCTCACCATAAACGGCCCCACCAAGAGCTGGGCTGGCAAAGGCAGCTCTGGCAAGGCCGTCCACCGTATCTTCTGCTCGGAATGCGGATCCCCCATTGCTCACGACCCTGATGCCGCTCCCGAGATCATCGCCATCAAGGCCGGCACTCTAGACGCCGAAATCAAAAAGACCCTAAAGCCGGTTCGTTGTGCCTTATCTCTTGTGCTCGTGAGAAGTGGAAGGATGCTAACGTGAAGATTGTGTCTAGGATACTGAGATCTGGACCGTGTCCAAGCTTCCTTTCTGCCAGGAGAATTTGGCTCATCCTTTCACTCATATGCCTGCCTAAACGGGTGGTGTTCTGCAGTGGAATATATATCTGGTGATAATTACCCGATATGGGAGTTTTATGCTCTTGAAAGAGACATGGGGTTAAAAATATTAAAAATGCATAATTTCAACAATCAATAGCCTTGGCCGCATCAATTGCAGGCGTGTCGTAGGAAATTTTCAAAACAAGTAGAACTGGTTTATTCTATACTTCAATGTTGGCATAGTATGGTTGTCCAAATCTACGAATTTTCTCTTTGCTAGTAGATCGGTGGTATCTCTGAATATAGGGTGGCGACTATGACTTTCGTGGTGACTCTCTAGGGCAATATCAATCATGTGACTTCATTCAACATAACAAGATACAAAAAGTGTACCAGAAAAAAACATCGCAATTTCTCTCTATACTTCATAATCATAGCCAATAATCCAAATCTCCAAAATCCTTATTCTAACCCAGGTCAAACGAAATGCTACCCTACACGTCCGTCTATATATCAGCAAATGCGACCTCCAGGAAGACGATTCTCTCTAGGCGCAGTAAACTTTGCTGTGTATAAGAGAAGCACTATCAACACGAGCCCATAAAAAGAACAATGTGCGTCCCTCTGGGATTGATTAGGCTCAAGCGGATTTCCGGTGTAGTTCTCTGCCCGTAGTGTAACGTGAGACGCACACCATTCGACGCCGCCGGCCGGTAAAATCCACGCAATGCGCACATCGTTTCATGGTCGTCATCATATTGCATATGGGCCATTGTCCGCTGTGGACCGGAATAACCGATCTGTAATCAAGTAAGTAGCGACAAAAAAAATACCCTTTTCGCAAACATACCCTATGTTCTGCTTGCGGGGAATCTAGAGCGTCTTCTTCCCACCACAAGTCATTTAAATTTGACTGGAACGAATTAACCAAGTCGACTGTAGAGGTATTTGGGTCCCTTCGTGAGATAGGTGCCGGAGAATATTTCGGCGGCTCGACAGTGTATTGAGGAGGTTTTGGGGGTTCGGGGCAAGGATTGCGCAGGACCGATTTGATCGTACGACGCTCATACGTCTCTACCGTTACTGTAGCTCTGCATGCATGATACGTTAGTTCTGATTTATCCATGTATGCTGCTTTGTCTCATATCATGCTTACACGTTTGTAGCAGAACCCAAATTATACCTCAGGTCCTGCAAATCAGATATCAGGCCCAGCAACCTCTTTCGCTCTAATAGATGTAGAAGTCTGCTCCATAGTCGCTCCTTGCTGGAGTATTTTCTGAAACTGATTCTCAGCCGGTCAATTGTACCTTTCAATAACGCAATATCAATTTCTTTCGTCGTAAATTCAGGGCAGTCTATGCCGAACTTCCCAGTGAGGGGATTGTAGGCTTTTAACGCCTCCTTACACTCCTCAGCCAGGCTAGCAATGTCCGCCAGTTCGCATTCCCGGTCTCCGTATTTCCTGGCATAGTCGTATATTTCTTTGCAAATCGTGATTCCTTGTAACTGGACGTCTTCGATAACACGCGTGGGGTGGCTAGTCATTGTAAAAATGCTTAATGGTTTAATACCTAAATTCGACACTCAAGATAATCGGATCTGGTAATCTCAAAGGCTTCTTTTTCTAGAAGCATCAGGGGCAGGGTCAACGGGTTTAAAGAACAAAATTGTTAAAGTGCTGGTAGGACAACCTCCTACCCTGTCCTACTAACACTCGGTATATTTTCGGTTTAATCGTCATCATACGACCTATAAAAAGTTGCCAAAAGTAATACCAAAGCGAACACACATCACGGTCGTGACACAACACAACTGGGTGACAATACCCGAGCTTGTATCCGTTCTGTGGCTACCCGACGACCCAAATAGGAAATCAAGCAAGTCCAACCAGTATCCATATAGCAAAGCGATTGTCTCCATGCTATTTATTTCTTATTGTTTGCAACACACCACCTAAAAGGCACCAAAAACTCCTTCTCACTCCTAATCTTCCATACCACCTTCCCATGCAATGCCTTTGTGCGCAGCCTGTCTCTTGCTTCGGCAACCTCTTTGCTTGCACTCCACCAATTCTCTGTCATACCTTCCATCCAATACCCGCCGTACCACTGCCAATCCGTCTTTACCACTTTATACTGCTTCTGCCAAGGGAACATCACCCGGGCGAACCGTGAACCATGAGTACTATTAGCAATCGTCTGTATCAAGCCGAGAGCGAGGTGGAAGTCGGCGTATTTCCGCTCCAGAAGGATTTGTTGGGAATTGCGAGACAGGGGTCCGGGCGTAACGTCGTGGTCACTCCAGAGGGTAAACTTTGGATAGACTTTGGGTGGTTTCTCTGCAGGTTTCGGCTCCAGCTCGGTGTGAACGGTGAAATAGAAGGGAAGGAGCTCTTCCTCAATGGGATTGGATGTCTTGTTTTCTGGTATTTGGGGGCTGGTCCGATCGACGAAATTGGCAATGATGTGGCATTCGTTGGCATCAGAGTTGATATCCCATGTCTCAGTGTGCTGGCATCGTTTCACCCCAGAGAACATTTTTCGCTCCTCCCATTCGGCCGTTATACGGATGAGGCCGCAGATATTGCTAACGTCTGGAGGCAGAGGTTGTGGCTCTGTCTCGGAGTTGGAGTTATACTGGGGCGGCGAACTTGGTGTCTCTTTGTCGGCCATTTTGTAGAATCTCTTAAAATTTTCTTTAATGTAGGAATTTAGCCTGGATATGAAGAGTATTTACATTAAATATAAGTAAGGCTGCGGCACGTGAACACCGGGCGTTGCCTGCGCTAGGACAGTATCGCAGCCAATGAATAGGAGCGCGAGGCTGTGTGAGGCTGATTTCGCTAGGCTGCAGAGGATGTGATTTCATTGGAAGACATGCTGTATGTGAGCGATTCGAAAGCATTCGCTGCTTCCTACTCGATATTCTCGTCAAGCCTTGTCTTTATACGAGGGCGATTTAGTCTTCATTCCGTGATCGGCCATTTAGGGTTCGCTCAATACGGCAAGTAAATATGTGTACTTTTCAGCCTTACGGTGAACAGGCCGAGAAACCCAACCAGGCTGATTCGAGTTAATCAAAATCAATTCCTAATAAATAATCATCTTCTGTCACCGGACTCTCCGAATAGTATTAATTGTGCAAGCCTCATCAAAGAGTAGCTCTCCTCTCATACCTTTAACCCGAGTCTCCGAGCCTCCCCACAATAGTCGTTCATATCAACGGTTTTCTCTACGAATGAGACAAAGAAATTCTTCAACCATAACAACCTGATCACGTTCTCTCGGGCTATCATTGACCATTGGCGACCCGCTTCTCCGCATTCTTCAGGATCTCGCCGATCCTTTATAGAGTTTACCCCGCTGTGATCGAATAATTGCACCAATCACACAGAAAAGCCTCATCTTAATATGTCGATGTTGATATTTGATATAAATAATAGAGACAAGGTTATTGATGTTGTTATCTCGGATCAAAGCTGAATTTCGTACAGTTGGTATCTAGAACAAAATGCGAGTTCAAACTATTGTCCCATTTCTGACAGCTTTGCTATCAACAACAGTATCCAGCGCCTTTTCACCAAATCCAAAAATATCACTGGACTATATTACTCTTGCTGGAAATTATTCATCCGAATATAATATAACTTATTTCCGGAAAATTCCTTTCGCAGCCCCTCCTCTCCCGCCGACAAACCGTTTTCGGGCACCTCAACTTCCACTCATTCATGACAAAAATGACCTTTACAACACCGACCAGGATTTGAATATGTGTCCACAGCGGACCGTCAATGGATCTGAAGATTGCTTATATTTAGGGGTCTACTCGCGTCCATGGGACTCGGGGACATCAGCTCGGAAAAGTAACGGACGCCCTGTTCTAGTGAATTTCTACGGAGGAGCTTTTATAGAAGGATCTGCATCATGGAAAATCCCACCTCCACTATACCCAGTCCTAAATGTTTCCGATATCAATGATTTCGTAATTGTCGAACCGAATTATCGCCTCAACGCATTTGGCTTTTTGCCAGGCAAGGAGATTAAAAATTCGAGAACGGCGGATCTAAATGTGGGTTTACTTGACCAACAGTTTGCAATTGAGTGGGTGAAAAGAAATATCCATCATTTCGGCGGTAATCCGAATAATATCTCTATCTGGGGACAGAGTGCGGGTGCAGGGAGCGTCGTTGGCCAGATTCTAGCGAGCAGTCAGGCGGGTCTCTTTTTGTTCAACAAGGCTACCACGTCCTCGCCTTTTTGGCCGAAGACTTATCAGTACGACGATCCAGAGGCTGAAGCCATTTATGACCAACTAGTCTCGTTGACAGGCTGCGGACAGGCTAAGGACAGTCTCGTATGCCTCAAGGAGGTGGACGTTCAAACAATTCGGAATGCCAGCCTTATTATTGATTCGGATCATACTTATACGACCAGCTCATATACATGGGCACCAGTCATTGACAATGAATTTCTCAAGGAATCTCTAACTACGACTATAAAAAACCGTAATGTGAACATTGACTTCATATACGGGGTTTACAACGCTCACGAGGGCGAGAATTTCATTCCACCAGGACTGCAAAACATCAGCACAGTGAATGAATATAACTCTTCTTTGGCAAGTTACGACACCTGGCTGAGGGGGTTCTTACCTAGATTCACAGAGGCCCAGTTAGGAGAGGTCAATCGGTTGTATCCAGCAGTGGGCTCGGCAGAGACGATAGCTACGTATAATACTACGTACGAAAGGGCGCAGCTGATATATCGTGATTTGGTTCTTGCATGTCCTTCATATTGGCTGTCGAGCTCGGCGAAGATCCAGGGATGGTTGTCAGAGTATGCAATACCTCCCGCCAAGCATGGGAGTGATACTATCTATGTAAGTCTATGAATCACCAGCGAATTCTTTTTCCTTTGAACTGACTGTTTGCTAGTGGAATCAGATAAATGCAGTTCAAAAAACCGATCCTCTCATTTATGAGGCATACGCTGGTGCATTTGCCAGCTTCTTCCAAACTGGGGATCCAAACTGTAATAAATTGACCACCGACGCAATCGCAGGAGTTCCTGTAATGCAACACTCCGGCGAAGAGTTTGTCGTTGGAACAGAATTGTTACAGCAAGTAAAACTCGAGCAGCTGACAGCACGCTGCGCCTTTTGGCTAAGAAATGGTAGATCAGTGCCCATTTAAGGATTACTAGGTATTTGAGGAATTCTATAATATATGCTAGTATAAATAACATTTAATTACATTCGTAGGTATTGTTACCGGGTTGTGTAATTGTTTGGCTTCTAATATTTTGAAATATATAGGCTTGGTCGCCTTTACAGCTGGTGATTTCGTATCATCAACCCACTAATTGATGCAAGAGTTGAGGATATTAAGGAGAATACTAGATATACAATTAGCTGATGCATTTTCCTTTGGACTTGCGTGACTGACCATATGTATACTTCAATCCTTGCACGTACGAAGAGACAACGATTTCTCTCAGATTGCCCGTCAACTGGTTGATATACGATACATCGGACAAAATCCGCTCGATAATCTATATTCAATCAGTGGGCATGAATCTTCAAGCCGGTCATGGATATACTCACGTGCTCTGCCCCCTCTCCAGTTATTTTTCGCTGAAGCTGATTTTTAAATTCTGATTCCAAAGCAGCGTTGTTTGCAGTGATACTAGCCGATACTCCCACTTGGGACAGTAAAAAGATTCCCGAAGTGGCCATGGCAATATCACTCTGCTCTAGACGAGAGGTCATTGATACAAAGCTAGCTGCTTGAGCAATGCTGGTGCCAATGCCTCCGGGAATGATGTACAATGATTCCCACCAATTTGTGTTTCCGTTCCAACGGAAATATTCTAAGATATACGTCACTGCAGCAATGAGGCCAGCGACAATAGTAAGGCCTCTATACCGACCTGTTCTCTTGATAAAGACTCCGGCAACAATACCTGCAACTGCATTGCCAACAACAGCAGGCACGAGATGAGCACCAGCGGATGAAGTGGATGCTCGACCAGTAACTTGGAAGTAGAGGGGAATGGTGTACATCATACCCACCTGCGCTAGCACTTGAAAAGTCATAACGAGGTAGCTTGCTATAACATTTGGTTGTCGGAGAATTCGAAGCGAAAATATCGGTTCTCTTGCCCAGAAGGCCTCGGTCAGAACGAAGGCGATCAAAAGAACCAAGGACGCCACGCCGAGTGAGATGGTGTAGGGTGATGTCCATGAGAACTTCTTTCCACCAATATCTAGCAAGGTAATACCAGAGACTACGGACGCTGAAAGGAAAAAGGTACCAATAAAATCAATGCGAGCGAGTTTGGATTTCGAACTGGCCGGCTCCTCTTGATTGTCCAGATGGGGTTCGCGGGAAATGTTCAATTTGAGTATGGTTAGCAATGCTGCCATTGCTATGAAAATAGCCTGGCCAGTGAATAGCCTGAAGCTGTTAGTCGATGAGTGTCAGACAAGGGGAAGGTTGGGAGTTTACCATCTCCATCCAACTAGATCTGTCAGTGCGCCGCCGATGGGTCCGCCTGCTGCACGACCGAGAGTAGACGCGATGTTGACATACGCCCTCCATGTTGCTATGTCCCGTCGAGGAACAATGTCTGAGGAGGATTAGTATTTCTAGAATGTTAGATATTGGCTGACTCTCACCAGTTATGATAATTGCAGCCAAGGTAGCCATGCCGGCACCGCCAAGTCCCATAACAGCACGACCGAGAACTACGTGCCACATCTGAACGCCAATGCCACTTTTTACGTCTAATTAAAATTGATTCGACATGAATAAGATAATCAGAAACCTACCATAAAACGGATCCTATACCGAAAAATGAGTATGCTAGTAGTAGGATGTTTTTCCGCCCATATATGTCACTAAGTTTACCGTACTGCATGTATGTCAATTGATTTTCCGGAATCAATTACTTGGAAGAACTAACCATCGGCATTGCAGCACAGACTCCTAGGCTATAAGCAGTAGCGAGCCAATTAGCATCAGGCAAGGCATTGAATTCAGATGAAATTCGGCCAGCCGAAGCGAAAGTAATCGTTCCATCGGCATGGGATACAAATTCCCCTGTTGTCACCAGTCACGTTAGAAATTAGCACATAACATAGGGTAAGTTTTCATACCGAGCAATAAGATCCAAACCACACCCCAGATACTAGACTGTTTGGGCTGCTTGTTGCTATCGTCATGGTTTCTCTCGCCGGCTCCCGCGTTCAAGAATTCCGATTCTGTCGGCGATAAAAGGTCGGACTCTGGTGTATCCGCGGGCTTATCAATCGTCCTGTAAGTTCTCGAATCACTGGCATTTTCCGACGTGAGCTGCGAGCGTTCACCCGGCTCATTCACTCCCATGGTGTTCTTTCCGTTAACAAATGGCAGGCATCCAAACTTCCTTTTCGTCTATTTTCACGGTCCACGGATCAAAATGATTTAAGTAGCGGAGTAAGGCTGACTCACGCGGCGGCGGGTCAAAGCAAAATATATGAGGGAAGCCTGATGGCGTAAGATCCCGCCAATTGCATAGCTGTCGGACTTGTCGGACAAAAAACAACATTCTCACTGGCGCTGAGAGGAGACAGCCCGCATTGGCTCCAAAAATGGTGGATAGACTATGTAAGAAAGTGTCCTTACTCCTTTCGTATTGTCAAGCTACGATATCTGCATTAATTCGCTGAGGGAGCTCAAACAAGCACGCAATCCCGACAGTGCAGTCGTCATCCGTGCCAAGGCTGAAAGACGATACGAAAATAACTAGTGTTTAATTTAACCCTAACCCCACGGTGCTCAAAACATACACATTATACTGACGAGCAAATATACGTCTCAAGATGATTGTCGAATGGGAAGCTGGTCAAGTATGGTGGATGATGGGATGATCGAGTGATTTTAAAGAGCACAACTATGAACATATGCAGTGTGGCTAGTAATTCTAAGATCCTACCCCGAGCCATCAATGGATAATGATAAAATGACTAGGCTTTGCCCTTGTCCGTTGTCTTATTTATTATGTCGCAGTTTAAGCGTATGAGGACGGAGCGCGGTAATGCATATCAATTGATTAGTATGTCGAAACCTAACTCCGAGATTTAAATGGGGTTGCATTCAATATTTCAAACGCTGGGTACCGCAAACAGTGTAAATTATCTACAGTTGGTATGGCCTACCTACAGTGGGGTGTAGGTCATCGTTTCCATGTAGTTAGAGACGATGGCTTTTCTACAGCGGTTTATAGCAAATTTATATCTATTGGTTGACAAACCTAGGCTTGCATCGTTGTGTGCAATGCCACTATAGCTAATGCCGGAGGCTTTGGAGCCTAGACTTGGGTTAGGCAAGTCCCGAGCGTCCGTGGCCCCGCCCTATCGTGAGTCTAATGATTCAGGAGAGACGCGCCGAGAGGCCGACGTAGTACTAATAAGAGGCTGAAAAATTTCTACAGAGCCGCATTCCAGCTGATAATACACCAACGATAAATAAAATGCACTTTCATCCACGCGAATGTCGGTCATCAGCACTTCTACCATAACTGACGCGCCGTGTTGTTAAATATGAAAATACGATTCATACTTTTCCCTCTTTTCTCCGCATGGATAGTCGGGGTATCAGGCTTCGCGTCAATCGGGGAAGAATGCGAAGAAAGAGAAACCGAACTTAACAAAACTCAGCCAATTGGCATTCATGTCGGCTTTGATACCATGTCTCGCTCCTTTCCTTTATTTTTCTGGTCTTTCTTATAAAGTCTAACATTGGAATTGTAGTTCTGCTGCCTATGCTCACTCTCACGACAATGTAAGCCTGTTAGCAGGATTTTACGTCACACACTCATCAGAGGATCTCTATGAATATGCGGCATATATTGCCCAAGTGCGAGCTGAATATTATATGACCATTTTTGATTTCTCCGATGACAATCCCTGGACGGTTCAAAAGTTTGGCTCTAAAGTGATGAAATGGATAAATTCAACGCTGAAAGGGAAAGTTAGAGGGATCTACAGTTCTTTATATTCACGGGAACCAACGGAAGAGACGAAAAAGGAGCAAGAGGTTGATAAGCAGAAGCAGCGGGGTATTAAAGCATTCGCTCCTGTTTTCGACAAAGTCAAACAGGTCGCATGGGAAGATAGTACAGTCAATATCACCGGGGCGATGATTATATACCCGGACTTTTTCAACGAAACCATGCGCTCTATCATTCTAGAAGCAGCGGAGAAGGCGGGAATCGATACCATGAGTTCGACCATGACACCAAGAGAGCTAATAGCTGGAGCCAACGGCTTATACTTCGATCTTTGGGTTGGGAATATCACCGATATAAGACATACACAGAGGGAAGGAGTCATAATAATTGATCACGGGCAGTTCCATGTTGATGTCCAGACAACGGGTTACCAGATGCACAGCATGCTCTTTCCACTGACGACCACTGGAGCGTCCGCCATAACCAAGAATCTTGTTAACAGAACCATATATACCGATGCAAATATACACCAAGAGATTTTACAAGGCGCATCCTATGGAGACTTTTACAATGCCGTATGGAAGGCGAGGTGGAAAATTAAAAATTGCACTGCTACGGATGCGGGAGAGGATGATGTCTGTTTCGACACATGGCCACTTGACTTGAATGGTTGGTGGGTTGGAGAAAACAGGTCTGCTGAAATCAGAAAGGAAGACGTTCAATACGTGGACGACGAATATGTCAGGCAGCTAGCACACTGGCTGCAATTGTCAATTACAAGGTCAAAAAGTAAGCTGTTCACCATTATCAGATATAAAATTCCTGACATTTGATGACTTCCAGAATGTGAAAGATGCGCATCGGGACATCTGAGCGATGCCAAAATAAACGCTGAGTACAACTACACAACAGCAAGAGAGTCGGTCAGCACCGTAGTTATTATAGCAAGCCATGGAGATGCTAGCTTGATTAAAAGGGCGGTAACGTTAGCCATTTGGAGGCATGTAGAAATAATAGGCGGCTATCCAGATGATTACAGACTTCTAGCTGACGGAGGGGCTCGCCTAATGATGTTGACGAGGGACGAAATTCTAGAGTCATTTCGTTATCGGTGTTTAGAGCGATCATATCACGACGAACTATAATTACAATTACACTCTATATGAGCATATAAATCCTATATCTAGTGATAGTTGAAAGGATTTGACAGCGCATCAATTAATTCCAATACTAACATGGCGCATCTCAGCACATGCATTGTAATCAAGGCACTAAAAGAAGATTATTGCCCATTAGCCCTGCAAGCAAACGATTTTGAATATCCGTAGGTCGAGCTCTTGCTCCCTCAGCGGAACTAGTGGTAGTGGAAGCAGCGCTTGTTGAAGCTCGTGAAGTTGGTGAAAAAGCGAGATTTCTACTCGGTGTGAAGACAGGGGTCGGAATCGGTATTGATTTGTCCGCGGACACGGTAACAGACACAGCCCCTCGAATTGCATTGGTGCTGGTATTTTGATTTCCATGATACTATCATCTCCCTCTAATTCAAAATTGGTTTGTGCCATAGATATTTCATTCTTGGAGAGATCGAAGACGACATTTGCTCTACGCAAGATGTTCGGCCCAAGAATGGTGACTTGATCACCGGCAGGAACGATGCTTAACACGCATACTTGACCATCCCTACCAGCAAACAGGTCATTCAGAGGTATTGTGATGTTGAAGTCGGTGAAAGTAAAATTTCAAATTTTCGAATATCTTTTTTTATTGAAAGTTTATCCTTCTAATATGAACCTGCGATGAATTTTTGTCAAGAACTGCGGAGCATCCGCATTGATAGTTGGAGTTATGGTAAGCCGGGTTTCGGGGGAATAGTACTTGATCGCAAATTTTCTGCAAATTATTAGCTCAATCAGGAATTGACCATCACCAACACCACGAGATTTGTTTACACATACCGATTCTTTCTCCGTCCACATTTCAAATATTGCATATTTTATGAGCTGAATAAATATACTATTAATGCTATTGTTTTTCCTACGATTGAAATGAATCGAACTTGTCATAATTAAAAATACCCCATGGCCTGAAATTTCTAAGCCAAGGTTGTCCGTCGACGCCGGGACTGTGAATGCCCGACCGACAGATCTGCATAACTTATCTATTTTGCAGCAAAATTTTAGTCGCAAATCACGATTTGATATTGTTTTCGGCCAATGAATTCCACCGACTTGAGATACTATGATATCAATAATTTCATAGAGTAGTCAACATAAATACCGCCATCTTCCCCAATATCCATATCATAAGTACATCTAACATCACAAAAGTTTTGTGGTTCTCTCATCATCACCTAGAAGTTCATTTCTTAATATCTCAATATGCAGTGGCTTATCACAGGATGTTCCTCAGGGCTCGGTCTCTACCTCGCCCGTAGAATTCTTTCAGCTGGCCATAAATGTATTGCAACTTCACGGAACCCCGGCACAACGCCGGATTACGTTGCTGAAATAGAACGGTTAGGGGGAATATGGCTGCCTCTGGACGTTTCCAGTAATAACCTGGAAAAGGCGATTCAAGCAATCACGGAGAATTATGGGTTTATAGATGTGCTAGTGAATAACGCTGGTTTCGGAGATGGTGGGCCATTGGAGACCTACAGGTACTGAGATCATCTCCTCATGTTTGTGCTCATAATAACGAATCAAAAACAGTCTCGAAGCAGGAAGAGCAATGATGGAAACGAACTTCTTTGGTCCATTACGGTTAATGAAGGCCTTGATACCTAGCATGAGGGAGAGGAAGCAAGGCGTCATTGTCAATGTTTCAAGTGCAGCGTTCTGGGCCCCTCATGCTGGAGTTGGGGTGTATTCAGCATCTAAATTCGCTTTAGAGGGTATGTCCAATAAACCACTTAATGGTTTAGGTGCTAACTATGTAAAAAAAGGACTGTCAGAATCTCTCTCGACCGAATTAGCACCTTTTGGCATTAGAGTGATTATCGCAGAGCCCGGCGAGATGAGAACAAAGTTTGTCCAAGCAGATAAAGTGTCTCATTTGACCATTCCGGAAGCGTACAAGGGGACTCCGGCCGAAGCTGTCTTAAATTTTATTACGCAACGTGATGGCAGACAAGATATCGATCCAGCGCGAGTAGCAGAGGCTATTGTACAGCACGTCGCTCATCCACCAAACTCGGATCTAACTTTGAGGCTGCCATTGGGAACAGAAAGCCTAACGTTTCTGACCGCCAGAGCGGAAAATTTGTCCAAGCTAGTTGACGCATCTGCATCATTTGCGAAGAGTTGTGACTTTCCGAAGGATGAATGAGCAGCTCGAAGTTGTGAGAGCGTTCAAACATGTTGTTAGCCCCGTATTCAATGCGTAGTTCTACTTTTCAAAATCTAACCCTAACATGAAAGATTGAATTGCAATCTAGTGTGTCCTGGTGCGTAAATTACTAGTGCTATGTATGGTAACTTAACTTATGTAGAATAGTATGGCCAATCGGATCCAGCACGGCGGATTTCAGGGCTAGGAACCCAGCGAGCCGGGAAAGCGGATGTCACCCCACTGCTCCACTATGGCCTCATTGCCAGGGTCGACGACGTGCTCTCGCGGCCCAAGCTTCAATGTCCTGTCAATTGAAGTCACTCTTTATTTCTTTATTGTATCCAGGTCATTAAAACGTCGCCGAGGTGAAGGCTAGGCTAGGAAATACAGCTATGCGATTACCTACCACAGCTGCAGCTGCAATTGCAGCCCTGGCAGCCACTGCCAATGCATTCGATCTTCAGCAACTCCAACAACCCCTCCAGTCCATTCTAAAATCCCAGGAAAATAAGCAGCATCAAAAGCAACAACCAAATATTGTGTTCATTCTAACCGATGACCAAGACCTCCAATTAGACTCGCTATCGTATATGCCCCTACTCCAAAAACACCTCCAGCGAGAAGGAACCTTTTACGAAAATCACTTCGTTCCCACGGCGCTGTGTTGTCCTGCTCGCGTAACATTGTGGACGGGGCGATATGCACACAACACCAACGTGACGAATGTGAAACCTCCATATGGTAATGAACTCTCTAGAAGAATAAAATAAAATCCCACTTCTAATCTAATACAGGCGGATACCCCAAGTTTGTAGAACAAGGCTTCAACTCCAATTTCCTACCCATCTGGCTGCAATCCGCCGGATACAATACCTACTACACGGGGAAATTATTCAACTCGCATACCGTCGAGAATTACCATTCGCCGCATGTGGCTGGTTTCAATGGAAGTGATTTCTTACTCGATCCATTCACCTATTCATATCTCAACTCGGTCTATCAACGAAATCACCATGAGCCGACCAGTTACGCAGGGAGGCATACGACAGATGTAATAACCGAAAAAGCGCTGGGGCTTTTGGATGATGGCATTGCGGGTGTCGAGTCCGCCGGAAGACCCTTTTTTGTGGGGATTGCCCCTGTTGCTCCTCATGCAAATATGAATCCTAGTGATCCGCCACTGAAAATGACGGAGCCGATACCTGCGGAGAGACACAAACATCTTTTCAAAGGTGTCAAGGTGCCCAGAAAGCCGCATTTCAATCCAGATACTGTATGTCCCTCATATTCGCACGAGTTTTGCAGAAATTCTAATATGTTATACAGCCTAGCGGAGTCAACTGGATAGCTAGCCTTCCACAACAAGACGAAGCCACTGTCGATCAAAATGACCACTTTTACCGCCAGCGCCTGCGTGCTTTGCAGGGTGTTGACGAGCTGGTTGATCAGGTGGTCACCCGTCTCGATGATGCTGGCGTTCTCGATAACACGTACATCATCTATACCTCTGACAACGGATATCATATCGGCCAGCATCGGCTTCCACCAGGCAAAGAATGCGGCTTTGACGAAGACATACGCGTGCCGTTGTTCATTCGCGGCCCTGGCATTCCCAAGGGTCGTGTGGAAAAAGCAGTTACCGCGCACGTCGATCTCGCGCCAACAGTGCTACACCTCGCCGGCGCTGCGCAACGTGATGATTTTGACGGTATCCCGGTGCCATTACCAAATGGCCGAAAGCAGGTCTACAACCGCGAAATCATCGAATCTCATAAACGCCACGAACATGCAAATGTGGAATTCTGGGGTATAGCAATCCCCGAAGGAGAAGGGAATTCCTTTGGTCCAAACAACCCCGCAGTGGTTGAGAACAATACGTATAAAGGCCTACGACTACACTCGCCAGAATCAGGGTACGATTTGTACTATTCCGTTTGGTGTAATAATGCGCATGAACTGTACGACCTCACCAAGGACCCCTATCAATTACACAATATCTATCCATCTTCTTCATCCATTCACCGGTATCTGCTCGGGGCTTCGATAGATCAGGTAATCAACCGGCTCGATGCGCTGCTACTTGTTCTCAAATCGTGCCGTGGACATACATGCCATGCACCCTGGTCCGTCCTTCATCCCAAGGGCGATGTTGAGACGTTGAAAGACGCGTTGGATTCGAAGTTTGACTATTTCTACGAGGAACAAGTCAAGATCGAGTACGATCGATGCGAGGGCGGGTATATTGTTGATGCGGAGGGGCCACAAGTGGGATATCAATATTTGACTGAGAGGGACGGGCTAGGATGGAGTCATTGGGAATAGATATGTAAATAGACAATATACTCAAGTTCGTTCATCTAAAATTGAATATAAATCTATCTATGCCTTGCTCTTCACCTAACTTCCTATACATTGTGAGCTTCACATCCCTAAATTCCAGATGTCCCATGAACGGAGTTAGAATACAGTAAAAGGGCTAGGGTTAATTAGAAATGGAGATAGGTAATTCAGGCTCATGTTTCATTGTTTAAAAATTGTTTACGATAAAAATATATTATAACGTTAATTCAAGGACGGCCAGAGTTCAATGTCAATAGCTTAAGAATTCCAGCTTGTTACTACCATCAAACTACAAGAGAATCTCAGAATTTTCTGAATATGTCCCCTCCAAGTGTGTCATTCGCCGCAGCTTCCAATCTCTCCGCGGTAGCCTTGAACCCGCGCGGCACATGTACCTCTTCGAACTTCTTTCCCTCAAGGATTATATCCGCTACTCCTTTGGACGAGAGGTAAATCACAGGCATGCCGTGTCCAGTAAACCCAGCGCATATATATTGACCTGGTCGAGAAGGTATTTCGCCGACGTGCGGTGCGGAATCGAATGAATAACCCATGACTAAATGGCAATTTCGTAAGTCATCATAGATATATATATTGACCAGAAGGGCAAGAAAACTTACTGCCAGTCCATATTTCTTTAACATACGCACCGCTGTTTTCCCATCCTCTAAAGTACTTTTGCATATACCCATCAAAGTAGTTCTTTGTAGACTCGATTAAAGTACTGTCGTCGATATTCCTAAACCACTGTTCGTTATTTTCTGGATCCGGGTGTTTATGGGTTTGATGTGCTCCTCCGACAATGATACTTCCATCCGGCCGCACAACGAAGTAATCCACTCCTTCTTGTGGATGAGGGCGCAAGGCGTATGAATAGGACAAATGAGGCGGCGTCTGACCCTCAGGAACATCAATGTGAACGGCAAGGCCGCGTGCCGGATAGATCGCACGCTCATATTCAGGCAGCAAGCCGAAAGTGTATGCATTAGTAGTGTACACAACCTTCTTCGCTTTAATAGTACCTCGAGGGGTATGAACAAGGTGACTGTCAGGCTCATAGTTTGTCACTGAATCAACTGGAGTATTGGTCTGTATATTCACTTTATCACAACCGTACTCGAGAACCTTGCTCAAGAGACCAAGTATAAATTTGTACGGCCAAATAGTTCCTGAGGTGTAGGAAAAAGCGACCTTTGCGCCTTTGACTCCAGATGTCTAATATCGTCTTTAGTTAAGGGTCATCTAAGTAAGGGGAAATCGGACTCACCGACTCGATATTCCTCTCTGGAAGGAACGATATATCGTCCAAAAATTGGCATCCTCGTGCCTTGAGATCTTCAATCACCTTTCTTACGCGATTTCCGCGATCCTCATCCAGATACACGTTCATATTGCGAGTCATTATCAGGTCGCAATCAATCTGCTCTTTTTCGATGACATCTTTGATTGCCTTGACGTGGGACAATTCGAATTCTGCCAATTCGGTGGCGCCCTCAAGACCATGACGCTGGATGTTGAGGGGTATTAAGCCGTAGATATCGGGTCTAAGATGACCGCCTAGATATTTCATTAATCAACTGCCGTGCTAAGACGTGAACAAAGCGGTTACCATTTCTTCCTGTTGCACCAGAGCAGATCGTTCTTGCCTCGAGTATGGTAATTGACGGGCGTGTTTTGCCATAGCTAGGTGATGTCAACAGATGATATGCAAGGCTGACGCCGGCGTAGCCACCGCCGATGATCACAATATCAGATTCATCAGGAAGATCTGGTGTTGACCGATGTTCGTCGAGCGCAGAGCGATCTGTGAGCCAGAATGGAAGGGTGGGATTTTCCACGGGTAGAAATGGTGTCTGTGTAGACATGTTGGCGGCTATCTGATTATCGTGAATTCTGACTTCGTGTCGCGGGAGAAACCAGAAGCTTTATAGACGCGGCGATAATGGCGTTGCCTGTTCTACGCCAATACCTGACTTATCATATGTTGGTTTCCAACGAGTCTAACAGCCGATTGACTCATCGACAAGAATGGTGTTACCTGATAGCTCCTCACTATGCCGACGTTATATGTGGGTGAAATCCGAATTCCGGGAAGCATTCCGAGAGCTCTCATCCAGTTATCATCTCCGACTCATAACTGCGCGTGCCATGTGCTCGGTGCGTCTATTTTGGCGCCATCTATTCGCAGTTTCATGCATTAGCAAGCATGCACCAGCTCATCACTCGCATTCAAGATGTATCTGATGTGTTTTCTTGCTGTCGCATTATCGATTACGGACGACAGTAGCAACAATTGTGCGAGAGGGGTGGCTGGAACGACCGGGAGTGGGATAGTAAGGGGGATGGATATATCGATTATCAGTATTGATTCTCAGAGCAATAATATCAAACAATATCAAATAATACAAGATCAAAAAGGCATGGTAAGCTGCGGCTGGGTGCTGGCAGGAGCTCTGTTTGGTCGGACTCGGCCCGTGCCGACCGGGGAAGCAGCGAGGTAGCCACAGCTTCCTTGACACAGTACTTGATTATGCTGATCGCAACTCAGCTTGCATCTCTAAAGTGGCAAAAGTAACAGCCTCGTTTTTGAATCGCTCCTAGGAAGCCTTCCGATTGGGCGTGTAGCGGCAGACGCCTTACATGGGCCAGTCGTGTGGTGCCACATCGGTGGCTGGGAGAGCTGGCTGTATAGAATCGCCTCGCCTCGCCAGCCTCCCACTTGCACCCAACCTCCCCGCGATGCTGGCCATTTTAACGGCAATGGCGTCCGCCAGAGGCACAAAATTCCTCGTCATGTCTCCTGCATTCCTAGCGCCGTCATCGCATGCAGTTTATGTGTATTTTTATGATTTTTCACGACCGTCATGATCCCCGAGCTGTCTCATCTGAAGGCCGTCAACTGTAAGTGTCCTGACTGCTGTGACATTCAAACGACCGCCAATTGACCGCCTTCGTATCATAGCAAGCAAGCCTCAGCTGTCTCATCAAGAGTCCAAGCTGTCTGTTGCCGCCTCTGACGATTACTTTTCTGTTTCCTCCGGCCAATCCTCGACCAAAAGCTCCAATAGCAAAGTGACCGTTATCCATTATGCAACCCCGCAGTCGCATCTGCCTTCACATTCCTCGTCAGCACAGCATTCTCAGGCAGATTTAACTCAATCAAAATCTGCCGAAAAGATGAAAGATCACTCTGCAGCTGCGGCTGCACCATCTCCCGCACAGTCCACCCGGCCAACCAGCCGTCCTGTAACTTCGAATACTGTTCGTTTTGGCGAGACCCGCGTCAACGAAATAAGCCCCCGTCGCCAACAAATCCAAGACCCCCGGCAACACATCAGTGGAACAACCCCTGGTGTCGATGATACCCCATATCTTAGATTTGCTATAGACCAATTGACTCGCGATGAAGAAGTCAAGGGTGTAGCAAGACAAGCATCTGTCACAAGCACCGAGTACCCAGTTGAGCGTGTGATTGGAGACGAGAATCTAGGATACTATCACCGCACAGGCCCAACTACAGTCGAGATCCGCAAAACAACAAGCCGCCAAAGTGAGACACTTAAAAAACAGCAGCAATCGAAAGCTGTATTTGTGGCAGTCGACCCTGAAACCAATGATATTTTAAATCCACCGCTAGACTTTGTGCCTCTAGTCATCAGAACATGGGCTCTTGCCATCTTCATTTTTCTGGTTTTGTGGCTGATTGCGGGTTTGATTTTCTGTAACATTTGGTCACAACGGCATGACGGCATCTGGAATTGGGAAGGAGTAGGTGGTTCGCGTTATTTTGTGGTCCAATATCTCCCCCAGCTGCTAGCTGGTCTTATCGTGCTCTGGAATTTGGTAATTCAAGCCGCCATATACCGAATTATGCCATTTTCCATTATGGCGTCAGAACGACAAAAGACGGGGGCGTTACAGAATCTGTCGATCCTGTCGCAGAATCACCTCGTCCCCGACTTTACTTATTTCCGATATGGCGAGCCCCTGGTCGCTGTAGGATTGCTGACAATCTGGTTGTCGAATTTCTTCTGCATGCCGCTCATCAGCTGCCTATTCCAAGCCAAGTACTACGTTGACGATGGCCAAGGCGTCTGGCGATGGACAACAACACAGTCGGTCGGTTGGGTTCTGGTCGCTGTATATGGTTTGTTGGTATTGGGTCTTGTCTTGGTCATGTCACGATTCGTTAGAAGCTGGACCGGCCTTCTTTGGGATCCAGTCAGCCTGGCAGATCTCATTCCGTCAATCCAGCGATCCAACATCTTACGAGATTTCGAAGGCTCCGAGACTGCGCCATCGGTACGGGACATGCTCACTCCGCGAGTATTACGCCTCGGCTACTGGCGTCTCATGGACAAGGAGAACGTTTTCTACGGCATCGGCGAAGAGTACGCTGCTGGGGAAAGGCCAGCACCTGTATCACCTAAAAGAGGTGAGAAGCGGGCAATTGATACATACACAGTCTTGGAAGATCTCGAACAACAAAGCATACTGCGGAACGAGTCATTCGAGCGAACTCTCCATTCGCCATTTGCTCGCTTCCGTTGGACTGTCTGGTTTCTGCGAGACATTTCCATCCTTATCTGGATCGCCATTGTCTTTGCCCTGTTTATCGCTTTCGTCGTTGTGAGCTTCGTCAAGGAAGCTATTCCCCGTGGATTTCTGCCTTTAGTTCCAACCCTGGCATCAGTAAATGGATTTTCCGCATCCAACTTCTTGTTCAGTTTTATTCCCGGTCTCATTGGAAATATCCTCTTTCTTGCTTGGCAACCAATCGACGTGTACATGCGAGCTCTGCAGCCTTTTGCCTCTTTGTCAACGCCCGAAGGTGCCTGGGCCGAAAGGAGTCTTCTTCTAGCGTACCCTGCTTGCCTCCCCTTCCAAGTGACTTTCCTAGCTTTGGTGTCCAAACACTACAAAGTAGCCTTTATCTCTCTGATAAGTCTACTCTCTCTCGCCCTCCCAATCCTTGGCGGCGGCGTCTTCATTGCGCTATGGTATCCTTCCCAAAACCAGGTCCGCATCGCCTCCGATCTCCCAGCATTCTATACACTAGTGGCTTTCTGCGCTCTCTATGCGCTGTCATACCTCGCCATCTGGCCCCGTCGTCATCGTTACCTACCACACAATATCAACACGTTGGCAGATCTGATTAGCTTCTTCCACCAAAGCCCACTTCTATCAGACCCTGTACTACGCGAACCCCGGACAAAGGCGGATCTTGTTACGCGACTAGTTGTCACTCCACCAAAAGAGCGCGCCACACCGCATTACGGCTTTGGTGTTTACCGGGGACTTGACCAAAAGGATCACCTAGGCATTGATCGTATGACTAGGCCTGGCAGGGCAGACATGCTCATCGCGACTGGGGGTCTGAAAGGCTGACCATGAAGCGATATTCTCGACCTTTACGAAGACCAGGTCAAGTGTATTCTATGAAAATTGCATTTAATGAGCGGGTTGATTTTGGCATTTTGGAGTTGAGAGCAGCAATATAGAGAGGGTTTTCATTTTGGTTTTATGTCTCTTTTATGATTTTATGGGACTCATGAGAATATGAGCTTAGTGATGATTTGTCTATAGTTTACCTTCCAAGGGGGCTAGTTCGACGAAAGACTTAATGAAAATAATTCCTGCATATACTGAAGCATTTCTAGAGTTACGCGATTTGAGTAAACGCTGGTTCATAGCACGGCAAGAACGTAGCTAGCGCATCTCCTTCTTGACAAACACTCTACCTACTATCCTCTTGCGCCACGCATCGGACTATCCTATGCTGTCTATCACCAGAAGTCCCTTTTCCCCAACAATCCTACTGTTTAGATAACTTACCACCATCCAGATTCAAGCCCCTCAAAGCATCATCATCAATGGCCACTCTAATAGCGCCTCCCTCATCACCGCAGACCTCTCACATAGAGCTCACAGTGTACCAGCTCCTGCTCTTCTCGCCTATATCGAGTACTATCTCTAATCCATCTGCCCATAGGACTCCTTATACTATTGATCCCTCTGAAGACCTCCTTCTCTCTTTTGAAGGCATTTCGTATTTTCCCCGCCAGCGAACCCCAAAATCTCGCACGCCATCGTCCGGTACACTATCCCCTGTCCTCTCAATAATAAAAGAAGAACCTCTAATGCGAAACCATACCATTTCACAGCGAGAAAGTCGAGAGCAAAATATCGATATTCTGGTGTGAAGAAACGTGAGCTATCAGAGAACGTGCTTAATAACACTCCAATCTGGGTTTTGTAAGTTGTAACGTTTCACCTTGTTTTCAATGTTCTTGATCAAACTTGCATTAATACATATATTTTTAGCTGGTTCGCAGTTTTCGATTTCCTACGTATGGATGGATTCCCAGAGCATGGCGTTTCCATCAGCATAGTTGTTTATACGTGGCTGATGCTGTACGTGATGATTTCCTACTAGTGTAGGATTGTCAGTTTTACTGAAAAACAAAAAATGTGATGCATTGAAATGCATGGGTAAGGTTGCACGTGACCTCACCACCAAACGGAAATGCAAATGTGGAGCTTCAGTTTTGCCCGCCGTTTTGTCCGTGTCTCCAATGAATTCCTCGTGCATCTTGCGATCAGGTTGTCTCAAGTATCGCTCATCTTGAACAACATAATTTATACAATAAAAAAGAAGAAAGAAAAAGAAAAGCAGAATGTCGTGGCTGCTGAAAAGATGGTTCTTTCCAGAAGAACAAAACTCTTCTGCCTCCGCGACACAATCAACAAACACATCCATTCCCCAATCATCCCAATCACAATCACAGCTACAACAAGAAACACCACCTAGCCTCCTCCAAAACAACCAAAAACTCCTCATTGGCGGGCTCCTCTTCTTCTCTCTTTCGACCTTCATTACGCGCCGCTCTCTACTCCGCAAACACCGCAACGCCATTCCGCCCTACTACACCTCATCAGTCTACCACAAGCCCGAAATCAACAATACATTGGAAGCATTCGAGGCACTCAACATCGCCACTATAAATGTCTTCTCCATCGCCATGGCGGCCCTAGGTGGCGCTATGTGCGCATTCGATGTTAATACAATGACGGAAGCGCGGACGAAACTGCGGGCTGGTATGGGCATTGCGCATGGCGTGCCGCCGACAGAGGAAGAGGAGAGGCAGTTTGAGGATGAGATGGAGGAGATTCTGTCTAAGGTGCTGGCGAAAAAGGATATTGCGGAGATTAGGAAGAAGGTTGAGGCGGCGAGGGCTGAAGGGAGCGCGAAAAAAGAGTGATTCGTTCAGCAGTGTTTTCATATGCATAATATTGGCATAAGGGATGGATAGGCGTTTGAGGAATTACTGGACATGGATTAATCACCACTCTCGGTTAAAGGAGTGGACTATGGGGAGTATATAAATGGGTCTTCGGCCTACTGTAATTATACGCTGCAACGGACAGATATTAAGCGGACAAAGCATCATAGCATAAGAGTTGATATCAAAGTCAGTATTGAATATGATGAAGTGTACATGACAGAATGTGTAAATAATGCATCAAGACAACCGTTCGTACCGCTCTCTGGCACGGTCTTTTGTCTTCTCTAGGAACTCGTCATACCGGCCGCGCGTATTCCTGGCCGCTTCTTCAGACGCATCGCCAAGTTTGCCGCCCTGAGCACCAAGTCCGACGCCCTGCGCATAGACGTCTGTGGCAATCGGCGCAGTCATGCCAGTGCCTTGCACGCCAAGCCCAGATCCTTCAGACCAGCCCATCTTGCTCAGAAGAGCAGCACCTTTAGACGGAGCCGCCGGTTCTGGTTCGGGCTCTTCTTCCTTTGTAGGAGCAGAAGGCTTGGGTTTCCCAGATTGCCTCGAGCTACCGAATGCCTGACGTCGTTCCTTGGCTCGATCGCGGTATTCTGCAGTAGGTGGGTCGTTTCGGTGCTTCTCTAGCTTAGCTAATGCTTTAGCCTTCAATTCTTCATTTTGCAAATTGTCGCGGTGTAGTTGGCTCAGTCGCTCGTGTTGGTTAACTTCTGCCCCCGACTTGAACTGGCGCATACACAGATAGCAACAGTTTCGATTTGGATCAGCGTATGATCGAGCTGGTGGCGCAGTAGATGCTAGAGGCGGGGTTCCTTCTGACTCCTTGATTGATTCGGGATTCTCATCGCCATCCTTTTTCTGAATACCGTGTAACTCCGCGTGTCGATCTGACCAAAATTGAAGATGCGATGGCATTGCCATTTTCTTTGTTGCTGCCAAACTCGAAGCTTCTGCCTTTCTCTTTTTCACTTTCTCAGCATCCTTGGCAGCTTTAGAATCCGTCTTTGGCTTATCTAGCTCTTCAGTTGACACGACCAATTCAGTCACATAGCCATCCTCATCCCAATATGCAAGCTTCATGCCTGGGTTGCTCAAGGGACTGAAAGTAAATCGCGCCGTGCTGGGTGTTGGGTTGAGAACCGGGACGAATACGCCAGCGTGAATGTAACTCGCTAGAACCGACTTTGAAGCGATTGTGAACTTTTCAAATGAATTGAGTTTTGTCAATGCAGCTTGCGCATCCTAATTCACTTAGCAAAGTCCAGGGTCCAAGTCTGTTGATGGACAAACTTACGTCAACTGTTGCAAACTCTGCGAATCCAAATTTCCAACTTTCGTTACTACGGCGGTCGCGGACAAGTAAAACACGTCGTAAAGACCCTTCTCTAGCACCAAGATTGGAATCTCCCGTAGTTGAAGCAACCTTTGCTTTCTTCGCGCTGCTTTGTGCATTATCCTCGCTATTTTGAAGTTTGTAGAGCTTAGTGACACCCTTTGCGAATAGTTCTTCGGTGACGGAGCCGTCCAGGCCTCTAAAAAGCAAAAATTGCGAGGGCGTATTATCCTGAGCCACGTCATTGTCACCAATATTTACAACAGGAGCAGGCATTTCTTCCGGGGGTAATTCAGCGTCTAGGTTCATTAGCATATTACTTGTAGGGATTCCGTATATACTGACCCGCACGATCTGCCTGGCAGCGAAAACACTTTTGCCGGGTTGCAAAGTTGTCAAAGGAGCACTGTGGGTTGTTAGTCCAGCTCTCACACGCCCAGAAAATAACCAACATTTCGACAAGTCCATTCACCTTCTGGACGATTCCGACGATCGTCCCGTTCACGAGTGTACGATATGCGAATTTTCGCAGCACGATCATCGTTTCCAGTATGCCGTCCGTAGATATAAAGCGTAGGCGCATTCTGAGCCATAAACTCGCGAGAGTCATTTAGGCTTTTAAACCGGAGGAAGCCTATTTGACGTGATAATTCTGAACCAAGTCAGTTAACCTGTCGATTGTACACCCGTATACAAATACTCACTGGTTTGTCTATCGCGAATAACACGGACGTCTTCCAGACCTTGAACGTGATAATAGTCTAGCAATTCATTCGAGATCTGTCCACGCATACACCGGGCGCAGACGCACCCGGCGATAGCACATCTCAGCTTCATGTCTTCAAAATGATAATCGCGGAATGCTTAGCGAGCTAGCAAGACTGAAAGGGAGGATTGTCGAACGTCTTCTTCAACCATTTCCACCGGCAGACCTTCCATTATGACTTCTCGACTTTCTTGGCTGTGATGGTGATGATTGTGCCGGCCGCGGCTGCGACTTCTACTGCGGCTGTCATATTCTGGAGAACGGTATCCTTCACGGTCACGATCTCGGTAGCCCTGTCGACCTCGTCGTGGCGGTGACCGGCGATAGTCGTCGCGATGCCTGTAGTCTCGGTCTCGGTCTCCAGAATAGTCGTGTCTCCTGTCAGCGGCTGGTCCTCGGGGAGCAGCATTTCGGGAATGGTCTTTTTGGTGATGAGATCAAGAAATTAGCACAAGCTCAGATACACGTTATAACAGCTGCCTATTCAACTGGCTGTGTTGAATCACGATGGATACCATGTAGGGAGGAGCGTGTACCGCCGTATTGTTTGCGCTCGACGGAGCGAGATCTCGAGCGGCGGTCGTCATACATTCGCCCGTCTCGGTCGTCGTGGCCCCGGTAAGAACCAGGGGGGAATCTGTTATCGTGTGACATGGTGGGCTGGATAGGTTTATGCCATGGATAGAGCAAATATTAAATGTGTATGATTCTTGTTCTTGAACTTGAGTAGTTGCGGAAGCCTAAACTGCCCAAGCCAAGGCGCTAGTCTGAAAGCGGTAGTCCCTACTCATAGGTACAATTATCTTAAAAATAAACCTATAAGACTCTAAATATTCTAAAAGTGTATATTAAGAACTTTTATTACTTATCAAATTTCACCGGTCTTCCCAAATTCTGATGGAAGAATTGAACTGTTACTATAACCTAGCTGATATACTAACTAGTCAAATGTATATGCTTTCCGGTCTGATTGTAGTAAAAATTATGGAAGTTCCTAAGTATATGATGTTGTTGGGTTTTCTGTAGAATATTCATAATTCATGTATGCTAGGCTTAGATTAATAAGCCCTCTCATGACTAAGCCTCATCACATAGGATGGAATTCCAGAAACGCCACATTACGGTGTAGAGTCGTTGAGAGGCGTGGTGAGAAAGACGTCTTCAAAAAGAGAGGTGAACGGAAATGCGGAATTAATAACGGCTGAATTTTCATCATGTAGAAACCGCTCATACATCCAAGCGCCTGCTTCTGCGGTATGGACAACATCCTCACTGCAACACCCAGTGTCGTCTATTCGTTGAATCGGTTGAGAACACACCGATTCACTCTTCTCGCATTCCGAAAAGGACAAGCCGGACTGTCGTCTGAATATTGATGTGAAAAAAGGGTAAACAGAAGCAATGATCGGCCATGAGGCTTGTAGGTCCTTGAGAATGAGCAGGCAAAAACGCGCTCGATGCTCGGAACTAGATCTGACTTGCGGGTCACCCCTGCTGATGTTCGCGATATGGAAACAGAGTGACGACATTACGGCGGGTAGTCTAAATAGAAACAATTCAGCGATTTTCGTTGTCTCGGAACTGGAGCAAACATACACGTGACCAGCAACAGAAAACAAGGTACCGCTCGTCACCAAGTCTTCGAGCATGCGGAACAACCTTGTGCATATTTCAAATATGGGAGAACCTGGGCCCATGTTCTGTGCAGCGTCTGGCATCTTTCGACAGAAAAGAAGTTGATACTGACTGTTGGAACGGTTAGTAAATATAAAACCCAACCACAAATATTGAAGGAATTGAGAAGCAGACGTACTCATAGGTCAGTTGAGTCAATATAGCCCACACACTTCTACTCGAAGACGAGAATCGCAGTTCGGACGGAAGCAACAAAGACCAAGACGAGATTCTTTCAAGAAAATTGTTCGGTGAGGGGGTAGTTCCCTCGTACGCCTGGAAAGGATGGCGAATATTCACTGTAGACTCTTTTTAGCAACACGATGCAGGGTAGCTGAGAAGACTTTAGCGGGGTTGTACCTGTTCTAGCAAGTTGGACATAATGTATCACGAAAAGCACTTGCTCGTTGACTGTTCCCCCAAAGGAATCATGGAAATTGAGGGCTGGGGATTCTTCGAAATCATCCTCTGTGAGTATAGATATTTCACAGAAGTCATCACGTACGTGGGGTACTCTATCGAGACCCATGGACAAGTTAATGTCCGCGGCCTATGAATTTCGTTAGAATTTAGCAGCAGGAATTCATATATAGATATACACAGACATAGACTATCCACCATAGCCTTCGCCACAGCCTGCGATGACTCAATTGAAGGTGAGAATACGATTTCCTGGTAACGATTAGCCCATCTTCGGCCACTTTTCACGGGTCTGACATTATATTTACTCACAGTCGATGCATACCTAGCGCCTGCGCCATCCCTGTTGTTACACCCAGCCAATACCACGGATCTTTCTGTTCGAGGGGGTCGCTCCACCAATGGGCAAGAAGAAAAGTTCCTTGTATTACCGCGATTGCATCGGTTTCATACCCAGCATCATAAATGTCCTTGGCTCGATGATAGAACGTGAGACTAGCAATAAAGCGGGATACAAAACCAGCTTCGTAAATGATAGAATCAGGGCAGTAAATAGTGGCAACCATGTATATCGCATTCAACAACAAATGTGACACAGTGCCTGTTTCAATACTTTTCATGAAATCGGATCGCTCGATAATCGGCAGTGAAGGAAAGGGATGTTGGAAAAAGACGTTCAGTAGAGCAGAGCTTATTTCTTTCGGTGGCAGATCGAAAGCTCCTTCGTTCTTGAGCCGCCCAACAGTGAAGCTTCGACGGCCCTCGATATATTGTATTGTCGGTTGATCAAGCCGCTCTAACATGGCTCTATGAAGGTATTCCTCGATAGACGGGGCATCCGTGGTGTTTTGATAAGGGAGGCCAAACTCTCGAATAAGATAATTGATGTTAGAGGAGTCGGCCACATAGGGAGTTTTGCCACAGGACCGGAGAGCTGGTAGAGGCGATGTTAAGCTTGATTCAGTATCAGTCAGCCTGGTACGAAGCTTTTCATGGCCTTCTTGCCGACTGCCAACGAACCCAGTGAATCTGGAGTGGGTTGGGCCTGAAGCTCTAATGGTTGACGAGCCTCTTAAGTTGGGCGATACAGATTGTGTTGAAGTTGTGAGCACATCAGCAACCGGCAATTTTCGGTGTCTACAATTGAGGTTCAGTTCAATTGTCTCCCATTGGGAGCGAGCGCATACCGTCCACGGCGGGAGAGTATGGGTTCACAGTTGCTTCGGGCAACCCGACACTGCGAACACGGCACGCCTTCGCTTCGGTCGCACTTGACTCTTCGCTGGTGACATCGCCAACAAGCGACTTTAGTAGGAGCATTTCGCGGCATGTCGGTACGAACACATTCAGACAGGTAGCGTCAAATGTTCATAGCCGCAAGAGAAGGTGTGGTCAGTCGTGAAGGTTTCATTATCCTAAAGAGGCATATTCTCCACGTAGTCGCCGAGTTTAATCACTCTTTATTGGTTGATATACCGGCCCCACCAAGTCGCCGAATTGAACTTTCTCTGATTGGTTCAGATTGCCTACCTTTGGATGTATATAATTGTATTAACTAGACATGACCCTTCCTTCATCCTTCTGCTGCCTCTTCAAATGTTGAGTTCTGTAAAGCCAAAAATATGTCTGCCAATTCCAAGTTCCTGACACAAGTCAGGCCATCTGCTCTAGTATCATGTCGGCCATCGCTGTCGTCGCTGGCACCTACTTTCCCTTCGACGACCTCCCGCAGAACCAAGTTGACCAACACGGGGCCAGAAGCAGCACAGAGGCATTCACCAGACAAGATTACTGGAGGCTTGCGTGAGCGACAAAAGTTTCCGGCCAATTCCCCGGCATGGGAAAGCGAGAAGTCAGGAGCGGTTGGCTATATGCTGTATGTCTTGTCTGCCGAGCCTCTGCTTAGAAATTGACGCTCATTTTTCTCTCACAAAGTACAAAATCCGACCAGCTTGTCAACTGGGCGAGAGAAGGGTCTCTTTGGCCATTGACCTTCGCATTAGCCTGCTGTGGCGTCGAAATGATGGGAGCATCGATGCCTAGATACGACCAGGACCGATTAGGGATCATCTTCCGCGCCTCACCACGTCAGTCCGATGTTATGCTGGTTGCTGGCACAGTATGCAACAAGATGGCACCCGCATTAAGGCAGCTCTATGACCAAATGCCAGACCCAAAATGGGTTATAAGTATGGGAAGTTGCGCCAATGGAGGCGGATACTATCATTATAGCTATAGTGTTGTGCGCGGCGTGGATCGCATTGTTCCAGTTGATATCTATGTGCCGGGATGTCCACCCACTCCAGAGGCTCTGTTACAGGGCATCTTCCTGCTGCAAAAGAAAATGCGAAGGACCCCCGTGACCAGGATGTGGTACAGGAGATGAGGTAGCAGACATACTGAGGTTGTAAGACAGTTGGATAGACAACGTCTATATTTTATATTTTATTTAATTTTATTAGAATGAACCAAGAATGGAATAGATGTGCAGGCAGTGACGTCATATGGCGACTTGGGGCAAGCAGCTCGTCGCGTGGGGCATGTCCCATTGGTGCCAACTCACCAGTGACAGCTGGCTTGTTGACCTGGACAGCACATATGTTTACTGAACTCCTTCTTCTTTTCTGTAAATCCTTCAATTGCAATTCTCCTATCATTCGCACGTTGTCAATATGGCCGACGGAGTCAACAAGCATGTTCAAAAGTCTATTCATCGAGCTTGGTGGAAGGAAAGCTCAGTCTACCAGATCTGGCCGGCGTCGTTCAAGGACTCGAACAATGATGGGGTTGGTGATATTCCCGGAATAGTGTCGAAGTTGGATTACATCAAGAAGCTGGGTGTTGATATCGTCTGGCTGTCACCGTCCTACAAATCGCCGCAAGTAGACATGGGCTACGACATTTCAGATTATTACAGCATGCATCCGCCATACGGTACAGTCGAGGATGTCGAGCGTCTGATCGAAGGCTGTCACCAGAGAGGCATGAAATTGCTAATGGATCTGGTGGTCAATCATACGAGCGACCAGCATGAGTGGTTTCAGAAATCCAGAAGCTCCAAGGACAACGAATATCGCAAGTGGTATATCTGGAAGCCTGCCAAGTACGACGACAAAGGCAACAGGCTTCCTCCAAACAACTGGATATCTCACTTTCAGGGTGTGTAGTTTGGGGCTTTAATTGTGGAGGGGTCTCCCGCTAACATGAACCAGGTAGCGCATGGAAATACGACGAACTCACAGATGAGTACTACCTACATCTGTACGCTGAAGGACAACCAGATCTCAACTGGGAACACCCTCCAGTTCGTCAAGCTGTTCATGATATCATGCGATTTTGGCTCAATAAGGGATGTGATGGATTCCGCATGGACGTTATCAATTTCATTTCCAAAGACCAAAAGTTCCCCGACGCACCGGTGAAGGATTTAACTCAGGTATGGCAGTGGGGTGATTGTCATTATGCCAATGGGCCTCGACTGCACGAGTATCTCCAGGGACTGGGTCAAATTCTTAAGGAGTATGACGCATTCAGCGTTGGCGAGATGCCGTTCGTGAGAGACCTCGAAGAGGTTATAAAGGCTGTCCAGTACGATAGACGCGAATTGCAGATGATCTTCCAGTTCGAACATGTTGATATTGACCACGGCAAGTTTGACAAATTTGTTGAGGGCCAGTGGAAGCTACCCGAGCTCAAGAGAATGTTTGGCCACTGGCAAAAGTTCATGTACGAAAATGATGGATGGAACGCTCTGTATTGGGAGAACCACGACCAACCACGCTCAATCGACCGGTACACCCACGCTAAACCTGAGGATTCAGCCAAATCCGGGAAGATGCTGGCGACCTGTCTTGCTTTGATGTCTGGCACTCCGTTTATCTACCAGGGACAGGAAATCGGCATGCGCAATGTGCCTAAGGAATGGCCGATGGAGGAATACCAGGACATTGATTGTGTCAACCACTGGAAGGGGTAAGTACTTTTAAACCAGCAAGAATTCGACCCAACAACTAACACTACCAAAAGCCATCTCGCACTTACACCCAACGATACTGCGGCACTGGATGAGTACCGCCGGCAATATCAGAAAAAGTCCCGCGATAACGCTCGAACACCAGTGCAATGGAGCTCTGAGCCCAACGCCGGTTTCACAGCAGCAGAAGTCAAGCCCTGGATGAGGGTCAACACGAACTACAAGGAGATCAACGCCGAGTCGCAAGTTTCCGATCCCAATTCAGTGTTCAGTTACTGGAGGTCCGTGCTCGGTTTGCGCAAGAAATACCTGGATATTTTCGTGTACGGCGACTTTGTGATGCTGGACAAGGATAGTGAGGAAGTGTTTGCGTATAGCAGACAGTACGAGAACAAACAGGCCGTGGTTCTTTGTAACTTCACAGACCGAACGATCCAGTGGGATCCTGCTGCGAATGCGGTTGGCCAGATACAAGACATATTGCTTAACAATTACGGAGTGCGTGAGAAATACCAAGGCGAGACATGGTCACTGCGACCGTATGAGGCGACAGTGTTGCTAGTGACTCCAACAAAATAGATCTACTAATGTTCGTAGATGGTTGTGCTTCCTTATAGAGGATATACTAAATTGGTGTTGATATTCAATCCATCTTGTCCGTTGATGATTTGTTCCGCTTGTTCAAAGGAAGCTGTTATCACTCAGGCGTCTCACAGCACAAAAACGTTCTTTATGATATCGATTATTTAATCCAGCAAATGAACCTAGAACGGTGAGGGTCGTGAGACTTGAGGTATCGATACGGACTTATATGACTAGTAATTCTAGAGATAGCATGTTATGTTATTGAGAGAAATTCGTACAATTCATAGACGCAACAAGTTGAATATGATCAATCCACATTTTAGCCATCAATCGAGCGCCACCAAATAATAATCGCATTGCCATTATTACCAGCGGAATGACTCAGGGAAAAAATCGATCTCGTCGAATCCATTTACCATAGAGCAAACCACCCCAGCTCGCGCGTCGTCCATCATAGACCCGGGCCCACAGCATATCACTGCCATTTTCTGCTCGTTGACATGCGATTCCTCTGCGCGCTCCTGAACAAGTCTCTGAACCGCCGGACGCCCTCGAGATAGTGTGATTTTAGGCGTAGAACCAGTGTCACACTGGGTATCAGAACTTGACATAGTCTTTCCTGTATCGTCCATGCACCCGTCACTTATAATTTTGCTCGAGAATCTGTTCATTTTTGTATCCCTGTCTGTCGCGGACAATGGTGTGGTACTTCCATCCTCGACCACATAGATGTGGATTTCAAGTCCTATGTCCCCTGAAAATACCCGCGAAGACCACAGCGGCAACAATTCATTCTCATAGATATCTTCAAACATGTAGCTATCACGCACCACCCAATCCAGTTGAACACGGCGGATTGAAAAAGCAGGATTCTTGTTGGCAGCGGCAATATCACGGATCATACAAAGATGCGATAAAGCAACAGTGACTCCAGTGCCTCCTACTACCATGAGGACGTTTTGGTAGTGGGAAAGCCCAAAGGTATGACCGTAGGGTCCTTCTACAGCCATACGAATCGATACCTGCGATGTTCCCGATTCATTATAGCTGCATGACTTTTGAGATACATGATCTCGGAGTCGAGCCGTGAAACCATCTTGCGGACGCACGAGAAACGAGAGTTCCAAGGCAGCCTGTTTTGTGTTTTGGGCTCCTACCTCGCTCCACGACATCAGGGTAAATGGGTGGCTTTCCCAAAATTTCAATCCATTGAGGGAATATAGAAAATAATATGATCCGGCGCGAGGACGTGAAATTCCACGCACTGGAACTGTCAGATGGATGATATCAGCGTCTTTGTTATATCTGATGGTGGCTTGGAGCTTGGAGAGATTTAAAAGCCCAAGACGACATAGGCGCAGGACCCGGTCTAGCACCCAAACTGCCACACAAGGCCATATATACGGGTTATATTGACCGTCGAAAATGGCAACGTGGCTGTAGATAGGCATAATTAGGGTTTGAATCGCAGTATTAATAGTAGCATCTATGATAAACGTACTACCATAGGGTCCCAATACAGAGCACAGCGAATGCCAGATGGAGCAAGAGAAATAATTCGTATTTATACCGCCTCATTGGATAAATGCTGAAGATACACAGGAAGCTCATCGAAATAACAGCCTTTGAAGTATTGTCAGCGTAGATGCAGATATACTTACGCGGGTATATTATAACACTCACAATAACCCCCATTCGCCAATACTGTTCTGACCAATTTTCGATGTATTCAGCTTTGCCTCCATCTACAAAAGATGTTTTCAGCTTCGTGAAATTTGAAATGGACGATGAGACAGGAAAAGACCTACCCAAAAATCCTTCGACCGTGTAGCTGATGCCATGCAGAGCTGCCTCAACAGTTGCAATCCGCGCCACCCACCGGTGAAATGAGTTGAATGTGGAAAAGCTCCATCCAGTTAACCATATAAGAACGTTATTTCTCATGCCAAAAGTCCATATGAGGGGGATGTTTGCAATAGCGAGAAGAGCAGTTCGGTCCGCGAGATACCGCCAGAGTTGAGTTCTGGTGTTTGGCCAACTAGTCTCATGAATTACTTGAATATAAGCGACGATATGTAGAAGCGAACTTACTAAAGGTTCTTCTCGAACAGTCTATAATTCACACAACACAGCACGATGTTTATGATAGCAAAGGCTACGAGGGTCAGAGACTGCAGGCGCGGGGGAATTATACCCCAAGGGGTTGGTGCAGCTGTTCGATGCCTAAATAATGCAGGGACAGATACATTTGTTCTGTAGGTCCTCTGAAGACGGCGCCAGAGAGATGAAGATTGGCCTATCGATGGGTTTAATTTCAGACGACGGCTCACGAAGTGAGAGACTCTATAGACGAAGGATATTGCAAAGACAGCAGCGAAGAAACCGTAAAGAGCGTGACTAGAAAGCTTTATTAGAACAGCGGATCATGCAGTGTCAATCCTTTCTGTACCCATATCTTTCACGTGTTTGAATCGAGTCATCCCAATCCACCTACATAAGAATGTGTAAGGATCAATGTCATTCCGTCAGAAATAGAAACACCAATGTGCCGCCTTACCATTGTTTGGTATGATAATGCAAATAAATCTTGAGCAATAAAAATGGGGGTTGAATATATGGTGATAGACCCCAGGTCATCATAGCTAATATGAGGCCAAGCCACATATTGCTCATCAGAGATGTTGCTAATTAATGACCATGGTGAAAGCGAGACAGCTCCATATTGTCGGCACGTCTCGTTGAGATCATTGAGACCGTTGGCTATTTCGTCATCTGTACATCTATAACGCATACATAAGAATGTTGACTGGACAGAAAGTCTATCAGTACACTGCTTTTCATAATACGTGGAAGTCGCATCACTTGAGCTGAACGTTATTCGGGAAATGGGATATTGACAAGCTGTTGAACAGTGATCCGTAGCGCTCAGCACGGTTTTAATGATCGAGAATAGTGTATACGTGTGGATAATGCGTGACAACATTTCCAAATAAATGTCCGGCACTAGGACGAAAGATGGTAGTCACTTCAAACGTTGGCAGTATCATTGTCAGAAATATTGGCACGGAGCTTGGCCTAAATATTTATATCTATCAATTAAACAGATTGGTCCTGTTCCTTTGAAAAAATTTTTAATCCCTCTCTCAATTTCACTTAAAACCGACATCGGCTTCTTAGAATGCCCCCATTTATGACTATTTTCATTACGAGAATAGTCATTCTTCAGGGAGATAGTAGTTAAATAATACTAGCTTCATATTGTCATGTGCTAACAACATCTGATGGCTCGGGATTTGCGACTCCTAGCGGAAGAAAACGGTTCACGAGCCTCATTTTTTGGGGGGATTATCTCCGTCCACCCGCCCCGTTAAGTCACAGTACATACATTCAGTAACTTGACAAATGGATTCAAATACAGTATACGTTCGACCTAGTCTAAGTATTTTGGGAGGAATATGACCTTCCAAAGGAAGTAGGGTGGATGATTGAACAGCAGAGCAGAATTTCAATTCAAATGTTGATGTGTGAGCCACACAAATATAGAGTTCATTTAGCGAGGACATGATGCAACTCAAGGGCCAGAATGGTCTCATCTGAATGTTACCAGCCAATCATCCAAGAAGCGGCAGCAAGAAAATGAGTACTTCTCGTGTCAGGTGGGTCGCTATGCCAATCGCGTGGCCGAGAGCAAAATTTTGCTCGTTTAATTGAGCGATCAGCGTCAATTGATTGATAAGATTGATCAGATAACTCTAATCTACTGCACACTTGCCGGTCCCACCACCGCCACCAATGCTCTCTTCCAGTCAATCAAAAACAATGCCACTGCGCTAAGTGCTTTCTCTCTCTGGTACATCGTCCGGCGGCTCCTTTGGTTTCTTTTTTCTTCCATCGATCGTATGATCATTTTCCAAATATGGTCTTGAATTCTCCGGCCTCGGAGGAATACTATCCCACCCTTAGCCTGTAAGTTTGGAGCAATTTGTTTCTGCTGGTGGGTCTGCTTATTGGCACGCCAAATTATATACCCTCAAATGTGGAATAGCTATCTCAGAGTATTTACGCCCCGCTCTGCCAGGGAATTTTTGTCTCCAGGTAGGCATTGATTCATAAAAGCATAACTACAAAGAGGTCTTGATATCTTCATGATCTGTAGCTTTCTATATACTACCGGCCTGTCCAGCATTATATAGATTGGCATTGAAAAGATACTAGAAAGACTAGCCCATTTCTTTCTGTGCGTGTAGCAGTAATAGCGCCGCCCACTCAACCTGGCAGGCGGTCAACACAGTAAGCTAGCTAGAAAAGGGAAATACACGTGACTCGAAAACCTCGGGCGTGTCTTTTTCAGTTTGTTAGGACATTTGCAGTTGCACAGAAATGTCGGTTTGTATGGGGGTTGGGATTGATGCCTGAGGCGACCACACCAGACCCGTGAATAAAAGATCGTAGAGCGGGGGCTTATTCTACTATGCCATGTAATAATCCTGCATGACATTCGAGAGTTACCCACTTTATTGACAACGTTTGGAGCTATGGTGAGAATTACAACTGGCAATGTCTTATTTATCTAGTTTCTAGACACTCATCTGGTCGGTCCACAGCTTTTCTGAGGATGTGTTGACCACCGGCATAATTTCCCATCCTCGTAAGCCTAGCACGAGATATTCTTGCTACTGGTTCTGGTGTTAGACGACTACACAACTCGGGTCGTGACCTATGGCACTACCATCGAGTCTTTTAAAGCCTAAAACAATAAGGATCTTATGATGTTTAGCTTCGTAGCAGCTATAATGCCAGGGCCTTGTTTCCCAATAAAGCTCCTCGGTGGACATCTGGATAGAAGAATAATATTTTTTTTAAGTAAACGATACTTACTACGTTGAAAGAAGCTCATGTGTGCTGCCAACTGTAACTACCTAGTTCGGGCATACAGCGATCAATTAATCTCTTGCCTGCTGGCAATTGGTACGTTTATTCACGTAATCAATTGATGCTGGGTGATACAAACATTTCAACTAGTGACTGGTAGGAGCTCCGCTGCCAACATACCCCGTCTGTGGTGTCGCGTCACAGTAAGGGATAAATGAATGGGCTGAGATATCCGATTAGTGCAAGATGGGGGGCGCTGGTAATATAGTAAATCTGTGCTATCCTCTCATCGTGTACTCACTTATCTGTTTTGGCGATATATTTCTTCGCTATTTTATACTCTGGATTCCTGAAGAGTTATTCGTAATTCAGTCAGAATTCATTAGTGGTGTTGTAGTCAGATATATGCTTCTGTGATAAAGCCTTTTGCTCTTTATTTTTCATAATATTGGGTACTGGTGTACAAATATGTATCTATTATACTAGAAAATGTCCTGATATCTCTTAATTAGTAATGTCAGCAAGAGAGCTGTTCTCGATTATAATATTAGTCATAAGGTTATTACATATATATAAAAATGTATAAGTTGCAGCAAGTAGTGTGTTATTTGAAGTTGTATGGGTATAGTTTAGGAACTATTGTCCGTGCACAGGCCATGGTTCAATATTAATGCCGAGGCTTATAGACACCAAAAATATCCTGAAACTCCGAGCAACAGTCTTAACTCCTGTGACAGGTGGGTAACCCTGGTTGATCGGCGATAGTATCGGATCTCCTCAATCGTGGACATTTGGAGTTTCGATATTATTGTGATGGGCGATTCACCGGATGCCGAGAATGCCAGATTTCAGTCCCTGTTGAGTGTTGACCTGCGACACTTTACTCACCGGAGCTTGGAGTATCAAAGCTCAGTCCCATAATTAATATCCTTGACCAGAATACCATTGTTATTGATGCAGTAAGGCCCCTGTCAATCGTCTGGACATAATGAGGAAGTTGGGATGCTTGGCAGTGCCAGTGGAGACCATGACGCAATGGAACGACGTGGTTAAATTTGTCTCTTTGCTTTTGAGGACTCTTTCGAGTCCTCGGGTCACTGAACGACGCACAACGGGTCTTGGGTTGTGGAATTTTGGGGAAGAGCCCTCAGTAGTGTTGAATATCTCCAGCGATCGCCATGCCGATCGGTACAGCCACTGGCTGCCGGCGACGAGCGGCACAAAAGAAGTCCCTCGGAAGAGCTGGATGACGTCGCGAGCGCGCTGATTCACGGACTCCCAACCTGAAACACGCACCAAGTGGAGGCAGAGAGGCGCGATCCATCACTATTGTTTGTATCAGGCCTGTGGGCGCGTTAGTGAGGGCGCTAGAGCCCGTTAGCCTGTCAGGGGAGAAGCTCAGGAGTCGTAGTCAGAACCCTCGATGGTCCCTCGGCGTGTATTCGTGCAATAGCGGAGTACATGGTCCCTGTGGACGGTCTGTCATTGGAGTCTGGTTAGTGGTTAGCTAGGCCCGGATACTAATACTAAGCACGTAGTCAGTAATTAGTAGTCCTGTTGGGGCGGCTTGAGGCCATTTGTCGAGCGGTGACTGCAGGTACCAGCCACTGTCTGACGGTGAGGACACTGTGTGTAGTATATACTGCTGACTCGATGTAGTAGTTGAGAAGAGGACGAGAGGAGGATTGTGCAACGACAGGAGTCACATTTAGGAGTAGCAGGTAGTCACCAAGCACAGCAAGTTGGGTGGTGGAGCCATCCCGCGCCTGCCTTTTGTCGATCTGAGCAGGAGCACAACCCTATTGTCCGCCGTGCCGGGGAGCCCTTGCAAATTATTACAGTACATATTCTACTACATCTTCGACATATTCGACGTCTTTCTCATCTTTACATATTGCATCCTGCCTTCATTCCTGCTTCCCCCCCCCATCTGCAGTACCATCCGCCAACTCCCCCCGCCGCGCTGCTATGATTCATAGTGATCACACCGGTCGGAGTGCGTGCGCAACATACCGTCATCCTTGTGCGGCTATCTAGGGTCAACAAACCCCAATAATAATAAGAATCTGGCATTCGCATCACTCCACCGCCAGTCTCGACCGGCATTTGAAGAACAACAGACCATCAGGGCACCGCAAAAAGAACACACCACCCCCCGCTAATGCTCTAGTTGCTAGTCCCTACGTGTTCGTTCGCTTGCTTCGCTTTTCCTTCTTCTTCCCCCCTCTCCCTCCGATACCATTCTGTCGCCCTCGACCCCATGATTCCCCTTCGCCGAAAATCACGTCGATGGATCCCGTTCGCTGCACCGATTCTCGGCCTCTTGGTCGTGCTGCAACTGCTAAGGGGCCCGCAATGGCCCATGCTCGCGACGTCGAGGAGCAATGCCGGTAGCGCCAGCGACAGCATCAGGAGCAGCAACGCGGCCACCACCACCAAAACCCCTCTTCAAAAGCCTCTGCAGTTCCTGTGTCCGCCGCTCCCCGGGATCGAAGACGTCCTCGTTGTGCTCAAAACCGGCGTTACGGAGGCGCTCGACAAGGTGCCTGTCCATGCCAGAACGACATTCCGCTGCGTGCCAAACTATTTGGTCGTTTCGGACTTCGACGAAACCATCGAAGGGGTGCAGCTGCACGACGTCCTGACCAATGTGCAGCAGGACGTTAAATCGAATATTGAAGATTTCAATCTGTACAACCGACTAAAGATCTACGGGCGCCAAGGCCTGGTGGATGACGATGCCACGGAAGAGGAAAATGGCGTCTTTGGAATGCCCAACAACCCAGGATGGAAACTCGACAAATGGAAATTCCTGCCCATGATCGATGCGGCCCTTAATGCGAAGCCCGATGCGAAATGGTATGTCTTTATGGAAGCCGACACACACATTGTCTGGGCAAACTTGGTGGCCTGGCTGGCTCAGCTGGATTCGAAGGAGCCACATTATCTAGGCACCGAGACGCAGATTGGGGACGTCTTGTTCGCCCATGGCGGGTCTGGGTTTATTTTGTCGCAAAAAGCGATGCGATTGGCGTCCAAACAACGCCGCAAGCTTGTCAACGACTACGACGAGTATACCGACCAAGAATGGGCAGGTGACATGGTGCTGGGCAAGGTACTCCATGACGCCGGTGTGGATTTGACATTCACCTGGCCGCTATTACAAAACGCGCGCTTGGGAGAAATCGAGCCCCTTACAAACAGTTTCTACCGCCAACCGTGGTGTTGGCCTGTGGTCGGATTCCACCATCTCAGTCCGGAGGACGTGGAGGATATGTGGAAATTTGACCAAGACTGGTTCACCAAGGTTTGTCCCTAGTCTAAACATAAACATTAGACACGATAACTAATAAACGCACAGAGACATCACAAATACCTTCTTCACTCCGACATCTTCCGCGAACGTCTCCTCCCGCAAATGACAGCAGGCACCCATGAGAACTGGGACAACCTTGCCGGCGATCTTGTCGAAGATCAAGTCATCAACACCGTGGGCGAATGCCGCCAATTATGCGAGGAGGACGGGCTGTGTCGTCAATTCAGCTTCCGCATGGGCGAGGACCCAGACAATGAAGGGGAATTACGACCAGAATGCCGCACTTTTGAATCACCACGACTTGGTGTTGCGCGGGAAGGCACAACGTCCGGCTGGATGATGACCAGGATAGAGGTTATAACGAGGGCGCGAGGGTACTGCCAAGCGCCAGAGTGGGAGTAACCAGACCTTCTTTCGACTTTTTTTTTATATCAGCCTCGATGGCTTATTATCTATTGGAATGGTTTGTTGTTGGGATAGAACACTTGTATAATTACAGAAAGGCATAGCTACGGTGTTTTGGTGCTTTGGACTGGAGTTATCGGCGCCACTTATTAGGAACGGCTAATACTACCTACAATTAGGCTGGGTATATTCATTTCACCAATGAATACCGAATTAATTTTTTGAAAACATTCCTATGGAACCTTCTTTATCATAGACCGTAGATGTCCAAACCTCAAAAAATGCAATCTACTCATGATGAATCTACTTCAACATGCTCAATCCGCTGCGTATGCAACTGAACCAACTCCGGAATTATCAGACTCTCAATCTCCAACCCCCGTCCCTGCTCATCTCCCTCATCCCCATCCCCTTCCTGCCTCCCCTCCTGGCCGCCCCTCTCCTGACCATCCTGATGCTGGCCCTCTGCCAACCCAATCAGATTCTCCTCTCCCGAGATCGACTTACTCCTCCGCGTCTTGGGCACGCGAATCCAGCGCTCATGCGGCGGGTCGGGCGTGACAAACACCACCTCCCACTTCCGCGTCGACAGCAGATTCCCAATCACCAAATGATGCGCGTACCGCTGCAGCGACGTGCGCGCCTTGTACACCAGCAGATTCGGGTCCGTCTCCAGCTTAAACGAGACAATCATACTCCCCTCGGGCGCCCAGCCATCGACTAGCCGGTGCAGGAATTTCGGGACCGGGTCTAGGTCGATAACCAGTTTCTTGGACTTGTTGCTAGGCTGATCCTCATTATACCCGGTATACACATCGTCGCCATCCTCGAGCGGGTTACTGTTTGACCTGATGTTTGGATGTGCGGGGATCTCCGAGGACTGGATCTTATGCTCAGCCATCCTGTCGCGTGGGATGAAAAAGTCGCTGACGGCAGCGGCAAGATAGAAGAGCGCGTTTGCACCGAGCGGTTTCATGAGGTGGGCGAGCGCGCGGAGCTCGAACATGTACTCGGTGACAGTGGTGAAGGGGAGGACGAGCAGCAGGTTGTTTTGCTTTGCGAGACGGTACTTGCGGAGCACGTCGCGCATGGCGGTCTGGTACTCGCTGCGCACGACGATGGCCGACGAGGCGTCTTCGTCCATGAAGTCGAGGAAGCAGTTGGTCGAGTGGCTGTAGTGTCGCGAGTACGGGAGCAGTGAGAATTGGCGGTGCAGGAAGATGACTGCGTAGCCATTTTCGAGGAATTGCTCGGCCGATGCGGCGCCACGTGTGCCGGCGGAGAAGTTGTCGATGAACCGGACCGTTTGTGTTTCGAGCTGCGAGGGATTAGAAAAAGATATGGGAGGTGTATATAGAAGGAGGAAGGGGGGGGTTACCGGGACGGTGGTTCCGCCGCTGGTGACGAGGACGACTCGACGGTGCTTCTCGACTTGGAGATCAATGAAGGCGCGGGCGAGGGCTTTGTGTTTGTTGAGGGCCTTTGGAGGGGGGTAGTTGTTGAAGTAGCTTGATTCAGCCTCGGTGGCGTCCATGATGATATTTTGTGGTAGTTGTATGCAAACAGAGCACTGATTGGCCAGCAGCGATATATCAAGATAGTTCTGCACAGACCGATTTACGCAATTTGATATTCAAATGTTTTGGAAGTGTAAATGGATTAGATGCTCTTGTTTACCAGTCTATACAGTGATTAGCACTCTCCAGTCAACGCGGGGTATCAGCATACAGCTTAAATGACGTTTAATAGACAAAGCCGAACCCGCCGGCTATCTCCAAGACGGATGCGTGGGATGGAGGGCGTGCAGATATTATTTAGTGTCGGGTTAGGGTCGATTTATGGTCGATTTACGGTCGGTCTGAAAGGATATTGACGAGAGAAGAGAACAGAAGAGTGCGAAGAGAATTTATCCTCGGTCGCCGGGTCAATTGATGACTGCCGACCTGATGTTCTCAGAACTACGATGTAGCTGAGATACCTCGCTGCCCTCCGCCCGGCTGACTCCACATACCTACTATACAGTGCAGTACCGAAAACAGACTGGTGTTTATCATAATATATACATGTACGCGCGAAGATAATACAGCATTTCGCTTAGATTTATTGGGGTGCTTGAATGCTAATGCTGTAATTGTTAATTCTATAATTCACCAATTGTGTATATATATATATATTAGTTGATAGTGTCGAGACTATAAATACTTGCTACGTAGAGCCTGGCTGAAATTGCTCATCCGACTCGCCATCCCCCCATGCTGCATATTACTCAACAGAGCTTCCTCGAGCGCCGACTGTGTAACGCTGGCATCTACGCACGTTAGCCCGGACCGGACACTAGTATACTACTGTGGGAAAGTCATACCATCCAAATCACTAAAACTACTGCCCATGCTTGGTGTTTCCTCGCTGCTCTGGTTCGCCGAACCCGCCCGCGTCGAGTCTTGACGAGACAGATTCGCAACTCGTCGCGGGCTAAGTGGTGCAGAAGGCCGCTGTGGGCTGCCACCAGCGGCGCCGGAGCTGGCGGAGCTGTCTAGACTCGCGAGCTCGCGTCTGTGGGATGGAGAATGCCCGGTCAATTGTCGTCTCTGCCCTTCAAAGGCCCGGCTTTCCTGGCGAAGGGTTGAAGTCATGTGCTGAGTGGCTGATGGTGTGCCATGCGAGAGAGGAAGGAAAGCGGGCGATTCATCCTCATCATCGCCGTCGTCGTCCCTCAGGCCAGGTTTGTGGACTGAGAAATTTCCGAACCGGCGAACCCCCGGCATCCTCCGACTTGGGGCATCGTCGTCTGAATCGGATTCGCTATCCGACTCGTCTGACGATAGTGGCGGGGATTGGCTCTCTTCCTCGACTTCCGGGGCTTTCTGGAAAACAGTCAATGTTGGTCGCTCTCGAGTTGACGCTGGACGTCTAGTTGAAGGCCCGACTGGGTATTCTATGGGTTGCTCGGGCGTGATTTGTGTCTGCATGACGGTGTTTGAAGAGCTTGTCCGAACCGAGGATGCTATAACCATTAGCAGAAACTGGAGATATGTTTGTGCTCATACATTTATCCTTAGTAGTCGTGGACGATGAACTCTCTGGCCGCATCGGCTGGATTTCTTTCTGCAGGGCTGATAGTCGTGAAGGGACGCGCGAGCCTAGAGATGTCAGATTTGCCAACGCTGAATAGTTGATAACCAACCTCCGCTGCCAGCCCGTCTCATCGCCTGCCCTCCCAGCGCGTCACTTCCAGATACTGAGCCAAGCGCGGGTGACGGCGAGGACTGTGTATTGCCAACCTTGCGCATCTGGGCTCGTACTTGCGAGAGTTGGCGGTCGTAAAGCCATGCTGCTTGCTGGAGGAGGAAGGAGAGTGTGACATCAAAATCATCGGCACTGCATTATTAACTATTGCACATTGCATCTACATGGAGACACAAGTCATACATTGCTTTCCCTGCCGTATATCAGCCGTCCGGTTCATTATTCATTAATAGAAATCGAATAAGAACGGATAAATAGAATAAAAATAGATGCAGGCATACAGTCTATATCATCCCTTGCAGGCCGAGAGAGAATCTCCCACAAAGCACGGTCTTTGACAGCATTCCAGTTCGCCTGAGTTCCCTGATGTTAGCATTTCCAGCAATGTACTGAGCGCAGCCTTACAGGTGGAGGATCGATGAAGTCGCCCCGAGGAAATGGCAGCCGCACGAAGACGGTGTACTGGACGTCGGGAGTCGAAACTAGCGGCGCCATGCTGATACAAAGATACAATATTGCGCGGTTACCGTACAAGTCCAGAGCTGTGATGTTCAAGACGATGTTCAAGATGCAAGGCGAGAACGGTGATAGCTTATTCGCGTCTGCCATAGCCGCCCCGCAATGCCGTCACCGCCACGGAGGGCGTGGCTGTAGGGGGGGCGTTACTGCAATCATACTCTTGGCGCAGATACTATATAGCGCCTTTTATTTCCACGGCCCAACCTAACATGACAGAAGATATATCAGCCATTCCATATGATAGATAGCACTCTGCTATTATTAGTTGGCCACTATTCTAGACAGAATCCACCGTAATTAATGAATTGATGCATGCAGGTGGATCGACCCCTGAAGCTCCTCTACTGCCAGAATGCCACGATGATAAAATCGAAATAAGATGGCCATATTACTATTTATTATTAATATCAAGGGAACCCTGAATGATAATATGTACCCGTGGCGAGATATATTTATTTGAAATGAGAACTCAATTTTGGGTGTAGGATGACCATGCTAATTATTTACTACCCCTGATTGATCATCGCGCTGACACGTGGAAACCGCAAGTGTCCCTGCCAAGTCTGATCGAGACTGCGTAAGCACAGGCTAGATGAGAACAGTTGGTTTCAACTGTCAATGTCCGAAGGAATGCAGGAAGTTGGACGCGGCCTTGAGTCATGCGGTGTGGCATATGTCGTCAGAGAGGGTCGCAAGGTGTAAACTTACAAGCATACAAAGATCACCAACAATATTAAATGTCAAACTGACTGTGGTCATGAAGTCTTTATTTACCAATATGATTGTGTGTATGTATTGATACTGTAAAAAAGGTCACATGCGGCTCTCAGCCTTAGCTCCCAGCCAATCGCCGTCGTCCATTCTCCTTCTATACCGTGTTTCCCCTGCGCCCTCACCTGACCCGACAGTGCCGACACTATCACGACAATTCACTCATAAGCACGATAACCAAGAATGGCGATAGCATGACACCATGGTCTGGCAACGCGAATCGCCCCCAAGCCGTAACCCATCCTCCCGCAGCCATCTCGTCCGAGTGCTTCATCTGATGCCACCGACTCCAGCAGTGGGGCGGCCGTGACAGTGGCCCTCCCCGCGCCCCTCCTATATTATTGTTTCATTTCCTGTTTTATTTATTGTTATTTGTTATTCAGGAGAGGAGGTCTTCAATTGATATAGGAGAGGCATCTCGGCAAGCCGTCGTCATGGCCTCCTGGCTGCCATTGATCGATGCAGGCTATCGGACCGAAGTGCTCTGGCTTGACGGCGACGACACCGAAGACCGCCTGGACGAGCGCCTAGTGGCCGCAGCCTCCGAGCTGGGTTTGCGAGTGCCCTACATCCAGATCGCGGCCTCGCTGGCCGCCTCCATCAATGCTGGCTGCTTGGATATTGTCTCGTCGTCGTCGTCGCTGAGCTCGACCCCGACTCTGTCGCTCAACAATATCAACTCACCCGTCAGGTCGAGCGGAGCGTCCGTCGAGCTCCTAGCTGGCTCTTTCTCCGACACCACCCTGTCGGACCACGGCCATTCCGACAGCATCCCGTCGATTGACTCGTTTTCGACCTGCCAAACCTCCATCAGTTCCTTCGATGCCAGAGCCTCGCTGCACAATGAGCGTCATCCGCGTGTCGGGCACAGCTCGCAGTCGAGCATTGCGCGATCAGCCGAGCGAAAGCGGACGAGTTTTATCAATGCCATCGGCAAGTCGTTTCGCAGGCGTCGCACGCCGTCTGGGATAACCCTGCCCCCGGATGCGCAAATAAGTCTGCGGAGGGAAGGCGTGACGAGTACGGTACTCGTTGAAACGAGATCTGTGATGCCAGCTCCGACGGCCGTCGAGCCACCCGCTGTGGAAGAGAAATTGCACGTCGAAGTGCCAGTCTTTGACGAGGCCGCTGTGCAGAGAAGTTTGGAAAATGAGCAGTTGAAAGACATGCTCGACAAGCACAAGGCGCAAAGGTCGCGGTTCGTTCACTTACAGAATGGCCTGTTGGATACGTTGAAGGAGAAACATCTCGCCATTATTGCAGAGAGAATAACTGCCAACAAGCAAGAAGAAGCAGAGAAACAGAAGCAGGTGAGAGGAATAAGATTCCCTTGCATAATCATAATCATCTAACAGAGTATGCAGAACAGCGCGCATACTGCACGAATGGAAGAGCGTCACCTGGTAATCGAGATCGACCAGATCAAGGAGTTTGACAAGGCCAAGCGAAATTTGCAAACACGCATCAAACATATGGAAGGCTACTTCCAAACCTCCAGTCCCCCACAGTCACCTAAGTTAGGGTCGGAGTTGAGTCTTGACCTCACACGGTCAGCACGTACCGTAACACGGCGGCAGAAAGAGCAGCTCGCGCAGGAGTATCTGGACCGAGAGTCAATGGACCAGCTGCACGAAGCGCGCATAAAAGTTCTTCGCGAACGCCAGGAGCGGCAGCTGCAGGAGACCAGCGCACGGCTCGAAAAGGAGCTTGAGAATCTAATCGCCAAAAATGCCGATACTATCGCAGACCTCGAACGTGACCACCAGAGCGAGGAGCAAGAGCTCCTCCAGGTCTTCGATACCAAGAAGGCGCGGCTGCGATGGCGCTGGAATATCGAAGAAGCTATTCTGCGCAAGCAATTGCAGGACAGGGATGCAAAGCCATACGGACCTTTACCGACAATATCGTTCAGCAGTCCGAGTGACGACTTGCCGGTTTTGAGAAATCCATTCGCCAACCCTTGATCGCGACTCTTGATCACCGTTGCACGCAATCGCGACTTTATATTATCTTAATATACCCGGAGGCACGTTGCTTGAATTCTGATTATTACTGATACCCATTTCGCTGCATTGGCCCTCTTGCATAGCGGTTGAATTGACGACGAGTCTGTATATATATTGTTTATTTGGTCACTGTTAGAATTCCGCTGTAATCTAGTTTAGACATTTCTGCCATATACGAATACGAAGACATGGAAGGAAACATTTTCAATGGCGTGTATTCATTGTAGATGTTTCAATCTGCCCACCAATGTCTCTACCCGACGATCCCCGCCTGTCAAGACATCCTCTGTTCGTTTATCGCGGCCTCGATCACCAATAACCACCGCCCGCTCGACCAGCCCCGAGTTTGACAACTTGAACCGCCCGACCCGTCCATCCCGCCATTCCAGCCGTACGTATCTCGCTTCCAAGGACGTTGCAGCAACAGACAACAACGCCGACTTATTCTGTCTCTCCGTCACCCCGTCATCTCGAATCCCTAGACTCTCCCGCAGCCACGCAACAGCGTCGCATCGAATATGCCACGCCGCAATTTCCTTCCGCACATACCGCACAAACGCAGACAGGTCTTGTTTTCTAGCCCTATCCGGTTTCAACACCTCATCCCCCGCATCGCTCGTCTGTCGCTGAGGCCGTGGTAATGGTAGATATCTCTGCGCTATCTTCTCAACGGGGATAAAAGCGGGTATCGTATGTCGATACACCGAAAGACGTTGATGCGACGGCTTCCCAGTGGTATTGTTCGCAGTGGTGGTTCCTTTTTCCCGTCGCAAAAGAAGGTAATACGGCTTCGCGAACTTGCCGCTGCGTTCACATATATCGATTCTTACGCCCAACAGGTTTGGCGAGTCGGAATATGGGTTCGGATCGGTCCATGGGAACGTCGTGGTCGAGAAGGCCAGGCGGTGGTAGTTTGTTTCGCGGTGATCGCGTGCGCTCTCGAGCACGGGGGCGAGGTCCGTGGCTGTGGCTGACGCTGCATCGACATTTGCCTCGACTGCTTGGCGGATGTAGTCTGACGCGAGGAGGCTGCTGGAGAGATAGCGGCGTCTGTTCTGGAAGCTCTTAACTGCGCACTGATCAGTACGATACTACCATTAGGTAGGATGAGATGCACCTTCTTCTCGGATCTTGGATATTTCCGACTCCAACCGCTCCAACGACTCGTCTATTCTGGAGAACGTGTCGCTATCCATTGCCGTTACTCGCGCATGTAGTGTGTAGTGCGTAGTGTGTAGTTGGTTGTTGATGTTTGTTTGCGGAAGCGCGCAGATGCACGAACCATGCGTCGCGGAAGCACGTGACCTGTGAGATGTAACGACAGACACAACTGTGAATAGTCCTTGCTTAACTAACTATAGGATGGTCAGCATTTTACTATTATTTTCCTTTAATTTTAATTTTAATTATGTTTATGTATTTAGTAGTGCTATTATTAAAAGGCTGCTGCGTTCAAGGTTATGTAAGCTCGCAACTGGGGAAATTGCGACTGCCGATTGCGTATGCACGACTGAGGCTACGCCTGGTTGCTTTATTCTGTCTTCAATATGAATTGATATCCTATCCTATCCTATCCTCCTCCTTCGGTCTGTTCTCTAGACACCATCCAGGCAGACAAGCCCGCAGATAGAGGGCTAGTTCGCTCCAGAGCGGACTTGGACCCAATCATCCAGCTCCATCGTTGAGGCCAGCTTGCGGCTTGCCAAGTTGCCTCAGGCAGAGCCCCCGGCCCGCCACATGGATGCATTCCACCACTTCTGCTCCGGACTCCCCTACGCTCGTTGCTCCCAATCCTACTTTCGTCTCTGCTTCACACTCCTTTCCAGATTCCTCTGCTGAAGACCGCTTTGCGCATGACCTAGAATTGCAGCCTTTGTCCCATCCCGCAACACAATCCTTCCACGCGAACTCTCTAGACGATAACACCGACATCGAGACAGATTCTGAGAGCGCTGACACCTCAGACCTCCAGCAACGAAGACAGATGAAGCGCCGGGCTCGTGATAAGACATCCACCAACGGTGCTCCCCCGGGCCTGACCATCGACACTGGGTCTCAAAACGGCCACGCCAACGGCGACATGAATTCACAACTGGAGATGCGGAGGAAGGACCCCTCGGTGGACTCGCCTTCATCGGCCCAACATGCTGCGCGAGTGATGAACAGAGAAAGCTTTACCTTGGATGACGAGCCTGCGGAGGTACCTCGCACGCCCATGTTGAAGAACACGAGCTTCTTTGCGCTGCCGGAGCAGGATCGGAGGAATTTTTTGCTGCTCGTGCTGTTGTATTTCCTACAGGGTATTCCCATGGGACTGGCTATGGGATCGGTTCCGTTTCTTCTTAAGCCGCATCTTTCTTACGGCCAGATCGGCGTCTTCTCTCTCGCCTCGTATCCGTACTCTTTGAAGCTGTTTTGGAGCCCTATCGTGGATGCGGTGTGGAGTAGGAGAATGGGTCGACGTAAGAGTTGGATTACTCCCGTGCAGCTACTTTCCGGCCTGGCCATGGTTTATTTGTCAGGTCGAGTCGAGTCCATGTTGCAGAGTGCCGGTGAAAGCGATGCTAATGTGTGGACTTTTACCAAATGGTGGTTCTTCCTCGTCTTTCTATGTGCTACCCAGGATATCGCCGTCGATGGCTGGGCTCTTACCCTACTCTCACCACAAAATATCTCTTACGCCTCCACCGCGCAGACAGTCGGTCTCACCGCAGGCCATTTCCTTTCTTATACCGTTTTCTTAGCATTCAACTCTCCAGACTTTGCCAACCGCTGGTTCCGCTCACCAGCCAACGCCGACACAACCACTGGTCTGCTTTCGCTTGGAGGATATATTGCATTTGCAGGGTGGGCGTACATTATTGTGACATTCGCGCTATTCTTGTTAAAGAAGGAAGAGCGTAGTAATGAAAAGGACAGCATCGCTGAAGTCTACCGCAGCATGTGGAGTGTACTGAAGTTGAAGAACATTCAAATGATCATCATCGTCCATTTGATCGCCAAAATCGGATTCCAGGCTAATGACGCCGTGACCAGTCTTAAGCTCATCGACAAGGGCTTTGGACAAGACAACATGGCTTTGGTTGTGCTCCTCGACTTTCCCTTCGAGATTGCTCTGGGCTACTATGCCGGTCAATGGTCTACCGAATACACTCCTATGAGATTATGGAGCTGGGCCTTTGTTGGTCGGCTTGCGGCAGCCGCTCTGGCTCAGTTCACCGTCATGATATATCCTGCTGGATCGGATGTACCTTTTTGGTATCTTCTCACGGTCATTATGGAACATATTCTCTCGACCTTCGGAAACACAATTATGTTTGTGGCTATTTCTGCCTTCCATGCTCGCATTTCAGATCCTGCTATTGGAGGAACTTATATGACACTTCTTGCAACGTTCGTGCCCTTCTTTAACCGATGGAAATTTTAGATGCTAACGTGACTATAGAGTCTCCAATCTTGGCGGAACATTTCCCAAGTTCTTTATTCTTAAGATGGTCGACGCTTTCACCTCCGCAACCTGCGTCCCACCATCTACTTCCCCCGATCCCTCGAAACTCACCGGGGAACTCGTCACGTCAGCATTCTCATGCGCACTCGAAGCAGACCGCAGTCGGTGCAAAGCCGGCGGCGGCGAGTGTGTTGTTGAGCAGGACGGATACTATATTACCAACGTGGTCTGCGTCATAATCGGCATTGTGACCTTTTACATGTATATCCGGCCCACAGTTTTCAAACTCCAGGCATTGCCTCTGCGTGCCTGGAGGGTCGCATTGGGATCAGGCAGCAATAGATCTCAGTAACAGCGCTCAGCATATGTAAACCTAGTTCAAGAATCAAATTCATGTATTACCACCTTCAAACTACATAGCCTAGTATCCCTTCTGCCCTGCCTTCCCATCACTAGACGACCTAATCCTCGGCTCCTCCGGAAATGCCTGGTTCTCCGGCTTCACATCGGCATAAACCCGTTTCCAAACATCCCCCAACCTATCCGGCGTCGGCCACGCATTCTCCTCATCCCGAAGCCACAATCTCAATAAATGCCTCTGGTTCTCCGGCGTATCCGTAAACGCGTCCCGGGCGTGAAAAATACTCAAATTATTCACATACTGCACATCTCCAGCCCGGAAATCAAGACCAACAGCATACTTCTCCGCGAGGAAATGCAGCGCATCCAGCGCTTCCGCCTGAGCCTCTGTGATAGGCGGAATATCCGTGGAGCGAGGCAGGGACTGGTAGCCTGTGAAACTGCGGCGCGCGTATTGGATCAACACTCTTTCTGGCGCTGAGGCCGTTGGCGCGGTGTGGAAGAGCAGCGGGCGTGTGGTATAGGGCTTCTCTTTGTTCCCGAATCTGCTCATGTCAGTTTCTGATCACCACAAACAAACAAATCTTATATAGGAATTACCCATCAAACACCCATTCATCCTCCGCCAATGTCTTGATTAAATCCGGCCGCGTGGCAGCCAACTCATTATACACCCTCCAACTACTCGCCAACCGACTAGTCCCGCCCTGCGCCGCCTCACTCAGCGCAAACAACGAGATAATGTCGCCAGCATCGGTATGGAAAACCTGTTTATCGGTGGTATACGCGGGAGCCCCGATCCGGCCCTGCGCTTCCGGCCGCGTCGACAGGTCTTTGATATGATTGAGCACGATATCAGAGACAACGCTCCCGTCGTCGGCTACGATCCGATCCTGTCGGCCTCGTATCTCCGCGACGTGCGAACTCACGCCCGCATAGATTATTATATTCTCTTCTTTAGTGTGCGCGTGCACCGGCAGGCCGCGGAGCACTTTGAAGCCATGGCCATGGTGCAGCTCGTGCGATATCGAGCGGAGTTGACGGTGGAGGGTTGGAAGGGGGAATGTTTCGGGTGTGATGTATCCCAGGGGTTTATTCAATGCTAGCACTGGTCAGCTATACATCCTTGTTCTAGAGAAAGGTTTATGGCCAACATTTGAAATGCGCCAGCCCCTGTTCAATCTCCTCCACCTCGCTGGCTGTCAATTCATAAGTCCAATTATATTTCCCCTCGAGCTCAGCGCCTTCCCAGACGAGCTCTGATTTTAACTCTTGCGGGAATCCCGCCGGCAAGTCTTTTGGGAGAGTCTCGGTTGCAAGACGACGGGCGGTGCGGGCCTTGAACTTGTCGTGGTCGGGGCATAAGCGATGTCAGGCTGGACGGGGAGGGTGATTGTCTCTGTAGCTGACATTTTGAGTATATTCCTTCTTTCTGAGGTTTGTATTTGATTGGTATTGATAGAAACAAAGTGTCGATCTGAGAATGTTGAACCCCAATGAGGGGTAAAAGTTAGGGTTATATGTATCCGATCTGGTGTTGCGTGATTGCCGCGTTCCCTTGCGAAAGCACTCTCAATCGATGTCGAATCACTGCCTATTATTAATCATGAAGATCGCTCGAGCAATGATATGCCTTGTCAAACCCCGCATCGGGTGGTGTTGTCGATTTCGTCATTTGGTGCTAATATGTATAATTATAGGAATGTCGGGTATATTCTGCATCGCTGCTCTGCGGTGGACTTTGGTTAAGAAGTAAAAGTTGGTATATACATATATCGGGCTAGCTCGATGTCATCGAGAATCTTGGAGAACATAATTCGAGAATGGTTACATGTACATATACATGTACTCACGGGTTCTAGACGAGGCTCTAATAACGCAACTGTTTTTGGTGCAGAATATGTCAGGGTGTATATCGAGTAAGTAATTGAGCATGTATTATGACAGACTTATATGTATAGATATCTTCTTCTTTAATCATGTTATTCTCAAGTATTACGACCCTATAAGGACTGTTTTATCAGCTACAGTAGCGTGTTCTCACCCACCAATCTCATGTCGACAATACGTGCTCGTAGCTTAGATGATAACGGGCGTTTGCGAAATTTAGTATTCACAACTTATAATTTTTGATAACATAGTTGCTGGTCGATTACATGTATGTAGGAATTACCTACGAATAGTTCTCGCACGCTTCCTATGATGACCAATATTTCAAACTTACTGTAGCGAGCCATATTTTGAAACAACACTACCATGACAAAATGCTCAAATACGTGTTAAAGCTTTATTTCCAGGGTCTGGGTACTTAGAAGGTTGAGCCCACGCGGAATGTTACCTTTCGACTTGAAAAGGTTGTCCTCGCAAACCCTAGTTTCTAAAATAGGTAATTATCGCCGTCAGGTGTCAGTTTAGTACGGAGTTTTGGTTTCTTCAACCAGGATCGCATTCAATTGCTTCGATTCGCCATATTTGTAATAATGTGCACATCTGGATCTATCTTAGTGGTACTGAGGTATATCAAGGTACAATCTTATGCCCTAATTAGCGGCCATGATGAGTACCCTAAGGACTATCGAAAAAGATATTCTGGTTTTCACGAGTCCCTCAGTATATTGATCGCGGTGGGAATTCCTACTAAATGACAGTATGACAGCTCAAGTCTCCGCCTGACTATCCGCGATTTTCTCTGATAATCACAATATTACCACGCCAGACTGGGATGAATTCGACCTGACCATAGGCTGATAATATTAGAATGTCGTTAATGAACCCCGTGTAGAGCGAATGACACAACGCCGACCCACGCTAGTCTGTCGTGGCTTGATGACCGAGTTCTACGAACAACTCTGAATTTGGCAGAAAAAGCAAGTACAACCGTGGTGCTTCTACCAATCACATTAAGAATTGTGACCCTTGTAGTGAATGGATCCCCATTTTGACACATTTTCAGTTCTTCTACCCCGCACCTGTACAGACCGAATGAATGCTCAGCCGCACTCTTGTAGCCTCGCTCCCTAGTCTACAGCCAAGCAATCTCTCCATGTCTTGAAATAATCCCTTTACCACCGTTTCATATTTTTCAACTTAGACCTGCTATGATTAGGAATCCTTTGCTAAGGTATGCTCTCGTCTCATTTATCCCATTTTTGCTAATTTGTCTGTCCGTCTAGCTCTTGCGCATTTGAGAGACTTCTCTTGTTTCCCACAATCGGGTTGGAACCAGTGGAATTCTGCCGTGATGGAGCCACCGAAAGATCCTGGAGGACCTGGAGGACCAGAAGACAGGAGACTATCCGATGAAATTGAACCGACGGATAACAATGGACAGGTAGACAGTGAGCCTCAAGAGCACCCCAAATCACTGGAAGACAATGTCGCTATGGAAGATAAGACACCTCTAGATAATTTTGAGCAACGGGAAGATACTGTTCTTAGCGGTGTTGGACCTAGCGAAGATATTGAACCATCGTCATCTGATGCCCCGGCGATGCTCGTACCCCCAAGCAAAGATGGACGGCAGAGCGCCGCTGCTCACGAAAATTTGACAGAGTTTGAGGGCAAAGCTGGTGCCTACGTATACAAGCCTGGAACATCGACTCTAGTTTTCCGTCCGGGAAAGCAGGGTGAAAGCTTGAACGGGGAAACCCTTCTCAAAGCCGTTCTCTTAGGCCAGACAAAGCACGTTGAGTATCTTCTCAATGCTAAGGTCTCGACAGAATTCAAGGACGATGACGATCGCACTCCGCTTCTCTGTGCCGTGGAAGAAAACAACATCGACATTGTTGAACTCTTGCTGCGAAGCAAAGCTGACTGGAATGCAAGAAATAAGTCGAAGCGGACAGTGTTACATATAGCTTCATCTAACGGATCCAATGGTATAGTTCTCAAGTTTTTGAGCATCCCCGAACTCGATTTAGATGCTCAGGATGAACAGTTCGAAACTCCTTTACACCTTGCTGTAAGGAGTGGACATCAAATGGCAGTGAAGTTTCTACTAGAGTTTGGGGCAAATGTCAATGCAAAAGACAAAAAAGGTTTCACGCCTCTACATCTAGCGGCAGCGAAGCGAGGACCTACCCTGGTTAAGATGATATTAGGCAGCAAGGATGTCCAAGTTGATGTGAGAGCAAATAATGGTCGGACACCGTTGATGCAGGCCTGTGAGCGGGTACCTTCCCCGGAGTGCGAAGAAGTTGTGAAGCTGCTTTTAGACAAGGAAGCCGACCCTGCAGCTTGTGACCATAACGGAGAAACGCCTATATTTCTGTCAGCTTGGGTAGGAAATCGGGGGAATTTGGTCAACTTAATCTCTTGGAAGAGAAGACCAATCGATATCAATGCTCTTACCGAAGACAATCGTTCCGCTCTGTTCGGTCCGGCAAGGTTTGGTTTCACCACCATTGCTCAGCTGCTGTTGGATGCAGGTATTAACAGTATGGTGAAAAATGATGACGGAAGGACTGCCCTTTTAGAATCCGCAAAGTACGATAAAATCGAAGTCATGCGTTTGATTCTTGAGAGTCTGGTGACAAAATATGGACAAGAACGAAGAAAACTTGTTCAACCAGCCCTTTTTGAGGCGGCTGTCCAAGATAGCTCACAGGTAGCTCGATTTCTGATTGAGCAAGGAGCTAGCATGGATGAAAAAGAACTTGCTTCCCAGAAGACTGCGATGGAGATCGCGAATGACCATAGTAGCCGGAAGGTCATCGCCGTACTGCTCGAGAAGGGCGACCAACTTGTCAGCCAAGGTCCATCACTGGGAGACCGGTTGCAAGAAGCGCCAGCTGAAGCTGAATTGAAAAAGTTAGTGTTGGAAGACAGTGCTGTGGACCTTACTTTTGGTTTCCAATCTACGATCGCGTCTTTCCCTTATGACACTCGGAATAAATACAGAATAAAGAGGCCCCAACTGCGCAATCTGCTGTATGACCATAGCCCTGAACCAATACGGTATGGCCTTAAAGAGGCTGAGTCGACCAGCAAGAATTTCCGATGGCTACATGTTCCTTCTAACAATGTATGCTTCACCCTCCCTGTATGTTCGGAGAATTAACGGTTTGGCAGATTGTATGGGTCAATGTGAGTGGCGCAACTATACTGTCAGTAGGAAATGGCTAAAATCTTTGCGACTATAGAAGCTGATAAGCAGAATGTACAAAGAGTGTCACCCTCCAGAGAAGGCAAGCTACTTTCAAGAAAAGTGCAAGTATCTTTTTGGAGAAGAAGTCTGGACGAGGCATCAATATCAAATGTCACACACATCTGTTGCGCATAGACGATTCATCCGACCAATCTGTCAACGGATCGCGTTGAGCGATACAGACGATAACATGATGATGGTCCTCCCCTACATTCACTGGGAGACTAATAGCGGGCGGAAACAAATGACAGACGTGATAGTCGAGGCAATGAAGAGACACCTTAAAGATCCACAACCTCTATCAACTTCGAAAGGACTGAACGAAGCATTAGAAGAGCTAGAAAAAATACGGAAATCCAAATTTATGGATCCAGACGATGACGCGACATCTGGGTACGCAAGCGATTACTCGTATTACGACTCCTACACCCGTACGTCAAGCGTATCGAGCGATGGAAGGTCCCGATGGCCCCGAGACAAAGTTACTAAAGAAACCGAGCCTGCAGCAGATCCAGACGTGGATTGGATCTCTAGAGTCGCGTTAGAGACATTGGAGAATGAGGTCATTCGTGCAAGGCATGCGCCTGTTGAAAAAAAAGCAGAACAAGAAGAACGTAGAAAGAAGAGGATTCAAAAAATCGTCAAGGTTGCCAAAGAATCTCGCAGATCGGACGAGAAATTGATCTTGGCCTACATGTTCGATGAAATTCCATTACACTTCCGCCGGACTTTAGACCAATACTACTACTATACCCTCCCGACCACCGAAGCTCGCGATTCTGATCAAGTGGTCTCCCGGTACTTCGAGAAGACATGGCCCGAGGAGGAGAATGAGAATTTAGTGTTGATGGTGGATCAACTCTGGCTGTGGATTCTGGACAATGGTTTGCGTCTTTTCCAATCATGTTTCAATGTCAGATAAGTAACCTTATAAACTTTCAGATACGATAGTCACTAGCTTCCCTCAACGTTGGAATAAGTCTGAGGAAAAATCGGAGAAAGATCCTGATCCGAATAATGATTCGGACATTGTGGAAAGCATTATTCGCCAAATTGGGAAACAGGACAGACGGCCTCTGACGAATGTTTTCGATCTGGCGGAGCTGATCGTCAGCAAGTGTGTTGGAACCATGTTTGAACACCCTGATATCGCGAATGAAAAGCTACGGTTTGCTGAATTTTTCGAAATCTCCATTGGAAATGTGGTAGGTTTCAGCAGCGTTGACCTTATCTGGTGCGGTTCTAACAGGCGTTAGACGAACGAAGAGTCAAAGATGTTCAATGACTTCACCGATCTATTCGAAAGGCTTGCCAAGGATGATCAAAACATTTCAACATCCGATGAGCTTAAAAAGGACCTTAGAAAGTTGTTCGACATTTCAGAGGAAACAAAACTAGTTAAGGAGATCAAGGATATTCGAGATGAGCTCCATATTATTTCCACTATCCTCGAGGACCAAGAAACAGTTCTTGTTGATATGGAAGAAGCCATTCAAGCTATGAAGGCCAGAAAGACTGAGGGGGTTGAGCAAAAGAAACTGCAGACGGCTTCGAGTTACCACAGTCTACCTGAGCGTGTCCGTATGCATAAAGCGGTTGTTCAAGGGCTTGATAAACAGGCTGAAAAAACCTATGTAGCAGTACGTACAACCTCAAGTCTCACAGATTCTTGCTAATTGTACCAGTTGAAGGACCTTTTAGATCTGAAGCAGAAACAAGGTAGCCTCATTCGCCCTTTTTTTTGTTGAAAGAATGCCATGCTTACGTTTAACCAGCAAATGTTTCGGAGGCTCGCACCCAAGGAAAACAGGCGGCGGAAACTGCTAGACAGGGCCAAACACTTATGTTGTTCACTGTCATAACGGTCTTCTTCGTAAGAAATGATTCTCCCACCAGGTATTTCTATAAAATGAGCTCATATGGTAACTAGCTTCCAATGTCATTCATGTCTTCGTTTTTCTCCTTGGACATCGCCGAATTTGTCCGAAATAGTGATGGTGCATTAAGCTTAGGATATGTTTCTGAAATCATGTGTAGGGCTCCCCAAATTGTTATTAATCTCGGATTAAATGCTAACAATCCGAGCAGTCACTGTTACAGTTGCTGTGGTCATAATTTCTCTCTCCTTTGCCTTCCGCTGGGAACTCTTCGTCGTATTCATCACATATTGCAAAGATCCTCTGAAAAGTTTCCACGAGGGTTCGAAGAAATTCTTGAAATCGGTCCAGAAGATCTCTACGCGGAGAAGAGAGAGGATCAATATCATAGAAGAAGTAAATAAGCCATCGTCCGATAGTGACGAGGTCGTCGTCATTGAGGAGACGTCACCACCGAGACGCCGCCTAAGGTCGCGCGAATATCGCCGTGGCAGACCCTCTCGTTATTCTCCTTCTCCGGCACGTTTGAGGTTTGGAAGACGGCGGGATATCTCTGGGTTGTTTGCTTTATTTGGGCTACGGCTGGGGACTGGAAATGTAGATGTGGTAGAGCGGTACTCAAGACGAAGGAGTCCTTCGCTTCGGACAGGAACAGGATGGTTTGGAGGACGACAACGACAACGAACTGAAACGGTAGTAGTAGAAGAACGATACGGACGACGAGGAAGTAGTTCTGTGTGGGGATGGTATGGGAATGATGATCGACGCTCTGCCCCGAGAAGAAAGAAATGGCCTCCGTGGGCGTGGTTTGAAAAAAGTCTAGCTCCAACGCGACGAAGCCGAAGAATCCATTTCAGAGATGAGTCAGGTCAGACGGGTCTGAAGGGGATTTATGCCAGCTTTATCACGCCGCTGCTGGGGTGGTTTGGAATATCTCAACGAGCTCCTGAGAGCAGAACATCGGTGACCTCAAGCTACTTATCATATGAGGGTAGTGCAAGTTCGCATGACAGAGGCAGTAATGAGAGTAGTGACGCGCGGTCGCGTTGAGGTTGCTGATCCTAGGGGATTTGTGAGCGGTTGTGGTTGGTCCTAGACAATTGAATATTATTGATCAGATCGTTGGATGAAATGGGTTGTTGAACGCAGATATGAATGGAGCCATATGGAGTGTTGGTTGGTTGATCATAGGGAAGACGAAAAGCCGATATGGTCTCGCACAGGCACAACTCAAAAGATCAAATATTGTCAATGATAAACCCAACAATCTCTAGGAGCAGAAGTAGATGTGGTATATTTCGGATAGAAACGGCAACCATCATCAATGAAGGAGAACATGAAAAAAATGACAGCAATTCTCTACGGTTTTACATGTCGGTTGATGTAGTTCTCCGGATCAAGCGACTAGGTAGTCCTCTATAGACACCTCTATGGTTGCGACCTAAGATTGAGTGCAGTAATAAGAAAGAACTCATCACATCCAATTGGCCGTATAAGCGCTGTCTACAACCTGCGGTTACGAACTTCAAACAAGGTATATTAAGGTACGATATGATGTCCTAATGTGCTCCACATGTATAGATTATTTATCTACAAGTTGTTCTGACATATAACCATATGAAGCGTTTCTCTTGCGATAAATTGCTTTTATCGACATTGTTTATTTCAACCTATGTTTGACTCTGTGAATATTCTTGAGTACAATTTCCTCATGCAATCGCCTCGGCACCCCTTCCTGATCAAGGACGTGCCTTAATATAGTCTAGGAAACGTTGCACCTTTTGGCACTCTCTATCAACCCAGAATTTGCTTCCACGTTCAACATGCTGAATAGCTCCTCTGCCGGTACCTATAGGAATTTGAATATCCTTCAGACTGTCGCTTTTACGATCGAATTCCACAAACTGGACTTTTCTCCCCACAGCAACAATTCCGTACATCTGATGTCCATGGCTCCTTGACTTGCTCGAGCGAAAGTACTTTGCTAGTTCGTCTCTGGCAGTGCTCCAAATGGACTGCTGCGTCTTACCGCTCCTTCGTTTGCATTGAGTGATTAGAAAATGGCACTCTCGATGAGTGCTATTTGGCTGTGGTTTGTATTGGATGGTATGGAGATCTGCAAATCCACTTTGATTTTTCTCCTCTGGCCGTATTATGTAGTTCTCTGTTGGGGAAAACTGGCAGCCGAGGATAGCATTCCATATGCCACTAACTGTTCCTTCTGTATCGTCAGTTCTTATTCCTTCAATAGAGATCTGGATTCCTGATACGCCGTAGTACTATTCAATGTTGTTGATTAGTTGAAAATCTCCAATAAACGTAATCAGAATTCATACGGTGTTATTTCTGGGGTGCTGCCCGGCTTCGTGGCGTGGTGTGTCCATGTTCAGTATTTGACTTCTCTTAGATCTTCACGAGATGTTTTCCTAGCCGTGAGATAATCATTGGAGAGTGTATGAATCATAAGGTTCCCAAGCCTTTGTAATCAGTGAAGAGGAGATATTAGGGTCGATCAAACTGCCCCAACTCATCCTGATGATGAGTAAATGGAGAAAATATTGGATTGGCGAGGTAAGTGAGATGGAGTTCCGTATATGCTTTCTGTCTAAATTCCGATTCCTAATCCGCTTGGTGCGATGAAGCTCCCCTCTTCCCACTCGAGATTATCAAGCAAATGTAGCCTTTAAGGCCACCCATGTGTAATAGATTGGGCCCCTAGTGGGGATGTCTGTCATAACTCATAGTTGGATATGGACAATAAACTTGATTAATAATAATATTCTTTACGAGATATCTTAGGATGAAATTATTAGAAGGGTTTAAAAGTATATGTTTATTTCTTTTATACTCGTCCATTAATCATGACCAGAAGTGGATCTGTTTATTTTTTTATAATAAATAGATGGAGTCAGCTATTGGGATTCTCTATCATTGTGTGATATAATCAATAGGGTCTTCAATGGAGACAAACGGCCATCTCCAATGCAATCGGACAAAGGATTATAGAGAATGTATTATCTATTTATACATTTATCCAACTCTCCTATTCACGACTTGAAAACTGCTTATTGTCAGTCCAATACGCATATCATATTCTAATAATTCTTAAAGTCTGACTATATCTCAGAATACAATGAATCGGATATAGTACAATGATGAAGTACTCAAATGCTATTGTCAAGATGCTGAAGACATGATACAGCTTCGATTGTAGTTAAAAAACTTGCCATGGTTTTGGAAAACATTGTGAATAATGGTATAAATATAATGGCATATAAAACATGACCTATGGGGCGACCCTTTCTTTGTGTGTGCACCACCCCCGCCTTTCAATATCATTACAATACCACTCCCTCGTACCTCCGTTCTATCAGTTAATCCAGCTGGGGGCGTTGGATTTCTCTTTCCATTCAACATTCCTTTAATTTCTCATGCCATAGAAGAATGTGCCACAGTTGCTTTATAAATGCAAGTGGCTAGGATGCATACCCTAGGCAATCTGTCCCTCGAACTCGTATTGGTTATTGTAGATTATCTGAATAGCGAGCGTGATACTAACGTACTTGCCTAAGTAAACTGTCGTTTCTATAATATCTTGAACAAATTCTTATATTGACAAAATGTTCTGCATTACAAAATGAGCGCCCTTAGGTAGGCTGTAAACATCACAAAGCTGAAGCTTCACCATGATTTGGATTAGTAATGATAATTAGTATTAATCCTCGCAGATCAAGAGTGATCGCTCCTATTTGAATTTAGACGCAACTTCGAATTCATACAGTTCCACAAAAACCTCTCTATTCTATATTAACTAGAATTAATAGACGAATACGTATAATACTTCGGCGGCTACAATCTATATCCACGGCCGTTCATCGGCTCAGATGCGGATGGAGGCATGGCCCAATAAAGTGTTGCCAATAACCGCCCGCACTGTGCCAAGCACACTCTGATTGGATGATGGTCCGTTTCAGATAGCCACTGTGTTCCAGAAATAGCTTTCAATCTAGCCCGGGTTGGAATCATCATGCAAGGCTCAGCAATAACACCTGAACCCTATCTTACAGAGGTGATATTGAGGATCATTTTCAACTAATTTCATGTCATTGGTGCGACATAGCCGGCCGCCTTTAAGCTGAGACTCGCTCTTCCTTACTCGTGGCTAGAATGTTGTTCAAGAATTTCTATCTCTTGCTTGGCACACATCACCAGCAAATCTATGACAAATTTCTAGATTGTGCCTTTTTAAGTAATTTTTTCAATGGGAGAAGATTGCATCCTCGCATGATGATAAGTGCTCTCCGGTTAATCCTGGCAACGACCGCAATCATTTGGTTACTGAATCTGGTATTCCACATCTGTACGTATTATTCTCTCTTTCTGCTCAGTTTAGGTTAGCGGTTAGGACTGAATTGATTCTTAGCGAGTATCTATGTACCTGGAGCGCGCCAACACCTCCAGCCAAAAATTGGCAAGGTGACGATGATCTATGGCGACAGCAGTCCAATATACGAGCGCGTCCTGAGAACCCACGTGGAACATAGCCGTCGACTAGGCTATCCTCTGTTTGTGTTGCGTAGATCTATTCTGGACGGAGGTTGGAATAAGAACGCCATTCTTCTGTCAATTCTATTACAGGAGCTCGAAAAACCGCTAGACGAGCAACTGGAATGGCTATTGTGAGTTTATAAAAAGTTTTCTCACTCCCAGAAATCTTTCCTCTTGATTTTGAGCCAATATAAAAATTAATAAGGATTTCAATCAGTTGGTTTGACAGCGACATGGTGCTTATGAATCCAAACATGCCATTAGAGACCTTTCTACCTCCTCCTCATGTTGCCGATGTTCACATGCTGTTGACATATGACTGGAATGGAATGAACAATGGTGCATTTCCAATCCGCGTGCATCCCTGGTCGATCGAGTTACTCTCAGCTGCTATAGCGTTTCCGATCATGGATCGGGCGACTGCTGAGCAAGAGGTTTTGCTAAGTGACCAGTCAGTGCTGGGTCATATTCTGGATGAAAATCATTATTTCTCCCAGTCAGTTGAGTATTGCCCTCTTCGATGGTTCAATGCATACATGTCCCTTCCAAATGGAGAACTCGATCCGGACACTCCTGAACATCTCCAAGTTCACCCGGGTGATCTTCTTGTTCACTTCCCGGGAACACCTCGTGATGCTTTGAATGAAACCATGCAACCATATCTTGAAATAGCAGAATCGCATTTGCCTAAATGGGAACTGTCTGTCGAACATACTGGCCATATAAAAGAGACGCAGGCGTTTTGGAAGAGTGTTCGTCCATCAGATCATTGATTGGAAACGTTTAACGCAGAATAATCTCCTGTATATGTTCGAAGCCACCGCATTCTCTCCTTCAAGTCAGCTATCAGCTACCAGAACTGGTGCTGCCCTTTTCGGTGGTTCTGACACCTAAAGGTAGATTATACTTGTTTAAAGACCTTACCCTGCTATAAGCTATGAAGGTCTCGTTTTATGGGCGCTAGGAGGTCTTATAGGGGCTTAAACATCTAATTCCCTCCACTACCTGCTTTATACTATTATTTACATTTTAATGGACTAATCAATTCCTCACCCCAGTCTGTTCATATGCACAGGGTGATTTAGGGACCTCATAGGGGCTAATAGGATTCTAGCCTCCCTCCTAGAAGCTAAATATGTCGGTATTATCTACGAAAAATAAGCTGTCTAGTGCTGTTATTCTTTTTTTAGTGTCTTTTTATGCCCTCTTCCTCCTTTATTGCCTCTTTATGGTTGCTGCCGCTGTCTGTAGTGGAGTAATAGGTGTGCTATAGTCTGTCGTCTCTGAGACATCTTACACTGGAGGGTATTGCGCCTTCCAATTTGGTGTAAATATGCTGTCAGTGAGGTAAATTTAGTCTTGAACTAATATAGGTGCTGTGTTATGGCCTTAAGGGCCTTGGCTGCTTTGAGATTAATATATGATTCTCAAGACATATAATAGTGCTGGTGGTCTCTCTTTTAATTCCTATGGTAAGTACTTTAGTAAGCTATACTACGTGTTAAGCTTCTAAGGTCTTTATATAGGTCTAATGAATATGGATAATGGATATATCTGGATATTTGCTGTTTAAAGACCATTTTATAATATGATTAACGGCTTTATTAGCTTTCTTCTTTCTAGGAATCTTTCTATATCTGGATATATAATCGATAGTGGTTTACCAGCCTCTGTCTAGTAGGAATTTGACTAGATTGTACGCCTGTAGTGTTAGGCCTTAGTCTTTTCTAGGTATGTCATGCCGCAGGTGGCTTATGGTGATACATGAGTCTAGGAATACTTTAATTAGATTAGGAGGATCTCCATTAAGTGTTTACTCAAAGGCTTCCACTATATTCACCAAGTTAGTATTAAATACTTTCTTACTTTGTCTTAGCGGCACTTACCTTGTTTTTAAGGTATATAGGGGGGTTTATAGGTTATCCTTATTTTTATATATGTGTTTTCTAGGTAGAAGCTGTTTTATTAGAGCCTTATGTCTATGTAGCTGCTTAGGGCTTTTTGTAGTATCCTATCGACAGATCTCTGAGGATGCCCTAAGCTGAGCCACTTGTTTACTACCGCCATCGCGCCTGAATGATACGCCTGTCAGAGCACAACTACCGCCATATACAGAAGAATTACCATGAAGTCACCAAGGGAGCCTCTTTTGGTGACGTGGTAATTTCTTGTTATTTTGGTTCCGACAGTACCCGTGTCCCGGGTACCAATTCCGGTAAGTGACATTTTAGCTAATTAAATTCTGTTGAATTGTATGCAGAAATACATGCGAAGGCTCCATGTACTTTTTTGATGATGATGCATGACGACGATGAAGATGATGCGTGACGACAATGCTATGCAACTAGCATTGCCGATTGATGTCTTTTTAATTCATACATATAGATAGGAATCCCTCTTAATCAATATTGTCTCCTTTTATTCTGCATCACGGGAAGCTTTATAGGACTATCAAAAAACCCAAGGAAAAAGAGAGAGAGAGAGAATACAGTGAGAGAGAACTATACGATGGATCCTGATTATGACGACCCTTTTCGATGCTGTATTTGTGGGGCATGGCTAAATGGAGAGCGGGATAGAATTCTGGCTAATGGAAGGAGTGTACCGCACAAATTTTCATGGAGAATCAGGTGCAGCGTTGAGGATTTTAACCAGATTGTTTTCAGAAATCGAGAAGTATGGGGAACCTTTATTCGTTCAAGTAAGTTGATAAGTCCTAAGTCAAGCCACGAATGGGCCGCCGCTTTAATTCCTCAAGATCTGAAATGAGGAATGAATGTATGGGGTTGAAAAATACTGATTAGAGAAAAACAGTTATTGTTACGTTAGATAATAGTCGTCCTCTCTACCAGCTATCAGGAATTGCGCAGTTTGACTATTCTAATCACATCATAGTTCCCAAGGACAGAAACTTAGCGGTTCTAGGATATCCTTGCCTGGGAGGTCGATCATGCAAGTTTGTGAAGATTGAAGTAGACGAATTGGTAGTTGGATACTCACGTGGACACTTGATTCACGCTCGTTGTTGGGACTTGATTGAGAGACTCTTTGGCTGTGAAGCAGAGAAAAATCTCAAAATTCTACTGGATATTTTCCAGGAAAGGCGGCATAATCAGGATGGTAAGATGTACGAGGCTGCCTGCTATGATTTTCTACGAGAAGACCGAAAGAACTCTATAGTCTATCATGACCCGGTTAAAATCCTCCCTCTCCGCGCAGTCATTGAGGAAAGTGCTCAGCGCCCATACAGAGAAAAGTTTGGTTGCGAGACTCTCAAACCACGTCCGATATTCCTTGATATAAAACATACGGCAATCTCAGACATTTTACCTTGTGAGATTCAGTGCATGATCCTGGATCTAATGAATTACAAGGAAATCCCCCAATTACTCCGAGCGTTTGGATGGGTTCTGTCTAACTCTTACTGGTATAGACGATTTCCTGAAGACCTGGTATTTGAAGCTGATGACATAATGGAAAGTAATGCTGAGATTGATTGGCAATTCCTTACTCTTGGAGTAGAGAAACTCCTTCAATGCTCCTTTGGGCTTTTAAATCGGCGTCGATTGCTCACAGTTTTGAGACAAGCGAGGGATTTATTCTTTAAAGAAGTGGCCAAACAACACCATTAGCGAATGCCAAGACAATCTCTTAATACAATGGATTCAAATATTCTGTATAATTTTATAAACGCGATTTCGAACCAATTTGAGTAGTTTCGTGGCGACGAGACGTATCTCCAAGATGGAGACTGACTTGCCGACGCATTGAAACGTTTAGCGTAATCATCAGCTGAATTCCCAGCTCCTATGACAGCTACCAGGCTGTTGGCCCTCCGTTGATCATTTCCTACGCTCAAATTGGGAGCAGGTTAATCCCTCTCTCTGTCGTGGCTGATAACGTTGATGGGCTCACCCAAGCCATCTGCGGCCGGTATCATTGGTTATGGAGCCGATGTGAGTGGCACTTCATTTAAAGCGCAACAGAACATCGGTGTTCTCAATTCAGTAAATCCAGAGTCTAGGAAGAGTATGATCAGTCTCACAGTTGGAACGTGAGTCTTCAATTTATATCCAAACACCAAACGATAGAATGATACTAACACAAAAGTCAGACCCTGGAATAACACCAACTGGAACCTAGATATAAAAAACCAAGTGTTGATGACTGATACTCACATTCTAGCCTTGGCGAATTGCTTCCAGCAGGTGGCTCTTCTTATCTTAAAGAGAGCAACTTTCGCGAACTGGATTGGCAACGAGTTTTTATGGGACCAACTATGAGCCTTTGCTGGATATGAAAACTAAGTACGACCCAAACAGTGTTTTCTGAGGCCAGGCAGCGGTGGGAAGTGAGAATTGATCCTAAACATGACAAGAGGCTTTTGCCGAGTTGACTAATTATGAGTTACTTTTTACCCGAGAGAAAGAGAGAGAGAGCTACTAGTATAGCTAAGTGTTTATAGTTCGATCAAGTAATGACCAGGTAATTGTATTAACGATAGTAGATAATTGAATGAAACTTCGTGTCTTGAAAAAGAACGGTCACTTCCCTTTATTATGATATGAGGACTAAGCAACGCTATCAAACTGAAGCAGAGAAAGGTAAAAGTTACTTAGGAAGCTAATCTCGCAGACCCATCTGGCAGCTTCTCCTGTCCACATCCGGCGACAACTATCTTGTCCTGCCAACTCACAGAGACCTTGTCGGCGTTGAGGAGCGGTGGGTGCGCTATTGGAACGGTTACTAGACGCGGCTCTAGCCCTAACCCTAAGAGAGTGATAGAAAAATAGAAATAATCTCAAAGCCTGATATAACTCGGCGTGAGAAGTAAAATGGATGAAAGCATGATATTTCAGTAAATTGCCGTCCGTGATATCACTGAAAATCCTGGATATCTAGTTTATTGTACAATTTCTGTAGCCAGGTCGTCGGGCCAGTAAGGCTGATCGACTCCGTTGCCTCTTGTACCAACATTATAGCCTAATTCCACGGTCCCTTTCGGAAATCTAAGCACAGGTTTCACAGTCCTTATCTTGAGACCAAGTGCCTTGGTTTCTCGCATTTCGAAAAAGTCGAGATTGAACATGCCTTCTTTTTGGAACATCTCCATATAATGTGGAAGTGTGTAATTCATGCTGTGGAAATGGCGAAACACTCGTCGCCCGTTGCGAGTCCAGACCTCCTCCCATACGTCGGGGGAATACTCGCCGACTTGTTCGACCAGCCAACTATTATAGTAATTCAAGGCAGTGTCGATAAGGTAGGATCCTCCTTGCTGCTCTTGTGACATGAGCGCCTGAAGAGTTGCACAAGTTCCCGCGATTCCTGTACAATAGTCTGAATTAGGAAGGACCGGTGTCACTGCTTCGTTATTGCCCATGGCCCGCCCAAATCCTATAGATACACCTGAGCAAGCATCGCTGATGGGTTGCCAGCCAGCCCTATGCGACCATGGGCCTACCCATCCAAAGCAACACTCGCGGACGTAGATAAAACCTCTACCCCGCTCTCTCCCTAGCTTGAAGATGTCTTCAAAGCCGGCCCCGTACTTGTCGAGTACACCTGGCCTGTATCCATTGATAATGACATCAGCACCCAAAACTAAGTCGCGAAACCTTGCTTGATCCGCCTCTGTTCGGAGATCGAGATGACAGTTCCATTTTCCCCAGTTTAAATCCGGATGCAGACCAGAGAAATCTGCGATATGCGGCCCTGTCACTCTCATTACACTGGCACCTAGCTCTGCTAGGCCACGTCCGATTGATGGACCGGCAACAATTCTTGTCAGGTCCACAACTTTCAAGCCAGCTAGTGGTCGCCGCACCGATGTTGACTCCGTCTTTTGCCACCAACCAGGCTTTTGTAACGAGTCAGGATAGTAGTGTATTTGGTACAAGCCTATCCCAGCATGGGCCTTCCCCTGTTCAGTTTTCCCATATTCACCTGGTGCGAAGCATATTGTAGAGGCCTGCCGGAACTCATCAGCGAGGATATGGTCCCATTCGGTTGCATCTTTCTCCGCCATCTTTGATACGAAAGGAGGCCATGCAGCCTCATTTGAATCTAGCTCCGGTCTGTCGCGAGGTAGTCCTAATGCTCTAAGAGACGGGTCCGGATTCAAACTAGCATGTAGGTGGAAGAATCTCCCATCACGACACTGATAAATGTTGGTGACGGCTTTGCGGTACAAGGACGAGACCTGTTGATGAAGATCCCAACTGGGGAAATACTGTGAATACTTGGAATTGAGCTCGCGAAGCTCTGTTGGCATGATTGGACTATCTGGGGCTGCGGGGTTCACTTCCTGGATAAGGCACGACATCAAGAACAGTTGAGCGTGATCGGTGTTAATTACCACCTCCTGATGCGTAAGGCCATATTTGCGGCTAAGTAAAACGTTGAGTAGTATTGCCTCAAGCCCTTTTAGAGCACTAACACTTTCTGCAAATCGCCAATTGATAGCCATTCTTGGCTCGTCATGGCCTTCGAATTTGACCAGATCAAGCATGTCTCGGCATTCTGGGGGGAGATCTTGGTGAGATGGGTGATCGAGAATGGCATTCTTGAGCACCCTTCTGGACTCGGCTGGGACAGAGTATGAAGACATGGGTCAATCAATGGATTGCTTGTTGGGAATAATAATTTCGATATTTACTCCGAATTATACTATCTACTTTGAACTGGGTATAAGATACTATATGATAATTTTCTTATATCGGTCTATGTGTCTGTGTTGTATCTGTGTCTGAGTGGACAGTTCGGTGCCGCTCTCGGTGCCGGATTACGTATGTTAGTGACTTCACAAGTTCGGCGCCGACGAGTTAAAGTAAGAAATTGGAATTGGGACTAATAATGGAATCTATACCACGAAACATTATATGCAGTTCCGTCATTTAATATGGTATGTACTCTACTGTATTCCTTGGTTAGACGTTTTATTGTTGCATGTTGCGAGCCTCTAGTATATACATCATTCTCGACCCATTCATTGTTCTTAACCAACAATAATGTCTAGTTGGAAGGATCCTCAGCACTCGCTCAGATATGGCGAGCATAGTGATGCCGCTGGTGGAGTTCACGCGCATCGCTTCGACACCAATCTGAGTAACCAAGTCATTGGCGCAACTGGGCTTAATGCTCATCCCAGGCTTGCATCGATAATGCCCAACTTGATAAAGCATCTTCATGATTTCATGAGAGAGTCAAAAATAACAAGTGCCGAGCTAATGGCTGCCTTCGATTTGGTAAGATCTACTCCAGTCCATGCAAATAGAGTTCAAAGTCTAATAACTCTTCAATTAGCTAGCTTGGGCAGGCAAAATGACAGACGACAAGCGCCACGAGGTCCTTCTTGTTGGCGATGTGTTTGGACTAGAACCACTAGCAGATGATATTACCTATACTCTTGCTGCGGATGGATCCACAATCCCTACAGTCCTCGGCCCTTTTTGGCGGGCGAATGCGCCCATCCGCAACATGGGAGATAGCATCGTTTTTGGTATCGAATGCGGTGGCCATACTTATATGCACGGCCATATAGTTGACGCTCAAACACGAGAACCCATTGAAAATGCTGAACTCGATATTTGGGAAACGGCCCCCAATGGAAAATATGAGCAACAGGACCCTGATCAAGTAGATATGAATTTACGAGGCCGCTTTAGGACTGGTGCGGATGGCTCATATAACTTATATTGTCTGCGTCCAACGACTTATGCGATCCCGCAAGATGGCCCGGCTGGAAAGCTCCTTCAACTTCTAGACAGGCACCCGATGAGACCAGCGCACATACATTGCATAGTCACAGCCGCTGGCTATAAGCGACTGACTACGGAGCTTTTTGATAGGCAAGATGAGCACGTCCATAACGATGCCGTGTTTGCGGTGAAGGAAGACTTGATTGTGGACTTCTTGCCGAGAACCGGAGATCCAAAGGCACAATTTGATCTCGAGTACACTTTCAAGCTCGCACGTCTAAACCCCCAATCTTAGGTAATTGGTGCAAGAAACACAAGTCTAGGAATTATGATGTCTGGTATCTAGATCGGTGTCTTCACATGCCTTTTGTCAACTATAATAGCCTCGGCGTGTCTTTCCATTTATTCATGTCGTTATTGCCAAAGGCATTAGTATTATATTGTCAAAGAAAAAGGAGAGTGACCATTGGCTTATCTCGGTCATATATAAGTTTCCAATTCAATTCCCAGTGACAGATTTTTTCAGCATAGATTCATGAAATCATCGAAGCAGCTGCATGAAGTCGTTAGTAGTCAATTACCTAAGTCGTATAGTGAAATTCTTTTCAGGCAAACCTTCAATTCTTTTTTTAACATTACCAAGGCTGTCAGAAGTAACCGTTCTCCGAACTACTGGCACTTCCACATGACTGTGGGCTACTTATTAGAATCCAGAAGCAGTCATTATTTAATTAGTATATACGCGTGCAACTTGTGTGTTGGACAAATTGTGTATTGCTCTACGGTAAGATAATAAATGCGCCGCAGTCGCTACCATACACTTAATGGCTTATTCAATCCCACTCGCCTGGGTCAGCCGCCAGCTGACCGTTCTGTGACATCTTCATTAGCCCCTCCATCGTCCATGGCTCATAGCTATATCCTGGTGGAAGATTGGTGTTTTTGAAAGGTGCTCCGCTAGTAATGTGATTCAAGCATGCTTGCCAATTGTCATAGACGTACTGTTCGGGATCATGGTCACTCAGCCAGCGACCAATCGACTGGGCAGCAGCATATGGGTTCTTCTTCACATCTTCAAAGTCTCTTTCCCACTTCTCTCTATTTTTAAAACCATTCTTTTGAGCACAGGAAGTACGCTCGAACCTATTAAAGGAAGGTCAATGGCTTGTAGTCGAAGCGACGGAAGTTCGAAACATGGCATAGAAAAAGAATTTTTGGTCTTACCGTAGCTTGGTATGCATCCTTGTCGCAAGGGCTATATTGCTCTTGCCAGCAAGCCGAAGGGATGCAGCCAGCGATAGTCCATCCTCCATCGCTTGAGTAGCACCATTAGAAGAATTTGGTATGAACGAGTGCGCAGCGTCCCCTATTTTGACAATGCGCCCACCTGGAGAAGTCCAAATTGGGTCTGGGTCTCTCCAAGTGATCTTATAATCAATAACAGTGTTTGGTGGCGTCTGCTTTACCACCGCTAATACTTTCTCGTTCCACTCAAGGCCTGTCTGCTCTAGAGACTTTAGCGCATCTGAAGCGTTCAGGCGAGTAGACCAAGTCTCTTCAGCTTGCCCCTTATCCTGCAAAACTATTTAGTATCTAGCCTTGACGGCTCCAAAATCTAAAGGTAACTCACCTCATGAGTAAACAGCCATGTTGTAAGCTCGGGAGAAACCAAAATAATCATCTGGCCTTTAGGGCTAATGTATACTTGACAATAATCACAATCACCATCCTTGAGGGGATACTGTTGGGCAAGGAAGGGATCTTTGTGCAGAATTGTAGTGGGATAAGTGACTCTGTAGACCGACCAGCCACTGCTGATAGCTTTAACTTCATTTCCAATCGTAACTTTCCAAGCCTTGGATCCGATTCCGTCAGCGGCCACGATGATATCAGCTTCAAATCGTTCTCCACTATCGGTCATAGCGTATGCACGATTCTTTACATCAGACTCCACGTAGTCGACTACACGCTTTCCTAACTTAATAGGTATACCTAGCGAGGTGGCATAGTCATACAAAGCCCTGATCAGCTTTGGACGGCTCACAGGAACAGGTCTGTAGTGAGACTCCTCCGAAAGCTCAAAAGGCCCCCCTACAAATATGCCATCATAAGTAAATAAGGTCATAGCTGGTCGATAGATAATGCTACTATATGTCTTTGCCATGCCCGGCCATTTCTGAAATTGCTTTGTCACGGATGGTCCAATGCCAACGAAATCTCCTATTCCTCTGTCGTTAATCCTGTCTAAACTTTGTGATGAATGATGGAACACCTACCTAACTGGTCTATCTCGCTTTTGCTTTCGACTATCAGTGGGGAATGGCCTTGCCTGTAACATTCAATAGCAGCGTATAGCCCTCCTAGCCCTGCACCCACAATAAGTACGTCAATATGAGATGTTTGTTCGCGTTCCATCTTAGAGATCTCTATTACTGTCCCCAAAGCAAGGAACGAGGATTGTAGCGCTCAATATGTGTTGATTCGGTTATTAAAGGTTGTACGGCGCCGATTGCTGACAATTCCAGTTCCTGTCGTCACTTAAATTGGAGCCCGTGCCTTGGTTTCTCGGCGCCGAGATGTAACCTTATGGCAGTCTGCACAAGGGAACTACACATAAGAATCGAGCTTTTGCTTCGGCAGGCTTGGGTTGTTTCAATGGCACAAAGATGGCTACTTTTATCGACCCTACGACACAATATATGTGTAACATTATTCAGCAAGAATACTCTGCCTGCGATGTCAGTAGCTTGAAGCAAAAGGATAACAGAAGCAGAATTTAGTTAACAAGACATGTTCAGGTTTCAGATGCTCTGCTAAAACTGCATGTTCATGCTGCCGGCTTTCTTCCGGATATAGGTATATGATGCCTGCAGTATGATGAAGCATGCTGACCAGATCACCCCGCAAGTAGCACCACTGCTGGGATTCAATCAAATCTCTCGTCGAACAGTGGCTCCAGTGAGCACTCTGGCTCTAGTTCCAAAGAGTTGGACCGATTCATCCTCATTTCCTCAGCACCTTCCCAGAAAATCTAATATCCCCCAAGGGGAGAATTGGACAGACTATCCAAGTCCAGGCACAATTGTCTTAGTCCAGCAGCCGGGGAAGCATGTCTCCGCGATATTGGGAGATATAATGATCACGAGGCTACATCATCGAGGAGTTCTTGGTGTCGTAGCCGACGGCCGAATACGGGATGTAAAGTCCTGCACCAAAATCCGCAGAAACACAACTTTTCAGGTCTGGTCGAAAGGTGTGTCTGCTGCTGGCCCGTCTCTCGAGGCCAAGCCCTGGGCCATAGATGTCCCCCTAAAAATCGGAGAGACGTGGATTAAGCCTGGAGATTTCATATGCGCAGATGAGGAAGATCAAGTGATTGTAGTGATCCCTCGGGAGCACTTGCGGGCCGTCTATGAACTACTACCCACGTTAAAGAGAGCAAGCGACCGCGTCCTGGAAGATGTCGAGAGAGGATTGAGCCTTCCTGAGGCATTCGAGCGAAACCCCGACTTCTATAGCAACTACAAATGACGTTGAAATGAAATAAAAACTGCCTAAACATCAGATTTCTGCTGTAATTTGCTTAAACTAACTTAGCTGTCAGTGTTGGATTCGGTGAGCCAGCTTTGACACAGTCCTTCTTCTGCGAGGATGCAACATAAACTTGTATTCTCCTAAAGGCAAGGACTCCAGTCTGGCCTCCTTTAGGGCAGCTTTTATCTCATCGCCAAGTAATTATTTACTAGTAGCATTTATTAACTAGCTGGTACATGTATCTCAGATTTGACATTAGAAGGGATTAAGTAGGCCAGATGGGGGTCATTATATTGAGATAATTCATTTAGGGACCAGAAGTCGATCCTTCAATGAAGGTGTCTGTTCAATGTTGTTGAGATAATAATATCATCCACCAGCTCGGAGCAGAAAGGAGGGCTCAACGGAGCACAACTGTAGCAGTTAGCTCTGATTACAAATCGTTAATAATGTCGTCCCACAATCCTACCTGTTACAGAACGTAAGTTTTGTTACGCCCGCCAAATATGGCGTACCTGGGATGACAACCTAGGATGACTAACGATGTAGATTACGGATCAGGAACGCCACATGAAGTTCTCAAGATGGAGTTCCGGACTTGCATTACTAAATGCGGGGTTTGAAAGTAAATTCTGGGGGCGGGCTTACCCCAGCTGGTACACTAGTCTAGAGGATAAGCTCAGGATGATTGTTGTTGCAAAATTTTACGGGGAACAGATCCTCGCAGGCAATGTATTTCCTAAGCATCTCCATTATCAGCGTAGGCAAAGATATTGCGCAGCCTTAGTGAGAACTGGACGCTGTCATGACCACAATTGCTGATACAAGCCGAATGCGAAAGCCTCGAGCATGTATCCCTTGTCATGAGCGCAAGGTCAGATGCAACGCGAGCCATACCGGGTTACCTTGCACAAGATGTATTCAACATGAACGAGTTGCTGTGTGTGAACTAGTTCCGCTTCCCGACCGGTCTATTGCGTGAGTTGCATCAATTTCCTATTTGTAGGAGATTTGAAAGTCTGATTTAGACAAGGAGGCTTAAGGCACGCAAACGGCAGGCCAGTGACAGACGTATAGAACAGCAGCCTCCAGCTATCATCTCCAAGACAGCCTCTCAATCCGACCTTACAGATTTCGTTCCAGCAGCCTGTGGACTAGCACCAATTACGACATGTACTACACCGGAGCTCCGTGAACTATCTGTCAAGAGCAAGGGTAGAGACCAGGATACCAGCGGAGTGGCGGAAGAAGATTGTCAGCTGGAAACCTGCCTAAAAATGGCTCAAACTGAAGATGAACGCACAAATCTTACATTCGGTACATCTACGTCCCGTGTCCGTGAGATTTTTGCTTATCACGGAGGCATCGACCCTACTACAATCCTTGGTCAGGTTTTGAGCGACAAGAAACCACGCAGGTACATCAAAATCCCGCTACGTGAACCTCCCAATGTTGGAAACCAATCTGGAAGCTGCTTGGACATTAGATCAACGGCATATTTGCAAAGTATTGGAGCACTGGATATTCCTCCATCCTCCACATGGTATGTGCGCCCCCCACAATGGTATATCTCATTACACTCAACCACTGTGCAGTCAAAAACTTGTCCGGCTTTACTTCGAACGAGTATTTCCATATGTTCCAGTACTAGACCGTGTGTCTTTCATGAGAAAACTATCAGAGGGAACTTGCTCGATATTTCTGCTGCAGTGCATCTTAACAAGCGTCACGCCATATATGTCTATCGAGATGCTGTTGGAAGCCGGGTACTCAGACCGGACCCAAGCGCAGAGAGAACTCTTTTCAAAGGCCCAGCTGCTCTACGACCACGGCGCAGAGAGGTCTCAATTGCACCTCCTGCAAGGTTCTTTAGTGCTCACGGCCTCATATTTCTCATTCGGGTTGGATAAAGACTGCAGGTTCTGGTTAAGCAACGCTGTCCGACTTGCTACACAAATGGGCCTTCATCGGAAGCAAATCGTCGACCAGCTCGATGATGAAACCAAGAGATTATTTGTCAGAATCTTCTGGGCCATGTATTCTAGGGATGTCATCATGGTCATGGGTGGACGAGTCAACGTTCGTGCTCTAGATGAACGGTATATCGACATGGTTGAAGTTACTGAAGAGGACTGGGAATATGAGCCAGAACATCAACTGGCTCATTATGGGCTGTCTCCCGTTTCAGCACTTCAAAAATCATATCTCGTCCACAGCTCACGACTAGCCCGGATATGTAAACATTAAGAACTTACCGAGATTAGCAGTTGGCTAATTAGACGTCAGGTGCTCAGTATATCGAGCTATTTAGACGACCAGGCGAACCGCCGCCGAGAAACGCCTGCCGAAAGCTTGAGGAAAAGATATTTCACTGGAGAATAGGATTGCCTCCAGAGCTCCAATTTGAGACTGTGGATAATTGGTCACCTGAGAATGTGTGGGTTCTTCTTCTAAGAGCGATGGGGTACCGCTTGGAATGCTTTCTCTACAGAGACATGCGACTGCTGCTAAGATCTGAGTCGGATTCCCTCAGGAGCCCATTTTTGCAAAAACAACAAAGCGCCATGTTGGAGCTTGATTCCATCATTCATCGCATCATGCTGTATGACCTTGTAGGCTTCTTTCCGCTCTCCATGTATGCCATCTTTTCTTCTGTGAGCTTGCACACTCTAGCATTCTGTGAGCTGATGTGATCATCTAGGACCACATGCGCTTCCACTGTGATAGCCATGCATATTGAGTGCGCATTGAGCGCGTATTCTAGTGACACGCAACGGCAGTGGAGCCAGACAAGCATTCATAGTGGCCTTGCTTACCTTAGGGCAAGCTTACAGAACTGGGACAGTGTCAGGTGGTCCCTGCGCATGTTAGATGTCATCGTGTCCAGGTCGAGGCTATCTTTGGCTGCTCCAGAACATCGTAAGAAAGACTTGCCACCTGTGCGCAGCTGTCGGCGGGAGGAAGCCACTGGAGAAAATCAGACGGCGGGGTTGAGTACTACAAGGCAAGAAACGAGCCCAACACTTATCTTGGAGGAGCCTGACGCTGCCTGGGCCTCTATGCCAATAACTTCAATCTTTTCTGCAATGGAACCCGAGTTTACATTTGAGTCGATTCCACCGGATGTCTGTGAGAAACAGGGGTTTAGTGAAACGTTCGTCGAAGACGTACTCAGCTCGTGGGATTAGGTGAGCCAATTGTGGGTTTTTAATAGGGACTTACAATGATTAAGAAGTAACGTAGTCAACAGGGTCATGCAACGCACCAATGCAAGGGACTTTCCTTACTTGAACTTTAACTTCCTGGATAGCCTGATATATTGCCTTTCATGTTATTCCTTTAGTTTCTTGCTTGGCCGCTTTGTCTGATCTTTGGGCTTGCTTGGCTTCACTTTTTACAGCGTGCTCTGCCTTCTCCTATACTCGCTCCTCTTGTAATGCCTGATGTGCTGCAGCTCGCTGTTCGTTTTCTTAGCTGAATCTCGAGTTTTGTATTCACGAGCGATGGTGGTTTGCAGCCGATGGTTTTTAATAAATTGTATTTCCCGTTACTCTTCCGCCTGTTCAGGGTCTATTTGTCGCTGCTATACTAGCTCACTTGTGCTGGACTGAAAAGACTAGTTGACCACTATTCTCTTCGACATTAAAGACGTCTATATGGCTTCTCCCCATGTCCGGTTTTTATATGCTAGGTTGAGCGCAGTCAGTAGGTCCCGGTTTTTATATTATACAATCACATGTTTTGAGGACAGTCTCTCATCGGCGCGCGATAGCAAAGAAACTCGGGGATTTACTAGTCCTTCCTTGCGTAACTGGCGAGCGATTCGCTGAATCGCATGTAGAGAGCCTGGAGTCTTCATTGGCCCCGCTAATGATGTAGTTTGCGGGGGGAGTAATATCAGCATGGTGACAGATTTGGGACAATACAACCTTGAATCTAATTAGTAAGTTTATTATTCTGTTTGAAGTTTGATATCCAAATAAAATTTGCCATCAACTGGATTCGCGACTTATATGTCATTATAGAAATTCTAGAAAATATAAAATATATAAAACAGAAGTCAATTCACCAATGCAGTGGAAAGTAAACATTTAAGGCTGATTGATAAGCTAGCCCCGCTATCGTCGGTTGATAAGATTGCGGCGGGAAAAAAAAGACTCCAAGCTTCCCATTCAAACGACTGCCCAAATCTATTCACATATACCCTGAATTATTACATTGGCAATACCAGAAATTATAAATAATGCCTCATTCTCCGTCAAGCTCTACGCACTCAGAGCATAACCCTGCCGACCCGACAAGGTCTGCGCCTTTATCCCCGACGACTACCATGACATCTACAGACGACGCCGACGACACGGCAGTCCCAGTCCAGAACAACGAGAACTCTTTAGACGATATATTCGGCTCCTCGCCGCCCGCCGATAACCACATCACTGCGCAAATCACAACCAGCAACACCAACACACAAGACTACGCACAGAATACAGCAGAGCTTTCGGATCTTCCCGCCCTTCGTCGCCAGCACGTCACTGCGGGGTATCGGGATGGCATCGCAGCGTCCAAATCAGAGCATGTGCAAGAAGGGTTCGATGGCGGGTATCCTGTCGGCGCGCAGTTTGGACTCAGGGCGGGCACAGTATTAGGGTTATTGGAGGGGGTGATCAAGGGGTTGCAGGGGAAAGACTCGACGGGGCCGGTTGTTAAAAAGGGGTCGACATTGGGTGCGAAAAAGGGGGCAGATATAATAGAGCTAGGAAAGGAGAAGGAGGTAAGACGGGAGCGGATTGAAAGGATAAAAAAACTCTACAATACCGCAGTCAAGGAGTTGGATGTTGAAGCACTCTTTGGGGGTTTGACGGCAGAAGGGGAGGGAGAAGGGGGGATGACGGAAGAACAAAAACCTGAGAATCGACTGAGAAACAAGGCAGAGCCTGTCGTAGCAAAGTGGGAGAAGTTGGTGGGCGTGACAAGTTGGGAAGAGAATATGGAGGCGTTGGAAATGGAGGAGCATACGAGTTGAAACGAGCCAACTCAAATTTCAGTTCCCACGAATTTTGATATCAGCCCTCGTCTCCAGCCCTCTTCTCCAGCCCTTTTTGGTGTGACAAAACGCAACGTGGACTTCATGGAGTCATCGGTCTGCGCCTGTCCCAGCCCCATGGTTGATGCCCGTTACACGCCCGTTACACGAATGCCAAGGTCCGAGGCTGAGGTCTCGCAAGCCAAGTCCATTCGGATGAGTCTTGAACTCTTGAACTCCTCTGAGTTCTGTCTGAAACAGAACTGAATGCTGCTATCCAGAGAGATGAAATCTTTAGCATTGAAAGCCCGACCGGTTTATAGAGCCGACAACTTTTCTCACCATCTACGATCTTCACCGCACTCTGACTTTGGCTAAATGGTGTATACATACCACTAAATCCGAGCAAATTCTATTCTATTCAGATTCATTTCAAATCCCCCTAATATGTAGCTTCATCACATTCCTCAACTCAACAAAAGCGCAACGCAACAAGCACGTTGTCCATCCTCTTTGGGTAACAATATGCATCAGCAGACAGTCGAGCACGTATCTGACTGCATGCACATGTCATTTAGTGTTTAGCTCTGTAAGACATGATCTGACACGCCAACAACCCAATTGGTCTCATCGAGTAACTTCCCTTTCCAGCGAATATGTCTACTTTCTTTTTTCCATTTTTTCGGGGAGACACTGATTGGTTCTTATTCTTGCTTTAAGAGAAACTAAAATCCTGCCTGCATCTGAAATCCTTGATTCGTGCCGGATGTACAATGCATGCATGCGGATAGGCAGTCATGCAGCTAGCCAGAAAAGAGAACATTGTCTCGACGATTTGAAGAATTTTTTTCCCGCCCTCATCCCTCATTTTAGTCCAAGCCTACCTATATGGTGTACCGGAATTGTATGCACGGAACAATTACGTTACTCAATTGTGTGCCTTGCCGGAAATCGGGGAGTACGTAGATAAGGTCGATATCACTATTAGTGGATGTAGAGGAGGGAGAAACTCCGAGTCAATGTACAATCTTCTGATTTCCCGGTATCTTTCTTAGTCTTCTCTTTTCTAAAATTTTTTTCCTCTAATTACTGATTCAATAAAAGGAGATCCTGTAAAGAGTGAAAGAAAGATTGGTTGACAGATTCAGTACCACAGGCGAAAAGGTTTGAAATGAGTCGATAATCAAGTCTCAGGACCCTTGCACATCAGTGGCTGAATTATTAGCTCCTGTCTTGCCCTTTTCTGTCTTGATAGGGATAGAGGTGTCTTGCGGGGCTTGCTGTCATGTCGGTGTTATTGATTTATTATAGGTAAAATCCCTTACACAATATCCAATTGGACACTCTGCCCGGAATCGAACACCCGAAAATCAACTGATTGGAGGAAATAGGTAGTACATATATTATGCACGCCATATTTGTCATGTCTCTGGACAATTAATACTTTCCCTTTTTTAAGACTATCAGTACATATGTAAAGACTTCTACATAAAAGAATAGAAAGTTAGTATTTGGAATTCTGCGGGTTACAGAAGCAAGTGGATAATGGTACACAACAGACAATCAGTGCTGTTGAAGATATTTTGATTCAGATCCAAGAAGTTCAGAAGCTTCTTGTTGGATAGGTTCATCCATCTAGTTACATGCAGACAGGTGTTGACAGAAGAAAGAAAAAACACTCCCGCCGATACGCCTTTTGTCATCGTCATTCCCATGTTCGCCATTCTTGTAAACCCAAAAACTAGCCCAAACGCCAAAAAAAAAATAGTACATGGGGGATGCCTGCGATCCAACTTTTGTGTGCCTGGCCCGAGTCATCCCGATGAGGTAGGACATTAGGAAAATTGTGTTGGACGAGTAGACAGAATGAGAATGAAAAAAGAAAGACCGAGTTCATGTCAAAAAGAGTGATAGGCTCTAGATCGAGAGGTGAGGAATATCAAAACAGTCAATAACCAAACATAAAGGGCGTGTTATTACGTCAGTGCATGAAATCCATCATCATTTCCATAGAAAGTCTAGAAAATGTCATTGTCATGACCATTGAATCGTGAATACTAATAGCGGAGACCATAGAACATAAGCGTAAGTGGAACGTTAGCTCGTGCATGCAGAAACAAAGCTCAAAGAATAGTTATTAGTTGTTGCTGCAGTTCAAGGATCGCAAGGATCCCCACATTCTCTTGAAGACGCTTGTACGGTATATTGACGAGGTCTCCGTATTTGAACGCTGTTGATGGCAGTAATATTGGTGGATTGTTTCTGCCTTGGAGAATGGAAGAGACTCATCGGTCGCATTAGACCGCTGGCGGCGGCGGCTTTGTGCTTGAATTGCCGCAGCCGTCGACGTGTTGATCTCGCTTATTCCCTTTTCAGTGCTTTGTCGGGACGGCGATCGGGGCAGCGACGTGGTTGACGGAGCCACGAGGCGCAAGGTCTGTTTAAGGGGTTTAGGTAGTACATCGGAGACGGAGGTGACACTGACAGCTGCGCGATCGTCTAAATAAAGCGGCAAATGTGGAAGTTCTGGCGGTGGCGGAGACGTCGGAAGCCCTGCGTCTAGGGTACTAGTGAACTCCGCGTGTAACTTGGCGTCTGACTTGGCGATGCGTCGGAGCTGCACTCGACTTCGGACCTTCCGAAGCGTATCGATAGGCCCGCGGCGGGACTGTGAGCGCCCACTCACAGATTCCGAATCCGAGTCCGATTCCCACACAGATTGTTCTCCGTAGGCGACCGAGGTCGATGTCGAGGGTCGTCCTTTGGTCGAGGCATTGGTGGCCTGCCGCGTGATAGGCGGAGATGGATTTGCAGGGCATGGGGCTGGGCTGGGACAATCATGCGCTGGGATGAAGAGAGCGTGATCGAATGGTGAAGTGTGGGGCTCCATAGTGACTGGGTTCATGAGACTAGGCGGTGAGATGAGTGAGGTGTCAATATGGGATTTCGACCCGCTATTGTGACTCTTTTTTGGGACAGGGGTTGGGCCCTGGTTTTTCAAAATGGGCGGCAGGCTGGGGAGCGGCTTCGAGCGAAGAGACGATGCTGCATGCGCTGCAGATTCTTTGTGCACCATAACGAGCGTCTCAGATGAGCTATTCCCAAATCCAGGATTGGCAGCAGCTACACGATCGGTCGGAGTCGAAGGCCGTGTGCAAGCTCCCGACCATGTGTCAGGGGTAGCTACTGGGAGGAAGAAGCGAGGACCTTGAGTTCGGTTGCGACCAGCCTTTTCACTGTGGAAGGCTAATTGCTGAGTAGCTTTTCTGACCTCGTCGGGGCAATTGGTGCCAGAGCTTGTCGATGAGAATGAGCTACTTGGTGTGAGATCCGGAGTCACGCCGGAATCATCCGTTTTGATGGAACTGCAAGAACCTTGGCTGCAGTGGTTGTAATTTCGTTGCCAATCAGGTGTCGCGGGGCAGACAGGTGTTCGTAGAGGTTGTGAGTTGTAATGATCTGCCAGAATTTGCGTGGGATGATACAATTGACTTGGTATCGACGGCTGTTTTTTCTCGGTCATGTAAGACATGAAATACTCATTCTCCAAGTCTTCCAGCTCGATGTCCGAGTCATCTATCGTCCGAGTATCCCAGTGCTTTGATGTCTCCAGCGCTCGTTCCAGATAGAACGGGTCAAGATTGGGGTCCTCAGCAACAGCGACTGTTGTGGGCGACCCAAACTGATCGATCTCGTATTGCAAACCCTTCAAAGCATAACCAGTCAAATGGTTCCCATGAGCTTGGAGGTGGTAGGGAACCTTAGTATGCTCGCCAGCCATGGGCTAGGTAGTCGAGATAGTAAATGGTTTTGAAACAGCTGCAAAGGCACACATGCGACCCGTATCAATCCGTAGATAGAGAGATTAGGTGCTGAGTACGGAGAAATCAAGGCAAGTGGAAGAGAGATGATACCGGGGATGGAATCCAAGGGCGATGGTGATCTGTTTATACAATCCATAGGGAGAACAACAATCAAACAAAAAATTCAGCCATCTTAGAGGTGGCTGATAGTATCAATCTGCATGCCGATGCAAAGCTGTGTAAACATACACCAACCGCGTAGCCGCACGGACGTCAACAACCTATCACACCTTGCATACGTCCTTCACAGGGATGGGGATCCGGTAAGGTGGGCACCCTGTGTAAATGCGCTCGAGCTCTATTTCTGCCAAGCGCCTGGAGCAAGGAGTCATTGGCGGCCGATTCGGAAGAAAATCCCACTGCAGGCCCAAACACCTCCAATTTCGGGGTGCACAGATTGCAGGCAAGAAGATGCCCTTATCCGAGATTCAATATACAGTACTACTGCATATAGATGCAAATAGCCAGCAGAAGCCCCGGGCGTATACCTGATAGTCCTGATATTTCGGACATCCTTCATCGGTGAGCCCATGATATCGAGATAGCTCGATAGATTGCCGGTAGGAGGTAGTTTGCGACAGTACACATTCTATCGATCTTGTCAGCCATGCTAACGCATCTTTAGCCTCGCTGTGGCGCTGCTCCTAGGCCTGGTGGCTGCACATATTGGAAGTCTCAGTCTAGGCATCCGAGACAGTATGATGGGTTCCCTCGAAGCCACTGGATAGGTATGGAGAGGTAGGGGATCCACCCGGACCGACACTATCACTCACGGGACGACATCCGAATCTCCGTTAGACTCTAGTCTCAACTGTTCGTAGCTGCATGCAAATCATTTCGATGGCGAGGAATGAGTACCAAGCTGTTGGGAGCAATCACAGACGCCGCTGCGTCATCAGAGTAGTATCCGTGCTCGGTGACCCCGTTGCTAAGCAAGAAGGTAGGATCCCCGCATTCCAATGCTGTATGTACTGTGCTTGTGCATCCAGGGTACACAGATCAGCAAACTAATTATGTCTTGCAGCAGATTAATGACTACAGCGCCGACGACTCTACTCCTATCGTCGTGGTGGTTCGAGGCGTTTGGACGCAGGCCAGACGCAGCGACTCGAGTATCGACGCGTACCCGCCGTTGCTTCCTGGGTCGGAAGCTGATTCCGCCTGCTCGGATCCTCGATGTATCAATTATTATAAGGAGCAGAGGACGGGGACGAAGCGCAGGAAAGAATAGACCCCAGACACCCAGTTGTCACTGCTTGGAGGCGTGGGCTAGATGCTTCGGGCTGACCATGGTGATGGCAATAGCCATTGGCCACTTACTATCTCGATTGCAGACTCGATGTATAGGAAAACTTGTTGGCAGGCGCTCATCAAGCATTGCCACTGGCGCCGAATCAGGACGAGCAGCGGCTCTCGTGGACGGGAGACCTAAGCTCGCGCGGCAGCGGGTGTCTTTTACCGGCGCTGGAACGAGTGGGTACACACCTAACTTAGTTGTGGCTGGGCAGACGAATAGCTCGCCAGGACGAGGTTCCAGGGCAGCGTCGATAGCGGCAGGGATGGAGCTAGGATGGGCGAGGAGGAAGATCAGATCTGATAGCTCTGATTATCACAGTATTACTTACTAATATGCTGGCGATGCCTGTGGGGAAGGAAGGCACGGCCGCTCCTGCCAAGCCAGTCGCTCTAGAACAGCCTCATTCACGATCTATCGCTTTTCTCTTTCTCTCTCGCTTGCTCGTCCTCTTACTCTATGTCATGCTGTATTATTACAATATGTGACTATATTAACTTATGCTATATCAATAATCTTTTCGGAATCTACAATCGCCGCCCCTACAAACACCTTGACTATCCCCAATTACTTGTTCGGAGCCCAATCTGAGATGAGATTCACCTCTGTGATGCACAGCATCTCGAATTCCAGAAAACTGGGTCGCATTGAGTCTGCGCCGGGAAAATGCATACCATCGCTACTTGCAGCTTCGATCTCCCAATGAGACCAGTACCCATACGCGGCCAAAGCCAAGCCTGGCCAAGTACGCAAGGACGACAAGGCTGAGACGACCAAGGCGGCGTAGCGAATCAGGGTTTGCTGGCCCTCGAAACCTTTTTCTCTAGCATGGTTATATTCATCCATTATTGGGTCGCTGGTTAACCTGTCTCGATGGGGCCGGCCGGGTCTCAAGAAATCTCCGGCTGGCATCATTTCGCGCGTTGTGAGCAATCGTCAAGGGAGGTTTAAGAGCCCCCTTCCCCTGCGTTCAAACTCCCGTTTTAATGGCGCCTTCCCTTGCTTTTTGTCTAGGACAAAAACGTTAGGGTCATATATCTATTTATCCTCTTTGAGATGCTGCAAACTAGCTGCCGTGGCAACAGAGCAGTTGTCTCATCTTGAGGAAGCTATCGCTGCGAGGGCCAAATAATATATTCGATGTTTTCAACACGATGCATGCAAAATCCCGCTTCGCCATGTTATTTCTCATTAATAGTTCGACGATCGTCATGATGTCCGTTTACAGTTCGCACCGGATGTGGAAGTCACTTCCAACGGCTTCATCAAGACGCTCTATGCTATATATTGAACCCATTTCTACACATTGTTTATTAGTGCCTACACGTCATATCAGAAGAAAAGTAGTCCTAGTCATTGTGGTTAGTAAGTGAAAGCGCCGTGTTGGGACGTCGCGGTCCTGAACTTCAAATGGGTAAACGTCATTGGAGCGAAATAGACAGCCGGGAGACAAAGTCGCTATGCGCTGGCAAACGTGTATTCTGATCGCTAGAGCAAAGAATCACCGGCGATTACTCTCACCGTCATACCATATTCTAGCATGTAAGCACCTTCACAATGTCGAGCTAGCAGGGGGGCGAGGGGCAACAGTGGTGATCAGGACTGCCAACGCATCAGCCGTCACTGGCATCGCCATTTAGCGAGAACCTAGAAGCTGTGCACAGGAATCCAGGTGGTGATAGAGACCATGTTGTTTCTCTTGCTTTCGTCATGCGGCGGGGTTATACCCTACGCCGCCAGATACTCGTTCATATTAGTTAATAATTAACCAAGCTGTGTAGTGCAGATTTTCTCCTGTCTGCTGTTATATTTTTGACCATATTAAATAATATAGAGCGAGCAACCACCGCACGACACATGGCACGCGACGCCACAGCTGTGGCTAAGCGCGCTTTGTGACAGCGCATCGCCTGGTATTAGTATAAGTATAGAGAAGGAAACATAATAATAATCATAATACTTGCAATTCTGCTATTAACCGTAATGAGAAAATAAAATATTGCGACAGTGAGGAGGTGACTGCAAGACCAGCGGAGAGCGCGCCAAACCCAGTCTGGAAGTCCGGCCGCCTTACTGCCCTATCCTGCCTCTATACCAGAGAGCCTCTTAATCTTCCAACGCATCCTCGCCTACTGTCCACAATATCTCAGCGCTGCAATGGCTTCGTCCTCGCACTGCTGATGCACACCCTGCGCGTACAAGCAACAATTGAGTCGCGCCTCGACTCAATTGTTCGGTGGCTCCACCGCGTGTGTTCCCTCGCAGCTCCGCCAGCTCCCAGCCATCTCAATTAACGCACACCAGTCGATTTCGCCGACTGCTGCTATTCGACCAGCCACAATAAATGTCGTCCAACTCTTGCTGGCGTCTTCCCCCCGAACTCCCTTCCCTGGATTTCGACTTGAACCATTCTTCTTCGTAAGACTTCGCATTCCTGTTCTGCGCATCTTCCACCAATTTTCCATCCATTCCTCCGCTCGGCCTCAGTCGGCACCGAAATCACAAACGCTCCGCCAGCGAACTTTTCTGCGCCTGACAATTGAGCGGTATCCTCCGCGCAATTAATTCCTCTTTATTTCTTCTTTTTGTTTGGCGAAGCCTCCTTTATTGATTATCGCATTGTCTACTTCGCTTCCCTCGTCTACTGCCCCAGCCTCCGCCGTGCCTCCTTTCACTCGGGGAGAGCTTGACGATACCCACGAGATTTACGACCAGCCAACGATAACGAACCCATCGCCGCATCGCCACCAGCAGCAACAGTCTACTCTCCAATCTGCACATCGATTGTCTGTTCCTCCACGTCCATCAAGCGCTTCTGGTAGTCTCCGCCATTTGCGACGACGAGCCTCTCCAAGAGTTGAGAACCCCCAGTCAGCTACACATCGCCGTACCATCTCAGTCGATGCAGCACCGCAGCCTCGTCGCAATCGAAGTAGCACCCGCGCAACCGCAACCCCTCGTGGAGCTGGAGTCAGTTTTGCTGAAATAGCACCCGCGCTCTCCGAAGCAGAGACAGAAGCCGGTGCATCGACTTCTCAGGACTCGGTTCACCAGTTGGGAGAGTCGTACTGGCCTCAACGCTCGACAAGGGTCTCTCCGCGCACCGCCTCTGCTATTCTGTGGGCGCTAGAAGAAGCAATTCGCAAGCCGTTCCCATTCACCCCTGACTTTGAAGAGCTCAACGCTTCCATGTCGGAGCTGACTGGTGCGTCGGGACCAGTGGCAACTGGAGGCAGTGTTCGTCCCCAGAATGGAGGTTCGCGCTCAAATCAAGGCACCCGGCCAGTGCACACTGTAGTGCCGGCAGGTGTGCGGACTCCAACTGATATAATGCGGGATCGTCGAGATCGCGAGGCTAGAAAACTGGCAGAAAAAGAGGCCCGTGAACGGCAGCAAGAAAGGGAATTGAGACAACAACAAGCGGAAGAACGGCAGCAATTTCAGAGTCAACAGCACGCTGCTGCTGGCGCTACTGGAAGAAGTGATTTCACCGCACAGCAACATCAGGGCCCTGTCCGGCAGCCGGCCGTGGTTGACCCAGCCTATATCGAACAAGCTTCGGAGAGCCTTCAACAGCCAGTTCCAACTGGTGGTCGCAGACAGGAACCATCCCAACCGCCTGGAAATGGAACGACTGCCCAGCGACAGCCAGCAGGTCGCAGCCAATCAAGACCGGGGCCTTCCTCATCCCAACAACAACAGCCTGCGCCACAACCTAGACAGCAACCACCCTCGCAAAGCAACACACAGCAGGGTGTAGGTACATCCCAACCCCAATCGACGCAAGTTTCAGCTCCAGGCTCGCAATCACAAGAGCAGTCACGGCGATCTACATTTCCTCATGCCTTTGAACGATGGGAAACACTCTCATCACACTGGGAAGGGCTTACTGGGTATTGGATTCGAAAAATGGAACAAAGCAATTCCGAGCTAAGCCAAGATCCTTTGAATCAGCAGATGGCTCGGCAGATAAACGACTTGTCTGCTGCAGGCGCAAACCTCTTCCATGCGGTGGTTGAACTGCAGCGCCTCCGAGCGTCATCAGAGCGCAAATTTCAGCGATGGTTCTTTGACACCCGTGCCGAACAAGAGAAAGCTCGAGAAGTCCAGGCTGAGCTTGAACGTCAGCTTCAAGCATTGAAACTGGAGAGATCAGACGCTGGCGAATTACGTCAAAAGGCAGATGCCGAACGTAAAAAGGCCGAGGACCTAGTCAAAGAAATGCGTAGGGAACTACAGATCTCGAAGGAGGAGGCACGAAGAGCTTGGGAAGAACTTGGCCGTCGAGAGCAGGAAGAGCGAGACCGCACAGCGTCGCTCCGCAACGGCGAGCCTACACACGTTGGCGGTGTTCAGGTTGTGCCTATGATTACCGGGATTCCCAGTCGACAGAATAGCAGCGCAAACAGACCACCAACACGGGAGGGCCCCTATCCCGGTGGTCCTGGTCCTACGAGCATGGGTGGGCAGCCACGAGAGAACACGCAATACGTTGAGGAGGAAGAACTGCCTGAAACAGATCCATTCACGGAGACTCCAAGAACAGCCCAAACACATGCATATCCACCTTCATCGCATCCGCCGGGCTCCTCAGCCACTATTGTTGGTGGTACACCCAAGTCCCAGCCACCAGCAACGTCTGTAGGCTACGGGGAAACTCCCGGTCATTTTTACCAACATGGCGGCACCATTCTTCACGGAGAGCCAGAGGTTGACCAGCGGTCATATGTAGCTAGCACTGAAGGCAGTGAACTTGAGGAAGAGTACGCGGCGCAACACGGCGCAGAGTACCATCATGATGTTCAGAGTCACGAATACGCTGGCAGCGAGGGAGAATACGACGACGACAGCCAACAAGAGTACCCACCAACCACCAGTGGCGCCCCTATACCATACGGACAAACAAGTGTTGATTACAGCGGTTCAAGCTGGGGCGGCTGGGACTCGATAACTCCACGACACCGCCATCCCACACGTCTCAGTGACGTATTGGAAGAGGACGAACGAAGCCGAACCAGCCCGAGTCGAGCCAGCCAAGCCAGCCGTGGAATGCATTAAGAGGAGCCATAATACCGTACAATCTACTTCGGTTGTCTATATCTAGATTCTCATCCATACAATTTCTGCTTTTTTTTTAACCTTGGATATTGGAGTTTGATAAGGGGCTGGAAGCGTATGTCTTTTCTTCTACTGTAATTGCTTTTTTACCTACTACATTTCATATATTTCGTCTCTTTTCGTTCTTTTGTATCTTTCTCTTTAAATGCGCATTTTCAAGCATCAATAGTGTGTGTGTGTGCCCGATTGCATTCGCATGGATATGTGGATTTTCTTTCTTGGTTTTTTCACTAAAAGAAAAAGGACGTCTGCCTTTTGCTGCTTGGAGGTACGAGTCGATGTCTGGCTTTTCTTGCATATAGTCAATTCAGCGAGATTTCTTCATCCTAAGCACGTGATAATTTCGTATTTGATTAATAAGTTAGATAAATAGGCGGCATATAGGCCATGCTTGAGGCACCCAAGCACGTGCGAAGTAAACACCATATTTTTTCACCTCCCAATTCAACTTTCTCGAAGACCTCGATGCTGGCATTTGCATGTGGTTTAATTTTCAAATCTTGCTCATTTACACAAACTAATTGCAGAGGAACCCAAGGTCGGGACGTGAATATATATAGATATATAAATACTCCGGACTTTGCCGCTAACATCTTATGAACTCTAGTACATATCTGAGTTGGCATTTGGCAAACTAAAGACGACAGTGGTGTTGAATCCCCCCCATTCTAGCTAACTTGGGTTAAAATAACCATCCTCGAGAGGTTGAGTATAATCGATATCGTCGGGAGATGGGGTAGAGGCCTAGATGCCGAATTAGCTGAAGGATTCGTGAAGAATTAAAGGTAAGCTCAAAAAAAAACAGACCGAGGTGAATTCGGAGGGTGATGTAGCTGCATAAGCTGTATCTTGGTCTTCACCTATACTTGGGCTCACTTCTAGCGTATTATTACCAGGTGTTGCCGGGTCCCAGGTAGGCGTTCCCGAGTCAATCCATGGGTTATCGTTGGGTACGTTCGTTGGACTCTGAACTTCATGTATTCGGTATGGATCTGGCTGAACTGACTTTCAGCCTCTAAGTCAATTTCCCGGGGAGGCTATGACTTACACTCTTAGCCTCAGTCTGAGTAGGGTGTGGATGAGTGGCTTTGTATTCCTGGATAGCATCCACGATTTCTGTGTAATTCTTCCATTTTGCAATTTGAAGAGCGTTTCTATACCTATGCATACGGCCCAATTGCCAGTTTACGTATACCTCTACTTCAATATCGATACCTTCGCATTGGAGGAGTCGTTTAACAATTGCAAGATGTCCATGGAGTGTAGCTAGCAGCAAGGCTGTCCACCCGTTATGATTCCTTCTCAGATACCGAAAATTGCATGTCATATTGATTCCTGCATCACGCCCCGAATTAAGTAAAAGTGAAGCTACGGACAAGTGGCCATTTTTCACTGCGTGTAATAAGGGCGTGAAGTCGTCGGCATCACGACGGGTAAGCGGCAATTCGTCGTCTTCGAGAAGGTGTTGAACGATTTCTGCATTTCCATGGCATGCCGCATTCCGCAGCTGTGCAATTTTTAGAGCACTTTGCACAGATGTATGATGTGGAGATTCTGGAAACATGATGCGGATAATATCCTCATGCCCGCTCCTTGCAGCTTCGTGCAGAGCCTCTTCCACCTGTGGAAAGGCTATGTCAACGATGCATAACTGGTGGTCAATCAAAAACTCCACAACTTTGATGTGTCCATACTTTGCAGCCGTACCGAGGGCATTCAGTCTAGTTTTCGGGTCAGGTATGTTAGGATCCTGTCCATTTTCGACAAGATACTGAAGCGTAGACAAGCATCCATAACGGCTCGCCACGCTGATCGGCTTTTGCGTTGAGATTGACCCATCACTGTAGATATATTCTAATAGGCATCGAGCTAGGCTATCTTCATGACGAGCTAGAAGAGTCGAGACATGTCTTTCTAGCGCAGGTTCGTTTGAAGTATCCTTTACTCTCGGAATTTGAAGTACAGACTTAAGAATCGAATATTTCCTACTTAAACATGCCGTTTCAATGACTTGATAAACATATTTCCCGGGATCTAGAGTCTTTTCAAGAAGTAGTTTTACTATAGCGTAGTGTTGTTTTGCAATAGCAATGCCCAAGGGACTATCCTGTAGATATCTTTTCCACAAGTCCCTCTTCCCGACGACTCGGTCGAATAGCTCCTGTGTTGTGAATTGCTCAGTCCAGCGCTCGACAGCTGCCACATTACCAGTGGCGCTGGCATGCCACACATCAATGGATGTGGGATCTTGATAGATCGGAAACTCAGTATCGCCTGATGCGGAGAGTTGGTGCCATTTGGTGATATGTGCAGCAAGCTCATTCTTAGTGGCGAATCCTAGTTGTGAAGCCGGGCAAGTGGGAAACATGCAGAGAAACGAGCGCTCATGTTGTTGATCGTGCTGTATGCGCATCTTGAGGGATTCAAATCCTTCATAGAAGAATTTACAGTAGAGACGGGAGCACTTGAATATTCCCTCTCCATAAAATGCTTGCAATCGATGCTGCAGGACCAGATCTTCAACCGTGCACCGAATAGCTTCTAGGGCTAGCTTTAGATCCACCAGATAGCAATCGTCCGAACGCTTGGCTGCGGTTTCCGTTTCGTTTTTCCAATACTCAAAAGTCCGCAACAATTTGGCATAGAAACTTTCATTCTTGAATGGTTGCAGTTTGCTTTTCGTTTCCCTTGACACAGGATAGTCGAGATCCTCCTCTGAGGAATGGTGATCGAGGAACCTTTGTACTTCGTCAGCGAGCCGCTTGAATGATTTCGAGTCGTATGTTTTAATGTGTCTCATGCAGTCTTCCAAATGGTGTATCCAATTGACGATGGCGTAGTCGATAAATGCATAATGACCGTCCAAGACGTATTGTTTCAACACATCCCCGTCTAGTTTACTGTTGATGCAAGGATGGTTAAGATATCCTAGGCAGAGCTGGCACAGATCGTACGCTTCTTTGCTTTCCAGTACATAGTCTTGCTTGACAAGGTACAGTTTGGCTGTGGTGTGAACGAGTTCAATGGTCCCTCCTGCACGGATTTCCACCAGAGAACCACACAGATGCTTCGAGTCCACCCTTAACTTGCGCTTTTCAAAGTCGATAGTTTGTGTTTCCAGGTCTATCGCAATAGCACCTTGGATCTCGTGCCATTTTAGTGGACGTTTTGCACACACCAGCCATCCCAGCAGCTTACTGGTATACTTGGTGTCTGCGTCGCTGTCTTTCCTTAGAATTCGTGTGATAATACGGCCATAACTAAGAAAGAATTGTTAGCAATCGGTCGCATTATAATTTTACGCATGCGAAACCGCCCTACGCTTCATCTAATCCACGAGGGAATATCTCCAAACTAGTCTCCAGACTGAAATCTGCTCGTGACGCCTGATTGGAGAGGTTGTGCATGACCAGTCTCGCGAATAGAAACATCCCTTTTCAATGTCAGTGCCATTTTCCATAATATATGTGGAAACAAGTGTTCTCACCATCGGCATGGTCCACGACAGATGCTACCACAGCTTTCCGTTCGTCATCTAAAATTCCGAATGTATCTATCCAGGACTCGCTGAGCTTGTCGCAGTAGAACTTGATGTCTGCAGCATTGTCGTCGCTCGATATCTTGACAGTGGGTGTGTGTTTAAGAAATCTGCGACAAATTTGATCATCCTGGCTAATAAAGAGACAGCGAATACCTTCAGAGCCATTCTCGTTGATGGATTCTACTTCCTTCTGGAACCATGGGATGATCTTCTTAATTTCATCCGGATCGCATTCGTCGATACCATCAAGAACAATAAAGATGCGTGGTCTGCTTTTAAAGGCGACACTTAACATGCTTTGCGCCACAGATATCGAAGTGAGAGTCTTTGTATCGCTTTCTACAGCAGAGTTATAAAAGTATGGAAGTAAATCCTTGTTGTATCTGAGCAGCTGCCCAAGAAGACTTCGCGCAATCGAAATGAAGGAGTTTCGTTCCTGGTCCCCATGTTTACAGTAGAAGAAGAGGACGCATGTCGATGGGGTCTTTTGCAGCTCTTCTACAAGTAGTGATGCTAGAATTGTCTTCCCTAATTGGAATCAGGATGGAAAACGTTGAATTAAAATGCTCTTTACTCACCCGCCCCGGGAATACCGGTCAACCACAGCAGTGACGTGCATGAAATAGTCGGATCACACCAGGTACGAATATAGTTATTCTTCAGTATCCAGCTCCCTGTACCTGGATACTCAAATCGCTCCATTTTGTACTTCTCCTGGTCATCTGCAGAGCTGGCAGCACTCAGCCAGTCTCGTATAACAATTCGCTTCTTCCGATTCTCATCTTCCTTACGAGAGCGATATCGGTCCTGTGCATCCGCCTGGGATCTCCGGAACTCCGCAAACTGAAGAAGGTTTGCCTGGCTCTCCAGTAGCAACTTGTGAGACTGGAAATTTTCAATTATACGGGAGAACTTTGTACGTAAATTCTTCCAGGTCGCTTGGAATATCTGTCTCCAGACTACATTTTGGTATTAGCACTAACTTTATTGAGTCAAGTTCATTTCGATCTCATTCCTTACCCTTTTGCTTGAAAAATTTCAGAGCCTTCTTGTGAAATTTGAGAATGTCGCCATAAACCATGTGAAGAATTGTCCGCATGTGTGGATTGTCCTGGAAGAGAGTCTGGTACTGCTTCAACATGGGAAGATTCACCGCCATATCTTCGTACATCTCGAGCAAGGCATCGAAAGCAGCTGTGTAGGAGCTGGCAATCTGGTCCAAGTAAGCATTTCCATGCCTGTGTTCAGCTCAATTAAATCGTACTAATAAAAGAAATTTAATGGGACCCTAAAGAGAAATGCTCAGCGTCTATCGATTCCAAAGCAATGACTAAAACACAATCATACCCAGATATAGGCCACAAACATAGATGCGTTGAGGAAAACCTCGACAACCGTGCCGAACTGTTCCATTCTCTCGACAAAGTCCCGAAGGCGATTAAAATTTCGCATCTTCCTCTCCGACATTTGCTTATTTTGAAGCTTTGCAATTGCATCTCTCAAGTCGTCCGCCGTCGTCAACTGAAAGTCCTGATCTTCAGCTGCAGTCAGGCTACTTCGAAATTTGTCCAAGGCTTGACGGAAGACCGACTCGTCAATTGGACTAGCTGCCATGGCCGTGGTGGTGAAGAATCCATGAAGATCGAGGAGTACTGTAGATACAAGTTTTTTCTCTCTAATTTTCAATTGTTGTTTCCCCGGCACAGCCTCATCATGTGATTGATGAGCCGTGACAAGGCTACCTGCAAGGCTGTGTGCCGATAAACCCACCGAGCAAGCGCCTAATAACACAGAGTGGCGGTGTCATAGCACAGAAAAAGAAAAGAAAGCTGCCAGTTCATTCTTGGGATCGCCTTCCACCAGCAGAGAAAAGGCATCAAGCCACTCTCGCGATTTTTTTCTTCTTCGTCTGTCGTTCATAGGAGCTAATTACATGATTATAAAATGGATTATAGACGGGCAAAGAGAGGTATTTGCGACACTGACGATGTTTCTGAGAAAAGCCCTGTATCTAAGCGATTGGAACACCCGAAGACTGCCTGTTCAGCGCAATTCAGCACTTTTGAACATACTCCGCGCACCAACTCTTCCTGGACTTTCTCTCCTTACTGGCTTTCCGGGACCGATGATAACGAAATTAATACACCCTTGACCTCGGAAGCTTATAGTGACCTGAATGGCGATGCCAAGAGATATCCCGACGCTATGGCGCTGCTGTTCGAAGAAGAGATGCAATGCGATACAGCAGAGTCGGAGGAGATTTGCTTCGGAATGGTATGACCTCTAGCGTTGAGCGTTGAGTTTTCAATTGCTCTTTCGCTCACGTCGATTAAAAATATACATAGTTGTGCGAAGTCAAAGTGCGACTGAAAGACGACCCACGCATATTCGTAGGCACTGATCGTTTCGTTCACAACCCTGCAGACAACGACAAGTCACACCAGCTTCAAATGATCCATCGTGACAACCACATCGCAGTTCAATATACCCCCGAGGTAGACATGGCCGTTGTCAATTCGAACGTGACGAAAGCCATCAGAGCCCTCAATCACCTGAATGGACTCCGCTATGAAGTGCTGGCTTCTGCTGTCGAGCTCTCTGGAGCAATCTCGAGCTGGGTTAGCAAAGGAAAGACGACAGACTTCTATGTGGAGATTATTATATACGGCCCACGAGGATATTATGATGAAATAGGCACTATCTTGTCCAAGTTTCGCTTGTTCCTGCAGCTCCCACGATACCGTAGCGATGATATACCCTACGAGAACCCCCATGTCTGGAAGCTGGATTGTCTGCCGTCCCCGGTTTTGCCTCTGCTCTCTACAGATCCAATGCCAGATCACGCAGCAAATCCGATTACTGAGGCCAATGCTATACTAAATGCTCTTGACCAAAGCGACTTTTTAGACTTGGCTGTTATTGACGAGAGAATAATCAAAGAGCTACTAAGGTAGGAAGCAATCTAGGATCCGCATAAAATCTCGCATCTTCATTAACAAGAATAGTCACCAGAGAACAGGAGTCGATTTTATTGCGCAGCGAGAGGGCTGGCGACCCTCGTGCTTCTTCTCATTATGGGAACCTCGAAAGAAAGGTCTCATGAAATTGTCAGTCACTACTCTACTGCTCTTCACGGCCAGGATCTACTAACAGTCTCGACAGCTACGAACATAAGATTACTGGAACAAGGAACTCATGCGAACCGCGAGAGACAATAGGGGGCATTTTAGCCGATGAAATGGGTCTCGGAAAGACCCTGACTGTTCTATCTGCCATCGTAGGAAGCATGGAGCTTGCGGCATCTTCAAACAGTGTGGACTTACAGTCTGGAATACCATTCAAGCCTCATGGATTCAAGGTCAAGGCAACATTGGTAATTGTTCCTTCCGTGTGTAAGTTCAAATGGTGCTTTTTCGCTCTCAGACGGTCTGATCCTAGACTGATATGAAAGTTGATAGTGCTCATTGATGAATGGATGCGGGAGATAAGAGAGTAAGTGATTTAAACTGGCGATTTGCTAAAAGCAAGAGTTGAAATTATAGTAGACATGTTGCCACCGACTTCCTCAGGGTATTAAGGTATCACGGGTCCAGCAGGGGAGGTGATGACGTTGACTTTTCCAACTACGATATTGTCATCTCGACATATGCTACGATTGCGACTGAGTTTGGGCGTGGTGCGAGCCAAATCCACAGTGTTCAGTGGTTTAGGGTTGTTCTCGACGAAGGTATAGGCCCATTTTCGTGCGTATGTGAATTTTACTGACATGACACCCTTACACCAGCTCATTATATCCGACACCAGAATACAAGGCAGTACCGAGCAATGTCTGCTCTATCTGCATCCTTCCGATGGTGTCTAACGGGGACCCCAATCCAAAATTCTCTCGAAGATCTCGGCGCTTTGGTGCGCTTCCTGAGGGTACCTTTGCTAGATGCTAATGACACATTGCGTCAACAAGTACTGCGACCAGCCGAAGCTGGTAAAGCAATTGGATTCACCAATCTTCAATCATTGTTGAAGTCTATCTGTCTTCGACGCACCAAAGAGTTGCTGAATCTAGATGAGCCCGAAGTAACCCGATGCGAGCTGGCGCTCTCCAGTCAAGAGAAAACTCAATATGACCGCATAATCAATGACTCAAGGCAAGAAATAGACATAGCTGTCAGTGATGGCAGGTCAGGAGAGGCATATCGCGGAATCTTCAAAGTCATTCTTAAACTTCGATTGTTATGCACGTACGGCACATTCTACACTTTGTGGCAGAAGGCGGAAGGAGATGACTCCAACAACCCCGAGGAGGAATTTTTCCTCTTACAGCAGTCCGATCAAGCGATGTGTCGGCTGTGCTCATGCGATATCGCCTCGATCAACGACCCAAGTGACCCAAACTCTGGCACTTTTACCAGTTGCTTCCATCTTCTGTGCAACGATTGTCATGTGCAGTATAAAGAAGAGATGCCAAAGAAAAAGAAAGGTCGAATGCAGCTTTGTACGATATGTCAGGAAATGGGTCAAAAAGCTTGTTCTGTGAAGAGACAGCCTAAAAAACATCGGGAGCAGCTCAGCCTGGATTACATAAATCAGGGTCATTCAACCAAACTATCCAAATTGGTAGATAACATTTCCCAGCACAATATGAGTGATAAAGCGTGAGCTTGACAGTCTTTCTTTATCTCCGACTCTGGACTAATTTTCGATAGCATTGTCTTCTCGGCATGGAAGGGAACATTACGTATAATTGCAGGACTGCTAGCAGCACGCTTTATTCCAGTCCTTCAAATCGACGGCTCCCTTTCAATAAAAGAACGACAGAAAGTTTTGACCAGATTTCAGCAAGATGCCCAGAGAAATGTGCTCCTGATGACTCTTGGGACTGGAGCTGTTGGGTTGGTTCTTCCCATCTGCTTGAGCTTTTTCATCGATAGATGTCTTGCTGATGGCGCGTGCAGGTTAAATCTGACGGTCGCAAACCGAATCCATCTCGTCGAGCCCCAATGGAACCCTTCGGTAGAGAATCAGGCAATTGGACGCGTTCTGCGGCTAGGACAGCAAAGAAAAGTATACGTTATACGCTATATCGTGGAGAACAGCATTGAGAATGTGTGTGATGCTTTTCAATACTTCCATTGACCCTATGACACTGACTTTGGTAGTATGTACAAAGTAAACAATCCAAGAAGATCAAACTAGCTGAAGTTGGCTGGAGTGGGGAGAGCCAAGACTTACAGAATGTGCTTGTGAGTCCAAATGAGTGCTGATCCCTGTCAGATCCTGCCTAACTGACTGAACCCATGTTGTGAAAATAGAAGTTACGATCTGTTCTTGACTATCAATAGTCCGTTGAGTAAGCCGGGCAAGGCATATACTGCATTTTCATGCTCCATTCATGGTGATGACAAGCGTCAAACATTTTAACTAGGAGCACCAAGAAACTCCACAAAGTAGAAATGTTTTGATTCAACGGATTATATCAGGGAGTCGGAGGAGATTGTATTGCTCCATCAATGTGTTCTAGCTTCAACGAAGAGATGACCTGACGTCGTTCTTCGGTGTAGCTTCTACAACTGCGTAGCCAATTCCTATCTGTATGTTCCGCAGCTCAACTCGATACCACTCATGAGGTCAGGTGCATTTACAGGCAGAGCCTTCAAGGATAACAAGACACTTGCCTCAAAGTGTAGCGATATGTTATGACCGTTCCACCATGTTATGCTTTCAGTTGAATGTGACTTGGTCATGACTGATTCCCATCTCATAGTGGACGGCTTTGTCGACAAAAAGCCTTTATACAACATTTGAAGCCTTTTGATTTTGAGACGTATGTATATATCGATAGATCATGTCTGAGACGGAGGCAAGAAAACCCCGATAGATGCTGATATATTAAATTCTGGCATCAAACGACCCGAGATTAACCGATCCCTTTTAATAAAAAATTAGATATTATGGTGAATTTGTTCTTATACAAACTCATTTACACTTGTATCTGGATAATTATTTAGATTGCATGTCTTCTACGGGTAGAACTAAGTAAAGTACAAATTACCTAGTAGCATACTAGTTACTTAAATAAAGTTAGTGAAAATTAGAGTCTTAAATAGAAAAAAGCAAAAAATAAGCAAATTAAAAATTAAAAAACATTCTGTAGCGAGAATTCACTAGTGGTCACTCGCCTAACCACTACAACTAGCCGGCGAGTGGCTTATAATCTTATACGTACGGTTGAGCGGATGGGAATCCCTGTTTTCTGCACATGGTCATATGTGCTAAACAGTGGCTTGAAAAATCTTATAAGCAAAGGTTTCGGGTGAGATTCAAGGCAATAAGTTGTTGAGTGTTAATATCAATGATGAATCGGCGAAGACTTTCTCGATGTCTTCCCTAGATGTGGCGACCAGTTATTTTAGCCTGGAAATTAAAACCAAGGAGAAACCCCATTGTACTGTCCATTATTTTTGATATTAATGTACGGCACTAGTTTGCGCCCTTCAATCCTTTTCGACGTTTCCTACGCTTCATGTCAATTTTTCCTATCATGTCAAGCATTGACCTATGCATTACATATCATCGCATATTAGATATAATACTGAAATCTCACTACATCGACAATCATAGAGTTACTCTATAGTGAATATACACCAATATCTGGTATGTTTAAATTTATTTGCTTATCACGCACCTAATTTCCATGACCGAAATTACTTCAGCTGACGTAGCTTATGGTCCATAATGTCTCAGGGTTCTCACGCTTACTGATCCTTTCGATTATTGGTCAATGCATAACGTGGCAAGTCAGGTACCTTGCAAGGGCCATTTTAGCTTCCACGTAACCCCCATTCTTGATCTCAGAGTTTTCGCCCCCGGAAAACCTACTTACGCAGAAACGATCAACTTCAGGCATACAGGGTCGCGAAGATTAGATCTGTTCAGGAAAACCTGGCAGTCGATCCTACATCTGAAAAAATTTTGGGATAGGGGGTGAGATGGCTGCATAGCCGACATACCCGTGGGCTGTATAATATGTTAGTTCATATTGACTAGGCTATATGTGAAAGCTGACGCCTGCATGGTTAATTTATTAAGCAATTAATATATGTCAGCTGATTGGGTTGGTAGCGCCACAGAACCATGTGTTGGATATAACATTGACCAATCCCTTAGTGGCTTTAAGGTTAGTGGTTAAAATGTGACATCCTAAGACGAAGCTACTCTGGTATGTGGTAGCAGAGCTATCAAAATAATGTCCTACTTTCAGGCAACCCCTGCAGGCGGACTCGTACCCCTCAGTTCGGAGCATATTTTGGTACCGTGCCAGACCTCTGCATGATTACGTTCCAAAATTCATTTCTCATTTTGGAGTCTAGTCTATATTACGAAACCATATAATTAGTCTCCTCATAAGTTCAACGCTTATGCGTGTTTTTACTCGACACTGATTAAGTCGTCGGTTGGATAGCTGTTTATGCTCCGAGACACGAGATATCGATACGCCATAATCATAACTTACGACAATAATATTATCTGATTTTGTGCCCAAGAATAAATTTGAAGCTTAAATAGCTAGTTATTTCGGTTACTTGCGCTACATAACTCAGCCGTATTTTCCTAAACCAAGAAAAACAGAGACAAACGAGTGTTACTTTAATCTTGAAGTATTGCAGAAATGGAGGCTTCTATGAAACTTGGTCCTCATAGGCTTATTCTCAATATCTTGGACCAGCTCGCACAGAGTGAACCAGACAAGGTGTATGCTGAGCTGCCAATATCCCTCACAGATTTCAGTGCTGGGTTTCGCCATATTACGTACCGAGTTTTGGACAACGCAGTCAACGGGGTTGCTTGGTGGCTCACGGAGACGTTGGGACCAGCGCAAGATTTCCCAACTTTGGCATATGTCGGGCCAAATGATCTGAGTCATAATCTCCTGCTCCTCGGAGCCATCAAAGCAGGGTACAAGATGCTCTTTTTCTGGCCACGCTATAGCACCGAAGCTCAGGTCAGGCTTATGAAGGCAGTTGATTGTCAAAACATCTTGACCTCGTCAGTATCATCCCCGCTGTCACAGTTAGTCGAAACGATCGCAAAGGAGCATGGAAGTGCCAAGGTCACCCAGATCCCGGAACTAGCCTCATTCTTCGACGACAAGCACCAGGTATTCCCATATAAAAAATCCTTCGAGGAAGCCCGGGGAGATCCTCTGGTTGTGGTCCATACTTCTGGCACAACCGGATTCCCTAGACCCATTATCTGGAATCATGACTGGGCAGCGTCCTTCGCGTACCAGAGATACCTTGAGCCACCTGCGGGGTGGGAGAGCATTGATCGCCTGATACTTGGGAGACGTGTGTTAAGTCTAATGCCTCCCTACCATGCCTCCCACCTATTTGCCAGCATCTTGTTCACCTTCTACTGTGGTAACACATGCATATATCCCCCGGCACTGGCCCTACCGACGGCCCAAATAGCAGCTGAAGCGTCCAGCTATACTGAAGTCAAAGCCATCACAGTAGTTCCTCCACATATTGAACAGCTAGGTGCCAATACGGAACTCCTCGACACCCTTGTCAGGAATGGTGCTGAGACTGTATTTTGGGCCGGTGGACCCGTATCTTCGGCAGCTGCAGACGCTGTATCGTCTCGACTCAAACTTTTCAATACATGTGGCTCGACAGAGATGGGTATGTGGCCAGTAATTCGCAAATCCGGACCATGGGATCCTAGTATCAGTAGATACATGTGTTTCCATCCGCAGGCCAACGTACAACTTCGACCGCAATCCGAAAACGTGTTTAAAGCAGTAGTCGTTAAAAATGACTCTGATACGGAGATACAACCTCCATTCCCTATATTCCCATCCATAACCGAGTATGATAGCGGCGACCTTTTCTCTCCTGTTGCTGAACCGGACAAGGATTACCTCTGGTCTTATGTTGGCCGTTCTGACGATATGCAAGTGTTTAAAAATGGTCTAAAATGGCATCCGACTGCAGCAGAACAAAAAATTATTTCCGATAACCGAGATGTGATACAAGAGGCTCTTCTCGACGGTACTAATCATGCTCATGTGGTTTTGTTGCTAGAGCTTGTATCTGAGTTTTCTAACAAGCTAGCTGCTTTGCCGGAAGGCGAACAAGCGAAGGAAAAGGCAGCGATCCTGGACGGTATTTGGCCCACCATCGAGGGGATTAATCGCGTTGCTCCAGACTGGGTCCAGATTGACCGGCAACGGGTTGTCTTTGCTGAGCCTGGGAAGCCGTTAGCTAGGACAGCAAAGGGTAGCATTCGTAGATTGTTCGCTGTTACCGATTATAAATCTCAGATCGATGACGTTCTAGAGAGTGTTGGCGTGAAATCGGAGGCTTAGTTGCCGAGTTTCAAACCACCCTGATGATATATCGATATATACGACAGGCATCAATTGATGACACGATTATAGTTAGAGGGACTATGTTTAAGACTATTTTTAAATGTTGAATTTTGTAATTTTATCGGAGTTCTTTTTCCGTCTCTTGATCCATTTATTAAATGATAATAATAAATGATACATTCACCAGATTGAAATGATATCATTGGATATGGTGGCATTTCTGAACGTAACTGAAAACAATATAGTACAAAGCTAGAACTACTAATGTCTTTCCTCAAGGACTAGACCAATCGACTCGTCATCCACGTCTTTAGATCCCTTCAAACGTATAAAATTGCTGGATTGACTAAGCTCATAACCAATTCGAGAATCAGTATTTAATCCCGGGTTACTGTTTGTCCCATCACGCGATCGTTTGACTTTAGTCGCAAGGCCTGACCTGTGCCAGATGAATCGTGCAAGGGGTCTATAAGTTGGCAAACAACAGGCTATCAAATATACCCCGGCCTCAACGTTGGTCCAAATAATAAGTGTAGACGCTGACCATGTTGGGTCCGCTACCGCATTTGTGTTGAAAAAAGTGACGAAACGGAGGATGGAGGCCACGAGTCCCCTATAATGAGGGTAGGACAGCACGAGTTAGAAAAGAAATGCATTAAAAACTTTGCATTATCTGACTGCAGTAAAGCAAAAAGTGATTTTGTGTATTTCTTACAAGCTTCCCATAGCAAATGTGAACATGATACCCAGTTTCATTCGAAAAGAGCACTGCAACTGCAATACTGTCGGGACTGGAAGGACCATGACGATCACGTCGGTTATCATATTGACCAAGCTCGACCAACGGAACCATGCATTTGTGTCGAAACAGTGGCCGTGAGGGCTTCTTGCTGGATCCCAGAGATGATCAAGAGGAATACAGCTAACAAACCCGGCAATGGTGGCGGCTGCCCAGTTTGCGACGACGGCGCCGGCAGTAACGTAGCAAATGATGCGGGCTGTCTGGGAAATGAATATATTCAAATATAAATCAAGAATGGCGAGTTTCGGCGGAACGACGGCGGCTAGGTATATAAGTGGGATAATGAGGACATATTTCCCCCAAGTCACGAGCATTTCTGGGTTGATCTGCTTTACTCGTTCTGCATGAAGTCCTACACCACCGAATTTAACGTCCGCTATCAAAGAGACGTTGGTAAGCTATCGTATCAATAAAAGCACGATGTATTTGGTATTTCATTATTCATGTCATTTCTTCAGGTCCACGCACTCTTTGAATTACAACGTACCGAGGGAGCATCCTATCATCGCTGTAATGAGCACATAGCCTAACAAAGTGAGGTATTCCCCCCATCCCCATTTTATACCGTTCACCCTCCTAGAAATAAGCCGGAGTACAGTTGAGAGTGTATTGAGAGCTAAGAAGACGGCACAAACACCCCAAATTGTCGGCCGCTTGTCTTCCTCAAGAAACCCAGGCGAGGGTTGCTTGGCGGAAGACATGCTCTGAATACGTGATTGTGTTAACTGAAGCACATGGGCACAGCAAGTAAAAGAATATATGACAACATTTGAAGAGGAAAATACTCAAACTCGAAGGATTTAGGCCCTCCGTGCCGTGAAGAAAATCGTTCCTGGAGCTGGGGCGGTTGTCATGAGGTGGTGTTTTCGGGGAACAGGGGTCTCGCCATCTAGGGCGCCACGCGCCGGGATGGTGTTCGCATTGAATTTTGATTGGAATAAGCAGAAGCCAGTGTCTTATTGCAGCTGGTGGCGGTTATATTCCCTGTCCAGGTGGTATTGCATCCATCCATCCTGCATCATGTATAGCAGTTGTATTGATCATTGAAACTCCCGCCAATGATAGTTGTCATGCACAACACTTTCGCTTCTAATCCATGTCTTCCGCCGTTATTCTGCATAATTTTCCGAATCAATTGCTGATACGAAGCCTAAACTGGGGCCCTACCTGTAATCATTCAATCCGCAACAGCGGCGTCAGGCAAGATGCATAATTGGCCTATTTATTAGGTCTAGAATCACCAATCACCATATATCAAAGAGACATTGTTGGTTTGCATGCGCGCTACGTGTGGTAAAGCTGCATTTGCTGCGGGAAAATGCATATTAGGGGCCATTAAGGGTATTTGGCGCTTACAGAAATGATCTAGAGCAGCAAGCTTAGATTACCACCTCTTTGTTTGCGTAATTAGGTTCGGGCACGAAGATCGTAACGGAACTTGTAACCGATTCGATGTTGTAACTTAACCAAACTATTAATTAGTTATTTACCTCTTTGGCTAAGGCCTTCGGCTAGCACGGCCTCCCCATAGTTTGCGGGAAAATAAGAGCACCATATAATCATGTCTTTGGAGGGAATGAGAGACATTCAAAGCGAGCAATGTGAAGCTGGCAAGGCAATTTTTCCTTCCATCGATGACCGCCATTCTGCTACGGATGATCTAGAACCGGAAAATCTGTCGAGAAAGGCTTCCTCGAACAATAATGATGTAGGAGATGCGCAACAGGATGATCGCGAGTATCTTACCGGCTGGAGGCTATTGCTAACCACTATTGGGCTATTACTCTCTCTACTCCTCGTAAATATGGAGGTGTCGATTGTTAGTACTGCACTTATCAGCATAGCGGCCGATTTGAGTGGCTTCAGCACGTCAAGTTGGATCGTCACCGGTTTCCTGGCATCTTATACCGGCTTTTTCATTATTTGGACCAAATTAAGTGACTTCCTTGGTCGTAAAATTGGCATCATCTCCTCATCTATCGTCTTTATTGCCTTCTCAGGAGCCTGTGGTGGCTCGTCCACCATGACACAGCTGATCGTCTTCCGCGTGTTTCAGGGAATAGGCGCCTCGGGAGTCTATGGGATATGTGTCTTATCCATATATGAGCTTGTGCCTCCATATAAATTGCCTATGTACGGTTCCATGGTAGCCGTCACAATGGCTTGTGCAACTGCAGCCGGCCCACTTCTAGGCGGTGCCATTACGGACGTGGGGCATTCCGTCTGGCGATGGGTCTTCTATCTGAATCTGCCAGCGGGAACAATTGCTATAGGCTTGATTGCTATAGCCATGCCCGCCAACTTTCCTAATGGAATTCGCAAAACACTACGGCACCAGCCTCTGGGCAACCCTCTGTCAAGCAGACAGTGGGGGTCTCAACTGGACATAGGCGGTGCGACCCTCCTTCTTTCCGGGACGTTTCTCCTCATAATCGCCCTTTTTGAGGCCACCACCCGTTTGAGTTGGTCTTCCACCGTCACCATCGGCCTGCTGGTTGGTTCTGGTGTCTCCTGGGTCGGCTTTTTCCTTTGGGAACGGGCTGTGACGCTTCGTGAAGGCAAGATTCAGCCGGTGTTCCCCTGGCACTTTTTCTTCAACAGACCTTGGATGGGAATGTTGCTGGTCTCCTTTCTGGTGGGATTTCCCTTTAATGTCGTGGTAGTCAATCTTCCCCAACGCTTCCAAACTACTTTGGACCTCAGCCCCTTCGAAGCCGGCGTTCGGTTGCTACCATATGTTTTGGGGTCGTCCTTTGGTGCTATTGTCTCTAACGGCATCTGCTCAAGACGCAATATCCCCTTCATCGCTCTCTTCTTTGTAGGTGGCATCATGCAAGTCATCGGACTCGCGTTGCTAGCCACACTAACAACTGAAGCCAACTTCCCGCATGTGGGATATTTCGAGGAGACTCTGTGTGGAGTTGGTTTGGGCGTCGCGTTTAGTATTCTCATTTTAGCTACGCCATTCACAGCTGATAAACAGTATTTGGCCGTCGCGACAGGGGCAATAATCCAGCTGCGCTTTCTAGGAGGCGCTATCGGCCTAGGAATTGCTTCAGCCATAATGAACAGTTCTCTTCGATCTCAACTTGCTTCGGTTTTGTCCTCAGAGCAACTAGGAGCTTTGTTAGATAACGCTGAAGTGATGACTAGATTCAGCCCTACTGCCAGAAAGGCCATCCAATTAGCCTTTGTGAAGATATACAATCAACAATTAGAGATCATGACAGGAGTTTCAGGGGCACAGCTGCTCGCTGTTTTCTTAATATGGAAGAGAGGCAGTCAACTGAGAGCAGCCCGACAAACGGCAAATTGATTGATATAACGTGTAATGGATAGCAGGCGGATCATATATTTTTTTGTGTTTGTCAGGCTTTGGCAGCTATTTGTGTGTAGGTCGTTGATTGATTTAAATCAATTTTAAATGCCGCTTGAAACTGGCGGTTATTTTCCTTTGATCTACTGTAATATCCGCCGTCAATAGAGTTATTTATATTAGGAGGAATACGAGGAAACAAAGGTCTTTCGTTGATATAGCGAGCGCTGAAAATAATTTACTAAATTGAATCGGATTTAACAATTTGAAGCTCGAGCACTTCCACTTGAACGTCACATCACAGTCGCATGTTATTACACGTGCGGCAGGGAACAATATTGGGAATAATATCAATCGCTGAGGAATGTTTTTCCAGCTTGGAGATTGGGCAACATGGAAAGTTCCTATGAAACCAAACTAACCCTATCTAATGTCCTTCGAATGGCCTTCACAGCCCCGAACACAGCATACTTGGCCCGCCCACCGGGAATAGAATGCCCTTCATCATGTAGAAACATTGTGCTCACTTTTGGGTCACACAATGCATGCAGCACCTCGCTTGTTCCTGGCCATACGTTGTCGTTCCGTCCCCATATATGCGCCGTTGGGAAGCCTGGCAATAATTTATCACCATCTTCCTTACTCAACTGTTTAATCTCTCCACACTCAAGTGCTTTTGGGTCAAATGGCATGCCCCCACAAAAGAAGACTGCACACTGAAATGGCAGTGGCTTCTGCGGACTTTTCAGTGCCTGTCGCATCAAATACGTGGCCACGAGAGTGGCACCTTGTGAAAATGCGATGACTCCATCGTAGGGACCTTCAAGCTCGAGGAAGCTACCCAAATTGTTCAGAGCTTTATGAATAGTATCCCCAGAATAGAAGTCAAAATATTCGAAATAGGAGCCATCAATGGGGAAGAACTGATGAAGCTCTGGAGCTAGAGACGCTGGCAGCGTCCCTTCAACGAAGTCATAGGTGTGAGTGTTATCTAGTTCATATCGAATTGTGGCTATCCAACCCCCAAGATGTCTGGTTAGCTCCAGAGCATCTATTAGACGCACTTGGGGATACTTACCGATTTGGGACTCCATTATCTATGCATGGTGGTCAGCACTCGTCGATCTTCTCCACGTTGGATAGTGTCATTTATGGATTCAGGCGTACCTGGCAGTTCGTTCCCATGCCATGCAGGCAAAGAAAACGCATTTTTTCCCTTTCCGTTATAGTGTGTCTGAAAGATGTGAGTTGGGAATATTGTGCACTGTTGTATCCCTATTATTATTGTCCTTTAACAGTTTGACAATTTAAAATGTTGGACAAGAAAAGGATTTGGGGCGATGACACTCTTAGAGGACACGGGTTAGATGGTTTGGCTAGTGAGTTGGCAGGATGAGCGAATCTTGCTTTGGGAAATAGATGACCACCCTTTTTCAGCTTCTTTCAAACAACCAACACGACGTTAATCGGATATATGTCCCTTTATCGAGGAATTATCTGCTTCCTGTCTCAATACTACGCGCCAAATACTAGCTTAGCGCCTGACGTGAGATAGATGACCAGGGAGTAAACACACGGACAGTGCCGCCGTGCTCAATAATAGACTTCTCACAGGCAAATTTCACGGACCATATCTTAATGCTCCTGGGGCCATTCCTTGCATAGTAGGGGCCAAAATATCCAAAGTTGTTACCTCGCTTATCAAGAGTGTATTGTACATATACATACATGTAATATTCTGCCGTCAGGCCACCTACAGGGGTTTGCATGCAGTAGTTTTTGAGCACAATTAGCGCCAATGCAGTCTTTCGCACAATAACATGGTCTAGATCAGCAAGCCAATCATCATCCTTGCCGGCGTTCCTATTTGTAACTAGGTGAAAATAATCGCCGAAGTAATCTTGAGAGCGTTTAAGTAGGTCTCACTTAATTGACCACGTTGTGTATTCGGGGTCTACTCTGGCTCAAGGTAAAGGACTGTGGCTTAAAATACGGGCGCTTAAATTGCATACCCTGGCAGCATGTAATCAATAGAGCGTGATATCCGACATAAAACAGGCGGCTAGCAGTCACCAACAAACCGATATTGAACCGCCCTATAGGCACCAACATATTGTAAGCTGAAAGAAATAAAAAAGGGATCCTTATCTACGTAGGTAGTGTTTACGAATACATCAATTAATACATATACCTCGCATCGGCTATAACGAGAAAAGCAGAGGCAACGTTACCTTCGTGCCGGTTAACTACCCTTCACATTGATATCCTATCTTTTTACATTAATCGATACCTTTCAAACTAGCATATTTCAGTATGGCTCCTCATAGTTTGGATGCTATACACGCTGATACAATGATCGATAATTCAATATTTCCGCTTCTTAGCGACAAGGCCGTGCCAGTAGACCCGGCCGGCATGGACAAACTGGAACCGATTGCAATAGTCGGCTTTTCTTTTCAGTTTCCTGACGCGGAAGATTCAGAATCATTGTGGAAGATAATGGTAGAGAAAAGGTGCACTGTAATTGAGACGCCTAAAGACAGAATAAATGTGGATGCTTGGTATCATCCAGATAGTAGTAGACGCGGCCAAGTATGTTTGTCACTTTCATGTTATGAAGGCCATGCTATCTTTCAAACTGACATTCCACAGTATTACACTCGTGGGGCCCATTTCCTACGAGAGGACATCTCACTTTTCGATGCCCCCTTTTTTTCTCTTTCTTCGGATGAAGCTGCCGGAATGGATCCGCAGCAACGCCTTTTGCTAGAAGTCACCTATAGAGCACTCGAAAATGGTAACAAACTCAAACAAGTGATACGAGCCACTGTGCTCTTTAGAGACAATCATCTAACTTCTTGACAGCCGGTATTCCCATTGAAAAGGCTGCAGGCACGCAGACTTCAGTTCATGTCGGCTGCTTTGGGAATGACTATCGCCATCTAATGTGCAAAGACGTTGAACTGACCGCTAATTACGATGTTTTTGGTGCTAACGTTAGTATGAATGCGAACAGATTGAGTTGGTTTTTCGACTTTCGCGGGACCAGTATGAACATCGACACAGCCTGCTCTAGCAGTCTTGTGGCTCTGGATTTGGCTTGCGCAGACTTGCGGGCAGGAAGTACAGATATGGTAAGCTCACCTCATTTTGAACTTTTAGAAAAATGTTGTGAAGCTGCTATCTTCCCGTTCATACTCCTTCCTGACTAAGAAACTCCTTGAAGGGAATTGTGGCCGGGGCCAATCTTATCATATCGCCAGACATTATGCTTCTCATGTCGAATGTCAATATGTTATCACCGGACGGCAGAAGCTACAGCTTTGACCAACGGGCAAATGGTTACGGGCGTGGCGAGGGCATTGGGACCCTAATTATCAAACGCCTTTCAGATGCCATTCGCGATGGGGATACTATTCGAGCGGTTATCCGCTCGACAGCTTCGAATCAGGATGGAAATACCCCATCTGGTATCATGCAGCCGAAAGGCGACTCCCAGGCTGCGCTTATCCGGGATACATATGAGAAGGCCGGCTTAAGTATGGCACCAACGCGATTTTTTGAGGCTCATGGCACCGGAACCCCAGTCGGCGATCCTATTGAGCTTAATGCGGTGGGATCGGCATTTCGACATGTTCGAACTGCTGAGGATCCCCTGGTGATGTATGAATCTAAAATTAATCCTTACTTTTTCCTTCCAAGCTGACACAAATCAAAAGCGGTGCTATAAAGTCGAATATTGGTCATCTTGAAGGTGCAAGTGGGATAGCCGGCGTTATTAAGACCATTCTTATATTGGAGAGCGGTCTAATTCCCCCAAACACAAATTTTGAGAAGCTGAATCAAAAGATAGATCTTGAATTCTTACATATGAAGGTATTTCTCTCTGAATTTTCCCCGGTATTCAATGCATGACTACACTTACTGATCCAATCATCAAGTTACCTCTTGAGTTAACCCCATGGCCTACACAAGGGCTGCGTCGAGCCTCGGTGAATTCTTTTGGTTTTGGGGGAACAAACTCTCATGTTATATTAGATGACGCATTCCATTTCCTCAATGACCATGGCATCATTGGCAATAGTGTGACGGTCGAGCACCCTCCTTCATTGCTTACTCAAACCAATGGCACCCACAGTGAAAAACCATTTCAGCAGATACACGCGGAGCTTCCAGTCTCAGAAATGGACGCAAAGCTCAAAGTGCCAAAGCTTCTAGTTGTCTCCGCTCGAGACAAGGCCGGAATCGAACGCGTTACTGATGCATATGCAGCATACTTCAAAGGCCCGAACATCTCACGACGCCCTTTCAATACCTTTGCGACGAATTTGGCATATACTCTAAATGTACGGAGATCTGCGCTTCATTTCAAAAGTTTCTGGCTTGCTTCTAGCATTGCAGATCTTCAGGCTGTCAAGGAACAAAAGTCTGCTGTATATCAAGCATTGTTGAAGCCAAGCCTTGCTTTCGTCTTCACCGGCCAGGGTGCACAATGGCTGGGCATGGGCCGCGAACTAGCCAGCTTCTTTGTTTTTAAACAGAGTATTATGAGATGTGAGGAGTATCTTCTAGAATTCGGCTGTCCTTGGTCACTAAGAGGTATGGCCGTGTTTCACTGTTTGAACTGTTTTGTTCACTGATCCCTGTACAGAATCAATATGGAACGAAAGTGCTTCCACCAATATAAACTCCCCTGATGTTGCTCAACCAACGAGTACTGCGTTGCAGATCGCATTAGTTGATCTCCTTGAAAGCATTGGTGTCAGGCCTGCAGCGGTAATTGGACATTCCTCAGGAGAGATAGGAGCAGCTTATGCCTATGGGGCTTTATCTGCTGCGGAAGCGATGAAAATCGCGTACTTCAGAGGGGTTGCCGCAGCGCATCTGACAAAAACTCAAAAGCAACGTGGTGCAATGATTGCAGTTGGACTATCAGAACAGGAAGCCCGCCAGTATATCGATGAGGTTGCGAGCCTACAAGGATCTTATGGTCTCCAAGTGGCCTGCATAAATAGCCAGAAAAGCACCACAGTGTCTGGTGATGAGACGCAGGTGGATGCACTTAAAGGTCTTTTGGACTCCAGAGAAATCTTTGCTCGGAAATTGCAGGTGCCTCTAGCTTATCATTCGTCTCACATGTTGGACATCGCGTCCGAATACCGAGATATGATAAAAGATCTAACTCCGGTTGATAAGGAGTCATGTCGCGGGCAAATGATCTCGTCCGTGACGGGTGAGAAGGTTTTCGTTAATACCTTACGCTCCCCAAACTACTGGGTTCAAAATCTCATTTCACCAGTGCAATTTGCAAAGTCTTTTAATCAAATATGTACCGACCCCCGGTCAGCTTTGACAAAGAAGCTCGATAGCAGTCATCGATATCGACTAGGGATCAATATTCTTCTGGAGATTGGGCCTCACGCTGCCTTGCAAGGCCCAATTAGAGATCTCCTAGAAGATTTATCATGGGGTCACGATGTTAAATACCATGCAGCCCTCTACCGTGGCAAGAAACAGGCAGAGTCTTTCCTCAATGCTCTTGGCCATCTTTATTGCCTTGGATGTCCAGTTGACCTAGAAAGAATAAACGAGTTAAGTGGCCCATTGGAAACAAAGCCTCGTGTCATTGTAGATCTCCCACATTATCCGTTCAATCACTCATCATCCTACTGGCGTGAGAGTCAAATCAGCAGAAACTTTCGTCTTGCTCAACAGGGAAAAATTGATCTTCTCGGCAAGTTGACAACAGATTCAAACGCTTTTGATAGCAGGTGGCGCAATTATCTTCGCACTTCGGAACTGGACTGGGTTGAAGATCACACAATCAATGGTACTGTTATTTACCCAGCGGCAGGTATGCTTGTCATGGCAATAGAAGCGGCAAATCAAACAGCCAGTCACCATCGACCTGTAGTTGGGTTTGAGTTGAAAGATGTTGAATTCTCCCGTGCCTTGAGTGTGCCAAATACTGCTGAAGGCGTCGAGACTTATTTTCATCTCCGCAAACCGAGTGATAGTAGCGACACTACAGCCACATGGTCCCAATTCCGCCTGTGCTTCTATGAGAACGATTCATGGCAGGAAAGCTGTCACGGTTTTGTCAGGATAGAGTATGAGACCAAGAAGAACGAAGTAGACAATGGGCGCCATGATCTTGTGGAGTGCCTCCAGTGGAACAACATGATTGCTGAGGCATGCAATAAAGAATTCGAACCCAGCCAGCTATACAAAACTCTCAGAGAGTCTGGTTTCCAGTTTGGGCCTACGTTCCAAACATTATACCACGGCAAGTACGGCAATGAACATCAAGCGTGGGCTTTGGTGAAGATTTTTCAGTGGTTAGACGACCGGTATCCGCAACCTCATATCGTCCATCCAACAACGCTGGACGGAATCCTTCACGTAATTCTCTCTGCGACCTCTAAAGGGGGACTCGAGCTAGGTCCTACTATGATTCCTACCGGCATAAAAAATATCTGGGTAGCAAAAGATGGACTAAGTTCTGCTGGTAATACGGTGGTTAGAACGTCGACAAAAGCTAACTTCGTGCACGATCGAGGACACAATTTCAATATCTGTGCCCTGGATGAGTCACGAACCAATGTTCTTGTGAAAGTTGATGGCTTGCAATCGACCATTGTTGCTGACAATACCAAGGTCGAAGATGCCTCAAACATGAAGCATACTTGTTATCGACTGATCCACCAACCCGATTTAGATATGCTGGATTTCCCTCAATCAAGATCATACTGTGCTCGTGCGCGATCGGATCTTGCTCAAACAGAGTACTTCAAGGAGTTGAATTTCACTTTATTCAAGTTTATTGATCAACACTTGGACGCGGTAGGCGACGTACTGCCGAAGGACATTCCAGCACATATAAGAAAATATATCGAGTGGGCAAAATTACAGCGTCATCTATTTACTCAAGGAAAACTTCCCTTTTCTCAGCCTGAATGGTCGCAGCTACTTCAAAATGAAGCCTTTGTTAAAGCAGCACGGCTCCGTATCGCTTCCGCAAATGCCCAAGGCCATCTTTTCATACAAATAGGGGAAAATCTGCCATCTCTTCTTAGTGGCGAAATCGATCCTATTCAATTTCTCTTCAAGGACGACATGATAAAGAAATTCTATGATGAAATTAACAATCGCCCATGCTTTGACGAATGGGACCTCTTTCTGCGAACGTATGCCCACAAAAAGCCAGATATGAAAATTCTCGAAATTGGAGCAGGCACAGGTGGAACTTCCAGTCTAATTTTGCACTCATTATCTTTGGGAAGTGGCAGCACAGAAGAAAAGCCATTTTATATGTCCTATGACTATACAGATGTTTCACCAGCCTTCTTTGACAAGGCTCGTGAAAGGTTCGGAAAGTTTCCGAGAATGAATTTCGAAGTTCTAGATATTGAGAAAGACCCAGCTACACAGGGGTTTGAGCCGCACTCATACGATCTGGTTATTGCAGCAAATGTTCTTCACGCGACTTGTAATATTCGCGAAACGTTTCACAATGTTCGCAAACTTTTAAAGCCTGGTGGAAAGCTTATGATGTATGAGATTACACAGCCAGATATTTTGCGGACTGGCTTTGCTTTTGGTCTTTTGTCTGGATGGTGGGCTGGAGAACAGGATGGCCGTCCATGGAGTCCAGGATTGACCAGTGCACAGTGGGATCTGGTTTTGAAAGAGACGAACTTCTCAGGCATCGATCTAGACTTTCCAGACTATATCGAGCCCGAATGTCAAGAAGGGGGTATTTTGATTGCTACAGCCTCCGAGCCAAAACCAGTTATTGACAGCAATGATGCTGAAATAATATATTTTGTCGTGGATCCAGCCTCAAACGCACAAGTGAGCGTTTATGAGAAGGCGAAATCCGCACTCACCTCTCGGTATACAGCGAAGTCGGTTATCATTGAAGCGCACAGCTTAGACGAATGCTTGACGCTTCCTGCTTTTAACCTTGCAACCCTCGTGTTCATTCAGGAAACAGACAAGTTTCTTCTCAGCAACATGAGTAGCGAAACATTTTATAATATTCAAAAGGCTGTACATATGTGCAACAAAATACTGTTTGTTACTGCGGGAGGCGGTCTTTCACCAAAGAGGCCCGAATACTCCCTCGTTGATGGATGGGCACGAACTTTGAGAACCGAAAAAGCCTCACGAAGCGTTGTCACATTGGCTCTTGATATTGACAATGAAATCAGAATTCATCAGGTTTCATTCATCGTTCAAATACTGACTGATGTTGTTATTCCTTCCAGCTCTGATGACTACGAACCCGAATTTGTAGAAATCGATGGGTTGCTACATATTCCCAGGGTTCGACCGGACACCAGATTAAGTGACGAGATTCATCAAGAGTCTCTTGAGTTGCAGTCTTCTAGGATGGCCATTCAAAATACAGGCCCCCTCAAATTAGCCATTGGAACCCCAGGCCTGCTCGATACTTTGCACTGGAGGCAAGATCACGAGTGTTTACAGCCGTTACAACCAAACGAGGTTGAGATCGACGTCAAAGCAGTCGGGATTAACTATAAAGACTGCCTAACTGCTCTTGGAAGAACTACAGAAAAAATATTTGGTCACGAGTGTGCTGGCATTGTTACTCGTGCTGGAGAGCTCTCAGAGCTTCAGTCCGGAGATCGTGTCGCTGTTTTTGGCCCTAGCATGTTCAAGACAGTAGTCAGATGCAAAGCGGAGTTCACGTGCAAAATACCAGATAGTATATCTTTTGTCGAGGGTTCCAGTATTCCCACCCAGTTCAGTACGGCCTGGCAGGCTATTGTTGAACTCGGTCGTCTCCGACGTGGTGAAAGTATTCTCATACACGCTGCTGCTGGAGGCACTGGTCAGGCATGTATTCAAATTTCGCAGCACATCGGTGCAGATATCTATGCGACAGTCGGATCAAAAGTGAAAAAGCAGACCCTTATGGAAGAATATCAGATTCCAGAAGATCACATATTTTATAGCCGGGATACGAGTTTTGCCAAGGGTGTCATGTTGAAAACAAAGGGCCGTGGAGTGGATGTCGTCATCAACAGTCTCGCTGGAGAGATTCTTCGAGCGTCTTGGCAATGTATTGCCTCTTATGGCCGATTTGTGGATATTGGAAATAAGGATATTCTGTCCAACAGCAGTCTTCCAATGACACAGTTCGGCCGAAATGCGTCCTTCGTCCAATTCGACGGCCTCATCTGGATGAATGAAAACCCAGGCGCCGCAAAGAGCACTCTCTCATCGATTTTACAGTTGTTTGAGGAGCGGAAATTACATGTGCAGACACCCTTGCAGGCTTTGAGCGTCAGCGAGGTAGAAGAGGCATTCAGGAACATACAAAGTGGGACGTCTGCTGGCAAGATTGTCCTTGAGATAACCCAGGATGCGCAGGTTCCTACTATCCTGCCCAAGCCTTCTTTCAGACTTGACCCTCAATCTACCTATCTCATTGCTGGCGGCCTCGGAGGCCTAGGACGCACCACTGCCAGGTGGATGGCCGCTCGTGGGGCTAAGAATTTGGTTCTTCTCGGAAGATCAGGGCCAACAACGGAGGCAGCATTAAGCCTTATTAACGAGCTGAAGGCCCAAGGAGTCAATTGCTATACCCCACCGTGCGATGTAATTGACCAGCAATCGGTCGAGCGAGTCATTCAGGAAGTTTCACAGAATATGCCCCCAATCAAGGGCTGTATACAAGGGTCGATGGTCCTCCGCGATCACATGTTCAATGACATGAGCTATGAAGATTGGCGCGCTGCAGTGGAGTGCAAGGGCATGGGATCATGGAACCTTGAAGCCAGTCTCCCCCCAAACCTAGACTTCTTCGTTTTGCTATCTTCTGCGAGTGGTGTTGTCGGACTGCCGGGGCAGGCGAACTATGCCTCTGGTAACTCTTACATGGATGGCTTTGCGAGATATCGAGTTGCAAACTCTCAAAAGGCGATTTCGCTTGACATGGGAGCCATGGTCGATGATGGCTTGTTGGCTGAAACCGAAGGATTCCTCGACAGGGTTCTTAGCTACGGCGCGTTGAGCCCGGTGACGCGTCAACAATTCCTTGGAATACTTGATTATTACTGTCGTCCTGGCACTCCCTTATTAACCCCCGAGACTGCCCAGGTTGTCATTGGACTTGATGATGGCTCTAGCGGCGGCCAGCTAGCACGGGTTGTGCAAAACACACGCATGTTCCGTCATCTGTCAGTAAACAACATTCATAACATATCGGGGAAGGAACGTGATGTACAGATTGATTTTCGAAAACAGTTTGCTGCGGCAGCATCACTTCAGGAAGGGCAACAAATTATATCTCAGGCACTGGTTCACAAATTCAAGAATGGATATAAAACCATCCAAGATGATAGCGAAGTCAACATGCAGGCTCCTCTGCACAGCCTTGGCGTGGATTCGCTCCTCGCCGTTGAAGTTTGCAATTGGATCAAGAAGGAATTCTCTGCAGATCTCGCGGTCTTCGAGTTAATGGGTGGCGCCACACTGTCGACTGTCGGGGTACTGGTGGCTAATCGAAGTGGTTTGAAAAATGCGGCGTGGAAATGAGGTCAATCTATTAAATTTCCGATGCCAATTAACAACATTAAAGGACTTGTTATCTAGAATAGTGAATAGTATAAAATGTTCATGTACTCCTCCCAAACTCACCGCTCTCGAGCGACTCACCAAATATTCATGTAGAGATTCCAGATCAAGATGAGCTCTGGAGTATCAGTATTAGACGATCTGTGAGGCAATATGTTGATGGTCTGCACGCGCTCCTATTGGCCAATTCCATGTAGACATCTCGTATTACGCTATTACCTATCGGGTCTAGTGCAATAGACCTCTTCAGCTTCGGAATTGACGGCCATACTCATCAGCTCACTTTTGTCCGCAAAAGAGGATTATTTCTTGTCGCTAGCCAGCACCATGGCATCCTCTCTTTCGTCAGTACCCCAATACATGGGCAGAGCGACTCGTCTGGCTTCCACCTCCTCTTTCTCTCTCAGACGCCAACTCATTTCTCAACCACTCTTGCGCTCCCGATCGACAATAGCCACGCCTAGACAAAATCATTCCAATGGCTTCCTCACCTCAAGACCTTTTTCGACAACCTTCGAACGACCTGCAAACAAGTCGATGGCACAGCTGAAATCCCGTTCGCGAACTGGCCCGTTCTCGTGGAAAGCGGCTCTATTATTCATCATCACGGGCGCAGGAATGATTATTTATTTCCGGGTCGAAAAGGCTCGGTTGGAGAGGAAAAGAATTACAGAAATGAGCAAAGGGGTTGGGAAACCTAAAGTCGGAGGTCCGTTTGTCTTGAAAGACTTGGATGGCAAGGAATTTACTGCGGAGGATTTAAAGGGGAAATATAGCTTTGTATGATCTCCAACGTTGATGTTGACGGGAAAAGAGGGACTTGCTAATGCCGATGATTTTGAAATAGGTTTACTTTGGTTTCACGCACTGCCCGGATATCTGCCCCGATGAGCTCGATAAGATGGCCGCCATCATCGACAAAGTCAAAGAAGCTTCCAATGGCGCCGAAGTCATGCGCCCCGTTTTCATAACCTGCGACCCATTCAGAGACACACCTGAAGTGTTGCGCAAATACCTAGCCGAATTCCATCCCGAAATTATCGGTTTGACTGGCACCTACCAGCAGGTGAAACAAGTCTGCAAAGCGTACCGAGTGTACTTCAGCACGCCAGAGAACGTGAAAGCAGGAGAAGACTATTTGGTTGACCACAGCATCTATTTCTATCTGATGGACCCGGAAGGAGATTTCATTGAATGCGTTGGCAGACAGGATACGCCGGAGAGTGCGACGAGGTTGATTATGGAGCATGTGAATGATTGGAAGAGGGAAGGAAAACCGTTGGATACGACTCGGTAGGGTATCGGTGGAAAGCCGATGATACCTTGCACCCCCAACGTATTGTACAATCTCATGTATTCTAGAAACATGTACTGCGTCACATCTCATCATAATACCTCCTCTCTAGCAAGTGTTCGCTTAGTTTCCGTATTTGGTAGATCATCCGAAGCTGGCAATCGGCCTATCCATAACGAGCACCCCTCGATTGCGATTCTGAAGAAAAGCCCCCTTCAGAGAGATATTCAACAACAGCCGACGAGATAAGACCTACCTCAACTCTCACCCATCCTTCTCCCCTCCGCGTCCCGATCCTTGTTCGCCCTCCACTCGCCCTCCTCGGGTCTCTGCCCAACAAACTCCTCCCTCTTCCACACCTCCAGTCGCAGCTTACACGTTTCCAACACCTGCTCACCAGCCCTCCACGCCGGTCCTCTATGTGCTGCACTCACAGCAATCGCAATACTCGCCTCGCCGATAGGCACAACGCCGAGCCTATGCGCAATACTAATGCCAATCAAATTGTATTCCGTTTTCGCGTCTTGAGCGATCTGCGTCAGCGTTTTCAAGGCCAGTGGTGCGTACGAGGTGTAGCTTAATTGGGAGACCGCGCGGCTCTCGAATGTGTCGCGCGTGGTGCCGAGGAAAAGTACATTGGCGCCAGCGGACGGCGAGGAGACTTGATGCAGGATTTGATTCGGGTCGAGCGAGGAATAGGTCAGTTCGAGGTAGATGTTTTCGGAGGCGAGGTGTGCGGTGCGTGGGTAGGTCGAGGGGTTGAGATGCGATGGCGTGTTTTCAGCTGGTTGGGACTGGGGTGTTGTGCTGTTATCGGTGGGTGTAGATGAGGACATGCTGTAAATATTGGTTAATATGCTAATGGGATGTAGTTTGAAAAGAGAAATATTAGAGTTTGTGACGCAGTTCAGAAGATTAAGGAAGGGATGAGGGGTAGAGCCTGATAAGCAGTCTGATAAGGGAGTGGAGATGGATTTGTTTTCATGCTTTGAAGGGATTCTTTTCTATAGGAAATATGAATATGAGCAATCACTGTGTACAAATAGGCTAGGAATATTCACAGCAGCGTCGAAAACGTCAAAACAACGCAGACAAACTCACGAGCCTGCTACCGGTACTTGTTCTGTATGCATTCTCATCATCCAATCGTCCTCTTCGTCTGGTAGTGATGGAGCCTCAGGATCCATCATGCATTGATCAATTCTCATGATCTGCTTCCCTGTTTCTCTAGCCATCTGGATCACGTCTTTGAAATACTGGACTGTCGACCAGCTGAGATAGTGCATCACGACTATATCTCCCCCTCTATCGATATCCCTGCGGAAGGCTTCAAGTTGCCTCTCCTCCTCATCTGTGTCTGCCCATAGCCAATCTTCAATGTCCACGCTCCAGTTGACGATATATGGGTTATGAATGAAGGCTGCGAGCCGCTGCCTGGTACGCGCCCCGACAGTGCCATATGGTGGGCGGAAATATCGTGCTAGGATTTGTAGTCAGTAGGGCTATTTTTTTGCGTCATATCAAACCCACAATGTATTCCGAGAAGGTCCTTAATCGCGTAGTATCCATCTCTTATCTGGTAGTCGATATCGCTAACCCTCCTGAGGCCTTCCATCCTACACAGAATCAATATCAGTATCAGCCTGGAATCAATGCATGGATCGACTCACTTAGGATGAGAGTATGAATGCAGTGCAACCTGATGACCTCGTTGTAGCATCTCCGCATAGACATTTGTGAGGTTTGTGCTCTCATCCAGCAAACCTTTTCCAACAACAAAAAACGTAACTTTAATATTCTCATCGTCGAGAATCCTCATCACTTCCTGGGCCAACTGCGGATCACCATCATCAATCCCAAACGCAAAAGAATCGGGCCGTTTGCAGGTGAGAACCATTGTGCCTGTTGGCAACTTGCGAGCAATCCTGACGTGCTCAGGTATGTCGTCTACGATTTCCACACTGCGGAGAACAACCTCCTCACGCGTGTAAAATCCATGAAAAGCTATTGAAGACACGCGAGAAAAGTCGATATAGAAATGTGATAAAGGGATATAAATTTCCCCATGCGATGCGTAGCGAGATGCTTCGACGCTATCGAAGGTGCCTGGATACGGTGCCCGGTGCGAATCGCAATCGCCATTATGCTGGTAGAGCGAGATCGAAAACTTTTTGCTCCCTGAGAAAGAGAGGTGAAGATACATATCGTTATAATCCGTCAAGTCGACGCATGAGTCTGATAGCTGGGTGTGATAGTTGTTGTCTGGATCTGATGGAAATAGCCGTACAAAGGAGTCGTCTTGCTCATCGTAATCGTATTCAACCATGAGGTTCTCGCCTGGTCCATGCCAGTAGCCCAGGTCGTTGACTGGGCTATCATGGAATGTGTCGATGTGCAGCTCATTTTGGTGGATGCGACTGGGCATCATCCCTCGAGCAATCGCGACGAACAGAAAAATGGTCAACTTGACCACAGATGAAGGAGAACCCATCGTGACAGCACTGGGTAAAAATATCTGCCAGTGAATGTGAGGAGATAAGAGAATTTTGGGCAGCAGATGTTGCAAGGTTTTAAGGAAACGGTTGTCTTGCATTGAGGGAAGCTACGGCTACTGCTAAACTACTACACCTGCCTTGCCTGATGCCCCAACTTCCATCGCTGACAGTCGGTTGATCCTCGTCGAGACAAAATCATCATGAAACCTTTCGGAAAATTGCTAGACGATTTCTAAATCCTCCAACTTCCACCAGGCTACTATCGAAGAGTGTTCCATAGCATATTCGAACATGTGCCCATCATTCCTACCAGACTAAAATGCTGATTCACGCAAAGTCACACAGCCAGATCGACGTAAATCTGACATTTACCAGTCGAATCCGTTATCAGCTTGAGAAGGCTCAGCAGAGGCAGAAGATTCGAATGGCTCCGGTTCGTGTTTTGGCTCCTGTTCACCATTTTCTCCTTCACCGTCAGTATCGTCCGAGTGCCAATCAGGACTTCCACCCTCTGGTTTGTATTCCTCGAGAAAGTCAGGGACTTCCTGTCCTGCCTCAATCAGAAGCTTGACCAAGGCAGGGGCGATGTCACTGTTCCTCTCATTGTACAAAGAAGTCGCAAAGCCTTCATTACCAATGCGAGCAGTACGGCCTATTTGGATTGGTTAGCATGGTTTCACCCCTTACCGTATTGCAAGCCTAATTCATACCAATGCGATGAACGTATTCATCAATACCACCGTGGTCAGCACTGGGAAGATCATAGTTGATGACGTGCATGACAAGCTTCACATCCAAACCGCGGGCTGAAACACCGGTTGCAACCAAAATCGGTGCTTGGCCCTTACGAAAAGCACGCCTGAGATAAAAAAAATTAGAGAATGACTGTTACAAGGATATACACCTACTCACATGGCATCTTCACGTTCGCGCTGAGTACGTTCACTGTGGATGGAGGTACTGGGCAGACCCTTGTTGTACAGATAATCATCCACTAGATCGGCCTCGTTCTTGGTATTGACGAAAATCAAGGTCCGAGCTGGAGGCATAGACAGAAGCAAGTCGTAAAGGCACTGTTTTTTCATGTCGGGGGTTACGAATACAACCTTATTCTTGTGCTTAGCTCTAGTCTCTCGACTCTCAGGTAATTGTACTTACTCGCTGCTGGATATTTACGTGGGTACTTCCAACACGCCCAACACGGATACGAACGTGATCAGCAGAGAGAAACTTACGAGCGAGCTGACGACAGTACTTGTTAAAAGTAGCCGAGAACATCATGTAGCGATGATCCGCGTGTTCATTTGCATCTGTGTATGATAGTAAGTATCCTTACAGGATCTAGAAACTTTAGGAGATGCTTACCAGCACCAGCGAGAAGTTGGGAAAACTCAGCCTCCCAATCCGAATGGAGGAGCTCATCAGCCTCGTCGATGATAGTGTATCTAGAAAGTGATTAGCCTTGAGATTAAACTGATTCGATTTCGGTCCAGTATTATAACGGGTGTGCCAAATTATGTTTTCCTACCTAACACGATTCAAGGACAGAACATGTGGTCGGCCCATGAAGTCGATCAAACGACCCGGAGTTCCGATGAGAATGTCGCACCCTTTTTGAAGTTCTTCCTGCTGGTTTCTGACAGGGCCACCGCCATACACAACACAAGGTCGGAGCATAGAACGATAACAGAGACGACGGGCCTCATCAAAGATTTGATAAGCAAGCTCACGAGTAGGCACGATGACAAGGACTAGCGGCTCAGCACGAACGGTATTGCCTTCCAAAGCGAACCCCGGCGCAGCAATGTTAGGACGAGGCGCCGCCAGCTTCTTTGCCTTTCCCATGAGTTTGGATAGGACTGGAATGAAAAAAGCTGCAGTCTTTCCCGACCCTATGGTTCTGGTCAAAATTGCACCTTCATAGTCACGGATCTAATGTTACTTACCGGTCTGAGCCACAGCAATGAGATCATGCCCAGTGAGAACAGCTGGGATGGCATAGGCCTGGATTGGAGTTGGCACTCTGTATCCACAGAGACGGACGTTCGCTTGCATCGCAGGATGAAGGCCGGCATCTTCAAAGCTAGTGATGGGTGCGGGACGCTGAGAAGATTCCGCGGTAACTTGGATGTTCTTGATGCTGTGACTTGGTTAGACCTTTGCTCCAACGTCTCCCGCCCGCGAAAGAATGCAACTTTATCAGTGATCTATCGATCAATCACCAAGGAAATAAAGACTCGGCCATCGAAGCATATTGGTTTGGGAGAGGTGTCTGACTTACTTTTCGAATTTGACACCCACACGGTTGATAAAAGCACTACGGAACAGCTGTGCCTCCAGACTTTTATCCTCGGGGCCAACATCGCCATACTCCTCTTTCCACTCGTAACGAGAAGCGCTGGAGGCCCACCCTATATCGTCAGAGGACTCAACGTCTTCAGTAGCTTCGCCATCCTCGCCAGACTTCGCAGCAGGACCGCCGTATTTGGCATAATCATATTTCTCTGGTTCATTCCAACCCTTTTCACGAGCCAAGGCTGCGGCTGCAGGGTCGATGCGACTCTTGCGCTCGTCCGTGGAAGGAAGAGCAGCAGCGAGCTCCTCGGTATCGAAGGTGTCCATTGTGAAGACTTAGACCACGAAAGAGGTGCGTCTAATAAGCCATATCCACATGGGGATGGGAAAATCAGAGAGGGGACGGACAAACTTGAGAATGTACGAGATGCACAGAGAGGAGAGGGCAAAGGCAGTAAAGAAAAGAGAAAAAAGAGGATGAGAAAAAAGGCTGAACAAACGCACAGGAAACAAACACAGGCAGGTGGGCCAATCAAAGCTGCGGCTGCAGGGGGCTGGGAGCAACTGCTGCGTTTGCACTGGTAAACAACACCCACCTAGCATCGTCGAAGAGTATGAATGTGCTGAAATGATATCATACTATCCTTGTACAAACTAAAGAAGGAATATATAGCAACTTACCTCAAGAGCACGGATTTCCCGAACTCGGCTAGATGGAGGGAGGATGAGGTTGAAGACGGGGGTGAGGATAGGAGAAGAAGAAGAGAGGGTGTGAGAGAGAAATCAGATTCCTTATAAGGACACAAAGACTACGGCTGCCCAATGATGCGATGGTAAAGAGACCGCCTTGCCTGCCAGTTATGCCCCCGCCATACAGTCCTGAGGCCCCAACGGAGCTCTCAATATGTTGAACGGGTTAAAGACCTAGACATGTGTAAAGCTACATATTAATTGATGTGGTAGGCAATAAAAGATATAAATATGATAATAAATCTAGAAACATATACACGGACTCTAGTAAACTAATCGATGTAGTCCATTAAACCTACTCCTCGAAGTCATGACTAGCTAGTCGTACCGTTGTATTCCCTAGTTTGATTCGAGATACCAGTTGACCATACCGCCCTTTCAATACGTATATTTGAACGTTTGACGCTTTTGAGCTGTCCCACAAGGAATCATTGACGCATTTACTGCAGCAAAAAATGAAGACATCTGTGTATGGTAGATCTAGCTGTTCTTTACTGAGTGTCGGGGTGGTTGTCAAAACATTGATATTTTGAAGAAGAGCATGCGCCCAAGGAATAAATTTGTAAATTCAAATGCTCTATATCAATGATATATTCTTAACCTCAACGCCTAAGATTACACATTAACGTTTAATACGAATTGATATCAATTGATATCGTTACATACATTAAGATTTAAAACTCTGGATATCAGTCTAGCAGATATATATTTTCATTGCTTGGTTATAGAGGCTAAACTATATGTGCAGGTTGACAGAATCTACGGGGCCGCCGAACTAGTTGACCATAACGAATTGGCCGATTCCAGGAACACCATCCAGGACAACATACACAACATACGGCCCAGGAGGTGCAATACTGCTAGACGGTGGCATGGTCACATTCACTACTTGGTATTTGGAACCGGGGAAAAATTTATCAAAGTCCAGAAAAAGTAATCGCTGGCTCATGTGTAGTGAGTGAGTCACGAACCCGCCGTGGTAGAGAGCAATCTTCAACGACTGTGCGCTCTCTGTGCCGGTGAAGCCGACAATGAAATGGCTACCGTTTGCTGTGAGATTCTTTTGAGATATCCAAATATCCTGCGGTCGTCTTAAAGCTCTGTCGCCAGAAAGGTAAGGTGGTGTAAAAATCTCGACTCGAAATTCAGTCGGATACGCAGTAGCTAGTTCGCTGGGGTCGGATTCCAGGAGTGGTTGCTCGACGGGGTTAGAGCCAGCTACCATTATAGTGCCATCCAGAAGCAGCAGAGCTACTGAATGATACATCCGAGGTATTTTGGATGTACCTGCAATTGTCCACCTAGAGCCCCGAGGCTGGTCAGGGTCGTAAAGCAGAGCATCAAAGCACGGCTTCTTGGCAGTCCCAAAACCTTGGGCACCCTGTCGAGCACCGTTCAACCAAACCACCTTTCCATCGGGGATCAGTACTCCCTCGACCATTATTCTCTCTTCTAACATACGCTCTATCTCCCATACAGGGTCTGCGGACAGTGGCTGGATTCGCCCACAAGTCGGATCCGCAGGGCTCTCTGGATCGTCGTATTCTCCGCCTCCACAAATCATGACTTCGGGGACCCAATCCTTATTATTAGCCAATGGTAGCAGCACGCTCCCCCCTGTATTGGGATATGTTCGGTAAGCCCCAGGTAGATCTGGCAGTGACTGAACAGTTGCTTGTCTCTGGGCATCGTATATTTCTGCTGAGCGAGACACGAAGATAAAAATATTTCCATCTTTGAGCAAATGCAGGAAAGGATACATGTAATAGGGTTGATTTCTCTCCAGAATTGATAAGCCAATGCTGTGGGTTATTGACACGCCAATCTCGTTTAGAATTTCAAAAGTTGGATTGTTATTGTCGCCGTTCATTGGATCCAAGCCATTCAGACTGCCGGATACCACCAAGAGGGTCTTGTTGTGCATTATTTGCACACTGGAGTACCAGCGAGCAGAAGATAATAAGTGGCCAGGTTCATCCCAACCGTCACGGTGATTACCATGTTGGAAGTAACGTATTCCGCGAAAACCGTTGCCAACACTTGAATCAATCTCTGCAAGGGGCTCATTACCGCCCACTGATATAACACGGCCATCAGCAAGAAACGAGCCACCAGAGCAAAATGCGTTCGTCTTGTAAGACAGTGGACGTGGCGTATTGGTGGTAAAATTGAATTCGGCGGAGTAGGCGTACCGACCGGTCCCCAACGTCAGTTGAGTGTAGTTTTCGACCTTATCTAGGAAGACAGCATTTCCATCCGGCATCAACGCTGCAGCCATTACCGGGACTCCCGACTGACCGACGACACGAAACTTCCCTTCTGGATATGGTCGCGGTGCGTATCTGCTGGTGGTGGGAGCATCGAGGGTATTGTTTTCATTGCTGGCTCGGTGCTGGGTTAGATTCGGGTGAAGGTTGGACTTGGAGTCGCCGTAATGTAGCGATACTTGAGGGTTACCGACTGGAATCGATTGTGCATAGTGAATTAAGAAAGATAGCAGTAGAAAAAGAGGGTGCAGCATGGCTTCCAAGCCGCAGTGGAAAGCTACGGCTGCGTATATTGATAAACAAGATAGGGATAAGAACAGGGCTGTCTCAACTTGGTCAGAGATCAGGAGTCAGGTAGCAGTGCAATCTGCGGCTTGCACTCTGATTCGTGTTTTCATGGCAGAAAGCAGCTCTGCTTGCAGCAAAACAGCCTGTCCGACATGGTTGGAAACAACTGGGTAGAGGGAAGGAGCCCGTTTGCGCGCCTCACCACCTGCCTCCTGCCGTCCGCCCACAGCTGCACACGCTTTGCTTTGACCTTCCATATTTCACAAGTTGGTAAAATTAATTGCGTGGTTGGTGTTGTGCCGTACAAATCGTGGGATCGGGTTTCCTTCTGCGCAATTCTTCGCTGAGAGTTGTTTCGCAAACAGCGATACCGGCCCGACATTTCTCAATGACGCCAACACTTGGAATATCTATCCATCCGATTGCATTGCAGAGCGACAGAATGGCTTGCAGGATGGACTACTGAACTACCAGGCCTCTCCCAGCCTCTCTAGATGCATGTCATTAGATGGGGCTTAGATGCATGGATTCTGCAGCTATGATTGGCCGAGTGGCTTTAGCTGTTGGCCCAGGAATAGAAATACATCGTCACCTAACTATTGGCTAGTTGGCAAACGTCGAGACTCGGCTCAGCCCGGTCCTATTGCTGGATAGCTGTGTTTAAAACAAAGGTTGATATTGATAAGGTGACAATTCAATATCGACATGAATATGGAGAATCAGAAGCTTCCATTTCTGCTCGAAGACATGCAGATCAGTTCACATAGGATCAGAGCGGAAGATATTCACACCATGCGGCTGGAATATTGGAAAGCTGTGACTGGCGATCCGCGCTGTGTTGTGTTGGCTCTAAGGAAAGCCGCTAATTCAACCAACGCATGGACCTACTTCATTCATAAAAATAGATCGCATTTTATCTACTAAAGTGTTTCCTCTACAATATCCCATCTGATGGAAATCACCCAGTTGAAGAGACGTTCGGAAACATTCTCAGCTGATACTAAAGCGGGACATACACAAGACTGACTTCGATCGCTTCTAAGCGACTACGGGGGAGGATGTTTGATCGACAGGAACACACAGACGGACTACAAGATGTGCGTTTAGAATTGCTACCAGGGGAAAACCTAGACGCATATGATTCCTCTTCGACACACAAACATAAAGACCATGTATCGACACAGACTCACCCGATTTCCACCTTGCGTGACTCCAACCCAAATTCAGCGCCATACGAATATCTACAAAACGTCAAGGAAACTAGAGCACCAAGCGATGCACACACAACAGCCTGGGAGTTACTATCCGAGTGGTATATCTGGGAAGTACTGGCTGTAATCGTATCGGCAGGTACCCTGGTTGCAATGCTCGCCATTCTTGGCGCATTCAATAAAAAACCGCAACCCGGGTGGAAGCTCATGTCACTAAACTCCCTCATTTCCTGGCTGAGCACCATTTCGAAAGGGTGCATTTTATTTGCGATCAACGAGACGCTGGGTCAGCTAAAATGGGTGTGGTTTACGCAAAAGACACGGCCAGTGCCGAATCTCCGAAGCTTTGATACAGCTAGTAGAGGGTTCTGGGGGAGCGCTCAGTTGATTTGGGAACTAAGAGGCCGGTAAGTTGTCATTTTTACAAATCAGCTTGTAAAAACGCTGCGTGACAACGATTTTTTAACTGGTTCCAGGCATTTCGCTGCCCTTGGGGGCCTTGCTGTTATTTTGGCGCTGGCTTTGGATCCTTTTGCTCAAAATCTAGTCCGCTACTACGAGCAAATGGTAGTGGATCCCTCTCAAACAGCTTTGCTAGCAAATACTACAATATACAAAACCAGAGGACCATACATGAACGGGGGCCGTAAGTCAACCACAGTCGAGACTAAGACCTTGACTCAACTAATAGACCTGTATAGTTTTATATGTGGACCCAGTGCTGAAAGCAAACGTGTATAATTCACTATTTAATACTGACAAGCAGGTGCCATGGTCTGTAGCTCAATATACCTGCAGCTCGAACAACTGCACCTGGGGCCCTGTGGCATCCCTAGAGTACCGTGCCTTGTGCGCCAACGTGACAGACAGCCTTAATATAACGGCCAAAGAACTAACATCAGGAGGTTATCAAGGAGCAGTGAATATTTCACTCGGTCTCCCAAACAGTACCATAGGAGCTTGGTTCCTGCTCAATATGACTGTCGGCGTGGCGGTCACCACTTCGCCAGTCCATCCGCAAAATGCCTTGGTGTACAAAAATGGGACGACAGTGATTCAGTACATTGCACCGTATGGGATCACAAGCTTAGAAGGTGATAAGTTTGCAATACCGGGATTCACCACATCCACTTCTTGGTTGGCAACGGAATGCTCCTTGGAGCCAATGGTTCGGAGCTTTAATGCGTCTGTGAACAACAGTGCGTACAGTGAGACGACAATAGCAACTTGGTCAAACCAAGACACTCAAGTGGTTAACGGCACCTCAGTACGGGCCTTACAGCCACCATGGGGTTCTGAAATGGGCACTCAACCAAACCAGACGTTCCAGATATATAGTGAGTCTCTAGCATCGATTAACGAATTCCTCACCGAGCTCTTCACTGGAAATGCGTATGGAGATAATACAGGGATGGGGAGGCTTCTATTTCGCACCGATAGTAGTCAAATTTATGCCGCCTTGGATGTTATCCAGACCCTCACTATGGGCAATATCACTGGCTGTGGATTCGAAGCAGCGGAAAAGCTGTCTTGCAGTATGAACAACGTTGCGGCAGCAATTTCAAAGACACTACGCGATTCTGAGTTTATCTCTGCAGACTCAAATCCGAGCCAGGCAAACATGACCTCTGGGCATGCAATGTCTCTCGTCACTCACGTTACCGTGCGTTGGGAATGGATTGTATTGTCGATTCTTGTGTGGCTTTTGGGGACTATCATGCTGATTGGGACAATCTGGAAGACTCGGCAAGAACATGCGCCCAAATGGAAGAATGACCCCTTGCCCCTGCTTTTCCTTTACCAGGCTGAGCAAAAGGGATTGCTAGCTGAACAAGACGTTTTCAAGCACCCGCATGGGCTAAAGTTTCGACTCCATGGAAATAGTAACGTGACAGACGAAGGGGGTGGGAATGCAGTGAAGAGTCGCACTTATACGTTCAATGCGTGAGACAGCAGACCACTACCAGAAAATGTGTCTGGGATGAGAAAGAGTGAGCGCTTCATTATAACATTTAAAGATGTACATGTATAAACGACGTGGGATGTGACAATGAATTCTGTAGATAAGATCCACCGGCAACCAATACCTGGCTGCACTAGATCAATTGATATGAGATTATTACAATGCTGGACCGCTGCCAACATGGAATATTGAATGCGCAATATTAATAATCACGAGAAATAAGCTGGTGCCTGGATGTGCAATTTGCCTGCTGTTTGCGACGACTGAAAATGGACGAGGCCGTCAGATTCCTCGGGCCGATCAAGTAACCCGAGCAATCTTCCCCCACCATGCCACTACTAATTACTCAACAGTTGAATTATCACTCCTATTAATTTCTAGTGCTAGACTGCTAGTAGTGCTGAGAAGCCAGAGCTGCTCACCAACTGCTGCTGGCTACTCCACCCTAGGCATCGCTCCCACCGGCCAGAAGGAGATATACGCCGTAAGCCTGGGCACGACTGCGGTATCAGCGCTGCGAAACACAAGAACAGGAAAAACCAAGGGAGGAGGGATTCTTCCCGTCATGATCCGGCCACAATTGGCACCATTATTATCGCATTGGCGCTTTTTCTTTTGAATCTTTCTCTTCTCTCTTGCTCGGCCCTTCGCAGCCTGTCGCCTCCATGTCGCCTCTCCAGAATCCAACAGACGCTGAGGCTGACCCTGCCCGCCCGAGCCTAGAAGCGGCCATCATCAACCCGGGTACTGTCAAAATCAACGTGCAAGGCGCTTACATCGTGGACGACCAGCCCCAAACGCCAGAAAGTGCGACCGATGGCGACGGCGTGCATTACGAGCGGAAGGATATCCGACTTCCTCATCATACAAGTGTGGTGAGCCATGTGGCTGTTGATGTGAGTCTCGTGCCTTTTTTTCTTTTTCGTGTTCAATATTCCCCGCAATTGCATTCCAGTTCCCCGCAGAACAATGCACCACTACAAAAGAAAAAGGAAGTGGCTGACGAGGCTTTGGTACGCAACAGATTGGCGGCTCGTTGGCAAAGTTGGTATATTTTACAAGAGAATTGGAGTCGCCGCAGGAAGGCGGCCGTCTCAATTTTATCAATTTCGAGACGGAGCGCATTGACCGGTGCATCGAGTTTATTAAGCAGCTGAAAGAGGACCACGAGCGACTCAATGGCTCCGCACCAGGCGAGCTGTGCGTTATTGCGACCGGAGGGGGAGCTTATAAATATTACGACAAGCTGAAGGCGACACTCAATGTCGACATTATGCGGGAGGAGGAGATGGACTGTCTTATAACTGGTAATATCGTGTTTTGTCATGTCACTTCTAAGCTTGCGACTAACATTGCTTTCGGTTCATTAGGCCTTGACTTTTTCATAAACGAGATACCGAACGAAGTATTCAGCTACAGTGAAACGGAGCCCATGAAATTCACAGAACCCCGTGCAGGCGCATATCCTTACTTACTCGTGAATATCGGGTCTGGAGTGTCAATGATTAAGGTGTCTGGACCTAATCAATTCCTGCGCGTCGGTGGAACACATCTCGGTGGAGGAACCTTTTGGGGCATATTGGCACTTTTGACCGGGGCCACCACGTTCGACGATATGCTCGCAATGGCGGACCGTGGAGATAACAGCGGTGTCGACATGCTGGTCGGCGACATATATGGCATGGATTACACAAAAATCGGTCTCAAGAGCACCGCGATTGCGAGTACATTCGGCAAAGTTTTCAAGATGAAGCGAGCTGCGGAGCGTCAGGCCGAAGATGGACGAAACCTTAGCGAGGACCATGAAAATACGTCGTCTGTGCAATTCAGTCATGAAGACATGAGTCGTAGCCTTCTTTTTGCCATCAGGTAGGTTTTCTCGTAGCAAACCTTTTAAGAGCCACAACAAGCTAAATCGGAACCAGTAACAACATTGGTCAAATCGCGTACCTACAGTCAGAAAAGCATCAACTTCAGCATATTTACTTCGGCGGCTCGTTTATTCGCGGGCATCGTCAAACTATGAATACTCTTTCCTATGCTATCAAATTCTGGTCCAAGGGCGAGAAGCAAGCCTACTTCCTTCGACACGAGGGCTACCTCGGCGCAGTTGGCGCCTTTCTCAAACGACAGCCACAGAACTGGGGCCGACGGAACAGTATCGAAGACCCTGCGCCTTTCAAACAAGTTCAGGAGGATCTGCGCCAAGAGCTCCAACAAAAACAGCAGCAATCCAGCCAGGCTCAACTGCAAAGCTCCTCATGATAAGAAGCGAAAACAACGATATAGAAAGCGAAGAACACGGTAAATCTCAGACCTGAATATTGCTCATTTTTCTGCCATTTTCCGCTGAATCTTGAGTTCAGACTGAGTGGATGAAGCGGTCTAGACCATGAACACTTCTCTTCAGATTATATGATACCCAATTTGTCCGATGCCGATAGAGGTTTAAGAGTCGGGCTGTTGATGGAGTCATGAATATTTTACATTGTATAATTTAACTTCCACTGGGTCGGTGCATTTGTGTTTTGACTGGCCGCGTATGATATTAGACATGCCATTTTGGAATTATAGACGATCTTTCTGTTTTACCTCTATTTTTTTACGCCATTCAAAGGTCCTTGAACACCAATTGCAATGTGAAAACTGGAAGTGGAAACCGTACAGCCTATTTTAAATCTAATCCTACCAATTGATGTACATGTACATGCGGCGGAGGATATTGCAATCCTGCTAAATGAGAGCTGTTCGAGACTTGTTTGATGTGTTTGCATTTAGGAGAATGTTTCATTTGTTTGCATCAGCCCGCACGCTTTGGCACGTGATCCCCTTTTTGGGGATTGTCTTGGCAGCGAGTATACTCCTGGACAAACACTCAACTACTTGTCATGGGCGATTTATAACGTCGCCCGAGGCCTGATGGCCCCTCAACCGCAGTCGCCGCCTCCGATTCCACCCCCAGTCCCTGTCGAGACTCATCCCAACAGGGCCGGAGGGTTGAAGCCGCCGTTGCCAAACCGTGTCCCACCCGATCCAACACGACTTGCTCCAGAACATGCATATTACTCTCATTCACAGCCACGATTGTGGCACGATGATTCCGCCAGTTTAAGACCGATTAGCGGTGCTATTTCCACCCCGGCTGCTGTTGCTGCTCTAAGGCCACCGCCTGCAGTACCTGGCACGGCGCCTAGAAAGTCCGACGGCCGCAAGCTCAGAGATGGACGGCGAAAGAAGCGCAAAGGGGCGTGGAAGAAACTTCTTTGGGTTCGACAATCTTGTATGGAACTCTTTCCTGGGTCTTCCGGTTTTCTGGGGTAGAAAAATTGCTAATCAGTTCTAGATCCGGATAATTATACCGACGCAGAAACTTTCCTCGATCACCTCCAACGAAATCCACGTCTGCGGCCGTACGACTTCTGGCCGCTTGTTGCCGACTCTACAGTCATAGTTCAACATGTGTGCTCTGTCGCAATTTTCGTCTGTTGTTTTGTGGGGATTGTTCACGATAGAGTGAGCCCGGTGTCCGTGGTCGGCTGGGGTAGTATAGGCACCGTATTAGGCTGGGTTCTGTGGGATTCTTGGGTTTGGAAAGAACAACGCGAAGCCTTGCAAATAGCAACACAGCTTTCCGAGAGTGGTGAGGCTGACGACGGGTCGAGTGCAAGTTCTACAAGCTCACATCACCCACCATCAGCGGGATCTCAATCTAACGGGAACGCTGGCAATGTTCATGGTCTAGGTCTCAATATCCCCCGGTCAAGCTCAGAAATTCGTCTGCGACGCCGAAGCACGGAGATGAGCGCATCGTCCTTGCAAAATGGTAATCCAAATTCCCCTATTCTACAACCCACGAACATATTATATCCATTCAATGAAGACGGCAAATCATTGTTGTCAACGCGGAATCGACAGCGCCTTGCAACGGTCAAATCCGCCGCTCTAATATATTGCGCTTTGCTCGGCCTCAGCCCAATTTTGAAATCCCTCACAAAGTCCACTGCAAGTGATTCTATCTGGGCTATGAGTTGCTGGTTGATGATAATCAATATTTTCTCCTTCGACTATGGCAGCGGGGAGGGGGGAGCAGATGTCACCAAATTCCCTGCTTCCTTATCCACAAATGCGGCATTGATGGCGTCAACGGTGCTCGCCTCGCGTCTTCCTTCGACCACGCATGTGTTCAGTTTAACCCTCTTTTCCATCGAGGTATTCGGGCTCTTTCCTGTTTTTCGACGTCATTTGCGGCAGGTGTCCTGGACTGGCCATCTCATCCTAACTTTTGGGTTGGTTCTCGTCGCTGGTGCGGGCGTTGGAATAACGGTTCGAGGTGGATGGGCCGCTGCTATAGTAGGGTCAATCATGGGCAGCATTCTCACAGCATTAGCAATGGGGTCTTGCAGCTGGTGGCTTATTAGCCTTCAGAAGTATAAAAATGTTGTTATAGGACCGTGGGACCCAGCTAGGCCAATAATCCGAAGAAATTGGGATTAGCATTGGCGTCGATATAATTTAAATAATATTTTTCATGATTCATTGACACGTTCTCTAATAAAGCGAATGAGAACGAATTCCTTTGTAGTCAATACAAATTCGACAGTTAGAAGATCGTATCCAATTTAACCTCTCATATCGATAGCAATATATGCAAGGGTCGAGTAGTCACGACTGTACATAGCCAGCTAATATCGTTCAATCAACCACTGCTTCCTTTCACCCTCCTCCATCGCCGCCAACTTTTGGTTTTCTGCTCTTTTCACAGCACAATATCTTTCTACGAATCTGGGACCCATTATCCTACGCAAATCTTTATCGGCCTCCAACGCAGCAAGGCTCTGCTCCAATGTCTTCGGGATCTGCTGTACAATACCTAACATCTCGCGTTCCTCGGTCGACAATGTTGCAGCGTCAACAGGGCAGTCCGCGTGCATCAGCGGTGTTTCATTAGCTATGCCAATCAGACCAGCGGCAAGAAGCGCGGCCATGGCAAAATACATATTTGCCAAACCATCAATAGATTTGAGCTCCCAGTGCCCCGCTTCGATCTTGCGGATCGGCGTTTCACGGTTCTGAGATCCCCATGTTACCCATTCACTTCCTGCCCATACACCAGAGGCAACTCGGGAGTAGCTGATTTCTTGCGATAAGGAAAAAGCGGTTATCGACGGGAAGTGTTCTAGGACTCCGGCTAGAAAGGGCTCTTCGTGGGAAGTTGGGGAGATGGAGAAATGCGCGTGAGACGCTGTCCCTGCTGCAAACGGATAAGGGCGCGGATAGAGAGTAGCGCGTAGACCGTGTTTTTCAGCAACGTGCTGCACGGTTTGACGGGCTTTGAGAAGGGTGTCGACTGCGGCGAGTGGTGAAGCTGGAGGGAGGATGAACTCGAATTGTCCGGGGGCCGATTCGGCGTGGAATTGCTCAAGATGGATGTCTATGCTGGCTAGAGTAGTGACGATTTCCTCGAGAATAGAAAGCGCGTTTTGACGAATGTCAGTGGTCATGTTGGACCAGGAATGTGTCTTGGTCAATGGCTTCCACTCGCCACCATCTTGGTCTGATTTACGCAGGAAAACAACTTCGATTTCGAATCCGAGTGTTACTTGAATTGGCTTTAATGCAGTGACGACTCTGTGAAGAGTTGTTCGCGGACAGCCTTCTAGATCTTTACCATTCTCATCTTTCCAAAATGTCATCACCGTAGCGCTGTTAGAGTTCAGAGCGGCATTGCGAGTGAATGTTGAGAGGTCTGGTCTCATGTAGAATTGCCCAGTGGTAGCTCCACCAGGGGCTAAAAGGTCATCTTGCAACATGTGTAGAACTGCCAAAGTAATGCCGATCCTTCGTTGATTCTTGACGATTTTGACGAATTCTCGAAGTGGGAACATGCGTACGCGAACGGTGGCTGTATAGTCGACCCATTGAACCCAGACAACCAGGTTTGGGTTATGAGTCACCAGTGTATCGAGATCTAGCGTTGCCTCTGATTCTGTGGATCTCGTGGCTAGTTGAAGCATGTCTTTGTCTTTGGGTGGCGGTAAGTTGAGGTTATACAACACGTTTGAGTTATTGAATAAAATGTCCTTTGTCGTTTGTTTAGCTTGCTCAAGAGTAAGGCTACCCTTTTGTACATAGTCCACCAAAACCTGAATATACAACGTTAGACGGGCTTTTATCCTTGGAATATAGTGGAGCGAAAGGTCCTAGCTTACCGTTTCCAATGCATCTCTGAATTGTTTATTTGACAGCCAAAATGTCTCGGGATGGAAATGTCCATCCGTACTCCATAGTAAACGGATCGTTGGCGTCAGATCAAAGCTCTGTCGCAAAATTGATTCCTCGGCATCCCTACTAACCATAGGGAATACCTCGCCAAGATCGAGGTATACATTGGGATATACCGAAGCAAGGTAACCGGCCTCTCTGGTGTATGGGTAGGAAGAGTGAAGTAGTACAAAATCAATCTTCTTATATTGGGTAATAAGAGGCTGCAAATATGCAGGATTGGCGCGCACCAAGTCTAGATCTGAGTCTCCCAGGCCAGTATGGAATTGTATAGGCTTCGTTTTGGCATCACTCCATTCCGCGGCTTCTTGAATGACGTCTAGCGTTAGCGTCACCACATAGTCATTGAACGCCTTATCGGCAATTCTAAATGGTGCTCCTTTACGGACAATTCGCTGGAATGACTTCTCGACCGCAGCAAGATAGTCGGCTGCATGGGGAGCTGTAGGAGCTGGTGTCACTGCAACGTCCAATCCAGTTCGGTAACAGACAACCGATTTGAAGCCAACCACTTCCGGGTCCTTGATGTCTCGCCGGATGCGCTGCTTCAAGAATTGTACAAATCGGGTGAGCGTGGGCCGAACACTTGAGGTCTGCTCTGCTACAGACAAGTCGTCCAGGACCTTCGATGCGACAGTCTCAATACGCACGATGCGCTTTGTCTTGGACGCTGTGAAATGGTCATGCCATTTGTAGTCTTCAATGTCGGAGTCGGTAATCAAATCATCCAGCAAGAGTGCATGCGTGCCCTCGAGACACTTTTTCACAAAGCCTTTGTAATCTCTAGTCACCCACTCTTCTCGGGCAGCCTTGATAGCCTCCCAAGAGGGTTCACACGAAAACAACGTTGCGAGTTGTTTGACTGCGATATGATGAGGCAGTGTTTGCTGGGATTGCCGCAGAGCTTCGCCATGCGCTTCAGAAGTTACGGATTCAAGAGGGTAGCTCTTGTAATTGAGCACATGTTGAGCGGACAGAATATTGTGGGCGTGATTATCGATGAGAGGATGCGACTGGATCAGCGCGCGCAGGCCGTCAACATTTTCTCCGTGCTGGGCCATTGTCCTTGTTAATTTTTATAGCTGTCTTTCTCTTTTTACATAGAGAGAAGAGTTGCATTCAGCTAAAGAAATGCAACTGTCTGCCGCTGGCGCGAGGTGGTAAACAGTAAAGAGCTCCAGGATAGCTTCAATGTTGCCCCTCATCAGCGCTGAAGCGTGCGTTTCATTGGCCAGCGCGGTCTCGCGTGATATGACACATTCGAAAATACTACGTGATCAAAGAAAAAGGATTGACTGATTACATGCCAGCAAATCTGGTGTTCATCATATAAGCATTAATCTCTATTTTTGGATCTTCAATTGACAGGATTCAGCCCTAAATGAGGGAGGAGTTTGTCCCGTATAAACTCCTCAACACTGTGAAAACCCACCCCCAAATCGAGAACGGCTTGATCTGGAATGTCCTTGCCGGGGTACATTCCGACACGGTTGTATAGTTCAAACATGATATCACGATCTGCAACCCCCGTTGTTGGTAGTACATTGTAAATAGCACGGCGACCAGAGACTAGCAAAACGATTAGCGATATACAACATTGAAAATTCAATGACTCAACAATAAGATATACCCTTCTCGATAATACCAACAATATCATTAGGCGAGAACCTGCCGTTTGACGCATATAGATAAGCGTGTCTAATTTGTTCTTTCTGAGTCTCCCATTTATCAAAAATTGCCTTCGCTATGTCGGCGAGATCTTCTTCCACGTAAAGCATAGCTACTATATTCAAGTTGAATAGTATCAGACAAAGTATAACGAAAATTTGAAAGATGGCGGAGACTTACGTTTCGTATCTGATCTGATTATCGCTTGATGGAACTCTAAAATATCTTTTTTTGCTTCATAACGGACGTGGTTTCGATATATCATATTTTCCAGGAAGTTCCCCGTGTACAGAAAGGTGGCGGGTAGATCTGTCTCGCGAATATAATCATCGACGTGATGCTTGCCTGTTCATAATAAGAAAAACGCCAGTGATATTGGGATTGTCAACATACCTTCGTAGATCCTAGAGACCAGCTCCCCTCCAGAGAGTTTGGCGGAGCTAGGTAGTGTACTCCAGACAAAACATTGTATTCCCTCTTTCAATGATGCATCAACTAGGTTTTTACCTTGTTGCTCTTCACTGCCCGGATCGTCCTTTATTTTCTTCAATGGCCGCGGATAAGGATCAATGCCTGTTTTAAAATGAACGAGAATCTCACCGAGTCATAAAAGTTTGTAACACCAAATACACCCCAGCACCCTCGCAAAGCGACTTCCAGGGAGGATGGAACAGTCAAGTCAGCCTTCGCAACTTCGGCTCCCAGCACTTGAAGTTTCTTTGCAGCTGGAGAATCGGGGTTGCGAGTTAGAGCTCGTACTTTATATTCTCTTGGAAACTGGAGTAGACGTTTTGCGACCGATCCACCTAGTGTTCAATTTAATTTAGGTTACTCACTTTCTTTGCTAAAATAACCCCTACATGTACTCCACGGACGTACCTTGGTTTCCAGTGGCGCCAGTAACAGCGATCAGTTTAACCATGGTTATATTGGTACTTTAACGTTTTCGATACACTTCGTAATACTTAAGAGTTGAATCTTTATAGCTAAGCTTTTTTCTCGCCAGCATATTAGAGTTTATGCACGAAAAGTCTGAATATAGAACTGTAATATTATATTTAGCTTGTTTATAAGTTACCTACGTACTGCGACACGTCTTATTGATGGAGATTCCCCCGCAACAGCCGCTACATCCGCGGGTGTGACTGTGATTGGTAATAAGTTGCTTAAAATCTACAGGACTGCCTAATCTAGACACATGCATTACATGTGATATATATCACACGTGTGCATTTCCGGAAATCACGCGGAAACCTTTCCGCATACCCAGCGTTCAAGTGTATTAAGAGTTAAGTGTATTCATATCTGGCTCACTTGAATTTCAACAAGGGAGTATCAACTTTGAATCTGGTTCTGCAATATTTGAAGCTGATGCATTCCAACATTGAATATTGAGAATGTATCTACGTGAGAAGCAATAAGCTATAATAGACAAAAGCCAAATGCGCTAGTCCAACTGACTGACTTCAGCTAAGAAGTTCTATTAAAATAGCATAGAGGCCCTAATCAACTTATATCATCATATGACATATAATATCTCAATGTGTAAAACTAGTCTTAGCCATTGAATTACATACTACACTAATGACACCACATATGCAAGTTTCTGATGTTAAAGCTGCTATATCAACATTGAATATTCATAAGCCAAGATTAATGTATGTGGCAACATCTAAATATTTCATACTTCATCTATGTGGTTGCAATTATCTTTCAGACAAAATCAGTCCGTTGATATAACCCCATTCTGTGAAATAGTTTTCATATCCACTGCCCATGCTAAAGTCCCTCCAAGACATTTATCAGCTCCATATTGTTTTTTGAGCATCCAGGTCTCGTTGTCGTCGTATGAAACCCTATTTGTCACTTAGTGATCAATATTCTTCTCACCCGATAATCCAAAAAGGCGATGAAAACAAATAAATAGGACTTACCACTGTGTCGTATCCCACGCAAAGTATTTTACTGCAGCTTGCTTATCCAAAACAGGTTTTATATTTGAATTATTCTTCAAAATAGTATCGATCTCCGCGTTATGCAAGCTTCCAGCCTCGTTTGAGCATGGCCCTGGATCACCGGGTCCTGTAGCCGCACAACCAGGTTTAGTACATGAAGCGCTGGTTAATCTATAAGTTTTCCCGTAATCTGCGAGACCTAAAGTCACTTTTTCTGGACTAACACCGGCGTTCCAAACTAGTTGCAGAGACTGTTGGATATCGGAGAGGTTAGTGTGAGGCTGTGCTGTGGTTGGCTTTTCCCAGCTACCGTGAAGATCGTAGGTCATCAGGTTGAGCCAATCGACATGCGGCTCCAGGCCTTTGAGGTCGAACCCCTTCATGTAGACTTATTTCATCGTCAGCCGTTTTTGCCTTTGTTTCAATTAGGTGTAATGATATCCTTACAGGTGCCTCCAGGTACAGTCACGCTTAGCCCCTTGTTCTTACACTTATCCCGATACTCCTTTGCTAACGAAACCAGGTTAGCAGTGTCTGCTGTAGATCCGCCCATATCTATTGCAGACGGGTACTCCCAATCCAAATCCATTCCTTCAAATCCGTATTTATCCATAAATTGGCAGACAGAGTCGATAAACGTACTCCGACCTTGCTGAGTTGCCGCAAGTTTTGAAAATGGGGCGGCTCCCACGGCATAACCACCCACAGAGATCCATATATGCAAATTGCTAATAGATTTGGTACGCATGTCTTTTAATTGGTCGAATAATATTGTGTCGTTAGATAGGGACAGCATGACCTTGCCATCCTTGTCGATTAGAGCGAATGCAAAGTTGATGTGTGTGTATGGTGTTGGGTCAATATCGGAGGGCATATATTTGTTGCAGACGCGATGGCTCGCCCAGCTTTCATAGTAAGCGATGGAGCGATTCATGGCTCCTGGACAATTTGTGGCACTGGAAATATGTGAGCAACTAGCGTAACTAACAAGGCCGGCCTATTGACAACGAACATTTTCGGCACCGCTTGCTTGCAGTTACTTTGGCATCCCAACCCGCAATAATCTCGTTCCGTTCCGCAAAATCTAGACATCAATCAGAATACGTAGATTCAAGTTACCTTCAGAAACATACCCATAGCGAGAACAGCACATTCCTTGAGAACATAACTCTTGTCCAGGCGGCGCATTTACTGCGTTCATCAGCGACATTTCAAACACTCTCTGTACCTAGAAAAAAGAAATATAAACTGTACATACCACCACATTGAACATCCCTCTTCTGATGTGTATGCGTGCTAAGGGACACTATGGATGATAAAGGTACAATAAATGGGAATGTGACCAAACATATCAGTGCTAGTAATCCTTGTACCTTTTGCATTCGCATAAAGGTGAAAAAGTCCGTGAAAATCATGATGCGCTGTAGCGAACCGCGGTGGCAAACCTGGAGAATAGACAAATGACATGAAAACAGACTCAAGGTGAATTTGGATTACCACGTTGGCTCGATAACGACTGACTGACAATAGCCATCTGCCCTTTTGACGACACTCTCGACGAAGTTAGTTCAAATCACCAAGTCATAAGTAGGATCATGTCAAAGCTGTTATATTTGATTGAGGGAGTGAGGAAACAGGGCACAGATCTGGATGGAAACACTCTGAGTATTGTGGAATGTGGCAGCCGGGAATATCTATGAGCTCGCATTTCACTAGTGATTAATATATTTTAGTATAATTCATGGCTGTCATTAGCTTGAATCAGAATACACATACAATAATTAAAAACAAATCTAGAAACACATTCCATATTCTATTAATGCTGTGGGGCGAGTAAGTGGCTGTCCCAACCAAAAACCTTCAACATTGTTTTGCATTCCAAAGACGGAAAGCCCTAACTGGTCCTGGCAACTACATTCCTTTGCGTTTTATGTTCAACTAACACATTTCAATTATATAATAATACCCAATATAACTTATTGGTAGAACATGAATGTTCTGTCATTTGTTATTTTTGAGACATCAATGCTTCACATAGGAAACCTGTTTCGCAATAATTCTAAGACAGAGGCAACCGGGAGCGGTGTCAAGTTTGAATTCTTATGCAAAATTTCCAACAATCTTGTTATCTAATATCAGGCCGAATTATGATTCAAATATATTTGACCACTTAGATGATTTCTGTAGATGACTGGCAACTGTGATAACTCGGTTTAACATGATATTTAACACTTTTTGAACCTTTAATTTGTATAACTTATGGCTACTGTTGTTCGGATGAATTCGTGAGGTTTATTTCACTACATTATGTTTTTATTATAGAGATTGGGGCTTGAAGATGTAGCTAATTGCTCCTTGGAATGAAATTCTGGTCACGACCTCTGGAATAAGACAGTGTAAAAAAGGTCTTAATATTTCTACAAGCCCTAGGTTCTCTTCCTTAGATCGACATAAGTGCGGCTTAGTCTGTGCGCCAAGGCAAAACTTATATTCTACATCTGTTTAAAAGTTCAAGATATTGGTAATATTCTACCATAATCTTCTAATGAACGAACCCACGCGGAAAGAACGCATTTTGAGGAAATATTATTTTATCCACATACATTGTCTGTGGTTGCTCATCCCACTGGATTTGTGCTGTTAAGAAGTTTTTGAAGTCAAGCGACGCTCCGTATTGGCACGGGTGTTGACAAAGTCAGGGTACGACAAAGTCAGCTCGATGCCACCGGAAATGATGTTATCAACAGCTTCAACACCAAGCATGAAGCTACATATTCAATTTAGCTTTAGTGAACTCTTGATTTTAATATTGAGAATAGAAACCTTACCTGTGGTCCTGGTTACCAACCTCATACTTCCATGACCCGAAGCGACCACGAGAAAGGATATCCTTCTGGCGGAGATAGGGCTGAATTTCGTTCAATGCGCCATCACGCTCTAGGCTTGGAGTGGGATAGCCGTGGTCGAAGCGACGGACGTAGGTGCTGACTATCTCATCATTTGGCTTCAGCAGCTCGGTGTTGATCAGCCCTTGGATGCTATCGGCTAGCAGAGTCTCATGGTTGACCGGTTTGTAGGATGATTCCGATACCTCAAGCATAATAGACCAGTACGGACCAGCCTGGGGTTCAAATGAGGCAGGCTTCTTGCCATTAGCAAGCTGCTTCGTGGGAAGCTTGACATTCTTGTTGGGCTGGTTGAAAGGAGAATAGTTGGAGAAAATGGTGGCGCGATAGAAGGGGCAGTTATCCTCTACGAAGTATAGCTATAGATTGGTTAGCTTGGTTAAACACCAAGATGTAAATAGGTTAACGCACCCAGCACTTGTCACCAATGCGCTCGGGGCGTTCACCCCGGATGCCAACGCCAATTACATTGGTGGAAGAATAATAGAGCGGTTTGCACATTTGCTGCAGTTTGGCATCACCCATCGACTCGGCAAGAAAGTCGACAGCCATAGTTGAGACCAAGGAGCCATATTTTACCACGGTACCTGTTTTGAGAGGAATCAGTATTTATCAGAGCATGTTATTTACCCTCATTTACTCACCATCTTTCAGATATACCTTCTTGGAGTCAGCGTCTACCTTAATGACTGTACCATGATTGCCGAAACGCTTCTTCTCGTTAGCGATGGTGTCGGCCACTGCAATCCAGATGCCACCAGTACCACCGTGCGCGGGGAATTTAAATGTAGCATTCGGACCCCAGTTACCAGCCACCTTGTTACGGATGACATTTGTAGTAAGCAGTTTGACGTTGGGAGCGGCAACACGCTCACCAACCCAGGTGGAGTTCATCTAGTTCATATCAGCAGAGTCTCAAATCTTGTAACGGGTTGAAGTGCAGATCGTACGCGGCTAGTAGGAACGGCCCATACTTTGAAGTTGTACGGACGCATGAATATTTCATTCAAACGTTGGCCAACGTTTCGAATATTCCACTCGTCGAAATTCTTGGGCTTGTCCGTGGCAGGGCGCACACGAGCCTCGAGTGCGGCATCGAGGAGGTCACTCAGGCATTTCACCTGCTCCTCCTTGGGCAGAACGGCTATATTGTTTTGAAACGGATAAGGAACCCAAAGTCCTTGGTAGCGGACGTAAGATACGCGTTGATGCTCGTACCAATCATCCGACTTGGGCAGGGCTTCGTTAAGGCAGTCATCAAAGTACTTGTAGTGAGAAAAAATGACGTGGCCGCCGACATCGAATAGCTGCCAAACATCGATTAGCGTATCACCACTGTCATTTTTCAATATAGGAGACTTACAAAGCCTTCCGGCGTGATATCGGTCGAGGCGAGACCACCGGGGGTTTGGTTGGAATCGACAATCAGCCAGGAAACATTGTTCTGTGAACTTCTTGTTATTAAATGATACTCGGAGCATGTAGTATATCAATACCAATTGCTGTAGGCGTTTTGCAGCTCCAAGGCCAGTTGGACCGGCGCCAATGACCAGAGTGTCAACATTGCTAAAAGGTTAGTCGTTTATAACCATTCCGGGGGGGGGGGGGGGGGGGGGGGGGGGGGTTGTTGCAGCTTACATTTCTTGAGGAGTCATGATGCGTTGACGGTAAGGGTAAAAGCGAGTGTCTATAGTTGGAATAATGAGGAGAACCTGGGTAGAGATGCAATGTCAATTGAGATCAATTGGTCGGCCTTGGAAGGGAAAAGGACTGTTTATCAGTGATTTTGTTCAGGAGATTTCGGAGATTACATTGATGAATCGAGGATGCTGTGATTGGTGCGGCACCAGACGCTCGGTTCTGGTTCTCAACTAGAGCCAATAACCAGAAGCTGTTAATCTGACAAAAGTGAAACACTGTCAATGAAAAGACAAGGATGATCTGCGATTTTTCAGGGGAATGCAACACTGAGATCAGTAACACTGCCCACCAGAAAAAGGATGCGCTGCGATTTCCCAATGCTGCGTATCCAGTCAGTAGCTCAGAACGCCAGATCTATGTAATAGTTCAAGCTTAAGTGACTGACCGGCGTGTGTGTCACATCTGGGCCCTGGCCGAGACAAGTCGGCGACTAATGATAAGCGTGGGGTATGCTTTGATTATGATGTGATCCAAGCAGATAAGATCCTCATCTTGGAGTTTAATTGCGTCACATCCTGCCTCTTATTTCTCAGGCCAGTTGAAAATGAAGATATTAGTTATGGCGGAACTCCGCCATGGTCCCCCCATTAGCACTGCGGATCCCCGCCGTCATTACTTTTTTGCAGGCTACTACTGTATTGAGGGTCACTTGTGGAGGTTTTATTGGCATTCAGGTCCGCGCTATTACGCGGCCCCTGCCAGCTCAACATTCCGGTTGGCTCAACGTTAAAGTAGCTTTTATATGTGTTTATCATATAAAAGATAATTATAATTATTTTAAAATAACTCTACAATCACAATTAATGGCCGAAATTTGCGCCTAAAGTAGAATATTTCTTAGAAATGTCCCTCCAGGGATAAAGTGCCTGTTTTTGTTATCAAGTACTCGTTCACAGCCACATCCTTCCCGCTTTCTTTTCCGTATCCTGACTCCTTTATTCCACCAAAAGGTGACTCGGCTGCAGAAGAGTTGCCTATTGTGAGTCAGTGAACGCATCAAATTGCAAATCCCGTGTGAAAAAAAATAGAGACTCAACTCACCAGTATTGAGACCAATCATGCCGGCCTCCAAGTTTTCATACATCCGCCACAGTATGTCAATGTTTTTTGAAAAGACATAACTAGCGAGGCCCATACTAGTATCATTCGCCCATTTTGTGGCCTCTTCTTCAGTGTCAAACTTATAGAGTGCAGCAATAGGGGCAAAACTTTCCTCACGAGAAATGAGCATTTTCTCGGTCATGTCGGTAAGAATTGTGGGCTCGAAGAAGTATCCGCCCTTGTCCTTGATTTGATTGCCGCCTAATATCACTTTTGCACCCAGTTTTCTAGCATCTTGGACTTGGCTGGTGGCTTTGTCAAGGCTGCGTGGTGTAGTCACGGGACCCATTGTAGTTCCCTCTGCAGCGCCATGGCCGGTAACGATTTTGCTCGTACGCTCTTTAAGCATGTTCGCAAATTTCTCATAAACACCGGCCTGGACGTAGATACGATTTGCAGTAATACAAGCCTGACCAGCGTGTCGCCATTTGAGCGCCATCAAATGATCCATGGCTTGGTCGAGGTTCGCATCGTCAAATACTACTAATGGACAGTTGCCACCCAGTTCCAAGGTAACCTTCTTCAACCCTGTGGCACAATGACCGGCAATAATCTTGCCGACGCGTGTTGATCCAGTGAAGGTCACTTTCTTTACCAGAGGGTGTTTACATAGCGCCTCACTGAGAGCCGGTGTATTCTCCAAATCTGTAGTCAACACATTCAATACACCGGCCGGAAAGCCAGCCTTTTGGGCAAGATGTACAAGCGACAGAATAGTCAGAGGAGTTTCTGGACTAGGCTTAACAATCATTGTACACCCCGCAGCGAGCGCGGCAGCTGCCTTTCGTAGGATCATCGCCATAGGAAAATTCCATGGCACGAGCGCAACAGCGACCCCAATGGGCTGCTTTATCGTGAAAATACGACGCCCTGGGAGCGCAGGTGTAGATACAGTACCGAAAATTCGTTCTGCTTCGCCCGCAAACCACCAAGTAAATCCTGTTGAATAGTCTATTTCTCCATATGATTCAGCAATTGGCTTTCCAGTTTCGTAGGTTATGATCTTGGCGATGTCGTCTTTATTTTCGCGAATGAGTGCATCCCATTTCAGTAACCACTGTGCTCGTTGACGAGGTACAACCTTTCTATACTGATTGAAAGCAGCATGTGCGACTTCAACAGCGTGAGGGACGTCATCAACCGTGTTTGCAGGGCAGCTAGCCCATGCAATGTCGGTACCAGGATCTATTGAAATGTTTAGCTAGGGGTGTTTTGGGCAAGGATCATATCAGATTTCTCCTAACCAACAACTTCAAAGCGGCCACCTTTCTTGCTTGAAATCCACTTGTTATCGACGAATGATTCGTAGTGGAGAAGCTCAGGGTTGTTGAGCTACATAACATTAGCATCGCCACTATATCGACTACCACACCAGCACAACTTGCATACCTCGAATGGAACTTTGTACTGCTTTGCCATGTTAAATTATCTGCTTCCAGATCACTGTTATTGCGATATTGTTATTTTCGCTGGGTGAAGCTGAGAGAAGAGAGTTTCGCAGCCGAGCTCTTCCCCTCGTCATTTCAAGCAGTGAACCCCACTTCTCCCCATCTTTCTCCATCAAGCAGGAAACTAAATAGCCGGTTCTCCTACAGCTCGGCTACCTGCATGGCTCGGTATCTTGGTTCGGGAATGGTGCCTCAGGCTTTCCTATGCGTAACCTGTGTAACAGTAGATCCTACAGTGGGATGAATTATGTTTTGAGGATAGCACTAAAAATTTGTACTTGTATTGCTCCATAATATTTTAGTACTATCTGAAATTATACATTATAAAAAGAGATTTTGTCGGTTTCCAGTTCAGTTAAATCTTTAGTGATTACTTTTATTACCGCCATTTTTTGTGTTATCCTCAAACATAATTCATCCCACTGTATATGGTGTTATGTACAGCTATCCATGGGCGCCGGGCGGATCGTTCGATAGCAATAACAATGATCTTGGAATCCCCCATATAATTCTAAAAATAGTTTACCTCGGTAATAGAAGATATCGAGAATTCGTCTCTTTTGGAAAATGCGGCCTTGGCTCAAACTATTTAAGATCCATAGATAGGAGAATAATTCTAAAAGACCATAACTTGGCCCTAGAAAGGTATCTAACCACACAATCTCAACGAGCGAGAGCTTACAACAATGTGTAGCTTGGAAAACTGTTGTAAATCGTTAAACTCGGAAAATAGGGCCAACGAGACTTGCTTTCAATACACGTGTTAACAGATGTTCCTATTCAAGCGCTCTACAGTTGATCTTTTGCCTACCCACTAACATCAACTTTGGAATTCTCAAAGTTAAAGCGGATATATATGAATATCTCGATGCAAGCTATCGAACTTCAGGAGGTTATTTGGTACTAAATTGGAAATTGATAATGATGGATGCAGGTGCTGAGGGGGGTTTTCCAAGACAACCAGCTCCCAGTTATTAGGACCTAATTGGTTGACTCAGGGTTTGTTTTGGAATCTCTCTCCAATCTACGGCATGAGAAGTCAATGCACCGCAGGGGCAATGTTTAATAATATTTTCCCAATGATCGTGATAATCATCATGAACTGACATGACAACAACAAAAGACCAATCAGGAGCCAGAGGATAAGGAAAAGTTGACTTATTCATAGATAGAAACTCGTTTAACATCAAAAACATGTATAAGATTTGAACTTACATAAATATGTACTAAATAAAATATAAATGATTGTATAAACTTGAATATGGTTGTCATCACCCTACCAAACAAGCTTCCAGAATTTACAACATCAAGCAATTCATCAAAGACTTTTCTGTGGTCGGATTTTGTGTGATTCGAAATATTGCATCATACCTTGGCATTTCTGACAATTCAACTCAAGGTTAGATCTTGCTCTACAGAAATTAGCCAAAATGGACTTCTAGGAGCTGTCTTGGTTGAAAGTGAACGATATATGATACCAGCCAGCTTGTAAATGAGGCCGACAAAAAGGGATTAATCCAAAAAAAATTTCGGATATGTGCACGATCCAACAAACGATGCTAGATCCGATTACCGAAGCCAATCAATTTAGGTAGCTTCGAGAATAAAGACTATTAATACATTTGTTAAACGGTAGAACCACGTAGTACATTCGCAGTCAGAATTTCCGTGCTATTTTAATAACAGCCAATCATTCCACGCGAAGCTCCCGCGGCTTGGCCAGGGTTACAGCTCTAGACTTCTAGTCCGCCGCTGAACATCAACTAGCCACAATATATCCGCTTTGGGTTAACACCGGGTTATGGTGTTGTTGGTGCGCATACAACAACCAATAATATGCAGAGTACCCGCCAAATAGAAAACCATCGAGAATTGGTCATGAATTTGGCCCCACATGTTCTCATGTCATCAAAATGAATATTTCTCAAGCATATAAATGATTTCTCTTGTTCCGAAACGCAGTTGATATGGTAAATGAATCGTCATTGGCACCTAGTCCCGGTATTTCCAGGACTTTGTATGATCGGTCCACTAATCCTACAGTTTAATAGTCAACCGGCTCCTATTTGCACGTTACTTTGAAAATTGGCGCCATGGGGCCGGTCCGGCTGGTAAAAGTGATCTTTAATAGCACTGTTACATTGGAATGGTAATCTTCTGTCTGCTGAAATCCTATCTAACTTAATAATCTAAGTGCCTTGAAATAGTGGCCCTCCATAATTGAATGTCAACAGATCCATGAGCCGCGAGTGTGGCGTTAGTTTTACCCACCGAAACTGAAAAAGAGCCCCCAATTAAAGGTCATCACGGCCTTAGCCTTTGGAGATCTACACTGCTACAGTAGTCATTCTAGTTAACATGATGCGAAATTTAGCGAACCAGCTCCAAGCGAGTTGTTAGAAGAAGATGAAAGGGAGCAGTCATCCAGAGTATTTAGATCCTTTCGTAGAACCTCGACGTATTTTATACTCCTCACACAGTCATTCCCGACACAGTCATTCTTGACACAGTCAAAGGTCATTCATTCCTTACCTTCTGGAGACTGTCCACTCCTTTGCCAAATTTTTACATTCTTTTCATCGCCTTTCTAACCGCGTACATTCCTTCAAGTGCAATATACCTTGACCATGAAGACTGTTTCCGCTGCTACGGTTCTCTCGCTGAGCTGGCTGGCCCACTCAGCGACAGCCTTGCCGTCTAGCAGTGTTGCTGTGTCTGCTACCTCTACCTCTGTGGTTCCTACTGCTACCGCTACCAGCGGTTTCCGAAGTGTCGCGTATTTTGCGGATTGGGTCAGTTTTCTATATCAGAAACTAAAAGAAAACCCCCATACTAATACGTACTATGTATGTAGGATATCTACAGCAGCATTAACTTCTTCCCCCAAAATATAACCGCCTCGACACTTTCTCACCTCATCTACTGTTTCGCTAATGTCAATTCAACCACTGGCTCAGTCGGCCTCTCCGATGTATGGGCCGATTTGCAGTTCCCATACCCTGGTGACAACAGCAGTGATACCAGTGCTGTTGCTGGTAACGTCAAGCAATTATATCTCATGAAACAACAGAACCGCAACCTCAAAACGTTGCTGTCTATTGGTGGAGCCACCTACTCTACCAACTTTGCCAACTTTACCTTGACTCAGGAGGGTAGACAAACTTTTGCTCAGAGTGCCGTTGAGTTGGTTCAAAACCTGGGTTTCGATGGTATTGATATCGACTGGGAGGTAAATATTCCCTTGCTCAATCTCACTTTCCTAAAGCGAAATATCGTAATTAATATTTGATTAGTATCCCACCGACCAGGCACATGCTGAGGCTTTCACTAGACTTCTTGAAGAAGTCCGAACTGCTTTGGACAACTACTCCGACCAGTGGGCAAACAATACAAATCTCTTGCTGAGTGTCGCCGCGCCTGCTGGTGCCTCGAGCTACCAGGTCATGGATCTCGCTGGAATGGACAAATATCTCGACATGTGGAACTTGATGGCCTATGATTATGCCGGCTCTTGGTCCGATAACAGCGGTGATCTAGCCAATGTATATGCTTCCAAGTCTGACCCCAACAGCACTCCTACTAATACCGACGATGCCATCACCTACTACCTCAGCCAAGGTATCTCTGCTAGCAAGATCAACCTTGGGATGCCTATTTACGCTCGAACCTTCCCCGACACCACTGGTCTTGGCCAGCCCTTCAATAAGACTGCCGCGGCTGAAGTCAACTACAACGCAATTGACACCACCAACGCAAACATCACGGAATTGACTGATGTACTTGCCAGCTACAGCTACAACTCCTCCAGCGACGGCACTCTATACAGCTTCGATACCCCTAACATCGCCAAATTGAAGACCGAGTATGCTCAGTCCAAGGGTCTCGGTGGTGCCATGTTTTGGGAAATCAGTGGTGATAAAGTTGGAGAGGAGAGCATTATCGGCACCGTTGTTAACGCCGTTGGTGGTTCTACTGCCCTTGACCAGTCTCAAAACCTTCTTTCCTACCCCAACTCCAACTACACCAACCTCCGCAACCAGATGGGAAATTAAACTTGCTTATACTATTTCACTATGCACGCACATCTTTCTGGGTGAAGTAGGTGGAATGTTATCCTATCTGCCACTAGAAATTGTGGAGAGATGATGCATGTAGTAATGCCTCATGTTATACTACGGGTTTAATGATTTGCTTAACACCCTATTGATATGATGATCAATATGTGCATAGATGTAGTTTTCAGCTTGTTGTATCACCAAAACTTAAACGTTATTTCGGGTATACATTTATTTATTTAGTCAAATTTAACGACTTTACCCAGCTATAAGCTATGAAGGTCTCGTTTCAGTGGGCTAGGGGGCCTTATAGGGGCCTTGTAGGGGCCTAGGCCCCTGCTCCCCCCCAATGCCTGCCCCTGACTGGTGCCCAGCGTTTTGATGTACTAACGAATTCCTCACCCCAAACCGCTTATTTGCGCAGGGCGATTCGGGGGCCTTATAGAGGCTGGCGGGGCCCCGGCTTCGGTCCTTGGAGCCAAACGTGTGGGCGTCGCCTGCCGATGACAGGCCACCCAGAGCTGTCATCCTTCCCCCTGGGTTCCTCTCCTCCTCTATTGCTTCCCACCCCTATAAATCGGCCCTCCGGGCCTCTCTAGCTGCCTCCTTCCGCTGCTCCGGGACCCTAATGGCCTCTATGAAGGCGAGTAAAGCCTTAGTGGCCCTAGGATCTGCCAATATGCGCGCCTCAGGGGGCTCTTCGGCCGCTGAGGGCCTGCTAATCTTGGCCTCCCGCGGTCGCGGCCAAGTGGAGCAGCAGGTGCGCCGCGGTTTCTGCCCCCTCTGAGCATCCCCTACACAGGGGGGTGTCGCGCCTGCCAATTCGGTGCAGGTATGCCGCCAGCTGTGCGTGGCCAGTCTTGAACTGATATAGATGCCGTGCCACGGCCTTCGGGGCCTGGGCCGTCTTGAGGGGTTTATTTTTATCATTGACTTGACAATCCACGACCTAGCACAAAACCCCGGATATTTATAGCCGCTAGCGAAAGTTTCGGCCTAATGCCGATTTAGTACAAAAATTAGATTTTTTTTTAAAACACAATAAATATATAAATTAATTAATATATTTACATTAATAATTAAGGGTTAGTTTTTACAAAACATTTAGGCCGAGATTTTCTGCGGAGAGTGTAAGTACGCAATTGCTTCATACTTTCGTAGCCAACTAATGTGTCCAGCATTAATTCAATTGATGTATATGAGACATGGAATATTTTCACGGTAATTCTCAATTCAAATGCCCTGACGATAGCTCCATTATGTTTGCAAATGAGAAAGAATAGAAATATCAGTAAAATAATAGAAGACATAAATTCATAAATGATCCCTCCTTAAGTCACTAGAGACACCCCGTACCCGGACAGGTTTCTCATTCAGGAACATTGGATCTCTCCCTCACGACTCTATTTAATAACGCTACCCATTTGTAGAATAACTGGAGCGCACTTCAATATACCCCGCAAGTGTCATAGGAGACGCAAATCGCTGGGTGATTTGCCAGAATGAGCCTTGAGGAACGAAGGTAGTGACAGCGAAGATATTTCTGATTTGGTAAATCTAGCTAATAATAGGTAGAAGACATGGCTTGGCTTGGATACAGTAATTGATGTAGCATTAGTTGCAGCAGAGTAAGCAATATTCAAGACCTTTTTTGTGGGTTGACTATTTCGATGTGGTCTACTATTTGACCTAAAGAGAGCGGTTCAAGTAGGAAGCTCTCTTAGCCCAGCCCCGATTCAGAAACCAATCCCATGTGAGTTCTCAGCGGAGGAAAGGGCTGAAAGGAGTTAATGGCATTATGATTCGACTTGGTGTGTCTTAGCGTGCTTATATCCCACATCAAAACTATTGTATGTTGCACAACGCCAACAGAGTAAGATGGAAACAATCAGCGTTAGCGCCCTCCGGAAAGAGATTATAAATACCAGTCCCCACCCCATTCGAGCACCGATCAAGTTTGATACCAAAGTATCCCCTACATATGTAACCGCACAGATCATTCAGCGACAGAACATCCCAAAAGTACTTCTCTCCTCTCCACACTATTAATCAAGCATCTCATTTTTGATAGCTGCACTATAATCAATCAATCAACTATTTTTCTTCAGTCGATCATGTCGACGTGGCGAGACCAGGGCCAGCGGTTGAATAATTACCTACGGCCATGTTCTATAGTATGGATGGGTATTGGCTGTAAGTTGAGAAGAACCCACCTTTGTACTGTGGGAAACCCGAGCTGCTAAACGAAAATCATAGTTCTGTTTAAGACACGTCCTACGTGGCTCGGAGGTTCAACTAGACCAGAAAATGTAAGCGCAAGAGACTATGCAACCGGGAAAGTGTTTCAAGAATTGGGTTTGTTCCAAAATAATTCGACGTATTTTGACATTGTGACTGATGATGATAAAATCACAGGTAGTGCTTTCAAAGCTTTCGAGTCAACAACCTCAGTACCGTCGCTTGTTGCATCGGCTCACGGCGTAGTGCTTGAGGTAGGGCCGGGCGTAGGAACCCAGATAGACCGCTTCGACAAATCGAAGATTGACCATATCTACGGCGTAGAGCTTAACCCAGCCTTCGTTTCACCTCTACTTGCTGAAGTAGAAACGGCTCACCTGCAAGGCAAGTACACGGTAATCTCGGGAGCAGTGGAGGACGAACGCTTGTTGGCAGAATATGGCCTGAAAGCGGGGTCGGTGGACTCGGTTGTGTGTATCGGGACGCTGTGCTCGGTCAGCAATCCTGAACAAACGATGCGTTGGATATACAAATTGCTCAAGCCGGGTGGCGTTTTCATTTTCTGGGAGCATCGCCGCAGCCATGATGTTTTAACGCGACTTGTCCAAGGTACAACTTAAGCCGCATTTTTTGTTCCATAAGTTGGTGTGTGCTGACCTGCTTAGGATTCTGGAACCCTCTTTGGCGGTTTATTATGGGGGGCTGTGACTTGAGTCGACCGATTGGGGATATCATACGTAACGCTGGCGATTGGGATCTTCAGAACTCAGAGATAGAGGTGCAGAAGAGTCTGGCATCAGAGTGGTCAATCATGCCGAGGGTTGAAGGCAGACTGATCAAGAGCGCGTAGCCGAAGCAAATCTTGTCGAGCAGCCCCATTACGGCTTAGCGATGGAAAAGCTCGAGGCAAGACGCATGCACACTTAATGGCAGTACGGAATATCAATAGAACAATACTCATAGGTCGCCCACAATTCTTATATAGACTGATACAAATATTGACTGGGTGTGAGGCCAAAATAGTTGCAAAGTCAAGGTATCTACCGTTTTTCCGGTAACGGAGTGAGTCTGGCGACCCAGGGAGATGAGTCAGCATTTATTCCTGATGCCTCCTTCTTTTCTTGGTTACAGAAATATATGTTTTTAAAAAGATGCCTAACTAGAGGGGCTCAGGCATCTATATTGTTCTAGATCACACTGTGTCCCGTAGAAAATGGAAAAGCTTTCCAAATGTCTACGCCATTCATTAAGCCTAGCCCAAACGCCATTATATGGTTGCACCCCGAGCCAACAAACTAGCAACTCACAAAGCCCGCATAATTGAGCAGACCTAGTAGCGGATATCCCCGAACGCTAGAGCGTAAACATACAGCGGAGACCCTGAAACTGTGAGGCATGATCTTCTCTGATAACTGGTAATTGCGTAACGCCGCGGGGGTCCTATAATATCGTCGGCATAAAGGTTCCGACCGATCAGCAGAGAGAGGCAAATACCGCCGCAGGAGTTTCTCAGAGTAGGAATATCAGCCGCTTTGGTCCCCTTCGATATGCAGGGATAGCAGTAGTGAAGTCTTGATTCTGCCTTTTACATGACTGCTGTCGGGAACCATTGCCAAGTATTTTATATGGTGTGGGGTTTAGAACGATTTAAAGCTGGGCGGTATTGGCCGATATGGAGATGTAACGCTGTTGTAACCCAATTTGGATATGGTCTTGAATGCTAGTCCGGAGGTATTACCACACAAGGCTCTTTCGCCGTTTACTTAGTTGCTGTTAAATCATTTCTGACGTACGGATACTTATACTCATTGGACCCAATTTTGCACCCCGCAGAGAATAAATACTTCAAGGCTTGGTTGTAGTGGTTTCCGAAGGGCCTGTGAGTCTACGTAGTCTGTGCAATATTTACTGGTGTGGACCTTCTAATTAGCTTTCATCTATTCCATGCAGGCATTTGGAAGCCTTCGAGTTGAGCTTAAGGTACTAAAGGAATGTGGTTTATGCAGGGGTTGCTAACCCTCGTGTTGCACAGACGACGCGGTTGTTAAGTGCCATATTGATATGACTGGCTTACAATTAGAGGTCTTAACTCTGGACCGGTATTTCGATATTTCAAATTCCGAAATTTGCCGATTGAAACAAGAGTAGAAAACTAGAGTGAGAAGGATCACTTCATAGGTATGATCTCGCCGAGTCAATAACATTGAGCTTAGAAAAAAGACATTCACAGAATATATTGACATGATTGCGATGGCGAAAAAGCACATTCTCGAAGTTTGGCGAGGGGTAGCATGAAACTTGGCTCAAGTCCAAGCGCACTACTTCGAACGGCCGTGGACTAGATACGCTTCTCAGAGAGTCTATTAAGGATAGTTCCAATTAGGTGCTTTCGCAACACCCATTTTGTTGTAAAATGAGGAGAAAAATGCAGATCGAGACCAATCAAAGTCAACATGGCGTTACAAGTGAGACGATCAGTGCGGCCATGTGCCACACCATGCAATAACACGATCGGGTCAAAGCGTTATATGGGACATAGATATGTATAGCGAATATATGAGGAAACTTCATGATTGCCACGGATACAAAGGTGATTGATGTCGCCCAGGAATACACCTGATTAAAGGAGCAATTGTGTCCAAAAGCTTTCATATTATCACAAGAGTCAATTCGGACTAAAACTTATAACCATGGCGACAACCGTGGGAGACTTCAAGATTGCTGGAGTCGCCGCGGGCTTTACCCTTGGTTATGGGTTTTTGACAGTTTGGAAAGCCATCAAGCAGACATCTGTTATAAGAGCTCCGCATCGAAGCACATACGTCTACCTTATGTGGGGAGAAATTGTTGCTAATCTTGCTATCGGAATTATAGGATGGCTGTTTCTTGAAGGAGTCATTCCATTGGGGTGTGTATATCCATAGCCGAAATCATATCTGATTAGAGGTACTGACAAGTCTTCTCATTTGGTGTTACAGGGTGCCCGTTCTCTTCTCTCTTTTATTCTGCTGGGTCTTCGAGATTCAGCTTCTGATGCAGATTATCATCAACCGCGTTTTTGTCGTCGCTGAGAACAAACAGACTGTCATCAGGGTGAAATGGATAACGGCAGGAATCATCACCGCTATTAATATAGCTGTCTTTTGTATTTGGATCCCTGCGCACCTGAACCCACCGGCAAATGCAGTGTATGGATTATCTCCTCCTTTTCTCTTCTATTCTAATATCACCACAGATACCCGGTAATCAACAAGTATTGGGATCGAACATCAAAAGTTCTCATCTGTATTGTTGACGCTGCCCTGAACTACTGGTTCCTCCGAATTGTTCAACGCCGCCTCGTTCGCTATCATGGATTGAAGAAATATGCCCCTCTTGTGAACTTCAACGCCTGGCTTATGGCATTATCAGTGGGCATGGATGTAAGGTTTCTCCCCTCTCCTTTTTGCTGTGTGCTTCATACTAATGTGAATAGGTCATGTTGATAGGGCTTATGTCACTCAGAAACCAGCTTGTGTACATTCAATTTCATCCCGTTACTTACATGGTCAAGCTCAACATTGAAATGACCATGGCCGCAATGATTACCAAGCTCGCTCGAGAATCTGGAACTGGCGACGCAACGGTCGTTCTGAGTTCGAGCCAGGACCAACACAGGCATAACTGGAGAGCAGATCTCCAAATGAGTGATATTGAGCTTAATCGATGTGCCTACCAGGAAGAGGCTCGTCAAAATCAGTCTCACATACACAGACCAGGGCATAAACATAAAGAGTCAGATGGCCTAGCTGGGATAAATAAGGAGACGACCATTCATGTTATGACTCAGCATGCCTTTCCGAATAAGGGGTATCATAAATAACATCATCCAGTGTATGTCCTTTAATACGAAATACGTTCGGAAGTGAGGGAGGTAATGTAATATCTGAGTGCGAAAGGCCGTAGAGCAAGTCCAGCTACGAACCAATATGTTGTGCCTATATACAATTGATGATGACAGTTACTGTAAAAAGCCAATGACAGCTAGCTACTATGGCGATGATAGAAAACAATTATTACAACGCAATTATTTCTTCAAATAATACTCTTCCGTTCTTCAAAAAACCATCTTAAAAACTAGCGGGTATCATGCAGTGAAAAGACAAACGGCACAAAATGGAAATAAAGGTTCAATCAATAAGCGCGTGGCAACATTCACAATGGTCAAGTAGACCGCCTGCGATGCCCCCACCATTTCCGTGATTGATGTTGAGCAGCTTTCTCGCGCTCGTGGTTGGATAATACGGTGATTGATCGCTCAGGCCCAGTTAACCGTACTCGTCCCCGACCACGTTCTGGGAATTGCTCCGGGGTCCACCGGTCATGAAGCATATCCACGACTTCCACGACCATCACTGCTGCAGGAACGAGCAGGAAAATGCATAGTCCTACAATTTCCGGACTGAACTTGTTGCAAATAACTGCCGGGTCTAGGTGGGACAAATTGAACATGTATACTCCAGTCACACCGTCTGGGACTGGTGCCTCAAACTGTTGCTGCGTCTGTAAGGAGTCGGAATCAGAATCTGTCTCATTCCTGTCTCGTGACATTTCAACCGCCGTAAAGTATTTTGATTGCTTTGCTGACTGCGATTGTGACTTGACAGGATATTGTGTCAGATAAAATGCCCACCAGGCTTTCATGGTCCTTTGCGTTCTCTCAATCCAAGTCGAAGGGGCAGAGGCTGCTTTTCCTCCAGCCTCGAGAACCGATATATGTGACTTTTTCCGCTCGTCACGGAGCCAGTCCGAGAAGTGCAGCGGCCTCTCCTCCACCGTAGTAGGTGATGTAATGTATTTCAGCGAAATATGAGATGAAACCGTCTCGTCACTGTTCCAATGAACGGGTAGACTGACAGCCACCCACGCATGGAATGCGAGGAGTGTGAAGAAAAGCGCGCTCCTCATGGTGCAGATGAAGGGCGTAGCGCGGAGAGTTCAAAGCTTGATGCAATGAGCACGCGATGTCGAAGAAAGTCGGACAAAATATATGGCAGTAGACGAAGGCACCGCAGAGTAACACCAAGGACGGCCCGACACTCGACTCAGATGTTGCACGGGTGTCAATGGTTATGTTCTTGCAGCCACTATTCTCGAAAGCCACCGACCTAGTTGAAGTTTCTCGAACGAACAGCAGGCGGAGATAGCAGCAATAGCATCGACATCAGCGATAGACTATCGCGAGGAGAATACCCCTCCTCGCTGCGAGACGATTGCGACCAGGGGACGGGGAGAAAGGCCAGTTATTATACCGGACACCAGTGGCGACATGGCCAACCTGCAAGCGATGACTGATTCTTCCGTATCGCGATAATCTTCGAGCTGGTTGAGACCCTTCAGCAAAGCCCAGCAGAGCGCGTGTAGGCAGGGCTTCCCATCATTGGCCAGTGCCTGGCAGGGCTCCTCTACCTTAATCCGCATTAAGCGCCGGCCAGCTGCGTTGATTGGCTCGTAGTTGATGGACTAGCCAATGAGAGGTCGGCTTTGAATCACGGGTAAAGATCGGGTGTCCACACTTGGTCGGATCCGGCTAGCCTCTTTATGCGGCTGCCAAGCGCAAATTCTTCGGCCCTGCCTGATTTGGTAATGCGGCTGTTTGCAAACTCTTGCCTTTTTGCGATTTCCGCATTGGGAAGCTGCTGCTTTCCAGAGTTAATCCTGCGTCGACTTCCATAATACAAGACAAAATCATGTGAAAGAGATGAGAAATTAGTTCAGTCGAGTATCCAAGGTATACTGCACGTGGCTTCTGGTGGCTCTTTAGCCGCGCCGCTTTGTCCAAGGGGCGAGACATGTGCTGCACTTTTTGAATTGGAGATGAGGATATTTTGTCATCTTCATTCTGCTTCTGTCTGGTGGTTATTGAGTGGTCAACCTGATAATATATAATATTTAAAATGTTAGATACCGTCGATAATGAAATATGCGACGGGATAGTTCCGAAAGCCCTTCGCGAGGTTTTCGCCCCTTGTGGCATGAAACACCGCAAGAAGAGAATAGACGTAGCATTCAGTGGAAATATTCCCATACTTATCTGTCAAGAAAGAGTACCATGGAAAAATGATACATGTAGAGAAAACCTTGATTCTAGATACATCGAATAAGAGGCAGATTAGCCAACACGCCGACACTTCATCACTCCGTTGATATTTCAATTACATACAGTGGGGTGTACATGTCAGTACGGCCCAGATATTCATTATTCACCCAATAAATTCAATGTTACCGAATATGAAGCGATGTGACAGAACATTGCACGAGAGTACTATTGTGTTCGGATGTTTTGCTATTTTGCGGGGTTATCACAAGCTGTTAAATAATTAAGCCTAGGCACAACAAGTGCTGGAAGCACCGATTGGTGACAATATTTGATTAGGGCAACGCCACATTCAGCCTCCCCCGTAAAAGAAAGGGGATGCCGTGGGTGCGTTTGGATTAGCCTCCTTGAATTCCGGGGGTAAAAACAGCTTAACGATGAAATAGGAAAGGCTGTAACAATACACATTGCTGGAACAGAATCTGATTGGAGGCCGATGCTGTCAAATTAGTCCAGGTTCTTGGAATCTCAATCATTCGGGATTATAAGCGAAGATGTAATTGCGTAAGAGCACGGCAAATTAGGTGACTACGACTTAGTCTAGTTTTGGGCCGGTAGTTGTAGAATTGATGACAGGGGTTAAGAGGAGTATTTATTCACAGAACTGATCCTCTTCCAACTTTTATACTGATCTTTAACCATAAGTTTGTTTCCAAATCAGGCAGGTACCTTCACTGTTGAGAACTTCCACAAGCCTAACCGCCTCATTCAAACAACAGGATCCGCATCGAACACATCCAATCTCTTACCAACAAGATCCCTCAACAATGTATTCTGTGAAGAATGTGTTCTTGTTTTCTCTCGCTCTTTCCTTGCCAACTCATGGGTTTTGTAAACGGGATGAAGCCTCATCAGTAATCTCAGGAATCCAAAAGATTTCCGACGCCGTCATCACTCTCAACAAAACAGTTAGCAGCTATCCCGGAGGCATTGAGGGCACCATCACAGCGCTCGATATCCTAGGAGACTCCTTTTCACTAGAACATGCAATCACTAGCACAACCTCTGATGCAAAACAGTCCGCCAACTTTACCGACACCGAATCGCAATCCATTGCGCAGGCATTTGTCAATCTAGTTCCAACGATTCAGTCAAGCTTGACGACGATTGAAGGGAAAAAGTCAGAGTTTCAACATGGACTGCTTGGGCTGGCAAGTTTGGACTGGGTGGTTGAAGATCTCCTCAAAACACTCAAGAGTGATAGCGATGCTTTGTCGACTGCAGTTATTGCTAAGCTAACGAGTACCTGGGCTGGGGTGGCCCCGTTGGTTGTGTCGCAAATTGATGCTGCATTTGAAACCGCGATTACAACTTATTCTACCTAACTGCCAATGTTCGCTTGACGGCTGAAAATGACTATAATCGAAAGACCATTTTATAGTGACCAATACTTATGCGCGCCACATCACACGCAATTTCTCGATAAGAAATCCTACAAGTTTAAATAATCATTGATGTATTCTTTTCCTTCTATGTCCTACCCGTTCATTATTCATGAGAAGTTCCACGGCATTGAACACATACAGCCTTCTATTATATCATTGACATGTAGCGTATACTATCGATGCTATAGCTCATACTTGATTACATGCGTAGAATTTTATTTGCAGGGCGGAGTACGTCTACATGTAGGGCCAATGTCAATTGCAGTTGTAGGGTTACTTACGCAAGGTCTCGCATGCCCATGTCGCATTGGCCTTGTCTCTTTCAATGATAGCATTGAATGTTCTGCGTCAATGTCAACCTTATTCTGCTCAATTGGCCACCGTCTACAAGCCTGATCGGCTCGAACAATCACCAAAATTGTGAATAACTCCTAATAACTACACCTTGTCATTGAATCGGCTTCGATTAGAAAAATCAAATTACTTCGATTTCTAAATCGGGGTGATAAACGTCTGGTCTTTAGACGATTAATTAAATAGCCTTGAATACTTCTTCGCCATATCTGAAAAATATAGGAGCATGATTCGCAAAGGCTACTTTGACTGCGAGGCCCGAGCCAAGGCGCGCAGATCGCCCAACAAATTGCTCCACCGCAGCTGAATATGGCCCGCAAAAAATAACAAATATATCAAATATCAGCATCGACTCCGGATATCGGCTTATTTCTTGGGTAATTTGGAAAATTGTGAGGTTTTTTAGGGGTTGATATTTGTAGAAATGACCTGAAGGAATAAACTTGACAGTCTGATGAAATCATCCTCGTAATAATGTAATAATTAACAACTTTGTAGAGACGCAGCCGGAGTCAGCACGGAGTCAGATGCGACGCCCAATTTGGACCCCATTCAGGAAGTTTGCTCTAACGGCTTGGCAAAAAAGCCCACGATTACTGCGCTTCGCAGACATTTACAATTAAAGCCTATTACAGCTACGACTTGTTCAACTATATACACCTGGCTTTATGGGATTTATTCATTTCGATACATGTAATGAGGCTCAGTTGTTCAATAACCCCAGTTCATGCCAGTGTAACCATGATTATGATATACTGTGCACTCTGAGGGTATTTTAATCGGAAGAAGAAACATCAAGACAGGTCTAGCGTCGTGAACTCATACGCCATCTCTATCATGGGTTGCTTTGATAGATTCCTAGGGCTCCGAAATGACCTCAAACTAGTAGGGTGAGTTCTTCCTCGGTAAATTAATCATGATACGAAACTGATAAGTCATAGACTAAGCTTAGGGGCATTTCTAGCTCTGATTGATATCTACACAGCTTTGATATCTTTTTACACCATTGCGATTGATACCCAAACGCCTTGGATGGCTATATGGAGTATAATTGGGCATCAAATAGCGTTTGCCGCTTCAATCCCTTTCTACGAAGGATTGATCGATATGCAATATCAGAATGCGGTTTTTATTATGTCATCTATTATTTTTTCGGTGTCTTCAGCTGCAGCTAGCTGGACTAATGCAGCCGCACTTGTTGCTGCTTTCAGGGCAATCAAAGGCCTAGGAGCGGCGGGGATGTTCACGACCGCCGCAGCTGATGTATCAACGACAGCCTGCAAAGCTACAAGATGTGCGAAATTGGTTGGTCCTCTATGGGGTGGCATTATCGGAGCTGCCTGCATGGAATATAAAGGATGGAATTGGATGTACTGGCTAAAGTGAGATCATCGCCTCTACTTACACGAATTCTATTTGCTGATGGCAATCACCAAAGTGGTGTTTCCGGCGTTTTTTCTTTAGTGTGCTATTTATGCGGGAGAAGAGATGACGAATGGCGCGAATCCCCCTCTCGAACAGGTTTCATGCAGTTAGACATCGCCGGTGCAATTCTCTTCGCAATAGCTACATTTCTGGTTGTCGCCATATCACAAACAGCCGTCGATGCATTCTACGAACCAGATTTAGTGTTTCCTACCTTTGTCGCTGTTGCCATTAGTTTATTTGTAATTGCTATTTTTTGGTTTTGGGAAAGAAGAAGCAAGCAGACATATCGGTTCATCCAAATACCACGCAACGGGTCTAATAACGGCGCACTATTTTCTCGGGCTATACATGCGGGATTGATTGGTTTTATTTGGGACGCAACAATTTTCAGTCTGACCCTTGGCTATCAACTAGTCGACACCCCGCCACGTTTCTTCGTGTACTATCCAGCCCTTTGGTCAGCAATCAGGTTATTGTGGATTATAATTCCCAGTAGAGTTGGCATATTCATCGGTGCCGCTACGATTAACAAGCAGTTTCTTCATCCCAACTCCGTCTCATTAACTGGGAGTATTTTGGTGGTATTCAGCGTCACAATGTTCTCACTTTCTGGGAGGTTTCCAGTGAGGTTTTTCAATACATTGCAGTCTATAGCGATGGGGACGGGGTTCGGGTTGCACCTGGCGGCTTTTGATTACATCGGCATCAACAATCCATCTCCACTATCATCCTCCTCATTCGTGTTATCGTCACAGAGAGTTCCTTCATCGGATGAAGAAGAGGGAGGAGGAACAGAAGACGAGGATGAGGAGGAAGAGGATTTAGAAATGGAAACAGAAGATTTCCTCTCTTCCCCACAGCGGAACGACGACGAAATCCCTCAAGCGAAGCTGGAAGCAATCCACGTATTTGGCGGCGTCATCGGCATATCGCTAGTCCACATGATCCTACATTACAATTGCAGAAATAGAAATGATTGTGGCAAAAGCGCATTCGAGAAGAGCTTTACGGTTAGCACACCTCTTGTTTTGTTGGTGTCCGTGTGCGTATTCATCGCTTTGTTTTTCGTGAATAAAATGACCAAGGCGGATAGAAGGGTGTAAGGTAGACAATACAACATACTTTGGGGTATTCGTGTTCTAAATGCATCAATATTGGTATATGTACATTTGCATTGATGGTGGTGATGTGAAGCTATTTACAACATTCCTGTAAAATGTAAGCCAATGGATACAATAATTTACAAATTTTAGCATTGAAGTCCTGACAATAGTCTGGCGGTTGCAGCCAACGCGTAGCGCATTGAGGCTGACGGCTCGGCAGTCAGTATTGGAGTCACCACCTTTTGGAGAATTTAATAGGGCATAACGGTCCCAATATTTCGGCGGTCCCAGGTGCCCGATTAGAGAATATACCATATCCTAGATCCAGTGAGTGCAATTAGCAACTTCGAGGCTTGTTTTGCCAGTGCCCTTGGGTGTATCATATATATGCAGAATCCGCGTCCATAGTTCCTTGGAATAGGTAAAGGCGGCTTACCGCGACTTTAAACTAGTTGACACTGCCTATATTTAGCTACGTAGTCAATACATCGTGATAAGTTTTAATGATATTCTGTAAGGCGTGGTCTCGGCTATTGATTGGTGGCCCACCAGGTACCTTCTATAAACGGTTAGTTCATCAATTACCAGCCAATGAAAGCAAGGTTAAGTGAGCTCTAGCTCATTATTTAGACATTCTAATTGGTTAGAAGGACATATCTTGATGTGAGGGATGAATGTGCTTGAGTACTATTGCCTCCATCCTCACCAGTTTAAAATAGACAAACTTCTTCCATTGGAATTGTATTATAATATTTCATCATTATTCTAAGTGGTTGTGTTTGTTTTTTTATCCAACCTATTTCTTTCATCTCGCATCTTAACATTATTGTTACCATGGGTGCAGGAGAAGCAGCCCCCAGACGCACCCAAAGAAAAATCAGTGAGAATCTCAGAGCAGAATGCTTGAACAGTAGAAATGAAACATCAGAAGCAGAGGATCATGACGCTCTGGAAAGGTCAGATGGGAAGCAGCGTCTCAGGGTAAGAGAAATAATATACTACACAGTGTTTGATACAGCAGCTGACTGGTCTTTAGTTGAGCAATTTTAGATTCTTGATGATATTAGTCGGCTTTGGCATGGCATTCGTTGGATCGCAAGTATGCCCACTTATATTTGCAGCTATCATCACAGCAGTCACGGTCGATTTAGACGGAGCGAGTAATCTAGTTTGGGTTTTTTCTTCGAGCCTCGTGGCTATGGGTGTTGTAGCGCCTTTTGCAGGACCGCTGGCAGATCTTCTAGGTCGCAAAACCATAGCTATCGTTGGTGTTTTGTCATCTATGGTTGGTATGATCCTCTGCGCAGCAACACCAAATGTCAGCGGGTTCATTGTAGGGCAAACATTTGCTGGCATCGGGATGGCTCTTGAAGAGTTGCTGTCGATTTCTGCAGTTCTCGAGCTCGTTCCTAGACAGCAACGCGGATTCTATGCAGCCCTACTTGTCTCTACCTTTCTTCCCTTTGCACCTGCGTCGTTATATGGAGGACTCATTGCCCAAAGTAACTGGCGATATTGCGCCTGTTTGATTGCTGTCTGGAATCTTATCACAGCGGTTATCATTGCCATCTTTTATAACCCGCCACCACGCACCAATTCAACAGGTCTATCCCGACGGGACATCTTTCGCAGGATCGACTACTTTGGCGGGTTTCTATTAACTGCCGGAATAGTGCTGTTTATGATCGGTCTTAATTGGGCAGGTCAAACATACTCTTGGAGATCAGCACATGTGATAGCTTTGGTGACCACAGGAGGCTGTTTGATTTGTCTCTTCCTCGCATACGAAATGTTTTGGGCCCCATATCCCATGTTCCCTGGCCGGCTACTTCAGTACCCTCGTACCTTTATCGCCCTCATGGTTGTTATTCTGATGGCTGGTGTAAACTATATTCCCGTTCTTTATTTCTGGATCATGCAGTCTATTAGTGTGTATGGTTCGAACCAGTTCCAGGCCGGTATACGTACTTTGCCGTTTGGGTTCTGTATTCTCGGCGGCGGGGTGATTTCTGCATTGATGATTTCTATTTTCAAAAGCCATGTTCGGTCAATCATGACAACTTTCTGCGTCTTACAAGCAACCGGTGAGTCTTATCCCAAGTCTTCATTCCCTGTGTTTTCTAAAGAAAATCTAACATGGAATCAATATTGATATAGCAATCGGATGTATGGCCGCCGTCGACCCTCACAATATCAACACCGTCTGGGCACCCCTTGTATTGGGCCTTCTCAGCGTGGGTGGCGTTCTCATCCCTAACCAAATCATCATCACACTCATATCGCCAGACGACCTGATTGCGACTGCGACCTGTCTAACGGTATGTCTTCGAGCAATCGGGCAAGTCGTTGGTGTGAGCATATTTTACAACCAATTCATCTCCGTCATGACCAAGAACGCATACACCTATGTTCTCCCCGCGGCGCTGGAGATCGGAATTTTCAACACAACGACGATTGAAAACATGTTGCCGAGTCTGATTGCAGTCCCATTTTCAGAATATGTGGCGACTATTCCCCAGGCAGACACGCCACAGAAAATTAATATATTACATGAAGCAGTCATCCAGGCCTTTGGGCATTCGTTTCCAAGAGTCTATTACATTTCGATTGCGTTCGGCGCAACAGCGTGCATCGCAAGCATGCTGATGGGGGACTTGTCAAAGTTGATGGACGCGCATATTGCGGTACAGTACTTCTGAACACTTTGTCCTGCCGAAAGACACTGCAACAATCGAGAACCGCAAATTCATACACTTATTCGCCGACATTCAATAATGATTATATTCAACAAAGATCATACTTATCTACAGTCTTATCAATCAGGGAGTGCAGGTAATTGGCCAATCAGGTCCACCGCATTCGCAAAGCATGCCCAAATAGGAAAAGACTTCGCAGATCCTTACCTAATGTGGCATCGGGACTTCGCGATTGGATGTCGATATTTTGTCGATCTAACCAGCCATCAACTTTTATAAAAGCTTCCTTGTTTCCCATGTGATCTTCATTCTGTTTTCTTTCTTCTTTCTTTTCTCGTTCATTACTACATTATAGACTCCATACCTAAATCAATTGCAATGGAAAAATCGCAAGGCTTTCCTACAGACCGACCCGAGTCTTTACATACATCTCTCCGGTCTCACGATCTGTCACCTAGTTCTGAGCCACCAGCATATGTTCCTCAGGAGCCTTCCCAATCCACCATCAACAATAACTCTTCTCAAACCACAAATTTAATAATAGCAATTCCTGCCCTTCACTCCTCCTTTGACTCCCCTTTCATCCGCGCCTACGCCCCGATTCTCCGCCAAAAGAACAATCTGCCTCGCGAGTCCTTTCTCACTTTTCTAGACAACCTCAACAAAGTCATCGCCAACAGCCCTCCCCTCGAAGTCCTTGATGTGACTGGTGGAATACTCAAATCCGTACCTCTTCTCTTCCCCATACATTGGCTGGGGTCAGCAGTTAGCGGGCTTGCCAAACTGGGGAGCCTGGGTGTATCCAAAAGTCGCACCGATTCGTTGATCAAGCAAGCGAATAGAGATATCTTCGGACCGAGGGGACTGAAAATTGAGATAGCGAAATTAGACGCATTAGCACATATCGCGAGCATTCCGATTTTAGATTCCCAAGGAAAAATTAATAGAAATGCGCCGGTGATGCAGAGACTTCTTAAGACGGGTATCGATGGACCACCATCGCCAACACCACAATCAGAAGAGAGGGATGGGGACATTGCAGATGCTGTGCAGCAACGGATTAAGATTCTGCAGCCGTGGATTGCAGAGCTTGAATTTAACATTCTTCCATGGACGGCCAAATCTAAATTAACGCGTTTCAATGCAGCGCTCAAAAAGCGTAATGAGGATATACGACATCGCGATGAACCTCAGCATGAGCAGCAATACACTCCATCCCAATACCAACAGCAGTACCAGCAGACTCTATCGGTTGAAGAATATAATCAGACAATTGCTGAGTTGGACCGTCGAGAAAGGAAATTACGAGACCACAACGAACCGGGTGATGCATCTCAAGCATTGGCGGAAATTGCACAGGAGCGAGTCTTGGCTAGCGAAATGTATGCGCGAAGCCAGCAGGGAAGTGGTGTTCAGATCGGTGGACAAGAGGATGGCGGGGTGAAGAAAGGACTGTGGCTCGTTATTAGGGAGGTTTGATTATCTGTTATGATTATACGGTTTGGTACCACATGCATATACACCATCGGCAATATGTATTTCCACATGAATTTTGTCCTAATTAATACATTACTGGAGGATGTGTACTTATGTAGGGTATCAGAGGATCTTCGATTGGACATAAAGCCTGTACGACAAACATGGAGAAAACATTGATTGATATAATCAGAAAAGAACCAACCCACCATCATCAAACTGTCCACAAGAACGCCACCCAAGCCACCGCTGGAAATCCAAACAATAAGATGCCAAATTTTCGTAATCAATGACCATAGACAAAACGATTAATTCCTACCCCTGGAGCCCGGTGCCGGAATATTCCATTCTTGGGGTCTGTGCGACCGATCCAGATTCATTCCCAGTCCGGGATTAACATTTCCACTATTATTCACTGCTGGTGCATCTCGTTCTTCCTTCGTTGTCGGCAGTTCAGCAGCAAACTGCGGGGACTGCAGCATTGCAGCATTATTACTACCGGCATAGGACGTTGGTCGAGAGTAGTTGCTATCGTGAGGATAATGCGGAGTCGATGGCGACCATCCTCCGCTAGGATTTGAGGAAACGGTTGATTGGTACGAATCGCGATGGCTATGTGCGCCAATTGGGGGCTTCAATTGCTGTTGCTGAGACATGGGTATTTGTTGGTAGTATGACGAATCCCCGGCAAGTTCGTTCGCGAAAGACCGGCCACCTGTTGGGCTCGTCGCTGTTGGTGATGTACTTCCCATTTTCTGATCTGGCTGATACGGGAAAGCATGTTGATACTGTGGTGGCGAATACATCGGCGACAACTGCGGCTCGTCTTTGAGCGTATTGCTGCGATCCGCAGGATTGACAGTCTTCAATTTCCCGCCTTGGTCCATCATGGCTTTCAGGACGCCAGCATCCAGCAACTCGGCTTTCTTGATCAGCCGGTCAACCAGCACTTTTGTGGCCGATTTCAGGGTCGACTTAACGAACCCAGTCATCGTGAAATTGCACCTTATCTCAATATCCTCCCGGAGATACAACCCCTCCGCTGGTGCATTTATGCCTAGTTCGCGATGTTCCGGGGGTTCGCCTGGCTGGTTACCAGCGACACGGTAATTGTGCCGGAGATCAATGCCCATGGGCGCGTAAATATGGGTTTGGACACCCCATGGAACATCGTGGAAACAGCCGTTGAAACTTATCTTGCCAGACCCAATTTTGCCTGCTCCAGGTACATATTGGATGCGCTCGATGATCTCATACCACGTCGAGTAGTATTCTTCGGCGGGGGCGTCACGCGGAGCCTTGATCGGGTGGTGCGAGAGGACGAGAGGGTTTAAAGTAATGATTTCGCTGTGACTATGGAGAATGGAGAGAACGAGTTGGCGCGGGATGAACGAAGGGAGCGGAGTGATGTTGGTGTAGATTTCTTTCTTTTTCATCATTTTGGCTTCTTGGAGTGTTCGCGACAATCAGTTATTTTCATGATAGACAAACTACTGATAAGCGTTGATAGCATTCACACAGAGTCACAGGCAGCAGAAAGATTTTCAGCAGGACAGATCAGTCCACAACGGCAGTGACTGTAATGCAATGGGCTAAGTAGTCCGAGTCAAGCCTGCAAGGACAAAGCTAATCCTAATCATAATGAGGATGAAGCAGACAAAGCGTTGTTGTTCTCTTCAGCTGATGACGTGAGACAGTGAGACGGGCCACAAAGGGAAAACCGACCAATGGTGTCGCAGCCCGCGCACCAAAGTGGGGCTACAGTCTTGCCTAACCAGAAGGGCACAACTACTTCTATTATTAGGCATGGCCCCTACGTAATAGAGTTGCTACAACCATGGACTATTGAACATCGCTTGTGCAGCTGTTCAGACTTGACATACATCTAAATACACACGAGCTATCGTATAGATCGGTATCATAGAAGAATGCGAGACAATAGGGAGTAGTCCATCATCAAATCATCATTCTTGAATCAAATCCATGTGCTTTGATTCGTGCTTATTCATCCCCAAATATCAACCACAATCCCAAAAAACATCGCAGCTGGGAGTGTGTAATCCAAGCCGAGATGATTGCAAAGTTCATAATCGTTTATAGAAACAAATCAAAAGCCAATAGGTATCATATCATATCGTATGCTTCTGATATCTCCCAGAGGTATCAATCACATACATGCACGCCGAAAAAAAAAAGAAGTAATCATTTTCCATTCCTCGATCATATATGATCAGAGAATCAAATTATGAATCAGGAGTCCAGTTGTTTTGGCTGCCACTCCTCCAACAAACGAGAAACCTCTTTCAACGAAACAGGTTTCGTCAAAAAGAGATCAACGCCAGATGTCAATGCTTCCGTCTCATCGCGGGCGCTGCTGAGACCTGTCAACGCTATAATCGTCGCTGGCCGCTGCGCATCTCGCTCATTCTCAAGAACACGAATGGCGCGGGTCGCTTCAAACCCGTTCATCACAGGCATCGAAATATCTGTTCAGCGGTAGGAAATTAGTTTAATCTCCAACCAGATAGTCCTTTCACTTACCCATAAAAATAATATCGTATCCTTCCGGCCGCCTCTCCACAGCTTCGACAGCCATTTTTCCATTTTCGGCCGAGTCTAGACTAGCCACATTGCGGCGGCCCAAGTATGTCATTAGAAGACGTAAATTTATTTGGTTGTCGTCGACAACTAGCACGTTGATCGGAATAGACGGTGCAAGAGCGATTTCCTGGTCCTCTGGCAGCGATGACATGGCCTCCGTTTTATTGCTTGACATCTCGCTCGTAATAGGAGCCGAGCGTCGTCCCACGTTACCTTCATCGTTCAAAGATTGAAAATCTTGTTCGTCGACAGGCGAGTCCAGGGTAATCGATGTCACCTGTGAATCGCTTGTTGCCCGCATCCCTGCGAGGGAAGGAATGGACGTTTTGTTGTATCTAATAGCGGAATCTTGCGGGGCCTCAGCTTTGGGGTTAGGGGGATGTATGCGAGTTCGATTAGCCAGTTGAGAGTGCTGAGCACTTGCGTGTGCATATGACATGGCTGATTTTTGCAGACATTGAGAAATACCGCGAATCAGTTTATGTGGGCCGCATGGACGGTACAGATATTCGACAATATTTGCCCCCTTTGACCAGCCTGAGCGGGAAGCATCCAGGCCGGCGGTGTTGTTACAGAAAACAAGCATTGCTGCTGGTCGATTGAACTGTTTCGTTTTCAACTCCTCAGGCAGATCCTTCTCCTGAGCAAGCACGAGATCGGCTGGGTACTGAGTCGGCCATGGCTGGAGTTTCAGCCCGCACCATTCCGTGACATATCGAGCAAGCACAGAAGAACTCTCAGTATTGTTAGGAGCTTCGGGGTTATAACCGACGATCGCAACCTTCTTATCCGAATACCGCTCTCGAATTAGACGCAAATCTCGACTGAGAGTCGACTGGTTCGGTCGCGAGAGTGGCAAGCTTGTATCATCTGAATCCGGCCGAGACATCGGAAGTATAACCTTCACTCTCGTCCCCTCTCCAGCTTGACTGCGAATGCTAATATGCCCTCCTAGTGATTTGACAATGCTACGCACAATTGCCAACCCAAGGCCTGTGCCTACTGCGAGGGTGTCTTCTTGGGAGAATGGCATGTACAAACGAGCCCGCAGAAAGTCCTCAGATATCCCTTTACCTGTATCGGTGACAGAGAGAACGACGAACTCATCCGAGTCCTTTCCAAGTTTCGTTTTTTGCGACAATTCCTGCTCGTCCTTGGATTTCTCCAACCGAACAATCACATGGCCGCTCTCGGTATACTTCATAGCATTCCCAAAAATATTCATGACAATACGGCGTAAAGCTCCTGGTTGTGTTTTGTATACCCAGTCTCCGTCCTCAATATCCACGATGACCTCAACATTAAGTCGAATTTCTCCCGTGCTTTCACTATCTGGAGTGGAGAGCGAGCTTGACCCGGAATGTGATTGAGCGGCAGACATGTATGATGAGGCGGTAGAATTATTCGCTGACCGACCGTATGAATGGCCTAGACATACACCCTCCACCACCTCTTCCGTAAGCAGACAGATATCTTCACTGGTATGCGTATCTAGCAAAGCCGCCATACTGTCGACGCCCTTGATGTCGGCCATGTCTTCCTTTTGATCCCGACGAGCCTTCTTCATCCGACGCCAACTTTTTTCGAGCGAGACAATCTTGCTGAAATCCAAAACCTGATTCATTGTATCTAGTAAAGTCCTACCACATGCGTTGATCGTCTCCAGCAATGACTTCTGAAACTGGTTCACTTGAGTTCCGTCCATAAATTCAGCTGCCGCAAGAATACCATGTAGCGGACTGCGTAGTTCGTGGGATATACTGCCAATAAAATCGCCCTTTTGCCGGTCGGCAATGATGGATTCGAGACGACTTAGCTCGGCCATAATTGAATAGCCAAATCCCATCATCGACGCCAATTCCACGGAAGCGTTATAAACTTGGGTTTCTGTACAATTCCAGCAGAAACAACCTGCAAACCATTGAGATGTGGCAGCATTCCACAGAGGGACAAACATAACTTGACTGGCAGTCGGGAAATATTTAGCTAATTGCGCTTCTTCAGTAGCCCTCCATTTCTTATTAGATCGTGATGGGGCGTCGGGAGGAACTTTTACGGCGGAGACGGGTGAGGTTGGGTTGTTTTCGTCATCGTCAGACGAAGCAAACAGGCTTCGGTCACGATGAAATGACCAGATTTTGCCTTTTGGGTAACGTCGCAAAACGCTTTGCAAGAAACGGCGGTCAAAATTAGCAGCGGCACAAGTTTCGCTCGAAGCTGGTTCAGATGCGAAGGGCGCGTCGCTGGTCGATACGCACAGAACAGGCGCTGGAGGTTCGTTGTCGTCAGAGAACTCTAACCGGCCATTATCGACGTCAAGTGGCGTGTTGCTATTTTCCAAAAAAATAACGCCACTCTCTCCCGTCAACTCTAGACTTTCGCGAATTAGATTAGCAGCACGGCGGAAAGTCCAATGGTGCGTATGCATTTCGTCCGCCAAGCGAGTCTTGGAACCCTTCGTCCCTGCTATCAACCAATCCGGAAGCGGGGTTATCAGGTCAGAAGAAGCTCCAGTGTCGGCTCTTTCTTCCGATAACGATGGGCCTGGCGACCGACTTTGGCGGACATCAACATAGCTCCCACGCGACCCACGAGATTCCAGTGACCCCTCTGAGCCTCGCGATCGAGAGATTGGGCTGGGAGCGGCGGGAGGAGAGGCCGACGACCGTGCAGAGCTAGTATGAGAGGAGCAGGGGGTGAGAGAGTTCATTCCATCGACGAACGACGAACTCCCTTCCACAAAACAGCTCAATCCACGAGATAGACGAGCTGCGCGCCGTCCTTCGGCAGCCCGCCGACTCAGACGAAGGAAATCCATGGCCAGGAAGGAGAGATACCCGAGATCATCCATTTCGGCGTCGGTCAGACCATCTCGGGGGGTCGTGTCCAAGACGCAAAAAGAGCCGATGTTAATGCCATTTTCCGTTACCAGGGGAGTGCCAGCATAGAATTTGAATTGAGGCGACCCGGATACAAAAGGGAATTTTGCGTATTCTTCGTGAGTTGACAGGTCGTTCACAATGTGGAAGCTATATTTGTTTTTTAAGGGTGGCTCTAGCGCGACCGTTTTCTAGTTTGAACGATTAGTTGTGACCACAATTACAAAAACAACGGCCACATACCAAGGTCAAACGCGGGCCAAAGTTGCCATTATTACTGACAGCATTCCATGAGGAGTCGGAGAAGACGGTATTGGTAGCATCCCGCAGTTTGGAAGTGCTAGAAGCTTCTGCAAGAAAATACTCCGTCTCACGATCTAATATACTGCAGGTACGAGAAATGTCAATAAAACCCTACGTCAATTGGCAGGGCGACTACGTACCTGATGACGGCCCGTTGTGCGTTCAGTTTCAGGGTTGCCGTCTGGGCAAAAGTCGTCAAAATGGTATTTGCACTGGATGTGTTCTGTTCGGAAGGCAGGCAAACTGCCAACGAGGTCCCGGCACTTTCTAGTCCCGGTGTACCGTCCACATGTATCGCAAAGCCATCGTCTCCGTCGGTCGGGAGTATCTGATGGGAATACAGCAGGGCAGCGGGAGTGGCGGGTTGAAAGAAACGATATATCTCACGAAAGCGGCGGTCATCGCGGTGAGAAGCGATTTCGTCCTGCGGTGCAGAAACCATGGTAGATGTTGTGGACCAGACGGTTTCTTAGGCGCAACACATTGTTTCTTGGCGGTTATGTGAGCTTCTGTTCTTGTTTTTTTGTGTGGTTTTTGGGTCTCGATGTTGTTGGGTCTCTGTCAGCGGTTCCCCTCAATCTATGCGAGCAAGCGACTTGAATTGTCCCTAGCGAATCCCGCGAGGTTGTAATGCGTAGACGAGCGACTGTTTCAATGTCGAAGAGCGGTAGTATAGACGTCGGAATTCGTCAAAGGCGGGTGGCGGTGAGGTCAGATGGGGAAGCTCAGAACGGCATGGGACAGAGAATTGCTAGAAACAAGAGCCAAGCAGCGAAGGCCGATGGGTGATTTGGAGAGACGAAGGTCGCCTCCGGTCGGTGGGCTTCACAAGGGCTGGGGGAGTGGGGCGATAGGCAGGTTTTTTTGAGCCGGCGGGCGAAGGAAAAACAAGTTCTAGACTGATGTATGATTGTTGATCCTAGTAAGCGGCGAACAGTTAGGAACGAGCGTATGAGGCGTTGGCGTTGCGACCGGGCAGCGAAAAGTATTCTGCTCCCACGACCCAAGAGAGTGCGACGATGGAGTATGGACGGGAGGCACGGCGGCCGCTGACTGGCTGGAGACGGTGCGCAGAACCGGTTCTGTGAACTGACTGCAGAGACTAAGCCGAGCTAGGGTGGCACAGGCGCTAGCAGGCTGGTGGAGGGCCGCGAGGCGAATTTGTTAGAAGAGTCACATCATAGCGGCAGATCGCCCCAGGGCAATCGCATGCGCGATCGATGAAGCCTGGAGTCGCAGTGGGACGGGCAATAATAGGTGGTGCTCTTGCCCAGCTCCAAGGGAATCGCGCGCAGTCCGCCGTGGCAGTGACAGCCCAGAGGCGCCTTGGTCCCGCCAATCATAAGCTGCCAGCGGGGCCCCCAGCGGCCTGTGAGTGGCTAGGTTGGGCGCTCGGTGATCGCAGCCGTTGGACCCGCTCAATCGGTGCCTGGGTGCCTGGGTGCCTGGGTGCGTCGCCACCGTTTCTGCCTGAGGCCGCTACGGAAACAAATTGTAGTCCTGTCCTTGTTCCAGGCGTCTCTTTCAGCATTCTTGTTGGGGTTAAACTTCCAGCAGTCGTTCCGATTACGGTAGGGACCTTGCAATGGGTGCACCAGGCGACTTTTAGGGTGCTTTCATTGCCTGTGACAGACACCGCCGCCGAAGAAGCATAGCAAAGGGAACAATCACAGCACGTCTCTGATTAGGAGTGTCTGTCTCCTACCGGGAACTGATGGCATCCAAACAGTCAGTAGCAGACACTGGGTAATTGGTATTTGTCACCCACCTGTTTGCTGCTCCTGGCAGGCACGGCACCGAAGCTCCACATCATTGGTGGGAGCCCATCCGTCCACTGCTGACTGATTGATGTTCAGCGCTCACGTGGTCGCGACGAATAATGGTAATAAATCATCTCCTCGACTTGGAGAAGATGATCATGGCCGTTTCTTATTCATGGCAAATACCGCAGGCGGCTATATTATCCGCATCCACATCCGACAGCCTGCAAATAAACGGGTAAGCTGGGGTTAACGTAAAATCGACACGGCGTATGTCGTTGCAAGACAGTGAAGGAATAATAACGATGAAGGAATCGAAAGCGATTTTGCAGCAAAATTGGGCGCCTACGTCTAGACTATATACTAGACAGCTGACTGCAGCATCTGTGGTTCTATGTGGTCTCGGCCAACCAGGGGAGGGCAGAAAAAGCAAAAAGCAGTAGAAGAGAGGGATAAAAAAAAGCCACCATGCCACAAAGTCTGGTCGGACGCGGTCTAGCCATTACCACTACTACTCGTCGTCACTGCAATGTGTTCAGGAGGTGTCGACACATCAAGCCTAGTAAACTCCACAGCTGTTGAAAAGACAAAAAGGAAATCCAGCAGGAAACTGTGCTCGCCTATTATTCCACTTACATTCGCAGGCTTTCACTTTGATACGCACTTGCCCAGGATCCCAAAGGACGAGGCTTGTTGTATTTTATCGAACTAGCGGACACAAAGAGACGCTACGAGGCGTCATGTTGAGGGGGCACCTTTTGATATTATTAGAGACGAGGCACCAAACACCAGACGGAAAAGTCACGATAGAGAATATAGAGGGGGGTCGCTCCTCAAAATAAAGAGAGAGAAGAGGGCCACAGTCCAACCGTTCCATCCTATTCTCGATCGGCGATGGACTCCTATGATGTCATTCCCAGTCTCAATCAGCCGCCACCCCCCACTTTTGCCGCAACTTTCAAGGTATTATTGGTCAGTCGGCTGGGGATCCCGCCTCTGGATAGATTTGATTGGCTCTAGCCTGTTTTATCTCCATTATTCATTGTTCATTGTTTACTATACGAACGAACAGAATGAAAAATAGCGGCGTCGCTGCTACTTATGCTAGTGTGGTGGTTAAGTGCGCCGACTAACTTTTCCTAAATAGAGTGACAATTTTCGCTCCTATCGGGGGAAAATGGTCGATAATTGATTCAATTTTCAACTTCAAGGGTCACTATTCCACCACATCTCCAGCAGCATGTCGAGGAATAGCAGCAACGGCTCTAGCAATGGAAATACTCGTTCAACAGGTACAAATATTCGCTTACCGCAAATGTCCGTGAGCTTCTTACAGCAGCAGGTGCTCTTGTAGTGGAGTCGCATTACCTGAACTACAAAATATCTCTCTCTAGCCCCTATCCACTCCTGCGGATACGCAACAATTTCTCGCCAATTGCGAAAGAGTCATCGTGCTCAGCAGAGCCATTCGAGCTCGTCGCGATATTTACATGCACAGGAAATTCTCTATGCTCGCTGGGTCGCCTGATGTCATGAAACGTCGGACACACTTTCCTGCTGAGGTACGAGACAAGTTGAATAGTTTGATACATGAGTTCGAGACTGTTAAGGGATTGTCGAGATAAGATAGCCTGTAAATGCCGTGGAGATCGGAGTGGTTCAAAGCGACACTGCTTCACGCAACCAGAGATCTTGCAAATCACGCCAAAATGCAATCGACATTCATGCCGACCGCTCAGTGATGGAGATGATCCAATCTGCGACTTCCTTGGGCCGAGATGCATTTGGCGCATGTCCAGATTCGATTTCTGTAACATCAATTTTGCTACCGATCTGCCTTTCCATCATCGCGATGCTCGCTCTCTGGAGCTCGGGCTCCTGCGCAAGGTCCTTAGTACACAGCAAATACGAAACCGGCACATCTTTGAACCCAGCATGACTCAGGGTAGCAGGAAACGTAGAACCCGAATGACGAGTACTCATCTTTGCCCACCTGTCGCCCTCTTCCTTCGGCAAGTCGTTGAAGACATTGGAAGCAGCAGCCGAGATGTCCGTCTGATGCAACCAACCATCATCCTATATTTCACGTTAACCCCAAACACACAAATTAGATGAAGCGAGACAGACATCCAACCTAATCTCGAATGGAGCGGCTCGGGGAAGCATATTGTCCGGCATAATAACGCTGGCATCAGATTCTCCGACGGGTAGAATGATGCACGAAATATAAGCCAGTCTCACTAGACCGCCTGGATTACCCTGTCGCTGTCTGTCGACTTTGCTGAGTCCTTTTGTGCTTTCTGTAGCAGGTATACCACCGTAAGAGTGGGCGATGAGTACGACGTCCTTGCCTTCGTTTGCGTGCTTTAAGATTTCTGAAGCGATGAAAGCGGCGTCGTCTTGCATGGTGCCTGGAACGTTGGTTTTGTAGCCTACGCTGGGAAGGTGAAGAGCTCGAACGGAGTATCCCTCACCCGCGACATGGGTTATCACATCATTGTACAGTTCGGGCAGTGTGAAGCCTCCTGGCACGATCAAGATTGTCGGCTTATCCATTGATCGAGGAAAAGCTGTATTGGGCACGAACAGCCTGAAGGGTTCTACGTGATTACACCGATGATGATGATGATGATGATGATGAGGGAAGGAGGAATGAATAATTGGGATTGAGAGACTAACCGTCCGCTGACGGCCGTTGACCAACCTGCCCGTCACGTGGTTAGACTTGGCCGTTCAATAACTATCTATATTCACGGCCGTGAATATCTCGGTATCTAGTCCCCCGCCGCTGACTCAACGGCTTGTCCAAAGGTATAGGGAGATTCGAAACCTCCTTTTGTCATGCCCTGAACCCACTCTAGTTGTCACTAGCTGTGTCGAGGGACGATACGATGTGTTGAACCCCACAGAGGTTCCTTGAGGATAACTAGTAACGAGATACTAAGATTACCGAAAGATTTGAGTAGAGTTAGAATACAACTAAAGTAAGAGAGATACCTTGAAGTGTTGTAGTACTTCAAGTACAAATTGCTTTACTGACCCTCTTAATGTAATTAGACTAACTTAGATTAAAGAACTATACTAAGGTCAACTAGATATATAAAAATAAGGATTCTTGAATATCCTTCTAGCTGTAATCATCACGACTATTTTCTAGTGATCCCATCCCAGTCATCATTATCTGGTCATTCTTATGCTTTATCTTATCCAATCCGTAGCTGAATAACATTGAACGGACTAATTCCCTCGTATCCAGTCACCACAATTCACGTAACTTTCCATATACTCATACGGCGGTAATTCATTTTCATTGACTGGTGATGGTATGCCCGTGTATTTTGTGACCTTTCCTTCCTTGGAATAGTTGTCTTTTAGCGTCATGTAGGCTCGTTCCGTAACACCTTCATATTGAACACCCTTCTGATTATTTTTCGTAGTCAGTATTTTTCAGCGTTTCAATAGATCTGTTTTGTTTTGTTTGGAACAGCTTTTACAACACTAAACCTTTAAAGGTTTAAATTTCGATTTAATTAAGTCTGTTCTGTCATTAACAATGCAAAACATGAATGAGCTATTACCTTGATATTACACATATAATAATACTAACTGTTTATAGCATAGCTCATATTATTTTGAGTCATAAGTGGGGCACAAATAACAAAGAGAGTTATATCTAACTATATTAAGTTAGGCCATATATTCGCTCAGTTGAATGCATTTGAATTGATTGCCTAATTACAATACCTTACAGCTCCTTCCAAGCAAGTGCAATCTCCACGTTCTTCGGGCTGATTACTTTCTTGAATCTTCTGGTTCAGCCTCCCAGTTGGCTTCTAAACCTTCACGAGACCTTCACCTGCCAGTCTTATTCACTATCCATAGGTCTTTTAGGGGTCGATTTCCTTACCCACAAATTCTCTCTTTTATCCATTTCCCTTACCCGGTAGGTTTTCCGAAGAAATATTTTAAGTAATCGGAGAAAGAAAAGAAAAGTTGATTGATTGTTGTTATTGATGATTTCCCGTGGCAGTTCGACGACTCCGCCGTGCTCATCCCGACCCACTCCATTCCAACACTTTTGAGCCAAACCCTGCTGCTATCTCTAGTGTATCTCTTGACAACAAGGAATATACTAAAATTAGCTTATCATGGATCGGCAACTTGAGTGTAAGGTAACGCACAAACATGTACCTGAGATCGACTTTAGTCTGTATACAGCGGAAGATGGTACCCAGGTATCCACATTAGAGCGAGTTTGTAAAGGTACATCAGATTGAAATTCTTTAGAGCTACCACTAAGTTCAGCAACAGAAGTACAAGCCCCGGCACTCACCGTCCCCACTGACGACACTTTTTGGTCGCCTCAGGACCCTAATAAACCCAATCTGCAATACTTGAAACAACACTTTTACCGAGAGGGCCGACTCACAGAGAAGCAAGCCCTATGGATCATAAACACTGGTACTCAGTTGCTTCGTACAGAGCCCAATCTTCTTGAAATGGATGCTCCGATTACGGTGTGCGGTGATATCCATGGGCAGTACTACGATTTAATGAAGTTGCTTGAAGTGGGTGGGGACCCAGTCGAAACAAGATATTTGTTCCTGGGCGACTATGTCGACCGGGGTTATTTTAGCATCGAAGTTCGTGATGTAACTAGTTTGATATGAGGCTATGGTAAGCTGCTAACGTTCCTAGTGCGTTCTTTATTTGTGGTCTCTCAAGATCTGCTACCCCAATAGTTTGTGGCTGCTGCGAGGCAATCACGAATGTCGCCACTTGACGGACTACTTTACCTTTAAACTCGAATGTAAACACAAGTATTCCGAGCGTGTGTATAATGCGTGCATGGACTCGTTTTGTGCTCTGCCATTGGCTGCTGTCATAAACAAGCAATTCTTTTGTGTCCATGGTGGTCTCAGTCCAGAGTTACATACCCTCGAGGATATCAAAACCATTGATCGATTTATTGAGCCTCCCTCTCATGGCTTGATGTGTGATCTTCTCTGGGCTGATCCGCTGGAGGAGTTTGGTCAGGAAAAGACCGGTGAATATTTTATTCACAACCATATCCGAGGTTGCTCTTACTTCTTCTCCTATCCCGCAGTATGCGCTTTTCTAGAGAAGAACAACCTTCTATCTCTTATTCGAGCGCATGAGGCCCAAGACGCTGGTTACCGAATGTACCGTAAAACCCGCACCACAGGGTTCCCTAGTGTTATGACCATTTTCAGTGCACCAAACTATCTTGATGAATATAATAACAAAGCCGCCATTCTCAAATACGAAGACAACATTATGAATATCCGCCAATTTAATTGCTCACCTCACCCTTTCTGGCTCCGCAACTTCATGGATGTTTTTACATGGTCGCTCCCCTTTGTTGGAGAGAAGATTACAGATATGCTGATCGCTATTTTGAATATCTGCTCAAAAGAAGAGCTCGAGGATGAGACGCCTTCACCGGTCTCACCTACTCTACCCTCTCCTCTCTCTGCTATTGAAAAGGATGAACGAAGCGAGTTCAAAAGACGTGCTATTAAAAACAAAATTTTGGCCATTGGTCGTTTGTCCCGAGTCTACCAGGTGTTACGTGAAGAATCTGAACGAGTTACTGAACTCAAGACTGCATCCGGCGGACGTCTACCCGCTGGTACCCTTATACTAGGTGCTGAAGGTATCAAGCAGGCTATCCACAATTTCGAGGATGCGCGAAGGGTTGATCTGCAGAACGAACGGTTACCACCATCGCCAGAGGAAGTGGCACGCAAGAAGGAGGAAGACCGGAAGGCCGCCTTTGAGAGGGCCTACCATGAAGCTGACAATGATCCCAACTTAGCTACCGTCGCCAGACGTATTAGCATGTGAATGTTATATTGCTTTTTACCTTTGCCATTTCAATAATTGCTAATTGAATAGGTGTGATGACTCGAAAAGTAGAGAAGTTGCGAATCGCGAAACTTCTACCCCATAGAATTTGTTGTTTGTTTGTTACGGGCTCGGTTCTGCTTTGCTTGTCCGATCTAGATCCAGTAATTGAGTGGATTCAAAGGTTAGGGACGCTCCTGCCTATGTTGGATCTATTAAGCCCAATATCCGCCATCTAGAAGCCGCTGCTGGCGCTATCGGCCTTATCAAGGCTGTCATGGCTGTGGACAAGGGTATTATACCACCTCAGGCCAGGCTTAACAAACTTAATACGAGTGTCAATTGGAAGGAGTCCGGTATACAGATTGTGAGAGAGAAAACGGAGTGGAACCAACTTGATGGCCCTCGTCGCGCTGCAGTTTGCTCGTATGGATATGGTGGCACTGTATCCCACGCCGTCATTGAGCAGACACCAGTTCCATTTACCACCGATACAATCCAGGACAGCGGTGAAACGCTGCTAGTCCTCTCTGCGCCGCATGAGAAGAGACTGGCCAAACAATGCACTACTCAGGCTGAATGGATCTCTACCGCTGGCCGTTCCGAAAACCTCAAAACTATTGCTGCCATCTTGTCTCTGCGTCGGGCACAGCATGATTTTCGCGCCGCATTCGTTGTGTCTCGCCACTCAGAAGCAGCGTATGCTCTCAGCTCTTTCGCCGAAGGTGCGCCGGGCGCATGGGCTGTCCAAGGTCGCACACTCGAGAATGGCATCAGCAGGGAGGCTGTCTGGGTATTTTCTGGACATGGGGCACAGTGGACCGACATGGGCAAAAAACTCCTGAACAACCCCATTTTTCGCAAGACTATAGCCCCTCTGGATAGCATTGTGTTCCGGGAGCTTGGCTTCTTTGCGATCGCGAGTCTCGGGTCAGGTGTATCCCAAAATTCAGACGAAATCCAGGTACTCACTTATTTGATGCAAGTCGGCCTGAGCCAAGTCCTGAAATTTTGGGGAGTCTAGCCTAGCGCAGTTATAGGGCATTCGGTGGAAGAAATCGCTGCATCGGTCACTGCCGGATGTATTACGTTAGAGGAGGGTGCTATTATCGTATCGAGACGCGCCCGCTTGTATTCTAAAATGAAGGGCCTTGGCAAGAAGTTCTTGATCAATCTACCTTTTGCAGAAGTTTCTACTGAGCTGTGAGCCAGGAAAGATATCGTGGCCGCCATTGACTCCTCGCCGTCGTCTTGTGTCGTCAGTGGTCCTACGGCTCCTTTGGACGAGTATGCTGAGGTTTTGATTTTGAGATGTCGTTATAGCGACGACAATGTGAAGATCTCTCCCTTCCTTCTCCCCTACCTATTTCTGTGAACAGTAATATTAAGTCTGAGATTTCGGTATTAGGTTAGTGACGATCCTCGAGATGTTCAAGTTGTTGTCGAGAGCGAGAACGTTAAGGTTTCCTCTCGCCTCAATTCCTCCGATGACTACTCTTGGGGTGAATCATGGCGGTGCCCGCTGGAGCAACGCGGCCCTTGTCCAAGATGCTCAGACTTTTGATGTGGACTCCATCAAGAAGCGTATTGGGTCAATGCTATCCAAGTCTTTTTCAATAGACTACCTTTCCAAAGTTGGAGTGACTGGCATCGCTTTCCCTTGGACCGTGCTTCAGCATTATGGCAATTCCAAGGAGATGATTGCCCAAGTCGATGTTGACCCAGACAACATGGACTTGGCTTGGGACGCCGATTCTTGGGCCGCTATCCTCGACTCTGCCTCCTCAATTGGCGCCACCGTATTTGCTGACGATGAAAAGCTACGAATCGTCTCTCAAATCGATAGGCTAACGCTCTACTCTAGTATAAATCCTCCGAAACTTTGCTATATTTACGCTGCAGAGACAGATAGCGCCGAGTGTGCCCAAAGCCGATCTGCAGATATCTGTATTCTCAATGTTAAAGGCGGGCTTCTTGTCAAGATTGAGGGAATCAAACTGACTGAGATTGAGGGCGGCGCCGGGATTGGTGGAGGTGTGGACAGCTTAGTACACTAGATAGTTTGGGTTCCGCCTCGCCTGTCTGAGAAGCCCGTACTCCCCAAACGGGTTGTCCTAATATCGGAAGACAGAAGCATACTTGACCAGTACGAGGATGATTTACAGGAATGCGTTTCGAAGGTAGTTAGAGCCAATGCTGTGCAGGAGCTCAAGAGCGCAAACATCGCCGCTATGTTGGGCGGGAAAGATTGCGCGGTGGTTTACTGCTCGGGCCAGGTCCAGGCACTTGGAGATATTGCAATCTCTGTTTATAGATTCATCTGTGAAGTGGCAGCAGCTGTTAAAATAATTGTCGAGAACAAACTACCGGTTAAATTCTTTATTATCACGAATAGGGGTTTCGCTGCTGATGGAGCCGCCGCCCTTGCTCAAGCCCCTCTATATGGTCTTGCCCGCATCATTGCTATGGAAAACTCTGACATCTGGGGTGGTCTGATTGACAACGAAGGACCAAAATTTCCCATCCTACCCTTCAAGTATGCCCAAGGACAGGATGTTACCCGCCTGATAGACGGTGTGCCTCGAATTGCACGTTTCAGACCGTTCTCGACGGATCAGCGCCACCCAGCTTCAACCACTACTACCTTGCTGCCTCAACCTGAGGGCACTTATGTCATTACTGGAGATCTCGGTGATCTCGGCCTTGAGACTTGTGACTTTCTCATTGAAAAGGGGGCACGCCGTATTGTCATCGTATCTCGTCGTGATCTACCGCCTCGCAACCAGTGGGCAAGCACCTCTAACAAGATGGCTCCCATCCTCAGTAGAATATAGGCCATGGAAAGTCCAGGAGCCAGTATACATATAATAGCACTCGATATTGGTGCCAATGATGCCCATGCAAAATTAATAAACTCGCTAGATCATCTCTCGCTGCCTCCTGTTCTCGGAGTGATTCACGCCAGCGGAGTTCTCGAGGACAATCTCCTGGTCAATACAACCCCAGACTCATTCTCGCGGGTCTTGTCACCCAAGATCTCAGGCGCTCTTGCTCTCCACAAAGCAATCCCTCCTACAACTGTTGACTTCTTTGTTCTCTACTCGGCTATTGGGCAACTGCTTGGAACGTCAGGCCAAAGCTCTTACGCCTCTGGCAACGCCTTTTTGGATACTCTGGCAACCCACCGCAGGAGTCAGGGTGACAACGCAATTGCTTTCCAGTGGACTGCATGGCGAGGTCTTGGAATGGCCAACTCCGCCTTCCTCTCTATCGAGCTTAAAAGTAAGGGTCATCACTGATATCACGCGTGATGAAGGCTCCATTGCTTGGGAACATGTGTCGAAATATAATGTCGACCACGCCGTCGTTACACGCATCCTTGCCGTCGATGAAGAGTTGCCGACTCCGTTATCAATTCTTGAAGACATTGCCGTACATAGTTCGCGCGCACGAAAAGATGCTGCACCTGTAGAAAGTAAAGGTGACATCGCAGCTCGCCTAACGGCTATTCCAGAGCTCAAGATCTGGCTAGATCAGAAGGTTCTCGAGTGCCTTGCGTTGATCTTGAAGATAGATGATATAGAAGACATAGATCCCCGTGTCGCTCTGACAGACATCGGTGTTGACAGCGTCATGACTATCGTACTGAGACAAAAGCTACAGAGTGTGTTCAAGGTAAAAGTGCCGCAGACACTGACATGGAATCATCCCACAGTGGTAGCCATGGTGGACTGGTTCCTGGAACAGTTTTAGAGAGAAGAGAACAAGCTCTGACGGAGACATAGTATTAATATCCGACAGAGTTAAACAGGATGGCGATGACAGGACTGAGCCCGTAGCAAGCCTATGGTTGATATTGTAACCAGGCAACATTATTGTACCTACGCGTGGACCATATGAAACCTCGGAACCCCCAATTGCGCGCTCTTTTACTTCTTTTCCCATGTTCAATTCTACTCAATTCACAATAATTATGTAGTTACACTTTCCTACAATTTGATATAAGACACTCTGTAGATTAGTAATGTAGTTCAGTTCATAGAAAATTCATCTCTTTTCTTTTCCTTCCCTCTTGCTCTCCACCTTATATCATCGTGGTGCTAAAATTAAGTAAAATCCCCATATGATCCATTACAGCATTCCATGAATCTAGTTTCAACTGGTTTGAGCGTATATCGCTGCGTCTATGGGCGTCAAGTAGGTCTCCAAAAAGGTCCAAACCGATTCGCGGCATGGTCTTATACATATCATATGCCGATTGCCATGCTGAACGAGTTTTAGCCTCCCAGAGTGACTTAGGCGAAGGGAGCGGGATCTCTTGGAAACCTTCGAATATGTCACACGGCACGCCAATCTTGATATGGACCATCTGAGTGATCACGAGCCATACTATTACCGTTCTTGATCCAACAATTATCAGCAGAGAACGTTCAGAATATGCACGGAAAAGTAAACTTCAAATACCTTCTTCGTGACTCAGCAAAAACCCAATCTTCCCAGTTTTGACTTGGGTTTACTCTCTCGTCCTGACAGAAGGGTTGCTTGCATAGCTTTTTAAAGCTTTCGCAAAGGCCCTGCATCGATTAGACACGGTCTTAACATGGGAGCAAATTATAGTACCTGCCAAGTGACTAGCATTTCCATGTTTAAGTCTGGCTCTGTTTGGGAGCCATCGATGACTCGCATCATCATGTAGATTAACTGTGATTGTATAGACCCGAGAAGATACGGTTTCGAGAGCTGTTGTTGATCTGTCTATCGACGTGGTTAGCTGGGCGTTCCACTTTTTGTAAGGATGGTATTTTTTGCAGTAGCGATATTTGCGAGGAATAATTTAGAGGGGTGGGGTGCATTTGGTTCTCTGTGAAAGTGGTTTACTTCTTTTATGCACTTGACACTTAGGAACTTGCCGCGGTAAAGGAAATAGTGAACAGACCTTTTCAACGGAGGATCTCAACTCCATTCGAATACTGTGCCATAAAAAAGACCTCGTGTCAAGATTATGAGAAATGAACACTTGTGCAAGGGCCATGCAATTGATAAGTGGCTTTGGTAGAGACGGCTCCTTAGAGGAACGGTGCCAATGTCCGTGTATGAAAGGGGGAAAAGTCTCCCTACGAAGCATCATTTGTGGAAAGGCACGGAGCATCTGCATAATGGAACCTGCTGAAAATCTCGACACAGGATCTGACATTGGGATTGGGGCAAGAATGTCTGTGCTCGGTCTCTGGGAAAGGTGTGTAAAAACGGGAAGGGAAGGCGAACATTCAGAGGATGCTGTTACTGTAGACCAGGGAATTTTGGCGACCGAGGGTTCCTCTAAATTGAAGCCATCGTTAAGGTTGTCAGTAGGATCTGTCCTGTCGCCATTGCACTGGGAGGCTAAGTGGTTTGATATGGCCCTGGAGGCCGGTTCGGGGGAATGTGGTAGAATAAGCCCCCTGGGGCTTTGAGGCATCATGTCGGTCATAAGAAAATCTAGCGCATCCCAGTCCATAATAGGTTGCATGTCGTCCGTGCCTGTCGGTATGCTTACTCCACTGTTCAAAGGCCCTGTGGTACCATTCGGGGCCGGCACAACAGATGTCAGGCTGGAAAGCACGTTTTCTGATGTGTTCTTAGTTTCGAGCTTTCCCCAGTGCATATCCGGGGCTCTATTTATGGCTGTATTCGTGACTGTATCCCCAGTTATAGCTGTAGCTGCTGCATTTTCGTAGACACATTCAAGTCCTCTGCTAACGCATCGCAAACACGGCGACCGGAGATTACACTTCCTCTTAGCTAAGCTACAAGCTCGACATGACCTAGCACGAGTCTTGAGATGACTATGGGTTCGGCGACAGTATAAGAGATGTCGATTGTAGGATGTTTCTGCAGACTGCAGTGAGCTCCGAATACAAGTGAGAAGGAGTGGCGCAACCTTTCAAGATAGGTTTATGACACAAGACACAGACCCACATGGGACTAGGCAATGGAGCTGTGACAGGGTCCATGGGTAGCACAAGAAAACCAGCGTGAGGTGCGAAAAAGATGCAATGAGGTACTAATATTTCTGCGGTGCCGTTGATATTGTTTTCTGATCGTGAGCTTGTGGATGGCGAGAGACGAGGATATACTTCGTTAGCTAGGGGCCAATTTAGCCGCTAGCGGCGGAGTTCGACGCGCAGCGGCCAATTTGACCCGCTAAGATGGCCCCACTAAACACTCTTACAATATAGTATACCATAGTAGTAAGGTGACAGTTTTTGTTGCTACTATGTATTTCACCATCTTCGTCCGATTTTGTCTTGTTCGTCTTCTTCTGTAATAAACTTGAATTTTGTCTTTTGATTTATTTCGACAAGTCTACCAAATCTACCTGTTCCACCATGAGTTCAGAAGAGGCTAACGCCAATACCGTCTGTAAGGACCAAGAAGCCAACCTGGATGGCACCTCTAAGATGTCACCCGATATGCCTGGTCATGAAAACGAAGCCCGCAGTCTACGGACCGTTCAAGGTTGGAGGTGGGCAGCAGCAGCAGCATGTCTGTACGTTGGGGCTTTCATCTACGGGCTCGATGGAACCATTGCCGCAGACATCCAAGCGCCGATCATCGAACAGTTCCACACAGTCGAGAGCCTCACATGGATCGGTACTGCATTTCCGCTCGGTTCTGTGTGTGCAATATTGCCTGTGTAAAGGCTCCATCCCTACGCTGTCACAGGAGTACAGAAGGAAGGCTGTATGGCTAACTCGTGTCAAACAGAGCCGCCTTATATGCTGTTTTCAACCTTAAACCCATGTTCATCTCGAGCATCATTCTTTTCGAGGCCGCCTCTACGCTTTGTGGAGCGGCTCCCACCATGGATGCTCTTATTGTCGGGAGGGCAATAGCTGGTCTTGGTGGAACTGGTATTTTCCTCGGGTACGTCGCTGCCCTCAAGGATCTAGTCAAACCCCTACTCAGGAACTTGTCCTAGGATCTTGAACTATTTTGCTCTATGTACAACTGAAACAGAACGCGGTCGCTACATTTCCGGTATTGGTGTAGTTTGGGGGTTGGGCGCTGTCTTAGGCCCTGTCATAGGAGGCGCATTTTCTACTTCGTCTGCCACCTGGCGATGGGCCTTCTACATTAATCTGTGAGTTAACAGATAATTCGACTAAAATGCTTCCCGTCACGTCGTTTCTCTGCTTACGGAGCCTTCTTCCAGTGTCGTAGCAGCTGTGTGTGCACCAGTCTACGTATGGTACCTCCCGTGGGTAAAGCCCAATGGTGCCAGGAACGAGTCTCTTCTCGCAAGGCTCAAGACTGTAGACTGGGTTGGCTCTATTCTCGGTACTTGTGCCATGGTAGCCTTCACCATGGCCCTAACTTTTGGGGGCTCAACTTGGCCTTGGGATGACGGTCGCACCATCTCTACATTTGTTGTATTCGGGGCATTGCTTATATTACTCTTTTTCCAGCAGTACTTTGTCATGTTCACCACTCATGAAAGGCGCATGTTCCCTCCTAGGCACATCCTTATAAACAGAACTCAAATGCTGCTTAACATCAACACCGCCATGGCTGCGACTAATATCTACGTGCCGGTTTATTATATTCCCCTATACTGTTCGTTTACGCATGGAGATTCTGGACTAATGGCTGCCGTCCGCTTACTGCCTTTTATATGCTTCCTTGCATCTTTTAACTTGGCATTGGGTTTTCTTTTGCCGAGAATTAACTATTAGTATGCTATTATCGTCATCACTGACTTTCTTTTCTAACATGTTATAGCTGGGCATTGTACGTTATTGGTGGCATTCTCATGACAATCGGCAGTGCAACCTTGTACACGGTTAAAACTGATACCACTATGGCAAACCTGTATGGATACAGCATTATACTCGGGTCTGGGACTGGATTAGTCTTCAATCTTGGCTTTACTGTCTCGGGTGTTACCATCATGAAGGAGACAGGCAATGGCTTGGATGTCCAACGCGTCATCTCCATGCAGAATCTTTCTCAGCTTGGATTCCAGACAGTTAGCTTGCTTGTAGGGGGGCAGATTTTCCAAAGTCTCTCGATGGCCAGCCTAAAACAGATTTTCATCGGTTCGAACTTCTCAGACTCTCAGATCAGAAGTGTCATTGCAGGAACACAGAGCAGCTTGTTTACATCCTTAAGTCCTTCACTGCAAAGACAAGCTATCGCGGCCATCACACATGCCATGAGCAGGGTCTATATTCTCAGCATTGCGTCAGGGGCTATCACGGTGGTTAGTGGGATGATTATGAAGAAAGAGAAATTATTTTCTAAAGAAGCCGACAATATTTCCATTGCGGGCGGAGCCTGAAAGGATGCTAAAATTTGGTTGGATTGCCTCCATGATTCCCAGACTGGTACAGTGTATCGAAAGTTTAGTGTTTCTCGTGATAACACCGTCCCCATAGAGCTTATATCGAATAGACATGCTTAGTATTTTTTTACAGGTGTATTTGCATTTTTGAAGGAAATGGTGGCTTCCTCAACAAGAGAGTAGAAGTTTGACCATTACAACCTGTGCAGAAACATACCATTCCAATCAATGGCTATCTCGGGGTACTCTACGAGTGTTATGAGGCAACCACATCAGAAGGTATTAGTTGCGAATCCTCTTTCCCAAGGAGATGTTCTCTAATAGGTGAATGCGTCCCTTCAGCTCCGATCAAAAAATCACCAGTTTCCTGTGTGTTATTTTCAAATTTACAGTAATTGAGCCATCTTTATTAACTTGAATCTCTTGCAGACGTTTGCTCCACTGTAGTAATATTAGCCGAACATTGTTACCATTGTGTGAAGGCGTGGATAAATAGAGAATATGCCAAAGTGATGATTATAGATATATCTAAGGCGTGCACGAAGTTATAGTGATTTGAAGACAAAGTACCTGGTGTATTTCTCGTCATGGAGTGTTTCTCGGGACCCAGGGACAGACGTATATACGTAGTATATAACGCAAAATGAAAGGAAAAAATCTCAAGCTATCCGTCTTCCAGCGCCTAGATGTAAACACGTAAATACATGTATCAATTGATCTATCCAAATGCTCCGGCCATATACACACTATTGACCTAAGTTTATATCAGAACTTCTCCATCAGCTTCTTGCGCACCGTCCACATGCGCGCCCGCTTGCCGAAAATATACATCGGAATGGCCGTCAACAGACACGCAAGTTGGATACCGCCAATTGCGATAAACACATTCCGCGCTCCGTCCGATTCGAGCCAGTCAACGAAGAAGAGGGAGAAGACCAGTCCGTGAAAGATATCTGTACTTGGTCAGCGTCTGAGAGGCAGTCAGAGAGCACGGGGAAAAGTACTTTTGCTAAAATTTAATGTAACCAACGCCTCGCCTGCATATTGGCGATAACTATCCACGCAGAATGTGATCGATGTCGTGCTACCCAGCGCACAGCCAAACGAAATGATTCCAAAGAAAATCGTAGGAACAATCCAGTTGTCTTTTTCTTGCGCACTCCAACCGAACCCCATCAATCCTGCCGCTGTCGACAGAGCGACGGGAATCGCCATAACAAGACGAAACTCCGGCTCATAAATGCCTCCGTTAAGCCGTGTCATATATCGGACAATGATATCTGACACCCGTCCAGCAACCGCCGTACCAATGATACCACCCACAAATGGCGAGATATAAACCAACCCAGTCGCAAGTGCTGAGAAATTATAATTCTGGCTGCCCTGGTAAATATGTGCTACTGATTCGGACAGCACAATGAGCCATCCAATGGACAGAGAATACACTAGAGCAGACCACAGAACGGCTGGATATGCAAAAAGAATAAATGGACGCACCAACACCCGATGCCACTTGTCGTGTGCAAGTCGTCCGTTCCATGGCCGAAGCATATGTACATAAGACACCGGAGGCCGTTCGCGGAGGTTATGGGTGTACAAAGCCGACGCGTTCATCGGCAAGGGAGACAACGAGGTTCGTCGAGCCCCTTCAATATCCCTGGTAGGTGATACAGGTTGTGAGCCATTGCTGGAGTTGAAGTAATCCGTGTTCGGATCCAAAGAAAGTCTATTATCACCCAGGTGTACCGGAGAAAGAGGCGCAGGATGAGCATCAGTGTCTTCAGTAGGGGAATGATGCGATGCCTCGGGGGTTGCATCTGGTTCGTTGACTACCACGGTAGGGGTGTCATTGGCCGTAAAAGGATGCTCATTCTTTAGATCGGCAGGGCTTTGCAATTTCTCGTCCAGTTGGTCCTCAGCAAAGCCAACATGCATTTCTTTCCTCTTTCGATGGCCGTTCTCCTCAGTAGGGCCATATGCATCGTTTGAGCGTGGTAAACTAGGCTGCTTTTCACTCAACCGCGGCTCGGGACGACGTCCACGAAAGCCAAGGTGTGCAAAGTCAGATACACTTCGGTAGATATTAGGACGTTTCGATCTGGACTTTGGTCGGGGTGTCCGATCCCAAAAGGTTTCAGGGACAAAGAAAAATAATAGCGCAAGAGCGCCGCCAACAATTATAGCGACCACCCTATTTCCTGTCAGTTATGGAAGCACGGCGAATGTGTACTCAGCCCATACCAAAATACCCAACGCCAGCCATATCGTCCAATAATTGCCGCACTGACCAGTGGTATCAAGTTCTTGCCTCCCAGAAGTAATAGTGTATAAATTCCTATTCGGTACGCCCTTTCATGGAGGAAAAAAATCTCCGCGATAGTTGCAGACGGTAGACACTCCACTGGGCTGACTGCAAATCCCATGAAGATTCGAGCTAGCACCAAACTTACATAGTTGGGCGAGAGTGCGCACCAAATGCCGGAGATTATAAATAGAGTAGCACCCAGCAAGTATACTGGGCGTTTTCCATAGAGGATGGCCGTCGGGGCCATGACAACGGACCCTAACCCAAGCCCCAACATGTACAGCCCGGTCGTGTACGCGACTTGTTGTGTTGTGATATTGTAGTCTTTCGCCACCTCGTTGAACCCAGCGGCCAGCACTGGGGTCATACCTCCTCCCATCAGGCAATAGAAACCTAGAGAAAGTAAAGCCGTATCTCTTCGCCATGCTGGCCAGTTCAAGGGATCATTCAACGTGTCCTCCGGCTGCGGCTCTAGAAGAATGCGTCCATCGGATGTCTTTTTGGGAACAGGCGCAACTGAGCGAGAGGATGATCGGCTTGGAGGAAACTGCGAAGGAAGTGACGAGGCTGAAGTGCGAGCTGGCTGATTGCGTAGACCCAAGGGCTCGTTACGATTCGAGGCCAGCAGGAGGACGGTGCCTGAAAGCAGTCTGTCAGTTGCATTGAAGGTATTCCTGGGGGAGTGCAGCTTTACCGGGCACCTCGTCTGTCTGCGGGTCACTAAGAATACCGATGGTCCATTTGGAGCGGTTGTCCCATGAGGGAGCCATTATAACGTTCTTGCACGGAGCAGGTGGATTTTAATAATGCTTCACAATCGGATCGACGCCAGGATGACTCCCGCCGGAACAAGTAAAGTCGGGGATAGTCCCCAGTCCGCGACGAGAGAACGCAAGACAGGTGCGCAGCCCCCAGTCTCAAGGGCAGACGACCTCTGTTTATAAGGAATGGGGGAATAGAAAAAGAAAAGAGTAATACTACTGAGAGGAGGAGGCGGACGCGGAGGAGACACTCCGAAGATTGACGCGGGGAGTCCGATAAGGCAAGCCGATAAGAGCTATTAGCGGCTGCCGGTATGGATCGTCGCCCGTGGCCATGTGACTGCTCGCGTACTCGATACGCCCCAGTACCTTGCGGTACCTCCACCACGCCCAAGATCGCGTGGAGTAGCGGGTATCGACAAGTACCAGAAACGTAACGGCACAACGCGGTGACCACCGCTCCCGTCATTCCCAGCCACTGATGAACGCGTTCGGGCGACTAGACATTCCTCCCGGTCCGTCAATGAGGAGTCGCCTTTAGGAGCTGAGACACTGATTATTATTTGAGTTCTGGACAATCTCCTGCACGGTCTCGTCACCCGACCGCGAGGCTGCCACCACCACAGGCCATCACGCCGACATGGTTGGTTGGAAACCTGGCGTGTCGGTGTGCCAACCCATATTTAACATTATTGTGTACTAAGTCATACAAGAGTAGGCAGTATCGCTTATTCTACCACTGCCTTCAGTCGGTATCCATCGAATTGCGCCCGAGGAAATATCATCCCAGCCAGACAAAATCGCGTTAAACAGTTTGGTCTGAATGCTATCAAGCTTATACCACGGCAGCCGAAGATCGTCTGACTGCGCCATGACGACATCGTACATCGTCTATCCTTCGCTTTCTCAATAGTTTCATTGTTCATAACTCTTCATTTGCTACACGGCCGCAGATACGGGCAACGCTACAGCACCAGGGCCACGTGGTTTGTTGCTGCGACCCATTAAAATCTCCATCCCATGTTTACCATATCCTAACGTGTCACGGACTTGCATTAGCAGATGACGTTTCGTCACTCTATGAAGCTTTTGATGCTATAGAATAACACCTCACATGAATCCCCCACGCTCGCTCGAGCCCTCAGAACAAAGTTTGGAAATGATTGCAAGCCATTAAGGGGCCGCTGGAGCCTGGTTCGCCGCCTCCGCAACTTTAAGCCTCTGATCCTATCTCCTTGAGTTTGAATCGTTCCAGCGGAAAATAAGACCCAAGGCTCGTAAAATTATATCGTTGTTACCAGTCTTACTCCTGGATTTGAAACATCTGCACATGAGTGGATGGACCTGATGATCGTCTAAAATCATTGGTATAAGTGTTAACTCCTTGGCTTGCGGGGTAGTTGACACAGACGGTGCCGTGCATATCAAACGTCAGGTGGCTATATTTAACATAAGCTACGTAGTCGAAGTTCGAAATCTAAGTTAACTATGATTAATTAGCCCTTTATCACTACGCTCGTAAAGACGGACTCATTCCCATATCAGTTGCAAGGACCAATCAACAAACCCCATCATCTTAACCCCAGTATTTGTTTCGAAACAATACCTATTCCACACTTTTGAAAATTGCACAAACTCTTAATTAAGGTCTGAATACCACCTGGACCTCCGAACAAGGCCCAACATAATGGCCGATATTCAACTGTAGAGGAGTTAATAACTGGAGACGAGTGAACGTTTAGGAATAAATTTTGTCCAGGGACTCCAGGGTACCATAATGCGGTATCTCTCAATGCCTTCGCCTCTTCTATCGACAGATTAATAGCAGATGTAATGTTAAATTCAACGGCAAGGCTGACCATTTTGCATCCCTAATCTGTCTGAGTAATGGATGTTTATAGACGGAAATGGAATCAATAGTGAGTATTTTCCACTTACATCAAACCCCGCTTTTACGGCTCTGATATGTTCATAAACTGCGAGATACTGTGTTATTGGAGATTCTGTCGGGGAACCGAACCATTGAGATGTATGTCGCTTATCGGTGATAACTTGTATTGCTTGAATGACTCTTGAGCCTACCGCCACGTTGAAACCTCTCAGACTTGCGATGTTCACAGAGCATCCTTTCTTCTCAGACCAGTACCCTAATTCTATGGCAGTTCCTTCGGGCGAGACAAATCGTATACCGGAGACATACTCTGTACCGCCAACCTGAACAGTGGAGAATGAAGTTTGGGAAATGAACTGGCAAATGGATACATATTGCCGATTGAAGAGACGACAACCTTCGTTAAAATCATGATGGGACCCAGTAGATTTCTCCTGTCTCACATCTCCAGTAATCCCCCGGTACCGACGACTAAGGACATTGTCCTGCGAGACAGGCTCTTCAAAATTGTCCTTCCTACAAAGGCTTATTATATTCTTTAGAGACTGAATTAACTTCCAAACCCTCTTCCTATTCCGAAGCGCAGGCGATATACGAGTATCACATGTCCGTCGATATAACCATCTCCAGTCCTGAGGTTCTGGAACTTTCCATAATTCGAAAAGCCAACAGCGGTCGGCATGTGGTTTAAATCTAGACGCCCAGAACTGTTGGTTTGAGAAAATAGGAATGAATACCTTCGAAACTTGACGAAGATTGAATACATCTGAAGTGGGAAGCAAGCATGCAATCATGTCACAAATCTCCAGAGGTAACCTGCCAAAGATGTCTGCTCTTTGTCTGACCTGACCTGTCGATCCAAGCTTGACAAATGCTGGTATCTGAGATGGTTTCCCGAGAAGTTGTTCAATTTCTGGAATATCCTTTGGATTTACTCTGACAGATATGGAGTGTTCTGAGTCCCCCTCCCTCTCAAAAACCCTGTCTTCCCATGGATAATGATCCTCGTTGTCTAGAAGGACAAGTCCACCAAAGTCGTGGCCCCAGTTCACGCCACTCCCCTGCAATGGATACGGCATCGATTTGCAAACTTCTAAGCGTCGCAAGCAAGGAACTTTTTGAGGATGGTATGCCATCTCCAAAGAGCCCAACAAGCTGCGTGAAAGACGAAGCCGTTGCGGTTGTTGACAGGATGCTGCGTCATCACGCCAATCTGGTCGCGATCGGGGAAGTCATATCCCGCATCATTCCATTTTGATTTATATTCTACAGGCACAATCCACTTTCCTGCATTGACGTCGTTGTACAGGCCGACGCCAGAAACAGATGCTTCCGTGGGACTGGAGTAGACTGCTATGATCAAAACGCACTTACAGAGGAGACTCACGTATTCAAAATTGTTTCGACCAAGACTCAGAGTTCGGGCTCTCATAATCATAGATGGCATATCCACAAAGAATACATGAGACGATGAGAGGACTCATCTTGCCAGAGGTGTGAAATACTTTATATAAACTGTAGAAACGACGAAGTTTATTCGTGCAAGTCTCGGAAGTCTGTGGACGTGTGAATTACATGTAAGGTTTAGTAGCCAGGCTTAAATAATTTTTAATACAATGCAGTAATATATGCTAGCTGACATATATATTGTAAATCGTCAGACGAAATGGACACAGCATAGGATCAACTGGTAGTGTGTGGCCGTGCGAGATTGCGTTTTCATTTAGGGATGTTAAAGGGAAATGGTGACCAAACAAATACATCAATAAGACCGAGCATATAATTGAAGATCATCTGTAGCTGCGAATAAACCAGACTTCACAGCAAAGGGATGGTTAGTCGAAAGCTTGGCGGACCTGAATTAAAGGGTCACGTGCCGCAGTCTCGCCCCTTGCTGGCCGGCAAAACAGATATGTTGCATTTTGTAGCCAATTCCATCCACCCCCATTCGCCGCCAGTTCGCCGCCAAATCTCCTTTTTTTTTTCACCAGTTGGCAATTTCTGCTGTGTGTTGTGTCGTTTCTCATGCAGCGACCGCTTTCTCTTCTTACTTCTGTATTTTGATGTAATTTGGGCTTCTCTTTCCTTATCGCCGTCTACAACTCCGCCACCGATCCTCAAATTGCCCCAAGCCTGCATTGATCGCCTAGCAATATCGAGCAACTTACCATTATGCGGGTCAGTCGCATTTCCCCCGTAATCGCCCTTCTTCTCGTCGCTGTTGGGTCAACTGCTGTCGACAGCCCTGCCGACAGCCTGTCGGATAGCAGTTTGCAGCATGGCAAGACGCGACCTGGAGTCGCCGCGGATGTGAGGCCCAAAGCCTCTCCGAAAGGGACGCTGGACGCCCCGGTTGATGGAAAAGATGGCAAACCTCATGACGGGCCGTGGGTTGAAACGAGCGCAGACCGAGATCGAAAGAAAGATAAGATAGATGGCAGGCAGAGCGTAACGGCACAAAACACGGCGTTGGATATTGGTGAACAGTTGAGCCCCGATGGACATCATATCCCGCATTCTAATGAGGGGGTGATGGATGATCCTGATAGAATAGGTCCGAAAGAAGGCACCAGGGGCACAGAGGGTGGCATGACTGAGAAGAGCAAGGATAGCAAACTGCTTAAGGAAAAGATTCCTGAAACTCCCAAAGAGGCACGTCCTCTACCTCATAGTGAACAAGAAAAAATTCCTGGCCAAACCACCGTTGAAACCACGGATTCGAAGGCCAGCCAAAAACTACTCGAGGTATGTGGATGAAATTGAGTGGGATTCGCTTCCTGTAGTGGCCGTGGACTAAACTATGCGATATACAGAAACCTGACGACCTCCCCGACAGACCTCATTCTATTCCTCCACCGAAATCTCCTGCAGGAGTTCATGATGATCCTCTCGACTTTGAGCCGCGACCACCTGGGAGAAAGCCCTTCGGCAAGGGCGGTACTCATTCTACAACCCCAGCAGCCGCAGCGACAACGGACGAGAATGTCTTTAGTCCGATCCATTCTCTTGTTATATCACTCACGATGATTCTATTTTCTGAAGTCGGCGACAAAACTTTTCTTGTTGCCGCTCTTATGGCAATGCGGCATCCGCGCTTGGTCGTCTTCACCGCAGCCTTTTCCGCCTTAATTGCGATGACCGTCCTATCAGCCATTCTAGGACATGCCGTTCCTACACTTATACCTGCCTTCATTACAAAATTCGCCGCCGCTTTTCTTTTCCTCGCCTTTGCTGCAAAAATGTTCAAGGAAGGACACGCCATGTCGCCAGACGAGGGCGTTGGGGAGGAGATGAAAGAGGTTGAGATGGAGCTAGAAGAAAAAGAGCATGAACAACGACGCATGAGTCGCAACCAATCAATCACCCCATACGCATTGGAATCTGGCCGTGGTGGTCGCACGCGGTCAACGAACCGCCTCCCATCACCCCCAGAAAGCATTTCGTCGGCATCGTCACGAGATATTTCCCCAGAGCGTAGTTTCACATTGAAAACGATAACCGCTGGGGCCAACAATCTCTTTTCGCTATTGCTCAGCCCAGCGTGGGTTCAGACTTTTGCTATGACTTTCTTGGGAGAATGGGGCGATCGCAGTCAGATTGCGACCATCGCCATGGCTGCTGGACAGGATTATTGGTGGGTTACAATTGGAGCAGTTGTTGGACATGGTATTTGTACTGCAGCCGCTGTCATCGGTGGTCGTGCAGTCGCTGGGCGAGTTAGTCTTCGAGCCGGTATGCCGCTCCTTTTTTTTTATGCCTAATGTTGGTAAAACTAACAGTTTTCGTTCACAGTCACCTTGGGCGGGGCATTTGCATTCCTTATTTTTGGGATTATTTACCTGATTGAAGCAATATACTAATAGAAGTGGAAGTGTGTTTTACCGCACTTTCGTTTTATGTTTGATTTACAGCAAGACAATCATTTATCTTGCCTTCTATATTTCCCTTTTCATGGTATCACTTGATCTCATACTGTATACATTATATTTTTGGTTTTCAGGACTAGATTTTACTGGCGTTATACCAGAAGAGGATTGAAGTTGGATTGCCAACTAGTTGTTGTATCCATCGATACATGTTATGGCGTCTGAGGAGTCTTGTGTATGGGCAAGTCGGAGTTGGACTTTGGATTATAATCATAGTGGCATAACGATACTATGTATACATATTTCAATTGGAATTTCCAATAGAAGATAGGATTATAATTCATCTTATTCTCTAATGGTTGGTGCTATTACTCCACCTCCGTTAACCTTAGGGTTGTCGACGAAGACCATATGAGACTGCAATTGTGGCCTTAACTTTAGTGCTATCTACGTCTCGAATTTCCTAATGGTATTGTTTCTACTACATACCAATTACTATGAAAACAGCTTTAAGAACTACTTACTACGAACATTTATTGACAGCACAGCCCCAAGCTACCCCCAAAGCGAGATGGCCGCTAGAATTGATGACTCACTCTGCTTACGTGACCAGCCAACTCACTGTATCCGCTTGATTTTTCGCAGACTATCATACACTGTTTTATACACAATTAAGTCTGTGATAGAGCTCGTTCGGTCACAAACACACTTCATTGTCTTTCAAGTTTGCTTCCTATTAAGGTGAGGGCTTCCTCATCCGCATCAGTCGACCAATTGTTGATCATGGCTCACCAAGCAGGGGACATTTTGTGGGATGCGCTGGCGTCAAATCTACACTTCTATCTGCCAGAGCACCCGCTAAAACCGCCAGCGGCAAATCTATATATTCTGTCCGGCCTTTACCAGGCTAGAGATATAGAAGCTTTTATATTCACATTCATACGCACCATCTCGGCGCACACTTTACGGGAGCGACAGAAGTACCCTGAGAAATATGATCCTCCGAATGAAGAAGATGTTGTTCTTGACAACGATACAGTAAACAGAATCAGCCGAACTGTTTACCGATGGCGCCTAGCTGCAGGCAGCAATGGGTTTGGATGGGATAAGAGCAATGAGGTGAAACTTACATCGCAGCCATGTCTGCATTATACAGATGAGAATCGGCGCTATACACATGATGTCAATGATCCTAGGGATAGGGATTATGACGACGGGTTTCAGTTCAACTGCGACTGCACAATACCATTTCGAGAAAGAAAAGCACATGCGTTTCTCCGTGAATGCCGAATTAATTATTGCTATTGTTTTGAAGGTGTAAACAAGGGAGGCTTCTTTAACCTGGAAGTTATTAAGACACTCTTGATACATGGTGAAATTGATACGGTTTTGCGCGTTTGTGCCCACCCCGATGTGAAGTATGCGAGCTGGAAGTCTGTGCAGAATTGTGCATGTATGGAGGCCGATCTAGGGTGGAATCACTTGTATAGTTTGGCCTTGGATGCGTATATTGTCCTAAACATCTTGTACTGCTTCCCGAAGCTTCGTGGTTCAATATCAGGACGTCAACCCCCTCGATCAAACGAATCATATGAGCGAGACTATCGAGATACCAAAATTTACCAGGAAATGCTATACAAGTGCACAAAATCACACTATTCCGAGGTTACAAAGCATATTCATCGACAGTTCTTCGGTATCAAAGACGATTACTTTGGTAACTCATTTAAAATTCAACGTGGCTTGGAGTGGCCGATCCTTGCCAAAACTGCTACATATCCTCAATCACCCGACAGGCCGGATAACCAACCTTTATTCTCGATTTTGAGGGGCCTGAGATCTTGGCGAATGAAGGCATTCATCAATGACGATGACTTTCCATTTGGAAATGTCCCATTCGAAATATTCTTGAATTGCGATGAAGAGGCGCCTTGGGTTCCTCATAAGTTAGAAGTTGCGGAGTGCTATCGCACTCTACGTACTATAGGACTACCTGATGAGCTGATATGCGAGATTGCCGAACTTGCCTACGGCGCTTATGGTGATGAACCTTGGCGCCGACTGCTTGTGGCGCATGATCCATTTCACCCAGAAAACTACGATGAACTTGTTGGTTACCTGGGCAGTTGCTGGGATATTATGGTCCGGTGCAATATCTTTGCGGAGGCCGTAGGTAACCCAATAAATTGGCAATCGGAGTTGAAACTTTGTCTACGACGACTCTTCCGGAGTCCTCGAGGGGACAATCTTGATTGGAATGGGTTGGATACTGATATGGAAGACTTAATATTTGAATTAATCCAACCATGAGCCTCCCCAGAGAACAAAATATTGCCAATAGTGTCATTCGCTCCTACCTCTTCTGTCACAAGAGCTTTTTTATGGCAAGAATTTTACGATTATTAGGGTTCAGTATCAGTAGAGGAAAAACCGTCAGTAATATATCTTCATTTTGTGTCCTTTTTTTTTTGCTACAGTTCAGGAATTGGTCTTCCTCTCTGCGGATAATTCTATAAGCTGGCGAAGGCCATTCGAATGAATAAATTGCAGATATATAAGTGCAAATGGAAAAATTCATATTTTCAATACTTACGTGATGTATACAAGCGATTACTTGTGCTTTTCAACTATACCAATATTTTACATACTGGCCATTAGGCCATTACCGAAAGCGGACAGGGGCGCTCATGCGGGTTAGGGTTAGGGTCAGGTTTTTTGCCGGGCGAAATAAAAATGCCTGGCCTCAACCTACACAGAATGCTAAACAGCAAAATAGGAAAGCTTTGATATCCTTTAAATAGCCTTAGGGAGGCTAGGATTGTTCTCACAGGAGCCTCAAGCTCGTTTTCCAGCGTCGAATACGCCTGCAATACTTGACTACACAATACAGAAGCCATTCAACGTCAAACCCTCTATGCGAATATTTTATAGCTATAAAAGAGCTGAATAGCGAAGCTTTTCCCTTAAATCCTTCGAAAACTAGCAGTGAAGTGATATTTCGGCGGTGGCAAAGGCAGAACAGCTGGAATTCGAATGGACGAGGTTAGGGTTAACGTGATTTGCAGTTGAAAGTGGCAGGAGATACCTATAAGGAAGACCACGTGATGTTTGGACGCAGTACTGTCCGCGTTGTGTAAGCAGCTGTTGTATTATTTGAATTAGGGTTGTAAAAACAATTCATTACGTAAGTTACGTGTATTATGGCGGTTTTAGAGTAAGTTATTAAAATGTAAACCAGTTTCGCACAAGTATATATTACACTACGCATTGGAATTACAAATACACAACCCCGGAAAGAGGGACTTCTAACTGCATGCGGGAGGCGGTGAGGCCGGGATAAATTCTACCCTAGGTTAAAGCATCCGCCCTCATGCTACGACATTTTCCCTCCTGCCCATCACAGGTCGTTTTCTCATCAAGAACGGACGGTTTGTAACTGTCTCAACCCATATACTCTAACCGGCAAGTAATCGCCAACCCTATGTGATTGCAGTCGTGAGTATGTCATCCGTTCTTGATTCGCGGAGAAAGTCGACTCCGGGACCTGCAGGTAGCACGCGGTCGGTCGCGCACGGCTTGCGGTCACCAATAACAAAGGTGTCTCCTCGTAAAGCTGCTACTGCAACTCCAAGAACATCCTCTAGGCTTCACAAAGCTGCAGACACAAACCAGAGTCTACGCGATTCTGGAGCAAGGCAAGTAACGAGAAGTCAAAGCCGTGCCTTGAATAGCAACGAAACACCGCGTACCGCCGTTCGCGGGAGCGCTAAGGGCAAAGAGAAGACTGGCCCAGGTTGGTGCACCATTTACTTGCTTCTTGCTCATTAGAACATTTGACGATACAAAACCACGTCAACTCTTATTCCCACTTCAATCTCAATTCTATTTCATTACCCTGCCAATGCAGGTAACCTACGCATTACGCGACAGTATTTATCATGGGCAACAACACACAGTCAACTGTAGCACGTACTGACAATGTTCTTCCAGATTCTAGCCCTGGAAGTGAAAGCTACGGGATTAACCAGCTCTATTCAAGCGGGGGTAGCCAAGAACCGCAAGATGTTATCCCGAACACAGCTATTCCAGAGTCTCCCGATGATCCCAATGTCTCAGGGACTACTCTTCACCCGACAGACTCTGAACCAGAGACTGGCGGCGATGTGGATGCGCTTCTGATGGTTCACTCTTTGCCTCACTTGCAACGAGCTTCCACGGCGATTCTGGATATTTTTGCGGCCAGCTCCTCATCTCCAAGTGGGATGGCTGAAGTAGTGCGATCTCTGCAAGATCCGAAGAGTAGCCAAAGCCGACGGCTGCAGCGCATGCGCAGTAATTTTGCAACGCAAAAAGAAAAATTTGGGGCAGAGACATATATCTCTATTGAACAAACTGCTCCAAAACTTCCCTCCCTTGAACCCTCATCTGACCCTTCAACGAAAGCTTGGCATGCGGATGGGATTCTCTACAAGGCGAACTGTGCGCAGCTTGCACTGGAAATTTTGACCAAATCTTCCCGCACGGATAGTGTGGAAGAAAGTATGTATGATTTGGAAGGGAAATATCCGATACCTTTCTTAAATGAACTGGCTCGTGGCACCCAGTTTGACAGCGCTGGGAAGAGTGGTCTCAGACGACCGACATTTGACTTGGCGCTTGAGATGAGAACTCAATTTTTGATGACCAGCTTGGTAACGCAACAAGATCGAGATAGCTTTAACCCACGCGGTCTGTTGCAACATGTCTTCTTCAATGAAACCCTCGACACACAGGCAGCTGACGAAGACCTGCTTCGTGGATTCAACCTAACTAGCCTCCAAGATAGGGACGGCAATTTACCCTATCAATATGAGGAGGACGTTCAAGATCGTATTCGAGACATCCAAGAATACTTTGCCGACGATGGAACAGTCGATTTTGAGAGACTCGAGGCACGTTTTCCTTGGGAAGGATTTATTTATAACACAGCTAAATGGCTTCGTTCGCGAAATGATGAGCTTGATCGTTTTTTGAAGCAACAGCCTTCGATTGACGACATTCGTGGTCAACTTGAAGACGTAGTCAATCGTCGAGCAACACTAAGTCAAACCACCGCCACTCCCGAGCAGGCCGGAGCATCGAAATCCTCGGAGGTTACTTCCAGTGGACGTAAGCTACTCCCGGCTATAGAATTCATACAAAAGCGCGGTGAAGCACCAAAAGAAGTACCTGAAGGACGCAAGCCAAAAAAGTCTTTTAGCAGCCAGAAAGCAATTCAAGTGGTGATGCGTAAAGGCAAGGAATTTTCCGTTGATAGCTCAAAAGACTTTGCGCCTCGGCTTTCTCAGCTTGCTGCGAAGCCTGCGGGGAATTCGACTGACCGAAATACTTTGTCAAGAAGAACGGAAATGCCCGCGATTCCATCATTCTCCACCGATCCGGATCAGACTCTGGTAGATGACTTGCACGAAGATCTCTCGCACCTAAGTCCTCAAAGAAACCAACAACATCGAAACCCTCAACCTGCTCGCCAACCACCGACTTCCGCGCCTCGATTTCCACATATGGTCATTGAAGAAAACGAAGATTGGCCTTCATCACAGACGATCATGGCTGATATCAAGAGTCATAAACAGAAAGACAATTCAAAACAAAGAGGGTTTTTTATTGACCGCCAGCCAGATGCTAGGCGTGTGTCACCGGTTGACTCTCAGCAACTCGGCATCGCGAGTCCGAGTACAGGCCGTAAGCGTAGGCAAACTCGAAGAGATGACTCAGTGGACGAGTATGAAGAGAATGATAGAGCGGTAAATATCCAAGATAAACGCGCTCAGAAACCAGCACAGACCACCAAAAGGCAGAGAAGAGGACCAGGGCCTGAGTCAATGGAGTCACCAGCGCTCAACCGCCAAATCCCTTGGCAAAACACAGAATCTCCATCTCAGTCAGAGCAGCCTCGTGTTCAGGCAACATTTGCAGTATCAACAGCAGGAACTCAACACTCGCCCTCTGCCTCAAACCCTGCAAATCCAAGTCAGCCATCCAGCAGTCAAACTTCCCCCCCCAGAATTCCATTTGGCACAAAACCAATTCAAGTACGACGACGATGGACAACCGAAGAAGACAATCGACTAGTTGAACTTGTTGGGAAACATGGCACGAGCTGGGCTGTAATCAAGCATCGGGACGATGCGTCAACTGATCCGCAATTGACCGACCGTAACCAGGTACAATTGAAGGACCGGGCAAGAAACTTGGTCATGATATGGTATAGGTATTTTTTCTGCAAACCACTTGTCAAGGAGTATATCGCTGATATTTGTTGTTTCTTTTAGGGGCGGGAGGAGCGAATTACCCAAAAATTTCGAATTTGTCTCGTTGAAGCAGAAGGACATTGAAGAGTTGGAAGCCAGGGGCATTCAAATCCCAGAACGGCCTCTTCCAAGAGGCATAATACGGTTCTAATTCATTTCCCTGCATATCCGCATTGAATTTTGAGCGGCAGGCTTTTTTTTTTAAAGATACCCTTGGCGTATTCTGCTTGTGCTTTTCAAGCAACACTGATTTCGGTTTTGGTTTATATTTTATTGCTATTTCTTAATGCCTTCTGAGTGTATTCTTTAATGTCATCAAATCTGTTTAGTTGCAGGTTGCCATTAGTCTATGCTCATAATTCATGCGTCATATATTCTCGCCGAAGATCACAGAGTTTCCTTTAATAACTCAATGAGTCTCTCTGCAATCAAATGCCCCATCAAATCGTACCCCTTGTCTGTGAAATGCAGCCCATCGTCCCAAATTTCTTGTCTCCTTTCTGCGTCCATCGAATGATATGGTATTACCGATTTTAAATCGAATGCAAAGCTGCATAATCAGTTGATATGACTTTGAAAAAAAAAAAAAAGAAAAGAAAATATAAGTGTGCGAGTAGTATTACATACAATCGATCTTCTTTATGCTCCATAATGTGCTTGTTCAACACATCTCGATTGCGCGTCAGCTTGTTTGAAATGTAGGCGCATTCAGGGACTGTGAGTGCCAGTAACTTGGTGGTGGGTGAGGATGAAAGGGCGAGCGACCAGGTTGTTTTGAGGCCTGCGTAGATCTGTTCGGGGGTAAAAGAGCCGTAACCTAGGTCGCTGTTTCATAATAACATGGTCAATTGGTGGGAGTGACAAGATATATCAACATGCAGGTGTGCAGTGTGTTCATACTTTGTCCCTCCAAGCACAATGACCCAATCATATTCCTGGCCCTCTTGTACTGTACCACAGTTAGCTTCCTCGTCTGAATTGTAATAAAGACGAGGTCGAACAGCTCTGTTTCATTCTTTCAACGAATCTCCCTGGCGGGCAATTGACTAAATCACCCGGTTTCCCTTCGACTTTGATTTGGATATCTTTTTCGTCCAAGACTTTCTGTTGTACGAGATGCTCCTTCAGGGCGATGGCATAGGGATGCGGGGGCTCGAGGCCGTAGTGCCAAAAGCCATCAGTGAGAGAATTTCCGAAGCAGAGAATTTTGACCATTTTCTCCTTTCTCTTCTTTTTGTTTTGCTGTTCGCGACCTCGATTTTGCAGAACTGCAGACTGCGAAGGTGTGCCCTAGATCTGGTACGTTTGTAGTGACCAATGTGGGGGATGAGGGGATGCATAAATTTAAAAGTGAGAGGCTGATGAAGGGTGGGGGGTGCAATCAATTGATACTGCAAGTAGTGTATGGGTTTGAGTTGTTTTCACTCTTGTGTGGCAGTGTGCTTTTTGGGTAAGGGTGGCTTTGTGGCTGGATCTGGGCGTTGTGAACGTGGGCTGGTTCGCCGATACCGATTTGAGCATTTGGAGGCGTTTGCCAGGACAACTACAGAGCGATTGGCCGGAGCCCGACGATTGACATTTTTTATTGTTTTCGCCAACAATATTGATTTGTGTGCAGACTGCTCTCTACTAACGATCTTCTGCGCGGGAGGTAGTTGGCCTCGATACATGTCCATAGGAGCCTTCATTGCTGATCGCTAGGCTGGAAAATAGCAGTATTTTCGTCCTTTTCGCGAAGATCCTGAAATTTCAACAAGTACCGCCGCCGGATCACGGAATGCGGGCACACAAAGACGATATAAAATATCCTCACAACACTCTGGATTTACCAGTTAATTATTCTTTACTGTCAAGCCCTGACAAGTGGCGGTGGCGCAATGCCCGTGCTGGGCGATACTGGCATCGGGAGTACATCGGCTCGAAGGAGACCTGTCTCAGACAAAGACCAACCAACAGGATAAAAATAGGGACTCGGTGGTTAATGCGGGGAGATCGGTGAGACAGCGGGCTGAGGTCGCATCCAAGGTCCAACGCATTATTTGCCTAGGGCCTTGTGGCTTCGGCTTGCAGCGTCCATTGTATAGGGCCCACCCTTCCGGCGCCGCGGTTCTCTCGGTTCAACGGTCGTTCAACGGCACGAACGCGGTAGGATTATTACATATCCTACCTTTACAGGAGCATCACTGTGATTGCGTTTCAGGCTGCACAGTCCCCAAGGGTGATTATGACATCGTGCTATGTCGCTTCCGGTCAAATACATCCAGCGAAACAGGCAGCCATTCTGATCCTGGCGCACTGCCAAGGCCGGTAGTCAGAACGACGACGATCGGTGGTCAGCCTGAGCTCTTTGGAATTGCGTCACAGTCTGCTGTGTTGAGTGACTCTTGACTATTCACTAACTATCAACTATCAACTAGTTAGTGGCCGGCGCCCTATCACCACGGCCGGGCCCCACGCGGACTGAAACAAAGTGTCAGCTAGGCCGCCGATCTGCGCGCGCTGGTTGGCTGCCGGTGCGTGCATGTTGCATTGCGGATCCGTGGCTCTGCTGGCTTTGGCCCGATTCTGAACCATTCTCGCGTTCCTGAACCCGTTGTTATTGTCCTTCTGGATGCTGGTATTGACTGCTATTTGCCAGCCACGCTTCGAGGCTCTGTATAAGGCCCCTGCGTCCCAGTCCGCGCTTGGAACAGCACTCCAATTTTAAATCCATGAATCTTGTTGCGTCTGACCGACTATTGATTCGCTTTTCGCCCCCGGACCCAGCCCAGCGTTACATGCTGCCACTTAATACGCTGCCATTATCGTCATTATTTTAATATTTTGCTACCATCTATCCATCATCCATTAATCACATTATTCGCTGGCATCATATAAATAAAAATCACCTTTAAAAGAGTGAGTCCCCGGTTTTCCCTCGCTCTCCCGATATATCATCATATACTAATTAATATATATATTTTTTTTTGGCAGTCTCCAGCACATTCGCTTTCTTCACAATGCGTTCGTTTGTTCCCGCCTCACTCGTGGCTTCGGCTACTCTCTTCTCTGCTGTGCAGGGTAAGTTAACTGCCTCTCGATTGCTTTGGATGCATATAGATGCTAAACCCGCTCAGGAATCACCATCACCAAGCCCGCTGCCGGCGACACCGTCGATCCTAGCAAAGGCTTCGACATCGTTTGGGAGTACGACTCGTCAGACCCCCTCGACTGGGAGATCGAGCTGGCCAACCCGGTCCCTAACAAGATCCTGGCCACCGACGTGAAGCCCACCAGCGTCGCCTCAGGCCAAACTGCTCAGTACACATACCACGTCGAGCCCCAGACCATCGCCGACGGCACAAACTGGAAGATTCTACTTGACCCGCGCAACAAAGGCACCCCTGGAACTGGGCTCCCCGAATCTGGTGCTTTCACCATCTCCAGCGGCGGCGCTGTGACCACTACTGGTACCACCAGTACTGGTGCTACTACCACTACGCCCTCTGGTACTACTACTGTCCCTAGTACCACCATCACCACTCCCGGCGCTGGGTAAGTTTTGCTTTCCCCTATACAACGGCCAGAGGAGCTAACATCTCTGTAGAACCACTACTACTCCCACTACCACTCCCACTACCACCACCTCCGTCACCGGTACTCCCAGCGGAAGCGTTGTACCTCCAGTCTCTGTTTCCACTGGCAAGCTGAGCACCATCACCTCGGCCAGTGTCATCTCGTCTACCCTCGTCTCTGGTAGCCTGACGACCGTTGTTCCCCAATCGACCGTCTTCGAGACGACCGTCGTTCCAGGCGGCGGTGCCACCCCCACAAACCCCGGCTCTGCCGCTACCACAACTGCGTTGCACACAAATGCTGCTGGCGCTATCCAGCCTGGTCTGGGCGCGGTCGCTTTGGCATTGTTGCCTGTTTTCATGCTCTAAACCTACGTAATCCGGGGAAATGCTTCCATTCGAAAGGAATGAAGTGGAAGTCGGAACAAAAGCAACGATTTCATCCATCCGAATTTGAAATAGATGGCTGGCCGTGTGGTCTTTTGTTATAATTGGGCAAGGCAAAGAACATGCTATGAAATTGTACATATATAATGTGTCCATTTTTGCCGCGTTTTATCATTGTTGCTCTTACATCAATGTATTGTAAATACACTACACGCTCCTTTACTGGTTATTGGCGCAGACAGACGAAAATGATACCAGATTGTTTATTGAAGCTTGTTGGCTGACTGCTATGTGCCCGCATAAATCCTACACGGACTTCACAAGTTTGATATGATAGGTAAAGATTTCTAATTGAAAATTTGTTAAATGCTTACAGATATTAATAAATTAATTAATTATTTTTAAATTGAATAGCACCCAGGGGAGGTTCAATGTCTATCAATGGCTTTATCAAGCTTAGACGGCTTCCCACGTAGATGCGGGGATGCTGGTCGATCGTGAGCAGATCCCCTATGACGGCCTCTTGAGCATATGAGATAGATTGATCATTGTCAGCAGCTCGCACTGTAGTATTTTGCCATCAACGACAGAGATGAAAGAAGTTATGGTAAAAACATTTCACCATCTGTAAATGAGAGGCGTTCAGGGTCTCCTGTCTGTACCAGCCATCAGGTATAACTAAAGCAGAATTTCAAAAGAACAGTGAGATGAAAACCTCATAGAGAAATAACAGGCTTATCGTCTCTTTGAACTTTTTACTACTAATTTGCAACTGGTGCCTAACCTGCCTTCCTCAGGCTCAGGATAATCATGTATCTCAATGCTTTTATTAGGAGTCATCAACTACTCTCCTAGAACCTTTACCGCTCAATATATCCTGTTAGCAGGTGTTACCAAATAATGGAGCATCCATTCGAGACGCGAGCTGGAGTAGCCGTAAATAGCACCTTGAAAGCACGTAGAGTGGTTTTATGCCTCCCACTTCTTTTTTTCGTGGCGAACTGAAAAACAAGCCTCCTGCGTTTGTCAGCCTCTTCTCCCAGCCAACCCGTCTCACATCAGTGATTGTCTGATGCTGAACGTCTTTGACTCCTTCCAATTTAATAGGATGAGATGAGAATCTGCTTATTGTAAACAAAGCGAATGGCAGAGTACAGACCAGTGGACTAAAGACGGCGAAAGAAGCATGGCAAAGAAAAGGTTGGGACAAAGCCAGTCAATATCCATTCCAGGGTAAGAATCTTCCTTCCTCTCCATCATACATCCATAATCTTCTACCTTTTATGCGTGTGCCCACCCGCTCCATTTGTCGTTTGCTCGTACCTCAAACTCCTGCCTGTACAGCTCAGCAGTATTTGTAAGTCTCTTCATCCCAGGCATCTATCGCTCTTGAACACATGCTTCTTCAGACCGCTCAGTCAATGAATCCGCACAACCCAAACCCATTTGCATAATGCTTGCTAACATGAGGAGGAGCGCTTCTCAGACGGCCACAACGATCGAGCTGGAGAGAACACGGCTAGCTTCCCCCGTAACACCGCGCTCGAAACTCTTCAAAATGGACCAGCCGAATATCTTCCGTGAGTTCTCAGAGAAAATCCAGATGATATTAGCATCCCTTGATCCCCAGGCCATTCTTGATACTCTAAGAGCATTGGCAGAGGGAGGAGCGGCGAAGTTGCAGGATGGGACCGAGATAGAAGCACTTTCAGGTCTTGGAAACCAAGTCCAGGGCCAGGATCCGCCTGAATCATACATACAGACAATCACTGCGTTGCTACGTTGGGCTGTCAAGACATTTCCCAATCAGTCGCGCTAGGGCGTAAAAACATATCTCAGTGAGACGGCTGACGAGCCTAACCTGTGGGAAACGATGGCACTACTTGATGGTCCCAAGGGGTATAATCAGCGGTATGTTGGAACGATCTGGTTCGATAACTTACAGCGAGTGCTGACCATTCAGCTTAGCTTAGTCGGAAACGGGCTCTATCTTGATGGCGTTTACGTGGAGCGTTGTGACCCTCTAGAGGCAGGGTTATTCGCCCTGGTAGTACCGGTACCAACAGTCCTTACACCATCTCAACATCAACCGGTGGAGCCTCTGGATGAAGATCTTCCGTACATTCCGGACTTCTTGCGTGGTAGCAGCACCGCGAGAGCTGTCGTGGCTACCCGTTGCAGGTTTGGCTGGCCACGATTATCAGTAGACTTTCTCTGCCTCTATGTGGATGCTGATGATACAACCGGCCTTGAGAACTCAATCGCTTCTCTGATCGAGCTTCTCATTATTAAGGAGGCGAAGCTTTGCCATACAGTGGACGATTCATCGGAAGCCTTGAAACTCTTAGCGCCCACAGGCGTTAGCGATTTAGCGCTCAGTGACGATTTAGAGCTCAGTGAACGAGTGTACTCAATTCGGAAAAATCCTATCCCACGTATCGTTCAACAGCATGGCCATGTCTATCATGGACAGTCCATCTCTCTTATGGGAGAAAAAATCGAAGGGCTCGGTTGGGGTATTTTTATCTCCTTGTGGCGTTGAAGAGCCCAAAATCCACGCCTTGACTGCGTATCACGTTGTACCGGATAAGAAAGCTAATGAGCAACGTGTCATCACACCCGGAGGACTTGATATCTTGAGTCAATTGCAGGCGGTGGTTAAGCCTCACCCCCGATCCCATGAGGACATTGAGGTACTACTGAAACGATGGAACGAAGGCTGTGGGTATGTGAAATACGGCCATGACGGAATAACCCAGGAAGTGTGGAGGTCCGATTTTGCACTGATTCACCTTGACGACCATTGGCTAGGGGAAAACGGTCAGTGGTATGATCGTGATGAGCTGAGCGGCCTACACACCCGAACCGAACAATCTTATTTCCCCGGCACACGCGGTATTGTCGGCAGCATTGATCCGCAAACTGGAGACATTGTTTATAAGGACGGAGCGGCAACATGTTGTACAGCAGGAAGGATAGGTTTATCCGAAGCCGTGTCATTTGAGCGCGGAACGGCGAATATTGCTACAGACAAAACGGCCCCTGACGTTTGTCCGAGCCAAGTTTCTTATGCTCCATCCACTTGATGACCGCGAGGCTGTATGTGCCCCAGGCGACTCGGGATGCAGTGTCTTTGTGCCTGCCCCTCAAGAAGATGGTTGGAAGTGGACCGGACAATTGGTTTCCAGGCTAATTATGAAGGAAGGTCCGCCTGTGGGCCTTATGGTACCCCAGAGCCAAGTTTTTCAAGCCTTAAAGGAGAATACAGGCATGGTTTGGAGGATGTCTGGTTGAATTTAACTAAGAGTTGTAAGAAGAATAGTCCGCCGTGCTATTGCTAGATTACTTAATGAGAGAACTGTATCACTGATACTTTAAAATTGAAATTGTCGGCATTCTATTGAATATCATATATTTGTTGCATTTTTCGAAGGTCTTTTTATTGGTCAATAAAGAAATAGCTATTTCAGCACTAGCAATGGTAATTCACATGTCATATCTTCGTTGCCGTGTTGATACATCATCTCATTAAATTACTCTTGCGACTCCTCGAATTGGAGTTCTAACTTTAGGAATAATTTGATCAGATCAACCAAGTATTACTAGTAAAGATCACCGGATGTTGGATTGCCGCGTAGGATGTAGTCCATGATTATGATCTTATCAGTTGGATCACTCTGTTCATTTCCGGCTTCAGGCACCATGATCCCGAGCCACTTGGGGATTAAAGCACCAAAAAAAGGCAAGCACACGAGACTGGCTATAAGCAACACAGCTCCAGCTGGATCAAAGATTAACAATATTTCTTTCAAACACGCTTTCCTGAAAGGCTTAGCAAGGGCTGGTGTCCTGAAAAATAAAAGCATCGATAAAATGCTGGTACCACCGATCGGTAGATTGACCTAGAAATACCATCTCTAGGTGACGCACTGTGTAAACACACCTCCAAATAGTGGCCTAACTATATTATCAATGTAATGCTAAATGTACATCCATATGGCCGATAATGGGAACATGATATGGTGGCACTATGAATGCTGCTATGGCATAACTGCCAGGAGTAGACCCCCACGCCCTGGATAGCCCGGCCAAGGATGACAACCTGACTACTAGGTGCCAAAGCGCAAAGAAGACTGCTGATCTCAAAAATGAAAATAGATGCTATGAAGGATTACGTAGCGAGAAGTATTTGTACAACTTACGCCAAACGGACTGGGTTGCTGCAAGCGTAAGAAAGAAGGCTGAGCCATACCAGCCGACATCCCCTAGAAAATTAAAGTCTGATGTTATTCGTAGAATAGCTGTGGTTATGGTACCCTGTGTACAGGAATTTCAGGAGGAAAATGCATGAAATCAAGCTGAAAATCGCAGTATCGAGGGCGAACTGAGCGGGAATTAGTTAGCAATTTGCTAGACTCGTGCCTGGTCACCACTTTACTCACCACAAAGACACCAAGCGAAATGCCTAGCACTATAGCAGCTATCTTTAAACCATATGGATATGTGGCTTTTATTGTGTCTGATAGTGTTTCTGGGGGCGATTTCCGCTTTCCATTTTAGCAGCAGTTAGCATGACTCAAGCGTGCTAATCTGTTGATGTGAATGCAATTGACATCAGTAATCAATAATAATAAAACTTGATTCTTTCTGTAATACAAAAGACGCGAAAAGGAGGGCAAACTTGGCGACTTACTATGCAGAATAAACCCGAAGGTATAGCTGTAAAGAACCCGATACACAATTCAGCAACCAATGAACCACAAAGAAAACCGAATATAAGCACGACAGACGAGCTCCTTGGACGTGATTTCTAATCCAAACCATCTTGCTAGGTGATCGGGCTGGATAGGTTACATGTACTTGTTGGTGACGAGACTATTTTAAATGATGCAGGGATCTGTTGTGGAAAGCTACATTTCAATGTTGAGGCTCAGATATAGTTGCAATTTAGCCCTCTTATTACATATTTAATTCTGTATCGTATTCAAATTGTCCAGTCAACAAACACTTATTTTGAGATAGAACGTAAGATCAGGCAAATCAGTTGATTCTATTTCAATTTTAGGTTTTAAGAATTCCTCTTCAATTTCCACTTCAGGATTACATATATACATACCTTTTCAAAGGTTGAATTAATATATGAATCCATAGGCATTGAACAAATATATGGAGACATTTGACTATGATTCAAATGTCACCTGTACCTGTATTCAGTGCTCCCAAGTATCGAATGCTCGGATCAATTCTATTGAAAATTAGCACAACTCCATAATACATACCAGAGGATAAGAAGTAGAACTCACCGTAATACAATGCAAGGCCTTCCAAATGTACTGCAATATTAATCTTCTCATCAACTGTATGAATATTCTCACTCCCGCCTTCGCGGATTGGATTGAACCGCCAGATATCGCGTGTTAGGTTCCAGTAAAACCGTGTGTCAGTGTTTCCTGTCATGACATCTCCGGTTACAATTATTTGTTTCTTTTCACTGTCTTGCGCTCCAAAGCCTGGAGGCGTTGGCAAGGATTCAAACAGCTGTCTAGTGACACCTGAAAATCGAACCCAGACAGGGTTACGCGACGATGTCGGGCTAATCGGTGCCGGTTCAAGTAGTGGAGAGAAGACGGAGAGATCCAAATGGTTTTTCAAATTAGAAGGGGGCGAGTCTACAAAGGCAGAGAATGTGAGATTGTATTTCTTCACGATAGGCGCGACAATGTCAATGGCCCGGGCTTTGATGATGTCAGTGTTTTCGTGGAGGGCGACTCGATAGTTTACTGTAACATTGATCTTCTCGGGAAGCGCGTTGATTTTGACTCCCCCGCTTATAAGGTCGACTGCTTGTGAGGTTTGGTATGTGTATCGTGTTCGTTCACCACGAGATGCAGCGAGGGCTTCGGCGAGACCGACATAGTCGGATGACTGCAGGGCAGGCCAGAGCCAAGACTCAACGTATTCGGGAGAGTGTTTCGCCTGACACTCAAGCCCCTGTCTTGCGGGGTGCGATAGATCCAGGCGTGCTGTGAAGAGCTGCTCACGTTCTAGGTGATACACAATTTCGGAGATGATTCCAATGCCCGTGTGATGCGGCGGAACAGACGAATGCCCTCCATCAACACTCAATGCGAAATGAAGATCAATAGCGCCTTTTTCACCGACACCCGGCCGTGCATAAATCTTGTCGCCAATTGTCTGCAGTCCCATTCCACCTTCGTCAAGAATGAATTCAAAGCTGTCCGCTCCGTATCGCTGTTCCCAGTGTTTGGCCAGCTCGCCCGCACCCTTCCATCCCTTAGACTCCTCATCATACCCAAACGAGAGAATGAGTGTGCGCGTCGGTGACCAGCCCTGGGTGAGCAGATCCTCGACTGCAGAAAGAATCCCAATCAGGGTATTCTTGCAGTCGCTTGAGCCTCGACCCCAAAGCCATTGGCCATCGTAGTGACCGGAAAAAGGAGGATAAGTCCAGTCATTAGCGTCGTCGATGGGCACAACGTCCTGGTGTGCCATTAACAAAACAGGCTTGAGGTCAGGGTTACTGCCATTGAAGGTGTAGGCGAGACCGAAGCGGTTTATTTTCTCGAGTTTAGCGTACGAATGGCTGTGTGAATTAGCTATCAATGACCGGGAAAAATGGAGAAAATAAATCAAACATACAGAACAGGAAACAAATCGGCTAGAACATTATGTAAATCCCCAAATGGGGCGTAATAGTCGCTCCACGGATCATCCTCCAACTCGGTTGAGGTGCTAGGTACTTGCACAACACGCGACAATCGGTCAACCTGTCTTTCACGGACGGATGGATCGCGGATAAATTCGAGAGAAGAATGGAAGCCATCGTTTGGTGGCGCCACTTTTGCCGGCAGTGGACATATCTCATCGCTTGGGCTGTGTGAACCCATCGGCATTTGCTCCGACGGCTGATAAAAGGCCGAACGGGCGGCCACGCCCGTGGTCAAGACGTGCGCGAGCACGGGGACAAAACGCATGTTGATTTGCTTCTAAAATACAAGATTAAAAGTTGCGTGGCCTCCCTAGCCGTCAATTCAATGGAAAAAGAGAAAGAAGAAAGGGGTGGAGGAGGGCCGAAGTTACACAATATACCAGCCAACCCCTCACGGACTCACCGTATCTTAGTATCTTATCAAAATTCGGCTAGGATGACGAGATCGGCTCGCCGGCACTGAGCAGCTCTGGATTAGGAAGGTGCAAGGTATGTCACTAACCATTTCAACAGCAATTCTATCAACGTGTCTACGACCATTCTATTCTATATAAAGATTCTTGGACCTTTTTCGGCCGCAATTTCTCAATCCATCCTTCGACTCTATCAAAACACATATCTCGTTTCTCCAATTCCGAATACATATTGGATAGCAAAGAAAATTCACCATATCAGTCATTCTAAGTTCTTTTCTGGCTATGAATCTCTTAGTTTATTACATCTATAGGATATGTATTCGATTATATGTACAGTTACTGTTAAGAGAATAATCTTTTGCGGGAACAGATTGTAACGGACATCAGAAACCATTGCATAGCTCCGGTTTACTGTAACATCCTAAAAAACCCACATCCATCTAGATCATTCCTGTTGGACAAATTACCAACGTGATATGATTTCAGAGTCTTACCTGTAAGTCATTAAAATAGCTTATCGCTGCCAGAATCGTCTTGTGTGCTTGAAATTAATGCAAATAATAAGCGACGCCACGTTAAATTCGAAGATATCCGGTCAAAATATTGAAAAAATCTCCATGGTTTCAGTATTCACTCCAAGAGGGCAATAGATTCTGTATCGTATCGGATATTTGCAATGCACGGTTTCAAACTGGGGTGTGTACAGTGGAAGTAGTACCGTCCCACGCTGTATCTGGCCATTGTAGTTTCAATGTTAACGCCAGGGCTTAAAATGCGCTCAATTATGTGGATTTCCATGAATAAGATTTCTGGTGTAATCGATGTATTTTTACGATTCAGTAATATTCCGAGCGCGCATAGCCCCTCAAATATTAAAAGGACCAAGTGGGGATGCTGGAGTATTAAATCTTGGAGAAGGTGAAATCGTTGGAGAAAAGGTTCGAGTCCTTAAGCACCAAGTGGGGATTGAACCGTTCAATTATCTTTCTGCCAAATTCCAATTCCTCGTCTTATTGAAACAAAATAGCATCAAAATTAGAAGAGCAAAATAAAACGATGGCAATCCTCCCTCCCCTCAACATCCCATCCTCACCTAACGTGTGCGATATCTGGGCCATCGATGCGACATGCGAAATCGTTTGCTCCACCACTTCCCTCATGCAGCCCGAAATCAAAGGCCACGAGAAACTCAACCTGCCTACTTTTGCTTTCTACATCTACAACTCAAGGCTGAACAAGCGCGTTTTATTCGACAATGGATCGCGTAAGGACTGGTGGAATTTGCCGCCACATGTGCTACACGGAATTACGAGTAAAGGCGTTTTGGGGTTGGATGTGAAGTATGATGTATATGATATTTTACAGCAGCATCAAGGTCAGGAACAAATTGTCAATGGCGACGGGGTCGATGCTGTAGTATGGAGCCATTTTCATTACGACCACACAGGGAACATCCAGCGCTTCCCCCAGTCAACGAGCATTATCGTGGGACCGGGTTTCAAGAAAGAGTTTCTGCCGGGTTATCCTGTGCGACAAGATTCGCCATTCCATCAATCCGATTTTGAAGGCGGTCGACATCTCGTTGAAATTTCATTTGCTGACGACAGCACACTGAAGATCGGCAAATATGCTGCCTATGACTACTTTGGTGACGGCAGTTTCTACCTTCTCAACACCCCAGGACACACAGTCGGTCATATCTCAGGTCTTGTGCGAACCACGCCGGATACATTCGTGTTTCTAGGTGGCGATATCTCCCATTTCCCGGGAATGTATAGACCAACAAAATACGTACCAATGCCTCTGACACTGCCCATCGAGACAAAGCTAGACACGCCCAGGCTGCCTGTTCCGTGTCCCTGCACTTTATTTACGGCATGCCATCCGAAAAGAAAGGCTTCTGATAATAACTCAGGTGATGATGAGGAGTCCAGAACGTCAACATTCTACGAACCCTCCCAAGAATCTTGGTCCTGGTACGATGACCCAGCGGAAGCATTACGCTCCGTCGAAGCACTCAAAGAGTTTGACGCAGATGAAAATGTATTTGTTGCGATCGCACACGATTCTGCGTTGAGAGAAGTGGTCGATGTGTTCCCCAACGGCAAAATGAATGATTGGAAAGCAAAGGGGTGGGCCAAAATGAGTCATTGGCATTTTGTAAATGAGCTGCCAGTGAATGGTCAGCCTGGAAGGAAGCTCATTGCTCAGGGTTTGATGAAAGATGGAGACGTTTATCGGAAGTAACGATATCAAGCTTTATACTATCTTTATCTAAATACATTCAATGTTACATTATTCGTCTTGCATGTTGCAGTCGGCGTGCATCCCGAGATGTGCGCGTTTCCCCGCAGTTCGTACTTCTTATCATGTAAAAGGTCCTTCAAATTAGACCAACTTTAACATTTGGAACATATTAACGTTACCATTTCAATGGCATACCGCATCCATATGCCGGGATTTACCTATTTAACTGTCACCTCGCTCTAATTGTCTAATGGCAACAATCGCAGTGATCACTGGCGGTGCTGGCGATATCGGTCGTGCCATCGCCAGCCAGCTCGCTGTGAAGCATTCTCTTACTGTGCTCGTAGATATCAATTCTACAAAACTAAACCAAGCACTTGATACATTTCCCTCTGAAATTCGTCAAAAAATGGCCATCGAGACGTGCGATGTCACTGATTCTACAGCCGTCAACAAACTGGCAGAAAAAATATCCGCTCTTGGCAGCATCAAAACCCTTGTGAATAACGCTGGAGCTACCAGTGCAGCTTCGCTTCATGAAACGAACCCAGATTCGTGGAGGAGAGAGATATCACTCAACCTTGACGCTGCTTATTTGTGCTTCCACGCCTTTGCCGATCACCTCAAGAAGACCAGTAGCAGCAGCAACAACAGCAACGATAGTGTAACAATCAATCCAGTCGCAAGTGTAATCAACATTTCCTCCGCCAACGGCCTCGGTACATTCGGCAACCCAGCCTACAGCACAGCCAAAGCAGGGCTCATCCACTTCACGCGAGCCATTGCGGTTGAATACGGCAAGTTTGGCGTTCGAGCAAATGCAGTTGCACCAGGCACCGTCCGAACAGCTGCATGGGACGAAAAAATCAGAGACAACCCGGCCGTGTTTGAGGAGGTGATACAGTGGTACCCGATGGGTAGGGCAGTTGAAGTCGAGGATGTCGCTGCTGCAGTGGCGTTTCTGAGTGGCGATCAGGCCAAGGCGATCACTGGAGTTTGTTTGCCTGTTGATGGGGGGTTGCTTGCAGGGATGCCTCCCGTGGCGAGAAGTTTTGGAGTGAGCGAATACTATTGATATTCTTGCCAACGTAGTCAGAGTTGCCGACATCAATTGCTCACAAGGTTCAAGCAATAGAATCTATCGACTGAATAGTATCAAGAAATGCATGTACTAGAGTTATACATCACTTAATTTGTTGGCTCCTAAAACTTTAAAGCAAATTATGCGAGAGATAACCCCACGAGCCGAACATTTGAAGCCTATTATTTGCGATATAGGGCTAGTAAGATAAAGCCCTACCTCCAGCGCCAGCTTTTGCGGCGAGGACGTGTCGGGGCCCGTACCCCGAACCCGTTTCCTATGAGAAGAACATTGTTTCTGTGACCCTTCTGCGATGACAAATAAATAGGGACTGCTAAGTGTTTTTCGTCCCACGCCTCGTAGATTCCAGATCCCAGGCTCGAGCTTGCATCCTGATTCCTCAGGCAATATGTAGTCACGTGACAGTATCGGAACTAAGGTGTTCGCGCTCTCGACTGATTCTAGCACTGAATTGATTTCGCATCGCAACCAAGAACGATGCCAGGTCAGCCAAATGGACGGCTCCTAGCCATTTGATAATTGGACAATCGATTTCCTGTTCGAGAGGGCATGATAACCGCCGACTCCTCATCCTTGCGTGCCAGTCGATCCTCGTGGACCCTGCGCAGTCGCAGCACGACCGGTTATTCGCCATCATGAAAAGCAGCCATCGACCACAGCGAACTAGCCTACTGCATACGTAGTGCGCTTTACGAGCTCTGCAGAAGACTGGCTGGTCAGTTGACTAGAGTAGCTGGGACCGCCGCCCGCCAGCCTCCAAGTGGACGACGAATAGATGCTAGCTGTTGCTAGCGGGCGTCGTCTGATTTGAGTGTCGCGTTACGTACGGACTCTCCTGCTCCGAATCATGGGTGTTTACTGGGCTTGCTCTATGCCCGCCAGTGCTAGGCTAGGCAAATAACTCGTCGAAGTCAAATGCGCCAGTGCATCATTATTGGCTATGTCGGTCCAGTATACTGCAGAAATCCAAGACTGTGATGCACCGTGCGGGCTGCCGTTCAGCTGAGGCGGGTCATTTGCTACTCGGCTAAGCCTAGGCGATAATAATCTCAGTCGCGGCCGGCCGTCGCTGCACGGTGGCGGGGATCATCAATGCGAATGGCCAAGCTTCGTTTCAGCCTCTTGTCCTGCTTTCGACGAACTTTCGCCCCTGCCGTTCTCTTTGCGCCGAAAATTTCGTCCTTCGTTTACCCAAGACGTGGGATCATCGGAAGACAGACGACTGTGCCGGACACCCTCCAGAACGTACATTGTTTTGATTACTACTTGAAGAATTTGGATAGCTTCTCCGCCTGACCCCGCACTCGCCGGCCGCACAACAATCCCATGTCGAGTTTGCAAGTCAACGATCCACGCTCGCGTGGCCGCTCCAAGTCCCCTAGCGGTCGAAAAGAGCGCTCTCGGTCGCGCGACGTTCGCGCTCCTTCTCCGTCTGTGGATCTTTCTTCATCTTCGAGGACAGGGAAAAAATACTATGACGATTCCGACTCAGCCGAAGAAAAGAGACGTGAAAAACGCCGAGAAGCTAAATATTCCAGTCGGAGCGGCCGTGAAACCAAGGAATCCGGTTCTAAATATGAGAAATACGACCTCTCTGACTCATCGGACGAGGAGCGATACCGAGCGAAGGAGCGTGCTAAAGACCGATACTATCATTCAGAGGAAGAAGATGACTCGAAAAAGCGTTATTATGAGAAATCCTCGAGTCGGTCAAGTAAATATCAGGATGAAGACGACAAAAGGCATCTGGCTTCCAAGGGTAGCAGCCGTGGCCGCCATTCGCCGACGTATGGGAGTGATTCCGAAGAAACGGAAAGTGACTCTGACCTCAGCGCACTCGCTTATGGAGATGCCCGGGACCATCGCCGCAATTACTCATCTCAGGATCCTCGGTCATCGCGCGATTCAATTTCAAAGTCTCACAGGGTGAGCTCGACCTATCGCCCAGATGACACTAGTCGTGAGAAACCGGGCGCACATCCAAGTTACTCCACACCAGACCAATTCGCATTCCAGCAACCTGGCCAGTACCCCGACCCAAGGCTCTACGGTCACAATGGTGTTCAGAAGGTCCCTCCTGTCTTGCCTCCTGACTGGGCTCCTATTCCTCCGAGCGAGATGCCTGGTTATGTGCCGCCGAGCACTCATCCTACTAGCACGCAGGCCATTCCAGGTGCTTTTCCCGGCGGCTATCCAGCTACCGCTCCCCAACAACCCAACCCATACTCGCAGGCACCAGCATACACTTCGACGTCGTCGTATGCGAATCCACCTCAGTGGCAGTATGCTAATCCCGATCCCAATATCAAGTATGGTTCTAAGAATGATCGACCAAATTACACCCAAAGTAACGAAAGTCAATTCGCAAAGCCGTATACCGCGAGCACCGAGCCGCAATTCTTGGAGATCGCACCGGGACGGTCTCGCGCCGAGAGCACCAGCCGCCATGGCCGTCCTCACAGTCTATCTGTATCTAGCAATCTTTCAGTAGGCGGAATGAGTCACACAGGCGGCCGTCCTCCGGCCAGCCCGTTACTCGAAGCATACAAAGGCACTTATCAGTCTATTTCGCCTATGCCTTCGCCTATCATGAACCCAGCAGGCCTTGCTCACGATGATGATATTTCTGACCTTGAAGGATTAGGAGGGTCTGGCTCGGATCGTCGCCGAAAGCACAAGTACAGCAAATCCAGGGACGACAAGAAAGAAAGAGAACGAGAAAAGGAATTAGAGAAAGATAGGAAGAAACACGGAAGACATTCTAGTCGCGCTGGTGAAGAAGTAATTTTGATTGCACCATCAAGCCGCAAGAAAGTCATGTTCTATGATCCGGTGCCAGATGCAATTGCATTGAAAGAAGCACTTTCTCATCGCACTAGTGTTAATACGACACCGCTTCTCGAGATCTTGCCTAGTCTCACGAGCGATGAAATACTAACCCTGCGGCAAGAGTACAAGACCCACGCCAAGGTCCAAGGCAAGGGAATCAACATAGCCAAGCATATTAAAATGAGACTGGGTAGCACTTCCTTTGCTAAAGTTTGCTACGCTACCGCTCTTGGCCGATGGGAATCTGAAGCTTACTGGGCCAACTGCTATTACCAGGCGGGTACCTCAAGGCGTGAGCTGCTCATTGAGTCTCTCATCGGACGAAGTAATTCGGATATCCGCGAAATCAAGAACTGCTTCCGGGACGCGCGATACTCTGATGATCTCGAGAAGTGCATGAAGGCTGAATTGAAAGCTGACAAATTCCGTACCGCCATTCTGCTGTCGTTGTCTGAGCGAAGACAGCCAGAGTCTCAGCAGATCGACTTACATCTGGTGAAGCGCGATATTGCTGAATTGCATCGTGCATTGGTCTCTAGAGAAGGCGGCGAGACAGCGATGATAAACATTATCTTGCTTCGGAGCGATTATCACTTACGGGAGATTATGAACGAGTTTGATACTCAACTTAAGAGAAATTTTGCAAAGGAGGTCATTAAAAAGTCACCAAACCTGGTTGTATGTGTACCATATTCTCATTTCAGTCTGAAATACATGTTAACAATATCGACCACAGGGCGAAACGCTAGTGCACGTTCTCAACGGAGCGATCAACCGCCCGATGCGCGATGCACTACTCTTACATCAAGCTATCCGCGAGTCTCGACCTGGCAAAGAGCGTTCTGAATTGCTCATCTCGCGGCTTGTCCGTCTCCACTGGGAGCCAAAACACCTGGAGCTTGTCAAAGAGGAATATCGTCATCGGTACAAGGAGCGCGTGGAGGAGGCCATTGCACAAGAAATCATCACGTCTAGTGGAGGTAGTGAGTGGGGTGAGTTCTGCGTCGAACTGGCGCGGAGCTCATCCAAATTGAGCCAGTTGAAGTAGATACAAAAAGTTCTCTATTTACATTAGGCATTGAGAGTGAATCAAGGAGTGTTTTTGTTCGTGGCTGGTATGTAGGGAATGATAATGAATCGATTGCATTGTGTGCCTCAAATAATCAGCTAAAGTGTAGATTTTACCAAACGTGAAAGTATTAACCTAACTCTAGGGTTCAATTGATATAACAGCTAGTACCATGCAGTACTATCATGAATACCTAGAAAGAATTGCCTTGCACACGCGTAGTAATAATCTCGTTGCCAAAAGATCGGAGACGGCTAATTCCGCACTCTGCCCCGCGGCAGTGACGCCATTCGCACGCGAATTCCGCGATTATCCGTCGTTTTGCGAATCGCACTGCTTCCTCTACTGCCTCGTGCTGCAATGCTTGTATTTGTAATGCTATGAAATATTGTTGATCGGAGGTAGCCTTTCTTTGGGTTTACTCCCTCCCTGGATTAGTTACTACTTGGCAATCGATCAACTGCTATTCTACTCTTCTACCCCTCACTGGCAATATTTTTCTCGTTTCTCTACAAGCATCAAAATACTGGACGATGGCAGACACTGTCCACTATACGTTCCCTTCTCCTCTAGAAGGTTACGAGAACCTCGAGCCACTCACCGAGTACGTTCTGACATCTTACTACGTGCCAAACACAGCCTCGATATGAAAGAAATGCTTGAAATGTCTGCTGATTTTTTGAAGAGAAAAAGCAGAGGACGGAAAATCCTTGCTTAATCTGCAAACTGGAATAAAATCCTCCGCGTATACTTCTTTCCCCGCACCACTCGATAACGGCCGTCGTGGCGGGTTCGATGTACATATATACTACATACAAAGAAATGCTGGACAAACCAAGTTCGCCCAGGAGCTTCATGAACGGATTCGTCGCGAATGTACGTTTATTGTACATATATTGAAACCACTATAAAAGAAGCGTAGTAAAACTTTGATACTGACAACGATGAAAAGTCCCCGAGCTACGCATATATCGGTTCTGGGACAGACCCGTTGGTCCCCACCCAGTCGCCATGTTCGAAGTGAATCTTCTCAATCCGGTCGAGTTTGGTGCTTTTGTTCCATGGTTGGCGATTAATAGGGGCCCATTAAGTGTGTTGATTCACCCAAATACAGTGAATCCAGGGGAAGAATTGAGAAATCATTCGCAACGAGCCATATGGATGGGGGAACGATTCCCCTTGGATTTAGAGCCCCTGAAGGGGTTGTAATTAATTTTTTCCCCAACGGCTGGTGCATGTTTTTACGAGCCTAGTCCGATCATACCTTCTAATTTTAGGTCCGGTAGTCGAGTAAAATCGAACTTGGAAAAGGAAGCAAGAAGATGTACATCAGGATTTTCAAACTACTCTATGGGCTTGAGGTGCGTGTTCGGATTGAGACCCTGTGTCTCTTGGTTCCTTGACCTAGACTTTACTCAACTGCATACCATTGGTTTGAGGGAAATACTTGTCTATGGGAGACGAAGAATTGGCTTCGAGAATAGCCCAAAGGTCGAAGCAAAACTCAATGCGTGCTAGCTGTCTTGAATACTGTTGATGAACCTCAGATGTCGAATGCTGTGTGGTGGACAAAACAGTGAAATCTTCCCAACTATGATTCGGTATTTTGATGGGTTAAGAGAATATGAAACCTCTCAGTCAAATTATATCTAATTTTTTGCTTTGAACCATTTCAATTTTTTTACACCGATATCGACCCATTCACGTATAAAGGTAGTCCGAAATCTGCAATAACCCCAAATAAAGGAGGAAATGCGTAGAAAATAAGCGGAATTTCCTCAACAGACAGAAGAGTGGATTCGCCACTCTTGGACAAGGATGTTGATATTCTCATATTTCCGACATTGTCCTTCCAGCCCAAAGCCATTTGCATACGATTGGGTGAAGAAGCAAGCCTTGAATCATATTCATATAGAAGCGAAAAGAATCCCCCTAGGGCTTTTTCTGGATTACCCCCAACATAATTAGCAGAGGTAGTGAAATCCCTAATTACTTTCGACTTGACCACATAAAACTTTGTATCTTTCTCGAACTGGATTACGCAATTGTGTCATGGTGTAGGGATATGTAGTAGATCATGAGATGAGTGCATATCATTAGATATTTCATCCTTCAATGAGTCCGTCGTGCGTGCTAGAGTGGAATCTGACAATCTAATATCGAATTTCGGACCCCCGATATTATCTGAATGAATAGAAAGTCTGTTCATTTCGTTCCATGGTGGCAGTCGTGCATGCGTAGGGGGAAAGTTAGCATTGCTTGAGATGCGCACCACGCTATTGACATGGTGAGGAACTGTCTCTGGACTCTGGATCCCCGGTAGCCAGATAAAATGACACCGGTAGATATCTTTATATAAGTCTCTGTAAGTTGGTTTTGGCTAACGAGTGGAAAATTTCTGCAGGCTGGTCCGTTGTATCCACGCGAACTTCGTTTACTATTTCATCGTCCGACACGACTTAATGTTGCGTCAATGGAAGGGAAAAATTAAATTAAATTGAGACTGAAGACGATGAGATGGGGTTATCTTGGAGTGTCAGGGCTTAATCATATGTAATAAAATAGTGCATATTTGCTCATATTCGCTCTTAATGTTGGTTGTCAGCTGTGCATGTTCAACACTAAGAATACTAGCGCAAAATAATTAGAGAAAGCTCGTCTACGTATTCTAGAAACCGTATTAACAGGCGACTTGGAAACCTGTATTGGTAAACTTGCCCAAAATATTACAATACATGGAGTGAAATATCACAGCTGCAAGTTTATGAAATATGATATTTCGAAATTTATGTTCGGAACTTTCTGCCGCTTTTTAAAATCTAAGCACAAAAATATTACCATGAAGCATCTAAGAAATATTGAAGATTGTGTATGAATATGTTAAATAATTTTCGATTTTCGATCAACCACTTGAGAGAATAATTTGGCACTCGACCTTGAACCATTTTCATAGCAGATTAGTTGTAGTACATAATCAATTATATCAATTCTATTTCCCTTGATCATGAGATTCCTTCATTCTAAAGCGGATTTGGCGTCCTCCATTCCTTTGGGAATATCCACCCATACATAAAGTGCCGTTGCCACTAACATCAGCAATAAATTTGGAATCATTGGAAAACGCAAGTTATGCGTGTTATCTTGAATAACCCCCTGAACCAGCGGGTTAATCCAGCCTGTTGCAAGATCCAAGGTGATCTCCAAGCCAAAAAACTGTGCTTCCGAGCCCTTCGGAAGAAGCGACGAGTAGACTGCCCGATTATAGGATCGCAGCGCACTGCTTGTTGACATAAATAGTACCTGCTCCACCCAGAACTCAGCTTGGTGTTTGTATCCAATAGTCACATGGTTACTAATGCCAATGCAGCCCCATAGAACGCAAAGAATGTTTATGATGAGAAAGACGTAAACCCAGCTCTTTATGTGTATTTTGACTCGAGGGAAGAGGTAGAGAAACCCCAAGCTGCCCATAACAGCGAATATAACGCTAGTAAATGACCAGACTTGATAGGCCCCATCACTACTACTGAAGCCAGTGACTTGGAGGAAAAGCGATGAAATCAGGCCAAGGAAGTTGCTGTAACCGGTATTCCACAAAATCCAACCGATACAAAGCTTGAATGCCTCCGGATAGCGGGTTATGGAAGATAGCAATTTGAACCAGCCCTTGATGGGCAGGAAAAATACACTTTGCCCCATGGGTATCTCACGACCAGGGACAGACGGTAGGAGGTATTGACCTATAAATGCGAAGAAAACTATTTCGAGTTTGGTTTGGGTCAACTTACACTTGATATTTAAAACTGTAAATGAGGCGTACTTACTTGTAATGCATCCTGCTATTGTGATAGCAAGAAGGTAATTGAAGTATCCGATCTCGACATACGATCCCCTCCCAAAAACCAGTATGACGCCAATTATCAATGCGATGAGTCCCCCAATATTACTGGCCACAAGCCCATACACGCTGACAGAAAATCCCTTCTTCCATGTTCGCTGGTTTTGTTCCTCGACATTTTCGAGGTCCCCCACCTCTAACCGGGGTCTAGAATGAGACAAACCTGCTGATCGCATGAATATCGGAATGTAAGACCCTTCAATCACCGTATAAACACCCTGAACAGCAGTCATGATACAGTAAAGAGAAGCTAGAGCGTTCAGATGACTGTAATCAACTTTCGTCATACCTGCGAAAGGCAATGCTAAAGCACCGAAGAGGAAAATGGATCCCATCATCATACTCTTGCGATAGTCTAATATTGTTTCCTCAAATTTTAGTGAAACCTTCAGTATATCGACATGGTTCCTGTTACTTACGAGAATAATCAGCAATTCCGGCTGTCGAAATAGTAACTACTCCTTCCATTGCACGCGCAATAGCCTTCAAATACAGCCTAGTAAAAGAACCATAAGTTGTGGTCTACCAAGAATAGATCCCAGGAACTGACATGAAACTTTGGTAGTCAATTTCATTTCTTCCAAATTTTACCACACAGGAAATATTACTTCCACGTCGTGCACATGGCTTGTTTGACCCAGGCTGATGCCCGACGTAATTAGCGGCCGATTGGATTGCTGCAGATACATAGTTGAAAGCCATAGAGGAGGTCGGACCTGTCTGCAAGATATTTAAGCTATTCGTCAGCCTCCATGCTTGTCTCCATTTCGATCAAGCCTATGAAAAGAGCCACCGACAGAGAAACACAAGATCAAATAGGCGTACAAAGCTTTTTTGGTTTCCATAGGACTAGGTGACTGAGAGTCACCGACCTCATGAGAGCCATTTTCTTCACTCGACGTAGTTTGCTCTGCTGATACCGCAAATTTCTTGGTATCAACCGTTTTATTCTTCTGTAGACCATCCATCGTATTATATGGCGATGGCATATCTATTTCTGAGTGTTCAAGATGAGACATTACGCGAAGGTATTCCGCATCTCAGACATTTCTCGAAACTCATCTGCTTTAAGATCACTTTCCTTAGTTTTGCCATGGCATAGCTACTTGAAGAGTTTTTAACGGATTAATTTGCTCAATACAAGTAGTACTAGTAAATACCACAGATCGAAATCCACATAAGCTAAAGCACGCCGAGCGTATGCGCATAATTGAGCACATTTCTATCGACTAGCCCAACGAACCATGATCGAGGTTACAGTGGTTAGAATTAGCCCCGGGTAGAACAGGGAACAAAGGAACCATAGAAATATCGGCCGTAGTAGGTAAAGGAAATAAATCAAATATCACCCGCTGTGTCGGCACCACAGCCGATCGACCCATCATACCAACATCCGAAACTCCATTTGGGCATAAATATACCTTTTTCGCGTGTAGGTTTGAATACGAAGCTCGAACAGTATGGGTATTGACCCACTTCTGCAGCTAAATATCGCATTGTCTAGCACGAAGGAAAAAATCAGACAAGTACAATGATCGGGGTTGTAAGTTTGGAAATGCGATTTCCATGGTTGAAAGGGGCAATCCACAAAGACCTAAGCTTCATTGCTGGCCCAGGATTATCGGAACTACTTTTTGATAATTCCTACGAACATTCTAGAGCCTTTATAATGAACTGGCATCTGGAGCTCGTTCTGTGAGTGTAGTTATAGCTGGCGATTTACTGTTACGATTTCCCGATGGCAGGACGAGCACTACAATTAGCACCCCATGATGATAAATCTATGGTTCAAAGTGACCTAACAATGCTTTCTCCGGCGTTAAATAATGGATTATCACCACCTCCTACTCCTCCAGTGTATACAGCCATTCCTACGAGTCGTCGAAAGTTGATCCTTGGTATTGTGACGCTGGTGGGACTTCTTGGGCCTCTTGCTGGCAATATATACTTGCCAGCGCTTCCTATACTGGCACGCGAGTTTCGTGTGAGTAGTACCGTTATAAATGCCACAGTATCGGTTTTTATGGTCGTTTTCGCGTTTGGGGTGAGTTGCGCCTTTCATCACGTTGTTGACATGTGCACGCCAGCATTTAGCTGAGTTTGAAAATTTATCAGCCACTGTTTTGGGCTAGTTTTGCAGATCGACGAGGGAGACGTCCCCTTTATATTATTTCAATAGCGATCTATATTCTAGCCAACGTCTTGCTTGCTACTTTGCCATCCAATATCGGTGCGTTGTTCTTTCTCCGCATTTTACAGGCATTTGGGTCGTCAGCAGTGGTGTCGATGGGAGCTGGAACAGTAGCAGATGTACGTTCTTATGTCTAACTTCGGATTTACAATGACTACATACTTAAAGATTTAAAACACTTTCAGACTACAGAACCGAGTCGCCGAGCTAAGGCAATGTCATATTTTCTGCTTGGGCCACAGTGCGGTCCTATTTTGGGTCCCATTCTCGGAGGGTCACTGGCTGGGGGAGCATCTTGGAGATGGATGTTTTGTTTTCTTGGTACAATTCGTAATCGCCAGCTTAAGACGCCGGTATCTTCCGTCACTGACTTACTTCTAGCAATTCTAAGCTGTGTTCTATGGATGGTTATAATCTTCTTTCTGCCCGAAACTCTTCGGGCAAGAGTTGGCAATGGTGAAATATATTCTGAGAGTAGATGGATTCTGTTTCCACCAAAGCTGGTCTCAGAGCTAGTATCAGGAGACAAAAAAGGCCCATCACCCCCGAAAGTGACTCTACTAACATATTGGCGGCTCTTCAAGTACCCGCCTATCGGAATTGTCTCTTTCAACACTGCGATTATCTATTCCTCTTATTTTTGCATTGTAGTGCAGCTTCCAACGGCATTGGAAAAGACGTATCATTGGACAACCACCGAGTCTGGTGTAGGGTTTGTAGCTGTGGGTGTTGCCATGGTTATCGGATCTATGTTTGGGGGCCGTTTCTCTGATTGGCGACGTGCTCGTCTGGTAGCAGCTGTGGGAGAGAAGCAAGTAGCACCAGAAACTCGACTTGTCGATCAAGTTTGGGGTGTTTTACTATGTGTTGGTGGTCTGGTCATGTTTGGCTGGTTCGTTGATAGGTCTATACACCCTGCTGCCACCTTGATTTCCACATTCCTTAGTACGTTTTTATTTTTGCGAAAAGCATTGATACTTTTCAATAGGATAGTTACTAACGAAACCTATGGCAGCTGGGTTTGGCATGTCATGGATTTTCGTGACTACCAACGCTTTTTTGACGGAGTGTGTTGTTCAACAAGCTGCAGGGGCATTTGCCCTGGGAAATATGCTTCGCAGTCCTGCTGCTGCGGTGGCCGCTGCTATTATTAGCCCTCTTGTGAAAAACATGGGCTGGGGTTGGTGCTTTACAGGGCTTGCAGTTCTGAATCTCGTCGTCGTGGGAAGCTCGGTAATAATCTTACGTACTCAATCTCCAGGGTGGAGAAAGGCCAGGAATGAAAAGATGAAAAGAGGGGGAAATGGCGGACAGTAAACGTTCAGTTTTAGAAATTAGATGTTTTCAACTATGCCCCGATTACAGGGGAATAAGATTATTCGATTTCCATACTCTGGCTGGCCCAGTACATGTACCACTCCCAAAAATGGTAGTGATGGTGGTACTCGCAAAATTAAATTTTAAATTAGTATTCCAATCAAATCAAATTCCGATCCTAACTTATTCTAATTCTTTGCTGCGTAACCTCTTGGCGCTTTATCGTCGTAATATTGAGTGGTGCAATCTTCAACTTACCCACATCAGGTCTATCTAGACACTCCCGGACACGGCCATACCGGTTTACAAAGAGCTTACTTAAATGTCTTAATATTCATGATAATCTATAATCTAAAAACCGAAACCGAAAACTGAAATTTTATAGAGAAATATTACTATAAATAGATTATTAGAGAGAAATTATAATATTATTATTATTGTAACCTGATCTCTCAGGCCAACTAGCCCAACCCCAATTTTCTGTCTGAAATACATACAGACATACATAGTTTGACACAGAGAAAAATGCCCTCACCCAAATAAAAAACCCAAGAAACAAACACACCAAATAAACCCATTTGAATAATCTGATGCACCCAACCTCACTCGGCATTAGTTAAGACGACTGGAATATGTCATAAAATTGTCGTCCTTTTCAAGCTCCTCAAACTCATCCTCTCGAATCTGCATGAACACATCAAACCCTTGATCCGTCGACGGTTCACTGAAATTAGGCAGAACCATACAGTAAGCACCGATCCAAGAATCCCGATGAAGACGGAGAGCTTTGGGGACGCCAGCGCCGAAACCATACGATTTAGCCTCTCCTGCATACCACGTGTTCATGAGCATGTCCATATCATGATAATCAATGCGATTGGCAATTTTCTCACTGAAAGAAAGCATTCGTACAAGCTTTTTTAGATTCTTAACGTAATCTGATGACAAATTCACTGCGATGGTAGGCTGGCGGGTCAATGAGGCAGCGATGGAAAGTCCATCTTCTGCTAACGACCGCTCGACATTGACAGGTCGGTCCCCGGCTCGCAATAGTACAATTACATTCTCCATATATTCCTTTGAGGTGAGATTATTCGGATTCCGCATACGAAGATCTATAAGGTGCTTAAGGAGAGACTTTGTTGGTCGTTTTCGGGGTGGAGTTCGACCCGAGGACAAGTAAGTGATGTCCAAAGCACTACAGTAATACAATTGTACGAACTGAAGTGGCTCACTCCTTCCGGTACGAGACATTTCTGTTTGAGCTCCTTAACTTTTGACTCGCAAGTCCGGTAAATAGAAAAAGTAAAATGAAAAATGAAAATTGTATGTAGGAGCAAATATTTAAATGATTCAAATTGCTACCTAATAATTCATGGGAGGCATCATATAATTGCTCATCTCAGGAGTCAATGCTTGGTAGTTGTCAATATCAAGAGTATTTATACTTTCAAAATTACATAAGATAGTCAAGAACAAGTGAATTTTAAATTGTGCGCACTATGTCAATTGATGGCTATGTAGGATTATATGCCGAGTTCCATCGAACGTTATCTCAAGTCTTTAGATGCATCATTTTATAAATTTTATTACAAACGCCATTTTAAAAATGACGTAGTCTGTGGCGCGCAGTTGAAGTGCCATTTCCACTAGGCTTGAATTCGGCAACCCAAGCCTTCATCTGCTTAACTTCCTGGTCGACGACTTGCTGGACACCAGCATTGTTTTGGGCGTTTTGGAGAATCAGATCGTAGCAATGACTAGCATCCTCCATGACGAAGATGGGGTTGGGGTCGGATGATGATAGAGGACCGCCAGGACGGAAGTCGGATGACACGGTTTCTTCACGCCAGGGGTCATATTGCCTAGAACAAATGTTAATACTGACAGTTTTACGGGGGAGGAAAAGATAAGTACCCTTGTGCCCAAATTACACGTTCAGTTGTTCCAAACCAGCCCTTAGACCAGGCATTGACAGCGCCGGAACGCCTGCCTTTAGCACTGGCGTAAGTATATCCGTCATCAGTTTGGAAGTATGTGCCGCAGGTACGGAGGAAGTAGTTAGCAGTCACAAGGCGGGATACAATGGAACTAGCTCCCTTGGGAGCGCCACTATTATTGAGTGTTAGCAGTGTTCTGGGCTAACCTTTTTCGAAGGAAATCCTACTCTTGCCAAGCACCAAAAGGCTCATTGCAGCATAGCCAGTTCCACTGCTTATTAGCGGTGTTACTGAGACTTGTGTCGGCGTATAGTGGGTTGGATGAGTTATACGAGTCGTAGCACTCGGTGGTATAGTTAGAGGTCCAGTACCCGTAAGATGTGCAGGCTATGCATGGTCAGTAACTGATGGAGATATTGTAATTGGAATATTAATCAATACTGACATCCAGGGAAGTAGACAGAGTTCCACCACTGTGCATAGCCGGCCAGAGCTTTTTTCACGCCGACACCATAGGCACTGGCATTTGCGGGAGGGTTCGCATATACGTTCTGAATTTGTGGTTAGTTTATTGTTATTCAAAAATTCACGGGATCCACACTTCAATGTAGTCACAGAAGCCGTACAATTCCACAGAAGGGCCCCATGAGGTAGTTTGTCCAAGGTAAGGTCCAGCAACAATAGCTCTAATAGTGAACTGTTAATAACCCTAGCATCATTCATTTTTGCATAAGCATACTCAGCAAAGTCATCGTCACGCAGATCACCTAGCTGAAACAGGCTCTTAAGGCTCTGTTTAGCATTCTCATCAGATCCCAAAAGAACACTGTCGATGTGTTTAACGACGTTGACTAAATCGGTACTGCAGTTTTTGGGCAGACGCTCCTGGATAGGAACAAAGTATTGCCACTGCAAGAGTCAGTGGTTTGACTTTGATAGATCAAGCTCAACATACATAATCCCAGATCGCCTCGACAGGCGCACTGGAGGCATGGTAAGCCCAGAAAGTGCCCGGTAAGGTTGCTGCAGTCCAGCCAGCTTGAGCACCACTGTATGAACCACCAACAAGAATCCAAGGCTGTGGCACATGGTTAGTTTGCATATATTCAACACATTTGGCCACATATTTATCATACAGCATTATCCGGTGAGCTTCCAGTTGTGTTGTCAAAGGGTAGTTGGACATTCTTTGCAAAATTGACGGTATCGGCGAGCGCATTCTTAAAAGTAAGGTGTTGCATGGTCTTTGGGGTCAATTCCTGAACAGGAGAAGATTCGCCATAGTACCGGTCTGCACATGTTAAACGTTTAGCCAAGAAGCTGATGAGCGAGAACATCGAAAATGGTCTTACGTTCAAGAATGAGAACAGCACCACCCATTTCCTGGGCATAAAGGCCGCTCAATGTTTTATTGCTCAGGTACCCCGTGTACCCAGAAGCATCTCCTTCGCCAGGCTGGAATACTACGATCTAAATGAAGCTTAAATTAGAATATACAAAATGCTGTCGCGATTTTTCTTTGTTCATAGGCTCACCGGTGATCCAGGGCCCTTCCAATACTGGTCATTCCACCACCAGCGCTGAGAAAACGTTCCCAATTCAGGATGATCATGATCAAGCAATTGCGTAAAAAAGCCCGATCCCTGTTTGACATCATCAGAAGATATCCCCGGAGCCAAAGGGATCTTCGGCAGAGCGGTAGCGACCGAGGCCCATGAGGCGCAAATAGTCGCGAGCGACAGAATGGAGAGCATATTGAACGGGTGATGCCCTTGAAACAGAGGTCTTTGCCACCAACAAATGAGAAAAATGACATACGATCGGAGGCTGAATCTTAGCTACTTAAGACATGATCGGGCACGACATCGCTCGGGTATCGCCGGCGGGATACTGGATACCCTACCAGCAGCTAATGCAACCTAATTGAATCGTACTGCGCTGGGTATTTCGCTCTGTTTGGTGTTTCTCCACTTATCGCACGAAGCTCGACGGATGGCGCAAGATAAGAGCATAGCCTGGCGCCGTTATCGACCATTTCAACAGGGGTTACTCTAATTAAACCGTCCAAGCAGAAGGCCTCATCTGTACCTCCACCAATAAGCTACGGTTCCAGGTGTCGCATGGCGTAAAATCGTGGGGTAGCAGTTGTGGATAGGACCAACGAGGCATCTTGGCTGGCCCCCTGATAAGCGATCAGGGGAAAAGGTCACTCGCCCAGGCGCATGATCGATAGAAAGCTGCCTTGATTCTCTTTGTTGTCAAGGTCAATAATGTGATGTTGCTGGAGCAGAATAATATATATATTCCGAGGAAATAGCATCAACTAGTATTGTTGTCGCACATCAACAAAAAGAAAAAAGAAGAGAAATCCGCAAAGACCCACTGTCCCAACAAGGAAGGCGCGTCACTGGCGTGGTAAGTGGCTCCGGCAATCACCTCCACTAGGAAGCAGCGAATTAAAACCCAGTTCTGGTTATGCTTATCTAATTTTGGTCATTCTAAAGTTAAAATTCAATCCAGCGCGAGCCGTTTAGGACGCGCCTTTTTTGCGATACCACAACATTTGTATCCGACGATGAGAAAAAATCATTAATGTCATTGCTGCTACTAGTATCTACCACTACAGCAGGATTAGAAATAAAAGCCAGAAAGTACGTCAAACACGAGCACATCGCCTAGTCGTACTAAACACGTCCTTGCATGTAACATCAGTATGGTGTTAGGCGTTCGGCCGCGGATCGGCGAGATGATGAGTGGGCCTTATACCCTGGTACCTTTTTGGCATTTGCCAATCCAAATTTATCATGATTGGTTTGATCTCAGAAAAACCGCAGGTTGCAAAAGCCAATTTAATTCACAAATGGCATAGTGCGTGCGTATTGACAGTGGCGATGGCACCAAGCACATATGTAGAAGGTGACAGTAGCGATAACACCAAGCACATATGTAGAAGGTGACATTGCAAACCTTGAAATTGGTGTCTGGTAGGGTTAATAAGATTAATATTCATTGAAGACAATAATGTCACTATGTGAAATTCGACGGCTGCAGGAGCGCGCAGTCCTACGTTTCATGCCTTCTACAACTGTACAATAATGTACTTACTAGAATATGGAGCAGGTGACAAAAGGACAAAGTGTCATTTATACGGATGTAGCCGGATTCTGGGCGTTCTGCAATAAACAAGAATCAACAAATAAGCGCTTTTAATCCGATCAAAATGCAGACTAGCCGCAGGTAACATACAAAAGCAAAACATATTGGGAATCAGAGGATAGACTAGGCAGGGAGATAATGCTAATAATACAAACGCTGCGTTCTCTAGCTTCTGCTAGGACCATACATAGCCGAGACACGAAGCTAAGAAACAATGGCGCATGCATTTTCCCTGCGGGCATTCATACGTTACCGATGTCAAAGCGTATCACGGATATACTGAGGCGAAATGCACCCTTGAGAAACAAAGGCCAGACAAAGGAAATAGGCTTGGCAACAGGGCGATCAAGCAGCCATTCAACCCCAGGTTCGAGAAAGGATAATACGGGGAATAAGGAAAATAGATATAAAGGAATGAGGGAAAGCATAATACTGCATCTGAGCAATAGGGAGAGGAAACAGAGACTGTGTGTTCATCGTTCGCGCAACGTTGTCCGAACTGCCTGGAGAGACTGCCAAGGCAGGACAACAGTGGATGATTATGGCCGAACGACTGAGTTGAGAAGACAAGTTCATCACATCGGGATGATCGACAACAAGTTTCACTTTATCGTGCGATGCGGCCACCTTGAACCGGTGGCGGCCCATAGCGTCCCATAATGGAAGGTTTTCGAGGAGCACTGTTGATGTTTAGACGACTAGTCCGCCAACGTTCGTAACAGATTTCTCGGCTTGCTTCGCGAAGTTCACCTCGCCATTCCTTGAAAACGGAATCTTTCAACTTGACAAAGTCGCAATGCTCAGCATTGTAGGGATCAGCAAAGCCCCATGGGAAATGGCGTCCGACAGGCAGGTCTGGCGACTCAAGGGAGTGGGGATCAGGCGATAGGATCGAGAGAGGAATGAAGGGAACGTCAGTAGTGGATGTGATGGAAATTGAGTTCTCTGATCGACGATGCCCACGAGATGAAGACTTTGTACGTTTCTCGGCCGGTGTTGTCTCGATGGCTGGATCAGTGTCTCCATGAGCACCAGCTTCAGACTTTTCCTCAATCTCGTCTTCAGCACCTGGCGTGGTGTCTGAGTCATACTCTTCCTGCTCGTCAAAGAATGTCTCGGGCTCTTCATCTTCCTGGTCTTCGAGAATAAGAACCTCCAACGGGTCAATTTTGGCCTGTTTCAAGCTAGCCCATACGGCTTTCTTCAAGTAGTCCATGTGGGCGGTGGTAATGGTGTCAGCTTTGCTAATAACGGGGACCACAGCCGTCTTCCTTTGCATGACACGAAGAACCTGGAGGTCCAGGTCTTCATCGAGAATACCAATCACACGCGAAGCCGAAAAATCACCATTGGCCTTCTCAGCAGCCTTCTTAGCAGCTGCAAGGTTCGCATCCAGGCGAACAGGGTCGAGGATAAGGAAAACACAGTGAATATGGGTATCACGAGCACCAGGAGAGCGAATAACCTTCATTTCCTCCGTCAGGGTGTCCTCAAATTTGCTTTCCAAGAAAGCAGTAATTTCTCGCAGTTGCAGATCGGCCACATTCTTTTCCAGGCCCTCGGAGTCCCAGAGGGTAAGGCCGACTCGCTCGCCCTCGATTTCCGTCTCCAAATAATAATTGGTAAAGTTGGAGTTGGATGACGAATTGGACTCTTCCAAGACCTCTTCAGCGGAGCGGATGGGGTGTTTGTTAGGGGGAAGTTCGAGAGACTTGCGCAAGAAGTTGAGGAAAGAGGTCTTTCCACTGTTCTTGGCTCCAACAACAAGGAGGCTATTTATATTGCATTAGTGATGTTCGTTAGTGGGGATAGCTATTTGTTAGTAACTTACTTGTACGGAGTAGGATCTTTGCGTCGACGCAACCTGCGAGGGCTGTTGATAGTACTGACTGCACTGCTGGCATAGCTGTACCGGCCACGATGTGTCATGCTTTCGGTTCTCGCGTAAGGGTCGACAGACGGCGTGAAGCCAGTGGCCGGCATACTGTAATGCGAAGAGCTCGCTCGGCTGTCAGCTCCTGCAGGAGTGGGCACAGCAAGACTCGCGGGTCGCTCTTCGCCTCCAAAGGTCTGCATTCTAGGCGCGGGAGCCAGGTCCGGGAGACGAGGGGCATGTTGCGGGATGGACTCGCGCTGGCGACGGAGCTCCTCCTCTCTCAGCTGTTCCTTCATCCTTTTGTTGATCTTGCTGCCAGAGCTTTTGCGCTCGGCAAGCGGTTCGGTGGACTTGGAGCGGCGCAAAAAGCCCAGGGACGACCTGCGCGACGCAGCATCCAAGTTGTTGTTGGCAGGAGGACGAGAGCCGTTCTCGGTGATGGCGGGGAGCGCTTCAGGCAGTGGCGGAGGCTGACTCTTGCCAGGCGTGCGCGGTCTGACTGCGGCCATGGCGGCGGCTTCCTGTTTCGGCGGGGGTTACGGGGGAAACAAACAACGAAAACAAAGTTATAATCTGTCTCTCTGTTTTCGCCTTTCTCGTCAGCCAACAGTACAGTCGCTGCAGCGAGCCGCCTGCTCCTGCTTGCCAGGCGCGGGCTCAGCTGTGCTAGAACGCGATAGGTACTCACCACTGGGTTTGTGGAACACACACACAAGGTCAGTCAAGCAGGTATCACAATGACAACCAACAAACGAGTCTTTCTCCGGATCGTTAATCGAACTTCGCTAGCCAGGTTTCAGAGCAAGGCTGGACCGAAGTTGGCAATATAGAACACGGCAGTCAGACAAGACTCCAGTGTTGCAAAAACGAATGCAATCGTCTCCAGCGAGTCAGTCAAATGATGGCATTCACAAGTCCAGCAAGCGATGGCAAAATCAACGGGGTGGTGACCGGAATTGGCTCTGCTGTCTTGGGTTCCTGGCCAGGGGTTAAGGTTAACGGGGGTGTTGGCGAAAGAGATAAAGAGCGAGAGAATGGTCCGGCTCTCACGAAGATATTCTGTCACCGCGCCTCAGACAAGACGACAGCAACTCCACGAATGGAAGAAACGAACGGCAGCGGGATGAAGAACAAGAGGAGGAAGAGTCTACTGTTCTTCACTGAGTGTTGCCCGTCAATTACCTACCGGCGTTTTGGCGACTTTTTTCCTAGCTTGAGTCTATTCCGAATAAAGACTTCTGAGTCCATCAGCTAACAACCTTTCTAGATTAGGCGTGCCTGCGCGATCCTTTGCACTGTGAAGCAGTGTCGACGCTCGCACCAGCTCAGGAAACTGTCCAGGCCAGATTCAGGGGCTGCTTCGCCTCCCCCACTTCTTCAATTGGAGACAGTCGTTGGCTGACTTGAAAGCGCCGGCCAAACACTAAGGCCTGTCCGGCGCTTTGGACATCCTCGTCATCCTCCTGAAGCGGTAAAGGCTCAAACATTGCCGGTGCTCCGGCTCGCACGAATGAGAACATGCCTCTGCCCTTCTTCAAGAAGCGCCCAGCAATGAGGAGAATACAGCATATCCTTGCTTTTTTGTCACCAGTAGTAATGCCATATCCGTGCGCAGAAGTCCCTGACAAATCCACCAACTGGCCCAGCTTCTGAAATAACTCTGCTTATTAGGAGTGAGCTTTGGTGGGGCGCCAATTTCCAATTTCGAAGCTTCAAGCTTCTGCGCCGATCGCACGTTCGCGAATTTAATTACATGTTAGTGGGCCAACATTGTGCTGAGCCAATCACCAGAGCACAGGTACCTGTAGGTATATTTCCACCGTGGTTGGCTGCTCGGGTACCTGACAGTACCGGCTACCAGCCAAAAATTGCACTCACGTGCCCCCGCCTCCCATCGCTCGTGCTGCTGTTTCACTTCCTAAGCCAATAGGTACGCTTGGGACTAATTGATATTTCAGGGGCTAGAGCCTAGAACACAATCAACAAGCCTTGTCCTCCAAAGATTCCAAAGTTCAAATAATCCGAGTTTGAACAAGTATCTAATTAGGTCGGGATAATAATATTATTAACAGTAGATAGTGCATTGCTTGTTTGTTCAGCGTGTACATCTGTACACTGTAATGTCCCATAGAGGCACGTGATCGTCCACTATATCCTCCAATGCATCATGTCCCTTAGGACGTCATCCCGATATATATACAACATTTGAAGCGTGCAATTATTTCGCTATGCAACGAGGTAGTCACGGACATCACAATCGTCGCCGTCGGGACACACATTGGTTCTCACGAGATCCTTGAACTTGGGACCGTTCGGACCACCAACGTATTTGTATTCCCCGAAGAGACCAGTCTGGTTGGCAACTTGCGCGTCGCCCCATTGGCCGTTGAAATACAGCCAGTTGACGGGGTAGCTTGAATCATATGCGGTGAATTTCGCGCTGGAGTTGTCATAGCTATACGCATAATAGTTACCGGTCGGGTCCCATAGGGTGCCGTTGCTGGTGTAATCAACTACCAAGCCATCATCGGGGAAGTTAATCCCTGGTATGATGTGGTCATGGTCACTAATAAGCGTCAGAATAGTCAGCCTTCTTTGGGAACAGGACAAACAAACCCTGCGATAGCATAGTTGGCGTGGGTGCCCCTGCCAGAGTATGCAACTGGTCGCCCGTTTATTTTTAGGGTTGCATTATATGTGAATGCCTCGCCGCTGGCATGTTGGCTGTACCATAAGGCCTGAGGCTCGCCGTTCTCGAACCGGACCATGTTGTGCTCCCTACAAACGAGTTAGTTATTTGATGGCTCAGCAACCATACTCCGTTCATTTACCAATCTCCGACATGGTCACCGAACCACATTCCCAAGACCTTGTCGCCTTGGTTGTATCTGTCGAGCTGTCAGGAAATCCGCAACCATTTTGGCTCTCTACACCGATACTCGACACTCACGCGTAGAAATAGAAGAAGAAAGCATCGACAGTTCCATTTCCATGATCATAGGTAACGATGGCGCAGCTAGTCGCGTCCCCGGATTTGCCATTTGAATCGGGCTTTACACCGCTGAACCAGGATGGATTGGCCTGGATCCCCTCGTCGGAAGTCAGATAAACACTTGTGTTGCCGAAATCATTGAGCTCGTCGAGATTATCGAGTGTTAATGGCGTAGTATACCCAGTGATTTTAGTCGAGTTCACGGCAGGGTAAGAGTGTTGGACCTGGGCGTAGAGGTCACTTGGGAAGTAAGTTTCGTTCACGTCAAGCCATACTACGGGTGCTACAGCAGAAAACGTCGTTATAAAACGTCCGAAAAACGCCAGCGAGGGAGAAAGTAGCACATACCATATTTCAGCACGTAGTCGGGCAGGGTTGCGCTGCAACCTGCGGCGAATAGGAGAGATAGAAACGACTTCATCATGTGTTTATGTTTCCAACTTGACCAGCTCAGCGAGATAGGAGTGAGGGGCGGCGACGTTGCCCTCGGTCGGTCTTAAATATTATCGAGGCGCCTTATATGTCATGCGAAATCTTGCCTTCGCCATCAAGTCCATGCCAATGCCTAAGAGTAGGTAGGTTGCAGTCACATCGTCAATTACACCATCGGCACTTTAGCCCCAAAATCTCTTGACTACGGTGGGAAGCCCTGTCGATCACCACGTCAACTTCCAATCATGGATTAACATAATGAATCATGGAAGGATTCCCTCCAATAATCTACGAATTCCACTATGCATTCCTACGGGTCAGTCGGCCGTTGGTCGGCAGTGCCGAAATGTTACGTAGAGGATACTGTACATCCATCAACGACAGGGACATACATACCCGAGCCAGCGCTTTCTATGCTAAGACTTGATCCCACGATAGAATAAGGAATCGGGCCGAGTTCGCGGGCTCTATGCATTTTTATGGACAGCCGATAAGATATCTGATCGAGCTTATCAATCATATCAAACTAAATGCAGAACGAAGCTTCGCACATAGAAGCAAGCTTAGACACGAGTGATGACCTGATAGAAAATTTTTAAATGATCTAATTAGCTCCTAAAAATGCTAAAATCATATAATTTCCTCTTTAAATTCGGTTGATTAATATATAAATATCAGTAAAATTATTATAATTTAATATATTTTTCTCTTATCCAGTATATCACTATTATATCTCTTATTTTCCTAGTATAAGATTGAAATGAATAAGATATTGAGTAGTTACTTAAAGGCCATTTAGAAGTACGCCTTTCTATAGGACCATGACAGCTATATAAATGCGCCAAAGGGTCTACATGTTTTCTCTCTATATAAATTTGATATAAATCTCAAAGCCCTAGGCTTCCCTCTCGGTGCCTATGTCCCCATAGGACACACATGCAGACTGATAAGTAGGATTTAAGCGATATCAACAACTAGATCTATAGGAAGTCTAGAGTGATAATTCTACGTCCAGCAAAAATTTGTATAGGAACATTGACCTATGAGGAACTACTACCCACTTTTCGACGCTTGTCTTGTCGAGGTCTCCGCTTATTTTTTTTTTCACCTTGCATGACATGGATCCTGATAAGCTGCGAGTCTCCGAACGGGTTTTCGTACGAGGAGAGGCCTTGCCGACCTTGCGCGGGGATCAAGGCAACATCAAGTGATCCAGTGTAGACCAATGTACCACCAGTTCCGGTCAAGGCAGTTTCTATTTTGCTTGGGCTGTTGGATGGAGAGTGAACAATCTCACCGTGGTCCAGTGAGGAGAGGTAAATAGCGTCAAGTCTCCATTCCGTTCCAAGAATAGCTTTGTTAAATGTGCAATAGTTTGACCATAGCGCTAAATATTAGCAGTGCTATACTATATTTAGGAGAGCTATATAATTCATTCCAGTCGGCTCTAGATCTTTTTGGTTCAGTTGATTTTAGGCTGCAACTACGTTAGAGTATTCCAATGTTGTGATTATTTCTTTTCCCGTTCGAGGATGTTTATTGGTGTCAACTGGCCGCTCCGCTGATTTAGTTTATATATTTGCAAAGCATATAACCATTCGCTTGGTAAAATGAAATGTTTCCCTATGGTCCATATGCGATTGACCAGTCGACATCCCAGCCAATGCAACCAATCACACTACAACCGATGACTCATTCGAGGGCACCCCCGCATACATCAAGTGCCAGCCAGATGTGTTGATTCCCCGCTTCGGAGAGGGGGCGTCTTTCCGGACAACATAAAATATTATCCTACAGATCTATATAAGACTCTGTGATAGGACATACATTCATTGGCAGCGTATGTTGAAACGGAATGTCAATCTATTGAATTTTCTAACGAAAAATGACGTCTTCACTCCAATACTCTCCCGTACAAGCACCTTCCCATATTCTAGGTCTCCTGGAAAGACTGCATGCCCTCTCGCTAGATGAAGAACCCCTAGTCAATAACGCCCTTAAGGACGCCGTTCAACTCCGGAATCACGACGTCGATGCGGGGAATCGTCAACTCGACAACGCAATGCGCGACAAATTTGTCGCACTCGACAAGGACAAATGCCACTTTGTGTACCAGCTGATTCTGGCCACTGGCGCGAAGAATGTTGTCGAGGCTGGCACGAGTTTTGGTGTCAGTACGATCTACCTCGCCTTGGCAGTAGGCAGAAATAGTTCAGGTGGCAAGGTGATCGCGACTGAAAAGGAGCCTGAAAAGGCCAGGCAGGCAAAGGAGCATTGGAAGGAAGCCGGCGAGACAGTTCTGAAGCATATCGAGTTGAGAGAGGGCGATCTACTTCAGACGCTACACAATGACCTACCAGAGATCGATCTTCTTTTACTAGACAGTAAGTGGTTTCCAACTTGACATTGATAGAGATTCTGTTCCAGGGAAACCGTGTTGAGAGTTTGTGTAGTATGGACACCGCTCGCGCTGCCAACGCTCAAAGTCGTACAGCCGCGATTGAGACCAGGTGCAGTGATTGTAGCTGACAACACCATATCATCGGCCGTGGGATACAAAGAATTTTTCGATTACGTCAAAGACCCGGAAGGGCCTTTCAGGACTCTGACACTTCCGTATAGTGGCGGTTTGGAGCTGGTAACTTACATGCCTTGACCGAGTGATCTAGTAGAAGACTGGATTGATCGTTATTTTTGATGTGGAATTGGTTAAAGTATCGAGATGAAATCAATTTTAATTGTTTTTTTTACCTGATCTAATATAATTTACCAGATCATTAGCTGGGTTCATACATAATTATAACAATAATTTTCAATTTTTGTGCACTATACGTAGTACATATATAGTTAAGTTAATGAGTTTAATACAGTATCCTTTTAGCGCCTGACTAGATGCTTCAATCAATTCAACCAAATTAATGAACTAACTTGATGATTCGATTCACATGAGTATTGCAAAATCGATTCATCTCAGGGTCCGTGATATATCGTTCAACCTACGACAATGATGCTGGCTGGGCTACTTGTGGCGTCTGCGGTTTCAGAATGGAGGATATGTTCAACTACTACAACGGCCGCGATATTCTGAACAAATTCACTCTCACCGTGCTCGAGGATCGGTCGCTTTTTGACGTTGCGAGTACTAACACGGTTCGCTAGCATTTTCAACGGTTGTCATTCGCCATTTACCGCCCTGAACAGCAGCAGCATTAGGAGGAGGAGAGTGGGGATATTGGTGCGATAGCATACAGAATTGTTGTGAACCTAATCCCCAGGCGACCCGGGCTGAGCATAATGCAGCACCATGCTGCGCGCATTAGCATCGCACATATTTGTTAGATATGTATATACCAATTGATGTATATATGTATATGTACATGCAACACACCGTTTTTTCCTGTATGCAAAATCACCACTGTGCCTTAACTTCATAGATGCCATCCTCGTTTATCACCTTCCCACGATCCCATTCTCTGCTTTCGCCTTTTTTTGCCCACTTTACTTCGTCAATTCTACCCTCGGTATCAGATGTGCTATTATTTCCTATTGCAAAAGCCGGATGATTCTTCCATCTCTCAACAACCTTGCCATCAAAGCCCGCCACTCGTAGTCGCTCTTCTCCCTTCCTCTTCCATTCGGCGCGGTCCCGAAGTGCTTCTAGAGCCATGTCCCAGTCGTCATCTTCAGTCATCAAATCGGCCACCGGCCGGCGTGTAGACCGCCTTGTATCATCGTCATCTTCAGAAATATTGACATCGAGTTTGGGATCGTAGTCGTGCGCAAAATGGCTGTCCATTATGCTTGTGTTGGTGCGATAAGATCCTCTGCCGCGTGATGCAACGGCTGAAGCATCCTTATTCTTTCGCAACGAGGCGGGTAAAGGCCCAACAAGGTCTTCGAGTGGGTCTGATTCCTCATCTGAATAGTATCGTCGCTTCGAATGCTCTTCCGACCGTTTCTCTGATCGGCGCTGTGAGTCTTTAGAGATTGGCTTTTCCACTTGGACGAGGTCGTCATGCCCATCGACTTCGCAGTGTCTCGAACGTCGTGGCGATCGCGATCGCGATCGTTCTACGTATCTGTGCCGGCGATGACGATCGCTCCTTTCACCTATATCGTACTGTGACGACTTATGAGGAGAGTTTGAATATTCTCGTTTCCGCCTGGGCAGTTTTTCTTCAGCACGGTGACGGTGCCGTCGACGAGTCTTTGAGGACACATCGCGACCTGACTCGTTATCACTTCCATCTCGGCGATGACGCCGCGTTGACCGTCGGTCCTCGTCTTTTTCGCGCGACGAATGGCCCTCTCTTGAATTACGAGGGGACCTGTCTCGGTAATCTCTGGTTCTGCCCTGATCTCGTTCCGTGCGATACGACGACCGGGAAGCCGACGAATTTTCGCCGCGAAGTTTTCGCATTCGCTGCCTAGATTCTTCCTCCTCCTTGCGCCTAAGGGCTGAGTTGTGACTATCGGTATCTCTGAGGATATTTTTAAGGAACCGTGTGTTGGGCCTGGGAGCGCGGTCTGTCGGCCTGGAGGGTTTAGTAAGGAAGACTGCATGTTCGATTGGAGGAGTGAGCCATACCGTCGAGTTAGATAAGTTTGGAGTCCGAGGGCAGAGTATTTCAGCGATTTATCCTTTGCCTCAGAGGCAAGCAACTGTGCGACATAATTGTCATTGCTGGTGGGGTCGTCGATTGCCTCTCCAAGAGGCATAGTTTAGGCTGAGGGTATAGTGTTGTGTCTGAATACCTAGAAGCAGCGAATGCATGAAGGTTCCAAATAGATACTTCTCATACAGAGCTGCTTGCTATAAATATCAAATGCTTCGTGCCTCAAGGGCTTTTACAAGGACCCGAGCAATGCCTTGAAAGCTGAAGCTGCACTCGGCGGGCGGCGATCTTGGGGAACAAACAAAGCAAACATGGCCCGACGTGACAGTATTGTTTACTTGAGCAGTCGCGACAGAGCCAATTTGCAGTCAGCATCTGCGCAGACTCGATCGCTGTCGAACTGCGACCAGAAAAATACTGAATATAGAGGCATACGCTCACAATAGCAGAAATACTCAACCCTCATATTCGGCCTCCTCGTCGGCGATGGCAACTCCTCTGTCCCCCGCAACGGCGGTTGCCCAAATCAAACAACTTCAGTACGGCCAAAGCGATGACCCAAATGCCGAACTCGCAATTATACGCATTAGCGAACCGATAACAATGTCTCTAGATGGCGCGGGCAGACCAGCCAAACGCACCTCAGATGTGTCTGTAGATTCATCAGAGAGCCCTACACCAGCCTCATTAGATGCGGACTTGACACATTACAAGGTCGATAATTCCTGATCCATAGCTGTTCATTGGAATATAACTAACCATTTGACTTCGACCGTTACAGGAGTTGTTCTCAAAATTACGTTTTTCATACTTGGAACAAGTCACAAAGGAGAAATTCCTCCGCGCTATTGTTGGCGACCCCCCGCTGGTCGTGGGCCATAACGAGAATGTGGAACTGGAGACGAAGCTAGCGGAAGTCAAACAGGAGCTTCAAAACCAGAAAGAGGAAGTGCGAGTCATGGTGGAGGTGATGGAAAAGACCGGGCGAGACTTAGCGAAACGTAAGTCGCCTATCTTTCATGCGTGTTTTTGTGCTGCAAGATTTGGGAGAATGCTGACCGCTACGCAATAGGTTATAAGAATGTTCAGCTTCAGAAAATACAATTATCGACTCTCCCAGAAGAGATAACTAACTTGGAAAACACAATTTCCTCATTACGAGCGCTACAGGCAAAGCACCTACTTGCAGCAGATCCAAGTGACCCTTCCTCTTCACAGAACCTGCCATTGCCAGCAACTTTATCATTGCTCGCAGAGCGCGAGGCCGAATTGGCTGCAATTGACCGACAATTGACTTCAATGCACACGACTCTTCCTCGGAAAACACGAGAGGCTGAGGCCATCGAACGAGAGCTTAGTACATTGGAACGGAGAAAGGTCGAGACTCTAGGTCAAGCGCGGGAAGCACAAAGGAAGAAAATGGAGGGCGAGAGCGATGGATTGGAAGAAATGGGACGATGGTATCGAGGTGCTGAAATGACACTGAAAAGTTTGGTCAATGTGGAGAATTAGGACATAATGTGTACGATTATTGACTTATGACTTGATTTGAGTTAAGACAGGCAGGGTTGCGGCGTTCAAGTGCAATATTAAACACTCTAGTGCATTTACAATCTAATGTTCGTTACAAGATCTAAGTATTTTGAACCTCTGAAAATAAAGCTACCTGTGTAGCTAGTTCATATTGAATCATGATCATACAACATGCTATCCTATGCTGCATCAGAAAACTCCTCAGAGGCCCTGTCCGTAAAGACTTTTTGGTATCAATTTTTGATCTATTCCTCCTCTTCCTCCTCATCGTCGCCATCGCCACCCTCCGCGGCCTTGGACTTCTTGCGGCGGACACGGCCAGGGCGACCACCGCCGAAGGGAGAGGTGAGGGCGAAGTCAATGTGCTTCTGGGAGTCAAGGCGGACCATGTATGAAGGGACGTTGACGATCTGCTTGCCGACACTACAAGAAACCATTAATATTGAAATTCATCTAGTCTCAATCATGAATCATACCGGATGTGACGCTGGCGGATCAGAACACGGGCATGGTGGATAGACTTGGCAAGACCGAGTTTGTAGACACAGGTCTGGAGACGGCGCTCCAAGAAATCCTCAATCTTCAAGGCCAAGACGTAATCGAGCTTCATGCGGGACTCATCGAGCACACCGACACGAACCAGACGACGAATCAAGGCATTACCTTCGAAAAGACGCTTGGGGTCCTTCTCGTCGAGGGTAAGAAGTTCACTAAAAGCGATTAGCATGTTTGATTCACATCTACCACGTGTTGACCATACCGAGCAGCACGACGAATCTTGGAGAGGGTGAGCTGGACACGCCACACCTCACGCTTGTTGCGGAGACCGTACTCGCCGACGATCTTCAATTCAGAGTCACTATTGAGGGGTTAGGAATGGACAACACGACATAAGCAGAAGCACGCTTCCACTTAGTGGCCGGGGAGTACTGACAGACGAGCCGATTCGTATGCTAGGGAAATGTTAGTATCGCGAAGTCCAAAATGCAAAGCACGCATGTAGATTAGGTTACTCACGTCGACGAGGGACCTTATAGGTCTTAGAGTAGGAACGCCTAGAAGACAATAATTAATTAGAGACTGCCAGACGAATTGCTTGTGCATCACGAGAATGACTCACGGAGCTGGGGCCATGGCTGCGGTGGTGCTCTCCCGGTTGTCGTGACTGAGGCGGAATACTGAAGACTTATGAATCTTTTCGAAGGTGTTTTAAGACCGCCAACGCAGTGGAGGAGCCCCACCAAGCGAAGCGAGCCCGTTGGGATTGGCTGGGATAGGCTTTTTGAGGGCTTGCCCTATCCCCATGCCGCATCAGGGCTAGCCCGCGCACTAACCGCCTCAGCCATCATCACCAAAGTTTGTGTGCAGAACCACCTCGTTCTTGAAGTCGACAGCTTCACGACACCAGCACCACGACAACACCGCCGAGATGGGTCACTCTGCAGGTCTCCGAAAGGGTACTCGCGTATGTCGTCGATATTTCCCCCACGCAAGACACCGTCGAGCGAACTGACCGTTGCGCATAGTATGCCTTTTCCCGCGACTTCAAACGGAAGGGTTTCATCCCTCTTTCCACCTACCTGAAAGAATACCGGTATGCACGACTACTACGAGCATAGTTGAAAGCGTGGAGAGTCTGACAGAATACAGGGTCGGTGATATTGTCGATATCAAGTGCAACGGTGCTGTTCAGAAGGGGTTAGTCAATTCTCACTTTTCTCTAATATCTTGAAATCCCGCACACATGAATTGGGAAAGAGCTTTCGTATACTGAGACGGTACGTTTTACAGTTTACCCTACAAGCTCTACCACGGCAAGACCGGTGTTGTCTACAACGTCACAAAGTCCTCCGTGGGCGTCATCATCTACAAGCGTGTCGGCAATCGGTACATGGAGAAGCGCATCAATGTTCGCGTTGAGCACATTTCTCACTCCCGCTCCCGTGATGAGTTCATCAACCGTGTCAAGGAGAACGCCATCAAGAAACGCCAGGCCAAGGAGCAGGGTACGCATCTGCACTTGAAGAGACAGGCCGTCCAGCCCCGCGACTCCCACGTCGTCGATTCTCAGAACAACTTCCCTGAGACGATCACCCCTATCCCCTACGATACTCATATCTAAATGTCTTACGTATGGAATTCTGGGAATCAGGTGTTTTGTGTGTGTATTTACCGCCAGGGGGTGGATTGCATGATGAGCAAAATAGGTCGGGAAACCTTATAGCGCTTTTATGGCTGTGCATAGAGTCCCTCAATGAAAAACCAATAATACCAAAAATTCAACTTCAGATGAATCGCACTTGAGATTGACACGATGGTGGAACATTTTGGCTGGCAGGTGTCTGCCCCTTTCCCAAATGTCGGGATTCCTGCCGTTGCATTATCTAACGTTTTGTTCGTAAAGACGTCTACCATTTGGTAATATGTATTCGCAACAAAGTCTCGTTAAAACCTGGAATAATTGATGATATTGACTAAGAATGAAGTTATACGTGTAATAGCTACATAATTGATATATTTGTGTATTGGCATTGACAAGCATATCAGCCATATGCATCTTCGCCCTAGCAAGTTGTTATAAGCTATCACAAACTGCTATCATTTCGCTCTCATTTATCGGCGGCAAATCTGATGCTGCATCTACCTGTTAGCTGTAGGTTGTAACACGGCGGCTGATTGGCTGCGCTGCGGCTGCGTTCCGACGCCGCTGCAAAAAAGTTCTCGGGAGACTGAGAACTCGACTCCTTTATCGACATTTTTATTCACGTACGCATTTTATTATTTCCTCATCATGAAAGATTAATAGAGCCTTCGGACCAAAGTCCCTCTTTACCTCAATCTTTCCCCTTTCTTACCTTTTCTACACCCGGCATGACGTTTTCAACTGCCTCCCATAGCAGCTCTGCGCAGGCGCAACTGCCCCAGAAGCTACCTCCAGGGAACACCATCACCCAATCTAAACAAACGGGCGGTGTCGTGCCCAAAAAAGAGAATAAACCGGAAGCAAAACCTTTGGCACATTTTGTCGCCGGCGGGTATGTGTATAGATTCCTGGGCTCTTGTCTCCATGGCTAACAAACTTTTCCTTATAGTGTCGGTGGAATGACAGCCGCTACTTTAACAAGCCCATTAGATGTGCTAAAGACCCGACTTCAATCAGATTTTTACCAGGACCAACTGCAAGCGTTGCGCGCCTCACATCCTGTTCGCCCAGCTCCCTCCATCATCGCCCTCCCACGCAGCGCCCTCTTACATTTCAAAGAAACATTCCAGATACTGCATACTATATACAAGCATGAAGGCCCGCGAGCCTTGTTCAAGGGCCTTGGTCCGAACTTGATCGGCGTCGTTCCCGCTCGTGCGATCAACTTTTATGTTTACGGTAATGGAAAACGGATCTTGAGCGATTACCTTGGTTATCACGATTCAATGACAACACCATGGAGTGTCCATTTAGGAGCTGCAGCTATCGCAGGAATGGCGACTGGCACTGCTACAAATCCTATTTGGGTTATCAAGACGCGACTACAACTCGATAAGTCTAATGCAGAAAGTGGCAAAGGAGGTCGACAATACAAGAACAGTTGGGACTGCATCAAACAGACAGTTCGACATGAAGGTATTCGGGGATTATATAAAGGATTGTCGGCCTCATTCCTAGGCGTTACTGAGAGCGCGACACAATGGGTCTTATACGAGCAGATGAAGATATTCCTAGCTCGGCGTGAGGCTGCCAAGCTAGCAGACCCATATCATGTGCATAGCTCCTGGGACGACGTCGAGCTCTGGGGCGGTCGTATCGCAGCGGCCGGTATAGCCAAGTTGTTTGCTGCGGTAGCTACATATCCTCATGAAGTGGTTCGCACACGGCTTCGACAAGCACCCGTCGTACCGGTCGGTGGAGGCAAGGTTCAAGTGAAGTACACTGGCCTTGTCCAATGTTTCAAGGTAGTGGCCAGGGAGGAAGGTCTTGCAGGGCTGTATGGAGGACTGACACCGCACTTGTTGCGCGTCGTTCCATCCGCGGCTATCATGTTTGGAATGTAAGCATTGTTTGCTGCCCTCTAACGGTTGTGTTTGAAGCTAACAATACACAGGTACGAATTTATTCTTCGGCTGTTTGGAACAACATCTTAATTTCTACTGTGATGACAATTTTCGTCTCCACTCGCAACTGTACCATATTAACCTCTACTTCTTCTCTCCCCTTCTACAATAGGGGCATATGCCACGGCGTTGAGATTTGCATACTTCTGGCGCTTATTTGGTCGGGTTATATAACAAATCTGGCACATCGAACAGGGAAGTTGCAAAGGCAATTTGACGTTCAATAGTCTAGATCTTCTGGCGTTTCATTAGATGCATGTGGTCCATCGGCAACCTTTAGCCTTACGTGACACATTGCAATAGATATGAGTGAGGCTCGTTTGTAACAATAGTCACTAGCTGACGCGACTGATATATTTTAGTTCATCATGTCCATGTTAAAACCAAATATACATATTTACTATACGGGCAGATGCTAGATTGCGGTTATGACTGGATCATAGCCAGGGTACTTTTTTTCGTGCTAATATGGTGATGTTTTCAATGGTTATATAATTTATACCGTTATGCCTCTAAATCTTTATGTTTATTGATCGTCATATAACTACCCCAAACATCGTTAAATGATATAATCATAACCTAATATATATATATCTGGGTGCATTTCTTCCTCTCTACTGTGTATGTACTCAACACACTGCTAATCCCTATTTGCTTAGAGATTTATACCATGTAAGTGCAAACATCAATTGATATACATTCGGCGAGTTTTCTTTATTACTCTACCCAATGTGTTAGGAATGTTGGTAGGGTTATATAACTAGATACCAGTAGCAGATATATGTATATAATCCCAAGCTACTTAATGTCTCCTACATGTACATATGTAAGTCAGAGATTGCAAAATTGATATCGGTTTAATCGTGATTTAATGCGTCAAATGGTAACACAATTAAATCAACACATTTGCAGATTGTATTTCCAATAATCGCTAATAATTACAAAGTATAATACCTATTATATACCATAAAAATATACCCGCTTATCATAAACCCTGTCAGCAAAGGCTAGGCAGTACAACCACGAAAGAGAAGGAAAACCAAGCTTATGCCTTCTTCTTTCCGGTGGAAGCAGTCTCTACTTTGACAAACGCAGTCTTGATCTCCTTGTACGCCTCCGTCAAAATCCAAAACGGCACAAACACCCAGAGCATATTGAAAAAGACCAGATACAACCATAAAAATACGGGATTGCTGCCATCAAGTTGAGAATTCGCGCTCAACCACTCAGGCGCAAAAGTCATGAAGCCGCCGTATAACTCGGCCGTAGCAACGGCGGAAGAGACAAGCCATAATTTTCCCTGGGCAGCACCTTTCTCTTGGGCGTTGAGTTTCGGGTTGGCGATCCGGTACAACAAATAGCAGATATAGACCGCAGCGGGCCCAGCCAGAAACACGGTAAGCAACTCCAGCGAAATCACGGTAGTATCGGCCGTGGCCCAGCGGTGATCAGCCTTGGCGTATTCTTGCCACAGACGCGCGCTGGGCAGTGTACCGTATTTGGCGCCATAGAGTCGGTCAGTGTGGCCAAGAAAAAATGGCTCACGAAGTACACCCGCTGGAACGGTGACGTAGCTGAAGAAGCACTCGTATAGAAACGATCCTTCGATGAAGAGGTGGGTCAGCGCGTCGTAAGCATGCCAAAAGAAGAGCGCGCGATTGCGGAGCTGGTGCGAAGGGATGAGCCAGGTGCCGAGGCCAAAGGCGATTGGCATGAAGGAGAGCGCAAAGGCGATGGACAGTAAGGTAGGTGTGTCAGCCACGAAAGAGCTTGGTTCAGCCATTGTGGTTGACTGCAGTTCGGTGCACAGATTAGAGGAAGAGGGGGGGAAGCTCAATGTTTGTTGGTGTTTTTGTTTCAATGCGATTATGTTTCCGAAGGGGTAGTATCCTGGTGGAGAAATGACCCGCTAGCTGGTGGGGGAAGATAGAGACGTGTCTAATCGTTCAATCATACAATGATTATTGTTGTCATTACTGGTGCTGTGTCGTGTTGTGTTGTATTATTGTTGTTGTTGTGATGCGAAACCCCTGATCTATAGCCGCGCTATGCCGGTTTCGGATGACCCCGCAATCACCTTTCCACTGCTTCTTTCACAGTTTTACTACTCTTCCTGCTTTTGCGACCGTTGACTGACTGACTGACAATAATAAAGGTGCAATTGTATTTAACCGAAGAATCCTGCCCATACAATAGTATCGTTGCATAACGTGAATCCAAAATAACCCAGCATCGTCTTCTAAAAATAGGGGACCAATCCGAACACGCAAATCAGCGCCGTGCTGCCAGATCCAACGGCCTATAGGATCAGACATTACACCATTTCCAGCATGGCAAATACTCGGTCGTTTCTGCTCGGTATTTCCTTGACTTCTTCAGGCGGTAACTGTGAACCAGCGCAATGAACAGTTCTAGTCCGTCCCCGGTCTTCCTGAAACTGAGCAAAGCGCCAATTGAAACAAATGCTACGCTGGTTGCCAACTTAGGCTTATATCATTGTACTGGACAACATGCGCCACCTATTATTGGCTGTTAAATTTAGAAGCATCGTTTCGATGAGGCCTGCTTCAGGTCCACCTTATATCTTGATAATCGGCATGATTGGATATGGATGATCGGGTGGTGGTCGTATATCCGCACTGCGGCATATCAATTCTTGTGCATGACAAGGGTCCATGGATAGTACGTAGTATTTGACGGTTGATTTTGCTTGATATAAGTATTGGTGGATATTCTGGTAGAATAGATGGCTAAAATTTCGTCTATGCACAAACTCGGCCTGGATTTCTTCATATAAGGGCGCTTCGGTACTCTGCATGTTTCAACCGATTTTCTATTGGAACAGTAGACGGCTTTCTTCGTTTCGGCAAACACCGTACTTTCCTGTGTTTCACTAATACAATGAGAATCATGATGCTGGCATCATATTTCTTGTTTGCTCTCGTAACAACAACCTCAGGATCCCCATTGCATTATTCCCGACGGGCATCAAATACAACCACGCTGAGCTTGTTTGATTCTTTGACTACGACATGTGATCTCGATCAATCTAGGATCCCGTCCGTTGCAAATTTCTCATCCAGTTTGCCTGCTCCCGACGGACAACGATTGAGATATGTAGCTGTCGGGCGTGGAATTCAGGTAAGCACGTCATCCTCTCCCGAAATGTCAACCAAGTTTGTCTGACGGGACATCTGCCATTGAAAAAATTGTGGATTAAACTAATTATATCCTGTAGAACTATACCTGTGACTCTAGTACCACCGCTGCAACCCCTGCAGCAATCGGTGCTATTGCTACACTGTACAACGCAAACTGCATTTTGAAGAACTATCCCTCCATGATCGATAATATCCCAGATATTTTACTACAGTTCTCGATTCATAGCACAAAGGGAGATATTATAGCCTCCGACGCACCGAATATACTAGGCCATCATCGGTTCGGGGATTCAACGACAGCGGTGTTTGACTTGAACACCGCCAGTCACGAATATGGTCAGGTGATTGCTCATAAGGCTGGCTCAATGAATGCTCCGAGCAACTCGCCACTTGGACAGGTTCCTAGTATTAATGGAGCAGTGGCATGGCTGTACCTGTTGTCGAGCGCCGACTCCACGGCAGACATCACGAGTGTGTACCGGACACATACGGCAGGAGGAAGTCCTCCAGCCACTTGCAAGGGACAGAAATCTGGTGTATTGTCAGTTGAGTATGCGGCGTTGTATTGGTTCTTTTCTCGGTAGGAGAAAGCCACTATGTTCTGTACACTGGCGGCGTCTTTTCTCCGTGAAATGGCTGTCACAACTGTTTACATGTACATATATTGGTTAGGCTTGTACGTCATGATGAGAGTTTCTGGCAGGCAGAACCAAGAACGAGGTTGCAATTTTTCCCAACTCGTCATGATCAAAACTGTTGACATTATCCAAGTCGGATAGAGCCTGCGAAATATTCAATAAAAACCAGGTAGGATGTCGAGCACAGGCAGCTGCGGCTGGCACAACTGGCATCTTCCTTTGGGGCTAAGTGCCACCACGAGCGAATATGAGTACCGAAACAAAAATCACTTTCTTGCCATGCAGAAGCGAGAACTCGACTTGTTTGAAGCAGATCGCACACGAAGTCCATACATCATCTTCTTTGGCGTGACTGAGCAAATCTTCCGATCATAGCTTACCGAGCTCTTTTACAGCATATCGTTTGAATCGTATTTTCCTCGCGACGGGATCATCATTATCAAAATGGAGAGTCACATCCACGCGACTGCTCACAAAGAACTGTATCTATTGTTGAACAGGAAATTTCGCGTATGGGTGACTTGGATCTGAATCTGTCACAATTTGGAGAAGCTCATGTAGAGGGGGATGAGTGAATGAAAAGGGCAGACGAGAGCTATCTGCCAAAAAGGATGCCGAAAGGTCGTTCCAGGAAATGGCCGACCTTGGTAATTGAAGTCGGTTATTCCGAGTCACATCAGAAATTGGTTGGCGATGTTTCGTGGTGGCTGTCACAATCAAAAGGGGATGTGCTGACCGTCCTCACCGTTGACATCAATCAAAGACGTAAGGAGATCACTGTCGAGAAATGGTCTTCCACTCAAGCAGGTCGTGGAACTAGTATCTATCGTACGGTACTATCCCAGGAGGCCGGTCAGAATGATATTCACGCCACCAATGAAGCCCCCCTCTCCATCGACTTCAACCATCTGTTTCTTCGAGATACGGAGGGACCCTATGAAAGAATTATCGAATTCGATCTGAGCGACCTAGAGTATTTGTCGAAACAGATATGGAAGTTGGAATTCGAAGAATGGACCGAAGATGACTACTTTTGACCGGAATGATATGAAGACGTTGTCAGCTCGGACATGGGCAGTTGAATGCAGAGAATGTATGAAGGCGATGCAGATTTGATCTATCTAGTATTAACAATCGATGAAATGACGATGCTCTGGAAAGCTACAATTATGTAAATCCGCTTAAAACGTGATCAGGAGGATTTCCGTCGAAATTGATAAGAGTGTTTTGTCTAGACGTGGGTTAGTAGCCATTTATTAGAGACAGCCATCCCAAGAGAGCATCCGGTGATTTAAGTATATTCACGGCAGTTGAGTATACAAACTCATTACCGAAGAGTCTCGAAAATCGTGCATCTATTAATATACTCCAGAGGGGCAGTGTCTGCAGTTGACCAGGATCCAGCAATTTGAATATCGGCATATTTTACGACGAACAATTGCCGACGGTATTCCTATGATGTGCCTCCACATTTCCCCACCTTTGGCTATCAACCGCATCAACTACATTTTCCGGGGTCGAATGTTGATCGTTAAGAAGGTCATTGTTCTTAATGGAGAGTATTACACGTCCATATTGCTTTCTCTGGTGTGTTGATAAATTAATCAAGACGATCGCGGATTCTTGAATTTTGATCCTCCACTGAAGTATCGCAAGGTCTGTAGTTTCTCTCTTGTATGCTGTCAGAAGATACGCATGTCAAGCTAAACTGCTTCTTTGCTATCTGATATGCAGTAATTCAGAAGAGGTTCCGACCACATAATTAAGCGGAACGAGCCGTCAGTCTCTCGGATCTCGACTAATATCCAACTGCCGATATCCCTCCCTCAGACCCCTATGCAATATTATCTCACCATATATATACTGAACTGAATTGTCGCATCCTGGGAGCTGATAAATTTCCAAAGATTAATCTAAACTAATCGTTGTATTTCTTCGTCAAATTACTGGATAATCGCTAGTATCTTTATAAAAAAGAAGAAGAAGAAGAAAGGAAGGGGGAATGACGTTAGTTGTCGAAAGCCTGGCAGGTGCCATAGCCGACTACGCTGTATACATATTCCCTACTTTGATTATTCTTTATTTTTTTCGAAACTACTTTTATAATGGTCTGAACCAATACCCGGGCCCGATTTGGGCAAAGTTTTCAAATCTATGGCGCTTTTTGGATGTATCCCATCGAAGACCGGATATCACACATCTTTCTTTGCATCGCAAGTATGGTGATGTTGTGCGTCTAGGGCCGGATACTCTCTCTTTCGCCGACCCCGCTGCGATAAAGACAATTTATGGCTTGAATAAGGGGTTTGTTAAGGTATGATCATGACAATAAATTGCTAAAACGAAGAGAGATTTATGCTTTGGGTCTAGTCAGAATTTTATCCTGTTCAAATGACGACCTCTAAAGGCGAGCCCCTGCCATCCCTATTCTCGACACTAGACGAATCATACCACGCGAGTTTACGTCGGTCAGTGAACCACGCCTTTTCAATGACGTCGCTGGTGCAATACGAGCCCATGGTCGACGAAACTACCCAAGTATTTCTCAATCAAACAGCCAAATTATACGCCTCGACTGGTGAAATTTGCGACTTCGCACGGTGGTTGCAATTCTTTGCCTTTGATGTTATAGGGAATATCACATATAGCAAACGCCACGGCTTTATTGAGAAAAATGAGGACATCGAGGGGATTATCAAGTCTCTCTCACGTATATTTGATTATGCGGGCGTAGTGGGTCAGATGCCTTGGTTAGATAAGATGTGCTGGAAGAATCCCCTTTTCGATGTTTTGCAGAAATGGGGCATTATGGATAATTCGCATCCAGTAGCAGTGTTTGCGCGTCAGAGGATGCAAGAACGCATGACAACTGACACTGATAATCAAAAGCCACCAACTAAACCAGGGTATAAAGATGATTTGTTGACAATGTTCTTAAAAGCGCGCGAAAACCGTCCGGAATTTATGACCGAAAAACGTGTTTTAACCATGGCAACATCCATGGCATTCGCCGGGTCTGAAACCACAGCTATCAGCATCGCAGCTGTGTTTTATTATCTGCTGAAAAATCCCTCGTGCATGATTCGCGTGCAAAAGGAAATTGATGACGCTGTTCGGGCCGGTATAGTTGAGAATCGTTCAACTGGGTTGGTCTCCTGGATCGAGTCCCAGAAACTACCCTATCTAGACGCGTGCGTCAAAGAAGCCTTCCGTATGCACCCGGCCGCCGGACTACCCCTTGAGCGAGTTGTTCCACCAGCTGGCATCGAGATAGCTGGTAATTTCATCCCTGGTGGGACGATAGTCGGTTGCAATGCATGGGTGATTCATCGCCGGCAAGAGGTCTTTGGGTCGGACGTTGATAACTATATCCCAGAGCGCTGGTTGACAGCTTCTGACGAGAAACTTAAGATTATGAATACTACCATGTTTCAATTTGGAGCGGGGAGTCGCACGTGCATTGGTAAGAACATCTCCTTAATGGAGATATACAAAACCGTGCCGAGTGTCTTGAGACGGTTTGACGTAGGTTTTTTTTCCTCTTTGCCGCCAGTTACAATGTTCCATATGACAAGAGCCTTACTAAATTTTGATATCATTAGATTCAGCTAGCATATCCCGATGAAGAATGGAAGCTATGGAATGCTTGGTTTGTCAGGCAACACAATTTCAACACCATTTTCAAAGAAAGAGCCACTCGAGTTTGAATGAGACAAGCTAATAATTCAGAAAGCTCAGTATATCCGAATATGTATGTTGAGACGAGGTGTTCAAAGGGATAATCACGAATTCCCGAAGTCTTCTCAGAATTGCATCTACCATGGCTGGGATGGTCCTGGTGAATACTGTAATAGAGTATACCGTCGATGCAGCGATTCCAATGCCCAAATCTATTTGTTGCGCAGTCCAATGAGTATGTAAGGTTGATATTGAATTAATGTTGACTTGAAGGAGAAAAGGCTCTGTTTGCGATAGGTGCACGATACTAATTGGTGTTATCTGCTCATTAATTCTTTTCAGCAAACATAGCATAGGAGCACCATTTAGGATCAATGATGAAATTCAAATTGCAAACCTCTACATACGACTGTACTCTAATAGTAAGGACTCTTCAGTAAACATTTAATTCTCGTATTATCTGTGTTCCTAGTTTTAGTTTAAGAACAACATATATATTAACCACGCTGAATCAGTATTACTCCTCGATAATATCAACCTTGTCTTTATCTGGTATGAATAAGTATAGTAATAGTAGATAATGAAATAATACAAATAAAAGGCGTAACAAATTTCAAGAATGACTTACAAAAAGCAATGTAATCCTTCAGGTTTTTAGCCTTGTCGTAGGGCTCTTTGTAGTACCAAGCGGCATTTTCCAAAGTTTTTCCTAATATAAATGTTAGGAGACGTCTGACATAATGGCATTCAGAATTCAATACACACCTTCTACGACAACATTCCAGTAAGAAGCGTAGCCCTTCCATGAACAAAAAGTCGACAGATCGGAATGTTGCAGCAGTGATTGATCCTTGATTGCGGAGGGAGGGAACTATAACTGTTTAAGTGTATATTTCAAAATATTGAGAACTTTGAATAATTATAGAAATAGAAAACGTATTAAAGTATAGACGTACGTATATGTTGCCTTCCACAAACTCCCAGGAATCAGTCTCAGCAACCACGTGGTCGCCAACCTTGGCTAGAGCGCGAGGCATCCTGATTGTATTTGGTCACTGGTGGTGGCTGAAAAGCTAATATCTTGGTGCAAAAAATGATGGCGTAAAATCACACAGATAAGATGTAAAATGTAAGATTTATATGGGATTGGACATTGCTCAAGTCTGATTTGTAGTTACTGTGCTGTATTTTAGGAGGTTCGGTGGGATGCACGGTAACCCTCCGAGCTTTGCCATGGATTAGTCAAAGCACCGAAGCGGGAACAGCATCTATTAGACTTTGTTAGTGTAGGGTGGTTAGGGATCTGAGATCATTAAATGTGTACGTAGAGAAGAATTGATATATGAAATTCTTGTAACCTTTCCTCCGTACGGCGTGTACGATGCGATTGCGTGCGATTTGCGTGCGCTACCATCATTTTCAATATAGCTATCAAACTCAATAATAAAACTGTAACTATGAAGGAAATTTCTATGCCTACCGATGGGTCAACATATATAGCTATTTTTTTTTAGTGGATTTTCTGTTAGGTCTTTGACTGGAATTTGAAGGACAAAAATATTGCAAATACCACTTATACGTGCATTCAAGTCCCGATATAGAGGAATTTACTTTATTGATACGCACAATCATGGGCGATTCCGGAAATACCGTTTACAAACAATCCAGCATTGGGGTACAGGTCAATGATGGCAAAAAAGAGGACGATGAGACTTCCGGCTTCTACGAAGATGTGCTGGACACGACTGCCATCGATCCAGTTTTGACTCGGAAAATGACTCTTGTGAATGCGGCCATTGACCGCATTGGAATGACTTCATTCCAATGGAAGTTGTTTTTTCTGAATGGGTTTGGATATGCTGTGGACTCGGTAGGTTTCCTTGGATTATAGCTGGATATACTGTCTTGAATACAAAACCAACAAATAACAAATCATTGGTTAACGGGGATGTCATTCGTGAACAGCTTTTGATCAGCTGCCAAGGCATCGCACAGCCTGCAGTTTCGCAAGAGTATGGCAGCCCATCGGCGCAACTGGCTGGTATTGCGCTCGCCTCTCAGGTTGGCCTGCTTGCCGGAGCCGCCTTTTGGGGCTTGTCAGCAGATATTATCGGACGTCGTTTTGCGTTCAACTCTTCCCTCTTTCTGGCTGCCATTTTCGTCATCATTGCAGGTGGGATGCCGGATTATATATCGTTTTCGGCCCTGTGAGTAAACCCAAGTAAGCATGCATCGATAGTTTCCTTGTCAGACTAACTCATAATCCCCTTCGTTTTACCTAGAGTCGCACTCTACTCCGCCGCCGTTGGAGGCAATTATATTCTTGACTCAACTAACATGCTGGAGTTCCTCCCCAACAAGTATTCCTGGTTGGTGACATTTATGTCTCTCTGGTGGGCAGTCGGCTACACTATTTCTGGGCTTCTAGCATGGGCGTTCATGAGCAATTATAGTTGTCCTTCTGATGCCGTTACGTGTGCACGCGTCGACAACATGGGCTGGCGTTATCTTCATTTCACTACTGGCGGCCTTGTACTCATTCTCAGCATACTGCGAGTTGTTGTCATCCGAATGGTACAGACGCCCAGGTGGCTCTTGTCGCAGAACCGAGACGAGGAAGTCATCAGCTTCCTAGCAAACCTGGCCGAAAAACATGGCAAACCTCTCGAACTGACCCTGGAGGAACTGCGTCAAGAGGGGAACATTATCCATACTGATCAATCTGTGTGGTCCGCGGTACGAATTCGGCAGCACTTTGTGGCCTTGTGCCGAACACGTAAGCTCGCCTGGTCGTATACCGTGATCATGCTCAATTGGCTGGTAATTGGCATGGTGAGCCCGCTTTATTACGTCTTCTTGCCGTACTATCTTGCCTCTCAAGGCCGGAAAGTTGGAGACGATTCCAACTACACGACTTGGCGCGATTATGCCATTAATCAAGTGGCTGGTCTGATAGGGCCACTTATTGCAGGGGTTCTCGTCGAGAGCAAGATCTTTGGTCGAAGAGGCACAATGGCAATTGGTGCTTTCGCAACAATGGTCCTGCAGTTTGGTTATACACAAATTCGGACACCAGCACAGAATGTTGGCGTGTCTGCTGCGATTTCTGCTGTCTCGTAGGTTTGATTTTCCTTTTTTGCTCTTTTCCTCTTCTGTTTACTACTCGACTAGTCAATCGCCATATTTTATGCGTTTGCTAACTTTCTCGTCACCCTTAGAAACATTTATTATGGAACAATATATGCATACACACCGGAAATTCTCCCGTCAGCTCATCGAGCAACGGGCTACGCCATATGTGTGGTGCTTAACCGCATTGGCGGCATTTCGGGCGTTCTTGTCGGCAGTTATGCAAACGTTGAAACAACCGTGCCACTTTTCGTTTGTGCAGCATTATTTGCCCTGCTCATTGTGTTAAGTCTGCTTCTGCCTTTCGAAAGTCGTGGAAAACGAATCCAGTAGAATAGTTACGGATACTCTGTGGTGGTAGAAAGTTGGCGATAGGATTTATTATTCGCCGATATCTGGTTTAGGGAGATGAAAGTACAACCAGTATGATCAGTGAAACCAAATTTGAAAGAGACATTGCAATTTAAAAGTAATGTATGCAAATGTCCGTTTTCCCTTGTATTCTCGTAAGACAACTGTTTGTACCACACAAGGGCTTGAAGCGCCTCAGATGATAAATGCTGCATTTGTTAAGAAGTATTCAATTGCGCACGACAGCGAGTTGTCAACGAGATCTGAAGGGCCTCGAATCGCCAAAGGCGGGTCGACCCATTCACCAGACTCAACTTGGCCCTCGGGTCCATTTATTAAGAAAAGAGCAAGCATGGATGCCACATGGACGACATGTGGAATAATGGACAGCCAGTGGACGATAACCAAGCCATCCCATCACAATTAAGTCGAATTCATCACAATCGCTCGCAAACAGCAGCCAATAGTGCCACTTGATTCCCGACCGAGAGCGGATCTAGGCTCGTATTCGCTGTTGTAAGTCAGCGTAAGATGATATTATCCTCTTATTTGCTGCCGAGGATGACGTGCCTAACGGGCCGATTGACGCATATTTGGGCTTAAAATCTTAGCGGCAGCAGAGAAACCGACTTGTTATCAGTACACATATTTAGATCACATGGCTTAATAACAAGATCGCGTCTTAGTTTATCTTCTGCAACACCATATTCTCGTATTCCACCAAAACCACGGTTTCGGGTCCCATTTATAACGGGCTACGGCCTTGGGAGCAGGGAATTGAGCAAAGCCGCTTTTGTTCTCGCCATTCATATATCATGTGAATGGCTTGGCGACCTGGTTAGTGTTCGAAAAAGAAAAGGCAAGGGCGAACGAAGTGGAAAAGAATACGCCGCCGTGACTAGAAATAAGCTTTCTACCCGTGAACGCTCCGGTTATGCGCTGAGATAGTAGGCAATTAAGTATTGGATCAGTTAGCTAAATATCACGACATCATCCAAGTTGTCATGCCCTGGCGATCTGAGCGGGCTGTCTTACTGCTAGAAAAGGTGTCGGTTGTCAGAAGGGCCTCCAAGGCTAACACGAGAAAGATAAGCGAAAAGGAACGAGCAAGGAAATATTAGCACGAGTGAAGAGTAGCCAGGCATATACCTTGATATATCACCTGTCCCCTTTCATCTTCTGCTGGAGTAGTATTATATTCGTCAACGAGCTCAGACCAATAAGAAACAACCGTGAACAAGAGAGCGATGGTCGCGCAAAAACGAGCGCTAAGGGCCTCATGTGATAACTGCCATCAAGCCAAAGTCAAGTGCGTTTCAACATCGGCTGGATGCCAGCGCTGCCTAAGTTTGAATGTACTCTGCGTCCATAGTCCTCCTGGACGGTCCGGAAGGGTGCCAGCTGCTAGTAGAGATAGAGACAGGAGTTCGCACGAGAATAACAACAATAGCAAAGAGCAGAGCTGCACAATTCACGACCCTGGCGTCTCCGCAGAGAGTGAAGATGACAACATTGCTCCACAAGTGTCTTTGCCTACCCCTCCTCCCGCAGCTTCAGCGCTCTCGACACCCCCTGCAACCGAATTTCCCACAGATTCACTGGCGTTAATCGATGAGCCTATGGACCTGATGCTCTCTAGCTGGTTACCCATGAATCATCAGCAGTCTCTACACGACGACCCCGGTAGTACCCCGACTGGGAGATCCTCCATTCCGTCCACCGTGACATCTGCAACAGAGTCTATATCGTCAACATCATCACTATTTAATCAGCCGACGACTCCAGTATTCGGAATGCCATTACCTATATCAACTGCTATGGCCGATTTTGCTACAAGAGAACCAGGAATGGTTCCGCAACGAACCTCACAAGCATCTCTCAATTACCATCACCTTCTTAGCCCTAAGGGTGCTGGGTTGACGTGTACCTGCTTCCAGTCAATTATCCGTGCACTCGAGAAAATTCAAAAGGCAAACATGCCTTCTCTCAGTCTGGATGTTGCTCTCGGTCAAAATAAAGAAGCTCTCATGCAAATTTGCAACTCGCTCAAATGCACGTTTCCTCACGATAGCACGACTCGACTGCTTACGATGGTGCTCCTGCGCAGAAACCTCCATGTTTACCACTTGCTATACCAATTGCGACTCCGAAATGAAGCCGAGACAAATACCTCTAACTCTGAACTGTTTTCTCCTTCCTCGCATTCATTATCCCCATTCACCTTTCCATCACTGCGTCAGGGGTTTGGGACCGGGGGCAACCGGCATTATGATTATAACTTCCCTACTGAACAGTTATATCAAGAAAAGGATACAACGAGTAGTGTTCCTGGTCAGGGAAGTACTAGACTAACCCTTGGAGCGTATCAGCTGGACGATGCAGACGAGAGCTCTTTAAAAAAGCAAATTCTTTTGTTGGATGTTAATAAGGTGCCACTTTTGTTAGAGAGACTCGATCGTCGTGCTTGTGGGCTTGATGAGACGGATGGATTGGACTTGTACAACATGATGCGCAGCGCACTGATCGCTGAGTTCCGTGCTATTGTGACAGCCGTCGAAGCATAGACGCTAGTTGGGGTGTTAATGGGGTTATACATGGGAATTTATGGGCATGAATCTATTTTTCCTGTTTTCTTCAGATTTAAGAATGCTAGTCCGCCACTCTCCTGTTTCTTTTAATTAGATATCTGCCCCATACATAGAGTATATGCTGACTGTGAAAATACATATATTGACAAAAAGGTCGAAAAATTTGCCGTCTGACCAGGAGGCAATCCTTACAAGTGTCTCATACCCCTTTTCATAACACTAAACATGATCAAGTGTATCTATAATAATAATAAAATCGTCGTGAGATCTTTATGGCATATGCAAAACTCTGCTACGTTAGCTGATAATAGATAGTGATAGCAGTGTTGACATGAATAGACGAATTAGTTACAATGCTAACTTCCAGCCTCCTCGGCCTGGAAAAAAAAAATCAAACCGTCTCCAACCCGAACCCCTTCTTGATAACTCTCGTCCCCGTCATCAACACACCACATACTAACAGGGTGACCCCAGTAAATGCCAGTGTCCCTGTGTAATCCAAAGCGCCCTGAACATCAGGATCATTGTTCTGGCTCTGACTTGACAGGATGGCACCGGCGATAGGAGATCCGATTAACACCCCCAAAGAGCCAACAGTCAAAGCCATACCAACGCGAACGCCGATCTGGGCCAAATTTGGACTCAGCGCAACCAAGACGGCTGGTGGCAGGGCCATTAGTCCACCCGAGAAGAAGGAATAAAGCACCGAAGTGGCTATTAAATTTCCTAAATGTTGGACGGATATCCAGGAGAGAACGATTATGCCGGACAAGTAAGCGCAGGGAACGATCACGTTTAGGCTCCCGACTCTGTGGAACGAGAATTTTAGTAAGGTTTCTTTTTAACATCATATTATTTTTGGTGAGGATTAGAACATACTTATCTGCCATTGCATTAGGTAGTAGCCGTCCAATCATCCCTGCACCGTTCATGATACTCAGCACGTAGAAAGAGATATTCGTGTCGGCGCCGATATTGAGCGCATAACTTTCGGCATAGAAGAATGGAATGAAAAAGGCCATAAAGCCTAATGCTAAACCGATTACGAAAGTTGTGTAGGCCGGATCCTTGAATGCAGCCAAATCAATAATTGGCCCGGATTTGCGTGGTGGTAAGCGTGGTCGAAGTAAGGCGATGCCAATTCCTAGTGTTGCTAGCATAATAAATGCCATCGTGCGCACTGCCCATGGGAATCCAACTGTCACAATGAGTCGACGGATGACGATAGGGAAAATAACACCGCCTACAAAATTTTAGTCAGCTTCAAGGCCAGTCTAGAAGGTTACTTTCAGGAAGAGAATGTCGAAATTCAGCTTACCTACGCTACTGCCACTTGCAGCAATTCCAGTCGCCAGTGCTCGTCTTGTCGAGAAATACGTACCGACAAGTGAAATAGCTGGTGTAAATAGACAGCCAGATCCTAACCCGACACAGAGTCCCTGAGCCAGAAAAACTTGATAATATTTGGTTGCCAGGGACGTCATCATCATGCCAAAAACCTCGAGAAAAATGCCCAGAGACACAACCGGGTAAAAGTAACCCCCATCAAAGGCCCGGCCACAGAAGACTCCGATGAATAAGAGTAGAAATCCTTGAATGGAACCGATCCATGACAGAGAAGATTGACTCGACGTCACAAGCAGCGTGCTCGAATAATACGTTTGAAAGATACCGTAGGAATTGGCAAGACCCCTAGAAAATGATGATGGCATTAGTATTTTCCTGTCTTACAGTGGTCGATTGTCCAGTTTTAAGAACTTACCAAGTGTTCAAAACGAATAGAAATCCTCCGAGGACTTGTAGCCAGGCCTTGATACCCCCATTCGGAGGTGGAGGCGGCCCTGCTGGTGCCGGTTGGGCTGTCTCTTCCTTGCCCACTTGTCCTTCAGCTTTGGGAATACCTGTTTCTGTGATGTCGTCTGAAGCCTTCACAATTTCAAATGATGGGATTCGCCCTTCAGAGGTTGAGTCCGACATCGCGGTTCTACTTTTATCTTATTATGAATTTCTTGAAGTCAAGCATGGACTTAGAAAACTAATAAATCGATTTCAATCTCGGAAAGGCCAGTTTGAAGTGAGAAAAGATGAGGCAAATTGGAAGAGCAGCAGCTACGGGGTTTTAATTTTACGATATAAATAATATCGAATTTATTAACGATCTCTCCGATGGCTCTTCTTACGCTTTCCGTTTCGGGAAGTAGCCCCTGTTTAACTACAGGGCATTACCGACTGTTATATTCCCAAGAATTGTTCTATGTGGAAATCCAGACTACGGAGCAGTGACGCTGGCCTTGGGAGGATGATCGTCACATTAAAGGCAAGTCTAGTCTCCGGAAGAGTGGCTGTGCTATTCCCCCATCGAGTTAAGCCGAGCCGATACATATGTTGTAGCGTCTGGGTTAGCATCACTATACTTCCAATCGGCGGTTTGCTAGCCGCGCAACTCTCGAATGGACCGCCAACCGTCTGCTTAGCTCGAACACATAAGCATTTGATCCCCACACCGTCAATTTTTGGCATGGGCAGTGTATTCTAGCTAATTGTTGCTTGTAAAATTCAAAAATGAAAGTTATTATTGCTGGAGGTGGAATTGCTGGACTGGCGACGGCGATTGGCCTGCGCCGCGCTGGCCACCAAGTCAAGGTAAGTTTGCACCCCTTCAGCCCAGTACGCTTAATAGACTGAACTGATCGTTGTTATGTTATTGGTCGGTACGTTAGGTGTTTGAACGCTCAGCATTTCTCCGCGAAGTTGGAGCAGCCATCCACGTCTGCCCAAACGCCTCCCGAGTGCTCCTTGATTGGGGTTTGAAGGCAGAAGAGGCTCGTCTGGTTAGCGTGCGCCGGTCTGTTGTCGCCGCGGCCAACACATTGAAGCCAATTGTCGAGACAGATTGCTCGTCGATCTCTCGGAGGTTCGGCGCACCGTGGTATCTGGCGCATCGAGTCGATCTACATTCCGCCCTCCGCTGTTTGGCCACTACCAAGGATGGACTAGGCCTGCCTGTGGAAATTTTCTTACGCTCCGAAGTAGTTCAGTATGACGCCGACGAGGGATCGATTACTTTGGCTGATTCTTCTGTCCACTATGCTGACCTTGTCATTGCTGCGGATGGAGTTCACACGACAGCAGTTGATCATGTTATTGGCCATTCAGTGCCTCCAGTATCTACAGGCTCTGCAGCCTTTCGGTTTCTGATCTCGACCAAAGAACTACTCAAAGATCCTGAAACAGCGCCGATGGTGACTGACAATGACGGAGTCTTCAAAGTCCTCGTTGCCGATGATTCAAGACGTCTGGTTTGGTACCCTTGTGCTAAGTAAGTAAAACTAGCCCGCAGCCTAGATGGTCTATTGCTGTCTCAATTAAGGGGCTCATCGTGATTGGGTAAACAGTAGCACCCTACAAAATTTTGTTGGAATTCACCCCGACCAACAAGTCGGTGACTATGAAGGTACGTATTAACTTTGTACATGCCAAAGACAAGAAAATTAGAAAATTTAGCTTATTACAAGGTAGACTGGAACCTTTCGGTGGACGTGAATGATGTCCTTTCTCAGTACCGTGACAATCATCCTAGTATTCTCGCAATTCTGAAGTAAATTTCCTATATCGGTCATGTTCATGATTCCCCGGAATAACCGATCAGTTCAATTTAGGAAAGCAAACAATGTTAAGCGCTGGCCACTCTTATATCGCGATCCTATCCCTACATGGCATCGTGGTCGTTTGGTTCTTGTCGGAGATGCTGCCCATCCTATGCTTCCTCGTGAGTTTAAAATATCATTTTCTGACATTAAGCTTATTAGTACAGACCAAGGCCAAGGCGGCGCCCAAGCAATAGAGGATGCAGGAGCTCTAGGAGTGATCTTCAGTGGTTCTCTTTCAGATCCATCGTCATTGCACCTCACTATAGATGATATTAATAAACGCTTGGTTTTGTTTGAAAATGTCCGCTATAACCGCGCTTCAGCGATGCAGATATTTTCAAATGCAGGACAGGACGAGTCATGGAAAATTCGAGAGCGCGCACAGCAGTACATGTCCGCTGGTGCCGAAGTTCCCACCTCCCCGCCGGAGTTTATTGAACATAATTTTGGCTACGATGTACAAGAAAAGGCTAGAGAGCAACTACGAGAATTTTTAGAAACCAGGTCGTGATACATCAATGTTGTGAGGCGAGGTTACTTGCTGGACAGTATTGAACACCACTGTTGAGGTTATAGAATGATCAAAATTGTCTACTTCGCCAGCGGACTATATTGTAACTAGATACAATATAGCAATCATGATACAAAGCAAATATAAATTAAATGCATCAATTGATCCAATAGGGTTGCCTGTAGCTTCCGGAACATCAACATTGATAACATTGAAGCGAGCTCACCTTTACTACATATATAGGCATGATTTTGTCTATAATTGATTCTAATTACTATTAATGTTGTGTACCATTATCAAATTATTTTATACATAATAAACAGCATGACTGATGATAGAATAAATGTTGATAGATAATCTTTCCTTATCAAAGCCATTGTCAATTCATTTAGCTACTTCAGAGATCTACCGAGATTCCACAGAGAAGCAAGAAAATGAGTTTTAATAACCATGAAGTACCTCTGTATAGGAAAGTATCTTATAACCAAAAATATTCATATTAGATGGTAACTGCGTACGCAAAAGACGACCAATGCTGCGAGATGTGAATGAAAGAACCGATCACTGAAAAAGGAAATGCTTTTACCACAGGCGAAGCAATCCTTTGCAATATCATTCTTCAAACACCACTTCAATAATGGTGCTGGCTGCAGTGTCAGGTCCCCGGCGCCAAACTTTCCTAAGTTTCAGCCGTGGGTCTGCTCTAGCTAGAAGCTGAGCAAAATCCTCTTCGGTGCGCTCTCGAGCATTATGCAAAACCATCATTTGCATGTCCAGATATCTGAAGATTCTTAGATAGTCCAATTTTTGAAAGGATAAAAGCCAAAAAAAGGGTTGGAGAGAGGGGAGGAGAAAGGAAGGTGTGGAATGGAGAATAGCATATAAACGAAACTGAATAAAGTATGACATACCGCACAAACTTTTCGTGTAAACCGTGAAGGTGCTCAGGTGGTGGAATTACTGAGTCTGAGATGATTATTCGAGATTCAGGTCGAAGTGCTGGAACAAGGTTTTTCAGAATCTTCACCGCGTAATCGTCCGGCCAGTCATGGAGAATATGTCGCAGATAGAAGACATCAACTCCACGGCGAGTTTGAGTCTGGAACATGTCCTGTATTTCAAAGTGGACACGATCTTGTAGTGTTGATCGAGATTCATATTTTACAGACGAAATGGCTGCTTCGAGGTCTTGCACCACAAATGATAGCTGAGGATAGGCTTCAGCCAAAGAAAGAGATACGTGACCATTACCGCCACCAACCTAGTCGATTACCGATAATCAATAAGATGAACCAAAAAAAAGAAATAGAGTTCAAATGATAGCTTACATCAACAACAAGGGCTTTTCCAAGCGAATCCCATGGAAATCCGTCGACTACTTGCTGATCAGACCGGCCACCACTTTTGCTTAAGCCCGCCATGCCACGATTAAAACGGTCAAAACGGTCGGGGTGTTTGGAAAGGAAAGTGAATAACGGATCCGTCGTATTAAATGCTATATTGAAGCCAGCCTGTGACGGTTCCTCTGTATCAGGATATTGGCGAATTGAATCTACCAGTCTAGATGCGGCAGGAAATGCTTCATGGGTACAGTGTCCTAGAAATGCTGTAAGGTCCTGGTCAATTGCCAGCAGCTCTGAGATGCTCGTGTGGCCGACATATCCAGGCTGGGATTCTTGAAAGATTCGACGAACAAAAAGAAGTCGAAGAACACGCTGAAGCCGACCAATAGGGCAGCCGCTGATGGCGGACAATTCGCTGAACGAGATGCTAGAGCTAAGCGGAACCTTTGAGGCTAGATCAAACTCAATCACTACTGCTATAGCTGTGATATCATGGTACTAATTGTTGCACAGACATAAAATGTTCAATTCTAAGTTAGCTATCTCGGCCTAATTCACTAAAAGGTATTTTCGCCGATCAACTAACAACAGGAGTGAGGTAGAACATACACTATAAGAAAGACTCTTCAAATAATTCTCTGGACCGGATACTAGTATCTGAAGATCCGTTGCTGCCTGGATGAGAGATATTGCTGCATTTTGGCTCTCACTATTATCTTTCTTTCCAGCCAATGAGACACCGTTTGTAGTGATACCTGAAGTTCTCGAGGATTCGGGTAGAAAAGAAGGTGCTGGTTTTGATTGCTGCAGGTTATGTCGGGTGATAGTGAGGGCAGCATTGGAGATTGTTGCGGCAAGGTCAAGTAGGATAGTTGAGTCCGTCATTTTGTGTAATTACGTGAATTGCAGTATTTTCGCCCTGCTGAACCCTTTTAACGTATATTAAACTTTCTATGGTTGATACAACCAAATCGACACAACTTATATACTGGATAAACCATAACATTGTAAGAGAATTTTACCCTCTTCGGCGAATGTGACATGCTCCGTACCGTATAAGTAACAAGAAGAAAGGTAAACCCCCGAGGGCAGGAATGCTCAGTTCGGCGGAGCACCCTAGCGCGATCTCGGCCCTTAATGCAACTCGGAGATACGAGAGCTTCGATATTTTCCGTCTCTCGTATTGTAAGTTGACTTGGGGACCCTTTCTGAGGTTGTGGTTCACTGTTTTAGATACAGCTTTCCCGCAATGCTAATCTCATCAATTGACATTGCACTTCCCACGTTTGGCTATTTTCCGTTTTCAGTCAACACTTTTAGACCGCTATCCTGAGCATCTCTAATGATGGCTATTCTTATCGAACCCAGTTATTCAAGCTGGTTCGGTCTATTTAGCGCAATTGCACTGGTCATTTTTCTTTATAAAGCCGTCTTTACAACTCGACGGGCAAAACTACCAATATACAGCACTCACTCTGGGTGGTTCGCAAGCTGGCACAATTCCCTGGAATATCTCAGAGATAGCTCAGGGGTTCTTAGATCAGGATATGCGAAATTCTCTAAGAAGGGGCTATTTTATCAACTCCGTACGCCGGTGAGATGGGTCATTGTCGTGCCCCCAGAATTTGTCGATGAGATACGGACCGCACCTCCTGATTATCTCAGTGCCAAGGTGTCTGCCAACGATGTATGTTCGATTAAATTTATTTTTTCTGTCATGCCCGTTTTTATAACGCTATGTGTTGTTTACTGACCTAATGATCGAAGGTGGTGCAAACTAGATATACAGTCTCCCCCGTTGTCGAATCAAACAAGTTTCATTTTCACATCCTTAAAACGCATCTTACGCCCAGTCTAGAACGGAATATCACCGATTTATTAGACGAAATCAAACTTGTCTTCTCTGCAGAGATCGGCTCTTCTCAAGGTATTTTACTATATATAGTCTAGTAAGCATGTACTTATGTGCTGAATTCACAGATTGGAAACCAGTTGTCATGTCGCATGCAGCTCATCGCATCGCTACACGTACGGCAAATAGGCTGCTCGTTGGTGCTCCTTTGTGTCGAAACGAGGAGTATCTTCAAATGTCCATTAAATATACTGTGGACGTCTTCGGGGGTGCAGACAAATTGCGCGCATGGCCCGACTTCCTCAAACCCGCTGTAACTTATCTTGTCACCAATGTTAAGGAACGCCAGAAAATTGCCCGAAAGCACCTTATTCCTTATATAAAAGCACGACTGGCAGAGGAGGACCAAATTAAGGAGAAAGGCTTACAGAATACGAAGCCGGTAGACTCGCTACAATGGGTGATTGATGCTGCACCAAGTGCTCAGGAGCGCGATCCAGAGCGGCTCATGTACCGTCTACTTCATCTCAATGTTTCTGCGGTACATACAACCAGTGTGACATTCTTGAATTGCATGTTCGATCTTGCTTCGCATCCTGAAATTATCACTGAGTTGAGAGAAGAGATTGAAGCCGCATTGGATACCTATGGATGGAGTGCACGTGGATTGAGTCAGTTGAGAAAACTAGACAGCTTCATGCTGGAAAGCCAAAGACTAGCACCTATCGCAAGCTGTGAGTATTCAAATATTCAAATATGGTATTTTAAGGCGCAAAATTCTGATCTAATGCTCCGTCTAGCTCAAATGACTAGGGCGGTCGTTAGAGACTTTACCTTCTCAGACGGAACTACTGTTCCCAAAGGCTCTTATGTTCTGGTGCCAATGTATGCAATGTACCTGGACGATGACCTATATCCAAGAGCCTCTGAGTTTGACGCCTTCCGTTGGTCTAAACTACGTGATCAGCCTGGAGCCGAAAATCGCTACCAGTTCGTCACAACATCTCCGACACATATAAACTTTGGACATGGAAAGGATGCGTGTCCTGGTCGATTCTTTGCCGCTCAGGAAATCAAGTTGCTGCTTGCACACGTTATTTTACACTACGATATTCGTCTGGAGGACCCTTCTAATGGCCATCCAAAGCCTACCTGGTATGATCGCTCGCGTCGTCCGAATCAAACTGCCCGGGTGTTCTTTCGTTCTCGTTAAGCGAAGGAAAGAGGTTGATTCGCACCTCCAAGTAGTACATCTCTAGCCTAGTCAAGTGGAATGAAAATAGTTACGAGATTTTAGGAATTAGTTGCAAAATTTAACTAGTTGAAGTTTAACTTTCAACATTGAATGAAACTTGTCGTTCTTCCCAGCTTTCAGACCGTTATCCCGATGTAAGACAGTTTGCACGTCTCCCATAAACTCCATATCGCATTCATTGATTTAGAAGACGACCATCTAAATGTGCCTAGCATGATCTCACCAGGTTCTCGACAGTCGCTATTGTGGGCTGTTAGTGATCTGGCATATGGCAAAGTCTAGTGGCTCATTAAGGCATATTCTTCTCCTCCTTAGCTTTTAAACGATAAAAAGAACAACACACGAATCAAATTTTTTTACTTGAAGATGATAGTGTATCATTCCACCGAAGCTGACACGAACCTAGTAGCTAATCCGCCGAAAGCAGTTCAATTGCGTGATGGGCGTGATAATTACGCGTCCCGTAATTGGTGCGGAGGAAGAGGGCTGACGCACTTTCTCATCTTCGTTATCCTACAACACTACAATCCCACGTGCTTTCCGTATGAACTTATAATTGCAGGCGCCATACGGAGTATGTTATTTTTAAATGACTAGCTAGATGCCGGATACAACATAATATCCACGTTTTCTTCTCAATTGGCGGCGGTTTACTACATAGTCCATCGCGCCGAGTAGTGCACATAACCTTAAGAGCACATATCAGTATACGAGCCTGCGGGAAAACCAAATTAAAACATTTTTCGGCTGCTTAACAAATGCGAGAGAGTAGTTTATGTCATCGGATAGCAAGGCCTAGAATTCGGAGGGTATGAATTGATCTTGAACTAGTATGATGGTTCCGAGGCAAGTCTGCTGGCTATAGGTAGATAAAACTCTGTCCCTCACTTAAAGTTCAGTTAATTATTTACTTAATATCAAGGCGCTTCATTATTGCTATACGTATGGCCGATAAGAGTACTATTTCAATTATCCACAATGCGTCGACTATCACAGGAAGATCGACTTAACGTTGTCCTACTGGGTGATCAAACAAGCAATGTATCGTCTTTACTTAGGAAACTGTTGCTTGATGCACCACATAGTGTTTCGCAAAGTGAATTTATTCGAGATGCTAGTGCCGCATTGAAAGGAGCATACGATCGCCTACGTCCATTTCAACGCGAAAAACTCCCTTTGTTTAAAAACGTTCATGAGTTGGCCAAAATCTATCAAGAGGGTAACGGTGAATGCCATCCCTCGATTGCCAGTGCTTTATTATGTGTAACACAATTGTTACAGATATTTCGGTGATTTTCCCAAATGTCCTTTAGGCGTGGAAATACGACGAAATCGACCATTTGCTAACGTCAATTCAAGATATTTTGAAGGCAGAGGACGCCGTCCAGAAAACAACGAGAATATCACAGTAGTTGGGCTATGCACGGGGTCACTTGTTGCAGCGGCCTACGCTGCTTCCGCGTCCTTAGACGATTTGAAGGTGCTTGCTGTGCCGACTGTCTCCATGGCTTTTCAAATGGGTCTTCAGGCTGCCACGGCGAGCAGTATGCTCCACGAGCAGATCCCGCCGTTACGAAGTTGGTCCATATCGATCCCCAAAATGACAGAAGACGAAGCCCTCTCTGCCTTACAGATCTATGATGCAGGAGGACACCTGTCTCTCCGCCATCGTTGCTTCGTGAGTGCTGTTGGCCTTAATAGCATCACCATTAGCGGTGCACCGCCAGCTTTGAGCCGTTTTTCAGAGAGCTTAACAGCTTCTAAACCAAATAGAAAACCGAGACCGCTACCCATCTTCTCCGCTTACCACGCCTCTCATATTCATACAGTATTAGACTTTCGCAGCTTTCTCCAGCGCTCTGGGATCGACCCTGAGCTCTTAGCCTGTTTTGAATCAAGAAAAACCATTCTATCACCCCTTACCGGCCTGCCGATTGAATCAAATAACGCGCTAGGCATATTCGAAAATGTTGTTTGTCAAACGATGCAAGCACCTCTTCGGTTGGATTTGATTACCAGCAATTGTATCTCATATATCAATGAGAATAACATATCGTCTGTTAACATCGATATCATCGGACCAGCTCCTATTTCAGACAGCTTTGCAAGCACTATTCGCAGTGGTTCGAAAGCGACAGTTTCCACACGTGATCTCATAGCTCTCGAGCCGGGGGTTGATGAGTATCGCCCGTCAGCTGCATTCCACCGTGCGCCATTAGCTGTTGTTGGAGTCTCAGGCCGCTTCCCTGGTGCTGATAGTGTTGAATCATTATGGAACGTGCTAGAGCAGGGCTTGGACTTACATCGAGTGGTGAGCACTACGTGTACTATTGACATTTTCCAAGCGAATTTGTTATTCACATTGTCTTTAGGTGCCAAAGGATCGATTTGACCAAGAAAAACATGTTGACCCTACAGGAAAAACCAAAAACACAAGCTGGACTCCCTATGGTTGTTTTATTGAACGCCCGGGCGATTTTGATCCACGGTTCTTTAATATGTCACCTCGCGAAGCACTTCAAACAGATCCCATGCAGCGATTAGCACTTGTAACAGCATACGAAGCCCTAGAAATGTCAGGATTTGTTCCAGGCCGCACTCGCTCTACCTCTCTAGATCGAGTCAGTACGTTTTATGGTCAAACAAGCGATGACTATCGAGATGTCAATTCCGCACAGGACATTGGGACGTATTTTATTACAGGAGGAATCCGAGCATTCGGTCCGGTGAGTGCCTGACACCATTTACTTATTCAAGTCAACTTTAAAATGTAGATCCAATTGACATTAATTAATCTGATTCCTAGGGACGAATTAATTATTTCTTCAAATTTAGAGGTCCTAGTTATAATGTTGACACGGCCTGTTCATCAAGTCTAGCTGCAATACAACTTGCCTGCACATCCCTATGGAGTGGTGAATGTGATACAGCTGTGGCAGGTGGCCTCAGTGTTCTAACCTCGCCTGATTTATTCTCGGGGCTGAGTCGTGGCCAGTTTCTCTCAAAAACCGGTTCATGTAAGACCTTTGACAATGATGCGGACGGCTATTGTCGGGCAGACGGTATTGGAAGCGTGGTTATCAAGCGACTGGCAGATGCGGAACTCGACCGAGATAATATTCTGACGGTTATTTTGGGTGCTGGTACAAACCATTCCGCCGACGCTGTCAGCATTACACATCCTCATGCGGAGACACAGTCGACTCTTTACCGAGACATTCTTCAACAATCCGGTGTCGATCCTCTGGATGTGGGCTATATTGAAATGCACGGGACTGGCACGCAGGCAGGTGATGGCACGGAAATGCGTTCAGTTGTCGACGTTTTCGCGCCGGCGAGGCCTGTCCGATCCACAGAGAATCCTCTGTATGTCGGAGCAATCAAGGTCCGTAAATAACATTCGCTTTATATCAATACATCGTGAGAATAACAGAGTTGACTCAAAAATCATAGGCAAATATTGGCCACGGCGAGGCTGTAAGGCGCACATCTCAATCATGTCAATTAATTAAAGCTAACAAAAGCATAGTCATCTGGAGTTGCATCTCTCATAAAGTCCATTCTAATTTTCAAACACAATGTAATCCCCCCTCATGTTGGGATCAAAAACACAATCAATAAAGATTTCCCAGATTTGAAGGCCAGAAAGTAAGTGACCGAGATATAGAAAATTTCCAATAGCCTGGTCTGTTAGCTGACTTGGAGTTGCCAGCGTCCGAATTGCAAGGACAAAGACATCATTTCCACAGACTAATGAGAAAAGAAGAACAATCCTCGTGAATAATTTTAGTGCAGCTGTCAGTGATCCACTATGTATCCAAATGAAGCTTTAACTCACTAACCTTACTATACTATCTTTTTATAGGGTGGAAACACTGCCTTGTTAATTCAAGAGCCTCCGAATCCGGTGATTGAAAATAGCACCGAACCTCGTCCGCTACATGCTGTATCTGTGTCCGGACATACCGTATCTGCTGCAAAAAATAACCTGGAGAGGCTGATTGCATACTTATCTACAAATCATGACGTATCTCCAATAGACCTTTCGTATACGACAACTGCCCGTCGCAGACATCATAGATTTCGTCTCACGGTGACGGGAAGCTCAATTGATAGCATTAAAACTTCCTTGGAACAGAAACGGCAATCAATCCTTTCGGCTCCAAGTACACCCGAAGAAGGCCCTTCAATTGTGTTCGTCTTTACCGGGCAGGGCACAGCATTTCCAGCGTTGGCTTATGAATTGTATAAGACCTCAAGTCAGTTCCGAGCAGACATCGACCACTTTGATGGAATTGCTAGACAGCAGGGATTTCCGACATTCCTTCCCATCATTGATGGTAGTGTCATGGATCTCAACTCGCTTTCTCCAATCCAGACTCAAATTGGACTAGTATGCGTTCAGGTAGCCCTGGCCCGTTTATGGAGCTCCTGGGGGGTCAAACCAACTGCAGTTTTAGGTCACAGCCTTGGTGAATATGCTGCGCTTCAACTCAGCAGCGTACTGTCAATAAGTGATGTCATTTTTCTGGTTGGATATCGCGCTAGGTTACTTGAAACTAAATGCGAAATGCACTCGCATAGCATGCTTGCCGTTGCAGATTCGCCGAGCGTGCTCCAGTCTGTTCCATCTAATATATCCTCCCGCGTGGAGATCGCCTGTGTTAATAGCCCCAGCGAAACTGTTTTTGCATCTGACAAACATGTTATCGATCAGCTGGAGTCATATTTTGTGGCTCGTGGACTTCGATGCACCAAGCTCCCAGTGCCTTTCGCTTTTCATTCAGCGCAAGTTGACCCTATTCTTGACGACCTCGAGGAAGTAGCAAGTGTAACAAACATAGGAGCCCCGCAGATTCCAGTTATAAGTTCCCTATTTGGGCGTATTTTAGGTCCCAAAGACCCAATTGGCGCCCGGTATCTGCGTCGACACTGTCGAGAGGCGGTACAATTTTCTAGTGCAGTGACAAATGCAAGAGATGCTGGACTGATTAATGATTCTACCGTCTTCATTGAAGTTGGACCCCATCCAGTATGTTCAGGCATGCTGAGATCAATCCTTGGCAATAATGTTCAAGCTCTGCCTACATTAAGAAGGAAAGAAAGCCCATGGAAAGTGATTGTTGGTAGCCTCGCTTCACTTCATGACATGGGGTTTCCGATCAACTGGTTCGAGTATCATCGCGACTTCGAAAAGACATGCCGTCTTTTGACGTTACCAGCATATGCATTTGACAATAAGAACTATTGGATTGAGTATCGGAATGATTGGACGCTACGCAAAGGTGACCCGTTGCCAGCGAGCCATGTACAAAATGCGACTCGTCAACCACCCAAACAATTACCAGCGTCTGTTCACCGGGTTGTGGTTGAAAGATACCGCGAAAGGGATGCAGTTGCCATATTTGAAACGGATCTGTCAGCTACTGCCATTTATTCTGCGATCACCGGCCATCGCGTAAATGGGGCGACATTGTGCCCATCTGTAAGTTTATTGAACTGTCAAATGAAACGTTCATTCATTACCATACATACTTACTACGTGCTACTACAGTCCATATATGCAGATGTTGCACTGACTATTGCTGATTATATTCAAAATCACCCCCAATCCGGATTTACGCTTTCAGGGCACAATATTTCCTCGATGGAAGTCCATCAGCCCCTCATCATCAAGTCTTCCAAGAACGATGAAGACCGTGTATTGCGCGTATATGCTCGTTTAGATCAGGCCCCACACAAAGTCAAACTGTTTTATGTTTCCGTGTCTCCAGACCAGGAAACAGAGACTGAACATGCAACGTGTGTCGTGGAATTTGAGGACCCAGAGAAATGGCTTCGACGATGGACACATGAGTTTCATCTTATCCAGGACCGTATCAAGGCACTTGAGGCACTATCGGAGTGCGGAGAAGTCAGCAAAATAGCAACAGGATTGGCTTATCGTCTTTTTAGCAGCTTTGTTGATTACTCTCCGAATTATCGGCGCATGGAACGAGTTTTGCTTGCTGGTGGCTTGTTTGAAGCCGCTGCAAATGTCAACCTGAACGACAGGGGTGATGATTTGGCCTTCTTTTGTAGTCCATATTGGATTGATGCTCTATTACACATCTCCGGATTTGTTCTCAATGCCAACGACTCCGTTGACCACGAGGAAGCGGCGTACATTTCTCATGGTTGGGAAACTTTGCGATTCGCCAAAGCCTTCAATCCTAGCGGAAATTATAAAACATATGTTAGAATGCTTCCCGGAGAAAAGAAAATGATGGAAGGCAATGTTTGGATTCTGTGCGACGAGCAAGTTGTGGGATTAGTTGAAAATATTCGCTTCCAACGTGTTCCTCGCACAGTACTCAATATTCTTCTTCCCCGACTTGGCAAGGATTCAAGACCTGCCAACAAGGCAGTCAAATCAATTGTTAAGCATACACAGGAAAGGAAAAGTGATATCATCAAACCATCCAAAACGGAATCAAATGGTAGACAAGGAGGAGACAGCTTCCTTGATCTCATAGCATCTGAGCTCGGGCTAGCTTCCTCGGAAATTTTACCACATGACAATCTATCTGATCTTGGTGTTGATTCTCTGATGTCTTTGACCTTAGCCGGTAGGCTTATGGAAACATTTGGACTAGATATATCACACAATGAACTTATGGCAGCTTCAAGTATCATGGACTTGCTTGGAATTCTAAGACAGAAGGCTAGTGGTTCCCTGCAGCAACCAATCAATCTCCCAAACCAAAATGTGAGCGATAATTCAGTTACGGCGTACAGATCTCCAGGTTCTTCGGAGACCTTAGAGCCGCCTTCCTTCACTCCTGCTAGCAACAGCAGTGACATAGTGGAGCTTACTAGAAGCGTCATTTTGGAGGAGACAGGTTTCTCAGCAGAAGAACTTGAGCCTTCTACACCGTTGAGTACACTCGGAGTTGATTCTCTTATGAGTTTAACAGTACTGGGAAGACTTCGGGAGTCAGGAGTCGAACTCCCGGCAGACTTCTTTATAAAAAATGTCACCATGGAGGAAGTCGTCCAGTCGTTGTCTAGTACCTCCGAGATTGAGAATGTACCAAACAATCCTATTGCGATATATAGGAAGGAGCCGAAACCCCTCTCCCCCGAAAATCCCCGATTAGATTCCAAGGAGAACAACGCTAAGGTAGTACTTCTTCAGAGACGGGTTGAGCTATCTAGCACCAAAACATTATTCCTATTTCCGGATGGCTCGGGCTCGCCATTTGCCTATGCGGCTTTGGGACAGATCAGCAAAGAGTTCGATGTATATGGTCTTGTTTGCCCATTCATCAACACGCCTGAGAACTATGTCTGCGGTATTGAAGCGACAGTTCGAATGTATCTCCGCACCATAAAGGCAACACAACCCACTGGTCCATACTACTTCGGAGGCTGGTCTGTAGGCGGTGTCCTTGCATTTGAGGCCTCAAAACAGTTGGTAGAAGTTGGTGATCTGGTCCCAGCACTTTTCCTGATTGACTCTCCTTGCCCGACAGTTGTTCCCCCGATGCCAACCTCCCTCATTAAATTTCTTGATTCTATTGGCCTGTTTGATAAATTATCCGATACAGCTGTGTCAAATTCAGGTGACAATAGACAAGTGCTATTAAAGCATTTTGATGCCACGGTTAGCAACCTAAGTCTTTACAAGCCTTCTCCTATATGCCCAGCTTCAGCAGCACCTCAAACATTTATCGTATGGGCTCAGGAAGGGGTTCTCAAAGATTATGAAGGTCCAAACCCGGTGTTGACACCTCCAGGATCCTCTACGGCCATTGAAGATTGGATACTAGACGATCGCACGAATTTTGGGTCTCGCGGTTGGGAAACTCTGCTACCGCTTCAAGCCATCACTGCTGGGTCTGTTCCGGGTAACCATTTTACTATGATGGCTACCCCGAATGTAAGTTTCGATCTCATTTCTCCCGTCTAGTACGTTATCAAATCGAATAATTGCTAATCGCTCTCACTTATGCAGATTTCGAAGTTGTCTAGCCATCTGCAAGGGGTCGTATCTGCTTTGTAATAGAACCAACATTGGTAACAGCTGGATTAGCACCATTACTAGATTGAATTGTTGTCCATGATGACAAGTAATTACTCTCAGGCTCATTGTATGAACGTAGTCTATCTCTTAATTGCCCTGGGGGTATCTCTTTTAAGAGCCCCTCCGAGAACACATTTTCCAGATCGTTTGCAGCATATACGTAGTCTGGCTAATTTGCGCATGCAGATAGACTCGAGGGACGGCATGGAAGCGGATACCTAAATCTGAAAATAAATGTTTTGTCATCTGTAACTTCGCTCTAGGCTGGACTAATCATGGACCGAATATTAATAATAATACTGTATCGTGTTTCGCTAAACGCGGCTAAGCCGATTGGGTGAACCGAAGCCCATCCAGATATAGTTTAGACTTCATAGACAATAGTGGAGATGTGTCATGTCACCTCGGCTTTGCTAGCCAATCGCTGGAGACAGAGCATTGAACTAACTTAGATCACAGGACAACGTAAAAGATGTCTGCACAATTAGTCAACCTTCAGGGTTTGCGCAGGCATTTTTCTGTCGTCGTAAATTTGCACCATGAGTATACGTCCTGAGCCATGGTTGATCCTGGGCGCTTTATTGCTCGGGTTGGTCACTGCCATCACCAACCCCGACTCAACCTCACAGGCTCTGCGATTGGACTGGGAAGCTATCAGTCCCAGTCGTGACCTGACGTACTATGACTGTTACGATGGCTTCCAGTGTGCGCGTCTAGAGGTGCCTCTTGACTGGGCCAATAGCACGGACAACCGTACGGCCATCATCGCCATCGCCAAACTACCCGCAGTAGTCTCCGATAGTGATCCATCCTTCGGCGGTAGTATTTTTGTGAACCCAGGCGGGCCAGGGGCTTCAGGCGTCTCCTTCATTCAGAGAGCCGGGCATAATTTGCAGAATTTTGTCGATAAGCCCAGCCGCCGACACTACGAGATTGTATCGTGGGATCCTCGCGGCATTGGCCATACTACTCCAAGCTCTGACTGCTTCCACTCAAATTTGATGTCCCGAAATGCTTGGCTACTGGAGGAGCGTGGAAACGGCGGCCTTGACAAGGGACTTGGCGCAATTAAGCATGGCCTGTCGATGACAAAGGGCTTATCCCAGCGCTGCAAAGACTCGGAAGATCAACATGGAGATGCCATGGCGTATGTGAACTCTCCTAGTGTGGCTCGCGATATGGTGCAGATGGTGGATAAAGTTGACGAGTTGAGGAAACGAGAGGACACCAGTAAACATGACGAGCCTCATCTGGAGCTCAAGAAGCGGACTGGGAAGCCTGAAGGAGATGCGCCGAGGCTGCAGTATATTGGATTTTCCTATGGCACAGCGCTTGGTAACTATTTTGCGACTTTGTATCCTGGACGCGTTGGGCGGATGGTGCTCGACGGAGTTGTTAATGCAGATGACTATGCAAATGGACCGGTAAGTGCATTACTTCTCAGCCTGAGCAGCGAAGTTTCAGGAGGACTCCAACTACAGATGTATCAAACTAATATCCCTTCTCCCACTACGTAGGGCTGGCTCTCCAGTCTTGATGATACCGATGAGATTCTCGAACAATTTTGGCGGGGCTGTCATGAAGCAGGCCCTTCCGTCTGTGCCCTCGCTTCTGCGTCTGACGCATCCGCCTCCGATCCTAAAGGCCGCTTCTGGTCTTGGGTATCCCATCTAGATGAAGCCCCACTCCCCGTGGTGACGTCTACAGGGTTTATTGTCACTGTCACTGGCAATGACATCCGCAAACTTGTCGGTGCTACTCTCTATGATCCCGTTCCGGGATTTAAATCTCTTGCCAATACGCTTCATCAGGCTATGAGGGGCAACACAACTAGTCTGATCACCAGCATGTTGGCAATTGGCCATATTCCGGATCTAGACAATACCTGCTCCGACAAAAATAGGACTGCGCCACTTTCGTTCCTCCCCGAAGCACACTTTGCCGTCGTCTGTGCGGACGGTGATGATATCACTAACAAGGACGCTGCCTGGTGGGACAAGTACGTTCATCGGCTGATGGACAAGTCAAAATTGTTTGGCAGTTATTGGGCCAATATTCGCTTTAGCTGCTCAAACTGGCCGTTTCGACCCAACTTGTCATTCAAGGGTCCTTTCAAAACCCCAAAGGCTGTTCCAAGTCTGACTGCAGGACATCCAGCTGCTCCATTATTGTTTCTGAGTAACCGGCTTGACCCCGTAACACCACTTAACTCTGCCCGCGCCATGGCATCTGATCACCCCGGTGCTGCCCTGATCATTCAAGAAGCTATGGGCCACTGTACTATTGGCACCGCTGCGAGTGATTGCACTAAAATGATTGTCGCTGACTATTTCGAATATGGCACGGTACCGTCGGGAGAAACGATATGCAAAACACAATGCGGGCCATGGGACGAGAACTGTAGTGGTTACCCTACCGTAGATGTAAACAGAAGCAAATCTACAAGAGGGCAATTTCGAGACGGTTCTCTTTCTTCAGCTATGAGAATGTTTCCTCTAGGGGTATGAAAAGATAAAGAATACACATAATGATGTCTAAATAAAGGTGTATAATCTGTATTTTTATTCAATTTTTAGTTGGAGCTATAGCTAGGCCTGGAGGCTCGAACTCTAGCCCTTTAGATTAGTTAAAGGTATGAACGCTAAAACTATAAGAAATATTAGTCTTATTTCGTATAGTGACGGTCAACATATTAAAGCAAAATCTCATGTTTCGCTTCTGTCGACCCTGCATCTCGTTTCGTAAAGTAGTACTCATTGAGTACCATACACAATCAAACAGATAGGAAATGTAGGCTCTCACTTTCGCAGACATGGATTAATGCAGTTAACAAACTTTCTATATATAGCCTTTTTCAATGACAACAAGCAGGCTATCCAACGTTATTTTGAAGGTTTCACTACTTTCGTGGCATTCCATCCTGACCGAGTCATTGTCCGCTAATATATCAATTGATATTTTCTAGTCACCTTTTTCATATCATGTGAAGCCATACAATAATTCAAAAATGAATCACTTAAAAAAGAAATATAGAACCATTCCAACATACAGGTAAATCATATCCCATGCCACATAGACTCTTAAATAGACAAGTTTAAAGTTACCGAGGCTTGTTTTTCTTAGAATGAACCAAGTTTATTTCGTGATGGCAATATCTGCACACGACAGGTAAACTTGAGAAGTCTCTTCAGCGTTCCACTTCCATGCAAGAAGGGTATGGTTGGTAACATAATCAGGAATTTTGATCTTCTTGGTCACAGTGTAACCACCTGCAATGGAAGTATAGCATGAGCCAAGCGTAGAGTTGTCAACACCATGGCAGCTGGTTCCGGAATAAGCCTTGCAGGTAAACCATTTGTTGTTCCAGCATTCCTCGCCTTCCTGACAATCAGGACTGTAGTCGCATTCCTGCCCGTCAACATCGGTACAAGGAAGAAGTCCCTCTTCGAAGCACTTTTCAGCCTCCTCCTTCTCATCATCGGTCGGGAGATAGGTGGGATCGAGGAATTTATTGACCAGCGTTTGGTTTTGGCAGATACGGTAGCTAAACATGCCGCCATGGTCACCATTGTGGTCGACACACCATTGCACCGTCACGACTTCCCCAGCCTTGTAAGTGGCGGCAAGCTTCTGACCACCCCAGGAAGCATTAGGCTGATTATAATCAACACTAACACGGGCGTTATACCCGCAAACACCACTACGACCAACTACAGGCCCATTAAGGTCTGGCCAGCCACTAACAGGCTCAAGGATAGTACACTCCGGGCATGTATCTATTCCAGACTAGAATGTAACCATTAGTCTTGATATAATACGTTTCGACACAAGCAGATAGAAGAACTCACCTCGTGCCCCAGTCTAGTACGACTTGGAGGTATGTACATATATCCATGTCCAGCAACAGAGGTTGCAAATGCAATCGCAACGATGGAGGTAAACAGCATTTTGTGAGTGAAGAATGTATTAATCTGGCTCGATGAGACTAGAGGACTCCTGAGAAAGAAAGTTTATTGTTGTCTTTTTCAGATACATCTTTCGAGCTTGATGGCGACATCTTGGCAACTTTATATCCATCCCCAAATAGTTCCAAAGGGCTTCTTTGATAGTCCAAGGCTAGAGAAACCCCGAATATGAAACGTTGACGGGAAATTTACTCGGCAATCTCAGGCGGAATGCGGTCATCAATTTGTTCTTGATACTACTACATAGTAGACACGTTTGGTATCTTAGTTGCCCGCGACTCTGTGCAGCTCGCGGTGAACGAACTTGGCGCGGAATCGCTTACGATAATGATGTATCATTTGACAATTAGGTATCGGTTGAAACTTGAAAGTCCCCAAAAATCAGGAGACACAACCAATTTCTCCGGTCGGGAAATATTTTTGCAGTTTATTGGCAGTTGCTGACACGAATTTCTCTCACACACAGTATAGATTCTACATCAACACACACAGCTGGACCCCATAACTTCACTCCACAACGGAGAATTACCCCACACGGGGAATTGTTTCTATCATGCAGAAAGCAGGATTGAATTGGCTGAAAGAGGCGTCTGTGGGAAGCCATGAGTGGTTAATTAGACATATTGGACTCAGGGTTCGAAGGTAAGGACGGCACGATATAGCAATTTATTATTCCATTGACAACAGAACGCAGGTCAGTCGAGCTCTCCACCAGCACCAAGCGCCAGCATCCTGTCTCCACTTGATTTTTTAAAAAAGAGAATGGTAGATCGCCCTCGTGTAATATAAATACCAATGAAATAAATAAGTCTTTATAAGTAACTTGGTAGGGAGATGGGTGAGAGATTAGGGTTTAGAAGGCAAATTAAGAAAATCCTAATTTAGAAGGTCCGGAAATTGATTTCGAAAATGCAACTCTGAGCGGGAAGATCTCGATAGACGTAAGCGCATTAGGCAATCCGTTAACCAGCCTGGAGGAGACTGTTTTACGTCCCAGGCTATAACAAGAATAGGGATAGCCTTGATCACATAATAGATTGATTAGTATGTTTTAAAACTTTCAATGAGCTCATATACCCCGTATTTGTGAATAGAACTCTTTAGAGAAATACATACCTCATCACGGCTAGCGGGCTACAGGTTCGTAGTCCCTACAAGTCAACCTTCATTTATTCCCGGTGTTATACTGCCCCGTCAATACTCCGTGGTCGGAGAATAATAACGATTTATGAGCGATACCGAATTATATAGTGAAAGATAATGTAGCCGTACATACGTGGTTCCGACGGATTTTGTATATTATAGTCGACCTCGATATCCATCGGTCTTATTATATTCTTATAGGCCATAGTGGACCTCGATGTGCGGAAAAATCTACTTATCCTCGTCGGACTAGTTCTTACATTGGGAAGTATGGATACTGTTACATCTATCAGCCATACAAGCGCCAGTGACTTAAAAAAATCGGATTCAAGCAAGGTGATAAATTCTCGATATGCCTGGGTCCTGCTGGTTTGCCTGGGCGGGTTAGCTCTTTTTGCATGCTTTTCAAAGTCTGGTTTTGTGCGCAGAAAGGTCAGCAAAGCAGCTTCGTGGCAAGGACGAAAAAACATCTCATCTATGCTCCTCTGATTCGGTCTAGCCACATCACCGGGTTCCAACTGTTGTCTGCGTTAGCTACAGTCAAAATCCCAACACGCCTGCAGACTTGCATCATTGTGACCACGGTAGCCCTAAACGTGACATTTCTTGTGAGCCATATTCAACGGTCCTCCACCGAGGCCTTGCTCCCGGTTGTCAGAAACCGAGCAGGCACATTAGCGAATGCAAACCTAGTTCCGCTGGTCCTTCTAGCTGGTCGAAATAACCCCTTAACAAGCTTTTTTGGGATTAGCTTTAGCACTATAAATGTTTTCCATCGCTTGCTTGGTCGCCTTGTGGTTTTGGCATCAATTATGCATGCTGTTATGTGGCTAGTTGGTACATCTGCGACGCGTGAGTCTCGTTTGCCGCCTCTCCAAGTTTTTGAATGCCGGAAGCCCAGAGTAAATAGCTGGATGGAAAGCCGGATCGGTTAATATCAGAAATGATGATTTCCTCTTCACTGGATTGATAGTATGTATCTATACTGGACTTTCTGCTCAGTGATTGATGGAAATATCAGACTGTTACAGCATTCATTGCCCTTGGGATCCATTCTCCGTCAATATTCCGCCATGCGTTCTACGAAAAATTTCTCCACTCCCATATTCTTTTCGTCTGCCTTGCACTAGGTGGGTCTTGGCATCACCTAGGGCAGCTTCCCGCACGTGCATATTTGTTCGCGGCAATTAGCGTCTGGGACACACAGGTCAGGACTTCCTGGTTCTGGGATAGATTGTAACTTTCTGACAGGCTCTAAATCTAGAGGCTCGCCCGTTTTTTACTAATAATATGGAGGGGTTACGCCTCCGACAAAATCACCAAGGGTGTAGTGAGGGAGGTTCAAGATGAAGCCTTTCAGATCTCACTGACGGCGGCACGCTCATGGACTATCCAGCCTGGCCAGTATATCTTCCTCTACATGTCTTCTATTGGATTATCGACGTCGCATTCGTTTATAATTGCGTGGTATGATTAAAACAAAATCAAATCCAACGAAAGAAATGCCGCCGTCATGGCCAGATACCGACGCATCTCAGAAACGCAAAGAGACTACAATTCACCTTATCATCAGGCATAGAACAGGTTTCACGGCAGCCCTTTGCAGAAAGATGCAAAAAAGCGAGGTCCATATTGCCAATGTATCTTCATTGATTGAAGGACATATGGAGGAGGGCAATATTGCCTAAGCTCGTACGGTACAGTAATACAGTTTGCGGGAGGTGTTGGAATCACCTATCAGCTATCATATGCTCGTTACATTATCAATGGCTTGGCTGAAGGTTTTCTATCTGGACGTCGACGCATACAGCTAGTTTGGACTGTTTAGAACGTTGAGCATATCGAGTGGGTTCGAAGTTGGTTAGAATCTCTCTTCAGAATTGAAAAGGCGAAGGACGTCTTTCACTTACAGATCTTTATTACAAGAGACTACAGCATTGCCAACGAGACTTTCAGTATAGGCGGAAATCTCCAATTATTCTCGGGACGCCCTGATGTCAATAGTATAGTCCGCTGTAATGCCGAGCAACCAGTCGGCACTATTGCGGTCACGTCGTGTGGACCTGGGACCATGAGTGATTATGTCAGGAAGGCATGTAGAGACTACTAGTTTGAGTGTAATATTGATTACTTCGAAGGAAACTACTGTTGGTAGAACAGTGCAAGAGATAGCTGAAATCAACCGATATCGAGTTATTGAATGATTATTCCCGTATATTAATATTACTTTATTAATTCAATGTTCCCAGGGACATTGGGCAAATAATGTTCCGAAGACCCACAAAGTGCACGAGCGGAGTTCCTACATCGGTGTTCAATTACAAATTGACATATTCTGGGGGCGCTCGTCCTTTGGCCTTATGGTTTCTATTTTTGAAAACTATGGTACTGCCTGTTTTTTATTTAGTTTTAGTTAATGTTTTATGCTTGCGACCTGCAACTAAATATTTCAAGCCGTTATAGTGAAAATCAAAATACTTTATTGCTTGATAATATGAATCTACAAGTCACCACAATGCTCGAGGTAACTTCCTTCTATACTGCTGTTGATAAGGATCGAGGTACTGCGGTACTAGTCCTCGCACCACAGTTTCCAGTAACAGTCTTCATCGCCAACGCTACCCAACTGGAATAGGACGGGTTTGCAACTTCGCTACTGAGATCAGCCACAAAAATGCTCGCCACTATGTTCGCGGAAATTGATATTATCGGGGCAGTCGCGGTTGCTAGGAGCCGCAATGGATTGTGCCCACCTCAGCCCCAATGTTCCAGCACTCGTTGAGGCGTTACCCGTTTGGCTGCCATCAGTCCAAAATAAACAGTTTTGACACCTGTATATCAATGTATAATGCGTCAAATTCAACTTGGAGGAGATTTGGGTCAATGTAGCATTTCCGGAGTATACACTTGGCTTGGCATAGGTGGTCGTATAGCGGAAGGATGTGAAAATTGTCTGGTTATACGGATAGGTCATTAAGAGAAGTGAATTTATCATATTGCCCCCAAGGGAAATTCCACACCACCCCATATCTGTAGTATTTGTAGATGAACATTGCTTTCCACCCATGCCAAGTTAGTAAAAAAACTCTGACACAGTTTCGTCTAGACGCAATTTTCTCACTAGGTAGCCAATAAACTCGCTGGCATCAGTCTTGAGTGCATTGCTTGGAAGCGCAAGACCAAGTGTAAGGCCACTATTTGTAACTTTATCGGACGCTGTCCAAGTATCAAACACAATACCAGTATCCGGGTCCTTGTACACGACAGGGGTACTGGTCTGGCCTAGGCATCTCTGCGGCACTATTGTAACAGGGATAGACCCAGGGAGCATGTTCAAGCCTAATCCGGCAGGACCGGGGGGCTCAGGGATATCCCGGGGGTCAATTGTGATAGATCACAATTGATACCATAAGACCCCGGGCATGATGCCCGTACCCCTCACCTCGCTATATATGCCTTTATCTAGTTAGATTAGGTATCAATGACCTGAGGTAGAGACTCAGGCATATAGGCTTGGTTTCCCACCCGGAGGGAGGAAATCAAGCAATATATCTTTTGTATAATCTTTGACATAACTTTCAATATAAGTCTACTCGGCTTCGAACAGCCTTCGGCTCGAAGCCTTCCCTAACTACATAACCTAAACCGATAACTGCCTCCCTAGTAGCCTTGCTCTTTAGCATCAATATCAACCGGTGAAGCTTCAACTCACCCACACCTAGTCTATCCAGACACCCACGGACACGGTCCTGCCTGACCGTGTTACAACTATAGAATGTCTGTTTAAAAATTTGTATATGCATCGCGTGTACATCTATATCACTTACGCGTCATGGCAGCAAAAAGCGCTGTGAATAGATGGCCAAATGACTTCATTTCGATAAGTGGAGGTAGCAAGAGCGATTGATCTGCTGCGTGCAGAAGAGATACAATGGCAAATGTTAAAACCGGATTTAGCTATGAGACCATTGCTTATAACGAGTGGATAACCAAACAATCAATGATAGTACGGTGTAAAGACCATCGGCTTAACAGGAAATATGTCGGAAATTCATCGGTAGCCTCTGTACCAGCTAACTTTGTGTAGATTAGTAAAACAATTGCCATGGCTAGTGATCTGCGGGATCGGCAGTTTCGGTTACCTGCCTGGTTACATGTAGTCTAGGTCCACATTGTTTTGTGGCAGGACAGAATTCGGTCAATTTATTATACAACTCTTTACATATAATAATAACTTCAAGTGGGTTATGATGTTTATTCTGTTAAGTGTTCTCACAATGTTTTCTATTAATTGTGATATCAATATTTCCAATTTAAAAATGTACAAATTAGATCTTGTACTGGCTGCTCGGAACCAGATCGGCGACAATAGCTGGAGTTATAGAGTGCATCGAAAACGGTTCGTTTGGCACAAACCTACGTATCTAATGACGTATATCCTCCTTATATGTCCTTAATACTTCGAATACATGCCGTTTTCACATAGGGGCTACTAGAGACTACGGAATGGACGGATTATGTTCTCAAGATTGCTATAAGTCTGTCTAATCTGGGATCATTCAGTACAGGTAGAGGAAATAAACAGAGTAAAAATTAAAAATTAAAGGGCAAAAATCATTGACTACAAAAAGAAAGTATAGTGGACAATGATATCCCGGCTTCTATATTCCCGAACTGTTATTTTATTAAGATTTATGTGCGCCTGTTATCGGTTACATGAGTGCTGAACTCCATATAAAGTGGCTTATAGTAGCACTTGGCCAGGAAATGGACTTGGGGACGAGAGAGTGGTGATTGTGTGGAGGCACCGAGAAGGGATGGCAAAGCCCAGGAGTTAAGCGATGTCGTTAAATCAGATTGAACTTTCTGTTGCATTCGTTGGCCATATTTTTTATTCAAATAAAGATTAAAAAACCAATTTGGAATAGCTACGTACCAGATTAGGCTTAGATGATGTTCTCGAACTGGTTGAAGATAAAAGAAAAATGTTTTCTCTGTCAGACTCTCCTTTTGACCTCGCTTAATGACATTAATAACGGGAATAAGTTTTCGAATATCAACTAACTAAATAACCAGCCCTAGAATCGATGGATGTCCAAATGTATATTTTGATACATCCTATAAAATATGAGGAGTGCCACGTGCACCAGTTAACATTTCCTATACTTTGCAATCCCTGAATGCCTAAGAAGCTATGCCATTGAATCTTGCTGCTAGCATGTTGGTGACTCACGCAGAAGATTCAATCGATTTTAACTTTTCTTGTAAAGCCGCGAAATTTCGTCTCATTGCGTTTGCCGTGAATTGTTGACCGGTGACCATGGGGTACTTTTTCAATGGCCCCTGGATAGTTGCATCCGTGCAAGGTTGATTGAAAAAGGCAATACTGTACCGGTCTCCGTAAAAGTCTTCAGGCTCGCTAGGGGCTTTAACGCGATGGAAGGTCGATTTGAAACGATCGTCAGACCACGACATGAGCAGATCGCCAATATTGCAAACAATTTCTCCCGTCTTGGCTTCAATCTTGGTCCAAGTATCGCCAATGCCAAATTCCGTTACAACTTCACGACCAGGGCATATCTCCAAACCACTCTGTCCCTCCTTTTGAAACAGCAATGTGAGGAAATCCCAATCTGCATGTGCGCCTGCTCGATGATAGACTTTTCCGTCAGACTCTTGGGGTAGGGCAAAGTAGTGTAATAATCTACAGACAGTTTGAGAGTTCGGTCGGGACACGTCATGTGCTTTAATGAAGAAGTCTTCGGAAAAGCCCAGCCCGAGAGCAAAACAGCGCATAAGCTTTTCTGAGACTTCTTGAACGCGGCTCATGAATTCGAGAGAAGTTGTCTGAAAGCCGGCAAGATGACTTTCATCAATCCAAACATCGTTCATATTTTCACCAAACTGAAGTTGATATGACTCCTTCGTGTCGGGCATTCCTGTAGACGGGCGGATTTGTGAGTTCTTCTCCCATCCTACATTTTTCGAGCTCCATGGAACTGTCGCTTTGACGTTGTCAGGAAGGTTGAAGAACCGCTGGGAATTGGAGAACATTTTTTCGATGTCATCATTGGAGAGGCCGTGGTCGACAACGGTGAAGAAGCCGACATTCTCGGCGGCATCAATGAGCTCGGAAGTAATTTCATCAATTCTTGCTTCAAAGTCGCGCAGTGAGATCTGTGGAATAGGACGGTCGGCGTAACTTGTTTTGGTAGTCATTATGCTATCGGTGAAAAATGGCCAGGGCACATGTTCCTGAGAGCCGTCAGGAGGTCTGGTAAATGAGAATAGAAAGACCGTCTCTACCTAAATGTTCTGCAATGGGGAGGAACCTAGGACTTTGAAGTTGGGTGAGAGACAAGCTGACAGGGAAGTGGTCAATAATTATAGGCTTGGAACTCCACGCTTAATATCAGGCGCACCATCTAGTCTTCAAATAACCCTCTCATCGCTAGATCGGATGTCTAAATTGGTCGATTGAGCGATGCGGAGAGAGAAAGAAAGAGAGGGCTACCCCACCCTCGGCCGAGGCTTATCGGCGAGCTCCATACTGATGCCTAAGGCTCTAATCTTCGGCCGGATACGCCACTGCTTGCTTATCGCCCTGGTTAATAATTACTTCTTTCTGCGCCCACGCACATCGTGACTCGGTACTCGCTGCTTCTCCATTCACGGCACCATCTGTTGCTCTTGGAGATTTTCTAACTGCCAGCACCTCACCAGAGTCCATGATTGGGAATCTGGTATTCTGCCTTGGCCCTACCTGGTCCCCAGAGACTCGGCCGAGCAACGATTAATTTGAAAATTCCTTTACGGGACCTATACTACTCGGCCCAGAGGACACCCCTTTGGATTATCATTATTCAAGGGTAATAAATTGGTAGACTCCGAGATAAGGCCTTTTGTTAGCATTGTGGTTGGGAACACACAATTCAATTGATGTAGGAACATGAGTTTCTCCATTTACAGGAAGCGCCTAGCATGTGTAGAATGCACCCGGCGCAAGGTCCGATGTGATAAGATCTTGCCTTGTCGAAATTGTACTGTGAAGTAAGTTACTCTGTCTAGGGACAACTGCAAAGCTGGTCGGGATGCGCTAATGAGGTGAAATATGAATATACAGAGGAATCGGCTGTTCGCGTCCGAGAAACCACATCAACATTTCGAACCAGGGCCCAGCTGACGAAGAGAGTCCGGGATCTAATATTAGACTTCCTGATTCCAATGATGCAGCCGAAAATTCCAATAGAGCACTTTTGGAATTGGTGGAGAAATTGAACGCGAAAATCGATCACCTGGAATTTGCACTTCAAAAGAAACAAAGTATGGCCGTGTCGCAGGAAATGTCCAATGAACCAGAGCTACTGTCACCATCACCCATATCGCTCATATCGCCCATACCCTCGGAAATCCCACGGGAGGTTGTAAATAAAGAAGCCAAAGAGACGACGGCTCAAAGTGGCTCTGAAGTTGAAGATGCCGCTACTATTCTGGAATTCCTAGCCTGGGGTCGACGGAAAGATCCCAAGTACCAGGACCTCATCACTGCACACGGCGAAGCCTCACAGTATTCCCCCGAGATATTGAGACCGAGGACAATATACCTTTCTTCTCTTCACAAATAACGCTCCGCTCATATTTGCAGTCTCTTCTGCCCAGCAGGCCGCAGGTATACACCCTCGTGCAGTATCACTGTGACTGTCTTCTCTGGTATCATGGATCGTTCCACGCCACGGTATTGTGGAAATCTCTCGAAGACTTCTATAATGAAAAGAAGGGTCAGATTGAGCTCACAGATACCCAGTTACAGTGGACTAGTTTGCTTTTTGCTATTATTCTAGGCTCTATCACCTGCGCACCTCGTCAAATAATTTTGTCATGGGGATTCAATGACGAGGAACGAAACAAATTATCACATAGATGGTTTCAGGCAATGAATGTCTGCTTGCAGTACTCCGATTACATGTCTTCTCACTCGATATTCTCGGTTCAGGCAATTGCTACAGCTACTCACACCGCCCATATGTTGGGCCATTCAAATAGCCAAGCGGTTCTTTTAGCATCAGCGGTTCGGATTGCGCAAAATTTGGGATTGCATCGACTGGGAAAGGAAACAGATGAACACATGTCGCCCGATCTAATCGATCGAGAGATCGGTCGACGGGTTTGGTGCCAGCTCTGTACGCAGGATTGGTTTTCAATCCCGTTCACGGAAAGTTATCTTATACATCGAAGCTGTTATGACACTGAAAAGCCACGTAATTGCAACGAGATAGACATGACAGTCCAATCCGATGACATACCAACGACCATGAGCTATTCGCGTTTCTTTTTTGAAGTGGCTACCCTTATGCCTCAAGTACACGATGCACTTGCTAGCTCGAACACCATGTACACACGATATGAAAAGGTCCTCGAGTACGACCAACGGCTGCGACTTTTAGCCACGGTTCGGCTTCCATATTATCTACAAAATGTTCCTATTGACCCGGCATGGCCGTGTTATGTCCCATGGGCCCGTCGTTGCCTTGCGATAAGTACTTCGCATAAAGTGATAATGATACATAGAAAGTTTCTAGGGATGAGTTTTGCCAACCCAATGTTTTCTCGGACTCGCAGGACGTGTGTTGCAGCCGCAAGGACGATTATCAAAGAGTTAAGAGGATCCAGCAGTGATGGCGGCCCAGTACTTTGGATTCATCACGCCTTTATCGTAGCCGCAGGTGTAAGTTTACATTGGATTCAATTCTTGCCGCGAAATGTATTAATCCAAACATAGATAATACTATGTCTTGATATTATTCACTCCCCCGAATTCTCACCGGAATGTGATGAACACCGCCGACTGGTTCAAGACGGTCTTCGACTCCTCTCAACATGTGAAACAAATATGATTGCGACACGTGGAATTCCTTTAATACAGGCTATGCTTGCGAACGAAGGACGCATTCGTGAAAAGACCTTCAACCAGGTGGAGGCATCTGTCACTGGAAATACACCCAATAAGATTGACGCAAGAAATTTGGACATCAAAGAGATCATCCGAAGTTTCTACATGCAAGATCGCCTTAATTCCTTTACAGCTACCGTCAGCAGGTATCCATCCGCTGAGTGGTTTGCTACTGACAGCCAGAGCAGTTGGCCTCCTAATACGTCAGAAAAAGCGGCACTGCCACCTCTCCTTAATCAACCAGCTTACGAAAGTGATTTTCCTGATAATTTCGACGATGTGTTGGCACTAGCAGCGAACTATATAACTTGAACCCGCTTCTAAGTCGAATCTTTATTCAGTATTTTGGTATTAATATCTATTATTCACCATGTAGTTTAAATGTCCAAGTGGGAACCTTCAGTCCGTTGCCGTTGCCATGGAAGTATTTGATCATTCTTCGCCGTCATCTTTTCTTCTGGCAATGCTAAATTAAGCACAACCCCGATCAGTGCCGCAATAATGAATGGTGTCTCAACAACCAAGTTCAGCCCTTGTTCGAAGCCCTGCAAATTGACATTTGGCCCAGTATAGTCAAGAATCTGTGAGAACCACTTCGGGGAAACTATATCAATAAAGCCGATCCCTAGAGCAGCAGTCAAAATGAATCTATTTCGTCTCGTAAATTCAATAAGACTGAGAACACGTATACCAGCTATGGCAATTGTGCTGTAGAGAAAAACCTGCATTCCACCAAGAACCGATGGCGGCATGGAGCCGAATACAGCACCGAATTTGCCGAATATACCCATTAAAATTAGGAAGGCTGAAGCACACCAACCAGCACGTCGGCTCTATGCAATAGTTAGTGGATGTATAGAGATAGGGAATGACCCTTCCGGGGAATTCTTACTGCGCATCCTGTCAATGATATTACTCCATTGTTGCCGGCCTGGCTAACCATAGGCAACCCAGTACCTAAGGCGGCGATCAAACTCCCCAAACCATCGCACATAATTCCACCTTGAATACGACTATTGAACTCAGTGCCATCAATATCGACACCGGAAAGTTCAGCAGTAGCAAGTATGTCTGGCATGCAGCTGACGGCTTCACAGACAAACATGATCATTAATGGCAGGACGAGCGCGCTATCCACCGAGAGTTTGAATGTGTGAACCCACAAGAAAGTAGCAATCGGAGCGGCATCTATCTCGTCTCTTGACCAGTATCCCGCAGCACCAGAAATAATACAGCCAACCGCCAAACCAAAGATCACCGAGGCGGATCTCATAAGGGGGGAGCCAAAAATTTCCACAAGAATGATGGTTATGAAAACGCTGAATCCGAGTCCGATTAATTTCGGATCACCCCTGCCTGATAGTTAGAGAAATGGCTTGTTCATAAAGAGTTTCACCTCATAGAAAATGAATGAAGGTATAAGAGGGGTTTCTGCATACCAAGGTAGAGGTTTGGGAGCAGTAGTATTTGGGCATAGAGCATAATACCCCGTACCACCGTTACAGTTCGAACTTCCTCCCCAGTTCTCCATTCCATTACCAATTAAATACACACCCACAAGAACCAGAAGGCTGCCAGTAACGATTTTGGGGAAAATTCGATTGAGAAGTTTAGGCGGAACTAGCGACATAAGAATCTGGATCCATACAGTACACAACATGGTTCCAAGCATGGCGCCCCATGCTTCTGGACAAGGTAACTTTGCACCCGTCGAGTCCACTGGACAGGTTCCATTGGCGTATCTCATGTTCGTGTAATTGAAAGCTATGTTGAGAATGTCGAACGTTGGGCCTACGACTGACAATAGCCCAGTACCAATATAAAACGACGTTTTTGTGATGTGTAGCCGAGTCACCTGCAATGCAGTGGCGATTCCTGTCGTAATAAACGCCGCTGAAACAAGATATTGTGTTTGTGCAGGGTTCAAATAGAACGCGCCGTCAGCAACAGCCAACGGCGGCGAAACCACAGAACCGACCAATGTTAAAGCATGTTGTAGACCGAGAATGATAGTGAGGAGTATCGGTACCTGATCATTGAGACCATAGAAAGGGGTTTCAAAATCTTTGTATTTTTTATTCAGTGGCCAGATGTTCGGTGTTATGAGGTACATATAGTCCTACATGAAGAGAGGTCCTTGGTCAGCGCTAGCTACTACCGAGAACCAGAAGGGATGATTGTACATAATCTCCTATCCAGCCATCGCGACTTGAGAAGTAAAGCTTCAAGTAGCTCCATCTCGATAACGAGGTTGAAGCATGATAAGTTGATGACGAATCTGGATGTTCTGAAGCGGCTACCGCACGCAGGCTTGCTTCTTTCTGTGAGGGTTCCATCAAGCCTTGTCAAAGAGGGATTAATCTCATCAATAAGAGTTCTCGGGATATTTCTACGGGATGACTATTGAATAAATAGGTTGTTATTACAATCCTTTTTTTTAAAATTTAGTATACTGTATCGCTGGACTGTGTCGCTTATCGCAAGCAGACAGGAGACAACCACGCCGTTGCGATAACAAAACTCTTATCAGTTTATCGGTTGCTCAACGATTCGACGCTACAAGATATGGGTGGGGCTCGGCCGAAGCCGCTCGGATCTTTTCCGGCTTTATGAATTTAGATTGTCGTTAGATTAGTGGATGAAGTTATCATATTATGACAATCATTCATCATCTTGAAATCACTAGCATCCCTAGTTCTCCTTCATATCAATTCAAACGGTGTGTACCTCTCAGACCTTGTTAAATGTCCTACAATGGCAACGAAAGACCAATCATCCATACTCTTTCACTCGGCCACAATAATCACACTCAATAAATGTCGGCAAGTTATTCGAGATGGGCATATTCACGTTGTTGATAGTCGCATCATGTCCGTTGAGAAATATTATCCACTCAATTCCTTACCGCCTCACACTCGGATTATAGATTGCAAGAACAAAATTATCATTCCCGGCCTCGTGAACACACACGCCCACCTGGTACAATCGCTTTTACGAGGACTGGCTGAGGACTTGCCGTTGCACTCTTGGTTATGCGATGCCGTATGGCCGCTGGAATCCGTTTATTCACACGACGACGGCTATAACGCGGCACGACTAACAATCGCAGAGATGCTGAAAACTGGGACGACATGTTTCTTAGATCCGATGCTGACACATACAGCCGGATTTGAGAGGATATGCCAAGTGGTGGGTGAAATGGGTATACGAGGCTGTTTGGTAGGTGTTCTGCACTCTTTGCTTAGTGTATTTTGATAGACTTTTATTTCCCTCTTGAAGTATTTTTTTTTTGTTTTTTCACTTTTCGGCATTTTGGCACTTCCCCTTTCATGAAGATGATACTGAGCAGCATAATAGGGAAAATTAGTAAAGTTCACAGAAACAAGTCGAGAAAATTCCATGACAGACCCGAGAGATAAAGACTTAGATTTCATGTCTATTCCTGCACTTGTGGAGGCACACTCTAGGCATAATGGACAATACGATGACCGTCTACACGTTTGGGCCGCAGCCGGTACTCCTCGGGGCGCACCGAAGTCGGCATTTCAAGAACTTGGAGATGCCTGCTCTGCGCACGGAATCTCACTTACCATGCACTGTGCGGAAGCTCCCAGAGATCTAGAGATATTCCACGACGTATACGGCTGCAGTCCCATGGAATTTGTGGAGGAAACACATCTTTCCTTCGATGCCAGCTCTGTCAATTCCAATGCGAATCCAAGAAATCTCGTTCTCGCCCATATGGTAAATCTAGACGTGGAAAAGGATATTCGTCTATTAGCTGCAACAAATACATCGGTAGCCCACAACCCTTCATCAAATCTCAAGCTCGCTTCTGGTATAGCCCCTGTACCAACTATGTTGTTATCAGACGTACGGGGTCAAAATATCAACGTGTCTCTGGGAACGGACGGTGCTCCATGTTCAAATCACTACGACATGTTTCAGGAAATGCACCTGGCATCCATTCTTCACAAAGGTGCGAATCATGATGCAGCATTAATTCCAGCAGAAACGGCTCTTGAAATGGCAACAATCAACGGCGCGAAAGCCCTTGGGTTGGATGACGAAATTGGCAGTCTAGAAATAAACAAGAAGGCTGATTTTGTAGTCCTCGATCCATATGGAAAGGGGAACATAGGAATTGCGCCGTGGGATGCTGATGACAATGCGAATGGCGTTTCGCCAGTCACTACTGTTGTACACGGTTGTACTGGGCGAGATGTCGATATCACTGTTGTAAATGGGCGTATTATCATTGAGAACGGGCTCTTAGTTGTTGGAGGGCGACTGAAAGAGGTTGAAATCATACAGAAAGCACATCTGGCGGCAAAAGGTATTTTGCAGAAATGTAATGCGAATCGTTCCAATGGAGAACAGTTGGGTGGTAGTTTGAAAAATGGGTGGACGTATATCTAGGAAAATATCAGTCAGCATATTAGCTTATATATGTTTCTTGCTATTAGATTAGCGTTGGGTAGCCCATGATGTAAAAAAGGAGCTACTATATCCTACGAATCATTAGAATGCCTTCTCGGACGATGTCCAAATTTCCCCGTTGATAGGGTTATTTGTACATAGTAAGTACAGCATGTCTACCCAATTGGCCCTATGTATATATGTATCGTTAGTGTCAAATTCAGTAGGAACCTTCGCGTGACTTTGAATTTAGCTTTTTTGGGCCTCACACTTAATTGACAAAGAACTCAGATCCTCCGTTATTCAAATGTTTGGACTTGTTAGACTAAGGTCTAAAAGCCAAAAGTCATGAAATTCGCAGAAAGTCAGACCTGGGCCATAGGTCACTTTTTCCAAGCTTCCATTATTTCATCTGGATATGCTTGATTATTGAGGGAACAAGTGGCGGGCCTAGATAGAAAGGTAAAGTTAGCCGATGTTGTAACCCGGACGCCGGACGCCTGAGTCAGTCTATTACTGGTGTGGCGATAATTAGTACCGCAGCTTGAAGAAGCAGTCATCGTGGGAGTGGGGAATAATAAACAGAGGTCCGAAACCCTAGCTCCGTGTTGAACGCTTCCATCGAGCCGACAAATAGATTTCATGAGAATGATGATGTTGCATCCGAATCTCCTGCTTCTGTGGCTTGTCCCTATCGCAACTGCGAAGAATATGTTCTCTTGCATCCCTCAGATTGAACCTGCGATGTGCACTCGTATAGCAACGGGCAATTCGCTTCTTACATGTCAGGTTTTATGCGACGAGGGCAGCGACCTCCTCCAGGAGACTAATGGCCTCGGAGCGGCCGCGACCGCATTTGGTAGCTTTTTGAAGCTCATATCTGCAAATTCCGAGTGTAACAGCTATTACAGTGGCCACGGTCGCTCCTGCCCCCGTGTAAGTGAGCCAAGAACATTCTGAGCGTCGACAAACTAACTTGCCATAGTACCACAACGGTCGACGTGACAGATACGATGACGATGACCGTGTACCTCTGAGCCGACTCATACTAATTATCTCACCGACGAGGATGATGATGGATGCGTCGCAGACCCCATTGCAGACATTTTTGATGCATGGCAAACCGCAGAAATCCCCTTCGCCTGCAACTGCGTCAATCCTACTTCCAGCACCTCCGACATCCGGAGGAGAGTGAGAGTTGGAGAGGAGAAAACCATCATCATGTTTAGAAAGACCCAGCGAACGAGGTCTGCGAGTAGTCGGGAGTGGCTTGTATTGAAACACTGACGGCGCAAGTCAGAATATGCATAGCCTGGCCGTTACTCCACATGCTCTAAACCTCGATATCGTAGTAATATTTTGCTTGATACTCATATCGATCTTCTCACGTCAACCCCCTCATGTACATATTATTTATATCAATAATTCTTTGCCGCCAATTACCACGTGGTTTATAACAAAGACGTATGCTGATGGGGGCTCTACCGAAATTAACCGTAAAACCGCAGCAAATCTATCAGCAATAGTTTCAGTGTATCGTTTTTTACGATACAATAGCTCGGCTTGAGCTTTCCCTGTTCCTAGAGGGGCTAGTCCGAATCTGGGATGAACTAGTGACTAGTGTGCTCCTCATCGATCTCTCTTTGCTTTTTCTGTCCTTCCATTCTTCCATTCTTCCATTCTTTGTTCTTTATCTTGTAACTACCGTTGTCCCATCTGGGCCATAATTTGCACCCGTAACAACACGAGTTTGGTCATCTGAAGCTGCCTTATCAATGCCATCAATGTGCCTCGTACAATTATCTCGCAATTATATTACCTTTTCAAATCGGCCGTTCCGGTACGCTAAACTCAAACCACGTACAAAAATAGACGAAAAAGGTACAGAAAAGTCTAAATCATTCTAGCCCGGTGCAGATGCCAGGAACAGTCCAGCTAGCATCCTTGTTCGGCAACTCTAACCACGGATTCATCATCATTGACGCCTCTCGCTGATTAGCCATCTTGATCTGGCCTGCAAAACGTAATAGATTTGCTAATATGGGCCACCAGGGCCAGAGCTAAGGCCGACATTATGGCCGTTCAATATCCACTTATCGTGCTCGGCTGTCCTCACCCGGATCAGTTGATAAATAAACAAAACTGTCGCTTAATATTGCACCTACTGTATTAGGGAGCGCATTATATCTAGAAACTGATGTCCTGAGAGAAAATACTGCTGCCATGCTGAGATGACGTTTTAATGCCCTACCTCTCGCCCTTTGTTCTCTACCCTCGGTGACATTCGATCGTTTTCGTGTTTCCTTCATTGGAGTTTTTCCAAGCCACTCGTTTTGATGATGCTCAAACTACAAGTTAATAACATGTCTCAGCTATCTATTGCATCAGGGGTTCTTCTCCCCCTCTTTGCACTTCTCAACCAAATCAGCCCCGGGTCCGCGACCAGCGTTCCCGTTATCACGTGTTCTACCTCTTCGGTTCAATTCTTCGAAAACCCCAGTTTTGAAAGTGCGCTCAGTGATTGGGAGATCAGTAATATATATGGGGGCACGTCTTATAGCATCGTCGAGGCTGGCACGTCATCTGCCAAAGGATCAGCCGCCGAAGATGGCAGCTATTACCTACAAACAACCGGTTACATCCATGACTTCGACCTGTCTCAAATGATCAGTGGTCTTGAAATTGGAAATATATACACAGTCTCGTATTATAGCGCACTGTACCAAACTGGCTTTTGGTCAACCAGGTGCTGGAACTATGTCTACAAGGATACTACCTCCAGCCAAATCAACTATTTCAATTATGATTTGTCCAGCTCGTGGACAGCACATACCTTCACCTTCCAAGCAACTGCGACCAGTCATACTTTGATCTTTAGCATAGACTGTGGTTCGACGGACTCAGCGGGAAAATGGTCGATTGGCTGGGACAATTTCCAGGTCTCTGGGCCCTCCAATGTGTGCACTACAACCTACTCGACCATTTCCACACCTACTCCAACGCCATCCCACAGGCCCACATCTTCATCTGCCGCTATCCCATCGTCATCTGCCGCTATCCCATCGTCGTCTGCCGTTATCCCACCATCATCTGCCGCTATCCCATCGTCATCTGCTGTTATCCCATCGTCGTCTGCCGTTATCCCACCATCATCTGCCGCTATCCCATCGTCGTCTGCTGTTATCCCATCGTCGTCTGCCGCTATCCCATCGTCGTCTGCCGTTATCCCACCATCATCTGCCGCTATCCCACCATCATCTGCCGCTATCCCATCGTCATCTGCTGTTATCCCATCGTCGTCTGCTGTTGTCATTTCGTCGTCTAGAGCTATCCCGGTTTCATCCACAGCTGTCCCATCGTCATCCGTAACTGTCTCATCATCGCCCCTTACTAGTGCCATCTCTTCCACCACAGCATCTGGAACTGGTGCCGGCAATAGTGGTGGAATAGGATCTAGCCATAGCTCATCTTCCGTGAGCACTTCTACAGTCTCTTTGACTACCACATTTCCACCCCATAGTGGAAGTAGCATTGGAAGTAGCCATACCGGTATCTCGCCTTCTTCCAGCCAAGGTGGATCTGGTGCTGTTGGATCGACTACATCAACGATTTTTACCACACGGACTGCTACTATCACGGCCTGTCCCTCAACGGTTTCGAACTGCCCAGCAACTGCAAAGACTACATATGTCACTACAGAGACTGTCGTCGTCTCGACAACAATATGCCCTCTGACTGCGATTGATTCAACAACCAAACCAACAACTACAACTAGATCTATTTTTGATACCCAACCGGGTGACAACTCTATTACTGAGACTATTTACACTACTAGAGTCTCTACAGTATATGAGTGTGCCCCGTCGGTTACCAACTGCCCTTATGCATCGAAAACTGGGCATGTGGTTACAGAAACCCTTGTTGTTGGGACTACCGTTTATCCTACTGGGGCTGTTCCTACGCAGGATTTCATCTCTAACACTGGCTTCAGCTCTACCACTAGCTCTGGGTTTGGATCTGGATCTGGCCGCAATCCTTCGGCCACTGGAAGTGTCTCTCCTTCTTCCACCCTTCTAGCATCTTCTCACCAAAGTGCCTCTTTGACAACGAGTGCAAGCCCATCAACGTTTACAGGCGGCTCCGTGTCGGACCTATCATCCCTGTCTGGGTTCCTTATTACTATTTGCGGTCTTTTGGCTGCTCTACAGTTTCTTTTTTAGATTGCCAGGAGGCGTCGAAGACACTATATAACTTATTTAATATATAATGGTGCTTTCTCTTTCTTTGCTTTATGACGTCCTAACAATATTTATCTCTAGAATGGAAACCTCGAAAGTTCATCTTCCTCAAGTTTCCGACTGTTGTCTTGAAATAATTATATGCTTTTATCATGAACGTAGAAGAAGCGATATTGTAATTCTGAACCTCGAAGTTGAATAAGGATATAATTAATATGTTAAGAAAGGGACCATGCAGATGAAGATATACACAACCAATTCAGCGAGAATATAGGATATGGCATTGGAGTCGAATTTAGGAGCAAGCGAGGATTGATAAAGACAAACGGTGAAGTGACGTAAGACAGAGTCTCATAATGGAATAGAGCATCATGTTCAATATTATTGGACACTGTTCTAAGTTCTACTCTATTAAAAACATTGCAGTCGATTGATTTGTCAATTAATCAACCTTTGGTAAGAGGGCGTACGCTTATTGGTAACTGCCAATTTAGAAGTTCTCGAAACCATTGACACAGAATAGCTAAACAAAGAAAACGAAACCGGGTGTAATGTACTTGCTTTGAGTTCTTTATCTATAAATCCCAAAGGGGAACCGAATTCCACGTATCAAAGACCGGAGAATCATTTGCAGAAGTGGGCGGGCTTTGCAGCCCAGATTAACTGAATCCTGTATGTAATATAAACCCAATGCGTTAAATTGTATTAGAATATCTATTTTGGATAAATAATAATCGTTCGGATAATACTATTCGAATTTTTCAACCACCGTTTCCCAAAAACGCCGAATAAAGCAGAAAACTGAATTTTGCAGACCAGTATGGCGGAGGGCCATGGAAACTCTGAGTCGATGGTGTGCATTGAAATACAAGTTTAAAAGATAAAATTAAAGTCGATAAGAATCCCCTCTATCCCGGACCTCCCACACCGACTCTGCCATTTCCTTCAAGTCATCCATCTCGATTTCGATATCTTTCTCCTTCTCACCTTGTGCGGGCCGAAGGAACATATCTTGGAAAGAAATTATAAGAGGATTGTCGTTGGTAGTATGAATCGAGTTGCGACCATCCTCCTGTGACAACACCGCCCGATATGCCACCGCGGGTTGCTGTTGGACTAAAGCCCATTTCTCAAAAGTGATCGACCTTTGCTTTTGACCAATGGATATTGTAACGACAGCTTTCACATCTCCTTGAGATGCTGTCAGCCACCAACGAGCATCATCAGCGAGCTTCCTCCGAGATTCAGAATAGCCGGCTTCGATTGTCAATGTCGGCCACTGGCGGGAGCGGCCTTTTGGTAACCGCTTCGGCTGATACGACGTATCTGGCTGCTTTGTTCGTTGAACCGTCGTCCTATCGCTTCGCCCGGTTTCGAAGACATTTTTGTCCATGCGATTCATGGCGGCGAGCTTGAGAGTCATAATGCTCGAGATCCTTTCATGGGCCACTTCATGCGGTGGTGAGATCATTTTGATTAGGATAATCCCAAGGCAAGGAAAATACGACTCAACGTTAAATTCGTCCTCGGTATTCTCAAAGTCTCGGCAAAAAGTGTCTCGATGTATGCCCCAATAAATAATGTATTGACTTCTTGTTCCTGTGCGATCTCCTCGGAAGAGGTCCAACTCTTGAGCTCGAGTAGAGAGAAAGTGCTTCTTGCCTCGATACTCATATTGCTGAGTGTTGGGATTCAGCCCGAAAGGAAAGAAGGCGTCATTGTCGGGGCTAGGTGCTGTAGCAGGTGCGAGGGACATCGTGCGGCAACAGCGGTGTGACAGACTCTGTCACTTCGTTCTATAAATCTCACTTTTTATTTTCTCATTCTATGCTGCAACTTGCATTTCGTAGATGCTTGTCCATCAACAGAACACTTCGTGTATACCGTTCCATTGGTTCATTACATGTCATGATGACGAGTTGACTACTCAGTTTCATCGTTTCGATAACATCTTTCCGGAAGTGTTTTTCCGTGCAATCGTCCAATTCGGACCTTTTTGGATACGCCGAGGGGACAAGACCGCCGTAAACACAACGGCCCATGTGCTCGACGCAGCCCGAATAGATCTTTCGATCCACCTGCGCAATGGAATGCTGGGTAGTAATGCTGATGACTGCGCGTTCCATCGAGCTGACAACGATTTAAATGCAATCATTTGCCTCAACAAGACTGCTGTAGCTGCACCTGAGAAGTAAACTTAACACAACTGTTAGATGGCAGATCTCCCCTGTTTAATTCAAGCATTGTCCGTCGCGTTACATTGACTGACGTAGCTTCCCCGTGCTTTGATGCGAGGGGATTTTGCCCCGACTTTGAGTCCAGTCGTAGTAAATACTACGTTGGTACCAATGGATATAGAAATACAAAGCCAGCTCCGAGTTAGCCATAATAATATTCTACCTAGAATGATATGGTGTCACATGAATGAATTTTCTCGTGGAAACTACCCGGAGCCAGCTGCCAACCTGTGCCTCTTAAAAAACATCGCATGAAGATCAAAAAAGGAGCTTCTACAGATAACCCTAAAAGGGCATACAAAAATACATACTCGGTCATTATACAATATTTTTCAAATTTCCAATGTTGCTTTCTCTTTCATCAGATAGCATACCGGTAATCCGGTCGTCCTTCCATGCCAGGGGCATAAGACATCTTTCCACTGTCCAGCTTCTTGTTCAAGCCGACATAATATTGCCTCAGAGCTAGAGACGCCAACGCGAACACACCCTGGGTGACACCGCAGATAATCAATGCAGGCACATATACAGGCGCGTCTTGTGCGCGGAATGCTACTGAGGAAAAAATCCCGGCAATGTTCATAGCCATGTAATTCAGACCCAGCGAAACAGCTCGACCGGTTGTTGTGGGGACGTTGGAGGCTAACCACACAGGGACGATATTGCTGGGAATGAAAGTGAAACCGGTGATTAGGAAGGTCAGGAAGTAACCGACACCGGGATTGGAGTTCAGGTCGAGGGTCCCGAGAAGGATCCAGCCAAGTAATGAGACGATGATGGTGCTGGATGCGATTAAGGCGCGTTGTTGTAAACGGTCGGATGCCCATGTCGCTGAGATTTGGACAACGGAGGCCACAAGATTCGGGCCGATGGTGTAGAGGTTGGCTTTGACTGTGTCTTTGGTGAGACGTTTGATGAGGGTCTGGCAGCGCATAAACAGTTAGATACGCAAAACAACCGAGACCCTGCGGATTGGAAAAAACACTCACAGGCAGGAAGTTCGAGCTACTTGCGACCCCAACACCATACATCAGGGCGAGGAATGCAAATGCCCAAGTCGGCCAATGTAGCAGTTGTGCCTTTGCATCGTTCCATCGGAAATGGTCGTCCCGCTCTTCCGTATCCTCAGCAAGACGCTGTCTGGCCAAATCTTTCTCATTTTGGGAGTACCATTTACTTTTCTGTACTCCCTGAGGAGCAAAGAGGAAAAGTACGATTGCGCCGGCTACGGTTATGGACCCTTCAATCAGGAAAAGATATTGCCAGCCCTAATAATTTGTTTGCGTTAGTATCCTTTCGACTCATGCTTTTGTGCATTACTATCGGTCACACGGTGCTGAATTGATGCACGGAATAGTGGTAGGTAATTTACATGCAAACCACCGGTCCAACGAAATACACTCCAGGAGATGAGTCCGCTGACTGCACCAGCGATAAAACCCATCTGGCCGATGATGGACACCCGAACGCCAATCTCCCTGCGCGTGTAAAACAGGGTCAGGTAGTAGACCTCGCAGGGCTTATAGGCAGCCTCTGCTGCGCCCATGACAATGCGCGTGGCCATGATGCCGCCGAAATTGGTGGCCGCTGTTGATGCCATCGTACAGATTCCCCAAACGCCAATGGCGAGCGAAATGATCAAGCTCGGGTTGAACCGTTTGGCGGCAAGGGTCCATGGCACGTTAAATAGTGCGTAGGGAATATAGAAGAGGACAAGCAGAAGTGAGTACTGGTTGCCAATTAGACCAAGGTCTTTCTCCAGACCGTCTGTCTTTGCATTTCCCAGGTTCGCGCGGTCGAGTGTGTTGGTAAAGTAGGCGATGCCTGGGGTCCAGTCCTTAGTCGAATTTTCTCATTTCTGACTCTCTGAAACTAAAGATAATACATACATAGTCCGGGTAAAACGAGAAAGTCGGTCTTCCTCAGAAGCCGTCTCCGTACGACGGTTTCGCTAGCTTGGGAGCTCTCGTCCACGGCGACGTGCTTCTCATCCCGATCGCTATCGGCCATAGTGACTGCTATGTTTGTCGTAAATAATCATAGTAGCATTATCCGTAAATTCCTAGTAGGATGACTGCTTCATATATAGCCGGGAATCGAGCCTGATGAGGTACTCCACACAACCAAAGTTCCGCTGATAAGGTAAGTGTGATGGCGCCATAGCGGAGTAGTATCATCATCTATGTGTTAGTTAGAAGGGCAGAAACCGGTTCGATCACCGATGAAATATTATTAAAGAGACGAGTATTGTTGGATTTGAAACGGCAGGACTTTTGCCCTAAAACCACCAAGCGGGTCTGGGCAGAGGTGGCGCGATGCTTCCACCATATTAATTGAGGGCTGCAGAGACCCACGTGGAGTAAATAGCTAGTAGCTACTCCGTACATTAGCGTTCAAGCCCCTCAACGCCGAAGCCGGAGTGGATATGTAGAGTAGTTTCTATTATAAAGTATGGTAGCCCACCACTAAACCCCTGCCTCAGGCACGGGTTTTCCTGCTTCTCTCAACTACCGCCATCATGGCCGAGCCAGCGACGGTCACGCCTGTGAGAATTTCAGAAGAGCTGGAGCGCAGCAATCAACGACCAGATGATACGTCGCTCATCGTTCACCCTCAGCGTCGGTCCTCATGGGGTTGGAATTGGCGTTATACGCTAGGAGTTGTAGGGATTGCGGTCATCCTCGCTCCCATTACAACGGTGGCAACTTGGCTGGGACTGGGGGAAGCACCTATTGATACAACCAACTATGCGCTGCGGACGCGGCGTGTGCTAGAGTCGACGCCGTTAATCGATGGACACAATGATCTCCCGTGGCTGCTGCGCATCGAACTGCAGAATCGCATATATGGCGGACGCTTCGACCCGACGCAGCGGCTGCTAGGCCACACAGATATCAACCGCATGAAGCAGGGTTTAGTGGGTGGTCAATTCTGGAGTGTCTATGTGCACTGCGACAAAGCCCAGAAGCACTTTGAGGATCCGTCGGTGAGGAATTATGGAATACGTCAGAGATTCGGGCTGACGGTGATTCCAGTGGCTGGTACGAGATACTCTTGAGCAGATTGACGTCGCCAAACGGTTTATTGCTGAATACCCTGATATCTTTACCTTCTGCACCACCCCAATGTGCATACGCAATGCTTTCAAGTCTGGTAAAATATCAAACATGCTCGGCATCGAGGGCGGGCATCAGCTGGGAGGTTCTATAGCATCTATTAGGCAAGCCTACGACTTAGGAATACGGTATATTACGACAACACACAACTGCGACAATGCGTGGGCCACCTCGGCGTCAACGGTAGCGGCAGGGGGCGAGGACAAGGGCCTGACTGCATTCGGTGCCGCGTATGTGCGTGAGATGAACCGGCTTGGCATGATGCTGGATTTGTCGCACGTATCTCACCAGACGATGCGGGACGTGCTGTCACTAACTCAGGCACCTATCATCTTCTCGCACTCAGGGGCCTTTGCAGTTACACCACACCTACGCAACGTTCCAGATGACGTGCTCCGGAGCGTCCGCAGGAACGGAGGCATCGTCATGGCCGTATTCGTCAATCGCTTCCTCAACATGAAGGATCCTAGCGCAGTAACTATCCACGACGTCGTTGACCACATCTGGCACCTGGCCGAAGTCGCAGGCTGGGAACACATTGGTATTGGCTCTGACTTTAGTGGAACACCACACACGCCGGCTGGACTAGAGGTACGTCTACGGAGAGATCCACCCATTCTACTTGGTTACCAACTGAGACACTGTTAGGACGTATCTAAGTTTCCAGACTTGATCGAACTACTCATGGCACGCGGGGCCACCGACCAGCAAATACGCCTCCTTGTGGGAGAAAATCTACTCCGAGTGTGGGCCGATATTGAGCGACGAGGCCGCGAAATTCAAGCAGAAGGTTCCAAGCCGGTTGAGGAAGAGTGGGAAGGCCGAAAATGGCACACACATTACAGAAGCTCGCCCTACATGTACCGGTCTACACGGGAGAAGGCTATCAAGGAGGGGTGGGGCGAGCCAAACCAGTTCAATGTCGGCAAAACCGGCAAACACGAGGAGAAGATTGTGAAGGCTGATGAAGACATATGACTGGTGGCCTAGTTGCTACATGGAGCTCCTTTGACTTGTATTAATGCGTCCGATATCCGGCGTTGGCGGTTAGGTATGTTTGTCTTATCGATAAAATCTGTCTAGCATATGTGTGCCTTGAATAATCCAGGAGAGAGAGATCCATAGATTATTGGTCACTCTCCTCATTATCAATTTTAATTTTCGGAATATTTATGATGTGACTTTACACATAAATCATTCCAAATCTTTGTATTGGTAGACTCCCGTTTCCTGAGTCAGTGAGCAGTAGTGTCTCGGCCTGCGGGGCAATTGGTCCAATTGTAGTGTTTACACTTTATACGGTAATGTCGTGATTATAGTAGCGATAACGTGATTTTTTTTTTAAATCGGCAATGTTTCCGCGTTTAGACCTCAATCGGGGAAATAAAAACGGTAGTGGATGAGAGCTCCATGGCTTAGGGCTAAGGGAAAATTATGGCTTCTCACTGTTGCTCTCAATCATCAGCCACATTTTATTCATCAAGATCAATTTCACCCAAGAGGGCAGACTTGGATCAGAGAGAGATTATATCCATCGTCTGTTATCGCATGAAACCCTCATAATGGGGAGCACAGTTCTATTTGCACCGTCTGACAAGAGCTGGGATGACCACATCCAGATCACACTATTCGTGCCAGCGGCCCTCTTGCTTGTCTATCTATTTTACAATGAACTCGTTCGTTTCCAGCTCAGAGTGCCTAACCTCCCTGGTCCGCGGGGTTTTCCCCTGGTGGGTAGCTTGCCATCGCTGAGCGGCACGATCACGTCTGAAGAGCTACGAAAATGGGCCGGCAAATACGGCGATGTATTCCAAGTCCAGCTGGGAAATTCGACCGTCGTAGTAGTCAACACCACAGCTGCCGCCGAGGCCCTGTTCATTCGCCAGCGTGAGGCCACCAACTCGCGACCCATTTTCTATGTACTGCATAAGAAAGTTCAGCGAAACGGCCCCGTCACCAGCATCGGCACCAGTCCATGGGATGATAGCTGCAAGCGTAGGCGCAAGGTCGCTGCATCAGCGTTGAATCGCGTCAGTGTTGAGAGTTATCTCCCGGTATGATTACATCGTGATAGGTAAGAGCAGTTGACAGCTGACATGAATACTAGATCCTCAATAAAGAATCAAGAGCCTGGCTGGTAGATCTTCTGCGCGATTGTGATGGTGGAAATACTGCGCTGGACGTTATGTTGCCTGCTCGCAAGTTCGCCATCAATTTGAGTCTCACAGTCAGTTATGGCACACGGTAAGCGTCTTGCCTCCCGCGCTTAATCATCCGAGGCCAACCACTGACCCCTACATCAGCGTTGAATCTATAAAGGAATTCTCCACAAACGATATTCTCAAAGAGATCATCTACGTTGAAGAAGAGATTTCCCGCCTCCGCGAAACATCCAGCAACTACGACAACTACATCCCTCTTCTCCGCCCTCTCAACTCTGTTGCTGCCGCTCTTGGCCTTAAAGACGGCACACATCTCGCTTCAATAGGAAAGCGTCGTCATTCCTACCACGCGAAGCTTCAGGCTAGGCTACGCGAAGAGATCGCCGCGGAGACTGACCAGCCGTGCATCCAGGGAAACGTACTCCGCGACCCGGATAGCAAGGGACTTTCCGAAGGTGAGTTACTGAGCATAAGCCTCAGCATGATGGCTGGTGCAGATACAAGTAAGCGGACGCTCATGTGGGCATGTCTTTTGCTGGCACATCGGCCGAACCTGCAGGAGCGAGCATACAAGGCCATCCAGGAGACAGATCCGACGTTACTAACAAATCCGGATGTCGCACACTCCAGGGTTGAGTACATTGAGGCATTGACGAAGGAGATTGGGAGGTATTTCATTGTGCTGAGACTTGCTTTGCCGAAGGCGACGCATAGAGAAGTCCGGTGGAATGGGGCCGTTATTCCAGCAGGGACGATGGTATTTTTAAACTCATGGGCCTGCTCGAGAGGTATGCGGTGTTTTGTCTCCACTTTATACCTAAATTATAGCTCCTCCGCTTTTCAATGAATTTCCACTAACACTCAACAGACCCGGCCGTCTTCCCAGACCCCAACACTTTCGCCCCTGAGCGCTGGCTGGATAGCCAGAGCCAGTCTCATCAGCATCAGTACGCATTTGGCATTGGAGGTCGCATGTGCGTCGCCAGCCAACTCGCCGCAAAAGCGCTTTACACCGTGTTCTTGCATCTGATCGCGCATTTTAAGCTGTTGCCTGCCGATGGGGAGTTAAGTCCAGATGCTGCAGATCCGTTGAGGGGCTTGTTAGAGAAGGAGAACTCCAGAGTGACGCCGCGTGTTCGCCATGTGCGTTTCGTGCCTAGGGATGTCGATATTACGAGGAAGATGCTAGCTAAGAAGCCGTGATGGTAGTATAATCGACGTGATTACCGAGCTATGATCTATGACAAGTAGTTAGTTGAAAAATGAATTAACTGTTTTGGAAATTCTGGAACCGAATTCTCCGATTTCTTGATTTGTTATTAAGGAATCTTAACACTTATTGGTAACCCGTAAGTGCGAATATATAAACAGATCCGGTTATAAGTATGATAAGTTCAGGCATCAATGATATAATATTGATCAGTTGATAGCTAGTATTATTAAATAGTATAACACATTGCTAATAAAACGAACTATTATATACTCTCTATAGTGCCCTTCAAGTATTTATTATTTCTAGTATATTTGTCATTCTTCAGTGTCACTTAATGTTGGCTGAAGAACTACATACCAAAAAGGGGTTCCTCTCATTAGTGAGGGTAATTAATTTGGTTCTTATTGGCTGACACTTAATAATCCACATCTCGAAGTCGTTCTCAAATGTGTGAAGGACTAATAAGACCGAAGTGAAATCATATTACGGCAACCCAACTTCACATGAAATCCATCCCGAGACTCCACGAAAGGAAATCCTATGGTTAGATGCTACGCATTGCGAAACGATCTTTTAAGATCCCCAAAAAATCCTCAACATCCGCCCACAAAGCCTCAGGCTGCTCCATCGCCGCGAAATGGCCCCCTTTCTTGTGCTGCCGGTAGAAAACCAAGTCGCCGGTTGTCTCGACCCACGCCCTCGGGACAGGCGTGATCTCTTTAGGAAACCAAGAGAAACCTAGCGGCTTATTAATATGCCATCGTTTCGTGCCGTGGCTCTCGGCATCCGGGCCGTAGAACTGGCGGTAGGACCATAGGCTACTCGCCGCGCTGTGGGTAACCCAGTATAACGTAATTGACACCAATATGAGGTCCAGCGGCGGGGTGTCGTCGGTCCAGTCCAGGAACTTCTCGCCAACCCAGGCCAGAAGCGCCACTGGGTTGCTTGACAGCACGAAGCCAATTGTGCTGGGGCGTGTGGCGTGGGTCCACGCGTAGGCGCTTCCATTGTGCTTGAAGAAAAGGTGTCTTTGTAGGCCTTCCTCTTCAGTCTTGTTAATTTGGCTCCTGACTTCTGCTTCTTCTGGCGGTGGCATGGGACCGGTATTCAGGTGGATTGCTTTGCAGTTGGGATGATTAGCTGCAATTATTCGACCTATACGGCCCCCGAGATCACCACCTTGAATTATATACGACTCAAAACCGAGAAGTGAAGTCAACTTGTCAAAGATTCGTGCGGCATCGTCGGAAGTGATATTTCGATCCAAGGGCGGCGGAGATGAGAAAGTATAGCCCGGAAGACTGGGGACTATCAAATGGTACGGCAGTGTTTCTGCGGTGTACCTCTCTCGAAGCATATCCAAGATCGAGAGAAATTCAATAAAACATCCTGGCCAGCCGTGGAGCAACAATATTGGAATCGCATCTGCTTTCTTTGAGAACAGTGCGACAAAGTGTATCTCAAAGTCTCCAACAGGATCTTGGATTGACGCTTTAAAGTGAGGGAAAGAATTGATATATTTCTCTTGTTCCCTCCAATTGAAACTGGATTCCCAATAACGCTTTGTTTCTACCATCCAATCACGTCGAAGACCCAAATATCCATCCTGTTCAGGCAGAGCGTTCTCATACGTAGGCGGTGCGAGTGGCGTGAGTTTAAGCAGTGCAACAAGATCGTCGATGTCTTTTTGGGGAATATGCACTTCCCAGGGCTTGATCGCATCTGAAGCGTTAGGGGGCGGAACATTATATCCATGGAAACCCATTTTCAATATCTTGCAGAGACTGCCTTATTACAACAGAGCTTCTACCACGGGTGTTAAGAATGAGGCTAAATGGTGACAAATATAAAAAGAAAGTCTGGAAGTCTGGAGAGTCCTAACCGAGAATTTCATATCTTAGATGCACCTTGCACCATATACACTAGCCATAATCGCGGGCCGTCCCGATGAAGTCAAGGTAAAGATCTATGCGGCCGGACGGCGTTCGTGCCGTGCGTCGGCGTTCCTGCCGTGACCTCTTCAATCACGGAGGGGTTGTAAAATGCAATATGCTATTCGAGCTCCAGTTTCAAGTTTCATCTAGCAACTCGCTAACAGTAGACATATGCTCTATTGTACTGACAACAAGATATCTGGTGACTGTCCAATCCGTCCTCCAAACCTGATCTCACGTCGATTCACAGCCAAGGCAGAGCATTAAACGTTGGCTGGAATGGCGACACAGTTGTCACCATCAAGACCCGAACTAGCCATGAGGGAGTTCTTTGGAGATCGCAAACCCCCCGACATCAGTCGCAAGATAACAGCGTGTGTGGCTTGCCGCAAGCTAAAGGTTTGTGTGCAAATGGAAGACTCGAATTGATTGTTCCCTGGCGTGCCTGATGTTTCGTTGATGCTTAGATAAAATGCCATATGCAAGATTTGAAGCCACCCTGTGCCCGATGCAAGAAGCGAGGACTCTCGTGCACTGTCAATCGCAGTTTACAGATGGTCTTGGAAGGTGATGCAATGTAATATATTCCACCGCCGTTCGCTAAGCGTTGCTCATTTTTAACTTAGATGGAAGAATGCCATGGAGCAGAAACTAGTGCTTGTACAAGAAACAATCAATAAAATTGCGAACAGGATGATGCTGTCCGAGGTACTAGATGCCATGCCGAAAGATAACGAAAAGGTTGGAATAGCCGACGAATCCCTATTCCCTCGGGTTGAAGACGGTGATGAGTTGATTGATCCGCCAACATCTCAACCAGCATGGGAGGTGATAATGGATGCGAAATGTAGCCCTGCAGCAATTCCTGCTACCTGTATCTCGGCAGTCTCAAAGCAACCTCCGCCAGACCTACCAGCCCTCAATTCCCATCCATCAGACCTGATTAGTCGAGGCACAATATCTCTGTCCAGTGCTGAACGCTTCTTTTCAATATACCACGGTCGTCTCGATCATTTTATTTACCGAGTTCTCATCGATAGGGATTCACTTTCTAGTATCCGTGCTCATTCTTCACTACTTACAGCAGCCATTTGCGCGGTGGGTTCCCTACATGCCGCCTCCCCTGAATACCAAATATGCTACAAGGAGTTCATAAATGAATATTCCACTCAAATGACTTCCAACAGACATACAATAGATGATGTCCGTGGACTATGCATTGCAGCATTTTGGTTGAGTGGTATGTCTTGGGCTCTTGCAGGAGCTGGTACGTCTCATGTTCACTAAATGCTCATTGGGCACTACTAAGTAACAGCATGGTTGCAGCGGTTAGAATGGCGACTGAGCTTCATTTGCATCAGGGTGTTACTAAAAGCATTCATCGGTGTGTCAACAAAACACCACAGGAAAAGAAAACGTGTTATTTGCGCACTCGTCTCTACCTCCTTGTCTACGTATGCGACCATCACTTCTCAGTCGTACATGGGAGACCGCCAATGACTCGTGAGTTTATGGGACTGAGCACTCTCCGGTCCTTTTTAGAACTAGACTCCACCAACGAAGATGATGTACGGCTTGTGAGTCAGGTAGAACTTTGGTCGATTAATAGTCGAATATACGATACCTTTGGCATTAATACAGACACACCGATTCCACTAAGTTCGTTATCTGAGTTTCGATGTCTGGGGGTGGCCCTCGAAAGCTGGCGAACCACCTATAGTGAGAAATTCTCATTCAACAGTCACGTTGGTAACTATCCAAAGATTGGTGTGGGACTTCATTTCCATTTTGCAAAACTTTACCTATGCACTCATGCATTTCGAGGGGCTTCGAAGCCTGACAAGGTCACAGTATCCCCTGAAATGGATGAATTCGCCGACACAGCCGTGTATTCTGCTAGCTACATTCTTCGCACACTGGTGGGAAACCAGGAGGGTCGGTCGTATCTTGATGGCTTGCCAACCTACTTTGATACCATGGTCGCTTTCGCAGTCGTATTCCTGTTGAAAATGACTATCAAAAGCCCCATTGATATTAGGATTGACAAGCCGGAGACTATGAAGCTGCTGAGCCAAGTTGCTGCAGTTCTGAGCGATGTGACCTCGCATATGCACTCCCAGCATGTGCTTTCAGACATATCTATAAGTGTCACAAAGCTTGTCGGGCGGTTCCAGAACTCTACTTCTCAAAGTACGAGTAATCTGGCGGATAACTCTCCGGTGACCACTTTTGAATTATGCCAAGTAGATGGAGATTGGCTTGGTCCTGAAGATTCCACATTCCTTGGGAACTACGATTTACTGTTCCTTCAGGATGGTGCCTTTGGCTTAGAAATTGATCAATTGGAGTAAGCTCTGTAATTTAAAACTGCATAATGTAGCTTCTCGGTCAAACCGTGCTTTCAAGAACTTTACGCTCACAATTAGAGATATGTCTTCATATATTTTCCTCGTAAGGTTATGAGAATCTGGGATGACGTGGATGTACTACCAAATTTTACTACATCTAATATATAAGCCCACATTTAAGTCGATTGAGGCTTCTCCTTCTCCGCAGCACGCAGTGGAATGGAGATATAGCCTCCAAACTCCTTAGCAAAGTTCACTGAGACCCGTGCGTGAACACGGCCCTGACGATCCAAGAAGCGACTGTGATCATCGATAGGAACAACAGCACCATGCCAGATATTGGGATGGATGTAAAGACCCTTGCCGCCGTCGCACCGGAAAGCCACGAACTTCTCGGGGGTAACGTCGTCACCCGGCAATGCCAATGGAATCAAGAAACTCTGCCCATCCATGGGAAAGAACATCTGCCCGCCGTCCGGATGATAGTTAGCGCGCCATATCAGTGCCATATCACGTGGCTTTCCAACGCCGCTGGTGCTTGCCTCCTCGGGGAATTGGCTCCAGGCAAAAAGGTAGTTGTCGCCCACGGCGTTATTACGGGCGTACAGCGTGTTGTCCTTCCACCAGAACTCGAAGAGCCCTTCCGTTGTTCCGCCTTGGTTCCCCGAGTTCGCATCAACCGGTCGCCATCCCTGGGCCGGCCAGCGGACTATCTCGATGGGGAAGTTCTCGGGTGACTCGACAATCTGACCGTAGCCCTTGATGCTTTCGGGGGTTGCTTGCACTACGGCTAATTCAAAGACCTTGGTCACCCCAGTCGTGGGGGTGTAGGCAATATCGTTGGCATCGAATTTCATCTTCGCTTCATTCATAAATGAGCATCAGCGAGTGAGGGCAAAGAGTTATCGTAGTTATCCTGCTTGGTGTTCGCCTTAATCTTTTAAATAATCTTATCTGACGGTATTCTCTGGGCCTTGTGGAAAATAAAGAAGATATCGTCGCCATATTGAATACATTGATTGATAAATAACCTAACTTTATAAACATAACACCACTCCGCTGTTCGTGCCGACAGTAGTATGATGGTGAGACTACTTGTTTGGGGCATTTTAGGGTTAGTTCGGTAGCTGATGTAATTCATCGGCATCAGGACCGATATTCGGCGCAACCACCACTGTATCCGAGTCTGACAACTGCTTCGCTCGCGAAACACGTCAATTTACACAATCTATCATCATGGTAATGACTCTGAAGGCCACTGTTGCGATATTACCCTTCCCTCAATAGGGACCTAATCAGTGAGGAAATGAATGCGCGATTTTCTTCCTGCTATTACGTCCAGTCACTTCGGAAAGGCGCTCTGGCGTTATTGGACGAGATAATTCCCGCTCCTCGTTTCTGCCCGCTCTCCATATGCGCGAGATGACACCAGACACTAAGAGCTAGCAACTTGGAGTTGCGCCTATCTCTGTTCCTTGGTGTCATTCATATTATTCAATTGGAAGCCAGTGAGTTTTGCAGGCATATCATGCAGCCGGATCTAAGATTCGTTGCCATGTGAAAATTATCAAATGCTTAATTCATCCCCCTTGCTGCAACCCATGTGTCCAGAGGACGATTGACGACCAGGTGGAGACGAGGCTTGAGACCAATCGTTGACTGCTAGCTTGTGCACTTCCTTATCTTCTGCCACTCGGGGAGTATTTTGCCCCCATTCTCGCTTTCCTGTATTAAAGAACCAATATCCCAGTTCAAAATCTTTGAGCTAGTCTTCCTCGTCCGCGTATTCCTACCTATCCGTCGTTTGTGAATTTGCTGTCTGTATAACTACAATCCAGCACACTCGGTGAGCCTATCTAGCATGTCTCCAGCCATTGAGTTGGACTCAGATGTCATTTCACGTGGTGGTGGCGTCTTCTCCACAAGAAAGGCACAAAAGAGCCTTGATATCACGGTAGATCACAAAGTCGTCGATGAGGATGATTCCATTCTCGAGAAAGACGTCGTCGATGAGCGAGATGTGAGAAAGAAGCAGGTATGCATTTTCACTAGTGTCTAGACTAAAGTTCACCTACTCACTCTTCATCAGTCGTATAGCCGGTACCAAACGTTGTGGTGAGAAGACACAGTTTCCAGTCGCGCATTTCTAGCCCGGTTCCTGACTTCGTCCCTATAAGGCTTGCCTATCAATCCATTGGCGTTATCTACGGTGATATTGGCACCAGTCCTCTCTATGTCTACTCCTCTACCTTCAGCGACAATCCTAGCTATGACGATCTGGTAGGCGCGTTGTCGCTCGTAATCTGGAGTCTTACCATCATGGTGACGATCAAGTATGTCTTAATAGTCCTGTTTGCCGACGATGAAGGTGAGGGTGGAACTTTTGCACTGTTCACACTTATCTCTCGATATGTATGCTTCTTCCCTGAAACTCCACGAGACTTTCGTTCACTGAACGATCCATAGGCAAATCTCGTCGAACGTGATCCCCGCGAAGCACGTTCCATCCGCATAGAGCGTCACAATACAAACGAGATGCATCGACCCAACAAGTATGTTCGCTCTTTCATCGAGCGATACAATATCGTGAAGTGGGCTTTCAAAATAATGGGTGTGGCGGGTGTGGGACTTCTTCTTGCTGGTTAGTGGCTTTTGTCAGACATCAAACTATTTAGATTTCGCTGAAGTGCATCAGATGGTGTTTTGACACCTGCCCAATCTCTTCTCGGTGCCATTCAAGGGTAAGCACAATTATTGCGACTGAATAGTGATGTGCGTACATCCTGACACTCTCTTCTAGAGCCACTGTGGTGAACCCAAACCTCAGCAGTTCTGCTGTAATTGGTGCTTCCTGTGCGATTATAGTCTTAGTCTATGCTATTCAACCATTGGGTACCGGAAAGCTAGCCGTGACGTTTGCACCCATCGTCATTATCTGGCTCGCTTTCAACCTTGGGTTCGGCATCTATGTTCGTTTCCAACTAGCTTTCTACTAGCGTAGCTAACATAGCCTCAGAACCTTGTTCATTATGATGCCTCGGTCTTCAAGGCATTCTCGCCCTATTTCGCCGGTTCATTTCTTATGCGCCATGGCTCCGATGGCTGGGTTGCACTGGGCGGTATTCTACTGGCCTTCACAGGGGTAGAGGCATTGTTTGCCGACCTTGGTGCTTTCAACAGACAGTATGCCCTGCATTCTCTTACGAAAACCTCATCAATCTAACCAAATTACCAGGGCTGTCCAACTTTCGTGGTGCGGTTACGCTTACCCGTGCCTTTTGATTGGGGTTAGGATCCCTCTTTAGGATGGAAACATGATCTCCACTTTAATCGTTGCTAACTTCTCTTCCTTAAATTTTACCAGTACATCGGACAAGCCGCTTACATTAGCGTTAACCCCAGTGCATATGCAAACCCTTTCTATCTGACTGTTCCACCTGGGATGCTTTGGCCCAGTCTGGTCTTCGCAATCCTGGCCTGCATCGTCGCCAGTCAAGCCGTCATTACTGGTGCCTTCCAGGTATGACCCACAAGGAAAATAGTACTAGCATATTATGACTAACAGTTTATCAATTGGTCTACAGCTCTTGTCTCAAATCATGAAACTATCCTACTTCCCTCAGATCAAGGTTGTCCACGTATCCAAGGAATACCATGGTCAGGTCTATATCCCATTCGCCAATTGGCTCCTCATGATCGGGACAGTGGTGGTGACTGCAGTGTATACCAACGTAAGTAATCCCTTGCTTATCCACAAATTTTCTGGCACAATGTTTTTCAGAAGCTGATTACAATTGGCCGTAGACAACCAATCTCGGTCATGCCTATGGGGTTTGCGTCATCCTGGTGACATTCTTGACCACTTGCATGGTCACCTTGGTTGCCCTTACAGTGTGGCGGTTGCCTGTCTACATTGTGCTCCCCATCTTTCTTATCTTTGCGTTATGGGACGGAATGTTCCTATCTTCTGCGTTAACCAAAGTTCCCGCAGGCGCATGGGTTACTCTCATGATCGCTGGTGTGCTGACTTGCATATTCGTTCTCTGGCGCTTCGGCAAGGAGGAGCAATGGAAGTCGGAGGCCGCAGACAACATGCCACTATCGCAGGTTGTTCATGTCAGATCCAATTCCGAATCAGATTCCGAGAATGATAATTCTGTTCAGCTTCAACTGGCTCCCGCTCTCGGTGCGGCTCCAATCTCTCGGACCAACGGCCTAGGCATCTTCTTCGACAAGGCTGGAAGTCAAGCCGTAGCTCCACATGTTTTTGTGCAGTTCCTCCAGAAATTCAGGGCCGCACCGGAATTCATAGTACTCTTCCACTTGCGTCCCGTCTCAATGCCAGCAGTGGCCCCCGAATCCAGATACACCGTCTCGTACTGCTTTGCTAGCCATCCTAATGGCAAGAACAAAGTTCCCATACCCAACTGCGTCCGCCTCGTAGTACGCTACGGATACACCGACGAACTCATCACCCCTGACCTAGGTAGACTAGTCGCTGATGCCGTCCGTACCTTCCTGCTTAGCGGGGACCAGTCAAAAGATGAGACTCGTCTGTCCCTCAGCACTCTTGATCGCGCTTACACTGATCAAGTAATATACATCATGGGCAAGGAGCAGTTGCGTGTCAAAAGGGGTAGGAACATCTTCCGTTGGGCTTTCTTGAGTTTATTCGTCTGGATTCGCTCTATAACCTCTGCCAAAGTCGAACGTCTAAATGTCCAAGTCGATCGCCTAGTAGAGGTGGGCTTCGTTAAGGAGATATAACGAGTCAGGGAGTGACCAATTTGGGAAGTTTTGTTATAGTATAGAAGTAGTAAACAAGGGTATAATACACCATACAAATGTACATCACAATGCCAATATTTAGTTTGATACGACTGGGCTGTGTCCATTGCCGATAGAACTGAAACTAATGAGTTGTAAACTTCCATCTCCACTGCAATTAATGCGACTAGTATAGATGCGGACCCGAGGTTATAAGATGGGCGAAGATCAAGAGAGCACTCGACTCCCAACTCATATGGGGATTTGCCAGGTCATTCACATTGAAATAGAAACATTAATTCAAACTACCCGCGAGTCGCAATATCTGCTTTCCTTGATTCAATACGATCAAAAGAATTTAAAGTTTTAAATATAACACCTAAAATTTCATATACATTCAATCATTGATGTTAGGAGGTTTATCCCCGTCATAATTTTTAAGGGGTGGAGAATGGTAAAACCCTAAGTGTTCCCACCTTCTCCGTAGCAGCTCTTGGTGCAAACGGTAGTTCTAGCATCAATTCCTAGTAATTCATTACTCAACTTCGTTTCTATTTAGATTTAACATGTAACTTCCCGTGGTCTTTAGTAAGAGATATTAACAGGCAAAATTATGTGGCATCGACTCATTTATCTCAGTTATCTATTGATGGTAATGGATGTGATATCCACAACCACCTCATTAGAGTATTGTGATATACCACAAATCGAAGAGCATTAGATGGGAAAATCTCCAATCCGTCTACACGAAAGCTATTACGGAAAACCCCTCATATTTCGCATCGTCAAATCTGGCAAAAAATTATCAATATATAATATCTGATTCTTTTCATTCAGCCTGATTATCCTCAACTTTTTTGTGCCTCCTCATCAAAATTAATTCGTCTGTTTTAAAACAAGTCATGAACCAATATGAGTTTTCGTCCAGTTCCATGTGGAAACCCCCCCGCCCCCTCAGATATAATCTTCAATAAAATGTCATTAGTTTTAATAAGCCGGATTCCGATTCCTTGGCATAGATTCTTCTAAAATCTACTAAATCTTATACTATAGTTGTATCCGTATTTCTAGCAATCTACGTTTGTTTTTTGGTAGCAATATAATACAACGCTGTATATTGTGCGGGGTCTCCAGGCCTCAACTTAACCCTGCGAGTAAGATAGAAGATAACACTGCACCAGATAGCATAGAGAACACTACGGAAGTGGGTGAAGCGTGAGAAGTAAGACTACCATACTGCTGGTATTGATGACAGTGACTATTCGTTAATTAGTAGGCATATATAGAGTAGCAGCTCAATGCTATCTTGTGAATACTACATATATATGTACATGGAGTGTAGTGCAACAAGGTCTGGAAATTCAGCCTGGGACTTGGTAAATCTAACCGTGATCAACTCAGCTTAATGAAGAACTCATTAATAGACGTTTGTTGAAGATTGTAATCAAGAACTGCTACTTGATGAGAAGAAATTGTTAAAGAGTGACAACTTTCAATCACGCAAGTTCCTCGACTGCTCATCCCAGGACATACTACTTAGGCAATACTACCTATTGTGTTGTGTGCAGTAGATTGGTTGTATGTTATCTTGATTTAATTCAAGGTAGCCCGTTTTCAAATTTCAAATAAACCATGCATTGAATAAGTCAATTATCCAAATAATCTCTGTCAATGTGTATATGTATGTACATGTATGCTGCCGGTGATCCGTCGGAGGCTCCGAGGCTAGCTCGGCTGATAGCCATAAGCGATTTTTAATTCTATCATATTCACTGCGCCAATCATTAACAAAGGTATATAAAATCAACAATCCTGACTATGGAAGTTAATACAAAGTTGTTCGTCTTCCGGTCATTCTCCTTATCTCCTTAAACCCCCTTAGGCTTTTGTTAGCTAATCATCACGATATTCGGTCAGCTAGAAACGCAAACAACCTTAAAGATAAGGAAAAGAGAATGAAAAGAAGATGACCGACGCCCTGAAACTTCACTCCCCCACAGCGCTTCTAGATGCCTTGTGCACTTGCATTGAAAAAGACATCCACCCGCTCTCAACCCCCGCCGTAGCCGCCGGATCCAAACTCTTTGGCGCAGCTATCCTCCGCAAGTCCGATCTGAGTGTCGTATACGCAGATACAAACCAGGAACGGGGCTCTCCTCTATGGCATGGCGAGACCTGGACACTGAAACAATTCTTCGAGATCCCGGCCGATCAACGCCCACAAGTTGATGGTTGTCTATTCCTCACAACTCATGAACCATGCTCATTGTGTCTGTCGGCTATTCTGTGGAGTGGATTTGATAATTTCATTTATATGTACACCTATGAAGAGACACATCATGTGTTTGAGTGCAATGGGGATCTAGATATTTTCAACGACGTGTTCAACGTTCGCCAGGGTGAGACAGGTAGGCAGGCTAGTTTGGATGGCAAGTTGGCCCAAATACGACCGCAGTACAAGTTACGCAGCAGCAGGCTAGTCGCTCTGAGCTTCGCTGAACTTCTGGCTGCCATAACAGACAAGATGACACAGGCGGAGTATTTAGCGAAAGTGAGCCGTGTCAAAACGAGCTACGGACGACTATCGGAGGCTTATCGGAGGAATATGAGTGTGGAGGAGTAAACAGCCGGAAAAGGATATTAGGTGGAAAAGTCGTTTGACTGTATATTTGAACATCAATGCAGTATTCAAAACTGCGTCTCATCACTGAGTAGGGTGCCATCGAGTCCATGATCAAGTGTATCCATATTTCGTGGGTAATATGCTGCCATGAACACATCCCATGCGTAATGCTCATTTGAAGTCAAACCATCAATCCCAATTTCTCTATTCGTCTGGTTCATCACCGATGTGCCCGCAGCTGCAGCCTTCTGCCGGATTTCTTGAAGCACTGTTCCAAATCGGAAAGCGATATGCTCGTTATTCGGGGCAAGGTCTATCAAACTCTCTTGTGTCATCGCTATCAGAGGGTCGCTAATAGTGAATTTGCACAACGTGAGAGCTGCATATACAGTAATGAAGAAGTAATAGTCCGGAAGATCGAGAATTACTGTAAAATCGAGCTCTTGAAACACCTCCAGTATCTCACGCGAAACTTTCAATGCTGCATCTTTGAGGATAATTGATGAAGTTTGAGCTCGAAGTGAAACTCTATATAAGAGGAGATAGCAGAACATGTAACTAAATCTTACAGTGACAGAACGCGGATTATCTAGATAATGGTTGATTAGACAGCATGTTGAAAAGACGTCGGCGAATATATAAAAGGTAGCTCACCAAAGACTTGCTTCCATGACAACTTCCATTCGGCAAGTTCATCAAAGATGGGGTTCTCCGATTCGTCCATCCGCTGCTTCTGATTAAGGAGGTGTGCAGTTTCCCAGTAAAGTAAAACTTCCGCGGATAGTTTGACATCCTCAAAACAGGACTTTGGAGTTTCTAAAATGTCGTAGCAATAATCAACAAATTTCTTCTGAACCATAGACTGTCTACCATTTCCAATTGAAAATCTGGCTCTTTATTAGTATTTTGTTTGCTATTAGGAATCAGGAATGAGGCCACTCGCTGAATATGGGTCAGACATAAAGCATTCCAGATACGCAATTTAGGTAGCAGCATATAATCAGAATTTCCAGGAAGAATCATATCAACTGAACGATTTAGATGAAGTGTCGCATGATTAATTCCAAGCGCACTCATTAACCAGCTGTCAATCGGCATCGCTGTCTGGATAGTCGGGCTGAACATACTCAGAAGCAGTAGGCCTTGGAGCTCTTCGTAGCGGAGAGGCGGAGGCTTCAGAACAACACTGGAAGCCAATCGGCGAACCATCAAATATATTTCATGGCTAGCCGTCCTGCCGATGCTGGGCACAAATCGAGAGGCCAGCAGGCAGGCAGTGCTAAATAGCAAAGGGTGATTCCGCTCAAAGTCATCAGGGAGGTCATGCTTGTGATTGACTGAGATCCAGAACCCGTAATGTTTTATGAATCTGTGTTGAGGCATAGTTAATCAGTAAAAGATAATAAGACAATTGACTTCGACGTGACTTGCATCTGAATAAGGTGCCTGGAAAGAGATGCCCTGATAATTCCGGCAGATACGACGTTCCCCAAGGCCAGGACTTCATCGGAAAAGTCTTGCTTGGGGCCAAAAAACTGGGTTTGCAAATTTCGCATGAGTAAAACCGGTCTCATGATGCCATTCCCTACCGTGTCATCCAAATAAACACTTGTAGATGAGCCGGGCATATGTTGCGTGTCTTGTTGAGGCCTAGAGATGGCGTGCACACTTAAGGAGGGGTGGACAGCGCCACGGATTAGCCGTCCTAGCTCCTCGACACTCCTTTCGAGCTGTGCTAGCCGGGCATCAATGCCTTCTGGAGCTATAGAGATCTGATTTTGTACTCCCTCAAGTTTTTGCTCAATACTTGCAAGCTTAGTATCAACATCATTGAAAGATGCCATACCCTCTAAGGGGAGGCCTTTGTCAGTGCCCGGTAAGTCACAGACGATGCTAATGGAGAATCAATGAATATGTTCAATTGTGGAGGTGACTTATTGAAGGGCATACCCCAAAGATATGCATCGGCGGCATGCCTTTTTCCCCGACACACTCTCACACCGGGTTTTGAGCTTTCGGCACGTCTCGCAAGCGCTCACTGGGCGGTTGAGCCGGCTCTTCTTCTTGCCACCGGCATCTTCCTCAGGGATATTTGTGCTGAGGTCCATGATGAAATCCACTGTGCTTGTGGTTGTCCCTTGCCACTAGTATTCAAGTATTCATTACGTTGGTAGAAGTAGTGAGCGACGAGGATGAATTGTGTTGGACGCGGCTGTCTTATCCGTGGCTCCAGCTGTTGTTATCTTATCGCGTCTTCCGAGGCAGCCACTGGCAAGACTCGAGGAAGGAGCTCGGCCAACCAATATAATATATTAATATATCTTATTTTATTTTATATCAAACACTATATATTTTCTGTAAATATTGTTCCCAATTTTTTTTCTTAATAATTGCTTATATAATTCTAACGTCCGTTTTATATAGAAATTAGGATCCGAATAATATTATAACTAGCATATCTATATTAACCGATATGAGTCTTGGTATAGCGACGAGGAAAAGAACGCTACTAAAACTGACAATAGATTTTGAATGATACTTCTACTACTACTACTACTACTACTACTACTATATTGATGGAAAAAATCCGATCACTTACAATGTTGGGTGTTCATTTGGGGTCATTTGGTGTATTTTGTCTATGCTACAAGCTAACTAGGTCTCGTCTCATCATGTACACCGCCAGAGCCCCTCTCCAGGTTCGTTGCCTTAAAACGCAGATGAACCCATTCAGAGCACGAGATGGGCTCGTATTTGGCTGGGTGATCGGAATCTACGCAGCTGGGCAGGACGCCGCAGGTCTCGTTGAAGTTGAATCCTGCCTATGGTGAGTAAGTGGCCCGACATAGTTTGCTCTCACTTACCTAGGAAAAATGGCATAGAATATCGTTCGTTTTTGCTGAAATTTTTAGCTCGGTGCACCGTTGAAATGAACCGATCATTGGTGATACGCATGAGATAGTCGCCGATATTCACTACAAATGTGCCTTCAATCGGTTTGGCATTGAGCCATTGTCCGTCTCGGTTGAGTACCTGCAGACCGCCGTTCTGATCTTGCCAGAGCATGGTGAAGAATTGTAAATCCGTATGCGATCCAATGCTCACCACTTCTGCATCTGCTTTCTCAACCACGCTATCTGGAATACTCGGGTAGTAATTGAGAGCTACCGCGGCGTCGGGGTGGGATGTCATTGCATCAAAATAGTCTTCGGGGAGATCCAAGGCTAGGGCAAAAATACGAATCAGCCGGCGTGCCACAGCGAGGCATGAGCGCCAGTACTCCAGTACATCAGTTTTGAAGTGCGACAGGTTGGCGGTTTGAGTCCAGCAGTATTCCTCTGCCCTAAACCCATCTTTGATCTCTTGTGGAATCGATTCCACATCGTCCACGCTCGGGTCATAGCGAGGGTCGTAACGAAACCCAAAGCTCTCGCGTACGTCCAATGATTCTACGGCATTGGCCCGATGAGATTTGGGACCATTCCAGCCATTAAACCACTTTGAATTTGCTTGGTTCACGCGCTGCTTGATCTCCTCCGGCTGATGAAAGAAATCCTGTGCGCTCTGAAGGGCTGTGTTGATGACTTTTTCGGGAATGCCATGTCCTTTCATGTAGAAGAAGCCGATAGTAGCAGCAGCGTCACGGATTTCTTTGGCGACAGTCTTTCGAACATCCAAACTATCGCTGAAAATGCGAGAGATTTCAATTATGGGAATTTCTTCCAGGGTGGCGTCACGCGGAGGATCTTTCTTGATTGTGCGGTGTACAGGACCATATGCGCTGATAAGCTCGAGTATAGTACACCCATCGGGAACTTGGACTGTTGCTTGTTGTTGCAGGACTTCCGTCGCCATATTGTTTCTCAATTTTTTATTCTTTTCCTGCGTTTCCAGATTTGCAGGCTGGCAGGTAGTGCTACACGCGATGTTTCAATGCCACTGCAGCGCTATTACAACTGTTGTGTACATTTTATACGGTGGACATGTTAACGGCCGCATGAGCGAGTACATTGGGCTCCTCAAAAGATTATCTCGTCGTTGACCGACGGGCGTCCGAGCGACCCTTAGTTGGATGTATTGTCTATGGGGCCTCCAAACTAGTTGAGGGAGATACACAGGCTTCAATGAGTGCATCTTCACCCTAGAAAGATTTCCGATGCTTATCGGGTTGTGTCAGCTTATCAGTAATGACCACCGGAGAACCGTCGGATCCCCGTTTTGAGGAAAGCTAGATGAATCGCTCAAACTTGAGTGGTTTCACGCTGATAGCTACAATAATCCATTGATATGGACAAGATACCGATATAAGGCTATGGTTGTACGTATAATAAGATCACGCCTCTCTTCACTCCTAATCGAAAGATGCATGTACGAACTCGCCGGTACACAGCTGTAACGTATTCTTCAGCAGTGCAGGTCGGTCAAGATGTCTATCATCACTTTTCTCGAGACAAAAGAATATAGAGAGAATCAAGGCTTGGGGCGTCACCAATGGCTCGATAATTTAGACCTGAGGCCTGTGCCGCAAAATCGTCGTACATACACTTGGCAGTCGTACTTCTGGTTTTGGATCTCTGCCAATGCGACTCCAGCCACATTCTACGGTGTATCAGCCGCCTTAGCCGCGGGCTTGGGCCTTTGGGAAGCCTTGATGTGCCAGTTGGGAGGACAAAGTGAGCTTGGCATCCTTAAACATGAGAATTAGTGTGATGAACTGAGACTGGCCATTTTTAGTCATGATCGCAACAGTATTTTGCTTCAACGGCAGGGCCGGTGCTGTCTATCATATTCCATATCCAGTTATAGCACGTGCTTGTTTCGGTATCTGGGGAGCTTATTGGCCCATCGTTAATCGCGTCGTGATGACATTGGTCTGGACTGGGGTTAACGCGGTGCAGGGCGGTCAATGTGCCTATGTCCTACTACATGCTCTCTTTCCGTCCATTGCAAACATTCCCGACGTCTTTCCTGCAGGAGTATCAGCTCTGAATTCGGGCGGAATGATCGGTTTCATGGTGTTTTGGTAGAGAAATCCCCACCTGGCCGTTTCATCTCTCTAAACTGACATGGTTGGATCTAAAATGCAGGATCGTGACAACATCTCTGCTACACATTAAAATCCCAGACCTACGACCTTACATGTACACGAAATTGATTATATTTGCCGTTTGTAGTATCGCCCTTTTGGTTTGGGCATTGATAGAAGCGGGAGGTATTGGGACTGTTGCTCGTCAGGGCAGCACAATCTCAGGCAGTGCCAAATCCTGGGCGATTGCGCGATATATCTGGATTTACTGTGCCAACGGTGCCACCTATGCCACCAATGCAGCTGATTTTCTTCGTTATGCCAAAAAACCAAAAAATGCCTGGTGGCCACAGTTGATCGGTTTCCCGCTCTCAACACTGATTTATGGTTTGATTGGAAATCTAATCGTATCCAGCTCTGTTATCATATTTGGAGAGGTAAGTTAAGTAACTTGCTCATTTTTTCTCTCTTCACACCGCTTAGCTGACTATTACGGCAGCTTGTTTGGAACCCCATTGATCTTCTGGATATGCTTCTTGCCCAAGACTACAGTTCTGGCAAACGCGCTGGTGTATTCTTTTTATCCCTGGGCTTCATGTATGCTTCAGTTATTTCTTCTATCTTTGAAAACTCTATTCCTGCGGGGAATGACCTGGCTGCTCTTTGGCCCCGATTCATCAGCATCCGACGTGGTTTCTATCTTGCCGCCGTTATATCTTATGCAATGTGTCCGTGGTATATTTTAGGAACGGCATCTAGCTTTGTTAGTTGGCTGGCATCTTACCAGTAGGTCTTTCAGAACCATAACCCTTCTGGGACGGCTATATTAACGATGAGAAATAGAATATTCCTCTCATCTATTACTGGCGTCATGCTTTGCCAATACTTCCTCATTTCGAAAGGTTACTTACAGATCCCAGACTTCTACACATCCAGATCGACGGGCTTGTACTACTACCGCAGGGGATGGAACTATCGTGCTTATATTGCCTACGTAATCGGTGTTGCGCCCAATTTCTACGGTTTCTTGGGAGTCTTCGGCGTCAGCATCACTGAGACGGCCACTCGTATGTATTATTTTGCTTATCCCGTCGGGCTCATCTTGAGTTTCGCTTCGTACTATGGTCTGTGCTGGCTGGATCCTCCGCCATGCTCGAAGATGGAAGTTACGTGGCAAGAACCTGTAGACTATTTTGAGCCCGAGGATATTCTAGATGGCATGCCACCTGTCGATATGCAGGAGACTATTGTTCTGGGAACTCCAGGGACAAAGGAGGTTTGATAGGAGAGCGTACAATTTTTGACCTGTACTCTTGTCGCAAGAATCTTCGTTAGTCCTATATAGTCGAATTGCAGTTCCGTCAACAGAGATGAGTTCATAGTGAACAGGTCATGGGTGGCCATGCGCTGGCCGTCTGTAAAGTAGAGCCTAGAAATTGTTCTACCTCATGCATAGTCGTGTAAAAGCACTCCAACCGCAGCTATAGCGAGTACCTCAGCCGGAAGTGTATATACAGACTTTGAAGTTTCCAAAAGATACAATATCAGTCCGACATGAAGAAAGGAGATTTGACTCGAGGTATCTAAAACTTATATATCATACTAGCGTGGGGCAAATGGTTGATTCAGCCTAGCCAGAAGCCGTCCCTTCCTTTTAATTTCCGGATTGACCGCACCGTAGTGTACATATCTCCTTCTATGTGCCTTTCAATGTAGCTATACGATCGGCTCAAGTGACGCTAACGGAGCAATCTGGACGAAACTTCTGAAGAACCTCGGGAAAGAGCTCTAGAATCAATTGCCTAGGAGGTCAACGGGAGCCTTCCGAAGGCCTTGAGTTATCCTGTTGGGTCCACCGCTCCAGGTGGCGAAGTGCCGATAAGCGGGGGATTATCCTTTTCCGTAAAATAAGCAGATATATTGACAGTCTTATCATTTAGATCAAGCCTAGTAATTGACGGAGTCATTATAAAGATCTTCGTGGTCGTGGCGTCACCGATGACACCACCCTGTAGGAGCCTCGAGAGGCTCAGTGTTTTCCTCACCGCTAGTCCGACCTATTCTAATGGCGAGAGCCAGCGACCGTAAGAGTAGGGTCTTGCTTCGTTGACTGAGTAGATCGCTCACCCGTAGATAGTTCTTTGAGGAGGGAGAAAATGACCAAACCACACGAAGCAAAGCAGCGTAAGGCTGGTTGGCTTAAAACAGTTTCGAGCGCTTGATGAAGCAATGAAATAGAGTAATAGGAGACATTACAACGTACTATAGGTAGTCAATAACATCAGCGGTAAATGTGTCGTCCGTTCCAACTGTTTTCTAAAGGCTAGGACTTCCCAAAAGTAGCTAACGTATGCCCCAATTTTTTACTGTTTCAGTCGGTGTTGGATGGCGGAGAACGAGAGGCACCTTACCCAATCGTGAAACCACCACTATAGAAGTACAGCCTCTTAAATTTCTTAGCATGTGGTCAAAACTCAGAGGCATCAAAGTAGGGGAATCGCGAGCCGATATACTGTTGAACGTGGTTTAGTCCTCAGGCACTTGAATCGTGTTTGCCGCTCCCTTGACAATATTGCATAACCCATTAACGATATCGACATCTAGTCGACTAGGATATGGCGCTCATCCAACCTCAATCATTGAGCATAATGGAACAAGTTCCTTTTCTCTCCCTTGCTTACTATCGCAGTGGGAGGTGCTGCTGCTGCTGTAGTGGTTGGATTATCGCGACGAGTATTGAAACATATACAATTGCCAGTCGTGCAGTCAAAAGCGTATTCTGCAACGGTAGTAAAAGGTGACGACATCCCTAGAGACCGTGCAGCCTGTGACCTGGGACGAATAGGTCGAGTAAGTCTCAGTGGTAATCGTGGATCCAGTATAGTCAGTGGCGTACGAGACATAGTATGTAATTTGAGTTGCGGTCTCCATGCTATGTGATTCAGACGTTGCAGTTGGTGCATTTGTCGGATAATCATTCGGCTCTATTTTAATTGGTGGGAAAGGGGTTGGAAGTCCCGCAGGAGGTCTGTCACAGAATCCGCGATCTGCTGGAATCATAGATGGCCAGGTAACTCGTCCTCCACCAGGATATACTCCCAGTCCGGGCCATCCAAGGAGCATGATCCCATTGGATCCAGGAGGACAGAACCAGCACCCGGCCCAAAAGTCCAAGTACAGGATGGTCCGAAGAGCCATGTGTGCTGGATGCAACAGAGGAGGTAGACCAAGAGACGCTTGTTGGAAACGCCAGGTAGGTTATGAGACTCATGACTGCGGAAGATTTCGAAGTCGATTCTCCAGTAACAATTCCAATGAAGACAGAGCCTGTGTTTATGGAATATTGGAGATTATTGCTGGATGTATGTATGGCATAAGGTCTAACAATAAGATATAGTTATTTGTAGATATTTGAAGCTACATTGTGATTGTGATTGAATTGGGAATAAGTTTAATAATCAATAGTATAGAAAGTTTGTAACATAGTAAATTATAAAAGCTTGGATCTTTATATGACTGAAGCTCTGTCGTTGCTGATAATATATTGATAGGTATTCTTAAGAAACACCTAAATGGTTTAGCTATCATATAGCTCCTCAACCCAGCTAGTGACAACTATAGTGGACCTAGGTTTGTGACGTCTTGAGATCTCACTTCGTGGGAAAACAGCCACCTTGAGTAGATGTATTTTATATTAATAATATTAATTTATGATAACTAGTTTAAATATAAATTATTATACTTCGTATGTTATCTTAATATAAATGCAGATATAGAGTATAAGAAATACATAAATGTCCTTACTCTATTTTATCTAGTACGGCTCTAACGTTTATTATCAAAATTAAATGCTTCTACTAGTAGGGGCATTTTGCATTGATGATAGGGCACCAAGAATACGAGGATATGATAGATTCAAGGCCTCACTAGCTATATTTAATTAGATACGCTATCTTCTTAACCTTATGTTGTCGGCAGATAGTAATCACAAATGTCTAACCAAGGTCATCTCATATTCTAATACCACAGAGCAGCGATATTCGACCAACAAAAGTCTGTTTAACTCGTGGCATTCTCAAAAGTGAAAATAAGGATACTATCATATACGTCTACTTGTTAACACAAATAGAATAGCGTCATTGTATCAAATCCTAACATTATAACTATGCGCCAGTCCATGAGACACCAGCAGGGTCCAGAGCAGGCGGTTCACCCACAGCCACAACGCGTTGCGCCATGCGGGGTCCATCATAATCGTAGGTGGCAGTGTGATAAGTCGCTCTATTGTCCCACACGGCAAGATCGTTTTCTCCCCATTTGACTCGGACCTATAGAATCAATGTCAAAGAGAATTACTCAAGTAGAGTCCAACGGACGAGATAGCATACCTGAAGGTCATGGTTATCGGTAATTAGGTTTAAGAGAAATTTTTTTACCCATTCACTCTCCTCAATTGCCAGCCCGTTAACACTCTGAAGATGGTGACCAACACCAAAGATAGCCTTCCATCCAGTAACAGGGTTTGTGCGAACAATTGGGTGTTCAGCAGTCAGAGACTGGTCGACATTGAGCGGGTGTCCTCGCGCAACCTGATACAAATGCGCATGCTCAGGGTTGGGTTTGTAGCCCACGGGAGAAAAATTGCCGGTCAGTGTCTCTAGGAAAGCGCGCATGGGAGGGCTGACGCGCTCGTAAACCTCATAGGCGGAAGCGAAAATGGTATCACCGCCAGTATTGGAGCGTACTCTGTTGATCAGCGTTGTGTAGTCAGACGTCACTCGCTCAAAGGCAATGTCTGAGTGCCATCCATCCGCCACGCTCTGTTTTTTGAGTTGTCTTTTGCCTGCGACGACTCCTGTTTGCTTGGAGAGCATGTGTGCTGGATTGCGTGCGATGGTGGACATTTCGAGGTCGGGCTTCTCACCGGGCTTGTGAATGGTGTGGTTGCTATTGAATGATATTTATTTGTCATTTCATTTGTCCTTGGTTATGTCGAGTCGGCTAAGTGACTTACATCGGGTGGATATGGATTGCTGAATCCTTCGGCTTACCAGTTAGTTGTCCAAGGCGGTTTGTGAAGTACTTTTGGTGTGCCGGGGTGAGATTCTTCTGGCTGCGAAAGACGACTAGACCGCGGCGAGAGACTTGAAGAAAATTAGTTAGTGTGTTAACAGTCATATCTATTCTCGAGAGCTGCCTCACTAGTAATAGCGAGATCACGCAGCAGATCATCTACACTAGGGGCTTCCAGGACTTCGACCAGATCAATATCTAGGTACTCGCGACCTAGTGCTCGGGTAAGGTCCTCGTATCTCCAATGGTTGATGGAAGTTCTAAGCTTCAATGGAGGGGGAAAGGTAGTGGTGAACTTTTTCATTCCAGTCTCTTCCTTACCAACTTCAGAGCTCGACTCGGAAATATTCCTGTTTGCTACTGAAATACTTTCCGACACCGTTGACTTGATGATGGGCCGTAGTACCTGCTGTATCACAGGCTGCAGAAGGGTTTGAAGGGCTTGAGATAGGGGATCATGAAGAGGCAGATCAGCCAGGCTCACACCATTCGACTGTTTGGCTACAGGCAGTTCAAGTGCAATAGGAGCCATTTTTGGGAGGGCCTGAGAAAGCTTCTAAATAAAAGGTGAGAGAAATATCTGATATTGAGAAGAAAATGAGTTGTATGGATTGAAACAACAGTCTCAGACAGGATTTTGGTGTCTCTTTATGCTCTAAACTCAGCAATGCACTAGTCGCGTTTGTGCAACTTAATACGGGGTCCCGTTCCTTCGAGAGCAATTACCCTTCTGAGACTCAGTGCGAATTGTAGAATTGTTTCTCCCTCAGGCTGAAGATCACCTATAATGGCAAAGCACGCCTCGAATTGTTGGCATCATACCCCCGCTTTCCACAATCAATTGGGCTCTCTTTCAGATGAGCCCAATCAATATCGAGGAACATGGTCATATGGTATCGAGTAAGGCAGCAAATTTATGGAGCATAGTGATTATAGTCGTATCTAGAGGACTATGTGACGGTATTTGAAACTTGACATATCGATCAACGCTTTTGGCTTGGCATCACACTTAGTAATCGGTGTATAGGTTACAATTAGAGTGGCTGTACTAGCCTAAGATCCCCGTTATCTAATTTTTTTACTGCGGGGGGATTAAGGCGTAAATTTAGGTAGATAATCTTTCATATATAGACAAAAACCTCTAAAAACCCTAATAGAAAATACCAGCCATCCAAATTCAAACACACAGTGCTCTATGAGACATACTTTCACATAAATACTGTAGACCGCATATTGGGATCCGATACTCGTGCATCCCTTCTGTCTCCGGACGTCGGATCGGCCCCAAGGGCCGACTGTCGGAATGTCCTTCTTACTAGCCGGCCAAACCAGTGTGCAACGTCTGTACAAAGAAGACACAAAGAACCGCTAGAGAAAGAATTTAAAATTCATTATATAGACTAAGACAGTCGCCTTCTATGCTATCGCATATAGCAGCATCCTGAAGGTTACTCAGCATGGCAGTCGTTTTGCATGACCAAACAAATCTTCTCCCGCGCGGCCGTTTGCTTGTCGTCTTTTCAACCCTAGCTTCGGCCTTTTTGTTTGCATACGCAGACCAAAATGGTGTCGCCGTGGCTCTGCCAGCCATTGCGCGTGATCTCCATGCACAAAGCACGATTAGCTGGACAGGCACATCGTCTATGATTGCCAACACCGTGTTCCAGGTCCTGTACGGGCGGCTGTCTGACATTTTTGGTCGACGGCTCATATACCTGTCCGCCGTGCTTCTCCTTGCGGTAGCAGACATCCTATGCGCAACGGCTCAAACCTCATGGGCCCTCTATTTGTTCCGTGGATTAGCTGGCGTAGCCACCGGCGGAATAAACTCGCTGACCATGATGATTGTTTCCGACATCGTCACTCTGCAGGAACGTGGTCGTTATCAAGGCATTCTAGGTAGCTGCATTGGTCTTGGTAATACCATCGGCCCTTTTCTATCTGCAGCATTTACGCAGCGGGCCACCTGGCGGGGATTCTTCTACCTTATTAGCCCACTGATGGTTATTAGCTGCGTTGGTTCATTTTTCCTTTTGCCGTCAACAATGCCGAAAGGAAAAGGACTTGAAAGGGCTAAGCTGATCGACATCTGGGGTCTCATCACGGGATCGACAGCCATAATGTGCATCCTGATAGCGATATCGGGTGGAGGGACTTATTTTGCTTGGAACTCAGCTCTAGTTATTGCGCTCCTTGCCATTGGCGGTGTTTCAGCTGTTGCCTTTGTCATAGTCGAGGCCAAAGTGGCCCGTCTGCCAATGGTTCCCCGTAAGTGAATATGCCTACCTTCATCGTGGTAGATGATTAACCCGACCATGGTAGTTCCAATGTTCAAAACACTAGCCGTTAGTGCAATCCTAATACAGAATCTGCTTTTTGGGTATTGCTACTATGCAGAGCTCTACTTTCTCCCCATTTACTTTCAGAACGTGAGGGGTGTTACGCCAATCGTCTCAGCCGCACTCCTTACACCGTTAGTTATTTCCCAGATGATCTTCTCAGTTGGGTCAGGCTTTTACATCTCGCACTTTTCTCGATATGGCGAGGTTATTTGGGTGGGATTTATTTGCTGGACACTGTATGTACTCTTCCAACAATCCTCTATCTGATTCCTCATTTTGGGGTTGTTTTCACCAAAGAACCACGCTTACTCTCTATATTACTCTCTGCGTTCAGTGGTGCTGGTCTCCTTTGTATATTCGAAAGAGACACTTCCTTGGGTGTAATCATTGTTGCCCTCATAATCCTGGGCAGTGGTGTCGGAAACGTGTTTCAGCCATGTCTAGTCGCAATCCAAGCACATTCTCCAAAGGACCTTCGGGCGGTGGTGATTTCGAACCGGAACTTCTTCCGTGGCCTCGGAGGGGCTATTGGCCTTGCCTGCTGTAGTTTGGTGCAACAGACTACGCTGCAGCGTTCCCTACCTGAAAATTTGAAGTATATCGCACACTATAGCTACTCCTTGCCAGCCCTCAGCAGCCTCGATGTCGAAGAACTGCAACAGGTCCAATCTGCTTACGCTGATGCCAGCCACATTGTCTTTGTGTCAATGGCGCCTGTCATGGGTCTCTGTCTTATTCTTTGCTTGCTCGTCAAGGATTGTGGGTTGGAGAGAAAGGAGGAGTCTAGTCTAAAGTCACACGCGGGGTCTCAACCAGTAGAAAACATGGGCTTAAACAATTCTATCCCTACACATAACAAGTCGTCAGACTCGGAAGGCTCAGAAAGCCAGGAAAAGGTTTGATCAGCATTAGTCATTCAATTGATAGATTGCGTTGGTATTTGTAGTAATACTCTGTCTAAATTACCTATTGGGGTTAGGACGCACAGAGTATGGTGTAAAGGGAAAGGTCTCTTAGCTAGTCGATGTAGAGTCATCAGTGCGATGCCTAGATTATGAATAATATTCAAAGTTAAATGCAGTTGGATCTACTAGACTACCTAGGCAATTGCTCTTCAATATCACATCCGCTAACCCCTAAGCCCTATATTCATTTGAATGTTAACCTGCTAGCTGCATGACATGCTCCACTACCCTTTGAGCTCGGCATATAGAAATCTTCAGGAGTCAAAATTGTATATGTACTTCGTATGGTTACGAGACATTTTAGAGGAATTAAACCAGCAGCACGATCCACAGACTACTTCACATCCATAATTAGGCGAATAAAACGCGTATTTAATCATATGTCCCGTATTTTTCCTTCTCCCTACTAGTACGAAGAGGGATACCGATCGTAGGATGACGCGGCAATATTTTGGGAAGGATTCAATATACATGTGCAAGTCAGCCTGCAAGACTTTGCTCTTGCATTAGGGCTGAATGGCAATTTGTTTATGAGGCCAGAAACTTCCACTGGCTATGGCCTACTAACGACTTGATAAATGGTTGGAAGAAAAACGGCAGGGATCTACACAGGGACGATCTTCCCACTAGCAATTGTGTCCAGAATAAGATTGGAATCTTTCAAGGCCGAGACCAAGGCTGAGCATCCTGTATTAACCCCTAGTCCCCCGGATAGAGACAAAGGCAGAACCCATTCAACTCATCAGGCCAATCTGCGTGCCAGGATCAACGCGCTCCCCCACTCCACATCCACCTGGATCTCCTTCCAAGGCTTTTCGTTCGATTCGCGCAGCGCCGGCTCCACATCCCGGGCTTCATCCATCATCTCGTCGATAATATCTCCTCGCCCATTCCCTTCCGGCCCACGCCGCGCGCGATCGGCGAATTTTTGCTGCCATTTGTGAAACGAGCTTCAGGTGCGGATATACTCCTCCATGGCGCCAAGCGTCATCTTGGCGCCGATGAAGCGCATGCTGAGGCCACTCTCCCCAATCACTAGAGGGCGGAAGTACAGCGTGCAGCTTGTCCTGAACAATACCTCGGCCTGGTTGCTGCCAGTAGGATCCTAGCTGCGTATCGTCGTACGCATAATGCTGGATTACCTCGCTTGCCTTTGGGTACGAGACCAGGACGTGGTCCTTGTAGCCCCAAAACGCTACTCCCACCGGCCGGGACAAAGCGCGCAAGCTCTGGCCAGAGCTTCGGATAATTGAACCAGTGTGCAGACTGAGCCCCTGTGGCAAGATAGACTTCTTGCGCCTTGATCGTGGGTAAGGACTCCGCGGGTGCCTGGAAGAAGTTCACGTTGGAATATTGGCCCGACAGTTTCTGTGATTGCGCCACCATGCCGGCCGAGGGGTCGCTGCCTATGACGTGGTCGAAATGCGGTGACAGTTCCCTTGCTACGAGTCCATGGCCCGTCCCAAGATCAACGGCGAGACGATGCTGCGCCTTGTGTGTTCCCTGGTGATAGCCTAGCACGGCCTGGTAGAGTTCAGCTGGGTATATTGGTCGGAAGGCGGCATAGCTGTGGTGCGCAAACGACATGCTCCTGATTACCATCAGAGATGTTTCTTTTCCGATGGATTAGAGAACAAAAAGGGGCTGCTTAGCGAATAGAAGAGTTTCTTACAGAAAGGAGCCCATTATTGCTGCTTGAGATTCGATATTTGATGCAATAAGCCAGTGACAAAAAAAGAGTCAACTAAATTAATAAAATCTTAGATGCGCGTGATGTAACCTTGGAAGTACAAATAGAATCGATGCAACCAAGATCAAACATTGAAGCACAGCATCAAGCTGCCTTCCTTTGTAATACCGGAGGAGACTTCGACCTGTAATCGGGGGTGAAAAGCGACGTCGCTCCGCAGTTAAAACCAACGTTGTACTCCTTACAGAGTATTAAGATTATCGCGCGCAGAAATCGCCGTAGGGGATTGTGGAGAAAAATATGACAATATAATTCAAAAGAATGCCGAATTGTTGATCTGTGTTCTCCTCCGAAGATCGGATGAAATCCTCTCCGAAATAACCAGTCTTCGAAACGAAAGATACCTTAGCTAGCTATCAGAGTTGTTGCTATCGATTCATTGATGCGTCACAATTATGGATAACGGATTGATACATATTATCAGAATGCGGGGCCAAATGTCAACCTCTCTCGATACTCTCTTTACAGCTCTATCCTGCGTCCAGTTGAGAGTTTGGCCGCTGCTACTCAGCCCACTACACTCAAGGCACCTAGCCTTCACTTTGCAACGACCGCCTTATACGGTAAGTGTCGCTATCTACGGTCTTTTATGCTGAGATCAGAGGTTAAAAAATCATCACTGTGGCAGGGAGTGGTGCTGGTATGATGGAAGTATTGATCTGCCATCCATTACGTACATTTCCAGACCTCCATATAAGGCCTTACTAAAGGTTGGTTGTGTAGATACGATTAAAGGTTGAGATACAAGCGATAATAGTTCAAAGCGAACGAGTGAAATAGCTAATTCTGACTCCATCCGAAAAGGTAACGTATCATTGTCATCATAACCATGTTTATGGAATGAATGATATTTACAGGGGGCCAATTCATTTCATCTCCTCAGAGAAATCTATAATGTTCTGCATCCGGAAAATCTACCAAAGGTCGCCTATGGCTTTTTATCGTGGCCTCGGAGCGGTCATGGTGGGAATTATGCCCAAGATGGCTATTCGATTTACCAGTTTCGAAACCTACAAGGCTGCGCTCACAAAACGGGGCGAGAATACTCCTTCGTTAGTGAGGTTGTTTGTGGGTATGTAGCCATTGGATCTCTTAAGAAGAATGAAGAAAAATTAGTCTGATGAATTACCATTTGCATAGCTGGTTTGGCGGCCGGAATGACCGAGGCAGTGTTGGTCGTGACGCCTACCGAAGTTATCAAAATCCGTTTACAAACGGCAGGAAAAAACTATGGAGGCTCGTTGCCGATCGGATACAGGACTGCACCCGAGGCATATGTGACTACTGTGAGAACTGAGGGTATATGGACACTCTGGAGGGGAGTTAGCCTGACTGCGGCGCGTCAAGGGACTAATCAAGCAGGTACGTCCGTCACTTTGTTTTGACATCTAGACACATGGGTATAAAGGTCCGCTTTGCCGTGCAAATGACTAATCCGCTTGAGGTAGCTAATTTTTTCGCATACACCAGAATTCGGCAAAAACTGATTCGCAACCCCAGTACCAATCTACAGGATTACCACCGTGGCAAACAGCGTTAAGTGGATTCTTAGCGGGCTCCCTGGGCCCTTTAGCGAATGCTCCTTTGGATACACTCAGTAAAGGAAAACCTTTTCTTTCTTTCTCCTATCTTCTCTATCAAATATGGTTCTAATGGATTTAGAAACACAAATTCAGAAAAGTTCTCAAACGGGAAAGACATCAAGCGCATCGCAGGTTTCCCGCCTCTTCCAGCAGATTGTACAGAACGAGGGATATATGGCACTTTACAAGGGAACCCTTCCGCGGGTATTGCGTGTAGGTGTTGGGCAGTCAGTGACTTTCATGACGTATGAACTTCTTCGGAAGGTGTGGTAAGGCCATAGGCTATGAATAGATGAAAATAAGATTTGCTCATGTCACTAAGTTATTATGTCATTTCCAATAATATTGCATCTCTGCCCCTTCTAGATGTTGCTTGATCATCTAATTTTTCTTCGTTTTTTCTACCCCTCTCGAACGTTAAGAGACACTACATTATCAAGCAACTCGGCATTCCAGTACCCCCTTAGAACAATATTTCTTTAGGGGTTTGACTCCCCCCCTCACTATCTCACTTCTCACTATACCCCACTGTGCACCAAGGTATATGTCGTCTATTTCACTCTATTACCTCAATCATACAAAATACGGAAGTGGCACAATGCCATGTACAGCGCTAAATTAACTAGTAATTAATGGCGGCGCCACCATGTTTTATCAAGTAATTGATAAACAGAGTTATTCAGAAATTCAGTTTACAATAAATTGTCTATACTGTCATTGGCTGATTTTGTAATTTATAACTATATGTAGTGCGATAATGCACAATATTAAGACAGTAATAATAAATAAAGAAATTAGAGGGCACCATATGTGCAGGAGGTTTTGCACCCTCCTCCGTGGTCTTATCTTATTTTCCTTCTTCTTGGAGGTTTTGGCCATAGGATTTGCGCCAAAATTCTTGGCTTATGTGATCAACCGGCCTCCGCATGCTGGGTAAACCTGATACCTAAAGAGGCAGCGATATGAACCAATCAAACCTAAATCATATACAAGACTCAAATGTTGCATTAGCTTGTACTGCAGCGTCTATGAGAAATACGCACTGCGTTAGTGCTTACTTTCCCGCAGATCATAACAACGGGTTCTATAACCCTTCATATTGCATGATTTTACTTTTTTTACTTTTTCCCGAATGGTTTCCTGAATAGCTAAAATCGGCAATACCATTACGTGGAGATCATGCCTGAAACTCAATGCAACGCCTAATAGCAGTCATGATTAGTCATCATGACTGAAATTGTAGCCTTTGATGGAAGGTAGTATCTTGTACTATTATCCAACTGGCTAGTGCAGGGAGATAAGTAGGCGGCTATTATTCTTACATAAGGATTGAATGATGAACACATATTCAAGTTTAAGAGCATTATTATTGATCTTAGCTACAGGAATAGACATTGCAAATCATGCTTTCATCGTGTACACACCTTCTAATCTACGTTAACTACATTATACGAGTAGATAGAATGGCTAATGTCACTACACTCAAACCCGGTGATTTATTCCCGGAAAATGTCACTTTCCAGTAAGTAGAATCTTTTGTGCGCACCCTGCCAACCATATCTACGTATCTTTGGCTGCCCTCAGGGAATAGAACTTATATTAATGCATCAAATTCCAATTATGTGCTGATAATATAGGCACATACCATGGGCAAAAGAAACCAGCGACATAAAATCTGCGGTATACCGGCACCATACCATGCCTCTGACGAGTGGGCAAACAAAAAGGTGGTTCTTGTTTCCGTGCCAGGTAAAAAGCAGTCCTACCACTACGTTGATAAGTTCTTCACCACTAACATCAGAATTTTGCATCATGGATATAGGGGCTTTCATGCGTACCTGTTCCGGTGCTCACCTACCAAGCTATATCAAGAATCTGTCAAAAATAAAAGAGAAAGGCGTTGACATTGTTGCGTTTATCGCTTACAATGATGCCTATGTGATGAGTGCACGGGGCAAGGCAAATGATGTGGAAGGCAAAGATATTGTAAGTTTTCCTACCTTTTTTATTATCGACAATAATGTTAATTGCAAAACTAATCAAAATTGATTAATTAATTGATTGACTTCTCTACAGCTATTTCTATCGGATCCAATGGCCAGTTTTTTGAAAAGTATTGGTTGGTCAGAAGTATTAGGCTTACGAGGACGGCGGTATGCTATTGTGGTTGATCATGGGAAAATAGTCTTCGAGCAAAGGGAGAGTGGAAAGGGAACTATTGAGGTGAGTTGACTAATCTCTAAACATAATAATCCCTCAACCATACTGCGGATGAATTCACGTGTTGGTACTAGGGCTAACTCGGTGTCTACCTGGTTGTATAGGCGTCAGGGGCGGAAGCGGTTCTTCCAATTTTGTAGATGGTTGCTCTACGTAGAACTAGTAAATCTACAGCGATGATTTTATAAGGGACCCCGTTTCATACATAACCGGACCGGAAATATTCTATTACTCATTGTTCTAGAAGTTATAGACCTTTTCCCTCTTTCATTTCCCCCATGGAATTTTCTAGACCTATAGAATTTCTTTGCTGTCGCGTGGGTAAAATTAAGTTTGGTTAGGGCGACCCTAGCAGCGAGATGGGATGAAAAAAGAGTTTTGATGGGAAGGGAGATTCAAGTTTAATAGTTGAATGCATTGAATACTACTGTGTACTCGATATTCTTGTTTAATCCCAATAAAGTCCGGAGTCCGACGTTGATGCAAGCCGGTGGGGTTTTTGTCTGCTGCAAATTGGTCGTTGAATAAGCTGCAAAGAACTTGGTTTTCATTTGCAATATGGTTTCTGGTCAAGCAGGACGGCATACAGAACCTCCGTTCTAGCCTTGAGACCTACAAACTGGCACTGGGAGTCAGGTCAGGCCCCGAATAATATCGTAACACGTAGTTTGGAAGGGAGTAGGAATTACTTACAATTTTGTCCTGCCGAAACACCGAAACACCGAAACACCGAAACTCCGCCGAGGTTTCCCTATCTACCATCACGAATTGGCGGCCGCTACGCGGAGCGACTAAATCACAGCCAACGTTTTGCGTCGTACGATTATAGCCCTCATAAGTCGCCGTATATATTGAGATCATGCCTTGATACTTTTGCTCCAATTATCCTTTTTTCGATGACAGGCTTGTACATCTGGATTTCCGACAAATATGTTCAAAAAAGAATTCGCACCAACGATATAACGTTTATCGCAATGAATAGCGCGCAAAGTGTATGTGAATCCCCTTACCACTATTGGAGCCGGTCCTGTAGGACTCTTAGCTGCATTGCGTCTGCCCCAACACAGAAAAATAATTATAACTATCTTTGAGATCCTTATAGATCCCGCGACTCCGTAGGCGCCATTGGAATACCCTCCAATGGGCTGAGACTGCTAGATCTACTCCAACTATGGTGCACGGAGTATGAGGTCACGTGTTGGGTTCCTTGGACTTCGTGGAGTAAACAGAAAACTGGTTTTGGGTATCTAAGGATATGCATAACTGATTTGCTCGATATTCATTATAAGGAGATTTCCAAAGTGGAGATCGTTGTTCATTATGGTAAACTTTTAGTTCAAATTGAGGAGTATGCCACGAATGCTACCGTAACTTTCTTAGATGGCATCAGTGAAATTTCCCATTTCCTGCTTGGCTGTGATAAATCTACTATCTAGTTCGTAGGCTATATGTTGATCAGCATACTATCCCAGAATAGTTGGGTGTATCGAATGTCTTCTCCTAGGATTTTTGATGAGAAGAGAGAGACTCTGCGTTAACGTGATGATGCAAACTGCCGAACGAAATGGGAAGGTTCGGAAGAGTATCAATCCTTGGCATCTGTGGCTTAATGAACAAGTGATATACGGGGCTCTATTTATTTATTCGGGTTTAAATTAGGCAAAGTTAGCTTTGGTCAGCAGGCTCTCGTCGATGATATTAATGATGTTGAAGCTGGAGGGGCCTATTGATTTTGCCGACTAAACATTGGTCTTAATAGTTTGAATTGTGATAACTTGACTCTTTGGCATTACCTATGTGCATTTTCGGAGGAGCACTCAATTCTTTCGAGGTATCTACTAGGTGTATTTGGAGAAGTAGTGGTAGATAAATGATAGACGGGGGTTTAAAAAACGTGTAAATACTGTAATATTCTTAATTGGAAGGGAAGAATCCCGCTCCGGCCGGGAGCACTATGGATCCAGTGATTGCATTTCATTCAACGAATTCGGCTAATATCTTCCAGGAATGACCGGATCAATCCATCTCTAGCTGTATCTGGGTTAACGGTCTCTTCAATAGTGCGCTGGAGACGCTCCCTACTCCTTTCTACCTCTGTCGCTATTTGTTCCCAAGTTAGAGTGTCTTCCTTTTGTGGAGTTGAGTCTTTCCCGTATAACTCGCTCGGAGAGACAACAGGCGATAGTGAGTAATTTCGCTTGGTGATAACTCCATCTACAATGACAGTGGAAATGTCCCTCACTGAACTATGCAACACAATACCAGCTACTGGATGACGTTCCGATACCGAGAGCATACTGGGGGTCCTTCCTTCGAAGATTACGATGTCGGCCTTCTTTCCCACTTTCAGACTACCAATCTCGTCTTGGAGACCAATTGCTTTGGCACCTAAAATTGTCCCAAGATTAAACGCATCCTCCACAGTAGGGCCCACGGAGGCGTCCCATTCATTCTTTTCTATCAAGTCGACATACCTGCGAGATCGAGTAGTGTGCAATAAAGTGACCATTTGCGAGGGCAAGAAGGAGCTGCAGACCGTGTGGCAATCTATCCCTAGTGAAGACGATGCGAAAATATCTGGCTGCAAAGCAATTGGGTCACCATGTCCCATCTGCATCTCAGTGGCAGGTGTACTTGATATATGTGCACCCGAATTTTGAATACAACTCCTTTCATGTGCGTCTGTATGGTTGGCATGGGAGAGGAGGATGTCGGGTCCAAGTAGATCATTGTCCATCATAACTTTAACTGCAGAGGGCATATCTTCACGGATCAAAATTCACGGTTACTAAAGGTTGATTAAACAAAAAAAAAACAAAAAAGAGATAGAGAGTGCGTACTATCTAGCATACGTAGTCGCGTTTCATGGGAGGTGATTAACTGAGCACCTAGAGCCCGAACCTCATGAAACACGCTTTTCAATACACTTGGCGGGACTAAGGCTGCATCAATTGCAAACCCAAGGCGTACGCGGCCGTTGAGCCCAAAAGGCTGCATAGTAGCAAGCTGCCGAAATGTGGCCATGACCCAGTCCGGGAACCATTCTTTCTCGAATGCCAATTCTGGTTGCCAGGTGGCTACCCTGGGATGCGCGCAGTAGCAGAACACAGAGCGAATACCTGACGCAACTGTTGCACGAATAGCTTCTCTGCCTAAGCAATGTTAATTATGTTTTGATTTCGTGAGATCTTTGAGAGAAATTTCTCCTTTTGTGATAGCTCACTATGATCAGAAGAGTAATTTAGATGAGCGTGGTCCACAATAGTTGTGGTTCCAGCGTCGACCGCTTCCAAGAGACCGCTTAGCTGGCCCCAAAATACATCCTCTGGGGTGTAATGGGAGGAAGCCAAATTGCCTACACAGGATTAGCCCACAGTATCCTGTCAATAAGATTCAAACCTATATTGCATACCACTGTGGTAGTAGTCAAGGAGGATCTGGTCCGCGTGGAGTCCTTTTTGCTGAGATTGCCAGACATGGTGGTGGGTATCGACGAAGCCTGGAGATATAATTTTACCATCGCAATCAATTACCTTCATTGATTTGGATATTTCAATACCAGCGCTAATCCTGCTAATACGATCGCCTTCAATCAGAAGGTCCGCACGCAGAGGAGCCACCCGGTTTTTCTCATCATGGACAAGCAAGGTGCCACTTTTCAATAGTAGTTGAGTCACCATTTTAAATGCCTCCTGTGGTAATTCAATGTGTATTTTGGAGCACGCATCAAATTTATTCCCAGTAGCAAAGCCTGGTATAACGATCTGCTGGTGCTGACGTTGAAGGCCAACAAGCGTACATACATAGTCCCTTTATAACAATCACGAACGCCAAATCGGTAGGGCATCAAAATGATCCCCTTTTCTGTGTGGCGTTATTTCAAATGTCTCCATGCAGATGAAATGAGTGCTAGTTGATCACCTGCGAAATCAAATCTCCGAAACATCGTTACATCTCTCTAGAAAAGCCGAAATCCCGGTTTAACGAATTACACCATTGCAACATTAGATAGGCCGCGGTAAAAAAACGTTTGGAACGTCTCAATAGTATTCCACTGACACTTTAACCGCACTTTCCTTGCATGAAACTGAATGAATGTGCTAACAGAGACAGACCATGTGGTGGTTGGTGTGAGAAATACTGTCTCGAAAACAGGGTTTACTCCGATGATCTATTTCACACTTTCCTTGTGACAATGACAGTGTTCCCGGATAATCCCGTCGAAACAAACCCGAAATTCCGACTGATTCGGTGGTGGACAAAATGACTGATAATAATCCCATACGCCACTCTAAGGCAGTCTGAGGCATCTCTTTTGGAGTAATTTATTAATGGAACATTGAGAGTGAGGCATTGTTGTTTTGCAACTTTTCTTTCCATATCTCTCCTGCAAAAAATTGGATTCAGAATATTTCCTGTTTTGGCCCCCAGACAAAAGCTCAATCCGCCATGGCAGCTCCCAAAGACATAACGATAGAAAACCTCAACGGAAAATGGACCCTTGTTAGTGCTTTTACCTATATTTCTATATCTTATTTTGCTATCCTAATACACAAGGTGGGCAAACAGGATAAATCCCTGTCTTCTCCGACAGATCCACTGCTAGCACTAGTATGTAAGGTCTTTCTTGACTCTGCAGTACACAAGGGTGGAACCCAATTGTGCTCTTTCCCTACAGTTCCATATTGGCCGTCAATATACATACTCTGCTTATGCTAGGTTATGTATATAGGTCCATCCGCTGACTGGCTTGTAGCAAGGCATCAATTGGGTTGTTCGGAAGGCAGTTGGGATGTCAAATGTTATTCTTGGCATCAAAGAATATGCCGAGGTCGATGAAAGCACTGGGGAACCCGTGATACGATTTGAAATATCCCAGAACACTACCAGCGGTCTGCCAGGTACCACTGAGTCGAGATGGGTTGATGGAAACGAGAGGAAACAGGAAGATCATATTTTTGGTAAAACCGCGGTGTCTATGAATTGGATTAACGAATCCAAGAATGTCAAAGGGAAAATATTCCCAGTCGTTGATAGTAAAACTATTCTCGTTTACGATGATAATATTCCCAAATTTCTCGCAGGTGAGGTCAATGACGACAACAGTCCATCTGACGGCTTTCTAGTTGAGAGACCACAAAAGGACGTTGGGAAGGAAGGAGATGGGCTCTGGCTTCAACTATTTATTCGTAACTTAGATGGAAAGTGGACAGCGGAGCAGGTATGTCTCAGTCTAGTCCTTGTTACTTCGTTGGGAATCTACTCTTTACTTTCATAGAAACTAACAGAAACAATGCAGACATGGGGCTTTGAGAACATCGCGGAGACAAGACGCTACGTCCGGCGTGTTGTAGTTTCCAATAGCAAAGGAGAGTATCGTGTAGCTCGACTTGTGTATGCCTTCGAGGGCTAAATCAAGAAGTCCTTCACAAACACTCGGTGGCTGGAGGAGATGAAAGATCCAACACGACTAACCTGCCGCTTCTGTCTACAATAAGAGGCTATTAATAGGATATATCACCGTGGGAATTTGGTCAGCAATCTATGAATGGTAGGGGGGCATGTGTGATAAATCGTCAGAGTTTCCCAATTAAAAGAGTATATCTTATTATCTTTTAGCGAGAGTTTCAACGCTTCCACAAATCTTGACAATAACGTGGTAATATGTGGTTGCACTACATATAGAATGCCCTACCTTGGGTAGTCTTTTCAGAGACAAAGTAAGGCCAGCGTCTGAAGCTGCAGAAAGTTGCAGCTGACGTGGCACAAGTGTGAATTTCATTTAAAATATATTACAGATAAGTCTACCTAGAATTTTGCTAATAATCTGTATAAAACAATTGGATGTAGCGAGACCAATGATATCTTGATTCATTTGAAGGCCTATTTGATTTTGGATATAACCTTCACGTTATGCGCGGTTTGTGATCAGAATTGAGCAATATTACACTTTAGCATATTTGCCGAAAAAAGGAGTTTATTGTACCATGAATGATGACGATAGCTCTAGCCAGAGTAAGGGAAATGTTCACGTGGCTGGAGACATTCTTTCCAACTGTGTATTGAAAATCGGAAAAACAGCTTCCAAATGCATTAATTTTAACATCTTACATCATATGTTGATCTTCTTACCTCAAAAATATTTTGTGAAATGGTATTTGCGGCAAGTGCAGAGGCAGCGTAGAGTGGGTAAGCATCGACCAGAAAGGTAATCACGCCACCGAAGACCAAGATCGTTCTGCAGGATCAAACGGTTAGCAAATCGGGTCCATTTCTAACCAAACAGTGATTATATCAATGGATAATGTCTTTTGTCGCTGGTAGTTAGATCCGGAACTCTTCTCTCTTAAATGAAATCCATAGCTTCAAGTGGAGTAGTGAGTTGGTTCAGCTTACCCCATACCGAAAATAGCTGTCCTAATAATAGGAACAATCCAGTGAAATGACGTGTTTATAGTCCATCTAAACAAGAACAAGCCCACTGGAACTACAATTCCAACGAGAGAATGTGGATTGGACGACGTCTATAGATTTCACTAACAGTCAGGCCAAACAATAAGAGCTAGCTAATATATGGGGTTGGCGGTTGATGGCACAACGAAGACCCTAGTAACATTAGCCCAATTCCAATTCTCACGACGAAGAGCGGGAGTCCCCAGAGTTGCAACTATTTGAGAGTAATTATACTCTACCTTGATTTGAGACTATGCGGAGAAGTATATAGATGATGTGCATGTACTAGCGCCAAAACTTAGGATTTCTAGATAGGAGTAGCCCTATTATACTGAAATCAAGAAGTGCTTTCGAAAAGTAAGTCACACTTCATTGCGGTTGAGACACCCTGTGATAGGCAATCGTACAGTAGCTAGGTTTGTGTTGCCGAGCTTTAGATATCACTGATACAAATGGAGCACTTGCACGCAGAGCGAACTGGCATTGATAATTGACATGATTACTCAGTTCCTCAATATAGCTATGCTATACTCCTTAAATTCATTAAATTACCACCTCCTTAATTCCATCCCACTTGCTACAGATCCTCCCCTTGGAGTTCTGCCGCTCCGAGATGGGCTTCATTATCTGTGCTGTAATCCATATCGTTGAATTCACGATCTCAATCTGTTGTATTTCTCAAATTTGACTGAAGTAGTTTTGGAACCAACCTTGCGGATTGGAGCGGCTTCAATCCTTTGCAATAATCGACGGTAAAATTGCGACCATTCGCAGGGAGAGGATCGGTGTTGAATCCGTACTGATATCTGTCGTTGTACAGTACAGCCCCTATAAATATTATTGAATTGGTAATGTGAAGATAGCTAGACCAGTTAGCGCAACTCCGAAATCCCGACATGATGAAAGTCGGTAAGCTGTGTTGGAGAGTTTAACTTAGCCCAATTTAAGATAACGAGACCAATTAGTACTGAAACTCCGACAATCCGCACAGGCTGAAAGTTGACAGGCGGCTTTCGCATTCCGAAGAGTGGTAATAGATGTACGAGTGAATTTTGGGAAGCTCCGATTGGACGTCGAGTCGACTTCGACTAGGCGAAGATTTGGCCAATTAACCGTGCCGCTGCTCACCTGCGGGTTCCCGTGTGGCACGGCTAAGGTTTCTCGACCGGGGTCCGCGAATGCTAAAACTCTTTGACGCCTCCGGGTTCTTTCCGGGCTCCATTTGATTGGGGTGTGGGTATGTAAAGAAAGATGCTCCTCGCCGGAACTTTAATTATCGAAAATGAATCATGAGAGACATCCCCTTCTTCCACTTCCCGCTGCAGAGTTATGAAAAGACAGTCACTATGACCAAGTTTTAATCCCTCATTGGGTTTTCGTTCTTGACACCTGCGGCATCGTGCTTCAACAGTAATGGCATCAAAACCGATCTCTGTCGTTATCATTGGCAGCTCCCATGCAGGATTGTGAAGCAAGCCGCAACCTGCTTCGGAAACAAGCAGGATATCCGTTACGTTGATCAATCCATCAGACCAATGCTATTTCAAACTCGCAGCTCTACGGTTCTTAGACAAGACAGAAAGCTTACCTTGTAGAAGATATCTGTTCCCCATCCCCTAGACGTTTTGACCAACACCCCAAGGATTCTTTCAATTTCGTGTAGGGATTAGTTACGGGGATTGACGTCTCGAATCAAAGGTGTCACCGTTGCTAAATCAGTGAAGTCAAACGCGGCCTTGAATATTGTATTATCGTACAACTACCTCACCATCGCCTCCGGAAGTATAAATCCCGCGACAACCAGAAAATCCGGAATCAAAATTCCGTTCAAAGCGGATACTTTCGAAGATACACTGACAGCAATCCAGATCGCCTAAAAATAGCTCTAGGGTGCCACACATGTGGTCATTGACGGTAGCGGCCCTCTAGGAGGCGAGCTAGCCAGATAGCTTGCTGAAGCGATTTGCTCGAGGAAGGCATAACCCTAGGTACTAGAGCAGACACATTACAGGGGTAACTCCGCGCAGGGTGAAGTCTACAGGGTCACGTTTACGGAGCAAGAATATTGAGCTTCTGAAATCTGCAACTGTTAACAAAGCTTCCCAAGGACCATCTATAAGAAAATAGGTGATTGCCCTCTCTCTACTACTCAAGAAATAAAAGCTAACGTATATGTCTCCAGCACCGGGGCGGTGCCAAATGATCAGTTTATTCCAGAAAGCTTCTTTAATCGGCAAGGCTGGGTTCACGTCGACTCTCACTTCCGACTCGCGAACTGGTTCTAGAGTACTGTAACACGAATATTTACGCAATTAGAAACATCGCCTCCCATCCCTATCAATTATTTTCAATATTATTAGTGCAGGTATTTACCGTTGTATCAAATACCATTTCCTGCATCACGGAGGAGGACGTTTTTTTCTATATTTAGCTGAGGCCGAGAGAAGGATGATGATAGTGCCCGTGGGAAAATCAATCGGCATAAGACAAATCGGTAGATGGATTGTGCCGGGCCTCCTGGTTTGGTACTTTGAAAGGAAAGATTTCTTGGTTTATAAGGTGCATAAGCTCATCGTTGAGCAGATAAATCAATCAATTTCGATCCTTTCTCCAATTTTCTAAATACAAGTCTTCCGTTCTTGATTTCCTTTTGATTATTAAACTTTTAACCCCTGCTCGCTTCCCTGAGACCTTATTCTTCATGCTAACAGGCACTATTATACTTTAATATATGTACAAGACGATTCAAAATAAGAACTGGCTTAGTTTAATTGCTACTAATACAACAAAACACAAATATTTTATGCTGAACGGAGTTACGGCGAGAGATCCTCCGCGGATGATTTGCACTTCGAAGTTGTTCCGATGTCTACTCAGTAGAACACCTGACCTAATCGTTATAACCTTAAAAGAGAAGAAATGAAATGAAGAGAAAAGAAACGACCGTCCAGAAACATTCCACGTACACTAAGTCGATAATAATGATTCAGAGCCTTCTCCAAGTGAATTCTGCGGTCGTGGCCGCGAGCTTGCTACTTTTGATAATTTTCCATTATGTTCGAGTATACTTTCGTCAGGGACTCAGGAACCTTCCTGGGCCTTTATTTGCTCGATTTTCCTATTTTTATCGACTTTTCATGGTATACAAAGGTGACGGCCCCGCACAATATCGTAAAATCCACGACGAATTCGGACCCATAGTGAGAGTCGGGCCGAATGAAGTTTCTATCGCGGACCCTGCAATGATTCCTGTTATCTATGGGATAGGTAGCAAGTTTACCAAAGTAAGTCGTGCCTGATACTCGTTATGGTACCCTCTACTCCCTTTCAAAAACATGACGTTTATATTTTAATAGACTCCATTCTACGCCACTATGGCCCCAATTTACGAGGGCCAGGTACTAGACAGCATGTTTACAGCTCGCGATACTACCTATCACAAACATCTTAAGAACTCCGTATCCCAGATCTTCTCCATGACAAATATGAAAAACTTCGAAGTTTATGCCGATGAATGCACTCAGATATTTATCAGTGAAATGCTACATCTAGAGGGCAAGCCAGTGGACTTTTCAAACTGGCTACAATGGTACGCATTCGACGTGATCGGTAGTATCACCTTCCAAAGACGGTTTCGCTTTCTAGAGGAGAGGCGCGATGTTGATAACATGATCGGCAAAATTGATATGGGGCTCCAATATGTCAAAATCTTGGGACAGCTTCCATATTTGATTCCGATGCTGCAATGGGCACTTTTAAATAAGTATATTCAACGCATAAATATATTCCCAGACACATTGGACAGATTCACGAAGGTGGGACTATTGATAATCTTCGCAACATAGCCACCCAGCTTAACTCACATCGGTTGCTCTATAGATCACTGAAGAAGAGATTGAGAGGTATGACAATAGTACTGCAGCTAAAGACACTAAGCGCACTGATTTTCTCGCGCAGCTGAGAGAAAAGGAGAAAAAGTCGGGAAGAATCTCTCAAACGGATATGGTAAACCATCTATCTAACAATCTGTAGGTCTTGCCTTACCAAATATTCATGACTTGTATCAATATTTCCCCAAATTTGCAACTACTGACTATTACCTCTCATGTCAGACTGGCGGGAAGTGATACAACTGCAATATCGCTACGTGCTATATTTTATTACATAGTTCAGGATCCCCATGTCTATACTAAACTTCAAAATGAAATAGACGAAGCCGACAGAAACAACATGCTCTCTGAATATATCACATATGAAGAGTGCCTGAGAATGCCGTACCTGTGAGTTTTCAAGAAAGTGATGTGATTGTATCTGACAAAGCTGTCGGGGAATATAGACAAGCAGTAATGAAAGAAGCAATGAGATTACACCCCGGGGTCGGTTTTCCACTAGAAAGATTCGTACCTCCAGAAGGTGCTGAAATCTGTGGACGAAGACTACCTGGCGGTACAAATGTCAGCATTTCAGCTCCTGTAATACACCACAACAAAGAAGTCTACGGTGAAGATGCCAATTTATTCCGCCCAGAAAGATGGTTAGAAGCACCTTTCGAGGAGTTGAAAGCGATGAATCGATATTTTTTTGCAGTAAGCCAATTATATTGTCTCTTGAAAACATAGTTATTGACTAGCATTACCTCACAATCAGTTTGGATACGGTGCACGAACTTGCATTGGTAAAAACATCTCCATCATGGAGATGGGAAAATTTGTTCCGCAAATATTTCGGCATTTCAATGTTTCGTGGGCTTCGCCTGCGCCTGAGTGGATAACACATGCTGCTTGGTTTTGGAAACAGTCGGGTCTGATAGTACGTCTTGAAAGACGAAAATTCGGCAAAGGACCTTGATGTGATATGATGCTAGGAAGCATTATGGCTCATAGCGTTGACAATGTTTGAATTCCATTCTTAAAGTGAGCCTGTGTTTCACCGCTCGTGGGAAACACCAGCATAACAACCGTATGTATCGCTATGCAGTCAAATATTGGCACTTCGCTACTCTGCAAAGTTCAATCTTTCTTATGCATTTAACGGCTTGGACTGAAAATATTTAAGAATACAAATCCAAATTTCAATAGCTGGATATCTACACAAACAACCACCGCCCACATGTAACCAGACGTATATTTCAGGTATCATCATGTAGAACACCCACTCCCAACGGCCTCAAAAAGATATAAATAATATTAAATGTCACAAATTAGCGGTTAGAGGAAAGTATAGTAGGCTTATCAATTGGATATACACCTATTCATTGTTTGGTGTCGCCTGTTTCTTCTATTTAACATGGGAACTTAATGTTTACGCACCTCAGCATGTTGTATCATCCAGGCACTAACCTTTTACAGTACATAACCAACAGAGTACACATTAAAACTTTGACTCAAGGTTCCCACTTGCAGAGACGATGCGGACCATGGACCTGACTCACCTACAAGCCCTGGAGGTGATGGACCCAACACAACTAGCCCCGTAGCGAACACCAGTATTTGCAGCAGTTGACATCAAGATGGACTGACAGAAAGCGAAGAACAAAACCTCGGCCTCTAGGCGCCGCCTGGAATAGTGGTCTATCTAGATGCACCCGGGGAGCAGAAGAAACTAATCGCTTGTATCCGCTAAGATAGGAATTGTTAAGCTTTTAGGATTGATAGGCGTAAGGGGAATAAATAGATATATGGGACTAGCTCTCTTACTTATCATATAAAATAAAATAAAATATTAACTAAAATTACTTAAAGAGTAGTAACAAATAAATATATATTTTCTGGTTTTTAGAAGCTGATATTTATATCAAATCTTGAATTATAAAAATAAAAGTATATTATAATATAAAAAGACAAAATTTTTTGTAGCATCAAAACTATTGAACAATATAAGGTTTAGAAAAGCAATCACATATGATCCTTGAATTCCCGCCTCCGCTACCTTAATAATCCCAGGAGCCACTCCTAGGATGTTGAATACAGCGCTCACATTGCTACTTTTCAACATTCCAATCAAAAGTTCAACTGAAGCGCGAGGTAAGCCGAGCGGCAGCACAGCAAATACAACCCTCTCCGCCTGCTGTTTGCTGAGACTTTGGTCGAAAACAGCATTGTAGATATCTAGGCCTACAGCACCACCGAAACTGCGGACCGAAACGAGGAATCGGATCGCATGTGAGATCAGGTGTGCAGGTGTTGATAGCTACGTGACGACGACCAGCCCGTTGAGTGCTATACCGGATCCGAATCCTAGAAAAACACCGTAACCCCACACATTATTGGCCCAGGTCGGCCCATTGCCTGCCATTAGAGAATTATAAATTACCAAGCTGAGCATTGACAATCAGTCGTAAAAGGAACCGTGCTTGCGTTCTTTTAGGGGTCTCAGGTCTCGTTATATGTAGAAAACGGTTCTTTCTAACTCCGGGAGGTCTGGATTAGAATTTATCAGCTCGTATCTCTAGATCTGTATCTGGTGATATATATCTGGTGTCGGCGCTCAAAGCTTGTCGAATATTAGTACAAAGTTGAATGTATACAACTAAAGCCTTGGCAGTGGGGCAAAGAAATAATCATTATATGTTTGTCGGTCAAACTGATTTCAAGGGTGATTGTCTCGTTTTGTTGGGTTGATTGTTGGACACGTTCAGTTTTTCAGCAGGTTTTCTAAGATATGTGACTCGCAAATGGGTAGGGTCATAAGAGGATGTTTGCATTCCCAACACAAGAGGATAAAGACTGAATCAAATTCTTCATCATGCTTTAGTCAAGAGGACTGGTCTGAAATATTCAATATCCTCAGCCCTCATCCAGGCCATGCTTCCTGGACTTATCTATGTTACAAGACGCTACTTACATGAGAAGTGTACATACGCACGCTGTGCGTATAATATAAGTGCGGATGATAGGACACTACGTAGGGCTGCTTGAGGAGCAGCAGTGATCAAATATGAGTTGTTATTAAGAAAAAATGTAAAAATACTATAGATTTAAAATTTAAATATCTTATGGATGGAGAATTATTAGAGAGAAAGTTTAGATATTGGTGTAGGGCTAGGTTGAGGTATTTTCGATTAATATTGTTATTCTGGTTAAGTCTAAGCTGTCAGCCTTATAAGTAGTTATATGCTATTTATTTTATGCGCCTTGGCACTGGTATTTTGCAGAAACGGGTTACCATGGGTTGCCCATGAAACGGGTTTTGGGATGGGTCGCAGGTCAGGGGTCTATGGATTCGGATTTTGGGTGATACTATCTATCTAATTACCCATTCTCGGGTTATGACGATATCTACATATTCCGAAACGATAACACCGGTTACCGCTTTAATCCCATAATCCGCGCTTTGCTCTAGATACCCATCTCAGTGAGCATTAAGCACGCTGAGTGTGACTGACCATACGAGGCCTTCTCAAGCCGCACACGCCATACTCAGACCTCACAAGATGATCTGTGAACAGATCAGTTACTAATTTGTAGAAGTGGACTCCAGCCAATCACCGACGCTCTCGCTTGATGCGGCGATCCATAAAATCCGAGATTCGTACGCAGTACGGAGTTTAATAAAAATACCAAAGGCCGCACAAAGTCCGTTTGACATCATAGTGTCCTGATAATAACTAAAATGACAGAGCCAGCTGAATTACCTCCATCGTTAATATAATCCATTAGATTCCAACTGTTCGGAAGCGTCTTATTGGAGTTCAATACACCTATACACCTATTCACGGAAATCCATTACAGTATCAATATCAGAAAGGGGGAGACTTCAACGTCACGTTCTATGTCAATTCTGAGGATTCTAATATGTGGAGGTGGCTGTGCTGGGCCTGCGCTCGCCTTCTGGCTTGCCCGTGCTGGCCATCAGGTTGTGTTGGTCGAACGATTCCCGGCCCTGAGAGCGTCCGGTGCGCAGGTAGACCTCCGTGCGCAAGGAATTGAGGTTATAAAACGCATGGGACTTTTAAATGCCGTTAACAGTAAGCTCGTGGACGAAGCTGGAGTGTCTTTTGTCAATTCCCAAGGCGAGGTTAAGGCAACTATCATGGCCAACACCTCTGGCAAAGGCACCCAGTCCCTAACGTCGGAATTTGAGATTATGCGTGGGGACTTTGTCCGGATACTCTATAATGCGACAAAAGACAATGTGAAGTATGTATTTGGAAAGACTGTTGAACTCTTTGAAGAAAACGAAAAAGAGATTGTGGTGCACTTCTCCGATAAGACGTCGGATACCTTCGATCTACTAGTCGGAGCGGATGGGCAAGGGTCACGTATCCGCAAAGTTATCTTACCAGCTAGATCTCCAGAGCCTTATCAAAGACTAGGGATATATATGGCCTACTTTTTTATTCCGCGCACTGAGAGCGATAATAACATTCGCAGAACATATCACGCCCCCGGCGGCAGAATGATCATGCGAAGGACTCACAATCAAACAGAAACACAAGTCTATTTCATTCTCAAGGACGATTCCTTGGATGCTTCACTCATACCCGGGAAGGATATTGAGCAACAGAAGAAGTTCTGGGCGAAACGATTCCACAACGCCGGATGGCAGACCGATCGATTTCTTGAGGCTATGAAGACTACTCAAAGCTTCTATTGCCAGGAAGCACTACAAGTGCGCTCGGAGACGTGGCATAAAGGCCGGGTGGTTCTTCTTGGGGATGCCGCATACTGCCCATCTCCGTTTAGTGGCATGGGTACGACAGGGAGTCTGGTCGGAGCTTACGTCCTAGCTGGTGAAATTAACCGAAGTTCCGATGACTTACCAGGCGCGTTTAAAAAGTATGATAAAACAGTACGACCTTTTATTGAAGAAATTCAAAAGATTAACCCTTTTTTGCTGCGACTGGGCATTCCCGATACTGCATGGGGAATTGCTATTCTACATTTCGTTGCAGGATTGCTCTGTTATCTTCGCATACCATATCTGATAGCAAGATTCTCAGAGACAGAAAAAGGGGGTTGGAAACTACCAGATTATGATGAGCCAAAGCAGGTTTAGATAGAGCGAGGGCAAGGATGACCACGATAACCAGTGTATTTGCTCGGCTGCAACAATTTTCACGGGAGTCCAGTTCATTCAGTAGTTTACATATACGTATTTTCTGAGGTTTTTACCATATAAAGAAAGAAATTTTTATAAAGTGAATTCTAGATACTACTAAGTCTTCAGCTGTGTGAGAAACTACGGGAATGGAATTCATACTACTTCTTACCTCTGTTCACGCTGTATTATTCATTCTGACGGGCCATAAGTCTAGTCCTGTCTTAATGAAAAGGGGACAGATGATGGCATCGTGGACACTGTTCCATGAAATAAAGAGAATAAGTAAAGCACCTCCCTGGATTATTTGTTCAAGGTCATTCTGGGTCGACTGGTTGCTAGCTGACATGAACAAGAGGAGAGTTTAAGGGACTAGAATTTAATTTAATTATATCAGATGTGCAATGAATTATTTTTGTCTGTACTATAGTTTAGAAGATGGCTTATTCTTATGCAATCAACTTGTGTGGACTCTTCGTCGTTGATTGAATGGATATACTGACTAGTGTAAGCGATTAAATGCACCTAGTATAGACTATGTAGTAAGGTAGAATAAATAAGATAATAAGATTTGAACTTTATCTCCTTGATAGCTAGAGCTTTGGTTGGTGTTTTAGCTTCTAAATATGAAATATCCTTCCTATTACATATAGCTCTCTTATATCTTCAGAAGCGTATAATTGAATACTAAGCTATCTTTTAAAATACTTTTATATTATGACTTCTTAGACCGAATAGAGAAATGAAAATTAGAGATTTTCAACAATACAATGTAATCGGTATGCCACCCGCCCATGTAAGTGACCGGTCATTGTAAACGACCCGTCCACTTCTGCCTAAAAACGCGTTCTATTTTGATTTGAAATCTTAATTTCTGTGAGGCCTAGCAGCAGCGAGGCTGCAGGCTCACAGAGGCTTATAAGCGTGCCAACCCTGGAATTGGGCAATGGCCCAATTACCTCAGTATTATTTTTTGGCATTTAGAGGTTGGCAGTGCCAAGGAGCCTTACAATTTCTAACCTAATATAATAATTATATCAAAAAATTAAGGATTAGTATGATTGGGGAATTGGGGTCTTATGTCTGAGAATGCTGCACTTACTACACTAAAATTGGCAATGTATATATATTTAAGAGACTAGAAGCTCAGGCTTAATTAAGTAGTAGTAGTAGTATTTTCAATACTTTAATGGATTGATGTAAGGACCGAAACAACTATAATCAATCCTATCATCAGACTGCTCAACATAATCAGATTAAATAAATGGGTCAGAAGCTTAAACACAATTAATACGAAGTATGACTAAAATATAACTTAACATGATGTTTGTCAGATCACCAAATGTTTCAGCCCCCATCAACATAGCATGGTGTTTGAGGTAAGTATCACTATATCATGCTGGCACATGGCTATAATGTTTATCATTATTATGCTATTTAGGTCTTTGATTCCTTTATAATCCCATGCAAGAGAAATTTAAGTCTTAAAAACAGTTCAGTTCAATGAGTTTTCTCTATAAGCTGTTCAATGAGCGTAGCTTCCGACCACTATGCAGAATTCCCAAAACTCTTCATTGACCATTTTCCTGGTGGTCCAACGATCCCACAATAATCATTTCAACTGTCAGGTTTGAGATCACACATACATAAAGGTGAATAATGGAAGATGAGACACGTTCAACTCCGCACAGGAAGTCCGAAACCTGCACGCTTAATAGAATTATCTCTTGACCTTGTTTGCTGCGATATTTGGTAACAGATTTGTGGGATCGGGCCAGTGTCTAGGTTGCTTAATAAATCAATAAAATTGGATTTATTAATTTATTAAAAGCCAAGGTTTTTAAATACCGTTCAACGGCGCGCGCTAGATTGCACTAGCCTGCTAACACTTACAAACCTGTATTAAAATACCCCACTGGACTAGCAGTGGGGATGATTCTGATATAATATTGGTTGAATTAAAACATTGATTGGGGGGCTACTGAAATACTTCCCTTCCACCTAAGCAGTGGATACCTCACCCAACAGATACACCAAAGCATTATGTTGGTGGATGCCTAGTCGGTGAAGCGAAGGCGAATCAGAATTACGAAGACCCGACTCAGAGGCCAACAAGATGGCGCGGGGTAATTTTCGTTCCCTCAATCATGTGTTTCCGGCCTACTATGTTTTGTTGTCCCAGTACCGCACTAGCGGGGTCTGAATTTGAAGACTCAGCTTTCTCCACACATATTTAAAAGGCGTTGATCTTCCCCTTGGGTTAAAAGTAGCCTTTTACGAGTTTTACGTCTAGCTTAGCAACGTCTGTATATGCTGACGACCCGCAATGGCACCTAACCTGATTTTTGGAGCCGGTGGCATCGGCACAACTGCAGACTCCTTTACCTATACATGGGATACCCCAGCGAAGGTGTCTGAGCTTCTCCATGTGCTTCAAATGCTTGGCATTCACGAACTTGACTCTGGAGCCTCATATCCACCCGGAAATCCGTGGAATAGTGAAACACTTCTTGGTGCGAGTCAGGCAGCGAAAAAAGGATTTATCATTGACTCGAAAATTTTGCTTCCCAAGCAAGGCCCATCACTGAATGCTGAGAATATGGCCGCTAGCATTGATCGTACATGCGAACTACTGAGTGTAGATAAAGTTAGAACTTTATACGCACATATGCCGGATCCATCTGTCTCTTTACGAGAACAGGCGGCAAACTTTCATCAGCAGTTCTTGGAAGACAAATTTGAGCGAGTCCGTTATTCGTATTCTATGCGATCTCTATGCTAATCATATCTTAGCTTGGCCTGTCAAACTATTCAGCTGAACAAATGGGTGAATACTTCGAAATATGTGAACAATACAACTATGTGAAACCTTCAGTCTATCAAGGCTGTTATAATGCCTTGTATAGAGGAGTAGAAAAGAATTTGTTGCAAATCCTTCGACAACATCATTGTGCATTTTACGCTTATAGGTATGTCATGGTAAATTTCGAATTTATGTTGACACATTCCGTTTATGCCACTTCGAAAGTTTGGTCACTAAAAGGTACTTAGCCCACTTGCCGGTGGCTTCTTGACAGGCAAAGTAACATTTGCGTCAGTCAGTCCGGATCCCAATAACCTTAAACGCACACGATGGAAAGGTGCAAGCGTCATGCCGCAATATCAAACGGCTTTTGATAAGCCACCTATGCATAACGCCATTCGACGTTTGGAAGTGATCTGCCAAGAGGCAAACCCGAAGCTGACTCTGCAGGAAGCGGCGCTACGTTGGCTCGTGTACCATTCATCATTGCAAGATTGTGATGGAGTTATTATAGGTGCTAAGCAAATTGAGCAGCTGAAGTCTAATGTGGCGGATATTCGAAGGGGTCCGTTGGAAAACAAAGAGGCAAAAGCTATCAGCGATTTATGGGCCGCTATCGACGAGGTAGAGGATAGCCTATTTTGACTATTGCTTCGGTTAAAAGCTGATTGCGCTTCTCGCTGTCAAGAAGAGGCCTGTAATATACATACATTGAGGCATGACTGGAGATGGTTCCCATCCTTAGTAGCTATATCAAAGATAACTAAATTCTGGATTCAGACATTAGGCCAAGTTAAACTTGTCTCTTCAGCTATCAAGTAATCACAAATATATATTATTACCATCGGTAACGGTTTCATGAGTGTGAAGTATATATCACTCTCTTGTCTTAGCGAAAGCACAAATATGGGTTAAATTCAGCTCCGGGTCTTTAACTTACTCGGGCACAGATTGTCGATAGAAATATCCCAAGGTTTTGCTATTTTTTGCTTCGAGAGATACTGACTGTCAAGGTTGATTGTTTGTGAATATTGCTTTAACTTAATACGGAGGGGAGCGAATTATCCGGTAAGGAGTGTTAGGGTTTGGCAGGACAACTCCGGCAAGAGATATATGTCTACAGGAGATCCTCAATCTCCCCATATTGATCATGGTTTTTGATAGAAAATATTCTATCAAATATAAATCAATTAATTTAGAAATTTAGATTTATAAATCGAAACTTCTTTCTATTTAATTTTAATTCTTTACTCTAAATATATATAGTTATGAATAGTTAATTGAATAAATAAATTAATTAACTTGTATTTATCTAGTATAGGACTAATGTTTGTTAACAAAATTAGATCAACAGACTAGTCAGTTGATTATGCATTGACGATAGACTATATATTCAGAAAAAAGAAAGAAACTTAGATAATTTAATATAGAAGAACCCCATCTATATTATATTTAAGGTCAAAATGGTTATTTAATATAATTTATGAATTTCACCCCAAAAACAAGGATTACTATTCATACTAATCCAATGCGAAAAAGTCAAGGTTGTTCCTGGCGACTAACGTGTGCAAGCCAGTCTCTATCAGGTTCATTTTGTGCAGTGTCTTCGGCAGAGAGACCAATTTCATTTCGACGCACAGCATTAGCTCAACTGCAGTAATACGATTTTAGCACCACTGGGGACGAGAAAAAACTGGGAAGATCCTTCACGAACATGTCCGGCCGCTCGAGTGACGAAAATTGTCCGCCCCGCTCATACTCCTTCCAGTAGTGGATGTTGGCGGCCTGATCGGCCCAGTCCCGGGGGCACTTGCGCATCAGTTGTATTAGAATTGAAATACCTTTGCGCAATCTAGGAGTAAGGAAACTGAACTTACATGAAGCTGCTCCTTTGCGTACATGCTTGCTCCAGTCGGGACAGATACGTCCACTTCAAATGTCTTGTCCGCTTCTTGCATGCCGCGACCAAAGGCTTCACGATAGAATCATAGACCAGGTGTCGCACCCTGAATCCAGTGCATCATAACCAGTGTAATGATATCTGTATCACTAAAGGCCTCATACACATCGCCCCAGTCATGGAATTTTTCGACAAACCACGCCAGCAAGCCAACAGTAGAATCGCCAAGTGCGAACCCCAGCGTTTGAGGCCGCGTCTTCTGCTGTTCTAAATAGCCACTCTGGTCAGTCTCAAAGTTCCGGCGCACCTGCAAGGCCTTATTCTCGAACTCCGAGTATGTGAAGGCGGATAAGCACCAGCGCAAATAGGCACGGGAAGCCGACCAGAGCGATAGCGGAGGCACAGGAAACATGTTCAGATGCTGCGCTCGCACTACTTTAGGATACTGAATAGCGATGGAGCGGTGATAAAGGAGCCAAAATCGCCACCCTGTGTAACAAAACTTGGATAACCTAGGACATCAGTCATCAGTATCTTGTAAGCACGCCAACCCCTGACTTCGTCGGAGCAGGAGAAAAGCCGAAACCTGGGATCGAGGGAGCGATGCAATGGAAGGCTGGATCAGCCGCATCTTTTGGCTCAGTAAGCGGGTGAACAATTCGGACAGCTTCTACAAAAGAACCCGGCCAACCATGCGAAAATAAGAGGGGAATCGCATTTGAGCGGGTGGATTGGCTGTGAGTATAGTGTAGCACAAGAGGACCCTAGCCAGGAACATCAACTTTCACCAAGAAGTGGCTGAAGGCAGCATTCAGGTGGCGCTGACGCTTCTAGATCAGAAAACTGTTCTTCCCTGAGTTGGCAGTCGCCAACTCACCTCTTCCTCTCCCCAAATTGTACTTGTCCCTCCAGAATTCAGCCAACTGCTTCACGCATGAAACCTTAGCACCCTGGGCCCAGTTGCCCTCCCCAAAGTCAGTCTGCTCGTCTGGATAACGAGCCAGGGCCAACTTTTGCTTGGTCAGCTCCAGCAACTCCCCATCCACGCTTATGGTGTAGGGCATGGGAACGTTGAACTTCAAGTCGGCCATCGGGATAGGAAGTTTCAAGCCCATATTTCAGTGTGTGCGGCTTCAAGAGGATCAAGGACTAACTAGGCGAGCCAACTCGGGATTGAGAAATTTCGAAATAGTAATTAAGAGGATTTATCGATTTGAAAGTACGAGGAAGAAGACGATAGAATAGAGAGATCGATATCGTGTCTAGGTATCTCGGATAGATGCCCAGAGCGGGAGACTCGCAGTTGCATACAGCACCAAAAGTACAAGACGGCCTTTTCATTTTTATGCAGCCGCTCCAGAGACCAGTAAATGCGTCGTCATCTTCAACACTCGCCTGAGCACAGCTCCTGGGTGCTGAAGGCAAGTGATCAGCAGCGAGACGCCTTGTCGAACCGATTGGACGTGACCTATTGATTGCACCTCAGGGCAATTCGAAGCATACTGTAAATGGCAATTGGAAGCACGCCGCAATTGCAGCTAACAGGAGGTGCAATTACAAGCGCTATGCCGGTTTTGGACAAGAGTGGGCCTCACCGGTAACGTCCTTGGCTCGGTCCTTGGCCCGATCATTTGGTTACGTTAGACCGCGCTAAATATATTAAAAAAGGAATAAAGTCTTTTAAAAACTAAAAATCTATATATCTAAAGATTTTTAAAGAAATTAAATTTTTTTTATTAATACTCTTTTATAATTAAGTATAACAAGTGGCATGACGCAAAATAATTGATGATGTGAAAATAAAAATTTCAATGTAAAAACCTCTATTGTCCCTAACTTGATTTAGTCTGCTGCAGTGCGGAAGCTCGATCGGTGCTTTCACCGAAGGTTCAGTTTCCACATAAATCGGTTATTCCACCGAATTTGTAGAAGCCAAACGAGTCTCCAGTGCTCAAGAGATCTTACATTGTCCAACATGAGTAGTAGTAACAAGCGCTCAAGGCTTAGTGGAGATGGAGTTGCATCCAATCGCTCCCAGACCAGCGCGAATGCCGCCGTAAAGCCACGGCTAACTCGGGCTTGTAAGGAACCTCCCCGACAACACATTCTTGGATGATCAGGCTAATCTAGTTAAGGTGCCGAGTGCAAGAAGCACAAGATCAAATGCTTTGTGCAGCCCGGTCAGACAGCATGCAACAAATGTTTGAAGAGCGGTGTTCATTGCGTCCCTCACAACTTTGCCCAAAAGTATATAGACGAAGATGCTGTGTAGGCATTCAAAATCCCTCTCATATCAAGCATTTCTCATGGTCACAGGTGGAAAGCGCAAGCATCAGCGACGATTGAACGCCTCCAAGATGCTGTCCAACATCTCTTGCACCACAATAATTTGCCGGGGCTTACTGAGGGTACAATATCTGCGCTGCACCCACTGTCAGAACGGGACCACGAAGTATCCAAGCAGACACTGTCGCCGTTTAGCACAGTTCACCCGGAATCTGTCGGCGGCAACTTCACCCCTGAAGGCCCATCAGTTGGTCTCCGCGGGCATCAAGATGATTCAGACCTTATCCCCTTCCCGATGAACAATCTTTACAATCTCACCGACCCAAACAATTCTCAGCTGATCCGCGTTGATCCCGCCGACGTCAACGGGCCCGACTTCATTAGCCAAGGTGTCCTTCCAGTCGCCGAGGCAGAATTACTTTTTGATCACTACCGAAACTACATCAATCTCCTGCTGTGGGATGGAATGCTCTGCTCGCACAAGTCCCTACACGAGGCGAGGGAGTCGTCGTCCTTGCTAGTAGCAGTGGTACTCACCGTTGCTGCTCTGCATATTCCTAATCGAGAGCAGTCTCTACATACCACATATGGCGCATTCGTGAGACTGATGAGAGGGTCATGTTTGTTACGCTGCCAGAACCTGGATGTGATCCGTGCTCTGTGTATCGGGGCTTTCTACCTTACAAGCCTGAGCTGGGCGCTCAGCAGCCGAGCTGTACGAGTGGCAACAGAGATGAACCTTCACAAATCATCTCTGCAATTTGCTCGGGGCTCTCTCGAGTCCTACGAGCGCGTGCGACTCTGGTACGTCCTCTACGTTTGTGATCATCAGTTTGCGTTGGCGTACGGGCGTCCGCCCTTGATGCATGAAGACGCAGCTATCCGCAATGCTGAAAAGTTTCTAGCCAGTGGTTTGTCTTCAAAGGGTGACAACAGCCTTGTCGCCCAGGTTAAGCTGTTCCGGATTCTGGCGAGCGGGTACTTCATGCATGGCTGTGACCCCGACCTCGAGCTTAGTACACTAGATTTTGAGCAACTGAAAGAGTTCGACATATCCGTGGATCAATGGCGTCTCGAGCACCGGTTCAAGGAAGTCGGGTCTGCAAGAGACAGTTTGATTCCACCCACAGCAAATACTCTCTACTACCACCTCGCCCGCTTTCAACTCAACTCGGTAGCTCTCAGAGGCATTTCAGCAAGGGAAACTTCTCGGGATGCCACCCCTAGTCTCAACATGAATTGGGATAGACAAGAGGCGTCCAACATTGCCATCATGACCGCCATGAATACGGCGAAGCTTATTGTCGACGATGGTAATCTTCAAAAAGCGTTTATCAGATTACCCATCTTCATACACGCCATGGTTGCAGTCTGTGCATCATTCCTCCTCAAAATGGCTGTCGTATTCGGCGAGCCTGATTCTGGCAATGTTGGCACGCTCCATCTTCCCAAGGATCTCACTCAGTATGGCTTGAACTTTCATACAAAGACAGCACTGTCAAATGTGGAGCACCTGGTACGAGTGCTAGGCCAGCTAGCAGACAACGCAAGCCAGCGGCACGTCGCGAGACAAGTTGTCACAGGGTTGGTGGAACTGCTACAACGGTTCTCAACCAGCCGGGATACAAACAGCTACCTATACTTATTGCCGCGAAGCAAGGACCTGTTATCTGTGCCAGTGAAAGGGTCAAAGCGAGAATGGACTGCAGGGATCGAAAAAGGGGCGTCAGATCAGAGGCACAGTTGTGGCATCGATTGCACGTACCTTGATGTGCCAGACAGCGAGGGCAATGACACGGTACAATCTGACAACGCTGGCCAGCAAGATCCATTTGATCTTACAGGCGACTTAGACTGGCGCTTTGACGATGGCTTCCTTTTTGGAATTGAAGGCATTGATACTGAAATGACATTTCTGTAAACCTGATTAATATGGTGCGTTGAAGGAATGTTCCTTTCAAAGATGTACTATATGTTGGGGATAAGAATTACAGTGGATGCAAGAGAATTTGCCTACTTCCGGGTACAATTCACGACTCTTGGTACAAAATATCCCATAATGTGTCCATGTATGATGTTACTATTTATTACTATATCATATGTAAAGCTGAATACTATTTATAAGTGTATTCAAGGGTCTCCGCTGGCGTGGAAATACATTAGTCGAGTTATTAGCTGTTGCTGGGCTTTGAATCCTTCCCTCAAAGCACTATCTTCATAAATAATGAAGCATTTTATATTTGTTTGAAGCAGTATTATACACGTTGCAAAAGCAGCGCCATGTCACGTAAAACTTTTTTGGATTACTTGGTTGGCAAATACTTTTGCATCACTGTTTTATATGTACTCCTATTAATAACGACATCTTTCATATTTACATCCAGACTAGTGAGTATGGCAGCCTATTGGACCATTAATTGCGCAAGATACAGCCCCTGAGCTGCAACGTGGAGAGATCAGAGGGCGAAGCATGGATCTGGGCCCTGCCGGTGCATCGAGGACATGTGCAGGCTGCGCAAAGTGAGATGATTAGTCAGAGGGTTGATTGGAGAGCACAGGCGTTAGAGTTTTCGCTCGCTTGGTTGATTTTATTTATTTGGTTCATTTGCATTCGTTTATAAATTTTCATTGGTTCACCTTCTCCTGTGGCTGCGCCACGTTGTACATAGCTCTTGCGGGCTAGGGCACATCCCTGCATAGCGGCCTTATTAGTCAGCCCACTGCAACAGGTAAATGAATACTACTCTACTATTATCTTGGAACATGGCTGTTTTCTCAACATGCGATTACATTTGGTACCTAATTCCTCCCATCAAACCCCCAGACCATCGAGTGCCTAAGTCCTAGACCTTCGTGTTTACCTCCTGTGCTTCCCTGCGGGCTCTCAGTTCGCCAGCCATGGCCGTGGCATGATCAGTCCTCTGAACAGGGTGTTTCCTGAACAAGCATGCAAATACCGCCGTGCAGATACAGAGCACACCAAGCCAGCTGGTAGTAGTCACAAAGCCTGGAATGTAACGAGGTGCATCCTTATCCGGCCATAACCAGGATGAGTAGATGGATGAAGCATTGCCAATTGCATTAATGAGAGCAATAGCAATAGCTCGCTTTGCCGCAGGCTGGGGAATGACATCTGACACCCACGTCTTCACCAATGGAGAGCAGCCGTATATTGTGCCGAAGGCGAAGATGGTGAGTACGTACTGGGCCATCCTGTCTTGGACCGTAGTCACGGCAATGAATAAGACGCAGCCGAGGCCAGACAGGCCGGCGATAAACTGCCACTTGCGCTGGTACCTGTCTGCCAACCAGCAGCATGCAACTACGTAGACCAGGGCGGCCATGTAAGCAGGAATGGTATGGTCTACTCATCAAGTTCAGTAATTGCAATCCGACTTAATAGTGATGGTAGATCTTACATTGACCAGACGGCCCAGTCCATCCGAAGCTTTTTACGAGTGTAGGAATAAAGTACTGCATCGTCTGGGCTCCAGTCACGAGGACGAAGAGCAGGCATTGAGCCCACACTCTCCAGTCGCTGCACGTCATCTTGAACGCGACCCAGTGAGGAATATTCTCAGCTCCGTTACCTTGGGTTAGGTCGATACCGTCAGCTGCCAACCTGTTACAGGCAAGTATGCTCTCCTCTTCGGTCAAGAACCGCTTGCTGTTTGAGGGGTAGTCGGGCATGAGAAAGTAAATGGCGATGGCTGCGCTGACTGACCCAATCCCCTCAAGAATCTATAACGGTTAATAGGCTGCGATAATGGGTAGGAGAGAGTTGAACTGACAAAGAGCCATCTCCAGCCCGGTAGACCAGATACTCCATCCATATGACTAGTGATTATACCCGCAAGGAGGCCAGAAATTGCTCCAGCAATTGGTACTGAGGTGTATAGCACAGCATATCGCGTTGCTAATTCATATCGCCGATACCATGATGAAAGGAAGAAAGCACATCCTGGCGCGAAACCGGCCTATGGAGGTGATCAGAAAGGTTCCCTGACGGATTTTGTTTTTCACACACCTCGGCAATACCAAGTAGGAATCGCATGCCGGTAAGTTGCGCCCAGTTCTGCGTCGCTCCCATAAGTGCGGCTAATGTCCCCCATATGAGACCCAATCCAGGAAGAAACACGCTGGGCCTGACACGAGTCAAAATCATGTTGGCTGGGACCTCAAAAATGAGGTAGGACACGAAGAACATGATCACAATGATGGAGTATTGAGAAGAAGAGAGACCAAAGTCATCCTCTAAACCGCCAGTTTTGGCATTGCTCGAAATACCATTTAGTAAGAGAGCGGTGCGATACTCATATGATCCTTCACATACCTAATGTTGGCTCGGTCAAGATAGCCAAGGAGATAGAGCACCCAAGTGCACGGAAGGATGCGCCAGTCAAGCTTGCGCACAAGTCTCCTCTCCTCTGGCTTGCCATCCACCCACTGAGCTGCAATTTGCCTGGCCTCAGCGATGTCGGCATCTGCCGCATCTTTAACATGAAACTCGGCGCCGTTCTCACTAGACTTGACAGAGGCGACGGCGGAGACTCGCTCCATATGCTGGGTGAGTTTGGCTTCTTTTTCCCCAGAGTGGGACATAATGACAGGCAACTTCAGAGGGTTGAAGAATGAAGTGATGGAATAGAATAATTTCATGAGTCATAATGGTGCGTCGAGGGCACCCTTATATAACTAATCGCAAATTGCTGCACCGCAGTCTCAGTTCTCAGGAATGCATCGACTTGATGCCAAGCACGGAGTACTTCCCCCACAGTTAAATGGAGCGCGTACGTGGAGATCGGCGAAGGTGCCGTGCCCCACTGCAGGCACTTTTATCGACGTTAAGAGATGCAGGTTAGCCGATTGCTTGACCCAGAACATCGGCAAAACCGCCGTGTACTGCACTTTTCCCGCGATATCAACAGATCAATCACTCTGTATCATTTCTCTACTTATAACATCTATCTTTCTCTTCCATATACATACTCCTCCATTCAAGGCCGCCTCCTCCTCTTCTCCTTCAAATCATCATATTCGTTCTTCTTAGATAAAAAATAAACCATTTCGCGATGGCTGGGGCAATCGAACCACCTCAACCCCAACTACCCCGACGTCCACGCATTGCGGTTACATTGGGTGATCCGTCCGGTATTGGTCCTGAGCTGATTGCCAAGCTCCTTAGTAACCCAGCGAATTGCCAGAGGGCCGACATTGTTCTTCTAGCTGATGAGACTGAGTTTCAATCCGCTAGAGCTGATGCAGGAGGTGTGGATGTCGCTATTTCTCCCGGCGCTGCTGGGCCTAATAGAATTCAAGTGCTTGACGACAACAGCGCCGGGCGATATTTATCTACGCAAGGAGAGGTTTCCAAGGCCAGCGGGGCACGCAGCATCCATCAATTAAAGAGAGCATTGAAACTGGTACAAGCCGATGAGGTTGACGCCATCGTCTTCGCCCCATTAAATAAGAGCTCTCTGAAACTCGCGGGCATGACAGAGGAAGACGAACTGCGATGGTTCGCCAACCAATTGGACTTCAAGAGCATCACTAGCGAGATCAATATTGCGGGACCGCTGTGGACCGCTAGAGTCACGAGCCACATTGGGATAGAGGAGGTTGCGCAACGCATTACCAAGGTATCAACACTGAGAGCTATCGAGCTGTTGCACCGGCTGAGGTATGTCTCTGGGCCAACGATTCCCCTCCAATACACAACTGACATCAATTAGGTGGGAGTCGGGGATTGAGTCTCCTCGCCTAGGCGTCTGCGCACTTAACCCTCACAGCGGTGAGAACGGCGCGTTCGGGCGGCAAGAGATAGATCACATTCGTCCCGCGGTTGAAGCAGCTCGGGAAAGCGGTATCAATGTCCAGGGTCCATTCCCATGCGACACCATCTTCATCAAGCGACAGCATTTTGATGGCATTGTCACTATGTACCATGATCAGGGGCAGATTGCAATGAAACTACTATCATTTGACGGTGGAGTTACTGTGCAAGGTGGCCTTCCTATTCCTGTTGCCACGCCTGCTCATGGTACAGCCTTTGATATCGCCGGCAAGAATCTAGCGGCTGTCACTAGCACTCAGAATGCCTTCGACATTGCTGTGACAATGGTGGAGAGGAGGATCCTGAAGGAATCACGCCTGGTTTCTGATGTTATGCCTGTCAAAACTGGACCCTTTCCAAAAACCACACTAGTGGAAATCATCAGCACCTCATGTTGCTGAGACCAGGGAGAGTCGGACGAATAGAATCTGGTAGATAAATAGATAATATTAGGCTAAGAATTTCATATATTCCTTTAGAAGTGTCCAGGTTTACTGCTTTTCTAGTAATGCTCGCTGTCATTTTCAGAGTTGTATCCACTAAGATTCACGTTATATTAGTAGAACGAGAAAATTTCCATAAGGCAAATGCATGGTTATGGATAACTGTGAATACAAATGATATGTCTATGTTATTAATGTCAAAAATTGTTAACAACTCGCCTCAAGATCAGAAATCTTAGAGGATATTCTGAAAACACAAGATAAAAGAGTACCATAAGGTCAATATCAAGAGCTATCTATCAGTATAGATAGTAGTAGTAAGAAGCCTATTAAGTACTAAATAATAGTACACTATTTAATATAAAATTAATCTGTCATTTGGTTCGGTTATGGTCCTGAGTTTCTAGACCAAATGTAACAGGGATAGACCCAGGGAGTATGTTCAAGCCTAATCCGGCAGGACCGGGGGGCTCAGGGATATCCCGGGGGTCAATTGTGATATATCACAATTGATACCATAAGACCCCGGGCATGATGCCAGTACCCCTCACCTCGCTATATATGCCTTTATCTAGTTAGATTAGATATCAATGACCTGAGGTAGGGACTCAGACATATAGGCTTGATTTCGCACCTGGAGGGAGGAAACCAAGCAATATCTTTTGTATAATCTTTGACATAACTTGCAATATAAGTCTACTCGGCTGCGAATAGCCTTCGGCTCGAAGCCTTCCCTAACTATATAACCTAAACCGATAACTTCCTCTCTAGTAGCCTTGCTCTTTAGCATCAATATCAACCGGTGAAGCTTCAACTCACCCACATCTAGTCTGTCCAGACACCCCCGGACACGGTCCTGCCAGACCATGTTACACAAAACCCAAAAGTGGGTCAATTCGGTCTGAACTAGGCTGTCATTTGGTTCGGTTCTGGTCCTGAGTTTCTGAACCAAACCCAAAAGTGGGTCGGTTCGGTTTGGTCTCTAATATTGGAACCAAAACCAAAAACCGAATGGTTCTGGCTCTTTAAACTGAAACCGAACCACGCTAAAGAAGAATTACTAATTATGGTTAGATCGGTCTGAGTCTGGTCTAGTTTTCATTCAGATAATCGAACTGTATCAAAGAATTTTTAATTATAGTTAGATTTTATCCTTAAAAATATATTAAAATCTCTTTAAATTTTAGTGAATTAGATAGATAAATAATATAAAAATTATAATTAATTATTTAAATTATAATTTTCTATCTGATTGTTGAAATATACTAAAAAAATAAATAGATAATGGTGAATACTATAGAATAGGTATAGAAATGTATATATATATTTTCTTCTATATAATATAATCCAAAAAATATAAATAAAAAGTAGAAAAGGTATTATCACCATCTGGATAATTCTTAGATTATAATCTAAATATTAAGAATTTATTATAATATTTATAAAAATATCCAAAACAAAGTCCTAATGTAACAGGGATAGACCCAGGGAGCATGTTCAAGCCTAATCCAGCAGGACCAGGGGGCTCAGAGATACCCCAGGGACAATTGTGATATATCATAATTGATACCATAAAACCCCAGGCATAATGCTAGTATCCCTTATCTCACTATATATACCTTTATCTAATTAGATTAGATATCAATTACCTAAAATAAAAACTCAGATATATAGGCTTAATTTTTTATCTAAAAAGAAGAAACTAAATAATATCTTTTATATAATCTTTAATATAATTTTTAATATAAACTTATTTAGTTTTAAATAGCTTTTAGCTTAAAGTCTTCTCTAACTATATAATCTAAACCAATAACTTCCTCCCTAATAGCATTACTCTATAACATCAATATCAATCAATAAAGCTTCAACTCATCTATATTAATGTGAGGCCTGGCAGCAGCGAGAGCGCTGCAGGCTCACAGAGGCTTATAAGCGTGCCAACCCTGGAATTGGGCAATGGCCCAATTACCTCAGTATTACTTTTTGGCATTTAGAGGTTGGCAGTGCCAAGGAGCCTTACAATTAAGTCTATCTAGACACCCCCAAACACAGTCTTACTAGACTATATTATATTAAATATTACTTCTCACTCAAAATTAAACCAACTTCAATAAGATATCTAAAAATAACATAACTACTAAATCTCAACAGATAATCACTAAATCTTCTAGCCCTCCAACTTAGAAAATTTCTAAGATTTAACAACCCAAAATCACTTCTAAACATGACTAACAACCAATTGGAAAGTAAGACCACTTAAAACAGATCTCAATAGATCAAAATATCCTAAAAACATTCCTTAATCAGCTCTAGCTAAACAAAAAAGAATCTACCAATAATTAAAAAGAAATTAAAGTTTCTAATCTAATATATTTTATCACTAAATAAATCTATAACTTTAAGATCTAAATAGAAGATATAAAAAATAATATCTATAATTACTTAAAAGCCTTTCTAATTAAAGCCAATAAAATTCAATATATTATAACTTAACTTATAAAAAATTATTAAACTTAATAATATAAAAAGCAGCTTTTAATTAATAAAAAAAACTTTATTTTCTCTTAATTTAAAGCCTAACTAAAAGACTAAATTAAGTTTTTATAAAATTAGAAAATCAATATTACAATTAAACTTAATAAATTAATCTAAACAAGCAGTTAATATTTTAAGTCTTTCTATTCTAAATTCTTACACTTATATAAGAAAGCTAAAGAAAGAATATCTTCTAAGACACAAATTAATAATATCTTAAAATATCATCTATTTCTAGTTAAGCTATTATTTAGAATTAAAAAAAAATTAGTTAAAATAGTTTATCTTCTTAATAAGCTTCTAGATTTAATATTAATAGCTTAATATCTATATTAAATCAATAAATAGAAATATATAAAGAAATAAAAGCGTAATTTTAATATTTAAAATCAAAAAAAATCTTTAAATTATTTAATACTAAATCAGAATTAAGTCAGCTTTAAATTAAATCTAAATTAAAAATAAAAACACTCTTTAAATAGTTTTATAAAACTAGAGTCTAAAAAGACTCTATAATAAAAAAATATATCTAATAAAGCTTTCTAAAAGTAAAATATATACTATAAATATAATAAATTAGATCACTATTCCTTAGAATGCTATATAATTAAGAATAAAGATAATAAGTCTCTATTAAAAAATAAACTTAATACCATCAAAGTCTTAAAGAAATCTAATTCTAAAAGAATCTCTTTAGATTAAATCTAATAAAAAAATATGATAATAATCAGTATATAAAAAAAGTATAATCTAAAAGAATTTACTATATTAATCAGCTTAAAAATGTATTTTTCAAATTAAAATAAGAAAATTATTATAATATTTGATATTAATATTAATAAGAATTTTATCTTTTATCAACTTTTATTTAAAGCTAATTCAAAGCTAAATATTAGTCTGTAATATCTAATTAAATTTATTAATAATAAAATAATAATATTATATATAATTCTAAAGCTATTTATTATTATTACCAATTCTAATAAAAAGAAGAAGATCTTAGAAATAAAATATTATATAATCAATATAACCAGATTTAACATTCTATTAAAGAAATTATAAAAAATTAAGAAAGAATCTATAATTAAGAACTTCTAATATCAAATTTAGTATTTCTAAAATAAAATATCTTTAATAAAGATTTATATTAAATCTCTTTAATATTTTAAAATCATAGCTTAAACACTTACTATATATATACTAACAGTAGAGTATCTTTTTATAATAAAAGACTATTTACTTAATATCTATTAGAAATATATTAATATATTTTCTAAATTTAAGATTAATATATTATCTTTAGAGAATATGGTTCATAAAATCTTATTAAAGAATAGATTAAAGAAACCTTTATAAAGCCTTCTTTATATATATTCTAGAATTGAATTAAATTATCTATATAAATATTTTAAAGAAATATAATAAAAAGAGTAAATCTATATATCTATAAGCTTTACAGATATATCAATTCTTTTTATTAAAAAGACTAATAATTTACTTTAAATCTATATTGATTATTAAGATCTAAATAACCTAATAATTAAGAATCATTATCTATTACTATAGATTAATAAGATATTAGACTGCTTAATAAAATTAAAATTCTTTATTAAGATAGATCTTTAAGATATTTATTATTAAATAAGAATAAAGTATAAAGATAAATAAAAAATAGTATTCTAAATATACTATAGCTATTTTAAATATCTAGTTATATTATTTAAATTAATCAATATTTTAATTATATTTTAATTCTATATTTATCAGACTATATATAGTCTAATTAATAACTTTATTATTATTTATTTAGATAATATTTTTATTTTTTCTAAGATTAAGAATAAATATATAAAATATATCAAAACTATATTATAATAACTTTAAAATAATCATCTCTATACTAAAATTTTTAAGTATAGTTTCTATCAATAGAAAATTAAATTCTTTAATTATATAATCAACGAAAATAACATCTTAATAGATATAGATTAAATAGAAATAATTCATAGCTAGCTTAAACTAAAGTTAACTTATAAGATATAAATCTTTCTTAAATTTATTAACTTTTTTAAATATTTTATATATAATTTTTTATAATCTTTACTCCTTTAATAAAGATATTAAAAGTTAATAAAATAATATTTAAATAAAGCTTTAAGCTAACTTTATAAATAAGAAAAATCTTTAATAAGCTTAAATAGACCTTTAAAAACCCTTTAATAATATAGTATTTTAATCTTAAAAAAAAGATTAAAATTATTATAGATATATTAATTATTAGGATTATAATTATATTATTCTAGTCTAAAGCTGAATTAACTTTAATTCAAAGCTAATATACTTAATATCTAATAATATTCTTATTATAAAAATATATTAAAGCTAAATATTAATAAAAGATTTATAATTAAAAACTTAAAATA